AAAAACCTAAAAACTAAGGCTTCTAGCAAACGCTAAGAGGGTGCAAAATGCACGCACTGCGATCGCACTAAGCATATAATCACTAAATGCTAGAAGAAGAACCTAGAGCTTTGCCTTAAGTAGGCCTTTAGAGGCAAAACTAGCAATATGTTAAAGAAAGAACCCTTTAGCAAAGTAGTTAGCTTTATAACTACTGTCTAATTTAAACCTACAAACAAGGTGCTTACGTTTATGCTGGCATCTAATTTCGGTGTAGTTACGATCACCGATAACCTGCAAAAAGCAGTAAACGTAGACCTTTGCTATAGGTTACACAATAGCATTGTTACTACGGATAACAATAGCTGCGCGCTAGATGCGCGAACGAATTGCAAAGGCCTAGATCTGTGCCCCTAACTAACGAAGGGTTATGCCTACTATGCCCTCTTCTACAACTTCTATAGTAGCCACACAGACGACTGGCTGTTTAACATAGGAGGTGATATTTATATCACTAACAACCCTAGTTGGTTTAAACCTAGTATAGAGTACACCGCTACGATTACGATTTACACTAATAGTAGCTTTGTTATTACTAAGTTTGCGGGCTAAGTGGTGCTCTAGATAATAGGACTAGACGGCACGGCACACAAAGCGACCTTAAACTACGTTTTCTTAGTACTAGGCTTCTTCTTAAACATTATGTCTAGCCTACGCTTCTACAAGGCAGGCAATTACATTAACGGCACCAAGCTGGTGGCTGCAGATAGGGCAGCCTTTTGCTAATTTAACATTGAAAAGACTAGCTTCTTTGTGCTAATTTAGAACAAGCCTCCTCCCGCGCAAGGGGAGAGTTAAAAGAAGATAAATTGCGCGGCTTAAGAATTTTACTAAGACTTTGTTTAGGATGCTAAGACTAATCCTAAATTTAACGAATTTAACCTAAAAGCTATGCGCAGTCTTTAAGCAAGCGCTAGAAACTATGCCTTATTTATTAAAAGATAAGTTACCCGTCTTAAAAAGCGCTTAAAGAGACGTTAAAGCAAGTAAAAGAAAAGCTTATAAAGCTAGAAAACGTTATAGAAAACACTAAGCTAGTTTACACTTTTTACAAACTAGCAAAGGCTAAGCACTTTAAGCTAAAAAACAAACGTAAAATTTATATATAAAGACTAGAAGAGGTATATTACGTTAACCTAGGCTAATTTAAGCAAGTTAGCTATAATAAGTTAAGGTATATTACTATTATTAAAGATAAATTTATAGGTTTAATTAAAGTGCTAGTGCATAAAAAGAAAATAAAAGCACTGTCTACAATTAAAGTAGTGTTCAAAAGAAACGCAAATAAACTAAGCTACAAGCTTGTTTAAATTCACCTTAACAATAGTATAAACATTGCCATTACAGCCATTAAGCGGTACTGCGTGCTAAAAGGCATTAAAGTAATCCCTAGCCCTCTATACAACTTAGCTAAGAACAAAAAAGCTAAGAGGGCAGTTAAGAAGGTTATTATTTATACTAGACTACTTTATCTCTAAGGTTATATCCCTCCTATACTTTAGCTAAAAGTCTGCAAGTTAGCAACCTACATTTAAAACTATATAGCCAACTTTAAAAAAGAGGTGCCAATTGTCTAGTAGCAACGTAACAACGGTTAAAAGAAGGACGAAAACTTTGTACTAGACGTCTTTTACTTGCGCACAATTAGCTCTAGAGCCGTAATTTAAAAACCTAAACAAGTTATCTAAAAGGCAAGCGATTCAAAGCTTAAACCACAAGGCGAAGAGGCTATGCTTATAGGCTTTAAAGAGACTTACCTATATAGGTGTTAGGCTATTCTTTGTAGTAAGCTTGTCGTTATAAAAGACGTGCATATATTTAAAGAAATTGTAAAAGACGTAGATTTAATTAAATCCTAGCCTAAAGAAGTCTAGCGCTGCACTATGAAGGTAACAATCGATTAAAAAACGTAGGACTATAACGTCTTTATCCTAAAACCTAACTCTAACGTTAAGAGGGAGCTTAATCTAGACGATAATCTAGATAATATCTTCAATCTAGAAGACTTTAAGAAGCTTTTGCGGGACCAAGCTAGCATCTTAAATCGACCTTAGAAGATTGTTATAATCTTAGATCTAACTTCTATTTATAAACGCGTAGTGCTACCTTAGGCCGCGCGCAATCTAATGAAAGTAGGCAGCGCAAACCTTGTATAGCGCGCACTAAGTGCGCACAACATAGAAAAAGATAAGCTAACTATAAAGAAGGCGCTATTAAGAAGCAAGTTAGATTAATGGCGTAAGGCTATGTTTAAGGAGATAGATAGCTTGATTGTAAAAGGCGTCTTTAAGTTTATAGACTAACTAAAAAGCAGAAAGACGATTACTAGCAGGTAGGTGCTATAGCAAAAGCAAGGACTAAATTAAAAAGAGATAAAGAAGAAGGCAAGGCTAGTAGCTAGAGGCTTTTAGCAAAAGCAAGGCCTTAACTATAACAAAACCTTTGCATCGACTTCTCGATTAGACTCTTAGCGCATGCTTATAGCACTAGCTGTTTAGTTTAACTAAACCTTACGTTAATTCAACGTAATCGCTACCTACCTATATAAACTGCTAGACGAAGATATCTTTATAGAACAAGGAGAACTGTTTTAGCAGTACTTCGAACAAAAACCCAAAGTAGCACGCCAGCTTAACTAAGCGCCAAATCGTGTTATTTAGCTACAATAAGCGTTGTACAGCTTAAAGCAAGCCGGCCACGTCTAGCAGAAGAAGCTGCGCAAAACTATAGCATTAGCAGGGCTTAGGCCCTTTATAACAGACCCTGCCACGTATCACAGCAAAGGCGTGACCGTAGTAACGCACGTTAACAATGCCCTCTATAGAGGAGCCGAAACTAACGTTGCTTCGTTCGAACTCAGTATGCGTCAGTTGCTAAAGACAGAAATAACACCAACGCTCGAATGGTTACTAGGCGTCGAGATCGGGATCACCACCACAGAGGGGGGTACTCAGATCAGCCTCTCCCAGTCGGCGTACATTCGCAACCTCCTCGAATGCGAGGGCATAAACGAATCGCACCCTGTTGCGACCCCGATCACCAGTCTGGTGACTCCTAACGAGCATGAGCCCCTGGCAGACAGCTTTCGATATCAGCACGTGAACGGCAAGCTGATCTACGCTGGTGTGATGACGAGACCAGACATCTCCTTCACTGTACACCAGCACTCAAAGGTAATGAAATCACCCAGGGAAACGCATGCCAAGTCAGCCAAGCGATCGCTTCGCTACCTGCGAGGCAAGGAGGACTACGCGATAGTCTACCGCCGTCAGAAGCCCCCTCCGAAGGGGCACATTTGCGTTGAAGGGTGGGTTGATGCGTCCTAGGCCGACGATCTAGTTGATCGTTACTCCACGTACGGCTTCGTCTTCAGGATTTTAGGAGGGCCGGTCTCTTGGAGAGCTAAGAAGCTCCCGACCGTCAGCACCTCCACCTGTAAAGCTGAATACGGCGCCGCCTACTACGCAACAACGCAGGCCCGCTGGATCGAGCAATTCATGCTCGAAATGGGCCTCCAAGCCGACATCCAGATGTTCGTGGACAACACCTCTGCGATCAGCATTACGAAGAAGCCTGAATTCAGAGAGCGTTCGAAGCACTTCGACGTCAAGTGGCACTACTTTCGTGAAAGCGTACTAGGCGGCTTGTTAACGGTACGGTACGTAAAGTCTAAGGATCAGATCGCTGATATCATAACGAAGGCGCTGCCTAAGGCAGCGTTCGAGAGGCTGTTGCCTCGCTTGATGGGCTGGCAGCCGTGAAAAGGGCTGCCGAGGATGATTTCAGTGCATCGCGGTGCGCCTACGTGGCGTATTCAGGGGGAGTGTCAAGCATTGGAATCCGCCACACTGTGGCCCTTCCGCCCCACTTGGCCGTACGGGCCTGTAATTGGTCAGAAGGCACAAAAGCGGGGCCTGACACTAGTATTAATACGGATCCCCAGAAGGGTCGCGATGTATCTATTTCTTCCTTAGTACACAACACTCTTTCGCCCACACTAGACCCTATTCAGCCTCCTGCTCCTCACAGTGCATCACGTTATATGACCGCTACGTATAGCCTCCTTTAACCTTCACAAAAGCCTTTACTAATCTTAATAAGCGTTATAGTAATTTTAGTAGCCGAGTAATCGATTCTAAAGTGTTAATCGCAGTATGCTATATTTAATAGCTGCTTTTTAAAGAGATACGCCATTATTAAGCGATCTAAGCGCGTCAGCGATTTCTTTTTCGGTATACTAGCGCATAATGGTCTAATGAATACTGTTAGCAAAAAAGAAGGTAATTGGAGTGATTTTGGTAGACGTACGACGTGTTGAAGTTTGTAAATAGTATTGTGTATTAGGATAAATTGGGTGGCCCAAAGGGGGGGGTGGCCCAAATCCCCATGGTCCCACTTATAGCTGCCGCGAAAAGGGCTAGGGAGATGAATCGAAGGGAGATTAGGCGTATATGAAATTCGAGAGGCTGGGAAGCGCATGCGCCGCTCAAAGCGAGGTTAAAGTAGGAGGTGGTGATAATACAGAAATAGTGCTCATTTGGCTGGTGTGACTATTTGGCTGGCTAGCACCCACCTATGGTGGTGCGCGTTTTTCAACGCGCGCCCTGGGTGGGGCGGGGCACGAGTACTTTAAACCAATTTTAGCCTAGTTTAGTCGGCATAATTACCTGCCGTATCGCGGGTGCGTAGCCTGCCCGCTTATGACTTCCCCTCCCCCGCTTCTCTCATCTTCCACGAGATACTTCACAATGTTTAGTTCATTACAAGCCATCTAGAAACCTTCGTTTTTATTGCTTCTTCGAATTTAAGGAACGCACTTGCATTTCTAAGACTTTCGAAGCGCACCTCTAGTCTGAACGTTGCATACTCTCGTGTTCTGTCAACTAAGGAATAGTTGAGATTCTAGGAAAATCGCCGAATACAGCCTCCACTCATCTCAATTTCAGAGAGCTTGCCCAGTCATGCCAGAGTCTGATTACTATACAGCCGGCTACAGACGGGACGCTGTGTACTCTTCTGACGAAAATGACGAAAGATACAAAAGGACAACTGTGCGACGCTACAAGGTTGGCCACGGCCAGGTTGAACGAGTTGAACAAGTCGAACGTGAGCGTGTTGAAGATGATGGCCAAGAGTCTTGGGACCAGCGGGGGGGACACCGCTCATCAAACAACATGATTGAAGTAGATCGCCGTATCTACTCGCCTGAGCGTCCACGCTCGGCGGTTGACATTACTGAGCACACTCGACGCTATTACGGTGACGATGGCCGCCTTATTGTTCATGAAACGACAAAAGACTTGGATCATGATACCGGCCGTCACTCTCGAAACCGAGAAGGCTTGTTTCAAGTTCAAAGCCGTGATGAGCGCGACGACCAAATTATTGTCGAGAGCTACTCCAAGGATCGCCATGGGGACGGCCATGGAGGCGAGGTGGAGCGCTGGCATAAAGAAACGGAATACTATGAGCCGTCTATCCCACCCCCAGCACCAATAGTCATTCGTCCACGTCCCGTTGAGCAGAATATCATCCTCCAGGATTCTCCAGGGCTTTCGTCAGTCATCATGCCACACCAAGGCCAGGTCGCACTTGTCGCCCATGACAGAGAGCGGCCGAGGAAGAAAGACTTGCGTGAAGAGAACGACTACTATTACGAGCGCCGAGAGCGTCGTGAGGTGGTACCTTATCGTGGTGAACGAGAAGATCTTGCTGCCGGACAGCTTGGACGCCGCGGTCGCAACCCCGATCACCGCCACCGACACTACACCCACCACCGGGACTATGCATCTGACGGTGAGCTTGATTCTGAGGATGATTACTACATCACCAAAAAGACAGTAATTCGACGGGAGATCCCCCCCTCCGCTTCTGAACGTCGCCGACATTTGGCCGAGGGTGCCCTTGCTGGTGCTGGCATTGGGGCCCTGCTTAGCTCTCGCCGTAACCAGGACGGCGAGCTTCCCGAACATCGGGGACGGAAAGTTATTGCGGGGGCTGCCCTAGGTGCTCTTGGTACCGAGGTGATGAAACGTGCCCACAGCACGTACGACGATCGCTTTAGTGACAACCACTCCCGGCCCGCATCGCGGGAGCGGAGTCGCTCACCTAGCCATCACTCTACACTCAAAACTGGTCTGGGGATAGCAGCTGCGGCTCTTGCTGTGGCTGGAGCTGCTAAATATCTGCAATCTAGCCGCATTGACCGTGAAGAGCAAAATCGAGGACGCAGCCTGCACCGCTACAGTGACGACGAGAGGTACGACAGTCGCTTGTCATCTCGCACCAGCCGGAAAGCCCATTCACGTGCCTCGTCTGTGGCCAAGGTAGCAGCAGGAACGGCCGCTGTTGCCGGGATTGTCCATCACTTTCGCTCCAAGTCTCGTGGTCAAAGTGGAAAGTCGCGCTCACACTCTCGTCTACGAACTGGCGCCGAAGTCGTTGCAGCTGGTCTTGCTGGTGCAGCCGCTAAGAAGCTCTACGACAAGCATAGAGATAAGAAAGAAGACGAGAGGGACAGAGCCCTCGCGAATGAAGAATATGAAGAGGAACGTCGGAATCGGCAGCTTAGATCCCGTCCACAATCTAGCTCTCGTTCTCAATCGCGCTCTCTCTCTCGCTCTCTCTCTCGCTCTCGCCCCCAAAGCAGGTCAGGAGCTCGGGCTGGTGTCACACTCTCTTCCCATCACCCCGATGCGGGTTATTCTCCACGTCCAGGAGCTGACTCCAAGCTAGGTTTGGTTGAATATGGCGCCTGGCCGCTGTACTCTGGTCCTCCGCACCCCGATTCGAGGACACCTGATACTGGCAGCTACTATAGTAGGTACAGCAGTGCTGCTGAAGATAGTGAATGTGGTGGGTACCGTCGACGCAGTCATACTCGCGATCAAGGGTCTCTGGATGCCTCAGATGTCCGCAATGACGCAGAAGACCCAAGCTTTGCAGATAGTAGTATTGCCGGCGAGTACGGAAACTCAAAGAAAGTTAAGGATAATCGCAGCCGCGATCACTCTAATTTGCAGGATTTCGCTGCTGCAGGGGCAGGAGCGGTGGCTGCAGCCGCCGCCGCCCCTATTGGCATCAAAAAAATGGAGGACAGGAAGAAAGTTGGAAGCATCGACAGCAGTGAAGGACGAAGTGTGCATCGCGGGAATTACGGTTCTTATGACCGGGACAAATTTAGGGAAAACCGAGAGGCAAGCCTTGAATGTACGTGGCATCAACCCTATTCAAAGGAGCATCCGGAGACATTGAAACTAACTAAGAGTACGTATTGCAGTTTATAAAGACAGGGATAGCTCTCATAACAGGTACGGCTCCGATAGTCGCCCACCGTCTCCTGCACATGCATCGGGGGGTGCGTTTTATCCTCCGCATCTTCAATCTGCAACTACTGCAATGCGTGACGGGATGATGCAACATTCGAACGCCGCCAGCACGGATCTGAATAGTGCCTCCGGCTAAATGCACAATCTGCTTGCTTCCAATGTCTATGCGCCGCCACCTCCGGCACCCTCGGATCGAAATGCGCCATCAGTATATTCTTCTGGCAGTGCGGCGTCTCTTGAGCAAGATTCCATACTCAACTTCACGCCGGAAACAGCCGTCGGCCCACGAGATAACACTACTTTGGACAAGTCTCCTCCCCGCGACAATGATACTGTAAGTCGTATCTCCTTCATCTCTCCAAAAACTGCCTCTATTTTACAAATAAACTGGAGGCTCCTTAAGGGTGCGTGTACCAGCATTACCCCAATCGATTTACGGTGTCTTCCCAATTTTATTGCACTTACACGTTTCTCGTCGCATCACTGACATTGTAGATTAGAGGTTATAAATTTTGAAGGGCGGCCAGTCTCAGAGGCGATGCTGATGATCAGGAGAAATCCGTCGCGTTCATTCCGCTGTCGCCACAGTCCTCACACAAATTGATACGACTCCATGCCGGGGTACGGAACTGCAATTATACTCGGACAAGCGCAGAAAGAAATATATCGGATGGTAAACAGGACCAGTCACTCGTCCCATCTCACAGACGCTCGCACTCTCATGTATCCGAATGTTCTTCGCACGATGTATCACCATTCAGGCTTCGCAAAACCTCAACTACGTCTAATGATTCCGACAGAGATGCAGTTGAAGTCCTCTCTAGTCGTTTTGACAGCCACAGTTATCTCCTAGGTGGAGAAGAACATGTTCGTCGTGGTCAGACGTAGAAACCGCTTCACAGACCTCGAATGCAAGATCCCCGCCCAAAAGAAAGATGGTATGTACTCGACGGGTGGAGCAATGCTGGTGCTGATACCGCTACCGCCAATCAATTGGCGTGAAATATTAGCAAGATCATCGACAACTTTGCGGGACGGCAGTTGGGTTTCCTGGATACTGTTAGTAAAGTGCTCGCCGGTCTGGGAAACGTCAAAGCATTGTTACACGATACTCCAGAAATAGAAGACGACGACAAAAAGCGTAAGCGGCCATGCCATGACCGCAGTGGCCGCTTGGATCAGGAATCAATTCCGCGAGACGGGCCGCATGCTCATGACCAGCGAGCTGCTTCAACTGGACGAAGATACTGACCAGGGCTCGAGAAAGGAAGATGAAGTTAGGGCGGCTGATATGACAGACTTGCCTGGGTCTCGTCAGTCGGTATGGCATCTCGTCAAAAGTTAATACCTGTGCGGCTTTTGCATTTCCTTGCGTATGAAGCGGGCTTTAATCAGGATTTGCAATGTATCTGTTAGGTCAATGGGTTACAATTAATTGTACATAGCAGCTGTTCCCTCTATTAATTTCGCTTTTTATTTAACCAACCATGAACCGGTCTTTATCAAGGCCAACTGGTAAACTATGCATGAGTTAGGTGATAAGTCAATCACCTGGCCGTCATATGTTGAACGGTACTTTTTGAGCTTTGCCTTCTGGTGTCAGTGAGCTTGCTCGTAGCTCTTGGGCATCTTCTTTTCCTCCATTGCCTCCATGTCCTTTTTTTTATGAAAGTGAGGTGCTAACTCTGAAAGCCACTTCGCCTCGATAGGTAGGCAAGACCTCATATACTCTTTCGTCGTCTGTACCAGCTCAAAATAAATCACCGTGCGTGCCGGAGGGTCGATACCCATCAGCACTGAGCTTGGGTGAATGTACACGGTCGTGTTGCTCTTGACAGTCCGGTAGCTAGCACCGTCACGCTGCATCCTTGCCGCGTTGGGGAAGAAGCCAGCCGTGAGGGCCCGCTTGATGGGAATCATGTGGCTTGCACCCACTGAGGACAGCTCTACCTCGACCCGCTCGCAAAGTTTGGCCAGTTGTTCCCTTACATCACGCGCCCGCGTCAATGACCGCTGCTGAAGGTAATTCTCTTTGGTCCAGATAGCCGAAAAGTCACTGTCCACCCACTGATTCCAAATGTTCAAAAGCGTAAGATGGTCCCCGCCGTCTTTCACCGTAAACCGGGCCCGTGCACTGTCGGCGTGTATCTTTTTGTCTTTCGGTCGGAAAAAAAGAGCCGACGCTTCTCCAAGCATCGACACAATTGACAAAACCTCCTCGACACACCCTTCCTTGCCAGCTGCTATGACGGATTTGGCGAGCATAGGATCTGTGGGGAACTAATCCAAGTTAGCGGATGGATATGCACACTCGACGGCAACGTAAATTAGCCAGCAGGTCCGCAACTGGATACTCACTTCTGCCATCTGCCGTCCGACTTTGGTCAGTTCTCCCTTGTGGTTCAGCGCCTGCAGTGCAAATAGTTGATTTAGGGCGCTGATCAAAGCCTCTGTTGGCGGAGGATCCATGAATTCGAAGTCAAGGAGCTGGTTAATGCCCAAGCTTTTGAGTTGCAGCACGACACTATTCAGGTTGGTTCGCAGGATCTCTGGTGTCGTACTCTCTTCCATCTCATTCATATATGCATATTTTGTGTACAGCCCTAGCTAATGTCAGCGAATAGTAGAAACGAGTAGTCAAGCACAATGGCAACAAGACGCTCACGAAAACATTTTCCCGGGCCAACGCGTCCAGCTCGACCGCTGCGCTGATTGGCAGAGGCACGCGAGCAAGGTACAACCACTAGATTTGACATGCCTGTTGCAGGATTGTATACATTCTCCTTGACATATCCCGGGTCGATGACATACACAATTCCATCAATCGTCAGGCTTGTCTCGGCGATGTTGGTGGCAAGCACTACCTTTCGGGCACCGTCTGGAGTCGGCTCAAAAATTTTTGCTTGTAAATCGGAGGGCAAGTTCGCATAGATAGGGCATATGACAAGCTCTTTAATACGCCCTCCAAGTTTGCGCGATATCTCGGTGATCTGCTGTTCTGCTGCTTCAATTTCATCCTGGCCTGTGAGAAAAACCAGTATACTTGCCTGTTAGCAGTGAGCTGAAATGCATAAACATACAGAGTACTCACTCTCCATGCTTCTGGGTGGTATGTATCTGAAAAACCGTCGTCACTGCAGCCAACAAATAGTTTGCCTCAGGCGCAGGTGTGTAAAAAATATCAACCGGGTACCGACGCCCCGGTACGTTGAATATCGGAGCGTTGTCAAAATATAGAGCAAATTTCTCTGCGTTCATTGTGGCAGAAGATATCAATAGCTTCAGGTCGCGTCGCTCTCGTGCCAAGTCTTTCACCAGTGCCAGTAAAATGTCAGTGTGGACTGTGCGTTCGTGTGCCTCGTCAATCCTACATATATTAACAAACGTTGAAAGCCAGATGTGAGAGCCAGAAGACATCGAACAGTAGACCTACATAATGGCAGAGTATCCTGAAAGTTCTGGCTCCGTGAGAAATTCTCGAAGTAGCATGCCATCCGTCATATATTTCAGTATTGTCTTGTCGCTTGTACAATCTTCGAACCGAATGGCGTAGCCGACTTCCCTGCCGACCTTGACGCCCATCTCGTCCGCGACACGAGCTGCTACACTCATAGCCGCTACACGCCGCGGCTGTGTGCAGCCAACCTTCATGCCGCCTTTGGTGAACCCAGCTTCGTGGAGATACTGCGGGAGCTGTGTTGTCTTTCCACTGCCTGTCTCGCCGACAATCACGAGAATTTGATGCTCTTCCATAGCAGCCAAGAATTCATCGCGATATGCAAATATAGGCAAGGATTTGCGTGTCTCTTGCATCGACAATTGGCGTTTCTCGGCCGCATCAATCTGAGCTTGTAAGAATAGCTGCTCCTTTGACAAGCCCTTGCCTTCAGCAGGTAGGCGTGAATCGAGTGACCAATCAATGTACTGTGCCTCATCGAGAACAAAGTCGTACTGGTTTTCGTTCCCGCGTTCACGGCCCTGGATTTGCGCCTTCGCTTTGGTTGCCTGCTCACGTTCCCACTCTTCATACTCCGTGACAAATTTCTCCTGTCCGTACTCGTCCTTGTCAACGTATCGCTTATAAAGTGCCTCTTCTTTCTGCTTCTTGTTGATCTTTCCTTTCTCAGTAATATAGTCCTCCGGCATCTTGTAGCCGTCCAAGTGGTCATCAATGCGCAGTCGTTCTTCTGCAAGCCGCAAAATCTCCCGGTTTTTTACAAACTCAGCTTTCTCTCGTTCTGACAGGGGAGCACCGCTTCGCAACTCCAAAGTCTCTTCTGAGACCTGCTTCCGCAATAGGGCCAGGCGTTCTGTCTCGCGCTTTTTCAGGTACTCTTGGCGCGCGCGTTGCCGCAGTTCAGGGGCCGCCTCGCTACGTGCTTTGGCATCCTCTCCCAACTGTCTCCCAGACGCAGATTCGTTCATACCTGTGCTCTTTCTTTTGGAACGATCATCATCCCGAGCTTTCAGTCGATCTGTGAAGGCTTCCCTCTCGGCGCGGTCTTGCTGAGCCGCTAACTCCTCTTTTGCGATCGCAGGTAAGTCGCCATGGTCAGTCAGGTCTGGTTCCAAGTGTCCCTTTTCCTCCCCAATTCCATGATTTCCTGTCTGCGATTCTGCCCGCCCATAGCCAGATTGTTGAAGAGTCCGCTCGCTCAATTTAAGACGCTTTGGTGCAGATTCTGGAAACTCATCCGTGTCATGCTGTAGGTCTTCCCTTTCTGATATTAGCCCCTCATCCTCCCAGCGATCGTCAAATTCATCGTTTCGGCGTTCGTTTCGTCGTGTTGTTCTGGCCCGGCTGCTGTAGTGCTTCCTCGGCTCTCGTTCCTTAGACCGCGATCGGCTCCGATGCGACTGGGATTGGCCTAAAGAGCTGTGACTCTTGGTTCTCCTTTGTGTCCTGCTTTTCTTTTCTCCTCTCGTCTCTGCATCATCTGCATGGTCCATAGAAACAAACGCATACTTTTTGGCGGACATTGTCGTATTGTTGTACTAGATAGCTGTAGGAGGTCTTGATTCCTAGGAAGAACGAATGAAGTACGGAGTACGGGAGTATACGAAGTATCTTACAAATTCGTAATGCGGACTAACATTTTCCCGAATCCGGAGACGATAGTTGATAAGACAATAACACGCTGGTGTTTTCTTATTTTGGATAAGGTGCTTGATACTATGATTGGTATCTTATTGTTCCTCAAGTTCCTCCAATTCTAACTCAGATACTTAGTACGTCCCTCGTCATTCCCTTTTCCACATACCTTCGTTCTAATATTGACTCAGGCTCCCCTCAGGGGGGAACACCGTTCGATTTTTGCACCCAGTCCTCTGACAGGCCAGTTGCATGACTACAATTGACAGGCAAAGGCATCTTACAGCAGCCTTATATCAGCACTTTCTGCATTTTTCGGCTCCTATAGCTTGAGAATGGTGGCTCTTCATAAAGCAGTGGTTCTGCTTCTACTGTACATGGTTCACTTCGCATTTTGCGCGGAGGATTTTTACAAGGTATGGACTGGATATTTACACCAAATATTTACGACATTTTTCTTACGCTTCAATCATGAGGCAGATCCTCGGAATAAAGCGGGATGCTGGCGACCGAGAGTTGAAATCTGCTTATCGTCAATTGAGCAAAAAATATCATCCTGACAAGAACCCGTGAGAACATCTTTTATTCTTTGGGCGATTTGCTAAGTTAAAAAACATTCTAACCAGCTGCTGGACGCAGGGGTGATTCGAACGCAAAAGACAAATTTGTCGAAGTATCTGAAGCATATGAAGCTTTAAGTGACCCACAAACTCGAAAAATTTATGATCAGTATGGCCACGAAGGACTCAAAAAGCATCAACAGCAGGGAGGTGGTAGTCACCATCATGACCCGTTTGATGTTTTCGGTCGGTTCTTTGGGGGTGGGGGGCATTTTGGCCAGCCAAGTGAACGGCGTGGCCCAAATGTCGAGCTGAAGGTTGCAATATCACTGTCAGATTTTTACAATGGTCGCACAGTCGAATTCCAGTGGGACAAGCAAGAGATCTGTGAACATTGCGATGGCACAGGTGCGGCGGACAAATTAGTAGACACATGTCCTAAATGTCACGGCCGTGGGATAGTCGTGACCAAGCACCAGCTAGCCCCGGGCATGTTCCAACAAGTCCAGATGCATTGCGACCGATGTGGCGGACGTGGCAAGTCTATAAAGCACGTGTGTGCCGTGTGTCAGGGCCAACGCGTGGTGCGCCGGCCGACAACTGTGTCATTGACAGTTCAGCGTGGTGCGGCTAAGGAGTCGCGTGTTGTTTACGAAAACGAGGCCGATGCTAGCCCTGACTATGTTGCGGGTGACCTCATCGTGACGCTGATGGAGAAAGAAGCTGGTGACCCAGGCGATAATCCGGACCGCGTTGATGGCGTTTTCTTCCGTCGCAGAGATAACGATCTTTTCTGGAAGGAGGTTATCTCTTTACGCGAAGCGTGGATGGGTGATTGGACGCGGAATATAACACACCTGGACGGCCACATCGTCCAGCTATGTCGCAAGCGTGGTCAGGTTGTACAACCTGGTCATGTTGAGACCGTCAAGGGTGAGGGAATGCCGATCTGGAACGAGGACGGAGACAGTGTATACCATACAACAGAATTTGGCGATCTGTATGTGGAATATGTCGTCATTATTCCAGACCAGCTTGATTCCAGGATGGCAGATGACTTCCGGGTGGTTTGGGAGAAATGGCGAAGCAACATTATGGTCGACTTGCAGAAAGACAGTGGCCGCCCGGACCGACCAAACCAAACTCATAAACAATCTCACGAGGAACTCTGATGGAAACAGGCATGCATATTGTTTTGGTAAAGCCGCAAGTATGCTGGTAAATATGGCCGGACTACGAGTAGACAGCTGCAGTAATTTGGTTTACTCGTTCAAGTTGAATATGATATAGGGTCATTGATGATTTTAGCGTGTGGTATAAAACTATAGCCCATAACGATGTGGATTCAGTACTGCCTTTATTCCAACTCCGGGATTGCAAGACATGCCAAGCACAAATATAATTCAGAAAGACGGGACATCACATCGGATAAAAATATAGCCCCCGAGTAACCTTCCCTAATCAAGCTTGAATCTCGGTTTCTGTCCAGTTTGCCACCTTCGCCTGCCGCCCACCAACAATGCGTCCACCGGTTCTGCGTTTTACGCGGCAGTGAAGGCCAACTGTTTCGTCCCAGATAAAACGCCAGATAACGTAGGTCCAGCTAGCATGATGAGGTAAATCATTATAAAACTCTGGGGCAGTTTGTCGCAGTTTTTCCAGGCGTGTCCATGGCACTGCAGGAAAATCGTGGTGCTCGTTGTGATAGCCTACATTGTAGACGAGCACGTTGAGGGGGCCGTAATAGCTGTATGTCTCAGGGATAGCTATGCCGTTGGTCGGGTCAGCAGCCTCGGGACTGACGAAGTCGTAAACGTAATGTTCGGCAATAAAATGGCCAGCCAGGGGGTGGAGTGAGCCCGCCAAAAAGGAAGATACGAGAAAGTATAGTAAGGGTTGAACCCCTAGCGTCTTGACAAGAATGATATCGAAGGCAACCTGGACGACCACGTTGGCGGCGTGAACCCAAGTGAAAGGGATACGCAGCACAGCCATGGGCCGTAAAGCATAAAAGAATATCTGAAAGGTACAGAAGAACGCTTTTCCTAGGATAGAGTCGAGAAACCAAGCTTCTAGAGCAGTTGGCAGATCTGTGTCCAAGCCATCAACACCCAGAGACTTGTGATGCGTCAGGTGATAGGGCTGTAGATGCAAATTTGCAAATGTCAGTGGGTCTTCTCGCAAGTAAAAGTATAAGCATTGACACCGTACCCGGAAAGATGCGCTATAGGGAATCCCAATCGGCAGGTTCGCTATGATGGCAAGCATTCGGTTGGCTAGAGGTGAGCGAAAGGCTAAATTGTGTGAAATCTCATGGATAGCCAGAAACAGATTTTGGTTTGCAGAAGCGCCAACTGCGTAGGCAACCGCCCAGAACCGCCAGGAGAAAAAAGGGGTGTCGCGGAGGGCATAGCCGAGTGCTATCTGCAATATCACAACGCCTAGAACGACATATTTCGTTAGGGGTTCGGGCCCACAGAGTTTGGTTACCTAAAACCCTGTTAGGCAATGTATCATACGGGACGCAGACGCAAGTTCAGGCAGACCTCCGGATGTGCTCTAATTATAGCCAAACGTCGAGTGCGGTGCGGTTCCTCCGTATAGGTCCAGAAAAAGTCCCTCTCCTCTACTTCAAAAATGGCCCTTGTCAGCTGATGTCGTCTTCGAAGGTTCAAGGACGTGACATATTCGGTATCTCACCGTTCTCCATCAATTTTCCGGTATCCGCTGATAAATTCTGGCTTGTTGCCGATGCATTGTCTCTAGATCGGCACGTAGTGTTTGTCGCTGTTGTTTCGCTAGCAGTGGTGGCAGTCGCAGGGTAGGTAATCGGAGCCATGGCAGGCAGCCCAAGGGGGAAGACACCCCCAAATTAGTTAAGAGTATACCCTTCCTCGAAGGTTATCGCGAGCTTCGAGGTGGCAATCGGCTTAGGTATTGTGAAGGGAAAGGAACGCGCGGACGGAGTTGGCGGGGTGGAGGATTATTTGAATGCAAATTCCAATCGAGCCTCGAATCGGCTGTTGTGGTACGACCCGGATAGCTCTACACCGACCGACCCACTTACTGCAAGTATCTTAACAAGGCAGTTGTGAAATTAGTGGGAAACACGTGTATCTGGTTGTTTCTCGTCCAATACACGGAGTCGGACGGGGTTTAAGTTGATTAATAGCATTTGTCTGTACTCCGCACCCTCGTGCTTGGCACTTCCTTAAGCCTGCCGTAAACAATATGTGTCCGCATCATGACTCTCTACCCGTTGTCTTTGAGCCCCGTGGTTCCAAAGATTATAACGGCTCAGAACAGTTTACTGAAACGAGCTCAGGTGTTTTTTACCATACACCATCACCAGCAACCACATTAGTAGCATCAGTCACATCGGGCGCATTGTCCCTTTCGCAGCCAAAATTGTGCCCGCTGAAGCTATTGCTAGCCATCATAGCATCACCGCCCGCTTCCATGGATGCTTCGTTTTTGCAAGCTGGACGGAAATGGTCCGTCTGTTGGCCGTTGAAGTTCCGTGTTCGATCCACTGTGACGTACAAAGCACGCATTAGTTGCCAAACAAATAGTAGCCGATGTAGACAACACATACTGTTTCGCGGCACCTGGCAGTCCTTAGATATGTGCCCGTACTCATCGCAATTGTGGCATTGCATCTTGGATACATTCCGAGGTTCTGGGCAGTCACGAGAGACATGTCCTTCTTGGTCGCAGTTGCGACAGACGACCTTCCGGGGCTCAGCACAATCGCGTGCCATATGGCCCTCCTGGCCACAATTTCGGCAAGTGTTGTCGCCACCACCTTGAGGGCAGTCTTTGGAAAAATGCCCCGCTGTATGATTCAACCGTATTAGCATGACGTCCCATTATATATACAACGAGGATCTCGCATCTTACTTTCACCGCACTTCCGGTATTCGACGTTCTCGGCCGACCTCGGCTCTGGGCCTAAGGCATATTAGCAAGCACACTTTCACCATTCGGTGAAGGAACACTGGGCGTGCATACAAACTTTGCCAGAGTGTCCGCTTTGCCTAGTAAAAATCAGCCCTATCCTTATATGTGGAAAGTAAAGAATCAAGATGCTGACCCGCAGTTCCGGCACGCGAATTTGTCCGTTCTAGGCGTCTTGCCTATCGTTACAGTTAGGTTGTCTCTTTGAAATTAGGAGGTTTCATACTCGGGGACTGCCTACAGTCGCGAACACGATGGCCTGTTTCTCCGCAGTTGTAGCAGGTCACTGTAGCCTTGTCGAGTATTTCCTGCTTTTCAATCGGGCAATTGCGACTGATATGGCCAAGTTCTTTGCAGTTAGAGCACAGGGGAATACCACGAGGCACAGGCTCCCCTCCGTTGGCAAGTCGAGCCAAATTCTCCTCAGCACTGGTTGGCCAGATGTTTTTCTCGCGGGGCCGAGACGGACGACTTTGGAAGCGATACGTGACGCTAAACTGTTTGTCCAAATTTCCTTGAAAGTCCATATTGGTGAAGGTTGACGCCATGTCTATCTTCTCCACCCCAATGAGGAAGAGGGGTATGTTTTTGGCTCGCAGCAGCTTTTCAAGGCCAACATATGTGGTTTTTGGAAGTGCCTTCACATACATCTGGACAGCGATTTTAACATCACCAAGGTCCTTCTCCCCGATAGCTTGGATGAGATATTCCAGAGCTTCTTCGGGAGAATGGTCCGGGATGGCATCACGATCGACCTTTCGAGGGGCTTCACAAGAGGAAGCATCATGGCCTTCCCAGTTAGATTGTATCGGTCCAATGAATTGAAAAGGGAACTGAATGGTTATCTTATTCACCTTCCTCTCGGCAATTATGGCAAACGCGAGGCGGAGCAGCCGGGCAATCTTTGGCCAGATGTCCCTCCTGCTCGCATACCCGGCAAAGCATAGGCAAGGGGCAGTCCTGAACATGGTTATTTTCATTGCAACGCGGACAAATAACGGGCATTTCACAATCCTTCGACATGTGCCCTTCCTTTTTGCATCGGTGGCACACCATGGGGCCGGAGTCGGGACAGTACTTTGACATATGTCCGTCCTTGCCACAAGAATTGCACTGTCCACTGAATTGGCGGTGTACAGGGCAGTCGAATTTGCTGTGACTGTTACAGACAGCATTAGTTACGGATTTGAAAATAAGCAACGGCGAAAGGTTGACGATCATACCCGCTCTCGCCACAGTTATAGCAAGACTGTTCTCCTTGATCGACAGCCGTGCCAGGCCCATGGCCAGCTTCATCCCACGACATTGTATACTGCGTCTCGTTTGGCAACTTGAAAGTTGATGGAATCTTTAGTTATCACGCATTAGTGAGCTTTGCAAGGTATGCTTGTGAATAAAAAAAATGCAGAGATGCAGGATAACAATGGAGAACATGAAAGAAAGGTCAAGCAAAACCTACCTCGTATTGGCTGTGCTGCTATTTTTTATTAAGCATTTGTTTCCAGGCAGGGTAAGTTGAAGAAGGTGGAAGAAGGTGAAAGTTGAAAGGAGCAGAGAAGGGGTTTTTTTTTTCAGTAAATACAAAATCGAATTGAATCGGTGATGAGAACAGGTAGTAGCGACTCTGCAAGACAAAAGAAGGACCGAGAAAGTCAAGGAAATGCACTCGTGCAACAAAAAGGGAAGGAGCGAACTGGAATATTGGCGCTACTTTTAGAGTGAAACACCATACATATGCATTCACTATCGAATATGATTAATGAGTCTTCAACAGGCTATCTATGGATTTCAAAGAGACCAGGCTGAACTCCCAGGCTAAGTATTTTTATTGAGAGCGCACTTATCAAAAAAAGCCTTGTTCGCCATGTTTCACGGCTCCTCACTTGCGACTAAAATCCATGACCGAATGCTAATATAAAACGCAAATAATATGCGCAGATAGAGAATAAGAGTAGCATACATGATGAGCAGCAGTACCTTGACGTATGGCTTTTTAACCAAAAATACAATCAGCCGCGCATTTAGCCGATAGAAGTTTGGTGTTTAATCGTTGCGCTCCTGGAATGTGGTCGAACATTGAGCGAAGCCTTCTTAATACCGTCGATACAATAGGTCAACAAAAATGGCCATATCTCCAGAAGGCATATAGTACAATGGGTGAGATGCATTACTAAACTTAAGAATGCAAGATATACAGATAATGCATACAGGGCAGCTCATGCAGCTTGTCTTTCTTAGGTTTTTGGTCGCCCGCTTGATATAATGAGTAGCACTCATTTCGTGAGAACTCCAACTATATGAGGCAAGACATGATACCATGGCTCGGTGATAGGCTGTGCAAGGTCAATGCTACTCCAAGGCCCTGCTTCTCTCAGGTAATGGCCGGTGTCGCGCAGAAGCTGGCAACCCCCGATCATTTGTGGCCAAAAAAAGTTAAGAAGCCCTTTAAATATGTTAAACACCCATGTGAAAAGACTGCAAGATTACCGGCTGTATAGAACTTACTTTGATACCACTCAATAACCAAATATCCGGAGAATCGAACGTGTTCGTACACATATATGCGACCACCGGGCTTCAAGTAGGTGTAAAGTTCTCGGATGTTTTTCAAAGGTTCGGGGATACCACAAAGGCAGAGAACGCAGACAATACAGTCGATGCTGCCCTTGACTACATGTCCACTTTTGGCAAGATCCTCTATTCCCACTGGCAAAATTTCATATACGCCTTCGAGTCCAGCTGCGATCACTTGTTCTTTCAACGCCTGATGGACAGCGAAGTTTGGTTCGACACCGAAAATTTTGGTTATGTTACCAGTTGTACTTGCACCGCCAGAGGACTCATGATAGCGAGTAGCAATATCTGAAAGGCTGTCCTCGTTTTTGGAAGTTTTCGCAGCGTCAGCAAGGCTACCGAAAACTGGAACCCACATGCCACTTCCAGAACCGATCTCGACAACTGTACCGCTTATAGGTGTGAACACCTTCTTTTCGCTTTCGTCCAAGACGCGACCGTAGCTTGTCCGTCCCTGCAGAAGAGGCACAACAATACTTTCACCACTGGCGCGCACCTGCGGACCTGCCCACCTCCAAAACGTAGCAAACCAAACTTCTTTGAATTGGCTCCAGCTGAACAAAGAGGCCCATTGGCGTTTTCTGACCAGACGAACTATAGTGGGGGGTAGAAAATAGGCCGAAGTAGCCATAAAAAGCCAAGGATCCAGAAGAGACAGCGCAGGTTGAAGGAAGCCCATTTTTTCAAGGTCAAGAGAAAGACGTTGAGAAGCTCCGTTGACCCGAACTTTAACGATGCTGGTGTCTCAAGCAGGCCTTAGCGATAATTCAGCGTATTGTCTATCGCAGCAAAGAGGCAAAGTCCATAGTCGTGTGGGAGATATTCTCTCCACGCCCTGTCTTCACTTCGCCTACTATGCGCGTGTTGTGATGGGATCGACATAACTTTCTCTGAATTTTCCAGCGTCTGAATCGTCGTTGTGGGTACGTCGTAATCAATATAGCGACTGACTAAGCAGCGGCTACATAAGGTTAGAGGCCCCGCTAAGTTTGAGAGGGGTTTTTTCCTTGAGTCATCAAGAGGATAGCATATGTGCTGGTGTGCCTGGACCAGAAGTATATAAGATACATCGCTTCTCTGAAAAGAAAAAACACCAAGCTCAGTCCACAGCCATGGCGCCGAAACACCATATTAATGGCCACGCGCCTAACCTTGAATCCTACTTCAACTCGAAGTTACATTTGGAGGCGTCCGTCGAGACAGCTGTGACGTATGGGCCGGCCCACTCGACCTCCTGATTGTTTGACATGCATACTGACGGTGTTTTTCTGCGCCCGGGGGGTAGACTTTTGAAGAGGCGACAAATACATGGCCCAGAGCAATGTGCTCTTGCAACTGCGCACATTCTCTCGCAGGTGGTTGTCAAGTCAAAATGGGCCGATGTTGACCAGCTGCTAGATCGTGTGTATCAGGTTGGACGGAAGTTAGTCGATGCACAGCCGCAGGAGCTGGTCATCGGTAACATCATTCGACGGGTTCTAGGCCTTATCAGAGACGAAGCTGAAGAAGACCGGAACGAAAACGCCAACGAAACTGGTGGAGACTTCGTTCCAGATCTGCGCACGGCGGCAACCACAGCAGCAGCGACATCTCTTTCGTTTTCTGCTTCCCCAACTTCAGCGCACGCTCCAATTTCTTCTTCTCTACCACGACCTTCGCGCCAAGCGTCCCTTGTGCCAGCCTCGGGCTCGTACCAGTCCATGTTTAACCTTCTATCTGCGGCGGAGCCGTCGCCTTCAGTTGGCGGAGATGCGAGTTCGACTGTCTCGGGTGCATCAACACCTGTGCATCTTGCCTCAGGCCAAGGTCATGGCAGCGCGGTCAATTTTGCTGGGAGACATAGCGCTCTCAGGGACGAGATTGTGGACGGTATAGAAGAAATCAAAGACGAGATTGGCCAAGCGGATGACCAGATCGCCGGCTTTGCTGAAGGGCAGATTAAGCCAGGCGACTTTGTGATGGTCTATGCACCCTCCCGATCAGTAGAAAAGTTTCTGGTCAAAGCGGCGTTGCGACGGCGATACACGCTGTTCTTGGTGAACGACAATAGTCCGACACATTCCTCTACTGGACTTCAGGCTGTTGGCGAGCGCTACGCGTCTCTTCTGAAGCGGTTGAGTGCAGCAAAAGTCAATGTCATACGGGTAGCCAACAACGCTGTGGCCTCTTACATTCCCCGGACAAGCAAAATTGTGCTCGACGCACGAGCCATCGCAGCCGACGGCGGCGTTCTTGTCGACAGCGGAGGAGGGCGGGTTGCTCGAGCGGCCCACGCCCAGGGCTGCACAGTTCTTGTTGTGGGCGGCGTGTATAAGGTTTCCCCAGAGTCCTGGACGGATCCGGATGCATTTGTAGAATGGGGAGATCCAGGCAGGCTTGCTCGCTTTGCGGACGGTGCAATTTTGGACGGCATCAAAATCGAATCTGCAATGACGGAATACCTACCTCCCGGCCTGATTGACATTTACGTAACCAATTTGTATGCTTCTATCCAGCCTTAAAGTCCCTCGACAAGAAAGCTGTGTTTGCGCTAACTAACGATTTCTTGCAGAGGGCCGCATTCAAAACACTATCTCGAAAGCGTAATTGCAGACCACTACAAAAATGAGGATTTGGAGCTATACGGACAGTAGAGGAGGAGGCTAGATGGTATTTTTTCTGGACCGGCGGTGTAATACGGGTTATCACTGTATGCAAATTCTGGCAGCCATTTAGGCCTATGGTAAATCAAACATAGTCCAGTCAATCGCTCTGCAGCTTTTCGATCTACGGTATCAGGAGGTCACAAGACAGGCGCTGGAAGATAAAGCAAACCGCGTCAGCACATTTCGTTTTGAAGATTGCCCCATAGACTGAAGAAGGTGCTCAGCAACTAGCGGCCCGACACCAAATTGAGGTTGAGTCTGTGGAGGAGGGTGACTGGCTATTACGTCGTAAATAAACAGTAGCCGACTGTCAGAAACTACTGCCTGAGCCGCCGATATCATCATTTATTAAATCGATACAGAGTGTAACGGCAAGATCTGAATTATACAGCGTATACTGTGTGCTTCTCCCCTCTATCACATCTGCTTGTTTCTTTTTGCATACACTGGCGTCTGCTCCTTTTCATCAGTGCTGCCTGTCTGGTCTCTTCATATGTGCCTGTAGAAGCTCCTGGATCTCGCCTTTTCAGCAGCCATGAGCACTCCCTAGTATGAAGCCACCTCTGCTTTATCAGAAACGATGTATACTTGCAGCCGGGCCGGAACGGACAGAGCCAGGCGAAGGACTGATGGCTGTGGTAGCACCACGTCCTGGCTCGCCAAGCCAGCTACAACGTGCAGAAGCCACGGTACGTCAGAAAAATGATGGATTTTCAGGCGACGTGGACTCGAGGGTCAATTTGGCTACGGTTCTTCGGCCGGCAGTATGGCTGCTGTTTCTGGTAATCGGTGCGATGTTGCCGTTCCTGTCAAAAGAAAAAAAACTCAAGCATCAGTAGCTAGCGCCGTACTTTACAGCCTAAAGGAGCCGATGCAGGCCGCCTGACGGAGCTATTTACTGGCTCGATTGATCAGCCATAGAACAGGGGTTTTCTGCAGACCAAGCCGTTGGTCACGGAAAACAAAATCATTGGTAGAAATCGTCAAACCTTTAATCAAACACGTGGCAATGCGATTGACACTGCAGCAAACGGACGTGGCCGTAAATACGGTGGGACCTATGGAAATAACGGTCGAGCACCACCACGAAAATACCGATTTCATTCGTATCAAGCATCGTTATCGTTGCCATCTTTAGCATCGTTGTCGTCGCATCTCGATTCGTCCTCCTTGTCGGACAGCTCCTCCTCGACAGCTTACTCTGTTGGCTCACTGTTACCATATGAAGACCAAATTGAAGACCAGCTTCCGGTGCGCAAACATATCCAACGATGATTAGAATATCCCCGACATGCCAACAACGGATGAAACGGTGAGGCCAAGCTAACTTACGGCCTAGCACACGGTCATCCAAAAAACGTGCCCAGTACCGGCCGTGCCACGAATCCCGCCATCCCGAACGTCAATACCCTACGCTTGGAAATCAAGGTGTTATTGCAGCAGTGGAGAATACTATGCGGAGTCAAAGGCAGGCTCGACGAAAACTGCGCAAGCATCCTAAAAAGCAAAACCGTCAGATCCGCCGGCAGTGCAAACAAGAACGCAAATAGAGTTGACAAGAGCACAAGATAAGCAGCGAAGACAAGAAGGCGAGCACAAGCGAAAGCAAGACAAGCAAGACTCCATCCCTCATTATGGCCAAAGGTATGAAATTATAGCAATATAGACTTTGACGAGGCTGATACTCGCTGGAATATGTCCTCTAATCAATCAGGGCTATCATGACCATTCGCATGGCCACAATCAATTCGCTGGTGGACGTTACTGGTACAGCCAGCATCTGCATGGTGTGGACCATATAGTTTCGCCAAGGGCTGTAGTGTTTCACGACATTTCGTCCCCTACATTAGATTGCCAGGTCATGTGTTGCTGTAATGCTCAATACTGACTATCGCATATCAAGGCTCGGTGAAGTCATTGCATCGCGGCTCGAAGGTCGTATCTTAGTATGGGTCTTGGTAGCATCCCCCCCTCTCCTAGACAGTCTCTGTAACCGGGGCGCCAAAGGCGGCTCTGGGCCCCATACTCGTGCCAATTTCAGTCGCGGAGATTTTGGCTATTGTGGGTTCGACCGTGGCGGATGTGGTATCTTTGGCCGTGGCACTGGACTTCGTATTTCAGCCTAGGTCCCTGTGCATAGGCCTGGTGCTACACCTGTCAACAAGCTTGAGAAGAGAAGCGAGATTCACGAAGTAGCTGCCACGGACCAAGTAATGGCAGAGAAACAAGCAGAGCTCGCTCGAATGCAGGAGCAACTGGATCAAATGATAGCAAACAAGAAAGAACACATAACTTACTCGTCCAGAGGCGGGGATAAGCGGACTGAAGATGATGATGCAAATTTCGAAGTACAGAGGCACGAAATTGAGGTACGGAGTACTGTCTCATGGAGTGAATAGATTGGCAAGGATGAGCAGGATCCCTGGATTCAGGCAGATGAAATGTACGCGCGGGAACTAGCAACAGAAACCGGCCATGGGTGTTTTTCGAGATAGCTACGTAAAAATCAACCTACAATCGATGTGATGACCTACTGAGCCACTTGCAAATATGCAATTCGAGGAGTTCTATCTCGTCAAAGTAGACTCAGAATTGCTTCGACTATGCTCTCGTTATATTTTCGACGTATCACATCGGTCAGCCTCTACCAAGGCTCGTGTCATGCCGCCGATTTTGCTTCAACCCGTTCCACCAGTTCGCCAACGCCAAGTGCTCGGCCGACTTTAACTTTGACCTTGCGTTCCCGACTTGTGTGGACCGCATGGCCAGCTTCTCCAACCGGCTCCCCTTCGTCGGAGAACGCTCCGTCAACCTCTTTCTTCTCGGCGTCGTTATCTCCCACCTTCTTCTCCCGCTTCTCCTTCTTTTCAGAAATCTCGCCTTCCAGCTGTTGCCGCAAGTCGTCTAAATCTAGTCTCATACTATACGCATCCTCTCCATCAGCGTAGTATTTAAGTTCAGTCTTATCGTTGCGAAATCCAAGGGTTTGGCAGTATAGGTGTATGGCAGCGAAGTTGGACACGCGCACATGAAGGCTGACATAACGGGCACCGAATGTCTCGACCATTGCGAGCTCTTTCAAAGTCAGTTTTTCCTCTGTATTACGTGTGTTGGAATCTTACGGGCTTGTCGCATCAGTTTCTCGGCGATGCCGAGGCGGCGATGCGTACGCATCACACTGATGCTGGTAATGTGGCCGTGCTGCACGCCATCCGCCGGTTCCTCCTCTATCTTGGCCAGGACGTAGCCGACAATCTTGGGGTGGTCGTATGGTGTCTTGGCTGGGCGGCTAACGTCGACGGCGACATAGCTCAGCTGTGGCCAGGTCATGGCATGGTACAAATAGTATTTGAGCAAGTAGTTCTCTGGGAGATTCTCTAGGTTCGCGTGCTGAATCAACGGTAGGTCCGATGACTGTAAAGGGCGAATATCCATGGTAAAGAAAAGCAGTCACAAAAAGAATGGCACAGAGCGATGTGGTGAATATGGCGACAGGTGTAGATGGTAATGGCATGGGTATGTTTTTCAGTCCAGTGCAGTTGTGAATGTGGGTATTAAAAGCTTTCCCACCTACGGAGTATTTCGCAATCTTGTCGGATTGCTACATATTGTGGGTCCCACCTCTTTCAATACAGAATACGGAGTACCGTGTAATACTCCGTACTCCGTAGTTTCAGGACCAACATTTACTAAATATACTCCATACTCAGCATCACCAAGTTTCTAACCGTGCTGCAAGGGCCAGTATCATTTACTGCGTCCAGTGTTTTGTAGAACTATGGCGTAAGCCTACTTGATATCTTGCACACAAATCAATATTGCCAGACAACTCCCAAAAATATCGGTATATTTGAACTGTTCCCTTCCTCACCTTCAGTCCCAGCCTCCCTCGGTTTGTGCCCGGTGTACTTCTTTAGAATCTGCGCCACGTCTATTCTGAATTTTCCCGCACCGGTAATGATTTTGTCTCTGGTTCCATCGTTGAGGCGGATGTTTCCGTTGCGGATCCTGCCAGAGCCGCCGCCTTGGCAGCAGCTTTCTTCGCCTTCTTCCTTTCCTTGTCTTCTTGCTTTTTCTTCTTAGCTTCAGCTTCCGCAGCATTGGTCTCAGCTGAACCGCCAAATTTCTCTTTCCATTCGGCCACCTTTTTGTCGTCAATACGAGAAAACAGATAGGCAGGTTTGCCTATCTTGTGGCCAGGCTTGACACTATATGGGTCAAATTTGTCCGTGATCAATTGCAAAGGGAGATTCAACTGAGTCGAGATAGCCTCCGAAGTCGCCGGAATGAACGGTGAGAGAACCGATGCCAACAGTGAGCATACAGACAGAGCATATCCAATGACGGTCTTGGTCCTTTCAGGCTCTTTCTCTAGACAAGAATTATCCAGCCGATACTGCAACAGGGTATTACCTTGGCTAGATATGGCAGTTGCCTTCTCCACCCCGCTGCGTAGGTGGACAAAATCCATCTCGCTGATGTACTCATCGAGGAGGTTTTGCACATCGCCAATCCAACCAGGGAAATCAAAATTATCGTCAGTGAGTGTTGGCGAATATTCCGGCACGATCCCATCAAATTTGGCGTTGACGAACTTCACTATTCTGTTGATGAAATTGCCTATATTGGCAAGCAGGATGGAGTTGTTCGCCAGAACGAATGAACTCCATTCGAACTGCGTGTCACTGTGCTCCGGTCTTGAGCTGAGTAGATAGTAGCGGAAAACAGACGTCGGAATGCCAGTATCCTTGGCCTGATCACCAAAGACGCCTATAGACCGAGATTTTGAGAATTTTGTTCCTTCGTAATTAAGATACTCCCTGTATATTCATAGGGTCAGCGCGAACAAATGTGATCGGGATGAGAATTAATCTGTGACTCACGTCGTCGAAATGTTGTGGACCATGGTCCAGTTGTCTCCCGTGCCAATTTCGCAAGCTGGAAAGATGACGGCTAATAGAGGGGTTGAGACGATAAGTTATTACAAATGGCTCGTAACGGAAGGATGATGGAGAGTCTTACCATGGAATGGCGTGTTGTCCTTGCCCATAAACTGATAAAGTTCTACATCGTCCGCTTTCCACCAGTCCGTCCAGTCTTTTGTATAGCAAGCTGTTATGGATGGGTAACCGATACAGGCCTAAACAACAGTCAGAAGCTGACGTACAAAATTTGTAGACCAATAGAATGTACGAACATCAAACCTGCGGCAGTGTTAACATCAGTACCATCGTTATAGTCGCGACTGCGAGTACAGAAGAAGAATCGAAGATACTTACCAGACATAAATTACTTTCCCTTCATAGCCAGGGAGAGGTACTGGCACGCCCCAGCTCAAATCGCGCGTAATAGACCGGCCCTCCAAACCCTTGTCAAGCCATGACTTAGTGATTGCGATGGAGTTGGGCGACCAGTTGCCATCTTTGCTGGCTTTCAAAAACCAGTCTTCAATCTTGTTTTGCAACTTATCTAGAGCAAGAAAGATGTGTTTGGTATCGCGGGGAACAGGCGCTTTATTGACTTTGCAGACCTTGCAGCGAGGGTTGATCTACTTGCGTGTCAAAACCCCCCATACTGCTCCAAGACAGAAATAGATATCCGTATACAACGTACCAGTTCAAACGGGTCTAGAAGGTTGCCGCATTGATCACACTGATCTCCGCGAGCGTCGTCATATCCACAACGAGGACAGGTTCCTTCGACAAATCGGTCGGCTGAAAATCACTCGTCAGCAGGGTCATTTGGTACATAGTATAAGAAGTGCAAGTCCTACCGAGAAAAGCATTGTGCCCTTCGCAGAATGGTTGGGTGGTGACACGCTCCTCGAGCCACTTTTTTTCCCACAGCTTCAAGAAGACATCCTGGACGACTTCAGTGTGCTTATCGGTACTCGTACGGCCGAAGTAGTCGAACTTGATATCGAAATCGTCGTATATTTGCTTGTGTAATTTGTGAAATTTGTCGCACAATTCTCGAGGGCTCATGCCAACTTCCAGCGCCCTACACAAAAAGAGAAGTATCAGCATCAAGCTACTCTCGGCAGGGACAGAAATTGGCATACTTGGTCTCTGTTGCGGTTCCGTACTAAGTACTAATGTTAGTCATTACTGTTCTACAAAGGCTTCCGAAAAAAAAGCGCCGGATGAGCTCACCTCGTCAGTACCACAGATATACAGAGTGGGGTTCCCACGCTGTTTTGAATAGCGAGAGAAACAGTCCGCGGATAAGGTAGATCCAACGATATTTCCCAGCTGCGACGAGTTAATTTAATCAGCATACACTGTTATCTCCTTGTGCTTCATTGGCTTTTTTCCTGCAAACACAAGCCGTGGGCTTGGAGGACGAACATGAGGGACATTGTTGACGTATGGCAGCTATTAAATTTAATTCACGATTAGCAACAGCATGCTTCAGCAATGGAACTGTCAGTGGGACTGGGTAGACGAACCGCACTCGTGATCAAAACGTTCTTTTTACCCTTCACGGGTCTTATTGTATCGTTGGTAGCCATGAAAAGGGGCTCTTTCTGGTCAGTCTTGAGGTAGCTTATAGTTCGGGAAGAGTGTGGATAGAATATCAGACTGGTGAAAGTATGTCGCAGTTGTGAGGTGTAATGCGAACAATCCAGTGGAAAATTTCAAGTGCTTACTACTCTATATCAAGGAGTCATCATACATAATAAGACGAGGGGAAGAGAGGGGTTCACATAACGCGCAATTAGTGCCCCACTACGGAGTAAGCTACTTTACGAGTTATATTACTCGGTACTCCATATATTAGAGTGCGAATAATACGTACGACGTAACATGCCCAAAGTACGGAGTTATATTTGCTGAATAAAAACCAACATATACTCCGTATGCGTCTACTAAGGCTATAAAATCGAGATTTGAAAATGGCCGCCGACCCGCTTGAAGAAATTCTACATCTAGAGGATCATTATTATCTAGAAGGATACCAACAAGGCACAGACGATGGGAATCAAGCAGGGCAGAACGAGGGCCGCACGTTAGGCCTGGAGACGGGGTTCAAAAAGTTTTTCGAGAGCGGTCGCCTTTACGGCAAGACAGTTGTCTGGGCAAATCGTTTGGAAAAGCCACAAGACCGCGTGTATCGAAGCACCTTTCGACATTTGTCCTATCTGCCACACAACACACGCCTACAGAAGAATGTACGGGCGTTGTATACATTGATAGAGCCCGGGACTTTGTCGGTAGGGAACACTGATGAGGCCGTTACCGATTTCGACAATCGCGTTAAGCGAGCGAGCGGAAAGGCACGAATAGTGGAGAAAGCCACGGGCGAGTCGACAATCTTAGGATCTTCGTCGTCGCCGTTTCCTTTGCAACAATTACCATCATTACAAACGGCGAACACAGCAGCAGCCTCCGTTCCGGCTAAAGTGCCATCGGAAAAGACACCGACACTGTAGCTAATACACGATGACTTCGACTCAAAAGCGGCCTTGTAAGGAAATCCAAACACAAACGTCTCACTACCCATAAGGGACTGTGACGGTATGGGCGAGTTTGCAAGTTTGTGGGTCGGTAGCGTTTGCCGTATTTCAAAGATGGGAGTTTCTTCAAATTATCGCAGTGCAATGCTGACGGTGCCCATATCAGGGAGGTCAAGATAGAAGGACGAAAGACACAGCACTTCACACATTCTCAAGTTCCCAGCGATATCCCATCTTCCGTGGCAACTATATACGATATAGATACTGCGCGTATTATCTCACATCTTCATTGAAACGACCGGCAGGGATAACTATTGAGACCATTAGTAAATAGAACGTACGTCTGTTGAATGAGTTTGAAGAGCATACCCTTCCGAATACGACGGCTCCGCTGTCAGCTTGTACTTATGAACGTCCCACGAGCCACTTGCCAGGCTCTGCCCACTGGGGGTAGGGGGTAGGCCATCAACAAGTAAGTCCTTGATAGCGTCAACAGGTGGCTTGGCAGCCAGGTGTCCTCCCAACCCTTTGGTCTGGCCCTCTTCGGCAGCTGCTACAAGCGCCTGTGCGCCAGCAGCCCCAACAAGGTCAGTCTTTGGCGCTGCAGCGCTGCCGACAGTCAGAAGGGCCACAACGTCCGCTTGGCTCACTACGCTGAGGCGTGGATAGTTCCGGCGGGCGTCACGTTTCCAGTACGGGTTGCCAGCAATGTCACCAGCGGGCAAAGTGATAGGATCGTCGTAGCTCAGGGGGTCCAGTGCACCAGGCGTGGGATTGCGGAAGTAAGGATTTAAGGGCACGCCGTTGCTCCGGTTCTCGTCAATTACTGTGAGGCGGCGCAAAGCCTCCCATATCCCTTTTGATTGCAGCGTTTGTTTCTAGTAGAGAGAAAGCTGGTTAGAATGTGGCTAAAACGGAACATGCAAATCCTCTTTGACAGAAGTGCAATCGCCGATACAACTCACTTCGTTGATGCTCATCACCCCCCCAACGACTTTCGAGACTACCTTCGATGCCATTGCAACGGTCGGACAATGGTTAAGTTTGGCCGGGGGGAAAAAATAGCCTACTGGGAGGTTCAGGCTTTGGTAGAAGAGGTTGAAGTCCTATTGTCTTGATACGGAGCACAACGGCAAGTTTGGAAATCTGCCTTGGGGCGGGTTGTCAGCTGATCCAAAAATAAGCGGGACATAGTTACATAATATCCCATTTTATTGGTCAGCGGTACTAATGCCGATGATCAATGGTCGAATCGATACGGAGTACGGAGTACAACATGCTGAATGGCGACGTCGGCCTAGTCTTCAAGCATCAACGTAGTGCATACTTCTCTCCCGCCTCACCTATACGGCTTTCCAACTGCTTCAATTTTGACCTTTTTTTTTGCCTATCTCGCCCGAAACACAATGGCTGTAAGTTGACGAACACTTAACTTTTGTCGCTCTACTATTTATCATGCAAAGCCTTGCCCACGTTGATTGGCCAAAGCTCCCCCTGGATGGATAGTTCACGTCGCTTTTCCCCAGCCATGCCAATTCCTCGTCTAGCTTTTGCCCCCTACCCCTCCCCCTTCTGAATCTCTGTACAAGTTACTTGTCTTTCACATCATCGTCGCGCCAAGCTCATATCTTTCCAGCCAAACCCCTTATTTTTCTTGACAAGTTCACGTTTTTGCATACTAGATTTAGCTTTCCCTTGTCCCCTGCGGTTTGATTTTTGAACATTTCACTGGTTCTCAACATAGCCAAATAAGCAAGATGCCTGTGGTGTTGCGCAAACGAAAAGCGACTGAATCGGTGCCAACCCCGGCATTAAAAAGACAGGCTACTTCGGCTGTGTCAAAGTCGGCTTCCGTGGCTGCAACAACCACAATCGCCAAGAAAAAGGCAGGAACTAAGAAAGTGAAAAAGGAACCTTCTGCCTCGAGCCTCCCTACCGTTGGCTCAGCCATCGACTTTGAAACTTTCGGTGGTTATATCGAGAATAATGAGGGAGAAAAGACCACACTCAAAGCTCTTGTCGACGCCAGCAAGGCAGGTGTTGTTCTCTTCACATACCCTAAGGCATCAACTCCAGGATGTAGGCGCTATCCATGCCTTGCAGTAGTCAAAATTCAAGCTAATCAATCAGGCACGAAACAAGCATGTTTGTTCCGCGATGATTACATCCCGCTGACAGCCAGTGGCCTGGCTATATATGGTCTGTCTACGGACTCGCCAAAGGCCAACACGACATTCAAGACGAACCAGAACCTTCCTTATCCGCTGCTGTGCGATCCTAATGCGACACTCATTAAAGCCATCGGGCTCAAAAAGGAACCCAAGGGCACTACCCGTGGCGTTTTTGTCGTCGATAAAGCCGGTAAAGTGCTAGTCGCTGAATCTGGCAGCCCTGATGGGACCGTGGATGTCGTCCGGAAGCTGGTACAGAGCCAAACCAAGGAGTAAAACTGGACCGAGGTGGCCCCATGTTTGGTGAGATGTGAAGCTCGGTAGTAGCCGGACATAATAGGCAACAAGTCTACGAGCTAGAAGTAACTTCGTATCTCTTTATTTACAGTGTGCACACGTGCATCATAGCCGGTAAAAAACAGCATATGATGCTCAGTATCGACATACAGCACCCATCTACGCTTGATTTGCAGCTCCAAGCCTTGTTATTCTGATGGCCTCATGGCTCCTTGGTGCCATCTGGAGGCCCCACATAACGACCTTCGGGATATTCCCAATCAGCCAACAAACTAACTTTGTCATGTGCCATGTTTTCATTTGACTGTCGTTGCCGGAGAGAAGTGTTGCATTTATCATCGGCACCATCTTCTTTACCGTTGACACCATCGTTTTCAGTGCCAAGTCGCGTCTCATTTCCGTCCATTCCAGCCACACCTGCTGGTGTCTGTGCGCCTGGCCGACTTATGGCCAGTTGAACCATCTCTGTTCCTAGGCAACCCTCTTTATCCGTTCTTTGGACATCCTGGGGAGTTCCGTTGGCCGTACTGTCTCCATATCCCTCGCCATCTTTCTCAACAAGTACATCGTCAAAACCTTCGGAAACAACGAAGCGCCCCGCAACAAGCAGTACGTCGCTCATGTCACGGTCAGACAATTCATCCACGGACGCTTTGTTTGTCGCCATCGAATCAATGCTGTTAGACCGTTGTTGTCGCTTAGATGGCGATGTGGGTGGCTCGGTTGGCATTCGCTTCTTTTCGCGCGGTCCTTCACCAACCAGCTCCTGCTTAAAGAAGCGGTTATCAAAGCGAACAAATGTTCGTAACGAATCAGACAATGGTTCCAGAGTCTCATTTATCGCGGCATCATTTGCATAGACAACAATTGGCCTGTTATTATCCCTGAAAGCTGCTTGTTGTGCCATCTCTATCGATGTTTTCTGTACGACTGCTCAGTTTGAAGTCGCAAGGGGGGAACGAAGAAAAAGAAAAAAAGCCTACCTCAATGCGCACAGGTTCCGAGACAGATGCGGAGGAGGAGATCCGCCACCACTGATCGGCCCCATTCATGAGCACTTCATCATCAGTATCTGCCTTTAGCCGGCACATGTAGAATGTGCCGCTAGAAACTATGATGCCACGCAACCTGTAGCGATGGGTTGGATTCCAGTCATCCGCTGTAGCTGGGCCGGTGTTGCGTAATCTCAGTTGACGAAGAAGTTCCTCACAGGCTTCCTTCTCTTCTCGAAGCTCTTGGGGAATGTCAGATAAAAGTCCTGTAAACACATGATTGCAATAGCTTAGGCCCACAAGCTTACTTTGCAGTTTATTGCCGATGTCTGTTAGTTTTTTTCGGTGCACAGCAACTTCTGCTTGGATTGCCTTTTCCACCCTCAAATCCTCTGGAGCTGTGAGCTCGGTGACATCAACATCGGCCAAACTGAAGTCAAACTCTTCGGGCGTCCCCACCGATACCTCGTGTTGCTTCCAAAACGCAGCAGCCTTGAGTTGCCAGAGCTTCTGCATTCCTAGCCCGATAGCTTGCTCGGACAAAGTAGCCTGGCTTAGCGTGAAGTTACTCGACTTGTCTGTGAATGTGGCAATCTTGTTGCACATGTCATCACTCTCCTTAAACGCTTGACCGACGGACCGTAGCTTCAGCTGCAGTTGCAAAGCTAGCTGTCGGTTCTCCGCCGTATACCTGTCTGGAAAAAAAACTTCCGGGATTTCTACAGGCTGTTCGAGACCATCGACGCAAATGTTGAAAATCTGAATCATGCCGAGTCTGGTTGACACAGCCATCTTAGCCGTGGCTATTGGTTCCATCGACACACCCCCAAGATCCACCCAGTAAATGGTATCCAGAATGTTGTAGATATCTCGTAACTCTCCAAAGTATTGTCCCCTCTCAATCTTGGCGTCAAGAATCGCGTAGCTTTCAATATAAGTGCAATCGTCCTCGTCAGCGGCACCAACCAGACCAATATCCGAGAAAAGGGTTTCCGATATTTCAGGGGGATTGACTTCTTTGAAAAAATTGAAGAATAAGCGATCCGGTTTATCATCCCATAACTCTCCCAAGAGCTTAGCATTAGAGAATATATCAGCCGACCCATAAACCCTATCGGTGCCATCAAGAAATGCCATTATACGGTGTATCTCTTCGGTGAAATTTCGCGCGCGGTCATGTGTGGTTGCGATCCTCGATACCGATTCTTCCGCTGTTGACAATGCTCCTTCTTGTGATGACTCGCCTATCGAGAACGAGAGGCTTCCCTTCCACCAATCTGGATCCTGTCCATAATTTCTCGCTGGTTGTCCAGAACGCAAAAAAGTGTTACGAACTCCAGGCACGGAATGTAAGATGGTGAGGAGAGCATTAAGGTTGTATGTGTCGCTGCCCTCCTTCCGGCAGCGCAGAATGGCCGGTGTTCCAGGCGCTCGTCTCCTAGAAGATGGGCCCAACTCCTTGTTATCAGGCGTAGCCCTCACCATTGCCCACTGGTTGAGATCATATGTTTCTCGGTTGGCAGGGCCAAAAAAAAGGGCAGACTGGTATCAGCTTCACCACCAGTAACCCCAGATTCCTGTGGTGGGTGCAGACTTGAAACGGACGCAGCCAGAGCTCGTTGCAGTTCGGTGTCCTCTTCGGCTTGAGAGTTGTAAGTGCCTGCTTCGACCGTCAGTTAACTTTAGGGGCGCGGGCGGGGGCGGCGGGGGGGTGAGAAAGAGAAAAAAAGTCCTGTCGCAAGCGCTGTTGCAACATACTGATACGGTTTGCCTGCGTTGTCCAGTCTACCATCCGGCCCAGCGGTGATTGGGTCCGTGACGGCGGGCGTGACGGTGCGCCTAGGTGGTGCCCAGTAGGCGATACACCATGGATGATCGAAACATCGTCAGGTCCCTGGACGTTAAACTTGGGTAGACCGGTGTCATTGCTCGTGCCGTCACGATCGCTAACAAAGTGTGCCTCGTTCCATGTAAACATTTGGCGAAACTGCATAATATACGACGGGGTCAGCGTAAGCTTAATGAGCATTAAAAAGGGTCTAGTCTGCATTCTAGATCCCAAACAAACCTTGACCTCGTCGTCGTAAAATGCGGCTACCACGGCTTCCACATCACCAGCCTTCTCCTGTAGAGATAGAAATAGAGGGTGACGATTAGCCAAATGTATTTCTTTCGCCCTTTTCCCCATACACGAGTGATTTCGAGCAGTTTGATCCCGTACCCTCAGCGCAGAGACAACAAGCTCACGGTAAACAACAGGGTCTAGGCCAGTGAATTCGCAGACGCTGGCGACAGATGACTCATCTTGGTCAGCCATGATGTTTATCGAAATTTGAAAGAATTTAGGATCAGCCGTGATGCAGCAGGCAGCTACCGGGGCTGCCAGCTGAGCGTTCCACTCAAGCTCAGTGCAAACAACGCGTGAAGAACACGAATTAATTCAAGCTCTACGCCTGAGAGGTGGCGAAGATAAGAATCAGTGTCTGTGTTGTACTGGCGGGTCCTTGAAAGCGTCGTTTTGGATTTTGCGCGGCACTGTTTCCCTCTCATCTGCTTCGGTATTCCAACTAGTTTCCAGCCAGGCTTTTGGAACAAAGTGGCGTCGATAAAGGCAACGTTGAGGGTGTTGCTGTAACCAAGCGTCGTCAGCTTAGCGTGAGCGCAGTGCAGAGCAGAGCCACCAAAGTGAAACAAAAGACTATGCCTCAGGAAACGGAGCTTATGATTACTGCGCGGATAATGTCTGTATCCGGGCTGCTGTGCGAAAGCGCACAGAAACCAAAGCTCTGCATTAAGTGTAGTATCTTAGATGACGACGGCGGTTCGACCTCAAGTCTTGCATCAGCTAGGGCCAGCTGTTAATCAGAGAGGGGTAATATCGTGGACAGTGCACTACTAGCTTGATTACTAACTACGCATACAGGCACGGGTTTGCCGTGGCTGACCGCTAAACAGTCACGTGGCCCGTACATTCAGTTCCAACCCGTCCACCTAGCAATTCCCTATGCTCTTTTTTCGAAACTGCAATTATTGTTGTGTAGTATTGTTGAAAGTAAAAAAAAAGCATTTACCTAGCTACACAGATTCGTACCGGAAAGATGTACCCGTTATGGCCTCCTGCTTTAATAAACGCCTGATAAAAGCATCACCATCCCTCTCGCTATGCTGTTAGACTAATCTAGCCGTGTGAAATCGAACCTGCCTTATGGGTGCTATTTGTCGTCGTCACTCTCATCGTCGCCATCCTTTCTGTCTTCATCTCCGAAGTCGCCCTCTTGTTCATCTTCGTCTCCAGTATCGCTGCCAAAGTCCAACTCCTCATCCGTCTCGGCCCAAAAAGCGTCATCGTTGACGGTTGCTTTCGGTGGCTCTTCTTCGAACTTTGTAGGCATAACAAAATCTGGCGGAATATCCTTTTTCGATCGATCCACAGCGGAATGCGCCCGTGCATTGTACAAGGAGCGGTTATCACGATACAATACGCCGGCGTCGACGTTTGCAGGCGACGAGATTTCCGGGTTATCTAGCAACAACAACACCGAAAGCAATACAGACTCGACTCCTTGCAGTGGCGACCACCGCTCCCCTGCGGCTTCACCGGACATGATGTCCTCGCCTGGTTGATGCAAAATAGAAATGCACAACTGGCCATCGGGGTAAATATTGGGATGGAAGATCGCCGGCGTGAAGCGGAACGTAGGCGGTTTATATGGGTATTCATTCGTGAACCGTATCTCTACCTATGCATCGAAGTCAGTCCACATAGCATTCTCGATTTGCTCTACGTTTTGCTCTTACATTGAAGTAGCCACCGTGAAAAGCACTATCTGGGTTGATAACCATAAGGCCTAGGTGCCATCGAAAAAGGTCGTCGGCCTTGGGAACTTTGTCAGTACGCTTTGAAAAGGGCTGTATCGTCAGGCCGAGAGGCCGGCCTTCGTGATCTACGAGAGTAGTCAAATACCTCAATATTCACCCATTTCTCGTTCTGTAGGGCATGAAGCTCCGACATGAGCCGTTGTTTAGCTCCACTCATTTTCGCTATTATATGATAGGAACTAAAGCGATTATATCAGAGTTGGTATGGGCAGCAAGATGGAGAAACACGACAGGAGAAGTGTCACTGTGTGAAATAGCGGTAGCGTACAGATGCCGGTCGAGTACGGCATACGCCTTCTTTGTGTTAGCTATGTGGAAATCAGCTGTGATCAAGAGGCAGTAGTGAACGGTGGCGTTGCGAGAATAAAATCGGCGTATCCAAATATATCATCGTGAAGAAAAGACAATTAGGGGCTTACAAAAATTATAATAATAATAAATAATAAATAATAAAGGAACAACGCAATCCTAATCGGAGAATTGGCCGTGTGGCGAGGGAGGGGTTGGTACTATGCAGGTGTGGGCAAATACCACGCCAGTACCGGGAAACGCGCAATGTACCTGCTACCTCCACATGTCTACAGGCTTTTGCAGGTATATGGCAAGTACGGAGTAATACAGTGTCATCAAGTAAAGTTACGAGTCGATACCAATTCAGTCTAGTAAGATACGCAACAATAAGCTCATACTCGGGCATTGCAGAATGCACTCCATAAGATGTCTGGGGGGGGTGGGGGGGGGTAATAATCCGTAGAATGTATTCCGTACGTTCGCTGCTTTTTAAGTAAGTATAAAGCTGAACGGTACAAGAGCTGGGGCAAAGTGCACCGATATCATGCTGCGATCGGCAAACGCTGGTTAGCTCTCATGGTCCCATAAATACTCCGTACTCGCAAAGTTCCCACACAGCATTGCTTAACACTTACTCCGTACGGAGTACCCCAGAAAGTTTTGATCCTTCTTTTCTTTTATTACTGTTTCAATATGACGATGTGCAGAAAATCGGTCCTCGTCACAGGCGCATCAGGCCTTCTAGGCCGGCAAGTCGTAGAGGTTTTCGAGCAAAGCAATTGGGCTGTGACCGGCACTGGCTTCTCCCGAGCAAATGGCAAAACCTTGATCAAGGTTAACCTGGAAAATTCGACCGAGGTGAAAAGCGCCCTCGATGAAGTGAAGTACACAATTCTACATGCTTCCAACACGTACGCACATTTAAAGCCCAAGCAAATACTGATTGGTAGCATAGGCCAGATGTTGTCGTTCACTGTATGACAGTTTGCGCAATCGACGAGGAATCATGTTTTGCTAACGGCCGACAGGTGCGGCCAACCGCTTCCCCGACAAGGTCGAAAATGATCCCGAAGGTACACGCCGCCTCAATATTGAGGCATCCAGGAAACTAGCTCAGCTGTGCGCATCCCGTGGGATCACACTAATCTACATATCCACCGATTACGTCTTTCCCGGCAAGCCTGGCGAGGCACCGTACGAGGTTGAAGCAGCACCGGCGCCAACGAATTTGTATGGACAGACAAAGTTGGACGGTGAGAGGGCCGTCCTTGGTGTCTACAACGAAGCACAGCAACTGGAAAAGACGAAGAAGGGTCATGCAGTTATTCTGCGAGTTCCGGTGCTGTATGGCCGGGTAGAGAAGCCGGCTGAGAGCGCCATCAATGTACTCATGGACATTGTGAACAAGGTGCAAGCGGAAGGGGTCACAGTGAAGATGGACGACTGGTCGATCCGCTATCCGACAAATACGGAAGATGTGGCGCGTGTCCTGAAAGGTAAATCCCTTTAATTGGTAGCGCAGAGAACTCGAAAATAATAGTCTTGGTAAAGCCCGTTTTATCTCTCACTGACCTCGCTAGATATCGCTACCAAGTATACCGAAGCAGTTGATGCCGACCTGCCACCGGTTTTACAGTTTTCGAGCGAGGATCGGTTTACCAAATACGAGATTTGCCGACTCTTTGCGGAGACATTGGGTGTTAACATTGACCGCCTATTACCTGACCCAACCGGCGGTAATACCAGCTCTATACAGCGACCATACGATTGCCACCTTAGCACGAAGGCCCTCAAGGATCTGGGGATCGATGTGCACACTCAAGATTTCAGGGGCTGGTGGCGGTGGCAGACAAAGGCATTTCGACACTGAAATCGATAATCATGTCGCGCTGCTTACGACGTATAGCGGCGGAGTACTCCGTACTCCCTCCGTACCAGTCGCAAGGTGGGCCCACTTCTCCCTAAATGACTTTTCATTACGGGCGTTTCCAGCGCGAAACAAGAGTTGCACCAGCGGGGGTCCTAAAAGCAGAAAAATGGCGCATACGGAGTATCTTACTTACCACTCTGTAAAGAATTGGGTAATACTAGTCAGCCTTGCCGTTATCGTTTAGCTCCAGACAGAGGCATAAGTAAGATACTTAAAGTACGGAGTACACACAGACAAAACGCCTCGAGCGTTATTTAGGCTCCTTCCCATCCGTCAGGCACATAATCTAGCGGCGAGTGCAATACATAGTAGTACATATACTGTACTTTCTAGACTTGATGTTCGATCAAGGGGTATTGTGGAGACGGGCTTACGGGCCAACCAGGCAGTGGGATTGTTGTGTCTGTCTCTGCGCGTAATTTCTTCTTCCCCAGAGGTCTTCACCCTGCATAGAACGAAACCTTGAATGTGGGGTGCTAGAACTCCCTGTGGCCTTCCAGCCGCACTCTGGAACAGTAGGCGCGGAAAATAGGGAGTGAAAGTGGGGAGCAGAGTTTGCTTCGACTCGCATTCCACCAACTACTACAGAGGAGGTAGTACTCCGTACTCTGTAGAGCCGTCTCATTAAGGTTTTTTGAAAACTCTGTTATAATAGCAAGTGCAATGTAAGAATCTCTTTCTTAGATCTTACATCCTTATTGACCTCTTGCCTCTTCTTCTACCGCCAAATCGCTGTACTCACCTTCACTTCCCGGCGGCGAGGAAAGCGTGCATGGCAAGGAGGATGGAGAATTGTTTGGCTACTTATTTGTAAGACCAAACAAGCAAACTTCGATGAGTAGAGTTGCAGCAGTTTGTGGCACGCGATAAATAAGCAGGGTCTGCTCTCTGTCTATTTTGCTTCCCTCAACACGCGTCTATTTCGTCTTTATATCTGCTTAGCATTGCGCTTGTCCCTACACTGTCAGGCGCTCCTTTTTGTTATTCCTCCATTCGACTCTCGTTGTACCTGCAATGCCGGTTACGACTGAGGCGTCGCCGCCAGCACAGAAGCTGACCCGGTATCGTACCATCCGGGGCAGAAACGTTCCAGAGTCGCGACGTTATGTTGAGCCGGAACAGAAACGCGCCGCTGGCGATGAAGTCGATTTTTGCACGAGACCTCCACCGACTGTGTCAACACTGTTACCCGCAGCACTGAAGACAATGAATGACAGGACCCTCCCACCTCCGGAGGCTCTAGCTCGGCACCCTGTTCAGCAAATGTCTCCTACTTTATCAACAGCTATTGATCGGCCAGCCGAGTCTGCGTTGCCAACGTTGCTGGCTACAACACTGCCTCCAAAACCTGCTGGTTTTGCGACTGGCCGGACCCATAGCGTCAAGGTTGCCAATGGTTCGAGTACCATCGACGCTGACGAAGCCGCTCAGCGAGACGCAAACACTGAGATGCTCTTGGCGGAGCAGAAAAGAAAAGATCTCGAGCGCCTGCAACTCCAGCTCGAAAACCACCAGCCCGTTGCTTCACCCCCCCGGAGCACCGCCCGCGATAAGCTTGCATTTTTGTCGCGCCGGCTTGGGCAGCGAACCATTGCAAGAGACGACCTGTCGACCCCGGCGGTTTCGAAGACATCGACCGGTCCTTTCAAACTATCAAAGCTAGCCGGTGTCTCCTTCGATACCCCTGTGGCAACGCCCCGGACACAACCTTCAGAAGAGCAAAGCGTTGGCCACCTGAAAGACGCATCCTCTGCACCCGATAGTGGGACAGCTCGTGTAGGTTCTGGCTATTGGTCACTAGTTTCGCATCTTGTCTTCGTTCTCATTATAATATTTCTCAGGAGGTTTTAGTTCGTTTTCGCCAAGTTTCGCGCAAGGTCGCTGTCCGTCCTGAAACAACAGTTGCCGATATACTCCAGTCCAGCTCCGGCTTCCTTCAACTCGACAGCAGCAATGATAGCAGCTCACTCGTTGAGAGCTACTCCCGTTTTGGGCTAGAGCGCCGGCTCAGGCGTTATGAGCGCATCCGCGACATAATGAACACATGGGATCGCGATACGGACAATAGTCTAGCTATCGTTGGAGCCAGCAACAGCATAACCGCTGATCTGGATGGACGTGGGTCCGCCGACGCTCGCAAGGATGATTCTAGCGACTCCGACATGGCCGTGGATGCTGACCTTGAATTATCTTCGGTTCGGCAAGATAAGAACATGCCGCCACCAGGTATTGCATTTATTCAAATGTACCACTCACAGAAGCTGGGCCGCTGGAACAAGCGATACATCTCTCTGATGGATGACGCGGGGCAGGTGATTGCTTCCAAGAAGTCGGATGCAATCCGCCTGGCCAGCTTGGCGACCAGCGAATATGGTAGCAGCAATGATTTTCAAAGTCTCTGCCACCTGTCCGACTATGATATCTATCGTCCTACTGAGGCGGAGATGCGCAGGCACATTAAGCCCCCGAAAAGGTTCTGCTTTGCTGTGAAGAGTCAACAACGCACGGCCGTCTTTGTCAATATGGATAATCTTGTCCATTTCTTTTGCATAGACGACCCGATGCTAGCTCGGGAGTTTTACAATCGCGTCTTCGCCTGGCGCAGCTGGTACCTCGTCAACCGAAAGCTATCCTTGGCCCCACAAGATACAACCACGAACACTCGACAACAGCATCAGCTCACAATCCGAGCCGGCGAGTCACCTTCTTACAGTAATGTCAAGCTTGATCTTACTTCACGTCAGCCTCCCGACGTGGGTTTGCGGGTGAAGGAAAGCGATTACACTGCCGATACTCGGAGGACGGGGAACGCAAATGAATTCGCTGCTGGAAGTCTTTTGGGTTCCGCCTATGACAGCCGGAAGAATGCAGAGCCAGCTAAACAGAGCGAAGTTAAGGTCCAGGCACCAGACGGCGTACAGACTCGTATGCTACCTTTCACAGAAGGTTCACTTCTGGGCACTGACCGCTCGCTCCCTGCTGCTCCCACGGCTGCCAATTCTGCTTTAACTCCGACCTCTGCCACTGCGGCAGCCAGTCGACACGAGCCGTCTTCGTGCTTCCCATCGGCAACAGAACATACTGCGCGGAACCATGACCAGCCAAGCCGCAGGCCGGCTGCATCTTCGCGGCCGTCTTCTTCGTCCAGTACCTCGCAGCAGCAGGCTCTTTATCTCTCCGCAGGGAAGCTTTCAGGACCAACTCACGTCAAATCTCCTCCAGCCTCTATGCACCGAGGTCGCCAACCGTTTGTCGACTCTGAGGTTTCTATGGACCGCCAGCAATCCCTACGCCGCGCCACCTCCCACACATCCTCCTTCCGGTATGAGCAACAGCAACACCCACGGATGCCAGCACCCCTTATCGACCTGACACCCAAGTTCCAAGAAGCGCCACAATGGTCCTTGGAACATCGCGGACGTGGCGTGCGTGCTCCTCCAGGTATCACACACCTGGTCGATCTAGCCACCAGATCAACCGGAGGGGGCGACCCTACATTTGAGCCCGCAGCTGCCCCTCTCCGACGCGATGGCACTGATAGCACACCGCCTACGCGCTCTAGGACTGTGCGTGCACAAACCATGACTTCAGCTTCGGCGGCAGGGGCGGCCCGGTTTGCTCGTAGCCATCATACGGTCCATCACTCCTCTCGTTCTAGAGATCCCCCCCCTATGCCACTACTCTCCAGGATCTCTGCGGCTTCCTCTTCTGCACTCGATTCTACGATCACCTCCCATGAGTGAAGCACAGGACTGATGTATCACAAAGTGCGTTGGGATGGATGAACAGTACTCGATGGATCTTTTACATTAACGTTGACGAGTCAATGACACGGCCTCGGTCTTTCTTTCTGGAGGGGGAGTTGTTCATGTTTTGGAAATGCACACAAATGTGCAGGTGGCTTAAAGATGTTACGAGAAGTCCAGGTTTGGCCAGGACAGAAACCCTTTCTATATCTATCGTTTCATATCTTTATAAAAAGAATCCCTCTACGGACAGATTTCTTCGCTGAATTGTTTGCAAAATAGTTACGAGGCTAGCGCATTACTTGCTGCGCTTGTATATTTTGGACAGGAAAGCCTCGAAGACCCCCTTCTTCAGACCCTTGCTCTCGTCAACCTTGGCAATCTGTTCATGGAGTCCACTGACACGTTCCTCTTCATAGTCCTTATACAGCTTCTCCAAGTTGAGCTCATCGTACAGCTTCTTGACAACAGCCTCATGTGTTTTATCCTTGCGTCCATAGTTTGCCTCGAGCACTGCCCGCTGCTCAGGCGTAACCAGTTTTAGTGCCTGGTTTACGAGCCACGAACATTTGTTGTCCATAATGTCAGTGCCAATTTTGCCAATGTGTTCCGGCAAGCCAAAGTTGTCGAGGTAGTCGTCCTGCACTTGAAAATACTCGCCCATAGGAATCAAAATACTCTCAGCTGTCTTTAGGTTTTCCGGTGTTCCCAACTCGAGTAGATGCAATGCCAACGCCACCGGTAGATAGAATGAATAGTAGGCAGTCTTGTAGATCACGATGAATCTGTATTTTTCGAGACTGAAGTTGTTCAGATTGACGATGTCCTCTGGTGCCGTCAACAAGTCCGTCAGCTGTCCGAGCTCAGTCTGGAAAGTCACCTCGTGAAACAGCTCGATCATATCCACGTAGGACGGATGCGAGCGGAAATGCTCGCGAAGCAGAGTGTAGATAGCGGACTCCAGCATGAACGCATCGTTAATAGCAACCATTCCTACACCCTCCTGTCTGTACCAGCAGGGATTGCCGCGGCGCGTGATGCTGCTATCCATGATGTCATCCGAAATAAGGAAGAAAGCTTGCAAGAGCTCGGTCAGCCAACCGAGAGTAGCGGCCTGGAAGTACTCTTTTTCGGTCAATGCGCGGCCCAACAGGACCGACACCGAGTCTGGCACAGACATGCCTCGGTTGCACTTCCCGCCCAAGGGGTTGGTCTCGAGACTCTGAAAAGAGCAGTCGGTTAGGACGTGTAAGATGACAGAAACATGCGCATATGGAACTAGTCAGAGCCAGAAAGGCTCACCTTCTTATACCATTGCAGGTACTCCTCGGGGAGGCCGTACTTTTTGGCATGTCTAAGCAGCGTCTCCTCGAGCTTCGGAAAGACAGCCTCAAACTCCTTCAAAGTCGTTTTCTGTGTCATTTTGAAATCAATTGTGCAATGGTGGTACCCGCGACTTGCAAGACTGATATGTCCGTTGTTAAGGAATGTGAAAGGGGGATTGTCAACAGGCGATATTATATATTATTATGGTGGGGGTGTTGGTCTGGGCGGTGAGCCAAAACAGGAAATGAGAGCGATTTGCCAGAAACTTTAAGACGCGTTTCGTAAGATACTACCGCATTGCAGTCCAAACGCAAGACGATGCAGAACACTTCAAACCAGCTAACCTTTGTGCCGGCCTAGAAAAAGAAATTTACGCCTGAGTGGGTAACACATGCAGTTGTAAAAGACGCGCTTGACGTCCTATAGTATTTGGTCTTCGCCGAGGAAGCAATTACAAGATAACAGCTCTAGTCACACACTAATCTCAGCACCGAACATTCAATCCACCTCGCCCTCCTTGTCCATGGTGCTCACAAACCAGGAGACGCTGCAGCTACGCTCGGCACTTCAAGATGCAGTTGTCAAGTGCTCGGAGCGCTGTTTGTACCAGTCGGCCAAATGGTGCATTCCTATTTCTTCCCAGCCCCTGCCTCTCTCTTCTAGCTCCTTGAGTTCTCTGCTAATATCTCCAGGGCTGCTGAGCTGCTCAATTCCATCCCCCAATCTGCAACAGAGCTCGGTGGCTATGGGCTACAGGCAACAGCTACGTCGACCCCACTGCTCGTCACCCAAAATTGTGATCCTATCGAAGCGCGACTTGAGGGGGCTGAGATCAGCAAGTACCTTTTAGCCAAATCGTTCTTCGACTGTCGCGAATACGATCGGTGCGCGGCCATATTTCTTCCCGACTCGCTGCTATCTGGAGTGCTCTCGGCATTTCGTCAGGACCACCCAGACCTTTTTTCCGAAGATCCACGCCTAGCCTCAACTGTGGCGGATGAGCTTCAGGAGCACGAAACCAAACAACGAGGCTGTGCTGCCAATCTTCCAAGCCAACATCGGCAGGGCCATGGGAGTAAAACTAGGACGTATTTCGGCCAAGACATGTCGGCAAAGACAGCTTCTGAGGGGAAAGCTAGAAATAACGAGAAAGGAAGCGCGATCCCACTCGACGCTGAACCGGGACGTACTCTACCAGAGATCAGCCAGAAAAGCCTGTTTTTGGCATTGTACGCAAAATTAATCTCTGGCGAGAAAAAGAAGGATGAAGAAGTGGAAATGGTAATGGGGCCCCACGATACGGGCGACATTGCCAACAGACAGTTGCAAGTGATTGGAGCTTATTTACAGACCTGGTTCGAACAGAACCTGAATGGCGACGGAGAAAAGGTGGTCAGCCAAGGCTGGCTGGAGTATTTGTAGGAATGTCCCTATCGATCCATATCTCTATATGCAGTGCTGACATTTGATTTCGAAAGATATGGCATGGTACTGGCCAAAGAGAAAAATGAAAAAGAGGCGATGGAGTGGTTTATTCGCAGCGTGCACAGATTTCCCATGAATTGGGGTTGCTGGCAAGAGATGACCATGCTCATCTCCAGGGTCGACGAGGTATATCCACATCCACACGCATCCATGCTTTCTAAGAGTGACAGACTAACGCCGAGTTCCAAACAACAGCTGAACAAAATTGCACCGAAGCTTCCGCAGAATATTGTATCTTTCATGTTCCACTTGCACGCCTCTCTAGAGTTGTACCAACAGGGCCATAACTTGGCCACATCATTGGATCAGCTCCTCTCCATCTTCCCCAACTCTTCATTTTTGCTTACGTGCAATGCTTTGTTAGCGTACCACAGCAAAGACTTGATGGCCGCAGAGCAGCGCTTCAGCACCTTGCTTTCGCAACACCCACACCGTCTGGACTCCTTAGACCATTATTCCAACATCTTGTACGTTCTCAATCTGCGCCCTAAACTTGCCTTCCTCGCCCATCTCTGCTCCAGCCTGGACAAATTCCGACCAGAGACGTGTGTGGTGATTGGGAACTATTATTCCCTCATGTCTTCTCATGAAAAAGCGGTGCAATATTTCCGAAGAGCTTTAGCGCTTGACCGATCCTGCCTCTCGGCGTGGACGCTTATGGGCCATGAGTTTGTCGAATTAAAAAATACACATGCGGCCATAGAATCATACAGGCGTGCTGTGGACGTCAACCGTCGGGACTACCGTGCCTGGTACGGCCTCGGCCAAACATACGAGGTTCTTGAGCTCCACACATACGCCTTATGGTATTATAAGAAAGCTGCGGGACTTCGGCCTTGGGACGGCAAAATGTGGATGGCCGTCGGGTCTTGTCTACAGAAGATGGGGCGCGAGCGCGATGGTATAAAGGCCCTCAAGCGAGCCCTCTTGGCGGATGCGAATTACGACTCCACTGGGGCTAATTTTGGTGGCAATGTTGACAATAACGGTCCCCGGGGAGTGGCAGGCCACCTTGACCCAGAGGTTCTATTGCAAATTGCCAGTATGTACGACCAACTGGGCGATAAAGACGAAGCTAAGGCGTACATGGAGCTGTGTATGGCTCAAGAGGATGGCGAACAAGATGTCAGCCTGGGCGAGTCCGTGGTGCTACATCGGGAGTCTATGGGAGGTGGAAAAGACGATGTCGATCGAGACAGAGATGGTGGCACGAGTGGTGAAGGGACCGGGGTGACCCCAGCTACCAGCAAGGCGCGTCTATGGCTGGCACGGTATGCGCTGAACGATGGCGAGCACCTCACAGCGTGCCGTCTAGCTCAGGAGTTGTGCCAGGATGGGGTAGAGGTAGAAGAGGCCAAGGCGTTGATGAGAGAAGCTCGGGCAGCACTGGAACAACAAAATGACCATGGAAGGAGTAGCAGCTAGAAAGTATGATTGGTCTCTAACACCGTGGGCCTGCCCGCAGCCTGCCTACGGCGATACTTTTGACCCTCGCAAGATGCAGATAGGCGTTACTTACACACGCTGTTCTCCTTCATTTTTTTGTGATCAAGGTATTGTATCGAGATCAAGGCCCGGTTTTCTCAGAGGTGAGCAGTACTTGCCTTCTCACACTGTACCACAATTCTCCCTACGAACAGCAGATGATGAACCCAGAAGAGGCAGACAATAATATATTTGAAGCGGCCTAAAAGGCGCCTGAGAAAGTAGACAACAAACCCCCGATACTAAACCACCCAATATGCTTGCTTGCTCGCGAAAAAGGGCAATATCATCCGCATTCACCCTGCTCACGAGATCTGCAGTACCATGGGCCCTGCAACGATTATGTCATCTGTGATGATGCCACTCAATGGTGCCTGGGTAGCGAGGTTGACGTAGACGATACCGGCAATCTCGCCTTGGCCGGGAACTGTACAGCCCTGTCCAGGTTTGAAGGCAGAGAAGGCAGTGCCGCCAAGGATGTTGCCGTTTGTAAAAGCGCAGAACTGGGCCGAGGCCGAGACCGACGATTCAAGGTTAATCATCTGTCCCGCTGCAGCCACAGCCTGCGCCCCAGTCGCCATGGCCAGCGATGGGAATGGCGTCAGGATCAGGTTCGAGCCGGTTGGGCAAGATTGGATAAATGGTGCGGCCAGGGAGAACACCTGCTTCGGTGACAGAGCAGTATCAAAGGCACCAGGAGCAGCAGCAGCGGCCGTTGCGACACGCACAAACGTCTGGTGGCGCGCCTCAAACGTGAGAATTGACGCGGCTGTGCTGAGAATAGACGGGCTTGAGATCAATGGGCTACCGCCTAGGTAAGCCGAGACACCGATGTTTTCCAGCACCGCCGCTGTGGTGATCATGGATTTTGCGTCAGTGAAGTTGAAGTCGTAGGTGCAGGGCTCGACTGGCTTCACGCCATTTTGGGCAATGGCAGACTGGAGCAAGGAGACGTGGGTCGCCTCGCTGGCTCCTACACCAACAAGATCATCAAACTGCTGCTGGGTCAGACCTAAAGAGAGGAAATCGGACTGCGGGAACTTTGCAAAGCCCTGTTGATAAAAGGACGTCTCCAACCATTCAAGAGTTAGGGCGCTAGAAACAAAGGTCAACAACGGCTCCTGTCAGCGAGTCGAGAAATATATTCTCATGTTTTAGTATGTATGCTTACAACTGTAGGATGTCGATATCAGTGAGGCCGAGGGCAGCAGCAGCAGCGTTCTGACGCTTGCTATACTCGTATATTTTCATCTGCCCAGAGCTGAACTTGGGCTGAGCTGGGAGTGCCCAGACAGCGGCAGTGAAGCCAACAATGGCAACGGCTGTGCTGCGAAGAGACGGCATTTCGAACTGATGAGACTGGTTTTATTCTGTCGTCGGTTGTTTTATTGTTTCTGTAGAACGGAAGAAAGCAAGACCAGCCTGAGTTTTGCCAAATGGCAATGTAGCTTATCTAGGATACGAAAGAAATAGAATTATGAAAATTAGAAAGAAGGGATAATGCCGTTGCTGAGCAAGAACAAGAGAGGTATAAAATCTGAAACAATCACCTTGGAGCAGACCAGTGCTCTGGGATAGAAATGAAAGACAGAATGAGTCTGAAAAGAGAGGAGATGAAAGGAAGATAAATGGCGGAAAGGAAAGAGGAAGAAAAAATAAGCTAGAAATAGGGGGTCGAGAAGTATTTTAAAGGAGAATACAGGAGCTGAAATTGCTCCCGGCTTGCTCCTTAAGAAGCCGGAATCAGCAGCAAACGAAGAGGCCGTCGTCCTCCATAGCTCACATGGCAGGGCGAGGCAATACGATGGGGCCAACTGCGGCTACTCCATGTTCCGAGAGAGGCTAAAAGCAATCGATACGGGGTCTTGGGTCCCAGAATGGGCATTTTTCTAGTCTAGGGAGCAAGGAGGACAGATGGCCGGGCTTTTGAGCTACTCATCACCTTACGTTGACCCTCTTGCAAGTAGACAAATCCGAGAAGGCATGTTCCAATTTGACGCATGCAATGCGGAATACGTAAAATCCTACAAAGTTTGCAGCGTTATTCTATCAGTTCAAGAAGGCAACCTTGGCCTTGGCCCAGTTTGATGTTATTTGAGATCGGACGGCTCCCCTGACCAATAAGGCAGTAGGGTATTGCGAGCAGCAGACGAAAGCATGGTTATGATGCTCTCTTTTAGGGATTAGATTGTATACTCCATACGGAGTACATACATGGTTTGCCTAGGAAACAAAAAGAACATAAAAAGAAAAGGCTCGCCCCGAGACTACAAAGAAGCCCCCCTGTAATACTCCGCATCTATACAGGGGTGGCACGGCTGTTGACACCCCGTGCTCGGCCTGTCTCATGTTGGTTTCGTATCTGCGGATCGCGTTGAGCCGCGAGATACTCGTCCCCAAGGGATAATTCGTGATGGGCGAAAACACATCCGAGTCGCAAATCCCATTCAATAGTATCAGGGGTTGTTACGTCCTTACTATATACTCCGTGCACGGAGGCACGAAATTGGCCTCGTCTCTTTTCCGCGCCCCCGCTTTCTCGGACGCATCCTTCCCTCCCCACTGGCTCGCTTCCAGCTTCTCTTATGTAACATGTTGCTGTTGAGGCATCTTGGCAGTCAGTGCATTTTCGCTTTGATACCGCACGAGCATTAGCACTGAGTGAGGGGCATGTTTAGCTTAGAACTCCTAGTTTGTGAGAATCTTACTACAAGAAAGCGAAACTCTCCCTTATTGCTCTTACGGAGTACTCACATATGGAGTATAGATACAGAGTTTCTCGTTCAAATTTCATGCATTGTACTGCAATCAGCCATAATTCCATCATGTTTCGGACGGATTAGTTATTCGTAAGTACGGAGTACATAATGTTGATTCGTCACTAAATCAACTGCTAAGCCGACTGCTAGGCAGGCTCAATATATGCTTTGCCAATGTCCATTCTGAACACCCACCTAAGAGTAAGCCTGATTGGTCCTTGAACAAGCCCAGCGTGCTCGTATGCGCATGGCTTTGCACTTCGGTATTTCTCGTGTTACTTTGTCTGTATAAAGTAATCCGTGAAATGGGCCTGCTACAATCTGCCAACTATGTGATAAAGTCGTCCTCGCGCTTATCTTTTCTAACTGAACACGCTCCTTGACCTATCTGGTCCCCCCATTGTCCAAGCTATCCAAATTGCCTACTACAGTCACAATATCTGTTGTATTCGCCAATTTGCCAATGTTAACCAAAAGGAGTAGCGAAAGCTTTCCTGCAGGTTGCAGCTCTCTACAGAGCGAACGGGTTCAGCGACCGGATAGTCAAACACCTGCAACTGACGTTAGCACATGAAATGGCGAGCTGGTATAATCGAGCAACACTCACGGGGGGCTCTTGCTCAGATCCGTTTTCAGAATAACCGGCACACGTGTCATCTCCGTCACATCTTGAATATACTCGCCGCCCTCCTCACGAAGCTTGAACATCTTCAAATATTTCTCCCTGTTGGTCAGGCGAGCCTCTGGCGTCTCTGCAGCAGGCACCTTTGAGTCTGACCGTGCCCGATGCAAAGCAGTTGCGTCCACAGCAGCCTCGAGCCGAGACGGCGAACCTGGCACGCTCTGCGTCGGCCTTTCTGCCAAAGAAGCGCCTGCCATTGCTTCTGTGATGTCAGAGCCGTTGTCGTCGTCGTCATCAAACAAAGCATCTGCATCGTCAGTTGAGATCGTGCCAGTGTCGATTTGCTTGCGCGCAGCCTCCTCGCGCTCCTTTCGCACACGCTCAGCCTCCTCGTGCTGTCTTGCGGCTGCAGCCGCATTTGAGACGCGAAGAGATGCAGCCGCTTTGGGCCGCTCGTCTTCTGGTACATACGCCGAGCTGGGAACGCCCTTTTCCCAATACAGTTCCAAAACACGTTTATCTTTCCGGAACTCGGCTTTCTTGAGGGGCAACTGGTCGCAGTGCACCCGCTTCTCGAAGCCCCACTCTGGAATAAGAACGTCGAAAGCAGACTCGTAAACGCAGACAACAACACCCTCGCTGATGAGGTCTCCGTTAGTCTCAAGGCGCTTCTTGTCCATCTTGCGGCAGGATTCAATGTGCACGCTTTGATCCTGAGCGTTTTGAGCAGAGTCTTTCTTCGTGTTGCAAGCCTCAATCGTCTTGACCAAGTTCTCAAGATCCTCCGCGTACTCAACCTTTCCATCAGAAAGGATGGAATCCAGTTGGCGGTGCACAAGGACATCGGCGTATCTACGCGTAGGGCTTGTGAAGTGAGTATAGAGCGGCAAATTGAGGGCATAATGGGGCCAGAGATGTTTTGCAGTCTTGCCAGAAACGTAGTACTTCGCCCGCTGCATCGCTTTCAGAAGCAGCGTCTCCATACCCTTCCGAATATCAGAATCTTCGACCTTGAAGAGGCTGTTTTGAAGTGTACCACTGCTAGTCGAGTCGATCTCGTAGCCTAGAGCAGTCATTCGCTCCACAATTGTTTGTAGGCGGCGTGGACTTGGTGCTGCTTGTCTGCGAAGCACTGCTTTATCCGGCAAAGCCTGAACTAGCCGTTGCGCAATGGTAGCATTGGCCTTGTGCATGAGCTCTTCGACAATCTCCACAGCCGTTGTAGTATCGAAAATATTATGCTCGATGGGAATGTTCTCATCATCTAGTTGCTGAAACAGCCTAAGAGGTGCAATGGGTTCACTTCCAGCACCGAGACGGGCCTCGCGAAACTTTTGCGTGACAAACTAATACAAAGAAGTTAGCAGAAGTCATACAACAGGTCGCCATCCGGGAAAGTATGCAAGCATACGTTTAAAATCTGGACATCTTTGGCAGAGACGGTATCATGCTTGAAGTCTTGCCCATGCGCCAAGGCATCGTTGATATGGTCCAGAGTCACTCTCCCGTGGCTTTTCACAATGCTCTTCCCGACCCAAATATCCCCTTCGGCAACAGTTACATTGTGTGGGTTGATCTGAAAGACAACGCTGACGGTAAGGCGGTCCTCGCCAGGGGTGAGTGAACAGAATCCAGCTGACAACTTCGGTGGAAGTAGGGCGCAGGTCCGATTCAAGAGATGAACCGCAGTTCCACGCTTCTTGGCTTCCCTATCGACCAAAGTATTTGGCTTGACGAAATGGGCAACATCTGGGACGTGTATACCGATTTCGACTTTCCCGTCCGGTCCAGAGGTCACATGCACCGCATTTCCCAATTCTGCAGAACCGTTCAGATCAATAGTGAACGCCTTTTCATCCCTAAAATCACGCCGTGATTTGATAGCAACGTCTTCTTCCTTCGTGATGGACCAGTCCTGGGGCGTGACGTTGCGGAGAACTGCATCAGAGAACTCATCCGACGCGAAGTTGTTGTCCCGTAAAAGCGCATCGGTCTCGACTTTGAGGTCACCCATTCGGCCGAGCTGCTCCACCAGCGTACCAAAGGGATGCAGTGATGTAATCGGCCAGCGCTTGATGCACGCCACAAAAATGCGGTCCGCATACTCCTGATGCTTCTCAACAAAATCACGAGGGGCTTGCTCTGTTGGAATAGCAATAAGCGGAACGCGCTTATCTGTTGGCTTAAACCACACAATCTTCGGCTTGTCCTGGTGCCGGCCGTCATGGTGGCGCCCAGAGCCATTCCCATCTCTCGCAGCCCGTTCTGCTTCTTGCTTTTCTTTAGTAGCTTGGCTGCTGGGTCGTAAAAGCCCAAGAGTGCCGGAGAACATCTGTCCAGCCACACGTTCGACAACGGCCACCACATGCCCAGCGTATAGTGGTTTCTGTTCATCATTGATCTCCTCTTCTTCAACAAGAAGTAAGCTCTGGCCCTCGACTTCCACGTCGTCGTTTTTCTTCTGAGTGGGACGCTGTCGAAGACTGCCACGGCGACGGATGCCACTCTCGGCATTAATGTTGTCATCGCTGTTCCCATTTCCCTGACCAGGCGCATTTCCAGAGTTAGAGCGAGTGTCGGTGATGTCCTTGCGTTTCTTTTTCTCCTCTTTCTCACGTTTCTGAGACCAGACTTCGTCCACATCCAATAGCTCGATCGCTACCAAATCACCCTCCAAAGCTCGGTTGCGGTCTTTGCTTCCACAGATGAAAATGTCGGCATCAAGAAGACCATCCTGTGTCGTGACATACGCATCACTCCGGTTCTTCTTGTTCACCCGGAGAATGCCAGATACCAGCTGGCCATCTCCGAGAAGGGCAGGCAGTGTGGCTTGCGGCAAATATGGAGTAAAGAGTGTCTTCCGTTGCTGCTGCTGCTGTTGTTGCTGAGGCGGTAGTTGTGCCGCATGTTGGCTTCCCTGGAGGCCAACAAATCCTTGATTGCCCATCTGGGCAGCTTGCAGGGCCTGTAGTTGATTTATTTGCACGGCACTAAGCTGCTGTCCGGGATAGACGCCTGGAATCACCATCTGGCCAGGCAGATGCATCAGTTGAGGTTGGGAAGCATACTGAAAGGCGCCAATGGAACCAATTGATTGGCCGCTCATCGAGCCGCGGGACCGATGACCCGGCTGGAACCCCCCTTGTTGCTGTTGTTGCTGCTGCTGCTGCTGCTGCTGCTGTTGTTGCTGTTGCTGTTGCTGTTGCTGTTGCTGTTGCTGTTGCTGTTGCTGTTGCTGTTGCTGTTGCTGTTGCTGTTGCTGTTGCTGTTGCTGTTGCTGCTGCTGTTGCTGTTGCTGTTGCTGCTGTTGGGTTATACCAATATTATCCTGCCCTTGGCTTTGGTTTCGCCAGTTCCCATCGAAATTGCGAGAAGAAGTCCGCGCGTGGCTTCCGCTACGACGCTGAAAATCGTGGCTCACGCCTTGAGCTGGATCGGCTGTGAAACTCCCCATGCCACCTCGACCCATCCCAGCACCTCGTCCAACAGCCATACTCTGACTCCGGCCGTGTCCGGACCCACGTCCGCGACCGGAAATTGTGTTGACTGTATTAGATTGGCTTTCAGGATTCGGGGAAGGTGCAATGATGGCAGAAGCGGCAGGAACAGTCTTGGCATCGTCCTCAGATTTATCAACCGTTGAAGTATTTGTTATGCCTGGAGCAGGAAATTGGAATCCAGAAGTTGTACGCTTCTGTTGGGCGATCTCAGCTGCCTTCTTTGCGTCAGCCAAAGCTAGGGAATGTCGCCGTTGATGACCACCGCCAGGCCCACCTCCACCACGGCCACCACGGTTGCTACCGCCCTCTCGGTTATAGTTTGTAGAATTTTCGAAGTTGCCGAAAGCAGATCCAGAAGCTCCCGAGGATGGAGCGGGAGGGGGTCCGACGCCCATGTTCGGAAGAGCGGATTGGTTACGGCGATGCGCGAGAGGTTGGGAAGGCAACGTCATAGCAACGTTTTGCTGTGGTAGTTGGGTTGGAAATTGAAAGCCTGCTTGAGGAGAGATATTCGCCATCGAGGGCTGCAAATGATTGAAAGCGCCTCCTGACCCGAGGCTTTGAGTAGGGGGAAGCATGCCCATATTAACATATTGCTGGTGAGTCGCCTGAATCTGCTGTTGTTGCTGCTGCAGGAGCTCGATCTGCTGCTGAATAGCAAGTTGATCCACTATTGATCGCCAAATCTGTCAGTTTGGCCGACACGAAACAACGGAACGTCACACCACGACGAGCCATGTGCAAGACGCGCAAAAAATAGTAGGTCGTTCACTACGATATAAAGTAAAGACATATAGAATAACATTGTAAATTATATACTTACTGTTCGTATTGGAGAACATGCTCATGAGCGGAGTGAGCTCCGAGGGGCTTCGTCGATGAGCGATGTGAAGTCGTCGGCCGGCTGATCCGGGCACGCCTCCCGAGGCAGGCTTCTGCTGTTGTTCCATGGTGACAAATTGAAGGATTGGAAATTGAAGGATTGGAAATTGGGGGTGGGCAATGTAAATAATGTAGTGCGGGTCAAGACCAGAAGACTTTAAGCTGATAGTGGGAGGGGAAAGGTATATTTTCAGTTATGTGGGTGCTGCCACTTTTTTTTTCTGTTGTTTTCTGTTGTTTTCGCTTTTGTTTTTTACTCGTTTGCAATCAGATGTTCACCGCTAAGACGAGACAAGCCGCCAACTCTGCGGATGACCGGGGATGATGGGCTCTGGGGTAAAGAGAGAACGTTGTGGATGGATGAATCAGGCTGTCTCAATCAAAGACTTGGGGCGGACGGAAGATCATCGGTTCCTCGTTCTCAACAAAGTAACAACTGCGCAGTGTTATAGATATATAGAGAAAGTCAGAGGCCGAGAAAGAGAGAGACGATGTCGAAGGAATGGAGAAGTAGATAATGAGAGAGATTTGGCGGAAGGGAAAGACACAGGGGGGATGGGAGAGGAGAGAAATTGGTGAAGGGTCGTAGGTGTCGTTGTCCCCAGCTCCTGGAGGATTTGTTGGTCCGTTGTTCGGTTGGGCGCCGCACCAGGACAGAAAGCAAAACGCCCCATAATTACAGTTTTAGCCTGCTACAGCACTCCTATTTCACCGCCCGGCAGAATTTGTAAGAAATGTTATATCGGTAGAGCTATCATACTAGTGAGATACAAGCGAAGGAACAGGAGAGCAGTTGTTGCTCAGTTGCGTCGTTGCAGCTCACCGTCCTTCATTTCGCGAATCCTGGTTTCCCGACCTTTTGAAACGGAACGGTCATGATAGAGATCTTTGGGAATCCTGAACCGCGCACACGCAAATCTCGTTCAGATTCGTCCAATTGTGCGCGTCTGGCTGTTTTCGACATGGCCAATTCATCTCCACCTTCTACGCGGCCCCAGAGGGAAACGCCTTCGGCAACTAGAAGCCAGAGACTTCCCTTTACTGGCCTGCCTGATGTATCTGATTTCCTTTCAGACACACGAAACTCACCAGAAGCCCATAAACGCAACTTCCACGACGCCCAAAAGGAGCATCAGCGTGTTCTCGAGGCTGCTCTACACGTCTATGAGCTGCACCAGTTAGCCGAGGCCAATCGTCAAATCGAAGAAGAAGAATTAAGACGGAGTGAACTAGTTGCTGAGGAGGAAAGGCGCATTGGAAATGAGCGCCAGGCGAAGATAAAGCAGCTAGAAGACGAGGCCCGACTGGCAGCACAGAAGGCTGCACCTATACCACAGCCTACAATCCCGGTTGTACTACCGCCTGCAACACTCCAGGCAGAGGCCCACGAAGAAGTCCCAGGAACGGACTCAATAGTGACAGCAGAGGTGTCGGCAACATCGAAGACAGATACTATCCAAGGTATCGAGCCTAACAACGTAAGGCAGGACAATTCTGAGTCTACGAACTCTCCAGTCAACACTCAAGCCAGAGCCGCACAGCTGAACGAGCAACCACCGACTCAAGTGCAGTCCTCCTTTCTTCCGCCGAGTGTCCGTACACCTTTCGTTGCAATCGGCCAGCCTGCCGCCGAAAAGACCAACAGCGCAACAGATGATGCAACCCCGTCGTTGCCCGCGGTTCAATATTCCAATATTGACCGCCACATACAAATTCACAAGAACTTAAAAAGCCTTCGAAAATTTGTGGTTGAGCAAGCGAAAACGAATGTTTCCTTGAAGCAACATATGGGGGAAATGAGAAGAGATATCCGAAAATCTTTCGGTCAGCTGACTAGTGGTGGATTGAAGGAGAACAAAATACCTGTAAGACCTACACGCGTGTTAACATCATTCTAGAAAGCGTTTGCTGACGTGGGTCATATCAGGTCGCAAGACTTGTAACGGTTCTTACAGCAGGTCTGAAAAATGTGCCAAGTGAATTGTTGGACCCGAATCAATTTCTCCTAGAGCCACGAAACGCCCCTGTCGAAGGTGCTGCACATAATGAACCCCGACTCCCTTCCTTGTACCTGTACCTTCTCAACATTATGGCAAAAGCCGCCATCTCACAGTTTATCAACGAGTCGGGGGCAGATACTCGAACGGCTGAGGCTATTGGCCAAGCCGTTGTAAAAGTATACTCTGAGAGCGACTTTCTCTGGCGTGGCAAGCCCATGATAGACATGCTCATTGCTAAATATCGAGTCGTCTGCCCCGTCTTATTTGGGGTCTACGGCAACGACCGAACAGAGCAGGGGCGAAGCATGGTAGGGTGGAAGAAAGAAAATGGCAGGTGGATAACCGAGCAGTATCACATGGATCGCATGACCGGCCTGGGCGCCGGCTTTGCGGCCCTGACATTGCGGGACTTCTCCAGAGTCAGACGGCCAAACCCTTGGCCACCGACTGTGTACTGGATGTCCTTAGCCAAGATTGTCAATACACCGCCCGAAGGGATGTCCGAGACGCAATGCTACGTACTGAAAGCGATGATTGCGAACAACGAGGCCCGTTTTATGGCATTTTACGGCAATGCTGCTGTTGCAGCCTTGAGATGTGCTCTTGTGGATTATCCGGCGCGTGCATCCAAATCAACCAGCGGCACAGAGACGCTCAAAGTTCTAGCCAAATCTATTGCTATGAAGACAGGGCTAAATCTAGAAACATTGTGAAGGAGCAAAGTGCGGAAGGCGATATGATGCAATAACTATGGGAATTTGGAGAAAAATATGTATTGAATGGGCGTTTGTTAGGACGGATTATTGCACAGGCTTTGGGTAGTGTGAGCCAAATACAGATAGATACTGTGATGTTATTATTCTTAGACTCTAATTGTAGGCTTGCATGTTTACGTACTTAGCTATTACACCAATGCTCAATGAACTTCATTAAAAAAACAACTGTATATAAGACGTTACGATCTAGGAGGAGGGCGTTCAGGCTTTCATAACGGTGCAAACTGAAATATATTCTTTATATATTATTCGCATACTTGCAAGTCGCATAAGCTCCCGGGCGTATTATAGAATCAGAAGCAGAACTAGTAAAATGATTAAAACAATGACTAAAACTCCGATGCAACAGCTGCTCCATCTGTCTTCATTTCTCCGTATAACATGCTGCAGTTTTTCCATGCCTGTCTGCAGCTGACCCCCTACACGGTCTGCTAGGTTGTCGGCCACCTCAAGCATCTCGTGCTGTTCTTCAAGCTCACGACCCATATCATCAGCTTGTCGGCGCAAGTTGCCCACTGTTTGGAAGACGCCATCAAGATGCTGGTCTTGGGAATGGAGAATCTGTAGCTGTTGTTCCCTCTCAAATTCGGCATAGTTGTCTTCGTTACGGCAATCATTTTGTCCGGCCATGTCCTCGCCTATCGCAAACGAACTTGGATCGGGCAGCATGTCCCCGGGACCTCCTCCGTCTACATTGCCCTTTCGTAATTTACGCGGTGCTTTTTCCAGCACTTCGCGCATATCGTCCACCTCGCCGCCAACATCCTGTACCATACGCTGGCGACGTGCAAGCTCATTTGCATCCAGTCCATAATGTGTCGGGTCCCCTTCAACGGCGCGAACAGAAGCTACCAAGTCTGCGAGGTCCTCAGCCAATGCTGCAAGCGCTATGTCGAGGTCGGCCCGCGCGGATGATAGCTCGGGGGATGTTCCCGCTGTCGTCAGTGATTGTATACGTAAATAGGACGCGAACAGCGGTCGCACAGATGTGAGTTGGGTGAGGACATCTCTGTTCCAAGTAAGCAATTAGCACAGTTTGATCGTCGATTGCCAAAGAAAGAAAATAGTAACGGGGAGGGAAAACGAACTCTTGAACCTGAAGAAACGGGTCGCCATCATTCGTAGAGGCCATCATGTTTTTGGTTGTGATTAAAAGCGCCGGATAGAGCCAAATAAACGACCAGGATAGGGTGAATTGGAGAGCGCAGTATGTATCTTATCTTACATACTCCGTAGTCAGATAAGATAATAATCAGCCCCACTTATCTACATAACGGTGGTATGTACGGAGTAGGCCAGGATGACCAGCCGTTGAAGCTCCGTTTACTACGGAGTACTCCGTAAGATATCTTACGTAAGATAAGATATTATCTTTGGTTAAATATCGAGCCAACTGCGTCGCTGGCTGTACTGGTTAAGAAAGGAACGACTCCTGCTTCACTGAAGTATTTTGCAGTATGCGTGAACAGTGCTTACACTATCTAGTTCTCCTGCTAACCGAATAGACAAAACGGAGAGTAACTTCATCTAAGATTCTTACAACCCCGTTGCAAAAGATAAAAAATACGGATGCTATATCGGCAGGCTTAAAAATGCAGCTTTGCAACTTCCGGGAGTCGAACCCGGAGCCTACGCATGGGAAGCGTAGATGTTACCGCTACACCAAAGTTGCTTCTATATACATGATTTTTGGTATTGATAATTAGTAGTCTCTAAGCCAGTCCGTGATTTGTGCTAAATCGGCCCAAACCCCGCCTTTAATAATCGCCAATATCTTAAGATACCTCCAAATATTAACACTACACTCAACAGCCCACCTTCAAGGTTTCCTTCCAGTGTTCAGAATCATGGCGAGCAGGACGGACAAAATCGAAAAAATCATTTCGCGCATGCAAAAGCGCATCAGCGAGGGCCAATTTTACGAGGCGCAGCAGCAGACACGGGTGGTGGCTGTCCGCCATATTAAAACGGCGAACTGGGCTGCGGCAATCGACATCCTATACAGTGTTGCGCAGTCGCTTCTCAAAGCTGGTCAGGGCGGAAGTGGAGGCGACCTTTCCATCTTTTTGGTAGATGTCTACAAGCAGGCGGAGCTCAAACCTGACGCCGCGAACAAGGGCCGACTGCTCACATGCCTTCGGCTGTTCGACCAAGAAGAGCCGACACGGAGGAAGTACATCGCTGAGATTATAGGGTATGCCGAGTAAATGGAAACCAGTGATGCCCAGTCTATGGCTAACTATATCGGTGAAGATGGTCTGCGAGATTCGGGGCATATCCAGCTGGAGACCCTGAGCTACACCATGTTATCGGCTCTCTCTACGCAGAAGAGCACGAAGCGTACGAAGCAGAGCGTCATTTAGTCACGGGGACTAAAGAATCGCCTGAGGTTCTGGCACACATGGAATATGATTGGTACAAACAAGACGATGCGCACACGGCCCCGTTGTATGCAGGTCGGGCTATTCTGCCGTATCTCTTGATGGCCAACGTGCGCGCTGCCAACCACTGTTACCGGACTTTTACTAGTGCTCTGACTGTCGACAATCCTGCTCTCGCTGTCCAAGACGTCAGCAGCGCCAGTAACGACGCCCGCGTCTTTCCTAGTCTACCCCTGCTCAATTTTCTTGGCCTTCTCCTTCTTGCTATCCAGAGAGGCAGCCCAGAGCTCTTCCGGCAGCTAGCTAGTAGGTACTCTAACCAACTACGAGAAGTCGAATCATGGAGCGAACCGCTTGAACTGGTAGCCGAAATGTATTTCGGAATCCAACAGCCGCGCCAGAGAAACCCGCTGTTTGACATGGTGGGAAATCTGTTTGGTGGTGGTGGCAGTGGCGGAAACCGGCCGTCGAATAGAACACTGCCCAGTCTCGATGCGCCTGCTGCAGAAGGACTCGATTAATTAAGGGAACTTGCATGCTCCCGGAGGATGCGGAGTTACAAATGGCCGTTGACTCTTACCTAGCCTAGGTCATAAAACGATAAGCTACAGCTCACTCTGGACGTTGCATGTCTTTGGCTTCGTATATCCAGTTGTCCTCGAGTAGCGCAGTAACCTTGGCTCTCAAACTTGCCCGTATGGCATCCAACAGCTCTGTTTGGAATTTGTTAGACTAGATTGAATGTCCCAACATTTGGAATGATTTTGCACAGATCTGAAGAGGGTGTGTTACCTTCGGGTTGTCCGGTACTGCTCGTCCGTTGCTGGTGGTACTTAATGGTATCAGCTAGGCGCTGGTTTTCTCCTGAGAACATATATGAACGGGTTAGTATGATGTACTATAAAACTACCATCTTGATGTATACACGAGAGCATACGTTCATTCTCCTGACGCTCGTCAAAGCCTGGGTCTTTTATCTCGTCCGGTGTCGGCGACGGCGGGTCAGTTATTTGAACATCGCCATTGACGTCACGCGCAATGATCTCATTGATATCGTTTTTTTCAGATAATTGCGGGCCGAGATCTGGAACGACACCTCCGTCCATGTTCGGGTAGATGTTGGAAGATGCTGCGGTAGAGGGCAGCATGCCGGATGCGCCTGTCGTTGGCCTGCGTGTCAGGTGGCTCTGAAACAGATTGCGGCGAAGATGGGTACGAGTAGATGCAGAAGCGGACACGGTGCTCCGGCTAAGAGAATATTGTTCTGTCTCGTTTCTGGATGGTATTACACCCCTGTCCTGGTAGGCAGCATGTCTTTCGCCCATTATTATTGAACCTTGAAAAGATACAATATGTCGTAAAGACCGTCATGAAAATAATTTTAGCGATTGATAAACGGCTCGGCAAAGGAGAACAGTCTGTAGCGCCTACATACCAGCAAAACGCAACGGCGCCTTGTGACAAGCTAAGAAGTGGGTCAAAATACGGCGCGCTTCACGTCACGCTTGCGTGAACGCGTTACGCCGTTAATTAGACTTTGCACTGCCCCTCCTACCGTCAACAACTCTATCCAAATATACATTTTTGCCTTGCTGCTACTACTTCTAACACTACATACGAATCACGCTCAGAGCTGGAGGCTTTTGACTTGAAAATGCCCGCCACTGTACTACCCCTAAAGCGTGTCTTCGGCGAAGCTTCCAGCACTCGTCGGGATATTCCATTGTCCCCATCCGCCTCAGTCAAGAAGCGCCGGCTTGAGCTGCCATCGTCAACTCCTTCCAAAAGGTTCCCGAACTCACAGATTGGTGGCCGCTTGAACTCAAGCCAAATAAAAAGCACCTTTGAGTCCGAGGTCCTCGAGAAGCTCAGCCAGGACATATCGGACCTAAAACAAAATAACAGTGAAAGAGACCAGTCTTGGGACCGGCCGTCCCTCCCTGATACCTTCAGCCATAATGTGGATAGCCTGGTATTTCAACAGATTGAGGCCGAAGAGGGCACTATGCATGGTGGCCGCACCACGGTCAAACTTTTCGGCGTGACCGAACGCGGAAACTCAGTTGTGCTGCATGTCACAGATTTTCGACACTATCTCTACGTGGCTGCGCCTTCGTCTTTTGTGCCGTCCGACTGTCAGGCCTTTCGTGCTTATCTAGAAACACAGTTGGCCATGCATCAGAACGCCATTCACTCTGTTCAAATGACGATGCGGGAAAGCATTCTGGGATTCCAGAACAATACACAAAACCCATTTCTGAAGATCACAGTCACAGATCCGAAGCATATTAGCAGGGTACGGTCTCTGATTGAGGGAAGAAAGGCCAACTGGAAGGGATTATGGGGGCAGAGCGAAAATCAGATCATGACTTACGACAACCTCCAATACGTCATGCGCTTTATGGTCGACTCCGACGTAAGTGACCCCGGCTTCGTCACCCCTAAATCGCTCATTTCACGGCGTACGTATGCATGTGACTAACGCGTTGTATATTGCAGATTTTTGGAATGTCCTGGGTGGAAGCTCCCGCGGGAAAGTACCAACTAGTGCCTGAACAGCACCGACAATCAAACTGCCAAATTGAGGCGGAAGTCAGCTGTATCGATCTCATTGCCCACAAACCCGTCGGTACCTGGTCAAAAATGGCGCCTCTCCGGATACTATCGTTTGACATCGAGTGTGCTGGCCGCAAGGGCATCTTTCCAGAAGCAGAACACGATCCTGTCATACAGATTGCCAATGTCGTGACACGGTACGGAGAGAAGAAGCCATTTGTCCGAAATGTGTTTTGTTTGGACAAGACTAGCTCTATCGTGGCGACAGAGATTCTAGAGTTCGAACGAGAAGAGAAAATGCTCACAGATTGGCGTAATTTCCTACTTCGCATTGATCCGGACATCATCACTGGCTACAACATCAGCAATTTTGACTTTCCCTATCTTCTTGATCGAGCCAAGCATCTCAAAGTGGGTGGATTTGAGTACTGGACTCGCATACCCAGCATGAGGTCGCAGTCTAAGGATACAAATCTTTCCAGCAAACAAATGGGCAGTCGTGATACAAAAGCAACGAACATCAACGGCCGACTTCAGCTTGATCTTCTGCAGCTAATTCAACGTGATCACCATCTTCGCAGCTATACGTTGAACTCTGTCTGCTCTCATTTCCTCGGCGAGCAAAAGGAGGATGTGCATCACACCATGATTACAGAGCTGTTTAACGGCACTCCGGAAAACAGACGTCGACTTGCCTTGTACTGTCTAAAAGATGCATACTTGCCACAGCGATTGATGGATAAGCTATCGTGCCTCGAAAATTACACCGAAATGGCTCGAGTGACCGGTGTGCCATTCAACTTCTTGCTATCCCGAGGTCAACAGGTGAAATTTATTAGTCAGCTTTTCCGCAAGGCTATGGATCAAAAGCTTGTTGTCCCCAACGTACAGCCGAAGGGCTCCGAAGAGCAGTACGAGGGTGCCACAGTCATTGAGCCAGTTCGTGGCTTCTACAAAGTTCCCGTGGCAACTCTAGATTTTGCATCTTTGTACCCAAGCATCATGCAAGCTCACAACCTTTGCTATACAACGCTGGTGAACAACGCAGCAATTGAGGCATTTGGTCTGAAAAAGGATGTGGACTACATTGTGACGCCAAACAAAGACAAGTTTGTAACCACCAAGCAACGCAAGGGACTTTTGGCACAAATTCTTGAAGAGCTTTTGGCGGCAAGAAAGCAAGCAAGGAGAGAACTTGCAATGGAGACAGACCCTTTCAAAAAGGCTGTCTTGAACGGCCGACAACTGGCGTTGAAGATCAGTGCCAACAGTGTTTATGGACTGACAGGCGCCACCAATGGTAAATTGCCCTGCCTCGAAATTGCTCGAAGCACAACCAGCTATGGACGACAAATGATTGAACAGACGAGAAATGAGGTGGAGCAACGGTATAGCGTGGCGAACGGCTATTCGCATAACGCACAGGTCATCTATGGTGACACTGATTCGGTCATGGTCAAGTTTGGCACAAAGGACCTCACAGAGGCAATGAAACTCGGTGAGGACGCCGCACAGTTTGTGTCGTCTAAGTTTGCCAAGCCCATCAAGCTTGAGTTTGAAAAGGTTTATTACCCATACCTGTTGATCAACAAGAAGAGGTATGCTGGGCTGTATTGGACAAAGCCAGAAGCTTATGACAAGATGGATACAAAGGGGATTGAGACGGTGCGGCGTGACAACTGCTTGCTAGTGCAGACCGTGATCGACAAGGTCCTGCGAATGATACTCGTTGATCAAGATGAGGTTGGAGCGCAAGCGTGAGTGCAGCAAAGTTGTCAAGTCCCAATCAATCCACCGTTGCTAACAGGATAAAGATATGTCAAGGACACTATTGCCGACCTTCTTCAGAACAAGGTCGACATGTCAAAACTCGTGATAACTAAGGCGCTCACCAAAGAGAGCTATACAGCGAAACAAGCGCATGTTGAGCTCGCAGAACGAATGAAAAAACGGGATGCTGGATCGGCTCCTGGCCTAGGCGATCGGGTGGCATACGTTATGGTGAAAGGTGCCGCGGGGTCCAAAAATTTTGAGCGATCTGAGGACCCGATCTACGTGCTGGAACATAACGTCCCTATTGACACAAAATACTATCTGGACAATCAACTAGCCAAACCTCTGGGACGAATTTTCGAGCCGATTCTGGGCGAGACCAAGGCGCGATCGCTTCTGACGGGAGATCATACTCGTGCTATTTCTGTGGCGGCGCCCACGATTGGTGGATTGATGAAATTCGCGAAGAAGACGCAGACCTGCATGGCATGCAAAAAGCCACTTACTGGCAAGGAAGAAAGCCTGGGGGCAGTGTGTTCGGATGATGCGCCGCGAGTGGGCGAGTTGTACCAGAAGACGCTGGACAAGGTATCAGACCTGGAAATCCGTTTTGGACGCCTATGGACGCAGTGTCAGCGGTGTCAAGGCAGTATGCATTGTGAAGTTATTTGTAGCAGCAAGGACTGCCCAATCTTCTACATGCGAATGAAGGCGAAGAAGGATCTGGAGGACGCCAACAAGGACCTAAGGCGGTTCGATTTCGACGTGGCCGCGATGTGGTAGAGGCTGGGGCTCGGTTTCTGGCTTATGTTTTACCTATAGAATTAGGTTTGGGTGGATCTATACATACAGTTCATACTCCGTACTCCGTACTCCGTACGCCTATGTTAAATTGCACATGTCCAAGATGCGCCTGCGGGGTAAGCATGATATGCTCAGGTGAAAGGATCTTACTGGTGCGTACGGGGAGGCAGTTTTCTGCTAGGACTTCTGCAGCGAATCTTACGAATGTCCGAGGTAATCGTTTAAGGCGCAATGCTGCAATAATTGTAGGGCATCTTTTATGAGTGCTTTTGCTTGTCACGACCCCGAGATCGGCATTAAGCTACGGAGTACAGTTTCAGCTCACAATTTGCCCACCTTCGAGCATCGAAATTGTCCTCGCTACTAACACAGCCCATATTTAACGCAGTACAAAATGGCTGAAATTGACGATAAGTCCAGGCAGCAAGTTCTGCGTCACATGAATGCCAATCACCGTCTCGATCTTGGCCTCTATCTGCGTCATGTCAACGGCCTCTCTGCCCAGCAGCTCGCCGCTGAAGGAGAACCTGAAATGCTGGATATCGACTTGCAGACCATTAGGATTCGCACTGCCACATCTGGAAGGGTCTATGTCATTCTTATCAAGCCGTCGATGACCTCATGGGCCGAATGCCGTACCCGCTTAGTGTCCATGGCGAAGGAAGCCCGTATCGCGTATGGGATCCCTCTTCCAGAATATGACAGCCTCGACAAAAAGCCAGCCATGTCTGTCATCCCCTATCACCTGCCGGTCGGCGCCGACTATGTGGTTCTCGGTGGCGTCGTTATATACGCGGTCATGGCTGTCCTAGTCTTTACAGGCCATGACAACGGACCCGCCAACGTATGGTCCAAAGCCATGACATCTCTAGGTGTCCCGCCTCCTTCTTCAATCACCAGCACCTCGGGATCACTTGCCGTCAAACTCAGCACAACTATAGGCGGCTCGTCCGGCTTCCGTCGTGTTGTGCACGCTATCCTCCGCCCTATGGTCGCAATTCACTTAACAGAAGTTTGGTGGCTGGATCGTACTCGACTGGCACCGCACAAAATGCGTCGTGGCAGCCGAGACTGGATTCTCTGGACGGTATCTACTTTTTGGGAAGGGTTTCGGGCATTCGGTCGATTTGATACTATGGTAGCCGCAAAGGCAGCGAGTGCTGAACCCCGCAAACCCTAAACAACCAGGCAGTTAGAATATAGCGCATTTTCAGTTTCTCCCAAACAACTCGGAGGCATAATAATGCATGAATGAGTACTCCGTACTCTGTACTCTATATGCCTTAGAGCTACTGTCTCGGCGCATACAGTGATAAGTTGGCAGGTTACACCTTGCAGGCGCGATACTTTCTTGTGTGGTATAACTGTATACTCCGTACTCTGTACTATGTATCCGTATGTATGAAGTTACGCTTCCTGCATATTTCCTACTGCGCACAAAAGGGTATACCTTGCGATCCATGGCATGTTGCCGAGCTTCAATTTTCATTATGTTTGTTCCTTTGTACGTTTCCGGTCGTCTATGAGAGAAACAGAAGCATACGACGTAGGTCAAGAATGAATAGCTTTGATCGTTTCAATTGAGGCTGATCACTGTGACGTTCTTCAAGTTTTGAAAGGAGTCGCCATCTACTCCGTATATGTGGAGCCTATGTAATATTACCTAAAAATTAAACTTTCCCCTTTCTTCAAAAAGCGCCGTCGAAGCGCACCTACTAAGATACCTCGTAAGTTTTAGCTTCTTCAAGTGGAAGAGTTCTGGCATATTACGGAGTATCACGGAGGTCAGTGATGGTCACTGATTGGATCGACAGCTATCTAGACCCTTGGCCGCCACAGCTTGGCGCAGATCCTTGTCCGTTTATGTGCAGTTGACCCCAGTCTGACCATTGCGAGCTGTTACTATGTACTCCGTAGTACGGAGTATATAATATTACGGAGCACGAAGTATCTTGGTAGTACTCCGTAGACAGAGTCAGGTATCCGTGCTGTCCGAATCAAATCTCGTGTGAGCAGTGTCTCAGTTGCTCGTGGAGCTTTACGACGTATGGGTTGCATGTGGGTCGCTCCTTCCTGGCCTACAAAGTATCTTATGTGCAATCGGCTGTGACATGTATTTGAACCTGCCCGATTAAGAAATCTAGAAATGGCTGCTCTCCCATAATTTTTACAAATACTTCCTCACTACCGACTTTCTCTCTTTCCCAGCTTAGACTCTTCCCGAATATCTACGCTGTTGTATGTTTGGTCCTTCTCGTCGCAATATTTTCTCACTCTTTTTTTTTGCCCAGTCTTGCGCGCTCGTGCCTAGCCTCTTTTCAAAAAGCTCTCCTTCATTTGATATCAATCTTCTGCCTCGAGCAGTTCGACTTTTTATTTTAGTCGCTAACTTAGACCTCCTTCGTCCTACTCTTCCCGCACTGAAATTCTGTTTCTCTGCCGCTTCCGTTCATCATTTTTATTGATTCAGATCCTACTTTTCGCTGAACACCCTAGTTCAGTCTGAAGAGATTAACCAAACGTAATGTTTGTAAGTAATCCAGTCTGGTACATTTGCTTTGAGCCTGTCAAATCTTTTCCTGTCTGCTTTGGAACGTGAGGAGGGACATTCATGACCTTCCGTTCCACTGATTGCTCTCCGTGTTTTTGTCTGAGAGCGCCACCAGATCATACCACGGTGATCTCCCTATTACATAACATAACTTCAAAGCAAGCATCTGACATTGCAAAGGTTGCGACTACACTCCTTGCGCTTGGCGCAACCCTCGTCAGCGCGGTTCCGTCTCTTGTGGTTAAAGGGAGTCAGTTTGTCAATCCGTCCACTGGAGACCGATTCCAAGTTGTTGGTGTCGCATACCAACCGGGCGGCTCTTCAGGTTACAACCCATCACTCGGCTTCGACCCCCTGAGTGATGGCTCAAAGTGCCTTCGGGATGCCGCTCTCATGCAGATCCTAGGAATCAACGCTATCCGCGTATACAATCTGGATCCAGACTTGAACCATGACGAATGCGCCAGCATCTTTAATGATGTAAGTTTGCCGGACGTTACGGGCATGTGCATTCTTTTGATTGCTAATGATTTCAATGACATAGGCGGGTATGTATTTGATGATCGATGTCAACTCTCCTCTCGTTGGTGAGAGTCTCAACAGTGATGAGCCCTGGACTAGCTATTACGCTGCCTATCTCAATCGGACGTTTGCTGTTGTTGAAGCGTTTCGCCATTATCCAAACACGCTTTTGTTTTTCTCTGGTAACGAGGTGATCAGCGATCTCGACAGCGCCAAAGCCGCCCCCCCTTACATTCGAGCTGTGACCCGTGACATCAAGACATACATTGCTAAGCATTCCGACCGCTCCATTCCTGTTGGCTATTCTGCTGCCGATGTGCGTTCAGTGTTATTTGACAGCTGGAACTACTTCCAATGTGCGGAGTCAGGTGTTGCCAACGATACTAGCCGTGCCGATGTCTTCGCCCTCAACAGTTATAGTTGGTGCGGCGACAGTAGCTTCACCACAAGCGGCTATGATACTTTAGTCGAAGGCTTCAGTGGCACTTCCATTCCCGTCTTTTACTCCGAATTTGGCTGCAACGTCCCCGCACCGCGAATTTTTACCGAAGTTAGCACCATATATAGTGACAAGATGATGCCTGTTTTCAGTGGTGGAGTTGTATACGAATACGCCAATGAGGTCTCCAATTTCGGTCTAGTCAACATTAGCACTGATGGTAGTGTTGACATCCTCCAAGATTTCTATACTTTGCGGGACCGGTACAGCAAGATCGACTTCAAGTCCATTCAGACAACTGTGGCCAACACTTCGACAACCAAGCCTCCTGTCTGCAGCTCCAAACTTATTTCCAGTGATGGGTTTGACAGCAACTTCACCTTGCCTGTTCTTCCTCCTGGCGCACAACAAATCATCGACAACGGCGTCTCGCCGAAGCCCAGCGGCAAAATCATCGCCATCTCTAATTGGAACGTCAAGTTTACAGTTCGCAACCCTGATGGAACTGTTCTGAGTAATCTTTCTGTCAAGCCTATCTCGGGTGGCAAGGCAAATACTCCAGGAAGCAATACGGCGTCCAGTACATCTATACCGACGTCCTCAAAAACCCCGACAGCGTCAATGTCAAGTGGGGCCTCTGCTTCTGCAACTGCTAATGGTAGCATCGAAGAGAATTCTGGCACCGACCGCAGTGTTCCCATGCCAGTTACCGTCATTGCATTCACGGTTTTCCTACCCAGTATTTGGGCTTGGTTTACGTAAGATGGGTATGATGTAAGGGGGTTGATATTGCTGGCCGCGATTATCACATAATCTAGTTGTCGTGTAAAACCCGTGGTTAATCGCAAAGCAGAACTGCATTTTCATTCCTAGATCAGAGCAATCAGATTCAATGTCGGAAAGCCAAGTATCGATTTTTATATGCCATAAAAGTTTTGCTTCGTACATACGCTGTCAATGTCCAAAACACGATTTAAAGATAAGACAGCTATACAGCCGTTCCTGATTACACATTTGTAGTTGGGACCAAAAAAAGCATCGGGTAATATGCACATCTTCAGCTTCATACGTTAACCGTAATACGTAAACTCATACCTGCCTTTTGGGCGGTAGTTCAAATACTAATTGGCAACAGTTGCTGCGTGTGCAAGGTAACACACCCGATTATGTCTCGAGAAACTAGCGAATACTCGTAGCCTAAGCTTTAAATTCCTCCACATTTGCTTCCTCCCACTTGCCAGGGATAAGAGCCAGAGGAACAATGCCAGATACGTGCATTTCGGGACCGAAAATCTTTGCGTTCAACCCCAACTCTTCGGTAGCAGCTTTCATGTTCTTTAGACCTTCCTGGTAGTTGGGTCCCGCACGACGCACCCAAATTTGAACATTGTGCTCGTTTAGCGCCTTCGCGTAGTCTCGTAAAGCCTTGATCACGCCCTTGAAGGTTGATGCCACATTTGTGAAGTTTGCGATTCCACCTCCAATAAATAGGACTTTGCCTTTGTCGTTCATAGGAGCCCGCAGCATCAAATCCAAGACAGTGCGAGCATAGTGATAAGTCTGTGATTCGGTTGGTGCTCCTGAGTACTCGCCGTAGTTGGCAAGCTCGTCTGCGAAGCCGGCCGATGCAATGGCGTCTGCATACACAACCGACGCACCACCACCGGCCACCAGAGTCCAAATACGGCCATTGGCGTTGAGAACAGTCAGTTTGAGCGAGGCACCCGTCTTCGCATCCAACTCGGCAATGTATGCCTCCTCCTTTGTCAGCTCACGACCGAAAGGCGCCGGAAACTCCATGGGCGGGCCTGCATCGATGTTGACAGCACCGCCACTCTGAGTCGCGATATTGGTCAAACCCAACGCAGCAGGTGACCGAGCAATAGCCCATTTCACTCCACACTCAAAATCGGCCGTCTGGTCCAGCTTCGCTGCGAGGTCTAAGAAATGGACAGCGGCCGACGTAGCATCCTCGTTTGGAACGACCACGAGAGGGTTGATCTCCAGATACGTGAATTGGCAGTCAACATAGACCGCGTATAAACGAGTGATGAAATCGACCAGGACACTATGCAGGCCTTCGGGAATGTTTTTAAGCAGGGTAGAAGCTATCTCCTCATTCGACGGGTAGTCAGAGAGGTCAACGGGAATCAGAAGCTTCTCGGCTTTCGCATCGACATCACCAACATCGACACCACCTTCGTGTGTGAAGAGTATCCAATCTCCCTAAAGATTCATGAAATAATTAGTGACCCGTTTTGGTATCGTAGCGCTTGGTGCTTGGTGTGGGTGTAAGGAATGGATATGTGTTAGTGCAGCAGGAGCCAGATCCGGGGCAAATCGATCCCAGTTTAGCCTCCGTTCGTCCGGGCCCGTGACTTCGGACAAATTCGCTGCTCGCTTTCATAAAAGGGGATATGCCACACGAGAGAACCCATGACCCCAAATCCTTTTGCTCTTTTATCTTTTCTGGCATTCTCCCCTTTCTTTCTGCGTTCGCACCCATTTCTTCCCTACACCCGACATCCAATCGAGCCTTGTTTTTACTACCAACGACCAAAAGCAATAAAGGGGAGGAAAGGCGGAACTGTTCAAAGGGAACGCCAGCACTCACATCGCGGACAGAGTTGATGTTGATGTAGTACTCTTCGTTTTGCTGGTGGGGAACAAACGGCTCAACAAGGAAGTGTCGCAAAACACCGTGAGTGTTTTCCACCTTTTGGACCTTACCAGCCAGCACTGCAATCCAAGCACGGGCGTCGGACCAGTTCTTATTGAGAGCGAGGAGGCCGCTTTTCCCCCGTCTCTTGATCAGTTGGTCAGGCTTCGCAACAAACTTGGCACTGGACTGCAACAGCCACGGGTAGGTGACTTCGGCCTGATCCAAGACCGACTCAACGCTTTCATCTTCGGGAAAATGCAGCGAGGCCAATCTCGGTGGTGGATTGTGCTTCGTCGCCACTGGAAGGGTCGAAGGCTTGATGACCGGAGCACGTGTAAGGTGATAGTTCAAGATGGCTTTGCCGTCGGCCTCAAAAATTGACTTAGCAGACATCTTTGAGATATTTCGAGTCTGTCTTCTGGTTGCAACAAATCCGATGCCCTTTCGATCTGTTCTCGTCACGGGAAACCAAGCAGTCAGTTTTCAAAGTTGGAAACTACCATGGCAAAATGAGTTCAGGACGCTTTTTGGCAGAACGAAACAAAGAAGCTTATGGTTCTTTGGACGTACCTATATGTCGAATGCAGATCAGAGTGCGATGTATTTGGCTTTCTTGGGGACGTGGGAAAGAGGGAGACTTGCGATCAAGGCCGAGAACTTTTCGCACGTCGGAAAAAATGCAGCTCTTTTGGCCAAAGGATAAGACGACAACAGGGTCAGCAACGAGACGCCAAATGCAACTCCGCTATTTCTGGAAAGTGCGAGTCAGGAACAGACGCTAACGCGGAGTACGAGGGGGAAGGCGGGACCAGAGGAGACAACGGGGATGATGAGGAAATTCTTTGGGGAAATCCTAAACAGTTGGGGCGGTGAGATATACAGGAAGTACCTGTACATCGATACTCGCATTCCACTTTAGCGCAGCGCGGTAAAGTTGGTCTACGAGCTCAACCTCACACCACCTGTTGAGCATAGAGGGTGGTGGGGCTCGACAACCTAATTGGTGGTCCCTAACGGAGTCATCCAACGACCTTTGCACTCGTCTGCGGCCGGGCCTTCGACTCACATTTCATGTCTCCTATGGTACACAAACGTATGAGAGGAAGTCTTCTGATGTGACCGGAGTGTGCTCCTGGGGTAAACCGCATCGCAGACAAGAGAGATGGACGGCAAGCAGGGCAGGAGGTCTACACCGGAATCCTGAGAAAGCTCAACAAAATGCGACTCATTATCGATTGCGCTTTCTAGTTTAGACCCCACCCTTCCGGAGACTTGTCTGCGATTGTCCGGACTGGAACGATATCGGAATTGGTGAAACTCACTAATCTGGAGCTTTGAAGACCTCGCTGTCTTAGCACACCGTTTTTCTATTTTGTGTTTCTCCCCCCATACGATCAGTATAAACCATACTGGCAGTTTTTAGTTGTCGCAAATTGTCACTGGCTTACGAATTGGTAATTTGCCTAGCAGAAAAACTAAACACGTCTAAAAAGGACTGATCAATAGTACGAAAAAGGCGCTGTACTTCTGTCGTTCTAGTGAATGTCGGTGGTCAGAAGCTGACGGATGTTGCATTTGATCGCTTGCTTCCTTAGAGCTCTAGGGACGATGACTCAACAAAAAATCGCTGGGATTTCCCCAACTTCCCTCCACCTCTGGCTTGCGAGGATAATACAGGCATAAGGGACGGACATTGAAGAGGGGGTTTTACACGAAAAGTCCCAGACCGGAAAGGGGGAAGTTCGCATGAAGTTGGGCACACAACAGCAAAATTACGAGTGCAGTAGGAATGGAACACCTGATTGAGCTGGTCTTACTCTCCGAAGTATAGCTACATACTTGACTAGGGTTGCATCACCGCAAGCTGCTGATCCACCCAACGGCGTCTCTGGCATCTAACCTTCGCTCCGTCTCTTTCCACATTCGCTGAGGCCGCTGCTCCTTCGCTACTTCCCCAATCAACTAGCCGCTTGGACAACAAACTCGCGAAAAATCGAGCAACTTCTAATATCTTGCCAGCGGCCTTTTACCTGGCTCTCATTTGCACTTCGCTGCACAACAACACAAGCTCAAAGCTCAAATCGGGTGCAAAGTGAAATACGCAGAAAGCATCTATACAAAACACCGAAAGTATAACAGGTAAGCGATATATGAGCTAGAACATGTTCGGATCTATTTTCCCGTGTGAACACTTCGCCTCGATTTTGAAAATAGTTCGGGCGATCTGACATTTTTTCTTTTTAGGACATTTTTTTACCGTTTCACTCACAAGTCTACTTCCCTGATTACAGGACCACTGTTGCAATCATGCCTGCCGCTACTGTGACTCCTGCGAATGGCTCGAAGACACCGGTCGGGTTGTCGGCAAACGACAAGATTACTCGTTTTGCAGCACCTAGCCGCCCTCTGAGCCCTCTCCCGTCCCACGCGCTCTTTAACAACAAAACGCGATGCTTGGTATACGGCCTACAGCCCCGCGCAGTTCAGGGTATGCTTGACTTCGATTTTATTTGCAAGCGCCCTACGCCATCTGTTGCCGGCATTGTCTACACATTTGGTGGCCAGTTTGTCAGTAAGATGTACTGGGGCACCAGCGAAACTCTGTTGCCTGTCTACCAGGAGGTTTCAAAGGCCGTTGAGAAGCACCCGGACGTTGATGTGGTTGTGAACTTTGCATCGTCCCGCAGCGTGTACAGCTCCACGTTGGAGCTCATGGAGTACTCGCAAATCAAGACCATTGCCATCATTGCTGAGGGAGTTCCGGAAAGGGTACGTTATGCTTATATGTCTCGCTATGGCACTTTTTACTGACTAGTTATTTTTTTGTACAGCGAGCTCGCGAGATCGCTCATATTGCAAACAAGAAGGGCATTACCATTATTGGTCCGGCCACTGTCGGTGGCATCAAGCCCGGGTGCTTCAAAATTGGTAACACGGGTGGCATGATGGACAATATCGTGGCCTCGAAGCTCTATCGGAAGGGTTCCGTTGGCTACGTTTCCAAATCTGGCGGCATGTCCAACGAGCTCAACAATATCATTGCACAGAACACCGATGGTGTATATGAGGGTGTCGCTATTGGTGGCGACAGATATCCCGGCACTACCTTCATTGATCACATGCTGCGCTATCAAGCCGACCCAGACTGCAAGATCCTTGTGCTTCTTGGAGAGGTTGGCGGTGTTGAAGAGTACAAAGTCATCGATGCCGTCAAGCAAGGAATCATCACAAAGCCAATTGTGGCTTGGGCTATCGGCACTTGTGCCAGTATGTTCAAGACGGAGGTCCAGTTCGGCCATGCGGGCTCTTTTGCCAACTCTCAACTGGAAACAGCGGCCATGAAGAATAAACAGATGCGAGACGCAGGCTTCTTCGTTCCAACTACGTTCGAAGATATGCCGACAGTGCTTAAATCTGTCTACGAAAAGCTGGTGAAGGATGGTACCATCCATCCAAGTGCTGAGCCGGCAGTCCCTAAAATCCCAATCGACTACTCGTGGGCTCAGGAGCTTGGCCTTATTCGCAAGCCTGCTGCATTCATCTCTACGATCTCTGATGATCGCGGTCAGGAGCTTCTGTACGCCGGAATGCCCATCTCGGATGTGTTTAAGGAGGATATTGGCATTGGTGGTGTAATGTCATTGCTATGGTTTCGCCGCCGGCTACCAACCTACGCATCCAAATTTCTGGAGATGGTCCTCATGCTCACTGCCGACCATGGCCCGGCCGTTTCTGGTGCAATGAACACTATCATTACTACCCGCGCCGGGAAGGATTTGATAAGCGCTCTGGTGTCTGGTCTGTTGACTATTGGCTCCCGTTTTGGCGGTGCTCTGGACGGAGCCGCCGACGAGTTCACTCGTGCATTTGACAAGGGCTTAAGTCCACGTGAGTTTGTCGACAGCATGCGCAAGGCGAACAAGTTGATTCCAGGAATCGGCCATCGTGTGAAGTCACGCAATAATCCGGATCTGCGTGTTGAACTGGTAAAACAGTACGTGACCGAGAAGTTTCCCAACCACAAGCTTCTGGACTACGCCCTGGCCGTGGAGACGGTTACAACTTCAAAGAAAGACAACCTGATTCTGAATGTCGATGGATGCGTTGCAGTTTGTTTCGTTGACTTGATGCGCAATTGCGGTGCATTCAGTCCTGAAGAGGCTGAAGACTATCTGAAAATGGGTGTGCTAAACGGGTTGTTCGTTCTGGGTCGGAGCATTGGTTTAATTGCGCACTATCTGGATCAGAAGAGATTGCGAACTGGCCTGTACCGTCATCCCTGGGACGATATCACGTACCTGCTGCCGAATCTCACGTCTGGTCCGCCTGGTGCAGAGGGTCGCGTGGAGGTGCAGATGTAATGCGGCATTTTTTGTTTCCTATCGATGTTGTCTACTTTGAGGGATAACGAATGGTAAGTGTCGATTGCTGTTCGATACTTTGAACACAATATATGATATTTGTATTACAACGTGTGATACTCCGTACTACTCCGTACTCAACTATTTGTTTCCTGCTTGATCCTGCTGTTTACTACTTGCCGTGCTGCACGTGACCGTCAGAAATGTCTGTAATTGTGGGGATTTTGGCGGAGGCTCGCCCTGAAAATCCAATCGATTTTTGATCCCGTTCCAGCATAAAATATGGCATAAACGGACATCAAAATAGTTGACCGCAGGCCTTACAATCGAGACCAGGCTTTTGGTAAGAAAGACTCTGCGGAGAGGTTGAAACTTAAGACCATAGCTGACAGTATAAAGAGCAAAGGTGTCGGACGACAAGTAGCGACTAAGTTCATCAGGCAAAGGAACCTATTCCTATCCTGAGCAGTCTTTTTCTGTCTATCATCGGATTACTTCTAAACTATGTCATTCTTTCAAATAACACTTCATCGGTCTGCCATCGGCCTTCCACATCGAACACGAGAGGCTTTGTCGGCACTTGGTCTACGCCGGCGGAACCAAACGGTGGTTCATACAGTGTCGCCATCAACAGCAGGTCTAATTTTCAAAGTAAAGGAGCTGGTAAGGGTGGCTGAGGTAGCAGATGGGCGAGCAGAAACCCTTGCCAAGCTTAAAGCTGCGCGGCGGCCAGACCCGGGATTCGTTATAGACAAGAAACACGCGGCAGATAGGCAATGAACAGAACGAAAGTAGACAAATCATGAACAGAGTGGTTTACTCGGGTGTTGGCACTGGAGCGAGAATATTACGGGGCAATGTATTGCTGCTAAACTACCGTTACCACGAGCGGTGCATGATCAGGATCACGCAGGAGAAAGTAGCTGAGGGTGGCTTCAGCTGTAACCAAGCTTCTCAGCTCGTCGGCTCGAGGTCTTGGTTAAAGGCTGTTTTGCTCCCTCTTTGCCCCTTCTAGCCTTTCTCTGTCTGCCGTCACTAGCTTTGGTTGTAGTATCTTTAGATTCTTTTGTATCTTCATCTTCGTCGGTAGTAGATGGTAGATCGGATGCATCCTACGCGCTCCGGACTTTATCCACGTACTGCTGATTTGGTGTCTCATACTCATTGACAAAGTATCTGGCCATATTCTTGCTCAGCCATGTTGTGAATTTTGTCAGCTCATCTCTCAGCCGGTTCACGGATTGCTGGTCCATGTTAGTTTGTGAGATGAGTTCCGGGAGTGAGACTATGTAGTTAGTGGGATACTCATATATATCTGCAAGGGACAATTGCTACGGCTCAATAAAGACTTGCCTAATAACCGGCAGAGATGCTCAACGCCATACGTGTCCAGGGGTGACTTGTGCTTGCCACCGGATTCCCACAATGCGTGCATTTCAATATATTGGGGGCGCTCAAAACTGGAGGGCGAGTTAGCAAAACAGTGTTGTTACCAAAACAGATAGTCCACACACGGGGTCGCAATAAATTTACCGGTAGAGCAATATACGACCCAGGCACTTGTCAAAATATTCACGCAAGCCGGCAACCGTCTCCTCCAAAATGTCTAAACTTGCAGAGCCCTCCTCCCGATGCGACCTCTCAAAGGACAGGTAGTCATCCAACACGGACTCGGCAGGTACATGGTGTGGTAACGGAACTAATTGCTGGTTTTTCGTGACATTCTCCCAGTCATCTACCAATGCCGCCTTCAGGTGGTCAGGCATTGCCAGTCGAATTGACGGTCGATTATGAAACCCATCTTCCTATGATCTTTGTTAGAGCAGGTTCAGCAGATGCATGGCGATATGAGTCTACACTGAATAAAGGGTGAAGAATTTAGTATTTTGTGAGATATGCCACAATGCTGTTGACATGTGGTGAAATGTTTGCTTTGCGCCCTGATGTACAGGGCTCGCGTAAAGCCTTGTCAGTCCCATCCAGCACTTCTGTGGATATAGATACGATCGGCAATATGTTGAAATGGTCTTATGACGGGCCTGAGTCCACCAATTTTGATTTGCCGACGCTGGCAAAGGGGGGATGATGTACTGCAACGCCCAGAGAAGAAGGTAAATACCAAGCGGGCAGAGCCAAAACGGCAACGGAATCAGGCTAAACAGGCAAGCATCCGGTAAACCACTTACGTGCTCGAGGTCGTAGTCCCTCTGTCGTCGTGGACCACGGGCATGCGCCAAAGATCCTCCGCCAGTCCGCTCTTCACTTCCACGAGCTGATGCAAGCTCCGATTCACGGCCATTGTTGGTGTGGTGATTATGGTGATGGGCGTGTGCGTGGTACTCTCGTCCAGGCCGGTCGCCTGGCGTGACACTCCCGAGCCCGGAACCACCTGTCGTAGCGACTGAAGACAGCCCTGTGGCACCCAATATTGTTCCTGAGGGGCCAACGGCACTCAGTCGTCCAGACGTTGTCTTTTTCGGCACCTTGCTGGCGTTCTTTTGCTGTTGCAGCAGACGGGCTTGGTTTCGCAGCTGGGCAGCTAGCTCGCGGTTTTCATCGTTAAATTTTCGGACGCGGTCTTGGGGTACCCAATCGTCCCATGTGTTTTTCCAGCCCTTGTAGTGGATGCGAAATCGCCAACGCTGTCCATCGCTAGTTTGCTGGACATCAAGAATACGTGCCTCGTATAGCATATCCATGTGAAAGCAGAAGACACGCTCTTCAACGGAAAAAGGTGCATTTGCGTGCTTTGGAGGCATGTTCGTAACAGCTTTATGAGAACAGGTCTATGGCACAGACGGGGACTGAAGGAGGGAGTATAGAGTCGCAGAAAAGGCGGAAGAGGCTGAATGGTGAATGCTTGAATATAACAGCGATAGAAGCTGAGAAACTAGAAGCCTTGGAAGGAAAAAGAAACCCAGGATTGGGAGCAATAGCCGAGTGCACAATCAAGGTTTCGCAAAGCAGGTTAATGATAATATGTTGTCGTCCGCCACGCGATGGAGAGGACAAGTGCCAGGTCATGTGATCGATCATATACTCCTAGCCCCCACCCACCTTGTCGCGTTCAGTAACTAGACACGACATCACAACCTCCTACCCAAATCGATGTCATCCTAGCGCTTTTACGTCTTTTAGGGCCTCATTATGGCTTCAGCCCCTTCTGAATCGTCCATCCTCCACCTGTTTTTGCTGACCCCCGCCCAGCTCCCTGAGGTTTTTTCTCTAACTGACTTTACCGCCCTCTTTCCGAAACCGCTTCAGCGCTCACCTCAGGTGCGCACACTCTATCGCGACCTGCAGCGCCAACGCAATGCTGTCGTTGATGCGATTGCCGCGGATATCAATGCTGAGGCTGTTCATGGTCGTCTGCTTCACCGCCACGCCGTCCGTACCCGCTTGCGCGCTGATGCCCAAGAGGACATTACTGGAGACGATGAACTTCAACTTGAACACATCATAGCAGAAAAAACTAAACCGTTGGTAGTGCTAAAGGTGGCCAGCATGATCTTGTTTCTATAATTACGGAGCTGGGGTCTGCCGTTCAATACCTCGAAACCGACCTACAAGACCTAGACAGCGAAGATGCGCAGTTGCGACAGCGTATTCAACAAACGATTGGCACCCTTAGTGACCTTCGCTATGGGCGTCTTGCTAATCCTCATCTTTGCGACCAGGTGTTGGGGGGGTTAAATCATGTTCAGGAAACTTGTCGCACGGAAATGACCAAGGGTACAATAAGCAAGGCAGCCTGACAGAAGAAAAACATAATTTTTACAGGCATTGTCTTCAGGCGACTGTGAACCGCGGCGCGAGCTCAGAGGATTCCCTGGTAGCTTTGACTGTCTATGCTACTGCAATGGCAGTGTATTGACGCGAAAGCGAATACTGTAGCACAATGCATTATAGAAGGGGCTTCGCAAAAAATCCTTTGTGACCTTTTCTTTCTTTATTGCTGGATGTGGTTTAGACACACAGTCCTTGCTGCCCCTAAGCCAGTTGCATGAACTATTTCAAGTACGACAGCAAGCCGCTGAGACAGCAAGTCAGTATTAACAAAAAAAACAACCGGTTCATTGCGCGGCGGGTGCTGGGGCACCACCAGTAGGTCTGCCAGGACTGGCCCGACGGCCCCTTTGAGACGTTAGTCCTGTATCCTGTCTAGCATTAAGACGAAATCGAATGCTCACATTATTGTCCGGCTACCGAATGAGATAAGAAGCATCATCATCCAGCTTGGAACTACGCCAAAAACCCAAAGGACGTAACCGACAGGAACAGCAATGCCGTATGTAGCAAGCGCGCCATCAAGTGGGTGGAAATAGCTGTCAAGAAGCTCAAACCCCTCTTTGGAATGGCCCTCGTACAATTCTTGGATTGTGTTGCTAGTTGTCGTTGTCAGGTTGAGCCGCTTTGTATAGATATCTGTCTTAGCTGGTTGAGGCAGCAATTCAAAGACATAGAGGTAGCCAGGGTTGGCGGACCAGCTGTTGCATAGAACCGACTGGTCTTCACAGTCCAAGACTGCCGTGTGCGGGCTATCGAGAATAACCGACAGTTTAGGCGCGGCTTCGTTGAATGCGCTCATGATAACATCGCAATGCCCTGCCGGAAAGATCAGTGATATGAAGCGCACATCTATAACAATAATCACATACCGAAACACGTCTTGTTGCCACCCGTAACCAGTACCCACCACTCCTCAGGAGCTGTGGCGTCAGGTTTCACGCGACTGTAGAGTATGTCCTTCCAGTCATCCAGCTTCAGATATTCAGTGGGTCGAGCAACAGTGTTGACTGAGGCCGGTTTTACTGCTTGGTCAGCCGCAGCATCACCCGAGGAAGCCTCGGCTACCTTCGCCGAAAGCGGCGTAGGCACCTGTATGTATGCGCCGACAGAGCCAATGAAGTTCTGAAACTGTGCACGATATTGTGCGAAAGGGCCCTCGCCCTCGGCCGCCATTCCCAGGACCGGGAGAATTAGAAGGACTGAAGTTGTCGGAATGCGCATTGTGCTGGTACTTTGAGTATCTGGCTTGGAAATACAGGACACGATAAAGGGACTAAACCGATAGTAATAACTAATCACTAAAAACGTATACTGACAGATTTGTTAGTGAAATACTTTTGTGAAACGAGGGACGGTGGAATATATGAAAGATGGGTTCGAAAAGGGGAGGATTTAGCATACGTATTCTGTATTATTCCAAAGCTAGGAAGAATGGGTGATGTGCCTTATAGCTCTACGTCACGTGCCAGCTGTTGGTATCTTTGTGATTAGTCCTCACAGCCCCATCTGATTAGCTCCTCTACGGAATACTTTGTCTTTTACGTAGTACGGAGTACTCCGTAATTACGCCCCAGATTTCTGTTTTCATTATTCCGTCCTCCGTACACCAAATTAAACCACATTGAGGGAGTGTTTACGGGAAACTCAAGCTTATGCTCAGCGTTCAGGAACTGTCAACACCATACGGAGTACTGTTTTATCACGTGGGCAGGTGCCCGATTTGACGTGGGATTGGGGACGCGTTTACAAACCAACGACGCCTTGGCAACCCACAGCATGGTTCGTCTCTATTTTATCTAGGTTTCTTGCTTTTTACTTTGTTGTCCAATGCTCATATATCAGAATGGTCCACGAGTCCAAAAACGAAAGCGCTGTCGGATATCGGGTGACTATCTTAGCCACGGCCATGATAGTATAATAGCGACCGAAGCTCAAGAGAGTACTAGATCGGGTAAACGCGCCCGAAAGCAAAAGCCGTCAGTGATAGCTCTGGAGATTGACTCGTTATCTACTTCGACGCGAAGGAGCGGTCGCATTCGAGACGTGAGCGACGGTGGTGGCTTGGAGCACAAAAGCGAGTCAACAAAGAGACCGCTTAAGCAGCACAAAGCACCCAGATCCTCTAACAAAGAAACCGAGGACTCGAGATACACAGGCGAGGAAAAAACAAAGCTGAAACGGCCAGGTCGGCCCCGGAAACTTCGTGGATCTCCCGTATCTGCACAAATGGTAAATGCCACACAAGCAAGCGTCAAACAGCGACGACGGGGGGCATTGCAACGAACGGGGAGCCTAGGAAACAGTGATGAGGCAGTGAGAGACGAGGCAATTGATGCAGGAGCGATACCGTACCGAAAGCTCGTCTCGCACACTCGGCTTATCGCTTTAAAGACAATGGCGAGCAAGTGGGTGCCTCTTGAACAGGAGGCTCTCGCAGCTGTTCAAACAATCCTGGCCGATTGCGCACGACCAGTGCTATCTCACCTTGGTGTTATCAAGGGCCCGAATAGTGAGCGGCGCCAGGAACTGTCCCGTCTCGCTATTTCTGCCACAACGCGACGACTACGGTCCAAACTCGTCAAAGGTATCCCATTCCCACCGCCGGCTGGTCATGTTGGCCGTACATCAAAGGCAGCCAGACGCAGCGGCTGCACACAAGAGTCCGATTTTGACTTTGAACGCACGTTGGAGTGTGTGAAGTCACTCGAACAACAGCTAGACCCACTTCAGCACTCCATTACACTGCTTGAGGAGCAACGCAAACGTGAGGAGCGCACGCTGGAAGCGGACTATGCGGCACTGCGGCAGCTTGAGATCAATGCACAAGCGGAGACACGCACGTGGCGTGATCGGACTCGCCGGTTGCACGTCCTAGCGCCCACCGGTGATAAAGCATCGCAGTCCTTAAAGTTTCAGGCCAATGTAGAGCTATTAGAAAGGCCAGACAAGAATTGCGATGGCGGCATCTACGAGGTCGGTATACCTTCCCTTCCTCCAGATCTGTTTCTGACCGGCTATTCCCCAGGACATCGACAAGGGGTTGTCAGCACTATCCGCACAGCTAGGGAGCCACATGGAAAGCTTGAGGAACAACCTGCTGCAAGTCCAAGACGTGGTGCCAGCTATTGCGCAAAGCAAGGCGGTCCTGCAACAAGCTCTGCGCAGGCATCTGGATGACCGGCAATTCGCGCACGTCGTTCTAGGCAATTGATAGCATCAGCATATGTGGGGTTATGTTTTTTAGCAGCGACTTATTAGAGCCAATTCATTGATAGTTTCCCAGATCTTGGATTGCAGATGCCTAGGGAAATCTTTGTACGTCCATTCACTTGGATTTAATCATTCAAAGTAAGTGCTTTTAGTGCTACTCTTCAAAGTCATCTCGTATCTCACCTATCACCAGCTACGTAATTGCTGTTTGTACGACGTACATATGTACCCGTACGGAGTACCTGTACGTAATCTCGCACTAAAATAGTGGCGACATCCTTGAGTAGTATTTTGATGGCACAATTTATTATAGGTACTCCGTACCATGTCCGATTAAGATACCCCGCCAGAAACTTTTTCGCACCTCAGAAGCTGACCTGCGCCCTCTCACTCTTCGTCCCTTCCACCCCGCAGCGAAGGCATCATCCCACTTGACACACCGCCCGCTGGCTTTTAGATTATATTCTAATAGAAAAAAATCTTCCCTATCTCCTCTTCTTTTCTTCTCTCTTCGTTTTCATTCACCACTCACATCCACCCACTTTCCCCTTCACTATCATACTTCAGTTCACACTGACCCGTCTGCTCCCCCACAGACGAGCTCTCTCGTATGTTTCGGCCCCCTTTCCTTTTCAACTCTTATACGCCGACCTCAAGCTGACTCAATTAGCTACCGCGTCCTCTCTAAATTCCTCCGAGCCCAGCCCATCATGGTTCAATCCGCGATTCTGGGTTTCCCTCGTATGGGAGTCAACCGTGACTTGAAGAAGGCTACCGAAGCTTGTGCGTCTTTATATTCCCCTGACTCACACGCCAATACTCTTCCCTCGTCTATTGCTTTCCATTGAAACTGACCGGATAGACTGGGGAGGCAAGATCACTCAGGTCGACCTGCTCGCTGAGGCCAAGCGCCTCCGTCTTGCGCACTGGAAGATCCAGAAAGATGCCGGTGTCGACATCATTCCCAGCAATGACTTTGCCTTGTACGACCAGGTGCTCAGCCACATCCAGGACTTCGGTGTATGCCTTCCATACCCCTCTTTGTCTCTCATCGGCGTGTTGCACCGTTAATTCTAATGCAATCTCTTTTCAGGCTGTTCCAGAGCGGTACACCAGCGCTAAGCTAAACCCCATTGATGAGTACTTTGCGTTGGGTCGTGGCCATCAGAAGGGTGGTGTCGATCTTCCATCCCTGGAGATGGTAAAGTGGTTCGACTCAAACTACCATTACGTCAAGCCCACCCTGCAGGACAACCAGGACTTCACCCTAGTGGCTAAGCCAAAGGCCGTGGTCGAGTTCCTCGAGGCGAAGGAGGCTGGAATTGTCACCCGCCCTGTCCTCGTTGGTCCGGTCACCTTCCTGCACCTCGCTAAGGCTGACCGAGGCCAGTCGGTTGACCCCATCGACCTGCTGTCCAAGCTGCTGCCGGTCTACGATGCTCTCCTGGCGCAGCTTAAAGAGGCTGGCGCCAAGACTGTTCAGATCGACGAGCCCGTCCTCGTTTTCGACCTGCCAGCAAAGACAAAGGCTGCTTTCAAGACTGCGTATGACCACTTTGCGGCTGAGGCTGCCAGAATTCCCGAGCTCGTCTTCTCCACCTACTTCGGCGATGTTGTGCACAACTTGGAGGCTCTGCCAAAGGACATTTACGCCGTGCATGTTGACCTGGTACGCAACCCTGAACAGCTGGACACTGTTATTGGTGCTCTTGGTCCCAAGACCGTGCTATCTGTTGGTGTTGTCGACGGCCGCAACATCTGGAAGACGAACTTGAAGCGCGCTATTGAAAAAGTCGAAGCTGCCATCCAGAAGCTTGGCAAGGACCGCGTCATCGTTGCCACATCCAGCTCACTCCTTCACACGCCGCACACGCTAGCAAGCGAGAAGAAGCTGGACGCTGAGATCGCCGACTGGTTTTCGTTTGCCAGTGAGAAGGCTGTCGAGGTGGCTCTCATTGCCAAGGCAGTGACGGACGGCCCTGACTCGGTTCGCGCAGAACTGGAGGCCAATGCCAAGTCGTGGCAGGCACGTGCTACATCCAGCCGCACTAACAACCCGAAGGTGAAGGAGCGCCAGTCGCAAATCAAGCCAGAGGACTACAACCGCAAGTCGGAGTTCCCGGAGCGCATTGCGCAGCAGCAGAAGAAGCTGAACCTGCCGCTGTTCCCCACTACGACCATTGGCTCGTTTCCCCAGACCAAGGAGATTCGGCTGCAGCGCAATAAGCTCACCAAGGGCGAGATCACAGAGGCCGAGTACGACCGCTTCATTGAACGTGAGATTGACGAGAACGTTCGCATTCAGGATGAGCTTGAGCTGGATGTGTATGTCCACGGCGAGCCAGAGCGTAACGACATGGTGCAATACTTTGGTGAGCGCTTGGACGGTTATGCCTTCACCACACACGCCTGGGTGCAGAGCTACGGCTCTCGCTGTGTGCGCCCACCCATCATTGTGGGTGACATCTCTCGGCCAGCGCCCATGACGGTAAAGGAGAGCAAGTACGCCGCATCGGTATCCAAGAAGCCGATGAAGGGCATGTTGACGGGCCCAGTGACGTGCCTGCGGTGGTCGTTCCCTCGTGACGACGTGCACCAGTCAGTGCAGGCAGAGCAGCTAGCTCTAGCGCTGCGTGACGAGGTAGTGGACCTGGAGAAGGCCGGCATTGATGTCATCCAGGTGGACGAGCCGGCGCTGCGCGAGGGTCTTCCTCTACGGGCTGGCAAGGAACGTGTGGCCTACCTGGACTGGGCGGTCAAGGCGTTCCGCCTGTCGACGACGGGCGTGGAGGACTCGACGCAGATCCACTCGCACTTCTGCTACTCTGAGTTCCAGGATTTTTTCCACGCAATTTCTGCGCTGGATGCTGACGTGCTGTCGATTGAGAACAGCAAATCGGACGCAAAGCTTCTTAAGGTGTTTGTGGACTCTGCGTATCCGCGCCACATTGGCCCCGGTGTGTACGATATCCACTCGCCGCGTGTGCCGAGTGAGCAGGAGATTTGCGACCGCATTGAGGAGATGTTGCAGTTCCTGAAGCCGGAGCAGCTGTGGATCGATCCTGACTGCGGTCTCAAGACGCGGCAGTGGACTGAGACAAAGGCGGCACTGGTGAACATGGTCAACGCCGCCAAGTTCTACCGGACCAAGTACTCGAAACAGTAAGCAGATCAACTGCGCTGGAGGGCAGCAAGAATTTGCACTCGCCGGTCCGATTGAGTCACGAAGTACGACCATTTGGCTTTTTATTGTCCCGCCTCACGACGAGGCGGATCCGATCTCAACATCGGCGTTTGGACCATTTTGCGGGCTGTTCTATTTTTTGCGGACATTTCTCACGTCATTTCTCATTCCTCTCATTTGAAGCTGGTCACGACCATCGCAGGGTTAACAAAAGCATCCAACCCTTGCGGGGGTGGGCATTCAACACATAAAACACATACAACGCTTACGAAAGATTAAGCAAAGGGAGCTTTTAACAGGTGTTTTAGGGGACATTCCTTCAACCGGATACCCATGGGAGGCGCGGCAACGGGGAGACACTAGGCAGAGCTGCACACTCCGTCAACCATATTGTAATATAAATAGAGACCCAATTCAACTGGGAGACTCGAAGGCCATTTTGTCAGTGATGTACCCGTTCGGAAGAGGATGGAAAGCGGTGAGTTAGCGTATCTTACTCAGTACTGCGTACCTGGCGCCTGTGGTTGGCATACTCCTTGCGAGTACTCCGTACTCCGTACGGAGTACTCCATACATACAGCAGTATTGGTGGCCTGTGGAGTTCTCCGTACTCTGTAGTGCTATACGTCTTGGTGGAAGGCCATGTAAGATACGTCGTAGACACGGAGTACGAGTACATGTTTCATGCGATCAACCTTTAATTTTGAATCTGCTGGCGGTGGGGAGTTTTGGGGCTGAAAGATCGGATTGGTGGTCAGGGTTGGCCAGCAGGAGTACGGAGTAATGCTACATAGTATCGTATGTGGCGGTTATAACTTAGGACGTACAATGGCCAACCAAGTCAAAAAAGCAGTGGAGCTGGAGAGGGGCTGTTTCACTATGAGAAGCCTGTAACCCCGCTTCTTCGTGGAGCAGCGGGACGTTGTACCGTAATTTGTATGAGTCGCCTGGTTAGCCGCTCAGGGGTTTTCGTAGGCTCTGCCTCTTTTCATATGGCGGCGCTTCTGCGTCTTCTCCGAGCCTGTAGGATACGATGTGTGAATATTAAAAGGGGGGGGAGGCCTGTCCGAAGGCCGCTTGATGGGGCGACAAGATGAACATATAAATTGCGCAGTCCTGTTACGACGTACGCGTATCTTGCTGGTGAATATAAACGTACGCGTCACCATGGTGCATGTAGGCGCAGGCATCCTGCTCATGCTCGTATGCTCTCGGCCGGGAGGGCGGCTCTGCGCATGTCGTGGTTGGCAGGCCTCTGTCTGCATGGGATGGGAGTAAATCGTCCAATCTTGTGGGCTGCCGCCAAGCTACGGTCAATGCCTCGTTGCTTCGTCTCGGACTCTGTACAGAGCACTCCGTAGAAGACGCAGAATTATACTACTCTGTGCTATGTATGTGTCTTGCGTCGCAAAACATGAGCAGCGAGACCCTGGCTTGACCCCTTTTTTTTCTCTCGTTTTTTTGCTCATGCAGAATTGCTAGTTCAGCCTCGTGGTTGGCCGTTTGACAAGCTACACGTTGCCTTCTCCCCTTGGCCATTTCCTTTTTGGGAAATAACGTGGATAGCGGTCGCGCCTGCCCCACTTGTATGACTGGTCGGCTGGCCATCCCAGTATGAAAAAGCAACCAGCCAGCTTCTATGGAGTACGTCGTACAGATTCATCTGGTTTCCATCAGACGGCCGAGCGTCCCGTACAAGTACGCGCGCGCTGTCTGCATGGGTCTGTTTGTTTGTGAAATGAGAATAGTGCTAATGCAAGAAGCAGGCACCAGGCAAATCCTGGCTGCATAGGCCGCCTGTACGAGTACGGGTATTGGTAGCCACGCGCGGCATCGTGGGCTTTTTTATTCATCGTGGCCCCCCTGGTGGGCCCCTTATTTTTCCTCACGTTTTCTTTGGATGAGACAGAGGCAGGCTTGTTTGCTCTAACCTCCGGATCAGCAGCCCCCGTTCGTTCGACTGGCGCCTGGCTTAGATCTAAGCAAGGTCCAAGCATGGTGGAACATGCTAAGCCGCCTGCACACCGGTTTCTGGCAGACGGAACACCCGTGTGCAATATTACGTAGGAGGGGGGGGTGTCGCAAGGAGTCGTGGATCGGACGGCAAAATACGCGATTTTGCTGCAAGTGGCTTGACAGGGCTCCCTGTCGAAAGTGCATATAGGGTCCCCTCATCTCTCCTTCTCGTCCTCGTCGCTTTTTCTCTTTCCTTTCTCCTTCCTACCTAACACATCTCGTTCATTCATCCTTTCTTTACCACGCCCGGCAGGTTTCTTTCTTTTCTAGGTATCATACACGACCATTTCGTTCTCTACATTGCAAGTCAATATTTCGGAAATCTACAAAACACCTTTTGGAATTTCCATTTTCAGCTCTTTTCAACACGCTCTCTGTCCAATCTCTCGTTGACGATCCGCTGCCCTCGTCTTACCACACCCACTTGTCCAGATCCACATCTACGCATATCTCAAAAGTATATTCCATCACCATGCAGCTCATCAACGCTCTGGCCGTCGGCCTGATGGCCACCGCCGCCTCTGCTTCGTCCATCCCGCGTGGCAAGCACCACAGACAGATGTTTCGTCGCAGCAACGATTCGGCCGAGGAGTTCACCACTCTGACCGTGTTGACCACCGACATCGTCACCATCACATCGTGCGCTGCCTCCATCACTAACTGCCCGGCTGCCACCGAGACCGACGCTCTGGCAGCTTTGTCGACCGAGGCCATTGTCACCGTCCTGGTGACAAACACGATCGCCCTGACCACCACCATCTGCCCTGTGACTGCTGCCGAGTCCATCAAGTCCAGCGTGATCAGCCTGGCCAGCACCGGTTTGATAACCGGCACCACTCTTTCGACTTCTGACGTTGCCGTGATCACTGCCAGCAGCAAGACCAGCGCCTCTGAGACTGCTGCTACTGCTGCCGTGACTGCCTCGAGCGGTGCAGCTTCTTCTGAGACTGCTGCTACGGCTGTTGTGACTGGTGCCTCCAGCGGAACTGTTTCCTCTGCCACTGCTGGTCTGAGTGCCTCTAGTGGCACTGTTTCGCCTGTCACTGTTGGTCTGACTGCCTCAAGCGGTGTCGCTTCCTCCGAGACTGCCGCCACTGCCGCTGTGACTGGCCCTAGCAGCATCTCTGAGACTGCTGCCACTGCTGCCGTGACCGGTTCCAGCGGCACTGCTGCTCTGACTGCTTCGACCGGCATCGTTTCCTCTGCTACTGCTGCCACTGCTGCCGTGAGTGCTGCCTCGAGCGACACCACTGCCTCCAACAGCGCTTCATCCCCCGCTGTCGTGGCTGCTGTCTCCTCGGGCAGCGTCTCTGGCACCTCTGGCACCGCTGCCGTAACTGCTCCCGGCACCAAGGCCACTTCTGCCACCACCGCCGCGATTGCTCCTGGCACCAAGGCTACTTCTGCCACCACCGCCGTGGCTGCTGTCTCTGGCACTCCTTCTGCTGCTACCGTGACTGCTCCCCTCACCAACAACACGGCCAGTGCTGCCGCCGTCACGGCTGCCACGTCCGGCAAGCTGACCTTCCCCAACACCACGACTACGGCCGTTGGCAGCGATCTGACGACGCTGACCGTGCTCACCACCAGCGTCGTCACCATCACCTCGTGCGCTGCGTCCATCACCAACTGCCCGGCCGCGTCCGAGACGGCTGCGCTGGCATCGCTGCCAGTTGAGGCTCTCACCACCGTCCTGGTCACAAACACGATCGCGCTGACGACGACTGTCTGCCCCGTCACCGCCGCCGAGTCCATCTCGTCTAGCGTGATTAGCCTGGCCAGCACTGGCCTCATCACTGGCAGCACTCTCTCGACTGGCCTCGTTGCCGCTGTTACTGGGGGTGCTAGCAGCAGTGCCACTGCCACCGCCACCGCTGCTGCCGTGACCGGCCCGGCCGCCTCGACCTCGTCGACCACAACCATCACCGCCGTCGTCACCAAGAGCATCATCATGACCACGTCGGCCGTCAAGACCGTCACCGTGACCGCCAGCACCGGCTCCAAGGGCGTCGTCAAGGCCTCCAGCGTCTTCACCACCTTCGTTGCGTCCACCTTCACCTCGGACCTGACCACGAGCGAGGTCCAGACCCTGACGCTGGCGACTGCCATTGCCAGCACTACTGCCGCATCGGAATCGGAGTGCACATGCGCAGCCACGGTGACCGTCACTGCCAAGGCTGAGACCGTCTACGTCACCGTCACGGGCAATGCCGCCGTTGTCGCTGCGGCTGTGGTTCCTACCACCACGGCCGAGGCTGCTGTCGTGGTTCCTACCACTACGGCCGAGGCTGCTGCCGCGTCCACCGACTGCTCGTCTGACGTTGTCATCACGCTGACCCGGACGCCCACCACGGCGGCGGCTTCGGCTTCGGCCACGGCCACGGAAGACTGCCCGTCCGAGGTCATCGTCACGGTTACGTCCACTGCGGCCAAGGCTTCCGCCACCGCGTCCAACTCGACCGTTGTGGCAGCGTCCAACTCCACATCCAAGAAGGGATCCAAGAAGAACGGCCGCTCGCTGCCGCTCTTCTAGAGAACGAACGGATGACCGAGAGATCGTGTTCTGACTGACGTCTCTCCCTCTCCTTCGGTTTGCCTTTTCTTAGTATCATCTCTTGTTCTTGTCTTATACTTTGGAGTGTACGTTGTACGAAGGTTGCATGTGTTTACGCACGGTTCATGGCCAGCTGGAGAAGGGACCACGGGGTCTCTCTGGCCCGGGAAAGTAAATAGAGAAAGCAAAGAGAGCAACTGCCCGTTTGGACCATGCCGCCCCATATGACCAATATGACTAAGCAAAACAAATTGTAAGATTCGCCGCGGAATGGGATGGCACTCTATAAGTACAAGTAGCTGGAACGGCCGTTCTTTGCGGGCCTGTCGTCGTCGCGTCACGCAGCCTCGAGCTCGGCGATGCGGCGCTCTGCGTCAGGGACTTGGCGCAGCAGCAGATCGAGATCGTCCTTTTCGTCCTCGAGCTGCAGGCGACGCTCGGCATCGAGACGGGTGAAGACGTAGTGGCCCTGACCGTCAAACTGCAGGATGCGATTGTGGTACTTCCACAGGCTGCGCCGGTGACTGACGGTCATCAGGGTCACGCCCATGGCCTTGGCCTGCTCGTACATGGTCTTTTCCATCTCCAAGGTCACGCTAGACGTGCACTCGTCGAGGATGGCGTAGCGCGGCCGGTGGTAGAGCAGACGGGCCATGGCGACGCGCTGCTGCCAGCCGACACTGAGAACCTCGCGCCACTCGGCCACGGTGTCCCAGCCGGCCGACTGGCCGGCAACGAGCTCCTCGAGGCTGAGCAAGCGCAGCAGCTGCAGCAGGTCGGCGTCCGTGACGCCTTTGGCCCGCATAGCCCGCAGGCTGTCGGGATAGGTGATCTGCTGGCGCAGAGAGCCGTGCGGCAGATAGGGCCGCTGGGGGATGTAGAAAATGTCGGCCGGTGGCGGTCGGTGGACGGTGCCGCCGTAGACGGGCCAGAGGCCGCCGAGGATGCGGAAGAGCGACGACTTTCCACAGCCGTTGGGACCAACAACCAGCAGGTGCTCGCCGGGCCTCAGGGAGAAGGACAGCTTCGGGACGAGGACGTCGCCGTTGGGGGAGATGATGGGTCTGCGGCGTCAGCAAGAACACAGTGCGAATAGTGCGAAAGAGAAAGCGGCAACTTACACGTCGGTAAACTGGATGGTGTCGCTCTCGACGACGGAGCCACGGCGACGAAGGACGGCGGCGTGGTCAGCGGTGTTGCCGGCACTGCTCGAGACCAGGTTCTTCTCAAAGTGGCCGGCACGCACGTCGGTCATGACGTCCAGCAGCGAGGCCACGCGGGCGGTGTAGCCGGCAAGTTCCATGATCTCGCGATAGGAAAACATGATGCGGCCAAAGGCGTCGGAGGCGGACAGCAGCAGGCGGCGGTTGGTAACGAAGCTCTCGGTTCGATCGGCCATGCTGCTGCCGCTGGCGGTGGAGGCCAGGGCCTGGCGAGCAGCAGCCGGCAGCGGGACGAAGACGGGCACGCTGCAGAGGACCAGGCCGAGGGCTCCCCAAAGATACTTGATGACATAATCCTCCATGAAGCCGTGGTAGAAGCGCTGGCGCAGGATGTAGTTGACGTGCTTGATGAGGGTGAAGTAGCCCTTGTCCAGGGTGTCCTTCTCGGCGCCATGGCCGGCGTAGAGCGCGACCTCCTCGCCGTGGTCGATCAGGCGGGCATGCTGGAAGCGAAATTCGCCCTCGAGCCTCGCCTCGTCGGCGACGTAGCGGCCAAAGGGCGGCGTGAGCGCGCGCATGGCCAGGGCCGACAGCTGGACCAGCAGGGCCATGGACACGACGCCCTCGCCGCCAACGCTGCGCGAGAGCGAGTACGTGTAGATGGTCATGTCGAGCAGCGGCTTGGCCAGGTTGCCGTACAGCTCGGCCAGGCTGCTGGCAAAGCGAGCCACGTCGACGGCGATCAGCTGGTCTGGGTTCTTGACGCGGTCGTCCAGCGCCGACAGCCCATAAAAGGTCATGCGCGTGAGGTACTGCTCGTGGATGTGCTGTGTCAGTCGCGTGCGGTATCGCAGTGCCAGCTGTGCCTGATGGTAGGCCAGCATCGAGTTGGTAAACGTTGCCGGCACCGCCACCACCATCCACCACGCGATGCGCCGCAGGAACTGCTGGCCCTGTCCGCGCACCAGACTCTTGACCAGCGCCCCGTCCATGGCCGCAATCTGCAGGCTGAGCAGTGTCCGTGCCACCAGGAAGGCACTGTGGCTCGCCAGCAGCCGTGCTTCCTTGCTGCGCCATCCTGGCACCACGATGCGCAGGAGCCGTCCGAGCGAGTGGAAAAAGGCCCGGTCCAGCTCCATCTTGCGCTGCCGTCCCCCCCCGCTGCTACCGCTGCCGGCCTCGTCCTCCTTCGCGTTACAATGCCTGCTATCGCGTTCTGACTCTCCCGGCTCGCTGGCCTGTCGCTGCTCTGCGATCGCCTGCCGCACCCGGTTCACCACCGCCACCAGTAGCGTCACGTACACCACCCGCGAGATGCGCGTCCGGTTGGCCACGTACGCCTTGACCAGAGCCCGAATCGCCCAGGCAACCGTGCGGCGGTGCTGGTCGGCCAGCAGCCGTGGCCCCGTGGCCGTCAGCTTGGACTGCGCAGCCATCGGTCGTCGGGAGCTGCTGCGACGCGATGCCTTTGCCTGTCGTATTGCTCCCTATTCGTCCGTCTTGTTGCCGTCATGCACTGTCGTTGGCTGCCTCGTCATCTGCTCTTTTCTCCGCGATGAGCCCTGTATTTTGATGCAAAATGAGAAATGAAAAGCTGCCGGTTGTCCCTTCTTGCATGCCTCCTCCTTCCTTCCTCGGCGTTTGCGTCACTGGCTGCGCCGTCGCCCCTTCCCCCCAGATAGACCAATCCCGCTAGTCCCATTTCCCCAGCTTTTAGCATGTGAGTGTGGCGGTGCTTTGTGGCGCGCATCCATTACTAGTACGGAGTCCTCGTGCAGCTTTCGACGAGCTTCTGCTCTCTGTCATCCACGCTGCTTTGCCCCCGTCATGCCGCCTCCTCTTCTCGCTGTCCTGGCCGTTATGGCACTGCTAGCCGCAACCGGCTCTGCCAATGTCGAGAAGGCCATCTTCCTCGGACCGGCAGCCGCAGCACCGGTCTCCCTCCCAGATTCGCTCTCAGCTGCCATCTCGCATCTCCACCGTCTCACCCCCGACGACAACGACGGCACATGGCGCACACCCCTCTCTGCGGCCTTCCCCTGGGCCACCGACTTCGATGCCAAGAGCACCACGTGGGTCCTTCTGGACGGCCTGCAGCCCGGTCAGCGTTACGAGGCTCGGGTGTGCTGGGCTGCCACGGTGAGTTCCTCTTCCGGGACGCCGCCGAGAGGACGGAGAACTGACCTTGGAAATCGCGTGCTGCAGCAGCCGACGGCCTTTGATGTAGACGCCTTTTCAGCTGACGTCGTGCTGGCCTCGCCGATTCTCTCCAAGTCGCTCACGAGCTTTTCAGACGGCGCCCAGAATGACGAAGCCGCTGTGCCACGCCATCTGCCAACATCCTTCCTTCTCCTTCGCATCGTCGCTACCGCCGATTACGTCGCGGCCAACCGCTCCCTCATGCTTCCCCAACATGTCCAGCCCGTGCTGGCCGATATCATCCTCGATCCCTTTCTCCTCAACGTCCTGCCACGCTCGCTAGCACCAACGGTCGTAGTTGTTCTGCTGGTAGCCGCCGTCAGCGCCGCCCTGTCCCGTCACATTGTCCGCTGGCTGCGCTCTGTAGCTGCGTCGGACGTGATGGCCGCTGCCCGGCAGACCAAAAGCAAGCAGACATAAGCGACACGAAAGAAAGCACAGACAAGTCAGTTATACAGCCCGTATCTACAGAGTCAAGCCTCCTCGCACATAATAGGTAATCACGCTGCTTCCTGAATGCAACTCGCCCAGAAACTTCAAAATACGGTTCAGTCTGTTACCCGGAACAATCTCCAGACAGCCCCTCCTCATAAAAAAGATACTGCCTCTCCTTCATCCCCCATACCTCCACTGCTGGCCCACCTTTCCGCCCTCTGCCCTCCGGCCTCAAAACAGCCTGCTGTGCTTTACGACATCCGCCCTCCATCGGTGATACTAGTACCGTTGCTGGCCACCATACCCGCCTTGGCTGTACGAAGCCTGTGGCAGCGCACCATACGATGGCGCCTGACCACCACCGCCGTACTGTTGCGCTTGGCCGTACTGTGGCGCTTGGCCGTACTGCGGTGACGGCGACTGGTGTTGCTGGTTCTGCTGGTGCGGCGGTTGACCCGGTGGTGGCGGGTAGTATGTCGTCGCAGCAGCACCATACGCGCCGGTCGGGCCTTGTGTAGGAGAACCGTAGCTGGGAGAAGACGGGCCGCTGTACGAAGGCTGCTGCGGGTGCGTCTGGTGGGCCTGGTGTGCCTGATGCGACTGATGCGACTGGTGCGACTGATGCGACTGGTGCGACTGGTGAGACTGGTGCTGGTGCTGATGCTGGTGCTGCTGGTGCTGCTGGTGCTGCTGGTGCTGCTGGTGTGGCTGGCTCTGCTGGTGCTGCATAGGGGGTGGTGGATATGATGGGGCCGTGTTCTGCGACGGCTGCTGCGGCTGTCCGTACGACCCGTACTGTGACGGCTGGCCTGCTGCCGGCGGCGGGGCGTAGGATGGCGCAGCCGTGTGTTGTTGGTAGGACGAGGCAGGTGGTGCCGATGTCACAGGGGCGGCGGCAGACTGCGCCCCTTGCGAGCTGTATGACGGCTGCGACATCGGCTGGTATGATGTGGGCGGCGCAGCGCCCGAGTAGGTGCCGCTCTGACCGGACCCCGAGTATCCGTAGTTCTGGCCCTGGTTCTGCTCTTGTATCAGCCAATATTCATCCCCGGTCTCCTTCGGCTTGCTCGTCGTTTCTTACCTGATGTCCTCCACCAAACATTCCGGCCATACCGCCCATGACGGTCCCTGCCAGCCCGCCGCTCGCGTGCGGTGTCTGCCCCGTCGTGCCCTGGTGGTATGTCTGTGGCTGTGCCTGGCTCGGCTTGCTGCCCGATGAGAAGAGATTGGATGCCAGCTGTCCGACCAGCTTGCCACCGATACCACCGCTGCTGCTGCCGTTCTGCTTCCCGCTACTCCCGCTGCTAGAGTGCGATAGCCCGCTAAGCAGCTGTCCGAGAGGGTTGGATCCGCCCTGGCTGCTGTTGCTGTGCTGGCCTTGTAGCAGGCTTGCGGCAAAGGACTGCAATTTGCGTCGTCGTTAGCAAGAGCAAAATCCGTGTTTTCCAGCCAATGGCCCGAAGCCGCCAAAGACCACTCACACTCAGGCTTCGGTCCCCAGAGGGTCCATCCGACACTCCGCGTGTCCCAATCTCGGACGGCATCACGGGCTCGAGCCGTCCATCTGGATGGCGAATGGTCTGCGAGCCGTCTGGGTGCGTAAACATGGAGCTTGCACCGTTCGCACCGATAGACCCCCCGGCCGGAGGGGCTCCGAAAGGATGTTCTGTTCCGGCGTGGCTAGGCGTCGGTGTACCTCCGGCAAGGGCTGCGTCGGTCGGGACATCCCACTGCGACACGCCCGTCGCGAGCTGCACGTAGTAGTACTTGCGGCTAGCGGCGTCCCACTGGGCAATCCAGCCAGCGGGCAGCGGAGGAGGCGCGAAGCTGGGGCCGTCGCTGCCAGGAGACATAGGTCCGGCCATGGCAGTGGCAAGAGATTCCCGATTCTGATGTCTGGGAACGGGCAGCGGCTGGCTGATGTTGACGCAGTGGCGAGAGCTTTGCGATAGCGACGAGATGCCGACCGAATACAGTTGATCGGGAGAGAATGAGTCGAATAAAAAAGACTAGACCGCGGGCCGGGCGAAGAGACGGACGGGCAGAGGCGAGAAGACAAGGTGAGAAGAAGAACAGGAGAAAAAAAAGAGAGTTGTTGGAGGATCGAAGCTGTTAATTCGCTTGGGCGGCGCAGAAAAGAGGAGGGGCCGGGCCTGAGAGCGAGTAGCGCTGCTGCGGAGTCGCAAAAGTTATAGTCCTGTTTATGTAAGCCACCTAGAGGGGAACGCCGCCCCACCTTCCTCACCTCTCTTCCTAACCTTTCTCTTGCTTCCCAGCGCCGCCTATATGCTTTGCGGACAGCCTCCTCATCACTGCCTCTGCTTTCTACTACGGCGGACAGAACGAGTAAGCGCCTCGCATGGGCACTGCTAAGCGATAGAGAAGTGCAAATGACATCGCAGCCCAGACGCTGTCTGGCTAGCGCTCTGGGAAAAACAGCTATTCCCCTCTCGGCCTGGTGGCTGAAGAGGGGAGGCAGCCAATGCTACAACAGGCAAACTTTCACTTTATGTCGTAGTGGAAATGCTCCTTTGCCGGCCAGTCCGCCGCGTTGGCTTGTTCTATTATCCACCCTTCGTCCCGGCTGTGTCGTGAACGTGGCTTATACAGTCAACTTCGAAACGGCCACGCCGTCTGTCACCTGCTTCTCGCTACTTGCTGCCACCACCTTGCTATCTTCCTTGGTCAGACCCTTCCGTATGGCCAGCACGCTGTCAACTATCACGGCATCGATGCCCTCTTTGACTTGGCGCTGCGTTTTTGTCAGCATATACTGTCACCTCTTAGCAACGCGCAGGCCGTTCACAAACTCACCTCCACCATTTCTGGGTCGTTGTTCTCAGTTCCGTAGCTCACGCACACCAGCCCGCTCTGCTTGACTACCCGCACCAGACGCGGACTGTTCACAAACGGCGTCGCAAGGCTTACGATTCCCAGCAGATTCCACCGCCGCGCAAACCGGATCGCCTCCTGCAAGCTGCTCGCCCGGATGTCGCAAACCTGCTCGCCACCCGCATCCGTGAGGAACATGATGGGGAAATTGGGCTGCTTGAAGGAGAGGCAGAGACAGATGTCAGGATTGAACGATGAGAAAATCAGGTTGCGGCTGCCCGCCAGCTCGTAAACCTTGGTCAGCACCGTGTCACAGAACGAGTTCAGCTCCACGGCGTATGTGTCCATCTCATGCTCCTCGCTCTCGTGCAGCATCGGATACTTCATCTCGATGTTGAACCCTACCGACGCCGGAACCTGGTTAAATAGCTCTTCCAGCGTCGCAAACGGCGCCTGGATAAAGTTGCCGCGCGAATTGGCCTTGAAGCCCTTCTCTTTGAAGTCGCGCGTGTGCTTCATCCGCTCTTCTAGCACCGTGCGTTCGTCGGCCGTCCCACTCAGCGACATCGACATGGCTCGCCGCGGCGGCCGATACGTCCCGCCAACCCGGCTGCGGCCGCCCCTGCCAACACCTCCGTTGATGCTCTCGGGAAGCTGTACGCCGCCTTGTGTGGTGCCGTCTGACTCCCCGGCTGCAGCTGACTTGTTCGCAGGCGTGGTACTCAGCAACGACGCCAAGGCTCCAGCAGCCTTTCCGCTCGTGCGGCTGCCGTTTGTGGCGCCGTGCCCATTCGTGTGGCCGTCACCCTTGCTGCCGCTGCGAATCCTGCCACTGTTAATGTGCAGGAACTGCTCCAGAGTCAGAGTGTGCACAGGAGCATCAAAGCCCGTCTCGCTGACAAGGAAGTCGTGGTAGATCACGGGAATGTGATCCTTGGTCAACTGCACATCAAATTCTACGTAGTTGGCGCCCAGGTTGGCCGCTGCAATGAACGATGGCACCGTGTTCTCGCCCAGCTGCAGCGACCGGTTCGAAGTCATGTTCTTGCCCATTCCGCGGTGGCCAATGACCATTGGCGCCGACGACACCTTGCGCCAATACGTGTGTTCCGCATTCACTTCCATGTTCGGGTGCATGAAAGGCGTGATCACCAGAAAATTGAAGTTGACCGTGCCGATTATTTCCAGATCCGCCGACATGATTGGCACGCACACGTCGCCCTGTAAGTTCATCCGCTTCGAGCCGATGGTCGGCCGCACCGTCGACAGCAGGGCTACGCCTCGTCCGATCTTGTTTTTCTTATTGCCCGAGTATGTGGGGACAATGTCGAAAAGCAGTTTGACGCCGCTCATGTCCTTTGTCGTGAACACAATAGGCTCTGTCGAGATGTTTTCTTGCACTGGGAGATCCACCACCGTAGGCTCGCCCACTGCACCGTGAGCCGACACGACGATCGAGAGCGCCGTGTCTAGCTGTGTGTTGTGCGCTTCCGCGAGTGGAACTTTGTCCAGCTTGACCGCGTCAGTGTTCTTGCGCATGTCCATCGACCCGAGACTGACAAGTACCAGCGTCTCGTCCTTGAGATAGCGATGGCCGTATGTCCGGACAGGTGGCGGAAGCGGCTCCAAAGCCGAGGCAAGGCGCGAGGCACTGTTGGACGTCCGGTCACCCAGCGACAGGTACGCTTCTGGAACTGCCTCCGGAGTTGTCGCCTTGCTGCCAGGTGACGGTGTGGCGTCCTCTAACGACGCCTGGGCTTCTGTTCCCGGGGCCAGCCGCGATGACTCGAGCAAGAGCTTAGCAATGTCTAGATGGCCACGCAGAGCGGCGTGTTCCTTAGCCGTCCAGCCAGACGAATCAACCTTGTCGACATCCGCACCAGTCTCCACAAGCAGGCGTACCACCGACAGATGGCCATCGACGGCCGAAATATGTAGTGGTGTCCATGCAAATGACTTCTCGGGAAGATCAGGAGAGGCCTTCTGCGTATTGCTACCGGCTAAGAGAATCTTCGCACAGCGGTGGTGTCCGAAACGCGCCGCAATATGCAATGCCGTCTCGCCCGTCTCGTCCTGCCAGTTAATATCCACTCCGGCATCGACGAGCGTCTGCACTATGACAAAGTGGTTGTGCTTGGTAGCAATAGCAAGAACGGCGCTGGATTTGGCCATACGCACATGGCTCTTGCTCTCGTTGGTCCCCTTCCAGTCTTCGCTATGCAGAAGCACCTTGGTCGTCAATGGATGGCCGCCAATGACACTGAGATGTATTGGTGCATATCCCTCGTTGTCCTGCCACTCGGGCGCGTCAATTCCGTTCTCAACATTGAACTGTCCCCAGGCCTGCATCCTGGAAATGACAGCCTCGCACACGACGACAAATCCGAACTGCGCTGCATAGTGCAACGGCATACGGCCGAACAAGTCACGTGCCTGAAGCGCAGGCTGCTGCTCACGACTCAGACTGTCTAGCAGGAAGACGAGATATTGCACGCGTGGATCGCTAGCTTCGAGCAGCTGCGATTCAATGGTGTGGCTCGCACGCGGCACAGGCAATGGTGAAGCGGCTGGAGTTAGATATTGCGTGGCATAGTGGTTCGTGTGCCGGAGCTGAAACGGCGTCGGGTTACTGACAGCCTCTTGCTGATGTGCGATGGGAGGTGTCGACTTGCTGCGGCCAATATGAATGACCAAGCGATGGATGCAGTTTCTCTGGTTTATGTCGTCCGGCTCGTCCAGGGAATGCAAATGGCCCAGGAGAAAGCGGATGGTGTCGCGAGAGCGAGCTGAGATGGCCCGCTGGAGCAGGTTGAGTAAGAGACCTTGCGTTAACGGCGAGGTCTGATCCTCCCCGCTGAGATCCACGTGGCCTTCACGAAGACCTGCCTCCAAGCTCCCCAAATCATTGGACCGAATGGCCTGGTCGATCTTATCAAGAAGGGCATTCGAGAGGTTGAGCATGGCCTTGGTCGTGACACGGCCGAGAGAGTGGGTAGAACGCTCGGATCTGGTATCGTCGATCTGATTGACATCGCCTAGGGCTAGGAGCCAGCGATTGACCTCGGACATGACACGAGAAATTGCCGTGTCACGAGCAAAGGGACAGGGATCCACCTTTGTGGCGATGTAGCGGTGTTGGGTAGATGTATTAGGCACCTTCTTGTCGAGCTTCTTGGTGATTTTCACAAAGCCACGGCGATTGATCTCGCCAAACCATTGTAGATTGCGAAGCTGGCTGCGCAGCTCGAGCAGGGCCCCCATGAGCTCCTCGATCTCATCTTGGTCGAGATGGGCAACGACCTCGGGCGAAGTTCCGTAGCGGTCTTGAAGGAGACGAAGGCGGCGGCTAGTGTCGGCAAATTTCTTGTTGTAAAAGGAGTCGACGTCTTCCAGATTCCGGTCCAGGGCGAAGAAAAACTCTGTTCTCAATGGAAATGACTTGTTAGGCTCACGGCCCGGGTCGTTCCAGGAGGTAGAGAAAAAGACACGAGACAAAAGAAAGTTAAAGTTGAAGACAGATCAGGATTGCGCACGGGGGTAAATTTAAACATTTGATGGGACACACGACGGGCAGCATAAGAAGGGCGAAAGGGCAAAGTGATGCTGAAAAGCGCAGCAGAGGTGCGGGATTTCCCACCTGCAAGATCCGCGGTCTCCCCCCTCTCTGCGGTCTGGGAGGCCACCTTGACGAGCTTCTTGAGGCCCTTGTAGTTGATGTACGAGGAAGCCCACTCGGGCACCTGGTTTCGCGGAAGACTGAAAGTGTTAGTGACAAAAGTTGCTCGCGGGTGTGCGAGGGAAGTAACGTACTTCCTTCCAAATTTCATCGTGGCCTATTCTCGTTTAAAAGGACCAATTGTGTGTCGTAAAGTTGGTGTCTGAACGGGCAGCAAGAGCACCGTTTACCAGTCTAGGGCTGTTGATGTCTTGCTCTCTTGTTTTTCCGTCTTAGTCTTTCATTCCAAGCAATTTAATGAGAGAATATACAGCATCCCATGTGTTTCTTACTAGTGAGTAAGAAAGAATCTTTAGTTTTCCTATCGTGTATCAGGAGAAACCGGTCAAGAGCATGTGCAGTCGTTTGGGTAGCATTGACGCCATCTGACTATGGGAGGAGCCGCTTATTTATATTAAGATGAAGCAGTGGATCGGGAAAGCGAGAACACCAAAAAAGAGGGTTAAAAGTAAAGTATTCGTAGACAAGATGAAGGAGAGCCGGCACCGGCAAAAGAGTGACTCCAACCAACTTTGGCCGCGTTCTAGCCTGCTGTTTTTGAGCGGGTTCAGTCAATGTATCTACCTGCAGCAGGCGCAGTAGTGTCTTTGATTAAACGACGCCTGATTAGAGGTGTGAGGATTAGAGCAAAGGGTCTCGAGGGGATCAAGAAACAGCGTTGATGACATGGGATCACAAGCTGTACAAGTAAAAGAGGGAGTGGGGACAAATGAACGACGGAATTTTCAGTTTACCAGTGTACATAAGTTGTGGGTCTACCGTGCAAACTTCATTTGTGCACTGGCGTCGTCACGGAAGCTCGTCCCACGCATGTGTATACATGGTTCTGGTTGGTTCTTGTCGAACACTGTCGTGTTTGGGCTGTCAGTAACCGTGTTCTTTCAGGTGTGAAATTGCCGTTGGCCGATGATTCCTATGCTAGAGTACGAGGTACTTCTAACTCCGTAGAGTCCAACGACCAGCCATTCTCACCGTGCCCATTCCGATTGATGCAGTGGTGACCGTGGACAGGTGCCCCGTCTCTACTGGCCAGCCAGCCGGAACACGCCTAACCATCCCGCCCCGGCAGAGGACCTGTGGTGGGGGGGTGTAGACTAACAAGACGTGGGACTATACTGATCAAGTCTGCTCGGTTGACCTGCTGTGTGCTGCGGAGGGGTAAGATACCATGGGTAGTGGACCAACGGGCCATTTGCAGAAGTCTGCGCGTGTACAGTTGCCAAAGGCGGCGGTGAAAAGGAGGCTAAGCATCAGACAATAGGCAGATCGTGAAGGAGCATCGTGACCATGCTTTTATTTACTTTGGGGGTGTATGGCGAATCAGCGCCGCCCTCATTCACCGCCTGCTATTTATTGTGTTCCATTAGCCAAGATGCTTTAAGCATGGTCCGGTTTTGTCTGTACCTCTTTGTCCTGTCGCTACCTTTAATCGAGCACTATACGGAGTACAATTGCTCGACCTAATTGTTGGGCAGAATGGCTCCGGCCTGGAACAGTCCATAGGGATAACGCGACCCAAATTCTACCCGTACAGCACGCTGCGTCTCTTCTTTTGCCTGTGGGACGGACAGCTCCACTTGTGTCTCGGCGCCACCGTTTCTTTTAGGTTGCTTCAGATCGTGGAGAGCCCTGGCTTCCAGAACAGCATCTAGCGCTACATCCCTGAACATGTTCCTAGTGGCATCGATGCCTGCAGCTGCGTGATCGTCTGGAGACAGGGGGGACAGGAGAATGTGCTTGAACCGATCCTCCAGGAAACCTCCAACGGCTGGTCCATCCACGACAACCATACGTTCCACCATCGATGCCTGCTTTCGAGATTCCGCCGGTGCCGGCGTTGCTGTTTTTCGAGATGTGGCAACATAAGACTCGAACCGAATCATGAACGGAAGCTCGCTTTGCCGCAAAAATTTCCGATATAAATCCGAAATGTCCATGCCGTCAGAGACAATGACTAGGAACGTCTCCATGACATGTGCACAGACTCTGAAGATTGTCCGTGCAGCCTCGTCAATCGTTGTCAGCTCGGCCATTTTTCGGTACGTTGATCGCTCCTGGTCCAGTCTCGTTTGTCGCCCTTGTAGGCTGTCAAATTGGACCGACCACGAACGGGCAGACATCCTGAACAATGCCTCGTCGGTTGTAACGGCGCCCTGCGCCGCAAGTACGATCTGGCGGAGGCGCTTTACGTACTGCAGCGTATCTGACACAAATAGGGCATGAGCGATGCGCTGGCAGTTGTCATCTACCAGGCTGTCGTAGCCATGGCCTAGGTTCTGGTGCTGCGTCTGCACCTGCCCTGACGGCCCAGACACCGATGCCACTGACAGTAGTAGCTGGATCTTAATGGACAGTTTCCTTGCATACCGCTCTTCGCTCATAAGCAATGGCGTAATTCGACTCGCATTCTCCACGAAACCACGTAACAGCACACGCGCTGCGGGAACGTCCACCGCGTCCAACACGCAGTTCACAACCCAGTTCACAGCGCCTGTCTTGATTTCATAACAATCGCTCAGAAAACTGGCAAATGCCACAGCTGCGTGTCGCACCTGGCCCAGAGACAGAAGACCTGTCAGAATGGCATTAAAGACAGGTCCGTCGATCTCTGCTCTTTGCACCACAAACCCGTCTGTGACCGTGACGTCGTGCGTATTTGCCCATCCCATCATATAAGGGCGTGCTTTCATATCAATCAAAGACCGTCGCCGAATCTTCGCTCCACGAGAGTCCTCCGCTACGAGCCGGCGAATCAATTTATAGAACCCAACGAGATCGCCCTGTGCCCGGTAATGTTGTAGTAAGCACACTAATGTCTGCTGCGTTGGCAGCAGGCGACTCTGGTATAACAGGGAATTGACAACCAGCCCGGCCAAGGAGTGCTCTCCGACACGAGTAAACCCCAAAATCAGAGCGTTGTAGTTGTAGATGCCGGGGGGTGCGGTTGAAACAAGCATGTTGTAGCACAACTTAGCTACCCAAAACTTGATTTGCTTCCTGTACCAGTTGTCCTCTGGCTGTCTCCTCCCGGAGAGAAACTTTGTCTTCGACGGGCCGTAGGCCCTTGTGTACTCCCAGTCTTGAAAAATCTTCCTCGTTGCCGTGTTGGCAGCAAGCCGTGCTTCAATTGCAGCCTCTGGGGCTAAATCGGGATGTCGGTACATTGGATATCCATCGGATCTCAACATACGTATAGCCGTCCATGGGGAATCCAAACTTTCCTTGGAAGCTTTTTGCGCCGCGATGTCATCTGGGTAACCTAATCGATTTGCCTCGCCTAAGAGCTCGTCCACGAGTTGATTTGTCGCCTCAGTCATCTTAGTGAACTGAAGCGGCGTCTGTGGCTCCCTTTGCTTGAACGCGTCCGTGCTTGCGTGTTTCTCGTTCTCCAAGCCATAGCTCATGAGCGCATACTCTTCTGCAAGTAATAATGCCTCGATATCGTCCAATCCTGCATTGGCAGCCGGCCGCTGGGTCCACCATCGCCTCTGGAGGCCGAACTGCTCATGCAGCCAGGACGAATAGGAGTTTCGATGCTTCATCTCAGACCCTTGCCGCAATAATTGTCCTGGCGAATCGCAAATGGCACGAAGTCCTTCGACCACCTTGCGGTGAGACGCCAAGTTGATGGAGGTCTCATCCAAGGCATGTCCTTTGCGTAATAGCAGTCCCAGGCCCTCTTTATTTAGCGCGGTATTACAGTCTGCTAACGAAGACTCTCGTAAGACCCGAGCCAAGTCTTCTCGGGCCTCAGTAATGCGTTGATCGAGATCTTTTCGCCGTCGATCTTTGCGGCTTGCATCGGCCAGTGCGGCCGTCGCCATTATGCTCGAATAATATGCAGTGAATATCTCACTTGCTCCTACCCTTCTCTTCCCATTTCGAGTGCCAATATTCCTCGCTGATGTGGTCGGTCGTCGTGCTACCGGCCGGAGATGGTTGTTGAAGGCATTGCTGTGAATCGACCGGTGCAAGCTCCGTCTGCAATTGCCACATATGTGACCCCTAGGGGCCTGTGACCACATGTGCTGCATATCCGGAGCATATCTCCAGTGCTGCTGGAGGCCCGTTGAATCGAAGCAGAGACGTTGCCTGGATATTTAACGGCGCGACGATAGAACGAAAAGCAGCGTTTTCGTCGCATCATGCCACTAGATGGTGGATGCTGCAGGTCCACTTTGAAATACAGTGCAAGCGAACAGTGTTTTTATATTTTTACTGTATCGAATGCTATCGCTTTTTGGGCATCCTCTCTAATATCGCCACTGCATAGGCTTGCCCTTGAAAAGTCAATCACATCCAGAACTTAAGGCCCATCGACTAGCTCTAACGCCCCCAGAGCTTGAACCTCTTCTTTTTTATTACAATGTTCAGTCTCACTCTAACAGCAGAGCTAACCGGGTAGGTTGTATCCCAGGAGGTGCTTCAATCTAATTCGTATATCAAAAACTCATAGGCGTGCTAGTGTCACCAATCTACGGCCTAACGACACAAAGGAGAACCCTTTCTGGTACACGTTTAGGGTCCAGTGCACGTCATGTCGTGAGACGCATCCCAATTGGGTTGGTGTGAGCCGATTTGTACGTTGAGGCTGGCAGTATCCTCTTAGTACAGAGCGGTCCAACTAATGACTTCAGGAAGCCAATGAGATGAGCGGCAGCAGAGGCGAAGCGAATTTTGTTTGGAAGTGCAAGAACTGCAAGGTAAATATATAATAGTAATTCCCTTGAAGCCGTGTGCTGACTGCTATCAGAGGGAATCATCAGCCTCGATCAAAGAAACACCCAAGCCATACGAGCAATCAGAGCCCTCCAAGCCCCACAACGTCATTGAGTTTGACTGTCGTGGGCTTGAATTTACCGAGTTCAAACCCGAGGTAGCCATATCCTTATTTCTGCCTGCTCATGTTGTCTCACTAACACCCGTTGGGGCAAAAGGGAGAGTGGCAGGCCGAAGGACTTGAGTCTGGCACCAAATTTACTGAAATTGACTTGGCGGAAGGTGACTGGTTTGATTACGATGAAAAGTCCGGAGAAGAAGTGAGCATCTTGGGCCAAAAATGGGAAATCCGGCGCTCCTAGTTACAAAACGAGTACCTCTGTCTGTATTCTGTTGATATGTTGTGATTAGATGCGGTTTAGCCTTATGAAAGCCCATGGCTGTATCACGCTCTTCAAATAAACCTCGCTTGCGATTCTGCAGATACTTAGAGACGCAACCGCAGGCATCGTGGACAAGAAGATCATCTGCACAGTCAGCAGCTTTTCATTAGTGAGAGTATTGTTTGGCAAGAGATGTCTTCACGATCAAACTATACGCACGGACCAGTAGAGCACGTGACTTTCCAGTTCTTAGTAGTAGACAACCAAAATGCAGTTTGAATTATTCGTCCCGATGCCTCAACTAAAAAGATCTATCCATGGCTTCCAACCTTTCGCCGCACTTGCAATTCGTTGCAAATGCGTCATATCTTCTCAGACAGTCCGCTCCCGAAACATCAGCCCACTTGATGCGCCGGTATATCGATCTAGCGACTCAGCAGACGTCACAGCAGAGTGCTTCCACGTTGACAGATATACACCGACAACGAATTTGCACCGGTTGCGGAAACATCATGATTCCGGGGTGCGAGAACACGAAGATCTCTATCTATGCAGCGAAGCAGCCGCTATCAGCGAAAGGCGGAAAGCAACGAACACCGCTGCAGGGAGCCAAAGGAGGAGCAGCAGAACCTGATATGAAGCTGAGGCTAGCTCGACGGAATACAAATGACGGCATACGAAAGATCTATAGCTGTGGCCTTTGTGGGAAGGATACCAGAATCGATCTACCTCCACCTGTGCCTTTGCCCAAGCAGAGGAGAAGAGCGGCTTTGGCAAGTCGGGTTGGAGATCGTAAGACGGTGGCTGTTTCGGCGGCAAAGGCAGACATTGTATTATCAACGACCAAGCCTCCACAGAAAACCAGTAAGATCATGGAACCGGCCGTGGCTTTGGTCGCTCCTTCTACAACGGTAGGAGCGAACGCGGCGTCCAATGCAAACAGCAAGAAGCGTGCGAAATCCCGAAAGGCGGGTCTATTGGCCCTTCTCAACAAGAGCAGAGAAAGTGCATCCGGCGGCGGCTTGGACAATCTCAGCCTAAGCTTCGACGACTTCCGCAAAAAGTGACGACGCGACCGCAGGTTCTAGCTGGCCCGCGTTTTCGCTGGGCTTTTCTAGCCGTGCTCAGCAGTGACGGCTAACGCCTGGAAGCTTCGGGAATGGCCCAGGTCCCTAATTTAGCCACACGTGACTCTTAAGAGGGGCAAATATTATCGCCGCAATGACGCTTGGCCAACTTTCTTATCACTTATAAACCCCTCCAAAAGTTTTTCTTTGATAGAAGATTGTATCAAAGACTTGTATCAAATCAGCATCAAGTCAACAAAGAAACTAAACACAGCATACCAACAGTGCATTTTACGATAATGTCTCCTCCAGAAGAGCCAAGGACGACCGGGACTCCTGCACACGAAGTGTTTGGCACCATCGGCAATCAGGCTGAGCAGGTTGCGCCAGCGACAGATGGCGTCGAAGGTGACAATGATCAACGTGTGGTCGAGGAGATTGAGTCTCTCTGCATGAACTGTCACGAGAATGTAAGCTTTGGTTTGATATCACAAGAATTTGGTGGCCTATTGACTGACTGTATGACAAGGGAACAACACGTCTTTTATTGACGAGAATTCCTTACTTCCGCGAAGTCATCCTCATGTCCTTTTCTTGCGATCACTGCGGGTTTCAGAACAACGAAATCCAAGCCGCAGGATCGATCCAACCCCGCGGAACGCACTACGAACTGCGCTTGACGGAGATGGAGGATCTTTCACGCCAGGTCGTCAAGGCAGACTCGGCATCTGCCAAGTTTGTCGAGATTGACGTCGAGGTTCCGGCAGGTCGTGGTCAGTTGACCAACGTTGAGGGCATCCTGACTGGTCTCGTGAGCGACCTTGAGATGGACCAGGAGGCACGCAAGAACGAGCAGCCAGAAGTTTACGAGAAGATTGCCGACGTCCTAGTCAAGGCGAAATCCATGCTGGCTGGCGAGTCATTTCCGTTCCGCATGAGCATTGACGACCCGGCCGGCAACAGCTGGATCGCTCCCGATTTGCATGACGGTGTTGGCAAGTGGGAGAAGCGCGAATATGCGCGAACACCGGAACAGAACCAGAGTTTGGGGCTGGCCGACACTGAAGATGCTGCAGCCGGCACTACCACATCTTCATCTGGTATACCGACAGCTTTTTCGGGATCTGCCGGTGTCATTCCTGTTGGCGGTCAGGGACGCCTGAATCCGGACGACGAGATCATCCTGGACGAGGTGTACACATTCCCGGCCAGTTGCCCCGGGTGCATGCACCCGTGCGTGACGCACATGAAGATGGTGGATATTCCTCACTTTAAGCAAGTCGTGCTGATGAACACGCTATGCGACCACTGTGGGTACCGCTCAAACGACGTCAAGACAGGAGGTGAGGTCCCTGCAAAGGGTAGCCGCATCTCTCTGAAGGTGCTCAACGAGGTCGACCTAGCGAGAGACATCCTGAAGAGCGAGAGCTGCGCACTCGAATGCCCAGAGCTCAACCTCTCTGTCAATCCAGGCACGCTGGGTGGACGCTTCACGACTGTTGAGGGCCTGCTCACACAGGTGAGGGACGACCTTCGCAATCAGATATATCAGACGGGGGCTGAGGTGGGCGCGTCGCCAGCTGGTGCTCCGGCAGCCGGTGGCGACTCCCTCAGCGGCGATGATCGTATGCAGTGGACGTCTTTCTTTGCTGGTCTGGACGAGGCCATTACCGGCAAGCGACCGTTTACGATCGTGCTCGCAGATCCGTTAGCAAGCTCGTATGTTCAGAGTCTGGCAGACGATCCCAGCAAGCCAGACTCGCAGATGACGATAGTCGAATACGACCGGACCGCAGAGGAGGAAGAGGACTTGGGACTCTCAGATATGAAGACTGAGGGTTATGAGGGAGAGGCAGAAGCTGCAGAAGCTGCACATGATGCACAGATAAAGGAGGATGCGGCAAAAGCGGATGCGGCAATAGCAGACGCGGCAAATTAAGGTGGTAGGCTGGAGGAGAGCGATGGAAAAGCCAAACATCCCTGGCCTTTTATGAAGGGAAATCCAACAAACAGAGCGCGAGTTACTTTACTTCTTTGTCTTGTATTATTCCACTGAAATCATTTTAAGATACCAACACGAGAACTTCGAAACTACTCCAAAATGGATAGCCAATGCACGTAACGCCAAACTTTTACGTATATGGGAGACAAGTTGTTGTTGACAGAGTAGCCGATGGCTGCGGCCAAGGTTACGCCCATCTTGGCCGCTGTTGTCCGGCCCTCCAGAGAAGAGGCACGGGTCTGGGTCCCCGGCGCCTGTTGGGATTGAGGCCCAACTCATCGAACAGGTCCTGTTCCGTGCACTCGGGTTTGTGCTGGCACCGGAGTATACCGTAGTCTGACTGGACAAATGGTGCAAAGCATATATAGCACCATTCATGCCCACAGATGCCTGGGGACGATGGTCAGTTTGGGGAGCAGATTAAGGTAAGATTCAAGGCAGGGCAGATCACACGCACAGCTAATATGGTTGCAGCCCGAATACTTGAAGACGGCCTTGTTGCAGCCCGGACACTGCTTGGACGTCTCTTGTACGAATGCCTCCGACTTGCGGTTGTCCTGCCGGCGACGCTGCGTTCGAGCGTCATACTGGGCACACGTTTCGCTAGAATGCCAGGGTATGTTGTGGCGGATGCAGTGAGTGGCCCGACACGCATGGCAGCGGAACTTGGGACACTCCTCTTCGACGGAGCGAGCGCTGGCAGAGCGGCTTGCCGGGCCATGGATCTGACCGGCCTCACATCCGACGGCCAGACACCAACGGAAGTTTGGGAACTCGCTCACCAGGGCTGCCCGCGTTGCCAACGTGTCGTAGCGCTCAAAGACGGATGGAGTTGCGTACAACCGGACATCGGCATAGCTCAGCCGGGCCGGGCACTCGGGACATCGCAGCCGGTTCCAGACCGAGCCCTTCAGGCTTGAGCCAATCCACTCTGCCAGACACGGCTTGCAGAGGGTCGGCGTGTGACGCTGGCTGTGGTTGGCATGACGAAGACATGCAGCCGTGATGCGGTGTGGCATCTCCGTGACGGCCTTGTCCTCCAGGCAGATCATGCACGTTTCTGTCAGCGGCAGCAGCCAGGTCTCGTCATCGGCAAAAGCTTCGACGACGTCATCACGCAGACGGAACTCGACGCTGCTGCCCCATTGCACTTTGCTGCGCTGCCTCGGCGCCTCGCGAGCGCTGCCGACCATCTCGATGTGTCGCGATTTGCACTGCAGCTGGCTTGCAGCGTGCCTGTTCACGCTTTTGAGAAGATGGTCGCGCACCCATTTCTGGACAACGGCCATGGACACTTCTGCCGAGCTGCTTCGCGCCCCGGGCGTCATCTCGTGGTAGAGATACGTGCAACGCAATCCTCGGTCGGCGCCATCGCCGTCTCGGAGCACGCCACCGCCGCCCCGGACGACCACATAGCGCTTGGGCGGGTGTACCTGAACCAGCAGGCAGCGACACAGCCATGCCGTCAGCAGGCGGCCGACCTGCCAGGCGATGCCGGCCAGCGGTTGGCACGGCTGCAGGCCACTGTAGGCAAGGAGGGCAATTCGGTTAGGATCGTCGACGCCGAGTACCGCAGCCAGCCGGGAACGAACAGCCCCTACAGCCAGCTGGCGGTCGGTGCTGAAGATGTCCCGGGCAAGCTCTCGCAAAAAGTCTGGGCTCGGTGCCCTCTTCTGCCTGCCGTCACCCTTGCGCTCGCGATCTCTCAAACTGCCACGGTGACCATTGGAATTCGAGGCAGACGGTGCAGACAACGGTGAAAGCCACTCGACGCGGAATTCCAGGTGCTGGCCACGACCGCGTTCGGCGTCGTCGGCAGCAATGACGCGGTAGTAGAGAGTAGCATCGCGCGGACAGACAGCGCTTACGACATCGCTGGGTCGTAGCTGCTGGGGTCCGGGCGCTCTAGTTCCATTGCCAGGTTTGCAAAGCCAGTATATGTGAAGCAGATCGCTGTCGGCGAGCGGCTGCTTCTTGTTGCGGTTGCGGATGGTGGCCTCAAGCCTGGCTGCAACAGTGGTGGGAGCAATCTCCACATCCAGCTCATTTCGAGTCCGGTCCAGATCGAGGAGCTTCAGCCGGGTGTGTGAAGCTGATGCGTGCGCTTTCGACGTGCCGGAGCGTGGAGACGGTGCGGACCGGCCATTGTGACCCTTGCTACCCTTGCTGTGCTTGTGGTTGTGTGTCTGCCTCGTCACCGCCGCTTTGTGTGTGGCCCTAAAGGGATTGAGAAATGCCACCACTCGGGCGCCAACGGTGGGCGTTGTTGATTCGGGGTCCTTGTCCACGTCCTTCTTGGTCATCTTAGCATGCCCTGCTGGACATAGTCTCACATCATCAGAAACGGATTGCAGAGGATTGCAGCGTTATGCAGCGTTGCTGAGAGGCCAGCACCAGCTCAATGTAAGATAGGGAGATGTTGCTAGGCAGAAGCGGTGGAGACGAAAATGGGCTCTTTGTGTATCACGAGCAATTTTAGACGTGCGTATCGCAGTGAGGCAGGTGGCGAATGGGAAGGACAGGGGCAAACGGGGCTTCTGGCGGCGACCGAAATAGGAGAGAGCAGAGTTGTCTGAGAAAGCTTTTCCGAGATGAACAAGGCTGTGTGGCTATAGCGAGCTGTTGACTACCGCTAAAAGCAGCTTGCATGGCATGGCTTATATATGACCCCCGTCATCATCATTCCACTCACGAACTCTCGCCCAATTGTTATACTTGCACTTGTGGCAGTTTGTACGATAGCATATCACACAGTAGGTTACCCCATTGTGGTGTGCATGGTGGACCGACGGAAAGTGCGTGGCAGCGCCATACTCCGTATATATACGAAGTGCTGCAGCACCTCTCACCCAACAACGGCCCGCCAGGTGTGCCTCGTTAAGACGCTTCCAGCCCGAATGGTAGCTTTCTCCTTGGCTGTCCAATCAAAACATAGCAAAGGACTCCGTTAAATGAATCAAATCGTCTGTGATTGTTCCCAATCGCGTCGCTCTTTGTCAGTGCCTGAAATGCACACATGCCCAAATATGATGGGTAACGAAGCACCGGAGAGCTCGTATTTGGAAATGCTGACAGGGATACCACTTTCTAGACGTCATCACTGACGTATTCGTATTATGAGATACTTGTATATTACCAGGCCCGTTCCTTTTCACCCCGCAAGGACCACTTTTTGAGCCTCTTGCATGTTGCAGCTCGGATCCCAAGACGAACGGCTTGTTGTTCCCCAGTATCACCTGTAGACCATATGCAGATCCTGCTATCTTTATGATTGATCGGCTCCGCGTCGACGGATGTACATTATCGGTAGCTTGAGATATTTTGTTGGCCTCTCATTCAATGAATATAAAATCAATTCTTTCTGTTTCCTCTGAGTTTCATCGAATGCCGACGACCGAGCCTAGGCATGGCGGACAGAACAAAACAGACAAGACAGAATAAAACATGAAAGGCACTAGGCGAAACTACTGATAATGACGGGAACATGCGCTTTGCTGAAAAACTACCATCCTTCTCTTATTCACGCCTATCAACGTGTTGCCGTGATGGGCGTGGGTAATCTTCGTCGTCTTCTCGTCTCCTCGTTGATTATGGGAATAATATCGCGCCCTGGCTGCCATTACATCTGCTAGTAAAGCGGTAAACGAACACAAAAAGCAATTCATTGCGGCACTGCAGTTACGGTGACCGTTATTTTTTGTAGGGGTTTGGAAATATTAGTGTAAGTAGCGCCTTACAGGACGTAGGCGAAAAGGCCGACTGCCACAGCGGCGACACCGCTACCATAGTGTGCCATGTTCGTGGGCATGGCACCAGCCTTGGAGCTCGCGGTAGTCACAGCGCTGGCAGAGGCAGTGGTAGCAGCGGTGGCCGAGTTCGAGCCAGTGGTCGAGGCAGTAGTAGAAGCAGCAGCGGCCGAAGTTGTCGTTCCGCTGCTCAGATCTGCTTTGCTGGGGTCAAGGGTACCGCAGTTGTCCTGGATGTCCGATTTGCATGCAGACTGGCCAGTGGCGTTGTTCGGGTTCTCGCTGACACATTCGGCGTAGGCTTCATTGCAGATGTACTAAAGAGCCAACTGTCAGAGTCCGCGCCGGGAGGCCCGGAAATTGTCACGACAGGATAGTACTCACGGTAGGCATGGTCTGAAGGTAGTACTGGAGGCCGGGCGCGCTTTTGTTCTGGCACAGGCAGGAATAGTCAAGCGTCGTCTTATCGGGACTGAATTAGCTAGGTATGTCGATGAAACACAGAGGCAGAGAGACCTACCGGGTCGCAAGAGTTTGCCGTTGGGCTGTCAGAGCAGAGGGTGGTGCAGGTATTTTCCTGGCCAGCGCACCAGCTCGCTGTTCACACCGTTAGTTGTGACAGAAGAGAGGCAGGGCGGAGAGAGCAACGAACATCGCGTAGACAACTGGACAGAGTTCGGGTCAATCGTGAAGTTGGTCGTGGCTACAGCCAGGCCAACTGCCGAGGCGGCAATGAGAATGGTGTTACGCATCTTGATAGTTGAGGCGGAGGGATGAGTTTAACACTCGGAGCAAAATGACGCAACTTTGTCGAGTGAGGTTGTGTGGGAAAAATGAGGATGTAGAAATCAAAAACAAAGAATATTTAAGAGCGAAAAAGGTTAACGGCTGCTTGACGATGCGTTATAGTAAAATTAGTGACGAGTTGGGCTTAGGTCGCGCCTTCGATATGTTTGCAGAAAAATTGGGAAGGGGTAGAAAGATACTCCGCCAGGTACCGCAAAGGGAAGGAACGAGGGTGGCTGCCGCCAACTCACGATATCAGAGCTGCTCAGCTTTCTCAGACATACAATGTCGTAGCAGCGGGTATTTGCGAAAGGAACCATTCCGTTTCCATACTAGTGCAATGACTGGGAAAAGGGTGCTAATCCGGTAACAGAATAGCTTCGTATGGCCCTTTTTTCGACATGGGGCAGGAGCTATCTTATTGCGTGGCCTAGCAACCCAGGCGCTACAAACGGGGTTACTCGGAATATGCTACGTCTCATTTTTGCCTCCGTTCCTACTCGCTCGTAAGATCTCGTTTTTATTATGTACAAGCGAGGTATCTGGCCGAAAGTTTCTCAGCACATGTTTTTTGTTAGCCAATCCGTACGCTTGATTGCGCCGATCTTTTACAGGACGCCGACACCCGGCGGCCGGTTTAATTCCGACACTTGCTCCCCATCCAGATTATGGGTTATGGATTTCGGAGCACTTCTTTGCTCGTAGCATATACTGTAATCTTTACTCCGTGTGGAGTACGAGTACGGAGACCCAACATAAAACATATTGGAACGTTTCCCGTGCACCCGAAAAGTAATTTTTTGCATGAAATGCTCCGTACTCCGTACACACATACGAGTACGAATATACTCCGTATGGTTCTTTTTGAGCAAAAATGAAGCTATTTTAGCATCACACGACCCTTGCTGTTTCAGGCTAGAGCATCGTAATAAAGCTCTCAAGATCAGTGTCGGCGCGAACATGCAGGTGCCTCCGCATATCCAATTCCACAGAACAAATGTCAATATCTGATTCCAGCCTAGCTGCTTGGCTGGCCGAAAGTTAACAAAAAAGCAACCGAAAAAAAGTACGAAATGACTAAAGTACGAAGGCACAAAAAGGAAAAGGCAAAACAACACACAAGCCCATACAGAATATTGTCCACCATGCTTTGTCTCCTACGAATTGCAAGCCTCAAACGGACCATGCGAGAGCAGTATTCTGTTGCTGCTGAGTAAAGAGGCGAGCCCCATCCCAAAGCCGTCGCTATTATGCGTCAATGAGATTTTCCTCTTCTGCCGGTTTGTCCTGTGCCGGCGCCTTTGCTTTGCCCTTGCGCTCTGCCGTTCTTTGGTAGTATTCGTTAATTATCTTAGTTGGAATCCGGTTGAGCATGTCCTTGCGGTAGATTCGCAGGAGACTCCAGGCCAGGTCCAGAGATTCGAAGATCGTACGAGACTCGTATGCGCCCTGGCTAATGAACGTCCGCTCAAATTTGTCAAGGAATTCCAACGAGAGCTTGTCTTCGGCAGACAGTGCCTCCTCGCCTACCACGGCCTTCATCGCCGCTGCATCACGGCCAATGGCGTATTTAGCATACAGCTGGTTGGACACATCGCCGTGGTCTTTCCGGGTCATGCCCTCGCCAATAGCTGACTTCATCAGACGTGACAGCGACGGCAGCACGTTGATAGGCGGGTAGATACCGCGGTTGTACAGACCGCGGTCCACGAAGATCTGTCCCTCTGTAATGTAGCCCGTCAAGTCGGGAATGGGGTGGGTGATGTCATCGTTGGGCATTGTCAGAATCGGAATCTGTGTGATAGACCCATTGCGACCCTCCACACGCCCGGCCCGTTCGTAGATGGTCGACAAATCCGTGTACATGTAACCGGGGAAACCACGACGGCCCGGCACCTCCTCTCGTGCTGCTGACACTTCACGCAGTGCATCGCAGTAAGAAGAGAGATCGGTCAAGATGACAAGGACATGCTTCTCGAGTTGGTAGGCGTAGTACTCCGCGGTGGTAAGAGCCAGACGCGGCGTAATGATACGCTCGATACTGTTTAGTCAGCGCTAAATCCATATAATATGAAACGGTCCGTAGAACGGGTCGTAGGACGAGTACCAGGTAAGGGCGATCAACATACGTTGGGTCGTTTGCGAGGTTCAGGAAAAGCGTAGTTCGCTCCAAGCTACCGTTCTCTTCGAAATCACGGGTGAAAAAACGAGCTGTCTCCAAGTTGACACCCATGGCACCAAAAACGATAGAGAAGTTTTCCTCGTGTCCGTCATGTACGCCCTTATTTGTAATTCCCTCCCGCTGTACCAATCCAGCTTGACGACAGATCTGCGCTGCAATCTCGTTGTGAGGCAAGCCGGATGCTGAGAAGATGGGGATTTTTTGGCCTCGTGCAATTGAGTTCATTGTGTCGATGGCCGAAATACCGGTCGAAATCATCTCCTCAGGATATACCTGTGAAAACAATGTCAGCATTGTTGTGACAGCCATCAACTCTTAACACACGAAAAACGTACTCGCGAGTAGGGGTTGATCGGGCTACCGTTGATATCGAGGTAATCCTCGGCAAGAACCTTGGGTCCCTTGTCAATGGCCCGGCCAGAGCCATCAAAGATCCGGCCCAGCATATCCTCAGAGACACCAAGCTTGAAGCTCTCGCCGGTAAACTCGACCTTGGTCTGAACAGTAGAAATTTCAATGTTAGATTATTGTCTAGGTGAGATTGAAAGAGGGTTTGGGGCATGTCTTGCCTTCTTGACATCGATTCCAGAAGTACCTTCGAAGACCTATCAACATACTTGTATTAGCAGGGGCAGACAAACATTTTGCAATGGAAGCTTCGCCAGCCGCTCGTACCTGAACAATGGCCCGGTTCCCTGTATTGGAGGAGTATATCAGCATCAGAGCAGCGCCATGCCTAGGTCGGTATTGGTACTAACCTCTAGCTTCGAGAACCTGGCCCGACCGCTCAGTTCCATCGGGAAGAGTGAGATTCACAATTTCGTTGAACCGCGGCGATTTGACCTGTGCCATATCAGTATCAACCAACCAGAAAGCGAATACAATGGCAATTGAGCTGACATTGTCCAAAATAACTAGTGGCCCATTGACACCTCCCACGGTGTTGTAGGTAATCCGAGGCTGCACTGAGTACGACGACATTCGTGGGTCCGCCATTTTGTCAAGACTTGCCTCTCGGGGCGGTAGGTTTGCTGATTGAAATTTGGGACAATATTGAAAAAGGTCGCTAAAGGGTTTACTTCACTCGATACAGAAAGTCCGCATAGACACTTTTGTATGCGAGATGCGGGACTTTTTGATCTTTTAGGTTGAGGGGGAAAGTAAAGCTCTCTGCTTGTTCCAACTAACGAGACAATAGCTCTGATTAGAAATATCACGTGACATCACGTGGTACTACGTTCCTATTCTTATTTATTTAACGATGTGGTTCTAATGCTCTCGCAGTTATAACTACCATTTGTTCCTTGCCAGGCTCCCTGGTAAAGTCTTCCCTTGTCCCTCATCATGTCAACTATCTACGATACCGAACCACAGCCGACAGCTTCTGTCATATTACACACGACAGGAGGCGAACTTGCCGTGGAGATATTTGCAAAACAGACACCGTTGACGAGTCGTAATTTCCTCCAACTTTGCTTGAACGGCTACTACGACAATACGATATTCCATAGGCTGGTACCTGGATTTGTCATACAGGGCGGTGATCCAACTGGGACGGGAAATGGCGGCGAGTCAATCTACGATGGCGGTGCCTTGGCCGGCGATTTGGACCCGTGGCCCATGGACGAACGCCGAGGGCTGAACGCCGGTCCGCAGGGCATCAACTTCAAAGATGAATTTCATTCGCGGCTCAAATTTAGCCGACGTGGTCTGCTAGGAATGGCAAACGAAGGAAAACCTGATACCAACGGAAGTCAGTTCTTCTTTACATTGGATAAGACAGACGAGTTAAACGGCAAAAATACGATGTTCGGGCGCGTGGCTGGGCCTACAATATATAACCTTACCAAGATGGGCCAGGTTGAGGTGCATGAAGGGACCGAGCGACCACTGTATCCCATTGTGATAAAGAATATCGAGATTGTCACAAACCCGTTCACCGATATGCGCAAGCAGGAGCGCGTTGCACGGTACGAAGAGCGGCAAGCTGCCCCGGCCGAGAAGAAAAAGAGCAAGAGGAAGAAAGGCGTCAATAAGACACTGTTGAGCTTCGGAGATGACATTGAAGAAGATGAGGACGAGGTCGAAGTAACACAAGGAAAGCATAAGGTGACTAAGACCGGCAAGAGCAAACGTACGGAGTCGAGGCGCGGCGACGGAGAAACACAGTCTATGACAGTTGTTGGAAAGGCAGATCCTGAAGATCAAGCTGCCGAGAATAAATCGGCATTACCCTCCAGAGCAGCACCTCCTGCAGCAACGCCTGGCTTCAGTTTAGAAGACGATGCCTCTTTGGCAGAGTTGGAGCTTGGATCTGAGACATCGCCAATGGTAAAGTCTGAATTAGATAAGACGAACGCAGAGATTGCAGCTTTGAAAGCATCTATGCGGCGGACGGTGCGCACGGAACCTGCCAATATTCAGAAGACGAAATCAGTCTTGGAGAGTTTGACGCCGGCCAACACCGCCCGGGGAAAAAAGCTAAGCAAAAGCCATGGGCTATCAAGTCATGACGAGAAGACTTTGAAACTACTTGGCAGATTCGAGTCGAAACTTGAGGCCGAATCGGCTAGTCGTGGTAAAGAATCGTTGCCATCGGCGAATCAACTGAAGGACAGCGGGGATGGCACTGGCGCAGAGGAGGAACATGGCGAGGTGTGTGATCTGCACTTCATATCAAATTGCCAGAGCTGTCGACCGTGGGATAGGGATCAGGAGGACAACGGCGATGACGATGACGACGATTGGATGATCCACACATTGAATTGTGAAGCCGATAGACTGGGCAAGGACCTGAGCAACCGGAGGAAGGCAGAAGACGAGCTAATCGTGATTGATCCGCGTGAAAAGGCTCAGACGCTAAAGGAAGAGAAGAGGGCTACACGGGATGCCAGGGGAAGCGACAACGGCCGAGGCGGGAGGGCTTGGGACCAGGCGCGGCATGCAAAGATGGTACACGCCTCGGCGCTATCGGGGCGGGGGGCTAGGTAATACCAGGTGAGATACGGAGTACGTAGCTGATTAAAGCATAGCATAGCCGTTTAATACTATTATGAACAAGGGTGGCTATTTTCGTGTGATCGGGAGAGGGTTGACTGGCTGGTTTGACCGATCTCTACATATATAGAGCGATCGCAATGCTTTGGAGGCTCCTCGTAGTAATTTGGCGCGGAGGTCATGACCCATCTCTGTGCCCACATGTCAGGCTCTCATACGCTGTTCGTGGTCCACAACGAAGAATGACCACGTATTCGACGAGGCTATTCGAGGCTACTTTACTCAAGCCTTACTACCACGCAATCCCATTGGCTAATTGGATTAGTAAGTTGAAGGCTGCTCAGCCACTAACAGCATAAGCATGACTTGATTGTGAGTATACTCCGTAAATATTTTAGAAAAAAAGTTAGGCCCCATCTAAAAATTAGAAATTTTTACGACATGCAGGAAAGCGGGAAACATCCCAGCACCACAACCGATTTGAGGTATTGATTAGTTAATAACGGCGTGCAACCTTCGTCCATTTCGTGCCATAGCCAACAAAGTTCCTGACCGTGCCTCTTCCACCTCGCCGCAGCGACGTGATCAATCGTCGATCGGGCGCGACGAATATATATACATTTCCCCTCGTTGTTGCTTGGAGTTGACTTTCGCACACGCCGATTCGCCCCAGGCGCTACGAGACGACACTATCTTATGTCCGCTGGTTCCCCACCAAAGCAGACAACAGCACTCAGCCTTTCCATCTTTAGTGTTTGGCACGGCAAAAACGGATGCCAACCGAATTTGAAAGATCTGAGAACCCGGAGGTAGATTCAGCTTCATACATCCCGAGAACGAACGAAACTCGATCGGGACCAATTATTCGAATCACTGTTACCGGTAGCACTGACAGCGACACGATCTTGATGCTCCTCCTGTTGTCGTGAAAGCATATTTTTGGGCCTCATTTATCCTCCTGCGATTGCGACTTCCGCCCACTTCCTCCATCAGCATTTTATACGTACCGATCTGTGGACAGCTCTTGCGCGCTAGACTACCGCAACTCTGCCTTACAGGTCGGTTTGCCCCAAGCATCCTATCGACATTACTCCCGAACTCGACAGAACACACCCCCAGTATTGTTGGGGCTTGATCAAGAAGGACGGCCGAGAGAGGAGACTGATACTGGCCATCGTTTCTCAGTCAGAGAAACACGAACGTACGGGAGGCTTTCGTATCGGACAAACACACAAGCACATCGATGTCAGCGCCGAACTCTCGCAAGCGCCCTGCGCCGGGGGCCGCACCCATTTTACCCGTTACTTCAGCGCAGCCGGCTGCTTTCAACACTTCATCACAGGAGCAGCTTCTCAGGTGGCCAAGCGGCATGACGGATCCCTCCGCTTACAGCGACATTACGAGAAATGCAAATACCTTCATGATGAGCGCAACGCCTGGCCAATACATGCAGCAGCCGCAACAACTTCTTCCTCAGCAGAGCTCCCCACAGCAATCTCAGCAGCAGCCTCAGCCAATCTCGACAGCCATTGCGCGACGCCCCCCAAACCGCGCTTTGATCGCGTCTGCACCCCGTCCAACCTTCGACCCTGCAGCTGATGCATGGGCGGCCTTTGGCGATGATCCTACTGCCAATTCCAACGGCGGACTACCTAGCGAAAATGAAAGTATCGAGGTCCTGGAAGAGCGGGCGCAAAGGGTCAAGAAGGAGGCCCAGGCAAAAAGAAAACCTATTCCACCGTTCGTGCAAAAACTTAGCAGGTAAGAAGAAGCAGACACAAAGAAACCGTTGATCCTGTTACATTGGCCATTGGCCAGGCTAACGTGAAGGCAGTTTCTTGGAAGAACAGAAAAATACCGAACTAATTCGGTGGTCGGAGAGCGGCGATTCGTTCATTGTGCTAGACGAAGACGAGTTCGCAAAGACCCTGATTCCAGAGCTCTTCAAACACAACAACTATGCTTCCTTCGTCCGGCAGCTCAACATGTACGGATTTCACAAACGTGTTGGACTCTCGGACAACTCCATGAAGGCTAGCGAACGAAAAAACAAAAGCCCCAGCGAATACTCCAATCCATATTTCAAGAGGGGCCACCCGAATCTCCTGTGGTTGATCAACAAGCCCAAGAGCGGCAGCAAATCGAAGAAGGGCAAGAAAGACGACGGGGACATCGATAGCGACGAGGATATCGGGATTGACGAACCGCTAGCTCACATGCCGGGCCTGAACAACCAGCAGAGTCGCCCCTACGGTCCTGGCAGTAGCGAACTCGGACCGCTGCAGAAGAAGGATTTCCAGACCATCAAAGACGAGCTGAGCACCCTGCAGACGCGGCAGGCCCAGATTTCGAAGGTGATGCAGCGGCTTGTCGCTGACAACGCGCAGCTACAGTCACAGGCGCGGATATTCCAAACTATGCACGAACGGCATGAAAATTCGATAAACGCCATTCTCAACTTCCTCGCCAATGTGTTCCGTAAGTCATTAGAGGAGCAGGGGGGGGTGCAGAGTGTGACGGAGCTACTCGCCAGCATCCTGCCAAACGGACAGATGCCCCAAGGTAGCGTTGTTGATGTCAGCGACGACTTCGACACACAACGAACACCTGTGTCTACCACGATGAATACGCCACCCAAGAGGCAACGGCTTTTGCCTCCCATCCCAAGGCAAGCATCTACATCCTCATCACCATCTCCCGGTCGTACAGGGGCAGCTATGTCTCCGGCACACCAGGCGTCGTCGAGCACCCCGAACTCAGCCCACTCCGGCATCCGTGTTGGGCCCATGGGCTCGGTGACGGAACTGCTTGACACACAGAACGACCTGGGATCGTCCAACTACCTCCAACAAGAGCTACAGACCAACCCACAGGAGGGCATGCTAAAGATAATCCACGACACGAATGCAAACACCCCCACCTCCACGTCTGGCATTGATCTCCCGGAGGTAGCGGCAACCACACCTGTCAACCTCAGCAGCGACCAGCGAAACCGTGTACTTAGCATCATGTCCGGCCAAAATCATGGCCAATCCAACGGGACCAGCATGACAGGAATGTCCACCACGGCACCCCCTCTCACGAGTCCTGGCACTGCTTCCCTCTCAGACCAATTCTCGCTTCCGACAAATTTGGCTGGGAGCAGGGCTTCAGGGATGCCCATCCTAGAACCCATCACGATGCCTCAAATGAATCCTAGTATGGGTAACAGCTTTGGAGGCATGTCTGTGATGCCCGACGCTTATGGAAATGCTTCTACCGAGGGCGTTGGCAGTGGCAACAGTGGCAACAGTACAGCGGGACCATCCTCTTCTGCTGCCACATCGATTTCACCAATCCTATCCCAGATACCAAGTATACCTGCTCCCCCCTCGCTGCATGACATCTCCAACACACAGGCCGAGATAGAAGCTCTCCAGAAGCTGCAGGATGAACAGAATGCAAAGATCACAGACCTGTCTCAACTGTTGGGCCCACTAAGTCCATCTGGCCGAGTACCGGGCATCGAAGAGAGCGAAGGCGCTGGGGGTGGGGGGCTTGGTGGGGGGCAGAGCCCTGGCTACTTTGATCTCGGCCAGTATTTGGACCCGACTGCGTTTGGTGAAGATTTTAATTTCGCAACGGGCGATTTGGGTGGTGGCGTTGGCAATATGACATCAAATTCGATGGGTGTGACAGTTCCGCTGTCTACCGACGATGACTTCAATTTTGGATTTGACGACGCTGTGGGCAAGGTTGAAAACGAGTCGCCAAGTCCTGCAGGAACGGAGGAAATTCCACGGGCAGATCTGACAACAGGTAGCAACAACGAATCGGTGAAGCGCAGGCGAGTCAGCTAAAATCCGGCAGTTTATCCCTCCCCCCCTTTCTTGTTTTATTTGCGAAGAACCCATTTTTACTTCATTGTTTATTACTCTAGTTTTATTTCGTTTACACACACTAAGGCTCAACTTGATTGTTGATATGGACTGGGCATGGGGCGATAGAATATACTGTGCTTCTTTGTTGTGGGGGATGAAGAGGCGGCGAAAGAAGAATGAGCGCCAGGACAGAATCAGACGGGGGGTCGTCACCTTTAACGGTTTTGTTCTTTATTGTTGGGTGTGTTCTTTGGCTGCTTATATACAGGCATGTGCTAGGCAGGGATAGTTGAGTACAAGAGATGACACCCAAAAAAGATGTTACAATGTGTCTGCGAGACAGCACGCATAGTAAGCATGATTCAATTCTGATAACGACTCAATTGGCAACAAAGAGTATGTAATAGCCAACACCCGTAGGTTGTTGAAGTGGTAGCGTCTGTCAATGAACGTGTAGATGACTTGGCTTGTGCGGCTGCTTTGGCCAATGCCCTAACAACTTGAGCTGCCAGTGACGAGGGTTAGTTGCTGCAAAGAAGAAGCAATTTCGCTGTGATCCGTTTATGCTGCACAAAGCGGCAGTCTGTCATTGTGTACGTACGGTATCGTGTGCAGAAAGCAAGTTATGGACCCTACCAGGAGTGAAGTAACAAGAGGGCCGAAGTAGTCCAGAGGGAGGCTTTGAGTTCAACTTCTGTCACGGCCGCGTGGGCTGCTTCAATGTGATAGTATGTGCGTCATTGTATGATGTGATGGGACACGGCGTCTGGTCTCATGCGCAGGCATCTTTGCTTCTGCTTAGGCCTTTTTCCGATTCTTCCATCTCACTTGGCTAGCGGGTTGGCATGAATGGTCACCCGCTCGATACGTGGAGGTGCCTCATCTGGCAACGCCATCTTTGGGCGGTATTTCTTATCCACTGGCACAGCTTCCAGCCGGTCCAGTGTTTCAAACGACGCGTCTCCTAGCAGCCGGCCAAAAACCGTGTTGACACCGTCTAGATGTGCCGCGCGCGCAAACGTCACAAAGAACTGTGACCCATTCGTGCCTCCGCCGCCAGGTGCAGCGCCTCTGTTAGCCATGGATACGACACCACGAGCATTGTGGCGCAGTGCAGGTAGGCGAATCTCGTCATCGAAAGAATGTCCCCAGATAGAAGTGCCCTTGTCCTTGTCCTTTTTTCCATCGCCTTTGTTACCAGGAATTCCGGTCTGAGCCATGAAGCCTGGTACAAGGCGGTGAAAGGGAGAGCCGTCATAGTAGCCCGATGCACAGAGCGCCAGGAAGTTCTATGGAGGTAGTTTAACGCGATGATAAATGAAAAACATGATGCACTGGGACGTAAGTACCTCTGCGGTTTTGGGTACACTTTCACAGAAGACCTCAATCTTGAGGTCTCCTATATTTGTGTGGAGAGTGACAGACATTGCTTCGTTGCTGTTGGTGGTGCGCCTTTTCGTCTCTTTGCGGTGAGGTGAGGTGAGATGCGACGAGCGCCCATGTGGATGACCTCGATCAGTGTGACAAGCTCGACAGGGTTTGAAAGGCACGTATTGATTAGTCATCGGAGCTTTGGCGTTTCTCCATAGACTCGATGCGGATCGTGCAAAATAAGAGTCACGCGTCTAATAAGAGAAGTCCGCCTCCGTACGAAACACACCCTTACAAAGTTATAGCAGCGCTCCTAGTCTTCGTCGCTTATTGCTCGCGTCCGTTTCTATCCACAATCCTGCCAATGTCGCAAAACTCGACACCATTTCGGATAAGGTTGCAAGTATCTTAGCCAGTGAGCAGTTAGTGGGGTCGTCCGGCGGGAGGATAAGACGGAAGTTAGAAGGATTGCTAGCACGACACAACCCTGTTTCCGAGTCTTCAAAGAAACCCGCCTAGGCTAAATGGCAAAGGAACCATCATTGTGAAGAATTTCAATAAGCCGAAGGGGAAGTACCAACATGTCACGACTTGTTACATTGAAAGACGGTTTCGCATGGTTGAGGTCATTGCTGAAGGAAGTGTAAAGAGCTCCCAAACTGGTTCTCTTCGAGGAGCACATGGGGGTAAATGAAAGTCCTTCGCAAAGACTGTCAAATGTATGCCGAAAACAAGCGATGGGGAGGCCAGACTCCGGGGGAAGCCCTATTGTCAGCCACAATACAACCTAGGTAGTGCACTACCCAATGCTGCGGCATGCCCAATAAGAGCTTGTCGTCGGCCACCCTCCCTCGGGGAACGAGAACGAGTAGTGTTGGATGCTAGACGAGGACAGGTCACAGGCTCTCGTGCAGTGTGACAGAAAGAAGCCTACGAAACGATAGACTTGCGTATTAGAGGATGTCTCCAGGCTGGCTACTAGCTGTGTGGCAATTGATATTATATACGGTGCTGGAAGGAGCGACCGGCATCGTAGCTTCTAGCAGACAGCCCCGTCTCACCGCCTTCAGCTCCTCCGGGGCTGCCTTCCCTATCCCCCCTTATAGCCCTTTTCTCACTCTGCCGACTATCCTGTCGTTCGCATCTTTGGCTATTTCGCTGCCACTTATGCCAGCGGCGACCACAACGTCGACGAGCGCCGTTTTGCCGCTAGTGATACCACCACCACATCAACGGTTCCTCCCTGTCTTCCTCACAGAGACCTAGCAGCTATTGTTTGTTTTGTCTCATGATTTACCCCACACCGAGGCGGCTACAGCAACGACCGACTTGCCGGCAGCCACTCTGAACCGCCCAAGCGACGACAGCAGACAATAGGCGCAGGCGGTCGGACGAACGTCCGCATCGCGAGATTTGCATACCCAACAACCAAGATCTTGGGCACTTTCTGTCCGACCCCTCCCTCCGACCAGTACAAGGCCGCGGTGCGCAGCGGAAGTGGGAACGACGGCCACGAAAGCACACCCGCTCCGAGCCTGCGCATCCCATTCTCGATGATCGCATTTCGGCTTCCAGACCATTGATGCTCTTGATAGCGCTGACTTGCCTGCAACGTTCTGGGCCGGCTCCCTCAGCACCACCATCCTACCTGGTCCGGGGGCCGCACTCCATCATCAACCGACGAAGCCCTGGCCACCACCCTCGTTGAGTCAGGAACTGCAAGCGCCATGGCCGCCTTCGTCAGGGTCTCGGGCCCTCCCAATAGCAGTATACTGGTGGGCTACCCGGGAATCTCTGCCACCTTAGTATGCTCATGCCGTAACAAGCCCTCTCTCACAGCCTTCTCGACTAACACTGCTAGCCGCGCATTGAAGGAAAGGTCGAAATACGCCCGTCTCAGGGATACTCCATGCCGGTCTCCATCTCCCTCGTTCGCATCTGTCTACAACGTCGCGAAACCATCCACCCTGCCGCTGATAATATGGCCAGGAAACACCTGAGCACACCACGTCGCGATGCCGTCGATGTTGTCGGCAAAGAAATGCTGCTCTTCCGCTGCGCATCTGGCAAAGAGTCCGAAAGCGTTGTTGCCATGGACTTGCCCTTTGTACTTTTTATCCCCTTTGGCCGCGGAGGCGAGGAAACCAATCGGCGCATCCCGCCCGCATCATTACAGCTGCCCAGTCGCATCGCCGAGACCTACTACGAGCTGGTCGTGACTGTCCAGCAAGGACCAAGCGTACAGAATAAATACTCCTTCCCTATGCCGCTGCAGCGTTACGATACACTGTCAACCTTTGGCATGTACAACAAGCAAGAAAACCGTGTGGTGACGACCGACAACATAGTGACGCTTGCCATCTCTTTACCGCGATGGAGCTATGGGCCTCTGGACCCCATTACGGTCTATATCAAGCTGGCACCCAATCCGGACTGGCTCAACAAAGCCAAACGTGTTACAATCAAGACGATCACACTTAGCATCGAGGAAGAAATCACCTTCAACCCGGAAGGCGACGAGCCCACCAAGAAGATCAACAAAATCGCCAAACACTCACAAAATGTCCAGACTAAGATGCCTGAGGCGGGCTACGTTACGAACCTGGGCCTTGTGTTCCCGGCGCGTGACCTACGTGGCAGCGATGGTATCATCCGTCGCGGGAAGCCAGCATTCCCTTTGCACGAGGTGACTTCCTTCACCACCAACTCCACACTTTACAAAATCGAATTTTTTTTGTCTATAAAGGTACGCGTCTATCCTTAATTGGCCTGAACATTTTTCTTACACCTATAGGCACAAATGAGCTCAGCCCGGGATATTACTCTGCGCCTACCGATCGTCATATGCCCGCTTGACCATCAAGCGTGCAAGGAAGAGATGGACGCTATTGAGCAAGCCGCTAAGGACGCTTCGCGGGTTGACCCCAACAATCCTATGCTACCCGCAGCTGCCATTGTTCTCGCCAACGACCGCGACTCTCTCCGGCATCTAGGCCTCTGCGTGGTTGGTGGCCAGAAGAAGCCCCTGATCGAATGAGTGAACGAATTGCGAGTCTCCCACTGCTCTTTAGGTATTGTGGAATAGAGAAACCAGTGCCTTCTTCGATAAATCCGGACCCGGTCGCTCGACAATCAGATGATCAAGGCGCAGTTCTGATTAAAAACAACCGATGACGCATCGTTCCCGACTCTGGAACGACAGCATTCCTCTCTCTCACGGCATCCTTGACATAATCAGTCGATGTTGGATTGCGCAAGCCATAATGAACACATGGCCGTTATGCTCTCGGATACGGCCTGCAGATGTTGGCAAAGCTGATATACAGCCACACGAAACAAAAGAGGCAAGCCATGAATTGAGCCGGGGGGACAAGCTGTTATTTAACGGTTTCCGAGGCGGGGCACGGTTGGAGCGAGTCTGGTTGACAACACGGCTGCCCAGGGCGGCCATGACAAAGAAAGAAACTGGCGACATCTAACCCCGAATCTTGGAGCTTTCCATCCTCAAGGACCAAATTCGCCTTGTGGGGCAAACCCTGGATGTGCTACGAAAGTCCATCTGACTATATGCCGTCTACTTTATGGAAATTTTCTGCCATTTAACCTGTGCCAGCAATTCTTTATGACTGCGAGACATTTTCTATCTTTGAAAAAGAAGAAATTATATTTATCCAAGATATAATAGCCTTTGTCCTCCGCTACGCTCGCCTGGTTTGTGATCGGCGTTGTGGCTTTGCTCTGTGCATTGAGTACTGGTTCAGGCATCCAGAGTCTGGCGAAAGGGAGAAGTTTGGAGGAGGCAGTGGGGACAAACATACTTATATGCTTTCCCTGCATTTCTGCATTTGTTCTTACATAGTGTCGTGAAATCAGTGAAAAACTTGGCTTCTTCTAGTCATGTCTAAAAGTACGGAGTACGGAGTATGCATAATACGTCACACAAGGCTGTACGGGGCAAGGGCCAGTGAGAGCACTTTAAGTGTGGATCCACTTTTTTTTGACGGGCTTTGCATGAACTTTCTTTTTCGAGGATATCATGGAACCCTAACACAGATAGCATTTCTGCGATCATTATACAGATCCCGAGGGCCCAGTTATGATGGATTCAGGAAAACGTGACGCTGTTTTCCCAGTCATTGTATCAGAGGATGAAATGAGGGACGCAGACCAGGATTCTGGCCATAAGGGCAACCTAAAGAGCGGCGACATGGACGCGACTATGGGCAACGGTGATGATGACGACGACGGTTTGGCCCAGGATTACAGCAAATTTGCGGCTCTTGTGGGTTCTGATGGCGGTACCACAAGCAGTCAGCATGACCGGTCTCCCAAGCCGGCAACGCAAACCAAGCAAATATCGGCCCAAACCATCCGCCGTGGAGAGAAGGACTTTGAGGCTTACGGCACACATGCCCAGAGCGCGGCTCTAGAGAGCAGCCGCAACGCCCTAGAGGCCGTTCTTTCTTACACCAGGGTGCATGGCGTTGGCGGTAGCGATATTCTGCGTGGATGGTATTTCCCGGATGCATGGATGGATGAGGAAGAGGAAGAGGGTGAGGGGAGCGAAGGAAAGGCGGAAGGGCCTTCCAGAAACCCACAGCCCCGGCGGCGCTTTGCACATACTCGCCACCGGGTCGTCATGGTCGAGGCCGAACGCGGGCCCATGTTCGCGTCAGTTGGCGCTGTTCCGGGGAGGAAACGAGCAAGTTGGGTACCAGGGCTGCCAAAGGAGGAACAGCCTCCACCCGCTCCGGGCTGCGACCGCGTTTGGCTTCTTCCCGAGGAGGCCCTTTTTCTTGTGGAGCGCGGGTCGATGGACCTACGATGGCCGCTACGGTCGCTGGAGGAGATTGCTGGCCGCGCCGATTCTCAGGCAAAACAGCAGGCAGAAGAAGACGGCATACCGCTGAGCCTGCAAGCGGCGTATGCGCTGCTTATTGATTCGAAAAGCAGCGACGCCAATGGCCCACAGCAGCGAGGCCGCGTTTCCCTGCCCTTCTTCCAGGTGTACTCCCACTTGCGCCGATCTGGATATCAGGTACTGCGCGCAGCCGGCTTGAATGCTGGCAGCACCAAACACTCGGCAGCTATAATCCCAGCTCGTCCTACAAGCCTGTGGCAGTGGCTTATCTCTCTGCTCGCACCGGCGGCACTGGTCAGTGTACCTTTAAAATTGCCGTTGCCATATGGACCGCTTGTCCGACCCGGGCTCTACCACAGTTACGGTGACATCTACGGACAGATGCAACTCTTCCCAGCGTCTCTGATGACGGGTGCTCCTGCACCGCCGCCTGTACCTTCTGCAATTCAATCTCCCTTTCACATCGATTTTCATGTCTGGAAATCTAGCACGACGTCGGCCTTTTCCAAAGCCAGGCCGCCGCCGCCAGATTTTTTCCTTGCCGTTGCTGACGCACACGCTTCTGTCGTCCCTACCCTTGAAGAAATAGACGGCCTGTTAGCGTCCGTCCAAGTGGCCGAGAAGGAAAGCCAGCAGGCCACTGGACTTGCCACAAATGCAGTTGGCGCATCGGCAGGTGGACTTGGCCAAGTTTACCGACGCCTCAAACAAGGCCACGGCGGTGTGATAATCGCCATTGTGGACCATGGACTAGTCAACTACATGCGCTTTGGCAACGGGCCGTTCGGGGCAGAGCCACTGTGGACGAGGTTTGACGGGCTGATAGCCTGCCGCGGAACAGCCAGAGAAAGAAGAGGAGGGAAGGGAGGGGGAGGGCAGAAGGGGAAGGGGAAGGGGAAGGGGAACACGAAGGGCAGGGCCAACAATAAGAAGCCGCAAGGTAAGGGCAAACTCACCTAGTCAGAAGATCCGGAATGAAGTCGGATTCGAGTACGCGATAAATAGTACGGAGTACTACGTAGGGTAGATAACGATTCATGACGCTGGCGAGATGGATGGAAAGCACTAAAAACACCGAATCATCCATGTTCTATTACACTGTTGAAGATCAATGACAAATTACTGAGGTCTCAAGAGAGTACGGAGTACCGAAAAGCGTTCACAACGGCTGATATCAAGTACTGGTGTTGCCGCCCACCGCTATTTTTGGTCCGTATCTTACATATTAGTAGGATATGTAAGATGTTAATGCAGGATGCAGCCAACTGCTTGTCTGAGTTGTCCTTAGTCGGCAGCCACTAGCGTGCTCGCAGCGGTGTGTTGGCTTCAGGTGGTGTTTGATCACGTGATGTATCAGCGGGTGGGGGTGACATTTCGGTTGTGCTTCGCATGGGGGTTTCTGTCTGCCAGCCGCCCGAGTCGAACAGATAAATGGGGCGGTGGATAGGCCGTCAAAGCAAAGTAGCGTCAGAAGGCCGTGGCTGTGGGCGTGTGGCATTTTTTGCATAAATCGCAAAAGAAAACTACGGAGTAAGAACCGCATGGCGAATGGAGACAGTTGGCGGCAATTGTGATGTGTGATAAGAGAAAGGAACAGGCAGGGGAGGGTCGGCTAATAATTACCAATGGTGTTTATTCTGGCGCCTCTGATTCGACGAGTGGGGACTTTAGGTTGTGGTGGTTGTGTCTGATTTGCGGGCTCAGATACGGTACTAGGTTGATTGGGCATGTTTCGCCAGTTTCAAGCAAGGACAGAAGGTGTGAGTTGGGGAGCGTTACGAACTAGTTACAAAATAGTCGTCCTCGCTTGTTATCTGGCAAACAAGGTTCTCTCAATCGCTACTTCATTTCGCTCGCTGCACCGTATCTTGCACGCTTTCGGAAATAGCGGCCATCTGCCTCGAACACCATACTCGTGTTTGTGTTGGCTGATGGCCTCGCGCTAGTAATCAGAAAGAGGCAATGTCAGATACTACGGGCAAGTTGCATTGGCCGAGTCTTGTCCTCTGGACATCGCAGACTCTAGTTTAATTAACTCCTTCTTCCCACTGGTCTCTTTTGTGTTGCCATAATTATAGTCCCCCCTGTCCGACACACACATATCTTACACGCACACACCCCCCCCCCCCTACGTGTTCCAATCTATCCTTTTTTGGTCTTGCCTCATTTTTGCGAGCAACTATTGCTTTTTGTCATTGCCTATGCTTATTTGCCCCCGGTCGCATTTCACCGTGTCGTGTTATTTTCCCACCCGTTGCGCTTCGATTTTTAGTCGCAGATATTCTACTTTCTCTGGTGGTGCTTTCTCCATTTCCCGCCCTATGCTTTTGACGGCAGCAGGGCTTTCCACCCATATATCTCTTTTTCTTATTTTCCATTCCCCGTGTTGTCGCAAAATTTGTCGGCTCCAATTTTCGCAACGATCTAAGTTGAGCAATCCAAAACAAAAAACCGGCGCTCGAAAGGTTGGCTAATATTATTACAACTCCTTAGCAATTCCCCTTCTTTTTGCCTTTATTCTTATTTCCTCCCCCTCTTCCCTTTGTCCTGTTCCCTCCTTCCTTTTTTATTTTCCGCCTACCGCTTTCCGCTTTCCGCGTTCCTCTTTCCTCTTCCCTCCCCCCTGGCTTTTTTTGCTCCTTCCCCCAACTTTGTTCCCGTTGCTAGTCGACATCACATGTTCGTGAGCATTCTTGGAGGAGAGCTGCATCCAACCGCATACTTCAATCGCCTCCCGTATTGGCATGACATTTTTTGGATTTTCGCGTTTCGAGCACCGCCACTGATCAAATACCTTTATATTTTGTTGTTTCTGGTTACATCCTCCCCTCCGCCTATTGACTATAGCTGGTAACCCGCTCCTTCGTGCATGTTCGTCCGGCCGCTCTCCATATTCGCCAGGTTATCGCATTAGCTATTCGTGCTCGCTATGGAACCGGAACCTGACGCGCCGTCTGAGAAGAAGCCCGATGTGACGGCGCTTGACTCGGCGCCCGGCGCATCCGGTCACCCCGCGTCGGCCTCGGGCGCCACGTCCACTCGTGAAGCCAGCGCCGCTTCTTCTTTAGCATCCCGTGACGGCCCCCCCGATTCTATCAAGGCCTCCTCGGGCCTGTCTCCACGGCACTCATCGGCGCGCTCGCCCACGCCTGTCGCCACTGCTGCGGTGCCTGCTGCGGCTCCTGGACCCCGCCGCTCGCCTTTATCTGCGGCCTCTGGTCGTCGTCCTCTCCCTGGTTCGGCCCCTAGCCAATCTGCATCATCAGCCAGCCCGACAAGCGCGCAACCTGCACGAGATGCGCCCATGTCCAAGACGTCTGCAAGGTGCGTTTCTTTTGCATTGTTCTTGCTCCTCCACCCGACACTCCGCTCTCTTCCGTTCCTTAGCTCTCTGCCTTTACCTACTCCTTCCTCGAACGATACTCCGCATCTGTCGATGCGTTTCCCATGTCGGCTTCCTCGTGGCCTGCGTCGCAGTTTGTCAAGTCTTACAAGCAAGTACCCCTTTTCCCCCTATGCTCAAATCACCTGGCCTCCATTGTACCTATCCAAGTTGCGAATTCAATTGTTCCCTATTCAGGTTTCATCGTGGGCCACCATGCGCAACAAACAATAGCCATTCACCCCCTCGAAAAGCTTCCCAGGCTAAAGGCGCTTCCAACCCAATGTGGGCTTCCATTGACAACCTCATTCAAGCTATTGTTCGAGGCCGTTTCCTTCCTCAGGTTCCACTTTTTTCCCTCATTCCACTTTCGACTTCTATCTTTTCTGCTTAAATCGATCTTCTGTTTCGTTTTCTCTCCCTTGAAACCTCTTTCTTCTGCTCAGTTTAGCATACTAGTATTATTGTCATCATCTCTGTTGCTGTCGTCTTCACCTTGCTGCCCATTGGCGCTGCAATCACTTACCCGGACAGTCCATTTCTTCATACTTTACTTTACGCTAGTATTTTTTTTTTACCTGGCCCGTAACACCCTTTCAGGGCGTCATCATTAATGGACCTCTGTCTCTCCTAATTGCTCACCAATCCAGGCAAGCAATGCCCCATCCCTTCCTAGCACCCCCTCACCCTTTCCTCGTTTCTTTCTTCGCCTCTGGCCACACATCACAGCACAACGCGGCTCTGCCTTACACTGATGGTGAAGTGGCAGCCTGAGTGGGGCAGTCCTCTTCATCGTCTCTCCTTCATTTCCCTTTCACATAATGAAGAAGCATGCGCAACACCCAGTTTTGAGGTACAAACCGCACTTTTCCAACACATTACTGGGACCACTCGGTGAATACGATTGTTGCGTCGTAGCCTACTAGTCACATGTTATCTTACCACTATCTTTCCCGTTTCCGTTGTTTACGCCTGATACGCCAAGCTATAAGCTAACCTAGGTCTCTTTGTTGGTTCAGTGCAACCATCAGTCCAAAAGAGAAGATGACCGAACCTGAAAAGGGAGGTATGGACAAGGTAGATTCACAGAATCGAACCAACCTGCCACTTGGCGGCCCCAGCTCCATTGCTGTCAGAGTCTCATCCACATCATCATCCTGCATTCCCGCAAATATCCTGGAAGACGAGATTGTTGTCGGAACCAAGCCAAATGGAAAGCACTCGTCTCCTATACATGTCGTCTCTGATCAGGAAGATATCGAGATGGAAGACAGGGATCATTCGCCAGAACCAAGCCATCCGAAGCGCAAGCGTTCCTCAGTCTACAATGAGCTCGAGGGAGAGAGGATTGAGCAGAGCCTGATACAGGACGACATTAAGGATGTTCCGACCATCACATCTGCTCTTGTTGTGGACAAGGCGCCTAGACCGATGCCCCAGCCTTCTATGACTACGCAAAGGAGCATCACGCTTGGCTATTGGCGAGATTCGGCTGTTCCTGACGAGAATGAGAAGCATGCTGTCGTCGGCTTCATTGACACTCGCGACCGTCTCCGGACCCGCATCCAACAGAGCAGTCGGTCGGGAAAGTTTGTTGCCGCAGACTATCCACTCCCCCCGGGACCGGGCGGCAGCTGGGTTACGTTTGAGCGCGTTGTTTTTGACAAGCATCTCGTCGGCCTTGACCACAATCAGGTCAAAGAGTATGTCAAAATACGTTCAGAGAATTCCATGGCCCACAACAGTCCGGAAGAGGAACTAGAAAATGAGAAGGTTGCTGTGAAGGAAGCCATTCGCCGAGCGGCACTGCATCCGACCCCTGACAATATGCCTGCGCCAGCCATCGCGTACGGAGTTGATCTACCCGACTACGTTGTAAATGCTGCCCGGCCCGAAAAGAAGCGGCGCATGATTTCAAACGGCACTTTCGGCGCCTTTTCTTCGGCCGCCGACATTGCCGCCAACTCGCCCAGCGCCCAGCAAAGTCTGGCACCGGCTGGCGGTTCGCCGTCAGTAGCATCGGCTATTCAAAGGTCGGCCATCGATCTCTTGCCGGGCACCCGCCCGACGAAAATTTTGCTTGGCTATTGGCGAGGCTCGAGCGAAGAGCGGGTGGAGGACAAGCATGCCGTCTTTGGCATACTGGGCGCGAATGATATGTTCCGCGTCAAGGTGACTCGCGAGACTCGTGATGGTCGTCCCGTGATGGGCAACTTCCCGACAGGCGCTGGCGCTCTTTGGATCCACTATGACGAGGTCGAATTCGAGAAGCACATCCGCCACTTGTCTCGCCCAGAGGTGAAGGAGTACGTGCGTGTGCGGCAGCGCCAGATTGATGAGGGGGAGAAACCCGACCAGCGGATCGAGAATGAGACTAAGGCGGTCTACGATGCCCAGGCCCGCGTTATAAGTGCTGGCGGTGTCGCTCAGAGCACGCTAGGCACGGCTGGCAGAGTTGATACCATCAGCTTCGCGTCTGCTGCCAACCTGAACCACCGGCAAGCCGACAATGGGAGCAGCGAGATTCCCAGCCATTACCAACAAGACGGTCGTACTCGGCGAGAGTACGAGCCGCGTCAGACTCGCCGCTCTTATGCGGCTGACTCTCGCGACAGTCCTGCCTCCATTGCGGCTGCTGCCATTGCCGCCACACCGCCACTGTCTCGCTCTGGCCGCCACTCGCTGCCTGACGGAGTTGGCATGACCACCGAGCTTCGGCCTGCCAATAGACCGCCTCCAGCCGGCCATGGCGCGGTCGAAGGCAGCAAGGCACTGCCGAATTGTCACAATGGCAGCGGTCCGAACGCCGACCGTGTTGAACGCACCAATAGCTTGGCGCGCCGCGAGATTGTCCGTGTTGAGTCGATCCAGATGCGCAATGAGCAGCGTGCTGCCAATCGCGAGACCGGACTGGTCGGCAGTGGAGGCAGCACGGCGAGTGGCATGAGTTTGGCTGGTGAACCGACGACTTCTGTCCTCGCCAGCCTGTCTCTCAACGGCAATGCGGGCAACGGATCTGGTGTCGGCAGCTCTGCCGGCAACAACGGCGGAAGCAGTCGCCAGACTTTTAGCGAGAACATAGGACGTCTCAACAAAGTCTGGGCTTCACAAGAGGCCACACGTCTGCGCGCCGGAGGCGAAGACGCAAAAATCTACATGGGCGTCAAATATGAACGCAAGCAGACGGGCCCTTTCCAAGGCAAGCTCGTCAGCCCTGGCACGATTTTGTCCATTGACGGTGAGGACTATGTCGAGTATCGCGTGCTTACTAAGCCGACATTCTTCTGATCTTTTCCCGCGACATCTTTCCGCCACCAGCTGTTGTATCAGTTCCTCTTTTACTTTCTTTTGTTGTGTACTGTACTCGAAATATCACTTGAACTAGCGGTGTGGGTGGCATCTTAGCTTCAGGACTGGCGTTCTCATTTTCACTTATCACCTGTCTGGTTCTGCTATCACCTGTCTTTTCTCTTGTAATACCATAACAGCAGAGTGAAAATGTTCATAGTTCTTACACGCCATTTATATATCAGTGGGACGAGGCCAATCAGAGTCAAGGGTGGCCAACGGTTGCATAGGAAGAATGGTCGGCGCGGGGGGCATTTGGTGTCTGGTATTCGTTGTTCATCGAGTCGGTGATTTCTCAGCAGCAATTGCGACTATCTTTGTACCGATTCAAGCCCTTACACTTTGTTTACGCTGTTCGTTCAATAACAAAGATGGCATGTTTCTTGTTCTCGAAGATGGAGCTGTTTTTCTATGGCTCTACGATCTGTTGAATGTTGAAGCTCGTTCTGATAGTACAGCAAGGATCGTGATCACGTGATGGATCCAAAAAATGTCTCGCACGTGATGTGTCAATAAGGCCAAATTTTGCAACGATTCAAGAGGTAGCGTTTTTTTGCTCCCATGTGCAGCTGAAGACAGTACGTGCCGTCGAACCCGCGACGACTGCCAAACCACCCCGAACGACGCCAGTTTTTCGGTCTAGGAACGGGCGCAATGAGTGGCCCGACACTGTGCACTCTCCGTGGGGCTCTGAGGCAGAGCCAGCGTGGGGCTTCGGTCCTTTCCCTACAGCCAGCATGTTTGCGGTGCGTGCAGTCGAGCGGTGCGGCCACGAGCTGGGCCCGACATCTGTCGACGGGGCGGCGGAAGCCGGTGCAGGTGCGTTCTAGCCTGCCGGCACCGACACAGACGCAGCTGCGGATGCGGACAGAGCAGACGCGAAGCTACGCCACGCCCGTGCCAGATTCGTTCGCAGTGCCCTCTGTCGACAAGGAAGCGGCGACAGCGGCACCGACGCTTTCGGTGTCGCTCGCATCGATCCTGCAGCAGATGTCAGCGTCGGCAGCGCCAAGCCACCCGTCTGTATATGCGACGGTGCACATCTACGGGCGGCCGTACCTGGTGACGCCGGGCGACCGGCTGCGGCTGCCGTTCCGCATGGCCGGCGTGCAGCCGGGCGACGTCTTGCATCTGGACCGCGTGGGTGTTGTGGGCAGTCGCTCGGTCACGGCCGTCGGCGGTGTCACCGGCGCTGGAGGCGGCGGCCCCGAAGGAGAGGGCATCCAACGCGGCGGTCACGTGCCGGGAGTCTCGGTCACGGCCGTCGTGCTCGGCCTCGAGACAGAGCCGCTGCGCCTGCTGGTCAAGAAGAAGCGGCGCAACCGGCGCAAGAAGACGGTCCGCAGCAAGCATCAGTACACCGTGCTGCGGATTCAGGATGTCCGGCTCGGCGACGAGAGCGCATGAAGAAGTGGCAGGTGGCCGGTTGACAACACACAACTTGGGGTCACGTGTACGAGCATCTGTATAGCAGCGCAGAAACCAAATTTCAAGCATCAGGGCATTGCGCCCACAAGTCTTTGAACGCCAAAGGGTGGGCATCAAAAAAAAACCCCCAGAAACGTATATACAAAACGCGGTATTCATAAATGCATCATCAAAACGGTGCTAGGCCGTGTGTGTCTCGGGCCTTTCCTTTCTCCTTTCTCCTTCGTCCTCCGACCTCATCCCTTGCTCATTTCTCATGTCTCCTCTCGTGCCGTCACGGCTCGCCGTACGCTCGCCCAGTATGCGGCCGGCCATGCTGACATGGCCTCGCCTTCGGTGGGCATCCGCTCTCGACACCGCGTGACGACGCTCTGGATGATGCGGCTAAGCAGCTCCTCTGTGACGGGCATGCTGTCTAGGCCGTCTGCTGCCATGGCGGCCTCCGGGTACAGGAATGGGTCTGTTGGCAGCAGGAGCTCTTTGCAGGTCGGCCGCAGTCCCTGTTCACGGTTCAGACAGCGCTTCATGGTGGCCAGCAGGCCTGACGGCACGACAGCGCCGCCCAGACCGCGGGCTGGAAAGTCGATGGTGTGTGACCAGGTGATGATGGCCTGGCAGCGTGCCATCTGGTTCTGAATGTGGCCAAACGGCGGCAGGCCGTAGGCCATCTGGTACAAAATGCAGCCCAGACTCCACACGTCGCTGGGCTTGCCCAACTTCATAACCTTGGGCGCGCCCCGATGACCGCCGCTGGGCAGAAACATTCCGCGGCCGTTGTGGTTGGCCGTGAAGGCATACTGCTGCGAGTCCATCAACGACTCGGGCGACATGTAGCTGGGCGTGCCGACTTGTGTCTCACGGTGCACGTTGACGGTTTCTTCGGTCTGGATGGCGTTGGCAATGCCAAAGTCGATCAGCTTCAGCCGGCCCTGCACCAGCACAAAGTTGGCCGGCTTCAGGTCCGAATGCACAATGTCATGTGCGTGCACAGCCTGCAGGCACTCCAGCATCTCCTTCCAGTAAAACCGCACAAAGACGGGGTCCAGGCGGGCGCCCTCACGGTTCTGACGCACGCGCAGCAGCGAGTTCAAGTCCATCTCACCCAGTTCCATGAGCTGGTTCACGTGTTAGCACCCAATTCAGGACAAGAGAAAGCGACCAGACTCACCAGACTCAGCATCTGCTTTTCCTTGTTCATCTCAAAGTCGAACAGCTGGATCACACGGTCCACGCCGGCCAGCTTCTTCAGCAGGTCGATCTCGCCCATGTATCCGCGGATTGTCGACTCGTCGGCGTTTTCCAGCGACACCCGCTTCATCGCAAACATCTTTCCGTTCTCCGCCGTGACCTTGTACACCTTTGCGCTGCCGCCGCGGCCGATGCAGTCGACCCGCTGATACGACCGCCCGTTGATCTTGAGCAGAATCCGTGGCTTCTTGTTTGCCTGTGCTGTAGCTGCCGGACCGGCTGTTGCGGCAGTTGCCGTCTCCAGAACGGTCATCTTTGGTGGCGGTGGTGGTGGTGCTGGTCGATGCGGTGTGTTGCGGCTGATGGAGGCGAGAATCTTCCTGTCTGGCGAGAGTGGTGGTAGCCGTGCGGCCTCGAGTGCGGCTGCCACCCTGGATGTCGACACTGACATTTTTGCCTCGATTGGCTGCAGGGCCGGAAGCAGCTCCTTGTTGCTGTTTCGCTCCTTGTCATCGTCACGACTCTGCACCAGCAGTGGCTTGGGAATATGAACGTTGAACAGCAGCTCGTTTTCCTTATCGCTGGAGGACGGCATGGCTGAACGGCCAGTCGAGGAAGGCACGGCACGCATACCGGCTGCCTCTTCGCTCCCAGAGACTCGCCGTTGCTGTCGTTCTTGCCGTCGTTCCTGCTGACGCTCCTGCTGTCGCTCCTGCTGTTCCTGCTGTTCTTGTCGAAGCCGCTGCTTCTCCAGCTCCTCTTCACGTTGCTGCAACAGCAACTCGATCTTGGGCGAATGACTCCGCAGACTGTTCGACCGTTGGGACAACGAGTTTCTCGCACTCACAGGACTGCCGGTGGCTGCAGCAAAGTCGCGGCCGTAGTGGTCGAAATACGGCTGTCCTGCCCCGCCGACAGAGCCTGGAACATCTGCATCCCGGCTGGCCGTCATGAGATCACCGCCTTGATGTGGCATCATATCCTCGGGACTGTTGTCCTCGCCATCCTCCTCGCTCTGTCGCCGTCTTCCGCGTCGTGCAGGGCCGCTGAGAAAACCGCCGCCCAGCGCCTTGCCCGTGCGCTTGACCCGGATCGAGCTCTGCAGCGCCAGCTGGTCCACATCGCGGCTGCCGCTGTGTGCTGTGTGTTGCGATGCACTGCTACTCTGTGGCCGACCAGCCGTGGCTGGCGCATCGTCATGGCCCAACTCAGAATCACTCTGCTGGCCGGACTCTGTCCGTCTCGACAGAAACAGTGCAGACGACGAAGCTGACAGACGCGCACGGCTGCCTCGGCCTGCAGAGCCTACTGCAATCTGCACTTTTCTCACGCCGGATCCTGGCGTGTTGACGCTTCCTGCCGAGGAGGAGGACGATGTCGTTGACGTGACTATTGGCTGCGATGCAGGCGCCAGAACGGATGCACCCTCTACATCACCGGAGAGGACCGAAGACGCCATGGCCACGGCAGCCGTCGAAGCAGTCAGAGGTGCCGCTGGCGGATCTGCCAGATGATTGCTGCCGCCACTTGTAGGCCTGTCCTCGGCCTTGTCCTGTCCGCTGGCCGGTGCCGTCCACCGACTGTGCTTTGACGCTGAAAGCGACCGTCGAAGCGGCGGCGGTGGCTGTGCCACTATGCCATTGGCCGGCGTGGCCGCACTGAGCCGGACAACGCGTTTCCTCGGTACCGGGCTGCTGTCTTGCTGGCGCGATTGAGGCGACGTAGGCCGGGAGGACGACGATGTCGGAGCAGCACTGGAGGCACCAGATGCCTGGATGCTGCTGGATCGCACGTGCCTTCGTGTCTGCCGCATGCTCGTCCGGTCTGCCGACTGCTGGTGCTGGTCGCTCTCGCCAGTCGTGCTGGAGGAGGTCGACCGATTTAGAGCACTTCGTCTCCGCGTTGCCATTGCTGGTCCTGTCGCGGTGGAAACGGCTGCAGCAGCGGCTGCGATGCTGACGGGTCGGTCCTCTGAGGTCGAGCCGCCATCGCTGAGCAGCGCCTTGGTGAGAGCACTGAGCTTCATAGGAATAGGCATCTCATCGTCTGAGCTGTCGTGCAGGGTGGAATATTGCTGTGCCTGCTGTGCCGCGTCGAAATCGGCATTGCTGCTGCTTGCTGCCGAAGATACGCTTCTTCTAGATCCCGACGCCGCAGCTGCCGGTGCTACCGGGGCTGGGCCCATCTGTGATCGCGAGGGAGGGCGCCGCAATGCCTGTCGTGTGGATGTTCGGCGGCCGAGGGAAGTGAAGTGGCTTCCCTGGCCAACGGGTGTCGGCGACACCATCGTCATCGTTGTTCTTGTGGTGTACAATGTGTCGTGCCGTCGTGGAGTTCCGCCTTCCTGTTGCCGTCGAAATGTCGGGTCGCCAGACTTGGGTGCGGCTATTGTTTATATCGAAAGAGAGATAGGATCGAGCACAACAGTAAGTATATATCTAGGGACGCGCGTGGTCACCGCAATAAGACAACGGGCGCTCGACAAATTAAAGAGTAAAAGGCGGGAAATACTAGGAGACAAAGAAGTGCGGCGCTTTTCACGATGCTCGTGGAGCCTGCTGAACGCTGCACTGGCATTTATTTTATTTGGGAATGCAACCTTCACGACCCGTTTTATTATGAAAGGCCGCATCCAGCCAATCAGCGCGTCCGGGTCGTTGCCGGGAGCAACAAGATGCATATAGTGGGTCTGCGGCAAATTGGGCACCGAGTGAGCGTTGATTACTCCATATTACGATGTACTACGACGTATGTACTGCGCTTGATGACATGCAGGTTGCAAGATTTTTGCCTCTGAACGACCTGCTGCGCTTGTCGGTTTCCACTTTTACTTTTATTGTTTGAACTATGCGAGATATGCACTTTTCCGACACCAAGACGGCCAGAACGTCCATCGGTTCTACCAATAACGCCGGTCCTTATGAACCTATTCAGGCAGATACGCCCGCCGTCCTTAGATAATATGGAATCCTCCCACTGCCACTGCAGCGAGAGCTGCCCGCTCCCAGTTGCCAGCATCGGTACACACGGTTGCGCAGTTGCATCGTTTAGTCGAAGAGACCGAAGCCCATGTCGTCGTCGGACTCCTCCTTCTCTGTAGGCGTGGGTTAGCAATGGTGTAGGAGCCGTGACCTTTTGCGAAAAGCTGTACGTACCCTCCTCCTTGGCCTCCTCCTTGGCCTCCTCGGCAGCAGCACCGCCGGCGGCAGCACCACCGCTGGCAGCGGCAGCGCCGCTACCGCCAGACGGCACGGATGCCAGCTTGGAGTTGCCCTCGGCAATCAGCTGCGATATGTCAGTCAATGCCCAAAAAGTATCCGAAGCACATGTGGCATGATCTCCTGCCACGTCCGTGTCGTACCTCGTTGATGTCCTTGCCCGACAGCTCAGCAATGAGCTTAGACAGGCGGTCGGAGTCGGCCTCAATGCCGACAGACTCAAGGACCTGCTCGACATCCTTGGCGGACGGCGCGGTGTTGCCACCGATGGTGAGGAGGAGGTAGGCTGCGAGGTACTTCATTTTGACGCTGCAGAAACCAGTCAGTTTGCGCTGGCCCAGGAGTTTGCGTCAGGCTTTCACATACTTTGTTTCTTAGAACTAGAAGAACACGAGATTTCAATCAGTTTAACCGCAATGTTGTGGCGGAGACTGAATCTTCGAGTCCGGATAGAGTTGCTGGGCTTATTTTTCGGAATGGTGTAAGAGCAAAAAAAAAATAGAGGGGACCGAAATACTTGGTTTTGGCCACACGAAATAAAAGCCCTAAGGCCCTAAATGGTCATGTGATGTGTCCTGTGGAACCTCTCCACGTGCAGCATGTCTGCTTACAGAACTATGCACCTACCCGTCCTGAAACCCGCTTACGTGTATACCGCCAATGTTCCCTGGTTTCTTCACGTGTCTGCAATAACAATATTAAAGAGCTGCACGTCCTGCCATGAAAGCCTTTCTTTGAGATTCTATTCGGTCACGGCACTCCTTCATCGCCAGTCCGCCTTCCCGTCCCCCGACGAAGACGTTGCACCAATCCGCAGTAGCGTCTTCGCTTCTGGGCGTTAAGCAGTTACGAGCGAGTCACGCGTCAGGCGTTGATGCCGGTCGACAAATCCCTTTGAGGTTCTAATGCTTTAACTTCACCATCCGCCACCCGACCTCGACAATCGCTCTCTTGGCCACGTGCTGCTGTCACTTCCATTCTTATCTCCTTTTTTCTTCTTTTTTCTCCTCAGACCCTCTCTCAACCAGATCTGCGTATAAATTATACCGAGGCAAATCAACCTCCCTACTCTTGATTACAGCACAACATCAACGAGAACTTCGTCCCAACCCCACCCGGGCTTTTCAAATGAGTTCTCTAACCTTTCTACTAGCAGACCTGTGATCTGTGCCCGCAAGTCGGTGTAGCCCGCATCTCTCCCTCATCGTCTCGGTGGCATCTATCCTGCCCACGATGGTAAGATTTACTCGTTCTGCTCGCCCTTTGTTTTTTAAGCACGACTTGATCGACTGACAATCCTTCTCATGCTGCAGATCGGCGACCTGCTTGCCCAGATCACCGGCGATGGGGATGCCGGCTCTACTACAGCAAACACGTCCCAGCTTCCAAAACGCAAGGCCGGCGACGATCTCGCCCGTCCCTCGATTTCCAAAGCACCACGGACGGCCTCTATAGGGGGTGACAACAGTAGCAGGCTCTCAAACTCACGTGGGCCCCTCGACCTGCGTACAAAGACTACGCTTCCAACACTATCACACGCCTCAGAACCATCCCGTGTCCGGCCAGTCGCTTCGGTGTCCGGCCCATTTAATTCCACCGCCCCATCTAGGAGATTGTCTGCCACTCCGTCACGTTATGGCGCCACAACATCTCAGCTGTCCTCAGCAACGGATAGAGGCAGAGGGCCTGTTTCGACAGTGCTGGGTGGCAACAGATCGCATTCTGATGTCACCTCCTCAGCCTCGAAGCCGGCGCCCAAGAAAGGATCGTACCTCGAAATCATGGAACGAGCAAAGGCGGCTCAGGCGGCGATGGGTCAGGTGGGCAAAATCCAGCATAAACCACTGGAGAAAGGGCCGACCAAGAGGGAGCGCATGGTCGTGCAGGCCGAAGAGGCTCGAGTAGCCAAGAACAGAAACGGGAAGTCGAAGATGGGCGTCAAACGACCGATGCCACGGCCGAGCGTGACAAGGCCGATTAGCAGCAGACCCCTGTCTGGGCCACGGGAGTCACGAACGGGAACGAACCGTCGTCCGATGGGCAACGTTGCAGAAGCAGGGAAGACCTCCGCCTCCGCCCCCGGACGTAGCGAGACGGCGGGCCGAAAGTCTGGCCCCAGCAAAGAGGAAAAGCAGCCCAAAAAAGCGGCAACAGCCACGACGGGCTATCAGGGCACAGCAAGGCCGCGCCCAAACTCGTCGACATCCGCGACAGCGTCCCGGCCAGATTCCGGTACAGGCGATTCAAAGTCCAGCTACCGTCCAGCTGCCCGACCCCGGGTGCCCTTTGGTGGACCGCGACGATCGCGGTACGAAGAGGAGATGGACGAGGAGATGGACGATTTTATCGAGTACGACGACGATGACGACGTCGGCCACCCAGAGCGCAGAGGCCACGGTTGGTCTGACGAGGAGGACGGATTCGAGGACGAGTCTGATATGGAAGCCGGAATATCAGACATTGATGAAGAGGAACATATGGCTGAGCGTGTGGCACGGCTAGAAGATGCCCAGCAAGAGGCGTTGGAGCGGAAGCTCAAGGCAGAGAAGGAACAGCGGAAGCGACAGGCGGTGGCATCGTCTGACTATCGGAGAACCAGTGGCAGCGGACTGTTGCGCCGATAACAGCCGGACGGCAGCGGACGCTCTTGACCCTTCTAGATACGGCAGGAAGCGGTCTCACGGCACTTGTGCATTTATCTTTCATTTTTTTCCGGGGTTCGAGCCACAGCATGGCCGTAGCATCAAGCGTCTCACGTTTTAACCGTTTGGATTCACCGGGTGCCTGTACGTTATCTATCAATAATGAGGTATCAGAAATGCCGAGACGTCTGTTGCTTGAATTTCGAGCAATACACTTGGTCTATTGTATTCACCATTATTTAAGCATACTCACGTGCAAGGGCACTCTCTCTCAGGCCAGTAACAGCAATTTTTAAAACGGTCGTGTGATAACGGCCGACGCAGAAACACTAATCTCCCAGGACTGACACTGCCAGTTTTACGCGGACAGACAACATATGTATGACAGAAGCAAAAACATAGAACACAAAATGCAAGCACAACTTTCTCCCCTAACAACTGCCCGGATTGGAACTATGGATCGCTTGACTTGACGCCCGTGTTGCCAAACCCGCTCAGATTCCATCCTTGATATTGCACCGTCGGTGCAGAGCCCGACGCGTTGGGCGGTGCAAGCAAGAGGCTCGACGGCGGCTGTTTGGGCAAGCCATGCGGCTGTTGCCCCGGTTCCAGACCGGTCTCTGGAACCTGCGACAGCATTGGCTGCAGCTGTGGTGACTCTGGCGCCGGTGATCCGGCCGAATCAATAGAGGTCTGCGCACCAGAGGGTCCGGACACGCCGTCCTTCATGATGCCTTTCTCCTTAAGATACTGCAGCGTCTTGACGATCGTGAGGTCCTCCTGGTCCTTGTCGTTGAGAATCAGCCGCTGCTGCAGCGTCATCCGACCTCCGTTCCGTTCCCGCTCCTGCAGCGCGGCCTGACGCACTGCCGGGTCATGGACGAAGCGACACTTGCCCTTCTTTCCACATGTGCCCCCTGTAGAGTAGTACTTGCAGTGCTTGGAGTGGTCGGCTCGCCTGGGCGCCGGCGGCATCGCTTCGCTTCGGATCGGCATGGCCTCGGGTGCTTCGTCATCCGACTTTGAATCCGAAGACGCGTCTGACGACTCGCCGTCCACGCCGCGCATATCATCGCCCTCGTCCTGCTGCTCGCGCTTTCGCTTGATGCTCGATTCCACCTTCTCCAGTTGCTTCCTCAGCTTCTCGGCCTTTTGCTGTTGGCGTTCGAGTGCCGTCAAGCTCGGCGTGCCATTCTTGCCGTTGGCACCGCCTCCGCCCGCCTTGTTCGCCTTATCTCCTTCTCCCAGGTTGTCGAGCCTGGCCATTGCACGCGCCTGCGTTGGGAAATTCTTTACTTTCGCTGCTCAATCCAAGCGGCAATATCGGTGGGACTAAGCGGTATCTGCGTAAGTACGGCAGAAGCAATAGCAAGACAAGCAAGAAGGGGAAAACAGAGTGGGACACGGTAATAGCATACTTTGGAGCATCGGGTCCGATCATTTCAACCAGCTTGGCTTCTTCGTCCACGTCTTCTTCATCAGACTCCTCCCCGGGTGTCAGCCCGAGAGTGTTAGTCTTGCGTTTCTTCTTCTTGCCGGCAGACGCAGCATCAGGCTTCTGATGGTGTTGGGAAGGGGCAGCCTTGATCGGACCACCACTGATCTTCTTGTGACGCATCTTGTCGCCACCGAAGTTGGGGCGGCCACCTCGGTACGAAGTGTTCTGATAGCCACCTCGCCCGTATTGTCGACCGTTCTGATTGAAATACGGATCATAATTCGGAACGCCAGCTGTGGGAGCTGGCCCGGCGGGTGGATATGCTTGATATGGCCCGGGTGCATAGCCGCTCGGCCTATGGGGAGGGACTGGGCTGCTTTGAGCGTGCCTGTACGGCGGTGGCTGCTGGTAGCTATTGCTCACTGGAGCTGCATGGCTTGGGCCTTGCAGGCCACTACCGCTTTCAAAGCCGATGCGAATGGGAGGGCCCATCATCTGTGCTTTGCCACCACGTTCGTGATGATGTCCGCCTCCTCTGCCTCTGCCGCCACCACTGAAGTGCCCGCCATGTCCAACGCTCTGTTGGCCATGAGCGGGCGGCCCCCACTGCTGGGGCGGATGGCCGTTTGGAGGTTGGGAAGGATGAGGATATGGTTGCTGTCCGTATGGCTGTTGAGCGCTAGCAGAAGGCGGTGCATACGGGGGCTGCTGGCTGTAGGAGGAAGGACCTTGGGCCGCTTGGTGGTGACCAGGGGCCAGGCTCGGCTGATGCTGCTGATACATCTGCGGCGCATAGTTCGAATGGTAGCTCTGCGGAGGGAGAGGACTGTGCGACGATTGGTGCGGTTGTGTATGGCCTTGAACTGCTGGATCAGGCGCCCATTGCGGCTGATGAGGCGGGTAAGCTCCATGCTGAGGTGGGGCAGTGCTGTAGTGGCTTTGCTGGCCATAAGCTTGTGTTGTCTGGGAGTTGTTGTAAGCATACCCAGCGGCGTTCGGGTATTCATTGCTGCGACCACTGGAATGGTTGGCCCCACCACGGCCACCACGGTTGTGCTGAGGACCGTGTTGATATGAAGGCTGGTACTGGCCGTATCCGCCTGACGGCTGAGACGGAGGTGGTGGAGGTGGCGGCGGGCCGTAACCGTAGGTAGCCATTTTGACGTGGTGCGAACCTAGTGCAGGAAAACAACGGTAAAGAGACGAGAATCAGAAGCGGCTAGCCGAAGACAAAGTGGTGTACCGGTCGGGTCTGACGATGTCCGCGAGAGGAGAAAAAGGAAGAAAAACGCGTTTTTTGCTTCTTTGGCAAGCTCGAGAAAGCCTTAAACGCTCTTTAGGGCCGTAAGACTTTGCCGGTGGCAGCAAGACAGACACGATAAAAGGTGTCTGGATGTTTCGGAAACAGCAAGGAAACAGCAGAGAAAAAGGAGATGTTAGGATGGAGCAGGGGCAAGCCAAGAAAACTTCAAAACTCAAGGCAGTAGACAGCGAAAGACGGAAATAGGGTGAACAGCAACACCAGAAACCCAGCAAAGAGAACACGAACGCGAGACAGAAAGTACTGTCGATCGACACCGTGAGAGGGGAACTGTACAATAAAAGGAGAAAGCTCTTATTCTTCGGAGAGGGGAATGGGAGGCTGCAGTGAATAAAAAGCAGGGGCGTTGTGGCAGCTTGCGTTTCGCAACAAGAGAAAGGCGGAGCGGACCATATCTGAGGTTTTCTGGATTTCATGTACAATCCGGTGGGAAATTATCCATGGAACACTGTAAGTGACTAATCAAAAGTGGGAAAGCGGTCAGTTTGGTCATATGATCTACTGGCAGAATAAAGTTGAGACAGGCATTTTTTTCAAGCCGTATATCGAGCTTGCTATTCGCCCTCTCTAGTTTCGTGAGGCTATCTGAATATCGTTTACCGGTGATCCCTCAGCACCATGTTTATTCTTGTGAGTATAGGTGTTAAAGTGATGGGCGCTCAGAATGACGAAGAACTAATAAAAATAGACCAAGATCGCAGATCTTGTAAGAATCGAACCCAACGACTTCTCCAAGAAGAGCATCCAAGCTATTGAAGACAATATCAACTCCAAGTATGCAAACAAGGTAATTTTGTTGTGGCTTTTTCACTTCCTCTTATATCTTGCTTATAGAAAGTACAGATTATTCAGAAGATTGGCCTCTGCATCTGCCTTTACGATCTTCTGTGGACTTCCGAAGGTTTGATAGGTCACGGCGATGGCTATGTAAACGTCAACGGTAAGCCAGCCCCAATTTGGGTCTTTTGTGAGCTCTGCTAACACTAGTAAGTTGAGTTTCGCATCGTGGTTTTCCGCCCCTTCAAGGGTGAAGTGATGTTCGCCCGTATTAGTAGCTGCAGTCCCAATGGCATTCAATGTAAGTGGTCTGGCTTGCTCTCTGTTGCACTCTGTACGCTCAATTTGACATCGTGCAGTGAGGACAGACTTCTTCGACGACATCCTCATCCCGTATGATGAGCTGCCAGATGAGGCAGAGTAGTAAGGCACATATCCGGGCGGGTATTGATGCAGCCGACGTGAACTGACAGATGATGTTTAGTGACATAAATCAACAGCTATGGGTGTGGAACGTCGAGGGACAACGGATGTTCTACGACATGCATGAGATGGTGCGGTTCCGCGTCATCGATGAAGAATGGCATGACCAGACACCGACAAAGCCAATAGAGCGAGGCGAGGAGCCAGAGGAGCACCGCAACCCGCCATACAGGATCCAGGGGAGTATGAAGGACCCTGGGCTTGGTGTGTGCATCTGGTGGGACTAGTGAGCAAAAAGGGAGTGACAATGGCATTTAAACAATGCTTGGTTCAAGCAAGAGCATTTGCTGTGACACAATCAAGATTCCCCGCCAACTATGTCCTTTTCTATTTATCATATCCCTTGGCGGATTTAGGCGGTGGGCGGTCGGATGCCATACGATAGGATCACACCTTTGCAGCGTTGCTGAGAAGCCGCTGCTCAACGTTGTCAAGAACGGAATAATGATCGACGACGGCAATGTTCTCAATCTCGGCAAGAAACTGCTTGTCGGGGTCCACGCCAGGTCCGAACATTTGGGGTGCTTGAGGACCCATCTGACCCATTTGCTGAGCCATCTGGTTGGCAGCTGGGCCTGTCAGCAAATGAAGGGACAACTGGTTGCAAGGAGGGGAGACTCACCATTATCGTTTCCAAGAAGGAAGTTAAAAACAGACTGCAGGCCAAATATGCACAGGAAGTACCAGCTGATGCTAGACATCCACCGGGGATCCATGTCTTTGGTGGCGACACCAGCCTGAAGCATGCTCTTGAACTTGATGGTCAGTGGAAATGGTAGTTTCACTGTTATGACTTCGTTAGCCAGCCATTATGAAAGGAACCGAAACAAATTTGGACTTGGGAGACGCAACTGATTACGTAGCCGCTAAAAAAGGCATTGATCCAACTCATAATGAGCGTGTTGGGAATAATCATGGCCATATTGCCCTTCATCATGCCCATCATGCCGTCCATAGCATTCGGATCGGTCATGGGGTTTGGCGGCGCCTGGCCCCGGTTCTCCGGCGCTTTGAGGTAGGCCCCAGACTCGTAGGCAGTCGACAGAGCGTCTCGGCGCACGCCGAAAGAACGGCGCGAGAGGACATGGTGGTTGGAGCGGACGCTGATGCCGTGCAAAAGTGACCTCTGTTCGCGAATTGCCTTCCGCTCAAGTTTCTTGGGCGCCGTAGCCATCAGGACGGCAGCGTAGTGCCGAAGGACACCAGTCAAGATCATGACCACCGTGATGGGGAAGAGGATCCAGTATCTGCAAAGGGCCATATAGTTAGCTAAATACGCAATGAAGACAACGAAGCGACAAACGTACAGCAGCTGCGGATCCCGAGGGATCGACTGTACCGGTACCTGCGCCATTACGGGGAGGGTGAGACGAAGAGAAGATAAATTGCAAAGAGCGAAATCGCAAGAGAGCGGAACTCCGAAACTGCGTGCTGTTGCCCGTATCAACTTTGCTACGAGTATGTTGAGGATTAAATTACCCGTCCTCTGGCCTATGTGGCTTGTTGTGGCTGATTGGACGTTGAGCCGCAACTGCCCTAGCACGTCGCGGCGGCAAGCTTCAGACAAGTAGCCACATTTCCACTGGAAGCTCCAGCCCACCCAAACTACATCGACAACAACCTTGACAGCTTTCAAACCACCACCATGGCACAGGAAAAGATCTCCGTCTATAACTTAGCAGGTGGGCATGGCGGTGGTTTCTAGAGGCTCAGAACTATTGCTGACCACTGCTTGTAGATCTTAGAAATACTTCCGACGATGCCATCCCCAACTATCTGAACTCACTCGGCTTCGTCCAGTCGCACTGCTTGACCGATGTTCGCCTCGCCCTAGGATACGGCGCCTTCTCTGTAGCTGGCGCCTGCTTCTATTGGGACTGGAAACTTGGGTTTGAAGACACAAAATACTACTCGGCCGCAGCTGTACTGGTGTACATGGCACTCCATGCCGCTTTGAGCCTTTGGGCCAAATTTGTCGAGAAGTCGACTATATACGTGGGCAAGTCCCCGGTCAACAACGAGATAGTAGGTACTCCAAAAAGTCCATACTATGACCTCTATCTTCCAGTCTGTAGCCCTTGCTCACGTACCAGGTCTCCATTTCTACCGCTGCCGACAAATTCACCCCCATTTACAACGTCACGGTCACCACCCGAACTGCCTCCAAGGGTGCACAACCCCAGACCACGCAATTTTCCCGCGCCTTCTCTGAGTGGTTCGACGGTGCTGGCCGCTTTGTTGCTTTGCCTTTCCAGGTCATGTTCGCCTCTCAGGTGGCTGCAATCGGCCGCGTGGATTCGAAGCGGGCCTCTGCGCCGCAAGCTGACGCCAGTGTCGCTTATGATGACGAGACACTGACGCTGTTGGCTGCCGCAAGCAAGACAGGCGCAGTGGATCAAGAAGATGCTGATGTTGATGGGAAAATAGCAGTTGCGACTGGAAACAGCAGTAGTAGCGGCCAGAAGAAGGCAAGCAAGCGGCGGAAAGCATAGACTCTTGGTTGACAGCCATGCATAATCATCGTTCTGGTACAACTTTACGCCTTGTATATATTCATATCGTATGGTGGTTTATCATGGCCGCAATGCCTGTAATGTTTAGAAAAATTACGACAAGAGGCAAGTATGTTAGCGAATGCATCTGTTCCATTTTTATGACAGGAGCAACCAACTCGGTTGTGCCATCTAATCAAAAATGAATTGCGCCATGTTATGTACTTCCCAATGACCCTTTCTATGAAGACCTTGAAAGCAACATTTTGCAAGCCTCTCACCCAAACTCCTGCATCACCCCAGGCCGATATACGCAAAACCATTCCAAATAGCGTATACTTTTTTTAAAGCGGTACCTTGGTCCAGTTTTCGCGCGCTAGCTGTGCTTCTTCACGGATCTCGCGCACTCTGTCACCACATGCCGTAGATAGTGCCCTCAAAAGTTGGGGGCCATACGGTAGGAGGAGGCCCTCTTCGACTTGGGTGGGCAAGTGCGCCACCAATCTGAGAGCTTGCTTGCGGCAACCAGGAGGAGGATTACCACGGCGGGGTTGCGGGACCTTTCCAGCTGGTTTCGGAGCAGCTCCAAAGACGTTGATAGACGCATCTACCAGTGTCTTCAGATGGCCCTGCAGTGTCTTTGGTCGGTTCTCCAGTATGACATACAGCACCCGCAAGGCCATGCTAACATCGGTCCAACTCGGTAATGTCGTCACAGCTGCAACAAGGATGCGCACGAGCGACTCCTCAACATCGTCCTCATACACAGAAAAGGGCATGTGGCGCACAAGGCTGATGATGGCGATTGCGTTGACTGAAGATGCACTCTCGGAAGGTACATCTCGGCCGACGGGAGAAGCAGACTCTGACGACTGCTGCTTTGGAAATGCGAGGGGTAGCAGCTTTTTGACTGTCTGACTGTACACCCATTGCTTGTATATAGACTTGACGACGGAATGATTCTCAGCTGATAACAAGTCGGCGTTGGCGGAAGAGAGTGAGCCTAGAGAACGAGCCATCTGCTCTCCAGTGCGACTCGATGCGTATTGTTCAGGGGTGAAGGCGAGTAAGGTTGCCAATTCTTTGGCATCCTTGTCTAGCCGCGGAAAGGCGCCGGTGGCAATAGCTACCAGGCGTCCAAACTGGTTGGGGGTCAAACTAGGGCTGCCTGCGCTGTTGATGGGGACCAGCTTGGTCTTCACAGCCTCAATGAGTTTCTGCCACTCCGCCAGGTTTCCCGGACGCGAGTTGGCGCTGGCAGAGTACTTGTTGGACAATATCGTTGCTATTCCGTTGCGCACCATCTTCGCACGCTGTGGTAAACTGTCCAGATTATCGAGGTCTTCCAGCAAGCTCTGGAGAGAAAGAGGGATATCGGCCTGTATATATTGTCAGCGGAGATGATGCCGGTTTGGCACAGTGAGTCTACAACTTACCAGATAAGCCACACATAAAGGTCGTAGGCCCCGGAGTATGCCTAGAGACAAAGCGTCTGCCCGGCCGCCTTGGTGATTATGAAAAACGGTCGTCTTTACAGGGCCAGGGTGGAACAAGCTGGACGGCGCCTCGTAAAGCTTTTCCTTGATTTGTTCCTCGACATCCAGATCGCGAATGACAAAGGTCGCCATCCCCGAAAGTTGATGCAGGTATAGATCTTGTTCATCCAGGTCCGTTGAGGAGTTGAAATCTGTACTGAGTTCAATGCCGTCTGCCACGAATGCGGTAGCCCGCAAGTATAGCTGCCGGATCAACGACGTTGCCTCTTTCAGATACGCAAGGAAGACAGGGCTGAGTGACTGGGAGGTGTCTGGTCCTGTCGCGCTAGACCCCACAGATTTCTCTTTCTGTGAGGGCACTCCCTTTTGCGCAAAAGCATCCCTTATGTTAAGTATCGAACCGTAGATGCCATATAGGACTGAGTTGACCAGCGTAAAAGATGCTCTCTCATCCAAGAGCCATTCCAGAGTGGTGTGAAGCGCATGTACTATTGTCAAAAAGTGACAAAGTCGGTTCTCTTGTAGGGAAACTATCGGTATGGTTGAACAGCCTACGAATGACAGCCGAGATAGTGTGTCCTTCAATCCTTCGAGATCCTCCAAAGGTATAGTCTTCAAAGGTGCTTCCTTGATCGAAGAGACAGCTCTGCCGACGAGGTATCCAAACCCTTTGGGATAGACTAGAGTGGCGGTCTTTAAGGCCAGCATCGCCTCATGGGCCAGCCCCTGGAAGTTATCCGGTGCTGGAACCGTATTCCAAGAGAATGAATATTGGGCTCGAGAGGCAAGCACCGTAAAGACCTCCATGCACTGGTGTGGACGACAGAGCAACGGTCCGACTATGTTTTCAGCCGATGGTCCCCGCTGGCTAATTAGCTCGGCAAGTCCATTCATGATCTGAGCCAGAACTATGGGGTCCTGACTTTGCTTCTCAGCCTGACTGGCGGAATCAACACCTTGTTTGGGGCCGTTCCATAAACTCAGATAAACACTGTCCAGTAAGTCCAAGATAGCGGCATCGTGGTTGTGAAATTCGTCCCAGCTGGCTCTCGCTGAAATACTGTCTGCTGTCTTTTCGTCATCCACGAGGCCTTGGCGTGTACGTAAGACGTCACCCAAGAATGCCAAGAGGTCACGGATATGAGGCGCTGTCTTAGCCCGGAGTAGATTTTGCTTCACAGCTGTGAGGATAGGCGTGATAGAGAGGTTGAACGACCGACGACCGCCTCTTAGGGTGCTAGTAAGAAGCTGGCCTGCTTGCTTTGTGTAGGTCAGATTGGACAAGTCGTTGATGCAATCGGCCAACACGAGATCCACAAAATCTTTGGCAAAGACGCCATCCAAGGGGTCTGTGGGTGTTCCATTGAGCCTTGTCGAGATGGCCTGGATCACACGGAGCGTCCAGTCTATTGTTTCTGGCACTTCGCCATGACGAACCTCGAACTTTAGCGAGTTCCAGATGCGACTGGCATGCGGGGCCAGGTTCTGAGCTGGACGAGCAAAGGACTCAACACAGGTACATATGGTTCTGAGTATGTCTCCTTTGACAGACACAGTGAGGGCATCGCCCTGGTCGAGTCTCTTGAGAAGGAAGTCGAATACAGAGCCTGCAACGGGAGAACTGGCTGCGAAACACACCCGCAGAGCATTCTTGAGATCCTCGACAGTAGTGCCAGAAGGCGTAGCAGCCGACCTCATGGAAATTGGGAAGTAGTCTGAGACCGCCTTGAAGACCTCTTCTGCCACAGCGGTAGACATCTGTTCGTACCTCTCCAAAAGCAAGTGCAGTATCGCGAACCACCGCAGTAGGTTGTCCGGATCACGCTCGTTGCGGCATAGCTGCAGCAGATCTACCAAGAATCCACACGAGGTACCATGGGCTTGCTGCAACTCCTCGAGAACTGACTTGTCGCTGATCAGGCTAGTCACCAGGTCGTAAATGGCTAGGCGTGTGGGAGCAGCTTGCAGCCGAAAGTCGTCACCTAGTTTCACCACGTGACTCAGAACAGATGAGGCCATGGAAGGCCGGAAGTGTTTCATAGAGCATAGGCAACGCAAAGCGGTGGCGGCAGCGAGGATGCCGGCCTTGTGATCAATCGCAAACATGGCGCCAAAGAAAGCAATAAGGTGTTCGACTAAATAAGCTGCTGTCAGAGAGACTCGTAGCTCGGGGTCAAAGGCAAGCGCTACTCAGAGTGAACTCACCCTGCTCGACCCGCAAGACATCGCTGTCAAGGACTTCCAAAGAGGCCGCCAAAAATCCCAATGCTGTTTTTATAGCTGCGATTAGCATTTACATTTCAAGTCCAAGGAATCTGTCACTGAGGACCAACACACCCTTTGCCCGTGCAATAACGTCACCATCAGCTTCATCGTCACCACCTGCGCGACCACCCGGCATCCATGGGTTGATAGACTGCGCCCAATTAAGAACAGCGGCACTTTTGCGTGGTGCCTTTTTTATGCCTATTCTGTTAGCAACAACAAGCGCACCTATAGTCGACTTCTGATACATATCGTCGGGGACGCACCCTCTGCAGCCTCGCCAGCCAACTGCCTTTGCTCGCTCTCGTCATCAGCCAGCACATACCGAGTGGCTAGTGCGGTGAAGTCGGCCATGGCTGCCTGTTGTTGGGCGTCGATATAGCCTTCTGCGTGAGGATGGCACGCTGCTTCTGTTACAGTCAAGAGAGCTTCATAAAAATGCAACAGAACCTCGGTATACGTGCATATTTTTCTGCGAGTTGTCCTAATATTATGACGCCCGGTACGGAGTATATCGCCTAGCAAACTCGCTGGGCAGATACTTTCCGTTATCGATAAGCCCTCAACTACGGCGGGGGAGGGGCCCGTATAGAAGTGGAGGGGCAAAATTTTACTCCAATGACCAAAAGTCTCCGCAGTCGGGGAGTTCTAGCCGTGTTCACGCGAAGGCTTCCAGAGCCGTTCTATTTGTCTCTGCTAATTTTTCAATTACTTGTACGTTTTTTTCCCCCGGTCGGGTCTATATTCTTGGGACCCCTACTGGCTTCGTTTTCTTCTTTTGAAATGCCGTCCCGCCGTGTAAAAGAAAGGGTGTTAGGGTCTGATGAGTTCGCATCCTGAAAACTCGAAATTTCTGTAGCTTTCAGCCGCCACCATTTGCTGAATCATCTTGAGCGCAACAGTTCCTAACCTCAAGACAACAGCTAGAAAGGTACGGCGGCGTCTAGAAAATTTGTCTCTTTCCTTGGTGACTGACGTTTGGCCCCTAGCTCAACAATGGCTACCGCAATTATCCCCAAGACCTGCAAGGTCATCCTGGCCGATTCTATCGCCAAGAATCTCCTCGCCGAAGTTCACAGCCTCCTTGAGGAAGTCCAGAAGGCCCAGGGTACTGACCGCCAGCTGTGCCTGGCGGCCTTCCTGGCCAACAATGACCCTGCCGCAGTCAAGTATGCAGAGTGGTCGCAGAAAACCTGCCAAGAGAAGTAGGTCTCGCTATGGTCAATTGGCTCTATGACTCGTGACTGACAGTTCCCAAGTGGCTTCGCCTTCCAGCTGTACCATGTCGACAATCAGGAGCTGGAGGAAGAGATCAGCCGCGCCAATAACGACGACTCGATTGACGGTATCATTGTTTACTACCCAATCTTTCCCGGTAACCCGACCCACGATCGCTACATCCAAGAGACCGTTTCTTTAGCCAAGGACGTGGAGGGCCTTTGCCATCGCTACCTCTACAACATGTATCATAACGTGCGCTTTCTCGATCCTCCTACAAACCAGTTCAAGTCTGTCCTGCCTTGCACGCCGCTGGCCGTGGTCAAGATTCTGGAGCACTTGCACGTGTACAACACAGTCATCCCCTACGGCAACCGCCTGTATGGCAAGACCATTACTGTCATAAACCGCTCCGAGGTCAACGGCAGGCCGCTTGCTGCCCTTCTTGCCAACGACGGTGCGACGGTCTACTCGGTCGACCTCACTGGCGTTCAGGTTTTCACGCGCGGCCAAGGCATCCGCCAGCCGCGCCACCAAGTGCTTGACAAGCCGGCGGACTTCAAGCTTGAGCACTGCCTGCCGCTGTCAGATGTGGTGATCTCGGGCGTGCCCTCGGAGTCGTTCAAGGTCCCGACGGAGCTGCTGCGTGAAGGCGTGGTGTGCATCAACTTTTCATCCTTTCGCAATTTTGATGGTCCGGCGGTCAAGGAGAAAGCGTCGATCTACGTGCCGTCCGTTGGCAAGGTGACCATCGCCGTGCTTCTTCGCAATCTTGTGGTATGTATCACAATCAGCAGTCCTGTTGCGATTCTCGTGGACATGGTAATCTGACCTGACTCAATAGCGCCTTACGGTAACACGGAAGGCCAACTAAGCTGGCGCATCTATTGCGTAACAGACATCCCAGCGAATTGGCTTTATGGAATAACTGGTGTTTTGTTTGATGGATACTACTTTTTCAAGCAACGGATTAGAGAAAAAATGAAAGCAGAGGGGCAAGCCTCTTACACATGGATATATAGTGGTGTTGAACACTACAAAAACCGTAGACCAAGTAGAAAACGTACTCATCTGTGGCCTCGTATAATCCACATATAGGTTTCACTCGATTTTACTCGTTTTCACATAAATCGCGAGCATGGACCAAAATTCTAAGTAGAGAGATGTTTCGTTTCCCGTAATGTACACTGCATAAGTTACATCAAGATGTCGTCGCGCTTTGATTTTTTATCGTTTGTTCCATAACCTGTAGCCCAAGATCATATGCGAGGAGTTCATCGCACACACAAAAACGTGTGTTGAGAAATCCTGGGCATCATATTATTGCAAACTCTCGAGACCCTCCATCCCACTAGCCGGCACGACTCCAAACACTGCAACCTCCCTTTACCGCCGCAGAGTCGACTCAGAAGGCGGGCCCGAGGCCGACGACCGCGTCTGTCTCTGGTCGCGAGACGGGTTTGCGTAATCGATGCGAAGCTGGCGGGTCCCGACAGTACGGCCAGCCAGGTGCTCGAAAGCCTTGGTGGCCTGGTCCACCGTCTCGAAGTCGGTGTGGGCGAAGCCACGCGGCCAGCCCGTTGACCGGTCCACAGCGACACGCACCGACTTGACGCCCTCGAGGCCGACGAAGAGCTGGTTGAGGTCAGCGTCGGTGGTCTCGTACGGCAGGTTGCCGACGTAGAGGCTCGTGGTCGGCGAGCGAGTGGAGGTGGCGGCAGATGGGCTTCCGGCCTCGCGGCGGGCAGTGCGCTCTTGCACGATAATACGGCGCCCGTGCCAGAAAGAGCCGTCAGCCTCCTTCAGAGCCTTGGCCATGGCCTCGGCCGTGTTAAACCAGACAAAGGCAAAGCTGGTAGAAACAGGGTCAGTAAAGCACATTTGGCTGCGCGTAGCAGCAGGTTCCACAGTAACACTCACCCTCGGCTCAGTCCTCTCGCATCGCGAGCAATCACAGCCTTGGATACCGGGCCGTAGTGCTCAAAGGCCTCCTTGAGGTGTTGCTCGCTGGCATCGAACACGACGTTGCGAATGTAGATACCGTATGCAGTCTCTCCCTGGTCCAGCGCAGACGGAGCCTCGGCAGTCTCGGCAGTCTCGACAGTCTCGGCACCCTCAGCAGTCTCGGCAGTCTCTGCGGCCTTCAGGTCCGACTCCTCCTCATTCAGAGTGCGGGCTGTTTGCGAAAAGTAGCGCGCGACACGTGCGGCGGCCACGGCAGCAAGGTTGATACCGACAGGGCGCTGGAACGCCTGGATAGCAAGCGAGCTGACACACGGGGCAGCATTGGAGCCAGCGACGATAGAAGCCCGCGATGCGACAGCGGCGGATGCGGCGGACCGCAGGACTGCACGGCGAACGGGAAGCCTGATCCAATTAGTCCCCAAAACGACCCTTGCAAGCGCACGATCTCGAAGCGACTCACATTGTGAAATAGGTCAATCGAAAACAGAAAATTCCTTTTTATATCTTAGCTACTCCGATATAAGAGAGTGACAGGTGTGTATGTGTTGAAAGAGACGCAACGTTGGACCGGAGATCGTATGGTTGGTAGTCAAATAAGAGGCTACAGAAATTTGCCATCACAAAATTTCTTAACAATCTATTCGATTCGATAACAGGCCCTTCGGAGGTTAGTCTCCAAAGGGCTAGCGATTTGTTTATATTATGTAAGCATTCATCCCACCCATCGTATCGGTCCGCACATGAGTGAAAGACTTTTTAGCACAAAATGGTATTAGACTGCCGAAAGTACTCCGTAATCCAGCTCAGCCTCGTGCATCCGAACAGGCGGTAACTCTCAATTTGCCCATAATAAGATGCATCCCTTACAGAGCGATCCGCAGATCCGCCCGCGCGGATGTATCTCATCTCATACGGCAAATGTCCCCGAGATTCATACTCGACGAGCCGATAGGCTTAGGAGGACAGAAGCTGTTGTGATGCGAGCTGCTTGGTCGACTTTCAGGAGGTTTAGCATGGAACAATTCACATCCTCTAAATAAGGCGCCTCACGAAAAGGCATTGCGTGGAGGCGTCTTGTGATGCTCTTCTTTCCTACCTCATGTCCAGTCCCGATGCTACGGATGGCAACCAAGAAACTAGGGATCGTGTCACAAGTACCTATTTGGTAAGGTGTGGCTGTTGGCTGCCGGTGGTGTTGTTCATCTAGACCAGTCATATATCTCTGTGCCGATGAATGCATGCCACTTACCTCGTACTTTTCCCAATTCGGACTATATCGCACCAAGGCGTCATTAAATCTGGTTGCCATTTCGCCCGCTAGTACTCCAGGTGTACGATTCCAACTTTTTACCCCTTTTTCCTTGCTTTTTGGTGCATGTTAGCGCCCCTGTTGTATCAATTACCCCTTGTGCCACCTTTGTCATGTCGGTGCCTTGCGGGCGAGCGTGTTCGTGAAGCCACGCAGTTTAATAGATGGCCCATGTCTTTGTCTGTCCAACTGGCCAGGTGTATCCCGTGCATCCAGATGGGGGGCCTGACCAACTTTCTTGCATCCAAGCAAGGAGTATGTAGTCAAATGCACGAAACAGCTACACAATGTAGAATTATCGTGCCCGAGAAGTTAGGTTTCTTTTTTCTTTTTCAGCTTTCGTCCATAACCTCTAAGAACATCCCCGGTATATGGTGTCTCTTCCGGAAACCTACTACTTATCACTATACTCCTCTTCTCGTCCTTTTCGTCCGTTGCCGTCTTCACCCATTTTTTTCCTTTTCTGTTGGCTTGATCCCGGTATTTATGAGAACACTTTGCCCGTTTGTTTGTCAACATGACATCCTTGTCTCCTTCGTTCATCTTTCGTCGGGCTAATGGTAGTTTTGGAGAGGTGAACTGTGACCCAAAGGACGGAGAGGCCGCAATACATGGTACAATGGCCAATGACTACCAAGGGCCACGACCTCGTAACGTCGACCGACCATATCGCAACGAAGATGATGAGCCGTCGGACTGCATATACTTTCTGCGGCGGCTACGCCAGTCCATCTATAGCAGTGGTCCGGACCGCACTCACTGCTCTGCGTGTGCTGAGCCAATATGCCACCGACAAAAAGCCTTAGCTGGAAACGACCCAGATAGCCACGACAGGAAAGCCTACCACTCACTCATGATGTCCCCGGAGCGGGTACTCCGCGACCTTGTCACGAACAATGCTGTCAAGCCCCTGAAACAGGCTGTCGCAGAGACATTGCTGGAAGTGTTCGGCCAGAGCTTACCAGCAGACCCAGACCTGACTTTACCGCCGCCGTCATCCGTCTGCCCGGCCACTCCTACCGCGTTTCCTTATTTCTCAGCTCTCCCTTTTGAAATCCGCCGCATGATCTGGGACTTGGCCATGCCGTCGCGTGTGCTGGTGCACTCCGATCTCATCCAGCCCTGTGACCAGGGCATCGAAGGATGTTACTGTCCTCAGCCTCCATCTAGCAAGGAACCGTGGCGACCCGACCTTTTCTATACCTGCTTCGAAGCCCGAAATATGGTAGAGTCTTATGCGTGCAGAGAGGAGTTGCCCCAAAAAACCGGCATATTGTCAGAGGCCCGACTGGTAGCTACACTGGATGTGGTGTACTTCCCTTGGCTAGGAACGCAGGTCGCAATGGCAGGAAAAAACACCAAATACAGCACTATCAAGTCATCTGTTAGCGACGGTTTTGGGCTACATTCGATCTTGAAATCTCTCCCATACGGAAAATGGACCTACCAGTTACGAACTCTGCTCCTACCGCTACCTACTGTAGCCTTGGATGTGGGATGGATCGACAAGCAACATGCAGACACCTTGGCCTGGATAGCGGGCGTCGACCTTGAGGACGAGGACGGGGACGTGGGTGGGACATCATCAGCATCGACAGCAACGGCAGCATCGACAGCGTTGAGTTCTTCGTCGTATCTCAAACACCTTCAGGTAGTTGTTGCCGACATTCTTGTGCCTGTTAGTGTCCGACTTTACCGGTGCAGCCCAGCCCAGCGCCAACTGCTGTTGCAGAGCCGTGACGGGGACATTCCAGATCTAGCAGGAAAAGACTTCACCGTGCTTGTAGACCTGTACGATGACTGGCGGATCGACGAGGTGCTTTCACTGCAGACGGAAGATCCTTCGTCATGGCGGAGGTATCGCCATGGCAGCAAGGAGACAGGGTGGCAAACAGGACTGGCAGGCCGCATCGTTAACAAAGCGGCCTGTCATAGGTGCATCCAATGCACGCGGACCGTCTGGGAGGCACGCGACTGGGGCCGGTTTGGCTTGCATCTGGGACAACGGCTGCAGACTTTGTGTCGGCCCATGATTGTGTTCTCCGTAATTCTGGAATTCACCGACTGGAGGAGCGAGGAGAGAAGATGACGCACGGGAGCGAAAACTGGCGATGGGATGCGAAACGAGGAATGTGGTGCTGTCTGGTTGTGCTTCTGCGTCATATCTCCATAATTTCTTCACTCTTCTCCGCGTCACTACTCCCCAGACTTGTGACTGGCAGGTCATCGGACCGTGCTGCCTTTTTTTATCACCTATTCCTTTTTTGTCCTTCAAAGGCTTCCCACAGAACACCCTTTTCGAATAGTGCCATCTGTATCTCACTTGTTCACAATGTTTCAGAGTACTATTATTGGGGCATTAAAAGGACACAGTGCAATGTTACTTTTCATTACCCATAGACGAGCAAAGACCAGGGAGCAGGGAGCGTGAAGAAGGGACACGAGAGTCCCAGGATGATACAAATGAACGTCGACCGAAGATGACGCACATTCCATGTTGCGCTACCTCCCGGTTGGCGTTGTCGAACTTCTCTTCTTTCATCATTACCACGGTCAGACACAGAAGACACGCGCATTAAGCCATTTCCGGTGATACCCATTTTTTGGTTTCTTTTGCCAGATGATGTTTCTTACTGTGCCCAACACCGGCTTTCACCGGTTATCAGGAGTAGAGTAGATGCAATAACTTCCAACTGGCCCGTTTTTCTTTTTCTGTTTCTCTGTAGCACGCCCGCAAAGCTCGTTGACAATTTCCCGTACTGCCGTGCAGCTCGTACTATGTAGGTTTGACCGAGTGACCGCATGGACGAAGAAGGGAAACACTCGCACTCGCTTCAAGGCCCGCTGGCAGAAACATGTACGACGAAACGGCTGGAATTCGGAGGAAAGCGTGAATGACAGCGGAATGGGAAAGAAAGGCAGATGACAGGATATCGCCAGGCAATGATCGTCCAAAGAGGTTCCCATGGCAGATCGGTAGATCGGCAGATGCCCGTTCCAGTCACGATGGCCAAAGACAAACAGCTGACACTCGATGAGCGAAAAAGAAAGCAAGATGTTGGATAGCAGGGAGATTGAGAGGATGCAAGGAATGGGAGGGCACGGCATACTCCCATGCAACGTAGGAATCCTGTCTCAGTGTGTGTCCGGCCAATCGCAATTCCGAAAAAAGAAAGGCGAGACTATCTGGCTCCGGTTGGGACTAGGCGGTCTCAGGAGGAGGTTGGAGACAGGTGAACTTCACCACAACGGCATGATCGGCGGCACCTCGGGGGCCAGGAGGAGTGGCTGACTGGCTGCCAACACCAACTCCCGTGTCTGGGCAAACGTTCCTGGCCATCAGCATCTGATGTTCTTCGACGGACGTCCGTTGGTTTGGGAACTTGATTTGGGGCCTGCTTTCCTCGAGGGCGTTCGGCCAAGCGCTCGAGGCATCTACGAGTACGGGTAGTATTACCGTATGCAAGAAGCACCTGCTTCTGCTTGGGTGTCCTGCGAGAAACTGCTGACACACATGTGCGAGTATACATGCGAACATCCTGTCACACGTGTCGGCAAGCTCTTTGTGACAGATCTGGACGATCCTAGCCGTATGGTGCTTGACTGGTCTCTCGCTGTTTTGGAGATGACTGCCGTGCTGACACGTGTGGCACGAGTGCCGGGCTCGACGAGTACGAGTTCTTGCCAGTGCGAGCAGCGTCTTGCCTGTCTCGCTACGCCACGAGTGGCAAATTGAAACCTGCATACCCGGGACCTGGCACAGGTTGGTGCCTGGTACTATGTATGTATTATTGCATGGATGAGGATTTTTTATACATGTGTGTACGTCGTATCTCCCAAACATGTGCCATGCACAAGAACTAATAAGTACGGAGTAGATGCAATATAAGACAGCTACGCGCACAGGTCGGAAAGGACTGCGACGGGTCCATGCAGAGCAGGCTTGGGACAAATACATACGTCGTAGATCTGGGCGTGGCAGATAACGAGAGAGAAGGACGGACTTCACACGGACGAGAGCGACGGATGGGAAAATGGTCCACTAGGTGTGGCTCCGACCGATTGGGCGGAGCGAGAGCCGGGGTATGTCGCCTTACGAGCAATTGCATAGGAAAGGACCTGTCCGGACATGCCTAATTGTGCTCTGCATCGACGTGCATATTTTGTGCATGCGAGGGCTCGAACAGCGAGTATTCGCACGGAGGACTCCGTACGTATGTACGACGTACATAGTACGAGTACTGCAGTTGGTGGAGTGGAGAAAGCTGCCACGAGGAAGGAGATTGGAACGCGAGAGGAGCTGGATGGGTGCTGACCCACGGCCAGGGCGCCGAGCTGCAGGGCAAAGCGCGGGCTCCTTTGCAATTACCGGGGGAGGCTCGCTGCTAGAGCCGGACTTGTTTCCCTGTTCTCGCTTCTTTGCTCCGTGTCGGTCGGCCAGAGAAAGTCGGGCGGGCTCTTCTGAAACGTCCTTTCTCTGGCCACGAACCGGCCAATGCGATACATGGTTGGCGACATCTTACGAGTACTGTGCTCGTGCACAACAAACAGTATGTATTTGTACTTGTACAGTGCTATCTGGCTGAAGCCATTTCCATCTTGCTCCTCCGCTCTCCGGCAGACGAAACGTCGGACCACCAGCCGGTTGAGTCTCGTACTCGTATCTCGCTCGTACGTCGGCATAACAATTTTTTTGTGTTCTTTTTTGTGTTTTTGCCCTTTTTGCATCATTTCGCTGGGCCTCGTTCCTTCGCTGCCGTTTAGCTTCTTTGGGGCTTCCTTTTTTTTTTTTTTTTTTTCGGTCGTCTTCGTTTCTTTTTCTCTTTGTTTTCCCCTGCTCCTCTTTCACTGCGCGCTCGGCGAGCTCTACAGCCTTGACCAGCTCCTCCTGACACTGATCGGCCCATTCACCGTGTCCTCTTCCTCCATTCGGATCTTTACCGCTCAACATTAATTAACCCCCCAAACCCCCCAAGCCGGCGAGCCTGGCATGTAACCGACGATCACAGGGGGGACTCAGGTCAGCTCGCTTCCCAGTGGAGCGGCCGTCCATTCTGTCGTTCTGCCGCGTCCTGGGCCTTATTATCCACTACTATAGTATGCTTTTGTGGCTCTGCTGGGCGGCGGTGGTGCCTAGCGTGCTTTGCGTTATCCAACGCTACACGTAAGATACAAGCACGACGATGCAACAAGCACAGAGCCCACCATAGCATGTCCTAGCGCTACGTGGTAGCGCCGTAGCGCCGAGGCATAGCGCGCAGAGCAGTATCGCACTACTGCCTACCTTCTGGGCAGTACATGCCTGGTACTCGCAGCCGCTCGTATCCGTGCGCCACAGCGAGCATGTCACTGGTATCCTCCATGTGCCGCCCTGTCTGTGGCACGGCCGCTACTCTCAGGAGTACGAAGTACCTGTAATACACGTTGCCCTGTGTCTGCCCGCCGGCGCGATTGAACGATAGCGCGATAGAGCGATTGAGCCAGACCCACGACCGTGCCGTTGCCACGCGGCGATCGCTTACAAAACGAGACAGTTTGTGCGCGCTGCGCTGCACCGCGGCATAGTGTATCCTGCATTTTTTCCCACACCCCTCCCCTTCTTCCCGGCTGCCGCATCACGTGGAAACGGTTGGACAACTCGCTCGATTTGCACCTCGCCTTGAAAACGTGCTACCCTTCCATCCCTAGCGCCGGTCTGCTGTTCCACCTCCCTCGTTCACTACTCGTTTTTATCTTAATTTATTCGCATTTCTGTCCCCTCTCTCAGCACCGTGCACCGTGCTGCTATTATGTATTCTTCCCACTGCATCTAATCTCATGCTCCGTACACAAGCCATTTTTCCCTTTGTCTCTCCCATGCTCCCCTCCCATGTTCCTCCCATGTTCCTCCCATGTTCCTCCGCCTCCACTAGCGGTCGTACTTGTACTTGCAACCTCAACCTAGCCCGTGCTGGCCCTAACCCCCCCTGTATCTTAAGATACATTTTGGTGGTCCCTGCGATCCCCTCGTGCTAAACGCTAAAACCTCTTGTACGGAAGAGTTGCCTGTACGGAGCACGCCCTTCCCTTTTTGCCATGCGCTACGTCCGGGGACTGGCCGGTTTGACAGATTAAGCCCCCTGCATTTTTCCCTAGTTACATAGTAGTCGTATATCGCTACATAGTGCTCCGTACAAAGCCCTTTTCCCCTACTTTTTACATTTCCCTCTTTCTCCCGTCTTTTCCTCCCCCTTCGTCACTCGTCTTCCTCTCTCCTCGAATCGCTGCTGTACGAGCATCCCCCTCCCCCTTATCCTTCCCTTTTTCTTTTTCTTTCTTTTAAAGGAATATCGGCTTCCCTGGTCTTCGTCGGCATCTACCTTTAGCTGGCCTCCTCCGCTCTTTTGGTTTTCTCGAGTTTCTCTGTTTTTGTCCAAGCTCGCAATCCAATTGCACCTCGCACGTCTTCTCTGCACGCTCGACAATACTCAGGGTTCACTCTCTTCCCTCGCTTCGACCTTTCTAGCCACTTTTTCCCGCAACAAAGATTCCTGCCACCATTGACCGAGCTCTTGGTACTGATTCCCAACGCCAAACTCTTCGTCTCTCCTTCCCGGCTTACGCTGCCGGTCTCAGCCTCTTTGCGCCCGCCGACAGACGGCCTTTCGAAGACACCGTGTGCGTGTGCGAGTGCGAGCCCGTGTGCTTTGGTTGTGGCCGAATTCCACGTCTCTAAGCGAACTCGCTTGCGACCAACGCGATCTGCAATTAACCTCACAACTCGACTGTGTCCTCGCAAACCCGCACAAAACGTGAACTTTGTTCATAAACGAACGGCAACCTGCAAGCAGAAGACCGACGTTGCTGCCTATTATTGGCCCTGGTCTAGCAGCTGTATCTTTTTTTCCCGCTGTCCGATCGCTCGATCCATCCGCCTCGCTCGTCCTTATCAGCTCAAGCTTTTCTGCTTCTGCCCGAATTTCGACAAGCAATGGATGCACAAATTGCCCAGAAGCTGCCCGCCGGCTTGGCTGGTGTGCTTAACTCTCCCGACCTGAACAGAGATTCTGCCTACTTTTCCAGTGCTGATCCTTCCAGTAAACGTTTGTTATCCTTGCCGCTTCTGCTCTTTCGGGTGCCGGCCAATAGGAAGCCACTTGCACACTGTACTTTTGCTAACTCGTGGTTTTTCTGTTGCAACAGACACGTCTGCCGCATCTTGTGCCGGCGTAAGTATCGCTGGCCCACCATCAGCATCATCCGTCTCATCGTCCAACGTCTTCCGCTCTCCCTCTTCTCAACCCGATAAGACACCGTCGCCTACAAGCGCTGCGAACCTCCTTCCGCAACCACTCGCGTCGCCCTCCACAAGCAGCATGAGCGTTGCCTCAATGGTCTCCCCAACTACGTCTGGCCCCAGCGATTTACGGCGGCTTGCCGACCGTCCGCACTCCTACGAAGCTATCCCCAATGGCATGGCCTTTGCTGCTAGCGATTATGATCCTATGGCGCGCCGTGAAAGCGTCGACAGCCGCATCAATCAAGGTTTCGGCGACCTGCGGCTGAGCGGCAACTCGCCCTACGCCAGCCACAACCACTCTACCACTTCCGTGCACAATACCCTGCAGCAGCAACAGCGACAGCAACGGTCTGGCCTGGACAACCTCTCCATTCACCGCATCTCAAATGGGTATCAACCAAATGCCGAGCGAAACCCCGACGGCCACAACAAGATCGTCCGGACTGCTCCCGCTATCACAGGACCTGCTATCAGCCAAATCGCCCGCGCTGCCGAGCCCACAAAAGGCCAGGCGTGGGCTTTCCCCGAAGAGGAAATCCACCGGATGCCCTCAACTTTAAACCAGTCCCTGGACGACTCGCGGCGCAGCAGCATTGCCGACTCGCTAGCCAGCAGCCAGTTCACGTCCGAATCCCGCCTGCCATCCGGCCAACGACGATTCGATGAGCCCTCGCCAGACTCGACCGGAACTGCCGGTGCCATGGACTACCATGACCAGCGTATGTCCAACGAATACCCCACAACACACCACCATGCCCTACAGCACAGACGTCTCGAGGATCTCCAGGCTGAGGGCGATAGCCCACTCTCCGGATCGCAGCCCTACAGCAGGACGCCAGAGCTGCGTATTAGCCACAAGCTTGCAGAGCGGAAGCGGCGGACGGAGATGAAGGAGCTGTTTGAACAGTTGCGTGACCTGATGCCCCAGGAGCGAGGATCAAAGGCCTCCAAGTGGGAGATATTGACTAAGGGTAAGATGCTTCGTCCTTTCGACACACCGTCAGATTCTATGCTAACCCACATTACAGCTATTACGGAGCATCAGCGACTGCAGGAAACCATCCGATCAGCTCAACAACACTCTGCCGCTCTATCCAGCGACGTCTCCATACTTAAAAACGAGGTACACGCCCTGCGAATGGAGAACCAGCAGCTCCGCGCCGACGTTGCCAACATGCATCAAGGAAACGGTTCTGTCATGGGTCCTGGTCCAGGCCAACAGCAATCATCCGTCATGAACGACCCATTCTCTCGCAGCCAACAGGCACCACGACCCGAGCTTCCACCGCTCCGTTCATTAGGCAGTGGAATCCCGCAGTCTGCTCCTCCCGAGTCCATGACGGGCGTGCAATATGAACAAGCTCGTGTTGGCGGGTTCCGACCCTCAGACCGGTATTAATTAGCCGAGGTGTTCCCTTGAACTCTGGGCAGCCATGCTTTCTTTGTTTGTGCATGTTATTCAAGGAATCTTTTTTTGGCTTCGAAGTTCCTTGGATCACGGCGTCATTATCTCTTCCTTATCATTGATTATGTGTATTTCCATCATGTATATGAGTCCACACAATATCCTTTCCCTGGCGGGTGGATGGCTACAGGGCAAACCCCTTTTTGCTGTTATTTCATCTGTTTTATCACAATATTCTTGTTCTCACAGCCTGGCGAATAGCCATGGGCTGCATGGAAACCAGGGGGAGAGTCGGGGGCTCTGTCTGTGGCATCCCGGTGTGTGCATGTATGTGCATGTGTGTATTTTATACCCCATTTCTTTTACTTCTGCCATCTTGGACACAAACAAGCAAAAAACTGAAACTATGACGGAACGTGGCTGCTATTTGATAGAATGGTGGTTGGTGGACGACCACGGTTACGGGCGGAAAAAAGAGCTGCATGATTTGAGGCGGTGTAAGGTAGAGAGGCAACGAATGGTGGTTTATGTTTGGATACGGGATGCTGCCACAGATATGTGGCCAATCAATGTACGATAATTCCCAGTCGGCAGTTGATGCATTGTCAAAGCTGCTATTGTGTATTATCGTGTTCCTCGATAAATAAACCTCCTGCACATGAAATGTAAATCCGGGGTTCTCTAGTGCGAGTAGCCCGAAATAGAAGGCCTAACCGCCTATGTGTTAAACCCAATATCGCCCAATATCGTGTAGGTCCCTTAAGCGAGCATTTTACGTCAGCTGCAACGTTTCCCGGGGAAACTTGTCTGTGCTTCGAGTGGTTCACTCCATATTCTTCCATATAGGGTCAGCTTCAGCTCGTGGTCGACAATGTCGCCTTTCCGACGATCTAATCCGCAGCTGTGACCTTGATCGACTCTCCTTCCTTTTCGCCTCCTTCGACGAACCGACCTCGGCCTGTCCTGTTGCGTTCTCCTCGATGCTCCTTTTCTTCCGGCCTCGACTGGCGCGCCGTCGTGCACGCATCTACAGACGACCGCTGTTGTACGCAGCGACTGCTTTATTTTTGATCGACACCTGGTGTATATTACGAAGCAGGGGACAGACACTGCGGGTTGAGGCACGAAGGGCAGTAGATGCAGCAAATGTCGAGTCCGTGTTGCCGGCCGACAGTCAGGGGAATACATCTGTGTTTATTGTCTCCGTCCACCGCAATACGGAAGTGATACTTCGAGCTGCCTGGATCAATGCTGTCATCGCGCTGGTCGATCATCTCGGACCCGAGAACGTCTATATTTCTGCCGTCGAGTCCGGCTCCCAGGACTACACCAAAGAAGCCCTGACACACCTTCAGACGGCACTAGACGTCCGGGGTGCCGGCCACTCAATAAGCCTCGGAACGACGGTCTGGGATCAGCTCAAGGAGCTATATACTTGGCCCGATCCAGACTCGCCGGCAGCCGAGCGGCCAGGCTGGATCTGGGACGCCGGTGAGGGTCACTTTGCTCTGCGCCGGATTCCATACCTGGCACAAGTGCGCAACCAGGCCATGGAGCCTCTGCTGCGGCTAGCAGAAGCAGAGGGGCGTCGATTCGACCGAGTCCTATGGATAAACGACGTGGCGTTCGATGTAAGCTCGGCTCTGCCCTTCCGGCTTCCATTTCCCCTCTTTTCTTGCTGACTTGTCAGACCTCGGATGTGCTCACTCTGCTTGACACACGAGACGGCAACTATGCTGCAGCTTGTGCGGTGGACTTCATGTCTTACCCCCAGTATTACGACACGTTTGCCCTGCGCGATGAGAACGGCAACAAGGCGGTATCGGCCTATTGGCCGTGGTTTGAGTCATCCACATCCAGGGCCAATGTTCGAGCCGGACGGCCTGTTCGCGTGCAGTCTTGCTGGAACGGCATGATTGTTTTTGACGCGCGGCCCTTTTACGACGCCAGGACCCAGACGGGACATACGGGGCAGACAGGCGGCGCGGATACAGGCCACGAAGCTCAGCCGCTGCTGTTCCGTGGCATCGACGACAGCTTGGCGGAGCTGCATCTGGAGGGCAGCGAGTGCTGTCTGATCCACGCAGACAACCCACTTTCGAGCGCCGATACCACCGACAGCCACCATGGGGTGTGGTTGAACCCCAACGTGCGCGTTGCGTACAGCGTGCCGGTATACAACAAGGTGCGACAAGACGTGTTTCCCGGAGCCGGGGCAGCTGTAGTGGGCATCTGGGCGCACCGGTGGGACCGAATCTTGGGCCAGGTGCAGTACCTGGTAGAAACACAGGCGGTGCTGAAGCGACTGCGGCAGTGGCGGGCAGCGACGCCCGAGGGCCAGCCTCAGCGGAGCGAAGCAGGTGTTGCGTGTCTGATCAACGAGATGCAGATCATGTGGCAGAACGGGTGGAAACATCTGTGAAGAAAAGGGGAGGACGAAAATGGCAATACAAAAGGGTGACGATATGAAAATTGTAATTATACCCAAAGTTCTAATAGAATATATGTAGTACCGGCCCCGTCTAGACGCTCTCCGCCGAGAAGAAAGAAACAGTAGGGGCATTATGATAATGGCGAGAATGGGGAAAATATGTACAGACTAGAGGTGCACAGCACACGACCCTCACTTATTGTGCCATAGCAGGGTCCGCAGGCTGTCCCAGTCGTTGCTCTGGACGTAGATGTAGTTCATACTGTTGCGCAGGCTCGACTGGATTTCGACATCGTGGTGCCGGAAGAGGTGCATCACCATGGCCCAACTGCCGGCCGCAAAGGCTGGCCATGCATAGTAGCTGATACGCTGTGATAGCTCTGGCTGCGACACGAGAGGGAGGCCGATGTCGGGCTTGACAGAGAGGCGTGCGAGGGCCAAGACGACGCGGGCAAAGACGTAGATGCAGATCTGCATGTTCACAGAGCTGACCTTACCAGACGGTGATCGGCTGCCGAAGATGAGATAGCCACCGAGGAGACCAGCCGTGAAGCTGTCATATTTGCCTGGGAATTGTCAGGACGATGCGCCAGAGGCCGAAATTTGGCCCAAACGACTCACCCTCTTTTCCGTCCCGAAGCTGTCTCAATAGAAGACAGGTAGTTTTGTAGACAATGGCAAAGCGGGCCAAATTGCTGGCGTGGGTGCGAGTAGCGCGGAGAACGAGGCCGGTTTTTTCGCGCAGTCTGGTGATCGTCAGCTGGGGCCAAAGTGGAACAGGGGGGGACCGTGAGGGCGAACAGGCAATACGTACGTCCCGGAACGAAAGAGAAAGATCATGCTAAGAGGAGGTCGACGTCAGCTTTTCTGGTCTGGTCTAGGCAGAGCAGGCGACAGTGACAACGAAGAGAGAGAGAGGGAGCATGACCGTACACGAGTGCATGTGGAAAGCGAACCTTGGTGCCGTAGACGGCACCGTTGCGCGCGCCCTTGAGGATGGCAAGGACATCGTGATATCGTGGGTCAAGGGCAATGCGCTCAGCAGCGGCCTGCATGGAAGAGAAGGACGAGTCAGCGTGGTGCCATTTCACTTAGCAAGAGGAAGACGGATTGTGCCGATCTCACCCTGAGCCCGTCGAGGGTGGTATTCATTCTCGGGAGACGGGGACTGTGAAGCGAGAGCAGAAGAGGTAAGGTAGGAGCGACAGAGACAGCGACAGTTTTGCAGTCGTCAAGCAAGAGTTTTAGAGGCCGGAACCAATCGAACGAACGCGGCAACACGAAGGGGTGACAGTGCCGAAGAAAGACGAGGGGGGCCAAGTAAAGCCGGGGCGGTCGAGGCTGACTGAAAGCGTTCGGTGCTTTTGGCGCACAATTTTCGATCTTTTTTTTCGGTACAGGCGAGAGGTTGCGCGCCGTGGTGCTGTTGTAGTGTGCGGCTGGTGATGTTGATGACGGCAAACTTGTCGGCTGAATGAAATGCGAAGCTCGGCTTGGAATTCGGCCTGCTACAGAGCTTTGGCCCCAGCTAGCTTCCCCGCGTCAGGCTACTGATTGTGTACTTTTAGGCCATGCAAATCTGGTTGGCGTGACTTGTACCCCCAGCTCCACTGCCCCAGCATGTGATAATCCTCAGCTGGCCCACAATAAATTGGGTCCTGAGGATTCTGGGCAACAGCTTTTCTTAAGCAAAGGGTTGCAGTGTACACGTACGAGCTGGCACAGCCTTCGCCCGGGAAAGGCTACGGAACCCAAGACAAGAAAAGAAAAGAAAAAACATTGCATACTCCGTGCTCCGTATGCAGGTTACTTTCACTGCGGCCATGATAGCCGCTGACGGCCCCCCTGGATCCTGCGCACGGTCGTTCGCACAACGTTCGCAAGCCCGAATCCTACGAGTAAGCCGAGATAGCTCGCTCGCAGACTAGCCAACCTATTCGTCAATGAGATCGGGACTGACCACTTATAGCCGCCTAGATAAGAGAGACTGTATAATCTGATTCGTCGCTTTTCTATTTACAGGGCCTTGCCTGTTTTCGCCGAGATTTGTCAGCAGTCATGCATGAAGATTAGCGAGACGGGATGAAAACGACGGCTGCAACGAAAACTTCATGGACCGGGGGAGTCTGACCAGCTGAAACATTGCTACAGAAATTATGTAGCATTGCTGACGGCCCTACGACTGCTTCCAAGGGCCGAGACTGAGCTTCTTGACACGTAACCCCCCTGCTCAATCGGCCCTTACCTTGCTCTCTGACTGCAGGGCATGCTTTCTCCTGTCCGTCGCTTTCCTTTCGGCCACGGTGGCGTCCAATCGCTTTGGTGCCAAGAGGCGATTCCTACCAGGCGATAAACACTTCCGGAACGAGATCCCGTCCCCCTGTGTAGTCAAACATACTAGCACAAACTTGGATCTCTAGGCGACAAGCCGCAGAATTTGGGCTGTAATGACAGTCTTGGATTTGTGAGGCTGAAAAGCTCATGTACGGTCAATCTTCTGGTCCGACACGTCTCCCTCCAGCAATGGTGACACCTTTATATAAGGCAGGCCCTCCTCTCCCCTGTGTGTCTGTTTCTCTTGTCATCGTGACTTCTTACTTCGTGGCCTTGGAGTTGTTTGTTCGCTTAATCTATTACCTTTGCCGTTCAGCTGGTGTTGCTCCTCCTACATCGCCAAAGATCATCACCAAATTGACCTGTCCGCAGCTCGAACTCAACACAGGTGCCATCCATGTTTCCGCCGGCAAGGCTGCAGCAGCTGCTGCTGTTGTTTCCAATGCTCGCATCATCTCAGTCTAACAACCAAACTCTTGATGGCACTATTTATGTAGATGGTGGTCGGACTTACGACTTCAGGCCGTACCTCGAAGGTGTGGATGCATCTACCAGACTGAATAAAAGTGGCGTGCATCCGGGAGGACAAAATTTCACAAAATGCTGTTACAAGGCCGTTGCCGCTTACATCAAAAATTACCCCGAGAACAGCACGACCATGATATTTGATCCGAGTCGTACTCAAGGCAAAATGAGCCTGATAGCTCCCTCTCGGCTTTATGACTATTCCACTCACGGTCAGTTTCCATGTGGAGCCACCTACAACGGTAGCAACGAGGGTGCTCCCGTGGTCATGGCCAACTACTCCTGGACGGTAGAGAGTTGTCCCAATTGGGCTCTCAGCGGCGCAGATAATCTCAACGCCTGGCTACAGCCCCTCTCCGGGGTTCTGTTGCCTGCCGTCGTGTTCTGTCTGTCCATTCCACGTCGTCGAAGGCTCGAAGTGCCGGGCCGATTGTTTGTCCAAGGTGCTTTAAAGAGATATATGACTCTAGTGTTTGACGCAATAGTCGCTTTTGCCATTGTGACCACCGATACTGTCATCTGGCTCAGCATCTGTTTTGCTTTTGCTGGTCCCATGATCATCAGTGGTCTGTACGAGGCCATGCTCGACAACTACGTGCTGCGATACCTAACTCGCAAAACACGCAACAGCAGGCTGAGCTTGGATATGCGTTGCCGCTGCCTCATGGTTATTCTGATTGGAAACCTGGATCTTGTGTGGAACACCGACATAGAAAACAGCGGTGGCGGTTTCGTCACCGATGGTGCCGACCGCTCGGACGTTCATTTGAGCAACAACAGATCCGAGATTCCTCTGGGCGAGATTAGATCAAGGAGCTCGTTACTTCCAACAATACAACAACCCAATCCCACTGCTGTCGTTCTGGCTTCTCCTTGGATGCACATGGAGCAGTTTCTTTACGACCTTCGTCTACACGACGACGACTTTAAATCGAGAGGACATTCACCGCGCCAACATTCTCACGGGGAAGGGGAATTAGGAGCGAAATGTCTGCTGGGACAGAACTGTCCTGACAAGACCCATTACAAGATGCCGATCCAGCGGACGCCAGATATTCACAGGAAGATTCATGACGTCAAAACACAACTAAAGACGATGCTGCTGTGTCAATATTCGTTCGGCTCCATCGTAGGCGCCCCGGTAATGTACGTTGCTTCGACCGTTTATTGTCATAAATGAGAACAATATTCTAACAAACTTCTAGATTCTATTTAGGGGGCTTCTTGTTCACTCTTCTGCAGAGTAGGACCACCCCTGGTGACGAGAGCGCGTCGTACGCTATTTGCCCCTGACTTTACGCTTCAATATACTCGGTGCTGACAACAGACAGATTGGCGCTGGCCTTTGGTCAATGGTATATGGTATGGACTTGCACACTGCTTTGATCTTCAGTTTACATGTTGACAAGCCTGTAGACAATCCCTCATATTGCTATCGTCTCCGGCCTTCTGCTAGCCGGAAACAATCCCAACATTCTAGAGGGAGTACTTCATATGAACGGCGAGTACGAAGAAGATAACAAGATAGTTCTCGGCTTTAAGTACGGCCTTGCCTTCCCTTCGTGCTACAAAGTGGCCTGGCTGTGGAATCGCGGCCACAACAAGAAAAACTGGCTCAAAACGCTAGTTGACACTTACTTGAAACAAAAACGGCCCAATTCAAAGGAATTGGACGTCGACGATGACATGCTCCAGCTTCAACAGCGAACGACCCTGTCGTTCCTCGACTGGGCTCTTCTTCTTTTCTTGACTATATTACTTCTTAGCCTGCCGTGCGTTCTAGCCCTTCTGACAGCATATTTCACACCCGTAGTCGGCGTGTCATGCCGGGCTATCACAATCACAATGTACCTCTCTGCTCAGATTGGTCGTACGTTTGTCTACTTTCCTATCATTTCTTTCACTTTCCTTCCGAAATTGACATCTCCAGAAATCATACTCTGGCTGTGGGCATATGCCGGTCCGCTAGCTGTGATAGACGTCTATGGTCTAAGCTTTTTCTTCACCGGCGGCTGGTTGGATAGAAACGGCTTTTATCGTCCGTATGATGTGCGTTGGCTAGCTGGCAACGACGGTTTGGCACACAACCCGATCAAGCTGATGCGCATACTATGGAGTAAAGGACGAGGACTTCTTTGCTGGCAGTTTCTATGGAATTGTCTCTACTATCTCGGCCAGTGGTTACTGGGTGGTTTCGGCGTTCTGGCCGCCATTGGCGGTACCTTGATGCAGCTGATGGGCGTTTACTCGGCCGACGTCTGCCGCGTCACCACACCGAACTGGAGTAAAAATGACATTCACCGGGCTGATGTCCTTCTCTCGCAAAACACAGCGAAAATGATTCGCCTCTCCAGAAGTAGGCCGTGGGCGATTCTTCAGATGTAACTGCTCTATCGATGTTCATTTCTTGCTGACTTTAATAGGCACGTGGATACCGTTTGCCTCCACAGCCATTGGCTTTATGAGTGCTGTCAGCTTTGTTGGATGGTTGTATCAGCGTCGTATGCGCAATGTTTTCCTAAAATGTAGGTGATTTTCTACTACACCTTACCTTCGATACTAGCCGCCGTAAATGTTGCTAACAGTCGCAGTGGCCACACGTATCGACGACAACGAGTGTCAAGAAGCCAAGTGGTCCCATCCGGAACCAGCCAAAGCAGAAGAACACAAGGGTGAAAGCTTTTTGAAGACGCCTGTTGGTGGCGAGACAGAATTACTTCTGCAGGATCTGGAAACAATGGGCGATAGTGGCAATACTTCTGGAAAGCCTCGGTAGAACCACAACTATCCACCATCGTCTGCTTTGCAAGAAAAATACCTGTTCAGCATTTTTGCCTGGTTCTCTATTTATTTTCGTTCACGTCTTTTTCTACAATCGTCTAAATACCTTTCTATAGTTTTGCTTATATTATTTAGACCATAAATTCAACCGTACCATGAATTTGTGTTCCCGTCTATCTATGAGGCCTTCAAGACTACTTCTGGCTCCGAACTTGAGAGGTCTGGTGCCTCCAACGTCGCCTGGATCCTCTGGCTTGGTAGCCACTCGGATGCTGGGATCCACCACCACGAAATAATGGCAAATATAGTTACAATGACCATTATGACAGGCGCATAGTTGAGAGTCTGTGCCGTGACGGGGAACTCGTACGGAGAATAGAGCACGGCGACGACCCAGCCGTTCCAGAAGACGGACACGAATTGGAATGGCTTGCTCCAACGGCCTAGGCTCCAAGCCGGCTTTGGGAAGGTCCTGGGTGTCAGGACCAGACGGGCTAGGGAAATGAGTCCGTAGGCAGCAGCCGATGGCACTCCGGCGGCGGAGACGAGCGAGGTAAAGGCCACGGCTGAGGGCAAGACGGTGCATGTGATGATGGCCGAAACCACCCACACGACGATGACAGCATTGCGTGGCTGGCCGTTGACGACCTTGGACACCCACGTGGAGTACGGGAGCACACCGTCACGAGCGACGGCAAACACCAACCGCGAAGCAGCAAGGACAGCAATGGCAGTGTTCTGGTAGACGTATACATGCTTAGTAAGCGGCTACGTGTGCGAGGCAAGGGTGAAGGGCGTAAGACTGCTTACAAACCAGAGGGCGACGATGCAGAGCACGTTCATGACGATGTGACCACCATCTCCTAGAATGGCGGCGTACAGCGGAACAAATGGCTGGGAGCCACCGAACGAGAAGAGGATGTCTGCAGGGGGCTGGAAGAAGAGGAGAGTGAGTCAGCTGAATTCGGTCCTTGTTACAAGGCAGGAAAATAGACATTTCACGCACCACGCAGAAGAGGAACAAGATGACCACAACAAAGCCGCCGATGCCACTGACGACGGTGCTCCAGAAGATGCCGCGTGCAGCAGTGATGGCCGCATTCTTCGTCTCCTCGGCAACGTGTCCAGAGGCATCGAAGCCGAGCAAAATGCCAGCAGTGGCAAGATACGACAGGCACCAATTCCAGCCAGCCGGTGCGCCGGTACCGTTGTAGGTGGTCATAAAGGCTTCGTGCGCCGTGTTGAAGCCGTACGTGTTCTTAGTGGCAATGGGAAGCCATATTATGTTGAGAAGAAAGTCAAGGAGGACCGAGAAGCTGGACAGGTAGAAGATCGACCGGAAGTACTTTGCTACGAGGCCACTGCATGTCAGAAGAGAAGAGCCACATTGCCAGGGAAAGAGGAGTCCAGGGCTCACGAGGAAGGAGGTTCCAGATGCACGCGAGTGCGAGAAGGACCTCGGTGCAGATCCATTGCACAGCTCGGAACTTGACACTGGAGCTGTCGGATGGGAAGTCGAGGTTGAACACGACGGTTTCCTGGCCGAAACTGTGTCAGCGTGGTCTGTCTGCATTCTCACTATGCCCTGGGCAGTGACTTACGGAGAGCATATAGTTAACAGCAGCCTGGGTATTGCCTGGGACCCGTGGTCAGTATCATCTGCTCCACAACCGCTCTATCCCACACGGCTCTGCTCACTGGCACAGAATGTCGTCCAGGCAGTGGTGCTCCACCACGCGACGACGAAGCCGAAGAAGCGGCCGAAGCGAGGCCCGCCCGACTCAGCAGCCCAGAGATAGATGGAGCCGGCAAGGGGCAGCGACGAGCAGATCTCGGCAATAACGGCTGCCGTGATGAAGCTGAACACGAGCGTCACGAGGTAGCTCGTCCTGTCCGGTATGTTGTCAGCTCGGGACCAGTTTTTCGGATGGAACACACGATCGGAGGGCTCCTCACCAATACGCGAGATTTCCGCCGGATGCAATGCCGGTCGAAAAGGTGGTGCGCACACCACCGACAAAGTACAGGGCCGCTATCATGCGTTTCTGTCAGCCGTCCGGATTGCCTACGGAATTTGAAATGTGACATCTCCAGAGTGGCACGAACCGAACGTCGTCGAGAAGTTTTCAAAAAGGTTATACGTCCGGCGCAGGACCTGTCAACCAAATACGAATGTCTGTTTAGCAACCTTTCATTCGTCGTGAAGCAATTGGAAAAGCTTCGTTCCCTACCGGCTTGTAACCAAGGTTTTTCTGCGAATCTCAGTTAGCCATGCTGCCCTTTCGCTGCCTATTGCGTACATGAAAATCAGATACGCACCAAAACCTGTGCATCTTTGATGTCGCCGGCCGACATGTTGCTCAACGAATCGCCTCCAGCGTCGCCGCTCAGGACGCCGAGCTCGCGATCGGCCTCTTCCGTCTGCTTAGTCATACTGAATTCGTGAAGTCTTGGAAATGCGCGCGCGCTGATGGTACCGGCTTTGTGTCGTCGACTTGCACCGCGCATGCGGCCTACCTTCTGAATAGTCTGCAACTTATATAGCCAATGAGGTCCGGCAACGCAGTGACAAAAATTAGGGGCCGTTGACGTCTTTTGCGCGCACTTTTTAGTATGTGTCAGTGTCGATCACGCAATTCATCCCACGCCTATTTGATTTTTGGCACACACACTAAGAAAGCTTCATTAGCAACAGTATTGGCACCACGCCACAGAGGTGAATTTGGTCTCCAGGCGAGCAACGTCGTGTTTTCCGCTTTTGGAAGAGAAATATATTTCTGTGTAAATAAGAACGTTTGTCTCTTGCCTGTAGCAGTTTCGAAAACAAGGACTTCCAAGAACTCCGTACAGAGCATACTTACTTTGAAGAAGCATCGCTAAGCATGGCCTTTTTGTTGGCGTTGGTTGTCCTTGTGCTTCTTGGCATCCGTGCCGCTGTGGTAAGCTGCATTGAACGGGTATAGGCTCATTACTCGGTAATTCCTGCTGACAGGCCTTCCACTTTCAAGACTGTCATCCGGGCACACAGCTCATCGCTCTCACTGCTCCCCCGCGCAGGCTTACTTGCTCCATATTCGCGGCTACTTTGGGCCTTCCCCCATGAGTACAGGGGTACCATCACCTTGGATTTACCTAAGCTGCACAAGAAGCTCGGTATGCTACTGCTGCAGCTGCCCGGAAAGCTATAGCTGGCACTTACACGTATTACACTATAGGACCCCTGATTCATATTGGCCCTGGCGAGGTCTCTTTCTACTCTTTGGAGGCCTATGATGTTGTCCACAAGCCGAACGGCGGCTTTGTGAAAGATCCCAGAACTTACGGCCAGTTTGTTCAGGATGGCCATCCGGCCTTATTTTCTATCACGTATGAGATCCCGTCCTCTCCCCCGGTTTTGTGCCAGCGATGCGTCTAACATTCGGTCTCACTTCCGCCTTAGTACTAAGCCTGCCGGAAGAGCATGCAAAGCGCCGTCGCATGATGGGCCAACTTCTTAGCCGAAGCAAGGTTCCAACTCTCGAGGGCCTGATGCTGCATCACATAGATGCCTTTGTCCATGCCCTACGTAGACGGAGCGGCACCTTGGTCGAAGCCGGCTCAGCATGTCGAGCGCTCGAGGCTGACATTATATGTAAGCAGGCAATCCGACCTCGGCTACCCTTCGTGACTGATAATGGTTCGGACACGCAATATAGCAACATTCTCATTTGGCGAGTCCCTGGGCGCGGTAGATGCCTGGGAGAGGGGCCAGAACGTGAAAATGGTACAGGCAAATGACGAAAAGGCAACCTGGATGCCCCTACTGACGAGCTTTCCTCTGCTCTGCGACCTGTGGGACAGAGTCCAGCGTACCGTTGCGAGGACGACAGGCATACAGTCCGTATACTGCAAAGCTCTCGAAGAATTTGATCAGGTGCGTCTGTGTTCATTTTAGGATATATTTGCCAATGTTGTTTCTAACCTCAAGTTGTAGTGGGCTGAGAAGTCATGGATGAGGGCAACGTCTGAAGGAGAGCCATCCGGATTTCCAAATCTCATCAAGGTGTTGACCAGGTCTGGACTGCCAGCTGAGACGGCACTGTCCGAAGCCAAAGAAAACCTGGGCCCCGGCACGGACACGACATCTGGCTCTCTCGCTCACATCCTGTACGCGCTGTCCAAAAACAAGGCCTACCAGGAAACTCTCTTCCTCGACCTGGCCCAAGCTGGCTTCCCAACAAACATGACGGCCCTCGAAGGAGTGCCGAGACTGAAGGCCTGTGTGAAAGAGGGGATTCGCTGGGCCGGCACAGCTGCCGCGATGCTGCCGCGCATTGTTCCACCAGAAGGTGTAGATCTGCACGGCTGCTATATTCCAGCGGGGGTGAGTCTCGTTTCCAGAATGTTCCTTGTATCGAGCAATGCACCAGAAGCTCACATAACCCAAATTTCAAAGACAGTCCTGACTTCGTCCCCCATCTGGTATCTCCGGGACGAGGCTGCGTTTCCACAACCGGAGCTGTTCGACCCGTATCGTTGGATCTCCACGGACGGGACGAACCCTACTGAAAACCGCTTGCGAGACCGATACTACATTCCGTTCTCCAAAGGGCTGAACATCTGCATAGGAGCTCAGTAAGTCCAGCCGCTAGTTTGTACTTTGGAAGGACCTTTGAGTGTCTGATACCGTGGCCAGATTTGCATACTATGAGCTATATCTAAGCGTGGCAAAAGTGCTGCGTAACTATCGCCTGCGATCACCAAGTGACCAGCATAATGTTGGTGTCGGCGAAAAGGGCTGGCAGTCTGTCCCACTGCCCCTGCGGAAAGAATGGGTTGCCGCCGTTCCACTGCAGGCTCTCGACATTATTCTTGAGCCGAGATTTTGATAATGTGGCAAGCTCATTAGGTCGTTGCAGGGTGAAACTAAGGATATCGTTCGAAATAGCTCAATGTCCCGCATACACGTCCCAGTTTACTCCCAAGACAGCTGATTACCTACCAAACTAAGGTCACAGGACACGTGATATAATATAGTAAGAGTTTTACCCCTACGCACGAGTATTGCGCAAAGCCTCTCTTCAAAGGAATTGTAGCCATTTTGCGGGGAAGCGAAGGCCGGTACTCCGTACCTCCCCGTAAATCACTAAATTGTGCTGTAAGGTTGTCACCTGCTCCCGAAAGATGCCTCGGTAGTGCTGAATTGCGGAGCGGATGGTGGCAATAGCGGGACAGCGAGTTGGTCAGCAAACTGCCGTTATACACCGCCTTTAGATACCGAGCGGTCGCCGCCGTCAGCTTCATACAACCCCGTATTTACATCCTTGGGCTTTCGCCAGCCGCCTGCTTACACGTCCAAACCCCCCTACTGCTGCGTATTCCAACCAAAACGACTCCAGCAACGGACATCGGGAACGTTACGATTTGAGTACACCCCTCTCGTCACCATGTCTTTTCTAGGCGGTGCCGAGTGTTCTACGGCAGGCAACCCGCTGAGCCAGTTCACAAAGCACGTCCAGGATGACAGGAGCTTGCAGAGAGACCGGTTGGTGAACGGCGGCCAGAATGGGTCACTGAGTGGCTTCCGAAGCGCGGGCCCGAACATGGCCCAAGACGAGGTAAGTTTTCCGCCGCTGCTCTGCTCAAGACGGATGTAGGACAATTCTGACGATGTGCTCACCTTGGCTTTAGATGGTCAACGGCTTTCTGCAACAAGGCCCCAACATGCCGGAGATGAACATGGAGCCGGGACACCCATCTCTCAGCCACCAGCTCGCCATGGATCCGGCACGCGGCGTGCATCTTCGTGCACAGTCCGGCTCGCCAGCCTGGGCGGACAACTTCCACGCCCCGGCACCGATGAATGCGGCATTCAGCCCCGACGATTTTGCCAATTTTCAGCAGCAGCAGCAGCAGCAGAACATGCTCCACCAGCAGTCACAACAGCCGATGGCACCGTCGCCTCTCACGGCGGCCGGCCCTTCGCATGCTCCGGCGGCAATGGGAATGAACGGCATGGCCATGGGTCCAGGACCGATGAACATGGGCATGAACTCGATGCCGTACATGATGTATCGGCAGAACATGCAGGCAAACTGGACGCAGCCACAGTTCCGGCCTCCTTCGACGTTCCAGCAGGAGGGCCAGAGGGCGGCCGAGGGCAAGGGCAAGGGCAAGGTGGTGGAGCTGGACGACCACCAGTGGGAAGAGCAATTTGCACGGATGGAGATGCACGACCAAGGCGCGGCCGAGGAGTCAGTGCAGAAGGGAAAGACGGAAGAAGCGCAGGCCGAGGCAGCGATAGAGCGTGAGCTGAACCAGATGGACGAGAAGCTGCTCCAGCCGGAAACTGATTTTGGCGATCTGGAGGCGGTATGGAACGGAATCCAGACGGAGAAATCGGCGATGCGGTCGGCGTTTGGCGAGGAGGACTGGAAGGACGTCAGCGAGACATACAAGAACTGGAACAGCGAGTGGGAACCGCTCAACTACCGGATGGGCATGGACCCGCGGATTGATCCGTACCAGTTCGAGGAGGACAACCTTTTCCAGGCACAGAACAACCCGTTCGAAGAGGGGGTGCGGATCATGAACGAGAACGGCAACCTGTCGCTGGCGGCGCTGGCGTTTGAGGCGGCGTGTGCACGGGAGCCGGGGCGGGTGGAGGCGTGGGTGTACTTGGGATCGGCGCAGGCGCAGAACGAGAAGGAGACGGCGGCGATCCGGGCGCTGGAGCAGGCGTTGAAGCTAGATCCGACGAACCTGTCGGCGCTGATGGCGCTAGCGGTGTCGTATACGAACGAGGGCTACGACACGACGGCATACCGGACGTTGGAGCGATGGCTGTCGGCCAAGTATCCGCAGGTGCTGCCGCCGGCCGAGTTGTCGTCAGCGGCCGACGTGGGCTTTACGGACCGGCAGCAGCTGCACGACGGGATCACGGAGCGGTTCATCCAGGCGGCACAGCTGTCGCCTGACGGCGAGCATATGGACCCAGACGTGCAGGTGGGCCTGGGCGTGCTCTTCTACGGGGCGGAGGATTTTGACAAGGCGGTCGACTGCTTTCACGCATCGCTGGCATCGAGCGAGCAGGGCTCGAGCAACCAGCGGTCGCAGGTCCATCTGCTGTGGAACCGGCTGGGCGCAACGTTGGCTAACTCGGGCCGGTCGGAGGAGGCCATTGCGGCCTACGAAAAGGCGCTGTCGCAGCACCCCAACTTTGTGCGGGCGCGCTACAATCTGGGTGTCAGCTGCATCAACATGGGCTGCTACGAGGAGGCGGCTAGCCACCTGCTGGCGGCGCTGGCCATGCACAAGGAGGTCGAGAAGAGCGGCCGGGAGCAGGCGCGTGAGATTCTGGGCGGTGCAGCTGGCGGCGTGACCGACGAACAGGTCGACCGCATGACCACGCAGAATCGCAGCACCACGCTATACGACACGTTGCGGCGCGTGTTTGGGCTGATGGACCGGCGGGATCTAGCCGATAGGGTGGCGGCGGACATGGATCCGGATTCGTTCCGGAATGAGTTTGATTTTTAGGGAGAGATTGGGGTAGAGAGGAGGTGAACGGAATAGTTGGACAGACGGACTCAGTTTCGTGCATATAGCAAAGCAGGTCTCAAGTATATGCATACCTTTATATGTGCTATATCGTAGTAGGTACTTGTGCATATTGCATATATTCTGTGCCGTTAAACAGAGTGGCATACGGAGTAAGCAGGATTCATATGTACGGAGTACATCCACCATACACGCATATACGCATATACGCATATGACAGCACACAACATCCACCCTACTTCACCGTCATGAAACCAACGCCCTCGCGCGCCCGCCGCACTGCCCGCCGTAGCTGCTGCTCTTCCGTGTCCGTCCAAGGCACTGTGATGGCATCCCACTTGACGCCCGGCGTGTGGTACTCGCGCTTGTGCTGTGCCCGTTGTGCCTGCAGCCGGCTCATTGCCCGCGGATCGCCGCTGCCGCTGAAGAGCACGAAAGCTGTGCAAGGCGGCAGCTGGTCGTAGATGCGCTTCACACGGCGACCTAGGCTGGCGAGACAGCGTTCGAGGTCAGACTTGTTCGTCTCTTCCTCCTCCTCCTCCTCCTCCTCCTCTTCCTCCATCATCTCCCGCAGCCGCTCCAACGTCGGTGGTCCCTGGTTTTCATCGGCGCCAGCCATCAGCTTGTTGCGGTTCCACCAGCCCTGCAGCGCCTCGAGTCCGCGCATGCGCGCATACACAAAGTCCACGCCGCCACCCGGCACCTCGCTGCCATCAGGGTCGCCCAGCACGGCCCGCAGCACGGCAGCCTCGACTTCGGCGTCGCTGCGACAGCCTCCCAGCAATATTCCGGCCTCACTGCAGAGCGTCCGTCGTGGATCGCCCCAGTCGACGGCCGCACTCGACTTGCCTGTCGCCAGACCACCCGTGGCTGCTGGCCCGGCCTGACTCCGATATGCCGTGCCGGCACGGCCGAGCCGATGGAACAGGTTCTCGCCAGCCCCCTCGCTGCCCTGATCGGCGTTCTGGTTGCCGGCTGCCCACAGCTTGCCCTTTTCGCACTTGCGCTTCATCAGGTCCAGACAGGTCCGCGCATCCTCGATGCTGTCGTGGCCCTGCGCCGTGCCGTGGCCCTTTTGGATTTCCCGCTGGAGATACTTGGCCGATAGCCAGCGTAGCGCGTGCTTCTTCGGCGGGCCGGCCGGATGTGGAAACGCAATGGATGTGTCGACCACAAACGGGTGCGTCAGCTGCAGCGCCCGCATGTCCGAGTCGAGCGAGTGGCCCACCAGGATCGACTGCGCGTCCAGCAGGTCGACCAGCCGTGCCTGGATGTCTGCCAGCGTCGTCGTCACCGATGCTAGCATCGTCTCCGTGATGCCCGAGAACTGCGTCAGGTAGTCGACAATCGGTACGTCTGGCTTCACCAGCTCGTCCATCACCACCTCGCCGTCCCACGACAGCACGCTGACGCGCGTCAGCACAAATACGTTGCCGTCTGCCTTGCACATCTCGCAGTCCACCGCGTACACCTTGCGCCCGGCCGTGATGCTACCCTGCTCGATCTCCGCCTCGGGCACGTCGCCCGCGCTCATGCTCTCCACTTTGGTGTGTGCCCATCCCGGCATGTCCTCGAAGATCGCCCGGCTGGCCTCGTCCGGCAGCATTGCCGGGTGCAGCTTGAAGTCGTTGGAGAGATACTCCTCCGGCGTGGCCAGGAACTCCGTGATGCGCGTCCGCACGTCCTTGTGCAGCTGGTGCGCCTTCTTGTCCCTGTCCTCGGCCGCAGCTCGCGGCAGCGGTGCCGTCAGGAACGTCGCCACCGGCGAGAACATGGTCGCGTACTTTTCGTTGCCCCTGGCACGCACCGGCCACAGGTGCGGGAACACGTCTGCAAACGGCTGCAGCGCTGCCGGGAGCTTTTCTCGCACGAGCGGTCGTGGGTAACAGTCGTCGCCCGATGGCTGCTGCCGTGCCATCCACCGCTCGAGAGCCGCGATGCTGCCGTCTTCCTTCTCGGCCCAGCTGCCAAAGTCCACGTCGGTCTGGAACATGGCCTCCTCTAGGCCCGGTACCATGATGGCCACCACCTTGCGGAAGTTGGGCCGGTGGTTCACGGCAACCCACTGTGGCGCCGTGCCGTCGGCAAAGATGTACGTCACAAGGTTGCGCAGGTCCGACACCTGGATCCGGCTCTGCATCCGTGCGTTCTTGCCAAACAAGATCGTCGGGTAGTTGCCCGAGTCCTTTTTAGGCACCTTCTTGAGCTTCTTAGTCGGCCGGCCGCCGCGGATCGTCTGCCACTCGCCACCTGTGCTGGCATCATCGCCCGAGCCTCCAATCGGGGCGACGGTCTGGTCGAGCATCTTGTTCCCCTTGTCTGTCTTCTTGTCTGCTTCCGGGACGGCTAATTCCGCGTCCAGTCCAGCGTCTGACGGCGAGCGCTTCGCACCTGCTATTCCTCTCACCGACTCCTTGGCTGCATGCGAAGATGCAAGAGGTGCTGTTGTTGCCGTCGGCGTCGAAGAAATGCTAGAGTTGGGCGTAGTCGTCCCCATGCTGACCGGTTTCAAAGAAGCGACGTGCAGACAGTCGCTGCTTATTACATAGCAGATGCGCGGTGCATCTAGACGCGGAAAATGTATCAGGCCCGTGTCGCGTCGTCCATGGAGCTTGGTCGTGCAGCTACGACATGAAGCTGAAGCAAATTTCTCTTTTGGTATTTTAGGCCAAGCGTCAAAGCAACCTGGTCAGCACGCTAAAACGGCCGCTAATGTGGAGCCAATGATCTCCTGACGCAACTGCTCATAGCCGTGCCTAGCCAGCCAATAAAAAGCTGCTGGATCCCTAGGCCTGTTTTACCGTGCTTCTCGGCAGCTTCAGTCGCATTCAGTTTCGCGTGTCTGCTGATATGGAGACGATAGACTGCAGATGCAGCAGCTGCCAAAATGCGCTAGGCACAACCGTCAACCTCTGGACGCAGATCGGAAGAAGTTACTACAGCCCGGTCGCTTCGCCTCATCCGCGTCTGAGCGTACAGGCTTGTGGAGCAGCCAGAGCCGGCGAGAAGGGCACGCTGGTCGAGGGCTGGTAAGCTCATCGAAGAGAGATGAAGGCGGGGAGGAGAGTGGCGGTACTCTGTGCTAACGGCCATCACAGCCGCCTCCAGGACATCGAATGCCACCTGTGCAATGCAGTCGTTGGTATCGAGTGTTTGGCCGTACCCACAAATCACGCCCTTGACAAGTAAGCCGGCCTCTCGTTTTCTGGCTTGATTTGCTGCTAACGAGGACTAGCAACCAGGTGCTCCTGCGCAAGACGGCCTTCTCTGCTGTTGGCCAGGGCGGAAAAGTGGTAGATCTCAACGTTGTACAAAAACTACGACTGCGATACTCTGAGCGGCGCAGTGAAGAGTCCGATGCAGAGGCGGAATACGGACGTGTGGATGGGTGGACGGTTGACCCCGAGATCATGGTAATTCAAGAGCAGATCGAGACGCAGCGTGCCGACATTGATCGCATCGACAGCGCCGGATTGCAGGTGGTGGCAGCCATGGACGCGGCAATCAGTCGCATGGGCAGCGAGGTCACCGGCTTTCAGGAGACAATGCGCAAGCTGCAGCAAGACCTCGGCGGCCATCAGGGTGGCCTGAGCCAGGTGCAGGCACAGGCCAGCATGCTCACCGACGCCCTTCACGATACTCAAAAGCGATTCGATATCGCGACTTCACAGCTGCGCAAAAGTGTGGGGACGGTCAAGACAGAGATCCGACAGCTGAAGGAGCAGCTAAAAAGCGTCACGAAGGCGATGCCGCAGGACAGCGACAGGAACACGGCAGTGATCGAAAAGCAGGGCAGGGAGATAGAAAGTCTGAGATCGGAGCTGGCCGGCTTCGGACGACAAATGCAACGACACCAGCAGGAGAGGACAGCCGGCTCAGTGGCCCATGGCGTGCCAGCATTCGGCTCGCGCGAGCTCGATATCATAACGGAGAGCATTACCAGGCTGAGCGGCCGGGCCAGTCAGGTCGAGCCGCTACAGATGGAGCTGGTCATCCTCAAAGGACGGGTGCAGCGGCTGGAGTCTCTGTCGTGGAAGGAGGCGGAGGAGGAGTCTCTTCAAACGGACGAGCCTTTGTCTACGACACAGCAGGGACTGAGCACGGCCTCTCAACGAAAGCGACGCCAGACAGGGACAGGGCCACCTTCGAAGCGATCGAGTCGACGACAGCCAGCATCGCCGACAAGATACAGAGGACAGGAAGACTGAACTGGATGTATGTTGGATTTCTATGCCAGGCTCACGCTGCTTCTATGGATTGTGGCTCGAGGTCTGCCTTGAGAATGTCGACGGCCAGGTCGGCCAGACGCTCGACGGGCGGCAGGATGTTGTCGCGGAAGAAGCGGGCAGCGGCCGGCTCGGTCGGGTCCTGGATCCAGTGATGGAGAGCGGCCGAAATGAGGTCGCGGTCAGGCACACTCCGGACGTCCTGCAGCATCTCGCGGGCGGTGTCGAGAAGCTCCCACTCGTCCGAGTGGCCCATGGGCCCATAGCGCAGCACCATGAGCAGGATGGCCTCGTACAGGGCGCCGTCAGCAAGCGGGGCGAGGGCAGCCTGGAGGGCTGATGGTGATGAAGACGGCGTCGGATCGATCGCGGTGTTGGTGATGGTCTTTGCGATCAAGAGGAGACCCTTGAGGCGCCACTGGGCAAAGGGAGCGACATACTTGTAGGGGTCGCTGCGTAGGGCGACGAAGCACTCGACAGCGAGGGCGTGGGCAAAGTTGTGCTGCTCCGAGTAGTAGACGATGGCCTGCTGGAAGACATGAGCGAGCGGCTCGACAGCCCATCGACGGGCGCGGACGAGAGGGCGACAGAGAGCCCAGGCGCGGCGCAGGCTGGCGAGACGTCCAGACGGCGGAACGGGCTGCTCGGGGCGACAGTCGTCGTAGATCTGGTCGATCTGGGCAGACGTGACCGGGAGACCCTTACGGTCGAGGGGGGGGTTGCGCAGGACGGCGACGTTGGGGACGAAGCTGAAGGCATTGAGGGCCACCAACGGCGACGCGCGGCAGACTTGGTAGACGTCGAGGTCGTCGGCACAGCGGGCGCAGTCGCAGGTGAAGTGGTAGAGATCGAGGCCACGCTGGCGGACTGACTTTGGTTTTGTGTAATCTGGGGGAGTAGGGTGTTAATCAAGAGGATGCATTATGTAAGCATTATATAATCACAAAGCACTCACCAATGTAGGAGATGGTGACCTCGTCGCCGGCACGGATGGCCTGCTCAGCCCGCAGAAAAGCCTTGCGGCCGGCAAAGGAGACGACGGCATTGGGCACACACGAGTGGTTGGCCATGGCCAGATGGGCGTCGAGAAAGGTGCCAGTGTAGGCGACGTCGACGTCGCTGCGGTCAAACGAGTTGGTGTGGATCTTGCACATGGCCTCAACGGCGATGGCGAGGCTCGCGTCCGTGGCCGGCCAGCCGGCAAGCGCGCAGGCCGCCGATGCCTGCACCTCAAAGTCTTTCCAGAGGTCCGGCCGGGCCCGGAAGCCAGCCACGTTGCCCTCGAGCCCGGCCACGGTGTCCTTGACAGCCGGCCATTGCAACAGGATCTGCAGAAGCGCCCGAACGGGAGCGGGAACGATGCGAAGGGTTGAAGGGGTTGTCCGAGTCAGTGCCGTCGAATCAGACTCATCTCCCTTCTTCTGCTCTTCCTTTTCCTTTTCTTCTTCCGCCTCCCGGCTCATCTCCAGCGCCTTCTTCAGCACCCGGCACTCCAGCTTATGTACCGCTGTCCAGTGCGCTCGCTGGCATCGACTCCCGCAGTAGGCCACCGCTCGGCAGCCTGTGCAGGCCTTGGCCGGCCGTCGTGGGTCCAGACAGTGGTTGCATGTCTGTGCTGCTGCCACCCCAAACGGCACCACCACCAGCGGCTCGCTGAACTCGGCCACCACAGCCCCCGGCGCAAAGTCGCGCGTCGCAAAGAAGCCGCGCCCACGCCCGTCTCGTCGCCCGGCCGACTCCAACGCCGTCCCCTCGTCCTCGTCCTTCAGCCGGTCGCCTCGGATCTCAATCCCAGATAGCGGAGCGGCCATTTTGTCCAAGGTGAACACGCTGGGCTGCGGGGTTTGGCCAGAGAATTCCTACATAGTACGGAGTACGTGGATCGCCCCAGAATTGCACCTGTGCTTGCTGACTAATCACGGCTTACAGCATTCAACCGCCATCAACCGCGCTCAACCGTATTGCCATTCTGTTCGTACATAGTATCATCGTACATGCTCCGTATTACTCTATTCGACCTGATATTCTGCATCACAGCTCGTCCCGTCGTGCTCCGTGTCGCCGTTCTTGCAGCAACCGCCACAGCTCGGCCGACCAGTGTGCCACGTCGTCCTCCTGCTGCCTTCCTGCTGCTGCGTAGGTCTCAGCCAGCCGCTCGGCGTGATAGTCCCAGCACTGAGCCTGGACATCTGGGTCGCAGCTGTCGGTGACCGGGCTGTCGGTCGCTTCTTCCAGTGGCCACCGTGTGACGTCAGCGCCCATGTTCGCGTCGAGAAAGTTGTCGATCACGAGATGTGCCGCGCGCGCCCGTGTCGACTCGTATTTCGGCCCCGTCAGCGTCACCAGCAGCCGTAGGATCTCGGTCAGACCGTCATGCTCCAGAAAGTCCTGCATGATCGTCTCGCTCCGGATCAGCCCGTTGATGGCAGACAGCCGCGAACGCACCCACGCTGGGCTGACGTCGCCGGCAGCCCCCAACGCCTTGAACACTCCCTCTCCGAGCGTGCTCTCGTGGCTGCACGGTGCTGTCTTGTGCTGCTCCCATTCCCGCTCTACGCCTCGCAGCGCCGTCGGATTGTTCTGCACCGCCGCCGCCACAATCGCTCCGGCCTGCTGCTGGGCTACTCCGCCCAGTCCGTCGTCGTCTGCCGTCATGAGGCACAGCAGAAGCCGTGTCGCATCTTTGTCCTCCGCCAACCGACTCCCGTAGTAGATGTCGTGGGCGAACTCGCCCAGCTGCTCGAGTGCCTCGATGAAGCGCATCCGCTCAGCGTCCGCCACCACCTCGTTGGCGCGCTCGTACCGTAGCCCAACGCCCTTCACCACCGCCACTGCGTCTGCAAATGATATCGCATCGCCGTCGTCTTTCCCCTCGCCGCCAACAGGCTCCTTGACCGCGCCGACTGCATCGTATTCCGGCGCCCCCTTGGGAATCCGTCGTGCTGCTTCCTCCTCCGCATCCGCATCCGCCTCTCCGCTTCCAGGCTGGTCCACGAGCACCACGGCACGATCCACCGGCAGGCCTTCCAGCTCGGCCGTGCTGTCCTCCGACGCATTATACAGCTTCGCTTCCTTCTCTCCTGTCCATACGTTCAGTCTCACGTGCAGTCCTGCCGGGATATCCTGGTCGTCGTGTAAGCGTTGAAACTCGTTGGTCGCCTCAAAAAGACGCGGATAGCACTCGGCTGCCTTGTCCGTGTGGCAGATCAGGCCATTGCTTGCCGGTGCTAACCCTGCCGAGCCTAAGGTCCCAACAGCATGAAAAAGTGGCACGGCAAAGAGAAGAGCTAGTAGCTTTCTTGCCGGTAGAGACATGGCGTTGGCCATTGTCTGTCAATGTATTTTCGGTATGGGTTTGGTCCAATCCAAGCAATCGCAACAGCAACACACGCTGTTTTGTCTTGTCTTGGAAGAGATTCTCCCTTTTGAAGCACAGGAATCTTGGTATTTCTCTTTTATATACTGCGTACGGTGGCCAAAACAAGTGATCAGCTAATGATAATAACACCTGTCACCAGTGGCAAGGCTGCCACCCATTTAGTGACTCGCGATTTAGAGGATGCCAGAACGCTAAGCGGCCAATTGCCCTAGCTTTGGGCCAATTAGCAATCACTTTTTTCCGTCTTCTCTGACTGGCCACGCTGGCTCCTTATTGACTTATCCGCTATCAGCCCTCTCTGCTTATATGCATTTCGGCCCACTGTTCCCTACCCGAAACGTGATCTCGGCTTTTCATCTGCTCTCTTTCCGTCTCTCCAGCTCGGCCGGCCACCATCCCCTCTGCTCCACGATACCCATTGTCCGCATCTCGCGCCCTCTCGATCACAACATGCTGCCGCTCAGACAACGGGCCGCGTGTATGGCGCGGCAGGCTCGTCTGCGGCCTGTCATGCCCGCCTCCCGCGCCTCCCGCGCCTTCGCCTCGACCGACAGCCACTCCCACGATCACCACGATCACCACGACCGCCACGATAGCCATGCCTCTGTCGATGAGCCAATGGGCGTATGTGTCCTCCATCCACTTGCTCGCATGTCGCTTGATTCTGTCTAACCGCGTATCCCGATGCAGAAGGGCTTTTACGTCGCCCTGGCCGCCATTCCCGCTACCTGGATTCTCTACACCCTGAAGAACTCTGGCAAGGACGGCCAGCCCACCGCGCTCGAGTCCTACTTCAGCAAATTCGACTACTTGACCGAGCAGTGGGAGGTCCGCAACACCCTCCGCACCGCAGCCATCGAGCAGGCTACCCACGATCGCATTCTGCTGCAAACCGTTCCCCGGAACTCTCAGGTTGACCTGCGCTTCCCAGAGTACGTCCCCCTCTCCACTTGCTATCATGCTCTGCCTTTGCGCCCACAATCTGACTGGCTAGGGTCTTCCAATCCGGCTCTCCATACAACGTGCCCGCAGGGCACGCCGTGAACCTCAACCATGTCGTTGCCCACTACAAGGACCAGCACTACAAGGAGACTGAGCGGCAAGCTAAGGCGGCTGCAAAGGAATAATTGTGTGTTGGGTTCTACCGCATTCAGACGTGGGGAAACTGAAATGAAACCCCCCAAAAAATGGGAACATGTTCCCATGTATCGTAGTAAGCATACAACTTCACAAGGGTATGCGGCTGTGCGAGGCAGGAGAGGCACGTGAGAGGGAAAGCTAAACTTTGAAATTTGACGAATAATTGCATCTTACTCTGACCTGTTGTGATTGGAACCACGGCCCGTGCATGCCATCGGGTACATACCATGTGCATGTCTTGGGCACGGTTGACCGACTCGACGTTCTCGTTCTTGCCAACGAGGCTACGACTTTCTGTCTCAAACCGTCAAAATGCATCCATTTTCACGTTTTCCGACCAGGGAAACTTCCTTTGCATGGTTTTCTCTGCTAATCCTTCCATGCTCTTGCCTGTTGCATGCGAAAAGGGGGATCCGTCTGGGTTATCGCCTGACTTTCAAGCTCCTTCCTTGTCATTTCCGGAATGAATCGCTCCACTAGCCAGGCAGCTCTGTTGCTGCGAACCGCAGCAAATGGCGGCGTCGATGCCTGCAAACCCATTTTTTGCACAGCAGCACAACATGCTCTTCGCTACATCAACTAACCAATCCAATGCAGACTTATATACAGAGGATACGAGAGTATATATACACCTGTTCTGCGCTACCGCCTTGGAGCCTTTCTCGCTCGTCATTTTTTGCCCCATCGACGGTTTCAACTCGATAAGCAGAAATAGATAGTCTCACCGCCGCTAAAACATGCTCACAATGGTGAATGAAGGCCCTGCTGTCCAGCTAGCCGACCGTCCGGACGAGCCGGTATCGCAGCCAACACCCCCAGGCCTGGCAGTCGACAGCGCGATTAACGCGGTCTCCAGCGGCCGCGCTTCGCCAGACATGCATTCGCTAGACGCGGCTATCACCGTTGCCAAGATCGATGCTAAGACCCCCACCACAGCAACTGTTGTTGAAACCGTGCAATCAGAATTCGAGGCCCTGGCCTTGAGCGACGACCGGTCTCAAGAGCAACTTCCGGGGCCCCCAGAAGATGGAATCCCACCTACTTCTTCTTCACCCTCTTTAGCCGGCCACGCGCTCCAGGTACGACTCAACAAGGATCCCAACCTAGGCTTTTGTGTCTATGCCTTGCGCCGCTTTGACCGCGGCGACGTCTTATACACCGAGCGTACCGCCATCGAAGCCCTCCACCACCCGGATCACCGTGGCGTCCGCAATGTCTACCAGTACTACACCAATATGTCGCACGAGCGACGCGCTGCCCTGCATGGTGCATTTCCTATGCTGGCCTGGGCTAATGGTGTAGATGCGTACGAAGCCGCCGAGGGACGCACCCTCATCGGATCCCGTGTCATCACAAAGGGGTTCAACCTAGACATTTGCCTGTCTGCCGAGGACCACATTCGAATGCGACCAGATATGCCCGTACAGCTCCGCAGACAATCCCCCGGACGGCAGCCGGCTGAGCAGACAGTGAGCACTGCTGCCACGACTGTGTCGACCATCCGGCTAAAAGGGAAGAAGACAAGGTCTGCCTTCTCTGAGCTCTTCCATCCCACCGCTCACTTGGTTGAAAGGGACAACCGCAGTAAGAGCACGAGCCGAATCGGAGGAAAGAGCTGGAGGCGAAAAGGGCGCGGCTGGGGCGCCGACGACGAAAACGAGGACGCCAAGAGCCACAGGAGTTTCAAGAGCGTCAGCAGCTGGAAGAGCAGAATGAGCCAGAGGAGTATTCCTGGTGGTGCCGGGCGAGACAAGGACTGGGCCCAGCGCGAAACACTCAAGTGGTTTGGTCGCTACGCCTTCCGCCTCAAGCCGGGGACTGCATTTCTCGAGTCGGCGACCGACCAGGCTGCTGCCGTCTATCTCTTGACCGACCTGATTAACCATCGGTGTGCCCCCTACCAAAACTGTCGAGTGCAGCCAAAGATAGGCTTCGTCTCCGTCATCGCGGAGCGAGACATCGAGGTGGGAGAAGAGCTGACCATCAACTACAACAAGAGCAAGAAAGACTTTGACTGCAAGGGGGAGTGCTGCCAGTGACAGCCGCAGTCAATCAAACTGTTCGCCTTTGTTGAATGTGTCTTCGTCTGTCTCATTCTTCCTTCAGCGGTCCGTTCTTGTGATCCCGGTCCTTTTGTCTGAATTATCAAGCGTTGGGTTTCAGCGATTAGGGTTATCTAAAATACCGTAGACTGGTTTGTTTATCAGCACGATCGGGTTCTTGTCTTTCGGGTACTGCTTTTCCTAGCATATAGATCAACGGTACAGCATTTACGTAAGCAGCGAAAGGTCGGTTTGTAAATTGTTTTTTTTTGTTTGTTTCATTTGGCAAACTACCGTATCATCTTGATAGTTTTTTTTTTCTCCGTCCACTAGGAAAAAAGCCGGATGTTGTCCCTGTTCGCGCCGTTTCCGTGATGGGCTCCTTTTTATAGAAATTTATCTCCCACCAGCATGTTCAGACCCATCATCATTCGCGACCATAAACTTCCATTGTCCGACAGCTTGACACACAGCACCAGAGAAGGGGGGGAAAGAAGAGGCGTCTACTTCAGGGGGATGAAACGAGAAGAGTGAGTAGCACCGATACCGGGTCTACCGTGCTTGACAGGCCGGCTGTGAAAGTTGGTTAGTAACTCCGCATACAATGGCCGAAGACCATGAAGTTCCGGGGTGTGTTCAGGAGGAATGACACGTACTAGGAGATAGAGAACTCTGCCAGGTAGTGGCCAACCATCTCCGGCTTGATCTCGACCTGGTTGAACTCCTTGCCGGAGTAGATGCCGATCACGCTGCCAATCATCTCCGGGACGACAATCATGTCACGCAGGTGCGTCTTGACGACGTCCGGCTTCTCGTTCGGCTTGGCCTCCTGCTTCGCTTTCCGCAGCTTCTTGATCAGGCCCATCGGCTTCCGCTTCAGACCCCGGTTGATCCTGCGCCGTGCGCGGGCGTGCACAACATCGCGCAGCTCGTCAGAGCCGAGATCGAGGAGCCTACAGAAAGAAATTGGTGTTAGAACAATCTTGCATCTCGTTGATGGGTAGCCGAAACGGTGCGAAGCGCCATGATGCCGAAACGACGCGCTAGATGGGCGACATACTGGTCGAGGTCAACACCCCGGAAGGAGAACTTGCGGAACGCTCTCTTGCGCTTAAGCTCGGCAGCCTCCTCGGCGTTCTGGAGTAAAGACACGATGTTAGCCCAGCCTCGCTTCTCTGTCCTCGTCACCACCGGTATCGTTGCCATCGAGGGGTGGTCGCCCGAAGACACCCTCCTGCGGCCGCCGGGATTGGATTTGTGTCGACGAGAGAATGGCACAGGTATTCACGTACGTATTCGTCAGCCATGGTTGCGGTTGTTGTTGAAATTCGACAATGGGTCGCACTCTTGTTCGATGGGTGACGGTATGTATCGAGAGAGGTCGACTCGCAAAAAAATTGTTCAAATGGGGGACGGTGTCCTAGCGGAAAAAAAGGCTGTGCCAAAATTGCAGCAGTAGGGCTTGTTTGCCCTGGGCGTCCCCGCGCTTTGGGAGCGGCCAAATTTGTTCTTGTGTGTCATCACGTGGGGAGCTTCGCCCATGTGCCCTGATAAGCGTCACGTGAAAGTCTCAAACAGTTAAAGGCGACTCCGCAACAGATTCGCGCTTGCGTTCGTAAGCTTCGAGCTATTCTTGGAACGCGTGTCCAGATTCTGACATCACCGTGTTACTTGAGTCTCTTGGTCCTTCAGCCTTAATCTAGAACAAGCTCTAATATAACAAGGAGGTATATCCCTGATTTGAATGGAATTGTGGTACAGAAGCCGACGAGCAGACTTTAGTTGACAAGCAGGCGATCTCAATAGCCTTTGGCTACTCTCTTCTTCATTTTCCCCTCTCTCCAATCTTATACTCTAATGCGGTGATACTTTGGCTTTGAAACTTTTGCAAAGGAGGATCAAGATCTGTCCGAAAGACACGTCCTCTCGCCCCCTACGAAACTCTCAAAGCCCAAGAATGAAAACACTAGAGTAGCAACAAGAAAAGGGGGACAGTCTTAGATAATGGTACAAAGATACGAGAGGATAGCAAAAGATCGTGATTATCGCTAGTACATCCAACATCAACGCTCAGCAACATAAAATGAAAAGCAAGCCCCATGAGATCCTCATCCGGAAGTCAAGAAAAACAATCAATAGACCATACAAACCTTGTTATCCCGCTCGCTGTGTCCTCCAGTCCCTTTTGAAACAGCAAAAAATAGTAAGAGTCAGACGTCGTCCAACCCGTTCGGCGGAGGTACAAATCCAAGTCAACCACTCTCGAGAAATATCCGTAGAGCCGATGGTCCCAAACGTAAAAGGCAAGTACAGACAAAGCCAGGTTAACCGTTTAAAACTTGTTTGGTTATGTCCTGGTTTGACGGCTGTTGTTGAACGGCCCGCCAATCAAGTCTTCTTGGGCCGCCATCGGGGACAGTTTGTTGTTATGCTCCAGGTCATAGCGATATGAAGGTGACCGGCCGAGATCTGCAGCCAGCTCCTTTGCCCATGCACGCACGGCTTGTTTTCCTGAAACGTGCTGTGGGCATTTCTGAGTACCCTTGAGGGGCGAGGACGAGGAGCCAGTTGAAGAGGAAAATGAGGATTTAGTGGAAGCGGCGTAGTTTTGAGAAGGCATATTGATGAGGGTGGAGTGTAATTGGTAGATGTGCAATACAATGGTCACTTGTGTAAGTTAGAGTAATGTGCAGTGATCATGAATTATATTTGGTATATACAGTGAACGAGATGCTCTACTTATACTTCAAAATGCCGGTTCCGATGAAACACTCTTGGCAGCAGTTGCTGTCCATCCATGACCTGCAAATGCTTATTATCGCACACTTAAAAAAAGTACTCACACGATGCCATTTTTCAAGCCCCATGTTTATGCTCTAGGTCGTTCATTGCCGCTCCTTCATTGGTAGCAACGTTTATAAAGCTGCTGCCTGGTAAGTCATGTTCTTTGTTCTACACTTTTGCAAAGCCTTATATGTATGAGTAGTAAGACGAGCTTAGACCAGGATGAACTTCAACGCCGAAGCGGCTCTTCCAGTAAGATGACGTTATGTACTCCGTGACTGGACAGAGAACATAAGATGGACCAAAGATGGGCCGGGCCTCTGAACTGCTAAAGTTTTGGTGGTGCCTTAGCGCCAACAACTACTAATGGAAACAAGTCATTTCTGTTGAAGAGTCATCAAGATATTACTCCGAACGTGACCCATATTGTTCTGCACGGGAGTGACGTGACTGCTTATTCTTGCTGTGCACTCCGTAGGCATCACAATTATTTAGTCGACCTTACACAAGGCATCAGCCATCAGAATCGATAGCATTAGCTTAGCTTACTCTGTGCAGCGGTCTGCAGTGGTCTGTTAACTTTAAAACGCTCACTAACTTCTCCACTTGTGGTTAGACTGCAGACGCGATCTCTCGCTGCTACATAGCATTGTAGAAACTTCTTGGGTGTTAGGTAATACATAACATTCTGTTCATAGGAAGAACTAATTGAAATTTGAAAAGACTTACTAGAAGGTGTCGGTAAGCCGACGGGTCATGTTTTGTTCTGCTGAACGCAAGGCTTACGACAGGCCACTACTAGTCTTTCTCTTCGTTCATGCATAGAATGACTGCTGGTTGTATAATGTAGTAACTTATGTAACCATCCTTGACCTTTCCTCCCTGTGACATAATGCACATAGAAACGCCTCTAAACATCATCCGAACCGATAAACCCAATAATATACACATGGAGGAAGCAGCCAAGAAGCTTAGGGTCCGTAAAACGCCGCAGCAGGGAAGCATGTACACTATATATCAAGAGCCCAAATAGACCTCGTTTGTTATGAAAAAGAGTCGCTCAAGAGTAGATGTCAACCAAGAGACAGAATGGGAGATCGTCCAAATGCCTGGACGCCTCGAGGTGTAGCGATCAGGCCGACAGCCGTTCTTTCATCTCTAGACCGTTGCCAGCCAATGACTTGACCCTGTCCACTAGCGCCTTCTTACGGTCTAGCTCGGCAATGTCGTCGCCACCGCCGATGCTCTTGCCACCGACAAGGATGTTGGGAACGGTGCGCCGGCCAGTCAGTTTGCCTAGCCGTGCTTGCAGTGCCGCACCCAGAGGGTGAATGTCGAGCTCGACGACAAATGGCGCCGGATCGATGGAGTACTTGTCGAGCAGCAGGCCCTTGGCGCGTTTCGAATACGGGCAGTAAGTCTTGGAGAAAATGATAACTGGGCAAACTGTTAGCAGCGTGCGCGCTTGCTTGTCATCCTCGTAAAATTGTATCTGAGCCCTTCGCTACTTACCCGGCGCCTTCTTGATAATGATGTCAAGCTCCTCCTCTGCCGCATGTTCCGTCTCTGACTCGGTGCCCTCGGAGCTCTCGGCAACCTCCTGCTTCTGTCCGCTGGCTGAGCTGCCCACGCCTACCAAGTTGCTGGGCAGGTCCGGCTTGTTCGGTGACTTGGCGTTGGCCAGGTCCTTGGCCTGCTGCTCGGCCGCTCGAAGCCGGTCGGCCATCTCGCGGGCCAAGCGCACATCGTCCTCGTCAATATCACCATCGGCGTCCATGTCAACGACGACAGGAGCGCCCTTCTCGCCATTGACGCTTGTGCCAAGTGTGTCTAACGGGGACAGCTTATCCAGCGCCGACTTCGTCTTGTGGTAGAAGTCCTGTATCGTCCGCTGGTCGGGGGTGTGTGACTGGCGCAGACGGGACGAGTAAAGCAGGATGGAGATGGTAAAGGCCATCACGCCAAGGAATAAAAGCTTAATTCGCCTTGCCATATTCAAGGTGGACAGAGAAGTGACAGGCTGAGACAAAGGTAGGATACGAGTCGAAGAATGTGTCGCGTTGGGAAATCGAGTCGCGCGTGGCGCAATTAACAAGCCGGAGAAAAGCGTGGGTCCAAAGTCCAGAAAACTGCCACACTCTCCGGATCTGACGGAGACGGTCGACGGAAAGGCGATGTCCAGAAGAAGCTAGCTGTCCAAGACGAGAAGCTGGCGGCGCAGGAATTGGAAACTAGGTGAGAAAGCGGGACATGCGTTATTATAGGAAAGAATTAAAAGGATCGCGTAGTAAAACTCGGAGCTGCCAGGAGATGCCGATGAATCAGGCGCGCTCACAGACTTTGCATGTGTGGAATAGGTAAGAGAGAGGAGGGGAATCGGCGAAAACGAAATGAGCCCCTAGGAAGATGTTGTGGCGTTGGCTGCTTATTCCTCATGAGCCGGGCTCAATGTTAAAAAGGACGGTGTCTAATACGACGTAATACGAGTACAGTCAGTATACTTTTGTCATACGGTGTAGTAGGCACCGTGCAAAGCGAGAGGAAAATGCTCTGTAAGCAACACCAAAGCAAGACATGTCGCAAAGACTCATACTTTTTGGCAATTCGGAGTTCGTCTGCCAACGATAAACTGTCCCTGGGATAATGAGTTGCTTGTACCAGTTATGATGAAGGCTAAAGGGAATGGTGTTTCGTACTATGCTCACGAGCATTTCCGGATTCTGTATTTTCTCCTGTTGCTTCACTTTGCGGATTTAGCTTCTTTGCCTCATCTCCTTTTTCTCGTTGCTTGCTCATACGGTATACGTACAACTACTATGTACCCACATCTTACACAACCCACTCCGTACTCCGTACTTCGTACTCCGTACATCATGATATTTTAGGATCCTGGCTTCGGAACGGTAGAACAGACATCAGCCGGCCCGCCATTTTAGCGCATCTTACGTCCCCACTAGAGTGTTATTGTACGACATGTCTTAGTTTCGAAGGCAGCCTTGTTGTCTACTATGTACGGAGTACGTCGTTGGTGATTTCGCACTGCAGTAAGAAAATCGTGTGTATCTTATTTTTTTTTTTAAAAAAAAAAGGTCTGTTAAGCCAAGTCAGGCTTTTCTCGACAACAAAGCCATTAGTTAGCGGATTTCTCTACCCTACTGAATGATCAATCTGAATCTCAAAGACCTTTCCCTTCCTTTCGATAGCCTTCGTACCCAAGTACGTATTTCTTTGCAAGGTACCTCATTGTATCCATAAAACTTTATAATAGTTAGCTAGATCGAAATTTACAGACCAGGCAATAGCAACGCAACACCTACATATATCTATGACGCAAATGTCCTGTATAAAGGGAGGAAGCATGCAAGTCAAACCTCCTATACAATGTCAGCAATGTTTAGTAGCACAAATGACAACGGGCTAAAACCTACAAACAGTAAAGTATACCACGGTCACCGAATTTCTCTGCAGGCTCAGTCATGAAATACTGCTTGCTGTGCTCGGTGATATGTGCTCGGTGATATGTGCTCGGTGATATGTGCTCGGTGATCTTGTAGTGCGATGTCCATCGAGGCGCGCGATTGTCGGCAGAAGAAGTCAACGTATAGCAATAATCATTCTCCTTTGTATTTATTATGTACCGGCACTCTTTTGGGCGTAGATTGTGGTACAACCGAAAAACTTTGGTAGTCCCGTGTAAACTTACTCCCACAAGGCTATGGGACAATCGTAAGAACCAAGTTCCTGCCTTCCATTAAAAATAGGGCTTATAGGCTGGATTTAGGCTTCTCTTATCACCATAGCCTTTCAGAGCTAAGCCGGCTCTTCGTTTCGGCCTTTTTGTTGCTCGTGCATATATTGTATGTTACACACGCCGGAAGCTAGTGTTGCCTAACTTTGCTGAACTTATGCTTTCCCTTCAAGGACTGATCCCACTTGTGCATTTATAACTATCAATCCGAGGCTAATAAACCAGTCGCTAGTAGATTGTCAAACTTAACCTGAGAAAGAGTTTGGGTATACCCAGTTTTGCTGCTTTGTTTCCATGATTCTGCAAAAATCGTTGCTTCCCCCTTTGCCATCTAGTAGATCCAAAGAAGGCCTACCAAGCGTTATCGCGGAGTGTTTATCCCAGGTATAGACTGAAATTTAGGGCGCCTTGTTAAAGGCTGTTTCTTTGCTTTCTGCATTATAATAATCTCTGCAAGTTCCATTAAAGTGAAGTAACGCTCGAAAAGACTGACAGTTTGCCCTAAGTGTAAGACCCACAAAATGGCGAATTTCAATGTAACCCGTGAGGATGAGACTCCCAGGATACCCACCATCCTTCCATCGTAAGACAAGTGCTCTATATTCCGTACATAACACAAGCAGGGCTTACGAATTACAGATTATGGAGTACAAGTACCCCCATTTACATCATCTTGAGATATTCATTCGTGCAGCTTGGTCTATACAAAAAAAAGGGAAAGAAAGCGATATTAAGCAAACCCCCTAAAAGCCGCGATCTCTTGTTGAGCAGATACTAATTAAAGTTGTTAAGATAAAAATGGCATAGCAGTATCTTGTAACCAGACACTTAAGCTGCTAACTTCCTAAAGTGTACCGGACAGAAAAGAGATTCGTAGTGCAACGATAGTGGCGCAGTGCATGCAGCAGCGGTTATCGCTACTTATCCTTCTGGTTTTATTGGGCTTCATGCTTGTTATGTACATACCCGTCTTAGGATGCCTTGTCGTCCGTCTTAATTGTGGGTATAGGTGACCAGAAACAGGCCTAAGCGGAACCTTAGGTTCTTGTATTAGGTGCATTTGTCAATCAAGTCCTACTTAAGCTGGACACGCAGCCTAGATTGAACGCTGGCGGCTAAAAGTCGCTTCTAGCTTGTATTGCAATGTTTTAAGTTTCTAGGCTGTTTCTTCCTTTGGCGATCTGGCTAAGAATTGGAAAACACAATCGTATTGTCATCTTACAGGCTCTTGATAGCTACAGCAACTGTTCTCTGATCGGGATTTTCTGATTGCACATGATCGGTGCTACTCTCAATCTAGGTTTATTCTTCTACAGGTTGCGGGCAGGTGCGACCAGGCTCATACGATGGGCGAAACCGCCGAGCCTAAGCATTCTAGGCCATCCTCATCCAAGCGGTCTTATTTGTCGCGCAAGTTCGCCCGACAAGTGCAGGATGCTGCAGATGGCAGCAAAGGACCTTTGGGCCTCCACTGTGTTTATTCTCCTAAGGACGCTATTGTCGACCTCATTTTCGTCCATGGTCTGAACGGTGGTTCTTACAGTACATGGAGAAATGGAAGCCATCAAGAAAACTTTTGGCCACAGAAATGGCTGCCGCAAGATGAAGCGTTCAGCGATGTCCGTATTCATACGTTTGGATACGCATCTTCCTGGGGCACTGAGTCAGTCCTCAACATACACGACTTTGCTATGTCGCTTCTTGCAGCAATCGAGGACTCTCCTGAAATGGGCTATGATTCACAGGTGCGCTCCCAAATAAGACGAGAGTCGCCTTATAGACATGATCACTAGTCTCATCTTAAGTACGGTCTCGATAGGCTCCAACGCGCTTTATTTTTATAGCCCACAGCATGGGTGGACTCGTTGTGAAGGAAGCATTTATCATAGGCCATCGCGACCCTCAGTTCAAGCACATCGTCGACCGGGTCAGCACGATTCTCTTCCTTGCCACACCACACAGAGGCGCCTCCCTGGCACAGACGCTGGCCCGTTTGGGGACCATCTTACCCGGGCAACGGCCGTTTGTTGGCAGTTTAGTGCCCCGGTCAGAGAGGCTTCAGTTCATCAATGAGGAGTTTCCAAGGCTCTGCGGCGATTTAAAGCTAGTGTCATTCTTCGAAACGAGACCTATGAACTTTATAACGAATCTCATCGTGGACAAAGAAAGCGCAGTGATGAATGTCCCGAACGAGCGCAGAACTCCTCTCAACGCAAACCATCGCAACGTTGCCAAGTACACTTCTACCAATGACCCAACTTACATCACCGTGCGCAATACATTGGCGAAATTAGTCTCCCCCCATCGCAATCCAACACGGGGATGGAAGAATGGCTTGAATCAGGAAGACACACGTGTTTTGAGCACGCTCCTGAGCCTTACGGGAGAGCCTGACGATATCATCATGCAGGACCAGCAGAGGCTTCCTGGTACATGCCGATGGCTGTCTGGCATCGAGGCTTACAGATCTTAGAGAGAAGCTCGGAACTCAACCTCTTTGTGGATTTGCGGCCGTCCTGGAGCTGGAAAGAGCTTTCTTTCTGGTCATACTGTCAAAGAGCTTCGCGATCAAGGTGCCGACACCTGCTTCTTTTTCTTCCAGTCTGCCGACGCCGCAAAGGCAACAGCTAATGCATGTCTGCGATCCCTTGCGTGGCAAATGGCTGCGATGCATCCTCAAGTGTATGCTAGCATCAAGAATGTGGCGGCAGGGTTGGATGATGACCGCATAGACACGGTGAATCCTAATCCTGTTTGGAGAAGACTGTACCTCTCTGGTATTCTACAGGCCAGGATTAACAAGCCGCAATTCTGGGTCATAGATGCTATGGACGAGTGCAAAGAGAGTATTGATATGATGAGCTTCCTGTCTCGTATCCAAGAGTACTGGCCGGTTTCAGTCCTCATAACATGCCGCGACCCAGTCGACAGGCACCGAGGAAATATGATAACGTTGCCCGACATCGAGTCTTACACCATCGAGGACAAGGACAACGAGCAGGATATAGCTATGTTTGTCGAATCACAATTACACAGACTTCCCGAATTTCACACAGTGGAATGGCCTAGTCAATCAGACATGGCCTCCCACATTATCGACAGATCCGGAGGCTGTTTTCTTTGGGCGTCCCTGATATGTTCGAGTTTGCAAAAGGTGGCTAGCGAAAAAGAGGCGAAAGCGGTTATGGAGAGTGTACCATCCGATATGGATGCACTCTACAGCAGAATCTTCAACGACATGTCCGCCAGCTCGCTCGGAAAGGATTGCGCAAGAGCCGTTATTATTTGGACTGCTTATGCACTCCGACCATTGACAACGACCGAAATGAAGGAACCCATCGAAATAGATCTTCAAGGTTCCATTATTCTTGTCGCCGATACCATAAAACGGAGTTGTGGACAGATCGTATATGTGGATTCGCAAGAAAAAGTGCGCTTCGTCCACTCCACAGTCAAGGAGTACATCACTGCCGAAACGACCAGGTCAGAGTTCGCAGTGACAAAGACCGAAGGCCATCGACATTTGGCCTTGGTGTGCCTAGAATATCTCATAGGCAAAAGCAAGGTTGCACCCAGAGCCAGAAGGTTCAGCTCAAATCAACAAGCTGACGGAGAAGGAACAAGCAGGCGTCAGCCCTTTATTTCTTCTACAGGCTCGAATCATCTTTCATACGCCTTCAAAGAATATGCAAACACGTTTCTATTCTCGCATCTAAACCATGTGCACTCGAATGACGATGAGGTTTTGGCTAAGCTTGTACAATTTCTTAGCAGCCATAGTGTCCTTCACTGGATTGAGTTTTCTGCGGAACATGGAAACCTGCGAACAGTCTATCAAGCAGGGAAAACCATCATTTCAATGATGGCTCGGCGGGCACAGCAGCCGCCGCCAACAAGTTTGGCAAGCCGCCCATTTTCCATGCTGGAGAAATGGGGGGACGATCTGGTACATCTAGCCACCAGATTTGCGCGCCGACTAAAAGACAACCCCCAGGCCATTCACCATTTGATACCTCCATTTTGCCCCCCAAGCTCCGTCATTCGACAGCAGTTCGCAAAATTGAACCGCGTCAGTGTCCATGGCATTTCTGCTCGAGAATGGGACGACTGCCTCACTACAATTACGTACGATCCGGGTGCGAAGCCGAATGCTATTGCGGCTGGGTCGGGGCTGTTTGCCGTTGGGATGATGACACCGGCCGGAAAGGTCATAGTGTATGATGAAGTCATATTCCAAGAGGTCCACGTTTTGATGCACGGCGAACCGGTGTTTCGTCTAGCACTTTCGAAGAACGGGGATTTGCTTGTCTCAGCTGGATCGAGATCCGTTCGAATCTGGGCTTTGAAGGACGGAAAACCACTGCAGCACATCCACATATCGTCCCTCTGCCTTGCACTTGGGTTTGCCGAAGACGACAGTATTTTGTGGGTGGCGACCAAACAAAATCAAATTTACGAATGGGATGTGACAAAAGGGTGTCTTATCGATGTGAGCACTTGGACCAAGGATCTTAAGGATTCGATGCAGTCTCGGACACCGACCATGACATCCTTTCTGTTCCCCAAGAACGTCTTATGCGTGATCTACAGGGGAGAGAAGTTGCTTCTGTGGGACTTCAAACTCGGCGAAATCTACGACATATATGGGAAGGAATCAGCAGTTTCTCTGAGCGAGGACAGAGCGATAGATGCTCGTGCAATATCATTGAGCTATACCGATACCAATGGCAGCCGAATCGCCGTAACATACACAGATGGCGATTTAGTGTTGCACGACATGGATGAGGGCAAGCCAACCCGTGTGGCCAGAAGAATGAACGCCATGGCACTAGCCTCGTCTCCTGATGGCCGAACGCTGGCAGGGGTAGACTCCGAAGGAAACTTTACTCTGTTTGAACTGGAAACGCTGCAGGTCCTTTATCGAGTGCGGTTCACCACCCAGATGCTGCCAAAGTGCATGACGTTTTCAGCCGACAGCGAGAGATTCATCGAGATCAGTGGAAATCAGTGCCGAGTGTGGGAGCCCATCGTGCTGCTCCGGCCAGATGCTTCTGAAATTAACAGTGACACGCTCTCTGTTTCCAGTGGGCCTCAAGAAATTGAGTTCCAGCCGAATTTTGGAGTGAGTATCACCGCCATGGTCTGCTGTAGGAGTGCAAGTGTGGTATTTTGCGCGATGGAAGACGGATCGGTACATGTTTACGATATCAGCGTGGAGCCGAGGGGTGAGAAGTTGTTCACACAGACGACGGCGTGCACAATCCATCTTCTCTACCTGGACGAGATGGACGAAGGGTCGCCCATGATTCTTGCTAGCGGCGACGAGTCTGGGCGTACCATGGTGTGGCCAGTCAGTCGGCGAAGTCCACATAGTCAGACCGGCTGGACTGTCTCGGCTGAGCCTCTGATCGACGCCAAGGCCTCAGCTCTTGGGGTTCTGAGGCAAGTGTTGGTGTCTAGAAATCACGACATGCTCCTCACATGTACGGACCAGTATGATACTCTGTGGCCGGTGCCGAAACAGGGCGAAGGCATCTGGGTGGCCCAGGAGATGGGTGTCAGCAGCCATCCAAGCTGGCTGCAACACCCTTTGAAGCCAGAGCTTCTCATCTGTGTTTCTGCATCGCAATTGAGAGTCTGCCGCTGGTCGGACCTTAGTGTCGTTCGTTCAATCGACATCACCCTCAATGGAACGTTTCATCAGCTGGCACCTCTTCATCATCAAAAGTATTTTGCTACAGTCTCGGAATGCAAATCGCCTTCCTCTACAAGCCAGACCAAGCGGCCGTGTTTCATACAATTGTGGGATTTCAACGGACTTGAGGGCTCTGTCAACCGGATGGAGCCTGTCTGTGAAATTGACGGCACTGGAACGAATGCAGACTTTGTCATCGGTGCTTTTGAATCCCGAATGGTCCTCAGTTCCGACGATTACTGGATCTCATCGGTGAAGCTTGGGATTTCGATGGCTGATTTGCCCTGTACAAGGCATTTCTTCGTGCCAGATGACTGGGCCAATGCCTACTTCAAGCTCGTCATGGGTATTGGCTCAAACGGCGAGATCCTTGTTGCAAAGCAGTCAGAGTTGATCGTGATCAAGGGCGGCTTGAAAACGACTGAGCAAGGAAAGGCCTTCTTCCCGCCCCGAGGCAACAACATGGAAGTCCTGCACACTAGAGGAAAGTCACTTGGAGCAGCTATGAACCTGCTAAGTTAAGGCTCGCTGAGTCCTCCTGTGCGAAATGTTTGGCGCGAGAAAAAACGGGCTGAGATCTACGGATGAGCTTGGCGTACTATGTATCCAGTTTTTGGCATAATCTTGGGATGATGGAGAGGTGGTTTTTTCAGGCTAGGAAGAGAAGGTTGATACAGAGAACAGAAACCGACAGAGCTTAGATGACGATATCATTGCTGACAAAGCGGTTTAAGCCGGACGACTGAACAGACTGACAAGTAGACCAGCCAGATAATCAGAAAAGACTACGCTCTGTGGCACTTCTTGATATGTAAGATACGTCATTTAACACTTATACGCTCCAGCCGCAAAGTTAGTGTATTGCGTGACAGCGGAGAGCTGCATGGCGGATATCCCCATCCATAACGAACACGCAGAGCTGCGGTACGCCGACAGAAATGGTGTCTCATGTCTGAGGCTGGAGAGTGGCACAAGGCGTTTCTGCCGGACATCGGCATGTTTCGGACAAGCCTTGTAGAGATTGACACGGGACACGATCATACGACGTATCTCGCATCTTTTGGCTTCTGCCTGCACTCTGCTCAGAGCAGCCTTTCATCTCTTTGGGCCAATTTCCGGAGCAGCCGCCGATCGGTGGACTTGCCTTGGGCTCGTCTTGGCTGTCAAGCCACCAGTCCTTTCAGATGCCTCTGCAAACCTGCCAGACTCAGGCCGAGACGTCTTGCCAGCACACCGTCGCCGACTGGCCGGCGATGTGTCTGTGCGTGCCAGCGCAAATGGCGGTCTGTGGCGGAAACGGAACCAACAAAGAAAACACGATCAACAGCCGAAAGCCTCCACGTGGGAGGATGTTGCATCCAACCGCAAATTTGCTCGTACTTACTTTCGACATCCTGCCAGCACTACATAGTATGGTAGTAGCAGGTACAAATATTACAGAGTACATATCTCCTTCAGGGGCAGATCCGAGATCGATCCAGCTGGCAGCAAACGCTTTGATGAAGTGTGGAGGCGCCCGGCTTCTTCACATCTGTTGGGGAAATCAGGGAGGCCTTCCTATCGGTCTTTTTGCTTCCCAGGCTAACCCGTCGACCAGGGTGAAATTAGGCGCACTCACCCTTCTCTCCTCCATACGGAGTACATAGTAATACGTAGAGTAAATTAGCCTTATTAACCTAGCAAAGGGGAATCGTGCAGACAAACTCGGCCAATTTAACAGTACGGAGTAAGATAAATTCCATCCGTCGGCTGCTGGCCAGGAGCAAGTCGAAAAAAGGAAGCAGAGGGGTAGAAAAGCACGACGAGGCATGTGGGAGCAATACAGAGTACGAAACAACGCAATACCAGCGCAGAACGGACACATTTCAAGCAGCCCGGCCTACATAACTCAGGCCGTCTTTGTCATCAAGTATGACATCTACACGTTATAGCGCCGGCGCTGGCTAACGCCTAACAAGCCCTAGCTGAGCGCCCAGCGTCACATCCCAGGGCACGCTAGTCCAGTGAGCCGTGTCCGATGTAAGATTCATAGGAGTATATACTCGTAAGATGCACGCAGTAAAGCTATTCGCTGTGACCCAGGAGGTTACATTGCTTCTATTACCCCGTAACGTCCAGCTGGCCCGGGATCGCTACGGAATATAGTGTGCATGCCCGTTTCTCTCTTCCTTCTATGGAGCATCCGGCCGCGGTGTCTTGCGCCATTCGCCCTCGTATTTCACATTGCATGTACTTCGTAGCCTCGATGGCCAATTCTCCATGGGCTCTGCCACAAACCGGTTCTGCCCCTTACTACTCTCATAGCTAAGATTTATTATTGCCGCCCCCCTTTGCACGGCATATCCCACTTTGCTGCAAAACGCTAGCTCGATCGTCCCTACCCATTTTGCAGGCGCCGCACCACCGCTAACTGTTCACGCTCTAGGATAGGGCCTTCTCTCTTCGGCCAAACTGCCGCCGTCGCCTGTCTCCTCTCCCCCTCATCATCACCATCGCCGGCTTCTCTCGTTTTCTTCTCCTCTCGCACCACCGTCTCCGGCCTCTCCCGCGCTCGCTCGCTCGCTTCCGACCTGCCGCCTCTCTCGTTTTCTTGGTTCATTGTGCCCTTTAAACGTCCCCGAAGTGTCTGCTCCGTACGGAGTGCTCCCTACCCATCTTTTCTACCCCCCCCTGGGCGTTTCACAGGTCAGTCGGTTATACCAAGAGCGATAATATGCAGCCTGCTCTACCCTCAACCACATACACGGAACAATCTACCTCTGCCAAGGCGGGTGACATTCGACCAAATGCTTCCATAGACCCGTGTTTCACGGGCCTCTGCACTCTGTCATTAATATTGAAGAGGGGCCGCGGTGGAAACATGATATTAACAGCCGATCATGACAGGGCCGCCCATCCATCATCATCCATAAACGAGAGGTCAACCGGCAGGGTTACTTCGTCCCGTTCCAACAGCACAGCCGAACAGCGGCTCTGCCTTGCTGCGTCACTGTGCTTCTTGACCCTTCCCTTCGCCGAGTGCTCCGCGCCTAATCAGTAATTCATTGCTTGCACACCGCCCGAACATTCTCTGCCGGCAGAGACGCACAACGAAACGCTGCTTCGGGTCCGTTCATATTATCGAGCGGCATGCAGTGAGACTGGAGCCGGGGCGGAGCTTTTTTCTTTCTCTTCTAATATCCCCTCGTACTTTCTTATCTCGTTCGGCCATTGCTGCCTTGTTCATTCTCCCGTTTTGCCTCTTGCCCTTCTTCGTTTCCGATATTTCCTGTCTCTTTTCAGCCCTTTTGTCCCGGCCCCGAGCTTGCCCTCGTCCGGCAAGCTCAGCTTGCCCGCACTTGCACTTGCATCTGCATCGACTTCGCTGTTGGCTGTTGGCCATTGGCTGCGTTGCATTAACTCCCACGCTCAGACACCACGCCCTGAGTATTACGCCCCAACCAATTCTAGCCTCCGCAACAGGAGCCTGAATTGCATTGCAGCAAGACGCCAGGGCCCTTGTCCACGACCCGTTATTTCATACCCGGCCATGAGATGAGCGGTTCCACGCGGTCGATGGCTCCGGCCGTCGAATCATCACATTCCACACACTTCCCCCGGTCTCACTCGACGCCCAACCTTCTACTTCTAGGCTCTCCGGCCAAACAACCACTCCCCCACCACACATCAGGCTCTACAGCCACAACGTCAGCACCAGTACCTAGCTCACCACTCTCCTCTTCAACCTACGCCAACTTTCCCGACAAGGGCTTACCCAGCCTGCCCGCTTTTGACGTGCCCTCGTTTGACTTCGGTTTGGATTTTAACACTGAACTTGGGGCTTCGCTGCGCGGAGACCAGAACAAGGCGATACCGGACAATCCGACCGCAGTCGATGCTGCACGCAAAGTTTGGCAAGATTTTCTCATCAAGGATGATATAGACGGTGCAACCGAGACAGACCGAGCTACAATTGCTTGTGCAAGTGTTTTGAACAGCGACCGGTCATCCGGCGACATCTACGCAAGCACTGCCGGCGCTCGTGTCAGTGCTACCGCAACCATTCCCAGTCGCACTAGAGAAGCCTTGCCCTCGATCACCAAGACGGGCAAACCTACGCGGGCTGTCGAAGCAGAAGCTCGTCGGAAACGAAGCCTGATTGACAGGCCAAGATCTTGGATTCACAGCTCGAGGTCTACGCCAAATTTGCGGAACTCTCTGGAAAACGACCAAGGATTCCGACAAGCCGCAGTGGCTGTGCCGGTGGCGGCGGCTAGAGGGACTGACAGATATGTTGGTGCTGTTGATGCTGCTGCCTTGTCCACACTAGACAAAGCGGTCACGACAGGCGAACCGATGGGCGAGCGGTCGCGAACTATGTCCTCATCGTTTGCCGACTTCGCAAGGCGCCCGTGGATTTCGCGATCGCCCTCGCCCTCGCCACCAACCAAATCAACGCCCACGCAGAAAAAGACACCGGCAAAAAAGGCCGACGACGGCGACGATTCCAACGGTTTCCGTGGAAAGCTGTCGCTCAAACGCCTGGTGCCGACAGTAGCTGTGGTGGAGAATATTAGCGAAAAAGGGAGCGCAAAGCCGGCAGGTTCGAGTGAGAGCCCCAATAAAAGAAGGGGAAGTGGGAGCGGAGCTGGAAGCAGTAGTGGTAGCGACGCGTCCGATGCCACAATTGGCCCAGCCGATGCGACGGCAGGCGCCAATGGTGGTATCGTGACCACCGCATCTTCACACAGGCCCTTTAGTCGGGCTAGCGAGTACTTGACCCGCATGAGACAGCGCCCGCAAAGCATGTTTGTCAGATCAGACGTCGGCAGCCCGGGATTTACTGCCAGCATCAACAACGACCGAGATGAGGAGGACGGCGACGTCGGCACAGACAGAGGTCCGCCGCTGATCAATTTGCCGCTGGATTTTCTTGCTGATGGCAGCGCGACGGCTCCAGGCCGCAGCTCTATGCAGACAGCAGAATCGTCTGGCAGCAGCACCCACGGCAGCAGCGCAAACGACAGCGCCGTGCTTCCAGCCTCCGAGGCCGAGTCACTGACAACTGCCGATACCAGCCGGCACACAAGTCCCATGGCGCAGCAGCCAGCGTCGCGCGATCCTCTTTGGATGGCATTTAAAGACCTGGAGGCCGCATTCTTCAAATTTCTCTCCAAACCGAGCACGGCACAGCGCATGGGCCTAGTGCGGACGGCGCTTACCCCTTTCTTGCGCCGCTATGCTCTTGACAGCTCCAACAAAGATCTGAACTTGCTCTCGCCTGAGGATGTCGAACGCCGCACCTCTATCCTCAACCGGTGGTGGACAGCCTTGTTGGAAATGCTGGACAGTCCAAGGCAGTGGGATGGAGGCAACAACCGACAGACGGGCAACCAAACCCACTCACAATCGAGTAGCGGTGCTGTGCACTTTCCTACGACAACTACGACTGTCACCAGCAGTATCTACCCCCTGTCGGGTGTCGACCGGCCTGCGGTGTTGGATGCCGTGTCTATGATAATGCTGCGGCCGGAATGGCGGCTGCTCACCACTGTCTTTCAGCCGCTGGCTGATCGGCCGCCCAGCGATCCCGTGCGTGCCCGTGCTAACACGGACGACATGCCACCAACCGAGGATGGGAGCTTCTTGGTCGAGGAGTCGGCGGAGCACAACATCCGCACGACGTTTATCAACAACCTGATGGCACAGCTAGCGTTCGTCGTGGAGAGAATGTCCATGCGCCAAGTGCCACATTCCATTGTCAATTTCAGCGGCCGGGCCTGTGCCTACGCCTTCTTCTTTGTGCCTGGCGTGGCCGATATACTGGTACGCCTTTGGGGGCTTGACAGACGTATTGACCTTGTCCGGCGCTCTGCCGATGCTTTCGGCCTACCACGCCGCAGCCGTGGCGAAAGTGAGGATCTGATCGCGCTGTTCCCGCCCTGTCTCGGGCCTCTCGGGTGGCAGTCTGTGAGTGCTATCCACACAAGACTGCGCCGGCCACCTAAGATGAACCTGCTGCTCTCAACGTCTGCTACCTGCAGCCGCATCCCGTGGTTTGCGCCTCACTGGCTCGCACGCTGGCGTGGTGTCGATACCGACCTGTTCTTCATCTTCAGCAAGTACTACTACATTCTTGCAGACGACTTCATGCCCGCGGTGCTTCATCTGCCGCTCGTCGAACAAGCCCGAGCCCCAGCCTATGTCCTCCTGCACGCCCAGCTGCTCCACATTCTCGACAACACCATTCATCGCCAGGCTGCAGTCGAGGCAGCTATAATGATGGCCGCCCCGCCCCTAGTGGATGGTGCATCGGCTGGCTCGGCATCCGGGACCGCCGATGCATTCGCCCCCCCCTTCCTCGTGCAACCCACACATAATCTGCTGCGGGATATGGGCGAGAATCGAGTCATAGCACTGCTAAATGACCTGCTGAGCACGGGCGAGTCGCTGGCAGGCGCTCGCAACACATATTCGCAGTCTCTCATGACGCTTCTCAAAGCTGCTGCCGGTCGTACTTCGCAGTATGACCACAACGCATGCTATATGCTGTGCGACTTTTTGCAAGAGATTTTCCAGGTGTTCGACGGCTACTATGGATACAGCAATGACGACGGCGGTGCCATTACGCCACCGCCTGTCGACCTCGTCGACTGGGCGTTCTGGCAAGACGTGTGCAAGATGATGCTAAACTCGAACAACACGATGTCAGAAATCCGAGTGCTATCCTTTCTTTATACCGTTTGGGACATCATCACCACCGACGACGGGCGAAGGGAGGAGTTGTGCTTAGGATGGCTGCTCACCGAGGATGTGTTCAGCAAGTTTTTCAACAACTGGTCTCCCATGGTTCGAGCGTATTACATGCGTCTGCTGTGTTGGCGCATCTGCCGGGATTCGGGGAGCTCGAATGAGCTGGATATGTAAGACCCGTCCACCCTGCTCTATGTGGAGGTCCATGCTAACAAGACCAGAAAAATCTATCTGCTTGTTTCTCAACGGCTGAAGACGGTTTGGTCACACTACTTGTGGCTCAAGCAAAAGGCCGAGAAGGAGGCGACGCTCCCACCATCTACGGCGCCTGCGTTGCCACAACCGGGCAGACGTTTTATGATCGTTCGAACCGAGGTCAACGGCCCACAACTTGGCCTGATGGTTAACGGCAGTCGTGGCCAAGGCCGCGGGAGCACGAGCGCGGCAGCTATCGGATTCGACACGTTAGCAAGTCCATACAGCGGCTTCGACGGCATAATTGAGATTCGTGACGGGACGTCGGGCTCGAGGCCGAATTCGTCTGCGTCGGACGACAAGAAAGGCGACGGAAGCTCGACAAAGAAAAAGTGGTCTCTTCTGGGCAAAGTGCTGAACCTAGCAAGCGGAAGGTCAGATACTACCGAGGAGCAGCCGGACAAACCACGGCGGGAACGGTCGTTTGCAGGAACGATGTCTCTTCTTCCGCCGTCCAAATCAGGGCGGCTTGGTTCTGCATCGTCGGACTCAGGGTCGTCGACGGGGTCGGCACCGGTGTTCGACAGCGCGCAATTTGTGTTCAAATTTATGCTACACAACATCCCGTGGCAGGGCCAGAGTGGCGGGCCGATGGGGTCTCCGGGGGCGGTAATACTACCGCCGGTGTATCGGGACCGAGTGCTTACGCGTCCTCGTCTTCCGGCACCGGCACAGGTCCGGGTCAGCTCTCGGCTCGCTCTTGCGGGCAGACTGTCTGGAAGCGTGCCGCCGGTTCCGGCTGGCTCGCCGCCCATGACACGGCAGATCTCTGAGGCTGTGACTGGCGGGCTCGTGAACGAAGCCAAGAATGCCAATCCGACAGCGTCGATTCCAAGTGACGACAGCTCCAGCGGCGGGACTCGGCCGCGTGGCGACAGCTGGGTATCGACGAGTTCTAGGGCGAGCTCGCCGGCGGCCAGCGGAGGTGAACTGGATGCGTACTCGCGCAGCAACTCGCTGGAAGAGGAGTTTGACCGAGACCGGGAGCGGGAGCGGGCAGTGGTGCAGCCGGCGGAGCCGATTGGATGCACGACACTGCTGCGAGCCAAGTATAGTGGGAAAGCTTTGGCGGAGTGGAGTCTTGTAGTGAACGAGTGCAACTCGTTTGTCGACCGACGGCGGGACGAAGGCGTGTCTGCGCTGAAGGACGTCGAGGTTCCTTGTCTCGGAATTGAGGGGCTGCGGCGGCTGAATTGATCAAGGCTGTCGTACGTTTACAGGAGCGACTCTTGGGATTTCCTTTGTTTATTCTCTTCTCCAGCCGGCTTCGCAATTCAGAGCGCCACGGGCGTGTTTGGATCTCCAAGGACACAAGGCGAACGTGGCGTTTCTCTGGACCGAGTTGCTTATCCGTCCTATTGGCATAATCTTTCGTCGAGTATCAGCCTCACATCATATACTGGCGTTTCATGGATGGACAGAGGTCAACCTTTGCGGGTGGCAAGCTGTGTCGGGTTGGAAGCATCTCTTTTGTTTTGGACTAGACGTTTGTGTTGGTGTTTCTAATCATCCTGTACCAAGGTTTCTTTCTATTTACCACTATAGCATAGGGGAGAGGACCGGAGTACCTTTGAGAAGCAAAAGCTGGATCCAATAAAGCTGTCTATTGGGACGTGCAGTAGTAGTCTAAGTGCATTGGGCGATATCTAATATCTAAGATGGAGACGAGCAAAGGCCATCAATGGGCTACAGCACTGCCATTGCCGTTGAGGGCTTCAGGCTCGACAGAAGCACGCTCAAGGGCCTGCAGAGCATCGTACAGCAGATCGGCAGAGTCTTCGATGCCGCAGCTGACGCGGACGAGATCGTCAAAGACGCCAACGGCCTCGCGCTGGTCGCGGGGAATGCCGGCATGGGTCATGCTGCTGGGGACCTCGACAAGGGACTCGATGCCGCCAAGCGACTCGGCGAGGGTGAAGAGGCGGGTATTCTGGCAAAAGCGCTCAGCGGCAGCGTGACCGGCTCTCAGACGGAAGGAGAGCATGCCGCCGCCAAGACCGTCGCGGTGCTGACGCAGAGCAATAGGACGCTGGGGGTGAGAGTCGAGGCCGGGGTAGTGGACAGCGCTCACGAGGTCAGGACGGCCTTCGAGAGCAGTAGCGAGCTGGAGGGCATTGGTCGAAGCGGCACGGGCACGCAGATGCAGAGTCTTGAGGCCGCGATGGGCCAGCCAGCTATCAAAGGCCGAGGGAACGGCGCCGCCGGCATTCTGCAGAAAGGCGAGTCGAGCATGCAGATCGTCGCGGTTGCAGGCAGCGACACCCATGACGACGTCGCTGTGGCCGTTGATGTACTTTGTGACGCTATGAACGACGATGTCGGCGCCATGATCGAGCGGGTTCTGGATGTAGGGGCTGAGGAAGGTATTGTCGACGACGACGAGGACGCCACGGGCATGAGCGGCACGGGAAACGGCATCGATATCGACGAGGCGCAGGGTCGGATTGGACGGGGTCTCGATCCAGACGAGGCGTGTGGCCGGGGTGATGTGGCTGACGATGTCGACCTCGATGGCGGGCGTGAAGGTGACGCGGATGTTGTGGGCCTTGGCGACTTGGGTGAAGTAGCGATGGGTGCCGCCGTAGACGTCCGAGACGGAAATGACGTGAGCAGGCGAGGAGGAGGAGATGGGGGGAGGCGAAGTTGAAGACGAAGACGAAGAGGACGAGGACGAAGATCCGGGAGCGTCTTCGCTGATGGTCGTAGCCAAAGCCTGCAAAACGGTCGCCGTGGCGGCGCTGCCGGACGAGAAGGCCAGGGCGTGGCGGGCGTGCTCCAGCGCAGCCACGGCCTGCTCAAAGTTGGCTCGATTCGGGTTGCTGCTGCGGCTGTACTCGAAAGCGCCGACTGGTTGGCCGACGGCCGACTGCGCAAACGTCGTCGACAGGCTGATGGCCTCGATCACGGCTCCCGTCACGGCATCGTGCGGCGAGCCGGCATGCACGGCCAGCGTGCCAAACCCGGCTACCGCAGGCTTGACCAGGCCTGTCGAGGAGGCCGTCGTTGTCGGCTTTGCGACACCATTCGGCTCGGCCATCTTGGTTTCCGTCATGATGGCGGTGTGATGTTTTGGGTTGGAAATGAATCAGTTGTGTATCGTCCCGTCGTATTTTCTTTCTTATTTTTTCTGTTCTTTGTCTTCTGTTGGCTGCTCTTCGTTCTCGTTCTCTTTCTGCCTTCGTCGCCTCTTGTCCACTTGTCCGCTCTTGTTTGTCTCGTCTGTTTTGTCCGTTCTTCTCGTTCTTCACCTCTTCAGCTCACAATTGGTGGGAATCGTCCTGTCCGACCACTCAAGAAAAATTTATTCCTGCTCCGTCCTTTTATAAGCTTCCGTAAGCTCGTTGCCAAGCCCATCTCGACCGTCCTGCGTGCGCTCGCTCCTTATATCTACACCATGGCTGTCACGGCCAATTACTCATACGCGATTCCGTCATTTTCTAGCAGAATGAGCACATCGCTTGTGCGCCCAGTCTTTGTCACACAAACTGTCACTCCTGCCCTGGAATCATTTCAGACACAATAACCGGTTGCACCTTCTGATTCTGTGGCCTCGCCACCACCGCTGCGGGGTGCTCCTTCCTATTACAGAGCCGCCCGCATCGGTCCCTCCTGCTCGTTTGTATACCGCCTGCCACCTGTGTTTTCCATCAACTTTTCTCTCTCTTTCTCTCTCTCCTCTTTTTCCTCTTTCTCCTTTCATCCTCCTCTCACTCTCCCTTTTGCATCCTGTTTTCTTCTCCCTCTCCTTCTGCGTCGCTCGTTCACACCATCGCCTCTTCGCTCGCCTTTCGCAGCGCTGCTGCCCATTTGTCATCTCACGCCACCAACCAATCAGCACCGCCACACCTTCCTGGTTAGCGCGCATCACCCGCCGTAGCGCAAGGCACCAACCAAACCAAGACGTTATTACTGATGCATCGGCGAACTCCACCATCCCGTCCCCGTCTCCTCTACCCCTGGCCTCCAGCCGGCACGATCCTGATGCCTCTGACCGCCTTCCGCCCCGACTCCCGCATCTCGCCACAACTGTCGCCAACTCACTCCTGCGTGCATCTTATGCGCGTCGAGCCTCGTCACTGCAGACCATGAGAACACACGGCCTGCCCAGCCAAAGACGGCCTGGCTGAAGCCAAAAATTCCCACCCCTCTTCGTCCTTGGCCTTGGATGCTCGCCAAACCGGTGCTGCCTGCCCGTTCTGCTCGCCTTCCTGCTGCACGCCTATATAAGACCCCTGCTCAATCTCCGCGTTTTCTCGCCTTTTCCATATCCTCATCCTCCTCAGCAATGCCCCCGCGCAGGTCCCATAAGAAATCCAGGGCCGGCTGTCGTCGCTGCAAGTCGCGCAAGATCAAGGTGAGCCAGTCCAGCTGCCAGGCTTCCACGATGCCAGAATGGCCACTCCCCCCCCCCCCCCTTGACATGGCCGCCCTCTTCTGACCGCTTTCCAGTGCGACGAGGCTCGCCCGCGATGCTCCAACTGCGACAAGCATGGCGTCAATTGCGACTTTGAGTTTCCCGAACTCGCCTCCGGCCTCTCGCCCAACGGCTCGCGCTCTCCCTCCGGCTCCAAGCCCGGCCTCACGCCCGTGACGAGACCCGCGTCCTCCAGAGCGGCTTCCCGACTGGCTGCCCGCACCTCCTCTTCTACTGCTTCGACCGCCACACTCGGCCCCCCACCACCGTCCCCCTCCTGCATGTCAGCTCTCACCGCCACCACGCCCTCCACCCCCGCCGGCCGCATTCTGGAGCTTCGTCTCCTCCATCACTTCACTACTGTCACTTTTAAGACGCTGTCGTCGTCCAACGAAAAGGTCCAGACCATATGGCGCGACTTTGTACCCCGCGCTGCCTTTGCTGCCGCCAGTGGCTCCACGGCCACTGCCTCCAACCACCTGACTGACGGCATCTTGGCCATTGCCGCCCTGCACCTACGCACCCTGGCCCCCCATGACCGCGAGCTGATCAGCGCCTCTCACGCCTACATGGCCTCGTCGCTCAGCGAGTACAATCGTCTCCTCAAGCTCGGCATCAACCCCTCCAACGCCGTCGCTCTCTTTCTCAACGCCGCCCTGATTGCCTTCCAGTCGGCTGCTGCCCGCATCTTCAACAAGGAGGAGCCGGCCGTCAGCATTGCCGACATTGACGAAGCTGCCGCCGGCCTGGCCGGTGCCGGTGCTGGCAATCCTTCCATCTCGCCTTCCTCTACTACTGCAAACTCCACATCCTCGACAACGGCTGCTGCCGGCAACCCCGGCGCCTACGGCCTGCCCATGTCCTGGTTCCATGCCTTTCAGGGCGTCAAGACAATCACGGCGGCCTCATGGCAATGGCTGCGCAGCAGCGACATTGTCCTGCCCATCATCAACGCCCAGCCCCCGCTGCACTTGGACATTGCTGCCGCACACGAGGGCTTCTTCGGCCACCTGCTCGACGGCCTCGACGAGGAGCTGACTGGCCTGTCCTGTACCGCCGGTGCCACCGGCAACGACGCCACGTGGACGCCCAAGTCGGTCTTTTCCTTTGGCCGGAGTCCGTTTACACAGAGCACATCGGCCACTGGCAGCGAGTTTGATGGCTCTTCCAGTGCCGGGCTGGACGACGGCCAGGGCCGGTCTCGTGTGCTCGAGAGCCCGCCGATGAGCCGTCTGGGCGAGCTCATGAACGAGAATCTGTTTGGTGAGGACGACGACGTGGCCCAGCGCACGCGGCACGCGTACCAACATGCCGTTGCCGTGCTCAATTGGGCCCACAGCAGCCCTTATAACGGGGCTTGCCTGGTTTTCCCGGCCACGGTGTCGCGGCATTTTGTCGACCTGCTCGGCAGCCGGTCGTATAGGGCCATCACCATCCTGGCCTGCTTCTTTGCCATGCTGAAGACGCTCGATCGGGTCTGGTGGCTGCAGGGCATGGCGCGCCGCGAGGTGCTGGGCATCGTGTCCATGTTCAACTCGGACGCCATCCCGATGGACGTCGAGCGTCGCTGGTGGCCCCACGTGCAGTGGGCTGTGCGTGTGGCCCTGTACCACGACGACAACTCACCGACGGACTATGTGCCGCCTGATGTCTGGGGCTGCTCGCCGTGCTACGACGTGCCGGAAAACGGCCAGACACATCGGGCGCCCGAGAGTTTTGTGAGCCACATCGACATGGTCTCGGAGTCGATCAACGGTGGCGGGGCGTCGGTCGAGTTCAACTACCCCGGCCTGATCTAGGTCGGACAGCACGCATAAAGTGCACATTTGCTTACAGGCGCAGCGATGGATAGATTGGCGATTTGAGGACATGAGGACAGTAGGCTTTCTATTTTTGATTTAATTCTGCTTTGACACTGGACTGGAAAAGAGGCCGACAGGCGAACCAGCGGGAGGACTATGGCCACGAGGAGGAGTAAACCGGCGTTTGTTCTTAGAGATTGTTTCGTGTGTATCACCCGTATGCTATAGTGTGTACATATAGAGGTAGGCGCCAAAAAGAGCAAATAAAGAGTTCCGAGGAAAGGAGGAAAGGAGGAAATGCCAGCGGTGACCGGCCCCAAACGCCGAGCTCCACGACAAGGATATACGAGGATCAATTCATTCCCCTTTATGCAGATGAGAGAGAAAGGCTGGGGACGAGAGTGGTCACCGCTTTGCCTTCTTGGGGGCGTCCTCTTGCGGGTCAGCGACAGAGGCGCCGTCATCGAGGGCGTCGCCGCGGAGGCGCTTGAGACCCTTCATCTTGCGGGTCTGCAGCTCGGCCATGTCCTGCTTGGCCAGATGGACGCGGCCGATCTTGTCGCCCATGCCGTCGGTCTCAATGTTCTTCTTGGTGCGAGGCTCGTTGGTCTTGGGGCGGCGCATGGCCTCCTTGAGCATGGCACTGTCGGGCTCTTTGAAGCGGCCGAGGCGGAAGTCCATGCGAGGGCCTGGAAGTCAGTGAGGAAGGAAAAAGAAGAGGAAGACAGATGACGTACCAATCTCCTCGACCTCAATGCGAGGCAGACGCTGACCGCTGCGCTTTGTCTGGAGGGCATAGACGCGCATGTGCAGGACAGGATTGGCAGCAGCATCAGCAGCAGGAGCAGCGAGAGCAGCAGCAGCAGCTGCTGCAGCGGCATTCTTGACAGGGGCTCCGGTGGCGGCGACATCATCGGCAGAGTCCTCCTCGGCGGTCAGCACGACAATGTGCGAGAGGCCCTCGACGTCGATCTTGTCGGGCGAGCTGTCGACGCGGAAGAAGTCGGTGAGCAAGCTCTTGGCGAGGGCGTACTTGCGGCCAGACTCAGTCAGCGGCGTGGCTCCGTGCTCGACGTCGGCCTCATAGAAAGGCGAGCCGGCAAAGAGGACCATCGGACGGGCGCCGACAGGAATGGAGCGCCGGGGGTTGGGAACCGGGCTATCGGTGCTGGTGGTGCTGGCCGGCTCAGCCGCCTGGCCCGGACGCCGGTACGTAGTCTCATCGACGTACAGCTCCAGCATGTCCAGCATGGCGTGGTCAAAAGTGCGGCACAGCGTCAGACAGTGGCGGCGCTTCTTGCTGCTGCTGCCAAACAGCTGCAGGCTTGTGTCGTTCTTGCGCGAGAAGAACTCGAGGCTGGACGGGTCCTCAAACGGGTGCACCGTGTTCTTCTTGGTAAACTTCTTGGCCAGCGGCGCCCGCATGGCGTGCAGATCCGTCAGGCAGTCCTGCACGACCTGCGATGCCGACGTGCCGCGCAGAAAGAGACAGGTCTTGGGGTTCTCGTCCGCCTTGGGCGCCCGCTTGTCGAGCGCCCGCTTGGACCGCGCGTTGCGGGGGGTGATCTGGCGCAGCATGGTCGATTGTGAGGTGAAGGGGTGGTGGTGCTGGTGGTGGTGAGACGTGGTCCTCCTTGAGGTCGTCGTGCAGTATGTAGATTTTTTTTCCAGACTAAGACGCATTCTGCCGTTGCTCTGGTTTTTTTGGCGGTCAAGCTTATCGATAGGTGGTTTGGATGCTCGGATTATTGCATATTGCATATTCTTCGCTGGCGGCTAGTCTGGGTATCCATTTGGTCTATGCCACAACTACTACAGAACAGGACGTCGTAGTCCTCAAGCCGGTGACTTTACCGTACCGCTCGGGTCCTCGGGCTCAGGCTCAAAGTGCCGCGGGATGAGGCCCTCGGCCATGTTGATGGCGCCCTCCATGTCGGTCTTGTTGAAGAGGAAGAGACCTTGAATAGCAGCCGTGCTGGTGTGTCGTCGGGGCACCGAGCTGCTACGGTCGACGGCATCTGGATCAGCCACGAGACCGAGGCTGCATAGCCGTTGCAGGAAGCGAGTGCGGCCTGCACCGTCAACGTCGACATCACCGTAGAAACGGTCCCACATGCGAGCAGCCTGGAAGGCAGTGGCCTCGCCGATGCGCACCATCATGTCGACGCGACCGGGACGAATGAGGGCTGGATCAAGGCGGTCGATATGGTTGGTGGTCAGAAAGGCGATGCGCTCCTCGCCAGCCGCGACGCCGTCGAGCGCGTTGAGCAGGCCAGAAAAGGTCACGGTGGCGCCGCCGTAGCCGTCAGGATCGCGGGCTCGCCGGTTGACAAAGGCAGCGTCGGCATCCTCCAGCAGCACGACACAGCGCCGTGGCAGCCGCATCAGCAGCATGGCCAGCTTATCGTCCGTCATGCCTGTCTCGCTCAGGTTGACGACAGCGAGGCCAAGGTCCAGCTCGCCTGCCAGGGCCTGGATAAACGACGTCTTGCCGCTGCCCGGCGGCCCGTAGAGCAGGTAGCCACGGCGGTACGGAATCCCACGGTCGACATACCACTGCTGACGTGCCAGAAAGTCTCGCACGTCCGCCACGACGCCCTCGGCCACACCGCTGTCCAGCACCACCGATGCCAGCGGCCGCTTCGTTCGCGGCTCGCCCAGCGGCGCCCATCCCATGCCCTGCACGCTGAACACGGGCGTCCGGCCCTCGGCTGCTCGTGCTGCTAGCGCGTGCGCCTGCGCAAACACTTCTTCGAACACGTGTCGCTGGGCCCATAATGCCGTCAGCGTCACGGTCTCGTGTGGCTCGCCTGTCGCCATGTTGGACGTGCTCTGTTTTTCGCGCCGCACTCCGATAAACACTCCTGGCCGGTGCTGGATCACATGTCGTCCGTATCCGGGCTGCAACACAATCTGTGCCTGGCCTGCTCCGTCTCCTGCTCCTTCTCCTGCTCCGCCTCCTTCTCCGGCTGTCTTCTTCGTTGCTGTCGCTACCGACAGGTTGTGGATTCGTGTCAGCCGCGAGGCCACAAAGCCGCCTGCTGACCGCGGCTCCGAAAGCCATGCCAGCACCCACGGGTACGACGGGTCCCGCCGGCTGATCTCCACGTTCACCAGCAGCCGTCGTCGTAGCAGCTCGGCTCCCTGCATCATTCCGCGCCGCCCCAACGCTGCTGCTGCTCCCAGCCCGGCCAGCCCCATGCCACCCGCAAACATGGGGTTGTCAAAGAGCGCATCGAAACTGAACACCGACGGCGTCGGCGTCGTTCCTGCTGCCGTCAAACTGTCTGGCCCTGGCATCGTCATCGGTGCGTTGCTCGACGTCAAAGAGCGTCAATCCGTTTTGCCATTTGGCGTCCAAAGGCGGTCAGGACCTGTCTGCATACTTGCCTAGTACGTACTCCGTACATACATGTGTCATTACGTAATCACATACTGGAAGGTTCCTCTCATACTCCGTACTTTTACAACATTATTATGTACAGCAGAAAGACATGCTCAGCCCAGGCGCCGTGGCTTCTTGGACCGTGTGCCTCCAAACTTGAGCCGCGTGGCATCGGCCACCCGCGTGATCTTCCTCCGCAGCAGCCGGCCCTCGTTGCCGAGCAGGATCTTGCTGACGGCCTCGCGCCCAGGTCCGAACCCGCGCAGCGTCACCTCCAGCCGCTGGATCGTCTTGTGCCAGCCACGCTGGTAGAGCCAGTCGCAGACGTAGGCGCCCAGCTGGTAGGCCGCGTCGTACGACCCGCGCTGTGCCTTGAGGAAGCCCAGGTTGCCGCACGACATCGACACGATCACATCGCGGTTTGGCTTCGACACCGTCACGTGCGTGTTGTGTTTGTGGCTGTAGATGCTAAAGTGGTACTCCTCCATGTTGTCGTCCACCTCGCGCTTCATCCGGTCGAGATCGTCAAGTCCGCCGCTCAAACCGCTCAGCCCGCTCAGCCCGCCGAGCGCGCTGCCCAGCGCATGGCTGGCTGCCTGTGGCGACCCCGCCGAGAGTGCCTGCTCACCGCTGGTCCGCGTCGTCGGCAGCAGGTCGGCCAGGCCTTCCATCAGGTTGCGGCTGCTCGCAGGTGTGGCCGTCGTCGTCGTCGTCGTCGTCGTCGTCGTCGGTCTGTCCGAGAGCGCTTTCTCGAACGAGCTCGTCCGGTCCTCCCGCCGCACCGCCGTGCCCGAGAGCGCTCGTGGCCCTTCTGTCCGGAGTGCTGTCGCCACACGGCCTGCTGTCACGGCTGCTGGCCGCTGCGGCATCGAGAACATAGTCTGCATCAGCCTTCTCGCCAGCAGCCCGGAGCCGCTGGCAACCTTGTCCATGACTGCCGATTGCCCACGCTGTCCGTTCAGTTAGCCGGCGTGTTGTTGTTCGAAAAGTCGCTCTCGTGGTCGAGGGACTGGCCGCGCTTGTCGTCGTTGTCGTCGTCGTCGCCTTGTCGCCCGTTCTGGAGAAACTGTTCGGTTTCTGAGTTTTTTACACCCCCATTCTGGCCAACGAAATGCTCTAGCCATCAGGCAGCCAATCAGCGTCGCCGCTGCCCGCTGCAGCCCGCGCCTGCCCGACGACCGGCCGCTGCCACCTGCCAGTGGCCAATCCCAGCCCCAGCAAAAATCGTCATACCGTATCTAACTGGGATTTTTCCTCTACAAAAACGACGGTAAAAATTGCACAAAATCCGCTTCTTGCTCTTCGTCTCTGCTTTGCGTCTTCTTTCCCCCCCCCCCCCCACCACTCCACATCCCTTCCAGAGACCTTCGCCCATTTCATCCGAGGGAAGGCGCTCGCAGCCTCCGTCCTGCCGTCCTGCAAAGATGAATTCCCTGCGAATCCCCGTGAGGCACTCCTCCCCCGCCGCTCTCTCCCTCTCCACCAACAGCTACGGCCGGTCGCCAGCATACCGCCGGTTACTGGCCACGCCCGCACGGTTGCACAGCTCTGCCAACGATGTCCTCCTCGGCTCCTCTCTCTCCTCTGCCTACCGCCCCTCTCCCTTGGCTTCGCCCTTCCTGCCTGCAGCTATACGGCTCCAGCTGCCGGTCCAGTCGCGCGCTTTTCATGCCAGCGTGCTGAGGTGGCAGCAGCAGTCACAGCAACAGACACAGCAACAGACACAACAACATAACCAGCAGGCGCAGGAGAAGCCAAAGGTGGAACAGACTGCCGACAGCACAGCTGAAGGTGCCGACAAGGAGGCAAATGAGGACAAGGACGGCAAAGAGGACAAGGACAGCAAAGAGGACAAGGACAGCAAAGAGGACAAGGACAGCAAAGAGGGCCAGAACAAGAAGAAGGACGAGGAGGAGCTTCCACCACCGCCACCACACGGCGACAAGACGCCATGGCAGGTGTTTGTCGACACCATGCAGTCCGAGTTCAAGCAGTCCAAGGAGTGGAACGATTCGACCAAGGCCCTGGCCGAGGGCGCCCACCAGATCTCGGAGAGCGAGTCCGTCCAGCGCGCCCGCAAGGCGTACGAGGCCACGTCCGGCGCCGTCTCGTCCACGGCCGCCAACGTGATCAAGACCACCGCCACGGCCGTCGGCAAGGGCGCCTCCTGGACCTGGGAGACCCCCGTCATGAAGGGCGTGCGCAAGGGCGCCAACGCCACCGGCGAGGTCCTCGACAAGGCCACCAAGCCCATCCGCGACACTGAGGCCTACAAGAACGTCAAGGATGTCATCGACGACGGCAGCAGCTCGCGCTACGGCGGCTGGGTCGACAAGGAAGAGCGCCGCAAGCGCCGCGAGAAGTGGCAGCAGACCAACGGCGGCACCCCCGAGATCATGGAAGAAAATCCCGAGTATGTGTATCCTGTTCTTCTCTCCCTCCACCCCTTCTCCTGCTGACCCGCCAGTGCCGGTACAAACGTCACCCTCCACAAGGACGCCGCCTGGAAGGAGGCCTGGCGCGACTTCAAGGACCAAAGCAAGGTCGTCCAGGGCTTCTTCGGCATGAAGAGCGTCTACAATGAGTCCGAGAACCCGCTCATCAGCACCGCCCGCAGCATCACCGACCGCATCGCCGGCTTCTTTGCCGAGAACGAAACTGCCATGGTCATCAAGAAGCTGCGCCAGATGGACCCGGCCTTCCAGCTGGAACCCTTCTTGCGCGAGCTGCGCGAGTACATCCTGCCCGAGGTCCTAGACGCCTACGTCAAGGGCGACGTCGAGACCCTTAAGCTCTGGCTGTCCGAGGCCCAGTTCTCCGTCTACGAGGCCCTCACTAAGCAGTACCTCCAGGCCGGCCTCAAGTCCGACGGCCGCATCCTCGACATTCGCCACGTCGACATCCTCAAGGCCCGCATGCTCGAGCCCGGCGAGATCCCCGTCTTCATCATCACCTGCCGCACCCAGGAAGTCCACGTCTACCGCAAGGTCAAGTCCGGCGACCTGGCTGCCGGCATGGAAGACAAGGTCCAGCTCGTCACCTACGCCATCGGCATCACCCGCATGCCTGACGACGTCAGCAACCCGGAGACCCGCGGCTGGCGCCTCATCGAGATGCAGAAGAGCGGTCGGGACTACATCTGAGCAGGTGAACCAGAGCCAGCTGAAACCCCGAACTTCACCCGACTCCCAACGCTTCACGTCCATATCCATGTCCTGCTTACGTGCCGTGACTCATCCACCGCTTCGTCTCCCCATTCATACCCTCTCTACGAATCTCGATTCTCTATGTTGTTTTAATAGTGTACCATATGTGCCGAAAGAAAAAGAAACCAAAATTCGATGGCGCGAAGGCGTAGGAAAGCAGGGGGGCTATTATAGAAAAGGATTTGCATGTACGGAGTACATTTCTCGCAAAAAGTCGATGGAGGGAGGAAAACTCTATTATGTACGGTATGTTGGAAACGCCACTCTGATGTCAGGTCAATACAATGAAGTCAAGACGCGTTCGAGAACAGCTGTGAGGAAGCAAGACGTTCGGAAATGGCTCAAAGCGCATGAGACAAAAAATACCTGTGGTCGCTGATAGGCGATACCAAGGTGCAAAATTCTATGCCTGATTGCAAATCCAATTGGAGCAGTAGGGGATCGAACCCTAGGCTTCTCGCATGCAAAGCGAGCACTCTACCACTGAGTTACAGCCCCTGATATTGACGTAATTGCTGTCCACTGTACTTTATATACGCTCAACAAAATAGGCCGCCATAAGTTCAGGCAAAAGCGCATTGTCGCAGAAACTCGAATTGGGGCACAAACAAAGTCATAAAGAAGGTCAGAATCTGGTCAAAAGCTTGAAAGACTGACTAGGTCATTCATTGATGAAAAACCTCGTCCTCGAGAAATACGCCACCCTACTCATACGTTTACGTTTACGTCTTGCGACAAGGCCTACAAGTACCTCCTTCCACAGAGACGAATAGAACTGTATACGAAAAGAGGAACCGGCCGGTTGTGTGACTCCCAAGGATCCGAGAAGATGGCGGTCAGCCAATTGGTCGTAAGTACACCGCTCGCAGCATGAGTGCAAGATCTATTTCCTATCCAGCCTTGGGCTTCCGATCCTGTAAGACAAATGGATCGAATGTTCTCCGACGAAAATGCGGGTTAGGCCGTAGCTTTAAGAACCGTATTACAAGACGAAGTAGCGCATCGTCAGTAGGCGAGAATGGGAAAGGAGAAGGGAGAAAGAAAGTCGGCGAAGCGATTTGTGTTACGAACGGACCCTTGTATGGAACAGGTGAACATGTGCGGCAACGGCCGCAGGATCATTATTGCTCTTCCCCAAGGTGAGCAGCAGCCGCTTATCTTGCTTTTTGAGGGCTATCGTGTCGTACAACAACCATTTAAGCGACCGGGTGGCACAAAACGAAAACACATAAAGGAAGGATCCACGGGGCTGATGACCCGGTCTTGGTGGCTTTCTTCAAAACTACAAGCGATCGTGGTAAGCAAAGAGGAGGACACGCCTTTGTGATTCAAGCAAAATGTTCCTGTCACCTGTCACTATTAGCTGACATCCAGCTCACTTCATCACTCGGCCTCACTTTCCTATTGGGAGCCATGCACGAGGAAAGTATGGTACAGAGCAGGGTTGTCGCAAGAGAGAGTTTACTCCGTACTGACCATCTAAACCCAGTAGCCAGGCTTGACCAGGGGCTCTGCCAAGTTGTTACATGTCATATTTCGGCATCTCACAAGTCCTTTGTAAGGGCACCGCTTTTTGATGTTCCGCAAATGAAGGTCAGCGAGGGGGGAGACAAAAGAGGGCAGTATCAGCCCTGAGAACAGGCTGATCGGCCGTCCCGATAATACGCAGCTCTATCTCGAAGCCGTTCCGATCGTACACCACACCATGTTTCACACTGGAGGACACGGCAAGGAGTCTGTTTTCGATTGTCCGTTTCGTTCGTCCCCGCCTCGATATACCACGATTAATAAACTGGCCGAAAAGCTGGGTCCGAAAACACGTACTTCAGGTTCACGAGGAAGGTTCGGGTATGAAAAGAATAAGCATTGTAACGCATTACAGGCGATTTCAGTCCATCCATGAAAACATAATTCGATAATAAGACGTGGGACGTGGGACTCGGGACAAGTAAAGTTCACAGCGAAAACGTCGAATATCATGAGATCATAGAAGGTATTGCACGATACACGTAAGATCCTCACTGACTCGTACTCACACACATACATACGTACACAGAACCGCAGGTATGCGAGACTGGAGTGGATCGGTGTTGCTTAGCATTCGAGACGCATCCGGTTCGTATTCATCTCTGATGACACAATGCCAGCCATCCACCCCTTTCCCGATCGATCGGGACCGACACGAAGAAAAACCCACAGCGACAGTCGCATCGTGATCGTATATGGCAGCAACAAGGTCGAAGCCCGATACAGTCTGCTTCAACTGGAGACCTGATCGGGCACGACCAGCGTAAACTATCCCTATTAGCTGAGGCGTACACCGCCAAGGAGGCGGATGTCGTGTATAGCTGGTAGGCATGACTCGTTGCCTTCGTCTGTTGGGCAAAGAAAGCCGGAATTCAGAACTAACTCGGCCACGCCGTCCTTCAGAGTGGATTAACAAGGCGGGCACCTCACTGATGCTGGCGTTTAAATCTCATTCACCACTTCAAGGAGTGACTCAAGGCGATTAGTCGTCCAGAGTACGTGAGACTGTACATGCGAGTCCAACACACGCAAGTGTTCGAACGGAGTACAAACGAGCATCCGACCCACCTCCATCCACCACAGTACCCAATGGCCAAAACGAGGCTTGAAAGCGCACCAGACCTCGGACCACGAGACATTCAAGTTTAGAGATTGGGCTTCTGCGAATTACTAGTATAGGGCTGGGCACAAAGTCGACAAGCCGGTGTAGCAAGCCCACACGTGTGAACCGCTAACAGGCAAGTAGAAGTGCACTCCGTACTGCGGGGCATATGGTCAGAGCCGGTCCAGCACGCCTTCTGCGCAAATTGCAGTCAATTGTATGCAAAGAGCAGGAAGGAGTGTTGGGGCCAGACAGGGGGAGAATGCGCTAAAGAGGTTGCCTCCAAAGTCTACCTCGAGAAGTGCTCTCTTTTTATTTGAGCGATGTAGCTTAAGCGTTTGTTTTTACCGCAGCCCAGCCGTCTGGCAGCGGTGAGATAATAGGACCCATCCTTGTGACACCTTTTGTGTCCTCCATATTAATACTTAGCCGCGGAAGCAGTGTATTATAGTAGTCCTAGTTGTGGATGTTAAGGGCCCATCTTGCCTTTACCGTTTCAGTCGACCGCCGCTATTCTTCAGCGGAACCCCAGTAGCGAAGACATGCAGGCTTGCACCTGCATGATGAGCTAGTGGATTTGTATCGTTTGGGGGGCATTTAAAATGGCTCTTTCGTTTCGTTGCCATCCGACTGTCGACTATGATTCCACGTGGATTTGCCATCTAAGGCACTTCTTAATGAGCCGAACCTGGACTACTGGCCATGCCATTATCCGCTTCTTGATGACAGTCACAAGCTATACACGACATACCGCCTTTTCTTTGCCTCGACTGTCCTGTCGTCTTTCTTCTACTTTGCGCGCACCTGAACACTCGTATCTCTTTACCCGCCTTCTCGCTTGTCACTTACAGCTAGAGCAGCTTCTTTCTCTAAATTGCACGTAATAATGCCACTTGTGCTCCACCACTGCCGTCATCTCTCCTTCCTGTCCCATCAAGACAGCTCGGCTAGCTCTCCAGCATAGCCGCTGCCACCGAGTTTAGACGCTGTCCACTGCTGCTTGCTACTCCTGGAGCTTTTTCTAGTTAGAGCCCCAATAAGGACTGGTCTTGGCCATCTTTCCCGCTCTTTTTCGTCCTCTTCGGCTTTCCCTTTCCTTCCTAGCTACACCGAGAATCAGAGAAACATCCACCCTGACACTTCATTTTCGTGTACCTCTTTGTCCGCCTTACGCGAGTGCTTTCAATCCCACCCCCCTCCCTATACCCCTCTCTCATTCTTGCCGCATGGACACAGGGAGTGAGGTTGCGTGGTCACTCAAAAGTAGGCGACTCTGCTTTCTTGTGTCAGTTTTCGCCCGTCTGTCTGTACGACCTCGAATAAGGGAAGCATTCTTGCCCGCCCAGGCACTTTTGATTGTCTGCCCCAGGGCCAATAGATGTGTTTCGGTAGGGATTCTCACAGGCGTCGCGTCGGGTGAGAGTCGATGCGTTAAAGTAATTCTAGTTTCCACAGAGTTCTTGAGTGAGAAATTTGCGGGGAAAGAGAGGGCTGCCTTTGCTTCCTTTCTCTTCGTTGTACGGCCACGCCCAGACACGAAGAACCTAATCTACTATTTAGTTCAAGCCGGAAAGACGCTAAATCGACTGATATTCAACGCGTGTGGAGGCGAAGGGATAGCAGATAAGCTGTTTCTGAGACCTGTCACCCATACCTTTCCCAGCGAGGTCCCCTTTGCGCAGCATCGTCATTGACCGCTTGTCTCGTGTTTGACAATCTGGCGCCCTGTGGTGTGGGAGAAGAATGGGAACTTTCATCATCGTCTGAATAATAACCGGGATCTGCAGCCTCCCGACTCAAGGCTGCCCTCTGCTGGCGGCTTTGTCTGGCTTCGTGATCTTGGTCACCAATCGGTCGCACCACTTGCTTTCACGTTGCTGTCTTCGTTCAATTGTGGCTTCCTTCTGGTCTGTGTTTGTGTGAGGCTGATGTCTCACGCGTTTTGTTTTTGTCCCTGCTCACGACTTCCTACCAGGCAAGGAGTTCTGTGTTGCAGCTTCCCTGTCCCCAGAATTGCTCCTTCTTACTTCTTCTGTAAGCTTTATGGGAAATCCCCCGTTACGTCCTTTGCTCCTTCCTACTGTATTTTCTTGAAGTGTCACCTCCCCGCTCCCTTTTCTGTTGCTTCGTTTTCGTCCCAGGCTATGATGTTCCCGTCTGGATTTACTCTCCTTACTCGCAATTTCTCTTCTCTCCCGTTTCCCCCCAGCTCGTTTCATATCTCTGTCTGCTCTGGCTGCTCAAGAGGCCTCGAGGTCTTGATTTTAGGCACACCTACTTTGATAGGCTATGTGGCTGACCAATATAAGACTGCAAGCAATCGAACTGTGCAAGACAGACTGGCCAAAGTTAAGGGTATCATTCTGGGAGACCTGACATCGCAATTGTTTGCCTACTATTAAAAGCAACCCTTTTGAACATCATCTCGGAGTTTCCCTTTGCTTGGGGATAAGCTGAAATACATCCGCCCCATCAGAATCTCAGATCTCTTCATATTCCATCCTTAAGGCCTGTGGATTAGAGCATTCGCCGGCTCTCAAAAACAACACCGCCTGGCCGGCCGTGTTATCTCTCCGGCAGTCGACATCACAAAAACACCCCGTTCGCCGTATTTCGATTACTGGTCTCGACTTCTGGACCGAAATTCTTCCTGTGGAGATCTTCATTCACCAAGCTATTGACAGCCATGGCCGAACAAGTTGGTTTCAACATGGTTGATTCAGGGCCTTCTCCTTTATACGCTATGCAATCAAGGCCTCTAGACACCGCTCTGATGAGCTTGCACTACATATATCCGGCTGTTGTCTTCTTATATTTCATGGCGTCATCTTCTATGTCGGTTTTTTCGCTTTCCGTAAAAAAAGAACACAGCCGTCGCCGCTTTTTGCTTCCTTTGATGCTCTTCTGCGTCTTGAGCTATCCTGCCCAGATCGCCGCCGTTGTGGTTCCTTCTATCATCACAAAAAAATGGCTGGGCCAGCAGGACTGCATGATCAGCTTTCTTTCTTGCATCTTGGTTTTCGGAATTCAGCTTGCCAATCTTTCCGATTCCGAGGAGGTAGTCTGGTATCCTCACATTGGTCCTTATCTACTAGCTCTCATCTTTGAGCCAGCTCTAGAAATTATCTCACTGTCTGCACGCGAGCCAGGGGCTCTGACAGCTTCCGAAACTGCACAGCTATGCGTTGTTGCATCTAGATATCTGGTTATCACTCTGATTGTGGCCACCTATTTCTTTTCGAGAGACCCCCCGAAGGCAAATGGTAATGTAGATTCAGAGCAGCAACCACTCATCCCAAAGAACAACAACGGCACGCCCAATGAAAATCTTGATGATTCGGCGGGCTCTCAGACCTCGCAGACCTCCGGTTATGGTTCCACCACCAACAACTCTTCCTCCAGTAGGTCGACGTCAGATGAGGAAGCTGAGTCTGGCACAGCTTCAAACACAAAAAAGGGCAACGAGTCAAGCTGGGAGCGCCGCGAGCGTGACGCCCGCGAGGGGATGGAGAAACGCCTGAAAGAGAACGGAAATTGGCTAGAATATGCAAAGAGGTTTCTCGTAAGTTGGGTCACTCTTGATTGCGAAACTTGGCGGCTCACCGAGTTGTCCGAATTCTGACATGTTTTCCAGATCTTTATCCCGTACATCTGGCCTGTCGACAATCGTTCTCTTCAGGTCCGAGCCGTTCTCGTCGGTGTTTGCCTGCTAGCCAATAATGTGCTCAATGTTTTGATGCCTCGTCAACTCGGCATCATTATAGACAGCCTCAGCCACGTCAACGGTAAAAATCCATGGATTCAAGTCATAATTTATGCTGGCCTCAAATTTTGTGGCTCGGAAGCCGGCCTTTCACTCTTGCGGCAGTGGCTTTGGGTGCCTGTCGAATTCTACTCGTTCGATGCCATGAGCACGGCGGCATACTCTCACGTCTTGAATCTGTCGTCCGACTTCCATGACTCCAAGAGTTCATCCGACATTATGATGGCAATCACCTCTGGTCAAAGTGTCTCTAACTTACTAGAATCGATTTGTTTCTCCGCAATTCCAATGCTTATTGACATGTTCATCGCCTTTCTGTACCTATCGGTTACTTTTGGTCCGTACGAGGGGTTCATCACTCTGGCAACTGCAATAATCTTCCTCTACATTGCCGGAAGAATGATTTCAGGGCTCAAGCAGGCGCGGAGGAACGAAGTTAGTGCCTGGTTTGAGGAACACTACGTCCGCCAGGCCGGTATTCAAGGATGGTCCACTGTGGCTTCATTTAATCAAGTGAGCCACGAGGAGCAGCGCTATTCGATTGCAGTAAAGGATCGTGTGGCAAAGTCGCAAGCCGTTTACTTTGGTTATCTGATGGCGTATGCTTTTCAGTACCTCGTCCTTCTTGCCGGGCTCCTGGCCGGTGCTTTCCTTGCAGTTTGGCAAGTTACTTCTGGCCAAGCCACTCCGGGACAGTTTATCATGCTCCTCACCTACTGGACGCAACTAGTCTATCCCCTTTCTTTCTTTGCAAGTCTGGGAAAAAATATTTCCAGAAATTTCATTCAAGCTGAATCGCTCCTTGAAATCATGAAAACAAAGCCGACGATTGTCAGCAAGGAAAATGCGTCGGAGCTGGATTTTTCTGGCGGCGCCGTCGAATTTGACCGCGTGTGTTTTTCCTACAACGACAAAAAAGATATTCTCAAGGACATCACCTTCTATGCTCAACCTGGAACAACAATTGCCTTTGTCGGCGCTACTGGCGCTGGAAAGTCAACGATTCTGAAACTGCTTGATCGCTTCTATGATGTCAGCGAAGGTTCTATCAAGATCGACGGGCAGGACGTTCGTGACGTGGAGCTCTACAGGTGCGTGTCATTTTGTATCTGTGCCAGTTATCAAGCTGCGTAGTCTAATCGAACATAGCTTGCGCTCCCGAATCGGGATCGTTCCCCAGTCCCCGATTCTTTTCAACGACACTATCATGAACAACGTTCGCTACGCCAATCTGACTGCAACGGCTGAAGAAGTACATGATGCTTGTCGGGCAGCCTGCATTCATGACCAAATTCTCGGGTTCACCGATGGTATGCAATATGGCTCTCGATTTACTCACGCATTGCTAACGGCCTAAATTAGGATATGAAACAAGAGTTGGAGAGCGAGGCGTCAAGCTTTCCGGTGGCGAGCTACAGCGGGTCGCAATCGCACGGGCTCTGCTCAAGAATCCTTCCATTGTGATGCTCGACGAAGCAACTAGCTCTGTTGATACTGAGACAGAGCAAAAGATCCAAGAAGCCCTGCACGCCCTGTGCCATGGCCGTACAACATTCGTTGTTGCGTATGTGTTTCCTTTTTCACTGTTGGGTTGCGGAATTCTCCGAAATATCTACTAACGTGGAGCACAGTCACCGACTCTCGACGGTCATGAACGCGGACCGAATCATTGTTATCTCAGAAGGCAAAATAGTTGAGCAGGGATGTCATGACGATTTGATCTCAGCAAACGGGAAATACGCAAGTCTGTGGTCGAAGCAAGTGTTCACAAAACCCAAAGAGAAGGCCAAGTCTCCGGTAGACAGTGTGCTTAATGTGCCGGATATTGTCAATGATCTCGATCCCGAAGTAACCAACTGCGAATTGGCCAAGGCTCAGAAAAAGACGACTGCAGAGACGCCAAGCCCGAATGGCGTCGATAAAGAGTCAGAGCAAGCTCTCGACAGTGGCAAAGGCAAGGATATCGCCGTTCCCATAGAAGATGGTAATGTCAATATTTCTCGGACAGAGACGGCAAACAAGATAAATACCCCCACCAGGACGACAAAGGAGGTAAGTCGCAATCAGCCAAAGGCGCGGAAAGCGGTATTGGTTGGCTGTTTCTGACGTTTCAATCTCCAGGCTTAGGATGCCCGATTGAATCCTGTTGCACCAACATTCACACCTCGGCAATACACTTCTGTAGCCCCTTCCAGCACCACTCACGTCGCCGCCGACTCCGAAGTCACAGTGGCGGAAGCTTTGCCATCTATGACGGAGAAAGACGGCCTTTCCCGGCGAAGTGATTACCGACGTCTCGGTGGAAGCAGGCATAATGACAGGACAGATTCCTGTGAAGACTTGGGCGACCTGGCCCATGCTATAGATGCGGGTTCTTCGACCATCTCTGGGCGTTCTGGGTCCAACCGTGAATTGTCAGAAAGCCTACAGCGCAGCACTGACGCGACGGAAGCGGACGAGTCCCTAGAGATGGCAGCACCACAGGCACTGGAAATCAAGAGCCAGGCTGCTGCAGCAAACAACATCTCAACCGGGAGTGTGAAGAGCAGGCACAAATCCAGCAGGGTCCGGTAGAGCCGCCCTCGGTACTCCCGGCGAGTGCAATCCAAGAGTGAGCCGGCGGCAAACAAGGACAATGACATCTGAGGGATCAAAGGAACAAGGGGACAGGAAAAAAAACCAGAAGGTCAACAGCGGCAAGGGTGGCGCCGCGATAGCAAACTTTAGTGCTTGTTGCTATGTGGAAAGCATGCTTTCTGTTTTTTTTTTTTCCTTTCCAGGGCTATGGGTTCTTAAGGTATTAGGAGGGCAAGGTTTAGAAAAGTTGGGGATTGCAGGAGTTTATTTTTTCAAAGGTCACGACTTTAGCTTGTGTGGATTCGTTGTCGATGTATAGTTTTGGTGGTGGGGGAGAGGGCATTCTCACAGCTTCCGTCTGCATATTCTTCAGTTCTTTTGCCACAGACATATAACTTTGTTGCAGACACGCATTTGTTTCTGACAGAAGCACACAAAAATGACTAAGCCGTCAAAAGCGGTGGAGGGGGGCAGAACGAGAAATTACCACATTAGGAAATAATGAAGATTTTCTGGTGATAGCCCCACGTCTGAATAGTGCTGGCGAATCCTATTCTTTTCAGTGCGTAACAGTGGAGAAATAGTGGGCCCAGCTTACCGGCCGATATCCAGCAACGGGGGTTTACGGGCGACATAAGTGGAAGCAAAGGAGGCACGGAGTACTGGGTGTACGTTGTTGTGTGACAGCGAATTCTGGAGCAGGTGCATTGACAGCAAGAAATATGGCAAGCAGACAGCGGATTTTGCAGATGGGCGGCGGCGTTATGCGGATGGGAAGCAGCAGATGTTTTGCTGGGCGCCGATATGCATCTGGCAGCAGCCAGGAGGCGGCGCTGCGCAAGACGGCGCTGTATGACCTGCACGTGGCTCACGGCGGCAAGATGGTGCCGTTCGGGGGGTTTCATATGCCGGTGCAGTACAGTGGGCTGTCGGTCAGCGCGTCGCACACATTTACGCGGACGAAGGCGTCGCTGTTTGACGTGGGCCACATGGTGCAGCGGCACCTGAGAGGCGCCGGAGCAGCAGCGTTTCTGGAGCGGCTGACGCCGTCTGGGATCTCGGCGCTGGAGACACACCGCAGCACGCTGAGTGCGCTGTTGTGGGAGCACAGCGGTGGAATTGTGGACGACACAATAATCACACGTCTGGGGCCCGAGCACTTTTACGTGGTGACGAATGCGGGATGCCGAGAGAAGGACGATGCCTTTCTAGGGCGGTGGCTGGCGGATGAGGGGCTGCTGAAGAGTCTCCCAGGGCCGGTGCATCACGAGGAGCTGGTGGACTGGGGTCTGGTTGCGCTGCAGGGGCCGTTGGCGAGCGCGATTCTGGGGTCGGTGTTGGCGGACGGCGAGGCGGCGACGCTGCCGGGGCTGTTCTTTGGCGGGTCGCAGTATGGGCGGCTGCAGCTGCGGGCGGGTTCGAGCAGTGCAGCGGAGCTGTCGAGTCCGCTGCTGATCAGTCGGGGCGGCTACACGGGTGAAGACGGGTTTGAGATTTCGATTCCGCCGGAGGAGACGGTGGCAGTGACCGAGGCGTTGCTGGCAGCCGGCACGCCTGAGCGGCTACAGCTGGCTGGTCTGGGCGCACGTGACAGCCTGCGGCTCGAGGCTGGCATGTGTCTGTATGGCCATGACCTCGACGACAGCACCACACCGGTCGAGGCTGCGCTCGCCTGGATCATCCCCAAGGCTCGCCGCAACGACTACTCTTTCCACGGCGCCGCCACCATCCTCGAGCAGCTGCGGCCGCGCAGCCAGGGCGGTCTCGGTGTTTCACGCCGTCGCATCGGTCTGCTCGTCGATGGCGCGCCGGCTCGCGAGGGCGCTGACATTGTCGATGAGGCCGGTGACGTCATCGGCCATGTCACCAGCGGCTGTCCTAGCCCCACTCTCGGCCGTAACATCGCCATGGCCTACATCCAGGACGGCAAGCACAAAGCCGGCACCGCTGTCGGCGTCGTCGTGCGCGGTCGCACACGGCCGGCCGTCGTCACCAAGATGCCGTTTGTCCCGACAAAGTACTGGAAGGGCGAGTGATGCGAGTGATGCGAGAGAGCTGTCTTCAACGACGGTGAGAGCCGAAAGTTCATTCAACCGGAAGAGCGAGGTCAACAAAGTTTAAATAGATTCAACAAACACGCAGTCTACAAACAGGAAAGAAAAACAGTGGTTGCTGATAGGCTTGCCCCTTAAGCTCTAAAACGCCCGCTCCGTGTAATGCATGACTAATCACAAGCAACGCCTTGCCTTGTTCCTGGCGATGCTCGATGCCCGTGAAAAATGCTGCCCAAGACCCAAAAAGATGACCAATATTCCCTCCGATGCGTCTCTACGTCCCCAGCCTCTCCAGCTCGTCGCGCTCCACCGTGGTCACGAACGCGTGGCGCAGGAACCGGAGCCAGACCTTGTTCTGCGCCTTCTTGCCTTGCTGCTCGACCTCTTCGGCTTTGTCATCGGCTTTGTCATCCACCTTCTCATCCGTCTTCTCGCCCGCCTTTCTTCCCGCCTTGCCGCCTATCCGGTAGGCCGTCTCGATGAAGCTGCCCACCGTCAGGTCTGAAAGCCCGTACACCTTGTCCATAAAGGTGCTGTACTCCACCTCGAACTTGAACTTGTGCGGTTTCGCCGGCTTCGTCCGCGGATCCTTGTCGCTGTGCTTGCCCTTGCGCCATCGGCTAGCTTCAACCGTCTCGTCCGCCTGCCGAGCTGCCGCCACAATGTCGTTGTTGATCTGCGTCAGGTTCGCATAGTACTGCGTGTAGCCGAGCAGCGACAGCGGCTGCACCGAGTACGCCGGCCCGATCGCCGCCGTCTTGGCTGGCCCCTTGGGCACCGTCAGATTCGGGTCTTTCTTCCCATCCCTGTCCCGGTCCTTCCTTCCCTTGCGCCCCTTCCTTCCCTTGCGCCCCTTCTTGCCCTTCTTTCCCTTCTTGCCCTCCGCCTCATAGAGCTTGCCGTCGTCCGGAAGCACGGGCACGTGACCCGCCCCTTCGGTCCACACGGGCACATCCTCGAGCCCACTGATATTGTACTCGACGATCCGCAGCGTCGGTAGGTAGCTGGGCACCATGCTGGGGCTCACAAGCGTCACCTGGTACCGCTCATTCCACTTGCGCGACAGCTCCGGCCCTCTGCCCTTCCGCCCCTTCTTCTTGTCGGCATCCGCCTCTCCCAGCGAAGATGGGTTTGGCAGCTTCGACCAGCCGTTGCGCAGCTCCTGCAGATAGTCCACCGCCGATCTCGTCAACATCTCGTCCTCCATCGTCGCGCGCACCGAGCCCGGCTGCTCGGCCTCCTCCACTACTCCGTCACCACCGCCACCGTCCACGCCCTCGTCCTTGTCTCCATCCTCCTCGTCCTCCTCGTCCACGACACCGAGGAGGTCGTAGTTGATCTCGTCAGTGTCCTGCACCATAAAGTGGTCGATGTTCATGTGTCCGTAAAACGAGCCGACAACGACGTCGCGATACTGCCGCAGCCACAACGTATACTTCTGCCAGCACGTCTCATCCCACAGCTGCTTGCTGCCCGTGCGTGCAGGCGGCACGTGACCCATCAGGATCGCCTTGACGCCGCGCTCACGAAGAAACTGCAGCTGCACCCGCAGCCACTCGAGCTGCTTGTACCCGGGCTCCGAAGGGCTGACGCAGTCGTCCACCGCCGCGTTGCGGTCGAAAAAGTAGAGCGTGTTGAGGCTGAACACGGCCAGCTGGTTCGGAATCACCTCCACGTAGAACCACCCGCCAAACTCAAACGCGTGGCGCTGCTCCTCCGGGATAAACCGCTGCCAGATCTCCGCGTATTGCTTCAGCCACTTGTTCGGCCCCGGCGAGAGCACGTTGTGCGGAAGGATGTCGTTGTTGCCCAGCGTCGGCACCACCGGCACAGCCAAGCCCCGGCCCTTGGGGTCGTCGAGCAGGCTGACAAATTTGTCGGCCAGGAATCGGTTGGACCCTGCCACCTGTGCTGCCGACCGCGGGAGCCGCTCGTCGCTGTCATGCCGCGCGCTGTCGCCCGTCCAGATCACAAAGTCAATGTCGTCGCGCACGTGCTGGGCGATCCAGTCAAACGTCGCATTGATGAGCGAGTATGGCGCGTCGCAGTCCGACGTCTCCGCCCCATACGTCCCGGCCACGCCTTTGCCGCGGTGGCAGGCCGACGTCTCGGCTGTCGACGAATGCACCTTGTAGAACTCGTCGGGATGGAAGTCTGCCACCGGACGGTCTTCGGTCAGAAGGACAGGGAGCCAACAATGTAAGGTGAAAAGGAGACACGATGGGGTACTGACCGGTGATGTGGAGAAACTTGCCGTTGAGTCGTCGAGAGGCCGGTGCTACCGTCGCCGCCGTCTCGGACACTGCTGCGCCCAGAACGTGCTGGGGCCCGTCACTCTGCTGCCGGAACCGCGAAGCATCACGCGCCACCGGGCTGCCGATGACATCGCTGCCTAGCAGCGCCAGAAGCAGCCATGATCGAATTGAAGAGCCAGTCGGAAACGACATGTCCCGTAGACAGTCGTCTCTAGTTGAGACCTAGGGCTGGATTCGAAATCTGACTAGAATTAGGCCGCCAACAGACGTTGCATAGCCCACTGTTGAATTGCTTTTTTGCCTTTCTTCGCCTGTCTTGGTTTCAGTGCCGAAGAATCGGTCACGACACAGAACAAGGAAATGTGCTAGTCCGTATTCCTTCCGCTGCTTCCCCACGCGCTCTCCTGGTTGCGCTCTGCTCTGATGCGGCCCAAATGTGTTGACGAGCGAAAAGAAAGCCGGTCGGATTCTTGGAAGCCACCAGGTGAGGTTCCAGGTATATAATAAGCAGCACGTGCAGCCAACTTGCAAACCGAGCGCGACTGACAGAATGCGCTATCCGCTTTGGGAAGAGATCTCTTAGGGAATTGCTCGATTATCTTACCACCGATTTGGCCAAATGCGACAGTCGAATTGAAGATGTGACAGCTTCAGCGATACTATGTGTACTCAAAGGAAACAATGCCAACTATCTACACGTTGAACTACTCTTCTATTTCCGACGGCGCAGTCTCGCCTCCCTGACCTTTGTCTCTCTCCCTGTCGGACCATACACAGTCTCACTTCCCCCCCAAAGACAGCCATCATGGGGTGCGCGATGATCTCCCCGCTGCCTTGATGGACTGCTAAGCGCCTTAAGCAAGCCGAGCCTGTAGGATCGCTCGTGCCCAGTCGTTTTGCCCACCTGCTCGATCTCGCCGTCGGTGGCGCTTTGCACCAAATAAGTGGACCAATCTGCATTGCAACCAATAATCGCCCAGCATCTTCACACGTGTTGCTGTATGCTCGCAGGCTTGGCTTGCTGCCATGCATGCATCACCAGTACAACCGACCAAGTTACAAGACAGGCCATGCTTGCCAGGGCGTCAGCTGAGAGCATCTACCGCAGCTGAGAAATGTCGAGGCATCCCTTCCCAAGGAAAAGTCAGCCGCGTGGAGCGCTCACATGACATTATCACGATGCCGGCCTGTTTGCCGTGCTTAGTTCTTCAGCTGCTCAGCTTCACAAGCAATAACATCATCGCATCCTGCTCTGACCCCTCACTTCCTGTCTATCCACTTATATGCTACGCCGTGATTGCAACCGTGCAGCACGACATATGCACGTATGCTGCCGGTAGAGCCGGCCACATCGAACGAGCAGCCGGGTGACGCGGACGAACAAAGAGGGCCGAATACATGACATACGGAGTGTCGTGTGCCCCGCCGCTTCATCTTTTCCCCGGCCGCGAGTGGATGTTGCTGGGCGCCAATATATACAAACTCGCAAAAACGTGATGGATGTCCAGGAAGAAAGGAAGCAGATCAATGCATTGATAGCTGCTGACTAGTGGCGCACGTGTCAAGCCACGGTTATTACTCATCAAATTATGGGGTCTGCCACTGGGAGCAATATTATGTGGCAGCAATTTTTCTCCCACAATTTTTTTACCTCTCTTTCTTCCTACATGCAACGTCGCGCTCTCTGAAATAACCCGTATTATACCCATTACACATTATCCGAGCGCGGTTGCTAGATGGAACATATAGTCCGCTCGTTTGAAGGAATACAGAACGAAGCTTGTTTACTTGCTTTGTAGGGACGTGTTCCTATGGTTTTTGCGGATACATACATCATTTTCAACTTTTGCGGTAGACAGTTCTTCTCGTGCGCGATTTTCGGCCTTTTGGGAGACCGGCCGTATGGATGGCATTCTCTTCCGATAGACTGTCGCATGATCGGCCGAAACCACTGCCTCCGCATTTTTCTCTCAGCGCAACATGCTGTAGTCAGTCCACCGCAGAGCGTGGTGGCATCGTCATGGGACCCCAAATTCCATTCGACGATGCATGTCTCATTGGTTGGTCAGCCGTCCGCATTCTGCGCTTGTTTTCGTGCTCGGTCCGAGACTGCTCAGCTCCGGGCCAAAGATTCAAGTAATTGACGACTCTGGAATGTGCGCTACGAGTATGGCATCAACCCTATGAATGTGCCTAAAGAACGGATCGCTTGGGGAATGACAATAACAGTCAATTCTCTCCTATATATTGCCAAGCACTCATCGTATTGACATCTCATCCCGAGAGTCGTGTAGGTGCCCAGCCAAAGCCGCTGCTCCGATACCCCAATTTTCAATGGCTGGCATAGTGTCGGTGAAGCACAGGCCGTCTCTTACATATGTATGCAGTATAATACGGCATTAGTATCTTAGAACTGATCCTGCCACATACCGTCCAGTTTGGCACACAAGATACGTTAGCAGTTTGAATGGCCAGATAGCATTGTAAAGTTCGGGTCGACACTCTGCTATCACATGTAACTGTCTCGGCATATCATCGCCATGGTCAAATTTGTTTCAAGCAAAGTGTGATGCACCCGCCGAAGAGAAAATGAAAGATACATGCAAAAAAAGAGGGTGTGAGAAATGAAAAGAAAAAAAATCCTCTCAGGGAAAGTGTCCATCCACAGAAGTGCAAACGCCGTAAAAGATGTCTTCCCGCCATCTTCTCTCCCGTCCCATAGTCGTAAGTTTCCCAGCCCTTTTATTCCGTAAGTGTAAGTCGGAATAAGGTTCCGTACCTTGCCCACCTGTATCATGATTAAAAGCAAATGTGAACTCTACAGTCCGAGCTGTAGCAGCAAGAAGTACCGATATTTACAGAGACGAAGTGAAATATAGAAGACCGTTGTCATAGACAACTGTCCTAGATCCACATGGCAGTTGTTGGCCGAGAATCGCCCAAAAAACTGGCCACGAGACCCTGTATTTCGCATAGGTAGTCTTCGGCACTGTATTTCTTGCATCCTAGACGGACGAGTTCACGTTCTTCTTCGATGATGACAGGGTTCGCCGGTGTGGGCGCAGCAACAACCGGCTGCTCCGGGGCCTTCTCCTTCCCAAACTCCTCCACGAGTTCTGACACCTTGGCCAGCTCGTGACCGAAGGGGTTGGACTCCGAGTAGTCCCTTTTGTGGGAAATGGGGGGCGACGGTGCCGAAGCGTAGGGTGTAGTAGAAAAGCCGCTGACTGAAGATGTTGAGGCATGAAGCGAAGATGGCTTCGCGTGGTGTGATACCGTCGACGCACGCGACCCGGACACGGAATTCGTGCTGGTATGTGTCGAGGTGGATGACGAGCGTGAGAAGCTGAAGCTGCCCTTGGATGACAGCGACAACGATCGTAGTGACTGCTCAGACATCCGCGAGACGGATCGATGGCGCGTCAGGCCGTCGTATGACTTCTTAGTGTGGGATGGGGCGCGATGCGGAATAAGCGGTGCCGCGGCTGCTGAGGAAGCTGCCGTAGACTCCGTAACATCAGAAACAGGTTCCCCAACCGTGGCCGCCTTTGGCGGCACGAAGTAGCAAGACAGGTGATTCGGCTCGGGTGACATGGATCGGAGATCCTCCGGGAAGGACGTCTCTGGACTGGTGGGCGGCGTCGTAGCAGGCGTAGACACAATGTCGGATTCGTCGTCAGATGCCTTGCTCGACGAAGACACCGTCCTCGCTGGGGATGGCTTTGCAACCTGGCGGTAGATGTCCGGAGCTTGAAAGGAAAGTGGGTTGGTGGTGTGGGTGAGCTTGACGGGAGCAGAGATCTTGTGACGGATAGAGCCGCCACCACCACCAAACATCTTGACGGCTTTGCTGCGTTGCGGCAGGCTGTCGGAGACGTTCTCGCTTTTGTTGCTGTTCGTCAGGTCGAGAGTTTGCCGTACGCGGCGGGTAGTGAAGGCCCGTGCGATAGACATCTTGGAGGGTGATCTTTCCATGATGAAAAAGTGAGAGTGCGAGAAGAAATAAGGAGAAAAACAAAGTTCCGCTGGGGAGCAGAAAGAGTCAAGGAAAGAAATAAGAGTCGAAACTGCTCTCTTTAATGGTAAAGGCAAATGATGCGGAAGCCGGTCAGATGGAAGAGCAAAGGAAAGACAGACGTGATTCACAACCAGCTGTGAGACGCACGCTCGACGCCGCTCAGTAGGACAAGACAGGCTTAGTCGAGGCTGCGCAGGTGTACCAAGTTTTGACAGAGGCTGGCTTTGTTGCTCTCGTGGTACGCCTTTGATGTGTTTCCACAAAAAATGGCAGAGGGCGGAATGCGGAGGGTGAGGAATGAGAAAGTTAAACGGGTTGATAAAGCAGGGCGGTTGAAGAAAGCTGACTCTGATTGGCCGGGGGCGTTTTTACAAAAAGGCGAAATGCTTGGACCCCTCCTCGACTGATTGGGGAAGGTGCCGGCGGTTCGACAGAGGCTTTTTAGGTTTTTTTGGGCAGGAGAGGAGTAGGCTCTAGCCACAGAGAGAGCCAGAGGGTAACAGCGAATGATTCGGCCCAACGAGCGCGATAGCGATGGTGGGTCAGAAGCGTGGAAGTGGGAAACGAAGATCCCAAGAGTTGGAGTGCGTGGATACTCGGTTTTTGTAGATTGCTTGCGTAAGGAGAGATAAAGAAGTGATATTCGAATGAGTGAATTCTGGGTCGACTTGGACGTCGAATGTCTGTTTCGTTTACGCGAAACTGGGTAAAAGGAATCGCACCTGCGATCTAGAGAAGAAGACTGATAAGAAAGATAGACACCGACAAGGTGGGTTAGGAAGGAGCGAAGTGAGTGACTTGAAAGAAAAGTCATGAAAGAAGAGAAGAGAAAGGGGGGGAGGGGAAGGAAAAAAGGGAAAGCAGAGGAAGAAAAGGCGATGCGACGGCCGTGACGACTAGGGAGAAATGGCATATGAAGAAGGATCAAGTTGGGTGACGACTGGTGTCCCGTCCCTTCGGCCAACGCATGCCGTGCGCAGGGTCCAGGTACTTCCTTTTTTGCTTTCTACTCGCATGTTTCTTTTTTTCTTGACTTTCTCTTTTTCGCCCCTGGCTAGACGGTAGGGAGAAGAAGTAGCTCGTACGTGGCACCGGTGCGCTTTAATGGCCAACGGCGGCATGCGCTACCTGGGAAACAGGCCGGATCCAGGGGACCAGCCCGCTAAGCGGGCAGCGGTTGGCGCTATCACTTAGTGGGACAGACTTTTCCGCTAGTTTCTGGTCTGGTTCCTGCCTTTCCCCGTAATTCCTTTTTTCTGTTTATCTTTTGCGTGTTTCCGCCTTTGTTGTTTCTGTTGTCCTTCTGGCCGGACCGGTCTTTGCCACTGACACGCAGCACAAGTCTATCAGGATCGCGCACTGTCTACAGGCTTCGAATTTGCTCTCTGCCGTCCTGCCCTACATACGTGGTGTACGTGGACGCTCGCAAATGCTGATAACAGATCGTTTCTCGCCAGATGGGGCCAATAGGCTTCGTGCGAGCACGTCTATCTTACGGAGCACATGTAATACATATCTCTTATTGCACGGAGCACAGCCCACGGCGATTCAGGCGCAGGGGGTTGTTTCCTCCCCCCCCCCCGCTATGATAATAGGCTGTCGCTCAAAGTTGCTGTGGCTCCTTGGGAAGAGTGGAGAGCAAAGCGGCCGTCCGAGAAGGCTACAATCTATCCTAGGCTCCCTGGACATACATACTCCGTGCAAGGCACCTAAGACGTACTATGTACATAGTATTAATGCAGGCAGCTCCGGCAGAGCGTGCGCTGGCAAGCCGTCTCCACGCAAGCTGTTATTCCGGAGCTGACGTGTGCCGCTCTGATAGCACAGGTGGAGGTAGTATTGCATGTTACTCTGTAAAACTTGCTCTTTCTTCTCCTGACTGCATAGCCAATGCACCGATTAATCTCCGTTGACAACGAATGTATTTCTTTAGGTGCCATGAATGTATCTTACTCCGTAGACAAAACCGGAGAGAAGCTAGGAACAACAGCCGGCGTAGAAAAAAAGAAAGCCGGAGGCCCTGGAGAGTTGTCTCCACCAATGGCGACGATCACAGCCCCTAAGTGGTTGCAGGTCGTCCTTGTTCCTGCAGGTGAAACGGAAGCCCCGGTGGCGGCTGCAGCTGCCTATTGGTCGTCAGTTCCAAACTTTGTTTCACTATGCAGAGCCACGCAACGAATCTTCTTGTTCAGCACGCGCTGAAAAGGGGGGAAGAGGGGCCGGCGCCGCCTTCTCGATTCGGCTTGTTTCAAAAGAGGCCGAGCTGTTTTCGGCGAGACTTTTTTGCGAGCCACAGGTCGGACGATGCTCACATTCGTTGCATGACATCTCGCGTGGGATTGTCGGACAGGCGCCTTCAAGGAATCGATCGTCGGTTCGTTCTACTATGTATGGACCTCGTGAAGCGACTACGACGATGGAGCAGCTGAAGGCTACTCTGAGACCCGCCCGGACTTCAAAAGGCATGGCATGGAGGCGGGTTGTATTGGTAACGAACGGCCAGCCGCACAGACTGCTGCTCATATGATGCTCTGCAATATTGCTACGTCGGATCACCGATCAGATGGCATCGGTCAGCCTACGGGGCATATCTACCATGTCGAGTACTCCGTATTACGCGAGTCTATTCGATCCAACCGCCGCATCTTCTCTGCGCTATAGTATCCCAGCCACTTTTATGTCACAATTCAAGCCAAAACGTGACAGAAACCGCTCACTGCATGATACCATCTCAGCTCCTGCACGGCCAGAGTCTGTCTTGAACGGCCTCTCCGGACACCTGCAGGTCGGCGCGTTATTGGTACCCACTGTGAGACAATCATTGTCCGTCAGCTCCGCCGCCCGAAACGGCCAGGCCTCAGCCACCATCACCCATTCCATCCCGTCCACTAATCCTCAGCCATGGACTCATCTCCGTCATCGTCAACCGCAACACCACCATCCTCGCCCTCCTCCTCGTCGTCCTCCCCGTCCGAGCTCTCGCTGCTCTCGTCGTCCTCGACACCCACGATCCGGTCCTCCACCATGTCTGCGTCAGCCAGGGCTGGCACCTTGGTGGCGAACGCCCGGCGCACGGCCGCGTTGGTGCTGGTATCCCACACCGTCAGCGTGCCCTTGCTGCCGGCCACCGACAGACGGAAGGCCACCTCCGGGTCTGGAGCAAAGTTGGACGAGAACACCTTACCGACGTCGAGGTTGCGCGACACCACCATCGTCGGTCCCGAGGCCTGGATGTTCCACAGCTTGACCGTGCGGTCGCCCGAGCCGGTGGCCATGAAGCCGGGAATCACCGTGTTGATGTCGAATGAGGACACCGATTCGTCGTGTGCCTGCAGCGTCCACACGGCCTTGGTGGCCACCGGGTCGGCCGGCGCCATGCGCACGTCGTGGTAGTGCACCATGCCGTTCTCCGTCGACACGAAGAAAAAGTTGGGGTCGTGCGGATCCCACCGCACGTTCTCCACGTCGCTCTCAACACCCCATCGTGGCCGCGTCGCCTCCGGTGCCCGCATATCTGCCGCCACCACCGTGCGGTCGTAGCTGCCGCTCAGCAGCACCGTCGACTCTACCGCGTGCCAGGCCAGCGAACACACCTTGTCCGTGTGGTACGTGTATGACTTGGCACACGCCAGCGTGTTGAGATCCCAGAGCTTGACCGTCTTGTCGGCCGACGCCGACGCCAGCAGGTTGCGATGCTTGCGGTTCGCCGCCAACGACAGCACCGCGTCCACGTGGTACTCGTCGTTGGCCTTCTTGGCCTTCTTGGCCTTCTTCTTCTTCTTCTTCTCCCCGCTGTCTCCGGCCACCCGCTGCCCGAGAATGGCATTGGGGTACATGCAGTCCACCGTGTCGAGATCCCAGATCTCAATGTCCGGGTCCATCGACCCGATTGCCACAAAGTTGGCCGCCTTGTCCGCCCCGACACCCGGCTTGCCGACCGCCAGATCAAGCCACTCCACGCACAGAGGAATGGCCGGCAGCATGATGTCGTGATGCACGTAAAGATTGTCTGCCCCGTCCTCGTACACGTACACTTCCAGGTGCGCCAGGTCGTCCTCGACCTTGGCCGCAAGCACGAGGTTGTCGGTTTCCAGAACCTGCAGGTCCTGTCGGTCGTCTTCCTCGTCTTCCGCATCGACGTCGTTCAAAGTAATATATGGATCATCCTTATTGGACTCGTAATACGCAAGCGACTTGATGTTTCCAAATATCGACATTGGTTGGCTCGCCACATCCTCAAGACCACCATTTTCACCGTCGTCGTCGTCGTAATGCTCCAGGTCATACTCCTTTAGATCGTCATCATTGATGTCGATCCTGCGTCAGCCCGTTAGCCAATATCCTCCCTATCAAACGTGCCTGAGCAGACCCATGCTCAACATACTCTTTCTTGATTTTCTTTCCCTTTTTCTTTTTGTCTCCCTTTTCTTCTGCAGCGCCGCCTTTCTGTGCACCGGATTCTCCGGCCGTATCATTGCCCTCCTCCTCTGCCTCGTCGAGATCTTCTTGAGCATCGTCGAGTTGAAGCCTTGCTAGCTTAGCTATCCGCTCGAACTCCTCGTCATTGAAGTCGTATTTCTGCGGAAAGGGGGCGGAAAATCCACGCGGGACCCACGCGGTCGTCGTTATCATTGCCGAAGACATTTTGGAAAATTGGCAGCGAAGCGATAGGTGTTTCTAGGACCTACAGATGCAAACGCTGTGTTTTGCGTTCTGCCAATGTTCATCGAGTCCCCACCCAAGTCGAGGGAAAAAAAAGTTTCTCCCCTCAACTTTTTAGTGGACCAAATGAATTAGCGAGGCTTATCTTATCGTAGTGCATTTACAAAAGTTGTCAACGCCACAATACCAGCCACATATACAAGTCTACTCCGTAAAGCTTACAATTTCCCTTTTCTTCCCCAGGTCGCGTTACTTGACCTTCTGTGGCGGTAAAGCAGCAGCATTAGACGACTATACGACAATGGATCGTGATCATGACAGCTACCGGGGAAGGGGAAGCAGCAGGGACCATGACGGTGGACGAGAGCGAGAAGTTGATCGTGAGACCTACAATACAAACTTCAAGCGCCGAAGATTGAACTTTACCAAGTCCCGTCACGACGATGACCGGTCCAATGGTGACCGATCGCAAAACTACGACCGATCGGCGACTCCACGAGGCCGGCGCGGAGACTCGACGCCTATGAGACGGGACCCTGAAGCATCGGAAGCTCCTGACGAAGATGACGCCGCGCTGGATCGTGATTGGTACACAGGAGACGAATTTGGTCATACATTTGGAGACGAAGACCACAACCCGTTCGGCTCGTTCGACGACAGGACATGGGACGACAAGGAGACCCAGGAGAAGGCACAGTTTGAGAGGAAGGTCGGCCGGTTCGATCGCGTGAATCCACGCGCCTTGCAGAAGCAACGGGATGTGGACGCATGGGAAACGAATCGGATGCTGACGAGTGGCGTGGCCCAACGACGGGATATGGGAGACAGCTTTGATGACGAGGAAGAGGCCATGCGTGTGCACCTCTTGGTACACGACTTGCGCCCGCCATTCCTGGACGGCAAAACCATCTTCACGAAGCAGCTAGACCCAGTGCCAGCCGTTCGAGACTTTCAGAGCGACATGGCCGTATTCAGCCGAAAGGGCAGCCGTGTTGTGCGAGAGCGGAGGCAGCAGAGAGAGAGGCAGCGTGCTGCAAAGGACGCGACCGCCATGGCCGGCACAACCCTTGGCAATATCATGGGCGTCCACGAAAACGGCGACGCCGACGGCGACAGTGCGGTGCCGGTGCCTGGCGAAGAGAACGGCAATGCTACTGCAGAAGGGTCTTCCAAGGGGAACAACAAGTTTTCCCAGCACATGAAAAATAACAACGCGGCGAGCAACTTCAGCCTGAGCAAGAGCTTGCGCGAACAACGCGAGTTCCTGCCGGCGTTTGCCGTGAGAGAGGACCTGATGCGCGTCATTCGCGACAACCAGGTCATCATTGTCGTTGGCGAGACGGGATCGGGAAAAACCACGCAGCTGACCCAGTTTCTATATGAAGACGGATATGGAAACGTGGGCATGATCGGCTGCACGCAGCCGCGCCGAGTCGCGGCCATGAGCGTGGCCAAGCGCGTGAGCGAGGAGATGGAGGTGCAGCTCGGAAGCGTTGTCGGCTATGCCATTCGGTTTGAGGACTGCACAAGCAAGCAGACCTTGATCAAGTACATGACCGACGGCGTGCTGCTGCGCGAGTCTCTTAACGAGCCCGACCTGGACCGCTACTCTTGTGTGATCATGGACGAAGCCCACGAGCGGGCATTGAACACGGATGTCCTGATGGGCCTTTTCAAAAAGATACTGCAGCGCCGGCGCGACCTGAAGCTGATTGTCACCTCGGCGACGATGAACTCGAAGCGATTTTCGGACTTTTTCGGCGGCGCGCCCGAATTCATCATCCCAGGCCGCACATTTCCCGTGGACGTCATGTTCCACCGATCACCCGTCGAGGACTATGTGGACCAGGCTGTGCAGCAGGTGCTTGCCATCCATGTGTCGATGGGTGCGGGTGATATTCTCGTCTTCATGACCGGCCAGGAGGACGTGGAAGTCACGTGCGATCTTGTCCGCGAACGACTGAATGCCCCTACAAAGACCCGCCCAAGCTGAGCATACTGCCAATGTACAGCCAGATGCCGGCTGATCTCCAGGCCAAGATCTTTGACAAGGCGGAAACAGGCGTGCGCAAGTGTATTGTAGCTACCAACATTGCCGAGACGAGCTTGACGGTGGATGGTATCATGTATGTGGTTGATGCGGGCTATTCGAAACTCAAGGTGTACAATCCGCGCATGGGCATGGACACGCTGCAGATCACGCCGATCTCGCAGGCAAACGCATCGCAGCGTTCGGGTCGCGCTGGGCGCACCGGTCCAGGCAAAGCATTCCGCTTGTTTACCGAGAAGGCCTTCAAGGACGAGCTGTATATCCAGTCGATTCCCGAGATCCAGCGCACAAACCTCAGCAACACAATCTTGCTGATCAAGTCTCTGGGCGTCAAGGATCTGCTGGACTTCGACTTTATGGACCCGCCACCACAGGACACCATCACGACATCGCTATTCGACCTGTGGGCCCTCGGCGCCCTGGACAACTTGGGCGAACTGACGGATCTGGGCCGCAAGATGAATGCTTTCCCCATGGACCCGCCACTAGCCAAGCTGCTGATCATGTCTGAAGAATACGGTTGCAGCGAGGAGATGGTTACAATCGTGTCGATGCTGTCGGTGCCCAATGTTTTTTACCGGCCCAAGGAGCGGCAAGAGGAGTCGGATGCGGCGCGGGAGAAGTTTTTCGTTCCCGAGTCCGACCACCTGACCTACCTGCACGTGTATTCGCAGTGGAAGGCCAACGGCTATCTGGACGGCTGGTGCACGCGGCACTTCCTGCACTCCAAATCGCTGCGGCGAGCAAAAGAGGTGCGCGAACAGCTGGTGGACATTATGAAGCTGCAGAAGATGGCGATGAGCAGCTGTGGCTCAGACTGGGATGTGATCCGCAAGTGTATCTGCTCGGGCTACTACCACCAGGCGGCCAAGGTGAAGGGCATCGGCGAGTACATCAACCTGCGGACGAGTGTGACGGTGCAGCTGCACCCAACCAGTGCGCTTTACGGTCTGGGATTTCTGCCCGATTATGTCATCTACCACGAGCTCATCCTGACGTCCAAGGAGTATATGTCGACTGTGACGGCCGTGGACCCGCGGTGGCTGGCAGAGCTGGGCGGCGTGTTCTACTCCGTCAAGGAGAAGGGCTACTCGGCACGCGAGAAGCGCATCGTGGAGACCGAGTTCAACCGAAAGATGGAGATCGAGTCGAAGATGGCCGAAGACAAGAAACGCCAGGAGGCGCAACAGCAGGCCGAAGAGGACAGAGCCCGCCGGACGAGTTCGGCTGTTGCACCCAAAATCGGCGACACAAGCAAGAAGATCGTCGTCCACGGCGCCGTACGGAAGCCTGTGGCGAGAAAGCGTGGACGTGGATTTTGAGACTTGTCTGTGCTCGTCCTCTGGCTATGTACACCTCCGGATGACAAAGTCTGTCTCGTCTGACCGGAGCTCCCGGTCCTCCTTGTCGAGACGCACGACATGCGCGTGACTGGGACCTCGGTCGATGAGTTGCATAAAGGCCGCGATGCTCTTCTCTTCGCCCTGAACCTCGCCTTCGACCTAGATAAAGTCCGCCAGTCACTCGTTAGACTGTGCAGCACTGTCGTCATCGACACGACTTACCTTGTTATTGGGGAGATTCTGCACCCAGCCAACGAGCTCATGTTGGACAGCATGCTTCCTGGCGAAATATCTGGTCACCGGTCAGCATGATGAGAAGCTCATGTGGCCACGTCAACTCAAGCACGTACCGGAAGCCAACGCCTTATCCGGCAGTTCAGATTAGCATTTTTAAACACACCTAACCAGTCCTCTCCCAAACACACACACATCTCACCTTGTACCCTGCCGCCATGCACCAAATAATACACCTTTTGGGTTAGTGAACGAATCACTGAAGCCGGTTCGAAGAATTATCTCCATACTCGTTTTGCAGCCATAAGTTCTGGCTCGAGCCTACAGGCCTTTAATGTTGTTATAATAGAAATGTAATGCTCGGTATATAAACTTGTATGTTTTTTGCAGAACGTTTACTGCAAGACAACGAAGCCACACGCATCTTCTGTCGATTATCTGGAAAACGGATCATAGATGCAGCCAGTAAATTCCGACCGAAGCCTCATCACGTGCTCTATCACGTGTCGTATAATATGATGTCAACGCGACCTGATACAATTTCAGCGGTCGATCAGAAGGCTGACACCTGCCTGCCAATATCTTTCGATCAACACATATTCAAAGCTACGCTCTCGTTTCCTACCACATTTGCCTGTTGCTTTCTGGTGTTTGAGCACGCCTCACAAAACTAAGGCCGACGTGAGAATGGAATCCACCAGCACAGAGACGGGCGCAGTTCCAACAGTGCTCTTTGGCCGGCCTGGAAAGAAGCGGAAGGTTTACCGACAACGGCACGAAACTGAAGGCGGTCCTGAAACGAAGATTGACGGCCATGCTGTCACTCTATTGCCACGGCCCGTTTCTATCAGCGACAACGCGGCAAAGGACGACACCTCCGGGTCAGACGGTCAACGACCTGCAGAGACAACAGAGGATGCCCGTGCCGACATCGAGATCGAGAACGGCGACCGTGATGGCGATGACAATAGGGACAGCGATGAGAGCGAAGTCGATGCTGACGAGCTCGCTTCGATAACATTAGCAGAGTTGATGCGGCTGCGAAAGGGGCGCCGACCAAAAATGGGCGGAGTTGAGTTTCGAGGCGACGAAGGCGGTCCGTCTTCTTTGTTGCAAAACATGGGCAATCGGCTGGGAGACTTCAATTTTGACAACCTCGATATGAGCTTGGATATGTCTGTGCCGATGGACATCGGCTTACGATTTGCGCCCCAGACGGGGCTCATCGGCGATGTTGTGAACAAGCATATGTAAGTGGCAACATCATACCTCCACGTGTTCTCTACCCTATCTTTTTTCCCGCCCGGTGCATTGAAGGCTGAAGCTAATCCTGCAGGGAGGAATACGTAGAAGCTGAAATGGCCAAGCGATATAATACAGACTCGTCACAGGCGGGAGGTGGCCATAGCGGTCGGAACGGTGTTTCAGACGGCATGGGAGCTGGCTCGTCAAGCCTGAACAGCAAGGAAGTGCGCGAGCAGCTCGCTATGAAAGGCAAGCTTCATGAGATCGACCTCGGCGCTGAGTCGCGCGCCCGAAACGTCGCCATGACAGAACGGGCTACCCGTCGGCTGCGAGGCAACGACAATGTCGTTGATGACGAAGCCGGCAAAGACGAAGACGTCCAAAAGCCCCGAACAGGCAAAAAGGCTCCTGGCCGCAACGGAAATCCGCCGCCGCGGGATCGCCGCAATAGCGACGACATCAAACGAGACCAGATGGTCGAACAGTTTCTGCATGAAAACAAAAGTATGTGTCCTTGGTGCCCGCGGTCGCCCATCGATGAAAACTTGCTGCATCTGCTAACCCTCGTCTAGTGGATGTGGATGTGTACGATGTTGCCCGCGATACGGCTACGGGGGAGGGACGTCCAGCCGACGACCGCGTTGCTGAGCAGTTCCGCCGGGAGTTCATGGAAGCTCTCGCCCAGCGGCTGCGACGAAAGCGCCGGCCTCTGGGACCTCCGGCGAAACCAAAGGTGCGCAACGAAGAAGAGATTCTCCGAGGCCCCAAGCTAGGTGGCAGCCGCAACGTACGGTCGATCATGCGCGACAAGTTGCTGCAAAAGCAAGAGGAGGAACGGCAAAACATGCCAAAATACGAACAGGAGCTGCAGGAACAGCGGCGTCGTGCAATGCGCCGACGATAGGAGATCTCATGAGCAATGGATTTATATTGACAATTTGACACTTCGAAACCTGGATGGAAGGCGCAGCCGGTTTCCCTTAGGGCAGAACCAAATACAAAGGGAAGGAACGGGACGGACACTCAATAGGAACAAAAGGCGGTGGCGCCTTTTTTTGACTCTCGCCTCTCTATCTCCCGTTCTAGACCAACTGTCGTGACTTTTTCATGTTTTGCTTCCGACTGCCCTGTCCGTCGTGCAAGTCGCATTACCCATGCCTCCTTGGCAACCTGTGGATCTCGCACATCCGGCGATGCCAGCGACCCGAAGCAAGCGAAATAAGTATATGTCAGTAACGCCCGGCCTTTTCCTTGTCCTTAATACAATCACGATGTCTTAATACCCTTACCCGATGAGCACGCACCCCTATCCCTGATACGGTTGAGCGCCAAGTTCCAAATACAACGTCGCGGTAGCCTGCCTTTTAGGGAGAGCTGTTCCAGACGTGACTGTTTGGCGACAGTCTCTCTCCTTTTCGCTGTTTATTCTTCTCGCTCGCCTTTGTCCTCTATCCAAACGCCCTTCGGCGTCTTGCTCTGCGAGCCTCGACCACTCGGTGCATTGTTACTGGAAGCGCCAACTTGCCCTGCCTCGCAGACTTGCAGCTGCAGTCGCCGTTGCTGGCCGAAGTCTCGAATACCAAAAGCTGATCAAAGATTGATCTGGCAGCAGCCTTGGCATCGCAGCCTTGAGCGGGCGTCCCCCAATTTCGAATCATCGGGTACCAAGAACACAAAGCCGAGCGTGACATCTTCATTGCGACTTTAACCGCTGGCTTCGTGTGAGTGTCGAAAATGCTTTCTGTAGGGCATGCATGAGCTGGGGTGTTGGTGTGGTTCTGGGCAGTCAAGTTAGCAGCCCCACAAGCTACGGCACAAGAGCTCGCGTGTGTCACGGCCATGGCCAAGGACCGGGTTATGGAGCCGAACTTTCGCATATGTGCCCCAAACAACGAACTGACATGTCCGGCTGCCTCGTGGACCCAGGCCAGGGGTTTAGGCAGCCGGCTTGATCAGGGGCCGACGGGAAGCCTATCCTCTCGAGGCCTCCGCTTCCCGAGCCTTGGGCGGAGGTTTCACGTCATGGGACCCGTACCGACATATCGATTACGCACCGTGTTTCGAAAAGGGCTGAAGGGGGCCTTACGAAAGACTTTTGTCCACCAACCGGGCTGTGCAAGTGGCTACAGCCTTCTACACGAGGTTTTTTCTGGAGACAACACGCAGACCCAGGTCAGGTCACTCGGGCAGACTGTCAGCTCAGGCAGTAGAAGGAAGGGGCACCTCCACCAGGAACACGGTCGCACCATTCACTTGTAAGTTGCAAAACCGCCTGAGCAGCTTGATACCCTCGTGGCCGTCATCGAAACAATATGCCTCGCCGGGGAAATTTCGGAGCTCTCCGCGACATGGACACAGTCATTCGAGAGCGGAAACACCAGCATTACGATTACTTACGAGTACTACGGAGTATGTATGAGCCATTTTCGAGGAGCACCTAACCGACCTCATCCTTGCCATTGCAGGGTACGGAGAGCGGGCGACATCCACTGTGCAAAAACTGCACAGTATCTCGAGGCAATTGCTTCTGGGTAGCAGGCGTACGATCCTGCTTTCTGCACACTCTTGCAAGCCCCTCGAGAGACTTCGCTGCCGACGAGTACGAGTACACGGGCGGATGCCTCCTTGCGCTGACTTTGGTTGCGTGGCGGCCACCTTCTTGAACAGGTTCTACGATACATACAGCGCAAATCAAGACCAACGCTGTTTCATCAACAACACTCGCGAATGCAACTAGCAAAAGCGTCTGTGGGTCCATGTTCCACACATCAAAATCCCCACCAATCTTGGCAGTTCCGTTCCCCGCTGGTGGTATTTTTGGCTCGCCGCAGAAGGCATTGCCGCCTCTGCACAGACAGTCACATATCGATGGAGCTCGGCGCTGCAACACAGCTGTTTGCAGCACCGGATGGGCGCAGCACGAGTGGGAAACAGACGGGCTGCAACAGGGTCTCCACGGACAGACAGCCGTGCTACTATGTACTGTGCCGTATCGTGACGGTTTGCAATCCAGACAGGTGGAAGGTAGCAGCCCCTGCACGATCTGACATGCATATAATACCAATAATGCCGGCAAAACGACCGGCCGCTCAGACAGTCCAGGAAGGCAGTCAGTGAGGTCAAAAGGCAACAATACGAGTACGAGTATCTTGCACACAGAGTAGTAGCAGCACGCCATCGTGTCCCTTGCGTCTTCTGCTCAACAGACCCCGACCCCTGGAGCAAGACAAAACATGGGCCCGCATCTCCATACATAGTATCACAAGACACCCCCTTGTCGGTGGTGGTGGCCACGCAAAGACGCAAAGCAGGCACACAGGCTGGGAAAGGCCGCATATGCCAGCGGTTCGTGCAAGCAGCGGCCAGATCGTCTGCGGCCTTTCCCCCCACCAACAGGCCTGGTCAGGAGCGAGCGGAAGCACGTAGAAGGGGGCCAGCAGGCCTTGCTGGTCGAAACGTCCTCTGGCTTGCTAGCCTCAGCAGCGTGTCATCAAGAAGGGGTCTGGGGCAAGAGGACTCCGGCAACAGGGATCTCCTGCTGGTAGCTCCCTCCCGTTATCGGGATCAACCCGTCTTCTTTCTGCTCGATTTGCTCGATGGGCCATCAGTCATGGAGGCTCGCCTGCACCATACGTACGCCCCGTTGGTGGGAAGTGCGAAATTGGGAAATCGCGTCGCCGTTGGCAGGCCGAACCAGGCCGAGCCCCTGCACTGTATTTCACCCCTCCTCCAGACCGATCGACGTATGAGATACTTAACAACCTCTTCTTCACCCCGCCCCGGCCGTTCCTTGCTGCCTACCATCGACCCCCGTTCTGTTCTTCTGCTCTCTGCTCCCATTTTCTTTGACCTGGTCGCGCTGATATACTTTCACCATTTTCCCAAGACGCAACGCAGCCAGTTGTTCGCATCAAATATCTGCAAATATCTGCTCGTCCTACGTCCTCTCCTCTTCTGCCCTACTTTGCTAACCGGCTGAATTGTCCGAAACGCACAAAGTATTTTATTTGTCTTCTGCTCAACCGTCGCTCCATTTTCCGTCGGCTGAGCCGTGTCTGTCCTTGCCAACCGCAACTTTGCCATTAGGCTGACATTTGCCCCATCCTTTTTCCCTTTTTGTCCTTTCACACATCATTGTTCGAGTTGAGTCGAACTCGCGCAACTCGCTCTTTCAGCCACCCGACCGCCTACCTTTGCAACCTTTACGACTACAGTTGTCCTTGACATTCCCTTCTCCAATATGGCGAAACTATTTATCGGGTAAGCCGTCCCAGCGCCTTTGCCCTCACTTCACACCTCACCTCGTCCTCACACTGCCGACAGACTGCTGACACGCGGCCTTTCTGCAGAGGCCTTGCCTGGCACACAGAGGAAGGCACCCTGCGACAGAAGTTCGAGGAGTTCGGTCCGGTGGAAGAAGCTGTATGTCCAAATAAACCCCTCTAGCCAGGCCTCTGGCGTGCCAACTCGGCAAGGTTTCACGTTGTCCAGTCTTCTAACCCTGTTCCGCCATCTTTGCTATAGGTAGTTGTGAAAGACCGGGACACTGGTCGCAGCCGAGGGTTCGGCTTTGTCCGCTACGCGAATGAGGCCGATGCCGAGACAGCGATTGCGTCGATGAACAACATTGAGTGAGAGAGACAGGACCCTCCTCCCATAGCCTGATGCTTGTCCCTTGCAGAAGACCGATAGCCCTGACACGCGTGCCGCTTCTGCGCTTTCTAGATTCGATGGACGAACGATTCGGGTCGACCGGGCCTCTGACAGCGGCTCAAGGGGCGGCTTTTCGGGACGTGGCGGCGGCGGCGGCTATGCTCCCAGAGGTGGCTACGGAGGCGGACAGCAGATGCACCAGGCACCCTATGGAGCTGCGCCGCAAGGGTACCAGATGGGTGGCCCGCCAGTGTACCAGCAGTACGGCCGAGGCGGCTACCCCCCACAGGTTCCTCAATACGGCGGGCAGCCTAATCAGGGTATGACTTCTCGTACCGACTGAGGCTTCAGGACAAATGCACGGGACTGACATTTAGTAGGATGGGGACAACCCGTGTATGGGTACCCCGATCAGCAGCAGTCTCCGCCCCAGCAGCAGGGACAGCAGCAGCCTCCCCAAGGTGGCCAGGGCTACTAGTGTGAGCCGGCATGGCTGGAAGAATATGCGGCCTGTGACCACAGCGGTCCATCCTGCAGCTTTGGGAGAAACCAAGGGAGCCTTTAAGCTCGGTCTCTACAGTCTCAACGTCTTAGCAGTGTGGCATTCTCCCTGCCAAGGATTCGGCTGTCAAGAATGGCTCGCGTCCAAGTTGTGTTCTCGTGTTGCTTTTGCCACTACCGTTTGCCAATTCAGTTCTTTCACGGGCACCGTCAGGCGAACGCAAGTGATAGCCAACAAAACTGCCAGTCTATTCAATTATTGATAGGAATCCGTTGAGTCCCCAAATCTTCTTTGCCCCGTCGCTTTTTATCTCGTTTATGTCTGCCATTTTGTTTCTGTCAGTACGTGTTTTTGTCGTGATTGCGTCGTTTTATGTTCCTTGCTCTTGGCTCGCTATTTTTTGCTCCTGTCGTGTTCTGTGCACCGAAAAAGGTACGACTAGGGAAACACCGAGATGCTCTGTGGTGGTGGGGGATGAGGCTGTCTGCGGGTTGTGAACAAAACCGGAGAGCGTCCTGGCTGAAGGGAGCAAGGACGAGATGAAAATGAGCTGTTTTCTTTGTAAGACGCCGGTTTACCACTCGGTGGGAAATGTTCGTTCTGTTGGGTCTTACTGGTCTGCCATCGTTTGAGACTCCCAAGTGGAGGGAGGGTATGCATGATGAAAAGGAGAGGAAGGTAGCCCTTGCAAACTTGGGGAAGTCTGACGGCAACCACAAGCGAGTCTCATAAAGTCTGTTTTCTGCCATATCTAGGATGATCGTTGCTCTTGTCTGCCCTCCGGTCCTACGGTCGAGACCCGTGCTTCTTCCGCTTCCGTCCTTTCAGCTGTGCCGACTTCCTTGGCAGCGATCTGCTGCTGCAAACTGCTCGTTAATTGCCCGAGCCCGGTTTGACAAGTCTGTGATGTGCTCATCCCCACTCTCGGGGCTTAGCTCGTCCAGGGCTGACTCCAAGCCCCAAAGATAGTCTATGTTTGGACCGCTTGGACCGGAGGATCGAGATATGTGCTCGGCGAGTGACTGGACGTCCTGAGGACCGGTGAACTGGGCGTTGTCCGGTGTACCGATATATACCATCGTGGTGAAGGCAGGCGACTTGTCCGCGGGGTAAAAGGGCGTGTAGTGAATGGTGTACCCGTTGATCTCGCGGATGTCGAGATACTCTCGGACCTCTGCGGCATGTTCGGCAGCTATCCGATAAGCTACTCCCCATGTTTTCTCTGAGGCCGATGCGTGGTGGTCGGTGAGGCTCTCCCAGAAAGACCGCTCGATCAGGGTAACAACACGGCCAGGGGCTTCAGGCGTTCCCCGATGGTCTTCACTGCACGTGGCCACCTTCTGTCAGATGATATGCTACTGGTCATTTGCTGGAGACGAGCCCCATATAAGCAAATATTTGCAAAGTGCTCACCTGGCCTATCATAAAGGTCAGACTTGCTGAAGACACAAAAAAAGGGAATCTGGTTCTCTTACCTGCCAGAATCTTCGGACGTAGCCGTTGACCCATCCTGGAATTCTCCTGTCTGTCAAGAAGCCATCTACATCAGCAAGAGAGCTCGCAGTGACGGGTCTTATCTAAAATATACGCCCAAAAGACAGATCGTTACCGAAATGAGGGGGTGGTTTCCAGATCAGGCTTCTACAGAGGAAGTTAGTCTAGAACAACACAGCCGTCAAGGCTGAACAAGCTGAAACGGTGCGCCTCACCCATAGCCAAATATCCAGAATTCGCTCGTTCCAGTCACGGTTGGAGCCACAGCCAACACAGTAGCAGTGCTGGGGACGTTGGTCGGTGGAGGTTCAAGGGCCGACATTGGAAGTATGGAACAGATGGAGGGCAATTCAAAAAATCCTAGAAAGGAGGCAGTAGAAGCGAAATAGGATACCAGAGGAGGAAATGGCGCAAGAAACTACGGGGATTTTGTGGCAGAAAATCGGGGGTGAGGCTGATCACTACAGTAGGGACAGGGGTTGTGCTGTTTATTGGCAGACAGCCACCACTGCTGGCAACTACAGCGGGGTTCAGCCGGCGGCTTGCGACCTTCCAAGATACGATACGATACGATATTACTAGGAAGGCGCTTTAGGCCTCATCTGGCAGCGAAGACAGGTCTTTTCCCCCATGGTGAGCCACCCCACTAAAATATAACGTTGCGGGGTCCTGCTGCCGGGAAGGAGCAGAGTGGCGCGGCTGCCCAATGAGCGTGCCAAGCCCCCCTTTATGTATGACGGCGTGAGGGCGTAGACGAATTGGACCGGAGCTGTCTTGGCGGAAGCGCCACGGGCGTGCTGGGTCTCAATAATAAGCCCTAGCAATCGGTCAAGCCTCGCCTAAGGGGAGACCTAAAAGGAGCAGGAGTGCAAGGACAGCAAGGGCTGCATTGCAGTTTAATTCTGCGCCTGCCTCCGTTGGGGGGCTTGTCTCCACGTCACCCCTCTTTACTAAGAAGATTGCTGCCGCATCATCCTGCATAGTACAAAACCGACGGGAATGCGTCTGCTTTGCAGAATCGGTGCTTTTCGCTTCCGCCCAGCTTCCCGAACAGAGACCGGCTTGCCGATTGCACTGCCTCTACCCGCTAGTCCTGCCGGATATTTTCTGCGACCAGTCCAACTCTGAAACGTGTATGATCCCCCATCCCCTCCCCCTTCTCTGGCTCAGCTTCGCATCTAGCTTCACATCCAGCATCACGGCTGCATTTGTCTCGCTTCTTGCCCCAATCACCGTCATCGAATTCCTCCTACGAGCCCCTTGACTGATTATATCAAAAATAGCGCCGAAGAGCGAGGCCACGCACGACCAATGGCATACAACCGCCCCTATAATCCGGACGAGCTGCCCAGGTTCGCCGAGCCGGAGCAGAAGGGCCCGAACAAGGCGCCTGCACCGCTACAGACCGCCGAAGACAAACGCCGACGCACTCCGGCACCGGTCGCGTCTCCATCCATGGTTTCGCCTAACCAGAACTTCCGTCCCCAACAGCCACACCCACACCAACACCTACATCGGCAGTACACGTCTCCTCCACCGCAGCAGCAGCAGCAGCAGCAGCAGTACCGCCCACCGGCAGTAGCGCAACGTCCCATGTCGCCGGCCGTCCCCCCGCGCGACCACTACTACAATGATCGGCCTGGGCCTTCACTGCCCAGCGGACCACGTGGCGGTGGCAATACGTTGCCTCCGCCGCGATCCCAGATGCCGCCTCGCTTAGCGCCGCAGCCGCCTTCGCCAACGCCGACACCGGTCATGTTCCAGACGGGCGAAACGATGTCGCGCGAGCAGCTCATACGGCTCTTCCGGGATCTTGACAAGCAGGGTGAGACAGCCTATGCGCGCGCTTGGGGCTGGGGGTGCAGAACACAGACTGACATGACTACAGCAAAGGGATTTGTCACTGAGGTGCAGTTGGCCGAGACGCTAGTCAACGGCGACGCCACCAAGTTCGATCCCGTGACGGTGAACATGATGGTGCGCATGTTTGACAGCAACCGCAACGGTGAGCTGGAGTTTGACGAGTTTGTCGGCCTCTGGCGCTTCCTCGAGAAGTGGTGCGACATCTTCAACAAGTTCGACGCCGATCACAGCGGCACCATTTCGCTGTCCGAGTTCAAGGCTGCCCTCGTGTCCTTCCAGTACCGGCTCTCCGACAGCTTTGTCGAGTTTATCTTCCTCATGTACGACAATGGACGCAAGGGCGTCATCACCTTTGACATCTTCATGCAGTCGTGTATCACGTTGAAGCGCATGACGGACATCTTCAAGAAATATGACGACGACCGAGACGGCTTCATCATTATCAATTTTGAGGACTTTGTCACAGAGTTTCTTCGGCAGCTTCAGAAAATGACTGCGCCTCTCAACGAGAGGAAAAGCTCGCAGGCTCCCTAACAACATGCGATTTTTTTGACCAGTCTATTGGGGTTTACATCTCGTTTCTAGGAAACACCTATATCTATATTTTTTGGCTTTGTTTTTGGCTGGTGGGCACATCCGTATGCTTTCCTTCGAGTGTGTATAGACGTCTTGAGTTTGGTTGTCCTCTTTCGATCATGACCTCTATGCAAGCATGTGCTTGACACTATTTGTCGTTTTAGTCGTTTAATAGCTACATGGAATTATCACTTATTACATTCAAGACTGCGGCACGTAAGCGACGGCGAACCAAAGAGGGGCGCCACTGTCGCAGATGGCTGACAGTAGCCTGACGAAGCCATGACAATGGATCTCTGTTCATTATCTTGTGCTTGTGAGTTCATAAGATACAACGTGGGACGCAGCACGTCCCGAAAGTTAGCCAATCAAAAGCCAGTTGCATTGGATTGTAAGCAAGCTAGGAACGGAGCCAATTATAGTGGAGAGCACTCAAGCTCCCTAACCCATGACCTCTTCAGAGGGCGGTGTGCAGATAAATGCTGTCAGAAAGTCGACAAAGCTGCAGTTTCTGAAGCACGCCGTCTCAATTTTCAGTGGCCAATGCGACTGTGTAGCTTCAGCCCTGCCTGATGCAGGTGGCCGAAGGGGGAATAGTTGAGCCCTGGCGAGAGAAAAGAATCGAGGAAATGCAAGTTGTGTGTACCATGTAAGAACATCTAGATTACGGACACGGAGGAAAAGTATGCACAAGAATTGTGGATAGCCACAGCTGTACAAAGCTCCCTCTCGGCCGGCTGACAGGCCCGAAAGCTATACTTGTAGGGAAAGGGGCGGGTTTTGGGGGTTTTTTTTTTTTTGCCAGAAGCAAAGCTCAGCTTCGATTCCACGCAATGAGCGAAAGGACGCTGAGCCGGACAGGCCGAGAAGGGGAGGCGAGAATGAAGGCAAAAAACGGATTTCTCTTGGTATTACTGTAGTGAAGTAGATGGGACAAAGGAAGCTATTAGCTCCAGAGCTTGTGAGTCAACAGAGGACCCAGTGGGACGGAGGGTCTGTGGCAACGGTCCCGGATGACGTGGAGCCACGAGAGCTTCCAGAACCTGGGACACAGCCCGGGACTACTAATAACAAAGAAAAAAAGAAAACAGATAATAAAAGGGAGAAAAACAGAAAAACAGAAAAACAGAAAACAGACAGAGGATAGAAGCGAAGCCGCTGCCGAGAATGCCTAGAAATGGGAAAAATACCAGTACATGCGATAATAGTGGACCGGCCAGAGGTGACAGTACTTGTATTAGTCGGCAGGTGCCATATATAGTAAGAAGATTATTATTCCGGTCCTTTATCAGCTCACATTCACACACGCGTCGGCTAGCAGCAGCTCGAGGGTCCGGCATCGCCAGTACTCGAGTGAGACAGCACAGGTGGGTGGAACGGTGGAACCTGCCTCTCGTGCATATGACCCAGACAGATGTGCTTTGCCATGGGATCTCGAGGACGCTGGTGCACTGCCAATAGGATGTGGTCGTGCTCGCAGCTTCCTATTCCTGATCTGGTTCTGCCGTATTTTCCTTTGTGGTGGGGACTTGGCGAAACAGGCTGCCCCGCCATCCGCCCAGGCCTCTGGGCAAGCAAGTACGGAGTACGGAGTACACAGTATGAACCGCCTGTCGGAGCTGCTCGTATCTTACGAGATTGCGCGCGATGCTTTCGAGACGAGTCCGAGTCAAGTGTCCAGTGCGTGCGAGTACGAGTACCAAGTACGAGCACGCACACGGGCTATTGGCACGTTCACCACCATCGGGCGACTCGACCGAAAAAAAGCCAATTCCCAAGCTCGTGCGCTCTTGCCACCCAGGAACGAACATTAGCCGGAGCTGTTTGGGTGGTAAAGACGGAGGAAGGACCCATAGCTAGAGCTTGGAGCGCCGGCCAATCAGCGCTCTCCCATCGCTGTTTTTGCCATCTTTTTATCTGCGCCCAGCCTAAGCCTGGTTGTCTCCACCCCCCACTCGGAAGGTGTGAAGGTATGAACGAGTATCTTACTCGTACTTGTACCCTCGCAACGACGACGTTCTGGCAGGCGCAAGGTGCATCCCAGTTCGTTCCTTCGTCCTACCCGTCCTACCTGACTACGCCTACCCCCGCGTTCCTGCCCTTTCAGACTCGGCCAAAGCAGCGCATGGAGGACCAGATCTCGCTCGACACTCCCTTCTTCCAGTCCATCCTCCATTTCCATCGCCATCCTTTCAGCTGCAACCCCATCTCCGGCCACATCGTTCCTCCATGCTTGCCGTCGCCCGTCCTCCATGCCGCTCCACCGGTGGCACCCCTCTCTTTTCGCCTGCCCTCCCTCCCACTAAGCCACCCACACCTGACGACATCCTAGCTCCATCGCTGCTAAGAAACTTTCGTACCGGGACATTCACGCCTTTTTTCGCAATCTCACCCCCCCCCCCTGCCTCCCTTCCCCTCGTCCTTTGCTCTTCTCCCCTCTTGTCGGCCTCCGCTCTTAAAACACGCCTCTCGACCACTCCGCTTGATTGCTTGCATTGATGTCTCTATATTAGCTGAACACACCCGCAGCACCCAACCCGGCCAAAGAACGGCCAAGAACGGGACCAGAGGAGAATAGATGCTCCCACTTTGAGCACCTGTCACTATTCTCTTTTCTGCAGCCCCCATGCACCTGCAGTTCCCTCCCTGTCGTCTGTTTCGTCCCGCTTTTGCGCGCCACCATTTTGCTCCTGCACGCAGGACCAGTACGCAGGACCAGCCGAAAACCCGCTCTGTGCGAATTTCGCAGTCCTGCAGCCACGAGTACGAGTAAGATTCAACTACCAGAACCACACCGGCCGCCGTTCACCCGCCTTGCAGTCTGCCTGCTCGCCTCTTCGCTCCTCTCGTCGCCTAGCCGCCTGCTAAACCTCGACCTACTCCTTACAATACCAATCCCGTGACCCAGCCCACTCCGGCCGACCTCCGTCTCTTCTCGGTACGTCCTTGAACCCACTTTCTCTTTCACCCACCCCCTCATTCTTTTTCCTACCCTGCCTGCCTCTTGTCCCTTGTTTCGAGGTTTCCTTGTCCGTTTTTGCTCCGCCGCGTCTTTATCGCTGCTTTCGGCTCCCCATTCTCTCTTCAAACTCTTCTTCCCTTCTTACAACACCATCACCACTTTTCTTTCCTCTCTCCTTCCCACAGCTCTTTCCCGGCTGTCACCGTCGCATCGGTCCTCTTCTTTACTCCCTCTCCTCTGGGCTACCTCCCACCCTATTTATTTTCTACGCTGCTGACACTACCCACCAACTGGTTCTTGCCCACAGCCGAAACGTTTCTCGTTACACCCCTAGGACCAAACAGCGCAGAAGAAGAAACATCGCCTCCTCCCAAATAGAAGAAGCTTGGAGCTTCTTTGCTTTGTTCTTAATCTGTCGCCTCCTCTGCCGCAAATACCACTTAAGCCTCAACACCAGAAATTTGCGCAACCCATTTACGTCTCTGACCTAGTTCAGAGCCGTCGTTAAAATCCCTTGATCCTTTCTGTTTTGCGTCTTTTTTTTTGGAGCTCTACCTCAGCAACAGAGGAAAGCAAAAGCTGTCTGACCAGCTCACGTCATCCGCCTCGACCGTCTCGTCTAATGCGGTCGCAACAGCTTCAACTCTCTCGACGTCGTCCTCTACCAATCACCTCCCAGTCAGCACAACTTCTCGTTGATCAGCCGCGGCAACCTCACTCTGAATCTGTGCTATCGCCTCCTCTTCTTGGTCGCGCGCAATCTTCGTTCGCACCTCATTTATCGCTGTGCTTGCGCCACCATCACCGGCCTTTTCGTGACGGTTATTGAGTGGGCGCTTCCTTTTTCGCATCCAGCTACTGGCATCGCCTTCCCCTCCACTCTTATCGGCTAGCTATTATCGTGACTTCGTTCCCCGCTGTTGGTGCCCGGATTTCCAATACCAAAACATTTTTATCAAGCAGAGCTTAGCTTTACCACCCCGAACCGCTCTAAAGATTACAGTCTGTTGAGCGTCGCCAAGCATCTAGACACCCCATCAATTAAAAGCGCATGGTGGGGTCAAGATGCCGCCCAGATCATCCCTCACCTCTTCCTTTTCCATCACCGACGCCAACAATGAAGTTGTCTGCCCCTTGAGAAACCAAGATGGCTCCAGCTGTCGGAAGCGTTGCATCGGAGTAAGTGGCCCCTCTTCGTCCCTTGAATTTCACAGTGCATGCGCCCTCGAATCAGAAGAGGAAGATTGTGGATATATTGTGGTTCAGTGGATGCTAACGGGGCTGCCAACCGATTAGGAGAAACGGTATCGCTCCATGCAGGAGCATATCCGACGTGCCCACCCAGAGCATTACATATCTAAGCTCCCAGCCACCGAGGAAAGCTTCATGCTTATGATCAACACCCCGCCTAGTGAACGGCCACAGAGCCAGCACAACTCTGGTGCTGGTCCGCCCGGATTGTCTAGCAGCCCTCCCGGAGGCCCCACTGCTAATATCGTCAACGGGTCGTCCATCCACCAGAACAAGCCGTACCACCAAGAGAATGGTGCACTGAAGCCAAATGCGCAAGGCGTTCCCCGGAATCCCGATAACGAATATCCGCTCGGGTCCATGCTGCACGCGGCAAGTGCTGCCGCCACATTGGCACAGCTGCACAATCACAAACTGGCGGAGCGCGATTGGGACGATGTGAGCCTGACCTTTGCAGCTTCTATTTGTTGCTGCCCAAGAGTCTGTTTGCTAACGCAGCACCGCTCAGGGCTGGCACTCTGATAATGAAAAGGGTAGAATGTCCCGAGCATCCATCGAATTGCCCCCAATACACATGGCCAATCCAGATGTAACAAGCGAGCCTTTTCCTGGCATGAACCACAACCGTCCGCGCGAGCTTCTACCCTCAATATTATCGACATCTCCTCCTGGGCGATCGTCCACGCTGCCTCCACTGCAGCGTCCGATGGGACCCGCACGGCCGAGGAAGCAGTCTGTCTCCAAGCGCTCTCGCGAGGCACATCACAAGAAGCAAAGGTCACGAGGATCTGGCTCCGATTGGTTGCGCAGAATACAAAACGAGGCTTCAGCTCTCGACCGCCTACGCCCGGGTGGTCCCATCAAGGCCATGTCGGCCGAGCCGTCGGAGTTTGGCAAGCGTTGGGAAGATCTCATCGATGCTGCTGCTTCGGCTACGGAAGACATTGACGAAGACAGAACGCCTGTAAGCTGTGACGTGGTTTCTGCTATCTGTGCAGACTACTAACTAACGATGCAAGGTGCCACAGTCGCCCATTTCCATACATCGTGCTTCTCTGCCACCCTTTCCTCATCACACTTTCCAGCATCAGCAGACCCATGGCTACCAGGCGTCGCCGTTGCAGCAGGCCCTTACGCCCCCGTCATACGCCCAGGAGGCGCCTGAACCGTTCCCGTCTGTGGAGAGCAACGAGAGTGGCGATGTATTCAACATGGATTCGCGCGGCTTGTCTGACTCATCCCCGAACTACTCGTCCCAGAACCCACAGATATACTGCGCCGCCTGCGGTGGTATCGCACAGCTCAAAGAGTCGTACGCTTGCACGGAGTGCGTATGTGGTCTTTGTCAAACCTGCGTGGGAATCCTGATGGGCGAGCAAGGTGCCCGAAGGAAATGCCCTCGTTGTCATACCATTGGCGGCCGTTTCAAGCCTTTCCAGCTTGACATTAGATGATGTGGTATACTCGTCTGATATTCCACCAGCCCTTTTTCCTTTAGTTCTCTCAGCATTACGGGGGCTCTCCCTCTTTTTTTGGTTGTTTCACGTTATATCGGTAGAGCATTGGCACGCTAGATGCGGCCGCATTACCATGACATCTTTACTGAAGTCACTACAAGGGCGTTACAGAGGGTAGACCAAGATTTGATCAAGCGACACTGGCACCACCGAACTGCCCATTTTGTTTTTTTACTGGGAAGATTTTTCTTGGCTTGTTTTGGGGGCTTTTTTTCATTGCTGTTTGTTTTGGACGTCAAGAGTTGACAAGCAGTTTGCTTGTCGAGAACCACAAGGGCATATTTCACCGTTTGGACGGTTTTCCTTGTTCCCTCTTTACTCGGGCTTATTCTGGGGCGTTGGGTATCATGACATCAGAGGGCGTTGCTTTGACACTAGAACACTACCGACGTCGCCACACGATCGTTTATGACTCTGGCCAACTTATGAGAGAAATGGCTTAGGGATGGAGTTTTTGTCAATATCAATCAATGTATTATGGCTTTAGGATAAGCTTTTAGGATCAGCCCCCAATCTTGTCTAGGAGTGAAGCCTCTTTATCGGGACACTCATTTTGTCAACGGATTAGTTAGTTGGTTACGTTTTTCATGCTCACTTATCTCAGCGTTCAGAGAATTCAGCTGCATTTTAGTAGTATCGTATCTTACAAACGTGATTGTGCTAAAGCTGTCTACTTCTAGCCTGACTGACTCCGGCGCTGGCTGGATTACTGGGCAGTGACTGCCCTTTTACATCTTGATGGGGACGAGCAAGGACTATAGACATAGCAGTGCCCTTATTTCCCATAGACATTATGATGAATGTAGTGCAAAGACCGCGCAGGTGTTCCGAATAGCCCTCCTGTTCTCAAAGTAAAACCAAAAGCGTGAAACATAGAAGCATGCAATGTTTGGGAGGGGGTTCGATGTCTTTACGACCTGCTTTTGAGCAGAAGTCGACTCGCCAGAACGCGAATTGGCAAGTGACCTAAAGACAAGGAGCAGGTGCCTATGGCCTGTTGACGACGGCGCTTCACCGGCCGATGAAGCGTCCGAAGACGCCGGTGGCGATGCTGCTGGCAATGTTGGTGGAGAAGGCTGAGCCAGCCATGTTGGAAGCCTGGCCGAACTTGTCGCAGCGGGAAAAGGCGAGGGCGTTGGTGATGGTCAAGGCGAGGGCGATGGCTGCCGACTGTCAGCACGAGCGAGAGAGCAGTGGGAGGAGAAGCAAAAAGAGAAGAAAGTCGGCTTACCAAGCAGCGGCAGCCACAGTATGTTAAACCGGAAGATGGCGAGGATGCAGAGGCCGGACCACGACAGCGGCTGAACATAGAGGGCTAGCCAGAAGAAGCGGCTGTCGGTGGCGTTGTTGACGCGGCCAGATGCCGGGTCGCTGCTCTCAAAGACCCAGTGGCTGTCGCCAGACTGCGGGTCAACCTCATTCCACCAGCGAAGGCCGACGAGACGGCGGCCGGCAATGTTCTTGAGGTAGTAGAAGTCGGCAGCCAACAGGAGAATGGTGATGATGAAGACGAGAACCCTAGGGATGCACTGTCAGAGGGGGGGAGTATAACCAAACCGGCAACCGGACGAGGTCATACTTGTTGGCCGTAAAGAGAAGGCCGAAGAGGTAGACGAGCAAGCTGCCTGTAGAGAAGCATGTCAGCATATGCAGCTGTCAGCGGTCGACGATTGGTCTTGATTGACGCACCGATGCGGATGCCCAGATAGGTGAGCAGCGTGATGGGATGTGTGCTGAGGCGCCAGCTCAGCGAGCCTGGCGGCACCTGCTGAGCGTCCATGGGAAGAGAGAGGGTGGGAGTAGTGGATGTGGTGGATGTGGTGATGGCGCAAACAGAAGGGCGAGGTCGCGCGGCGAGACGTGGTCGAACTGGGTTCGATTCGATGAAAAGGCAGGCCGGCTGGTCGTCGGGACGGTCGCGTTTCCGTCGTGAGTCCGTTGATCTGTCGCGGGACCGAGAGTCTGCTCGTCGGGCGCAAGGCGTTGGGGTGCTTGTGTGGGAAACGCGAAAAGGAGAGGTACGAGTAGTTGGGACAGAGAGTTACGTGTCTGGCCGACAGTTCCAGAGGAGAAGGCGGTATTGGCCGGCAGAATCCACTTACATGGCTGCAGCTTCGGCCGGTGCGGGGGAAGCTCTTTCGAGCTGCTGCACAGTCGATCGACAAACTCGCCCATCTGTCGATTCCCGTGCCGATCAAGCGAGCCATGGCCACGTCGGCGTTGCGGAGGTCGCTCCTCTACGGTGAGCTGCCGGTCTGCGATGTAGCCGAGAGTTGGGCGTATCACAGGCTTCCATCTGCTGCTGTAGCTGACAATGGCTCTTTTGGGAGTCGCCAGTTCCTGCGTCCTCGGCCAAGATGTTGGCAAAGTCGTTGACATTGTCGTCGGACAACATCACGTACGATCTCGAGGATGCTGTGACGGAGTCGGCCAAGCCGGCCGCCCGGACTGCTCTCCGAGCCCACCTGGAGAGCCTCGTGCCAACGTCGTCGTCGAGCGGCTCCACGGCATCCCGAAACACCGGACATCACAGCGGCGAGATCGCCGTCCGCATCAATGCCGTCTCCTCGCGCCACGCCCTAGCCGATCTCACCGAGTTGGGGCCGCTGGCGCTGGCTGCCGTCGATGCCATTGTCGTGCCCAAGGTGGACTCTGCTGCCGACCTGACGTTTGTCTCAGATGTCGTCCGCCACATTCTCGGCACTCGTGCCTCTGATCGTGATCTGTCGTCACCACTCCCGCTTCCCAAGCTGATTGCCCTCATCGAATCCGCACGCGCCGTCATGGACCTGCACGCCATCTGCTCGGCCGGACGCTCCGTCTTCTCAAGCACTTTGTCGCCTGTCCATGCCCAGCTCGATGGGCTCATCTTTGCTGCTGAAGACTTTGCCCTCGACCTGTCCATCAGCCGCACCCCATCACTGACCGAGTTCCAGTACGCCCGCAGCGCCGTCGTCACGGCTGCACGCGCCTTTCGCCTGACTTCAGCACTCGATCTCGTCTGCACCGCCTTCCGGGGCGATCGCGGCATGGCCACGCTGGCCGACGAGTGCCGCAACGGTCGCGGCATGGGCTTCACAGGAAAGCAGTGCATCCACCCGTCCCAGGTCGCCGTCATCCAGCAGGTCTTTGGGCGCGGAGCTGGCGCGAACGGTATCGACAACGGAGTCGACGAATCTGATGCCGATCGCCGAGAGCTGGCCTGGGCTGTGCGCGTGCTTGTGGCTGCTGGTCGAGCTGCTGCTGCCGGACGTGGCGCCTTTGTCCTCGACGGCGCCATGATCGATGCCCCGGTTGTCGGCAAGGCACAGCAGCTCGTGTCGCTAGCAGAACGAGCAGGCTCTGCCGACTACCTGGCCACTCTCCATGAGCAATACTGTGACCAGGAGCCAGAATAATACAAAATACCACACGTCAGCACGAGAGGGCCAGAGGAACATGAGCCAATGCAAGAGTTTGAACCGTCCGCTGTTTACAATTCAACGTGTATCCAGACAACAACGGCAGAAGTGTACATGAAACAAAAAAAAACCCATATATCCCCCCCCCCCAAAAAAAAAAAAAAAAAAAAAAAAACAAGACCAGCTGCGACCCTCCCATCCGCACTACTGATGTGCTGTTGCTTCCGCCGTTCTGCCCTGGCTTGCATTTTGTATGGCAGCATCAAGCTCTATCTCTTCGGCAGCCAGCCTCGCTACATCTTCGGCCGTCATGCCGTCTTCGATAAGTGCAGCAACATGGCTAGAAATGGCCGGTGCACCAATATGGCTGTCCGCAACAGAGTCGATATCATCGGTATAAGGGCTGTTGGCACCATCGTTTCTTTCAGAATCGCTCGAAACCACACCGATGACACGGCTCTTCTCCGCCGCGACACTAGCAGCAGCAGCAGCTCCAACATCAATACCGATATCAGCGCCGACACCCACGCTGACAGTAGCATCATCGCCCGGGTGTGCAACGACGCTGACTCCAACACCAGGTCCGATCGACCTCGAATGATGCGGGGAGCTGTAACCGCGATTGATACGTTGACGCCGCCTGAAAAAGAGCCAGACGAGACCGAGGATAACTGCGAGTCCGACCACAACTCCAACAACAATACCAGCAATCGCACCTCCTCTAAGACTTTTGTGGCTGCTTGTGTTTTCACGGCCGACAGACGATGAAGTGTTGCTCGAACCAGATGCCATTGTAGCGGTGGAGGCAGTGGCAGCGGTCGATTGGGCTGTCAGGGCCATCTGGCTTTCTGTTGCTGTTGCATTGATGAAGAGGGGGGTCGTTGTTTCGCTCTTATATGCGCTTCCAATCTGGAACCGGGAATAGTTCAAGAGCAAATCATCGCCATAAGTGAAGACACCGCTATAAGAGGTTCCGCTAAATCTAGTAGTATTCCAGGAAACCTCGAAGAACAGGAAAGCGCCAGTATATGATGGACCAGACGTCCCCGACAGGGCGATCTCCCAGTTGTACCCAGTCACCGAACTCCGTTCGGTATAGCTTAGGTTGACAGGTCCAGATGGAAAACTCGAGTCTAGAATGGGCGTCGTGTCGTTGAACAATCGAACGTACTCGGTTGAAATATTGGTATTTGCTTTGTATCGAAAAGTGTACGGCGGATAAACGAGAACAGAGCTATTATTCGTGCCGGTAGGAAGGCTTTCAAACTCGACCGTCGGCGACGGTACATTGCCTTCAGTAGTCGGGGTTGCGGCAACGCAGACGGGGCCATTGCTAGCCTGGAGTACACCAAGTAGTAGGATACCGAGAAACTGCATGGCTCTGTTTGTGCGCGTGTGTGATATTGTCACGACAACGAGTCCAACACGTACAAGCAGTAGCACGGCGAAGGTGAGCAGCGTCAGAATAGGCAGACCGGGGAGAGAGGAAAACGGCTGTCTATGCCTGGCTGCACTCTTTGAAGGCAGCTGGGAGTCCTGAACAGGGACACTGAAACACAGGCAGAAGAGAAACCCAGAAACGAGAACGAGACAAAGCTGACGATGCAATTGCAAAGAGAGGAAAGAGAGGAGGAGAAAAACGGCGGCTCTTTCGTGCAAGGTACTCCGTACAAGGCAGAAGAACCGCACATCGCTCCTTCCCTTGGGCCAGTCAGTCAGCCATGCAGTCAGACTGTCGGCTGTTCCACAGTTGGAACGCTGAGAATCCTTCTCTGTTCATTTGATTGACTATACTCTGTAGTCATCCTGATGGCACGAGCAGCCTTGGCCAATGACGCATGCAGCTGCCAATAGGAGGCGCGGTTAGAGGAGCAGTACCCTGCCAATAGAATTGTGCCGGGCTTGTTTGCATGAAAATATGCAGATGGTGTCCACAACTTGGTGGTTGCGCAAGGCCGTTCTTGCAGACATGTGCACAACAAGATGGTGCGCCGTAAGCACACACGGAACCGAGAGCCAATACGAGACCTTGGCTCTTTTGCCTGCAAACCGTCTCATTCGCCTTTTTCTTGTCATTGTGGCTTGGGCGGCAAGCTGAGGTCGAAGGATTTCGGCGAGTCCCACTTTAAAACGCCTTGTCAGACTCCACCACAAGACAAATATAGACAATCGTCAAGGCGGCTTTATGTCTTTGTCTGAAAATGACCGGGCTTCTAAGCGCCTGCGACGTACTTGTACCGTCTTCCGACAGCTTTGACGTTATGGAGGGAGGGTCCGGCGCCTCTACGAGTATATAATGTACATGGAAGAACACGATGCCAAAGGTGACCAGAAAGACAAACGACCAAAAACCACAAAACAAAAGCCAAAAAAATAAAGAAACAAGTGCAGATGTTGGTGTCTATGAACGGCCCTCGTTACCCCATTCCCGCCGACCAGATATGCTATGCAAATGTCATTGATATTTCCTGTTCCCTCCCTAGATCGTCGTCATCGTCATCGCCCCACGGATCGGACAGCTTGATGGCCGGTACCGTTGACGTCGGCCGAGACCTTGTGTCCATCGAGGCTTCCGACTCGTCCGTATGAGTAACACTGGTAGAAGCGTACGGTGTCGCCGACGACATGGTGTGGTCTTCCGCCCCCGACGGCCCGTCGTCAAACGAACTGTCAAACACCATGGATATGCCATCCTCTTCTGCCACCATGTTGCTGGTATATGGCTGTGCCCAAGACACTCGCGTTCGCAATGGTCGTGTCCGCTCATCCGACAGCTGGTGGCTGTCAAATGACGCCGAATATGACCGGTGCTCGTGCGAGAGCTGAAACGGCGTTGCGGCTTCGCCAGTGTCCAGATCCGCGAGACTGCCGCTCGGTGATCTTCCTGGCGACCTTCCTGGCGACCTTCCCGGCGATCTGAACGACGACCGCAGCGATGATCTCGCCGTTGCTGGCGCTGGAAGCGGCAAATCCGGTCCTGCTGTCGAGGCCACGTCTAGCTTCATTGGCGGCAGCGTCGACTTTAGCTCTCGCACTTGCAGCTGATCGAATTGCAGATCTGCCTCCTTCATACTCCCTTCCTTGGCCAGCTCAGCTCGGATGGCATCCACATCAAACAGAACTCTGCTTTCGCTCCCCTCCGCGTCTTGTGGCTTCATGTTTTTGGCTCGCCTGGCCGCTGCGGCCTCTTCGTATATCTCCCATTCTTGCTTTTCGCCCTTCTTCCTGCGGCTGAAAAAGCTGAATGCACCGCTCTTCTTCGTTTTGCTCTCCTTTTCTATTTCTTTGCGTGCTTCCTCGATTTCGTTGATCAGCTCGCGCTGCCGCTGCGCATGGTTGTCCGGGTCCGGGTCTTCGATCTCGTGAAACTCGTCGCTCTCCACAAGCCAGCCGCATTCACGCAGGAGCCGAGGCATGGCGGTCCGGTAGTCCATATGACCGACAACAAACTCCGTCACGTCCATGTTCTCCATCCCCGGAACATCGTCGATTGGCCCCAGACCTGCCACGCGTCGAATTCCGCCGTTGGTCAGACGGAACAGGTAGCCAAGAATCCAGTCATTCCGGTTGTATCCGTTCACAAAACGCCCCGCAACCACGGTGCGTGCTCGCAGATACTCGTCCCTCTTCACCACGATGGGAGACCCGAAAAGGAAGACGTTCTGGACCAGCCCATAGGCACCCTTGCGGGCCAGCTCCAACAGACAGGAGTAAATCACCCGTGATCCCAGCGAGTATCCCACAAGTGTGATGGGCCGCGTGCCGAGACTGTGGTCAATAAGCGAATCCGCCAGGATCAATCCTGCCATCGTGGCTCGGTCGAGGGAGACTGCCCACGGGTTGTCGATGAGATACGCCAACTTTGTCAGAACCACCGGCAGCTGCAGTGCTGCCATCAGTGACACAAGAATCGTGCTGCCTAGCACTTGTTGTAGACCTTGCGTGAGTGCCTAAGGCAGGAAGACGTTAGCACAGCCTTCAGTCTTGCCTAGACATCCTTGTCCCTTACCTCTGTCGCCAAAATATTGATTGTGTCACCCATGCTTGTCAGCATCTCTGGCTCCCACAAAACAGAGTAGATATCCCCCATGACCGGATCGACGGTGCTGTAGGGAAGCCGCACGTCGTCGACCTTTCCAGTCATCCAGCCAGACACCGTCACGATGAGGTTGACTCGCTTGTTGTTGTGCAGTGGCCGGTATTCAAATGTCTTCACCGCACCCGTTCGCCGTTCGGCAGCGCGACCACCAATAACACTGCCTGATGCCGCAGCAGATGACGTGATGATAGCCGCTCCGCCCGCTCCGGCCAAGAAGCTGCCCGTTCCGGTCACACCGATGGTGGTAAAACCAGCAGCTAGGCCGGCACCAATTACAGGTGCCAACAGACCTGCCGAGAGGCCGATGACCAGGCCACCACCAACAGTTGCCAAGCCCATCATTACGTAGCGTCGCTTCAGCGCCCTCTTTCGCCGTGCCTCCATGTGGTCTTTCTCGTCCCAATTTTCCGTCTCGGCATTCTGCTGCATCTCCAGCGCTTCGGTGACCTTTCGCTCGAACTTGCAGATGTCAATCCAGGGCACATCCAGGCTCTTCCCCACAATCTCGAGGAGGACTCGCGATCGTGCGTCGTATGCAGAGTCGGCGATGAGTACGAGGAAAAGATCGCAAAGAATAGTCCACCGCAGGTCGATGTCGATCTTGGCCGTCGTTGGCATCTGAGATGGTGTACGAACAGCTGGAAGTTCCTCGCCCGTATGCTCCTCATATGGCGGAGGCGGCTCGGCAGCTTCCTCTTCGAAAGATCCAGGAGACATTGGCGCCTTTGGCGACTGCGGTGCCCTTGAAGACGACATGGAGATGATACTATCTCTGTTGCCTGCCATCGGGTTACTGACACGCGAATTGGCCATCAGTGCGGACGTCAGGTCTTTGGGCTCTACGCCGTGTTCGCTCAGCTGCTCAATCATGACCTGCTCAGCTATGCTGATCTCCATATGAGCGTACAGCCGGATCATCATCTTTTGCGACCACATCCTCATCGAATCGGTCGCATTCTGAAGAGTCCTGCGCGATCCCTTTGTCTTTTTGATGCTCTCTACTGCCTTGACCATATTTGAGAGATGTAGACGTGTGATACCGACATACGCAATTCGTTGTCCCTCCGTTAGCAAGTTCTTAGTGGCTTGCATCTGTGAGACCGTATCTCGCTGCTGCTCTTCATCCTCCGTTATGCTTGTACTGCCAGGTTGCTGGAATAGATATTGTGTGTTCTCATCCATGCTTGTTGCGGATTCGGCGTCGTCGTCCACCAACACACGTGTATAGCCCTTACCAGCACCGCCGAGACCTGCATAGCCATAACTATCCTCTTCCGTCTCGACGTGCTCGCGAGCGATGAGGCGGTTGTCGTCGTCGTAGATGTCGTACGGCGCGAATGCCGGCATCGTCTGCCAACCGCCGTCATCACCAGATGGCACTTCCTTTTTTTCCGTCGACAATTGTTGGTGGGAGAACTCGGACAATGTATTATGGATGTCTGCAGAACTGGCCACGCTTGCCACACGGGCATGCTCCTTCGCAAAGTCTTTAGTGTATCGCTTCTGTGACTTCACATCTGCACTGATTTGTGATTCTGGTATTGAAGCAACCGACACATCGGAGGCAGCTCGCTCTCTGGACGGTATCGGTGTCCGGAGATCTTCATCGTCAATGCCGGTATTGGAGCGATTGGCAAGCGTGGTGTCCAATTCTGGGAACGTCGGGCTTTTCTCAACTTTGCCGTTGGTATCTTCAGTGCTGCCCTGCGAAGACCGCTTCCTCTGTGACTCGGTGGATGCCCCGGAACTTGCCCCCTTGGTGTTGGCATTCGGTAGGTACATATTTCCCATCTCGGAGCTCTGCTCCGCCGGTTTGGAACTGTCCTCTGGGAGATCCGTTGCATACTGTATCGCTTCGGTCCTTTGAATAGGCAAGCCAAAATCGTCCATCTCAGAAATAGATGTGGCCACAACGGTTGTGGCCGGGCGCGTTAGTGCTGCTGCAAGACCACTCGCCGAAGTAGTCCCAGCGTCAGCTTGAACTGGATCTTCGTTACACTCCTCCTTCCCGACCGAAAGCTCCGTCTCGGATGCTTTCGCGGACGACTCATCGGCCAGGCTTTGCTTTCCCGGCGCCGACATCACGCCATGACTCTCGGCCCCTTGCGATTTATCCGGGAATTCGGATTTTTCTGATGCCCCATTCTTTATAGGATTGCCCGTCCCGCTTCGTTCGTTGTCCAGGACGTCCTTGCGAGGGTGGGTGCCGTTGTCGGCACTAGGCTCGTCGGCGGCCGCCATGTGACGCCCTTCTCGCTGTCAAAAAGAGACGTAAAGACTTGAGTATGCAGGGGATCTGGATCCTATCGCGTCCAGAACATGACAGAAGGAACGTGGTTTCGATGGCGGACGTGGGATTTGACAGGCTTTCAGGGGTTCAACTGAGAGTTTCGGGAAAGCGGGATCGATGTGCCCCACCTCAGACAGGCAACGGAGAAAACAATGCTTGAGAATATGATGCGAAAGCGCCGGCAACGGTTGTCAAGAAGCAGGAAAGAGGCAGAGTCCGTCCTGTACACTCCTGCTTACCTTCTTGATGCCATGGTGGTGGATTAGGTGGACTTATTTTCTGGCCGTTGATAGTATGTCTCTTAGGCTTGTGGCTTCTCCCTGTCCAGCCACATCCGTATAAAAAACGCCACAGTATTGGCCAGATACCATGTTCATGTGCTACGACGTACTCCGTATGCAGCTGAGTGAGATTATCTTGAGCAAGCGATCTATTGCTCCGATACAGCGCCTTGCAGAATACGTTGAGGACATGTTGTGAATGATACGATTAGAGAGTCTCGCTTGTGGCTGTTGCCTTGCCGATATTTAATGATCGCATGACCAGAGAGGGTTCGATATACCTTCCTTCTATGGCAGTACACGTACGGAGTACGGAGTACATATGTGCTATTATCGTGTAAATTAGCAATAATCTGGCGATGGGCCCGAGCAGAGGAGACCGTGCTACGCCGGCTACGGGCTAGCGGTCGCATATGCGATGTGGAAAAAGGTCGAGATAACACGCTTACGTCGTAGAAAGTAACCAGCCCACGACCTATTAGCGGAGAGCTGTGCATATTGTAGCTTACTATGTATCTTACATACCAGCACGGGCTTAAAGGGCCTGTGCTCCCCGTGGCCGGAGTCTCGGGTGAAGGACAGAAAAGCAAGTGAGAAGATGGGAGACTCCGTACTCCGTACTCCGTAAACTGTTAGGAAAACCACTAATAATAATCAGATTTTAAGTGGCTGACACGGCGCGAGACGTGCTATCGCTTATCGCGTTTGTGGGCGACTATCGTAGAAGCGGGATTGATACGCTGTTGTCCATTGTGGTGGAAGCTGCATGATGATGTAATATTTTTAGACCGTTCTTGGCAGTCTTGGCGGTTTTGCCTCCGGCAACAAAGCCATAGGACAAAAGCCCAGATCGGTGGCCTGTCAACTGATCTGGAACAACAGATCGGTAAGCCCAGACATGACAATCCGTACGTGCTGGACGACATTCAGGCAGTCGTACGTTTGACAAAGCAGAAACACAGTTTTGGTGGGAGGAAGATGAGACAGCGACGATGCGCTAACGTCTCTGCCTGACGCGTCACCGAATTTGGTGGTGCGAAAGAAGGCTGGGCAAGCTGGGGGCCTCTTCGTGGCCGTATTCCCCTGTCCTGCTGAAAACAGGTGATTGGCACCCGCAGATCAGCATTGGTACCAGAGTTGCAGCTAGCAACCAATCAGAAATACCCTTCCGACAATTGAAGAAAAACAGGTGGTGGGGGAACTGCGCCTTTCTTTATCCGTACTCCGTATACGCAGGTACGAGTACATACATGCGTCGTATACGTATGAGTATTCTTCGTATTGTTGCTCGATTCTGGTCAGACGGCCGTCGGACAGAGTAAGATGGACTGCTACCCTAACTATTGCTGGATACGAACCGGGCTTATTATTAGGCATTTGGCGGGTGAAGCCGCTGGTGTGTGACCAAGGCCTCCGAGGGGAGGGGAGGGGAAGCGTTGATATTGGACCATTTGCACGACGGTGCTCGCTCTCGTCCGTCGCTGCAAAAGTCGGGAGTTACAGAGCATGCTTCCGTGCCTGTGCGTGTCTCGCCTGTGCCGCTGTTCACGAGAGGAGGCCGCCGGACGTTCGGCATCAGGCGGAGCAGATTTTACATTGCTTGCGCGCAGAAAAAGGTATAGTTGCGGAGTAAGAAAGAACCATTCTGTGAGCAAGTTCCCGAACTCCATACAAGTAATGTTCCGCTCGCGATGGGTATGGCCGTTGCCGTTCTCATTCTAAGCTGTTGTCGAAAGGGGAATGGCAGCAATTTATGTGATTGCTAAAGAAAGGCTAACAGCAGCGCGAAATATTAGGATGGTAGGAACATGGGGTAAATTGTAGACTACTCCGTACGCGTATCTTACGAGTACGAGCCTGTTCGTATCTGCCAGATTTTGCCGACGCAATACCACTCCATACCAATATGTACGTCGCAATTGTACATTGCCATGTAGTAGCGGCCCTTGCGGCTCAAGACGCCGCACAGCCTAAGACCAGGACCAACACCAGCATCTAATTAATCCCGTCAACGTCGGCCAAGGAGGTAGCTCCGGGCCAAGAAGCGCAGATAGACCCAGGTATACGTGTCGGTTGTCGTGGGCTTTGAGCAATGTGAGTGGAGCCATTACAGTAGCTCACGTTGAGGGACACAGCGACTACGAGTACGATGCTACGTACGACGTGGGCAGCTCTGCCCAGAGCAGGCCCCATCACCTGTACTTGTAAGAAACAGACACGTAAGTGCACGCGTGAAGCGCTTGGCTGAACAGTCTTGGTATCTTGGCTGTCGTCAGGGCCGCTTGGCAGACAGAGAAAGCATTTTACTGGCCGATTTGTCGTCGTATGAGTAATACATACGGAGAATACGTCGCATGCATGATCTTTCGTTGGTACTGTGGTTACCCCCCGTACAGGGGGGCTCCACACGCCGAATAGCTAACTACATACTCCGTAGTAGCTGCACCGCCATTTGTATTTCTTTTTGTCGCTTGTGCCCAGCGAGCCTCTGCGCAACGCATAAATTTTATAGCACAGAATGGAGAGAGGCTACCACCGAATAGCCACCGCCTCTTCCCTTTTGCGGTATAAGAAGCCGGCCAAGTAGAACAAGACGGCAACGTGTGGCTGGTCGTGTTAGTGGGAAGAATCTTGAGTGGGTTTCTTCGGGGAAGCTACTTGCCAATACGAGCGAGCGGTCCCTCACCACGACATCCACCGCCTTGGAACCGCTGCTCTTTCCAGCCTACCTGAACTTCTGTCTCGGGCCGCTGAGGCTCCTCGTATCTCATCGCTCTCCGTATATATTGGTTAGCTGAGCCGTGCTGGGTCTGCGGAGTACATAGTATGCCCTATTGCCGCCTTCTCGCCCGGCTCGTTGCACCTTTTGCTCGTCTCTCCTATTACGAGGACAATCTGCCTCATCGAAAAATCTCCACACCGTGGACCCTATCTTATCCGCTGCCTGCCAGCCAATCTCCATCAAAGACCGGACGCCAACCGTTCCCAGAACGCATGAACGACGTCACGGTGAGGAGGCTTTTACGAGTACGACGCACCCTCGCGGAGGAAACGCAGCTCTCAGCTGTTCTCACTGCCAGCCAACCTTTGACGCCGACCAAGCAGCAGCCCAGGCGCCTTTGAATAGTATCCTGTCTATATCCGCCGTGGTCCGGCATTGACGATTAGGAGCCGGCAAGAAGAGCTCCTCTCCATATTACCGCGCAGGCAGAGGCGTTAATGAGGTTGCCATTCATCCACCCTGTCAGCCTGTCGGATCTCCTCGTGCGGCAAACTCGCGGCATCGCCGGGTCTGGTGCTCCATAAAATACCGAAAGAGAGTGCAACCACCAAACGTTCATAAGCTGTCAGGGGACTGCCAAAAAAAGAAAAGGCCGGTTTCCGACCTACCCGTCAACAGGCAAACCAAAAAAATCTGGACAGGACAACGTTTGCGGCCAGTTACTTCCTCTTTCCAGCGCCAGCGCATACTTTTTTCTTTTGTTCCGTTTGTTCCGTTTGTTCCGTTTGTTTCTTTTCTGCCCCCCATTCTTCTCGCATACAACCCATGGCTTTGCCATAATACCTAAACGGACGAAGCCTGCCCGCAGCGCACGCCTCCGGTCGATCAAGAAGGACAAAGAGACGAAAGCGCCAGCCGGAGGGGCAATTTTCCAATAACACGTCCGGTGGTTACATGCATCCGGCTCGATACGGCATACCATCAGAACGGTATTAATCAGGCGGATCCGTGCGAACAAAGAGAGCAGCGTCTGTCTGCTCGTAGAAACATTCTCCAAACCGACTTGCACAGCTATCCGTTTCAGCGCGGCCCTAATATCATCTGTTTCTTTTCTTTTTTTACCGTCGCATTTTGCCTCTTACCTCTGGTCTTTGGTTCTTTTCCTTCGATCTTGTCATTTCGATTCTGGCCTTCTTGTCTTTACTCAGCCTCCTTTTTCTTTTGTTTCCTACCCCGACTCCCCTTGGAGCTCAGCTCTTGTCTTTAACTTTGCACATTCCAGTCAACCTCTCTTCTCTGCCTGTCATCTGGCTCGCCTTTTTTCAACGCCCCGCAGCAAGCTGTTTGGTACCTGCCGCTGGCCGAGCAGTACCGTCTGTCGAAAGACGCAACAAAAGTCAAACAAAAAAATTTAGCAGAAGCAGCTGCTCAAAATGGGGCGAAATCGCGGTTGGTCCTTCCCCAAGCGTGCTCACTATTTGGCCCCCCTGCTCTATTTGCCGACTTGGCTAGCCATTTCCTTGCTTGGCGCTTGTATACTTGGCGGGCGGTCTTGGTCTAGGCCAGTCTGCATCACTGAACAATACTTTCAGCTCAGCTGCACGAGTACCTGTCTGTTAGCGACGCAAGCGCGCGCTTTACAAGGACAGCAGCTGGAACATGTTTTCGATCATCTTTTATTGCTCCCCGCCATTCAGTCGCATCCAACCAAGCAATGTCCTATTTGCTTGTCTACGCCACCAGCAACATTTTTCTTGTACTAACTAGCTTACCTCGTCATCATAGTCCTCTCTTTTATGTCGCAGCTGTCTAGTTCGCATAAGGACTCGCTCACATCAGCACCATCTCCTCCGGCTGACAGATCAGTCTCCAGCGCCACGTCTTCTTCGCTAAATGGCCTAAAGCAAGATACAGCTGCAGCGCCTCTGGAGCAGTTTCCGACGACTCCCGTTCCTTCGCCACCTGCCCGGGCTGACTCTGCTCCGGCTGACTCTCGCTTCGACACGACTCCCCCGGACGGATCACCCATCTCCAGACCATACCGCCGAACGAGAAGCAGTTCAAGGCCCTTGTCGATGGTACAGACGTATCGCCCGTTCATGATGGAGATTAACGACACCATACCCGAATTGCAGCCTATCTTCTCATTCCTCAACAACCATGGCAACAAGCTGTACCAGGAGGGCTACTTCTTAAAGCTGGACGACCAGAACACCCGTGCGTTCCCCTTCTTCTTCTGACTGGCAGCTCGAAACTGACCGTTTTAGATGGCCGGCCAAATGTGGATAGGACCTGGACCGAGTGTTTTGCACAACTGGTCGGCACAGTATTGTCTTTGTGGGATGCTTCCGAGCTTGACACGGCTGGTGACGATGGCGAAGTTCTGCCAAAGTTTATCAATTTGACTGACGCTTCGATAAAGATGGTATGTGCACCAGCATGTGGGTTACTGCTGTGCTTAGTCCGGCACTACATGGAACTGACCTGTTCGCAAAGATTGAATCACTTCCCACGCGGACCGCCGGCGATCAGCCGCTCCAGAACGTCCTCAGCGTGTCCACGGCTGGCCGGAACCGCTACTTGCTGCATTTCAACTCACATCACTCCCTTATCCAATGGACAGCTAGCATCCGTCTCGCGATGTTCGAGCAGTCCACTCTACAGGAGGCTTACACAGGTGCACTCATCGCTGGCAAGGGCAAAGCGGTCAACAACATCAACCTCATCATGGAACGGTCCCGTTTCAAGACAGAAGAATGGGTGCGTGTCCGCTTTGGTTCCGGCGTACCTTGGCGCCGGTGCTGGTGCGTCATCTCGCCGCCCAATGAGAAGGAGGTGACGAAGCTGCAGAAGGACATAAAGAAGCGCTCTCCGTACGACCGGTCGCATACGCCACTGGTCAGGGGAGACATCAAATTCTACGACACCAGGAAAACCGGCAAGAAGCAGAAGAAGGCGAAGCCTATTGCCACTCTATCCGAAGCCTATTCTGCGTATGCTATTTACCCGCAGTCAAAAGCCCTGATCGATGCTTCTACTCTTGTCAAAATTGAGGGAAGCATAACCATCCACTCCAATCCGCCGTCCACCACAGAGGGTTTTGTCTTCATCATGCCCGAAGTGCACCCGGCCGTCACCGGCTTCGAGATGCTGCTGCGCTTCCTCTTCCCTGCCTGGGATGCTTTCGGCCTCTACGGCCGTCCTGGCCGCCTTGTGGCCAGCGTTCTCGACCAGCGGTCTCTAATGTTTGCCTTGCCCAAGCACAGACGATACGGCTACCTGGAAACTTCGGACGTCGCTAGCCTGCTCCTCACCGAGGGAAGCTCGACATGGACAGAGCGAGAGTGGAGGAAGCGTATGAAGGAAGCCACTGGTCAGCACATGGCTGCTATGGACGAGGAATCCAGCAGCGGATTTAGCAGCCGCCGCACTTCGCATCGCAGCGCTTCGTACCGCAGCAACAGTCGATTCAGCTTTGGGTTGGGCGGAAACAGCATCATGGGCAGTGACCGATCAGTCAGTGGGCGACTGAAAGTCAACTTCACTGGCGACAGAGAATCCGACCGTTCTTCACGATCTATTGCTCCGGCTATCAGACCAGCTGTGCGAACCGATTCGGCCCCTCCTGCGTCTGAGCGCCAGCCTCTTCCATCCTCCATGGCGCAAGCCGTTGCCATTGCTGCCGGACATGGCCGGAACCTTTCAGACACCAGACTCAATGGACTGAACGGCACCCCGAGATCCAATCTGACCAATCCGCTGATAGGCAGTGCCTTTGGTGCCGCGTATCTCCCTTCATCGTCCCCATCCCCCCCAACTCGGGGTTTTGTCAGCGACCTCTCCTCTACGCCGGAGCGTGTTAGCTCCGAGGATGAGCTGCCAACGGATATGGACACCCCCCCTGCAAAGGATCTGCATGCCATGGCCCAGCGGATGGAGACCCCAGAGCCCGTGCACATGCCTCCTGCCTTCAGCCACTCGCCGTCCTCGGGACCGCCAACTACTATTTATCAGTCGGCTGAGCTCCGGAGGGCGAACAGCCGCCTGTCCCACACAACTCTTGCTCAAATTGCTAAAGCCGGTGGCGTTCTGCAGAACGGCTGGGCAGACGCCGATGGGCAGGAAAGGCAAACCACTGAAAGCGGCAGCTCTCGCAGCGAGCTGTCGGTGCCAGCGTTGACATATAAGCCGTCAGCATCTACGGACCCGTTAGGTTCACCCATCTCATCGTTGGACTCAACTGGCACAAATCAAGCGAAGTCTCCGTTGACTCCGACACAGAACAATCTCGTCCCTGCCCCCGATTTTCTGACAGATTATCTCTCGCAACCCACCAATGGATTCTCTGCGCTGCCGCCCCTGCAAACCTCCCCTCGGGTTCTTAGGAAGCCTGTTCCGGCAGGGCTGGATTACCAGCCGCAGGACAATATCTCCGAACCCCATTCGGCGGCGACTAGTCTTGGAAGCATACCCTCGTACCTTATTAATGAGGCTGCCCTTGACCAGGTTCGATACAACGAGGAGGACAACGTGGAACAGCGCAACGTTTTCCGCCAGAACACAAAGAGAAGCGAAGCAAGCAGCCGATACGACGATGCCTCTTCGACGGCGAGCCCGGACTATGCTAGCACACTAGGATCGAACGAACCTCGAGAATCGGTGGAACGACCACGGGCGGGTGTGCTGCGTACAGTTGGCGAAACCCATTCGTCAGAGTCTGGAGAGGAAACCTTCGACATTCCTGAAATCAACTTTGGGCCGACCTTGAACTATGCTGCGCAGGCCTCCCAACGCAACATGACGCCTACCCCGTTCTCGGGCCCTTCAAGTCCCCCTACGACGATGCCCGCCCGGAAGCCCACTCGCGACAAGCTGCAATCTATGGAGTCGATCCACCGCCGGCAGGAGTCAGAGGAGACAATCAAGCGGCGGAGTGTTGCCTGGCAACCTGCAGCGACGATCGCTGGAGGCTCCACTGGTAGTGGCGGTGAGGGTCGGGCTGGTGCTTTGACTCCGGAACAGTTCGTGTTGCAACGCGCTGCCCAAGCTTCTATCAGTCCAATGTACTCCCATCAACGTGTTGCGTCCACCAACTCGGTTTCCGGCATCATCGCCAACAATACATCATCTCCCACACTGCACACCAGTTCAAGCTACGACATGCTCAACTCCGTGGCAGGCGCCCAGCTACAGCGGCCCAGCTCGCAGGGTGCAAACAGTGCTCTCGGTCTTGCCGCCACACCCGATGTCGGCTCACATCTGTCCGCCCGGGAGCAGGAGTATCTGGCCCGCATGACCGGTGGCCCCTTGATCAATATGGCAGGCAATCACCGGCCTCAGCCTAGCGACAGTGGTCCCGGTCTTGTAGCGGCTATTGCTGCCCGCGAGCGGGAGAAAAAACAAATGAAGGAGGGTGTCAGCTCGCAAGCGGTGCAACATGCCATCAGCCAGCGACAGCAGATGCAGCAACAACAGCAGTACATGCAGCAGCAGCAGCACTATCTGCAGCAACAACAGCAACAGCAACAGCTGCAACAGGAGCAACAGGTACAACAGGCACAGATGTATGCAGGACAGCAGCCGATGTACAATGCATACCAGGCAAGGCCGCCTCTGGGCTCACACCAAAGCAGCTATGGCCAGGTGGCCGAACCAGGCTGGGCGCAGCCTCTTCCCGGCACTTGGCCAGCGATGCAGGGCCCTATGCAAGGCGCGCAACAGGTACCGTACATGCGCGGCGGGAGTCCTCAGCAAGGACACCAATCCTACGGGCAATATCCCGGTCGTGCCTTTTAGAAGAAGCGGCAGTGGGGAAATATGCCGTTGCAGCATGCGGTGACAAGGCTCTGAAGCGAGAGACAATCATTCCTTTAGTTTGCAAGTACAGCGAAGCGACCTTTTTTTGAGTAGAGATTTTATAGATTCCCGCCGTTCATTACTTCTTATATTATCATGATGCACGACACTTCTCATACAAAAGCTATGCTCTAGATTCTCTATCATATATGCCAACGTGACTCATTACGCGCAGTTATATAGTGAAAAAAGGTCTGCGCAAATCCAGCAGCAAAGGCTACACCACAAGGAGGTGATGGCAGTGCGTCGGAAGAGGATGAGGAAGTGACGGCCAAGCTTGATACCTTCCGTTTCCGAAACTCCAAATCCCAGCGTTAGAGCGTGCGTGCTTCGAACCTTCCCTATTTGCGAAACTGCAGTATATCACAGCTACAAGCTTCCTCGTCCCAATTTCCTACTAATAGTAGTCCCATCCCATCCCGTAAATCATACAAAGTGAACAAACATTTGGCAAAAACTATTCTTACTACTTTCTGATTCGGAGGTTTCAATATCATGCACAGCCGGTCTGAGAGTGTTGAGCGAGCACGCTTCCGGCGCCGCCGTGGCCCAGTACCGCCGGCGCACTGGCCAGCGATATTGGCAGCATCGGACGGCTGACAGCCGTTTGAGGGTGCTTCTTCTGCTGCAACTGCTGCTGCTGATAACGCGTGCAGATGACTGCACGACGCCGCTCAAAGATCACCGACCGCTGCCGCTCCTCGTCTATGCGGATCTGCCGTTCCCACAGATCGCGGTCGGCCGCCGGCATGCGTCGACGCTCTTCAGCCTTTTGCGACACGGAATGCTCTGCCCGAAGACACGCGTCGTCCAGCTGTCGACTGGTTGCCTCATCGACAAGCGCAACAGGCACAAAGGATGGTCGCCGTGCAGCCGACCCACCCCAGCTGCATCGGAACACCAGCTCCGTGCGCAGCTTGTTGCCGTTTCCGTTTCCGCCAGCACTGCCATGGCTGTCCAGACCGAGGTAGTTGTGCCAGACAACGACCGAGTCACCGTCATATAGTCGCGTCCAGTGCTTCGAAGCAGTTCGCGGCTGGCCGGGGTCGAATGAACTGATGGGCGTCTGGTTGACGAAAATGCCGCCCCGCGCTTTGGTGGAAATATAAAAGTGATACCGGCTCGCTGCCTCGGTTGCTGTATCCAGTCGGTTCCAGGGCTGCAAGTCTTTCCACGGCTCATATCCGACACTGTGACTTCTGCCATCACCCTCGCCGGCACCGGCCCCTACTCTGCTGCTGCTGCGCCACAGAAGAAGTTTCAGGGCGTACTTTGGCACTTTGAGCTCGGTCTTGGGCACATAGATGTTTGTGTTATCAGGGTGTCGACCCCAGGTGGTCACTGAGTCTGTGACAGGTACCGCGATGTTCTGTACGACCGATTTTGGTACTGAATCAAAACAGGCAACGGGAGAGTCATGTTTGGATATGGCAGGTACGACAACCTGAGCATGTTGTTGCAACTGCGCTTGTGGTTGTGGAGTGGGCGACAGATCTCGGGCAGGTGTGCTTTCTCGGCTAGGCGAAACCGTGGGGGCTCGTGATATCATGTTCTCCTTCATTTCGCCATTTGCATTGTCAGGTGGAGCAGGGGTGTCGGACAACTCTGAGGGTGAGCGAGAGTATGTTGGATCCAGCTCTTCTCTGGCTGCTACCGTTGTTGGAGCAAAATGTTTCATGGCGAGATCCCAAAGCCGCGAGCCACCTGGTCGAAACTCCTCTTTTCTGGTAATGGCTGCATCCTCAAAGACATCGTACTGCAGCTGAGTCATTTCCGGATACTGGAGGTGAAAACTGGACGGCTCGCCTGGGATCCAGTACACTGACTTGTGCACGGGCAGATCCATCTGGCGCCCTGTCTTGGATCGGCTGATAGGCTGGACGGCAGCGTACAACTCTGGATCTTCGTTCTCATCATATTCGTCGTCGGAGCCGTTACGACTGCACACACTTTCGCCCTCTTCACCATGCATGTTGTCGACCGAGGACTGGATACGAGCGTCGGATTTGAGGCGCTTTATCGTCGGCTTGTCTGGCCGGGGCGTGTTTTCAAGCTCCTCGCTTGTGTCGAGAGCAGTTTTCCTTTTGCTGCTGTTAAAGTCGGTGACGATGTGCTTGAAGTTTGACGTGGCCAACGATTTCATGTTCAGGTTCCCAAGGATCGACTCAGCACCGCCAAGGCTCTGTGATGCCACATCAAAGGTGAGATTGTTCAGCTGGTCCACCGAGTGGCTTTCTTCGAGGTTGCGGGACAGCAATGACGCAGGAACATTGCCGTTGCTGTCACTGCCATCTTTGCCTGCTCCGCCAACGACAATATTTTGCGGCCTCTGCTTCGGCCTCGGAGTGAGAAAGGTCTCGTCGGGATCAAAGCTGCCGTACGGTCTGGATGAGAAGCTGTCCGGCTCGTTGTCGGCCTGCGATCCAAGACCGGAGATGGGCAGATTGAGATTGTTTTCAGAGAAGACCCCAGAGCTGCCGATAATGGAAACATTGACCTCGCCAAAAAGGCGTTGTTTCGGACGCACCGTTTCTTGAAGGCGGTCCTCGTCATCATCCTCTTCTTCATCACCGTAGTCGGGAGAGAAGTTATGCAGGAGTTGGCTCTCGCCGCCAAGCAGGTCATCGAAAATCTCGTCATCGCTCTCCGGTCCTCCCAGAGCGGTGTCGGTTGCCTGGCCGGCCAGGCCTGCATTGTCATGGATGCTCAGCTGTGATGCGCTCTGCTCTAGGACATCGGCAGATATGTCGGTGCCAGTCAGCCAAGGATGCGACAGCAAGGAGTCGACTGTGGCCCGATATTCCGGCCGGCGCTGCAACATGCTGGACAGAAAGTCAACACAATCGGCTGACACTTTGGCGTTGTACAGCGGCCTGGTGTCAAGGGGCATCGTCATGATCCGTTGCAGAAGCGCCGTATAGCTGGTGCTTTTCGCAGCTGGGAAGGGAGGACTGCGTGTGAGGCAGTAGAAGAGCACGCCGCCTAGTGACCATATGTCGACAGCATGGTCATACCGCTGGCCAGTGGGCCGGCGATTCTGTCGATTTCTGTCACTCCTGTGTCCATGCTCGTCGTATTCGCTGTACTCGGCATACACCTCGGGTGCGCAATACAGGAGGGTCCCGCAAAATGTGCGCAGAAAGGTCTGGTCGTTGTCTACCATCTTGGACAGGCCGAAGTCGGTCAGTTTGACGGTGAAGGGTGACTCGGACTCGATGAGGATGTTATCTGGCTTTATGTCCCGATGAGTGATGTTTTTGCGATGCAGATAGGAAAGAGCCTCGAGCAGCTGTCTGGCCATGTCTCTGACAGCATCTTCAGACAGGGCGCCGCGGTTGAGGACGAAGCTACCGAGGTCGCCTCCCGGCACGAACTCCATGACGATGATGAGGAGACGGTCGTCAAATTCGAAATGATCAACATATCGCACGATGCTAGGCTGAATGACAGAACCGAAGTCAGCAAGCAGCCTGAAGCCAGAGCCAGTCTGTGAGGGGATCTGGGAGACCTACGTGCTGGATACTTCGCATGATCTTCATCTCATTCTCGACCTTCTGGTCCAAGACGCCGTTTTTGATAAAGCGGCGCTTGTCAAGCTCCTTGGCAGCATATGGCTTTCCATCATACTTGGAGGTGACCTTGTGCACGGTAGCAAATGCGCCTTTCCCGATCTCGCCGACACGGTTGTACTTGTTGGAGCCGTTCCACTCACGGGGCAGGCCGTTGGTGGAGGCCGGTACGAACCTCGGAGGTGGCATGTTCGAAGCATGCGCTGGTCGTGGAAAGAGATCGACATGACCACCTTGACCTGCACCGATGGTGGGGGGCAGACCCGCATTCGGAGTCGCAGCAGAGCCGGCGGAGTCGGCCAGCTCAGACAGGTGTCGGAGATAGTTGGCCAAGTTCCGCTGGTAGGCAGTCTCGTACTCGCCATGACGGCGAGGGACGCGCACGAGAAAGGCCAAGTCGTGGGCGTTGTTCTGCAGGAGGATGGAGATCTTGGTGCCGCTGTTGAGGGTTCGCATGTTGGACATGTTGCTGCGACGAGCCTTGAGCATGACCTCGTCGACGGCAGTGCCATTGGTGGACTGGTCCTGGAGCATCAAGACGCCATACTCGTTGATGAAGATGCGGAAGTGGATGTTGCTGAGACGGCGGAGGGAGTCGCTGTCAAAGCAGATGTCGCAGCTCTTGGGATTGCGGCCAAAGGTGAAGCCCTGCAGCGGGTTCTTGACGGTGGAAGAGAGCCTCAGCACAAAAACCGGGCCCGACCCTGGGTCTGCCGACGTGAGGGAGAAGTTTCCGGCAGAATCGTCAAAGGGATAGTCGACATCGACGTTCTCAGCATCCTCACGGCCAATGATGAAGGGCGAGCCTTGGCGGGCCAGGCGTGCGGCCTCGCTGCGAGTCTTTGGCGAGTACGGGACCAGAATGCAGACGATATCGGCGATATCCTCGTCTGTGAATCCCGAGTTCTGCTGGCCTAGACGTCGCGGGTCGAGGACATTCTGGGTAGCTGTTCGGATGTCAGCTCAGTGCGTTCTGCGCACGCGAAGGAGAGGAGAGAGCACAACGAACCTGGCTGAGTCGGCTGCGACAGCTCATTCTCCATCTGGACTGGCGCCTCCCACGGGAACGGCGCGCCGTTGCAGCCGCCGTCTGGTCGGGGACGTCGTGGTTGTGATGCGCCGGCGGCGGAGTTGTTGGACGGACGGTGGCGTCGACGACAAGCAGTCTCGGGCTTCTCAACGAGACAGAGAAGCAAATTGTCTACTGCATGCAGAAGCGACAAGCGCGCCGAATAGCATACCCGTGCAAAGCGAGTGAATGCGCGTTGTACGAGGCTGGTCTACCTGTTGGGGGCATTTAGCTGGTGTTTCAGCGAGAGAGGCCGAAATCAAAGAATGCGCAGTGGTCAGAAGCAAGAACCCGAACGGACGGTTGTCGAGGTAGCCAAAGCAGCGGCGGTCAACCGTTCGTTGGACGGACAGCGATCAAAGTAGAGGGGCAGCCAGCAGGCGTCTGCAGAAAGACAGAAGGCAGAAAGGTTGAGGGAGCAAAACAACAAAAGAGCGTACCTATGCTGGAGAAAGGTCCTGGCGAGGCGTGTGTGGCACAGCGCGTGGCTGCAAGGTACTCGCGTGCAACAAGAGCCAGTGCAAGGGTGGTAGTGTTTGTGTGTGGACGATCTGGTGGCGGAGGGTTGTCGGGGGGAGGTGGATGGCGTCGTAGTGGTATTAGGATTTTGTCGCGATTGGGAATTGACTGGGCGACGATTGCGCGTAGTGAATCAGGGAGACTCGTGCCAGGCAGCTTGTGACCTGTAACTCTGGAGTACAGTCCCTAGCGCGTGTCCTAGGGGAGGGGATCAGCCGCAGAGGCCACCCGGCAGCAGACAGCAGACAGCGGACAGGTGCTATTATGTTTAGTCAGCAAAGCGACCGCTGCCTGACTAGGCGAAGGAGCATTGAGCGTCCGGCGAATAGCAGGCGGGCGGGCAGTTCCTTCTGGCTTCCGGTTGGAGGGACAGATTGGGAGATATGGAGAAGGCCCAGAAAACCGGATCACCTGCAGAAGCGCATGATTCTACGGAGTGCGTAGGTCCAGAAGCACATGCATGGTAAGACGTCTGAGGCCGGATGACCAGTCTATGTCTGGCGATTCTGCAAGCTCAAATACGATGCAATTTTGTGGTCTAGTTCATGGTATCTAACAAATACTCGTACTCATACGCACGGCTGCTCTGCCGGCAGCCATTACTCATCCGACACGGCCGCAGGTGCAGACACAGGCACCGCCCCGGCCTCGGCGGGTGTCGCGCTGTTGTGCTTGTGCTTGCGCTTCCGCTTCCGCTTGGGAGCCGCATCGTCTGTCGAGGTCTTGGCAGCCGGCTCGCCCGAACTCTTTGGCAGCGCAGTCGCCGTCGTCGTCGTCTTGTCCTTCCTCTTCTTAATCGACAGCGGGTTTGGAGCTTTGAGTCCGTACTGCTTCTTCTTTTTCTTCTTCTTCTCCGTGTCATCCTTGTTGTCCTTGTCGTCGTCTGCATCGCTGGCGTCGCTGTCGGTCCCGTCGTCGTCGTCGGTCCGTTTGCGCTTCTCGCCCGTCAACTTGCGCAGCTCGCTCCGGAACTTGGCTCGTTCGGCCTGGACGCCCACCTTTGCCGTGGGGGCCGACATGGGCTCCATGATCATCACGCTCCGCGACTGTTTGTGTTAGTGCTGCCGTTCTTCCGTTCTGCCACGCCTTCATCCAACGTACAATGTAGATCAGCGGTACGCCGGCGATGCCGCGCATGTGCCGCCGCACATCCTGGTCTTGGCTCGCCACGACGTAGCGGTGCTTGTTTTCGCCGCGGCCCTTCTCGTCCACCACGTGGCCGAGGCAGGCGAGCGTCGACAGCGGCTCCTCAAACTCCTCCGGCTTGTGGCCGCAGCGGCGACGCTCAAACGTCTTGGCCAGATCGATGGCCTTGTTGACGCTGCGGTCTTCACGGCCCTGCGCGTACAGGTGGCGGATGCAGCACTGGGTGATCCTGGCGAGTAAAAAAAAAGCAGGGTGAGCAGGGTGAGCAGGCTGTGCGACATGTCGGCGCAGACTTACATGATCTTCACCTTACCGTGGAGAGTCCGCTCCAGGCCGGCCTGGAGATCCATGGTGAAGCGCTGCGCATCGCGGACGAGGTCGGCGTCGACTGCGGAAAAGAACAGAAAGCCAGATAGTTAGCTGGGCACCCACAAACATCGGCCTGGTCGCAGCCGATCGCTTACCTAACACCTGGTATGGCTCGCGGAATCCATGGTGCAGATTGAACTGCTGAACCAGCTTCTTGTACTGCTTGGATCGTTTGGCACGCATCCTGTCCTTGTCTGCCTCGGAGCTGTCTGGATGCAAGGCGAGAGATGAACAGAGGCCGGAATTCTGCCCATATAATTTTTCTTGTCCGATAAGCCAGATGCGTTCCTTATCGGAGACCCGCTTATTCACACTACTCCGGGCCCCAATTCTTTCTGCTTTTATACTCCCACATCGGGTCGTTCGTTCTCCATACTCTATTATATCGGGATGCCCACCCCAGCTTGCGGAAAGCGAGATGGTTCCGTGTTAGTGTGCATCAACGCACGAGTAATTCTATGCTTTGCACCCCCATTTAAACAAGCCATGCGACGCCCCGAAAATACCCATTCTAGATAACCGAGATAGCCGTGTGATTCCGCAACAAGTCGCTATAACATGCGGACCAATACCTGTAAATTCTCTCACACCGCGTCGTTACGCCGGCATATCGCCGCCACAACACTGATATCGTCGAGCTTGCCTGTGTGTCTCGTCAGCCGCAACATCCAGTCATGGGCGCGTTTGTGGCATGGGCTTTTGACCTACCTCCCTCGCTGGGCAAACCCTCCTCGATGGCATGCTCCATATAAGGGCTCTCGGCATACGGATCGACGGCAATGACACGCGCCGCCTCTACCAGCTCCTCGGCCACGACAGCCATCATGCCGCGCTCCAGGTCCAGGTCTGTCTTCTCGCGGGCCTGCCACGTGGCCACGCTGCGGCTTACCCGCTCGACAATCTCGTGCGACCACAGGTTGTCGATGACGCCGTCAGACATGGCCAGCACGACGTCGCCGACGTGAATTGGCACCGTGTCGACCACGGCGTTGCTGAGCGGTGTGTCCGGGCTGTTGGTGCCCAGCTGCCGCGGACAGTCGAACCAGTGCCACTGCTCCTTGGTCTTGAACACCATCAGGCTTTCGGCCGGCCGCACCACCATTACCTGCGAGTCGCCCAGGTTGGTCACATAGAGCATCGGTTCGTACTTGCTCCTCCCATCGCCTCCACCTCCGCCTGCGGCGCCTTTGCTCGTCGGCTCCGGTCGATGGTAGGACAGCTGTGCACCGGTCGCTGTTGTGGTTCCCTGCCAATCGTTGGGCGCCTGTGTTGCCTCCATGGTCTGTTCGTATGCCTGTTGCAGACAGCGGGCGGGGTCTGGAGGGATATGCATCGCATCGGCCGCCCGCAGGTCGTTGTAGACGGCGTCTGCCCAGAAGTGGGCGACCAGACGTGCCCAGAGGCCAGCGTGGCCGCGCGGCCGTGTCGACCAGGCACCCACGCCGTCGTTGGCCGCGACGAAATACTCGCTCGCATAGACGGCATCATCGCCGTTGGTGCAGCCACCGATCAGCTGGCCGCCGACCACGGCTCGACGACGGTCCCGACTCAGATGGTGCGTGCTAAGCGGATCGGAGAACGACGCGGACGGGGGCGAATAGAACGGCGGGGGAAACGGCCGCGGTGTGCGCTTCGCAAACATGCCGACGCCCGTGTCGAAGCGAAAAGGCTGAGGTGGCGACGGCCGGGCAAATGGCGGCCGGCCACAGCGGTTGTAGGGCAGGTCGGCATCGTTGTGGTCGTCGGCATCGTGGGTATAGCAGCACGGGTCAGGCGATGCTGCGATAGCAGTCGACGACATGTGCCTTCGTGACGGTGGCCATGAATACGGCTGCAGGCTCGAGTGTGAATAGAGGCGTGGATGCTGGGCAGAGTCAGAGAGAGGACGGCCAAGCTGGCGAACACAGCTGCAGCTGCAACCGCGGCGGTGGCTGTAGCTGCAGCGGGACCATCGTGCTGGCAGAACGTGTGAGGTGATGGTCGGTGGTGGTTGAAGCGGTCGTAGTAGCCTGCTCATTCCAAAGATGGGGGAGGCTGTGATGATGGTCGGTCTGGCCGGCGGGCAGCAGTGAGCGATGATGCTAGCGCAACGGAGGTGGGTGAGGGGGCAGCCCGGCCCATCTAACACGGCAGGGAAGCGTGGGAGAAACGGGTCTGCCGACGGGCAAAGGGAACGGTAGGGAGCAGAGAGGTAAAAGGGCAAATGCGACGCGGAATAAAGGCACGATGAGAGGCCTCGGAATACAAGACCAAACAGAGACGAGTAGAAAAGGCTGAGTCAATGCCACATGGGGAAGGAGTGAAAAACGAGAAAGAGCGGCACGGCTTATCATTGGATGGTGGCGTGGTGGAAAGCTGGGCGTGTTGCTCGATAAGGCTTGCCATTTGCCTGTGATCGGCCTTTCTGCGAACAGTCCCAAAGGAGCTGTGAGAATAGGAGCTGCCGCCAGTGGGCCTAGGCAGGTGGTGAGATTAACGAGTGTTCTGCTGCCATTGTGGTCAGGCGATGCGCGGCTATGACGGAGGCAATCTGGGGGGAATCAGGGTTTCAGGGCCGGGATCTACAGTAGCTTCTCGCAGCTTTCAGCAGTCTACTCGTGCTACAAAGTACTCACACTCCGTAGCCTTAGCTTCTGCCCTGCTGTTCAGCCGCTGGTACCTGGCCGCTCCGGACGGCCGGTGCCGAAATCATTTGCACTCTCGCGGATTGGCTCGGCTCTGGAAGAGAGCCGGAAGAAGGAGAGAGTGAGAGCCCGATATCGTACGGCAGGCCAGGACACGTCACAACACGGCACGACAACGGCAGACACGATCCTCGCAGGCCAAGGCCATGGCCCGTCTAAATTGGTAATTTTATCTTACAACCATACAAGTGCAGGTGTCGAGACTGGCAAGGGAAATATACGCTGATGCGTTGTTTATCATGGTGGAGCAGCTATGCGTCGTCTGGTCATCCGCACCCGCGTGAGTGCACCTCGTCGTCCCGTTCATGAGGCTGCTTGTCGATTCGATGTCTTTCCGCACCGTAAAACGGCCACGAGGCGGAAAATGACGCAACAAAATACGGAACCGTGAGACCACTGCCAGATGTCCGTCTCCAATCCGTCCTCAGCCTCATGCCCATCCCGGCGCCGCCTCGATTATCGTTTTTCCATCAATACTGGTCTGCCTCTATATCCAAGGCAGTCCTATCACCATTCCCATCCTCGTTCCCATCACCATCTTCATCACCGTCCCCGTTCCCGTTCTCGTTCTCGCACCCCCTCCCGGCCAGTCGTCCGAGGCCGGCCGTCTATGGGTTCGCCTTTGCCAACGACTCCAGGTATGCCTCGAGGTCGAACTTGGGGTCCGTCGGGTCCTGGTTCACTGTTGTCGAGGTTAGCGGGTAGTCCAAGTGACCCCTCTCGTGCTGTCTCTGTTCTGTCTCTCTCCCCCCACTTCGTAAGCACTCACGTCCGCTGCCTGATGATGGCGGCAGCTTCGACTTGCTGTACTCTGCCTTGGCCTGCTCAATGAGCTTCTGCTTGTGCTCGTATTCCTGCTTTGCAGCAGCCACCTTATCTGCCGAGTAGATCTTCCGCTGGTGGTAGAAGCCGTAGAAGACGCCCAAGCCGAGAGCCGAGTACCGGAGAACCTGCAGGCGGGGGAAAGAAAGGACGTGTCAGCATTCAGAGCATCGGCCAGACCGGGCTTCCGCCAACGGTGGATTCCGTGTGCATCCGCAATGGGCTGCTCGGACAAGAAGCACGACATACGTTGACGCCTGCGCTGGTCGACATTGTGATGGAGAAAGCGGCGGAGTTGCTGCTGAAAGTGCGGTCGAGATCGGATGGCGGTAGGCAGAATTGCGAGCCGGTGGGCAGAGGGAGGCGGATAGAGGCGGTGGGAGTGTGTCCGTGGTGTGGTTCAATTGACTTTTTTTTGCTCTTGCTCGCGGATCGCGTTGGGAAATTTCTCTCTCGCTACAGAGCACACAAGAGAGCCCTTCGTCTGCTGTCGGGATTTTTCGCGGGCAGAAGGTCCGCTACAGTCACTCCAGGGGTGCCGGCACCCCACTTGTTGCCAGTTGTGTCACGTGACACATCATCGGCCGCTAACGGCTATGCTCTCTTCAGCGTTTGTGGAAGCTTGTCGCAAGCGACGCGTATCGCGAGAAGGACGGCCGACGACAGAGACAGCGACAACGTCCATATAGACTGACGTTTGCGATCTCTTCCGTGCACAGAAGAAGCAGACTTGCAGCAGACGTGATTCTGCTCAGACGACTCCTGCAACCTGGGCACTTCCTGCCATGGGCACATAGAACGGCGAGCAAACACAAGCGAAGCAGACAGAGCGACATTCATGATGCAGCAGCGGCGCGATGAAATCCTGGCGAAGAAGGCGAAGCTCGCAGAGCTGAAGCGCCAGCGCGAGCTGCGCACGCAGGCGTCTGCCAGCCGGCACAGCATAGGCCAGGCCGACGTGAGTGGAAGTGGCGGATGTGGATGAGAAGAGGAACGAGCTGACGAGGCGAGCAGCTCATATCGCCGGTGCCTGGACGGGCGGATAACCGGCGGGAGATTGAGTCGCTGATCAACAGCCTGGTGGGCGAGAGCCGGCCGGGATCGACGACAACGGGCGGGGCGGCATCGCCGGCGCTCAGGGGCAGCCGGCCAAACAGCGTGTTGAGTGCGGGTGAGATGAGCAACGCGACGTCCGAGTTTGCGCTGTCAGCAAACTTGCAGGCGGCAACGGGGCCGACGTCACAGCCGCAGGTGCTGACGACGGTGTCGCTGACGACGATCTACGAGTGTCCGCCGTCGCCGGTGAAGGAGATCTACTCGTACAGCAAGGGCGTGCAGACGACGGACGACCTGTTGCCGCCAGCACCTTTGCAGAACCAGGGAGCGTACGATTCGGACGGCGACGATCCGCTGGCGATGACGACGGCGAGCAAGCGGATGAGCCGGCGGGGCCGGGACCGGGAAGAGGAGCTGCGCAAGAACATCCGGCGGGAGGTGGAGGAAGAGCTGCTGGCGACGCGGGAGCATCTTGCAGGCCAGGAAGACGCACGAGTCGAGGCAGAGACGGCCAACTACCCGGCACGGGTGCTGACGACAGAGGAGCTGGAGGCGGTGACGTCGTCGGTGGATTTTGCGGACTTTCTGGAACGGTCGACCAAGGTGATCGAGAAGGCGCTGGACCTGGAATACGACATCCTGACGGACTACACGCTGCAGGCATACGACAAGGACGAGGAGGACGAGCAGGGCAACGTGGGCGGCCGGGGACGGCGGAAGGTGAAGGAGATCCGGCAGTTCTACGACGAGAAGTGGTCGCGCAAGCGGATGATCACGTCCATCGACTTTTCGCCCAAGTTCCCGGACCTGATGCTGGCATCGTACACGAAGAATCCAGCAGCACCGCACGAGCCTGACGGAGTGGTGCAGGTATGGAGCCTCAATCTGCACGACCGACCCGAGTTTGTGTTCCACGCGCAGTCGGACATCCTGACAGCACGCTTCTCGCCCTTCAACCCGAACCTGATTTTTGGCGGGACGTACAGCGGGCAAGTGCTGGTGTGGGACACGCGGGCACGCTCGGCGCCGGTGCAGAAGACACCGCTGACGGGATCGGGACACACGCACCCGGTATACGCGCTGGACATTGTGGGGACGCAGAACGCCAACAACATCATCAGCTGCAGCACGGACGGGGTGGTGTGTGGGTGGGCTGAGAACATGCTGGCACAGCCACAGGAGTTTCTGTCGCTGACGGTGCCGCCACCAAGCAAGATCGACGACCTGGCGCCGACGAGCCTGGCGTTTCCGGACGCGGACCCGACGTTTTTCCTAGTCGGCTCCGAGGAAGGCACGATCTACCCGTGCCACCGATACGACCGAGCCGGGGCCAAGGCAGGTGTGGACGCGCGGGTGAGCTACCGGGGCCACGCGGCGCCGGTGATGTCGGTGGACTTCCATCCTGCACGCGGGCCGGTAGACCTGGGCGACCTGGTGCTGTCGGCGAGCCTGGACTGGTCGGTGAAGCTGTGGAAGGTGCGGGCGCCAGCAGCGACGAGTACGGTGGTGGCGGGGGGGGCAGCCGGACCGGGCGTCGGGGGCGGCGGTGTGGGCGGCATTGGGAGCATTGGCGGGATCGGGGGTGCCGGCAGCGGCAGCGGCAGCAGCAGCAGCGATGGCGTGGTGACGCCGCTGATGGACTTTGTGCGCGAGGATGTGGTGTACGATGCGGCCTGGTCGCCGGTGAAGCCGGGTGTCTTCAGTCTCGTGGACGGGGCCGGCTGGCTGGAGCTATGGGACATCACGGTGGAGACGGAGGAGCCGGTGGCACGGATCAGCCCGAGTCCGCGCAAGGATGGCCGCTCGCTGCTGGCCAACAGTCTCAACAAGGTGGCCTGGGACAAGAGCGACGGGCGGCGGCTGGCAACGGGCGGCATTGCCGGGACGCTGACCGTGTTTGAGGTGGGGCCGGACCTAGGCGGGAAGGAGAACCTGCGGAGTGAGGAGTGGACGAATGTGAAGAAGCTGGTGAACCGGCTGGAGGCGGGAGGGAACGGAGGGGGGGTATAGGGGGGAGTGGGCAGGAAGAAGGGACGAAGAGGTATGGGAATGAGAGAAGAGGAGAGAGGAGAGAGGGAGGAGAGGGGAGAGAGGGAGGAGAGAGGAGAGAAGGAGAGAAAGGGAGGATAGAGAAGAGGAGAGGAGAGAGAACAGAGGAGAGAAACGGAGAGGACGAAGAACTAGAGCCAACTCAAGAAGAGCTACTCAATGTATATAAGACACTACAATAATACCCTTTGCATTGGATGTGCACATGTGATGTCACATGACATTGAAGTACTCCTTAGGCAAGAGCCTTGAGTACTCCGTACTCCGTACTCTAATCCCCACTAAAGCTCCCCGCCTCAAGTATCTTACAGAGCCAAGCTATAGCACCGCCAAACCCATCACCACCATGGCTCCATCCACAAAGGTCAGCGAGCTTCTGGCCGAGGCCGAGAAGACATCAGACGCCGGACCGGCGCTGCTGTCGATGCTGGAGACGCTGCCAACGATATCGAGCGCGGCCACGATGGCCGACGACCTGAAGGCGATTGGCGACAGCGTGTTCGACCTGTCGACGGGCATCATGTCGGCACGAGCAGTGCTAGACGGGCTGGTGAAGGCGCTGCGGGACAGCGAGAGCGGTGAGCTGCAGATAGCAGTGGGTGAACACGTGCTGCAGCGACTGGGAGCAGGATCTAGTTCAGGCTCAGGCCCAGGCTTGGGCTCGGGCTCAGGCTCAGGCTCAGGATCAGGATCCGGAGGGACAACCCAGGCGAGCTTCCTGGAGCAGGCGGCGACGCTGAGCGAGCTGGTGGCGACGGCACAGGAAGCAGCGGAGAACTACGTGGAAGCAGCGCGGCTGCTAGCAACGATTCCGCTGGACGGCAGCGCACGGCGAGTCAGCCAGGAGGACAAGGTGCGGGTGTGGGTGCGGATCGTGCGGGACTATCTGGAGGTGGATGACAGCACGAGCGCGGAGGCATACCTGAACAAGATCAAGGGGGTGCTGTACGAGGTGGAGGACGCGGAGCTGAAGCTGCACTTCCGGCTGTCGCAGGCGCGGATCAACGACGCCAAGCGCGAGTTTCTGGCTGCGAGCACGGCCTACCACGACATCAGCTACAGCACGGCCATCGCCGAGGACGAGCGGCTGCACACGCTGGGCGTGGCGGTGACGTGTGCGATCCTGGCACCGGCAGGGCCGACGCGCAGCCGCGTGCTAGCCCGGCTTTACAAGGACGAGCGAGCTGCCAGCCTGCCGGCCTTTGCCATGCTCGAGAACATGTTTCTCGACCGGCTGCTGACGGCCTCGGACGTGGCTCAGTTTGCCCGCAGCCTGCAGCCACACCAGCTGGCTACCACGGCTGACGGCCAGACCGTGCTCGCCCGTGCCGTCGTCGAGCACAACCTGCTCGGCGTCTCGCGGCTGTATCGCAATATTCGCCTCGCCGACCTCGCCGACCTGCTCGCACTGGCCCCCGATCGCGCCGAGGAGACGACCGCCCGCATGATCGAACAGGGCCGCCTGCTCGGCCGTATTGACCAGATCGCCGCCGTCGTCTGGTTCGAGGGCGGCGACGCCTCCGGCCGCAAGGGCTCCGGCCGCGCCGAAAGCCGCGTCGACAGCGAGCTCCGCCTCTGGGACGCCAACGTCCAGAGCCTCGCCGAAGAGGTCGAGAGCATCACCAACGCCATCCAGCGTGACTTTCCCGTACGTGCTCTGATCGGATCTCGGATCTCGGATCTCGGGTCTCTGACACGAACTGACCACTTGCAGGACTTTGCCGCTCGCAATCTCGTCGTCTAGTCAGACATTCCTTCCACAGCACGGCGTTCCGGTCATGGTTGCTTCGGTATACGAGAGACAGGCAAGAAAGGCAAGATGTACGGCAGAAACACAGAAAGCGACAAAAACCGCAAGAATCAATAACCCCATAAACCCTTACAAGCCCAGCCAATAAGCCATGCACGCCCAGTAATCACAAGCAGAGTCTAACAACCATCCAAATCGCCGTTTGGGTATCTATCCAGCGCCCGTGGCTTTGCCTTTCCGTCCCATCGGATTTCTCCATAGCCTTCTTAGTCTAGGTCTTTGCACCGCACCACCACGTATCCCCGCCGCAGATCTCCAGGGCTGCCGCTCTCCTCCTCGAAGCTGTTCTCGTCGCCCTTGAACTTCCTCTTTCGACGCAGCCGCTGTCGGCCCTGTTCGACCCCGTTGTTCAGCAGCTGGTCCTGCTCCCGTGCGTCCGCCTCCCGGTGCAGAATGTCCACCAGCGCCGCCCCGATCTTATCGCCCATGAGGTCGTAGCCGGCTGGCGTGAAGTGCAGCGTGTCGTCCCAGTACCGTTTGCGGTCCTCCTCGGACATGGCCGTGTAAGAAAACGCCGACTTGAAGTCGTACGAATAGCTGCAAGTCCGATGTTAGATTCTGCAGCCGTTGGGAAAGGGAAAGAAGGTCTGAAAGAAAGGGAAAGCATACTAGTCCTCGTGCGTGTAGCCCTGCACAAGAGCGTTGAGCCGGTCTCGGCGCGCATTGATGCTTGCAACCACAGGCGAGCTGGACGTCGTCGCCATCTCCGGCACCGTGAGCGCGAGCACCTTGCTCCTCCGCAAAATCCCGTTGGACCAGGCGCGCTCCAGGTTCTCAAACGTCTGTTCCGGCGACGCACCAGAGCAGAGATCGCTGCAGGAAGTCAGCCAGCACACACGACAGCCTGTCCGTGGCAGATTCTCTTACTTTGTCCCTCCCAGCACAATGGTCCAGTCGAACGGCCTCATCATCTTCTTAGCCCGAACTATGGGCAGCCGGTCAGCAGCTGTGGAGGCGTCCATGCGGGGCCGAAAGCTGCCCAGAACTCACATGCAGCCGTGAGGCGGGCAGAGAAGTGCGACGAGACATCGCCGCTCAACCCGTCCTCCACCACGTCGACCTCCAGGTCGGGAAAGGCGGCCTTGAGCTTCCGCACAAGAGCATGGTGGTACGGGTGGAAGAGCAGACCGGCCTGCGTATAGCCGGCCGTCAGCGAGTCTCCGAGACAGAGGATGCGCAGCGGGCGTTCGGCCATGACGCTGGAGTGGTGCGAGATGAAGGCGGTGCAGGCTCGCGAGGATCCGGGGATCTGCTATCGGTCGGGATACGGACAGGTCGGAGTCACGAGGCAAACAAGGCAAAGGAGGCGGACAAGGCGACCAGAGGCCAGAGGCCAGACCAGGCAACAGCTCACCACAAGCGGGGCCCTCGCCTTCCCGCCCCTCCTTCCGTCTCTGACCGCCGCTGACTGGCTGCTGGCCCAAGCCTTGCTGCTACTACAAAGTACATTGTATCTTACTGTGGCGCCCACCAGCCACTGAAAGACCTGCTATTAGACTCGTATGATCCTATTTCGGCCACGCCTCTCGTACTGCCCCAAACGCCAGCACGCCAAGCGGCTAAACACATGACCAAGGGTGAAGCCTTATGCGTCGGTCAGAGGCCACCCATACGCGTATACGGCGTATGGGGCAGGTGGGTATGTCACATTGGGAAACATGACATCGCCATGATTACAGTACTGTGTCCATGTCCAGCGATCGGGGTGCTCACGTGTCTTATTTCTTAAAGTAAGATCAAGTACGAGCCTCACGGACCAGAAGGAAAACACTGCTCTGCTCGTATCTTAATACGCGTATGCCCAGCTCCACCCCTTCCTGGACAGAGTGGGCTTGCTCCCCTTCGCTTTGGATCCGACTAGCCATGATTTGTCCAAATCTACCGCTGCATCGAAGCGAGCGGCACGGCATCGCCGACCCGATCCCTCCGCCTTCTGCAACGTGGACTGCAGGGAATAGAAACTATGGGGCAACATGAAGCATCTGCCCCATAACTACACTCGGAGTCGTTCACTACAGAGTACTCCGTAGACCACATTTTCTAGGCGAAGTCAGTGTCGAAGCTCTGATACACGGCTTTCCACTTTTCCCCTATTCCGTATGTAGAACCCAAGATCTGGTTGAATAGAGGGGGGAAAAGGCTTCTGTCTACAGCGAGACAAGGGTACCCGGACAGGTGCCATTCATCCCTAGTTGTTCCGCACAATCAGACCGTCTCTTCTGTGCTACGGAGTCCGACGTAGTATTTCACCGGCAGACAGCGAAACTCACTCATACTGGACACCTGCCGTCGCCTTTTTGCGCCTTGCCTGTGCAACGGCAACTGCTTTAGATCAGTTTTAGGAGGAGGGGGTGCAAGGTAAAAGACGCCTAGGGAAGGCCAGGGGAGACTGCGATCCACCTGGCAGACTCGCATCTTGCTCATACGATATGTTTCCGGCACAATGTTCTCAGGCGTGCACGATATGTGCAAGTAAATATACCATGCAAGACAGTATGGCGTGCAGGCCTCTTGTACATAGTAAAGCCGGCAGAGGGTCGTGCATCCACTAACCACCGCTTTCCAGCAGCTGCAGGGGCTGTCGGCTATAGCAAACATGCATGTGTATATGCGCACAGGTCGTAAAAAAAGCTGTGGTCCTTGCGCGATCGTACATACAGAGTACATACATAATACGGAGTGCGCAGGGGGGGAGGGGGGCCATATTACTTACTATGCACGAGAATGCAAGATGCCAGCTGCGGGCTCCTCGACAGTCGGCTGCTCTCGAAGCGGCGCATGGCTTGGCCGTGATCCGGCAATCCTTGGCAATGAAACGAAAGTGAAAGATTTGCATGCTCGTGCACATGGGGTGTAGAGTACGAGGACGAGTCAGAGAGCAGGATACTTGAGCAGGTAAAACGCAGTCCCGAAAACGAGAACAACCAAACATCCCTGTCGATTGTGCATTGTACTTTCCCTTTTCTTATTTCTTCTTTTCTTCCTTGTTTCGTTTCCTTGTCGGGTTCTCGTTCTCATTCTCGCACTCTCTTGAGTGTGCTCGTAAATGGACCAAGCAGAAACTTGGCCGATCTGATTACTCGTACTCCGTAATAAAGGAAAGATGCGACTTGGCAAGCAAGAAAACCATCAGACAACACCGGGAAATGGCGCCGATATTGGTCGCGACGTGGCCTGTTTCGGCCGGTCCGCTCGGACCCTTGCCCATCAGGAAAGCAGGAGGTGAAGAGACGGTGAGCGGGCCTTGAAGGTGTGTGATACGGGCTCTAGTCCGGTCGCGTGTAGACTGGACGTCGTCGGATTTGGTCTCTTGCAGCTCTTTGTCTACAAGTACGAGAATTCACAGCACTATTTTTGTCTTTCTTCTTCGTCTAGATCCGACGGGAATCTACGATGTAACGGGAAGGAGCAATCCAGCGTAGGATATGGACGCTCATACTCCGTACTTGCACCTCCTTCCTTCTGACGACATGGGCCAAGCGAGTACGGTTGTAGCAGAGCCCTTTCGCCGAAAAAGGAAAAAAAAAAAAACTCCCCACGGAATTCTCCGCTAGCGCTGCAAGAGCAGACCTAACAGTACTCCGTAGGGGTGCGAGAATCGTACTCGTACGCAGCAATACAACGTGATCGTGCTTCGACGGCAACGGTGAATTTCCGGGAGTGTGCCTGGTGGCCTTGTCTCGTCACCTGAGCATGCGGGAACCGGACTTTTTTGATCGAATTACAGATGCGGCTCCGCTCTGAAGGAAATAAAACGGCGCAGTAACACCAAAAAATGGGAAAAAAGGACAGGAGGAAGGGAGTGCAGCGGCACTTTTTCGGTATCCCGAGCAGCCGAAAAACGGCAAACGAGCAGGAACCATACTTCGTACATAGTACAAGCTATCTAGCATCTGGATTCGTGACCGGCGACGCCCGTGCGACTTCGCACAATGTGCCCGTGCGCAAAAAGGAGGCACTTGGCGCAGGAGGCGTGTGCATCGTGTCTGGGGTCTGGACGTCTAGGGCATAGATCTGGACATAGGCCGTCTCGTTCAGACTGCTTGCTCTTATGGACCCTACCGCATGGGGTAAGCAATACGCCAGAGACTACCCACCCGACGCTGGACAAAGGGAGTCGTATCCTTGTTCTGGCGCCTGGCATGCTCTTGGAGCATTCATACAAGTCGTATTTCATGCCGTCGAGGCACCGGGCACCTGTGTGATGTCTTTGCGAGTCCTTATAACCAGGGAGTGGTCTGCCGATCGCCGTCCAAGAGAGAAATGATCTTCTGGATGCCAAACGCGGCATCGTAATCGATCACCGTCCAAAACCAGCTCCAGACAGGCGCGTCGATTCAGGACTGTCCAGGCCGCCGACAGCCCAGCGCGCTGAAGGACAAGTACGATGCAGTTTATCTAACCTACGGTCTATCCGAAAGTGACACGGGAGAAAGGGGACTGTCCGGTGGGCTTACTCGTTGTCATTGTGTGAAGTACTTAATCGTCGCAAACAAGCTTCGAAATCACATATCACAGAAATTATCGCGCGCCCATCACTCGTACGAGTACGTAAGCCGTCCGCTGCCAATTACGGATACACCGACGAATGGCAGCTTCCACACCCCACACCTCCCTGCCAGGGCACGCTTGGCGCTGTCACATAGATTTACCTTGCAGCACGCGGCCAGGAGGCAGAGAGGAGTTACAGATCTTTCCGTGGACGAAACGGTCGTCGAGGGACCCACTGGTAGCTCCGTAGCTCCCAGTCGCAACTTCCTTTGTTCCTGTCCATCCGGCCAGCTACTGCGACCAGTACTGGCGAGGTCCAACTCGAAAGCCTCTAAACGGCCGTGCAAGGGCGGAAACGCAGAGCTTGGACCTGGTGCTAGCCTGTAGTGTCCGCCCATCCGCACACCGTCTGCCCGTTTTTTGCAAAAGGTCGGAAGGTTCTTGGCTAACGACGCTCGAGCGCAGCGCTACCGTCCTGCCCGAAAAGGGTCCTTCTTAATGCCCGGCCGGCCAGCTCTTTCCATGTTCGATACTTAGTGAACAGCCCTTCCGCTCCTTCCCTCTCGTCGCCTGTCTCGTAGTCTTCCGTAGCTCACGGCCCCTTCCCACTCTCGTACAGCCGGCTGCCCCGAGCAGATATCGTGTCATCGCGCAAAAGCGCGCATCATATCTATCCTCGCCACATCAAGCCACCATCTATCTCTCCAATCTCCCGCCCTCATCACCAACAGGCACCTTTCTTCCTACACCCCATCCCCGTGCGATTACTCGTACTCTCGTATATGTCCGTGGCCCCGTTCTCCTCCCTCTCCTCGTGCTTTTCCCCGGCTCTAACAGGGCTGACCTGTCCGCAACAGCTTCTCTTCACCATCTCATGCCTGCATGCGTCTGGTCGTTGCAAAAAACCCCTGCCCCTGTCTGGTCCGTTCGCCATCACATCTGTGCACCCGCTCTGCTCTCCCGCCCTCTGGCTTTCACACTTTGCAAACCCGTCCAACAGCCCTTACGCCCGACCGTATGGAGTACGAAGCTTGGATATAATCTTCCGCCCAGTCGCATACTTGTACGACCTGCTTCTTTCATCGAGTAGACAGCCCCTCCTCGTCTTGGAAATGGCTCTAGAACCCCCCAGGTCGCCCGGCCCCCCCCACATAGCACGCCTGGCACGTTTACAAGGACTCCATAGTTCCGGCACACCAAAATCCACCACAGCCTGACGCCTGCATTGCTTTGTCGACCCTCGTCCGATTCTCGCGAAGCGACACATCAGTTTTGAGAGCTGGGGTTCAGCACGGCAGGGTCTGCGGAACACCTCTCACCACCCAGGAGTGCATACATCCTAAGCTGCCCTACAAAACGCCCGTCCTCATAGCCGGCTGTCACCGCCCCTGGTCGCTTCCCAAACCTCATCCGGACCCTCCTCCAGACACTAATAGCACACCCTCACCTAACCTCAACGCTTGACGTTCTAAATCAAGACTGCTTCATACATGGTACCCACGACAGCTGACGAAAACCCAAGACAGCCTTCATCACCCATCGTACCCACAGGTCCCGTGGCATGCTCCATGCCCATACACATCCACATCAGCATATCCACTTACAGCAGGGAATGCGAGGCATATCACCGGGATGATCCTGCATCAACAGTGATTGTAACTGTTGATAACCGCGCCGTGCTTGCCTGTGCTTCCCAAACACACTTTCCCGTTTCGTCTCTTGTCCAGTTTTGTTCACACATATAATCGCTTACAGAACGTGTATATATCATATATTCTTTCTGTATGTCTTGCATACACGCACACTCACACGCATGGACATATATATGACCATATGTCTTGCCAGTGCAGCCGCTCTCTCCTCAACCTCATCTCACTAACACGCCGTACAAGATACGTTTAACTGCAATCGGCCATCAGAAGGGCAGCAGCATACAAGCAAAGTCTCGGACTTCTCTATCCTCACTCTGTCCCATTTCACATCCTCAGTCAACATCCATATCGCTCCTCAACATGTGCAACTTCACCAAAAACTACTATGTCTACACAAGCTGTGTCGACCCCGGAGCTCACTACTTCAGCACGTCCCTCGACGGCAGCAAACAGCAGTCATGCGCGAGTGGACCACACGAACGGTATATTGTGATCCCTGGCCATTGCCCGTTCTGCTCCGGCTAGGCATCGCAAATTCGCATGTTTTTCAATTCCCGACCACACTGGCCTCCGCAGTATCTACACCATGCCTTGCGTGGTTTTGTGGTCGTGGATTTATGGCTTCTTAGCGTCATTCATCATCATCACACCACTCTCCACTCTCTCCTGAGATCTAAACAGTTATGCATCTGCCTTATTCCCCAGCGCCTTGGACTTCATGATTGGATGAACTGGGAGCTGAAAGGTGTGAGGTCGCACTGGGATCCTACCGAATGCACAACACCTCAACATGTGCGGCATGGTCTGATGCAGTGCAAGGGTCAATATTTCACCAGAGCGCCCGCATGTTACCTTGCAAAAGTAGGCCCACCCTACGATACAACATCAGATACCTCATCTGCGGCGCTCGATCCGCATGTTATGGGACAATGGCGTCTCTCGAGGGATAATAATGCCGCGGAGGCGGAGGCAAAGACGAAGGCGTCGGGGAGAATTCGGGAATGGGGTTTTGGGTTCGGGTTCGGCTCATTTTGTTTTCTTCCTTTCTTCTTGGACTAAAGTCAACTCCAAATATGGGTTCTCAATTTCGGTGTTTCTTTTTTCTTTCCTTTCACATTTATACCATAAGAAGCTTGTCTGCTCGTTTTCTAGTATGAATATACCACTCTACAGCTTGCAAGCGAAAAGATGCATGGTTTATTATAGCCATTCTGAGTTTTGCTTTGCCATTGCCGCTTCTACAACAAAATGCAATATCATCAGTCCTTGTTACCAGCTAACCATCTGGTATATAGCTTCACACCAAACCAAAAGATATACGGAAAGACGATATGCTGAGATCGGTGCTTCTCGCTGCTGATTTCATTTCCCATTCCTGGTACGCCAGTTTGCACCACATGTTTTTTTTATATGCCTCCCCTCTACTAGGTACGAGTGCTAAAAATACGAGTCTTGTTTTGTAGCATTCTTTTTTACACCTAAATCCCATGCAGCACGAAGTTTTTTACACCAAGTGTCCTCCACCCTTCTGCGTTCCAAGATGACAAGAACCCCAGTTCTGTCAGTTTCCCCCCCCTAGCATCGCAACTTTTTTATATGAGATACGACGTAGTGACAAACTATCCAAAGAACGACTCTGTATCGACTTAATACGTCCATGTCTTATTATTGCAACTGCTCTCGCTGATCCCACCCACCTTTTGTTTCAAGTGCAAGCAATGGGAACTTTGGTCCCTAAGGCAAGCGCTTTGAAAGTCTGCAGTTATACGAGTACAGTAAATGTGTGCCTGATTTGTTCTCGTATTATTCTCTGACCAGCTGTTGCAATCACATCATACATCCACACTCAACCAGTGCTTTTATCACAATTGATTCCCCTCGTTTATAAAAACCGGCGTGTAGACAGTACTTTCTGCTATGATACGATACCAATCCTAGACAAGACAGGCAGTCTTTTTCGCCGGCAGCTCTGCCCCGAAGTGAACCAGAAAAGTGTTGTGTCTGGGCCAGCGATCGACTTCCCAAATGAAGGAGCGAGCCCTCCGCAGATCATGGCGGCACGGCTGAACGGAGTGATCAAAAACAGTCTGGAAGGCTCATATAGAATGCATAACGTCCGTGCAAATTTATGTGCATTTTCAGTATTCCCTCTTGGGTTCCTGGGGGAGTCAAAGCGTACTATTGGCTGATTTATCTGATTCCGAGATTGAGAGGCATGGTAGTCTGATTTGCATGTGAAATACGAAAATCTTACCTCTACGAGCAAAAAAGCCGCCGTCTTTGCTTCGGGAGCACCCGATATGGCACCCGTTTGTCGCGTCTACAGGCCTGTGAACGGGTCCCATTGGCGTGACGACTACGCTTCTCAAACTGTTGCTCAAATGACCACGGACATTTCGCCACCCGTAAGGCAAGCGCCAGGGGGCAATTGGATCCCGTGTGTGAGTCTCCGTTTTCGGCCTTTCTTCCTGCTCACGACTCCTCATTATCGCGAGTATCATAACAAAATTTGATCAAGATCATAACATTCGTTCATATCTAAGCGCCCATAGTCACAGTCAATGCACGCCGGGTGACGTAATAAAGTACGGGCATAACCCATTTCCAGCACAACTCATATTGAATTTGTTTCTGAGTGTTGCATTGCCGCCACTGCTGAATACTGGGACCTGGGAGAGTTGACAAGCGAGTGAGTGTTCCTCTTGGCCTCATACATAGTAGCAAGGTTCATAACCCTTGTCGAAATCCAGCTCTATCATTGGCCCAACTTTGCTGTTTGAAAAACGATTATGCCGAAAAGAGAAGGACCCAACCCCTGCCTGTGGCACGACTTATTACATACTAGTAGCTCAACTTCCCCCTTTCCTCGGCATCATGATTACGAGTACTCGTATTGGTTGCAAGGGCACTCCTACTCCGTATGTATCGTATTATGCATTACGATTATATCGTAAGCAGCTGATTACTATGGAGGCCGTTCCCCATAAGATGCGTCTTTCAGACCGGAAGCACGGATACCCCCCACGCACTTCGCACAAAAGCAAGGCTTCGCACGGCTTTCAAAGTTCACTATTTCGCGGCTGAGTTTTCGAGCTGCCGGCCAATGCTGCTTAGTTCTCGCTACTCTGTACTCGGTACTTTGCTGTTAGTTCTGTTTTTCGAAGCGTGAACAGTACATAGTACGACGTACGAGTATTGATAGGACGTGATAGCTGTCCGATTGCAGTGTACAGCATCCTTTCCAGGCCACATAGTAAACTGCTGATCCTGCTGCAGGAAGTAATTACTATGTATCAGGGACAGGGGAACAAAACATAAAAGCGCAGAGCAACTCCACACATCTTACAGGTCCTGACCAGCCAAGCATTTTACAGGCTTCCGACTAGGCTAACCATATTTGCTCTGTCTGTCGAAGACAGCTATGATCAGGCAAGCCCAGCCGTTGACTCCACGCTTCATAGTGGCCGTGCGCTTTCGCTCCCCCTGTATAATATGCGTTTGTCGTCGCTCCTCTGCGGCTGGCCTTTAGGATCGGAGAATGATGCATCCTTTGATTGTGTGGTTTCGCAGCACTCACCAGATGTCGTGGGAATACGATACCTTGCCGCGAGGCGTTCTCGCGGCGCCGCGTTCAAACCACCAGACCTACATTCTGAGCAGCGTCATCCTGGCCATTTCTATCTTATCGGCACTGGGCGCAGGGTGGATCATACTCAGTTTCGCCGTAAGTCTGACGCCTCCACCGACCCCCCGAGGATCTTTAGCATCAAGCTCCAGAGATCTGACCTGTTGTGTTAATCGATACCAGTTCTTCAAGCAGCTTCGCTCTTTTCGACACCGACTTATTCTGTACGAGAGCCCCGTCCCTTTTTTGTAGATGAGAGATGCACACACCTCCTAAGACAGAGCAGGTATTAATACGGCACACCTCATCCTCACAGTGGTCTCGCGTTCAGCGACTTTGTCATGGCAATTAATTTCCTGTCTTCGTCCGCTATGAACCTGAATGGCAGAGATATCGGACTAGGCAAGAACAAAACGTTCTGCAGCTACAACGGCTTCATGACCCAGGTCTTTGTGATCCAGACCGACTACTGGGTGCTGGCGATTGGTATATGCACATATCTGATCCTCTCCGACCATAAGATAGCCTCGGTGTGGGCCCAGGACCATGTCCATATCATTGGTTCCTTGCCGTGGATCTTCTCTGTCCTCTGGGCCATCATCGGACTGGCCACGGCAGGTTATGGCGACATTGGCGCATGTATGCTTTCTTGATTTCTTATTGCACCCCTCCCCTCCTTCCCACCTGTCAGTACCTGTCAGTGGTAGGCTAATAACCAAACAGGGTGTTGGTTCACGTCGGATAGGGTCCGCCTCTTCGCCAACTTTATTCCTCGATGGCTGATTATTGTGATTATGCTCATCATGTACGCTCGACTTTATGTAGTCCTGTTCCGCGCCCATAGGTTCATGTCATCAAGCGATGAAGGAGGCCGCAGAGCAGGTACTACAAACAACAGACGTAGCGATATTGAGGCTAGCGATCTGGGGCAACAGCAAGCCTTCGACCGAAGAGCTCAAACATCCTCCACAAAGAGACTTAAGAAGGTCAGTTCTCGCCTTGCTGTTTCCTCCCTTAGCTGAAAGCGAACTGAGATAACTAACCAAAACAGCTGGCGAGGCTCATGATTATGTACCCAATGGCATATATCTTCATCTGGACTTTGCCGACGACCATTCGCATCTACCAGGCCTGCACTGGAAAAGCTGCGCCCTTTGCGGTGCAGACGGTTGACAAGGTAAAATTTGACGTCATGACCCTGTCTTCGGTTCGCCGTAATTCCTCTGCTAAAACATAAGACAGTCTTGCATTGTCATCCAAGGCGTTGTCGATGCCTTCATATACGGCATCAACGAATCCTCGCTCTCAGCATGGCGAGACCGATTCTTCCCAAGCTCATATTTGAAAAGCGAAGGGAGACGATCTGTATACAGGTTGTCATCCCAACCAGGACCGCAACACTCACAAACACAGACCACGCGACCGAGCCGTGACTCTGACGATGAAACCAGCTCGACTGCTCACATCACGAGGGGTGCGAGCTACGATGAAACGGCAGGACGACCCTCGGGGCTAGGCTATGAGGCAGATGCGCATGCAAAAGGTTACGGCATTGAAAAGACTGTAGAAGTGAGAATTGCATATGGAAGTCGCGCAGGATAAAGATCTGCCCATCAAATTAATGGCGTCAGTATCGTTGATTACAATAACGTCGAACTAGAATAGCGAGGATACCCATATTTCAAATAACGACTTGCCCTTTCATGAATCTTAGCTGGCATAGTTAGTTAAACATGCCGAATAGTAAATGATACCAGAAAATAGTCTTGCTGTTTTTAATGCTTTTCTTTTACCAATCAAGCAGCTGTAGCAAGTCTCTGCTGCATGAATCGGGCTCACACTACTCCGTACTCCGTATCCTAAGAACACAAGCAGAAGAAGTACGACAACAAAATCTCTGAGAAGACTCGACACCTTACAGGTCTGTTCTCGCGCGCTGTACAGTGCGCTCCATAGATTGGGCACGAAGTACCCCGATGTTTTGCTGACCCGGCGTACACCTAAGAGTCGCTTGCGAAGCAACTCTTTGATGATAGCACATTTAGTGCAATAACAGATGCCGGATCCGATGGTGACGTTTAACTTACTATCTGTGTTATGGCATACATGTCGGAGCCGGCATAACAATTTACCGGGAAGGCGCGCCACGCCAACAAGGCAGCAGGAGCTTGAGGTAAGCTTTCCGGTTCGTCGTCGTGGGTTGGCTCTCATATCTGTATTGCATTCTTTGATCACCACACGTCACCGCAACCGGCTTTTCTTGTCGTATCGAAAGGTCCAGCCGTCCAATTTCTGCGCGCACAATACTGCGCGATCTGGCACAGAGACGCTGCCTGATTTTTTTGGGTACAACTGCCCGCGACTTGCCTTCTGACGCTTACCCCCCTCGACTTTCTATAATGGCGGACCCGGAGCGCCAACATGCCCTTTCGGCCTTCAAGGAGAAGTTGATCGAATCGCGGGAATGGGAGGCAAAGCTCAAGGCGCTGCGCTTGGAGATTAAAGGCCTACAAAAGAACTACGACCAGACGGAGGAGAACATCAAGGCGCTGCAGAGTGTGGGCCAGATTATCGGCGAAGTTCTGAAGCAGTTGGACGATGAGCGATGTGAGTGTCATGAACTGTACGACACTGCCCGATGATGGAGGATGTGACAACTGACAACATTGGCCTCTTTGTACAGTCATTGTCAAAGCATCTAGCGGGCCAAGATACGTCGTTGGGTGCCGATCGAAGGTGGACAAGGCCAAACTGAAGCAGGGGACACGTGTGGCTCTCGATATGACGACGCTCACGATCATGCGGATGCTGCCACGAGAGGTCGATCCTTTGGTGTACAACATGTCGCTGGAGGATCCCGGCCAAGTCAATTTTGCGGGTATTGGAGGGCTGAACGAACAGATTCGGGAACTCCGCGAGGTTATCGAATTGCCTCTGAAAAACCCCGAGCTTTTCTTGAGGGTGGGAATCAAGCCACCAAAGGGCGTTCTACTGTACGGTCCTCCAGGGACAGGCAAGACGCTCCTGGCGCGTGCGGTGGCCAGCAGCCTCGAGACCAACTTCCTGAAAGGTGCGACGATCATCTCCTGCTTTCTCCTCTTGACGTTTCTAACCTGTTTTCTACACAGTCGTTTCGTCCGCTATTGTCGACAAATACATTGGCGAGTCTGCGCGCCTTATCCGTGAAATGTTCGGCTACGCCAAGGAGCACGAGCCGTGTATCATCTTCATGGACGAGATTGACGCCATCGGTGGCCGGAGATTTTCGGAGGGCACCAGCGCCGACCGAGAGATTCAGCGGACGCTGATGGAACTCCTTAACCAGCTGGACGGCTTCGACTACCTCGGCAAGACGAAGATTATCATGGCGACGAACCGGCCCGACACTCTGGACCCCGCGCTGCTGAGAGCGGGCCGGTTGGATCGCAAGATTGAGATTGCACTGCCAAACGAGGTTGGCCGGTTGGAGATTCTCAAGATCCACGCAGCGAGTGTGATTACAGAGGGGGAGATTGATTTTGAGAGCGTGGTCAAGATGAGCGACGGCCTGAACGGGGCTGATCTACGGAACGTGGTGACAGAAGCGTAAGTCTGGACACGTCTAAACAGTATGTGCATCGATCAGAAGCTAACAGTGTGTTTTTCCATACAGCGGACTGTTTGCTATCAAGGACTACCGGGATGCTGTCAACCAGGACGACTTCAACAAGGCCGTGCGGAAGGTAGCCGAGGCCAAGAAGCTGGAGGGCAAGCTGGAGTACCAGAAGCTGTAAATGCGGGAAACATGGGTAGCAAGCACCGGGATGCGGACCTGAAGCTGCTAGTTGTAAAAATATAAGCATTATCTTTTGACATTGTTGTGGAATGCGAATGCGAGCCATGGCATTGCTGGGAATGGAAGCAAAACAGCCGTTGTGTCCTTTCGATGCTGCAGACATGTGACGATAAGCGATTGCGACATGGCTTCAAGAAGGCTGTCCGACGAGGGAGAAGCAAGCGAGACAGCCCTGTCGGCCCCGTCAGCCCAACACCTTTTCTTTGTTCCCGATTCCAACACCACGAATAACGTAGTAGCCCGGCGACGATCTGCTGTGGGCCAAGCATCTCGTAAAATACTATGTAGGCTCGTTCTTGGAATACGACATGAGCTGCACCAGACGAAGCAAAGTGATGCCGTTTCCAGCGTACTTCTTGGCGTCATACGGTGTCCTCCTCTCCTTCCACTAAGCGTTGCAGGCTTATCCTACGACGTAGATGGTGCCATTGCGCTGAGGTCAGACTGATGGGACCGAATCGCATCTCACACGCCGCGCGCGACCGGACGACCTGAAACTCAGGGTGAACGGCATTGTTTTCTGGATTGAACACCACCCCGGGAATCGCCCGGTTTTGAATTGTGGGCTTTGCTATAATTGGAAATAGTCTGGCCGGCCGAATTGGGAGGTGGCCAAGGAGAATTTTGGCCGGCTCCTTATTAGCTTGAGGCTGTACGAGGACATCGGGCGTTCTTAAAAAAGACACAGAGCTACCATGCTCCGACGAGAAAGAATGGGAAAAAAACCAGGCAAAAGCTAGTCATACGGCAGAAGACGTCCAGGACTGGTTCTCGGTCGGCAGGAACTACTTCGTACTGCACGTTGTATACAACCTCGTTTGTGTATCTTACTTGTCCAAGTTCGTCTTTCGTGCTTCGACAATGTATCTTACATGCTTTCGGCGCCCCCTTCCCCCCTGGAACACGACATGTCTATCGCAGCGGAGCTGACTCCGTACGAGAGGCAAGCGACGACGGTCTGCGAAAAACATAAACAAACACATACTCCGTAGTAACTTGCCACGGTTGCCCGCTTCAAAGGCCGGTTTCTCAGCACTAGTCTGCGCTGGACCTAACTCGATCTGCCCACAGCTGAGGCCAGCTAAGGACAGAGTCGAAGAATACTCGTATATTAATGGAGACTTTTTCGTTGCCTCCCACTGTCGCCGCGCTCGTGACATCTTGATGCAGCTTTTGCGGTAAGCCAGAAAAAAAAGAACAGCTAGCCCAAAAGACCACGCACGATCTCTGGATAATTCCGAGCTTCTGAGCGACTGACGGCCTTCGTCTGTACTTTTCCAACGTGTCCGTTTCTCCAACATTGTCCTTACCGCTCTGTATCTCTTGTATTACTTCTACTCCGTACTCTGTATGTTCTGCATGCACAGCCATAGTCGCGGCCTCGTGCTGCCGTGACATACCTTGCAGATGCACGCTCGTCTACTCCGTAGGCACGCACCGCTGCTTCGTAACCTTATTTCTGCCATCGTATTCTCCTGTCCCACCGCACATCTGTTGCTCCTCCACCCGTGGTGGACGCAACGATAAGATATCTTCAGATACCTTTCTGCTTCTTTCACGCTGAGCAAAAGGCCAGAACGGAACAACGCCCCCCAAAATGGTAACGCCGCTCTCTCCTTCCCTAGCCAGCGCACCCTCACCCTGGCCTAGACACCCACCAATGCTCAACACCGCCATACTTGGTTGGCCCGTTCCCAGGCCCTCAGCCCCATTAATAAAAACCCGGGGCCGTTCTGTTTCTGCTTTCCCAACCCCCCCCTCCAACTAATTGCTCGTATTAATATATCTTCCTTTGTCACCGTTCGTCTTCCTGCTTGCCCCCTTCTTGCCTGTTCTCTTCATATTTAAACCAGCCCATCTCTCTCCTTCCTGTCTCTGTCCCCAGAGCTGTTTGTTCCCGTCAACTGCATCTTTCTTCTCTTCCAATCCTCCCTTCTCTCAACAGCCCGACAATATGTGGTGGGTCACCGTCTTCCTGATACCTGGCTTGTTTCGATAGCTTCCAGCACGGTGTAGCTAACACACCATCCAATTCGCAGTGGCATTTTCGGCTACGTGAACTATCTGGTCGAACGGGACCGGAAATTTGTCGTCGATACTCTTGTGAACGGTACGCTACCTTTGCATTTTCCCCCTCTATCCCCCTCCCCCTCTCTGTCTCTGTCTCTGTCTCTGTCTCTTTGGAGATCCTTCAGGATTTGGGATTACCATACTAGTGCAGCTTTACCCCCCTAATTATACTCGACGAAACAGCTAATTAGTCATTGCTGCAATAGGTCTCTCGCGTCTTGAATACCGTGGTTATGACTCTGCAGGTCTGGCCGTTGACGGCGACAAGAAGAACGAGGTGTTTGCATTCAAGGAGGTCGGTAAGGTGGCCAAGCTGAAGGCTCTCATCGATTCTTCCAAGCTCGACCTGGACGAGGTGTTTGACTCCCACTGCGGTATCGCACACACCAGATGGGCCACCCACGGCCCGCCGTCTCGCGTGAACTGCCACCCTCACCGGTAAGCAGGCATCCAAACACTGTGGACATGGCGCTATCTGAGCTGCTGACTGACGATTATGGCTGCGCACAGGTCTGACCCCAACTGGGAGTTCGCCATTGTCCACAATGGTATCATCACAAACTACAAGGAGCTTAAGACGCTCTTGGAGAGCAAGGGCTTCAAGTTTGAGACCGAGACAGACACCGAGTGCATTGCCAAGCTTGCCAAGTACATCTACGACCAACACCCACAAATCGGCTTCACCGACCTGGCCAAGGCCGTCATCAACGAGCTTGAGGGCGCCTACGGTCTGCTGATCAAGTCCGTGCACTACCCCCACGAGGTCATCGCTGCCCGCAAGGGATCCCCTCTGGTCATCGGCGTGAAGACCCAGAAGCGGATGAAGGTCGACTTTGTCGACGTCGAGTATGCCGACGAGAACAGCCCGCTCCCTGCCGAGGCTGCCTCGCAGAACGTTGCTCTCAAGAAGGCCGGCGTCGCCAGCGGCAGCGGCCTGCTCTCTCCTGAGGCGGCTCTCGGCGGCCTCGCCGCCCCCGACAAGTCGCTCCTCCACCGCTCCCAGTCACGCGCCTTCATGACGGACGATGGCATGCCCATGCCTACCGAGTTCTTCCTCTCGTCCGACCCGTCTGCCATTGTCGAGCACACCAAGAAGGTCATGTACCTCGAGGATGACGACATTGCCCACATCCACGAGGGCTCGCTCAACATTCACCGCCTGAAGAAGTCGGACGGCAGCTCCAACATCCGTGCCATCCAGACGCTGGAGCTGGAGCTGCAGGAGATCATGAAGGGCAAGTTCGACCACTTCATGCAGAAGGAGATTTTCGAGCAGCCCGAGTCGGTCGTCAACACCATGCGTGGCCGCCTGGACATTGAGAACAAGAAGGTCACTCTCGGCGGCCTGCGGTCATACATGTCGACCATTCGCCGCTGCCGTCGCATCATCTTTATCGCCTGCGGCACCTCGTACCACAGCTGCATGGCTGTGCGTGGTGTTTTTGAAGAGCTTGCCGAAATCCCGATTGCTGTCGAGCTGGCATCCGACTTCCTTGACCGACAGGCGCCTGTCTTCCGAGACGACACTTGCATCTTTGTGTCGCAGTCGGGTGAGACTGCCGACTCGCTGTTGGCCCTGCGGTACTGCCTGGAGCGTGGCGCCCTGACCGTTGGTATCGTCAACGTTGTCGGCTCGTCCATCTCGCTGCTGACCCACTGCGGCGTGCACGTCAACGCTGGCCCAGAGATTGGTGTCGCCTCGACGAAGGCATACACATCGCAGTTCATTGCCATGGTCATGTTTGCGCTGTCGCTGAGCGAGGACCGCGCGAGCAAGCAGCAGCGGCGCGAGGAGATCATGGAGGGTCTCGCCAACGTGTCGAGCCAGATCAAGGGTGTGCTTCAGCAGGACCAGGCTATCAAGCAGATGTGCCAGCAGAAGTTCAAGAACCAAAAGTCTCTTCTCCTGCTTGGCCGTGGCTCGCAGTTCAGCACGGCTCTCGAGGGTGCCCTGAAGATCAAGGAGATCTCCTACCTACACTGTGAGGCCGTCATGTCGGGCGAGCTCAAGCACGGTGTGCTGGCCCTCGTGGACGAGAACCTCCCGATCATCATGATCCTCACCCGCGACAATCTTTTCACAAAGTCCCTCAATGCCTATCAGCAGGGTGAGTTACCTTTTCTGCCTCTGCCCCCCTTTTGCAAACGACCACGCATCTAACTAGTTACAGTGATTGCTCGTGGTGGCAAGCCGATTGTCATCTGCAACCCCTCCGACAGCGAGTTTAAGACGTCAGAGGCGGAGAAGATCGAGATCCCCAAGACCGTGGACGTTCTCCAGGGCATCTTGAATGTCATCCCCCTGCAGCTGATTGCCTACTGGCTGGCCGTTCTGGAGGGGCTCAACGTCGACTTCCCGCGCAACCTGGCAAAGTCCGTCACGGTCGAGTAAAGGTCTAGACGCATGAGTTGCCCATGTACGTGCAGCGGAGTTCATCTTGATTTTATGAGTTTATCTATGGTCTTATGGGTTTTGTTTTAAACGAGGATAAATGAAAGAGCGATGTACTCGTAGAGATAGCGAGGGGAGAGGGGAGGGGATTTCAGACGGATTTGTTCATTGATCATCTTGGTTGGAGAGAGGGCACTTTTAATGATTGCTGTTGGTCAAGATAGGACAGGTTGGAGATGCTATACGGTAATCTGGACAAATGCAAATCAACAGAAGTTTGATTGACTAGTGATACATCTTGAGCACCTTGTTCCTGGACAAAAATGTGTTTGTGAATTCATGTCTGGATAGCTGCCTTCCCTACACAACCTGCGTGCCGTATCCGCGGATACGGTCTGCAAAAGCCCAGCTCTGGGCCTCGAGCTTCTCGGACGTGCTGATGTCGACGCCGGCAGCCGTGACAATGGCCAGGCTGTAGGTGTCGAGACTGCGGGCGTCGCGGTAGTAGAGGACCTTCATGCACTCGCGGACAATGTCGACGGCCTGTTCGCGGGTGAGCTTGGCGGTCTGCTCGTCCGTCTCGGCGTAGCGGCGCATGATGGGCTGGGCGAGAGCGGAGCCGTAGCCAGTAGCCAAGCTGGGGGCCGAGTACGTGGTGCCACGCAGATCGGCACAGGCGAGAAACGGCTTGCTCTCGTCGTCGAGGCCGGCGACCAGCAGCTGGTTCCAGAGCGGGTCGAACTTGTTGCGGCGCTGGTACATCAGCTTGGCGAGGTACTTGTGCAGGTTGGCGGCGTTGAGGGTGCTGCTCCGTTTTATCTCGCCGTCGTCGTCCTGGCGCTCCTCCGCGCTCGGCGCCGGGTTGTCGTATGTCTCGTCGATGGCGAGCTCGGTCAGATGACGGTCGAGGTACTGCATGTCCGACACGTCGCCGCTGAAGCCAATGACCGACGTGTTGGCAAACGACCGCAGCCGCAGCGTGCTGTTGAACCGTGCGAGCGAGCCGTACGAGGCTGGAGGGAACGTCAGCCGGCAGCCGTTCCGGGCATCCAACACGGAAACTCACCAAGATTGTCGGCTGCCATGACAACACCGCCGTTGAACTTGAGCGCTACTACCGATGTGCCCGTCACGATGGGCGACTGTGTGGCCTGCTTCGGACCAGAGCTGGTCAGGTACGAGGCATCATATGCCCCGTAGACGTCGTCGCGAGGCTGTGGCAGACAGGTCAGAAAGAGGGAACTGCGAGGCCATCTATACGACATGGGAAACATACCCGACCCCAAGCTTGTGGGCGGTGATCCATCTTTATAGAGGGTGCTGGTCGAGAAGAGCTGCAGTCGAGCGAGTGCAGTCAACAGGAAATTGCGTCTAGATTGTCTGTCGGTTCGGGCTGGTTGCGTCGGTGCTGGCAGGTCGTCGTGAAGATGAAAGTCCTCTTAGAGCTGTTCACAGCTTCGCGTCCCAGCTGCTGCCTCTGGAACAGTTAGTGTTGGATGCCTGAGGACGCAAACGGGCGGGACCCCATTTCTTCCCAGTCACGTGCCTCTAGCAAATGACCATCACCAAAGCCTCCATTTCATCTCGAGCTTGTTAGTCAATGCGGCAGCCAATCTTCCGTTGCAATGGCTGGACTTGTTGCGTATGCAAGCAGCGATGAGGAAGAAGACGTGGCTCAGGAAGAGGTGTCATTGAGGGTAAGCTACGACGTGCCCCGATCCATTTAGAAATGCTGGACTTGCCCTGTGTTGACAAAACAGATTGCGGGTAGCCTACAGGCCCAACAGCCAGCCAGTCCTAGCGAGGCGCCAGACAGCGTGAAGCCTGCTGCAGGTGCTGAGGGGCAAGCATCTTTGGAGACGCAACGGACAGGGACACCTCCAGCAGAAAGCTGTGAAGACGGGCAGCTTCAGAAGGATGTGCCGGACCTGGGAACTCGCGCCGATGAATCTAACGTCTTGATCGGCCCTGCAAGGCCGGATGGCAGTAACGGTGCAGCGGCACTTCTGCCGGCCGACGATGACGATGACGGAAACAGCAACGGCGATGGCGACGGCGAGCCACCGCTGTCTCCGTACTCGGCCGAGCGGGCTCTACTGCGGCAGCTGACGCTCCCGCGTGTGGCGGATTTTGCCATCCCAGGCAGCCCGCCCGGGACGCCGCCGCCGGGCCTAGAGACGCTCAGCAGCAAGTTCGACACGTTTCTGGCGCTCAAGCGCGACAAGGCAACGCACTTCAACGCGCGTCTAGCGCAGTCCGGAGCGATGAAGAACCCAGCCGTGATGGACAAGCTGATGGCTTTTGTGGGGCTGGACGGCACAGGGCCGGCACAGTATGGCACAGTGCTGCCAGCCGAAGTCTGGAACCCAGACGCGGAAGACAGGACAGCGCCCGTTTTTCCCGACTGGGCTTACCGACATCCGCTGCGCAAGGTACAGGAGGAGCTGGGACGGCAACGGGCGCGGGCGGCCGGGGAGCGGGTCGAGTTTGTAGTAGCGACGGCCTCGCGGACTGGCAGCTCGGCTGCAGGGACAACAACAGCATCAATAGGACCGATCACCGGGAAACGGAAGAGCAGGTTTGATTGATGAATTTAGAGGGTATGGCTGAGGTCGACATTATAATGTATATTTATCTCATATTTATTAGTTATCTGCAGCGGCAATTGTTGCGCGAATACGCGACACAAGCACCAGGCTGTCAAGGCAAGGAATGGACCAAGACGATGCCATGGATGTGATGCCATATATGTGTGACGGATCATAAAGACCCAAAATAAATTGCGGCTGAAAATAGGCAGGTAGCCAACAGGTTGTAGAAAGGGAGCGATCCCGTGATCCTCTGATCCTTCCTTCCTTTCAAGTTGGTCGTGACTGCCAAATCCCACAATTTCCGATCCTTATTTTCTGGCTCCCCCCGACGACGAGGTATCTCTAAACGCATTACAAGACCATGAATCAAAACACATTGCGCACCGGAAATACAGCATTGAAAACAAAACCAGCATGGCGAATCGACTGCGAGGTCTGGCTTAGCTGCTCGGACACTTGGCGTTGATGCCGATGGCCTTGAAAGCATCGGCCAGAGGGACCTGGACGGTGTCGTTGGATGAGGCGAGAGCATCGGAGTAGTAGGTCAGATTCTCGCCGTTGCGGCTAACAGTGCTGCCAGAGATGGTGATGGGCAGCGTGCCGTTGCCGCAGTACGGTTCGGAGTCGAGGGCTGTGAGGACGGGGATGGCTGCTAATTTAGAGTGGAGGGGGTATACGTTGTCGCCCTGGTGAAGGAAGACGTTGTTAATGTAGGTTGGGCCGATATACGTATCCTCTAAGTAGGTATTGAATGTGGCGTTGCCCTTGTAAGATGTTAGCAAGTGGGACTGGGATAGAGGAGCGTTCTGGGGGACTGTCTCCTTTTGGACTCACGATTTCGAAGCTGAGCACCGACTTGTTGGGGATGGTGACGGTGGTGTGGAAGTTGCTGCCGTCAGAGAAGTTGCTGGCGGTGACAGAGGAGTTGGCGACGGACATGCCGGAGAAACTGTCCAGGCCTGAGAGAGAGCGGTTAGGTGGGAACACATTGGGCAGACCAGAGGAGACGGAAAGGGAAGATGAACATACCGGTCAGGGTGAGGATCTTGTGGAAGTGGACGTGGTACTTGTGGCTGATACCAGGCACATTAATGGTGGTGTTGCCGTCAACAGTGACGCGCACCGACTCATTGGCGAGTATCCAGGAGTTGAAGGTGGTCAGGGCAGCCAAGTTCTCGATGGGGACAAGCTGGCTGATGTTGACCGACTGCATCGGCTTGTTCTTGGTCTCGGGGAAGTTGATGTGCGCAAAGGGAACGTGGCCCGGCTCGTCCTCGAGATACATGGCGCCGACGAAGCTGTGGACGGTGGCCTTGGTCTTGGTGCCCTTGATGGTGCTGTTGATGGCCATATGGAAGCTCTCGGTGGTGGAATTGGTGACGGTGATGCCCTGGATGGCCAGGGTGGCCTTGTTGAGCTGGCTCTGGGCCAGGTGCTTGATGCCGACAAAGATGCTGCAACGGCCAGTCAGCAGAGGGGTGGCAGTCGAGAGGTCTCGCGAATGGTACTTACGTGAGAGGGACGGCGAGCGCCACGATGCAGCAGATGATGAGCAGGTGCACCCACCAAAACCGCTTCACGTGTGCGATCAACAAACTCTTCTTTGACGGCCGGCCGACCGCCGTTTCGGTGTACTGGACCGAGGTGTCCTCGTCTCTCTTGTCGGAGTCCATTGTGGTAGGAGAGATGTGGGAAGAGCCGATAGCTTTTCCGTCTGACATACTTTCCTTCTTCGAGAAGGGAGGGGCCAAGGGGAGAAGGTGAAGCAAGAAGAAGCAACGTCGAACAAGAGAGACAAGAGAACGGAGGGTCGAGAATTGAGAATCGAAAATCGTCGGGTTTAATCACAACCACAAAAAAACAAAGAATTGGCGCTCTGCAGAGGCAGAATAGAGAAAGGCCGACAAAGAAGGTATAAAGGAAAAGATAATATGCGAATACGACGAGGTTGAGAGATGGAGCGAGCAACTGGAGAGAGAAAAGGCGACTCGACTATCAGACGGGAGACAAAAGTGGGAAATGAGCAAGGACCAGGGGGGGGGGCGTGAGGTAAGATATAAAGCGGTTGAATTGGGCAAAGAGGCTAACCAACATGCTCCGTTTATGCTCACGCTTGCGAAGAAGCGTAACGTGGGGACGGACGGCAGACGAAAATGCGGAGAGCAACAGGCCAAGAAATGGAGATTGTGATATCAGAGGGCTGCTGTTGGTCCTTGAGGGGGCTATTCGCGGAAGACGAAAGGCAGATGTGCGGATCTTGCGGCAGAAAGCAAGGCAGATGCAGATGGGCCCGTGGGCAAAAGTTCTTTTCGTGTCCTGCGGAAGCGGGCGGCTGGATGGGGTGGCTACAAAGTGCGGGAAGCAAGTATCGGCATAGTATGTACTTGCAAGATACTACGTGTGCGTGATCTCATCTTGGTTGCGAGATACTACGCAATACGCGGTACTAGTTTGGGGGGTCACGAACAGGGGATGAGGTCCACTGAAGGAGAGACAGTGAGAGCCATTGAGAGGCACGGAAAGAAGCGGACGAGTGTGATTTGAATTTGAAATGGACAAGAGCAAGAGACGGCTGATGGGAAAGGCCAGAGTCGGCAGAACGAGGAGGGCAAAAGCAGGACGAGGTGAGGTTAAGGGCCAAAAGTGGGCAAAACCTGGACATCACGAGGACAACAAGTGTGAACGATCTGGGAGAAGGCAGATGGGGCCGTCTGTTGGTCCAGATGGCAAGGACGAAGACAGCGGAGGGTGGCGTGCAAATCCGAGAGAGAGAGAGGGCAGAGGTACTCCGTAGAGATCGGCAGCGATGCCCCGCATAGGAAGAGGAGAAAGGGGAAGACAGAGAGACCAACAACAGGCTGGCTGCATTAGCGCCTGCGAGCGTAGTGTCCTTCCCGTCTTCGCAGTCCGTGCGAGGCAATGCGACACACTACGACATTGGGTAGTAGATGGCGGGTGGGCACAGTGCGGCGGACTTTACAGAGCGGGCGCACACGGCGTGCAGAAGAGCGAGAAAAACGAGTTTTTCGGATTGCGAGGTCGACCCCAATAATGGATAGACATGCAGAGCTGACAGCGTACTTCCCCTCACGCAAGCCTCTTTTTGTGACGTCCGAGGCATCTTGTGAAGGACAGACGGACAGAATGCGGGGAAGTGGCTGCACATGCTGAAAAGTACAGCGGACTCAGCAAAGAAAAGAAGGCGGGGTTTGACATCAGCAAAGTTGTTTTTGGCTGCTGATCCCGAGAAGAGAGGGGAAGTTGGTGACTGCTCGTATATTGCACGGAGTGCTCCGTACGAGGGTAAGTTCGCCCCTGGTACGACTCTATTGCCAACAAGCTTACCCGTACGACGTATCACGGAGATTCCTGGCCGGATGCCATTTTCTTTTTCCCATTTTTCCTCGTCGCCCGCTACAGTTTTTCCTCTCCCTTTTGTCCTGACCGTGCTTTCTTTTTCGCATTCCTTTCCGGCCAGCTGGGCTCTCTTCCCGTCTAGTGTCGTCCCGTGTTCATTTTAGGCTTCCCAGGCTAGCTAGCCCATGAAAATTTCATGGATAGCACTACGGAGTAGATGCCAGCAGCGGCTCCACCAAGGCGGTCATACTGAGTAGAGACACACCAAACCCCGGATTTCCACAGCGTTTTTTCGTGCTGTTGCCCAGCGTTGCCCCACTTGGCGATGCAGCTGGCTGACGATTGGACAGCCGTAAAAATAGGGGCACGACTCCGTAGCTCTATTACTCCCAACAAAAACGGCCGTGTCCATAAAGTGGAAAAAGAGCGGAAAGGCAAAGAGTAAAATTGAGAAAGAAAAAGAAAAAAATGGCAAAAGCAATAGACAAAAAGGTCTGGCCGCTCCATAGAAGGTGGCAGGACCAGAAATATTACGTTAATTAAAGCTGAAAGCGTCCGATTAAAGAGCGCGTACGAGTTGGATTGGGGCGAATATTTGTTTTCTTTTTTACCTTTTTTTCCCATCTCCGTAAATGGGCTGTTCTGTTCTAGGGCCTTTGCTCCGGACCAGTAGTGGTGCAGGACCCTGGTCGGCTCAGAGGACGTTGAGACGGCAGGCACGCGAGGGTTGCGCACCTTCCTAAAGGGACACGGGAGCAATTCTACCGGTTGGGATGCATTTGTGCAATTGTGTGATTGTATGCAATATATAACAGGGAGTGGTCTACATCGTGGCCGGGCGGTGGCGATCAGATCTTAGCCTTGACGGGGAGGAGGCCGAGCTCGTTGAGGCCAGCCCCGCCGTCGAAGATGTCTCGTTCGACAGCACGTGTGTTGACCTGAAGGTCAGCGGATGATGACGGGTGTTGGGAGAATGGGTTGGGGATTGGGGGATTGGGGGATTGGGGGATTGGGCAGCTTGGCAGAGCCGTGTGGTTTGACACTCACCAGACGTGGGTTGAGGTCGGCGATGGAGGTGGCGCCGAGCAGACGCATGCAGGTTTTGATCTCGTCGGAGAGGACTGGTGAAGGAGGTCAGAAGAAGGCGTACGACGGAGACGAGGTCAAGCGATGGAGACAGCGCGACACCGGAACACATGCACTCACTCTCAAAGGTACGGTCGACGCCACGCCAGCCGCCAGCGCCGAGGCCCCAGAGGGCAGCGCGACCGACACCGACAGCCTTGGCGCCGAGACAGAGAGCCTTGACGACGTCGGTGCCGCGATGGACGCCGCCGTCGATCCAGACCTCGACGTGGTCGAACACGGCCGGACAGTACTTGCGGATCTCGAGCAGCGTGTGGATGGCCGGCGGAGCCGTGTCGAGCGAGCGGCCGCCGTGATTCGACAGGATGATGGCCTGGACCGAGCCGGGATGGGCGGCCGCATAGCGAGCCGCCAGCCAGGCGTCTTCGTGGGTCTGGATGCCCTTGAGCACGATCGGCAGCGACGTGTGGGCAGCGAGCCAGGGCAGCGTGGTCTGCCACGTGATGTCGGTGGCTGTGCCGAAGAACATCTGCCGTCCGATCCCGGCCCCGGCCGGCTGGCTGCCGACATCCTGGGTAGCGGCCGCAAAGCTGGCTCCGGTCCCAAACTGCTGTCGCTCGTCGTCTTCACGCTTTCCCGGCACAGAGGCATCCAGCGTCAGGACCACACAGCGGTAGTATTGGGACAGGCCGTTGATCCGGGCCAGCATCGCCTCGCTCTTGCGCCGGTCCTTTTGCACGTAGATCTGCCAGCCAAAGAGCTGTCCCGGCAGCGCGTCCGCCACGATCTGCTCCACCGTCATCGACGCGTTGTGCGACACGATCTGCAACGCCCCAAACCGTGAGACGCCGCGCGCAATCCCGGCCTCGCCGTCCGGGTGGCCCAGACGCGCCATCGCTGCCGGCGACACAAATACCGGCAGGCCCACCGCCAGCTGGCCGCCCAGCAGTGTCGTCGTCGTCGAGCACGCCGTCATGTCCACAAAGACGCGCGGCCGCAGCAGGATCTGCTGGAAGACCGTATGGTTCAGCCGCTTCGACAGCAGGTCGTCGCCCGCCGAAAAGTAGTACGACCACGCCTTGCGCGGCACCAGCTTCGTCGCCACCGTCTCCATCTCGTCCAGGTTCAGCAGCGACTCCAGCGGTGGGGGGCGATACGTCTCGTCGTCTTTGGGAGCACTTTTATCGTCATCCCCCCCTCCCACCTTTATGCTCTCCACGTCCAGCGTCCCCAGCTTCGCTTCCGGCTTCAGCTCGTCCAGCGTCCCCGGCGGATGGATCGGGTCGAACTCTGCCGTGCAGTCGCGTCCCGCCAGCTGCAGAATCACGCGCGAGCCGCCCGGATGAGACGGGATAAAGTCGGTCACATCGTACACGTTGCCGTATAGCACCACCCAACAGCTCTCGGCCGTCGAGTGCTTGGCCACTGTCACTCGTTAGCTACTGACTGCTGCCTGCCACCTCTCGCTTTCGCTCCCTTGCCTACCTTCCGCGGCGTCGAATACTTTCGTCATTGTAGGTCGATTGCCACTCTGTTCGTAATGTCGCTGATAACGAGTCCTCGCTTGGAACACTGCGGCTCGCCAACAATATGTACGGCAGAAAACCGCGCACACGTCTGGCTCCCACGCGCAGTGGCAAGAGCTATAAATACAACGAGATTGTGAGAATAGGGGAACCCTGACTATCGGATGGTCTTCTCAAGAAGCCGCCGATTCCAGATACACGGCCTTGCGAGTATGTTCTACTTTGCGAGCTTCGTGATTGGCTGCTCGGCTGCTATTGCTCCGATACGGTGAGGCTCGGTCTGCTTATATAGCGAGTTTGATGAGTAATACATATCACCAAACACTTCGTCCATAGACTACCCATTCTAAGAAACACTCTCACCGAGGAGATGGTGTTGACAAGTCCTACTCATCCGAAGACTCTTCTTCCTCCTCTTCCTCTGCCTCTTCTTCTGCTGCCTCCTCTTCCGCTGCCTCTTCCTCTTCCTTCTCCGCAGGCTCCTCTACGCCCACGAGCTTCCCTTCTGCCGGCAAGCTCCCCTGCTTCTCCAGCTGCAGCCACTCGTTCCATTCCGGAAATAGCTCCTCATCTTCGCCCGGAACCCCAATCAGCTTGGCAACCCGTCCCTTCTTCGCCTTCTCCAGGCTCTGCTTCCACTCGCCCACCACCGCTGCCGCCGAGCTGGGTTTGTACGTCTGTGCAAACAGCGCTGCCTCTGCGAGCCGGCCCGTCTTTGAAAGCGTCTCAATACAGCCATCCACGTCGCCCAAGAGCCACCGGCTCGTAAAAGCAACGTTGTACGATCCAGCCTCCGTCGCCAGTTTGTCCAGCTCTGCCAGACCCTCCCGGTTGCCCGTTGAGCTGTGCAGCAGCAGAAGCGATCCCAGGTCTTTTGAGTGCGAGAAGCACTCCGATGCAAGAGTCACATCCCATGTTGTCAATGCCGCATCTGCAAGGTCCTCGTTAGCCACAGTCACAGCCTCGTCCGTCATATTCGACGCCTCACTTACCACCAACAGACTTCCACTTGTGTTCCACGTCGGCCGTCCGCGCAAGCTCCAGCGCAACGTCGAGCCGATTTAGCGAAAGCGCAAGGTCGAACTTCTGGTCTGGATCCGTTGCCACTTCCAGTGCCAGCTCCTTGAGGCCTAAATGATTAGTCAGCATGCGCCGTCTTCGCATCCATCGGCCCGCATCGTCTTCTTACCTTGTCCCTCCAGGAAGCGGGCCACCTTGTTCATCTGGCTGTCCTCAATCGTCGGCTACAGCTCGTCAGTACACAACACTAAAACCGCAAGGACACACTGCGCATCGCCAAGACGTACAAGTAGCTCTGCGGCTGCGTCCATGTCGCCGCGAAGAACACATGTCTCGTACTCGAGAAGGCTGACGGAAAGCGCAAACGAAGTCACGTTGATGTCCTTGTCGGCCAGGTAGATTCTCGAGTCCCTCTGGATGTAGCCCAGAATGTACATCGGCACGTCCGTGTGCGAGATCTGCAGCGCGTAGAGAGTCAGCCAGCGTCCACACCACCTCTGGCTGCCAAAGCCGTAGCCGAAGCCAAACTTACCGTGTACGTCTGGTCGCCAACCAGGTAATTGAGCCGGTTCGTGCTGTTCGTGTATACGAAGCAGTCGCCCACCCATTTGCCCGTGCGCACGGCCTCGTTCTGGTCTGTGATCACCTCGAACGCCGCCTCCACCCCGTCGTCCTCGACTTCGCCTGCCTGCACTGCCGCAGCGTAGCTCTCGCGCGAGAACCGCAGGATGTAGAACGTGTCCTCGCACGCAAGACATACCAGCTCGCCGCTGTCCGACCAGTACACTTCCCGCGGCTCTACCTCGATCCGGCGCACAAGGCTGCCGCTCTGCCAGTCGAAGAACGACACGCCTCCCGCACCACGCACGCCCAGGAGGATGCCGCCGTGGAGTCCATCTGCCTGGAAGCCCACGTCGAGCCCGCCACTCTTCTCCACAAAGTTCTTGTAGATCTTGACCGACGTCGCCGACTCGCGCACCGCGTAGTCGTTGCTGTTGTCCTTGCTGCCCCAGACAAAGTCCAGCGCATTGCCAAACGCCTTCTGCCGCCAGGCTAGCGCCGTGTAGATAATGTACTCGCCGTCGCCCGACACCGCCACAAACCGGCCGTTGGGCGAGTGCTGCAGCGTCTGTGGGTACACCTCGCACTGCCCAAAGTCCTTGGTCTGCAGGTTGATCGGCTCGTTGCCCTTCACCGTCGGGTCCGGCTTGATGATCGCCGACACCACATCGTTGTTCTTGGCCGCAATCACCTTGCCCGACGCGTCCATCGAGATGGCCGGCTCCTCGCGGCCCATCTTGATCACCACGATGCCGTCGTCAAACCCGACACCGACGCCCTGCTTGCCCTTCTGGTACGTTACACACCACGCACGTTCCAGTCCGTAGTTGAGCGACTGTTCGAGACGGTACGTGCCGCTGTGCCAGATCTTGATCGTGCCATCCTCTGAACCAGACACAATGATGGGCAGCTCCGGGTGGTAGACCGCGAATGACACATTGTTCGTGTGACCTTCCAGCGTCGCCTGGAGAGACTTGGTCGTCAGGTCCCAGATCTTGATTGTCCGATCGTCGGACGTCGTGAGAATGTAAGGCCGGTCGGAGTGGGGGTCTTGGCACGAGAGGCACCGCGTTAGCACAGTCAAATGCACCGGCCACCATCTTCCTTATACTAAGCTTACAGTAGTCGACAAAGTTGACGCCCTTGGTCTCGTGCGCCTCCAGGGTAAAGTTGGCAGTGCTAGATCCAAGCTGCAGCAAAAGAGTCAGTTGGTAGCCCACAAGGTGCGGAGGTCAGGCTGCCAGCGGCCACATACCGACCACACTTTCACGGTCCTGTCCAAGCAGGCAGACGCAAACAGACTGGTGTCCTTGGGGTTGATTGCCAGTCCCATAACGTAGTGGCTGTGGCCCTCGTACACCTGGATGCACTTCCATCCCTTCTCCCAGTCCCAGCACTTGATCGTCATGTCATCGCTGGCAGAGAGCACAAACGGCTGGGTGCTGTTGGAACAGGTCAGCAGCTATACCCCGCGCGATACACGGCCTTCGGAAACAGGGACACACGTACGGATGGACCGCCAGGGCACGGATGTAGTCGGGGTGAGCCTCGAAGCTCGTAATCTTCTCGGACGTGTTGTAGTTGTACACCCGCATCTGGAAGTCATCGCTGCCGCAGACAATCCAGTTCTTCCTCGAGCTGTCGGACGTCTCGTGTCAGCTGGCATCTGCGAATGAGGGAGGACACGAGGAATGCTATTCACATGAAGCGACCCGCTCGCACAGGGACATCGGTGAGCTCGAACGTCTTGACAATCTGGCCCGTCTCGTAGTTCCAGATGTGGCATTGGCCTGATAATCGCAGTTGTTTGGTCAGACAAATTGCATCTCAGCAGGCTATTGGACAGCAATCCTTTGGCCGAATCGGGATCGAGGCCCATTCATCAGGCTGGCAGAAGGGGGGGAGGGAGAGAAACGGCGCCTTGCGTACCGGAATAGAGTGTCGTGAGAACCCATGGCTCATGTTGGTGAAAGTCAATACCCTTCACCCGCTCGCTCCGGGCGAAGAGGCTTCTCTGTGGCCGTCGAACCTCGGGTTAGCTGCGAGACGCGAAAACGGATGGGCCACTGTCAAGGGGATGGCAAGATGCGCCGGCAGCTAAATAGCGCGCGTTTCGTCAAGCGAAGAGCAGGTCGACCTTACCTTAACGTCCAACCGCATCGTAAAGGGTGTTGGCACGCCGATACGATGCACAGGGTGGTTGAGAAAAAGAAACGGCGATTAGGTGGGGGAGCCTACGGTGAAGCAATACAGAGTGCTGTGAGATGGCCTCGAATTGAGGATCTGTGTCCTCTGCGGAGTTTAGTGCCTCAGGCACCAATTCTTGTGCTCCTCGTGTCACGTGCATCCACCCCCGTTTCCAGAGCTTGACAGCTGATGGCTGAGTCCTCGTAAGGCATTCACTGCCTGCGCGAATCGCTGCTACTCGTACATGCTCATAGCTTTTCATTTGCTATGAACATCGGGATGTGTAAGAATGATTTACACAGGTCTCGAAGAACGTCGAAAGTTATCAAATGGATGTCATTACATCGTCAGCTTCACTGACCTCTGCTTGGGTATACTATAGTAGGCACTTTTATCCACAAAATACAAATTACACAAAAACACAAACAAATCAAGCGCTAGCATCCTTCTCGTTGTTGTAGTCATCCTCAAGGACGCCATTGCTTCCGCTGCCGCTGCCATTCTGGCCTGCAAGACGCGGGCTGCCCTTGCTGGTGTGCTGGAAGTAGCGGTGTGCTTCGGCCGTCAGCTCGTCATCGCCGTGCTCCTTGCCGCCCTCATGCTCAGCATTGCGCTTGGCAAACTCGCGAGTTTCCCAATCGGCACGCATGTCCTCGATCTTGGACTTCAGGTCAAGCTTCGGGTCGTAGTACTTGCCCACACCCCGAATGCGCTCCCAAAGCGACAGGTGCTGAGGGTGGACGGCAATGCCGTGGTACTCATGCTCACGGCCCTGCTTGATGTAGTCCCAGCGCCGCTCCTGCTCCTTCAGGTCCAGGCCGGTCGTGTCGGGCAGGAAGACAAAGGTCAAGACCATGCCAGCCAGGCCGAACCAGGGAACGACGTAAAACTTGGTCTGAATGTCGATGTAATTGTAGAGAACCGAGGCAAGGAGGGCACCAGCCTTGCCAATGCAGGCAGAGAAGCCGTGAGCCGAGGCACGCACGGGGGTAGGAAAAACCTCGCCGGCGACGAGGAAGGTGACAGAGTTGGGGCCGAACTGGTTGAAAAACGAAGAGATGAAGTACATGGCCTGGAAGGCATGGATGTGCTCGGAGCTGACGTAGTATTTGTAGTGGAAAGCCGGGACGACGAACATGACGAAGCACATCAGGAAGCCGATCTGCTGCATCATCTTGCGGCCGTACAGCTTGTTGTCAATGAGGAAGGAAGCCAGGTAGTAGCCTGCCAGCGAGACGATGATGTTGCAAATGTTCCACACCCAGCCAACCATGACGCTCTTGGAGCCGCCGGTGATGACGCTGATGAATTGCGACTGAGTGAGTTAGTAGGGCAAGAGAGCAGAGAGGGCGACCAGAGCATTGTACGAACCTGGAACAGCTTGTTTCCATAGAAGAAAACGTCGTTGCAGAACCACGTTCCGGCAGTGGCGAGCAGACGGCCGCCAAAGTGGTGGACAGTGATCTGCAGCGAGGCCAGATCGTAGCCGGTGACATTGCTCTTCTTCTTGGCGATCTGGAGCTGGCGGGAGGCGTTGGGCATCTTGTAGACACGGTAGTAGACGAGCCAGAGCGTGCCGACGGCGGGGAAGGCAAACGAGAGACGGAAGGTCCACTGAACGGATGACAGGCTGTACGGCGGGTCACCCTGGCCGTGGTGGAAGATGAGCAGAAGGATGATGAGCAGGGCCTGGTTGGCCAGCTGGCCCCAACCCTGCATCAGAAAGGCCATGGTGACCTTGCGGCCACGGTGGAGGCGATCGTCACGGGTAGAGAGCTTGCCGGCACCAACGGCATTTTCCATCGAGGATGTGGCCGTCATGGGATACTCGCCACCGACACCGAAGCCGTAGAAGAACAGCGACCAGGCATAGCAGACAACCCAGCCGTTCATGGTCAGGCCCCAGCTGGCCGTGAGCATCAGCAGACCGACGAACATAATCATGGCGTCCTGGATCAGACCCCAGCGACGACCGAGCCAATCACCCATGACCTATTTGCACGAGAATTAGCCAAGGCTCAATGAACTAGACGGATTTGCAATTGTAATGGGTGAACATACACCAACGACGGCCTGGCCGATCATGATGCCGACGACTTCGAGATAGGACACAGCAGAAATCCAATTTGTGTCGCAGTCGAGGGCCTTCTTGGAGCCCCAGCAGTGAGGCCAGGCGAGAGCGAAGAGCGGGCTCAGGTTGCCAATGGAGAAGAGGACATAGCCCTCCAGGCCGAGACCAGCACCAGGAAGGACGGCATTGCGGAAATACCAGGTGACGGGGCCGAGAGGGTCCGTCTTGAACAGCTGCCAGGTACTCTTGAGCTCCTTGGCGGCCTCGGCGTTGTTGACCTTGTTCACAAAGGAAATGCGCTTGCCCAGCTTCAGATCGGCCCAGTAGGTGCCATTCTCGTCGAAGCTGTCGTCGGGGTGCGTCAGATACTTGAAGATTTCGCGTTCCTGCTCTTCGGTGTAGTAGCCTTCTGGACCAACGGGGTAGTTCTCCGTCTCGTCGCCCGTTTCTGGGCCGTGTGGTACAGGAATCAGGCCAATGCTGGCCTGGTGAACCTGCTGGTGCTGGACGAAATTGGACATCTCGTGGGGGAGAGAAGATGAGATGGAAATGGAAGAAGGGGGGTGGTGAAGTGACCAAACGAAGATGGTCAGAGACAAGTCTCTCGGTTCCCAGCGGATGGAAAGTCGAAGACGAGCAGGTTGGCCTGAAAGAGAGGAAGAAGGAGAAGAGGTCGGAAAGCGAGGACGTCGGAGAGCAGTAGCTTATATGAACGTTTTAGCTTCCCCAGCCATGGTCCCATCCTCCCACGTTCTGAGTTTTTGTTTTTTTTTAATTTAATTCGGGTTTTCATGTTCGATCTTTTACCCTTGTTAGCTCCTCTGGAGCTGTGGCGACCAGCCGTGGGGTCATGACTGAGTGCAGAAAAATTCGACACTAGCACGCTGCAGGACAGTAGATGCGCTGGGGCGGGCCAAATGCGGTTGTTTTTCCACTGGCTTGACCCTATGGTACGACGGAGGCCGGCGGCGTGCTACGGGGACGCTTTTTATGGGACGGGAAGGGAGAAGGAGCTATGAAAAGATACACGTAACTATGTTGGCCGATCGCCTGCAGGGGAAGGTACAAAGGACAGAGGGAAGGTGGCACCCTCCGGACAGAAAAACAGAAGGAGAATGCGAGGAAAGAGCTAGTTGTGCAGACCCGCCCAATACGTTTGCTTGCAGCTGTTGTCCCTCTGCAGCAGTAGCTATGCATCCTATATCCTATGTACATACGGACGGTGTGCGAGTTACTTATCTGATCTCTGTTCAGGCTCTCTGGCATTCGGCACGTCTGCCTGCAGCCTCGCCAGTCCACATCCACGCGAATGCAAGCCAGAGTCACGTCGTCTCGCCCCTGGCGGCCCTCCTCCAGACGGCACTGCCGGTCACTGTTCTTGGCCTCGGTCTTTGGCCGTCTACATCATGTCTATCATGGCTACTGGTCGCGTGCTCTGACAAGAGGTCGCAACAGACGGTGGATCGAGGCGGAGATGCATGCTTAGCGCATTCTTGGCAGTCTCGAGGTCTCCAGCCAATGGCGTCGCTGCATCTCTACACGTGTGAGATCTACAGGCTCTAAGCAAACCCAATTGCTGGATGCGGAGTTAGGGCGCAGCCTCGTACCTCTGCTGCCCCACTCCTCCTTTCTGCCTCCGGCTATAGCTAACCATTCGCCCTTCTCAGCCCACGTGCTGGCTTTCTAATATTATGCCAACTGTTAGTGCAGACCGATAGCATCCTGCCGTGGCCTTACCAATTGCCTAATTGGGCCTGTTTTTTGACTGTCTTACGAGTACTTCGTAAATTGATTGTGTCCCGACGTTTGGAAACCAACCGTTGAGCTAGGTATCGCATTCCGGCCCTCCCTGCCGTTGTTCCCGACGGCTCCAGCTACTCGTACGGCCACACTCGCGCTTGCAGGCGCAGCTGAGGCCTTTCTACCAGCCAGAGAATAATGTTTCATGCTGCAGCTAGAAGCACGCTCCTGTTATATTCTCTCTGATTGGCCCTGTAACTCGGTCCTTTCTCGTCTTTTCGCTCTCCTTCGTTTCTCGTTTCCTTGCCTCAGAACCCGGGCTATCGCCGGGTTTCTGACAAGGCAGATCCATCTTGAAGCTGCTCATCTGTTAAGACGTCATACGAATACAAGACCAAACATCTTCCCGCAAGGTCTCCCGAAGCCGAATCGAACCTGCCGTCTTGGCTTCTTCCCGCTGGTCTTGGCAAGTTCTGGAGGTCAGGGACCGAAAGCTTGACAGGCTTCCCTGGTGTTGCCTCGTTGCTTCCCAAGGCTTAGCCGTTCCAACTGCGGGAGGCCAGTTCGATATCTGCACGATGCAGTTTAAGCACGCCCTCGAGTCCATGCCAAGGGCGATCGCCCGCCCGGGCTGCCCGACATGCCGGTGAGGCTTCCGTGGCCGACGGACCAAAGAAACGGCGAGTTTAGAACACGTTTTCGCCCCCTGGTCCATTTAAAGGGCCCTCCCGCCCCCCCTCTCATTCTGCATGATGCATGCCCATCGAGGAGGGTCTGAACTGTAAATTCATTCTTGAGACTAACTCAAAAGAGCGGTGGCATATCAAGATATGGTTCTCGGTCATGCCGCAACATCCAATATGGTGTGGAAGAGGCATTAGCCAGCGAGTCGTCCTTGTGATAAAGGGGCTGTCGACCGAGTGCTCACCGACGGTCATATAGGTAGCAAAGTCCGTCCTGTGAACCAATAGCATTTGACTCAGTCACTGCAGGAAGGATCAGAAATGACCACTATGAATCCGCTTCGCCTGACCATGATCGCAAAGGAACGACGTTTCGCCGAAGAACACAACAGGTTATCAAGTGAAAGGCCATTGTTCCCTCGTAAGCTTCGAGTCGGTGTCAGTCCATTCTCGTTTAGCTCAACATCCGGGACTACCAATAGTTCGGTTCTTTCTCTTGTCTCGTATGCATGCGATCCTGCAAGATGAAGCGCATGCATGGATGGTGTGGCAGATCAGCTAGCACGAGAGTTCTTTTGATCACACAGTAGGTAGGAAGTAAGTGGGAATCATAACGTTACGCAGTCTGCAGATGCCGATCTCTGCCTGGTTCTGAAGGAGTTGGAGAGACCCGTACTTACTTTTCTCCCACTTCGCCATAGAAACGCAAGAGTGATTATGCTGACTCAGCCACATCTGAGGTTGCTACAATTCAGTTGTCCAGAGGGCGGCAAGAGATGGATATTCAATACAAAAAACCCCTCAACCTGCTGACGTCTCTAAAAACACTGGATTTCGGGCAACAGATCAGGCATTGAGCATCAAAAGGTATGCAGTAAAAAACAAACCGTTCTTGGCGACAAATGCTTCCACATGGCCAATGCCTGAGAATGGGTAGAGCAAGTAGGACTGATTGGTGTCAGAGGTCTGAAGGCTTTTGGAGACGTTTCAGGCAAGGCGGTAGGGTGTGGCAGAACAACGATCTAGTAAGCGATTGGTTTTCGGCTTGGTTTGACCCACCACAACCTCAATGCTGCATCGCTTCGTGCACTCCCAGCTTCTGGGTATTTCTGAGCTTCTGAGCAGAAGGGGGGCCGTCTAGACACCCCGCGACTCAAGAGATTTGCGAACGTATGCGGATCCTGCCAGCAGTTTCTACTGGAGTATTTTGCAAATTCGTACGAGGCGTCATCCTGAAACGAGAGGCCCAGTAAATCGAAACGAAAGAGTGAGGGAGAGAAGCAGGGTGGTGGTGACCAAGGCGCCGACACCCAGCGTCGCAAGATCGTCTCCTTGGCCGTATCGAGTAGTTCGCTGCAACGAAGACGGGCATTGACGCTCCACCACTTCAACAGCGATCCCGACTTGGACGGCTGGTACTCGCTGCGGCTGAAGGACAAACTGGATACGAGCTGTTGCTAGGCTGCAAAAGGAATGTGGCTCTTGGACCGTAGGAAGATGTCGAACTCTCCCAAAACGCCTCTTGCCAGGGACCCCGTCAGCGATCTAGCGATCCTGCGGTCCGTTTGGATCGGCAGCACTGGAAACGGGGATTACACCCGACAGTTTCGTCGGCCGAGCCGCCCTGGTTTCAATATGCAGTCTATGTACAGCCATCTTTGTTGAGGGCGACCCCGCAAACCAGATGCAGCCCCAAGAGAAGCAGCCAGCAGAAGCAGCCATCAGCCATCGTGATGCTGGCCTCAGATGTATCGCATATCGAAACGGCCGAGCCACGGCCGTTGCTTCTGCTCGAGCCGCCAGGCTCTCGTGCTGTTTTGTTTGTGAGCCCCTTGCCAAGCTTTTGCCTTCTGGCCTCTCCACTCCTGTCGCAATGCTCACATCGTCGTCCTTCCTTGCCCGAGGGGCTCCTTACCCGAGGGGTAGCCAAGGGGTAGGACCGGCGAGAGCGAGGAGACGATGTCCACCCCGAGAACATGGGAGACATGGACATGTATAAGTGCACCATCTCCTTCTGCCTTTTGGCATATGGTTCTGTCCCTCCTCATCAGCTTCTTCTTCTTTCCTTTCTCCAGCTATTCTTCTCTCTGGCCGATTGAATCGAGCCCTTTTGTTCTTCCGATTTCACAGCATTCTTTCGTATCTCTCTGCTCCAACCTCTTCAGCAACTTCTTCATCAGTCCGCACTATCGCAATCATGTTCGCCAGAGTCCTTCTCCTCGCGCTTGCCGCCTCTCCTCTCGTTGCCGCTCACGGAAAGATCGCCGTCATCACGGGCGATGCTGGCGGCAACACCACTGCTATCGGCATCAAGGGTGCTGTCATTCCTGGTGCCGGGTCCAATTCCAAGGTCTGTGACTACCACTGTTCTCTGCATACACAATGGCAGGCCATGCTGACTCGTCCCAGACGGAAGTCGACACCACCGTCTTCAGCTCTACCAAGATCGCCACCAACGGTCTGGGCAGGACCAACAGCCAGGGCAAGAACACAGTCTCGATGGTGGCCCAGGCGCAGGAGCTCTCGGGCTCGACGCTGCCACAAGTCTCGGCTACCAACGGCTCGCTCTCGGGTACCTTTCACATTGTCACCACGGACGGCGCCGGCCCCCTGCAGGCCATTGTGGACACGACTGGCACCGGCGCCTTTGCCAGCGGCACCAAGGCCGAAATTCTGACCCAAGTGCCCGGTGACGGCGGCGAGATCAAGTCATCAGGCGTCGTTCGTCGATTCATGGTCAAGGTGGGCATCGCCAAACGGGCGGCCAACGTGAACAAAGACTTTGTGAGTTTCTCTTCTTTCTCTTCTTCTCTTCTCTCCTCTCCTCTCACTCGCTGACACCCACAGCCTGTTGCCGTCTCTATCCCGGCTGGAACTACCTGCAACGGCACAGTCAACGGCCTGTCCAACGTGTGTCTCATCAAGATTGCCAACTCCAACTCAGCTGGACCGTTTGGTGGTGTCGTGGCCTTCCAGATGGCCAGCAACACCACGGTCAAGCGCGCCGTCGAGTTCACCTCGTGAATAGCGGGTTAACAACGGGGCAGAATATTATTAAACGGATCGGAATTGCGCTGTAAATCTGGGTTTTTGTTCTTAGACGAGGCTGCGCCTCCTTACCTTTATGAGAGATAGTAGCTAGAGAAAGAGAAGTTGATGTCCGCTGAAATTGCTCACGATCCTAAAGAATGCAGCAGTTCCACTCGACGCCTACGTCTTCCCTGTTTGGCCCGGACCCCCATCGCATGCCGTTCTGCACGTCCAGCACGCGTCGAATGTCGTTGCGGTCGTAACAACCGTGCAGGTCGTGCAGCGGACAGGCCGACGAGGGCGGTGGCAGCAGCAGAAACGCAGCATCGACGGCGGAAGCAGAGCCACCGGGGACGAAGCCGGGCAGCCGTGAGCGATAGGCCGGTGGAACAAGCCTGGCGGTGCCGTCGAGGAGGTGAGGACAGGTCGAGAAGCCGCGGCCTGGGGCACAGCGACGTGTTATGCGGAGCCAGCGACAGTGGCAACCCGGATGGACATAGTAGGCGATAGAACACATTGAAGTCGGTAGCTGACGTGGTCTGTATCGTTGTTTCGTTAGTGGAGAGAGTGTGTGTTGTGGAGGACTTTTTCGATTCTCATTTTGGTCACAGATGACTGTCCAAAACGTCAACTAAAATTCACCACAAGCAGAAGGTTCGATCGAGTACCATGACGAGGCAGTGACGCCTCAGCACCTGTGAACGACAGACCGATAGTGTAGCGTAGCGCCAAGCAGAGTGAAAGAACCTCTTTCCAAAATGCTACGTAGATCCAACACTATAGAAAGTGATACGCCGTATATCTAATGCAAAAGTTTCGGCTCAACATGACATGTATCCCAAGACAGCTGGCAACCAAAAACTCCTATGTGGTGGTTGTCAAGTCCAAATCTGCGATGGAGCCTGTTTGCTCGGCATCGCTCATCTCTCCATCGTCAATGACCTCTTCTTCGACTTCGTGTGCCCTTTCCACGTCTTGGTCTTCGTCTGGGCTGCTGGTCTGCTTGATCAGTTGGCCGAGCATGCTCTCGATGCGGGCCATGGATTCCTCCAGCTCGCCCAGCCGCCGATGCATTCCGGTCAGCCGCCTATCACGACTGCTACCAAAGTTTATACTCGTCCCGTCCGAATGCATGTCCCCGTCCATGTTTGTGTCCCGGCCCACGTCCGCGTCGGACTCGTCCAGAAGCGTCCGCAATTTGTCCGGATCAAGTCCCGGCAAAGCGATACTGTCCCGCCGACTGACGCCATGCTTGTGTCGCAAAGTCGGAGGCGGTGCTAACGCCGTCGGTGGTGGTGAGCGCTTGCGGGGTTCTGATGGCGGTAGATCAGCGCTTTCGGCAAACCTGACCACAGACAGCCGGCCGGTTCCGGATTCGTCGCCAGTGCTTCCGTCAGGACCGTCTTTCCCACTGACAATGTCGCTGGAGGGAGCTGCAGACGTCCGACGAGATTCGTGGTTGAGGCCCCTGACGTCAGCAACGACCTGCGGCGGCCGAACAAACTGGCGGCGGATCAGATGGTGCGTCAGGTCGTCGTCAGCCGCGATCTCGTCCTCGACAGAATCTGGCGGCGGCAGGTCGAAGACGGCGCGGATGTCGCCGTGCACTGTGATGCGCCAGGCGTCCCAGAACGAGCGGCGTGATGGCGTGGCGGTCCTGGACGCTTCGCCGTACGAAGCCGGCCACAGCAATCGACGCTCAGCGATGGCGATGAACAGAAGGACGGGAAGGTTGATGGTACGGACGCAGGCGACGTGAATCTTGTGGAACCAGCGTGGCGACACGAGAAATTTGAGCGGGACCAGGATGAAGAGGGCCAAGATGTTGAAGGGCGGCTGGTAGGCAAAGATGGCATCGCTCTTAACACCCTCGAGTGTCAGCACAGCGCGACGGTACTGGATCTCGGCGGTGGCATTGGACACGATGGTGCTGAAGGTGTTGGATAGCATGGACACCAGGATCGTCAGGAAGAGGGTGTTGCCGAGAAAGGCAAAGGCGATCATGAGAATGGGTCCCAGCAGCCAGTGGAACTCGGTGGACCGCTGGATACCGGTGCCGTCAAGGCCGAACCAGATGTAGACCATCCACTTGGTGATGGTCACGATGGGATGCTGGCCCTCACCCAGCCAGGCGAGCGAGAGCAGAAAGCCGGCGAAGCACCACATGGCCAGGGCGGTCAGCAGGGTGAAGTCGGCGACCATGGACCGCAGCGACACAAACAGCAGGTTGTCGGACATGGCAGTGAAGGCGATGCGCGGGATCAGCACGGGCGCCGCCATGGCCAGGGCGTCGAGAGCCTGCTGACCGTACTCGAGCGAGCCGATGCGCCAGCCGTGCAGCCGGAGCACGAGATAGGACCAGTAAACAGCGGCGTAGATGACGTCGAGAAAGGACCACAGGTTCTGCGTGTAGACGTGCCAGCCGTGCTCGAGGATGGTGGCGAACTGATCGAGCACCCAGCCGAAGGAGAAGATGGCAAAGGCGATCTCGAGCTTGCTGTAGCGGGAGGCGTCACGCTCGGCCATGAAGCAAAGATAGAGGCCCAGCAGCACGCTGAACTGCAGCGTCTCGAGGATGTTGCGCGTCCGCGGCACGATCAGGCGGTACTGGTTGAGCAGCGAGGCCTCGCGCGGGTCGTAAAGTGCGATCGGTTTCTGCTTGTAGTGGTCGGGAATGATGTCGATGAAGCTGGAAGGCGTGTACGTGACCCGGCCGACGTAAATGGCGTCGATGACCTTTTGGCAAGCCGTCGAGCTGAGAAAGAGCTTGCTCTCGCTCAGAATGGCCACCTCGAGCGCCGGCAGCGTGCGGCTGTACAGCCAAGACTCGGACTGGGAAGCCTCCTGTCGGACCGAGTCAGGCGCGTTCTGGAACGGCTCGAAGCCGGCTACGAGAATGTGCGAGAGCACCAGCAGTCCGGCCACGCCGTCGTTGTCCTCGCTGAAGCGGCGGAGGATCCGGTGGGCGATCAGCTCGCAGAGGGCTGCCCGCGTGAAGTTGACGTTTTGCCGGTTCTTGTTGCCCGACTGCTCGTAGAGAAACTGGGCCCGGTTGACGAGGAGACAGTAGACTATCGGTCAGCGCTGATCAGGCAACGGGGGGGAAGGCCTGCAGAACGGACGTACCGATGGAGATGTCGTCCAGTTCGTATAGCTTGTCGACCAGTGGCCGGATCACTGAGATGTTGATACGCATGTCCCGTAGCTGTTCAGCCGAGAGATAGTCCTCCACAACGGCGACAATGTCGCGCCGGATGCGGTGGATGTTGGTGTAGACCGGCAGGTGCGAGTGCGGATTTGCGATGCAGGCGTACACCGGCTCTGCCTCGATCTCGTGGCTGAACGTGCGTCGCATCAGCAACGGCTGCCGCTCGGCCGAAGTCGAGCTTGAAGACGAAGTGGTGGGCATTGTTGCAGACGTCGTGAGACGCCGGCTTGTGCCGGATCTTGGGCAGGGTTCTCTCTTCCCGCAACGGAAGGATGCTATCACGGCCAAAACCTGGCAGATGAGGCCGAGAACCGGCTCTTCAGCCAAGGTTTAGAGGATCTAGAAAGACAATGGGCAGCGATGCTAGAACAACAAGAGATGCTAGTGGTTCGACGAGTCTCGCTCGATCAGCCGGCCAGGAGACAAGAAAGGGAGAATTGAAGGAAAAGAGACGGGTTGTGGATCGGGATCCCGCAACCAAGCCCAACAACCGAAGTGAGAAGCCGAAGAATTGTCGACCTATTCCTGTTATCTCAGTTGGGCTCGCGAACGTGTACAGTTATCAGTGACGCAGTGACGATTGGAAAGTACGCGTGAGTTGTGTCTGAGATGTCCCGATTTGGAAAGAGGCCCCCACTGTTCCCCGCTTTGACGGCGAGCTGAGCTTATAGCGGAAGTCGCGTCTATCACGCATTGCATGCCATTTATCAAGCGGCATCAGTTTAGATCGCAACGGAAGATTCCGTTGCTTCTATTAGCTAAGCTTACAAATATCTGTCAAGCGCCTGATTATGTACTCCTCGCCCCCCAAAAACGGAACTAAAATGATGAACGGATCGTTCGGCCTGGCCTTGATTCCGTCTTAGGCTGCCAAGCGGCAGGCCAGGTAGTTCTAAACAGCTGTGGTTTCAGGTTCAGAAATCGATTGCAACTGACAATCGTCACTTTCTGGGTTGCTTGGCAAGGCGTGAATTTGAGCTCTCGCGCCTAAGTCACAACACGGTGACGCAACAAGTCGGGTACTGCAAAGGGCCAAGGCCTCGATCTCAGCACCCACATCTTCAGCTCGTCGACCAGCCTCTTGTAGCCTTCGTCATCCGCCGAGCTAAAGCGCACCATGCCCCGGTGGTGGGCGCGAATGCTGATGCATTTGTAGCCGTCTATGACAGCAGCCGGTTTGGCGACAATATGTCCATACGGGAACAACGGAAGCTCCTCAAAGAAGCAGGTAATCTCGAGAGACCTGCGCCCTTGGTCAAATTCGCGCAGCAGGTTCAAGAATTGGATATGGGTCAGCTCGAGCATTTGGCTGTCGAGTCTCAGCAAGTCTAACAGGGACGTGTTTGTCGACTTGAAGAATCCGAGCACGTAAGCAGGCACCTTTGCCCAGCTTGCTATTGTTGATCCTTTGTGCGGCGTGCCCATGAACGCAATGCCCTTGATGCAGTGAAAGACTCTGCGCACACGGTCGTCGTTGTGGTGGCGTGACAAGAGCAGGGCAAGTTTGCAGATGATGCCGCCGAGGCTGTGTGCGACAAAGAACAAGGGACGAGAGGATGCGCCGCGTTCGGCCCGGTTGTTGGACAGGTCTTGCAAGAGGTTCAAGGCATGGTCGGTTGCACGATTTGCCGAAACAGCCTCCAAACTGTTTAATTTGTGTGTGACGCGTGCGCCGTAACCAAACGTCAGGATGCAGGCGCGGGGAAACGCATGTTGGAGCAGCTCCTTTGGCCAGGGCGTGGTTTGTCCGTACGCTGTCCAGGTGCTGTTTCGCTTTCCTCCCAGGCCGTGCACAAAGCAGATATCGACAGTTGCATGGTTGCCTTCGCACCATGTATCCAGGCCGTCCGGCTGTGATTCGGGAGCTTTGGCCATCTGCTTGATGAAGGCCCAGATGAAAGCTAGGGAGAAAAGAATGCTCAGGCCGTCATTGAAGGGACCAAGAGTCTTGCAGAAAAGACTCCTTCTGGTCTGCCTTGCGGCTAGCCCGGACGGATCCAAAGACTTTCTTTTGGTGTGGGAGACAAGGCTGTGTCCATGTTTACGTAGCCCGATTTTGTTGGTTCCGCGGGTCATAGAATATGTCTTGTAATTTGAAGTCTAAACATTACTTTTTGCTCAAGCTGCCGCCTTGCCTTTCCCCATCACGAGGAAGAAACGCCTGTGCCGATATGCCCTTTTGTACTGTACAATGCAGCCTATTCCCTCTCATCGGTCCCAAAAAGGTCAAGTGGCTGCGCCTTTCCTGATCCTTCGGCCCCGCCACTAATTTCAGCGCGTCCAGCCTTGGAAGTCGTCGACAAAGCGCACGGCTGAATTAAGAAACCGATCCTGGACGTCTTCCCAGGTCCTGGACGCGTCTCTGATCGCTCGGATGGCTATTTCAGAGTCAGCTCAGGCTTACGTCCCAATCTCTCTCGCACACACACTGACCTTTGATATAGTGCGCATCCGTGCTCCACCGCGATGTCAGCACCTGCTCTTCCACATGCGTCCAGCCGCGGCCATCGCGGTCGGCCGGCACGTTCTCCAGGTCTATTGGCGGCCGCCGGACAGAAACATACACGGCCAGCGTCAGCAGCCACCACTGACGCAGTAGCGTTGCGTGGTAGCGGGCGGGGAGATGTGGCAACAGCACACGGGCGGCATGGCTGGTAGTCAGGACCTGGCACAAGAAGAAGTTATAGGTGTGGGTGCTGGGCGGCACCGTGGCCACGAGCAGGGCCACGGCGACCTCCTGGAGGTCTCGGAACTGGCGCGTGAGGTCGCCACCACCGACGTTCCAGGCATTCCAGTACTCGAGCAGGGCGTCCTCGACGGCCGGCGTCGCGAAGAGTGCTTCCAGCAACTCGCCGAAGCCGGCGTGGGCCTCGGCCGTCGCCTCAGCCGTCGCCTCGGCCATGGCATCCGCTTTGACCACCTTGGCGGAGAGCAGTGCTGCTGCGCTGGGATTCGGTGATGTCAGGCCGTCAAATCGGCTGTCTCGGGCGACGCGGGCCAGCAGGGCCTGGAGCGAGGCGCCGTCGACGGCAAGACTCGGCGGTGCAGACCGGCTGTAGGCCGGCTCGTCGACGTAGCGATGCAGAAAGTCGTACGAGACAGAGGACATGGCCAGCGCTTCGATGGCGATGATGCGGCTGTCCACCTCAAAGGCGTAGGCGAGGTGGATGAGTGGGTGGCCGACTGGGGGAGTTAGAGCAAGCTATCGCTATCGCCACCGCTACCGGGCGAGGGAGGAGAGAGAGCACGCACGGCCACTGATAAGGTTGCTGACCAGCGGGTCCGGTCCAGCAAAGAGGTACTTGTTGACGACGACCTTCCAGTCGTAGGCGACGTCGTGGGAGGCGTAGACGTCCTCGAAGAAGTCGACGTAGGCCCGCTGGTACGGGCGGTCGCCGAGAAAGTCGCGCCAATCGAGGTCGGAGATCTCGGCGGGCGACTCGGTCCAGGGCTCGAGCTGGCGCGAGAGGACGTCGTAGATGGCGTTGAGCTGTTCGGACGAGGCGCCCAGCAGATAGGCCGAGCAGAGGGCATGGGGCATGTGGTTGTAGCGACGCAGGCTGCCGTGGTAGACGAGCGCATGGTTGACATGGTTGGCCCGCAAGAGATGCTTGAGCGTGCGAGGCCGGCGCTCGGGTGCGGTCTCGACGGCATGGACCTCGACTGGAACCAGCTGAACGGCCGGACTGGCGCTCGCGATGAGGCGGCCGACCAGCGGCAGCGAGGCAAGCAGGGCAGCCATGGCAGCAGGAGGACGGGGAGACGAACGAGAAGATATCCGCGGGAGAGAGCCGGGTGGAAGACGAAGGAAGGCGGGCGACAAGCATTCATGAGACGACGTCGGAATCTGTTGGGATGGCCGAGCCAACAAGTTGAGGTCAGGTCATACTCCCAAAACGGCATTAGTCATGGCATTGAGCTCTCCCATTGGCCACGGTATAGAAGACGGTCGCTGGCGGAAAACAGCATCAGTTCATCCGATATGGTGTAATGGCTAACATCGGTCGCTCTCACCGACCAGCTCGGGGTTCGATTCCCCGTATCGGAGATAATCTGTTTTATTTTTTTGCACTTTGCTCGAGCTGCAGCCCCGCATATGGATTAGTACATATTACTGTGCGGAATCTAGGATTGCAAAATCGCTCTCCATCAGCCATCATACCACGACCACGACCACGACCGATCATGTCGCCTCCCGCCATCATTGCGCCGTCGATCCTGTCGGCCGACTTTGCCAATCTCGGCCACGAATGTTCCAAGACGATTGAGCAGGGTGCCGACTGGCTACACGTGGACATAATGTAGTCTTCTCTCGTTACCGGTTTCCCTCTCCCTCTTCCCTTTCCACCACGTTCGCTCACAGCTCCCAGGGACGGTCACTTTGTGCCCAACCTCACATTTGGCCCACCTGTCGTCGCCAAGATCCGGTCGCATGTCGCAGCCCCGGGCACCGACGCCCCTCTGGGTCGCGGCACCTTTGACTGCCACATGATGATCGCCGAGCCGAAGCGATGGGTGCGCGAGTTTCGCGACGCCGGCGCCGACCTGTACTGCTTCCACTACGAGGCCGCCTTCTCTACGGCCGCCGAGACCCCATCGGCCCAGTCGGATGCCAGCACTACACCGGCCGAGCTGGTGCGCTACATCCACAGCCTCGGCCTCCGAGCCGGCGTCGCCATCAAGCCGGGCACGCCCGTCGACGTGCTCTTCCCGCTCGTCGACGTGGCCGATGCCGCCGATCGTCCTGACATGCTGCTCGTCATGACCGTCGAGCCCGGCTTCGGCGGCCAGAAGTTCATGGCCGACCAGATGCCCAAGGTCCGCACCCTGCGCGACCGCTACCCCGACCTCAACATCGAGGTCGACGGCGGCCTCGGACCCGCCACCATCGACGTCGCTGCTGAGGCTGGCGCTAATGTCATCGTCGCCGGCTCTGCCGTCTTTGGCGCTGCCGACCCCGCCGACGTCATCGCCAAGCTGCGGGCTGCCGTCGAGGCAAGGAGGGCCTAAGATGGGAGAAGAAACGCCTATACCGTCAAGAGTCATATACCGCATAACTAAATATACCATACTCTACAGCCTTACACTACAATCAGTCCGAAGAGCTGTCCTCACTGCTCGAGAAGCCGCGGAACTCCTCCTCCGAAGAGCTGTCCTCAATGTCTGCATTGGGGTCTGCCCCGTTTTCCTCCTCTCCGTCCTCCTCCTCCTCAATTTCAAACGTTGCCGACACGTCCCAGCGGTCGCCCAGTGCCTTGCGGTTGACGTACTTGACAAACCGCAGCGTTCCGCTGTCGCGCAGCACAATCGTCATCTTGTTCCACGCTGCCGCTTGGAAAAACAGAATGTTGTCCTCGTCGCTGCTTGTCCGGTACACAGCTGCGTCCTCTGTGTCGTCCTCGTCGCCCGCCATATATACCTCGTGGCCGCCAACGCCGTCATCATCCTTGTCCGCCTCATCCTCGTCCTTGTCCTTGTCCTTTTCGTCCTTTTCGTCCTTTCCGCCCTTCTTGCTCTTCACCCCATTCTTAGCACTCTTCTTGCTGGCCTTTTCCTTGCCTTTTCCTTTTGTCTGTTTCTCTTCCTCTTCCTCTTCCTCCTCTTCGTCCTCCTCCTCCTCATCACCCCATCCGGTCGTCGGCGTCAGACCAATATTAAGCTCCAGCCGCGCCTCGCCATCGTGCTGAGTCGCAAGCGTATAGTCCTGGCCTCGCCGGAAGCGCCGCGCCAACAGGTCATACGACGTCACCGTCGTATCCGTCGCAATCTCTAGCCACGTGCGGAACGCCTGGCTCGGCAGCAGCACGTCGAGCAGCTCGTGCCACGGCGAGTCCTCCGGCTCGTCGCCCGGCTGCACATACAGGAAGCGATGCTTGTGTGGCGGCTTCGCCACCTTCCAGCGGCCGCCAGCCTCCTCCCGTCTATCCTTCTTGCCTTTCTTGCCTTTCTTGCCCTTCTTTCCCTTGTCGTCTGTCGTCGCCGCTTCGGCCTCACGCCGGGCAATGTCCTCCTGCAGGCGCGCCGAGAACTTGGCGTTCAGGATCGTCGGCAGCGTGATGCTCGAGTTCTCCTGAAAATGCTCCGACATGCCGGCCAGCGTGTCGGGTGTGAGATAGGCTGGCGAGAGGTACTTGAGCAGGAACTCGAGGTCGGCCTCGTCAAACTCATGGCTGTTGCTGCTGTGGCTGGCCTGACTGTTGTCGCCCACCACCACCGACTTGGTCTGCGGCCGGTCGTGCTGGTCCGGGTTGCCCTGCAGCTGCATGAGCCCGCTGTTCTTGAGCTGGGCCGCCTCGGCGCCCTGCACGAAGCCAGCCTCGCCTGGCTGCGGGATGTGGAACCAACCGCTGATGGCCATGCGCACGCGACCGCTGTCTTTGCGTAGCTGCTCGGCCGAGTCGGCGGGGTAGACCTCCTCGACGTCGTGGAAGCTCTCACCCGGCTGCACGGCAAAGAAGCTCAGCTGGTTCCAGGCCGGCGGGATGACCTTGACGGGGTCTGCGCCCGGCGTCTTGGCTACCGCGCCATCGTCGCCCACCTGCTCAGAGACGGGAAACAGCCGTAGGGCGCCGCCCCATTCGGCCTGCCACGGCGTGTCTGGGTCCGTCAGGTAGAGGATGTAGCTGACCTTGCGGCTGCCAATCACGTCGTCGTGGCACAACAGATAACAGCCGGGCGTGTACACGTTGATGGCCATGTCAGTCTTGCGCCCGCTCAGCGGCCCGCACCCGGTGATGTGCGAGACGTAGTCGCGGAAGGTCTCCGAGTAGATCGCATCTCGCAGCGATAGCAGCGATGGCAGCTTGGCCAGCGCCTTGTCCTCGAGTCCGTCTAGGTTGGCCAGGTCGCCCGACTGGTGGATCTTGTAGATGTCCGTCTCTTTGGGCGTGAACGACACGTTTTCCCGGATCTCGTCGCGCACCGACCGCAGCAGCTTGTCGTCCACCAGCTCGTGGATCACCGCATGCTTGTACGGCGTCGATTCCGCATATGCTTTCGTCGAGGTGTCCAGCACCGACTGCTCAAAGAGCCCCTTGCGAAACCTCTTCTTGGCCTCCTCCGCCGTGACGGCTGTGCAAGCGTGTCAGCAGTCGTCCGGTCGAGCAGAATATATCCACACACAACTTGCCCTTCTTTGTCCTCTTGGACTGCTTCGCCTTTTGCGGCTGTGAATCTGCCTTTCTCTTCATCGTCCTGGTCAAATTGGCTCAGGAAAATGGCTGTTCCACGACTTCTGTGTCCTCCACACACAATTGGAAATCAGGAAAAAACAAAAGAACAAAAGAAATACGGAGAGGAGCGGAACCACATGGGCGGACGTCTGTCCAAAATGGCCTGATCTCGAGTCAAGATTTTAAACAGGTGCCGAGCTCATCCAACATTTTTTTGTGCCGTTCTTACCATCCACATCCTCTTACCGCCTTAGCCCCACCAATTGGCCGCTCTTGCTAGCCGCTGTGGAGCGACCTGCACGACTGGTGTGCACGGGCCTCGGGGAGCTGCGTGCCCTTAGCCGTGCGCAATCAATGTAGATGACGCGCTTGTGGGGCGCTGCCGCGCCACAAGGCCCGTGCTTTTGTGGCTTTTTTTGCTACGTCGTAGTGCCGCTGCCGCGCCGTTAAACTACTCCTTAATGGACAAACAACGTCCATCCACTAATAGGGGTTACTCGTTAGGTTGATCAACGAGGCGCATTTATTGTACAAAGATAATACTAGAAAATTGTACTGTATTTTATACTCGTACATGTCTACTCAAGATCAGGGCCGTAGACTACATGTACTTTCCGCATGTCGTGGATCCGTGTCTGTGGGGACAGATTGCTAGTTCGGTCTCGAGATGATACGACGTACGTGGATGCAAGTATGGGTGCATTATTAACCTGGTTTCCCCGCCAGGCTCCTATGTTTTACTTGTTGTCTTGCAACATCAGGTAAAAGCTAGACATTATGTGTAAGTTCTGTGATGGCAAGAGCTACAGGGATGCATTCTTCTAACAAGAGCCTAGTAAAAAACTGGAAACTCCCTTTTTCGAAAGAAAAGGACCGAAGCATCGGCATGCTCATGGGCGAGGCAGGTGCCGGCAAGACAACCCTGTTATACAGCCTCTGCGGCTTTCAGGACTTTGCTACAATCCCTACGATTGGTTTAAATGCGGAGGATATTACTCTCCGCGATGGATCGGGATGGAAGTTCACCTTGTGGGATCTGGGTGGTAAGCCTTCCAAACGTAGATCTTGTTTGATAAAGAGTGAGCAGGAATACAATTAGACACCGGCTGACATTGTTGACGTGGTCCCTGGTATTGACAGGCGGTTGTGGGAAGCAGAGACCGCTCTTCAAGCACTATCTTACAGCAGATAGGTTTTGTGTCTTCCTGCACGATATCGGCCAGGACAATTGCGCAGAAGAATCCATTGCAGCTTTCCAGGGTGTTCTGGAAGACTGTTCATCCGGTGGCTGCAGGCACATTTGGGTAGTTTTCAACAAACAAGATTTGATCAGGTCGGAGGACGAGCGATTGGCAAAACTAGGAACCATGGCGGGCAAGTACCGAGATCTGGCTGCGCCGTTTGCAGACAAGGTCCAGGTGAGAATCTTACTGCTTCCGGGCTTTGACGCAGCCAAGCACATTCGGATAGACGATATGCTGAGCGAGATCCGCAAAGCGCTGCAGCAGGAGGCCAAGCTGGGAGCAGTTGGGCATGGCAAGGTTGCGAGAGAGGCGAGCGCCGAGGCCTCTCCTAGCGAGGAGGACCTGCGAATTGCGGTAGAGATGGCCGTGGCCGGCCAGCGCGAGCAGCCTTCGGATGCGTTTTGGGAGAATTTTTTGGGGGGGACTCTGACCTCGTGGGACCATGCATCACATCTCCGAGCAGGACTGGGCGTAATCCTTGAAGGCTATCTGAAGCCGAGAGGACTCTTCGCGTGGACGGATGATTTCATCGGCCATCTGGATCGACTGCGAGAAGACCGGCCTGATCTCTTTCGCAATACGGCACACAGGTAAGCCCCCCGCCTGGAGTCTCGCGCAAAGGTGGCGGCATCTGACCTGTCAGAACTATGACCATGTTCTGGCTGCACCGGATCCACGGAGCCTTGAAAGGATACATGGCGAGCACGATAGCCGCCCATAGCTCCCAGAAGACCTTTCATCTTCCCCAGCTCGACGAGTTTCCCCCGATCTTGCGAGCGGACTGCCGTCTGATGGACAAAAACCTCTGGCGGCAATTCTATTCGCAGGGTCTGATGTTCAGTCCGCGGGCCAAGAATGAATGGTGCCTGCCCGACCTCGCCATGCTGCCGGACACGATCACGGCGCCGTCGACCAGTGTTGTCCACACGGCGGGAAGTCTATCGGGGTCCAACACGACCGGACTCGCCGGCGCCGATCTGCGGCTACCCCGGTTTGCCTTCACGGTCGTCAAGAAGACGCTTTCTTCCGGATCTCGCCGCGGTCGCATTGTCAAACGCGCCCTCGAGGTCCTGCAAAAGGCCACGATGCGCCAGCGGGCGGCAGCAGCTACGGGCATGTCACCGTCGCCACCGCCGCCTCCATACTCAGAGACACAGGCCTACTTCTGGATCCAATATGTGCATGCGTGCCTCACTGTGCCCAAGAGGGACGGATTACCACCGCTACAGAAAGAGCTTCCAGACTACGGCTCGTTGCGGAACCTCAGCTTTTCTGTCTTTCAAGCCATGTTCTCACTGCGCGGAGACGAGTGGCGGAAGTTCTACACGGCGCAGCTGTGGGAGGGCGTCGGGTCGCGGCCGCAGATGCTGCTGCCAGACCGGAGGCAGCTGCCCAACGTCTTTCCGGTACCTGACAGCCAAAGCCTAGACCGTGCCAAGAGCATGCTGGTGCAGGAAGTGTACCAGGCCACGGGAAGTTTGGAAGATGGGGTGGCGCCGACCTTGGAGAAGATGACGGAGGAGGAGCTTGCATTCTTTGCAGATCTGGTCGTAGACGAGGCTGAGCAGCTTCCTGAGGATGAAGGGGCAGCCGCACTGACAGGCCTGAACGGCGATGACAGCGACAAGACGCGGACAGACCAGATTGGCGGTCAATACCAGACCATCGCCCGTGCAGAGCTGCTGCTGTTTATCTTCCGCGGCTTAACAAATGCTGACATAAGCACACATGCGGCCTTGTCTGATGTATCTATCCGCATTACCGGGCTGTTGCAGTCGGGCTGGCACCGGTGCAGCGGCGTCACGCAGGCGTTCTTCTGGGTGCGCATGGTCCTGGGGGCTCTGCTGCAGCGGCGCGAGGACATGGCCAGAGTCGCATTTGGCGAATTTGTGCGGCAGCACCCAGAGCTGGCACTGGACGGCCTGCAGTGGACGTACTATTCACCTGAAGTGTGGGAGAGCGTGGAGGCAAAGGACACATACGTGATGCCAGATAGGCAGGCCCTGGCAAGCACGTCAATCTGAGGAACAGCTAGAGGAAGAACAGGGGAAAAGAAAGGATAAGAAGCAGGGACCAGAATAAGAAGAAAAAAGAAAGACAGGAGAACAGGAAAAAGGAGAAAGGGACAAAGGAAAAAGCCACAAGTCGGACAGCCGATGTAAGATACGATCTTACAATGGCCGACGACCATACGTAGGGACATTTCGTACGGTCGTACGTCTCTCACGCCTCTTCTTGACCGGCAACTGGCGCAACACAAGACGCAGATATCGCATCGCCGAAGCCGGCTGAAACAGCTATAGCGGGGTTCTGACGCACTTGCCACCGTTGCGGAATAGGAAGGTGCTAGCAGTCGGTCCGGCATATGGACGGCATCTTATCGTAGTACAGATAAGTCAGTTGTCGACATTCTCTTCACAATGACTCTGAGAAGTGAGGCAGTGCGCGCTGCACTGCCAAAGGTAGCTGGAGAGGACAAGCGCAATGGTTTCGACAAATTGGGTTGACAAGTGGGGATGTTTGACAAAGTTCCAAGTACAACAAAAAGGATGGCTTCGATACGATGCCGGACAATGCGAGGCTGCACTCGGATGCGGTCGGGCCACCCGAAGCCAATGCTACAATCTACGGAGTACAACATAATACACATACATAGTCCCGCACTGATAAACCTGGCTCACTGATGAGACCACTTCAGCGCTTGCTGTTATCTCGACGCGGGTGGGCCTAAGCGGCCTGCGATCGGCTTGGATCAGCGGATCGGCAAGGCCAAGACAGATGTGGAAGATTGTCGAGGAGATATGAAGAAGACCTGCCGAGCCCATCTCTGACCGTGGCCCGTTTGCCTCGACTCTCACACCTCTTCCACCTGCATCTACGCAACGACCATGGGACCCGAGAAGACGCAGTCGGTCGCCGATGTGACAGAGGCCAGTCCGGACGGCGAGAAGGGCCAGGCGCTGTCGGTGACGTCGTCGTCGTCATCGCAGCAGGCAGACAAGAAGGAGGCGGTGGGCAGCATCGCGGCGGTGCTGCGGCACGCGGACCAGGACGATGCGGACGAGGCGTTGAAGGTGCTGCGAGCACAGGGCAGCTCGGTGCGGCCATTGACAGCAGCCGAAGAGCGGCGGCTGGTGCGCAAGATCGACTGGCACCTGATGCCGCTGCTGTGTGTGGTGTACGGGCTGAACTTTCTGGACAAGACGACGGTGTCGTATGCGTCGGTGATGGGGCTCCGAAAAGACATCGGGCTCGTCGGACAGGACTATGCCTGGGTGGCCAGCATGTTCTACTTTGGCTACCTGGCGTGGGAGTGGCCGACGAGCCGGCTGCTGCAGCGGCTGCCGCTGGCCAAATGGTCGGCCGCCAACGTGATCATGTGGGGGCTCGTGCTCTGCTGCATGGCGGCCGTCCGGGACTTCTCGCAGGCCATGGCGGTGCGCTTCTTTCTCGGCGTGTTCGAGGCGGCCGTCAGCCCCGGATTCGCCCTGCTGACGAGTCAGTGGTACACGGCCGGCGAGCAGGGCGTGCGCGTGGGCATCTGGTTCAGCTTCAACGGCGTCGGCCAGATCGTCGGCGGCCTTGTGGCCTATGGCATCGCTGTCGGCACCAAGCACCATCCTCTGGCCCATGGGTTGCACCCGTGGCAGCTGCTCTTCCTCGTCATCGGCTTCTTCACCGCCGCCGTCGGCGTCGTCTTTTTGCGCGTCATGCCTGACAACCAGATGAACGCTCGCTTCCTGACGGCAGATGAGCGTGTTCAGGCCGTCGAGCGCATTCGCGGCAACCAGCAGGGCGTAGGGAACAAGCACTTTAAGTGGTACCAGTTCCGTGAGGCCCTGACCGACCCTATTGTTTGGGCGTTTGTGTTTTACAGTCTGGTTGCGGATATTCCTAATGGTGAGTTTTTTTATTTCTGCACTTTGCACTTTTTTATTTCTTTATTTATTTCTAATCTTTCTTTCTTTCTTTCTTTCTTTCTTTCTTTCTTTCTTTCTTTCTTTCTTTCTTTCTTTTCTTTCTTATTCTTTCTTTCTACTTTCTTCCTCCTCTTCTTCCTTTTTAAACCCCCCCCACGCTAACCCCCTAGGCGGCATCAGCAACTTCTTCTCTCAGCTCATCGTCTCCTTCGGCTTCACCAGCGAGCAGTCCCTCCTGCTCGGCATTCCTGGTGGTGCCATCGAGGTTATCGCCTTGATTGCCGCCGGCTTTCTGGGAGACCGTCTGAAAAACCGGCTCGTAAGCCTCCTTTCTTCCCCTTTTGTCCCATTCTCACTAATGTCTCCCCCCAGCTCGTCTGCACTTCCGGCCTGCTCATCTCCATCCTCGGCATGCTGCTCGTCACGTGCCTCGACAACCATCATCGTGTCGGCCGGTTGATCGGCTACTACTTCACCATGGCCTCGCCCACACCCTTTGTGGCCCTGCTGTCGCTGGTGGCCACCAACATCGCCGGCTGGACCAAGAAGACCACCGTCGCGGCCATGTACCTGATCGGCTACTGCGTCGGCAACATCATCGGCCCCCAGATCTTCCGGGACAAAGACGCCCCTGAATACCGACCGGCCGAGATCACCATCATCGTCTGCTGGGCCCTCGCCCTGCTGGACATCCTGTTCATCTACTTCTGGTGCCGGCGCGAGAACAGCCGCAAGGCCGCCATCCGCGCCCACCCCGGCTACTGCAAGCTGGAGGGCCAGGAGTTTTACGACTTGACCGACCGCGAAAACCCTGAGTTTGTCTACAGCCTTTAGGCTTTCTCTGTGTTTTGGGCATAGCCCCGCGATGATGGATGATATATGCCAATACATGTACTATTAGTTCTCGTAAGAAAAAACCCGACTGCTGATTGCTCGCTATTCCTCTTAACCCGCCTTGTCGAAATCCAGCTCCTTGCCATCCCCTCCTCCGATCCCTCCCATTCCCCTCCGATCCCCCTCCTCACCCCGTTTTGGTTTGCCCTGCTGTTGATTGGCCCCTTACTCCCTTGTCCTCCCAGATGGAACGAAGACTTTGAAACCGGAAAACAAAAACCACGAAATGCCAACGATAAGCCGTATGACAGCAACCCATATCATACAGAGCACTCCCAGCGTCCCTCACCGGATGTAGGACATGCGGCTGTCCTGCTGGGCCGTCTCGATGTCGCCGGTCGAGAAGAGCTCGTAGCGGATGCGATTTCGGCTGACACCAAGGCCGTGCACCAGGCAGACGGCCATGTCCAGCATGAAGGCCTCAGGGCCGCAGACAAAGTACTCGGTACTGTTGTTGCCGAGATAGAGCAGGTCATCGTCGTCGACGCTGTTGTGGAGGCTGCCGTGGGCAGCGGCTGTGGCGTTGGTGGGTGTCGGCGGCGACTCCGTATGGTCGGACATGGGCGATGACGGTTCGGCAAGCCCGGGCACGAGCCTGCTGAGGTCGATGCGGCCGGTAAACTCGTATGTCTGCGAGCGACCGACGCCATGGGATCCGAGTGCCGTGGACGGCTGGACGGACAGGTAGCTGGGCGAAGATGGGCGACGCTGCAGTTGTGGTTGCTGTTGCTGTTGCTGTTGTTGTTGCTTGTTGTTGTGGTGGTACTGGTGATGGTCCGAGAAGGAGGTGCCGTGAAAGTCCAAGTCGCCGAGCCCGCCGCCGAGTCCGCTGACGCGCAAACGACGCAGCGAGTGTGCCGACGAGGCTGACGAGGCCGAAGAAGCCCTTCCGGACGTTGGACGGCCGCTGTAGAAATAGGCCGTGCGCAGACGCGGATGGCGCCGCTGGATGTCGCGGATCTGGGCGTCGAACACGGGCGGCCCGTTGTGGGTGCCGTGGACGTATGTGACGGCGCGTCGTGGCTGCGTGACGGCCACGCTGCACAACATCGACATCATGGGCGCAGCACCGATGCCGGCCGAGATGAGAACCAGGGGGGCGCTGCTGGCACCGCTGGAATTGCCGCCACTGCCGCTGCTGCTGGTGCTGCTGCGGCCGTTGTTGCTGTGGCTGCTGTGCAAGCTGCCATTGCTGTTGCGGCCGTTGCTGTTGTTACCGATGATGTTGTTGTTGCTGTCGGCCTCAAACTCGGACACGTCGCCGACGTTGAGGAAGAACTCGCCCGTCGGATGCGACACCTCGATCGTGTCGCCCACCTCGACGCTGTCGATCAGCGCATTGGACACCACGCCCGGGTGAAAGTACGACGACGACACCGCGTTGGCAAACCGCGTGCCCTCGTCGCGCTTGACGCTGATCCGGTAGCAGTTGGGCCGCCACCGGTCGCTGAGCGAATACTGTCGCGCCTGGTAGAAGCGGCCGTCTGGGCCCGCCTGCCCGATTTGGGTCTGACCGTTCTGACCGTCCTGGACGTTTTGGGCCTGACCGTTTTGACCGTTTTGACCCAATAGCGCCATGGCGCTCTCGTCGCTCAACGGCATCCGCACCGAGACATACTGTCCGGGCAGATAGTACGGCAGGACATTGCTGTTCTTCTTCTTGGCCTCGGCTGCCGCTGCTGCTGCTGCTGCCCGACCGCTGCTGCTCGTGGCCGCGTTGTTCGCCAGGCTGGCGCTGCTGCTGCCGTAGCCGTTCCGACCGCCGATCATGCGTGCTCGCAGCTTGTTGTGCTCACTGCTGCGATGGCCGCTGATGCTCGGCCGGCTGCTGCTGTTCTCGGCCGCCAGCTTGGCCGCGGCTGTTGCTTCTGCGGCTGCGGCTGCGGCTGCTGCGGCTGCCTCGGCCGCCGTCGGCTGCACCGGCACCAGATAGAAAGAGTAGACGTCGTCGGACTCGGCCACCTTGCGCTCCACCCGCAGTGGCCGCCAGCCCTGCCAGGTCTCGAAGCTGCGATACAGGTGCGACTCGCGGCCCATCATCATGCGCGCCAGCACGCAGTAGGCGTCCGTCCAGGCCGACTGCAGCTCAGTCGTCATAGCCGTGCCCAGCACGTCGCGGAAGGCCCGGATCAGATACTCGCCCACAATGGCGTACTGTTGCGGCTGGATGCCCAGAGAGCAGTGCTTGTGACAGACGCGCTCGAGCCGCGGGATCAGCTCGCTGGTGTGCGAGATGTTGGTCGCAAACGCCAGGATAATCGTCGTCAGCGCCCGCGGCTGCCGCCCGTTCTGCTGGTTGACCGTGTTGAAGTAGCTCCTGAGTTCCGGGTGCTCATCCAACATCGTCGCGTAGAAGATCGACGAGATCCGCTCGCCGTGCTCGCGCAGGTGCGGGATCGACTCCCGCACCAGCTTCGACTGCTTGTATGTAAGAGCCATGACTGATCGGTGTAGGGGGTAGACGAGAGAGAGATGGGAGAGAGATGGCCAGAAGATGCCAGAAGATGACAGAAGATAACCAAAAGAGGGCCAAACGATGACCAAAAAGGCAATACAACCAGAATTGGCAGATATGACCAGATTGGCACAAGGCAGACCAGTGATGGGCTGACTGGTTGGAAAAACGAATGCCTGCTGTGGAGCAAGACAAAACAAAAAAAAGGTAGGAACCAATGCCAACGATGCCAACACGACAACAAACGCAAGCAGGACCTGACCGAAGCTACAGATGGATCCCCAACATGACAACACTCGAGCCCAGGAGCCCGACCCAAAACCGGCGGCCGGGGTCGTATATATACCATCCACGTACGAGGACTACGCCCGCCATCGGCATTGCCTGGCCAGCATGCCTTTTTGCTTTTGCGGACGGCTAACTTTGCCATCTGACTTCCACCACTTCCCCTTCCTTCCAGACCCGCTCTCTGCCATCTCATTCTCCGCAGCCTTCCGCTGCGCTTCTTTCTAGCATCGTATGACTCGACTACATAGGTTGTAAGTACCACTCCGTATGTACCGTTGGTGGCTTTGCAAGGATCTCGGAACTACGACGTCTGGCAGTGATCCGCCCAGGCAGGCTTGCAGCCTGCAAGCCTGCAAACTTATTTTGCTAGCGCCATGGCATGATCAGGGAACAAGGCCCAGCACGAAAGCTTGAAAAAAATATACCCAATTAAAATAAAATCACGGCGTCTGTTCGTCGTCCCCGACATGGGAAATATGGGAAATATACAAACTGCCATTGGAGGCCCGCCGGCTTTCCAGTCATCAGAACTAGCGGTCACCGATATCAGATTTTCCTGGCCTCTGCTCCGTGCGGTGTAAAGCCAATGGCAGGCATCCCGAAATTTGGCTCTAAGAATAACAAACCCATCCAGACGAGCTCTACGTCTTGTTGGTGGCGTTCCTCTGCAGGTGGAAAAGGGGGAAGGGGCAGCTGGATGGAAAAGCAACGTCAGAATCCAAAACAAGCGGAAACCGAAGAAACAGCAAAAAAGGAATAAAAAAGGAATAAAAAGAACAAAAAAAAGAAAGAAAAAAATCAGGCGATGGGTATCCACGCGACCAGAGGAGTACGATGTCGTTCTGGAGCAGCAAGTCACTAGGACTAAGAAAATGGCCGGAAATGGGCGAGACATTGGCAGGACAGTGCCGTGTACGATACGAGTAGCAAAAGCCAAGCAAGACAAGCCCACTAGAATCCTTCCTCTCCCAAGAGGGGCCTTCTCATAGGCAGACAGAGCTGAACCCGCATTTTGCCATTGTATTAATATTAAGTAACACACAGACGGAGTCCGACTCCGTAATATACCCGTCCCACACTGGCACTGTTAGATGCAGGAACACATATCTTACATAGTATGACAGGCCTGTCAATATGCTCCGTGGGTGGAGAGCTCCCCATAAATCTTGCCTTGGACTTGTGGCGGATGAGTCGGTTGGAAATCGGTTGAAACTTTTGCCCATTTTGTCTACGACCTACTCCGTACAGTACTTTTCCAAAGCCCAGTCCCAAACAGATCATACGACGTATGATTCCCGCACTTAACCTCGAAAATCGGCAGATGGGCCAACGGGATTTGTGGGGTGGACATGGCCACTCTTTGCTGACCGGAGCAAATTCCACGGATGGGAAACTATCCAAGACAACCTTCTGCGCCAGCATGGACTAATGGAAGGAACACGTCCGAAGGCTACGATGCTCGTATTGTCTGTCGTGCCTGCCTCAATTTCTTTTCCAGTGGGTCGGCGACACGTGGAGTCGCGCTTTCGTAAGAGATCTCCAGCCTGGCTATTGCTTACGTACTGTCTGTTTCGTAAGATGCTCCGTACGGAGTACTCGTGCCAGAGACGGAAAGCTCCGCAGGACGAGGCCGGCGTACCGGCTGGATGTATCTTACGAATGCAGGTCCGTATGCCACACGCGCGGCAGCCTCTCGGGATAACATCCGAGCAACGAGTTCGCCGAGTCGACCCATGTAAGGGATGTCTGTGTCAAGCCTGCTCGGGAGAAGGACCCGTAGACTTCCGATGCGGTGTGCACGTCTGTCTCAAAGTCTTTACAAACGAGCATGCTACATACTGCGATGGGGCCCGGGGTCTCGTGTGAAAGTGAATCTGGCCCTGTGAGCACGTCAGGAACAGAAATGGCCTGTCAGGCGCATAGGTCCCGCTTCTCGCAATACGATACACCCTTCTCCGGCCTTTAGACGCACACGCCGGCGGGGAAGGGCAGCACGAGGAGAAAAAGTCCTGCCCGCTCCGCCCTTCTCCTCGGCTCCCGTTTCCACACTCAGTTCGGCTTGCCCAATGCAGTAGCTCTGCGCGGTGCGAGGTGTGACAGACCAGACCGGCGGTCCTTCCAGTCAGTTCCGGACGAGGCAGGAGTCTGCTCCCATTGGATCGCTTGCTTGCATATGTGCATGTACATGCATGTGCGTTCGCATTAAAGGGGGACAGGTGCAGCGCGGGAAGCCGTGGCGCTAGAAATGGAAAATTGAAAACCGAAAATTGGATCTGGAAATTGTGGGTGGCGAGGCGACCCTCTTGGGCGACTAGCCGGCTGGCTTGGGAAACCGCTGCTGCGGGTGCGGTGGAATCAGGGAAATTGGCTGCCGCTGGCTCGGATTCACGTGTGTTTGACGCCTTCTTCCTGCTGCCTCGTCCAGGCTCGCAGAAGCCGGCTATACTCTCTTTCCCGTCCTCTCACGCCATTTCTCGCGTACGAACAGGGTCGCTCACCGGTGTCTGGGTGGACATGTTTCAATCGGGGAAGAAGAATAGCCGAGTTCGGTCGCCGATCGTATACACCGTACTCGTACTCGTACGGTTGGTGCCTTTGAGACGAACCCTGATGCCGATATAAGATATTCTAGATCAGAGTGGGGCAGGCTCTCTCAATGTTCGCCCGAGAGGACCTCGGGTGCTCTTATACATATCGAGGGACAGACCGTGACGGCAGCCAAAAACGCGCTTGGGCGTGTCGGCTGGCGAAGAGTCACCACAGGCTGACGTCAATACTGCGAAGCTCGTGGGAGGCGAGATCGACATGGAGCAAGGTGCATTGCCGATCCTTCGTATGTACGGAGCACCCATAGCGTGCTCCGTTCTTTCTCCATGTTGCTGACCGTTTTGTCGGCATCCTAGCCATCTCCCTTCCCCACCCATTGGTCTCGGGGTCAAGGTGTCAGGACTCTATCTTGACCCCGAACAACTGCCACACGTCCGTCGTAGATGCCTACGAGTACTCCGTATGTTTTCTTTGATTGAGGTTCTATGTAAGCGAGCTAGAAGGAGGTGGAGAAGGACGCTAGATCTTTGCCAAAGTACTCCGTACGGCTCGCCTAAAAGAGGCATTCCGATACGAACAAAGAGAGGCGACCTTCCCAACAGGCTGTATTTCTCCTCTTCTTTGCTCGCTTCAGGGATGCGGGGCAAAGAGGACTTCTGTTGCGGTTTGCAATGTATCTTGCATTCCGACCGTAGGGCACAGCTGCACTCGTGCCGTTGGAAGCCGTTGACCTCTCCCCGCATCTGGACTAGACCACGAGGAGAAAACATGGTGACAAACGGGAGGGGAAACACGAGGAGGCGACGGAGACGTTGGGGAACTGCAGAGGGTGTTGGTCGCTCCTTCCCAGCAGACGTCTGTGTGAAGTCAGAACAGGAAGCAGAAGCGAGCCGTCATGTTCTTCTTGCGGCTGCCATAAACGCGTGAGTGCGAGACATCCGGGCTGTTCGATTCGTGATCGTCATATCACGTGACATCTACAGAAGATTATTGATTGACCTCGCAGCCGACAATGGCCACCACCGGCCGCAATTCTGGGCTGTCCAGAGGCTGACTGACGGCAGCCTAGTGCGTGCCCGCCTGGTCTCGTTATCGTCATCGTCATCGTCGACCGGGCCTGCTGGAGTTCAGCCTACAGGGCAAGGTGGCCGTGGTGTCGGCTGGGGCTTTGGTGCACGTGATCGACCGGTTGACGTCGCCGGCTGGCGCGTTTGGCGAGATGGCAGCGCGGGCAGCGGCGGCGACAAGCACGGGAAGCGAGCGGCTGGACGGTCTCGTGGCTGCGGCGGGCATCCAGCAGGAGACGGCCGCGCTCGACTACACGGCCGCCGACTTTGACTAGATGCTCGGCCGACCCGACAGCATGGCCTTGATCGCCAGCATGAGCGGCTCCGTCGCCAACCGAGGGTTGATCTGTCCGTTTTTTTTTTTTTCGTTTTTTTTTCCTTTCCTTTTCTTTTTCGGGTTTCTTTTCCTTTTCCTTTCTTTTCTTCTGTTTTCCTCCTTTTCTCCACTCACCCTCCAGTGCCTACAACGCATCCAAGGCGGCTGTTGTCCAGCTCGCCCGCCGAGTATCGTGGCGCTGCCGTCTTTCTGCTGAGTGACGCTACCTGCGCATCGATGGCGGCCACTGCGCCTGGTGAGCGACGAAGGAGGGGGGGGAGTTCTCGCGCCTGTCTGTATCTCTTGTCTCTTCTGCAATGAGCCGTAGCATATCCATTTTTTCAATCTCAACACAACACAGCTATGGCAGTATGATTAGTCAGCACAAGGCGGTCTACGGAGTAGAATCGTTCAATATCCTCATTCTAAGTCGTCATCCTCGTCTTCTTCCTCCTCATCCTCGTCGTCATCGTCGTCGCCGTCCTCCTCATCCTCCTCACCCTCCTCGTCCTCCTCATCCTCCTCCTCTTCCTCATCCACAACCATTTCCTCCCGCACCTGCTTCTTCTCCTCAAGCCGCTTCTGGGCGTCCTCTTTCCGGGCCTCGGCCAGGCCGCGCTGCTTATCAGCGTTGAGCTGGCGCTGCGTCATGACAAAGGCGCCGACCGGGGTCTTCTGCCAGTCAAAGTCCTTGAGGAAGGCGTCGACCTGGGTGCGGTCGCGCGGTGCAAAGTCGACGCGGGCGCGCCTGTCCTCGATGAACTTGGCGTTGGCCTCGAGCTTCTGGACCAGCAAGACGAGGCCGGCGATGACCTTGCTGTTGGGGCGGTAGCCGGAGCCCTTGCCGCCGCGGCCATGGCTGCTGCTGCTGCTGCCGCCGCGCTTCCGGGCCTCCTTGAGCCAGCGCTTCAGCATGATGACGACCGGCAGGGCGAGCTCGGGAAAGGCGATGCTGGTGGCCCAGAGAGCAAAGTATTCGGACAACAGCTCGACGACCTGCTCGCCCACGGCGGTCTGGTAGACGGTGGTGCGCAGGTACGACTTGGGGGCCTTGTAGGCGACGGCAAAGTCGAGCTCCTTGACGTCGGCACCAGCGCTGCGGCCGCCCTTTTTCATCTCGGCCGAGCTGAGGACCTCGAGCAGCAGCGGCGCCAGCGGGATGTAGGTGCCGGTAGCCCGCGACACGCGCAGCAGCGACCGGAACAGCTGAAAGCGCAGCGGGAAGTACATGGCCGTCGGGATCAGCCGCATGGCACCCAGGGTCACCTGCACGAGCGGGTAGACGAGCAGCTTCAGCTGGCTGCCAGAACCGCCACTGTGGCCCTCGGCCTCGCGCAGCGGGCTGCAGTGCTCGGCCAGGACGACGGACCAGAAGTCGAGCGAGTGGACGTACTGCCAGTTGTACACCACGCGGAAGGCGTTGTTCTGGTTGTGCACGATGCTGTTGCGCAGGTGGATGGCCAGTTGGCGGATGGCCGCAAAGGCGGTCGTGTAGCCGATGGCCGGATCGATGCCCCATAGCTCGGCCGCCGAATTCTTCATCAGGTGAATGCCGGCCAGCGTGTTCGCGTTGGTCGTGCGGCAGCCCTGGACGAGGCCGAGGTAGGTTGCCTTGAGCACGGCCTCGCGCACGCCCTTGTCGCCGATGACGACGAGCCGGCGCAGCACCAGAAAGGCCGTGATCCGCGTCGTCTCGCTGCTGGCTGGCTGCGCCCAGAAGGCGACTACCGTCTTGATCACGTGCTTCAACAATTTGCGGAACGACAGCAGATACGGCAGCAGCGGCGTCAGTGCCGACAGCGTCAGCTTCAGCGTCCCGTCGTCTGACAGCGTCCCCAGCAGGTGAAGCACCGATGCCGCAAAGCTGCGCACCAGCAGCGACAGCGTCTTAAACTTCTTCGTCTCCGTCGGCACGTACACACGGTGTGCTGCCGACTCTTTGACTGGCACGTGATGCTGCAGCACCAGCGGCACCTGTTCTAGTGCCGCCATCAGGATCTCGTGGAACACGGCCGGGCTCTTGATCGAGTACCGCTGCGCGCTTCCGTCGTCGTCTGCATCCTTCTCGTTCAGGTGTGCTGCACTGCGGAACGCCAGCACCACCTGTCGTGCTGCCCGCAGCGAGTACGTCTCTGCCATTGATGCTCGCCACTTGCTCACCATGGCCCGCGTCAGCTCGTTGTCCACCGGTGCTGCTGCTGCTGCTGCCTTTGCTTTTTTCTGCTTCTTTCTCGGCCGTTTGACCGCTTCTCCCTCCTCGTCAGAGGCGTCCTCGTCCGAATCATCCTCGTCCTCCTCTTCGCCTGGGCTCAGCTCGTCAATCTCGGCCAGGTCTGCGTCCTCGTCAAAGTCGAGCGCCTCCGGGTCGTTCTCCTTGAGAAACTGGTAAAACTCGGGGTCCTTCTCGGCTAGCGCTTCCATCGCCGCCTTGCTCATGCCGGCATCGCCCTCTTGGCTGTCGTCGTCGTTGTCGTCGTCGTCGCTGCTGCCCGTAGCTCCCGTTCCTGTCGTTTCTTCCTCCGCCGCTGCCCCGGTGCGTTTCCGCTTGCCGAGGTGAGCTGGCGAGGCAGCCGTCGTCGGCTTTGGCTCGCCGTCTTGACCATCGATGATCTGGAAGCCGCCCTGGAAGAAGTCATCGACGCTCATGCTGCTGACATTGGCATCGGGCCGCTTCTTCCTGCTGGCCGCCTGTTCAGCCACCTCGCCCGTCTTCTTGAAGAAGTCGGCATCTTGGCTGCGCTTGGCCTGCTTCTTGGCTTGAATCTGCTGCCGCTGCTTGATCTTCGCACCGGCCTTTCGCTTCTCTAGCACGCCCTTGAGATGGTTCTTCTCAAACTTCTTGGTCGCCTTCACATTCTTCTTCGCGACACCCATCGTAAAGTCGGCTTCGTTCTGGCCGTGTAGGTTGTAGCGGAGAGGAAGCCTGTTGCTGTTGCTGCAGCTACTGCTACCATTCAGAAAAATTTCTCTGCATGTAAAAAAGACGACCAGAAAAAAAAAGTTCAGATTTCTTATCGCGTATCGGTATCGCTATCTGACTCGCACTTGTCCATTTCGGGACGGGCGGTAAGTTCTCCGTGTCGGTTCTGCCACACTGTGGAGATGGTGGGGCCTGACTCTTTGGCCAGGACGATACTCCGTACAACAAGCAGCCGTGACAGAGGCGATGAATTGAGAGATGATGAATCCGCGGCAGTCCTATGCGCCGCTGCCTCCGAGCTATGTGCCGAACACGTCGCTTTCGGCCACGATTAATCTCGACGAGGAGGTCAAGCTTACGGAGACGCGGGCCGAGCGCGACCTGCAGGAGTCGCTGGCGGAGATCTTCAGCATCATCGTGACGATTGACGAGCTGGAAAAGGCGTTTTTCAAGGATGCCGTGCCTGAGTCGGACTACACCGAGATCTGTGAGCGGTCGCTCAAGCAGTACAGCTCCATTCTCAAAGACGACGCTGTGCTGCGTGCCTTTGGCGATCTGGACCGGTTCAAGCAGGAGTGGGATGTGAGTGTAGCTGAGGACTAGCAGAAGCAGAATCGTCTACAGCAGCAGACGTGACTGACAGCAGGCGTGTGCAGCTCGAGGTGCCCCGTGCCACCGAGCGCATCCGTGTCGGCATTCCGTCGACGGCCCTGACGACGTCCTCGAACGGCAACGGCACTGGTGGAAGCGGCAGTGGTGGTCTGGGAGGTGGAGGCGGCAATATGAATAACGGAGGCAATGGTGGCACTGGAGGTGGTGGTGGTGGCGGTGGCAACAGCAAGAACACGGGCACGACGAGCGGAGCGCTGATCCTGGAGGCTACGCAGGACTTTATCACCTTTCTGGACGCGCTGCGGCTCGGCCTGCTGGCAAAGGACCAGCTGCACCCACTGCTGACCGACGTGATCCATGCGGTCAACAAGGTGACGGACCGCGACTTTGAGAGCCGCGGCAAGATTGTCCAGTGGCTCATCACGCTCAACCAGATGAAGGCTACCGACGTCTTGGCCGAGGATCAGGCCCGCGAGCTGGAGCTGGACATCAACTCGGCCTACCAGGGCTTCAAGAGCACCTTATCATAGCGACAGACTAGAGAGCGGTGAGACCGAAATGCAAAGAGAGAGAAAAAGGGTATCGTCTACACCAGAAAGGTCCAGAAACTCGGGTACACAAACTCCTCCTCAAAGATGCGTCGCACCTGTTCCAGCACGAACCGCTCCACCTTGCCAACGTTCTTCAGACTCTGCTTGCCGCCCTGACGCTGTCCGATCTCGCTCTCGACACGGACCTCCTGCAGCAGTCCGCCGACGCGGGTTCGCGGCTTGGGTGGCGCCGCTGCCGGAGGCGGTGGTTGCGATTGTGTCGGGGCTGCTGCACCGTGCAAAGTGAACCGTGCAGACGACAAAGTCGCACGGTCTCCGCCACTATCGTCCATGTTGCTATCGTCCTCGCCAGCCGCAGCATCGCCACCGTCACAGCCGCTGATGCCGTCGGACTCGTCGTCGCCGACAGCGGCCAGCGCATCCTCCGGTCCCAGGAAGCAGAAATGGATGCGCTTGCGGATGTGGGCCAGCACGCCGACGCCGTCAAAGGTCAGGCCGGTGATGCTCAGTCGCACCGGGATGCCGACAAAGCTGGGCATCGGATAGTCTAGCAGAATGTCTGCCGTCAGCAGCAACTTGATGTCGCCAGCATAGCGGATCCGGAAGACTGCCTGCATGTCCTCGGCTCGTGGCTCGTGTGGCCGATGGGCGTGTGGCCGTCGCGGCTCTTCTGTGTGATCTGTGTGATCTGTCTGTTTTGTCTGTTCGGTCTTCTCTGCACGACGACCCTTTCCGCCAGCTGTCTCCTCGGCTGCTGCACTGCCACCGCTGCCCGACAGCCCGGCCATGGCGGCGTCCCGTGTCGGTGGCCGCGACGGAATTCCGGACGACGTCGGCGCCAGCGTCGACACGCTGTGTTTTTCTCGCAAGACCGGCCGCAGCAGCGCCGGGTTGGCTGCCGACGAGTATGACGACGATGACGATGTGGCCACGGCCGCTGCCGGCACGCTGTCGGGCCCGCCCATAGAGACGGAGCTGCTGTATGACGGGTTGCGACGGTGCTTCGGTCTTCCGCCGAGATGGGCTCCGGCCATTGCTGCCAGCGGCGTCTGTGTCCCCGACCAGCCTGGAGCCAGGTGGCTGTGGAAGTGGTGCAGTAGGTTCGACGTGCCGCCCGGCACGCCGCCCGAAGCCGTCGCCGAAGCTGCTGCTGCGATGCCACCACTGTTCCTCGCGTCCGCTGTCACCTGCTCTGTCGCGTCGCTCAGCAGCGAACTGTCGCTCAGCTCATGCCGATGACCTCTCTCCTCTTTCTGCTCTCTCTGCTCTCTTTGTTCGTCGGCGCTGCTACTGCTTCTGCTTCTGCTGCTGTCATCCTCATACTCGTCCTCATCCTCATCCTCCTCGCTCTCCTCGTAAAAGTCTGGCAGTGGGTCCGTTATATCCTTGAGCTCCAGCTCCGGCGCAATGCTCCCAAACTCAAACTCGTGCACCGTCACCGACTTGATGAACCGTGGCAGCGGCACCGCCTGGAACTTGCTGTGGATGAAATCACGGATACGCTCCGCCAGCTCGACGCCGTCCGGCCCCGTCGTCAGCGTGTCCCAGTTGAGGTCGATCGACATGTGGACGCGGAGGGCCTGGCCTGCTTGTCTCTTTTGCTGGTTTCCACACGGCTTGTGCTTTGGCGGCGTGTTTTGGCGGCTACAGCCGGCAGAACGTGCTGAAGCGGGGATCAAAGCACCACTTTCTATTAGCGCGCACCGCCTTCTATCCGTTGCCGCCTTATCTAACATCTTACAAAGCCATTACGTCATGCTCTACCTCATCGTCGTCTTCTCTACCCTCCCCATCAGTCGTCCCCATACCCTTCAAAGTGAGCCCGTGGCACCAGCGCTGGATGCGTGTAGCCCATGCTGCCAAACAGGTGCCAGCAGTTGGGAGCTTGCAGGATGTATCTGTGTTGGTTCGTTAGCCGAAAGCCCAAAGAAAGCCCAAACCCCCCCCCCCCCCCCCCAAATCAACAGTCAACATACCTCTCCATGGCCTCGCGGAAACGCGACTTGTACTCCTTCGGGCTCGTTACTGTCGGCCGGTTGCGCCCGCCGCCCGCAAAGCCGCGGTCCTTGATCCAGCTCTCCAGCTTCTTGTCCCACGTGTACGTCCTGATGCAGTCGATGATGCCCACCACCAGCTCCTTGCGCGACTCATCTACCGCCACCATCAGAGAGTAGTCCATGACGTTCTGCCGCGCCAGGAATAGCGTGTCGTTCCACACTGACGCCCGCAGCTGCTTCTTCGCGTGCTCTCGCGCAAATAGCGGCGACTCGTAGATGTACTCCACCATGTTCTCGTCCAGCAGCACCTCGTTCTGTTCGCCCGTCGATTGGATCTTGCGGTTGCGCATCGAACCCTTGAGATCAAACTTGCGCGTCTCCTGTCGATCGTAGAACAAGTTCTCCATGATCAGCAGGTCCAGCTTGATCTCCGTCCCCGTCGATGAGTTCTTCACAATCACCTGGAAGAACCCCAGCATCTTCGCAATCACCGACGGCAAATCGTGAAACAGAAACTCCGCCATGAGGCTAAAGTACGACGGCGCAAACCGCAAAAATGCCGCCGTCTCCACCGGCGACAGCGCCTTCATCACCAGCCGGTCGTCCAGCGTCTTGAGAAACACCGATTTGGTCTTGCCTCCCTTCGAGTCCCATTTGAGACACCGCGACAGCGACTCGACAATCCGATCCGCCACTCCGCACTTCCGTCGCAGTGCGTCAAACTGTTCCGCGTAGAAGATCTTGCACATCATCCGTGCAGACCCTTCCGTGAATTGGTACTTCAGGTGTGTCCCCATCGACCGCAGAAGGCTGAGCTCCAGCTCCTTCTCATCCATCTCGTACCACGCTTCTGATTCGCTGCTCGTCGCCTCGTCGTCCTCATCGTCCTCCTTCTTCGTCTGCTCGGCCTTTCCTCCTTCCGAAACTTGCGCTCCCGCCACGTTCGCGCTGCCTTTGCTCTGCTTCATCTCCAGCACAGCGCCATCTCCTTCGTCCGAGCCGTCTGCACTGTCGCCGCTCGCGGCCTTCGCTTCCTTCATCTGCCGCCGCGTTGCCTTCCTTCCTTGCTGCTGGATGACCCTGAGCTTGCTTATGTAATCCTCAGAGCTCAGCGCAAACGCGATCAGCGAGCTCGGCTCGTCTTCCCGTACAATCACGTCCGAGTCGAAGAATATGTGGTCTGACGCATTGAGAGGGTAGTCCAGCGGCGGCCATCCGGTTGCTGATCGCTCGGCCCAGAAGTTGCCCAGCATCTTCATCAGGGTCGACTTCTTGTCTTTCTGAAGCTCCGCCGGAACCGTGCCGCTTGGCTCGAGATGTTCGGCTATCGTCTCTACATCCGGCAGGATGTCCTCCAACGACTGGTCCGCATCGCTGCCGCCTTCGCCGTCCGACCCTGCCGCGCTTTCGGTGTGCTTGTGCTCGTGGTCCTGGTCCTCCGTCGCAGCCGTTTCAGCCGTGCTTTCCGACAGCTGTTGTGACCGTGGCTCCGAAGACGGCTGGCCGCTCTGGTCCGCCACGTCCACTTCGTCTGTCCGAGGAGCAGCTGTCGCCGCGGGTCCCAATCCAGCCTCTCCCATCTCTCCCGTCTCCGGGTGCTTGTCTTCTGGCCGACCCTCGCTGTGCTGCGAAGCAAATAGCTGCTCGCCATCCGTCGGCTCCGGCTCCTGCACCGCCTGGTTGATGTCCTCGTAGACCTCCACGATTGCCCGGACTGATGACCGGGGAAAGTAGGACTGTGGCTGGTGTTGCATTTTTGCCGCCCGCATGCGCTCCCGGTTTCTCTCCTTTTCAAACTCGCGAGTCAGTTGCTTCGCAAGATTGGTCACCTTGGTCTCCTTCTTCTTGTGCACAAATCGGGGAATTGCCGATTGCCCGGGCTTTCTGTGCGACTTCAGCGCGCTCAATCCGATACGATCTGTAAACTTCTTGTCCACCTTGCCCAAGACGTCCATTGCATGTTTCTGCGCCTCCCCCCCGTTGCCGCTTTGTCCACCCTCAGACGTCAACGCCTTCGCATCTTTCACCGACGCCTGCCTGCTCAGCCCAGAGTTGATCCGGGGGACAGCACCGACAGGCTGCGAAGCTGTCCGGATCATGGGAGGCGACACCTTCGAACCTGTCTTGCGAGAAGCTCCACGATAGTCGGCAGCATGCCGCGCCTGCGAACTGTTGTTGCCGGACATCTGTGTTGTCTGACTGCCCTCGGCTGACTGTGACTTGAACTCCCTGCGGAGTTGTTCGACCTTTTCCGTCAGAGTCTGCGGTGACATTTGACCAGGACCAGGACGACCAGATTTGTTCGGGCGCGACGATCCTGTCATGACTGAAGATGAAGCCGGAGACGAGGTTCTGCCGGTGCTTTTGCCTGGCAGTTCTTGGCTACTGCTTGTAGACATTGATTTTCGAGAACCATCGACGACGGCAGCCCCGGCGCTCGTTTCAACTTCGTCAGCTGCGTCAGCCGCATCAACTGCTGCAACCTCGCTGTCACAAGTGCTAGCCTCCATCTCAATCGAAGTTTTAGTCAGCGTCGGTGATGTCTGTGCTGTCGCCTCGGGTGCTTCCACTTGTCCTGGAGCTTCATCTGCCTGCCGTTCGGATGAGGCTAGCTCGAGCTCGGCCTCAACCAGCTGCTCCGGTGCTCGCTCTCCCTCTGCTTCCAGCGGCGACTTGGTCGTTACCGCTGCCCCTGCGAGGATGGCCGGTTCCTCGACAGTCGACAGGGCGGAATACTCTTCTGGCTTGGAGTCGGTACCCCCCACCGAGCTCTGCGTTGTCGGCACCACAGAGCTTTTATTCTCAGACTCGGATACAAGGGAAGCAACAGAAGTTCCGTCTATAGCCGGAAGAGACTCCTTTGACTCGCTGTCGGTAAACATCTTCCTGAGTTGCATCACGGTCAACTGCCGCACGTCTTTGTCGGATAAGAAGTCCGCCTCAAATTTTGCAAACGTTGCATCCCATTCAGTGATCTTCAGTGCCATCGAGCGCATGGCAGCATTCAACGGGATGATTTCGTAGTGTTTAGACTGCATGTAGGCTTGCTGCAATTCCCGGATCAATCGAGGATGATCCTCCTGGGCTTTCTTGGCAAGCCGCTCCACCTCAGCCTTGCAGCTCTCTACCTTTTCTGGCAGGACACTGTCGATGCGGATGCTTTTGATTCTGTTATTCAAAGACGTGATAAACCGAACCCAGCGCTCTTGCATCTTCAGGAAGATGGTGTTTTTCAGCTTTAGATCATGGTCTACCTTCCAGGTGATCCGTGCCCTAGGAACAACAACCTCGAGTAGGTCAATGGGGTCGTAGTGAATCCGCACAGAAGAGCCTCGGTAGTTGAAGTAGTGAATATGCTCTTTGTGGCAGTCGTGCAAGCACTTCGTATCCTCGTCCAATCGAAGAAACTGGTTCCAGAATAAGAGTTCTAGATACTTGCCAAACGAGTATTTCCACCCACTTTCAGAAAGCCGCTTGACTCTGAGGTCCCGTCTGCAGATTTTGCAATAACTCCACACGTAGATGGGATCTTCCTCGTCCTCCCCCAACTCCTCCTTTTCGCTTGGTGGCTCTGGACTAGATGGAAGTCTCGCTTCTGGCTCGACAAAGACGGTGACGCGGGCCTCGCCGTGCACGTAAGTGTGATGGTGCTGCCACAAAGGTCGGTCGCATCCGTTGGCATTGCACAGTGCCTCGGCGCCATCACACAGATCCTGTATATACATGCCCAGAGTGGCATCCGGGCTCATTGCACTCAATGGATCATCAACCTCATTGTAGTAGGAGAAACCGACCAGCCCAGGTTCGGTACACGGGATCTTGGTTTCCGTGCAGGTCACTGAGTAGAGAACGACAATATTTTGGTGTGAATGCGGATCGAAGAGGTCTAGATTTACTTGGAGGTAGTTCTCCCACTGCCGCGTTTGCGTCTGGTATGCATACAACGCTTTGTCGTACTCTGCATCGTGGACGGCGTGGAGCACCTCCATCACCAATCGCGGCGCCTTCTGGCCAATTTCGTGCACCATTTTCGGATTGATCAGTTGGAATTGCTGCTGTGGTGTATTGTCTTCTGATCCGCCCTTCTCTTCGTGGATGTCTTGGTCACGCAGTCGCTTGAGATAGAGAAGCCGTGTTTCTTGTTCACGGGCCTTCACGAGAAGATATGGCTGCGTGAACTTGACAAACGGCGATGCCGAAAGAATTTTTGTCTTGTACTTCTCTACCATGTCGCTGTAAAAGGTTGGTGCCGGCACATCTTCAGGCAGCTGTCGGTCTCCCGTTCCTTGCAGACTCTCGGCAGAAATTGTACTCTCTGAAAGTTGACGAGACTGTTCTCCATCCGCCAGCAGACACGTTTCAGCATGCCCCATCGAAATGGGGCCACTTCGTGCCATTGCAAGGGGATCAGCATCAACGTCGGTCGTGGTTGTAATCGGAGTCTCTTGGCTTGGGTTTTCAGGCCCGTCAACGGACAACAGGCTCTCAACGGTCGGGGGCTGCTTCGTAGCAGACGGCAGGCTCGTACTTTCGATGTCGTAGGATGTCTTGACAGACTTGTCGTTCAAGAGGCAGGACTCTAGTTTCAGGTTGTAGACAACGTATACCATGAACTCAGTGATCTTTTTCATGCGTGATAGAAGCTCAGTCGATGTACCGCGTAGAGCTATCGTACAGCCAAGGAACTTCTTGCAGCCTGACACAAAAATGTACGTCTTTTTTCGGCCAGGAATGTCGTTGTTCACGAAGGTCTTAACCTCGAAAGCAGCACATCGCCCAACTGTGATAGGCAAAGATAGCATGTCCATCGAAGAAATGATCGGCGTTCCGGTAAATCGAGAGACGGCCCCGATGACAGATGGCTTGACGTTGTATGCGACGGCAATGCCGGCCTCTGCTAACGATTGCAGAGCCAAGCCAGCCACATTTCGTTGAGCAAGAACAACCTCTGGCTCATGGCTTCGGATACGGGCAACCACCATTTTCAGAAACTCTTTCTCCTGTGACATGACCGGCTCAAGGCTCATAAACTGGTGCTCTTGCTGTCTCTGGTATTCGACCGGAAAAGAAACAATCAAGATTCGAGGGTTTGCAATTCGCCGTGGCATGCTCTTGAGGGCAAGGTTTTTCGTGAAGATCACGCCCGACACGTAGCTACTGTCGCTCGGCTTGCCTCCAGGGATCTTTTTCAGTTTGACATAATGTCGAATGTCCATGCGATCTCCTTCACGTGTGTTTGGGTCTACCTCAGCAGCACACCGTCGCAATATAGGAATAAGAGCCTTCTCCCATGCTAACGGATTCGGAATTGCAGCGTCGTCCAAAAGTTGTCTAAACAGCTTTCTCGTATGCTTGATGCTCGGCTCATTCAACTTTGTCGGTTCGGACTTTGCTGTTGATGGCCGGGCAGCCTTGGCATCAATGCTACCAAAAACATCGAGCATACTCAACGTCTCGTTCGATATCGAAGGGCCCTTGTATCCACCCAGTTTGGAGCGTGGTGACCGAAGATGATGCTGGCCAGCAGCAATGCTGGCGGAGCTCATATTCCTGCGCCTTCCCGTTGCCCGTGAGTGGCTAGCAACACTTGGCGAGCCTACGCCATCATCCACTCCCCGGCTCGTGAAACTTAAGCCACTGATACTCTTTTCGCCTTGGCGAGAACGGTGCTTCCGGCCAACGCTCAGGAATGGGCCAAAATTGGACCTTTCGGGATCGATGCTTGAAGAGATCATGTCTTTGCTCGCCAACGTGCTGAAAAGTCCCATCTGTTCGTCCCCGCTCGACTCGTCAGACATGTACGGTGCGAGCTCTGGGTCGATAATGTTGTCATCGTGAAAGGCAGGTAGTTTCGACCTGCGGTTCATCTCATCGGACAAATCTTTGCGAAACGGTACTCTGTCTTCTGCGGTTGATTTGCTATTCCAGAGAAGGTTGTGCTTCGAGTGATGGCGCACGTGACCTGATGAAGTCGGTCGCACAGAGGCCATTGACTTGAGAGAGCGAGACGAGCTCGGTCGGCTGAGCTGCGACGCACCGATTTCTAGGATCGCCGAATTTCGATTGGAAGGATCTCCCAGCCGCCGGGCTGCAGGAATGGCCATCATTGGGGTTGTCGTCGATCGTCCGTCGTCTATCTCATCGGTCCTCTCGGACATGCTGCGTTCGTCGTCCGTCTTCAGCTTTGCTGTGGCAGCCGTGGATTTTTGTGTGTTTGACTGAAGAAGAGACGTCAAACGAGGATCATCATCACCAGAATCGTCCGAGCCACCCTCGTATCTGCTGTTGATGACATCCAGGCATTTCATGCAGACCTTCAAACTGCCTGGAACGCCAAACTTCTCTCCGGATATGGTTGATGTACACTTCGAGTCAAATATCCAACCACAGGTCCGGCAATGGTGCTTTCGGCGAAAAGCGTAGAATGGGTCGCCACATTGAAAGCACTCTTTGCAGGTCTCGTCGGCCATCCAGAACTCTTTGCCTAGGATCTGCTTTCTCATAAGTTCCAGACGTGCACTGACGCTTTCACTTGTGCCATCCGTTGCCGTTGTTCCGTTGATCCGTACTTGTCCTGACGGTAGCTTCTGAGGTCTCGTATCGTGCGCGAACGAATCGTGGTTTACCATGATATGGGCAGATGTTGTGATTGGGCTAGCTTCCACAAAGGTCCGTTCTGATGCCGAAGAGAGAGGGTGAAAACCGCCAGGCGTCCCTCCTACATTTAGCTGGTTGATAGCGGAGGGCGATTTCAAGTCATCATGCAATTTGGCACTTGCACCGTGTACTCCGATCACAGACAACGGATTGGCGCCATTGTGATTCGACGTACGATATGGCCCTGTGCTTTTTACTGGGCTGTGTATCGCATCGGGATAGCTGCACTGACTTGGGCCGTCATCCTTAGCAGATCGAAGAGAAGCAGAAGCCACACCTGGGATATCGTTGCTCTTTCGCTCGGTAGGACCATCATAGGTGTTAGATCCAGCGGAATAGCTTGGCACATGAGACTCGTTCAATCTGGCAGGTCGTCTCCTGCCATTTGTAGGAGATGCAAGCTCTTCTGAAGTACGTGGCCCTCCTGGGTCCCGCAAAGGCTCGCTATACAATCCTACAGCGCCAGATGCTATGGCTGTGTCGACCACAGCAGGCGCTGGTGCCCTGCCCACCTTTGAGAGACTTTGGGTCGCTGTAGCAGATTTTGCAGTTGATGCGGATGTCGAAGTAGTGATGGATGATGCTTTCGAGGAAGGTAATGCCTTATCTGACGTTATGCCGCCCGAGGTGTTTGCGGCGATTGTAGGTATCTCAGACAGTATGGAGTTGACTGTTGTGTTCGTAGATCCGCTCTCGCCTCTCGGAAGGCTCGAGACAGAGGACTTGGAACGTGTGTGCGTTGGGCGTGTACTGTTCTTTGAAGGCACCCCATCATGGCTGGTTCCCCCCTCTAATTCGGTCGCGGTAGCTTTCCCACCAACACCAACAGCTTCCTTGAGCCTCGAGTAAAAACCGCTCAGCCCTTGCTGTACTAGATCGCTAGCCGTCCCCTTTGGTTCAACGACGGGAGCTGCAGCCGTAGGAGGTGGCCCGAAGTCGTTGAAGGTTGTCAAGATGTCGGATTGGCTTGCAGAGTTGTGAATCTTGTCGAGAGCTTGGGCCAGCTGTTCCTTGTCGGCCTGCGAAGTGGTGGACTGGCTAGCGATAGAGCCCCGACGAGATAATCTTTCAAAGTGAGGAGATGGGGAGGCGGGCGACTGCGGAGGCATTCTCGAGGACGACATGTCGAGGGGCTGTATGACCGTATGAGCACCTTAGTCGCGGAGGCCGACACAATTGAACAGGTTAAGGCACAGGATTCGACACAGCCCGCACAGTTGCCGAAGCGTGAGCGGGCATATCTCGAGCGGTGCCCTAAAAGACTGATAGATGCCCAGCCGGTTGTCTGTATCGTGACAGACTTCTGCAAGTGTTGGCTGGGCAGAAACGGGCTGCAAGAAAGAGTGTAGATCGATGAGGTAAGCCCGACGCCAGGGCCGTGGGATTTCAAGGCATTGTCTTCCTTATTGTGCGACGACCTTCCGAATAGGACTTAACGTCGTGGCGAAATGTTCATAGTGATTCTCAAGCATCGGCATACCTGATGCTGCTGTATGGTGGTGCTTTCGCTCACGTTCAAGCAAAAGATGCGGGGTGGCGCGTGGTTCTAGCTGCTCCAGTGCTCTAAAATGTGGATCCGTTTTATTTTATTATGTAGTTCCGATCACGTGGACTGGCGTTTATGAGCATTTTAATTATTTCCGCTGACAAACGCGTTCATGAACGTGCTCCTTTACACCACCTTCGCATCACAAACTTGTCAGGCTTGCTTTAGGTCTACTCGCATGGACGGGTGCAGGACAACAACCGTCGCATCTAATACGTGCACGTTATTAGGGCATCAAAGGCCGTGAGAACTGCCGAAAGTTCAATGTCGCATATTGCACGAGCAGCTCGGGTCAAACGTCACGACCCAAGATGGACCAAACTCTGAGCAGTGGCAGCAAGACTGCCCGCACATCTTCTTTTACAACATCCCCACCAACCAAGAAAAACGGCCAGCTCAAGAGGGGGGTATTTCATATACCCTTATCCCAGAAAGAGCTGTTTGATATGGACCTGTGTTGGATTGAAAACATTCGAGCTCAAGGACATGGCACCTCCGTCGTCCCGTCCAGTGTTCTGAGAGAGGTGCGGAGTTCTGCCCTCAAGTCGGCTGCTGCAGCTTCCAATATATCAGAAAAAGCGCCCTCTGGTACGACCGCTTCTCCACCCGCGACGCCCGCTTCAAAAGACAAGATGTCCACAGAAACGATCACAAGAACGCCAGCAGCAGCTCTACGAGAGCCATCTGAAACCCTGTCCGCAAAACGACACCAGTCGGCTATAGCAGACACACGATCGCCCAAGGTGCAGATTTCAAGGACAGAAGCTCCGCACGATTCTGATTCATCTCCTCAACAGCCGGATATCCCACTCCCTAGTATTGAGGTGCCAACAACGGGACTGCTTGAGAAAAGAGTCCCTGCATTCTCTCAGATGGAAGCCTCCCAGTCGTTGGCGAAGACAAGTTCCAATAGAGAAGAGCCTCTTCTCTCGCAGGAACCTCCACGGCCTTTTTCTCCAAGTTGGTCTAGCGAAGCAGATTCCAGTGACGTGGAAGACCAGGACACCCCAATTTCTGCCAAGCAAGCTCGACAACCAGAATCGCTTACCAGAGGGCACGTTTTGGCACCTTTGGAGAACTCGGCCCTAAATTTACGAAGCAGCAGTCCACCTGAAGAATTGGACGTGGAGGTTCCCGATGCTCTTGGTGGAAAAAATTTGCACACGCAAGCTTCAGAGCGGCAATCAAGCCGAGAGCACAGTAGAAGTCAGCCAAAGGAGGGAGGCCAGATTGAATCGCCCCTGCTATCAAGACACCAACAGCGACAAAATTATCATTATGTGAACAGTCCGAGCTCGCCATCAGACAGCCTTATCCCTAATAATCACAAGAACACAACTCTTCACGAAGAATTACAAGAGCACGGACAAGAGGTCTCGCAAACCATCCAACATGAACGGAGGCGGCGACTTATGAAAGAGCCTGTATTTCCGGAGCTTGGTGGCCACAGGGAAGTAGTTGTTTCGGCAGGGCCCAATAGTTCCAACTTCGGCTCGATCGTGAAGCGTCGCCGAAGCACAGGTATACACCCCTCAGAGGCTTCGAGGGATTGTGTTACCGATGTGGCGATAGGTCGAGTACCTGTGCTACGAAGTGGTACAAAGACATACGTGGCCCGCCGCACTGAGCATCGCAAGTCAGCTCCTGCTAATTTCATGGACCACCTCGAAGTTGTCGCCATGGCCCATACCAACAAGCCAAGCCGCGGATTTTCAATGGGCACTGGAGCAAATCCAATATATACTTGGAAACTTCCGTACGAGACTTTCAAATCGGCGTATCCGGACTTCATGGGAGACCTAGAGGACTTTCTCAGGGCATGCTTCTGTATTCAAGGGTTTGCAAGTACAGGCTCGCTCGCTAGTTTTCTGTATGACGATGTCATCCGCGCATATGTGGATTTTATAGGGTATGTCCACGCGGTAAAATCCGGCAAGACGATGAATCTATTGGAATGGTACAACCGCAACGTCGACGCACTTCAATATAGCAAAAAGGTCGTCACCACTGAAAACGTTGCATCCATTTTGGCGGCCTACCCGAAGAAGGTAGACGTAATACGGCAAATCGTCCACAGCAGCCAAGACTTTGACCCCGTCAGACGGGAAGCAGTTCCTACTCTGGAGCCGGAACGCACAGACGGCTCTGAACATGCACAAATGGTACCCAACGACCTGATGGAGCGCGTAGCCAGGCAAGAACTTAGTCTTCCCTCAACCACTTTGGCTCCTCTGGCAGAGTCAGACTGCGCTAGTGATAGCCTTTGGCCACACGGCCAACTCAGCAGTCCGCAGATGAACGCGTCTTTATTCGGGCCCAGTGCCCTCAGCGATGACACCGGCAAAGATCAAAGTCAAGATTTATATCAAAGCCAACGACAGAGTCAGCCGAATCACCATATCCAAAACAGCTCGTCTGGTCTGGGCGTCACGGAGAGTCCATTAGCACTGCCAAGCTCGCTGGCTCCAACAGCCGCCATACCGCTTGGGATGGACCGGGTCAGCTACATGTTGCAGTCGCCGGCTTGGCGCTCGTTGGCCGATGTATCACCACCGCGGCAATCGACAGAAAGACGCACACGAGAAAAGTCCGCGGAGATGATCGTGGAGAGTGCAATACGGAGGCCGACTAGAGAACCCGTGGTACAGTCTGTACAGCAGGCGCCAGCCGACGGGACGACCAGCCGAAAACGGAGTCGAGAGGGAGATGACCTGGGGTATAACGCACAAACCAAAAAACGGCACACTTCGGGCGTCCTTCCCAACAATGCTTTGTCAAATCCGAAAATTGCGGAGCAGAAACGGCGCGAACAAGACTCAGAAGACGACTGGTTCGAGCCGCCGCAACACAGGCCCCCGGCAGCCAAAGCTGTGGAGTCATCTGTCCAACCCCAGCCCGCCCGCACTGAACATCGTCAGGATACAGTTGTCACATCGAATATGCAGACAACAGAAGCAAGCAGTAGACGCTCTCCCGCCCTACTGAAATTGGCAGCGCCGTTGCCGAAGAAGCAAAGACAACCAGTGCAGGCGTTGCCTCTGTCGGATGCTGATAGGGCCAGACGGTTTGGCGAATTTTTGAAGTCGAAAGTCAGAGCAAAGAAAGGCTCTGGGCAGAGAACGACTTGAGATGTGCAGGAGTTGTGGCTGAAATGACAGAGTTGAACAAACATGTAGGGAATACTCCGTACCAGATACCCCAATTGATTCAGGACCTTTTGCTTCTGGTTTAGGTTTATAGTTTTTGCAATCGTTTCTGTATCTCACGCAGTCGTACCAATTTGTATCGATGTGTACTCCATATCTTACATGCAGCTTGGCTCAGTGTTCTTGCCCACAGCCGACAGCGTCTCCGGCGCTCTTTTTCTGCTCCTCACGCTTGACGTCCTCCTCCGGTGTCATTGTGCGCAGCTGCAGCGCATGGATCCCGCCGTCGCGCTGCATCTCGTCCTGCAGCAGGCCGTAGATCATGCGGTGGCGGGCCGGCTGGCGCTGGGCACGGAAAGCTTCGGCGGTGATGACGATGCGGAAGTGGGTCTCGCCAGACTGCACGCGGCCAGCCATGGCAGCATGGTGGGAGTGGAGGTGTGAGTCGTTGAAGATATCCAGACGGCTAGGCTTGAGGGGAGCGAGCTACGGAGGCCGAGGTCAGGAATAGGACGGCAGAATAGGGAGGAAAAGCTCACCCTCTCGCGGATCAGGTCTTCTACCGGAGTAGTGCTTGTGGCCATTGTGGCGAGACAGCGAATCGAGGCGCGAGCCGAGAGAAGAGCCAGAGGGCCGGAGCCAAGGACTGTGCGTAGGAACATCCGGGAGGAGCGGGCGAGCTTGCGACGGATGACTCGCAAAGAGCGTGCTGAGATGGTAAGGCTGATGATGAAAGGCTGCGCCGTGGTTGGACAGTAGGCAGGTGAAAGACTTCTAGCCTTTCACAGTGGGGCCACAACGGCCACTGGCTTTGGAGTAACGGGCAGTGACCGACCATGTGTCAGCCTCGTCTCAGATCCGACATTCCGTACGGAGTACTCCGTAATACAACAGGGATTCGGTGCTTTCCAGACTCTTATTTTAAACGGCAATGATTGCCATCATCATGGCTGTGCTCGTGCTCATCTCTCTGAGACGTTATGGTTTAGTGCATAAAACATCCACATGTTTTATTCGCTTATCCATACTATATATAGCTCAGCTGCCCGGACCCGAACCGGAAGCCGTGTCAGTTCTACAGAGTCGTCAGTCCAAGCCGCCAGCCCGAACTGTATTTGATGAATATCAGTATAATCTATAGCTGTTGTTTCTTCAAAATTGCGTGTCACGTCCTAGATTTGAAGATTTCACCATCCGAAGAGCGTATACCTCAGACCGTCCACGGGCCCTTGTCCCAAAATAAGCTATTCGCTTTCCCGATAACAATACTTTTCTTTTCCCTGATCGACACCACCCTCCGAAGGCCGGACAACCCCGTCGGCCTTCTCCCACCCCCTGTATTATTCTGTACTACTATCTCTTCCTCTCACATTTGCTATCCATCGTTCTGGGGTCACCCCTGTACTAATAGTGGCATGCAGCGTGTTCTAGTTGGACCGCTCGGCCCCTCCTTCTCTTCCCTCCTTCCTTTGCGCACGTCTCCTCTCAGACGTCTCTTCTCTGCCCGACCCCTCCAACGTGCTGATTTCTCCCGCAAGCTCTCGGCCATGGCGTCTGCACTACCTCGTCTGCCGGTTTTTGAGGCCATTGCTCGACAGGAGCCCAATTCCACAGCGGTCGTCCACTCTCTCTCCGGACGTCGCTTCCAGTATGGCGAGCTCTTGGGTGACATTCGGAAGACCCGAAACCGCCTAGTCGAAGCCTCGGGAAAGTCCGACCTCAACGGAGAGCGCATTGCATTCATGGTCGAGAACAGCTACGACTACATCGGTAAGATAGACACTTGGCACGTACTCGACTTACATCTCTCTGACCGACCTGCTTCTCAGTCACTCTGCTGGCCATCTTGGCCGCCCGCTCGATAGCCGTTCCTCTTTCTCCTGCTTTCCCGGTTCCCGAGCTTCAGTACATTGTCGATCACAGCGAGGCAGCGCTGGTGCTCTCGTCCGCCAAGTTCCAGCACAAAATCAAAGACCTCTTGGCCGTCGATCTGGTGTCCAAACCGACGTATGTAGATCTCGCAAAGCACCTCGGTGGTGCGCCTCACGAAGCTGTCGAGCTGGACGCCGAGCTGGACGCTGGAGGTGCTGGCATCATGCTGTACACATCGGGAACGACGAACCGACCGGTAAGCGGCAGTTGTGTGATGCGCAACGTATCGACCTGACATGGCAATAGAAAGGCGTGCTGATCCCTGAGCGTGTGATGACTGCACAAGCGAGCTCCCTGACAAAGGCGTGGGAGTACAGCTCTTCGGATCACTTTCTCCACGTTCTCCCCCTGCACCACATCCACGGCACCATCAACGCGCTGTACACGCCTCTCTTCACCGGCGGCTCCATTGAGTTTCTCTTCCCGTTCAACGCCGATGCGGTATGGAACCGGTTTGCGGCACCTTTCCTGCCACGACAAGATGGAGCAACGGACTCTGCGTCAGAGCCGATAACTTTCTTCACCGTCGTGCCTACAGTGTATAGCCGACTGCTGGCCACGCACAAGGCCCTGTCTCCGCAGATGCAAGCAGCCACGTGCAAGGCCATCTCGCCAGAGCACCTGCGCCTCAGTATCTCTGGATCAGCTGCCCTGCCGTCGCCAGTCAAGAAGGCCTGGGAAGACCTCTCGCACGGAAGCGTGCTGCTCGAGCGGTTCGGCATGACCGAAGTCGGTATGGCGCTGTCATGCGGCCTCGAGAATGCGGATCGCGTCGACGGCAGCGTCGGATGGCCGCTGCCCTCTGTGGAGGCGCGGCTGGTGGACGTCGATACCGGCAAGGTGATCGAGCCCGGCCAAGAGGTAGACCCGGAGACCGGCCGGGAGCGTGCTGGCGAGATCCAGCTGCGGGGGCCTACCATATTTGCAGAGTACTGGCGCAACCCCAGCGCGACGAGCAGCGAGTTTGCCGCGGCAGCCGAACCCGGTGGCAAGGCCTGGTTCAAGACCGGCGACGTGGCAGTGAGACGGCCGGTGGCTGGCGCCGGAGCTGCACGCGAAACGAGGCCTTCACAAGACTGGACCGGCCGTGGTGACATGTACTTCATCCTGGGCCGGCGCAGCGCTGACATCATCAAGTCCGGGGGCGAGAAGGTATCCGCACTGGAGGTGGAACGGGAATTGTTGTCGATCCCAGCTGTGGCAGAGGCAGCCGTAGTTGCCGTGCCGTCGGGCAAATGGGGACAGAAAGTCGGTGCTGTCCTCGTGATGAGCGACGGCGAGAAGCCATGGACGGCTATGGATATGCGACGCGCATTGAAAGGCCGACTGGTCAACTACAAGATTCCACAGCTACTGCGGCTGGTCGAGCAGATCCCGCGCAACGCCATGGGCAAGATCAACAAGAAGCAGCTCGTAGCCCAGGTGTTTCAAGACGACTTCAGCGGCGACGAGGCAGGACCTACAGTAGTGCCGTCACCCAAGGGACAATGAGCATGTACGCCCAGCGTGGAAACAAGTATATAGATGGTTTAGGATACTACCCAGAGGTACACATTTCTTGAGTTCGTTGGGACAATACATTCAATTATTGTTAACGCAGGTACTCGTAGTCTTTGTATCTTAGCTCGTCCATTCTGCCAGATTCCTCCTTCGTTCGTCTTCCAGCCCTTGAGAAAGAGTGAACCCACCTCCACAGCATAACTGGATAACGAGGAACAGAGGCGTGGTTCAAAGTAGCAGGGGAATAAGAATCGTGGGTATAACATGCTCCGAAATAAACGGTCCGGCACAAATGAGATGGGATTAGCAGAACAAGCTCAGCTACTTTGGGAATCCTCCCTTCTCGTTCGCTCGCACTCTGCTTTCGTCCCATTCTGGATAACTTCCACTCTTTTCCGCGTCTATACTCATTACCGTTCTTTTTACACCGTCATCTTTGCTTTGGCTCGTGTGCTGCCACTGTGCTGTGCGTCTAGATGGCCTGAGAACTCGAGTTGTTCGTTGTCTGGCAGCTTGAGGACCTCCTTGAACCGCCGGCCGATAGCCAGAAGGATCTCGCGAGCCTTCTCGGGACTCCGGCCCTTGCCGCCAGACGTATCGCCATCACCACGGCCAGGAATCGACTTGCCGATGGTACGGGTCCAGACGCCGATACGGAAGAAGGCCTTCCGGACGTTGACGACCACGCCCATCACCTCGTCGTCTTCCTCCTCCTCGAGCGTCTCACCAATGGCGCCCAGCATGGTGTGCAACCACATCTCGTCGATGTCGACATTACGCTTGTCGCGGAATGAGTAGGACCATTTGCCACCGTGCTTATTCTGGGCATCTTCCCACTCAGGCCGGACGCCTGCCTTGAACAGGTGGTAGTCGGACTTGAGAGCGAGCTCCGAGACGGGAGCAATATTGTTCTAGTCGGTTAGCTAGAACGCCAGGTATCGCACAGAGAAGGGAAATGCCTACATAAATGCCCCAGAACTCTTCAACGGAGTTAAAAGTTATGACCTCCTTCAGCAGGTCGTTCCAATTGTCGCCCTAACCATAATGTCAGCTGTCGCATACTCCCTGCATCATTGACTGTCTATGTCCTGGTTACCTTGCCGCTGGCTGGCTTGGTGAACCAGAGGGTCCAGGTATGCATAAGCCGGTGCTTCACGTTGAAATTTTCCTTGTCGTGGAAAACGGTGACGTCTTCCTTGGCCTCTGCTGCGGCTGACGCGGAGTCGTTGCCGCCATCAGGCGAGATCGGAATTGTGGTGAGATCGACTTGGGTGGCCATCTTGTCTGGTTATGCGGCTGATAGGAAGCGAGGTGAGGTGTTCTGCGAAGAGACGATGGCTCGAATTCGATCGAGGAAAACCAGACTGGAGGTTGCCAAAAGAAGAGTTGAAGACAAGCCCTGTGGATTATCGGAATCTGGGAGCTCAGATAAGGAAGTTGTCGGTCTGATCCTATACCCAGTACAGGAACAGAAAGCGCGAGCGAGGGACCCTGGAACCAGCGAACCGACGAAAATTGGGTAGCTTCGGAAAAATATAGGAAAGGTGCCAATACGAGCTAGCATATATAGCTTTTCTGGCTGTACTTTATCTGACTGTTGCACCGGGCAGTAGTCAGTAATTTGGGTTGACGAAGAAGTTTGAATAAAATTGGTGATCCGAAACTCTTGTGAGGGGAATTTCAGAATGAACAGCCTCGTTAGGCGGGAAAAAATAAATTCCGTAACACTGGCAAGAAAAGAGAGTTGCTAATCGCACTACTTTTTTTTTGCTTATCGCACTGCTTTTAGACGATAACAAAAGGGGCGGATTATGTCACCCACCGAATCTGAGTATATCGCCAACGCGCTAGACGAAATGTGGGCCTGTGTGCTTCTTTTCAGAACCAAACTCGTCTCCTGTCACGAAATTTTTCTACGGGATCCTCATCAAAGCCCTGCACCTCTCCCGCACCGGAGAGCAGATGAGATTCCGATCCAAAACGTGCTGAGACTGCTCCCACGATGACAGACAAGCTCCCGCCTCAGCTTCTCGCGCTGTTTGCGCCGCGGCCACCTCTTCGATGGGTGCAGCCGGTCGACTACGCGCCTGGCGAACGACAGACCATCCCGGTGTCGGGCATTGCCCAGTTCCTGCCGGCGCTGAAGGAATTTAAGGACCACGATGGATTCGTTCCGACAGAGAGCTGGCTGCAGCGGCGCGAACGGAAAGCCGAAGAACACAAGGCCGCAGAAGAAAAAAAGCTCACAGAGGGCCCTAGAAACTGTTCGTCTGCGTGTTCCTTTGCATTTCCACTGGTGGTCCCCCATCACTTGAACTGCCTCTGGCCCATCTACAGTTCCTGATACTGACTTGCGCTTGCTAGACAAACCGGCCGACGACCCGAACATTCGCGGCGATCCTTTCAAGACGTTGATCGTGGCGAGGTTGAGCTACGAGGCCACCGAGCAGGATCTCGAGCGCGAGTTTGCCCGTTACGGTCCTATTGAGCGCGTACGTTGAGCTCTCTTCCCTTGCGCTGCGGTCGTGTGATGGCCATGACTGACACAGCCCAGATTCGGATCATCAAGGACACACACGCAGACGAAAAGGGGAACAAAAAGCGGAAACCACACCGAGGATACGCCTTTGTTGTTTTTGAGCGCGAAAAAGATATGAGAGGTAAACCAAAGACCAGACTGGTGCCGTGACATGTCCCGCCGGCCTTCCTTCATCTACTCCACGACTTGTCATAGTCTTCCTTTCCGTCCTATCTGCAACCCCCCCTTCCCCGACCTTTGGACAGGTATGTCCTTGACATGGTAAGGCAGTACTGACGAAGCGCCTTTTTCTGCGCGCAAAAAACAGCTGCCCACGATGCTTGTGATGGCATTCGCATCAAAGACCGGCGTATCAAGGTGGACGTGGAGCGCGGACGAACGGTGAAGGGCTGGAAGCCGCAGCGTCTGGGTGGTGGATTGGGTGGTCGGGGATACACCAAGGCCGCGCCCTCGCAGCCGACAGGCCGCGGCGGAGGCGGGTTTGGCGGAGGTGTAGGTCCCGGCTTCCGTCCAGGCGGCGACGGCTTCCGGGGCGGCGGCTTCCGGGGTGGCGGTTTCGGAGGCGGTCGCGACCGCAATGGTGGAGGATCTCGAGGCGGCCGCGGCTTTGACCGTGGATTTCCTGGTGGTCCGCGTGGCGGTGATGTCAACGGATTCGGTGGACCGCCGCCGAATGCACCGGGTGGACCGGGCTATGGACGGAGCGACCGCGGCGGCGACCGTGGTGATCGTGGTGATCGTGGTGATCGTGGCGATCGTGGCGATCGGAGAGATTTCAACGGTGGGCATGAGTCGCGTGACGGAGGACGCTCCTTTGAAGACAAGTTTGCCGGCGGTGGCTTCCGCGACAACGACCGCGACCGCGACAGAGACCGAACGCGGGATAGAGACCACGATCGACGTCGCGATCGGGGCGGCGATCGGAGCGACTCTCGTCGGACGGGCAGCAACATGGAGCCGATCCGACCAAGAGAGAATGGTGGGTATCGTGACCACAGCAGCCGCGACTTTGACCGGCCGCGCGATGACGACTCGCGCAAGCGCGGATTCGAGGGGCCTGTCCACGACGAGACCAGAAAGCTGCGACGATACCAGTAGGGGGAGGTGTTGTTCAGCTGACTCAGCAACAACAGCAAACATGCATCTGTCGAGGTATCTGCTGTGGCGTCTCTCTTTCTCTTTCTTCCCGAGGGTAAGACCAAAGAACGGCGACAATATGGCATGTCTCTTGTCAGATCCAGTTCCTCCGGCAAGGTAAAGAAGACTGGAAGGCAGCCTGGACAGCCATGATAGGCAAGAATGATGCAAAAAGACCCTCACAGCCGTTCCGTTTTGTCCAGAAGTCAGCCCAGGAGACCCTCCTAGCCATCTATTCCGCCGTTTCATATCACCCTATCGAGCACCAGAGATTCATTTCTCGACGGGACAGGTAACATACGCTACCAGACCACTCGGTGCAGTCTTAATTCAAGCACACACATAACACAAAAAAAACCGGGAGCACAGAGATGTACGAAGGACGCATGGAGGAAGGCACTTGCGTCATCAGCTTAAAAGGAGAACGGCAGACATACCACGGGTAGAGTGTGGGTATGGCAGGTTTTCCGGTAGAGGTGTATCATTTTTTCATTTTCTTGCGTTCTTGTAATAGTTCTTGCCGCGTTTCTTCTTCGGTTTTGTCTTTACTAGGTTCACCATCCTTCCGTCCACGTCGAAGCCAGGCCAGACAAAAGGTAAGGAGTCGACCGGCGTTGTGTTGTCTGGTCTGGTGTTGGCTCTCGCACTGGGCTGCCGTTCTCCATTCTCCCAATCTCACTTCATAGTTCTTGTATACATAGGTGAAAGAAAAGCGGTTGTCAGGTGTCGCAGGCGAGGATTTGATATGCCAGCACATGGAAGTCACGTGGGAGCAGAGCTGTGTCGCACAACAGACCGAGTAACAATCTTCGGATTCCGATTCTATCACCATGGACAAGAAAAACCGGGGGAGAACCAAGACTAAAAAAGATAAAAGAAACCGGTTGACGAGATCCGAAAACGCCTGCAGAACATGAGAACAAAAGTAGCCGTTTCCCCTGGTGCGATGGATTTTCTGTTACGCTTTGTAAATTGATTCTATTCATTGCGTCCAGAAAGCGGTTTAATTGTCATCGTCATCGACGACGATGTCGTCGACATCGGCGGCCGTCTTCTTAAGGGCGCGGGATCCAGCGGACGTCGTGGACGGCAGCGGGGGAGCGAGCTCGGTGACCTCACCGGAGGCAGCGGACCAGTAGGCGAGGGCGCCGACGCGGAACTCGCTGAGGCAGATGCCGAAGAGGCGCAGCAAGCGGGACTGGCGGCTGTCGAGGACCTGGCCGGCGCGGCAGATGGGGTAGCCGCCGACGGCGGCGGTCTCGCTGTCGGTGTCGGTGTCGGCGTTGTCGGGGGCCTCGAGGACGACCTTGCCAGCCTTGATGCTGGTGGGCACGCCGAGACGACGCAGCTCGGGCTCGAGAGCGGTGGCGATGGGGACGTCGTCAGCCGCAGGCACGAGGCCACCGGTGCTGTAGAGCTGGCCGTGGGGGATGATGACGTCGCGGGTGGCCACGGTGCCGGCGCGGGCAAAGTCGACGGGGCTGATGGCGTCGAGGTAGGCGCGCACATCGTCGGGGCGGCGGCTGGTCAGCAGCAGGCCAACGGTGCCGTGCATGTACCGCTCGGCCAGACGGTCGATGCCGGGCAGGAGAGCCTCGCCGGGCGACGTGCCGAGGGCGCGAGCCATGAGCTTGGTCTTGCCGAGGAAGAGGCTGATGGAATTAGTGTGGATGAGAGACATGAGCGAGGAAGAAGACACGAGCGAAGCGAGGAACAAAAAGACACGAGCGAAGCGAGGAACAAAAAGACACGAGCGAAGCGAGGAACAAAAAGACACGAGCGAAGCGAGGAACAAAAAGACACGAGCGAAGCGAGGAACAAAAAGACACGAGCGAAGCGAGGAACCAAAAAAACGTACCGACTGTCGGAAAGCTCTTGGCGCAGCTCGTGCAGATGCTGGTTCCGCATGTTCTCGACGTGCACGACAAAGCAGTGCTCGTATTCGGGCACGGCGTCGCGGATGCTGGAGAAGAGCCGGTCCTTGTGCTCGCGGGTCTTCTTGGCGACCTGCGTCAGGTGGAGGAGCTTTTCGCGCTTGGACTTGGGCATGGTGGCGGGGGGGAGAGAGAGAAACGAGGACGGAGTTGAGTTCAAAGGTCAAAGGACCGAGGAATGCAGGCGGAACAGGACAGACGACCGGAGGCTGCGGCTGTGTGTGATGACGGACGAGGCTGCTGGTGTCGCAATTCTATCAATGCTCGTTTGCAACCACCATTTTTTCACCCTTCCGCTTCACACTTTTTTTGTCTTATTTTCTTTTTTTTTTACGTTTTTTCTTATCGGGCTGTCTTATCGGCCCATCTTATCGGGCGGTGAGCCTATCTCTGGTGGCCTCCCCACCTGTACCTATGCCCGGTTATAGAGATGCTTCGCTTAAAAGGATGATATATGAACGGTCTTGTCGTCTTTATGCGAGATATACGTAGTTGCCGCCCTCGCGGTCGAGATAGTCTTTTTCGATGAGTCTGGGGATGTTAGCTTTTTTCCCGTCTTTTTCTTCTCTTTTCTTCTCTTCTCTCCTCTCTTCTGTCTTCACTTCGCCTCGTCACGCCCCCTCTCCTCTTCACCTCACCTCTTACTCACTTTTCAATGTTCTGCTTGATCTCCGCCGGGTCTAGCGCCCCGCGACTCTTCGTCTGCCCAATCACCTCGGCCACCAGTTGTGCGTGTGGCAGGCTCTTGCGGCTCTTCATGATCCGCACAATGGCCGCCTGCGTCTCAAATTGTCGGTCCGCCGACACGCGCTCGTACGTTGCCGCGTTCTCCGCCCGCGTCTCCCGCAGCTGGATCTGGTTGATCTTGATCCGGTATTTGCCGTCGGTGAACCCGCGGTTGACCGAGAACGTGTCTGTCCGCCGCACGTCGCGTCCCCGTGGGTGCTTTGTCAGCACGCGCACCTTGCCACACGCCAGCGACTGCAGCGTCCGGTCCAGGTTGCCGCCCTCGAGCCCGCTGCCCGCCGCGATCTGGTCGTACGAGAGGGCTTCGGGGGGAGGTGTTGTGTCTGGATCGTCTCCCTCGTCCCCTCCATTGAACAGCAGCAGCACAACGGCCTGGAAGGCGCTCACCAGCAGCTCCTTGGGCCCGCGGTCGAATCGCGCCCGCACGACGCAGTGCCCCAGCGCGTGCATCCAGGTCAGCTGGCGGCCCGTGTGCTTGGCCTTGTAGTAGCCGTCGAAGAGCTGGACCTGCTCGAGCACGTCGGCCGGCAGCCGCAGCGGCACCGCCCCGTACGTCGGCCACGCAGCCGACGAGAGCACGCTGACGTGCAGGTCGACGCCACCGCTCGTCCGGATCTCACGCCGACCGGCCTGGCGATCCTCGTCGTCGCGCCGCTTGTCCTTGTCGTTTCGCTGGTTGTCGAGCCACTGCTGGTATGCGGCCATCTCGTCACGTGACAGCTCTTGATCTCGGAACATCTGCTCGAGATTGTGTGTCAGGCTGGAGCCGCATTCGGTCTTGAGCTTGCCGAGCATGCTACGCTCGGCGTCCTGGCTGGCGCTGCGGCCCATCAGCAGCCGCCGTGCCAGGTCCTTCTTGTAGAACGCCTCGAACACGTCCTTGCCCTGGATGAAGCGGAAGAGCTCCAGTGCGAGATCGAGCTGCCGGTCCAGCTCGGCGTCCTCATCGCCCGTGCTGGACTGGCCACGCTGCTCAGCTGCCGCCCGGTCGCGTCCGGTCGACAGCAACGCCGGCGGCAGCGCCTTGAGGCCGCCGCGCAACAGCAAATCCACGTGCTTGGCCACGAGCTCGCCGACCTTGGACGCACCCGACGGCCAGGCATCTGCCACCGGCCGGCCATTAACAAAGCGACCAAAGGCTGTGCGCAGACCGTGCGCCATGTCCTCGTCGCGCCCAAAAGCATCGCGCACCAGCACGTCCAGTCCGCGTCGCAGCTCCAGTAGCCGCACGACCATGTCGTCGCCCCGCGCCGTGTCTGTCACGATGGCCGTGCCGGCCGCCTCAATGTACGACTCCCATGGTCGGCGCAGCTGCTTCTGCAGCCGTGGCAGCCGCAGCAGCTCATACAGCGCCTTGGCTGAACTGACGCTCGTCGCGTCGCCCGTCCCACCGCCCGCACCACCGTCCAGCAGCCGCGCCACGCTGGCCTCGTTCACCAGCATCGGCACCCGCTCCACAATCAGCAGCCGCTGCGCCATGTCCAGCAGTGCCTTCTTGGTCGAGCTGTCAAAGCTGTATTCATTGCAGCGCAGGTCCTCGCGGCGCAGCAGCGCATCGACCGCCAGGATGTAAGGCGTCAAGTCACCGGCAGCGGCAGTGTCACGCTCGGCGGCAAACTCGCGCAGATACGTCTCGGCAGCGCCCAGAAAAGCCGGCTCAAAGTAGCGTCCATACACGTTGAGCACGTGCATCATGGTGACAGCCTCGCGCAGCAGTGAGCCGTCGAACCGGGCGTGGCCCAGACGGTCCTCCGTCACGAGATCGCACATGCCGGCGAGCACCTGTCGTCCCGGCGGCATCACCTGCGGCTCCGTGGCCTTGCCGTCAAAGGCCATGCGGCGGAATCGGTACAGCAGCATGTCGTTGATCGGCTGCAGCGACCGCTCGTTCAGCACGTACGCCCGGTCCAGATAGCTGAACGTCGACCGGATCAGCGTTGACTTGTCGCACCACACCTGCCACTGCCGGTAGACAGCCCGGAGTACGTCCACGTTGGAGGCGCCGCGCGTGTCGGCCCGCAGCTGCGGCAGCACTGTCTTGCTGAGGTGCTCTTCGCAGCGTGCCTTGAGCGTCATGTACAGCCGCTGTGCCTGGTCGTGCAGACAGAGGTCCTCGACGCCGCGGTAGAGCCGCTCCAGCGGCTGCCGTGGCGGCCGGCCGGCAAAAATGGCCTTCACGGCTTCCTCGATCTCCGTCCACGTCCGCTGGTAGTACTGCTCCATCTCCTGGGCCCGTGAGGTCGACGCCACCCGCAGGTTCTTGATCACGAGCTTCTTGGCGCCCGCGTGCGGCTGGAAACCCGAGACGGCTGTTGGCGGCATCATCTTGGCGTGTGTGTTGGTGGAAGTGTGGACCATTGTGGCAGCGGTGGAAGAGCCCGCGAGAGGCCCGGATGCCGGTGACGACGGCGTCTCCGTCAGGTCGATCACATCGGGCCGCTTGCCTTGCGTCTTGGCGTTCATGGTCGGAAAGATGTCTCGGCCAGACGACCGTTGACGTTTGGCCTCGGGTGGAGCCAGGGCTGCTGGCTGGGGCTGTGAGCTGGAGTCGACCCGTTGTCGGCGGCGGGCGCTGGAGCTGCTGCTGCTGCTGCTGCTGTTCGGTGCAAGCGAGTTGGAGGATGCAGGGAGACGGCCGTCTGCGGGTCCGGAAGACGGATGCATGGAGGGGGGGAAGGATGAAAAGAGGTGAATGAGGATGACGGAAACGAGATAAGAGAGAATAGTGGAGAGAGCAGAGACCGACCTGCGGTGGCTGTGCGTCGTCGTGCGTCGAGGTGTATGCCGGCTGCCGCTCTTGCCGGTCGGAATGCAGTCGCCAGAGAGGTCGAGATGACGGACGGAGAGCACAGACGAACGGCTGGTGGAGTGGGAAGGGAAGCTTGGCAACGCGTCGGCCTTGCAGGCTAAAAGCCGGAGCACCCCGCTACGGTAGATGCGTTTATCCAATAGTTCACTATCCAATATATTCACTACTAAGCGATTACTAAGCATATGCGGCCCATCCTAGATGTGTCAGTAACGTTCACGTTTGAACACGGCAAGCGGCAACTCTGGACTACTCACCAGAGTAGAGCACCGCCAGGTTTCTCTCGTCAGTTGCCTGGTTGATCAGATCGTTGACCGTGGCGGCCACGCTGAGCGTCTTGGACAGCTTCTTGCGCACGACCTCGAGCGCGCGTTCGGCCTCGGACGGTTCATTGTGGTTGGTTGTGGACGTGGTGGTAGCGGCAGCAGTAGCCGTGTTGGTAGCAGCAGCCGCAGTCGCAGTTGCAGTCGCAGCCACGTCGGGCTCTCCGTCGTCGCCGTCGTCGGCCCGTGCCCGGGCCTCTTGCAGCTTCGCCAGGCGCACGGGCGAGATGGACCACGAGTACAGCGGGTCGTAGCGGAGGACGTCCAGCACCGTCATGATGGAGTAGGTCTCGGCGCGCATGGCGTCGAGAGTGAACTCGCAGCAGCGGCGGAAGACGCCCTCAGGCCCGCTGATGCCCATACCGTCGACGATGTCGCGCGTCAGCCGGAACGGCACCAGCTCGGGCACCGGTAGCACGCGGCCCATCTCAAAGGCAACGCCCAGATCAATGTGCACGACCTCGCCGGTGCGGGCGTCTAGCAAGATGTTGTGGCCGTGTCGGTCACCTAGGCCGAGCACGTGACCAAGCATGGACACAGCTGCTGTCGCTCGCGTGTAGGCCAGCCGGCGCGCAAACCAGTCGTCAGGGTCGGGAAAGGTCTCGAGGAAGAAGTAGCGCATGACCGGACGGAAGCGGCTGGCAACGCGACGATACGCAGCCACGCGAGCGTTTGTTGGTTGCGTCTGCACGGCCGAGATCTCCTTGCGGCACTGGGCCCCCCGCAGGTCGCGTGGGTGCAGACGCTCGTGAGCCGGCATCAGGTATTCGTGCAGCGGCACAGTGTGTGGCACAAACTCGATCAGGCCTGAGGCCGCTGTCAGCGGCAGCACCTTGTATGTGCGGATGCCCAGCCGCCGCTGTCGGCTTGCACGGTGGCGTTGCAGCAGCCCCGACACGGCCGCAAAGACCTGTTCCATGATGGCGTCCTGGCGCAAATCATCATTACCGCCCTTGACCAGCTGGCGGTACCGCTGGCCGTCGGTGGCCACAGCCGTCAGGATCTTGGGCGCGCTCACGCCTAGTGCCACCGACATGGTCGGCTCGAGTCGCACAATCGTGGGCACGTGACCTGGGCCATAGTCCCGATCTTCCCGCAGCGGAATCGTCAATGTCGGCGGCGGGATGGCATAGCGAGCAAGACTTTGCAGCAGCGCGCTGCCAGCGGCCGAATCACGCAGTGCCACCCTCTGTCCCGCCTTGTAGCGGCCGTCACGCTCGACCGCCAGCGTGTGGTAGCACTTGCTCGTCTTGTCGATGGCCTGCCAGATGGCTGCCACGGCGGTTGTATGTGCCAGCTCGCGAGCCACTCGCTCTGTCGCTTTCTGTCGTCGCACTGCCACGGCATCCTTGGCGTTTGGCCGTGTCCGCACGCCCGACCAGATCTGGTACATGCCATGGTACGGGTGCTCCCTGCAGATGCGGAAGACCAGTCCGATCAGCAGCTTCTGGAAGGCTCCCCCTCCTTCTTGCAGCCGTGAGGTCAGCTGGTTCATCAAGGGTGCAAACTTTCGTGATGGCACTGCTTCCAGCTGTCGGCGCACCGCCTCATTCGTTCCCGTCTCGCCGGCTCGCTCCAGCCATAGGGCCGTGAAGCGCAGTGCGTCGTTGTTATGCTCGTCCGACGCCTGCAGCCCCAGCAGGTAGTTCTCCACGCTGAGCCGCACAAACTCTTCCCGCGTCCGTTCCACTCGCTGTAGCTCCTGTTCGTCTAGCGCCAGCCACTGTCGTGCCTTTCCCAGGTGGCTGTTGTATCGTTGGCGCGTCGCCGTGTCCCGTGCCCCGGCCACCAGTGCTTCCAGCTGCTCGACCTCGCTTCGCTTTCCCTGTCGCAGCTTTTGCAGCCGTGCCAGATCTTCCCGTCCGTCTGCGCTCTGCAGCTGCTCGTCGCAGAACGTCGCAAACTGGTGAAACACCCGTCCGGCTTCGGCGCCCGTTCGTCCGCCCTGCAGCTCGGCCAGTGCTGGTTCTAGGTACCGTTTCTGGATCGCGTCTGCGCCTTCTAGTCGTGCGGCTGAGACGGCCTGTCCGATCTGCGACAGCAGCTCTGCCCGACTCACCTCTACCGTCTGCTGCTGCACCTCCACGCTCTGCAGGATTCCGATCGACGCCATCAGCTCGCCCTGCTCCCACAGCGAGCTGGCCGTCTCCATCTTGACGGCTGCCTCCACCTGCAGCCCCATGGCTGCGCTCGGCTCAATCAGGTCTGTCAGCGCTGTCGTCACGTTGAGCGACTCCTGCATCGCGTGGTGGAATCGGTACATTCGCGACGACAGCAGCAGACCCTTGACCTCGGCCACACGCGCTTCTGCCCCCGACACTTGCATCTGTCGTCGCAGGTAGTCTGCCTGTCCGATCGTGCTCAGCGTCGTCTCGCGATATGACAGCAGCTGGCTGACATCGTCGTACTGCCGGCTCTTCATCCATCCGCTGTGCTCCTCGAACTTGGCCAGTACTGCCGACAGCTCGTCTGCTCCCCGCACCCTCAGCACGTCGTCCAGCTCTGTCAGTGCCGCCAGTGCCCCCAGCTGTCGTCGTAGGGCCGCCACCGTCGCGCTACGACTCACCACCTGTCGCATCGTCCGGCCCAAGCCCGCCCAAACTGCCTGCTGTGCTGTTACTGCCGATGTCGTCTGGTGCAGCTGCTGGAAGGCCCGGTACATCGTCACCGACCCGTTGCTGCTCGTTGCCGCCACCGGCAGATTCCACACCCCCAGCCGTCGTGCTGTCGTGAACGTGCTGTCTTGTGACGTCTGTGTCGTCCCGCCACCCGCGTCCTGTTGTGCCTGCTGCAGTGCTTGTGACAGTCCCGACTGCCCGTTGTTGCTCAGTGCTTGCACCAGCGCCCGGCTGTCTGCCAGCGCCCCCATGTCGCCCCGTCGCAGGTGGCTGTCGTACTGGGCTCCTCGAAACGCCAGTGCTTTCGCTCCGTCCTTTTCATATTCCAGCCGTGCCAGCACGCTCGCCAGACTCGGGCTCTGCGGCACCCCATAGTATGCGTCTGGGTCGTCGATGTTCTCGTAGATCCCCAGCAGCAGATCTCGCCGCTCCGTCGTCGTCATGCTCGTGCTCGTCCCCGAGCTGCGAGTCCGTGACGTCTCTGACGTCTCCGATAGCCCAATCTCTGCAAACAGCAGCGCGATCTTGAACATCCCGCAGCGCGATGCCGCTGCTGCTGCCACTGTCTGGTCGATCGCCAACCACTGCTGCCGGTCCGCAATCGACGTCTCGCCTGGCAGCGGCTGTGTCCGCAGATATACCATCGTGCTGAGCAGCAGCTTCACGTTCTCTCGCCCTGACCGCGACCTGCAGCCGAGCCACTGCGTCGCCGCCTCCGACAGCTGTCGCTTCAATGTCTGCTGCTTGTCCACCTGGAACAGCAGCACCAGGTGCACGATGAACGGCAGGCATTTCTCTGCGAACCCCTTCTCTAGCCTGACAATCGGCCCTAGCACCCCTAGCACCACATCTTCTGGGATGCTGTTCGTCAGGTGTACCGCCAGATTCTGCGTCCAGTCTGCCTCCTCAATCTGGCTGGCCGCGAACACGTCCACTCCAGCACCCGTCGACCTTTCTCCTTTCGTCTGCTTCACCTGTCGCTTCTGTGCCACCCGATCAAAGTCCGACGGCGGTGTTCGATACAGGCCCCATGCCGACGACACAAACAGCGGCTCCGGCAAGCTTGCCTGGCACGCTAGCAGTAGACTGCTGTCTCCCTCGTTCGTCGCCTGTGACACGATCGTCCGCAGCCCCGACTCGGCTAGTCCTGCCGTCACCGACTCGCGGTTCACCGTCAGCGTCTCCAGCAGATGTAGTAGACCCTGCTCCGAGCTGCCGCTTGCCGATGCCGCTTGCCGGTCCTGTGATATGTGCAGCTCCCGCACCAGCTCTTCCGGCACCGTCCCCGATGCTGCAAACGACCGTCCCACCACCCGTCCAGCCCATACCAGGTAGCCCTCACTCAGGGCCTGTGCGCCACAGCTCTTCCATACCTCTGCCTCGTGCTCCAGCGCGTCCTGGTCCGTCTCTATGATGTCCGAACGTCCCCATGGCGGCACCTGGAAGTCACCACAGAGCATTCCCAGCACCAGATCCCGTGCCGACTCGTTCAGTAGCCTGTTCTGCCGCGCGCCGTCCTTCAGCATCTCCAGTAGAAGTGTGCTCTCCGGCGTCCCCTTCTCCGCGTTTCCCGATGCTCGGATCTTGGTTGCCGACTGTGTGATCGACCGGAATGCCGTCCGCTGTGCATCGTCCTTAAACGCGTGCGAGTCGTACTCGAGCAGCTGCTTCGTGAACCACGTGTGAAAGTGCTGTGCCTTGCCCATCGTCGCCTTGAACTGATTCTCCTGTGTCGTGCTGGCCTGGCTCGACTCCAGGAACATCCGCAGAGACGCCAGCATCGACAGCGAGTACCCTGCGTAAAAAGACGGAAATTGCGTGAGGTGTCCTGTGCCTCGGACTAAAAGGTACCGCGTCATCCCGAGCGTATCGTCCGCACACTCAGCGTCCTGTAGATACGGTCGGATCGCGTGCAGCAACATCTCCAACGGGTACGAGCTGGTTGCCTGTTCCCCAGCCAGACATATCAGCACCCGCACCTTTCGGATCACAGAACACGCGTGCAGAGACCCCAACGCCGGCCGAATCGTATTCATGAGCCGTCTCGCCACAGAGACCACCAAGGCAGGTGTCCACAGCGTGCTGAGGTCGTACTCTGTCCGGCTGCACAGGTGCGCAAGCTCCCTCGCCAGAAACTTTCCCCTGAACATTGGCTGCTGGTTGGGAGGCAGCACCACCGGAGAGTGTCCAAACCCTTTGATTTCCGCCATGATGTCGGCCGCATATTGCAGGGAGTCGTCTTTGCTGAAATACTTCTCGATCGGGTCCTCCTGGTCAATGAGATTGAACAGGATCCCAACAATATCTGCCATATTGTAGTACACAGCATCGAGGAACCGATCCTTTCCCAGCAGTTTGCGCAGCCGACTCTCGCCTGCAGCCTTCGATTTCTCCCTATCTGTCGCCATCGCTATGTCGTGGGCAACGCTGTAAGCCATGACCTCCGCAAAGTTCTGTTCCACTAGACTCGGTAGCTCTAGCCCGAGCCGCTGCGCAATATGCGATGCAGCCATGTCCTGGCCGCGCATCAACATCAGAGCTGTTGCCTCCGTCTGCGCCTGGTCGATCAGCCCGTCAAGACTGCTGAATGAGAATATCTCGTACGGGATCTCGTCGATCGGGTCGTGTTCCAGCCAGGTGTAGAGTAGCTGCGGCGCAAAGAGCTGAAACAGATCTCTCGACGATGCCAGTGCCAGTGCATTCGATACTTGTGCCAAACAGCGGCTCGCAAACTTGGCGCATTGCCTCAGCCGGCCTGGTGTCTCAAAGATGTGGTAGATGCACCGTCGAAGTAGCGTTGGCCACGTGCACGCCAGCTTTGCCAGCGCGAGAAGCCGGAAGGCAATGCCTTCAGGCCAGCCCGCATCGGACGGCAAAATTTCCAGAATGTCCACAAAAAGGTCATCGTGTACTTTCAACACGTACAAGCCAAAGACTTTCGGTATGTTCATGCCCACAAAATACTTGACCGCCATGCTGCCGTTCTGGAGAATCGACAGCAGCGTTGACCGGCACGACGCCAAACCAAGGTCCCCTCCATAAGACGAGTTGATTTCCAGCAACCGGTACAAGAGTCCGGACAGATTGATCTGCGCGTTGGCCGACAGCGAGTTTTTCGGCAGTGACTGCTGCACCAGATACGAATAGAGATCTCCAATTCTGGCCGACACCTCCAGCTTCTCATCCGGCCATGTGCAAATGAAGCTCTGCATCATGTCGATGCACATACTGAGTGCCGCCTCGCAGCATGAGTACTCTCCTAGCCCAATCACGTCTCCGACGACTTCGACAACCCTGAGCGAATCTTCTGGAGTCACAACCAAGTCCGATCGAAACAGCTCCTTTGCAAAGCTGTGGCATAGCAGCAGGTCCTCGTTGGACAGCTCCAGAAACTGGTCTACAAAGGCTTCTGGCAGCACGCCCGTGTCGTTCCCATCTTTGTGACAGTGCCATAGTAGCTCAAGTCTTTGGGTCACATTGAGATAGAAGGACGCCGGGATTATGTCGAGACACAATGTTTGTCTCGGTATGATCGTTGTTTTCGAAGTGACGTCTCCTTGGCTGACTGCTGTGTCAAACTCGTCGTCCAGCTCCATCAAATCTCCATCGGGAACAGAACTCTGCTTGGTGCTCTCCACGCGAAGAGCTTGGGACAATTTGGCGAAAAGTTTCAGCAAGACTGGATGCTCCTTTCCAAACCGCTCACTTTCTGACACCGTTATACTGGGCAGATAAAAAGCGACTTCAAAAAGCCATACCTCAAAGAGTGCTTTGCTCTGGCCCACTTCATGAAGTGTTTTTAAAATGACGTCAATAAGCTTCAGCAAAGTCGGCTCCAGATCCCTCGCAAGACTCGAATTGACAGGATCGAGCTGTGGCGTGAGAATGCTGCATATTATGCAGAACGCCGCCAGACTCTGCATTCGTGGAATCGAAATCTGAGCTGCATTATCGCTCCCCCGTCGTGTCCAGGTGTCCGTCATCGACATGATCTCATCAGTCACCGGCTGGAGAAGCTCCAGAACGGTCTTTTTGGCAGAGTTGGAGCTCGCAGAGTCCTGGAATCGGGAGGACGTGTCGCTTATGGAGGAATGGACACATGCCATGTGTCTTACCTGCAAAGACTCTATGTCTGGCAGCAACAGAAGATACCGCATCATCTCGTCCGCCTCGGCCTGATCTTTCCAAGATTGGCTTATAGACCCTCCATAAGGCTCCACAGGACATGGAAATCCTAAGCTCTGAGCACCTAAGCATGCCATGAAAAGATTCACTAAATCAAACGATGGTGCATGGGCCGAGTACGAAGAAGCAAAGTTCGAGTCACCTGCCGCAACGTTAGCCAGTCAGAAAATAGAGTGATATGCAGGGCCACATTTTCGCACCTGGTTTCCATCTTGAAAATGCCCAGCGGATGATTTGATTTGAAGTGACTTCGCTGGCACTTGGTAAAATAGTGTTTCGAAGATGAAGCAAGTGGAGCATCAATATGAGAGACGAGTCGCAAAGAACCGCCGGGCCACTGACTTCGGCCACGGTAACGAGGCTGTTTATATCGTCTCCAATCACATGGTGCGGAATCAGCTCTGCTTCCAGGATGGTATGAAGCAGCGCACAGGCAGCACGGCTCGTGCCAGGTAGGCTAACGGACCGAGCGGCAATCTGCCAGATCTGCATCCATGTCTCAGAGAGAGAGCTGTCTTTTGCACTTATCTGGGCTGCGCAGCTGTTATCTGTTAGCCGTTTATAATCAAACAGATAGACGGGTTCCGTCCAAACCTTGCACAGGCAATCATTGCCCAGGAGCTAACCAGAACCTGCTTGTCACTAATGGATTGGCTGAGATGAGAGAGAAGATCGGATGTAGCATCGACCGGGATGGGGCTCGCTGCCTGCAGAAAGAAGGGTATTATCTGAAGTGCCGTCAGCTTTAGTCCTAAATCAGAAGAGCTCAGGTTGTCTCTTATTCTGTCTGGCCGTTCGCCGACACGTCTCCTCTTGCGCGGGTGCTCATCTCTGTCTGCTTCATCGGGACTGTCGAGTTTTTTTGCATTGGACATGTATATTGACTCGAGGTGGGCCATGACCTCTATAGCCGCCCATCGACGCTCAGACATCGCATCATGCGTAGAGAGACCGAAGATGCGCGCACTGAAGTAGCTGGTAGGGATGAATGAAAACGAAATGTCCGATGCTTGCAATCTCGTCCGGTCATCTCTTTTCGAATACTCCATCCACAACGAGTCGAGGACATCCTTAATATTCTCCAAAATCCCACAATGTGGGGAATGCAGGGCAAGAGCGCTTATATGGAGCTGAAGCGCAAACAGCGTTCGAAGTATCTCCTCTCGCATGGAGTTGACAGACTCGCTCTGGCTAGCTGATGAGCGAGGATGCCACCAATGGCCAATCAGTGGCACGACTTCTCGCGCAATGCCTTCTACCAAGCAGATGTCATCTCCTCTCACGCTTTGGACGATGCACCTGATGGTTGCAAAAGCTGCTTGCTGCAGATGGCCGATGCCCAGGTATTGCAGTTGCAACACTCGAATAGCAGCCTGTGACAGTTGAGATGCCCTCAACTTAAGAGGTGCATTCGGAGCTGAAACCAGGTAAAGAAGTCCTTGCATGAGCGTCTCCAAAATCTTGCTTGATGTCTGAGAGGAAGTTCGCTGTTTGGGTATAGACCCCGACCTTCCTGAGAAGTTGGAGTTTGGTAAAGTGCCTGGTGCCGGAGACGCTCGAGAAAATGTACCGAAGGCCAACGTGTCGCGATCCGGAACTTCTGCAAAACGGTCTACAGCCTCGGCAAAAAAATCGGCGCAGACCAGCCAGCCTTCGCCATCAAAAGCACCAAGCTGCTCGACATTGGAGGGGTGGCTAAGTAGCGCTACTAGAGCCTTGGTGTAGTCTTGAAGAAGAGGCTCGACATATTCTAGATCTCGTCCAGGGAGTGTTTCCGTAATGTGGTCCACGATCGCCCTCGCCACCTTGCGTTTCAACCTGGAAGCACCATAGTTTACGGCTAGCCGTAATGCTTCTGCACTTGCCGCAAGCCTTGCCTCAGCGGTAGTCTTAGTAGTTCTCTTGCCACTCAGATAGGTCTTTTTTTCTGTGACAGAACACTGGAACAGGGCTTCTATTAGGTTATGATACGCCTTCGCGTCCAGGGACAGCCTGCTCCTGGTCAGCTGTGTCTGGTCTGTAACAGGCGAATCATGAGATATTTTGTCTCACTGTGTAGCTCCTTGTGACTTCTTCGTAAAGAAGTATATCAATTCTAACAGTGTTAGTCACACAGTAATATGCGCTTAATCAAATTTCTTACCTTGCAGAGCTTTAGACCGCTCAGTCGAGTTTCCACTGGCGATAGAAGCTATAGTAAACGAATCAGCATGTGAGGGGATGTGGACAAGATTAAGCAGTCACGCTGATTGCCCAATTGCTTACCACGGATACTCTCTGCACTGGCGTCTCCCGCAACAGCGGTTCTCGCCCGCGTTGGCGGCATCTGGTTATACCTATGAGTCGCGCTCTTTGACTATGAATGAGGTGAAAATAATCCCGCAAAACTTGGGAGCTATAAATTGTTCATTTCTCGTGAGATTTCCTTGTCTCTGAGGAATAGGCGCAGTCAACTTTTGGACGGCTTGCATCCGCTGCTTTCAAAGATGCTCTGTAGCTGCTGTATTAGTGGTGCGGAAGAAGAGCAACGAAGCGTCAGGGGCAAAGTTTCGCATGGACCGGATACACAGGGTACAACGTACGCAAAAGACAAAATGCAGCGCTGTTCATCGTTAAATCATGAAGTCGTACAGCAGGGAACTGAACCTATTCCAAATGTTTACAAGCTTCTTCTTCCGCGCCTGCTCCCGTTGCCTGGCAGGCGCGTGAGACGGCGGCTCCTTCTTTTTAAACAAACAGGCTAGCGGCAGTAGCGCTCACCGCTTTTGCTCCTGTATCGTTGATTGGTGCTGGGGCGCGATGATGTCCCCACCAGGAACTTTTCGAGCTGCCTCTCGATAAAAAACTGGCCAGGGACACTAAGCAGAGCTACGCGATCCCTTCAAAAATCGACTCTCGAGACGCATGTTTCGCGATAGCCAACCCCACCAAGCCCGCTCGCCCACCAGATTGCCAAAGAAGCCCGAAATAGCGGAAGCAGACCGCTATACACCGCCGTCGCTATCCTAGAACTTGAGGCGGCAAACTGGCTATGGTCGTGCGCTCACGAACGCATCAAGTCGCCCGCCATGTCCGATGCCAGTACTCTCGAGGCGCTTCAAGCCTTTCATAGAGAGCTGATAGCTGTATCCGAGCACCGACTCGACAACCTTCAGCTTTTGGACCCGCTACTTGCTGCCCATGCGGACCGCTTCAAGAGCCTTGTCGACAAGGAGCCCCGGAAACAGGAGAGTCGGAGAACCGTGGAGTCAGGTGAGAAGGCGACCCTCTCGGAAGAGCGCAACATGTTGATGTTGTCCCGTGGTTGCCTTCCATTGGCTGGATTTATGTGCTGACCTTGCCGTCGAACAGGAAAAATTGTAGTTGGTGACGAAGAATACTCCGTCAACAAGGAATTTCAAGAAAGCATATTACAGCTCGCAGACGAACTAGACTTGGACGAGATACAAGCCGCTCAGCTACTCCTCGACTCCGAAGATGACGTGGTCACACTTGGCCGTCCGTTGCTGGAGTGTGGACTTATCCGGTTTCACCAGCAGCGCAAATTCGTGCTCGATTGCATGCGCTTGTGCATCCTGTTGGCGGACGATCAAGACCTGGACCCGGCAGTACAGGCTATCTTTGGCGACTACGTGACCGAGAGTATATACGGAGCTGCTCTTCCGGAACAGCCAGCGCTGGGGCCAGAGAAACGTATTGTTCCTCGTTGCATGATTGCGATGCAGGAAATACGTACATGGCTCCAGAAACTGACAGATCGCGCCACTGCCGCTTCCGTTCTTCAGGAGCACCAGCCCGCGGAGGTCAAGGAAATGTTTGACTTTTCCCGGATGAGCCTAATACAGCAGCACGAAGGCCTTTCTATAGTGCTACTTAGTGCGGTTGAGAAGCGACAAGCAGAGGCTCGAGACTTTGAAGACCTCCTAAAGCTCCTGCAAAGACTGGATCGCTATGACTGCCTCCTACGTAGGTTTCGAGATCTGCTGCTCGTCTGCAATATATATTCAGACGCGTGATACATATATGCTAACTTTTGTCACAGTCCATTTATTCCCCACTCTAGCCTGCTACATTCGCATATTCGGATCACCAGATGGCGTTTCTAACCTGGCTCAGGCCCGAAGATTGAACGAGATTGTCAATCGCCGCGAAGATGACGGAGTATGGCAAATGCCATCATTGCGCGCCGCCATCTGTGCTTGGTGGATAGCAGAGTACAGTGGGTGGTACATGGATGACATTGATGTCTCTCTCGATAATATCGATGTGGACAAAGGTACTATTCATTAGAATTCCTTAGTCTGGTGTCGCTTGCTAATTTACTTCACTACGTACCAGAGGACAAGGAGCGGGCGGACACATTCTCAGAGTGCTTAAAAGAGGGAGCCTTGGACTTCATTCTCGCCGTTTCCTCTGATGTTGAGATAAGAGACTGGCAAGATCCAACACCAAGCGGTGTCCAAGTTTGGATTCAGCGAAAATGTCCGCCTCTGCCTACTGATTCTGTTTCATTTGCCGACCATTTCCGAATCCGGGTCCTGGAACAGCTGGAGAATTTTGTTGATGCCTTCATTTCAAACCTCCCTGACGTGATCCGGCAACTGAGAATCGAGGAGGACGAGCAAAGACAGCTCAGCCAGATGCACGAACAAAGCCTAGAACTGGAGCGGTTTCTTCTCATCATATCAAGCGCATACGAAGGCCGGCCAGAAGCAGCTGAGGCTTTCTGGGCGGACCCTGAAAGCAACTTGGCTGGTTTTATGCAATGGGCCAGCCATCGGGCGTCGACTCCACTGGTCAGCGCTTTCTGTGAGATGCTTCGGTCTATTTCTGGAAACGAGGCGTCTGCTGAGGCTGCCCACGATTTCCTTCTCGACGAGATTAATAGCTCATCAAACACCGGCCGGATACGGAAGTCTCAGTCCCTCACCTGGGTTCAGGTTGTCAAGGAGCTCGAATTCTTCACTGCTCGAATCCGGGCACATACCAGCCCAGCCCCAGCTCTGACATACCGTGGTGGCAAGCCTAGCGATGATCAGGAAGAAGCAGAGCCGGAGTCAGCCATCATGTTGGAGTGCTACCTGCGGCTCATTGCCCGGATCTCGTCGAACAGCTATACTGCTCGGATGTGGCTACTGCAGAGCAAGGACTTTTCGCTGGTAGGCGTGCTCTTCCAGCTGGCAAGCTTGCCAGTACCAGGCCCCCTTCGAGCACGCATTTTCACGGCGCTGAAGGCCCTGCTGTCCGAAAAGTCTCTCGAGATCAGCTATATCATGTGGAACTGTCTCGATGACTACATGTCCGGCGCCTATGTTCAACACACTCAGCAGATGATGCCGGTGAACGCTCCGACTCCCAGCCATTACATGGAGGGATTTCTTTCCGAACTCACCCAAGGCTTCGAGCAGCCTTACGCGTTTGTTCAGTTTCTCCTAGCGCTTGTTGTTCCTGCAAGAGACCAATCGCCTCTGAATGACGCTCTGCCTTTCCCAGAAAACTATGGAGCCGCGATGCGGATGCCTGGGATTGATCCTTACGTTGACTTTGTGTTGAACACAGTGTTGGGGAAGCATATTAAGGAGTTGGAGAACAAACAACAGCAGCAAGCTCTGCGGCTTAGCTCTCTCGACTTTGCTCTAGCATGTTTGGAGACATTCAATGAGGATTTGCTTCTCATCGCAAACGAGACCGCGTTGCCTGTCGACAGTGCCATTGCAACAACCGACCTGGCAGCGTACGTCAAGCTGCACCCATTTGCACGCGTCATGGAGTGGATGTACAGCCACAATGTTGTCGAGTCGATTTTCAAAGCCATCCCCGAAGATACGGCAGAGATCGGAGGTGCAGACCCGGATTCGCCGCTTATTCTCGGCATCATTCGAGCGGTACAACTGGTCTCGAAGATTCTAGACCTGCAGGATACGTATCTTGATCTGGTACGACAGCTCATCCGACTTAAAGTGGGGGACCGGAGAAAGCCGGTCAGCTCAGCGTACAGCTTCTTTGAGGAGGCCATTTCAAATCGCCTGGATGTCGTTGTTAATCTGGGAAGCTGCTGTGGTTTGGGGCACCCGACGTTGACGCTGGCTTGCTTGAAACTCCTCGAGAAGGTATCTGTCTCGCCTAAGGTGATTTCTGCGTGGAACCCCGGTCCAGGACAGCATGCCCGCCGGAACAAGGCTATCGTGGCGCTGGAGAAAGACGGCGAGGCGAGCGCGATTTCTGGTGCCTTTATCTCGGAGATGATTGCGCCTTTGGATCCCGGCCTCGAAGCCGAGTCGCCAAATTACAGTATCAAGACCTTCATGCTGGATTTCCTCCACTCTTGTCTGCAGGCATCTCCCAACAAGCCTACGATAGCTCACCTGATTCTTGGGTTTCGGTGTGGCATTGACGCCTTAAGTGTTGAATCTGGAGGTGCCTTTGACGACCGCACCTCGCTCTTCCATAACCTTCTCCGCGTGCTTCTGGAGGCACCGTTTGGGGACGATGAGCTCGGCATGCGTCACTGGCTGATTCTGCTGAAGCACAAGATAATGCGCATATTCCAAGTGCTATGGCGCTCGCCGCTATCGTCAGCCATCGTCTTGTCCGACCTGCGGGAAAACGACTTTGCCTTCCATCTTCTCATCCGCGAGGTGACCTTGCAACAGGACCTGCCGTGGGATGGACTGTCCACCAACAGCCCTGAGTTCATCACAACGGACGCGTCAATAGGGTTTATCGAATTCTGGGCGGTCCGTGCGATGACGTTGGAGTACATTGGCATCGAACTGTGCAGCGTGTCGCAAAACCGGATGCCGAGCCTGAAGCGGCGAATCTTTGACGCCTTGAACGGCCAGGTTGTGAATGACAGTGGCGAGCCGATTTCCACCCCGACCGTCTTCGAGCTCTACGACTTCATGTCCAGCAACAGCAGCAGTACGCGGTGGGAAACGGCGCCGCCGCCTCTGAAATTCCTGCAGGACCTGGATCTGCGGGCATCCATGGACGAGACTCCCTACGGCGAAACGCTCTACGACTTGGACAAGGCGCGGGAACTTGCTCTGCTAAAGGCGGCAGAAATCATGAAGGAATCCCAGTTTGGCGAACGGGCATTCGAAGAGCTGAGAGAGGAGATGCAGCGTGAAGAGGTACTGATGCTGGAATATCTGTCTATCCTCAACCGACAGAAACAGCTGGCGAACAACCACCAAATCGTGTTGCAGTCGTGGGCAAAACTGCTTCTGGTAATGTTCGAAGCCAACGAGTTCAGTGGCACAGCCCAGGTGTCATTTCTCCTCCAGGCCTTGCAAGCCATCCTGCCGGGGCTGGAAGCCGCGAGCACCGAAAACCCGGTACAAGCATTCGAGCTGGCGAAGCTGGCGGAGGCGCTGCTCTTCAAACTGGGCTCCCAGAAGAGCGGCAACAACGACTTCAACGCAAGCGAAATCAGGGAGGGCCGGCAGATGAGCAGCCTTGTGAGCGATAAGCTGTTCCAGCTGTTCCAGATCTGCCTGCATGCGGTGTGTAAATGGGTGGGCAGTCCCGAACTGCGGGCTGTGTATTATAACATATGCTACCGCCACGTGGCCGGGCTCATTGACAGCGGCAACCAGGGCGACGGCGACAATGCCGAGACATACCAGCAGACCGGGATGCAGCGAGCCAGCAAGGCGGTGGACATGTGTGGCGAGCGGGTGCTCAATGTCATCTGCGACGACGCCTACAGCAGCGACTCGACCTGCCAGGCAGCCGCGCTGATCTTGTTGGGCTCGCTTGTGCGACTGGGCGAGCACGAGAAAGACACGCACGTGGTGGAGCTGCTGAACCGTCTGAATTTTATCGGCGTGCTTGTCGACTCGCTGCGGACGACGTTGCAAGACGGCCTGGCGATCATCCAGTCGGGCAGCCTGGACCAGAAGATGTCGCAGGACGCCAAGCTGGCGCTGCTACTACAGCTGTGCCAAACACGCGACGGTGCCAAGTTTGTGCTGCACGCGAACCTCTTCCGGGCGATCGAACTGAGCGGGCTGTTTGCGGCGGATCCGGAACTGCAGGTCGACCCGGCCAACACGGCGGCGCTGACTCAGCACTACGAGCTGCTCGTCAAGACGGCACGGGTGGTCGGTGCGGCCATCGTCAGCCGGGGCTCACACAACGTGCAGCAAGGACGGCGCTTTCTGGCAGAGCACCGCATGCTGGTGATGCACGTGCTGAAGCGATCAGCCGGCATCGGAGCAGTGTCCTCGCGGCTGCTAGATGAGATGGTTGAGGAGCTGGCCGAGGCCTTCATGGTGCTGATTGTGGCGACAAATTTTTTGGAGGTGGGTTTACCTCCATCTGCGACTTCTCTGTTCTCTGCTAACCACTAACACTCGCAGTTTGAGGACCAGGCGCCCGTCCAGCCACAGAAGACCCCAGCACGGGTCGCGTTCCATTAGACGAGAGTGGGCGAGGCCAGGAGGCAAAGACAAAGGCGTTGTGTGTGCTCTGGCTTTCCATCTGCATCTGGTTTTTGTGTTTTTTTTGGGGGGTATTCGAATAGCCGTACTGGAATTGTATATAGGGGACGGCAGGAGAGGTCTATTGCATGGACATGGATCAATATACTGGTAGCATGAACATGTGGCAAATGCCTCCTATGATGTCTTGTTCGTGGGCTTCTTTCTATCCTGCATCGTCCAGCTGCTAACAATAAATAAACCGAAACACAAAAAAGTCAGCCAGCCTGCTTCTTTCCCCCAGTTTCTCCGTACCTGGCCATTTCCGTGATTCCGTGATGCATCGATAATAAACCCTCCCAAAAAGACACTGGTATAGATTAAGGAAAAAGGCTCTAGAAAATTTCTTTCGGCCACAAAAAAAAAAAGGGTTGAGGCTTGTGCCGTCAGAGAGAAGAGGTCCAAACACATCGTCTCTTCGAGCTGTAGTTCTTTCCCTGGCAAAGCCGGCTGCAAGGGTTCTATTAACGAGAAGGCTGGGTGTCGAGTTGTAGTGCCAATGCCCACCATCCTACCCGTAGATCACTCTGCGCGGGTCACGACTGTCTTGCTGGCTGCTTGCCCTGCCGATTGCGTGTCATGAGTTTCAGCTCCAGGGGAAAGTAGCTGCGTGCCGACTTTGCCGCTCCCGAGCTGCGCAGCTCGATCTTTTGCCGGCATATCGGACACGCCTTGCGCGATGCGTCCATGTAGAGCGAAGAGTGCAGACATGTACCGCAGTAGAGATGGCCTGAAGGAGTGATGTCAGCAACAGCCCAAGAGGGGGAACAGACTCTGCGGATGGGGAAAGCAAACACGCACCACAATGCGTGACCACGAGATTGGTCACGTCGTCCATGCAGATGGCGCACTGATAGCTGGCTAGCTTGACCTTGTTCGAGGGAGCCGGAGTAGGCTCGATCGCGACCTTTACGTCTTCCTGGCTGGCAGCGCCTGGTCGATCAATCCCGGTCAGGTTGACGACATCTATGCCGTCGTCGTCCGAGCCGAACAGGTCGTCGTCCAGCACGATGGTGTTTCCCCGCCGTGGCCGTTTCTTTGGTGTGTGTGATGTACGACTGCTATCGGCACCGGTTGCTGGTGTGGAGGAAGATGCTGGTAATGGTAAGGTCGCGTATGCTGATGCTGATGCTGACGCTGATGCTGATGTCGATGCCGAAGTAGAAGCTGCTGTCACCGGCTCGCCGCCTCGTCTCCGCTTTACGGCAGTCCGCGTTCGTGTCGGCGAAGCCTCCGTGATGGGTGACGACGCGGTGGCGTCGGGGTAAGAGCCAGGCAGAGCAGCGGCAGCTGAGCTGCCGCTTGCAACCGTGCTGGCGCCCCGCAGCCTGGATGCCGCAGCCGCGCTTGACCGTCTCCGAGTCTGTGGCATATTGTCAAGCGGACTTGACTTCTGGTGTCGTGCTGTGCTTGGTATCTCGACCTTTGGCTGTGAGCCGCTCCGGGTCGTCCGCTCGGCTGGACTTCCACGGCCAAAGATGGATGGGGAGGAGAAGTTATCCGTGGCCAAAAGCTGAAGGTAGTCGTCGCTGTTCAATTCGGGGCCGCGGGGTGTCGATGGCCGGAGCCGGTCTCGCGGCAGCTGTTGTTGTGGAAGAGATGTCCGGGGTGGGCTGGACTGCAGAAATGGCGGCAGTACTGAGTCATCGGCCGGCGTCGGGGCCGAAAGGCTGCTGTCGTCGCCACGTTGCCCGCTTCGGCGAGCGTCACCCGAGTCTCCGAGCGAGGTTCTCGTGGCTGTCGTGCGGCCGGGCAGCTGAGAGGAGGGATACGAAGCAGCCGGCCCAGCACCCCGCATGAACGGCTGTTGTGACAACCGTATGAGGTGTGCGTCGAAGTCGAGGATGTAGGAGCCGTCTCCGGAGCTGTAGAGGCACTCGAGGATAGGATCACTGGCATAAAAGTCCGTCGTGTACTCGTAGGGCGCGGCAGCGTCTGCTGAGCGGGTTCTTAGCTGGAACTGTGCGATACCAAGTCAGGGCAGCGTGGAGGGAGAACAAATCAGGAGCACGGCCGAGGCTGAGCGGGGGGGAGGGCGAGTGCGGCGGGCTCTTCGGAGGAGGTGTGCCCAGAAGTGCTGTTGACAAAGCAGGCCAGTTTCACTTCACCAGTGGATACTCACCATCAATCGGGTCCAAGGTTGTGCTAGGGCTCGCCATATCCGCTCTGCACGGCTACCTTGCAAATAGACGGGGGAAAGAGGTGCGAGGCAAATCGGCTCGGAGACGTAAGAAGAGTGTGGCGAGAAGCGGCAGAGAGCCGGCGCCGTAATTGCGTACGAATATCTCACGCTTTTTTCGCCAGGAGAGTGGCGATAGCCGCCAGAGAGGGGACCTGGTATGCCGTGTAAATGAATATTGTCGGATACGTCGATATTCACTGCGGGCACAGTCAAACAGTTTCCAGAGACAAAAAGCGATGCAAGGGTCGCTGGAAACAGACAGTGTTTTTTATGGAACAGCAGAGGGAGAGCTATGGAGTGCACCAACGAATCCCCGGTGTTGAGAGCGCTAAATACAATAATCGCCTGACCTGTTTTGGCGACGCGCTGGAGATCCTCGGCAAGGCTGCGTGTACGAACAAGTACGAGTACGAAGCTGTATACGGAGTAGTGCCGTATGCACGTATGCACATATGGGCATCTTCGCTGTCGCACCGTGTCGCAACTCAGACCTTTCCTAATTTGACTAGCTCGGATTGCAGCTTATACATCTCAGCGCACACGGCGCGAAAAAAACAGAGCGGGTCCTTGCATTAAAGCCAGGGATGTCTCTAAATGGAAAAAAAAGGCAATTTTCAGCTTCACTTAATTCCATCAGCACACTGTGCACTTGGCTCCTCTGTGGGCTTCATTCGTTTTAGATGCCGGGATAGGCGAAAACAACTACAGACGATTCAGTGAATTAACAAGCTCGGTCGTAGCCTTGTGGGCCACCGACGCACGACCTCTTTTGCGGCCAAGACCAAGACGACGTCATGTTCCGGCCATTGGCCGGCCATGGCCGAAGCCAGAGTTCTGCAGCTGCAGGCTTTGCGCGGATGGCCTGGCATCGCAGACAAACACCGCGACGGCCATGGTCTTTTGCAGTCCGGTGGGCATCTGCCCTGACGGACGCAAAGACCACTCTTGCCTGTAGGTGGGAAGATATTGGGGCTAAGCGAGCAATGAAGCTTGGAGGGCGCGAGAGCTGACAGTCCATTTTCTCAGTGCCGTCCGAGGCGCGTTACAACGCGATCGGAGTCCAGCAGGTCAGCAACCATATCTACGATCAGATCTTTCCTGGTGGCAGCAATCCCCCGTCTGAAGAGCTGGTCAAGCTGGCCGAGGACCACCTCCGTCGCCACGATCTGTTGGGCAAGAACACCGGCATCACAGATCCTATCGCCTTCGATCTCCCTCCTCTGCAGGGCGACTCGCTCGACGAGCACTTTTACAGGCTTGGCGTAGACGCTGCCGAGCCCTTTCTCAGCTTGGCGAAGCAGTTTTCTCGCGCAAACGCCCCCCCGCTTCCGCGACGGTGGGAGCGGCAAAGCGGGTGGACCAAGTACTACCAGGACGGCCGGACCGAGGCCGTAGCATGCCCAGAGGAGGCGATGCTCGTGTTTGACACCGAAGTCTTGTGGAAAGAAAGCCCATTTGCGGTCATGGCCTGTGCCGCAAGCCCGACGGCTTGGTATGCCTGGCTGTCGCCATGGCTGCTGGGAGAGTCGGACAACGACTGCCAGCTGATTCCGCTGGGCGACCCGGCTGCAGACCGGATTGTCGTCGGCCACAACATCGGCTACGACCGTGCCCGGGTCCTGGAGGAATACGACCTGCGACAGTCCCGCAACGCCTTTCTGGACACCATGTCCCTGCATGTTGCCGTCAATGGCATGTGTTCGCAGCAACGGCCGACGTGGATGAAGCACAAGAAGAACCGCGAGCTGCGCGATCGCGTCGCCCAGGACACTGACAACTTTGAGCTGTCACAGCTGCTGCAGAACAGTGCGCTGACGGCCGAGGAGGAGGAGTTATGGGTCGGCCGAAGCTCTGTCAATTCGCTGCGTGATGTCGCCAAATTCCACCTCGACGTCGCCATCGACAAGTCCGTTCGGGATGAGTTTGGCGTGCTGGACCGGACTGGGGTCCTCGACAAGCTCGATTCCCTGCTGTACTACTGTGCTGCTGACGTCGCCGTGACGCACCGCGTCTTTCAGATCGTCTTTCCCAACTTCCTCGACGTGTGCCCTCACCCGGTCAGTTTTGCTGCCCTTCGCCATCTCTCGTCCGTCATCCTCCCCGTGAACAAATCTTGGGAAACGTACATTGCGAATGCCGAGGCCACGTACCTCCAGCTGTCTGATGCCGTTCAAGGCCGGCTAATTTCTCTGGCAAATGAGGCGCTTGAGATCCTAGACGACCAGGACAAATGGAGCCAAGACCCTTGGATGCAGCAGTTGGATTGGTCCGTACAGCCCGTCAGGATGGTGAAGGGCAAGCGGAAGGGGGAAGCCGATCGCCCTGCCCTTAACCAGAAGATGCCCGGAAAGCCAACGTGGTACAAAGGCCTCTTTCCCTCGGCAAACGCGGAAATAAATTTGACCGTTCGGACACGCATTGCCCCGATCCTTCTGCGCCTATCCTGGGACGGACGCCCGCTCGTCTGGTCTGACAAGCATGGTTGGACATTCCGGGTCCCGGTGAGCGAAGCAGTGCACTACGACCAGAAGCAGATGGCCCGGTGCGACATGGAAGACGAAAAGATTGAGCTGCTCAAGAATGACGTTCACCATGTCTACTTCAAATTGCCCCACAAAGACGGGCCCACAGCACGATGTGTCAATCCCATGGCCAAGAGCTACCTGTCATACTTCGAACAGGGCCTTCTCTCGTCCGAGTTCGCCTACGCTAAGGAAGCGCTGGAGATGAACGCCTCGTGTTCTTACTGGATGAGCGCCCGTGATCGCATCAAGTCGCAGCTGGTTGTTTACAACGGACAGCTGTCGGAAGCAAGCGAGGAAAGCAAGGCCGACGATGATGAGTCAGCAGTGCGGGACCAAGGATTTATCTTGCCGCAGGTCATTCCCATGGGCACAGTAACACGTCGTGCTGTGGAAAATACATGGCTGACAGCCAGCAATGCGAAGAAGAACCGGGTTGGCTCAGAGCTCAAGGCCATGGTGAAGGCACCGCCGGGCTACTCATTTGTCGGCGCCGATGTGGACTCGGAAGAGCTGTGGATCGCCTCTGTCGTTGGCGATGCCACCTTTGGTCTGCACGGCGGCAACGCCATCGGATTCATGACGCTAGAGGGAACCAAGGCTGCCGGGACAGATCTGCACTCCCGCACAGCCAGCATTCTTGGCATCACGCGCAACGACGCCAAGGTGTTCAACTACGGGCGGATCTATGGAGCAGGTCTCCGCTTTGCGGCGCAGCTTCTGCGCCAATTCAATCCGTCTCTGTCCGAGGCAGAGACCGTATCGATCGCGACAAAACTGTATCTGGCCACAAAGGGAACTCGCACAAACCGCAAGGCGCTGTGCAAGCGGCCATTCTGGCGCGGCGGCACCGAATCGTTTGTCTTCAACCGCCTGGAGGAGTTTGCCGAGCAGGAACGCCCGCGGACTCCTGTTCTGGGTGCAGGCATCACGGAGGCGTTGATGGGCCGCTTCATCAGCAAAGGTGGCTACCTGACATCGCGCATCAACTGGGCCATCCAATCGTCCGGCCAGGACTACCTCCATCTCCTGATCGTGGCCATGGACTACCTGATCCGGCGCTTTAAAATTGACGCTCGTCTGGCCATTACTGTGCACGACGAGATTCGCTATCTGGTAGGCAACCACGACAAATACCGCACTGCCATGGCCCTCCAGGTGGCCAACGTTTGGACGCGTGCGATGTTTTCCGAGCAGGTGGGCATCCGCGACCTGCCGCAGTCGTGTGCCTTCTTCTCGGCGGTTGATATCGATCACGTCCTGCGCAAAGAGGTCGACATGGACTGCGTAACGCCCAGCCACAAGGAGAAAATCCCGCACGGCGAGAGCATCGACCTGCCGACCTTACTCGCGCATGGTGACAAGGCCCGGCTGGATCCAGACATTGAACCGGCAGCTGGCCGCGCGCCCAAGCTCCACCACTTTCCGTACACGCCGCGCAAGCCGGTCATGGAGTCGCTGCGTGAACTCGACGGTGGTGCCGATCATCTGGCCTTTATCCGTGCACAGATCACCGCAGATGACAAGGAGTTGAAGGAAATTATGACGTCGACGCGGAAGCCGGTTTCGACAGCCTCGCCATCGGCAGCCAAGACCTCGCCGACAACGCGACGCCCACGGAAGCCCATCCTTCCCTATCACACCAGCGCTCACCTGATACCGATGGGAGAGTCGGTGGCCGTGACGGAGTCTTTCGCCCGCAGTCGTTCCGGACGCCGAGCATCGGGCCATAGTTACTCTCAGGTAGTCGACAGCAGCGCTGATTTCGACCAATTTTGGGCTGCTGCGGGTGACAGCGGTCACAGTGGCAGGTTTGGCGGAAAACCCGGCAGTGGTACCTCGTCACGGCTGTAGCGTTGCAGAGAAAAAATGACGGTGTATGGCGTTTACGTTGTATGTACTATTTCGGCACGGCATGTATAATATGTATTCTCCTAGTCTTGGATACCCTCATGATTCATGGGATAGGAAATGGGGGATTGCAAAGTCGGCGGTTAGGACCAGGGTGTTTAAATTATATAAACCATAAATAATCCAGACTCTTCAAGCACAATGCTACTTCTCTGGTGTGCCGAAAGAATGGGTAGCTGGATCTGCTACTGTATGGCCATAAAGTTTTTAGGCTGCTCTAATTAAATTCGCTGCTATCAAGGGAAATGAGGCAATCGCTCTAGACTCGACAAGACAATTGGATCGCTACATATGCTATGCCAAGCGAAGACGAATAAGCACGGATTTTGTGTGGCAGCGGCGGTAAACATTATTCCAAGCAGCTCCTTCCTAGACAAGCGAACTTGCAGCGTTTGTTCTTACTGCATCTGTATGGAACTTCCCGTACATAGGACTTTTGTTGTCCCCGATCAGTAAACATATCCTCCGAGCTTATACAATCCTGCTGTTTTCCTACGCTCTTCTGCGTGACGGTGCAACAATTTCTCTGGACGTTCTATAAACACTGTCTTTAGTCTGGATATCACCATTTCAGCGAGGTACAAAAACAAAAGGCACGGCTGAGACACGATAACTTCGCCCATTGCGACGTATATACGGAGTACATTCGGTGTGGAAATAGGACAGGCTGCGATTGCCAGGTGTCGTGCCTGCGGGTATTGTCGATCAAAAAAGAAAAGAAGCTAAGACAGCAATATTAGTTTTTTATAACCGACATGGGAGTGCTGTGCTGTTGGCCCAGACATGTTTGTTGCTGTTGGCTACTAGCTCACGTTGTCTTGAGCGGTCCGAAGAGCAGAGGAGAGGAAACGAGCACGACACGACGTGACAGCAAAAAAAAAAAAAAAAAAAAAGAAACCAAACAGCAGCAAGGTGGACGAACGCAAGACCTCTCACTTCTTCTTCTGCCAGCCTACTCCCCCAACTGCGATAAAATCCGAGTTGCAGCGGCTATCTGCATCTACACAACAATACTAAACACCCCGATCCGCCTCGTAGAGGAGAGGATGCAACCCGTCTATCCACCTCGAGCTTTCCTCCTATGGCGGCCAAGAAGCTAGGCCGGCTGGGGCAACTTCATTCCAGTAGGCCCTTGCCCGCGACGATGGCAAAGCGGTCGATATGCTGAAAAAAGCGTTTCCTTTGCATTGCAGATCAGTCGTTGTAAGGCACGCGGCTACAGAGTCGGCAAACCGGCTGCCTCTGACTTCATCTGCAGCTGTTCAGAGCCAATGAAGATGCAGAAGCTCGGAAAATAAGGAGGCCTATTCAGGATCACACCGTGTGTCTTACCCACCCCTGTCCAGCTGAAGTGAGAGTCGCTGTGGGAGATGCAGCTAGTCGGAAAGCCATGCATTTCTCATTCCCTTTGCTCTGGCCCAGTCTAAAGGCCCAACGAGATCTGTTTGTGTTCACACCTTCCACGGAAGCTACACGGGGACGTTTCTCGAAATAGAAGAGGCAGGTGGATAATGGCGAGGGAACGTTCGGTTGCGCCAATGGCAGCCGGTCTCGGTGCACAACCTAATCACGTCATTCGCCAGGCAGTCAATGCTTCTACGCAACGAACGCCTTTTACTGGCTACAGAGTACGGAAACTCATCTGCGCAGATCCCGCCCAAACGCTAGCACCAGAGCTAGGCAATAGAGGGGCTTCTGCGGCTTTTCCTCCACCTTTTGTAACGGTCGGCAGTTCTGGGCCGTCGAGGCCGGACGCATCGCAAAGCGCCAGACAGCGCCAGGGCTCCGTTGATATCTCGCCTGGGAGAAAGGAATGTGCCGGGAGAAAAAATGCCTGCATGGCTCTGCAGCTCTGTATTGGACGCCACGGCCGCCTTTGCCCGAGGATCTGGCAGACGCGTCAGCGGCTTATCACGGACTAACAACTATATTCTTTGATTGCTGGGGGAGAACGAGGCGTCTAATTTCTGGTCCTGGCCCAACCCACACCCTTGTCGTTCGAAAGGGCACGTTGCCTAGCGGGTGACAAACGCCAGAAAATGGAAAATTGAGAAACGACAAGAACGCAAGCCAAAGGCCGGGGCCAAATTGCATCGGATGCGAGACCAAAGGGCCAACATCCAACAAGGCCACTTGTGTGCTAGAAATCGCCTATAAGTGCCGCTGCTTTCTGGCCTTCCGTGTACATCTGCCGCCCCTTCTCCCTTTTCAAGAAAACTGTACCACCACTAGCATGGTTTTCGTGACAGGAACAAGCTTCCCGAGTTGCTACATCAAATTAGGCTTGCGCCCGCTGGCCCGCCTTATTAGGGGCTGTTATTAGCGGGCTGCTTCTTGCGAGCTCTGTTTTCCAGCCAGAAATACGAAACGACGTAACAAACTCAGCAGACAACTAAACTCGCAGGGAACGATCAAGAGCGGTCAACACAGCCTGACGGCACAACTCTGATCGACACGCTGCTTGCAGACTTGGCGAGGTCCCGTGCGAGATCTGCGCGGCCATCAGCGGAATAAGCGCCATCCCTCTCGTTGTGTCTAGTCTCCACGGACTACACCCATGCCCCACGGAGCAGTTCCACACTAGAGCAGCACTCTGTACCCACGACGTACGAGTACCACCTGCGCAACTTTGGCCGCGGAGAGTGGGAAGTCAGCTACTAATTCCAGGCAAACGACGACTTTACGACATTTTCATCCCTTTTTCCGTATTTGCCTCTCATATTTTACATACCGCCTCGCATCCCCTCCTCCTGTCTGCAAACCACCTTCCAGACAGAGAAGGACCGAGGATATCAGATACGATGAACACACTACAGACGGACGGCATGATCGGCGTGCATGCCGGTGAGGCTGTCACATCTGTGCCCATTCTCGATAACACTATGCCCGTCCTTTGTGACCCTGGAGCTGTGCCGCTCTCGAGCGACGCTTCGCTGGAGAGGCCAAACTATGACGAAACCGAGCCGCTGCCAAAAAAGAGCCCGAGTGAAACCTCGGCGATGACAGCCAACAGCCAAGCGCTGCCATTGGCACCTTTTTCGACCGTATCGACCGCTTGCCTTGGTTGTGTAAGTTCTTTTCTGCCATCTGGCCTGCTTTTTGCTATTTCGCTTCGTGCCAGCTCTCTCTGCTTTGTGTTGTCGCGACTTCGTCGACGCCCGGCCCCCGCCTGGCTTGGCCATGCTAACAGAATATCTTGCAGCGAGGAAAACATCTGAAATGCGACGGCCGCGTGCCCTGCTCGCGATGCCAGCTTGCGGATATCGATTGCGTCTACATAGCCTCCCGCCGTGGCTACAAGGGCCCGCGAAAGCCGAACAAGCGTCTCCGATCGTCGTCTTCGTCTCCGCCACCGCCATCTGTGGTGCAGTCCAGCGTTACGGTCACGCCCGACAGCTGCCCAATGCTGCTGGGTGCTCCTCGCGCCGTGGTGTCGACAGTGGCGCCTCTGCCGGGGTCGATGGCCGTACCCATGACCGTACCCATGACCGTGCCGACCACATCGTATGCGTTGCCCAGAGTTGTCTCCGACCATGCGATGACGACCTTTGGCTCCATGCCGCCGGGCTACACCACAGCGTCCACACTTGCTGGGCCAGGCATGGCCATGGTTGCTTCCACCCCCGCCCCACTGGGGACCGCTCCGGCAGCAATGTCGCACATGAACCTATACAGGAACCCCTTTTCCAACGGCCTGGACGGCGCCAACTATGACGTCGGAGGAAATATGGCCCTCTCGTTTGCAGCACCTCCGGTTCGCTCGCTTGATGACCGTTGCTTCGATGCGTTTTACCACTTCTTCTTTGGCGGCCATCCGTTTGTGTTGCCCAAAGGGATGATGATGACGGTCGTGAGGGAAAACACATCGAATATGGCTCATCTGATTGCAGCCATGCGATACATCGGGTCGCTTTACATTGATGCCGGACCGGCACGCGCGCGGTTCTTCGACGAGGCCATCCGTCTGGCGTATCTTTCGACATGTCCCCAGGATGGCTTCTTGGTGCAGACTTTGCTCATGCTGATTGTCGGACTGGACGGCAACTGCGAGCAGGAGCGGGCGCGCCAGCTCCTCGCTGACTGCGAGCGGATCGCGGTGGACATCAAACTGAATCACCGCAGCTTCGCCTCTACCAACGGTCGAGGGAACCCGGTCCTTGAAGAGAGCTGGCGGCGGACCTGGTGGGATCTATTCGTGGTGGACGGCATGGTGGCCGGCGTCCACCGGATGACCAACTTCAATTTGTTCGATATTCCTACGGACGTTGCGCTTCCATGCGAAGAGGAGCAGTATCTCTCGGGGGTAAGTGTAGATTGGCCGTTATGTATTGCAACGTGACGGAAGATCGGGGCTGATCGCTCTTTTGAAGAACATCCCGACGCCGGCTTATATCGAAGACTTTGACGACCAGATCTTTACTGGCGAAGACCGCGAGTTCTCATCGTTTGCATACCGGATCGCAGCGGGACGCATCCTCGGTCGGTTCATGCGATGTTCGCCAATCCATTATGCGCATGACGAGAACTTGGAAAAGATCCAATCGCTCCTTAGCAACTGGCGGATGCACTTGCCGGCCAGCAAGCGAGACAACCTGACTAAGACGTGCCAGCTGGACGAGATGATGTTCCAGGCGCATTTCATGACGCATGCGTAAGTGTCGGAGCAAGCATAAGGAGAAGGAGACGGAGATGCAAGGTGGTGTTGACTAACATGGCCCGACAGCTGTTCCATCATGCTGCACCAGCCGCACTCGCAGCTGGACTCGTCGCCGACACGCAGCGTCACGTCGTGTGCGCCGCACAGCCATGTCCCAAGCGGGGATGCATTCAACACGCACACAAAGCACACCATCACAGCGGCATGCGAGATCAGCAAGATGGTGACGCAGGCAGTGCCGCTGCTATCGCATACACACTTCTTCACGTGTGTGATCACGCTGTCGTCGATTGTGCATCTGAGCAAGTGGGCGCTATATTTTATCCAGGACGAGGAGGACCTGCGGCAGCAGATCCGGCTCAATATCGGGGCACTCAGCAAGCTCAGCGAGGTGTGGAGGGCGGCCAACACGGCGGGGGGACAGGTCAAGGGCGTGGCCCAGGAGATCTACCGGGCGAAGAAGGCGCAACAGATCAACCCGGCCTTCTGGGTGGGCTTCACGCAGGAAGAGATGATTAGCAGCATCAACGCAGACGAGAGCATCATGAGCGAGTTCGACAATATGCTGCCGGTGGCGACGCAGTGACGGGCAAGCAAAAGTTCCGTCTGACCATTGAGCCGGCATAGTCCATAGACAAGGAGCGAAGATGAGACAGGCAGCAATGACAATGCTGGGAGAAAAGCAAAGCAAAAAAAAGGTGTCTGAGGGTGTCTGAGGACTGACGGCCGAAGGCAAATTGCTCATGTTGGAAGAACCCATGATCTATTTATATATTTCCCATTCTTTCTAGACGGCCTGGTATATGAATTGGCAGTGCCAAGGGGTTCAGAAAGCGTTTACTCTGTACCCGTACCCATACCATTTGAACTGGAAGCTCCATAATAGTGTTGTAAGCAACCTAGACGTCGGCGACCACTCTTCAGGACGACTGGCGCTGCCCCTCTGGCGGGCTCCAGTATTGGCCAGGGGAGGAGCTAGGCCCGATTTTCAGTGGTTACATAGTAGGGCGCCGTAGAGCAGGGTGGGCCTATGGGTCTGTAGTGGCTCTCGGCGACTGACGGGACGGATTCGCTACCCAATGTGCTGCTGTCAGCGTTTCCAGTGGGCTGTCAAGCAGTGAAATGAGGCATAGCGCAGGCGGCATGCAGCGGACCGGCCGAAGAGACGGTGACTGTGAGAGTTGAAGAGGTCGGCGAGGACGATGGGACATGGGTATGCATACGTTGAGGGTCTACTCCGTAAGGGTCGAAGCATTCTGCATGGAGTATGGAGTATGGTGAGATAGGAGGATATGGAGCACGGAATACACGGTATTGAACAGTCCTGATAATGCTACTTGAGACAGCCTACAAAGTAAGATACATAGCAGACGGGCAAGCGGCCACGAACGGCATACAAGATTTGCATAGCTCGGCTTCGGGCCCTAGTCTCGGCCGATGTGCTTTATGTGCTGGTGGAAGAAGACGTCGATCGCCTCGGCTACCTCGGACTCGTTTGTCTCGAGGGCAAAGTAGCCTCTATCAAGCCGGCGGCACCTGCGGGCTGCTAGAAGCGTGGGTAGAGCGGCAGGTTGGAGCCGTAGTCGAGGAAGGGTCGAGCTGGTGGCCTTAACTGCCAGGGCGGTCGAGCAGGGCCTGGTCGAGGAGGTCAGTTTCGGAGGAGATGGTTTGGGGGCTGGCGTTCTTGTTGGCTCCGGCTTGACCGTAGTTGACGCGCACGTCGTCGACCTGGATGTAGTCGAAGTCTGTGATGCGAATAGACATGGTCCAAACGTGTGGTTAGCAGAGAGAGGTTCTAGAGTACTGCAAAGCTCTGCTCTCTCGTTCTGATATTCTGGTTTCTCTTTCTCTTCGTCTTGTGAAGCAGCGTCACCGCCGTTATTAACCCTACCGACAGTCCAAGGATGCTCATATTGCCTGCCTTTGTAAACGTTGTCGACCAAAGTACGTTGTGATCTGTCATCGCCTCACGAAAAGTTCCAAATCGGGAAAAGATGGAAAAACTGTGATCGCAACCACTTGTCTGAGTCAAACTGTGCATCATGCTGTGCGATTGGATAATCATTCTATCTGGCCACGGCGACCCTTTGTGTCGGCAGCGCTGGCCGTTGCAGTACAGAGATGGGCACGTGATCGAGGGTATTTATGTGTTTTACACTATGTATGTACAGATGTCGTTGTGCTCTTGGCAAGCCTGCGTTTGTTCATTGGGTCATGAGGCCGACCGTTCTCTTTTCCTTTCCCGTTTAGCTGAACTGGACGTCTTCCTGGACTTTGGTCTTCTTGTGGCTGCGTCCTCGTGGCGGTGTCCGTCTCAGCTTCCATCCCCTCATGCCACGCTGCAGAGCACGAGCCCGCCAATCTTCTTTTCCAGCGCTTCGCGCACCTCCAGCACGCCCCGGTCCGTGCTCACAAAGAGGCACTCGCCCAGGTTGAGGCCCTTGATCGGCCCCGACGGGAACCCGCGTGCCACGCGCTCAAGGTCCGCTAGCGGCAGCGTCACCATGCGCTTTGGCGTCGAGTACGCCCGTAGCCGGCTCATCACCGGCTCGTTGTTCCAGTACTTGAGCCCGAGCCAGAGCCGCCGCGTGGCCACGGTGGCCGACGTGACCGGCTCATCAACGTGTGCGCCCGTCATCAGCTCCTCGGGTGCCGGCGGCGTGGGGCCAGCCCGCGTCACCGACGCGATAAACCCGGCGCGGTGCAGTGCCAGGGCAAACCGCAGGTTGTACTTGTTGTTCGGCACAGACGTCAGCCCGAGGCGGGCCTTGCTTGCGTTCTGCAGGTGCGAGCACGTGTTGGCGATGTGGAGGACGCCCATGGTGGCGATGGGTCGGTAACGAAGAAGGGAACAAGGCCTTTGAACAGGGAAAAGAGAGAACAGGGAGCGACAATCTTCTCGCCGGTGTGACGTTCGCCAGCAATGTTCGGCTGCGTGCTCGGAGTCGTGATGCTGCGGATGATCCCCGCTTGGCTGAGCCGGTCGTCAAAAAATGCGAGATGCTAAAAAATTCGATAGCGAAATGGTGAGGTGGTCCGTGCTTCTGTGGATGGATAGGGCCACCCCTCTACGGAGTAGTTTGTCTGCCAGCAACGAGGTGTAGTAGTTCGATACTCCGTAGGATATCGTGTTTCTTTACAATGGAACAACAGTACTCGGAGTACATGTACAGAGTATGATAGGAAGATAACGTGAGATACGAACAAGATATAATCACCTCCAAGGACCGGCATCGCAGGCACTTTATGCTAGCCAATCAGACACAGCAGTTCCTCCGACTTCTGGGACACCCACAATTCGCACCACCATTGCCTGCCGCCATTGGCCCGTTGTTCGTGCTTTCCGACCTGTAAGCGCCGACGTTTTGGCCAGGGACATGCTCCCAGCTATCAGCAAATCGAAATGCTCGCCATTGTGACGAGAGAGGGGTGCTTGTTAGCATGCTCGTCCGGGGTGGCTGCCGGTGCTGTGGTGAACTGACGATGGGAAAGAGCCAATTTTCTGTGCGCCGTCGCACTTTCCGTCTGCTTTTTCTTTCATTTTGCCTTTTCTTGTCGTCCGAATGAGTTTCTGTCTCTTGACACACTCGACTCCCTCAACTCTCTTCTCTGGGGGCCTTCTCTCAACATTTGCTGGAACAAGTCCTTCCCTTCTCCCTCTCCCCACCAGTTGCCATGGCTGTGAGGCCGGGCGAAGAGAACGTCGCGACGCTGTACGGTCATATACCGCTCCGTTTCCTGTGCAGCAGCAGCTGACTTCTAATCCAGCTTTGGCGACATCCACTACTTTTACGGCCCCGAAACCGACAACCCACCACACCACCGCTTTGACAAGGGCTCCTATGTCTACCTCTTCGAGAACGCCGTCGAGGGTCGCACGCGCATCGAGGTTGCCAACCGGCCGGGCACCGAGCTCCAGGACGCCTTTGATGGATGTAAGCACCATACAGAACCATTTTACGGCCTTGTTTCTTACTTTCTCGCCGCTTACAACCACAGATCTCGACTGCACGGCCGTCAGCTACTCCTACAGACACAGCTGTATGGTCTCTCTGACCGTGCATGACGTGCCCAATCAGGAAGAATGGCACCTGCCCACATACGACCCCCAGAACCAGAACATCTACCACTACAAGCTGCACAGCCTGGACATCTACTTTTGGACCCCACGCGACGCCCTCCAGTTTGTCAATGGCGTCCGCCGTCTGCTGCCTGCCAGCCAGCTGGACATTGAGGACGAGCCGCTGCCACCCCCGCCGCCACCATTGCAGCAACAGCAGCAGCACTACGGAGCCGTGCCTCTGGACGTGAGCGTGTCGCCGGTGGTGCAGAAGCTCGAGAGTGTGGCTCTCTCGGAAGGCAGTGTCGCGACAGCTGCGCCGGCAGCAGCAGCGATGTCCTCTTTTGCGGCCCCACCGCTGTCAGCCATCTCTGCAGACTCGGGTGGCAGCCGTCCCTCGCAGGGCAGCACGCCAGCACCAGCACCAGCACCAGCATTCGTGCCTATGGCCTACAATCCAGCTGCACCAGCTGCACCTGAGACGATCCGACCGCGTGAAAAGACGCCACCGCCCGAAGACGCCGTTCCACACAACCCGCTGCACCAGACGCTCGTGCAGGACGCTTCGACGCCCTTCAGCCCGGGACTCGTCGTGCCCATGGGCCTCGGCCCGCTCAGTCCCGGCGTGCCTCCACCAGCCTTTGCCGCACCACCTGGCGCTCCGGCCTTTCCGGCCTTTCCAGGTCCCCCTCCCAACTTTTCTCCCGGCTCGACACCTGTCACGGCTGCTGCTGGGGCCGGAACTCCCCACCCTGGCCACCCCGGCCTCGTGCGCGCGGGTACTATGCCGGCCTCGCCCTTTAGCCCCAATGGCTTTCCTGGAGGCCCTTCTTTCGCGGCGCCGACGACGACGAACCAGTACCAACACACACCGACGCCGCCACCTGGCTCGGCCGCAGCCCTCGGCGGTTACAGCCAATACAGCTATAGCACATCGTCGACGACGCTGCCGGCAGCAGGCGAATACTCGGTCCACCACCAGCTGTACCAGCCAACCGGAGGGGAGGCAGTTTCGCACCAGCCAAAGCAAGATCCGCGTGGCCGCTTCGAGGAGAATGCCGGGCGGATCGAGCGCGGCGTGTCAGGCATGTTGAAGAAATTGGAAAAGAAGTTTGCTTAGGAGGTCGGGAAAGCGGAGAACGATTTATTAGCGAAGCGAAGCGAAGCAGCGTCTGATACTTGTCGTATTTTTGTGTTTCTTAATTTCCCGATTGTCGAATGTCAATGCAGCCCCAGAGGGCACACTTCGTGATCAGCGTCCGGCAATCAGCGCCACTGTTGATTACATGCATACCATACGGAGCACTCCGTTCATCCCCTTTCATACTCGGCTCTGGGATCTGGTTGTGATCCCGGTCAGCCCTACCATCATTGTGCAAGTGAATCTGACTTCGTAATCATTGTGGCGGTGGTGTGGCCAGGTTGCTGCACAGCCCCCTTTTGGAGGGTTTCTAGCCTCAAACGCCAGTATTAATGTTGCTGTCGTCAATGTGCCCTTCCCAATGTAGGAGTACTCCCTACCCCATACTGCATCCTGACGGATGCTCATTTCTCCATCTCCTTTAGATTTCCCCCTCGCCCTGCCTATCCGCTTACAAAAATGCCAGCTCCCTCTCCCTCCGTTCCTTCCTTATCTCGTGCTGTGTCCAGCTCGCCATCTCGCCCAATCCGGAAAGCGCATCTGCTTCTAGCGCCTACAAGTACCAGGTACATGCTGCCTAGCTCTGTCACCTCCAGCTCTGGGCGTCCAACCTCTCGAAATACTGACGACAGCCACTCAGCCTCTCACACCACTCGCGTACCTCGTACATTTTCCCGCATTGAGCCGTTACTTCCTCCCCCTCTCCATATCTCACTTGCCCACGACTACAAAGCAGCCGGCGCTTCCTTTTCGTCTTGCTGGATCAGTCTGATTTTGTTTTCCGTTTCTCGCCGTCTGATTTGTCTCTCCCATTTCTCCGCCCCCATTCTCGATTTGCTACCTGAGAGGCAAAAGTGCGCTTTTAATCTACCGTGCTCGTGAGCTTCAATCTGGTCTAGACTGGCCTGCTGCCACGGCAACCGAAGAAGCCCTGTCGAGCCCATCCAGAATCGGCTGCAGCCTGAAGTGACGAATCTTTCTGCTTCTGTCTCCCCCGCGTCTATTGATCGGACACACAACGACAGCGAGGAAAAGCCTAGATTGATGGTTCCTGCTACCATGCACGGCCGCCAACTGGCATCTACCGTCGTCATCGACTAAAACCCCGTGTGCTTTCCCAACTCTATCGATCCTACAAGTCCCCTTCGGCCTTCTCTTGTCACACTCGACGTTCCCGAACCTGCATGCCGATCGCACATGCTACAGAATGTACATTCGCAAGGACATGTCCGGCAGTGCGCCGCTTAACTTTCGGGTGGCGAGAGCCATACGGGAGATCCAGCCGCCTGACAAGGAAGATCCTCAACCCAGCAAAAATCACTCGGTCGGCATTGTAAGCAACATCACAGCCACCTCTTGACCAATGCTGACGTTCCTTGACCGAAACAGATTCTTGGCTGCATCTTTGCTAGCTGCGTCGTCGCCGGCTTCCTGGTCATAGGATATCTACGCTGGCGACGACTGCGGAAGCCGCAGTATGCACTCTCTGGCCGCGATGACAATGACCACAGTGCTACGGCCATACCTGCTGTGACGACACAGACCACCACCGTTCAGACGCCGGCCGCGACAGTCGACCGGAATACGAGCGTACGGTCGGTCATGACTTTGCCGCCCTACCGCCCTAAAGCGTCCGATAACGAGCACGTTTTGGGCCGCGAGGGCGAGCGCGGAGGCATCGACGTCGTCTTGGAGCTGCCGACGGCCGAAGAGGAGGAGTCTCTGCGTGAGGAGGAAATGGACACACTATTCCAGATCCGCCAGGCCCGACGCCGTCAGGCAGCCGAACGGGAAGAGCGCCGACGAGCACGACAGGAAGCACGCGACCGGAACGACCGGGCAGCCCTCCAGAGTATCCGGCAACAGACACAGCTGGCGACGACAAACAATTCTAGTGAGATCGACACGCTGCGTGCCGAGCTTGAGCGTTCCCGGGACATACGGACTCGTGCGGTCAGCAAGGTGAATTACGCCGATGTGGGCGTGGCACGCCACGACGGCACGCGCATTCGGGCCAACAGCTCGGAGAGCGAACGTGTCGGCCTGCTCAGCGACGCGGCCAGCATCGGTGCGTCTAACCGTTCGTCGGGCCTGCAGCAGAGCCTCCCTGCGACGCAACCTCATCACCGTGATCACAGCGCCAGTTCTGTGATCAGCCTCGACACCACGCACAGCGACGGTGTGCAATCCCATGGGCCTCCTTCGGCACGATCGCGCACGAGCTCCATCGGCCAGCATACGCGGGCTGGGTCGAGCCCGGAGCTTATTGACGCTGCCGAGGCCGATATGGGCGACAGTTACATGCCATCGCACTCTCCGCCTGGCTATGACGAGGTTTCCCTCAACGACCTCACACCCGCCCACTCTCGCTCTACGAGCCCGTATCCCGAGCCGCCACCAGACTATACTCCGAGCACGATAAGCGGTCAAAACCCAGGGACCGTTGCTGCCGAGTCTTCTGGGGCGGCTGCCCGCACAACAGAACCAGAGTCCTCGGGGAGCATCAGCAGAAGCGGCAGTGACAGAGATTCGAGAAGCGCCGCTATTGCACGGCTGCCAAGTTTACGTCTGCCCGAGCTTCCACAAATTGTTATTGAACCGTCGAGTGCGGTGACGAGAGACGACAGCGAGCGGTGATTGCCTGACAGCCATCTCCGACGGATATCGCCCGACCTGCGGGCAAACATAAAATGAGAGACGATGATGATTGTTTCGTTTTCAATTTCCCTCTCCTTTCTCCTTTGGATACTTGGATCAGCTGGTTTAGTATGGCGTTTGGCTTGCAAGACGTACATTGATTTATTCTTTGGAGACATTTGCCTTGCATTTTTCCTTCTTGCCGTGTTCCTGCATTCGAAGCGACGATCATTTGTAGCCTTACAGAAAATGTGTATATAGCCATGATTAATACCGAGACCTGAGACATATTGTTACTGCGTGCGCACATGTTTCGAGGGCCAACTTGTGTAAGCGTCTATTACTAAATTAGGCGGGGTTGATCGCTTAGGTTTTTCTTATTTTTGCTCTCCATTACACACAGTGCAGGCTAACTCTACGAGCGTTGTCAGCGCTGGCCAGACGATGCATCAACGTCCGCCGGTCGACCTGTACGACAGAGACGACCTCTTGCCTGCAAACATGGGGCAGCCGGCGGCGGGAGGAGGAGGATATCACGGGACCGAGGAGGAGATGAGCGCGGCAGAGCAGAATGGCATCGACCTGCTGGACGATGTGTTTGGATCGGGGGAAGCGGAGGAGGCCGAGAGGGTCAGAACGGCGACAGCAGCCACGGACCATCCGTCGGACATGACGCGGCTGCAGCAGGAGCACTCGACGGCAGGCTACCGCGACGGTGTGACGGCGGGCAAAGAGGCGAGCTCGCAGGGCGGCTTTGACGAGGGCTACTCGCTGGGCGCGGCACTGGGGCTGGCAGCCGGGGAGCTGCTGGGGCTTCTGGAGGGGATGGCAGGAGGAGTGGTGGGGGCAGCGGCGACGGCTGAAGCTGCCACGGAGGACGAGTGTGTGTGCCTGTTGGCTAGAGCGCGAGAAGAGCTGAAGCTGCAGTCCATCTACGGGTCGGCCTACTTTGCGCCGGACGGGACCTGGACATACGAGTTGACTGCGACTGAGAAAGAGGCGACTGTCTTTGATGTGGCACGCGCTCACCCGCTGGTCCGCAGGTGGCGGCAGCTCGTGGACGCGCAGGCCGAGCAGCTGGGCGTCGTGCTGGGCGACGACGATGCGGCCGTGAAGGCGGCGCTGGGACTCGGCGACGAGGACGAGGACGAGGGGAACGAAGAGGATGAGGGAACGACTGTGGCAACGGCAACGGCAACGGCAACGGCAACGGCAACGGCAACGGCAGTGGCAGTGGCAGTGGCAGTGGCACCGCGCAACGTGCCGGCCTCGAACTCGTCGCTGGACTGGTGAGAGCTCTAGCCTGGAGTGGCAGACCAACCGACTTGGATCAAAGACAGATAGGCCTTCTCGGGGATTCAGACACTGGCTATTATCACTCGGGTTGATAGCAACAACCCGTTAGGCCGCTGCTAGCACGTGCTTGAGCATGGCAAAGGAAGTGCAATCTCATACAGCAGGTGCGAGCATGCCAAGGCCCACAATTGCAGGCTTGCAAGTCCCGTGTCGTCACTAGACGAAAACAGCAAGTGCGAACTACACAGTAGCAGTATCACAGACAAGATAATAATCTCTGTCGCCTCCATCTCTCTCCCTTAACACTGTCGATTGTGCCTGTATCTTCGTTCGCACAGTCGAATATCTCTCCGGCATCAATCCGGGCGTTCATTGGGCTTCGCCCCGGCATCTACCGGGCAGACCGATCGCAGCGAATAGGTCGCTTACTAAGATAAAGTCGCATTCCAGTGTTAACGAGATCTGCGAACAACGACTGGTCGATTTTTACCGCACTTGGATCCGCATGAGGCCAGCGTTGCAGAGACTGAGGACAGACCACCGCGACAGACGCACTCTCACACACACACTGAGACATCCGTTGTGCCCGCAGCAATGCCCAGCGGGAACATGCCGGACACATCGAACCACAGCAGCGGGACAGATACGAACAGCAGGCCGATGAGCGGAAAACCACATTACGACCCCGTCAGCCGACAGGGCCGAGCAGCCAGTCTGGTGCTCGACGACGACGGGCATATTGCCTATCCGTCAGAAGTGCCACCGGCGGTAGAATCGCCTGCCGTTGGCGTCGACACAGCCAACGACTACTTTCTGTCGGAGATGGTGCTGCAGCGGACAGGGACGACGACAATGACGGGAATGACAGCAATGACGCAGTCTGAGCGGGCCTCCCAAGGACTCCCGCGCTCCGAGAGTGCTACGGTGCTGCACGACTTGGCCATGGAGAGAGAGCCGCGGCCGCCGTCGGCAGCGTCGGAGCGGGGCAGCAGCGAGTCGAGGCGGTCGCCGGGATTGGATCTGGGGCCGGTTGTGGCGCCACCCCGGCGCGCCCGCTTTCTGCGGTCGTCGACCATGCCGCTGCCGGCAAGGGGCCAGACGGACGAGTTTGTGCTCTTCCATGAGATGCGGCGGACGTCGACGATCAACTGGAATGCGGTCGACGATGACAGCGACCTCGAGGACGGGGCGACCGGGCCGTTCTTCTCGAGCGGCGGTGCCGGATTGATCAGACGCGGCCTGCACGAGCACATCAAGCAGCAGAACGAGCGAGAACAGAAGAGGCAGCAGAGCCAGGAGGATCAGCAGGGTCAGCACGAGCACGTGCACGGCCACGACCACGAACAGCAGGCCCAACCTCCCTTTTCCGGCGGGCAATTCTGGAGAAAGAGGGTGCTGCGAAAACCGGACTCGCATGAAGTGCAAGAGGACCCGGGCGGCGGACAGACCTTCCGCCGCGACGGGCGGCTCCCGATCTCGGTCAGGGACACGAGCCACACGGGTTACCTGGCCAAGGCAGTCGGGGCGGCAGTGCGCAAGATGACGGCGCGGGAGAATGGAGTGCTCAGCGACCTGGAAGGAGACGTGAGCACGGCGTCGACATTCGCTGCCGGCGATGGCAAAGCGACGGCAGCGATGTCGCCGGTGGAGCGGCTGCTGCTCCAGCGGGCGCGGCGGCCATGTCCGCGGCTGAACATTGTGATCATGGTGATCGGGTCCCGTGGCGACGCGCAGCCGTTCCTGAAGATCGGCAAGGTGCTAAAGGAGCAGTACGGGCACCGGGTGCGGATCGCGACACACCCGGCCTTCCGCGACTTCATCGAAAAGGACGCCGGGCTTGAGTTCTTCTCGGTGGGCGGCGACCCGGCGGAGCTGATGGCGTTCATGGTCAAGAACCCGGGCATGATCCCAAGCCTGGAATCGGTCAAAGCAGGCGACATTGGGCGACGGCGGGCGATGATGGCCGAGCTCTTTCAAGGCTTCTGGCGGGCGTGTGTGGAGGCTACAGACGACCCGACAGACATGCGCAACCGTAACAACATGGGCGAGCGTGAGCCGTTTGTGGCGGATGCGATCATTGCAAACCCGCCGAGCTTCGCGCACACGCACTGTGCGGAGGCGCTGGGGATCCCGCTGCACATGATGTTCACGTTCCCATATACGCCGACGCAAGCGTTCCCGCACCCGCTAGCCATCATCAAGCAGTCAGACGTGGACCTGGGCTACACTAACTTCATGTCGTACCTGTTGGTGGACATGATGGTGTGGCAAGGGCTGGGCGACCTGGTGAACGACCTGCGGGTGAAGACGCTGGGACTGGACCCGGTGTCGCGACTGTGGGCGCCGGGATCAGCGTACCGGATGCAGGTGCCGTTCACGTATCTGTGGAGCCCGGGACTGGTGCCGAAGCCGAGTGACTGGGGCCCGGAGATCGACATCTCTGGATTTGTGTTCCTGGAGCTGGCGGCGTCGTTTGCGCCGCCGCGCGAGCTGGAAGCGTTCTTGGCGGCGAGCCCGGAGCCGCCAGTGTACATCGGGTTCGGGTCGATCGTAGTGGACGACGCAGACCGGTTCACGGAGATGATTTTTGCAGCAGTCAAGCTGGCGGGCGTGCGGGCGCTCGTGTCCAAGGGCTGGGGTGGGCTGGGCGGCGGGCAGGGCGGCGCGGTGCCGGAAGACGTGTTCATGCTGGAGAACACGCCACACGATTGGCTGTTCCCACAGGTGCGGGCGTGCGTGATCCACGGAGGAGCGGGCACGACGGCGATCGCGCTCAAGTGCGGACTGCCGACGATGGTGGTGCCGTTCTTTGGCGACCAGTACTTCTGGGGCAGCATGATTGAGAAGTCGGGCGTGGGGCCGAAGCCGGTGCCGTACAAGCAGCTGACGGCCGAGCGGCTGGCCGAGGGGATCCGACAATGTCTCGGGGCGGAGGCACGACAGGCAGCACAAGCGGTAGCGGAGAGCATTGCGGCAGAGGGTGACGGGGCGCTGAACGCGTGCCGGTCATTCCACCGGACGCTGCGGCTGGAGGGTCTGAGCTCGATGCGGTGCGCCATCTTCCCGGACCGGATAGCGGTGTGGCAGAGCAGACGCGGCAACATGCGGCTCGGAGCAGCAGCAGTCGAGCTGCTGGTGCAGGAGGGCCAGCTGAGCTACGGTAAGCTGCGGCTGCTGCGCAACACGGAGTGGAACGACTTTGAGGGCCCGGGCGAGCCGATCTCAGCCATCTTCGGGGCGCTGGCCAAGAGCATCCAGGACGGGCTGCCGTTTGGGGCGGCAGAGGCACAGTGGCGGCGGAAGCGAGAAGAGCAGCGGGCCCGGAAGAGGGAGCGCAAGATGGCGAGGAATTCGGGGGGACGGGCCAGCGAAGTCGGTGACGAGGCCGTGGCACTGCTCTCGGCCATGGGCTACGGGGCGAGCAAGACGGCCAAGGCGCTGGTGCTGGCGCCGATCGAGCTCTGGTTTTCCATCTGCCAAGGCTTCCACAATGCACCGCGACTGTACGGCGACGACACGGTACGACAAACGCCACGGGTGACGGGCATCAAGAGCGGTTTGCGGGCGGCCGGCCGAGAGCTCGTGCTTGGTGTATACGACGGCGTGACGGGGCTGGTGTTGCTGCCGGTGCGACACACGCGCAACGGTGGCGGCATGCACGGCTTTGTCAGCGGACTTGGCATGGGCGTCATGGGGTTCTGTCTCAAGGGCATCGCAGCCGTGATTGGGCCGATTGGGTACGCGGTTAAGGGGCTGGCCCGCGAGATGGAGAAGACCGGTCGCTCGACTAAGGGCGTGCGTCGGGCCCGAATTGCCCAGGGACAGCGCGAGGTCCTGGCCATGGACGGCAAGACGAGGCGGCACCTGACCCAACAAGCAGTGGCCGGCTGGGAGACGATGCAGGCGCTGTACGAAGCCGTGCAGGGGGGAGGGAAGAAGTGGAAGAAAGGAGGGGGCGAATCGGGAAATGCCGAAGAAGGCCGAGGAAGAGAAGGTCGAGTAAGGGAAGATCGAGGAAAGGGCCACCACCGACACCCAAGTTTTCTGCCGAATCGCGCGCTAGACGCAGCCCTGGAGAGTGCGGATGTGGCAGCCGTGGCGCTGGCAGCAGTGCGGCGCGGTGAGACGCTGGAGAGCGTCATGGGTCGGCGGAGCTATGGACACGCGCACAACCATCACTACGAGCGACACCAGCACCGGAAGTCGCTGACGGCGGCGGACGGGGGGAGGCGATCGGAGGGAGACAAGCACAAGGCCAGGAAGGTTGGACAGGAGGCCGGACAGATGCCTCAGCAAACAGTGGAAATTCGACTAGACGGCGCAGCAATTTCAGAACCAGCGGACAGCACAGCCACGGATGTCGGAGAAGGAAGCAGCGCCGACAGCACCATTGCCAAGCACCCAGAAGTGGTACTGGCTCGAGAGGGGATCGTCCAAGGGGAGTAGATTTTGGCGGCAAAGAATTGTTTATTATACCTAACGTATGCTTTCTGTTTGCGTGTTTGCTGGGATGCTTGCTTTAGCTCGCTTGCTGGTTGATCTTACGTCATACAATCTGACTACTTACAAGGCGCTTTATTGTTTCGCTCGTACAAATGGCTATCTATTATTCAACATACAAAAAAAAGGGGTACAAGAGAAGGTTAAGCAAGCAGGAAGGCGTTCCTGCTGGGTCAGTGTACAAAAAAAAAGGTAAGTGTGGTGGTGGTGGTGTAGCTTGGTGTGGCTTGTTGTGGCTTGCTTGCAGCTGCACGTTTGCGGCTGCAAGCGTGTGGGTAGTGCTCTTCGCTTAGTCAGCGTACAGATCGAGCAGATCGTCCAAGGGGGAATCTTCTGGTGGTGAGTCTTCGAGCGCAACGTCGTCGAGGACCACCGCCTCATCTCACCGCTGCCCGGGCAATCCCGGCAGCGGCCGCGGGCCGACAATCTGTCGGCGTCCAGCCCCGATGCCCTGTGCCCCGCGGTTCTGGCTGTCGCCGCCGGTGAAGCCGCCCCACTGGCTGACGTCCCAGCGGCCGTCGATGCCGTCGACATTGTTGTTGTTGGAGCCGGTGCCGGTGCCGGTGGCCTGCTGGAGACCGGCAGCTGCCGCTGCCGTTGCCTGCTGAGCATCCTCCCATTCGCGCTGGCGCTGGCGTTCCAGCTCCATCTCGCGTTCCAGCAGCGACTGTCCCGGTTTCGTGACCGGCCTAGCGCCCAGCTGCTTCGGCGGTGACCGCAGCGACAGCGGCGACGACGACGGCGACGGCGACGGAAAGCTTCCCGGCAGCGCAGTGCTCGGCCGTGACGACGACGTCGCCGCGTAGGCCGACGGGTTCGGCAGCGGACGGCTGCGTGGCGGCAGCTGTGGCGAGATGGGCGAGGCCAAGCCGGGGGCGTGATGTGGCTGGTGTGGTGATTGTGGCTGATGTGGCTGTGGCGATTGTGGCTGGCCGAAGCGGCTGCTGGCTCGTGGATCCGGCAGCGGTCGCGGCGACAACGGCTGTGCCGGCGAGCTCACCGGCTGGCTGCCTGGCCGGCTAGCCCCCAACGGTGGACTGCTGAGCGGACTGGCCAGGCCGCCACCAACACGCTGCGGCTCCTGGTCGGCAAACCGATGGCGACTTCGACTGCGAGGCGTCCGCAAAATCTCGGGCTCGTGACGCGACCATGAATCCTGGCGGCTTGGCACCGGACTCTTGAGCTGTCCGGCCGTTCCGGGTGCCTGGCTGCGCGATCGCGCCCGGCTTCGAGACCGCGCCTTGCCCTCGTCTACCGAGAGCCCGGTCGCCGCCGCCGTCGGCCCTCGTCCTCGTCGCTCGCGCTCGTATTCCTGCTCTCGCTGTCGCGCCTGCTCCAGCTCCTGTTCTAGCTCGCGCACCCGGTTGCTGTAGGCTGATCCGCCACGGCTGTCTTCGTCCTCGTGTTGGCGCAGCGGCTGCTTGCTCCCTCCACCTCCACCGCTCGTCCCGTTCTGCTCGGCTTGGTACTGGCTCAGGAGCTGTCCGTGTAGACGGCCGTCTCGTCCACCGACTGCTGTTGTTGCTGTTGCTGCGGTTGTTGCTGTCGTCGCTGTCGTCGTCGTCGTCGTCATCGCTGCTGCCACAATGCCGCCTGTCGCCTTCCCGCTGCTTCGTAGCCGCTGTCGCTCTTCGGCCAGACGGGCTTCAGCCTCGGCCTCGTCCCGGCGTCGCTTCTCTTCCGTCAGCTTCCACTGCTTCTCCTCTTCCTCCCATCGCCGCCGCTCCTCGTCCGCCTTGCGCTTCTCCTCTGCCTTGGCTGCCTGTGCTGCCGACTCCTTCTCCTTTTGTTGTCGCGTCTCCGCCTCGGCCTCTTTTGCCTTCTGTCGCATCTCCGTCTCGGCCTCCTTCGCCTTCTGTCGCGTCTCCGTCTCGGCCTCCTTCGCCTTCCGCAGCCGTTCGCGTTCGGCCAGGCTCATCACCTTGGGCTCCGAGTTTGTAATCTGTCGCCGACCTCCAAACGAGATGCCCAGGTTGCCCTGGCTGGCGCCGCCAATGTAGCCGTACTGTGCAATGTTCCAGGCCGGAGCGGTCGGCGTCGCTCCCTCCATGTTCCGCTTGCTCCACGTGCTCGGCTGTGTTGTCGGGCTCCGTCCGCCGCCATTGTTGAGCCCGGCCGAGTTCGACGGACTGATGACCGACCCGCCCACGCCCGAACCGCCAGCCGTGGCCGTATAGGCCCCGACAGCAGCGGAATTGCCGCCGACCGTGCTGCCACCACCGCCGGCTGCTCGGCCGCTCGGCCGCGGCCCCATGGCGGTCGGAAACGCGGTCGGGTTCACGCGGTTCGCCGCCCGGCTAAAGGCCATCAGACACTGCAGCACCTGGGCCGGGTCCTTGGCCTCGTACAGGTCCACGGTCAGGAAGACGTCGTGCTGCTGCAGGCTGAGCGGTGGCGCCTGGCATGCCCGCAGAAAGTGCGAGATGTTCTCCATCTGCACAAACGGCATGGCCGACTTCTTGAACCGGATTCCCGGTCCTGACATGGCCAGGTTCGCCAGCCGGCACAGCGCCACCCCGTCGCGCAGGCCGTCCAGCAGGTCGCTCCCGCTCAGCGGCTCGCCCAGCACGCTCTCTACCCATTCACGTGCTTCACGTGCCGCCGCCGGCGTGTACTTGTCCAGCCGCAGCCGCCGCAGGTCGCCGTCGAGCGATGACACCGTCGCCATCTCGCTCACTTCGCACAGGTCGGTCGGGTGATCGCGTGCGTCTGCCAAATTCCCGTCTCAATACTCCGTACTCACGTAGCGCTCAGTTGCTGCTCGTCCCGGCTGTTTGTCCTTTGAAATCTGTCTGCCTGTCGAGATCGTGTCGGACAGCGGTGCAAGGAGAGGACGGGAGGCGAGGAAGGAGAATAGGGACAGCCTTAATAATAGAGATCGCCAAAATAAATAATCTCATATTAATACTGCCTGCAGCCTGCCGGCGCCACACTTTTTCCCCCGCACCTCTGCAAGCCACCGCTGATGACGTGTTTGTCTGCTCATACCAGCACAAAGCTGTATCTGTCTCAGTCTTCCATCGCTTCCGATCCTGTCTCCGTGACAAGACTCTATGGTCTGACTGCTCTTTCTCATACAGCTGCTTCACGCGCAACGCTCCTTTACTCACAGCTCCGTACTCCGTACTCCGTACTCCATAGACTCCTTTCAAATTCTAGAAAGAGACCCCACTTTAGTGGACTAGACCCCTTAGACCACTCACAGCCGTTGCAATTCGGCTGCCATGAGCTAGTCCGCTCTGGGCATTTCCATTTGTCGTCTAATGAGTTTTCCACCATCGGTAATCCTATTTTCACCATCCACCATTCCCACCATTCTCCGGACATACTGTCCTGTCATCACTGCTGTCATGCCGAAGTCCGTATCCCGCTTCGCACAGCTCTGGTTGAGCTGGAAGGCTCTCCGCCTGCCGTGGCGAAAGCAGTTTCTGATCGGTATGGATGAACTTGCAGCCGAGAAGCCTCACAATTCCTTCTAACTTCCAGGTCACGATCTCGACGGCAACACCTACTGGGAGTTTCGCGACATCCGCGGCCACAACGATAGTGCCACCGCCCGCTGGCGCCGCATCGTCCAGTACCCCCGCGGCACTCACCACAGCGACGTGAAGGTGCCGCCCCAATGGCATCAATGGCTCCGACACACCCGTCGCGAACCCCCTTCTCTCGACGAGCAGCGCCACGAACTCGCCCGCCAGCAGCAGATGCGCCTGCTAGCCGCTGCTGCCGACGCCCGTTGGGCCGGGGCCAAACGTGTCGACTCGGGCCCCAGTCTCGTCCTTCCACAGCTGCCAGCAGAACAGTCCTCACAACCACAACGAACTTTGGAAACCGATCGTCTTCCTTCTGCCACTCCTCCTGACTCTTGGAAGTCCGAGCAGCCCAGTCGTCAGAAATGGCAGCCTCAGGCTTGGACACCACGTGAACCAAAGCAATAGCCTTTATCCGGTCGTCTATCAATATTTGATATCTTGTCAAGTCTCTTTCGAGTCTCGCCCCTCTTTCCTCATCTCACTCCTCCCTCTTCACTCCCCTCCATCTTCGCCAGCTGCACCATGCTCAGCAGCCGCCGACCCGATCGTCGCATCAGGTCCTGTCCAAAGGCCTCCAGCTCAAACGTCTTCTTCCTGGGTGGCCGTGGCCGAGCCTCGCGCGCCCGCACGCCCGCCTCTGCCGCCTCCTGTAGAGCTTTCGTCCAGCAGAGCTGTCTGCTGTCGCCGCTGCCTCGTCCCGCCCCCCAGACGATGCGGAACAGACTCTCCAACACCAGCGCCATGCGCACGTTAGCCCCCAGCACCACCGTGTTCGCGGCAAACGGCAGGAAACAGCGCTCCAACAGCTGCTGCGACACGCTCAAGCGGCTGTCTGCGTCTGGGTCCACCAGCCGTGGCTTCGGTGCCGACAGCGGCAGTACCGTGAAGAGAATGTGCCGAAACAGGCCGACAAACGCGTCGTTGGCCGTGATCGGCGGTGGCGCTGATGCTGTCCACAGTGCTGCACTCGCAGCCGGCGGTGGCAGCGAGACAAACGAGGAGAACACGGTCACGTCCGTCTCCCGCAGCACGTCGGCAAATGTGCGGTAGACCACGTCAACTGGCGCAAAGTCTGCGGGGAAACACATGGCCGCAAGCACAACCTGGCCGCATTGTCAGACAAGACCTACGTGAACTTGGAAGTAGGATCAACCAAACAGAATACAAGTCTTACCAGATAGAACAGCCGTCGACGAAGGGGAACGGATTCGAGAAAGCCCGGATCGTTCCCCGGGTTCGGTATTGTGCCTGTAGAGCCAGACCCATATCCAGAATCGGTGGCCGCTGTAGTCGGTGATGGTGGCGGGGACTCGTCGTCGCTATAGTCGCCAAATTTGGTGCTGTCGAGCTCCAACAGACGTCTTGATGCGGCTGTCATCCCGTTCGCCCCAGCAGTACCGCCGTGTCCTGTCGTCGTCGTCGTTGTCGTCGTCGTTGTCGTCGTCGTTTTCGTCGTCGTCGTCGTCGTCGTCGTCATCGTCTCCTTGTCAAAGACCTCGCGCAAATGTGCCGCCTGTGAGCCGTCCGTGACGATGGCCGAGGCCAGATGCCGCAGCTGCGAGTGGCTACCCCAACCCTGCAGATAGGAAAACAGCAGGGACTTGTGGAGAGGTGTCTCGGCTGTCGCTGTGATTGCCGTGGCCGCTGCAGCCTCTCGTCCCGATGGCGATGTCCCCTTTCCGCCCTGTGCGTGCTCCTCGCCTAGCCGTGCGGCCAGGTCTGCCTCGAGCACGTCGACCACGAGGACCATCCATGCCTGCCAGTACCGCCACCGCAGCGGTGCCTCCACGCTGCAGCTGAGGGCCCAGCCGGCCACCCGCCAAAAGTCCTGTCCGCGCGTCCACACGCTGTCCCGCGTGGCCATCCGCCCGCTGATCGCGTCTTCGTCCGCGTCCATGTCCGTGTCTACATCGAGGCCGTGTGCAAAATCAAAAGCCGCACCCACATCGGCATCTGCTGCACCATCGCGGCTGCTGGCCGTGGTCGCCAGAGTGTCGACGCTGATGCCGGCCGCCGCGAGAACGGCGCTGGCCCGCTCGTTGTCGTCGTCGTCAAACTTGAGCGTCCGGCTGTCGACGTAGTCTCTGTGGCCGCTGCCACCTCCACCGGCACCGCTGCCGCCAAAGATGCCCGACCGCGCACCCAGCGCTCTAAGCCGACGCGGCCGGGAATGCGATCGGCTGGCACTCGCACTCGCATTGGCACTCGCACTCGCATTCGCATTCGCACCACCGCTTCCCACAGACGCCGCACCACTACCACCTCCTCGTCCCCGCACGTCCCGGAACGCAAAGGCCGTCCGGAAGCCCGGCTGCATCGGCCCTGCCACCGCCAGGATGTGACGCAGGTACTGCAGCGCATGGCCGGCCACCCGTAGGTCCGTGTTCTCCTGCGTGCGGCTCGTGTAGGCCGGGTGCACCATCAACGTTGCCAGCACGGCCAGATGACTGGGCGGTGGAATCCAGACCGGCTGTCCGATCCCTCGCTCAGAACCTCCCGCTGCCAGGAGGCTAGTCAGAAGCTGGATGGCCTCGCTGTCTGTTTGGCAGCGAGCATTCCGCCCGGCTGTCAGCTAGCACGCCTCTTCTCGTCTCCGCTTCTCTGTCTCCATGCTCTCTGTACTCACACATTCGCTCTTCCAGAAACACCCGAACGTGGCCTTTGAGCTCATATGGCAGCTGTCTCACCGGTCGATACAGCTTTGTAAAGCTGCCCGTTTCGGCCCCAACAGCTGCGGTCTCACGAGCATCGTTACCACCACCACTTCCAGAGCCTGTCTCTCTTCCATTTTGGCCATTTGTTGACGGAGACGTCGTACGAGCCGTCTGGAACGAGGCCACAGAGCTGGCGGATGGCGAAGCCATAATTAGGAAGAATGCAGTTGCTAGACAAAACGGTAAGGCGCGTCGCGTCCAGTAGCCCATTAAAGTGATGGCGGGGCTGCATCTTGCACGTGCTACGAGGTGGTCATGTGCTCTTGTCACGAACGCCAGCAAGACACCTGATCTCACATCACCGAGACCTTCAGCTCGCTACGCTCTGCGTCAATTGTCTTCAATACTACGGAGAACTCCGTACCTGCCTACTACATGCAGGAGGGTGAGATTAGGACGGTCTTGGCAAGTCGGTAGATGACTAAGCCGCCACAAGGCTGGGCTTTTCCAGGCGAGTAAGCTTGCGTGGCCCAATCTTCTCGTTACTTCGGTGCTCGTGTTGCCGTTGTCTTATATGAGGCCTCAATTGGAAGATGGCGTAGCTCGAAATTGCGATATGTCGCCCTTCACGGCGTGTTCTCAGAAGCCATCGTACCCTTCTTGTCACGGCATGACGGGGTGACTCACAAACGCATTCTTGGCGGTGTCATAACAATGCCATAAACATGCGTAGATCTTCTTATAAAAAATGGCTGTACAAATAAATAAGATGTTTTTATTTCCCTTTTCATCTATGGTTGCATCCAAGGCGGCACTTTATTCGTAAGCCGGCCGTGGATATTCTCTCGATTTCCACAATCAGACTACAACCAGACCCTGTGTCATCATACGCAAGCAAGCTATGTTGTCTGCCTACGAGAACTCATACACCAGTGGTGCATACGAAGTCACTTCATTGTGTGATGGACAGTGGCAAGCTTTGACATAGAATTGCATGAAATTGTCAGATATTTGTGTTGTTCTTCTTAAGACTAATCGCCCCCTTCGTTGGTCATGCCTGTACCGATCGCATAACAAAACCTTGCTTTGCAAATAAAACCACAAAAATAAACGAAAAACCGTGAGACGAGGGGGAATAAATGCTTCCAAACGTGGTGCACAATAGACTGTAAAGCTGAAGGGTCGTTAAAGAAAATCACACCCGAGAGGCTGGTGAAAAATTAAAAGACTTTTGTGTGCAGACAACATCGACTACTGAGATGCTTCCCCTCTACTCGATCGCCACCTCGTTCCAGTCCTGCTGGTGGTCATCAAGGTGCTCGCCCCAGTGGACGGGACCAAGCTTGAGGAAGCGGAAGACAGGTCCGCTCTTGATGCTGTCGCTGCTGCTCAGGCTGGAGCTCCGGCGCTGTTTCACACTGGTCTTCTCAGGCACGGCCTCCTCGACAGAGGTCATCGCTGCTGCCACTACTGTAGTGCTGTCTGACAGCTCCTTCTTCTCCGAGACTGCGGCAGCAACAGCAGCCCCGACTGGGGCGACGACGGCCTTCTTCGGCCGGGGGTAGGATGCCGACGTAGCAGGGGCTAGTGACAGGAAAAAGGACGGCTGACGGTCGGCTGTCTCAGGAAGAAAGTTCTGCACCTGAGAAGCGAGAGCCAGAATCTCGGCGTTGGGCATGTTCGGAGACGACATGATGTAGAGGTAGTAGTCGAAAGGGACGATAGATAAGGTCGATTGTGTCGTAGCAGTCTTGTTGGTGTCTGGTCAAGAAAGGACTATGCGAGCTCTGCAAAGAAAGAGACAAAAAGTCAAGGTATTGGTTGGGGTATCAAGTTTTGGCAAAGGTTACAAGAAACGAAGCTTTATAGAAACATGAGAGAGAAAAAGTAAGGAGACATTGTCAAGTAGGAGGAGTCATAGTGTTATTATATACTGTTGCCAGGCACATCTTTATCTCATAATTTTATCAAAGTACATAAAATTGGAAGGTTGCTGACGGCAGATAACTCCATCTGGTGGCCCCGCCAAACACAAGCTGCTGATCTTCCTTACCGCTCGGAGGAAAGGATAGAAAGGTGGGGTGTATGTATAACATGGATTTCACATCTAGACTCTCTGCGAGTATGTATAGCCTGGCTGCCCAAGCCGACACGAGCATCAAGAATGTGGACGGGGCAGCGAGAACCCTGGCGGTTGTGGTGGGGGAAACGGGAAGGAGGGATAAGCTAAGACCTCTGTAGCACGGGTGCGAGAGCAATCTTCGTCATCGCTTAAGACAACAAAGAAGGGGTCCAGGTAACATGCATATGTTACAGGCAGCCAGAGGAAAAGTGTTTTGTATCGTGTTCGTGAACACATGTGGGGGTTCCTATTGGTCGCTGTCGGTAGCTCGTCCATAAAATAGATAAAAGCGCGAGCGAGAAAAAAGACGAAAAAAAAGACGAAAAAAAAAAGAAATGGAAATATGCACAGATGGTTATCCGCGGCTGCTGTTGCCTGAGCTCGTGACGTTCACGATCCAGCGTTTTATGACGTGCACGCGTCACGAGCAAAGGTCCTGTGCTAGTGCAGATAGGCAACGTATCGTGCAACAGCACCGTCGAGCCTGGGGCCGCTCGGGGCCGTCCATGACGTTGAACGGCGTCTTGGCTAGAAACTGCTCGGGGAGGCACTAAGCAGGCGGAAATGGACGAACGGATAGGGAAAAAAAATTCCAACAAAGCCTGGCCGAGTCAGTGCTTTGTGGGGTGTGGGGAGGCAGTGCGCTATCACCACCACCTAATGGTGCCATAAATTCAGGCGAGTACGACGCAAGTACGGAGTACGGAGTAATTACCAATTTGCCTTGTGCCCTGGCAGACAGGCCCTTTCTCTGCCGTCTTTCTCTTATCTATCCCGAGGCTAGCCGGCAAGCACGGCATGCTACAGCACTCCGTACTGCACCTTGGCAATTGGCAGAAAATCGCCCCCATTTTCAGCCATACCGAAGCAGGCAGCTTTTACCCTTACGCATGGTTGAACATAGCCTTACGGAGTACGACGTATCTTACGTCCTACCAATCTGCATAAGGGCACATGCCAGCGAACTCTGCAGCCAATCGCTTTATCGCTGTACGAAAACGCCAATCAAGCCTCGGGTACGCTGGGAAACCGGACTCTTCGCACTCGTTCTATGAATATCCTTGGTACAAAATTCTGGCTGGCTTCTGATTGTAGCCGATCGCAAGCTTCATGAAACGCAATGAAATGCACAACGGTGGGGACGCTGCTATTGCTGTTCCTCTGCCGCCTTCCTCCTATCCCGTGTATGAACTCCGTACGGAGTACTCCGTACGATACGTCAACCCCCACAATCTGCACAACGAAGCAGGTTGCCCGCTCCACCACAAACTGGCAGGCATACGGGATTTGCCACCTTTTGCTCAAAGCTTGTGGCAGTCTGAAAATGTATGCCATCCACCTGGCAGCGACAGATTCCAAACACTTTGGTACACAACGACGCTACTCGTACCAAGGATCGTTGACCCGCACGTCTGTGTCGAAAGGATCCGGTGGGCCAGGACTGCGTCTCGACCGGTGCGATGAGCCCTTTCAGCAGAGCTGGCGCATGAAGACGGCGTCCCTGTGGGTCCAGTAAAGCTCAAAGTCGCTGTGTCCTTGGCTCGATCTCAGATGCCCGAACAGAGCTGGCTTTGGCCTAGCTTCTTTACTCGTATTCGCGAGGCATTGAAAATCATGCTTTTCTGATCGCACTCAGGCTGTGTCAGGCTACGTTGTTTCGTTGTGTGAAATCATCTTCTCCCAGGGGCCTCCACTCGTTTGCTGGAATAGCTCGTATTGCTGCTGCCCTACTGACTGCCCCATTCTCAGTACCCACGGCCGTGTTCCCCGGAGTTGTCTACTACCCTTGCCTCCTCAAACATGGGGTACTTTGCAAGATGTCTCTCTTTCCGTACTCCGTACAGGCCGGTCTTAGATTTCGCGACCAGAATGGGAGGTGAACGCGAAGTGTTTTCGAATCCTATTTTTGGTATGCCGCCTGCTTCTAATTGTCTGTCGCGATAACGAGAAGCCAGCTGTCTCGGCCTATGCATGGCTAAAACATTTGAATATTGGAGAGAGCCAAGGGGTGTCAATAGAACCAAGGGTACACGGTTAGAAGAGGATGTGGTCATGCATGAGGATATTGTTTTCTCAGTCCAGTCCACTCCTCCAATCCCAATACTCGCGTCGAACATCCCCTTTCGGATACACAAGACTTTGAAACCGTGTCTAGTAGTTGCCATTGAAGATTGTCTGTTCACGAGGGAGAAGTGCTTACGGAGCAGAGCAAACAGAAAGCTGTAGTTGTAACCTCCTGCCTGTACGAGAACTCCCTCAAGTGGACTGCTTGCAACAGGTATCACGCAACCTCAAATCTATTGCATATTCTCATGCATTTCATTTACCGTGCTTTGAGCAGAGCATATCAGCACTAAAAAGACCAACATATATGCTTACGACATGGGGAACGCGTGATATAATCCGTCCATCCGACCGTTTCCTTCAAGCACAGATAGGAAAAATAGGGCAGTCTTGGTCTGTGAGCTTCTTCCCTTATCACACACATTATTTCGGACCTTACTGTGTCCTTGTCCTTTTTTCTTCGTTTCTTTCGTTTCTTCTTCTTTTCTTTTTCTTTTTCTTTTGCTTTTTCTTTTTCTTTTTCTTTTTTTTTTCTTTTTTTTTGCTTTTCTTCTTTTTTTTCTTTTTGGGGAAAGTTTCCTCTTTTGGTTCATTGTATTCCGTTTCACCGTACTTCCTCACTTTCAATTGGCGCATCCTAACACTGTGAACGTTGCCAGCTCCTTCTGCACCCTCAAGATGCCGACGATAGACCGGTTCGTTGCCACCTCCTCTTGTAGCTTTCATGGACGGTCATCCTATCACGTATTTACTGCCAGATACCCCCTCGTTCGTCCTTCAGTCCTCTCCCGTTTCAGTTTAGTATAGTACAAAGCAGTGTCTTCCTCGTCCACCCATCTCCCGATGTTACTTGGTTATGGTTTTTTCTTCAGTTAAACTCTCCTCTGCGCATATTTTTTTTTCTGAAACTCGATGCTCTCCTCTAGAAAAGTCCGAATAATGCAAAGAGAACGTTTTCTATGATGCCAAACTCAGATGTCAAAGACTAACAAAAAACTCCTGCTCAAGAAATTCCATGACAGCCTGTGTCAAACACTTAATCAAAACACGACAAAGAAATAAAATGAGCATTAATTATTTGAAGGAGATGTCGGAGAGCTGGGTTGACGTTAGTTGTATTCTAAAAAATGGCAGGCAATATAGCAAGGAGATAGGGGAGAGACATACTACGAAGCCGGCCCTGGCGGGCCGCGTCCTGGGGTCCGAGGAGAGAACGTTGGCGACTGTCATAGTTAGTATATATCCTGATTTTGACTTTTGTCTTTCCATTTTCAGCGCTTACCGTTGGCGAGTAGCTCGGGCTAGTAGGCGATGCAGCCTGTCCAGGAGACCGTTGGAACGTCGGACTCGTTGGAGAGTAGGCTTCAGGCGACGTGGGTGACCAAGTAGGAGAGGCCGGCGAGTAGGACGGAGACGTGGCATGGAGATTGGGCGATGCCGGGCTGTAGTTGGGGCTTGCTGGAGAGTACGACGGCGAGGTTGGCGAGGTAAATTGCGCCGGAGAAGTAGGCGAATAGTGACGCGCTGCCGATGGAGAAGCCGGCGAGTAGCTGGGCGACGTGGGACTGTAGTTGGGGCTGGTTGGCCGCATCATCGGCGACGTCGGCGAGAACGAAGGCGACGACGGGCTGAACTGCGGCGACGACGAAAAACGGCCACCCATATCCATGATGGGCGACGTCGGCGAGTACCCGGCCGAAGGCGACGTCGGTGAGTAGCTTCCATAGCCACTGTTGAACGGCGACGTCGGCGACGTGGTGAACGGACTCGTCGGCCGAGGGCTGGTTGCATAGCCCATGCTGCCAAAGCCGCTGCCACCGTACTCCGTGTTGAGACCTGCAGGCGTCTCGGAGCCGGCACCCATGATGGGCGAGAAGTTGCCCATAGCTGGCGAGCTGATGCTGAGATAGCCCGAGTCGGCTAGCGGTGACCCGGTGTCGTAAGGCGTCGCTGCACCCTCCAGCTGACTGCCCTTGACCGTGAGACCCGGCATGAGACCCATGCGGGAATTGTCCATGATCACTGTCTCGAGCAGCTTCGGATCCAGCAGTACCTCAAAGTGACCCGTGCCCATGGGCGCTAGCTGGCCCAGCATCACGTTCTCCGAAATACCGCGGCAATCGTCAAGCTCGCCCACAGCTGCTGCCTCCAGCAAAATCTCTACCGTCTCCTCAAAGGAACAGCGCATCAGGGCACCCGTGTCAGCACGGTTGATGCCGTGGCGCGTGACCGCCGCGATACTACCGCGATACGTCATCACGTCCACCAGCAGAGCAAGATGGCGGTGGTTGACATACGAACCGTCAAACGACAGGACCGCAGTCAGCTCACGCAACAGCGTCGACCGCGCAGCCTCGATACCGAACACGTCCACAACCTGATGCAGGTCGTTTGTGTACGTGCGTTTCGGGTCCACGCCATCGACCGCTAGGACGGCACGAAGAGCAGAACCCTCTGTGTCGAGGTACCATGCCGTGCAGGCAGGGTCATCCTTGGCAGCCAACAGCGCGTCGTCCTTGGTCTTGATCAGCACCGTGTCCTTGTTCAGGAAGGCCCGCTCAATGCCCGGCACTCCGCGTAGCGTTAGCGTGTCGAGCAAATGTGTCTCGAGTCGCTTCAGCATCACGTCGTCTTCCAGTGCGCCGTCCTCGTCTTTCTCGTCGTCCTGCCGCACGGTCCGGACCCGAATCACCTGGCTGTCAGCGTTGTTATCGCTGAAGATGACACCCAAGTCCGTCGGGTACTCCTCCTTGATGCGGTTGGCCACGTCTTCAATGGTCAGGCCCTTGTCGAGCAGCTTCTGCCGATCCAGCGTGATACGCAGCATCCACCGGGACTGTTGATCCAGGTTGGTGGCCACGTCCTCCGGAATCAGGAAGTAGGACTCCAGAATGTTCTCGTCTTCCACAATGTTGGTCCACCGCAGGTCCGGGTCATAGTAAATCTCCGTCACCGCTGTCACAGACCGCAGATTGGTATGTTCCACAATGCTTCGTAGCTCCTTGGCTCTGTCTTGCGTTGGTGGTCGCTCGTCCGCATCGTCCAAGTAGACAGCCATGGACGGGGTCTTGATGTTGCTAGCCACGTTCAAAATCTCCTTGAGCCGAGGCACACCCAGCGTCACGTTCTTCGACGACACACCGGCGAAATGGAACGTGTTCAACGTCATCTGCGTGGCCGGCTCGCCAATCGACTGGGCTGCCAAAACACCCACCATCTCTCCCGGATTCACCATCGCCCGTGCCCAACGGCTGCTGAGCTCGCCCACAATATGATCAAAGGCCAGGCGCGTCAGGCGCATTTCAACTGCGAGGCGCTTGAAGGCTAGCCGTGACCGGAGCTGCGCTTTGAACAGAATCGTCGCACTATCATTCGCCTCCACCGAGATGGCATCTTTGCCGCGGACGGCCACCATCTGATTCAACATCTTCTGGATCACCGGAATAACATCTTGAGGGCGCAGGTCGCTTCGCTGGGCATCATCCAGCTTGAACATTTTCTGAGCCGTGTTGACGATGCGCACCACGTTCAGCGGCAATTGCATCATCTCCTCATCCTTCTTGCCCAGAATGCTGCTCAGGCGTCTCTTGTTGATGTCGCGAACCCGCTCACGGTCGCCCAATAATGTTTCGTACTCGCTGTCGAGCAGCTCTTGTACTTCCGCGTCGCCAGCGATCTCGTTTGCGTACTCCAGTGCATCAAGCGCCGCAGGCCGCATCTCGCTCATCACGTCCAGACGGAACTTCTTCTCAAACGATTTGATGGACATGTTGAGATGGTCCATGCGCTGTTCTTCGATATGGACACCATCAAGACCATCTTCGCCGTAGACGAATTGAATGACGTCGCCCAGAGAGTTTCGCACAGTTCCGTCATACTTGGCACTGACGTCCTCAAGTGCCTTCACCAGCCGCCGCTGAATGTATCCCGTCTCCGCAGTCTTCACCGCAGTATCGATAAGACCCTCACGACCGGCCATAGCGTGGAAAAAGAACTCGGTCGGCGTGAGACCACGCAGGTAGGAGTTCTCCACGAAGCCACGAGCCTCAGGCGAGTAATCGTCCTTTGTGAAATGTGGTAGAGTCCGGTACTTAAATCCAAAGGGAATACGTCTGCCCTCAACGATCTGCTGACCGACCAACGCAGTCATCTGCGAGATGTTGATAGAGGAGCCCTTAGAGCCCGACCGCGCCATGGTGACGGCGTTGTTGATGTCCTTCAAACTTTCTTGAGTCGTAGTACCAGCCTTGTCGCGAGCGGTGTTCAGTGCTTTCGACACCTTATTTTCAAAGGTCTCCCGAATGTTCATACCAGGCAAGGCCTCCAGCTCATTCGCTGTAGCCATTGCCGTGAGTCGGCGCACCTCCTCCTTCTGGGTATCAATCTGCTCCTGCACCTTTTCGATCGTGGCTTTGTCGGGAATTGTGTCGCCGATACCAATGCTGTGGCCGTTGTGGAGCAGCCAGTAGTTCACGACGCGTTGGCAGCCGTTCAAGAAAGCCATCGCACCATCAGATCCGAGCTCGTTGAAGCAAATGTGGATGATACCGCCACCAGAGGCTCCAACGCTTTTCTTTGTCGGCAAGCCATACATCAGCTCACCGGTCTGAATGAGCAGGCCGTCGTCTTTAAGTGCCGTGTCGTCATTCCCCATGCGCAAGTTTATCGTCTTCGGGATAACCAGACTCATAATCTGCTTTCCAGTCCAACGAGGCCGAGGCTTGAGAATGGCCGGCCTAGGGATGACACCGTTCCATTCCGGTACCCAAAGCATGATATTCATCACTTGCTCCTTTGACAGGAAAACGTCACGCCGGCAGAGCTTGTAGGCACCTGCGAGTGTATCCTGGACAATACCCATGAGTGGGCCGTTTCGCTGTGGAGACACGATGTTGAGTGGCACCATGCAAAGCTCCTTGACTTCAGCTCGAGTCTCCTCAGTTTGAGGCACGTGCAGGTTCATTTCATCACCGTCGAAATCAGCGTTGTATGGCGACGTCACGGAGAGGTTGAGTCGGAATGTGGAGTATGGCATGACACGAACACGATGGCCCATCATAGACTCCTTGTGCAAAGATGGCTGACGATTGAAGATGATGAAATCACCGTCAATCAGATGTCTCTCCACCTTCCAGCCGTACTCGAGCGAGATTTGCCCAGCCCGACGATGATGCCGAAGATCGATGCGGGTACCATCAGATCTTATGACATATTTGGCTCCCGGGTGCTCGTTGGGACCGTTTTGCACGAGCTGGTGTAGACGACCGATGTTGTAGGGCGTCACCGTCTCAGGGTATGTGAGTGTGCGGGCGATGGAGCGAGGAACACCAACTTCATCAAGCGAGATGTTGGCGTCACCTGTGATGACGGTACGTGCTGAAAAATCGACACGCTTACCCATCAGATTACCACGCAGACGACCCTCCTTGCCCTTGAGTCTGGCACGGATAGACTTGACAGGACGTCCGCTCTTTTGAAGAGCACGAGGAATAGCGGCAATGTCATTGTCCATGTATGTCGCAACGTGGTACTGCAACAATTGCTCGAAATCAGATGAGATGTGAGCAGGCGAACCCTCGTTGATAGCTTGCCGGACGTTGTTGTTGGCGCGAATAATATCACCCAGCTTGAAGGTCAAATCGTCTTCATTTCGCATACCGGTTCCAGTACCATCCATGGAGATGCTGGGCCGAACGGGCGGTGGGGGAACGGGAAGAACGGTCAGAACCATCCACTCCGGGCGAGCGTAGTCAACATTCAGACCCATGTCACGGATATCAGCAGTGCTGATCCGACGGAGAATGTTCAGTGCCACCTCAGCAGTAAGAAGCTTCTTTTCTTTCGTCTTGCCACCCTCATCGCGCTCGACCTCGAAGTGTGACCACAACTGTAGGCCTGTCTGGCGCACCGCCGGTTGCATGTTGCCACATCCTCCATGGTTGTGTGGCTGCTGCTTCGCGATCTTGCTCGGGTTGGGGTCGAACTCCTCCTCTTCGGCCTTTGCCTCGTTCTCGCATCGCCTCTTCTTCTTGCAGCACTCCCAGACGCGCTGGAACCGGGCCTTGGGATCTCTTGTGTTGACGGCTGCAACAAATTCTGGATCACTCTATAGGACGGGCAAGATGGGTAACAAGGATCATGAGGTTAGCACAGAAAAAACGGGTACCAAACGGATGTCAACCGCCTCATCTGAGAGCTTCCTCAAGGTAACACTAACCCTGTCGGCAAGCACCATGCTGCAGTTGTGACAAACAATCTCAAGCACCTTCTTGGTCTTCTTGATGAAGCCAGGATGGTACACAGGTTTAGCTAGCTCAATATGGCCGAAATGACCCGGGCATTCCGACATGTTCTCCGTGCAAGTTTTGCACTTAAACTGGCGGTCGACGGACCCGAGCAGTGGATCGTTCACACCGCCATCACGCGGCTTGGTCTTCGTCTCGTCCATTGCTTCAGGGTAGACAATATGAGCCACACTCAGGTTTTTTATTTCCTCCGGTGACATCATGCTGAACTGAATTTCTTCAATCGTCTTGAGGGGCGCACTCGAGTGCGCAAAGTATAGGTTCGCCATATTGTCAGATGTGGTCGGAGCCGACTCGCACAGCTATACAACAAAGAGGTCGAGTATTGAGGAACGTGATGCCGTGATCACAAAAGGGCGTCGGATTAGAAGGCGCAAAGACGCGTGTGGGTTGAAAGAGAGGAGTGGAAAAATCAGAGTGGAATAGACAGATCCTTGGACTCCAGGCTAGATCGAAAACCCGTTTACCGATGCCGACAGTTTTGGATAATAGCAAACACCCCGCGGGTGATCGATAGAAGTGAAAGTGCAACGCGCGTTGAACAGAAGAAAGCGAGGTGATGGAAACAAACGGAAATAAACAGGTGGCGAGAAATTGGCCAACGGCTGTGCTGGTTTGTTTGCGTCCTGTCTGCCACCTCACTGGTTTGTCACCGCACTCGCACGCGTTCCAACAACAAAAGGCAGCCGAACAAAAATTAATGTGTTCTCCCCCTTCTCTTAAAGCCTCCGAGCGAAGCTCCAAAGGAGCGACGTGCCTCGACGGCTACCGAAACACTAAAGTCGACGCCAACTTGTCACGATGAGAAGTGGCAAACGTGGTAGCTTCGCTGCAGCTCGAGAAAAATTGAGGTCTCGATCGCTGCGGATTCGAGAAATCGATTCCGGCGGACACGTAAAGTGGCCGTATCAAGATACCGTCGCGTTTTTCGATGGGCGCGCGACGCGAGAGGCAGTCGATGATTTCGATCGTCGACAACTGTGATGATGAACGGGGGAGAAAATGAACTGGGATTTGGAAAACTTCGCTCCCTTTCTGTTCGAGCGTGTGGCAGGATACTAGTCCGCATATAGATTAGTGTGGATCCTTTTTATTCGGGCTCGTCTTTAGGACAACAATAGAAAGGCATGTATACCATAGAGTGACCTTACTTTACACTGAGATGACGCAGCGGATATCGTACTGCGAGGTACTATACGTGTACGTTGTAGCTCTCGCCCCACTTGATTGCTGCCTGCTGCATTCAAGTACTGACAGCATTACCAAGTGAATCATCAAGCAATACGGAGGGAGTATAAAAGCAGCAATGCTGTTGTCACCTACACTGAACTGAGTCATGCACTTCGACAGCTTTTCAAATATGCCTTTTCAAGATATATTCTTCTAGCATTCAAACCCCAAAAAGCAAAGATTCTCCGACATAGAAACCCCAGTCAGGTTCCCTCGTTTGTGTCTCGGAAGCCTGGTCTGGCAAGTAGCTTAGTCACCACAAATACTTACTTTTGCAATAGGATCGACGTGACGCGACCTAGTGATATTGAAACGAGTCGTCAAATCTCCGGCTCTAACCAGCCCCCCCGAACGCCTAGTGCTTTATGCCGACCAGCCCATCGATGAAAACCCAGATGCAAGACGAAACAAAGAAAGGACTATACCGTTTACTTCCGTTTTGGTCGGCCCCCTCTCGAGCCTTTCTTTGTCCCGCCAGGCCGTTCCTCGCTGCCGGCGCCATCTCCGTCTAGATCTCCTGCTGCACCGTCCCCTAGACTTCTGCGGCGCATGGTGCCTGTCGACACGGTGATAAACTCTTCCTCGCTGTCAGACTCGCCCAGGTCGTACAAGATGGGCATGCGGAAGGTAGTGTTGCTGTTTGTGCCGCCGATACCTTGGCCGAAAATGGCAGCCGCACCATCGAGCAGGAGATCCGCACCCGTCTGTTCAACGGTGAGCACATCGACCTCCTCATCCTCGAGGTCCAGACGGCGTCTGTCGATGACCTCTTGTGGGTGTATATCGAACTCGTCCTCCTTCTCAACGTAGATCTCGTTTTCCTCCACTTCGGCGAAGTCGGGTGCTAGTGCTGACCATTTCTGCGGGCTGGTGACTGACCAAATGTTAATACGTCCGGTCTCGAGCCCACACGCGGCCAGTAATGCGCGGTGTGGGTGCCACTCGATGACGCCCTGTTCTTCTTTTGGACCCTCGAGCATACGCACAAGCGAGCCGTGGTTGCGCTCCCAGATGTAGAGCTCGTGGTTGTTGTACGTAGAGGCGGCGACGTATTCGCCAGTCGGGCTCAGCGCTATGTGATTCCATGAAAGCCGGTTCACGACGTCCTGAAACTTGTGCTCCTCGGGCAGCTGGATGGTGTCCGGATCGAGGTCAGGGGCTGCCAGATTGGGCATGTAGAAAGAGCGGATAATTCGATCTTGTGCGTTGGCAAGCAGGATCTTTCCAGACCCATTTAGCCGAAGCGTCGTGACGACACTGCCACAGGCCTTTTTAGAAAAGATCACCTCGAGGGTGGTCGCGTCGATGATGTTGATCCAGCCCTTGCTCGTGGCCGATATTATGTGTCCTCCGGATGCCGCGTACACGGTCACTGTCGTCATCTGCTTGGCATCTTCCTTGGCCCATTTCTCCCGCAAAGTCGCGTCGTCCGTCTCGGCTCGTTTCGGTTTCGAGGGTAGTACGTGCTTCACGTCGATGGCTTCGGTGATGTCGACGAGCAGCGCCTGCTCCTCGTAAAGGGATGCGACAAAGTGCGTTCTGACTTGTCAGCGGCTCTGTCACCAAACAGTACTGTGAGTAGGTCCTACTTACATCTTCCATGGGTGTAGCTCGGCGATGTAAACCGGCGCTCGGAAACGCACCTCGCGTAGCTTGCGGCCATCTTGTAGGTCCCAGAGAATAGCTTTCCACCCCTGGCAAGCTGACAGGAGGTAGCGACCATCACGCGACCAGCTCAACGACGATATGCTTCGTGAATGTCCGCGCAACTTACGCGCGACACCCATGGTGTCGAGGTCCCAAATGACAACCGTTCCGTCGACACGTCCCGAGGCGAGGTAATCGCCTCGGCGATTGAAACGTAGACAGGTGGCATGGCCGGAGCGGATGGTGTTGGTGATATTCTCAGGGTAGTCTTGCAGTAAGTAGTCGTCCGAGAGGAGGAGATTCATGGTTGGTGGCGGACGATGATGCCGACAGAAGTTGTAAATCTAGCTGCGATTAGAATATATTGGGACTAGGCCCGCAGAGCCAGTGCACGGAGAAAAACTCAAACGAATAGCTTTTGGATTTGGCAGCTTGCAGGCTACCCCTCACCAACCCGCTGTGATTTAGCGCTTAGTCCCCTGTTCATCACAAGGCTGAGTAGTCACAAAAGCCAACGGTCCAAGACAGCCTCTCACGACTTCGTTCATCAGTCTGCCGAGTTCGGAACCCATCGCATCCATGGCTAATTCCAAGTGAGACTCCTTCGCTTTCGACTTTACCGGCGAATTGAGATTAAAATGTTCTAGATATGAGTACGTCCGATTATTCGAGCAGTCGGATACACTGCTGCCAAACACATGGATTGTCGTCCGCATCGACGGTCGGGGCTTTACCAAGTCTGTCATCCGATCTGCCAAATCGCCCACTCCGTCCTTATATGCTGACTGTACAGGCTGTGCGCCAAGTTTGGCTTCGAGAAGCCGAATGACAAGCGTGCTCTTGACCTCATGAACGCTGCTGCGAAGGCTGTGATGAGCGACCTTCCCGACATCTCACTTGCCTACGGTGTCAGCGACGAGTACAGCTTTGTTTTCCACAAAGCATGTCAGCTTTTCGAACGGCGTAGCAGCAAGCTAGTGTCGACAGTGGTTTCGACGTTTACGGCATTTTATGTGCACCTGTGGCCAACCTTCTTCCCGGAGACGCCACTGACATCGTCACCTATGCCGACGTTTGACGGTCGTGCAGTCTGCTACCCAAGTGTGCAAAATCTGCGCGACTACCTGAGCTGGCGTCAGGTTGACTGTGGGCCATTCCGATTCCGTAGTGCATGCATTCTCAACTAACAATCCAGGCCATATCAACAATCTGTACAACACAACGTTCTGGGCATTGGTACAAAAGGGCGGCATGGACAGCGTCGCAGCAACTGATCTGCTGAAGGTAGGCTTTTTGGCATGCTGCCGGAGACTTTCCAAGATACTGACGGGTTCAGGGCACTTTCTCGGCAGACAAAAATGAGATGCTGTTTTCGAAGTTCCACATGAACTACAACAACGAGCCTGATATGTTCAAAAAGGGCAGCGTTGTGTTCCGAGACGTGAGTGCCGAGACTTTATGCGTGTGGTATTGTAGAGCACATGTTGATGAAATTAGTATGAGCTCGTCGACCCAAAAGGCTACAACGCGGCTGAAGTAGCTGATAGCCAGGCTGAGCCACCAACGCTCTCCAAGTCCAAGGAGGAGAGCGACAAGAAACGGCGTGCCAAAGCTCGGATCACGGCGGAGCACTTAGACATTATCAAAGACGACTTTTGGGACCGCCGGCCATGGCTACTTACAGGGCAGCCAGGTACCCTCCCAAAGCAGCTCTGAATGGTTTTTATCTCACAACGGCAAGTTTGGGTGGGACTTTGGAAACGGAGAAACATGGCGATTTATGGCAGCAGAATACGGAGTACCGTGTAACAAAACCAGGTATTTATATCAATTTTAAAACAGGATGGATTTTGTGGGAGCAGGTAATGCAGATGGAGGAAATGGTACGTTGCAAGGATTTCAAGGCTGAGTTGGGTTGAAACTGCGTTGTGTTGATGGTTGTATGGAGTTCGGAATACTGAGGGAAAAGAAGCCGAGTACATAGGAGCCTTCATCCAGTCAGTCGTAGTGCCGTTTGGCCCTGTTCGCCAAAACCTTTGAGTACGGTCTATTTGAGCACGGTCTGAAAGCTCCCTTATTGACACACTTATATACATTGTTGCAGAGGCCATGCCATTCTCCGTCGCTATGCTGTCTTTGCTTCTGCCTTTGCTTTCTTGGCCGCTTCTTTCACTGCCCTCCTCTCCCGTCGCAGCTTCTTTTCAGCGCTCTTGCTTTCCCTTCTTTGCTCCTTCGTTTCGTCGAGAGAAACACTCAACGCCTTTCTTCTAGCCTTTCGTTCAGCTTTGGTCTCCTCCTTCCGCTTGACCCTCTTGTCTAGTAGCATAGGAGTAGTGGTTGCTTTCCGTTCTGACTCAACCACCCGGTCACTCTGTGTAGTCGTCGAATCATCTTTACCTTGCAACTTTCCCTCTTGTTTGCTTTTTTCGATGGTTTTCGCCTGGTCAAGCCCCTCTGAACCGTCGATCGTGCCCAGCTCCTTTCTCCTCCGTTTTTGGTCTTTCTTCTCTTTCTTGTCGCAAGAGCTAGCTGCCAGCTTGTCCCTCTTCTCTTCATTCCCACTCTTTCCCGGCGTTCTATCCTTGATCTTTCCCGTGCACGATTGACTATCGGCTTCGCTCTGTTCACGTTTTATCCGCTTCTTTTCTTTCCGTTCTTTCTTTTCCAACCTTTGTCGCTTCTTGGTCTCTTCGTTTTCTTCTTCTGTCTTCCGTTTCTTGCCCTTTTTTGTTGCTCCCGTCTGTTCTATTGGTCCTGATTCTGGTGCTCTTGCCTCTACAATGGCTTCGTCCTGACTACTACAAGGAGTAGGAGAGTTGGTGCTCGTGGTAATCGGCGACGAAATTGTGCCCTCGATCAAGCCGCCTCGCACAAAGCTAGCATACAGGCCGTAAGCACCACGGTACTTATTAGAGCCACGACCGCCAGCAGATAGAAGCTCAAGCCGCGTAACTGCGGTCGCATTTGGTGTATTCGCAGGAGCTGCCTTGCCTGCGGTCAGGCCTTTCAATTGCTGGTCGAAGGCATCGAGCCACCATTGATTGGTCGCAGCGGCCTGGCTATGGACAGACTGACTTCCAAGGCCTAGGCGATCGTCCTTCCGCGATAAAAGCAGCGGGCGAGCAAGGCCTACGTTATCGTCGGTTGCGTGCAAAGTGTATCCGAGGCCACGCCAGCCTTGTGATCGAAGTAGCCCATGAGCGTCCATCGGGACTTCTTTTGGGAGGAGCCGGTGTGACTGTAAAGCGAGCAAGTGGTGTACTTGCTGATTTCCTTACCCATGGCGAAAGCACGTTCAAGAAATGTTCCAGCCTTTTTTTCTGCCGTTTCTTAAAATTGGGACCGGTCCACATAAAATTACACCGACTAGAGTACAGACTCTATCCGTCTACCTGAGCCTTATCAACGCTGCAACCAAATGATAGGAGCGTATCATAAAGGCGGCACCTGAACCCACCAGCTTTTCATCCTCTCAAAACACCGAGGTTTGAGGTATACAAAATATGGTTTTTCCTGCAATAAGGGAAAGCCTTCTAGTAACATAGGAAAGAGTAGCAAAGCGAAGACAAGAAGGGCAATGGCAAAACTGCGGATGACTAATTTGATCGTCGCCACACTCCGGCGTTTTTGTATCATCCTCACGTGCGCTGCTAGTGTTGGCAGTCCTTCATCGGTGTCGGCAGCACCTGTGTTCTTTCCAGCATAGTACACATTTTGACTCTTGGTCAGGACGGTGACAGTTGCGGCATTTGGGCCGCTCTGGCCGTCGATTATTCTCTTTCCACTGGCACTGTGCATGCCCCAGTGGGGTTTGTAGCGACGTATAGCTGGCCAGAGGACGATCTTGATTTTGGCTATGCGGTTGAATAGTGCAGAGTCATGCTTGAGAACACTCTTGCTTGGTGTGTTTGCCGCTTTTGATGCGTTCTTGTCCTCTCGGATAGCGCGCTTCAGTGATGGTCCGAAAACATATTCGTCATCGACTCGGTCCTGGCTATGGTCGAGTTGTTGGCCGGGTTCGGGAAATTCGAGCTTGAAGATACTGGGCGACCATGCCATGCATATCGACGCATAACCCGCCAAGGCGATGATATCATGCAGTTGCTGGTACATGACCAGTATTCCGGTGCGGGGACTCTGTTTCTGACTTGTATGTGATGCCACTGCCAGCTGACGCTGTATGTTGAATAGCGGCAGCAGCATAGCGGCAGTTCCGGCCGTCAAGTGGTCAACCTTCTCCCAAAACCGTGGAGTAAGTATTTCTCCGTCGAGAATCTGGCGCACCTCTTCAGATCGCTTAAATTTACGAAAATATCCTTGCCTGTCAGTAATGACTCGAGATACTTGGTGCGGGAAAATGACCAGCCAGAGCTGTCTATGAGGTAACATTACCCTCTTCTTGCAGCATGTTCCGGTCCGCAGCGGATAGCGCATTATGGTGATGTTCACTGGCGCCAAACAACAGATCGGATGTGACATGCTCTTCCAGGACCTTTGCCACGATTCCCATAACCATGTGCGACCTCTGGCGGGGGTCAATCAAAAGAATTTCCCAACCACCGTCGTAGTCGTCTTTGCGTGAGATCTCTGCAGCGTAGTGCAGAAACTGCGGTGGCATGGCAGTTTCCCAGGGGCTCCATTTCTCGTTGCCTGCTGGCTTGGACATCTCAGAGCGAAAATGAGCGTGGCAAAAGGCGCGTATCAGATTGTGGAGTGTCACAAAAAGTAACACAAACCAGTCATTGTTCATGTCGGTATCCGGGTGCGGCACATGGAACTCGAGGCGCGTAGGCCTGAAGTTACGGAGATCGCGATGGATTGACACCTTCTGGCGTTTCTGCCTGAAGATGTAGTCTGATGTGCATCCGTTGAGTAGCTCATTATCGGAAATCGGCTCCCACTTGCTCTCAGTGATGCCGAAAGCCTCTACGGCTTCAGAAGGAAAGGTCCTGTGCGTCCTCTCTTGAAATCGTTGTGGATCAAAGATTACACCCATCGTTGTTTGAATAGCGCCTGTAGAGGAAACTCCTCGAGTAGTACGCGATGCTTGGACTTGGTTCGCCATAGTCGCGACTTGTCTTTTCCCTCTTTAGAAATACCTGTGTCGATCAAGTATCGTGGGTTCGAAAATGTTTGTTTGCAAGACTTCCGGCTCGACTCAACATCCTGAAAGTTTCGAGGGTGCTCGGCCTCTTATGTTGCCGCGCAAGTTGCAATGGTTAGGCTCCTTGTCCATTTCCGTTGTTTTCAGACGAGTAAAAAAATGTCCGAAAACAAATATACAACAAAGGGCGACTGAAAAGACACATGTTGGGAAAACGGTAAGAGCCCCCAACCCGAAACCGCATTAGCACGATCTAGAAGTAATACGTGCGAAGCTGTTGATATAGGATAGAAAGTCCGGTTTTCATCCTGTCGTCGTCCTTATATCGAGGTACCGTAATACCAGTACCCTTTCTCCTTCCTCTAAATAGCAGAGAATTTAGTACAACGCAGACAACTTTTACACAATCCTCTGTACTTGACAGCTCTTTATCCTTTCCATGAGATATAGCATTAAAGCTTTTCTTAAAAAAAAAACAATAACCTATCTTACATCATAGTGCAAAAGTAAGAAGCTATACTTTCCATTGTGGTAGGCAGGGCAGTATAACTAATTCGGATTTAGCGAATTTCCTTAGTACCACTTCCACACCTGCAAGGTCGTGGCCAGGGGAGTTGCAAGCAGTGCAATTTCGGGTTCTTCTTCTTTTATTGTCAGATGTGGGTAGGTTGTAAGATGTAGATACGACGTTTGAACCAAAAGCAGCACCACGAGTGAAAGTGGGAAAATTTAAGATAGATCGTCTGCAACATCTTGGAAGTTCAAGTATTCATTCGAGACTTTCTCTATTGGCAGAGAAAGAGGGTTTGTGCCACGTAGGTGAAACCTGCTTAAGACTGTTCGACAAAGTACCAAACCAAACTTGTGCGATAGCGGCTTTTGGGATGTGTTGGGCGTGGCAGTGTGTCATAGCGAGTTGCCAATTTCAATCCACGCAATATAGTCAGTCGGTGTTGTGGACATCGCAGTCATCGCAGATTGGAATCGGAGGCGTATGTTAGCATCTTTGTGGTACGATATGGCCCGTATAAGACGAGTGCTATGTACCCGTACAGCAATTATAACACGGTATTAAAAAAGCATCTTATATACTCGTAAGTTTCTAATTCCGTGTTATATTTTCTGTACGGGTACCCGTACAAATAGCAAATGCCCCCGTCTAAAACCAGCATAACAGCAACCGACTGGAAAAAGGTGAGTACAAAAACATATCGATCGTAAACAGCCCACATTATCCTTTAATTGATACAGACCTAGGATGTATGTTAGTAAAGTAGAAGAACGTAACAAATCGGAAACGATACTAACCCTATACTGCTTACTCTCATCATTTGCGGCTGTGTGCCGCGAATTATACTGATTGACTCTGCTGTAGATTTATCGAGGCGCTCCTCTGCCTTCGCTCTGTGTTCCACCATATCTTTCTGTAGTCGTAAGGCCCTTTGATTGCTTTCCTTTTCCCAGCGGGCGAACATTTTGGCCTGCGCCTTGTCATGCCGAGCGGACATATCGTCGAGCATTTGGTCTAGCCGAGCAGACATTATTTTCATGGCCTCCTCAAGTTCGGCGAGGTATACCGTGTTCACGGGAGGAAGGACTAAACCGCATAATAACTATCATAATCTTTTACAGTCTTTATTGAGAGATACTTTACATACCATGTTGTTGGAGTTGTGGATTCTTTGCAAAGTTGTCGGGGTATATTGTGCGAAAGACGCAAAAGAAGATAAAAATATTTTGGAGAAAATAAATCATCCCGAAGAGAGGAGAGGGTAGATAAGTATTAGAGAACCCGGGTTTGTAGAGAGCTCCTTCCTAATTTGCTGTTTTTATAACTTATTGGGTCGTTCTTTCCTTCGTTAAGCAGATCGGAAGTTTGTCGGAGGTAGAAGGCGTCTCGGACGCTTTTGGTAAAGTTCTACATATTTCTTGTCCACCGATACACTTTTCTTTACCACTACTTAGCCCTCTTTATCTTCTTCCGTAAAAATACCCATGATTTTGAGAAACATTTTGTCGATGTAAAAGGATGTATGTCATAGTAGATCTAAGTCTTAAGCTGGCTTGAGGATCTGCCGAAAAGGGCAATAGAGCTATTATACGGAGTACTCCGTAATCCGTACGGAACGGAGTAAGCACATGATCTGATGGTAGGGAATTTACCGACTTCTTTGGGGTCCACATCTGGTCACGTGGCTTCCCCGAAAATTTAGATCGACTTCGACCTCTTTGTCTGCCAAGTCGCTGTTCACCTCTAGCAGAGATTCATGTCGCCAGACACCGCACCATGACGATACGAGCACTGTCACAGGTCTCCGTCGCCCGAGTAAGATATATTGTGCCTTTAGAAACCTAACTTGTATGACGCAACGCGCTGACGTCACACAGAATGGCGTCGGTGCCTTCATCCTGCAGTGCAAGAAACTCGATTTCCACTACTGTGACTGGGCCGGCAGTTCCCGCGGCATGAAGTGAGTGCCAACGGCAGGCGCTTTCCAGTCTCGGCTTTTCTGACATTCACCAGCTCGTTCATCAAGACCAAGCTCTCCAAGTTCGCAGCACAGAATCCTGAAGTCGAGTTCACTGTGTCGCCTCGGCCGTCGCGGCACCCCGTCATCGTCGGCCACTACATCAACGGCAAGGAGCGGGCGATCTGCGTGCGTAACATGGACCCCAACCAGATTCTCAAAAAGGCCGAGCTGCTGCGAGACGCAACGGGCGAGGTGAACAAGAAGTTCAGCAAGCCGGTGACCAGCACCAACCAGAGTGTGCGTGGCGTGTGGAGTCCATACCACGGCTTCGGCATGCAGGTGTGAGGCAGTAGCATGCGGGTGAAATCTCGACAATGATGGGCCAATGTACGAGTATATATGTGTATAGCACCGCATGTGAACGACGAACAAAACAATGAGAGCAAGAGAAACCTTTTTTTTTCTACTTATGGCTATTGACGTTATAGGCACACTGTTCCAGGAGTGCTGACAGCCCTCCAAGAAGCCGTATTCGGCCTTTGGGTGTCGTTGTTCATACATATCCCCTCTACAGGTTGCTGTTGATAATATCAACAACTAGTAAGGACAGTCAGTATAAAGCAGGGCACAGCTACTCACAGGCAGCCTAACAAAAAAGGGGGGGTATACTCACAGGCAGGCTTCAGGCTGGCACCGCCGACCAGGAAGCCGTCGATGTCGGGCTGCTTGCCCAGGTCCTTGCAGTTCTTCTCGCTGACGCTGCCGCCATACAGAATGCGCGTGGCCTCGGCGACCTCGGCGCTGACGTTCTCCTTGAGCCAACCGCGGATGGCCACGTGGACCTCCTGCGCCTGTGCCGTGGTGGCCACCTTGCCGGTGCCGATGGCCCAGATGGGCTCGTATGCGATCACCAGGTTCTTCCACACGGCCGCGTCCGAGCCGAGGCTCGCCTTAAGTGCCGCCAGCTGGCCCGTCACCACAGCCACGGTCTCGCCCTTCTCGCGCTGCTCCAGCGACTCGCCGCAGCACCAGATGACCTTGAGGCCGTTGGCGATAGCGTACTTGGTCTTGGACGTCACGACCGCGTCCGACTCGGCCAACAGGCTGCGGCGCTCCGAATGGCCCAAAATGGTCCACGTAATGTTGGAGTCGATCAGCTGGTGCACCGAGATCTCACCCGTAAACGCGCCGTCCGGCTTGTCGTAGACATTCTGGGCTGCCACCTCGATCTTGTCGCTAAGCTTCTCGCGCACCAGCGAAAGGTACAGCGAAGGCGGGGCGATGACGACCTCTGGACGGGAACGTGTGTGAGAACAATCTTCCAGGCTTAGAGCAAGTTCGGGCTTTTCACTTACCAGTGTTGGGGTCTAGCGTAGCCTCGTTCAGGTTGTCGACAATCTTCTTGACGGACTGGACAGTCCCGTTCCTAGATGTTGCCGCAAGTGGTGGTCAGCATGGTGGAAACCCGTTGAAGCTATTCGCATATTTGCGGGGTTTCTTTTCAGGAACAAGCAGGTAGGATCGCGGGGTATTCGGAGAGGAGACGCGGGACCACTCACATCTTGAAGTTGCCGCCGACGAAAAATTGACGAGCCATGATGGGCAGATGTTCAATGAGCTATTCACTTGGTATAACGGGTATGAGGTTGAGGAGAAGCTGCAAAAGAGAAAAAAGGTTGGGGCCGTTGGCTTCTTGAGCTGTTTTATTTTTCCTCCCCCCCCCTTTCAGGTGGGATGAATTTAGCTGGCGCTACTACAAGCTCCACTAATTGGATGACTTTTGGCCTCGCTGAGCCAAATGTTATAGCACCACTTGGCAGTAAACAACTCATCTTACGATTCTTCCGTATAAGGGGGTCTATCGAGCATTATAAAATGCCATACACAAACAATGTACTCCGTAGATGGGTCTTTGCAGGCGGGGAACATGTTGGCTCTGCCAGCGACTCGCTGGTTCTACCGGCTCGTTCCGACATCCTCTTACAATTCGTTCAGCACGGCTGCAGCCCGGCCCATCTTCGTGTATATGCCGTCCTCCTCGGCTATACAGTTCTCTCTCGGTTTTTTATCGTCATTGCAGACAGCCGTTTTAGCAGTGCCGATAGATCTTCCCAAATCTGTCACGATCGTCCGGACGGCTGCAAGAACCCTGTAATGGTAAATCGCCCGAAACACCAGCTTCCTGCAAGTATAAGCCACAGCTTTTGGCTCGTGCAGCACCGTAAAGCACAGCCAAGCCGCTCGTAACGGCCAGTAAATACCGCGGTGCAAAAATCCATTCTAATGGCCGAATTGCAGCATACGTGATACCTCGCCTCCTATGTCACGCAACAGCTGACAAGTCCACCTCTTCTGTCACGATCAGCTAGCCCTATCGTGTTGCACCGCAATCGTATCTTGCTGTCTATCTGCGAGTACGAGCTCTTTTTAAAAACGCATCTTGAATGTGGCTTTGCAGGTTATCTTCTAGGGTTGTCTATGAATACAAGGGTGTCGGAGATTGTGGATCAATGTTCGTTCTGGTATGCTGTTCAGCATGCCATAGTGGTATGTTTCATGCATCGAGTCATATTTGGCCTGTCGCCTTTCTTGGCGACGAAGTGATTGTATCCGAAAATCGGTGTTGTGCGTAGTACATTGACAGTATGAACTGCATTGTTCTGGTCTTTCTCTGATATCTTCTATCGCCGTAGTCAGGTCTCCTATGTAGTATCTCAAAAATAAGCCGTAGTTATCGTGTCGTTCGCTCCTTCCGTGTTTTGCTATGCTATGCTACCAAGAAAAGCACAATGTCTTATTATGCGTTTGACAGATTTTCCATTCTCTCCCTTCCCTCTCTCCCCACCTCAACATTGAACTCTCTGTCATATGGGCATCGCAAAGCGATGGATGTCTATTTCACCACATTTTGGCGATTCTTGCCTTCCATTCTCGAGGAGATCTCCGACGCCGAGTATGTTGCCATTGACTTTGAGATGACTGGCATCAAGCTTCGGACTGCAGACAAGCATTACAGAGCTACTACTCAAGAGGAAATATACCAGCAAAGTAGAGAAGCGGCTCATACCTTTCAGGCCATCCAGTTTGGAATCACTTGCCTTCATTACAGCGCGGACCAAGGTTGCCATCACCTGCCACCAGTGCTTCACGTAGGGTTTGCATAGATTCGCACTCCTTACTAACTAGAGAGTGTAGATGCGTATATTGCGTCCTCTTACACCTTCCACATCTCTCCCATGTTTCCAAACGACACTGTTGGTAATATTCTTGCAGGAATGGTCGACCGCTTGCTGGTGGTCTCTTATTCCTCACTCCTTTTCTTGAAGTACAACGGAAATCGGCTGGAGGATTCATATTTTGATGGCATCCCCTATCTCAGCCGCGAGGACGAAACGAATACCAGTAATGCGTTCCTCTGTATGGACAAAGACCCTAGCAGAGACGATATCGATCTTGAGATTCAAGATGAAGAAACCAAAGCTTTCTATAACGAAACTAAAAGGCTTGTCAGACTCTGGGACGAGGACCCCGAAGGCGTAAGAGAAGACCAATTGCTCTTCCCACGTTGTACTAGACTCGAATCCTAGCTAACGGGAAGATAGGATAATTATCTCAACGTTTCCAACCCGTATGGAGACCGCATCAACCGGTTTCAGCAACGCCTGGTGCATCAATTGCTACACAATGAGTTTCCTGGAAAGTTCCGGGGCTACTGCAAGTTCAACACATTCATGCAGATTTCGAAAGTACAGGACCAGGCTGATATGAAAGTAAGGGGCTCGATCATCTGTCCTCACTCATAGCATTTTTGGGACTTCACTGACTTTCGTTTAAAGTTCAGGAAAGAAAGAGACGAAAGTCGGCTTGCCTGCTTAAAGAGCCAGAGAGGTGCGAAATCAAAGGCCGAAGTTCCAACGTGGACTTTAGCTAACTATGCAGGACTGAGATATATCTTGGAGGCTGTATGATCAAGCCTCTAATACGGGCATATTGCCAACTTCCCTCGATCTATGATTTTCAGGAGACAAAAGCTAATGCCAGGGTTTTCAGTTGGTTGGGGGTGACTTTGCCATGGATGCTGCAGACGTTGCTGAGCTAGATGACGATGCCACAAGCCGCAACAGCCTGAGGACCCAACTAAAACGCTGCGAGTGGAAGTTAAAGCAGCGGCAACCAGTGCTTGTCGGCCACAATATGCTTGTAGATCTCTGCTTCCTGTACCGGACATTCTTTGAAACACTGCCTGAAAATTTATCAGACTTTAGCCACAAGATCCACGAGCTTTTCCCCCGGATCGTCGACACAAAAAATCTTGTGGCTCGAGGCGGACACGATATGCACACGGTAAACAATCTTCAACAACTAAGTACAGAAGCAAACAAGCTGCGCAAGCCAGTGATTTTGCGTTCACACCAACGGGGCCGTACCGGTTACAAGGACGATAGTGCTCATCATGCGGGGTACGACAGTAGGTTATAATATAACTGCATTCCAGGCACTGTGATACAATGCTAAAATTATCTGACGTACAAAAGGCAACATGACTGCTACACTTTTTGTCAAGAGGACCTGGCAAAAATACAGTGAAGGCCCTGACGACAACTCGAACAATGCAGGCGAAGAAACGGCACCGTCTTCGCCCACACCAGCTTCCAGTCGCCGCAAAACTTGTCCGAGATTGCCTCCCTGGGAAAGTGATTTCTTCCGAGAATACGGTAACAAGCTACGAGTTGGGAACACTGGAGTACTGGAGCTAGAGTCATGGTCCACATTGGTGGACGAAACGTGAAAGTGTGGATGTCTTCATGGACGAGTTCTTCATAAATAATGCAGATGTCCGCGCACTATATGCGGGATATCGTTGTTCTTACAAGATACATGATTGTGTACAATAGTGCTTTCAGAGCCTATTTCGAGCATCTGATCATGCCTCTGCGCTGTGAGATGCGCAGCTTTATTTTTTCTCTTATTGCACTCGATCACCTCTCTGGCATTGCGTGTTTCACGCCCGAATAGTAATACCATGGGAGCTCTTTGGCGAGCTCTTCTTTGGTCAGCCATTTGAAGTCGGTGAGGCCAGAGGTGTTGCCCTCTAGATTAGCCTGACCGGCCATGATGCGGCCCTTGAGGAAGAAGGTCTTCTCGCCATCAGTGGCATCTGTGGACTGGACAATATGGGCAATAGGCACGCGGCCGACAATCCAGGTGTTCATGTCAACACCAGCAGCGGATTCCAGTGCCCGAGCAGCCGTCTGAACGCGATGATTAGTAATTATGTCAAAATTAGTAAGCAGGCGTGAAACCAAGTCGCAGCACAAACATACCTCGTGCAAGTTCTCGTTGGTCTGCACATCAGCCGTGGGAAAGCCCCAGGTGCCGTCGGCGCCACGAACGACGAGGTACAGGGTCCGGTCCAGGCGACGGTCAAGACGACGAGGATTGGCGCCTTCTCCGGTGGTGAGATCGCCGTCGGCAGCGGTGGTGCGAGGCTGCGGCCGCTCGACGCGGACACGGTCTGCCTCGCTGAGGCGTTCGCCGTCCTCGCTGACGCGCAGATCAGCATCCGAGATGATGCGCTCACGCAAGCGATCGGGCTGGGTGAGCTCGGTGGCGAGGGGGTCGTCCAGCGTGAGCTCATCGTCCCAGGCGCGGGCGCCTCCACGGCCGTGGCCACCCTTGCCACCCTCGTAGCTGCCAATATCGCGGGCAGGAGTTCCGCGTCGATCGCGCAGCTGTAGACGCCAGTCGAGAGCCGGGGTAGTGTCAGGCTTGAAGTAGACGTTCTTCCGGAAGGAGCCGCTGAGCCGCTCGTTGAGGCGCTTCTGATAGAGGTAAAAGGCCGACTCGAACGCGGTCGGCTCGCGGGTCAGCAGTGGCGGCCGGCTGAGCAGCAGCCCAGCCCGTATGCGAAAGCCCGGGTGCGAGACTGCCACGGGTTCCTCTCTTGACGCGACTGCGGCAGCTGTGGAGGGTGGTGATGGGGACGGCTCCGCTTCTGTTGCGGCGGCTGCCGAGTACAACCGCCGTGATGTGGCCGGCCAGCTGAAGAAGAACGGACTGCTACGGGTTTGTGCACAGCGAGCGCAGCTGGCCGTTCGGGATTGTGCTGCGGCGGCATGTCAGAGACGTGGTGCCATGCTATACATATATCCTCCCGTCTTCGGACCACGAAATGGGAGGCTGAAGAAAGGCACGAGGGGAACAAGACGTACCGTGGAACAGGGCAGAAACTGCCTGTCCGCCTCTGCTTGTGGCCGCCATACTTGCCCGTATCTCGTGAGGGAGAGCTGGCTTACAATGAGACCACTCGCTCAGCCAAAATTTACCAGATCAAAACTTTTTTCACCCGCCAATTGAAGAGCTTCGGTTGGCCCTGAAATCTTCATACTGCCCCAAACCACGGCCAGGCGATCTCGGAACCGGATAAACACTAACCCGACAACGGCTAATGCCCGTCTTAAATATTCTCGGTCGTTCCCACATCACTAAAATTTTCTCTCTTTCTCTCATCCATGGCATTATACCTTATCAGGAAGACCGCACAACCTATCTGTATACCCAGCGCGTCTTCCTCATTTCAAGATGCCGAGAACAAATCCCAAGAGCGTCCCAATTCGCTAGCGGCTCCTCATGGCAATATACAACCTGGATGCTGTTAGATAGAAGACTTTCACATTAACACATGCTGCTTGATCAAGTTTGCCAGCGGGCTCATGGATATTCATTCAGCATTACTCCAGAACTGAGCTCGATCAGCATGACCACTTTATCCCGTGCTTTGTTAAAATTTGCAGACGAACGTTTTGTATACAAAAGAATATGCAACTGGCCTACGTCTACAAAATATACAAAAACCACACCCATTCCGCGATACAAAACTATGCTTCCCACGACACTAACGCCCCTCTTGCCGGCCCGTTCCAAACCAGAAAAAAAGCCGACAGAGTCGGCCGTCGTCCTCTAATTAAAAGAAATAGCACAAAAAACGCCAGATTGATCGGAAGAATATCACAAGCCGTCTTCCCTTGGGGTATCCAACCTGAATTCCGATGCCGCCTGAGAAAACGCCAGCCTAACAAAGCAGTCTCGACTTGGATGATGCCGTCGTGTCGTTTTCATTTCAAATATGTCGTTTCTTGTTTGCATGAGTTGTATCCTCGTGCCTGGTCAAACTCATGCCGATAGGTCGGCAACTGCTTGCGCCACCTCTTTCGATGCCTTCTTCTCCCAAAGCTTCCGCGTTTCCGAATCGGCAGCCACTGGGTTGCTCACCTCCTCGTAAAGTTTGTGGGAGACGTCGCGGTTGATAGCGGCATACTGGTCGGCGGTGAGCTGACTGGATTTCCAGTGCGGCTTCAAAGCTGCTCGAACGATACTGCTGATGCTTTCCTTCATCTCGAGCGAAAGTGGATTCCGTGATGGCGATACGTCTTCTGATCGCGGCAGCGCTATGGTCGGCCTTCTCTGGGGACGTGGCTGCCGAAGCTCCGTAACAAATGTCGAGCCGTTGTGGTTAGCACTGGCTTGATTTACTAAGCTGCTGATGTTGCCATTGTTGTTTTCGGAATCACTGTGATCGCTTCTTGGACTGACTGCTGATCGTGTTGGTGAGTAGTTTGCTGGTGGATATATTGGTTCGATGTGGGAGCTCAACAACGTAGGCGAGCTCGGCCTAAGTGCTCGGTGTGGCGGTGGTGTAGTCGACATTGCCCGTGGGCTGTTATGTGGCGAGGCAGCCGGCGATGAGGCGACTGGGGAGGACGGGTCGATTACGAGGCTAGGCCGAGGCTCTCCAAAAAGGTTGCGGATGGTTTCGTCGTCAGAAGGTGTGCTCGACTCGACCTCTTTGAGCAGCGAAGACAGAAAAGAGCGAGGCTCGCCGTCGGTCTGAGGCGTTCTGGACGGTAGTGTTGCTGCAGCCGAGCTGCTGCTTCCCGACGCGATAGCTGATATGGCAGCTGGAGCATCGCTGCTCGATCCAGGTACTGCCGATTTGGAAGAGGACGGTTCGCCGGGGGGTGCCGTGATACGACGAGTGCGAGGCCGTTTCAGCTTTCGTTCCGGTTCTTGAACGGGCTCCACAGGAGAAGCGGTAATAGATCGAGCCTTGCGTTTCCGAGCAGCCTGGCTGCTTACGTCGCAGTCCCGTGCTCTCTCAAAAGCACCCCACGACCTGATCTCTTCGCGGCTCTGTTGGACCGTTGCCGTCTGTACGCGTCCATTCTGCGATGCAGCAGTGTGTCGGCCTCCGCGCTGCAATATGGCGCTTGGTATGTTTCGCTCAAAGACATCTTGTGCTCCGAGACGACGGGCTATGTCCAGCCTCTCTTGCCAGCGCTCGAATTCCCGACGCTCGTTATTTCTCAATTGCTCGGCGCGACGATAATCCTCCAGAGATTCGTCCTCGTCGTGGTCCAGGTCGATGTTCAGCACATCCCAGATCCGCCCAGTGATTTGACCCCAGGCGCCCTGCCACTCGTCTGACTGGGCACGCCGTCTCGCACGCCGCATGCTCTGCCTGGTGCGGGGGAAAAAGTCGTTCCGCGCCCGCTGGGGGCCTAGCCTGCGCGGTGCACCGGCAAACAGTTGCCCATCGGTAGCTGCACCCGGGATGGCTTGGCCAAGGAGATCGATGCACTCCATACAGAACCAGGCGCCTTGGGGCACGTTCTCGAGGCCAATGCAGTGGGTATGATACGGGGTATCACACCCGTCACAGAGAAGTAGGACTTCTTCATTGTCGGCTAGGTTGCATACTGGACAAGGAGTGGAAATGTCATCGGCCTCGACCTCTGCAAACTCGTCCAGCCATGCCTGTGGGTCAAATTCGGCGACCTGTTTCTTATCTTGGACTTTGTAAGATGACAGTAGATTGCCTATTTGCAGAGTCCTGAGTTAGTTTTGTCAAAAGCCACAGACGGGATAACAGCCCGGTATTATACGGGTAGCCGAACTACGAGGCAGAGAAACATCTGGTGGTGGGTACGAACCTCCGATTTTGTCATATACACAAACTGAGTGGAACGTCTGCCGACAGATTGGACAGCTGTTGGCCTTGCCCGACCATTCTCGTAGACAAGTATCATGCAGAGTATGCCCGCAAATTTGAATAACAGCGACGTTGTCATCCCCGTGACTAACACCACCGCTGTCGCTGGCAGCTTGCAATCGGGGATGGGATGCACCATCAGCATCCTCTTTAAACGGCCCGGTATTGTTGGTAGTATCACCGATAATAGCGCCGCTCGCTATGGCGCTGGTAGCATTGGGGCTGTTAGGGGCAGGCTTCACTTCTTCGGGCGGTGGTGGGGGTTCTTCAGCGTGCAGTAAGGGGTCTAGGCAAACTATGCACTGTTCTGCCATTGTTTCAGTGGTCTTTGCAGCGCAAGCCGCTTCTTTCTTCGCATGAAAAATGGTGGCAGGAGGGAGGATAAGACGATTCTGAAGAGAAAGAGAAATTGTAAAAGAGAAAGAGAAGCAAACGCGAGAATTTTGCGAGAATTTAAAAGAGAAAATGTGAGTTTTGCAGGTACTGATTGTTTTGCGTCGGCAAATTCTTTGGATGCTGCCTTCGAAAGGAGCCGTTGCTCTGGGGGGTATTTTGCCACTGTTCCGCGAGTCGTGGGTAGTAATAGGCAGACTTGGGCAGAGGGAGAAGAAAAGAGGAAGAATGGAGGGCCTGTCCGCAGTGGTAGCAGATTAGACCGGAGAGGGGAAAAATATAAAGGCGAAAGGGGGCCTAACGCCAAAGAAGGCAAGTGATGGTCTGTGCGGCAGCCTGCGAACAGAATGGCTCTTTCCGACGAGAGACGAAAGTGGTCCTATCAGACTGGGTCGAAAGTTGATTCTAAATCTCCGCCTTCCGGTCCTCGTCATGTTTATAGAATGGGAAACAAACCAATGATGATTAAGCAGAACACGGTCATGCTGCAGAGGCAAGACGTATCGCATCTTTCCACACCCCCACGTTCTGCTCCTCGGTGCCTATCGCCAAATATAGTGCATGGACAGGCTTGCCTGACACGAGCTTCTGGGCGACGCCTGGGGCAGCGTCGCTCTGATTAGCCTTGACCCGTCGTCTCAGTGCATCTTAGTCGTATTACTCTGTAGATTCAGCCACTGGACATTCGGCGAATACGAGATCATATAAGGTGGATACGCCAGCGCGTCAGATGAGTGTTTCTCGCGCACATCTGATCCATGCGAAGAGAACAGTGTGCTTTAGAGAATGCACGCGACGCATTGAGCTGTCACGGTCTGGACAGACTCCCAACTCCCCTCCTTTTTCTGCCATCTGCCCTAGGCCGAACAGGTGGATCCCGCATATATGCACAGCTTGTCTACCAAGTGTCTTGCGTCTTTTGCGTTGCGTGCTTGTGTCTGCCTTAGGCGCATGTCCGTTCTGTTTCACTGGCCCGCATCGCTAGTAATAGTAGTCTGACGTTGTGTGAGATAAGGGCAGCTCTGGCTGGGTTTGGCATACCCCAACATGCCCCCCACCCCTGTGATATACTGGTGCTGGATGCTTAGTCGATCGGCGTTCCCTCTCCCAAAATAGACACTGCGGACGTCGAGGTCAAGAGGGGCAGGCATGATACTGCTGCTATTATCAGCTTGCTCGCAAATTGACCGCCTTTCCCGAAGCGCCCGGATCGGACGAAATAGACAAGAGGCATATGACACCGACAACACACCTCCGATCTCCACTCTCCCGCGCCCGAGGGAATAAGGAAAAAGAGCAATTTCAAGACGTCATGTTGCGATGCCATATCAGTCAAGGTACAACCCCATGAACCGCCGGCTCGCCATTCAGCCGCCCAGGTGAGATACATTTCAGCCCTTCGTCAAAAAAGTCCACGGCCGCGACTCGCTCTTCAATGGGGGAAAACTTTTTGATTCTGAACCGATTTGATGCAATTTTTTTTATTGTGTCGTCGCCCTTACATCGAGGTGCTGTAAAACCAATACCCAGTTTTCGTCCCCCCCAAATAACAGAGAATTGAGAACAACATAGACCACGCCTTTCCTCTATCCCATCCACCGCTTTATACCTCGGCAATCTCGCGCAATCTCCGCAGGGTCGACCGCGTAGCAGCAGCGGCAGGGGTCCTGTGAAGCAATAATTAGTACGCCGTCGAAAGTAGTCAGAGACGTGGCTCAAAGTTGGTGGTATGAAGGTCCCGGGGCTTGTGTGTGGTAATAAACATACGAGACGACGTAAGCGCCACCAGCTATGAAAAGTTAGTATTGGTCCAGTAAAAGTCTGGGAAGGTTGAAAAGAAAAGAAAAAACGTACCAATGCACTTCTTGCAAGACTTGCACTGCCAGATGCCGACCTATTCAGCAACAACCATATTAGTATCTTTTTAACCAAAAATACCGTATCATCAGGCGAAGCAGCAGCTATGCAGCAGCATCGAAGGAGTCTGAGGGGACACTAACAGAGGTCCGCTTCACGGTGTTCTTGGCGCAAAAGGCGCAGATGTAGCGAGCTATTTCGAGTGTGAGTTATATTTTCGCGACAAGAGACAGGCGATCAGCCGTCTCGAGTACAGAGGCATCGTTCACGCACCATGTTGGGTGATCTAAGAGAATAAGTGTCAGCATTTATTAAGAAAACTCAGCGGCAAGCAGGCAGCAGAAGCTTGATATCAACTTACTTCGCTCTTCTTCACCTGCTTGCGGAGGGAAGCACCGTATCTAATTGAGCAATAGTGTCAGTAAAGCCATCTCCCTCCTTCGGTAACATCTCTTCCTTCGGTGACATTTCTCCTCTTCGGACCATTCGATGTCGTCTGCTGAGCACAATGAAAAGTCTCCGGCCATGCTGAGAAAAGTCGTGGCACTTCTAGCCATTGGATCGTCTGAGTGAGCTATTGGCTGCATGCATATTTTCGTCGCTATTCGTCGTCCGACGTTTGCTCGAATGGTGCTCGCTTGTCGCTGCTCTTGACCGATCCTCCTCTTTCATCCATCTTCGAAACACCGCTGGGAAAAGGGGGAGAGTTCGCATCTCACCTGGTACCGTAACGGCCAGTGACGCCGACCTTCTTCGTGCTAAATAACGAATGTCAGTGCATTTGCTCAACACCGCTGCCTAGAGGCCGAAAGCCACAGTATAGCCATAGAACGGGTATCATATCCATACCGCTTCGTCATTTTGATTTAGGGAGAGAGAAATTCGGTAGGTGAGGGTGAAGAATTTATCTCGTCTGGTATCGTGGAGGTGACTTTTTTTCAATAAACTCAATCAGAGGGGAAAAGTATTGGGTTTTTCGAATATTACCTTAGGGCCGTTCTATGAAAATGTGTGTCGGAATTTTATATGATCCGGGTCATGTGACCGGAGCAAACCTAATTACTCCGTATTATGAGGGCTCCAGAATCAGACGCCAAGAATTACTCCGTATGCTAGGCTACTAAGCCTATTAGTGTGAAGATGCCCGATTGAGGCAAACCACGGCCCCTTGCTCCAGCGACAGCAAAGAAGTCATGGCAGCTGATACTGTGAGCCGATTATCTATTGAGGTAAACAAGATATCAAAGAGCGAACTGAGAGGAAGGGACACGGTACAGCTTGGCTCGGTCTGATTTACTGCCAACTCACAAGTGGTGTATTATTGGCTTTTAGGTCTAACCTCATCCGACTTGTATGCAGCAACGGACAAAACTACAAGTACCTGATGCTTTATTGTAGTTTCCTTCTTTCCAAAATATCTTGTTCAGTATACCCAGTAGACATCTGTCCATATACGTGATTTCCAGAAACTTCCCAGCTACAAGATGACGCTTAAAACGCACGACCGTCCGTACGACATTGTCGTCTTTGGCGCTTCCGGTATGACGAAAAGAGGGTATTTTAGGCCGAAATTCACCCCGCTAACATCACGTCACCAAAGGATACACTGGTGCTTGTGTGGCTGAGCACATCACGGCAAGCTTGCCAACGACGCTGAAATGGGCGCTCGCTGGTCGCTCTCACGACAAGCTGACCAGGCTGGCCGCCCAGCTGAAGGAGTTGAATGCTGACCGCAACCAGCCAGGTAAGCTGACCCGACGTGGTCCTTGCCGTATCACAATCAGGCGGATTGGAGCTGACGCGGGGATTTCGGTACACTCAAGCCATCGAAATCGTTGCAGCCACCGACGAGGATTTGGACAAGCTGGCCAAGAAGACGTTTGTGCTCATCACCACCGTGGGCCCATACATCAAATATGGAGAGCCGGCATTTCGGGCATGTGCACAGAACGGCACCCATTATTTTGATGTCACAGGAGAGGTGCCCTTTTCTGCTCGCATGATTCGCAAATACGAAGCCGCAGCAAAACAATCCGGTGCGATCATGCTGCCCCAGTGCGGAATTGAGTCGGCCCCGGCCGATCTTGTCACCTGGATGGTTGCAAAGACTATCCGGCAGCAGCTTAAGGCCAACACTGCAGATGTGACCGTAGCCATGTCCCTGAGGCGAGTCTGCATCATTAGGCGCGTCTTGTCGACTTCTTCAAGGTTTCCTGACACCGGCACAGGGCGGCTCCTTCTGGTGGCACACTCAATACTGTATTCACTGGCGCTGAGTTAGTCACTCTCAAGGAGCTGCGCGAAACCATGGCCCCGTTCGCACTGTCGCCAGTGCTCAAGAACAATCCGACGCGGGGCCAGTTCTCAATTCTCCAGTTGCTGACGGGCATCATCCGGGTTCCGAACCTTGGCTTGCTGACGACTGCCTTGGCCGGCTCTTCTGATGCGGCCCTCGTCGAGCGCACATGGGGTCTGCTCTCAAGCACGCCATCCCGGGAGCAAGAGTCTTACGGGCCCAACTTTTCCTTCTGCGAATACGCGCGTGTGCGAAGCCGTCTCCAGGGCTTTATCATTCACTGGGGTTTGGCTGTTGGCAGCGTCCTCCTGTTCACGCTGCCCCCTTTACGCTGGCTCGCCAGGCGATTCGTCTATCAGCCAGGCGAAGGTGCCACAAAAGAACAGAGTAAGAGGGACCGGATCGAATGTCGCGCAATCGGCAATCCAGACTTCGACGTCGCTACCGAGACTGGGAAGCCACGACAGCAGGCTTTTGGCCGGGTATTGTACAAGGGAAGTATCTATGCGCGTATGTGAAACTCCTCAGTACTTTTGTCGCTCTTGGCGTATGAATTTGCTGGCTAATCGTCATAGTCACCGGCGCTCTCGTGGCCGAGGGTGCCCTGACGGTGCTAGAAGATGATGTCCGGCTGGACGGAGGCATCTATACTGCAGCCCTTCTTGGCCAAGGGTTTATCGATCGACTTGAAAAGGCAGGCGTGGAATTTGAGGCAAAGGTGATTGATGTCAGTGAACAGTAAGCAGATTCTCCAGAGGGGTGCAGATGCTAAGGTAAGGCGACCCACAATATTGAATTGAGCCGTTCTGGCCGCCCCATGTTCTTTCAAAAAACCCACCTTAGCTCCACTTCATTACGTAGCTGCACACTGCAGAAAAAAAGCTGTCACGTACTCTGTAGTCGTGAGGAAAGGGAAACTAGTGGCAACCGACTGCTTTGTTTCTCGAACTATTTTCCCAAGCGACGGCCCAATTCCTCATACACCAATGTGATTAATTTATTGTATACCACTTTCACGAGAATTCGACAGTTCCTGCATTCATCCACACTAGCGAAAACCTTGTCTCCCCAACTGGGCCCCATAGCGACTGCAAAAAGGCTGAGAAAGGCGGCTACGGTGAAGATATAAAGAGGCAGTGTAGCACAAACACACACAAATACCACCTCCCAGTCACCATCCGCCGTCTCTTTTGTGCAGGGTGATGGCTGCTGCCGTGTCTGAGAGCTCGCCTCTTCTGCAAAGTGGCCCTCAATCACAACAAGACCAGACCGAAGAGTCCACGCGTATAGGAAGCACTCCACTGCCAGCTGCTGCTACTCTGACGACGACAACAACATCGCTGACTTCGCCGTCCGCTCTCGCCCGACCCAGCTCTGGTTTCCGCCCCAAGTCTTCGCGTTCTGTGACTTTTGACCCAAATCCTGTTTCTCAGACGATCGACCTCTCTCCAACAAGTTCGCCTCCCAACCACGAGCCACTGCCAGCATTCTCACGCTCTCGTCGTCGAAATGCCTCGTCTACGACTGCTGCCACATTGCCGGCTATAAGCTCCTCGGAACCGACGCCTTACGGATCAATGTCTACCATATCGAACACACCGATGTCTGGAAGTGGCACGGGCAGCAGCGGTGGCGGTCCGCCGGTGCTGGCAGCAATAAACAACCGGCTGCGGCGTCGCAATAGTTCTAGCTCTGCGCCAGTCCACGGCCAGCAGCGTCAGCAGCTACAACAGCTTCATCAACACCCGACGGCGCTTCCCAAGATCGGTCCGCAACGGACGTCCAAAAACGCCCAAAAACTCAAGCTGTTGCCAAATCCCGAGTTTGGTGACGAAGGCCCGGATGAAGAAAGTGGTCGGGATGTGTATAGCCAGTACACTCGGATCAAAGATCCTACGGCACGTCGAGATGCTGCCTTCTTGGGCAAGGCTGACCGTGGCCGGCTGCCCCGTGTCACTGCGTATTGCACGGCAAACCGGTATCAGATGGACGGGCTCATGCGCTTCCTCAAGGGCCGCAGCAAGACCCGCGGTGCAAATCCGAAATTAATTGACGAGTGTATCTACACGCCATACAACTACGACTACGGCAAGGGCAACACCAACAGCAGCAGTGGTGACGGGAATGCCAGCCGCAAACAGCGGGAACCTGAGAACCACCAACAGAGGGACCGGCAACAAGAACAAGGATGGGAGCCAGAACGCGATGCACAGTCGTCCGTGGTACCGTCTTCTTTCCAACATGAGCGTCGGCATTCAACAGGCGAGGTTGATTCAGTCAGCCCTACGCAACTTCGTCGAGACGATCTGATGGACCTCGAAAGAGGCAATCTGACTGAGGGCGATAACAGTGCAAACCACGGCCAAGTTGTCGACGAGGAGGCAGTGGGCGATGAAGCGGTACAGAGCCACAGTCCTGGCGAGAGCAACGGGCTAGATCGGTTCTACGGAAGCGAACACCGTGAAAACCCATACCAGTACCAGGACCATTGCCAGGACCATACAGAGGAACACGAGCATATACATGAGGTGAGCGAGCAGATAAATGGTGGTGGTGACGAGGCAGTGGACTTGGACATCCACGTGCGGACGCCAGAGGTGTTTCTGTTTGACTACGGGGTGGTGGTGATCTGGGGTATGTCGGAGGCGCAGGAGCAGCGCTTTCTCAAGGAGCTGGCACGTTTCGAGACAGAGAAGTTGGCGCCGGACGACGTGGAGGTTGAGTTTTTCAACTTTTACTACACACGCGAGTACCAGGCGCGCATCTACAACGATTTTATTGCGCTGCGCGACGACCGGAGCAGCAGCTACATGACGAAGTTGGCCATCTCGCATGCGGTGGCGCAGAGCGTCAAGACGTCGCTGTTTGAGGAGCTCATCGCGTCGACCGTCGAGACCTGCAAGGACATCCCGACGCAGATCGCCATGACGGGCACCATTGCGCTGAGCCGGTCGCAGATCAACATGCAGATCGGCGAGCTGTTTATCCTGCGCATCAACATCCACCTCAACGGGTCTGTCCTCGACACGCCGGAGCTCTTCTGGGTCGAGCCGCAGCTGGAGCCCGTCTACCAAGCCGTGCGCAGCTATCTCGAGATGGACCAGCGCGTTGGGCTGTTGACCCAGCGCCTGGACGTGATTGCGGACCTGCTGGCGGTCCTGAAGGAGCAGCTGAGCCACGGCCACGGCGAGAAGCTCGAGTGGATCGGTACGTTTCTTTCTTTCTCCCCCTCGCCCCTCTCCTGTTGGCCATTTGCTTCAGGACTGCCTGCTGACTAACAGTGATCGTTCTCATTGCGGCCGAGATTCTCGTGGCAGCTATCAACATTGTCGTCGACGTGTACGCGGGCGAATAGAGACGGGATATGAGAACCGTCGTGATTGCTAAGGAAAGGCGATGTTGACCGGGTCGAAGGTTGTAATCATACCCCATAGACAAAGCATGAAAGAGGAGGGTGGGCTTTGCTTCGCAGTACAATTTGTAGAGATGCTAGACGGAAGCAGGCCACCAGGGTGTTTTTACAAGCGTATATATTCATTGCAAGGTTCGTTTTACCTGTATTATGCAAAAGTAGGAATTCTATCCTTCATGCACAATGTCCGCAGAGATCGATCCCATTTCGCAAAGTCTAGTTATACATACTTCCTGTTCCGAGTCCAGCCCTGTCCCCTTTCCCTGTAAATAAAAGCACGCACAAACGAGCTAGAAAGAATACATATATGGCCCCGTTCACCTTCCAACAACATTATTCCTTGCTGTCAATCGACGGCGCCGCATTCTCGTCAGCCATCTCCGTGTCTTCCTCCTTGACGACACGTTTGGCCGATTCCTTCTTTTCTTCTCCGGCCTTGGCATCCTCGGTTTCGGCGTTGTGCTCACCCTCCTTCTCGGTGTCGTCTCCCTTGTCCTTTTGCTTCTGCTGCCGCGCATCCTCCTTGGCCTTCTTGTGCTTCGCCAGCTCCTCGGCTGCGCGTGCCTCAAACTCGTCCTTATGGCTCTGAGGCATGTCCGTCCAGCCACGGGCCAGATCGGCCTCGATGCTGCTGCTGCCCGCGCCATACTCGACAGCGTCCTCCATGTCGACATCGTCCGCTTCGTCGCCGCCGCCCATCTTGGCCTTCTCCTGCTTCTTTTCGGCCAGGCCGGGTCGTACCTCTGCGCAGTACAGCTCGAAGCCGTTGACTGGCCGCTTCAGCGGTCCCTTGGCCATCCCGTTGGCGCCGTCCTTGTCCTTGTCTCCGCCGTCGACCTTGCTATTCTTGTCCTTGACTTTGTCCTTGCCCTTGCCGCCGCTCTTGGCCGATCCCTGCGTTTCCAGGGTCTGGCTGTCCACATGGTTGCTGGCCGCATCCGAGTTCGGTGACTGCGCCTGTAGGTTCTGGTTGATAAAGGTCGTGGCAGTCGAGCCGGGCTCGCCGCCGATGCCGGTAAGCGAGGCTTTCCTGTGTCCACGCTTCGTCCTCAGAGGCTTGTCTTTCGGCTGTCAGACAAGAAAGGAACAGGGTTAGAGAAGCAATAAAGGGCCACGCGAAGAGCGGTCGAGAGGGCTTACGGTCGGAGGCGGGCTCGGGCTGCCATCGGAATCCTCCACATTGGCGCTGGTGCGCTTGGCGAGCTGTTCGAGAAGAAAGGCCCGCTCGAGGCGCTGCTTCTCGACCTGTCGCTTCAGCCTGGCCAGGCGCACACGCACGGCATCATTCGTCTCCTCGACATCAGCCATACGCTGCTTCAGCAGACCGCATTTCCTGCGGTAGGCCTCCTCGACGGACGGCGGAAGGGACTGGGCGGAAGAAGCTAGGGATGGCGACAATCAGGGTCAGCATAGAGAAAACTGGCGAGACCAGGTGAGGCCATTCTTACGGGGAGCCATGACGACGAAAATAAGAAGCTCAGCTGGCGTAGGATGCGAGAGCGAAGCCGAAATCGCGCCGAGGTCAAAAAGGAAGGGAAAAGGAATGCAGTATAACGATTGGACCTGGAGGAGCCACCTTGTTGCGTAGCGGCAGTGACGGTGAAGCTGTGCTCGATACACGGATGGCGCCCTGGATGAAAGTAGCAAACAACGACTCGCGACAGGCTAACAGCCTTGCTCCCTGTCTCAATCTGGCGGCTCTCGGATTAACATTCTTGCCATAGACGCCCATTGCCGGACCCACTTTCTGGTGCGCCGGGCCCCTATTCGTAAGGCTTCAGTATTCTGTGAGCTCCATAAGTTTTTTTTCATCGCCCCGCCAGCGAAGCTCTTCGCACCTAAGATCCCACGCACACTCACGCAGCCTACACCGCAAACTCGAGACAACGGCTTCAGCGTCTTCGAGAGTCTGTCAGCATGTCTCTCAACATACCCAACGCGCCGAATGCAGGCCTGTTCAAGCAGGGCTACAACAAGTGTGTCTGGCCGCCAAGTTTCCCCTCCATAGGCCGAGATTAGGTTATCCCCCACCTGTTACTGACACGTGTGGCTGTCTGCAGCTATGACTCGGAAGACGGAGCGGTCCTCCGCAACATCGATGCCTGCCGTGCCATCTCGTCGACGGTGCAGACATCGCTGGGTCCGTACGGCCGCAACAAGGTGGTGATCAACCATCTCCAGAAGATGATCCTGACGTCGGACGCGGCAACGATTCTGCGGGAGCTCGACGTGGTGCACCCGGCGGCCAAGCTGCTCGTGATGGCCAGTCAGCAGCAGGAGGCGGAGATGGGCGATGCGACGAACCTGGTGATTGTGCTTGCGGGCGAGCTGCTGCGCAAGGCTGAAGACCTGCTGCGGATGGGCCTCAAGACGGCCGACATCGTGACGGGCTACGAGCGTGCGCAGAAGTTTGCTCTCGAGACGCTCGAGGAGCTGACGGTCGACAAGGTCGGCGATGTGCGGTCGCAGGTGGAGCTGAGCAAGGCCATTCGCACGGTGATTGCGAGCAAGCAGAACGGCAACGAGGATTTTCTGGCGAACCTCGTGGCCGAGGCGGTGCTGGCGGTGATGCCCAAGAACCCGGCACTGTTCAACGTGGACAACATCCGGGTGGTCAAGATCATGGGCGGCAGCCTCGAGCAGAGCCGGGTGGTACGCGGCATGGTATTCCCCAAGCCGCCCGACGGGACGGTGAAGAAGGTGGTCAAGGCCAAGGTCGGCGTGTTCTCGTGCCCGATCGACACGAGCCAGACGGAGACCAAGGGCACAGTGCTGCTGCACAACGCCAAGGAGATGATGGACTTCACCAAGGGCGAGGAGGTGCAGCTAGAGGCGGCCATCAAGCAGCTGCACGACGTGGGCCTGCGCGTGGTCGTGGCCGGGTCCACAGTCGGCGAGCTGGCCATGCACTACCTGAACCGCTACGAGATTCTCGTGATCAAGATCCTCAGCAAGTTCGAGCTGCGCCGGATATGTCGCGTAGTGGGCGCGACACCGCTGGCCCGGATGGGCGCACCCATGCCGGAGGAGATGGGCAGCATCGACGTGGTGGAGACGCTCGAGGTGGGCGGTGACCGTGTGACCGTGTTCCGGCAGGAGGACGAGGTGACGCGGACGGCGACACTGGTGCTGCGCGGTGCGACGCAGAACCATCTGGACGATGTCGAGCGGGCGGTCGACGACGGGGTCAACGTGGTCAAGGCCATCACCAAGGACGCACGGCTGGTGCCGGGAGCGGGTGCCACGGAGGTGCAGCTGGTCGAGCGGTTGCAGGCCTTTGGCGAGAAGACGCCCGGCCTGGCACAGTACGCGATCAAGAAGTACGGCGAGGCCTTTGAGGTGGTGCCGCGAACGCTGGCCGAAAGCGCCGGCCTGGACGCTACGGAGGTGCTCAGCCGGCTGTATGCGGCTGCACACAAGAAGGACGAGTGGACCTACGGTGTCGACGTGGAGGTGAGTTTGTCGGGAGACGGACAGGTCTTTGCGCTTGCAGGGCCATTGCTGACCACCGACAGAACGACGACGGCACCGGCACGCTGGACGCCAAGAGCGAGGGCATCCTAGACCTTCTTGCCAGCAAGAGCTGGGCCATCAAGCTGGCGACCGAGGCGGCTCGGACTGTTCTCTCGGTCGACCAGATCATTGTGGCCCGGCAAGCCGGTGGCCCCAAGCCCCCAGGGCCGAACCCTGTAAGTCGTCTGCCTGCATGAGCAGCAAGACACAAGGACAGAATGCTGACAGCCTAGAACTGGGATGAGGACTAGATGCCTTGGCCGATGGCCCCGTCTGATGGGTTGTGATGGGTTGTCCGTACGTACAATGCCACGCCAAACCTGTGGGGGGACATTTTACTAATCACGGGCATTTCTTTCTGTCGCTATCCGCACAGGACATAAGAGAAGTCAGGCTGTTCCAGCAACACATCTGCGAGTACAGCTACTCTTGGAGACAGGGGCTGGACGCAAGAATGGAGCTGTTCGGCGGATCTACGGATAGAGTCGCCACAATGCTAGCACACATTACAGGCAAGACGAAAAAAGCCTCGTAGCAATTGCATCTGGGCTGTCGCCTCTGCTTCTTGTGACGTAGCGCTCGGCCGGGATAGAACTAGGACCACCCGGCCGGACTAGTTGGCGCGTTGAAATGACCTGGACAGTGTGCACTCGTTGCCATTGCGTTTGTCCGATGGATCTGTGCGTTGGACCGATCCCACGTCACCGTGAACGCCATGCTGCCCCATAACACTACTACGACGTATGTATGCGCACGAGTGTCGACCACTGTTGCAGCTCAGCCGGTTCCCAGGAGCAGAGAGGTCATTTTGCATGGTACGCGGCTGGCAATCGGAGTGCCGATGAGGGGACAGGGACCTCGCCCCAACCCGGCTCTTTCGGTTCCCGCAGAGGTTCGCATCTGTAATGGGGTAGTGCTCCACTGCTGCCAACGGAGTAAGATATGGAGTGCAATACGGTGTGCAGGGTAAGATGAAACAACGCACAAAGTCTGGTTCCTATGGAGGCTCGACTTGAGGTGTTCATCCTTTGCCTCGGCGTCTTGCTACTATGTACTGTCAGGACACGAGATTTTCCACTATTTCAATTTGCACCTCCAAGCTTTTTAGCAAGGGGCGCGAATCAAAGCATGCTTTTTCCCTTTCCACGAGTTTGGTCAGGGACGACTACCTGGGATCAATTTTACCACTCGGTATCTTGCCGGTGACAATCCTTCGTCCAGTGCTTCCACCAAAGAGCACGCGTACTCCAAAGTAGTGCGCGTACAGAGTACAGAGTACAGACACTCCGACTACTATTCTTGGATGTGTTCCTGTATTAACCCTGTATACTAATAGGGGAAAATCCCAGAGATCGGCAACGGCCCCGTTGCGACGGCCTGGAAAACGGGAAAGTGGGCTGATCGCTGATCACGGCCACTTTGCAGAGATTACAAGACGAGCAAGAGATTCAAGTCCCTTCATCGTGTGGCGATCGTATAGTACGGGTACACGGGAAGCCCGCTGACAATGTAGTGAAACGCGAGACCGGTTTTGGCATTGGGACCGTTATGCAGAAGCTGCACTCATTCTCGTCAAGCCGCAGGACAGTCCAAGCTTCGCTCGAGCCCACTGCACGATACTTGGTATTTGTACGTCGTACTCCGTAGTAAGATACATCCCACGAGCAAGGAGACACAAACCGCTCACTGCGCCTAGTCGGGCTAATTTGACCCAAACTTTCGGAAGGCATACCAGCCCCCCGCCGGTTCTCCACTTTTCTTTCGGCGGGCCTATAGGCTGCAAACCTGCATTTGGCACTCGGGCTTGGGCGTGCTTCATGTTCCAGGCGGATGTGGAAAATTGCACAGCGAATGCCACAACAGACACAGCTGGTCCCATAGCAAAGGCCGGCAGCGATGCGAAATAAAAGGGACGTGCAGAACCGTTACAGAAGCACGATAAGATACTTTTACGTAGTGCCCGTGGGTCGGCGCGTTGCGGGCTGTTGGTGGCCAACAAGTCATCACTGACTTTTCCTATATGCCATTCATGTAAATCTTAACATACTCGTACTACGTCGTATGTACATGCCTTACGACAGGTCGTCGAGCCGATGCCGATCCGTCAAGTTTCCCGTATAATACGAGCACTTGCACAATGTGACCCTAAGGAGCAAGCTGCCTTGAAAATGGTAGACGATAAAAGGCAGCAGGCACGTTTTGCAGCTCTAAAAGCCTCCCTGGTTGCAATCCTCCCTCGAAGCCCCCGCCCTTTCTGCCTTTCTACACACACCTTGGTGTTCATGCGGCCATTGCAACGTGGCAACCAACTGATACCGCTATCGTCGCCGTACGTCGTACGATGTCCCAAGGGCGAGATACGGAATCCCGTTAGGGCATCCGGGGGAGCTGTGATGAAAAGAGAGCATGGCAGGTGCGATGCCCCATCCGGCATATGATTCGTGGCCGGCCAGGAGGTCTGTGTACGGAGTACACGCCGAGCTGCTTTCCGGTTGGGGAGGGGCTTGGCTGACGGGAATGGGAATAGGGAGCTTTCAGAAAAGAGACTCCCCGCAAAAATGCTCACGTTGTTGGCCCGCCTTAGTATGTGCGATCGGCAAAATGGGCACAAGAGTCGAAAGAGCCGGTCTTGCTGGACGTTGGTTCGCCCTGAAACGTGTTTTCGTTGTGCTATCCCACCTGTCGTTCATACGGAGTACTTCCTCTGGACAGTATCTCTTGCAGACTACTGCATCGGTGGAGTACTTACTGCTCGTACTCACACCCTTGTCCAGATCTTGACATGCACAAGCTAGCCCCGACACTCGTACTCGCAGTAATCAGAGGGGTTGTCGTGGGTCTCCGACATGGTACAGGTCGACGGACGAAACGCTCGAGCCGTCTATCCGAGGTAGGCGCCTTTGTTCGCTTTTGGGTAGAGGTGGGGGTATCGGCACATCTCTTACGTCGTCGACGTATCTTTCCATGAAGGATCCCCCTGCAGGAAGCAGCCTCCTCCTTCCGGGAGATTCGAGAGAGAGTCTCGGGCTCCGAGCCGTCTGCGAGATGTGGCGTCCCATCTCTGGAGAACGTCAGACACATTATGAGGTTTTCGCATTTTTCGCAAGGCCCCTGCTGTCATAATGCAGGCTGAATCCTGGGTTGCTCGGACTTGTTTAATTGCACTACACACGTACCCGTATCTTACGAGCTGCACTGGAAATGCTAGCCTGTTTCTCGGTGTGGCTGACCGCACTTAGGGACCTTTGCTCGAATAGCACGCCCCACTGAGCGAGCCGGGTCTGCTCTGCGGTCGCTTCTTCTGCTCCGTACTCCGTACTCTGGTCAGCGAACCGAGACAGCGGAGCTCACAGGGCTGGGCTGCTGACCTAAGGCATAAGAGCACTAAAGCGACCGAGAAGCCCTAGATACACCGATTGCGGAAGGGATCAACAAGTCTTGCCCGTTCCAGGTTCTAGATTTGCGGAAAGCTCAACCCAAGAACCTTCTTCACGAGCTGCCGATCCCTTCTTCATCCGGGCAATCCAGCTTGCGTTATCGCCAGCTTCCCAAACGGGACACACTGCAGAGCTTGTCCAAGTAAAACATTCGGCGGATGGAAGACTATGATGATTACGAGGCGGACCGAATTGGTGATTGGCTGTCTGTCCAGGTGCTCGGACGGTGCAAATAGTTCTAGTGCGGTAGAGAAGCACAAGTCCAGCAATAGCGGCAAACGAAGAGGCCGGGAAGCCAGAGGGACGGAAGACGAAACGGGAATATTGCTCGTGGTTGAAACAGACTACATCAAGAAAGGGCCCAGAATTAGCGGAATATGGATCGCACTATATAGCAGCATTCGCCGTAAGCTGCTATTTCATCATACGCTGACCGACTAATGGCCAATATTAGAACATGAGAAAACAAAGTATCTTATCTTACTCTTTCTTTACTACTGTAAGTAATTGACGTTAGGATCGCTCTGTATTTACTCCGTAAAACCCTGTACTCTGTGCTGTACTTGTTAACAAAAAAAATTGCGATCTCACAGATCTGCTTGTTCAAATCCAGTTCAACCATCCACTCTATCGGGACTTGCAGCTATGGGAACACACTTCCTCGACGCCATAGATGCTCGAATGTAGACGATTTAGCACTTACCCTGACACCACCTGAGTGATTTTTTTCTAAATCATTCAAGGTTTACAAGAAACTAACGTCGATTTCATCTGTTAAGACAGCATAATTGCCAGGGACAAGGGGCTCGTCGTTTCTTGAGACTTCATCTCCGAGCTTATCTTAGAAGAATCCGGCAGAGGTGACGAGGAAGCTGTCTAACTTAGAAGCCTTTGCTTGCGATATTCGATGTAAGATACTCCATACTCTGTACACCTTTGGCTATCCAAAAGGGTGCGGTCCTCATTGCCTTTGACGCCCCAAATGTTAGCGAAAGGCTTCTGCAGGTGCGCGACATTTTTGCAGCTGGTAACGGGGATTATGCCAACCACAAATGTAATTGTAGCACTAGGCGACAAAACCCTGGCACATATACAAATATGCACTGTGGCGGGCAGAGCCTGCATTTTGCCCGGCGGAAATTAGCAGCTTTTCCTGGGACTCAGGACCTACGCCGTATGGCTGGAAGTCCCAGCAGGAACCCCAGAGAGCAGGGGGGCCATGAGGCAATCTGAGCTGAACCCTGCGATTCATAGCCATGCCAGAACGGAGTACGATACAAGTTCTACGGCTCCGTACACGTTGCAATGTATCGCAGTTACTACGGAGTACTATGTATGTACGGAGTACGGCTGCTATATGGCGAGGAGTTGGTTCCTTGCAGGTGGAGCTCCAAGTAGGGGGAAAGGTCTCGTGCAAGTGCCATTAGGAGTGGGCCCAGAATGGTGTCTTTTCTGTATGGTTTCCCGGAGAGGCAATAGTGGAATTCAGCAGACTCCATTTCCACTCCGGCGCACTATGTAGCGGGGCCACTTTAGGCCCCCCGTCATCAATCATCGAACCCCTGCGCGAACATTTTTCCCTCCTTTCTGCTTCTGCTGGCTGCAGATACGCAGGCCGTCGCAGCCGTGCACAAGAGTACAAGTACTCGCCATAGAGCGAGATTGCTGTTGGGTCACATATTTTGCGTGTTGCAGTTGCAGCCGGAAGAAACGGGCAGAGAAGGCAGCGAGAACGAGCAGTGTGTGAGAGAGACAGAGAACCAAGCATTCTCTGGATTCCCCAAACACCAAACAACGGGGCACACAAATAGAAGAGCCGGGCGGCCCCAGCCAACCTTGTTTGGTCCCCTTCGCCTGCCCCGTTCTGGCTTCGTCTTGCTGGAAACAAGGGGGTCTCGCAGTCCAGAAACGAAGAGGCCTAAGAAAACGGCTCCGTTGTCCGCTTCTGCTTCTTTCCTCGTCTTCCTTTTCCCTTTCTCTCTGTCTTGCCTGCTCTTTCCATTTGCAGAGCACCGAGTCGGCGAATTTCCCGCCCTCGAAAGTTGGCCCTAAGCAAGAGCCCGAGAGGAAGGCGCTACCCGAGTGACACTCAACGGCTGGTAACAGGGACCTGTCGCGCCATTGGCCAATCTTTATTACCTTTGTTTTATTCGTACCACCCCTACGTCCACCCGACACCTCTTCTGGCCTCTTCCGGCCTTTTTCCTAGATCTTCAACGCTTCAGCTCTTTTCACCCTTCTTTTCTTTTTCCTTCGCCGCCCCTCTGTCCAGCATAATTCTAGACGCCCCCCGTTGCCATTCGGAGCAGATAAAACCCGTGCAAAAACGCCAGTCAACGATCTCGACACGTCTCTACCTTTCTCCTGTCCACTCTGTCCAGCCAGAAGTATTTCCGCCTCATTCTGGCCCGACATTCCTCCTCTCAGCGCTCTTCAATACCCGGTACGTGCTCCGAGCTACCTGTCCCTGCAGGGCCGACGGTCATGTTGGGCCTAGATCTCTCTTGCCGCGGGCGGTGAAGCTGTCATCTGCTTGCGCAGCTTAAATGAGAACCGTCTGTGTGTTCACAGTCGGAAGCGCATGCGCAGACTTACAACCGTCGGTTGCACAGACATATGCTTACAACGTACGCTTACTTACAGTACCAACGAGCCACATTCAGACGTCGCCTTGGACGCTTGGTTCTGTCTCTTGCAGACCATTGCACTGCCATTGTCGCAGCCACCGTTGAAGGGTTATGCGCTACAATCGACAACCCCCAACTTTCCAATACAGCGACTCTGAAACACATCTTCACACCCACGTCGAGATCACCAACAATACGTACCGGCGATAAACATCCTTGTTTCTGTACTGCCTGCGCCATTTTCCAGCACTGCTCGTCTTCTGCCCATACTCTGGTTCCAAGATACCCCTGCTGCAACACTTTTGTGGTCGCGCGTTACTCGACACTGTCCTTGACCATAACCGATCTACTTTGAGTCCGTTCGGTATACTTGCGCATTCAAAGTCAGCCAATGAACTTGTTGTCCCTTGCACTTGTCTCACATACGCGCATGCTCTTGCGCCCCCCCAAGTCAAAAGAGAAGCAGCTACGACGGATAGGACGTGGGAAACTACCATCTTGCCTTGCTTGCTGCTGATCAGTTGAAAACCCCGTCGTTCACGCCACCCTATCGTCTGATGAGCTATCGCCATACTCGCCAACGATAACGCTGCCTCGCGCATTCATTCTATTTTCGGACATCTCCCATTTTTATCACGTCCAGTCAGCACGCCTCCCACATGTTCCATCGATCCCGCAGCAAGTCTCACGGTCAAGCCAAAGAAAAACGGGCGAGAGCGTCACAGTTGCCGCCCGGCCTGCGAGATCTTGGACTACCCCCGCTGGAACATATTCGTCCTGCCTGGAGACGTGAGCCTGAACGGCCCGAACACTCTAGCAGTGGAAGGCCATTCACAGCGGTGACAGACTCTACTTATCCAGAGAAATGTAAGGCGTGTCCCGGTCTCTTTCACCTGACATCTGTACCAAAGGCAGTTCAACTAACCCCTTCTTTCCAGACAATTCCATTTCTGGTGGGATCATAAGGCCGCCGTCGCATCAGTCGTCGGCTTCGATAGTCACCTCGGTTCCGCCCCCGACAAGCCAGTCTGGCTCAACCATGAACGCAGACAGGAGCCGTTCCCGTAGGGAACGCACCTTCGTAGGCAGTGAATGTGCTGTTTGTGAAGAACCGCTCGAGCACACTCTCCGCGGCGAGCGCATATTACAGTTTTCGTGTGGACACGTTTCCCACGAGGCTTGCTTTTACGAGTTCATCCGCGAGTTTGAGTCACAATACTGCCCAACATGCAACGCGCCGCTCCATCTAGACACAACCCGCGGTGGCAACGTTCTTGACATCGGTGAGAAAGCACTCCTATCGTATTCTTGCTTGCTAGTAGTGCGTTCAATGTGTCTAATCGGCGTTCTCTGCAGAAAAAATCAGCAATATGATGAGATCGGTGTCTGTGAATGACAGCCGGTCTGTCAGCACTCCCACACCTACGCCTGGTTGGGACGACCAAAGCACACGTCCGCCTAGCCGGAGCTCTAACCAGCGGCACAACGGGGGCATGAGCACGGCCAGCGCTGGTATAAGCATGAATCATCATACGAGCACTCGCGACAGCTCGACCGGAGGTAGTTACCGTGATAATCGCGAACCACCATCTGCGGATCGCTTTACCGCCAACTCGAGACATACGCGCAGCGACAGCGAGGCCACCGGGATTGCCTCATCTGGTGGATATCCCGAGACGACGCAGAGCGGCGGCCCTCGCCGAGTCCACGACTATGATGTGCAGGCCATGGAAACAACACTGACCAGTCCACGGGTGGTGACTCGGAACCCCATCCCGGCGCCAACAGTCACAGTCCGCTCCGAGTTTCCCACAATCAACCGTTCTCGCCAACAACAGACCCTCACCTGTCTCGTGACCATAGAGGTCCCCGACTGCAAATGGCGCGCGGATCCAGACGACCTGCAGACAGGCGCGACTCCCACACAACAGCAGCCGGCACCGGGACCACGGCCTCGTAACGGCGAGGATGGCCGCGGAATTGCATCACCTGTCCCCAGTGCCCCTCACTTTTACCCGTACGAATCCCCAGAGGTTCTCGAGGAAATGACAGAAAATCTTCGAGGGCGTGTCGATAACTGGCACGGGCTCGATTTCAGCCGCTTTGGTAAATTGCGGCTTTACGGCACTCTGCGTGTTGGCAAGGACAAGGTCTCGTGGCAGGAGCTAGAGTGCTTCTTGTTTGCCGAGATGCTCATCTGCGTCAAGGAGAAGAAAAGTGCGGCGGTCGCGGCGCTTGCTGCCCAGCAGCACTCGCGATGGGACAACGGGGCCAACGGTCAACCACGCAAGACGACACGCTGCACTTTGAAGGGATCCATTCTGATCAAGAAACACCTAAACGAAGTGATGGAGACAGGGGCGATGGACGAAAACGTTCTGACGCTGAGCTTGTCTGTGGCGGAATTGCCCCAGTTCCATCTACGGTTCGACAACCGCAATCAGCTGAAACTATGGCACCAAGCATTGTTGGACCTGAATGCCATCGAACCGACGCCGTTGCGTAGTCCTGATTATGACCGTGGCGACCTCTCGGAGCCAGAAGAGGACGAGTGGCAGCAGCAGCAACAGCAGCGTACACCAGGCAGCGGAAAGACGCAGCATGGCTCGTCTCTGGCGTCATCCTGGGGCGGGGGCAAGTCGGTTACGACAGCCCCGACTGAGTACACCAGCTACGCCAAGAGCGCTGCACCACCAATCAGTTCGCTCCATGTGCCTATCGATGTGGTGGTGGTGGTTCCCATTTCTTCTTCGATGCAGGGCGTCAAGATCAATCTGGTGCGCGACGCGTTGCGATTCATGGTCCACACGCTTGGCGAGCGTGATCGGATGGGTCTCGTGACGTTCGGATCTGGCGGCGGCGGTGTGCCTGTGGTTGGTATGACGACGAAGTCGTGGCCAGGCTGGAGCGGCGTGCTCTCATCGATCAAGCCAGTGGGCCAGAAGAGTCACCGGGCGGATGTGGTTGAAGGCGCCAATGTTGCCATGGACTTGCTGATGCAGCGGAAGTACAACAACCCGATTGCGACAATCATGCTCATCAGCGACGCCTCGACGTCTGATGCTGACAGCGTCGACTTCGTTGTGTCGCGTGCTGAAGCAGCCAAGTGAGTTCATTGTCTCGCCTTGGGCCTCTGCTATACAGCCTTTCTAACATTACAGGATTACAATCCATTCGTTTGGACTGGGCATGACGCACAAGCCAGACACGATGATCGAGCTGTCGACGCGGACAAAAGCGTCCTATACCTACGTCAAGGACTGGATGATGCTGCGGGAATGTCTTGCCGGCTGCCTGGGCTCGATGCAGACGCTGTCGCACCAGAACGTCAAGCTCAAGCTGAAGCTGCCCGAAGGGTCTCCGGCAAAGTTCCACAAGATCAGTGGCGCTCTGCAGATTACGAAACGTGCCACCGGACGAGATGCCGAAGCATCACTGGGCGACTTGCGCTTTGGCGATAAGCGCGACATTCTCGTGCAGCTGGTGATATTGCCAGACAACGCATCACAAGAGCAGCTGCCCCAAGACCCGTGGGAGACGATCGTGTCAGGACTGGAGGCGCTTGGCGGGCCGATGGACCAGGACGAGCAGCGGGTGGTGTCGATCGAAGAGGTACCGCTGATTCAAGCCGACCTGAGCTGGGGCGATATCCTGCGCGATGGCACGGTAGTGCATATGCCGCGGCCATCCTTGTTGGCGATCACCATGTTGCCGGCGCTCAGTCAACAGAAGTCACGGTCGTGGCAGAATACGCCACCGATCCCACCGCATCCGAGCATCGTTCAACGACGGATGGAGCTGTTGACATCAGACATGCTGACGCGAGCGTTGACTCTGGTCAGCCGTGGCCAGCATGAGCGCGCCCACACGCTCCTTCACGAGACCCGATCGATCCTGAAGGGCCTCGGAAAGGGCGGCCTGCCACCGGTGCCACCTTTGCCGGGCAACGGCAAGGCATCGTCGCCATCAGTTCCATCAACACCACACCCGGGCACTGAGGGATCGCCATCAATGGCCCTGGACACGCCAGACCGAAAGCGCACGCCGTCTCCCTCGGCCTTGGGAATATCAGGCATAACGGCCGGCTTCCCTGTTCCTGGCGGGAACCTGCCTCGCATGCGGTCCAATGATGGCCTCACCATGGGCGTGGGAACGGCCGCGGGAATTGACGCCAAGGCGGTCGCTGCTCTCGATGCCGAGCTGGAGGCGAGCCTGGAATGGATAAACCACCCGGCCGTGTTCGGGCGTGACAGCCGCAAGGCGGTGCTGCAGGCGATCGGCGTGATCAGCTCGCAGCGGGCATATACATTCCGGACGCCTATCGAGAGCTTGTGGGCGACGCGGGTGACGGGTGTGAAGCGGCTGACCGAGAGGAGCCGCGAGTGGCGCGAAGAAGGCAGCGTTGAAGGCGGCATCAGGGAAGAGGCGTGAGGAAACCGATGATGAGCGGAGGGACATTAACGAAACCGACACGACGAGACCAACTACGGGCTACATACATGACAGCAATGCTTCACGGGATACAGCCAGCCACACTTGCCCGACCTTTTTGCCGCATGCTCTGCTCTCACCTACGAAACATTGCATTTTCTCACTGCACTATTCTTGCAACTCTATCCCAGCATTTTAGCCCTGCGCTCACCTTGACGATGCTCGTGTGTTTCCACACATGACGACTTTCTTTCTTCCTTCGTTACCGTCCTGGATTAAGAGTGATTTTTGTGAGAACATACTGATACCCACGTGTTTTCAAATAACAAGCCCCTATGGTTGGCTTTATTGGATGCTTTCTATTGGGTTTTTTTTCCTGCTTTTGATCTCGTGTACGACTTGCCCCAGACTTGGCGGGGAGCAATGATGTTTTTTTAACTGTGTGGAGTATGTATCTTATCTGGAGGAAGAGCAGCAGTGCTGTTTGTATCTTATATCATATTTCTGAACGGCCGCTTTTCGCGCAGATACAGCAGCGAGCAAACGCAAATCTGGGTTTCAATACAAGGAACACTGATCAAGATCGGAGAGCATTTCGGCCTTTTAGGTTATCGTCGCTAGAAAAGAAGCCTCGGGCCGCGGGCATTGATGTCCAAGTGAGCTTTTTATCCGCAAATTCTGATGCCTATGCAAGTGTGGAAAACCCCCCACCAAAAGATAGTCGGCGAACTCCGGTTTTAATGAAAAGTATTACGAGAGTGGCTGTAGCGAGTGCAGCCCTGAAAAGCCAGACTACTGATATTTCTATTTCGTAAAACGCGGCAGAAAAAGGGATGGTCCAGGCTTAGAGTTTAGCGGCGCGTTAGTTGCCCGTGCTCGTCTTTTTAGAAACCGGCTTGCATCCAAGACAGCGTGCTGTTGGTTAGGAATGCCATTCCTCGTGACAGAATGTCAGAAACCTTGCATGCAATCAGCAGGTTTTATCAGATAATCTCCAGCCAATCAGCAGGCGAGGATGGGTCTTGGTGGAGAATAGAGTTGGGCACCAAAGGGCGCATCTTACGAGCACGGAGTATGTACTGCGTAATACAACATCTTGGCCTTGCACCCGCACCCAAACGGGTGGTATTCCTTAGTACCCCGTTCCCCAGTCGGACGTGGCTACAGGTGACGCGTTTTGCGGCTGCAGATGAAAGCAAGCTCCGTAGTCGCAGCTTGCCGTATATTGCTCTACCAAAGGCTGACAAGTGGCGAGCGAGGCGATCCCGACGAGACCAGTCTGTCAGCTGGTGTGGTGGAAAAGCAGGCAGCCGCAGGCGCCACAAGGGGTTTCTTGGGAAATAATTCGACTGTTTCTCTTCCTCCCACGCCGCCATCCCACGTCGTACTGCCGCCATTTGCGCCCGCCCGAGAGCCAGCCGTCCGCGCCCCCCCTCTCCCCTCCATGTGTTGCTTTTTGTTAGAGTGTCACAGGAGCTGAGACGCAGGGGAGGCGATCGGAAGCGACTGTGCGCTGCGTGTCCGATTCCCTCCTTGCCGATTATTTCATCCGGTGTCCCGTTCTCCTGTGCAGACCATTCCTGTTGCCTTTTTTAGTTTTTTTCCACTTGCCTTTTTGTCTTTTCTGTCGAGGATCGACCTGCGTTTGTTTTTTGCCTACGTCGCCGTCTTGGCCGTCTTCCGACGTCTTCCGACGACATCCCGCTGTCCAGATCTGCGGTCGTCATGACCGTGCGAGACGGTCGTCCTGTCGACAACGACGACAGCACAGCCGACCACGGCACCCGGCTTCTCGACGACACAGGCGCGCCGCACGCATACGGCGCCGTTCTGGCCTCCGACAGCCAAGACACCGGCTCGACTAGCGCTCCGCGACCGACCCGCCCAGACGAGGAGGAGCTGGCTCGGGAAGCGCTGGACGACACAGACATGTCTCGACCGACGCGGCACCTCGCGATCGCCTATGCCGGGCTGCTGCTGCTGGCATTCACGACGTCGCTCGAGGGCCAGGTGACGGCGCCGTTGGCGGCGTTTGCCGTCAGCTCGTTCAACAATCACTCGCTGCTGTCGACGGTGTACGTGGTGCAGGGCGTAGTCAATGGTGGGTGATGTCGCGTTTGGTGCAGATGCTTCTATTCAGGGTCTTTTCAGATGGTCTTCCTTGCAGATGCTCCTTCCTTATTGTCTTCCTTGCTCCTTTCAGACGCTCCTTCCTTCATGCTCCTTCCCCCAATCTATTTCCACGGTCTACCTTTTCTCCCTGACGTATCTCTCTTCCCTTCTCCATCTTCATCTTCATCGACATGTCCTGACTTTCCAGCCGTGATCAAACCGCCAATGGCCAAGATGGCCGACGTGTTCGGCCGCCTCGAGGCATTTACGGTCGCCATACTGTTCTGCGTTGCCGGTTACGTGCAGATGGCGTCGTCGCACAGCATCCGCACGTTCTCGGCCGCCCAGATTCTCTACTCGGCCGGCATCACCGGTCTGCAGGTGCTGCAGCAGATCCTCGTTGCCGACACGAGCGACCTGCGTCACCGCGCCCTGCTGTCCAGCCTGCCCGACACGCCCTTCCTAGTAACGGTCTGGATCGGCCCCAGCATCGCGGCAGCCGTGCTAGCAACGACGTCCTGGCGCTGGGGCTATGCCATGTGGGCCATTCTGCTGCCACTGGCCTTTTGTCCGCTGGCTGGCTCGCTCGCCCTCAACGCTTACCAGACGCACCGCAGCCACCGCCAAGGCCGACTTGCGCGCGGCTGTCTCGGCCTGACGGCCGTCTCCGGACCTGCAACCTCGTCTCCGACCGGTTCAGCCGTCTCGACCAACTGGACCACCTCCAAGGCATCATCGGCCTTGCGGCGCCTCCTTACCGATCTCGACGCCGTCGGGATCCTGCTGCTAAGCGCCGCCCTGTCACTCATCCTGTTGCCGCTGACACTGTCGCGCTCTCTGGCTGGCGGCTGGTCCAACCCGCTGCTCGGCCTCAGCGTCATCGCTGGCCTGCTGCTGCTCATCTTCGCCTTTCCGGCCTGGGAGGCTCGCCCGCATCTGGCACCACATCCGCTCATCCCGCTGGCTCTGTTGCGCAACGTCACTTTCTGCGCTGGCTGTGGCGTCGGCCTCTTCTTCTTCGCCGTCTTCTACCTCTCGGTGCAGCCATACTTTTACTCGTACCTACTCGTCGCTCATAACCAAGAAATCGCCACCGCCGGTCGCATCACCCAGATCTTCTCCTTCACCTCCACCATCTGCGCCGTCTCTGCCTCCATCGCTATCCGCCATGTCCGCCGCTACAAGCCGTTTGTCGTCGCCGGCGCCACCGTCTACCTCGTCGGCGTCGCCTGCATGCTGCGTCACCGCACTGCCGATGCCGGCACCATACGCCTCGTCGCCACTCAGATCGCCGTCGGCTCTGGTGCCGGCCTCATGAGCGTGCCCACACAGATTGGCATCCAGGCCAGCGTCGCCCACATGCCTCACCTCGTCTCTGCCGCCACTGCCGTTTATTTGACCATGGGTGAGGTCGGCATCGCCATCGGCTCTGCCATCTCCGGTGCCATATGGGGCCGCCTCGTCCCTGCCAAGCTCGAGCTGTATCTGCCGTCGGCTGACCGCCAGAACGCCAGCGCCATCTACTCCAGCGTCTCTGTCGCCCTGTCCTACCCCTGGGGTAGCCCCACGCGCGACGCCATCATCCGTGCCTACCAGGAGTCCATGACCGCCCTGTTGTACGTCGCTGTCGGCTTTTGTGTGCCCGTCCTGCTTCTGGCCTTGCTGATGCGCGACTACCGTCTGGACGGAGGAAACGAGGCCGCCGGCAGCAGCAGCGATGCCGGCGATGATGCTGTCGAGGCCGAGCCGCTCACACCTGTGGCTGTGAGTGCGGGTGCTCATGGCGGCTCCTTCGCCACTGCCGACGAGCGGGTCAACCTGCTTTCGGAAGAAGCCGTGAACGAAGTTGAGGACGAGTAGTCAGAGTTCCTGGGATACTTATATAGAGTTTTCTGTTTGGTGCTGTTTTTGGGCTTATGTTTGAATTAAAAGGAGCGTTTTCAAAGCGTCATGGGAATTATTTAGAGCACATCATGTGCTAGATTAACACGTGGGACAAGAAGCCGAATAGTCACCATGCATTCTAATATGTGTTGTTATTATGTTTGGCCTTTATTGCTACTATGTAATGTATCTTACTACACTTCCGTGGGGTGGCAACACCTTACCTCGCCTCTCGGGTGGATGCAACGCAAGTTTATTAGCTCAAATGAGGGAATACTTTGGAAGAACAGTGATTCATGTCGGTTGTGAACAAACGACTTGCATTATGGCGAGAGAAGGGCGGGGAATAGTAACGATCCGGATTTACGGGGCAAGCTTTCTTGAAAACCAGCCTTGAGAACCTTCTTTCTGTCGTCCTTACATCCGCCGTCCGATCTATGACCTATCAAATAGCCTGGCCGAGGATGCAAGTCCTGCAGCGGAGGCCTCAGTCTAGCCCCGAACCCTTGTCCATGCGATATATAGAAAGATGGTCGATCTCCGCATGGCGGGAATGGCGTGATACAGTTAATCGGTTGGTTCTTTCGTGTTCCCTATCCCAGGCACCGCGATGCTCACCAGACAGACGGCCCAGTCAGCCAAGCCGATCGGCTGTTGAGCTTCCCTCGGCGCAATTTGCCACTTGGAAATGGCTCGGGGAGCTTGCGCTTCATGGCTCGTTCTGGCGCTTGCATGACAGGTTTCGCTAGGCTGATGATCTACGGCTGTTGTTGAGTTCTAACCAAAAGCAGTTTGGGAGCGCGCAAAAACGAACCAGCTTGGGACAAGGGCCGGTGTGTCTGACATTGATGCTTCCCAGGACAGCGGAAAGAAAGGGAGGCCAAGGTTGAGGGGCAAAAAGCCGGAGGTAGAGAAGGGGGAAAGAAACGGGCAAAGACGTGTCTGTCTACAAAGCGTATTTGGGCCATGCAGGCCGAGAGGGCAGTCACAGACGAGCGACGCCATCGTGCATGATGCTGCCAAGTACACGAAAGAGCCCGCATACGACGTAAAGTCAGGCGGGGAAGCCAAGACATTGTTCACTAGCGACGGGCGCTAGAAGAGCAGACGCACGGCGGACGAACAGCTCACATCAGGGATGACCTGCAGCAGACACAATGCCTATGCTTACGTCGTACTATGTAGCGGGGCAGACGACCAGCCTGGAAGCCAAAAGGCGGTAGAACTCGGTCTTGTCCGGCGACAAGCAAAAATACGACGCCGGTGTTGCCGAGCAGTCCTTGGCTGAACTGACCTGTGTATGAGCACTTGGGCTGTCCTGTCTTCTCGGGGCTGAACCTGCTGAACCGGCCTAGCCAGAACGGCTGCCAGGTGGAGGGGGGGTGGATATGGAAGCAAGGAAAGGGAGTTGCAGGCAGGACCGCCGATGCTAACAGCCTGGGTTGCGGGGGTTCCATCTTCCTTCCTTTGTTGGAGCTGTTTATAAGATACGACCAGTTTGTCTTCTTTCCCGTCACACACCCGTCTTCTACACCCACGCCCCCTTCTATCACTCTCTCTCTCCCGCTCCGAGCTCACTCCATTTTCATAGAATTCAATTGCTTATAGCACACTCGTCCTGTCTGGTCTCGCACCTGTAGCTTCTGCATCCTGAGAGCTACTAACTAGATCCATAGCTCCTGCCTCGACAAGCGAACGGCCAGATTGGCAAGGCAGCACTCTGTCCGCTTCGCTCCTTCCTTTCTGTCCGCACTCCGAGCGCGAGGTAAACAGTGGCGATTGTCCTGTCCTCTCTCATCCGCCGTCGCCAACAGGAACAGTCCAACATCTGAGCATCGGCTCACCTGCTTCTCTTTTTTCTCTGATGGCCAGCGGAAACGGGTTTTTATACTGACCTCTGGCGTCTCCTTCCTCCACTTGTCTTTCCGACTTGCTGTTTACTTGCACGCCCCCAACCCACAGTCTATACATGCTGCTGGACGGCATTTCCCGGCGCGATTCATCCTCTGCTCACATCCAAGCTTTCAGCTTACACACTCCCTCCACCTTCCCTCCTGTTTCCAAAACGCTCTCCGGCTTATTCTTTGGCTGGCTGTCCAAGCCGGTTTGCACTTCTCGCATCATCGCCATGATCGACCTACGTATATAGACGTACCATCCTTTCGTTTTTTTCTTGAAGCACAGCATTTTTGAGTCCAGCGACTGTGGTCTTTCGTTTTCAGCCCAGCCTTCCCGCCATCTGTGCTTCTTCGTTTTCTACCCTGCCACATCTCGGTCCTAACAGCCCAACGGTCCGACAACAGCAGCCACTTGGTGACAAACAAGCCTAGGACACCAGGGCTTCACACACCCGCCCCAAGCTCCAAACCCTTGGGTGTCTGCCCCCGTATACCGCCGTCCCGGTATCCCAGATGACGCCGCAAGTTTGTCGTGCTACCGCATTGTTCAACTGGCCGGGCGTCTAGCACCGACACTGCAGCCTGCATGGACCATCCTGTCACTAATCATTCTGAGTGCTTCCGTGTCGCCAATTTCGGCTAGTCCGCGGTTTTATTCCCTTTTAGGAGAGAGGTGAAATCGGGACAGGGAGCGACAAGAGATAAATTCAAAGTCACCAATCGATACTGTTGCCACACACCCCGTACTACTGTCTCTTCCATTGTCCGTCTATTCTGCCGAAACTACATTGGTTGACTTGGAGTGCCCAGAGAAATACATACCCCCTCCCTCCTTTTTCCTTCCTCCCGAAGTTTTCTACAAGTATATCAGCCCAACTTACCCTTATACGCAAAGCTATCCACCTGCCTGGTTCAGCTCCGTACAGAAGACAGGATGGCTAATCATATAGGGTCTGACACGGTTCGACAACAAGAAGGCACCATTCGCCCATTCTTCCCTGCACTATCACTACCGCTGTCATTGCCGCTGCCACTAATCAGACCCCTGCACACCCTCTCAACCTTCTCTCTCTCGGTCTTATAGCTTCTCTCGGTCCCCATGTCTGTGGCCGTCTCTCTTGCACTGCTTTGGTCTAGCCATGGGCGATATGACAAGACCTCTTCGCGACTGGGCCCAGGATCCATACCCTCCGAGACAAGGCAGCGACGTCGGTGATAATGTCTCCGCTTATGCCCAAACCCATCACAGGGTCGTTGCACCGACGAAACCGCAAGACTGCGTCCAGCTTCCTGGACTGTCTAGCCTGCTTTCAGCCGATCCGGCATCCTTAACCTCGCCTTACAGAGATTTCAACGCCGTCACTCCTTCCTCGTCTACTCCGGCTGCCAACTATGCAACCCCGTCTCCTGAAAGACAGATGCCGCCACATATACTTTCGTCGGGCAAAGTCTATGGCAGCCTGTCAGGGTCGACAGGTGTGCATGCTCCCATGAGTAGCTCTGATCCTCGACTATCACCAGCAGCTCAATCGTTCGCCTCTAGCGACCGGTCGTCTCGACACCACAGTCGTAATTTGCCTGCACACTATCATCAACCGGTGGTAGCAGCAGGCTACTCTGTAACCTGCAACGACCGCCCGGCTTTGGCATCTGCCTCGCCATACCGCGAGACAAAAAAAATGTCCGTTGCGGGCCTTTTGAGTGATACGGCACCGCACCCCATGATGTCACCACAGCGGCCCCTCGGGTTGGCGCAGTTTCCAACGGAGCGGAAGACTGTCACCCCTGTGCCCCCGCAGATGCCGTCGAGGTCACGCTACAAGCGCATCCAAGCCCGTCTGCTAGTACAGCAGCAGCTGCTGCAGCAGCCGCAGCCGCAGAAGGCGCATGACGCTTGCCGGACGCCTTCAAGTACCATACCGACGACAAGGACCAGCGGGCCAGTCATGGGGTCAGAGTATCGGATATGGGTGCGGCAGCAGCCAATGGCAGCGCGGTCGTGTGGGTTTGGAGAACGAGACCGAAGGGTGATTGACCCGCCACCAATAGTGCAAATGGCAATCAACATGCCGGGAGCGACGCGCGAGGAGATCAGGGCACGAATGCGGATCCAGTTCGCGGTGCTGCACTGTTCAATTTGGGACGAGACAGGCAAGCAGGACAATTCGGCGATGCCCGAGGACTACCGACAGCAGCGACGGCTGATGGGCACGCTGGTGTCGAGCCCCTTTGTCGGCGAGGACGAACACGGCGAGGAGGGCTGTTTCTTCTGCTTTCCTGACCTATCGTGCCGCACTCCAGGCGCATTTCGACTCAAGTTCGTGCTGGTGGTGCTGGATCCTAGGAATATGCGCACCGGCGGGTCATCGCCCATCCTAGCCACTACCATGAGCGGTGTCTTTATCGTCTACAGTGCCAAAGACTTCCCGGGAATGCAGGCCAGCACCGCCTTGACCAAGCGACTCAAGCAGCAGGGCTGTCTCATCTCCATCAAGAAGGGAAACGACAAGACGAGCGCAGCCCACGACTGCGAGAGCGAAGACGACGACGACGGCGAAGGTAGCCAGGACGACAGGCTCTCTTCTGGTAAAGGCTGCAAGCGGGCCAGGAAGGCGTGAGTGTGAACGTGAGACTGAGCGCTTATCATCTGATGGATATCTATTGGCGTTGGATATAAGGATACGGACAGCAAGTTGCTGTGGCGTTTGTGAAAGCTGGCCGCTTTGATTAGCTTGTGCTGTCTGTGTCGGCCACCATATACCCACGGATTTTTGTTTTTGTTGTTCCAGGCTCTATCTCTTCAGCGGGTTAGACAGGACAGAAAGACGGGCAATTTAATACACGATTTGCCATGGTTGAGTAACTGGCCCTGGTTCTTTTTCTTTCTCTCTTTCTTTCTTTCTTTTTTTCTTCTTTTTTGTTTTATTTTTCTTTTCATCGTTGATTCGTAGTCCTTTGCTAAGTACTTTGTGTATTTTTGTGTCCACTGGACGCTGTCGCAAGAGCTCGCCATTCTTCGGCCAACAGCTCGAGTTCTGGCGAGGCCTTGCTGACGTCCTTGCCACTGCCACTCCTATTCAGAGCCAGCTTGGCCTCAAGGCGTGCGGCCAGAACGTCGCTGGCGCCCGGAATGGCCGCTGCCGCGGCTCGATAGAGCAGCGTTTCAACCTCGTACGGGTCGTCTTCTTCGAGCGTTCCGCCTTGGCCGCCATCCAAGGAGATCTCTCTGGTGGCATATTCAGTCGCCAGAAGGAGACATGCGACTCCGCTGTTGAGAGCCAGAGCTGCTGTGCGCACTGCAGCTCTTGCTTCCTGGTAGAGCAGCTGTTGCTGTTTCTCTTCCGTACTATCGATAGGTGGTGTCACAGCATCTCCTCCCTGCTGCTGCTGTCGTAGTTCTGTGGTCTGCAGTCGGCCGATGGCCTCGAGACAACGCCGTTCCCAGTCCCATCTTGGTTCGCGAGGCTCGATGTCGGCGCCGTCAACTTGACCAGACAGCTCTGTACCCACGACGCTGGCGGCGCGAAACCAGCGCAGCGCCCTGGATGGGTTTCCGCCAGCCTCCGCTAGCAAGCCGGCTTGGGTGAAGGCGTTGGCCTGCATGACGACATCTTCGACCGAAGCATTTCCAGAAGCGGGCGACAGCACCAGGTTCTGGTTCGCAGCCAGGTAGTCGAGAAAGCGCTTTTCGGCGTCCTGGTAGAACTGCATGTCGCGCAGTCTGCGCTTCTGGGGTTTCTGAGGCTGCTGAGGCTGCTGGCCGGGAACGTTGTTGCCGCTGAACATGCTGAGAACGGTCAGGGTCGAGGGCAGGTAGCCGCCGGGGCGACTGGGGGCCTCGGCGGCCATATGCAGCAGCGTAGTGGCCAGGGGCAGGTGGCGGGCGCCGTCAGCAGTGGTGGCAGCGCCGAAAAGAAGCAGCAGGGCGACGGAGTGAATGCTGTAGGGCGATAGATTATACTCTGCAAGACGTTAGAGGGTATAGGCCAGCTGGGAAAATGCGGCCTCTGGGTGCAGGACCCTCACCTTTTTTCAGAGCGGCCTTGCTGACAGCATCGCCATCGTAGGCCTGGTGACACGAGGCGATAATTTCAAGACAGTCGCTGGCCGTGAGCTCGGACTGGAGCACGACGATGGCCGCCTCGAGCGGGACGATCAGCACGGACGGGTCTGCTGGGAAGACCCGGTTTGCGGCAGGACGGCCGTGTTCGAGGCCGGGGGGTCGCACCGCCTGTTTCTCTGCTCTCTCTGCGCGCCGTACGGTTGGTGACCGGCTAGCCTTTGATGCGGAGCGCACATGGGCACTGCGACGAGGCTGATTCTGCCATGGTGACGATGTCGAGCCAAAGCTGGAGGACAAGGCCACGAGGCCACAGCCAGGTGCCAGGCAGGACGGCCGCAGCAGAAGGCGCGAGGCCATAGATGCGGCGACACCGGAACGGCAGGCCATCGCAGCGTGGAGAGTCGGACAGGGTCTATTGAGCAGGGCCTGTCGGAGTAGCTTTGCCTCTTTTACCTGGATGGATATCTAAAATGGCCTGCTGCTTGCGACGTAATTTGCCGGTTTGATTGGCCGGGACTGGCCCACACGTTAGCTGCTCGGGCTGGGTTACACTGAGCGTTAGCGGGTCGGTCGTTCCTGCTGGTTGAATCCCCGCGTCGCGCTTTCTTGATCAATGGTAATAGATAGATTGACGCGTCTGCTTTAGCTTCTGGCCAAATCATCACTGCACGATCACACGTCTGCACACCGGGTGCCTTTGGCCAAGATGGCAACGAGTAGGTGCTTGCGTTTTCGGTGTTTCTCTTTCTGTTCGCCGCCTGCTAATGTGTACCAGACCGCGAAGAGCGCTGGCAGCAGCGCATGCGAGGTGCCCAGTAAGTTAGCGAGAAAGAAGACAGCTCTTCCGCTGGAGCCAAGCCGCTGACTGTTTGAGCAAGACGACACCAGGTGCAGGAGGCGGCGTTTGATCTTTTTTTCCCGGAACCGGAACCAGAGCCCGCATCCGAGCCGACAGAAGAGGAGGCCGCTGTCGAGACCGAGCCGACGCCGGCAGCTGTGCGAGCGAGCCCCAACACGTCTGCCAAGAGGAGGCAGCTCGATGGGGAGGATGAAGGGCCCGTGGGGGTGACGGCAGCGGTGCGGGTGGCCGAGGAAGAGCAGGTGGACGAGAGTCCGATGGACGCACCGGGCAGCGGGCGGCGACGGTCGGTGGCGGTGGGCGCAGCGGCCGACCGGACGGCCGCCCTGCAGGAAGCCTTTTCGGGATCACCACTGGGCCGACGAAGCGGCATGCAGCTGGGAGACGAGCAGGTGATGGTGGCAGCATCATCATCCCCTCCGGTGGTGGGTGCAGGTCGGCGACCTCCGCAACTGTCGTCTGGGAATGGCGGAGGCGCGAACGAGACCCAGGACGAGGCTCAGGACGAGGGCCAGGACGAGGGCCAAGGCGACGACATGGACAACGGACAGGAAACTCTGTCTCCTGAGCTCGCGTCGGCCGTCGATACGACCCGAGCAGGCGGCCGCACCAGTCTGTTCTCGCGGCTGGCTCGCGCCCGACGCAGCGCGGCCGCGACGGCTGACGGAAGCGGCGATGGCCCGGACGCTCTCGACGAGCTGTCGTCGCCGTCGCTTCCGGGCGTCGAGCCGGCGATCATGCCGTCGTCGTCACCGCTGGCTCGCAAGTCGGCCGCCAACGTGCGGTCAGGTAGAGCCGGACCGGGACCGAGACCGGGACTGCGCCGGCCAGGCCGCAGCACGCTGGCCGTGGCCGTGGCAGCCGACACAGACCGCGACGAGCTCTCGCCCGAGCAGCCGCCTCCGCTGACGGTCATGCTGACGAGGCGCACGGCCGAGGTGCCGTCATCATCGCCGCCAGCTCAGGAGGTGAAGCGCCGTCGGGGCAGGCCGCCGGCCGTGGCAGCGACGGTGGAGGTGGAGGAAGAAGAGGCAGAAGCCATTGACGAGGTGGAAGCTGCTCGGACAATTGGCAGGAAACGTCCACAAAGGAGCAACGTGCACGAGCCGTCACCGGAGCTGGGATCTGACCGTAAGGCAGCGGAGCCAGAGATCGTGCCGATGGCCAAGCGACGACGACGACCAGGTCCACAGCAGCAGAGCCCGGCTGTGCAGAAGCAGCCGCGGGCAGCGAGGGAGAAGGGGGTGGAGGTGGTGGAGGAGGAAGTACAACAAGAGCAGGAGCTGCAAACACGTCCGACAAAGACGAGAAAGGCGAGAGCACCGGCTGTCCGGGAACAGACGAATCAAAAGAAGAGGAAGCGACGACAAAAAGAGGCAGAAGAAGAAGAAGAAGATGGCGAAGTCGAGACCGAGGGCAACAGCACGACAAAGGGCCGCAGCGGACCTCCAATTCCCATTACGGTGCAACGATTCAGCCGGCAAAGGCGAAGGACGAGAGCGGGCAAAGACGATGGCGACGATGACTTGGACGACAAGGACTCGGACTCGGACAACGGAGACATACCGTATGCGAACCGCAGCGGGGTCAACGTGATCGACGTGCTGGCGCAGGTGTGCGAAGACATTGTGGCGCAGAAGCTGGAGGAAGCGACAGCACAGGCAGCCGAGGCCAAGACAGCAACGGCGGCCGGCGACAGCAGTGCGCGCGAAGCCCGGCGAGACGCCCTGGCGCGACAGCAGGCCCTCGAGGCATTCCAGGCCGAGCTACGAGCACGTCTGCTGGCACAGGCGGCAGCTGTGGATGCAGCCTTGGCGCTGCGACGCCGCGTGCGGGCAGCCCATCGACAGAAGCTGGCGCTGCGCGAAGAAATCCTGCGAATCCGCGCCGAGAGAGAGCAGGTCGCCCTGCGGATGGACGCCCTGCGAGCACAGCACCAGGAGGCGAGTAGACGGGCGATGGTGAGCGCAGATATGTCCACGGCCATGCACGACGTCGATCTAGCCGTCGAGCAGGGCCGCACTGCCCCCGACCTCACGGCTGCCCAGCAGAAGACGGCAGAGCTGGGCAACCTGGAGCTGGTCGTCAGCCGAGTGGCAGAGCAGCTGTGTGGTGGTGGTGGTGGCGGTGGTGGCGTGCTGCAACAGATCATGGACTTTAACGCCTTTCTCGAACGGACGGCCGTCATGCTGGAAGGCAGGGGGACGTGATGAATGGGAAAGCTTTTGACAAACGAATCAGCCGGCTCTGAATTCGGTATCGAATGGCTTGAACAACTCGGGTTACGACCTTTCCCAAAACGCATCTATTGTACAGTTTGTCCAACCACCTACTTCCCCCAGACCAGTCCGGACACGCGGTCGGACAAGGTGGCCCTGCCCTCGGCCTTGCGCTGCTCACGTTCGGCTGCCTGGGCTGCCCGCAATCGGGCCACGCGGCCGGTCAGCTCCAGCCGGGCCTGCAGCTCTGCCCGCATGGCTGCCTCCTCGGCCGGCCGCTCGTTCTCGGGCACGCCGGCCAGCCGCTCGGCCCAGTCCTTGCGCATGTCTTCGGGGACATCGGCGGGAATGGGGGGTGATGCTGCAGCCGGGAGGCCGGAAATGCCCACGTCCATGGAGACAACCGGCGCCGGACGGCCCTCAATCTTGGCCAGCTCGACGGCAGCCTCCTGGTCGAGCATGCGGTGGTACAGCGCGTCTGCGTGCACCTGGATCCGCTCATCCTCGGCAGGCGGCCGCTCGTACGTCGACAGGTAGCCGAGTGCCTTGAGGAGACGCTGGGCTGTTAGGAAAAACACGGACACGAAAATGGGAGAGGTGAAACACACCGACTGCATGTTGTAGCACCGCTCAAACTTCTTCATCTCCGCGTGACACATGGTCAGGCGGCTGCTCAACGGTCCTGACCGAATGCACGTGTTCCAGTCGACCTGCTCGAGCGCACAGTTCTCGAGTGCCGCCCGACCGATCTGGGCTCGCCGCTCTTGGTAGCCGTCCAGCACGTCCATCAGCCGCTCGTGGTCGCTCTTGGTCTCAGCCTCGATCTCGGCCAGCGGCCGGTACGTCTTCCAGATGTCGGCATACCGTCCATCGGGGTAGAGGCTCTGGGCCGGGACGATTGGATTTGATGATGTTGTTGAGGCAGCAGCAGCTGATGTTGATGTTGTTGATGATGATGATGATGATGTTGCTGATGCAGATGCTGTTTCTGCTTCCTGTCTGACCGACTGTCTCTCGTCCGCTACCGCCGCATCGCTCCGGCCTGGATGGTACTTGACCGGCGACTCCTTCTCCAGAAACTGGCGCAGCTTCGGATCCAGCTGGGCCAGCGGATCGGAAGATCGGCTCGCGCTGCTCTCGCTGCTGCCAAACAGACTGTCGAACCAGCCCATTGGCGACCGATGGTGTTACGAAAGGAGGGTGAAGGAGAAATGCGGGGGAGACAAAAGCTGGAGCGGCCGTGTGCCTTGGAATGGTCGGTCGTCAGTGTCGATTCTTGTCTCTATTTTTTCGACCGTGTCTATTGGTCCAGAGTGGCCGCCATTTCGACGTCACGTGATACACATACATGCTGTACCCCATAGGAATATTTGATACAGTACATGGACACTTGGTCGCCTTGAGTAGGTTATGAGGCTAGAAGTAAACGGAAACGGTCCTTTATGTTATACTCGCGAGTAGGAAGGTCCTGAATCTACTCCGCCCTCCACGAGAAAGCTCTGCTCCTACAAAAACGGCAGTGTATGTTGGCAGAGGCTCACACTGGGCAGCCCGGAGTAGAAGGACTGTGGTATGCAATGCCGACGGCGAAGAAGGCGCACAAAGAGCTGCTATGGATTGCGGCTCCCGGCCAGACATGCTCGTTGTCAACAATGCCGACCTTTTGCAGCGATGGCACTGGTGAGTATCCGTGCCAAGGCCGCCGAAGATGGCAGTGGCCAGATGATCGAACGCGACCACGTGCTGGGTGTGAGATTCAGTCACCTGTCCGTAGACCTAGGAGAAGCACCTGCCGAACAGATAGCCCCCAAAGTTGGATGTATACAGCCTTACGGAGTACTGCCGCTCACATAGCTTCCCCACAAAAGCGACGCCTTCTGCAGCAGGTTCGCCAGTTTGGTGATTGGCCGGACACGGCCACTGCACAGGTGCATTAGTGGGCCGTCCGACCGAGGCTGGGGGGCTCATTCCTATTTCGGCGTGTCGCCCTCTGGTTGGTCAGCCGCTGGGATCCTCGTCTTCCTGCCCTCTATCCAGCATTACTGCTCACTTTTCCTCCTTCTGACCTGATCGACACCCCTCGTATAACGTTGTCACCAGCACACCGTCTCTTCAGCATATTACGCCTGCGCTGCTTTTGTGAAATCGCTCCCTGTTTTCCCCTCTCTCTGCTGCGCTTGTTGCTGTTGGCTGCTGCGCCCTCTTACTCCCTGTCGTGCTCGACGTCAATCTAGCCCGCATTTGTCGCTCTGTTCGCCCCTCTGTCCCCGATAGCCAGTACTGCTGCCAGCGGACCGCAGAGCCCTCGATTGGATCCGCCGCCGTCCGGCCTTTGTGTCTGTCTCTCAACGCGCGTCGCCACTTGTTTCAGAGCGTCCCTCATCCCAGCCGGTCTGGGAGCAAAGTTTACTGGAGACGACGCAATATGCGGCCCTGATGTCCAAACCGGCTTTCACGCGTCCACAGCCCGCATGAGCCTTGGGCTGCTCGTTGACGACGCTACCTCTCCTGCATTCGCCTCTTCCTTCTCTCTCCCTTGCTGTCACAACCATGATTCACGACCCCATCAGGATTGCCTGTGCTGGCCTGGCCGTGTCCGTGCTCTTCGGCACCACCGCGGCAAGCAGCATCCCTCCCGGCCCCTTTCAGCGCAGCGCTGCCGGCATGACCTGCAGCCGTTCGGGCAGCTGTGCCGAGGCCAAGGCCAAGCCCATCTTTGACGTGCTCGACGAGTTCTTGGACGCTTTGCGTGTGCTCCAGGGCGACTACTTTGAGCTGTGGCTGGGAACCTGGCCCCAGGCAATCGACTGGACAGCAGCCGTAACCGGAACCCACGTGGCTGGCGCTCTCAGCTCGCTCTCCAGCACTCTGCCCGTCCACGACGACGATGCTCGTGCCAAGGAGAATCTTATCACGACGTACTTCTCCCAGCTCTTGAGCTACTACTTTGGCCAGGATGCCTTTGCCATCCGCAACGAGGCGTACGATGACATGCTCTGGGTCGTTCTGGGCTGGCTGGAACTCATCGAGTTTATCAACTACCACACCCTGATCTACCTCCAGTCCGATGTCCCCGCAACAGTCGCTTCCACCATCTATCCGAGCCAGGATGTCTCGGAGATTCTGCGGAACCAGACCTGGTACGGCAACCTGTGGACCCCTGCCTTCTCTCACCGCGCCCGCATCTTCTGGGATCTTGCCTCGCGGGGCTGGAACACCACGCTTTGTGGAGGCGGCATGTTGTGGAACCCGCGCCTGGAGCCTTACAAAAACTCGATCACCAATGAGCTGTTTATTGCCTCGTCCGCATCCATGTACCTCTATTTCCCCGGTGACCCAAACCCGTCGCCGTTTTCGAGTGACCGCGACCCACGGGTCAGGGATCCCGCCAAAGACCAGCAAGGCTCGCGTGAACCGCACGAGAAGAAGCACTTGCAGGCTGCACTTGACGCATACGACTGGCTGGCCAGCTCGGGCATGATGAACCGCCAAGGCCTCTACATAGATGGCTTCCACATCAACGGGTGGAGCAATGCGTCCAACCCCAATACCAAGTGCGACGTCCGCAACGAAATGGTCTACACGTACAACCAGGGCGTTGTCTTGACCGGCCAGGTTGGCCTGTGGAAGGCCACCGCAGACGAGAGGTTCTTGGACGACGGCCATGCGCTGATACAGTCTGTCATCCGGGCAACCGGCTACGACCTCGGGCGGGACCGGCCTGTCGACAACATTGATGCTTTGAAGCCCGGCCAATTGCCACCTTGGCACGGTCTTGGCCGTGCTGGCGTCTTGGAGGAGCAGTGCGATATCTCCGGCGAATGCTCCCAGGACAGCCAGACGTTCAAGGGCATCTACTTCCACCATCTGTCGGCCTTCTGCGCACCATTGGACGCGGTCGCGGCCGAGGAAAGCCAGACATCAGTCAACCATCGCAATGCCTGTGTCTCCTACTTGGGCTGGATCCGACACAATGCCGCAGCAGCTCTCGCCACCAAGGACTCTGACGGCAAGTTCGGCATGTGGTGGACGGCTGGCCTGCTAGACATATCCGCTGCTTCTCTGGATGGCATGTCGCCAAAATGGTCGTCAGACAGCAGCTGTGTCGATTATCGGACGTATGGCGTGCCCGATGACACAACTTGGACGTCTGTCCCCGTCCAAGGAGCTCCGGCGCCCGACCCTTATGAGGAGCAACGGCCATTGATGGGCGGGTCGTCCAGAGGTGCCACACGAGCCCATAGAAATGGGCGCCGCACAACGACGAGAGCCCTCGCGGATCCCAATACACGGGGCCGCGGCCGGACAGTCGAGACGCAGGGAGGCGGTCTTGCCGTCCTTCGGACCCTGTGGGAGATCACCAACCTAGCGAATAGATAAAAGCAAGGCGAGGAAACGGGCTTGATGTCCTTCCGACTGTATCTTTCCATTGATCATCTTTACTTCATTATCTATATCAGCATACGGAGTACTGAAATACAGGAGCCTGGCTTTTCCGTGCTTTGTTTTCCCCTGTTGTGGCTGAAATCCAAGCCACTGTCTGACACGTGACTTACTCCGCTTCGCAACTAACAATTGGTTGGCCTGCAGCTGAGACTCCACTTTTTCCTGGAGACTTGCCCTCCCACAATTTTGAATTTTCGTGTTCATTTTTTCCCGCCGGCCCCAAAAAGTGTGCTCCACCAACCAGCACACGAAAAAAATAACCCCCCGAAAAGCGAAAGCTACCTTTTTTTAAACTTTTCGTTTCTCTCACCATCCCCGACTCGCAGCCACCACGCCCAACATCGTCGTCGTCGTCGACTCTTCCATACTAATCAATCCGTCAAGATGGCTACCGAGCTGACCGTCCAGTCCGAGCGTGCTTTCCAGAAGCAGCCGCACATCTTCCTCAACTCCAAGACCAAGGTCAAGACCTCGCGGCCGGGCAAGGCTGGACGGAGATGGGTACGCTTTGACACAACCTCCATGTCTCGCTTCGAAAGAGAGAGGCGAGAAGAATTCGCACCGCGATCGGACTCGTTTCGCTGACTTTACTGGGAATGTAGTACAAGAACGTTGGTCTGGGCTTCCGGACGCCCAAGGCCGCCATTGAGGGCAGCTACATCGGTAAGCTTGTTGTCAGAATGTGATGTGGAGGGCACAGGGCGCGAATAGCGAGAGGGGCTCTGAAAATGTTCGACCGGCTGGCTGCATGGCACACGAGGCACCCTTGGCATCTCGAAGACCGAATCCGACACGACCAAGCGATTTGTGGGAGGGAAACTTGGGGCTTAGATGCTCTCAGAAGATGAGGACTGGTAGCGTTTGGTAGCGGTCTCCGCGCCCAATTTGGCATCGCAACAACGACGACAAGACGTAACGGAAAAGACGCGCAGCTCGGATGGTCGCCGACAGCACAGCTCGCCCTATGTCTAACTAGTCAGCCAGCCAGCCAGCAGCAGTCGTTTCGATATTTTCTGATCCCGCGTGACCTTGAGCGGCTTGAAATGATATGAAGAGGAACTGCATTGCTGACCGAGGTTCTTTTCCCTCGCTGCAGACAAGAAGTGCCCCTTCACCGGCCTGGTCTCGATCCGTGGCCGTATCCTTACCGGCACGGTCGTGTCCACCAAGATGCACCGCACCCTGATCATCCGGCGAGAGTACCTCCACTACATCCCCAAGTACTCCCGTTACGAGAAGCGGCACACGAACCTGGCGGCTCACTGCTCGCCCGCTTTCCGTGTTGAGGAGGGTGACCAGGTCACCGTCGGCCAGTGCCGCCCCCTGAGCAAGACTGTAAGCAGACCCTGAAAGACGCGGGCGGGGAGATGAGAGGAAGCAAGCTAACCAGCTCACAGGTCCGCTTCAACGTCCTGCGCGTGCTTCCCCGGACCGGCAAGGGTGTGAAGAAGTTCAGCAAGTTCTAAAAAGGGAAACCACACCCAAATTATATCCTGCATCTCTCTCTTAAATACAAAGCAACACCAAAAAAAGGAAATGAAAAAGAGAAATTCTTCGGGCACATCTTTGTTTTGAACCACTTTTTTCTCTCTTGTACCGGATGGTGGGCGCGCGGGAACAACCTGTTTATATTTTCCTCCGGTCTCTCCTCAAGATAGGAAAGGACGGCAAAAAAAGAAATGATAAAACAACGGCAAGATCAGGAGAGGGCGGCGGACGAGACGGCGGACAGGGGCGGCTCTGCCTCTGTGGTCTCTGTGTCTTAATCGCTAGCAAAAAATCACTGGCGCCCCAACGGCCAATCCAGCAAATCACGTGTGTGCCATGTTGCGACGGCGATGTAGATCGACTTGTCTGGACGTCGAAGTAGATTCTGAAAAAGGATCATGACGAATGCAGGTCGACAGGTGCTGTGCAGAATGATGACTTGTCTAGGATGAGTTGATGACGAGGCGTCTGCAGGAATTTGTAGCACTGTACTCCGTATCAGAGGCTGTTCCTGTGTCCCACTAAATGATACGGTGTCCTTCAACGGATTAACCGATGTTGTCAAGTTTGAATCCACTGTAGGTAGACCTCTGTTTCGACAGCTCACTGTCTAAAACTCATGGCTACTTGGTGGTGAAAACAGTCCATTGATGAATCTTCGATATATGTCTGGCCAAGCTTTACCATTGTCATACCTGTTTTCCTAGATCAATACGGATCCTCGAGGAAAGCTTAACCCAAGCAGTTTTGAAAATGGCAAGTAAGGAAGGAGCGCTATACAATGCGGGGGTTTCTTTTCAACCCTCCTCAAGTCATCTCTGATCACTCTTCACATCTTATCGTCTTCTACAAAATCAACTGCCTCTACAACATTGCAGAGCAACCACATCTTCTAAGATACGACATGCAGAAGACGAATAGAGCCCGAGCCAGAACGGCACCTCAACCTATAAAACAAGTAGCAGCAGAGCTTTGGAGAGAATTCGCGGCAAACAGCCGCAACGAATGACAGCGAACCACTCAATCTAGTACCTTTCCAGCCTGTTACATCTTACTGATTATCAATACACCTCTAAAAAACAACTCTACTAATAAATCTTTCCCCATTTTCTTACAATAACAATGGGTCCACCCGGTACTACGACAGAAACCGGTCCTGCAGCACCATTCTAGCAGGGGCTTATGCCCTCCCTGTTCCAACCTTGCAGTCCAATAATTGGATCCCGGCCTTGGAAGAAGTTGAGATCTGAGGAGGCCTTGTTTGCAACCAAGAAACATAAATGAAACAAATGTTCCATTTAATATGGGTTGGGGTCGAATTGTCGTCGTATTGAAATTTCGTCCTTGGTCTAAGAGGCAATGCAAGTTGCACACAATGGGTACTGATCACAGTAATCTTTCTTCGAAACTAGAGTTTCGATATTAATTGCTTCTGCCCTGTCAATGCAATTGTGATGTAAAAGGTCCATAACTCCCCATATTCCCGGTTTGGCGGCAGTTCCCCGGTTTGTCCCAGCCGTCTGTGCCAAATGTTCTTAGAGACCTTGGTTTTCCTGGCTGTAGTACGGGGTAGCTGTCAAGTATGTGCAAAGGACAGTAGAGAGAAGTTAGAAAGGCTCACTAATACAATACCGATTGTGTCGACGGTAATGTTAGTAATAGAAAACCCGTTTAGCTTAAGACTCATTTAGGATGTGTCTTTCAGCTTGCTAGTAGACACCAAAATATCCGTTTTGTTACAGAGATGCGCAAGATTCATCGCCGTTACAAGAGGAACAATTATAGGCTCGTATCAAGCGCACTGAAGCTGCATCGAAAACCCGCCGAAAACATACAGCACAATGCAAACGTTGCTACAGAAAAGCGGAATAGAAACGCATGAAAATTAAAACGATAAATGCTGTAGGGTAAGCATCCCTCTTCTTTCATCGTCTATTATGTCTTACTTATCATAAATGTTTAATTAGATCCCATTGTTTGGCCGGAAACATCGGCCAACACTCCCGCTGACATACCGTTCTTGTTCGCCGTCTTGAGAACAATACTTATCGCCTTGCTGATACGGTTTATTCCGTGCTTTCGATACAGTACCTGACTGGCTTAAGGTGCTCTCAGGCAAGACTGGCATCAAAACTGGTACGAAACAACATTGGCCGTATCCTAGCATACAGCTATGGATACGGTGGTCGCCCCTCCTGACTCATCGCTGTTTGGCGACACAGCACTCAATATGACTTCCCGGCCAGCTTGGGCACTGGCCGCACATAATCGGAGCATATGATGTTGTGCGAGCAAATAGCGTCATATCCAACAAACACTATCCTAACAGCGGCAGACAAGTGCGAAAGCGAAGACATCAGTCTGAGCTACATAAACTCCAAGAAACGCCCCGTCCCTTCCAATATTCCAGCACAGAGTAAATGGTCGTTTCTCCGTCATGTCGTATCGTCAAGAAAAAAAAGAAACAAAGACTAAGCCACCTGAAAGCCACCCAACACCTGCTCAGTCCACGAACCGGCGCTCAAACTCAGCAAACAGCTTTGGCGTGATCTCGTCGCTGCTCATGCCCTCGACCTCAAGCAGCACGCCGCGATCGGCATAGTGAGCCAGCAGCGGCGTGCTGGTCTCGAGGAACTTATCGTAGCGGGTGCGATAGACGGCCTCGCTGTCGTCCGGCCGCTTGACCAGCGGCTCGCCCGTGACGTCGTCACGGCCAGCCATACGCGGTGCATTGAACGAGTCGTTGTACACCCGACCCGACGGCTCGTGCACCCAGCGGCTGGCGATGCGCTGCATCACCACCTCAAAGGGCGTCTTGAGCGAGATGGCCAGGTTGACGGGCACGAACAGATCGAGCTGTGCCGCCTGGGCTGCCGTGCGCGGGAAGCCATCAAGCAGAAACGATGCGGCCGGGTCCTCAGACAGTCGCGATTCGGCCGCAGCTCCGGCCATGCTGCCGTCGACGGCAGCCTTGTGCTGCGACAAAAAGGTGGCCACACCGGCATCATCGGCCGTCGACTTGGCCGCGATCGTCAGCAGGTCGGGCGAGCCGCTAGACACGAGCCAGCCACGGGTCGAGAGCTCGTTCCGGATGAGGCGCAGGATGAGGTTGTCCGGCACGAGGCCGCCAGCTTTGATCGTGCTCTCGACCTTGATGCCTTGCGGAGAGGTCAGTCAAGAGAAAGCGGAAGGACGCAGACAAGAGGAAACATACCGAGTGGCGTCCGGGTCTTGACATTGTGCCGCAGGAGATCGCCCGAGCTTAGGTGGGCCAACTGGGGAAAGCGACGTAGCAGCCGCTCCGACTGCGTCCCCTTGCCCACGCCTGGAGCTCCGATAAGGATGACTCGGGCGGCCTTTTTGAGTCGCATTGCGCAGACGTATGGCACTCGACGAGATTGAGGATCGGAGGAGCGACAAGAACGCGATGCGCAGGATGGACGAGAGGAGAGGAGAAACAGGAAAAAGGGGGGAAAAGGACAAGAAAAAGAGCTAGATAGGCAATTATATTGTCGAATTATCGCACGATCCCGCAGAGGCGGGCCGGAGAAATGGGGTCGCTAATCAAAATGAAGTGTGGGGAAGTGAAAAAATAGGTCGAGAGGATATAGTATACTATGTTCGTTGAGTAGTCGATGAAGAGAGCACGCCGTTAAAAACGGTCGCCGAGCTACGACGGTTCTCACATTGTTAGCCCACAGTGTCAGATTGGTCGGTGGTTGCACCACGTACTGCCGAGAGAGTGGCAGCCTGCTCAGTACTCGTACAAATTCACATGTGCCGAATCCAAAGTCGGACGGAGGAACAATACGGCGTAAATAGAGCATGTTGGCCCCCGGAGTGACGACATGTCTGCATCGGAGCCGCCTGGTGGAGAAAGCCATAGAGTGGGGCATTGCCTTTCACAAGCCCTGGCCCTGTGAAGTACTTCATTCTCCGAAGATTTTTTTTGTGTTGGGAAGCGCTAAGTCCGGCCTGAATGAACGCCCGCAATCGGCGGTCTGTCAGCATTCTTACGTGGTTCCTGCGCCAAATTCAGTGCCGGAGAAGCCCCGCCCAAGCCGAGACAAGAGCTAATAAGATACTTCCACGCCTCCAGGAGATGGCGCAATTAGCCAGCACATTGGGCAGCCGTGGGTACCTCGACATGTGACGAACCACGTGACTCTGTTACAGGATTAGACTACGGAGTACTCAGCAACAGGATGACAGGGGCGCTCCATTGGCTCATTAAGAAACGGAACCATCTGGACTTGGACAACGTTTTCCTGTTCCTCTTCTTCCCATTTAGTCCGCCCTCATCCTCCTCCTTGCACTCACCTGTTTTTGAGAATCTTCTAAGCGTGAGAAAGATTCGGTTCATTTCCGCTATCTGCTCCTTCCTGCCCGCTGCAACAGAACGAGCGTCGATTCTGTCTGCGCTGTGTTTTGTAAAACCGGTCTTTCAGTTGTTGTTGTGCTGCTGCTGCTGCAGTCTGTCTTATAATCCCTCCATCCCTTGCACCGCCAGTTTCCAAACCCATCATGAGCGCCTCTCTCACTGCGGTCCGCCGGGCCACCGCGGCCAACAGCAGTCTACTGGGCAGGGGTATGTTGTCGGCGATTATTGTAATTTTGGTTTTGGTGTTTCCGACTGACGGTGTCCTCCAGGCCGAACAATTCCCCGCGCGGCCATGCGCTCGACGACGATGAACCTGATGCGGAACTCCCGGAACCTGGCCATGCGCGACAACGTCTCGTTTGTGATCTTCGCGTCGGCACGCGGCTTTTCTACAGAGACGCACTCTGCAGTCGGCGGCCCGCCATCCGGCCCACCGCCTGGCTTCGACCCGGAAAAGGCTAAGATTCCTCTGCCGAAAGAAAACAGCCAGACGAGTGCGGCAGGCTCCGCCAAGACTTCCACCAAGGCCAAGGCGAAGGAGACGACGGCGACTTCGTCATCCAAGACGGCACCTCTCGCCGAGGCGGTCGGCCAGCCGCCTGCAGCCGATGCTGCGGCTTCCGAGGGCAAGCCAGTGGTGGCACTGGAGGCCAAGAGCGGCAAGAAGGCGGACGAGGTGAAGCTGACACTCTCACAAAAGATCAAGAAGGAGGCACAGCACTACTGGGACGGCACGAAGCTGCTGGCGACAGAAGTCAAGATCAGCACGCGACTCGCCGTCAAGATGGCGGCTGGCTACGAGCTGACGCGCCGCGAGCACCGACAGCTGACACGGACGGTGCAAGACCTGAGCCGGCTGGTCCCGTTCTCGGTGTTTGTGATTGTGCCGTTTGCGGAGCTGCTGCTGCCGGTGGCTCTGCGGCTGTTCCCCAACATGCTGCCGAGCACTTACGAGGGCCAGCAGTCGCGCGAGAAGAAGGCGTCGTTCCTGCGGGCGACGCGCAAGGAGGTCAGCACGTTTCTGCGGCAGACGATGAAGGAGACCGGGCTGCCGATCCAGTCGGGTACGGCGCACCGGGCCGAGTTCACCAATTTCTTCCGCAAGGTGCGGGCGACGGGCGAGCAGCCGACGGCGGAGGACGTGATCAAGGTGTGCAAGACGTTCAAGGATGACATGACGCTGGACAACCTGTCGCGGCCGCAGCTAGTGTCGATGTGTCGGTACATGAACCTAAACACGTTTGGCACGGACATGATGCTGCGGTACCAGGTGCGCCACCGGATGCGGCAGATCAAGCGGGACGATCGGGCGATCAGCTACGAGGGCGTCGACAGCTTGACGGTGGCGGAGCTGCAGACGGCGTGTGCGAGCCGCGGCATCAAGTCGTACGGCGTCTCGCCGGCGCGGCTGCGCGAGGATCTGCAGACCTGGCTGGACCTGCGGCTCAAGGAGGGCGTGCCGTCAACGCTGCTGGTGCTGAGCAGCGCATACATGTACGGACAGCCGTCGACGGGCAAGAACGACGGCGGCGCAGTGCAGACGCAGATCGAGGCGCTGACGGGCGTGCTGTCGTCCATCCCGGAGGAGCTCTACCACGAGATCGAGTTGGCGGTCGACAATGCCGAGGGCCAGGCGACGAACAAGCAGCGGCTCGAGGTGCTGCGGGAGCAGGAGGACCTGATCGAGGACGAGGCCGAGCAGAACCAGGTGAACCAGAAGAAGGGCCTGGCCACACCGCGGGACGTCGACAACATTGACGAGGAGCAGGAGCGGGCGCTGCTGGAGGCGGCCGCTTCCGGTGAGGATGTCGCGGCCGAGAAGGACCAAAAAGCGGCTGCTCCGACGGAGAGCAAGTGATGCACCAAACTAAAAGAAAAACGCACAAAAAGGACGAAAAAACGGGTAAAATAGTAAAAGTTGACAAAACAGTCTTACATGCTGGGGCGCAGCATTATTTCCTTTTCCTTTGTTTCTGCCATTTGCATTTATCGAACTGGGAGAAGGATTGTGCTAAAGGGCCTACTGGATACACATCTGTACAAATAAACCACCATACAGAGAGGGAGGCATCGGGAAGGCAAGGATCTGCGGCTTAGGAGTCAAGAGGAACCACATCTAGCTCATGGGCACACGAAGCGCAATAGATTTCCACGCTTGAATGGTTTTTGAATTTGATCGAGTTTCTTTGCAGCGATGCGAGACTGGTGAGGAGAATGTGCTTACTAACGTGTAAGAGTCAGCCACAGTCGCGGCCACGGCCACAGCCACAGCCACACCTTTCCCCGCCATACGTCAGCTTCCACAATCGTCAGCTGCCAGCCTCCGACCTTGGAGATGCTTCTCATTCCCTTTGATAGCAGCCCAGCCCGCGACTGACTTTGTCCTGTGCAGAATCACACCACGAATAGGAAGCTGCAGAAGACCGATAACTAACGATCTTAGAGGAGCATTTCCCTCTGCCGTCTTCGTTGTTCGTCAGTGATTTCCCTCCCCGAAGTATTGTCTCAATTAGGCCCACTGCCACTATGGCTGTGACTGACCAGGACATATTCTCCAACGTCTCCTGGAGCAGCGACCAACGTGCGACAAGCCTTGAAAGCGACAGAAAGAACAGGAGCGACAGCGACGGAGACAGGATGGGCTCCGACTACCGACAGACGTTGCCGTCGTCGCCGTCGCAGCGATCGCGCGGCTATGTCGCCCTGGACGCAGACACGCTGGGACCCGAGGCCCTGCAGTGCACGGTGTCGTCGCCGCTGACGGAGAATGAGGGCGGCAGCAACCCGTTCACGTCGTACCTGGTGACGACCAATGTAGGTGAATCTACTTTCTGGTTCTGTTTGTGATCTCCATGCCGACGAACGGGACATTCCTGCAGTCTACCTTTAGCTCGTTTCAGAAGCCGACGGTATCGGTGCGGCGACGGTTTACCGACTTCCTCTTCCTGTACAACTCGCTCTGCAAGGACTACCCAGCGTGTGCAGTGCCGCCGATCCCGGAGAAGCAGCGGATGGTGCGGGTGACGGGCGACCGCTTTGGGCCCGACTTTACGCGCCGCCGGGCATACTCGCTGCAGCGATTTTTGACGCGGCTGTCGTTGCACCCAGTGCTGCGACGGTCGGTGCTGCTGCACAGCTTCCTGGAGTCGGGCGAGTGGAATGCGACGATGCGCAGCCATACGGTGCGCGGCTCTGGCGACGGCTACGGCGGGAGCATCGGGCTGGGCGGCGGCAGTGGTGGAGGGGGTGGCGGCATCTACGGCAGCGGAGGTGTGGGCGCGAGTGGTGGTGCAGGAGGAGGTGGTGGTGGTGGAGGAGGAGGAGGAGGAGGAGGCGGCAGCAGCATGTTTGACGCGTTCGCGGACAGCTTCATCAACGTGTTCACAAAAGTGCACCGGCTGGACCGGCGGTTTGTGGACGTGCGCGAAAAGAGCGACCGGCTGGACGAGGACCTGGGCCAGGTGGAGAAGGTGATGGCACGGGTGGTGCGGCGTGATGCGGACATCGAGGCCGATCTCAAGGACCTGGCGGAACAGTTCCAGAAGCTGATCACGCCGGAGCCGGGCGTCGAGGGTGCGGTGCGGGCCTTTGCAGCATCGGTCGAGGACACGGCGACGGGGCTGCGTGGCCTGCGCGAGATCACGGACCAGGACTACCTCAGCAGCCTGCGCGACATGGTGGCCTACAGCGGCTCGCTCAAGAACCTGCTGAAGGCGCGCGAGCAGAAGCAGCTGGATTACGAGCAGCTGACCGAGTACCTGAACAAGAGCACGGCCGACCGGGACCACCTGGCGATGACGTCGGGTTACTACTACGGAGGGAGTGGCGGTGGAGGTGGTGGTGGTGGTGTGGGTGGCCTGGGGGGCAACAGCACAGGCGGCGGTGCAGTGTCTGTGGCTGGCGGTGATGCGGGCGACGGAGGCGGCGAGACGGCCAGCGGAGGCGTCTCGGGCGGGCTCGGGGCCGTCAGCAGCGTCGGGGCAGCAGCATCGTCGTACGTGGCCAGCACGGGCGGTGGAGCACTGGCGGGGGCCAGCGGGTTTCTGCGCAGCAAGCTGGAGGATGTCCGAGGGGTGGACCACGAGCAGAGCCGGCGAGAACGGCAGCGCAAGCTGGAGATGCGGGTGGAGGAGCTGACGGCCGAGGTGGAGCGGGCGCGCAAGACGAGCGAGCTCTTTGACGAGGAGGTCGTTAAGGAGGTGGCCGACTTTGAGCGGATCAAGCGGGTCGAGTTTAAGCGGCAGCTGGGCGGCTTGGCGGACGCGCATATTGCATACTATGACGCGGTGCATCGGGTGTGGGGGGAGTATCTGCGAGAGATGGAGAAAGAGGGTGTATTGGCGGTGTGAGGAAGTGGGAGAGATGGAGGAGAAGAGATGGAGGAGAAAAGATGGGAGTGAGAAAGAAGAGAGTAAGAGGCAAACGATGCAAAGATGGAGAAGAATTGTATGAAGAACAGGAAGTAAGGGAAGGGAAGAGCGAGAGATCACATGTATGAAGAAGAACAAGGAACATTAATCAGCTGAAGACATCCAATAAACACTCTGTATATGTATTTCTGTCTAGCTTTTCGGCCCCTCTGAAAGGACAAGAACAAAACTCCGGGCCATTACCCAAAACACAATATATATGATGCACCGACAGAAGTGCCCCACGCTTCGTCCTCAACCAGCCCTAGCCTGCTCACAGCAGCTGGGACCGGTCGTGACTGTGACCGGCTGCGGTCTCATCGTCTGAGTCTTCAGACTCCTCCTGCGACTCATCCGAGTCCTCCCCGATCACGTGACGCGCAGCATCCGTCTGTCGATCTTCTCGCGGCTGCTGCAGCTTCTCGTCCGAGCCGTCGCGATAGCCCACTTGCGGCCGGCTGGCATAGCCGGTCTCGTCATAGCGAGCCTCATCGCGGTGGCTGAGGCGGTCGTCGCCGTCGTCGCCGTCGTCGTCTTCCTCGTCCGACCCGTCAGCAAAGGCATCATAGAGCTCGCCGCCTCGCGTCGCCTTCCGGCGGCTCTTGCGGCTACCAACAAGACCGCCCACGATGCCGGCAGCGGTCTTTTCGACGTGCAGGCGGCCACCGGCACGGTCGTCATCCCCGCCGCCACCGCTGCTGCCGTTGAGCGCCTCGGCCTCCTCCTCGTCGAGCAGCTCAAACTCGTAGTTGTCGCGCGGGCTGTTGCGCAGCCGTTGCCGGCGGGCCAGAAAGAGATACACACCAAGGCCCAGACAAAAGGCCACGATCAGGCCCATGGCCCCGTAGATCCATATCTGCTTCTTGGTCGACATGTTGGCCATAAAGGCCGGCATCCACGACGTCGTGTTGCCGGTGGGCGTCGGCGACGACGATTCCTCTTCCGACTCGTGTTCAGTCTTGTCGCCTGTCGCCTCTGCTGGCGATCCGGCTGTCGTCGTCGTCGTCGCGCTGCTGCTGCCGGACGTTTCTGCCGTCGGCTTCACCGGCCGGCCCGGCTGGTCAGTCGGCACCGCCTCTGTCGGCGCCGCAAACGTGCTGCTGCTGCTCGTCGCCTGCAGCGTCGTGGTCGAGGCAGCCAGCGTTGTCGTCGCCGTGATGTCGTGGTCGTTGTCGTCCTCTTCCGTCGGCATCGGCAGCAGCTGCGCCTTGGACCCGTCAATGCTCTCGCCCCACAGCTTCAGATGGAAGTCGGTAAAGGTGCCATTCTTGTTGTTCACAATCGTATCCTTGACCACGACCGTCCACGTGCCCACGCCCGTCTCGCCCCAGTGCACCACGCTCATAAAGGTCCAGTCCACGTAGCCCTGCGGAGTGTTGTCCGGCTTGCGCGTCACCGACAGGTGGCTGACCACGTTGTTGGGGCTGATCAGGTCGACGCTGAGATCGCCGCGTCGCGTATGGTCAATGTTCATCGTCACCGTCACGTGCTCCACTCGCGCAAAGTTGGCCGCCTGCAGCATCGCCTCTGTGATCTCGAGGCTGACCGTCAGGCCGACGTCGCCCTGCGGAATCGCCTCGTGCACGTGAATCCACGGCGAGTAGAACCAGGCCTGCGGCTTGACGTTGGTCCACGTCTTGGCCGCCTCCACGAGCGCGTACGAGTCCACCTTGCCGTACGCAAACGTGTGGCTGTACTTGCGCCCGATAAACGTGTCCTGCCAGTCGCCCGAGTCGAGGTTGATCGGCACCGCCGTCATCAGGACGAGGTACTGCATATCGCGCCACGTCAGGTCCGGTCGGATTTGCAGCGCCAGCGCAAAGATGCCTGCTGCCAATGGAGCGGCAGCCGATGTGCCGCCATGGCCGTTGTAGCAGGCGTTTTGTCCAACGTCTGTCGTGTGCTATGTGATGAGTCAGCAACCACGTGATCTTGAATAATACATAGTAGAGCTCCTCAGCTCCTTCACTCACAATCGCATCACCACCACCGCTCGAGTACGTCACCACCAGGCTGGCCGAGCACTTCTCCGAGTAGAACGGGTGGTCACCCTTGCGGTCGACGGCACCGACTGTGATGCTGTAGATGCTGTTGGTGTAGCCGTCAAAGTTGCAGTTGTCGTCGGACGCAGCGCCGTTGCCGCTGGCAAAGACGTAGATGGAGCCCAGGCCGCCGCGGCCGTTCTGCACGGCGTTCAGCATGGCGCGGCGAATCAGAACACCGGGCGCGTCCATGCTGCGGCCATCGTCGGGCGGGCCCCACGAGCACGAGTAGATGTCGTTGTTCTGGTAGTCGTAGTTGAGCGCGGCCGCCTCATCGGCGTCCGAGATGGCCTTGGAGAGGATGCGGATGCCTGAAATGCGCGAGTCGTATGCAACTCCGACACCACACACGTTGTTGCGCACCGCCGACACCTCACCGGCGCAGCGCGTGCCGTGCCGGTCGTCCGAGAGCCGGGGCCGCGGCTCGGCTGTCTGCTCGTTGAAGTCGTACGAGCCCTTGGCATAGTAGTTGTCCTTGAGGTCATCGCTGTACATATCCAGGCCGTCGTCGACAATCGACACGGTCGTGTTGTGGCCCGTGATGCCCTGCAGCCACACGTCCGTGACGTTGACGTCGTGGCCGACCTGCTGCGTGTTGAACAGATGCCACTGCTCCTTGAAGATGGGGTCCTGGATATCCAGGGTGCTGGCGACCAGCGCTTGTCTCTGCACGGCTGCCGCCTCGGGCTGTGCGGCCTGCCGCTCGCCCTGTCTGGATTGGATGGATGGTGGCATCGGCGGGATCACTCGTTTTTCCAGCCGTCGGTGCAGCTGCTGCTTCTGCGCGAACAGCACGCCGTCCAGGGGGCTGCGCCCGCTCAGGAGCGAGCTGATGGATCGTCGCCGCCGTCGTCTCTGCTGCAACTCGCGCCGGACGACATCGTCGCCGCTCTTGTGGCCCGAGAAGACGTGGTGGCCGGCCAGCTCGCCTAGCTGGCCTTCGTGCACGAGTCCGAGCTGCAGCGCCACCTGGTCGGGCACGGTCTCACCGTCGAGGTGCAGAACGTAGTAGTCGTTCTGCTCGTAGTCACGACGGACGGAAGACGCTGCCACGGCAACAGCTAGGCCTGCAAGACCAAGAAAGGCGGACAAGGGCTTCATCGTCGCTGGCTGCGGAGGGAATTCGCCTTCTGCTGTTTCGATGCTGATGCTCCCGCCAGGCGATGCAAGTCGCAGCCCGCTAGCAAGATGCGGCAACAATAGGGACAGATCCGGAGGAGGACGCGGTTTCTTTGTTCGGCAGCCTGTGAAATGCCCCTTACTCGAGCTGGCGAGCAAGGGAGAAAGACGAAGCGGTTTGGGGGGCAGTGCAGGACAGACAAGGTGGCATCGGCGCCGAAATAAGCAATTGCGACGGGAGGGTGGATTGAAATTAGGAGAGACAAGGAGGAGCGTGAGAGAGAGGTCGCCTCCTCGGATCGCAATGCGACTTCAACGGGGAGTTGTCTTTCGATTTGGTCGAATTGGCCTGCTGTCGTTCAGGCTAGGTGGCCTTGTGTAGGTACTAACGGCCAGGCCTGCCTGCACTGGCTAGCGTCTCAGATAACGTAGGCCTGCGCTGGCACGTGCCTGAGATGACGACTGCCTGCCTAATACGGAGCACGGTCGCCACAGCCGATGCTTATGAGAATCTCAGCGCGTGCGCTCTTCGTCTCTCGACACGCCGTGCGACAGGCTGAATACGAACAGCGACGCGTTCTAGCCCTCCTTTCTTGCCAATCGGACCCCTTCATGCAAAGAACGGTGAACCCCAGGACTAACGCGACAAGGGGGCGCGGCAACAGCGAACAGACACAAGGTCCGTGAGCCTGTGGCTGGAGTAGCCTGACACAGCACGCACAACGTTACAAAGGGGCGGCCATCAAGGTCGAGACTAGACCGCACTACCGTCCTAGCGAGCTACTGTGAATATGCCGAGACAGCACCCCCAACGGCTGATCCCGGCTGTCGAGGAACGAGAAGCGTTTCTGAAAGAATTCACAATACGACCTGGACTGATTCATGTTGACGCTGTGTCCAAAAGGGAAAGAGGCCCTTTCTCCGTAGTACTTACTTACCTGCCAGCCTCCTCCTCCCCGGGCCCACTCTAGCAGGACGTAGCTTCCGCGTATGCGACCAGGGGTCAGCACGGCAAGAACAAACCGGAAAGCACCACCGGGTAAAAATAAGGAAGAAAAAGGCAGATAAAAAGAAAGCATCCCCTGGCATCGTCAGCCTCCCGAATTTTCCAGCTTGTCCGTCTCAGCCAGCATTCGAACAGTCCTTTTGCTTCTCGCACGCATCTTACACACCTCGCCCTTGCATGTCGGATATCTGGCTGTTATGGCAGACTCGCCGAATCTGCGACAACTCCTGACATCAGCCGCTTTGCTTCGTGCCTTGATGTTGCAGCCGCGATATTGATTGAAATCACTGATCAGGACCCGAGAACCCTGTCATTCTCTCGCAGCCCAACCCTGCCGGCGTCTCGCCTGTCCCCCACGGAACATGGCCTCCACGAGTGCGCCGTACTGGGGCGAGCTTCCAGTAACCAAGCCGTCTGGCAGCCGCCGCCCGTCTGCTGATGCCAGCCCAGCAGAGCCCGACCGGCGCCAATTGCTTGACGTCTCGGCCCAGCCGCAACCCAAGTCCAACCGGGCCTCTGTGCAGACTACAAATACCGAGGCGCCCACCGAGTCGACCATGAGCCCCTATGGATCGCCCACCAGCACCAGCTTTCCATCCCAAGGCCTCGCACCTCGACCACCGTCCTTTCCTTACGGTGCAAACCGCTATCTGCAGCAGCAAAGCAGACGACAAAGCAGTCGAGGCAGAAACACTGACACAGCCGCTGAAAACGACCCGGCCGCGTACGCTGACGATTCCGACACTCTACCCACAGCTCCAGACGTGCCTAGGGGCCCCCCTCTGAGCTACCGCTCTCCCTACGAAGACGCGCACAGCTACGGCTATCCGCCATTGCCACCGGCCACTCCACCGAGCCCCAGGAGGCCGGAGCTGACTCTCGCCACCGACCCGATGGACCTTGCCAGTCCCGAGCAGTACTACACCACGGCGACGAGCAGGCCCGCAGCTGGCGATGCGCCCCCCTCGTCTGGCGCGCGCGGTGGTCCTTCGCGTCGCATGTCCACCCGCAGCGGACATTCCGAGCGCCGGAAAAAGTTGGAAGAGGTCCGCTCCCCGCTACAGAAGCTTGAGCTGACGCTCGACAGCATCACCAAAGAAGAAAAACGCGCCAGGGTCGCCGCTGCCGAGCAGGTTTATCGCGAGCGGGAGGGCCAGGCAGCCGCTCGCGCTCAGCTGGAGGGGCCCCGACCACTTCCGCAGCCACAGCCCCGGGAGCAGCTGCAGGCCCGGTCGCACGAGCATTTCGCCTCTGCCAGTGACGGCGAGCCACGGCCGCTCCTTCAGCCGGACGCGAGCCCGATCGAAGAGAGCTACTCGCCCATTCCCAGCCAGAGGGGACTTGCGTCGCAGTATCGGCCAGAATCAACCACATCCTCTCCGCTGTCAGAGGGACATGTCGCGAGGAGCAGGCAGCAGGACGCGCGAAACACGGCGCTTCCGAGCGGCACGGCTTCCGGAATACCTCAGCGCAACCTCAGCTTTCGTGAGCGTGCTGCACAGAGCGACACTCTCTCTCTGCCAGAGAGCATGCTGCCAAGGCGAACGAGCAGTCAGCATGTCCAGCTGGCAAAGGAACCTCCGTCGGGCGACCCGTGGGCCAACAAGAGAATGGCAGCGGAGCGCAGGTACCAGGCCATGCAGGAAATGAATGCCGCTCATGCTGGCGGACCGTCTCTTGGCAACTCCGACTTCTACACCGACATCAGGCCGGTACAGCAACCGGAACCGCAGTGGCCACGCGAAGAAAAGACACGTGGGCTGGCACCATCGGCTGCATACCAAAGACGGCCGTCTGTAAGCGGCATGTCCGATGTAGATTACCACCGGTCCGCCATGGGCTACGACGGCACAAGGGAAATCGGACGGGCCTCGATGGCGGCCGCCGGTGTGGCGGGCGTTGCTGGAGTGGCGGCAGCAGCAGCCACGGCTCCCGCTCCGGTCAAGAAGACGGCAAGATTCCACGACGATGTCGAGCAGGGCCAGCACCACCATCGTATATCCAACATGCTGTATCATTCCCGTGGCGAGATGCAGCCAGGCCAAGGCACATACAGCCGCCCTACGTATCTGGAAGAGTGGAAGAAGTTCAGAGTTGGCACCTTGGACGGACCACTTCTCGATTTGACGACCGAGGAGAGTTCGAGTGTTGACGACAAGACTTGGTGGGAGCCCGGCGGAACGCGGCGGGGGAGCATCACCTCACGGCCGCGGAAAGGCGAGGCATTTGATGGCGAGTACGACGAGGCTAATGGCCCTTCGCGCTTCAAGCCGCCCTTGCACTTGGTCTGTGGCCCACTATTAAGATACTGTGGCATGCGGAAAGAGAGGTCTCCGGGCAGAGCGCAGCGGAACGGCGGCGGCAACGGTGCCTCGGATCGACAATTTTGGCGTGGAAGCGTCATGATCGTGACCCGAGATACCGACTCGTCGTACGACATCGCCCCGACACTGCGACTGTTTGTGCAGCCACTCGACCTGCTTCCGCCTCCGCCAAGTGAGGTACAGGGCGCGCTGCCTCCCGAGTATGTCGACCCGCTGGTTGGGCATCCGAAGCTTGGCCGCAACGGAGAGACGCTCTATGTGCGACCTGTCGAGCACATTGCCGAAGCTCGGGACCTTTCCCGAGACGAGACCGATGGCGGGCTTTACGAGAAGACAAGAAGTCCCGGAGCGGGCGTTGGTCCGACTGGCGGCGCCGTAGACCCGCCTGGTTCTTTTGCAGCCCGGCTGAAGCGGACGGAGATGGACGGCGAGAGGGCGGGCAGGTTCAAGGACGTGCGTGGCTTCCGATTGCACGCCGAGCGCGGGGTGACGTTCTGGCGATTCAACATCGAGGTGGAGCTGCGGGAAGCGCAGCAGCGGATCGCTTATCGCATCAACCGCAGCCCGTCGACCGGATTCTGGGTGCCAGCCAGAGGCCAGGCGATGCACATTATGTTCCATTCGTGCAACGGCTTCAGTCTCGGCGTCAACTCGCACCAGTTCAGCGGACCAGACCCGCTGTGGCGGGACGTGCTCAACAACCACCAGACACAACCATTTCATGTTATGATTGGCGGCGGTGACCAGATCTACAACGACATCGTGATGCAGGAGACCGCCCTGTTCCAAGAGTGGCTCACGATTAAGAACCCGCTGGTCAAGTATAACGCACCCTTCTCGGCCGACATGCAGGACGAGCTCGAGGATTATTACCTGAACCGGTATGCCATGTGGTTCTCGCAGGGGCTGTTTGCCCTAGCGAACTCGCAGATTCCGATGGTAAACATGTATGACGACCACGACATCATCGATGGGTTCGGGTCGTATCCGCACCACTTTATGAACTCGCCTGTGTTCTCTGGGCTGGGCAGTGTGGCGTTCAAGTACTACATGCTGTTCCAGCACCAGAGCGTGATTGACGAGACGGAGGAGTCGGAACCCAGCTGGATTCTGGGGCCGAATCCTGGTCCGTACATTGAGGAAGTCAGCCGAAGTCTTTTCATGTACCTGGGAGCCAAGGTGGCCCTCTTGGCGGTGGACTGCCGGACGGAGCGGATGCGGGACGAGGTTGTGCGCGAGGAGACGTGGAAGCGCATCATGGACCGGTGCTATGCGGAGATTGAAAAGGGCACGACAGAACACCTCATCGTGCTGCTCGGCGTGCCTATTGCCTATCCGCGACTGGTGTGGCTGGAGAACATCCTGACGTCACGGCTGATGGACCCGATCAAGGCGCTGGGGAAGACAGGCCTGCTGGGGGGCTTTCTGAACAAGTTTGATGGCGGCGTGGAAGTGCTCGACGACCTGGACGACCACTGGACGGCCAAGGAACACAAGGAGGAGCGAAAGGTGCTCATCGAGGACTTGCAAGATCTGGCAGCAGACAAGTCGGTGCGCATCACGATGATCAGGTATGTGTGGTGCTCCTGCGGCAAAGCAGACTTGGAGTAAACTGACAGCGGTGCTAACATGCGTTTCAGCGGCGACGTGCATCTGGCCGCGATCGGACAGTTCTACTCGAACCCAAAGTTGGGCGTGGCGAAACACAAGGACTTCCGATACATGCCGAACGTGATCTCGTCGGCCATTGTGAACACGCCGCCGCCGGACCTGTTGGCGGACGTGCTGAACAAGAGAAACAAGGTGCACCACTTTGACCACGACACAGACGAAGACATGATTCCGCTCTTTGATCACGGCGTGGACGGCAAGGCACGAAACAACAAGAGGCTGCTGCCCCATCGAAACTGGTGTTCGATACAGCCGTACGTGCCGGGATCGACGCCGGCAGGGTCTCCGATGCAGTCGACGAACGAGCTGGGCGGCCGCAGCCGCAGCATCCTCCGACGGAACGGGAGCAATGTGTTACGGCGCAACTCGTTGCGCAACCGTGCAGCAGCCAGCGAGGGCGAGTCGCGGCCGCCCGTGTCGGGTGGACTGCTGCGGACGATGAGCAGCCGCGGCCGGTCGTCAGCCGACAACGTGCGACAGGACAGAGCAGGCACGAGCGTGAAGCGGTCGTTTTCGCTATCCCGAGATTTCCGGCCGGGAAACCTATTCCGTCGGCTCAGCAATCGCGGCAACCGTCGGGTGGACGACGGCGGCATCAACGGGAGCTGGGGTGCGGACAGTGGGAGTGGGCATGGCCGTGAACAGGACGATGGGAGTTCAGCCAGCAGCGGCGAGTCGGCAGCGGGGCAGCGTGGCGGTCGAGGGCCGCAGATGCGCGGTGGCGCGGGTTCGGCGTCTGCTCTCGGAGGGTTCGTGCACGACGAGTATGACACGGGCGACGAGACGCACTTTTCGGTGAAGCGACGGCCGGTAGGACAAGCACTGCAGCTGCAGCAGCGCAGCCAGGCAACAATCGGAGGCGAGACAGCGGCGGCGACACGTCAGTTCTATCGGACACCGACAGGGCTGACGGCACGACAGTCGAAGCAGGCGCAGCAGTTCGAGGTCAACCTGGAAGGCGGACTGGAGATTCGGCTGAACGTGGAGGTGAACCCGAAGGAGCCGACAGGGATCACGGTGCCGTATCGGCTGCTGGTGCCGCGGCTGTGGTATAATTATGAGAGCGAAGAGGCGACAGCGGCAGCAGTGGCACACGAAGAGCCGACAGGGCTCAAGCGGCTGCTGAGTCTGGGGCGAAAGAGGCCGAACATGGATGCAGGAGGCGGATCCAGCTTGACAAGGGAGATGGAAGCAGCTCCGGCCAACTGAAGGAGACGAGGACCGAGAAGACGGCTCCAGGATGGAATTGACGACGTTATGACCTTGCCAAAGCGGCTCAGATATGGCTACAAGCAGCAGCCCGGATTACTTCTGGCGACTTTCGAAAGCTCTTAGATTACGACTTGACAGGCGCTGCCTTCCTGTTATTGATAGAACTCGCCTAACGGCCAATGATGACCTGACGCACTGCATATGTTACGTTGCAGACAGCCTGTATTCACTTTGGTTTTTGCTTGAATGATTCGGTAACGCTACACTCGTGCCAACAGGCTTCTCACAAGGAGGCGTCCTGTCGGCTCCATTGCATTCAATCTGTCTGGACAGGTCAGTGGATGGAACGGACGAAGAGAAAGGCACCGAAGAAGGCACCGAAGAACTCACCTCGGTCTCAGCCGGAATCCGATGCCGACGATGCTGCCGCCTGTCTTTCCCTGGGACGACAGCACCAACGGCCAGCTCCAGACGGGAGCTTCTCTTTTTCTCTGCTCTTTCATCGTCTTCCTCTTTCCTCTGTTTTTCCGGGCCACGACGGGCTCATTCGCCGCCGGCCTCGGCTACCGGGCTCTTGCTGCGACTGCGGCGCCGTCCACCGGGCGGTCCTCGTCGGTGGTCGTCACGGTCTCGCCGATCAGATCCACGGTCTGGCCGATCGGCACGGTCGCGGCCTTTGGTGGGAGGCGGGCGCACAAAGGCAAAATCGACCTGGACGGTCTGGTCGAGCAGCTTGGTCTGGTGGGCGCCATCTATGGCGGCACGGGCCTCGTTGAGGGTCGGGTACTCGATCAAGCAGTAGCCCTAGGATGTTAGGGAGTGGAGGAAGGGTGGGGGGAGAGAGAAAAAGAAAGAGAGCAAAAGAAAGAAAAAAGAGGAAAGAAAAAGAGACAAAAGAAGGGGGAGACGAAAAGAAGCAAAAGCAAATACCTTGACGTAACCACTCCGACGGTCCAGGTTTAGGTGCATGTTCTTAATCTCGCCAAAATCGGAGAACTTGTCGTGCAGAGCCTCCTCATCAGCCTCTTCGTGCACGTTGGTCACGATGACGATCCATCCCTCAATCGACCGCACCGCTGTCGCCTTGGCGTGGGTCTGCATGTCGGCGGTGCGTGGGCCAGCCGAGGCAGTGCCGGCCGCGTCCACGTCACCATCGACGTCGACATCGCCAGACGCGTCGCCATCCTCGTGCTGCGTCTGAACGGCTTCGCGCGTCACCACGGCGGCCCCGTCGTCTATCTCCATCTCCACGTCGGCCATAGCAAAGCGGGGGGGGGGGGGGGGGGAAAAGCAGCAGCGGCAGCTGTAGCAGGCGAATGGCGGATGCGAAAGGCAGAGGCGAAAGTTGGCAGGCAGTAGACAGCTGCGAAGAAACAAGCACACGATCGGATTGCGGACACGAGCTGGCCGGCTGTCTCTCCCCTTCCACGAGCTTGCCGGTCTCTTTTCCCATCTTTTTGGCCTCGTCTGCTCACGACCCGTCGCGAAAATATTGTTCCGGCCGACCACCGGGCTGAGACCCACCGTCCCCGCGGCACAGCCTTGCGTCTGTGGCTCCTATTTTGGAAGGGACCACACACGCGCGCCTGGTCGCGTCTGGAGGCAGGAGCATTTTTTGTCTTTTTCGCTTTTCCATTTTCTTCCGCCGACCGCTTTTCTTGTCGCACGGCGGCGCCAACCAGCCACGATGCTCCGCCGGCCGCCGACGATCTTGGGCGTGACGGCCGAGGACATTGCCGCGTACGAGGACCGGCGGCGCCACGAGGAGGAGGGGATAGGTGACGACGACGACGACGGCAGCGGTCAGCCAGAACAGCTAGACTCCCGTGAAGCCAGATACGGCGGCATGTCCGCACGGCGGCATGGCGGCATGGCGGCGTCATCCCATCCGTGGCCGGCAAGACTGCCGTCGTCTCGACGGCCGCAGCGACCACGACCGCAGCCGCAGGCAGACCACGAATCGATACAGCAGCAGCAGAGGATGCGGCGACAACGACGACACGAATTTGTGCCTCACGACGCGTTTGAGCGAGAGGAGGCCGAGGAGGAGGTCGAGGAGGTCGAGGAGGTCGAGGAGGTCGAGGCGGTCCAGGAGATCGAGGAGGTCGAGCAGGAGCTTGAGCTGGACTCACCGGAGGAGCACCCGTTTTCCGACGACGAGGAAGACGAAGAGGACGAAGAGGGTCCAGACGACGAGGACAAGGACAGAGGCGGCCAGATGGAGATGGAGTACGAGGGCGTCCGGCGGGTTCGAGGAGGCGAGACACCAGCAGGACCAGCAACAGCAGCAGCAGCAGCAGCAGCAAGAGCAAGAGCAGCAGTCCGCACCCCGGCAGCCGGCCCTCCTGTGCCGCCGATTGTGCTGCACCGGGCCATTTCTGCCTCGGCCGCCTTTACGACCCCGACGCCGGCTGCTGTCGTGTTGGGCACGCCGCCGACACGCGGGGCCGATGACACGCCGCCGCCCCACCATGCGCCTCGACGTACGACGAGACGGGCAGCCGCCGCCGCCGGGACCACGCCGGGCATCACACCGGGAGCAGCGGCCGTGCCGCCGGAAGCCGCTCCTACGCGACGGCACAATGGAACGTCGCGGCGTGGAGCCGCACCAGCAACAGCACCGCCCTCCCGTCCACCCTCGCAGATGTCCCAGTCGTCGACCCATTCGGCCTACCACCAGCCCATGGGACCACCACCACCACCACCTCCGTGGGCCGGCACCGGAGGATCGGCGCGGCATCCGCACGCGGCCGGCAACAGTCGGAGACAGCGGACAGCAGAATCCCAGCCACAGTCTCAGCCACAACCACAACCACAACCACCAACAGAAGGACGGGCGACACGCAGCCGGGACGAGCGGGTCGGCGTGGCCGGTGGACGCGGGACCACGGGCGGAGGCAGGTCACGACGATGACGGGGAGATCCCGGTCGAATCGAATCTTTGGATACACATCACAATTTTCAAAGGACAGACACGCATTTCTGCTGGACATATACTACTGGTCGCAGATCCCACATACACAGACAATATCCCGTCCGCAACCAGGACAACATCCTCTTCTGAACTTTTGCGCTCCCGACCGAAAGAGAAGGAGAAAGGACAGGCCAGAGAGCGCGAAGGAGCCCTTGCCAGGTCGTGTTTGGTACAAAAGGTAGAAAGAACAGATTGAGAATAGAGAGGACATTCCACGGGAAGATACCACATTCCGGAGACACCTCCAAAGCCACCCCAAGACCCTCATGAAGCCGACTTGTTCTTAAACTTGATAAAGATCGGTTTGTGGGCTGCCGGCGGCGCAGCAACTGCTGCTGTTGCTGCAGCTGCTGCTGCTCCTGTCGCCGGTCCGCCGAGTGGTGTGCTACTATTTCCGGGAGGTGTCGTAGCCGCTCCTGTCGGCCGAGTCGGCAGCGGCTTGCGAGCCGGTTTGGACGAAGACGAAGAGCCGCCTCCGCCGCCACCCCCACCGAAGCTGTGTGGCGGTGGTGTTGGTCGGCTGTTGGCCTTGTTGGACGCTGTGCTGTCGGGGCCGGGCGTGGATGAGAGCCGGATGCGGCCGCTGGCTGTCGCCGCCGCCATTGCCGTCACCTTGGGCGAGGACATGCGAGACGGCGTCGATGCCTTGGACGACGACTTGGACGTGCCGGCACGGTTGCCAAAGATGCCACCACTGCTGCCACTCACACCCACTGCCCGAATCGACCCGTCCGTCATCGGTCGTCCGCTCCGTCGCGGCGTCTCCAACCAGAGACTCGCCTGTGGACTCAGCCGGTAGTGGTAGCTGCGCGGTACCGCTATCTTGACCATCTTGCGCTGTCGCGGACTGCCGCCACTGCTGCCCTCCTCGTCGCGCATCTCCCGCTTGCGCTTGCCGCTGCTGCCACCATTACCCAGCGGCGTCCGTACTCGGTTGGCCGGACTGCTGTTCGCCTTGTCTGACAGCCGGCTGTGGCCGTGGCTGAGATTGTGGCTGAGACTGTGGCTGTGATTCACGCCGTGGCTGAGGCCGTGACTGGGGCCGTGTCCGTGACCGTGACTGTGACCGAGACTCCGGCGCTGCACGGCAATCGAGTCAGCCACGACGGTCGACGAACCTGCTGCAGGAGCCGACGCTTTTGTAGTTGCCGTACTGGTTGTCGTTATCGCTGTTGTCGGTGCTATCGGGGCTATCGGTGCTATTGCTGCTGTTGCTGCTGTTGCTGCTGGCGCCTGCACTGAAGACGCCTGCAACGAGACGGTCGGCTTTCGCATCATTGGCGAGCCGCTGCTGCTAGTGGCGCCGGCTGCTCCGCCCGCACTCGTCGGCGTGACGCCACTGCCGCCACCTCTGGAGCCGGCCGACAAGGAAGACGACCCGAGCGGTGTGCGACCCGTCTGCAGCTTGATCTTGGGCGCTGTCGCCTTCTTGGGCAGATCCGGCAGCCGCGTCCTCTGTCCGGAAGCCAGCACGTTGGTATCGGCACGCGCGCTGACCGGAGGGGCTGTTCTCGGCGCCGTCGGCGTAGACGCTGGCTTGTGATTGGGGGGCGGCAGCTGTGTGGCTGAAATCACGGCCGAGCCGCTTATAGCCGAAATCGCCGGTGTGGCTGACGAGAGCCCCGAGCTCAGGCTCACCGGCTTCACGTCCACCATCGCCGGCATCGTCATCACTGGCACCACCACCTCTGGCGCCACCACCGCCGTCGTCCGCAGCGGTCGAGGCACTTGTCGAAAGTCCAGCACGCAGCTCGTCGCCGTCCGCCGCCGCACCGTCCACATTGTTGGCTGCCGCACCGTCAGCAGCAGCGACAGCTCGCCGTCAAACATGGCCTCTAGCAGCTCCAGCAGGTTGCGCTTCTCCGTGCTGCCCGTCGCTGTCGACAGCACCGCTGACCACATCGCCTTCAGCAGCTCCTCCTTGTTGCCCACCGCTTCCTTCAGCGCCCGCACCGCCGCCGCGATGCTCTCCCGCCGCGCGTGTTGCTCCTGGTGCTGCCGAATCACCGCATCGCCCTGCTCGATAATCACCCCTCCGTTGTCGTTGTCCTCGTCGTTTGCGTCTGCGCTCTCCCGTTCCTTCTGCCGCTCTCGCGCCCCCGACTCTCCTCCCCCCGACTCCGGCACCTCCAGCTCGCCAAAGGCTATCGCTGCTAGACCCCGGCAGAACAGCTTAAACAGTCGGTCTCGCACAAACGGAGAGCTGTGCAGCGTCATCGTTGCCAGCAGCAGCTTCAGGATCGACGGCCGCAGCATCAGCCCCAGCTCCACCAGCGCCTCAAATGCCTGCAGCTGCACCACGTCCACCGTCCCGTCCTGCAGATATCGCACAAACTCCAGTGCGTCCACCGGAATCACGCCCGCCTGCATCAGTAGCCGCTTGCCCTCCAACGCTGCCGTCGTCCACAGATTCTGGTACGATCCTGTCCACTCGTCCATCCGTCGGTATCGCTCAATCTCCGCCAGCGCCTCCTCCAGCAGCTGCTGTCCCTCCGTGTCGACTTCCATCCGATGCAGGTCCGCTCCCAGGTCAAAATCCTCGTCGCTCATAGCGTCATCAAACGTGAGCACCATGTCCTTTTGCTGCTGCTGCTGCTGCTGCTGCTGCTGCTTCTTCGACCCTGTCGGCCCTGTCTTGGAGCAGAAGCTCGTCGCCAGCGCCACCAGCAGCTTCGCCACGTAAATGTAGTCCGAGAAGCTGTTCTGCGAGTTGTCGTTGAACCGGAGCAGGTCCAGCAGAAATCGCTGCGCCTCGCGCGGATGCTTGTCATCGTACTGTGCCTTGGAGATCGCCTCGATCATCGCGCACTGAACCAGGTACCGCTGGTGGTCTGAAAAGTCGTTTGGCCGCGACGTCGCGTCCGGATAGCAGAAGAATTCCCGAAACACACGCATCAGCTGTGTCATGCCCCGAAACACCACCGTGTCGCCACCGCTGCTGCCCGCATTGCCGCCAGCACCACCGTTTCGGCTGCCCTCCGTCTCCTGTCCGCCGTTCTCTGCCCCGTCCGCGTCTGCGTGGCTGTCCGACGCCTTCCACGCCTGCCGCGAGAGCACCGATGCCGCCATCGTCCGCAGCCCGTGGAAGTACCGCTCATCGTACAGCGTCCGCGTCAGAATCGTCGCCGCCATCGCGTGCTCTCTGATCCGCGACAGGTACAGCAGAGTGTCCTGCTGTGCCGCCACGTCTCGGTCCTGCTGCAGCTGCGATAGGTACATCCACGACGGCATATTCGTGTGCATCTTGACCAGCCACTCAAAGTCTGAGTCGATCCGGATCCATTCGTATGACTCCTGGTCCATGTTCTTCTCGTCCTGCTCCGTCCAGTCGATCAGATCCCACTTGGCCATGTCCTCCGGGCTATCCAGCCGGTCGCCTAGCGAGAACACAATCATCTCCTCGCTGTGCTCGCCGTTCGCGTCCGCCGCCGCCGCTGCTGCCGCACGCTCACGATGCCGGCGGTTCCTCTTAAGCCGCTTGTACTTCGTGTTGTACGGAATGTCAAACTTGGCCCCGCCCGTGAATGCCGCGTCCTCCCGGATCTCCACAATGTGCTCGTACGGTGTCCCGTTTGCTTCGTGGATCCGGATCGTCATCGGCCCTGTAAACAGCCGCTGTGCCTTGCGCGAGTACGTCCCGTACTTGGTCTCCACCAGCTCCCGCCAAAAGTCCTCGTGCCGGATCGGCTGCGGCTTGGCCGAGCCCGCCTCTTGCGTCTGCAGGATGCTGATCTCCACGCACAGCCGCTTTCTATTGAATCGCTGCTTGATGCTGAGCCACGGACACCCTGATCCCAATACCCACTGGTTCCAGAACGCCTCCAGCTGGTACTGGCTAGTCTTCTCACACACTCGTCGGAAGGTCTCGGACGAGATGATTTCGTTGTTATTATCACCCCAACCAGATGTGTTCGCCTTGCTGATAATCTTGGAGATCACCCGAGCGAGGCTCGCGCTCGCCGAGCCCGCGGCCTTGGTCAGCCGCTTGTCGAGGATGAACAGTACTAGCGGTGCCTTGAGAACCAGAAAGTCCAGCTCAAAGTCGCCCAAGAACGTATATGTGCCCAGCTCGTGCAGCGACGGCCGGCCCCGGTCCTCCTCTGCCAGCCGGTCGGCCATCGTCTTGATCCGGAACCGGTAGTCGTTGTTTCCGCAGAGCTTGCCGAGGAACAGGTCCGTCATGTAGTAGGCAATCCCGACGGTCAGCCACAGCTCTGTCCGCTGGTTCGGCACGATGTAGGCCCCGAAATACTGGTACGCAAGCGAGTGCACCAGCTTTCGCGTCACCTCGATATCCCGGTCCTCGATTCCTTCCGGGAAGAGCAGCCGGTTGCTGCACAGCGAGAACGAAAGCAGCGGCGTCGTGTCCGGGATCATGTCATCCACGAAGCAGACCTTGTAGCTGTCGTATGGATACCGCCCGTACGACATGGCAAACTCGTCCGCAGCATGTGCCATTGCCGCGCATGTGTTCCGCACCTCATCCTGTCGCCCGGGCAGGCAGTAGCCGTGGATCTTAAGGGCGCTCGCGCCCAGCTTCTCGTCCGCTTCTTCTGATCGAAACTCGGAAAAGAGATCTACGTGCTCAAACGGGCCGACGGCGAACCCGATATGGTGTGCCGCAGAGCCGTGATCCGTGATCTCAAACGTCATGATCTTCTTTGTCTCATCCACCTCGTCGACCTTCTCCCCGACGAGGTTCCCGGAGCACACTGCTGTCATGTCCAGCAGCTTGTCTTCTTCCGTCAGCTGCAGCTGCCGATGGCCGCCGCCCTGTTCCGGCCGGCCTTGGCCCTGGTGTCCGTTGGTCGTGGCAGCCAGCTCGTGTCCGGCCGCGGCCGCGTTGTTGGACGACTGGTGCGAGGCGAGCTCCTGCATCAGGGCGTCGCCGAGCGTGCGGGGACACTTGATGTGAATCTTCCAGAAGCAGCGCGAGCCAAAATCGTCGATGCAGGGAAATATGCAGGCCGCTAATCCTGGCTCGGGCGAGTGTCGTGTGTAGACGTGGGGGAAACGCGTGTCGTTGTCGTTGACGCCGACGAACTGGAGCCCGTCACGGATGTGCGTTGTGCGAAACGGGACGACAATCTCAAAGAGGCCGTCGGTTGGCTGGTCGGGCACCGTTGTGCTGGCCGCAGGCGCAGACGCAGCTCCAGCCTTGTTTGCCTCTGCTCGACCACCGTTCTCCTGCAGTCCAACGGTGGACAGGCGGACCTTGAGCTTGCCCGGCTGCGGCAGCGGCGGTCTGGTCTGTGTCGAGTACACGGCCGGCAAGTCAGGATGCAGGGCCACACGCAGAGAGCGGTCGGCCGGGCTGCATCCAATCTGCTCCCGCTTCTCGACGGGCAGGTCTCGGCGGCGACGCGGCAGCAGGTGCTTCATCCGGTTCTTGAGCACAGGGAAGTTGACCGCCGCGAGGTCCCAGGATGGCGGGACGTCGAGAGCCTCGTAGGGATCCCGGTATGTAGCCCGGACATTCTTGCCGTTGACGCGGATTTTGGCTGTGTCGATCTCGCATTGGCGGGCGTCCAAAGCGACTTCATCTGGCGGGTCGTCGGGGTTGATGAGGTAGATGGTGATCCGGCTCTCCCCCTGGACACTCTGCTCGCGGAAGTTGACCTCGATAAAGATTTCCTGGTTGACGACGACAAACTCCTCGATCGGCTGCTCGGCCTCGGGCGCTGCAGCTTGGGCATCGTCGGGAACCAGGCCGTCGCGAAGGTCCTTCTCCAGGATCCCCGGCATCGTGCTCGATGGCGAGGGGCGAGCGTGCGTGAGAGGGGCGAGAGGGGGAGATCAGAGAGGGGCGAGAAAGCGGGAGGTTGGTCGCGATTGCGCAGATTCACGTCGGGGAGAGAGACAGAGAGAGAGAGAGAGCAAACGGAGAGGAAGCTGCGTCAGGTGGCGACGCGACGTGAGTGAGCGAAAGCTGAGAGCATCGCGATTGTCAAATCGAGCACGGCGCAACAGGGTGCAATAGGCAGCCGGGCAAAAGAGGCGGGGAAGCAGAGGAAAAAAGGCAAACGGGCGTGCGTGCGCCTGGTTGAGTCGGTCAGATGGTTTCGTCGGTTCGCCTTCCACGGCGCGCTGCCCCCAAAAATTATCGAGCAGAATTGATTGATGCTGGCAGAGGGTCCGAAAGAAGAAGGCGAGGTCCAGCGAATGCACACGCTATAGACGCACGGACCAATCGGCTAGTGTCTTACGAACAGTGGTCAAGTAGGAAGGAGCTGGGCAAGGCTCAGGCGGTCTGAATGGCCTGCGGGGCATTTTGCTGCTGGAACAACGCAGTCGAGTGATTACAAGGTGATAATTGTTGAACAGCTGTATAATACAAGTGGATGACCCAAGAGACGTTGTGTACATGGAAGAAGTCGCCACGGCGCTGCCATGCCCTCCCTGGTTCCGTGCGGACTGACCCAAACCCCCAATGAAACCTCCCATAACCCGTTTTCTCCCACAGTCCCATTATCCCTTCCTGATGTTCGCCCGTTCCCTTATGGACTTTCCTGCTTTCCTTTCCGCCTGCGGCGAGCAGGAAGAGGTCCCTTTGCGTCCCGCAAATCGTCGATCATCTCACCGGGCAGATCGAAATCCGCCTCCAGCGGCTCTGGCACCGGCTGCCCCCATGCCATGACCGTCCGACCCTTCCGACGACCCCGGCTCAGAGCGGCATCGCGCTGGTAGCGCTTGTGAAAGAACGACATGACGTCTTCAGCCGGCTCTGGCTCCGGCTCCGGCTCCGGACAGTCCGACGACGGCGACGACAACTGCTTTTTGCGTCGCTTGCTGGGAAGATTCACCTTGGCCGCCAGCCTCGACCGGGCCAGTGCTTCGGCGCGCAGCTGTTTGGCAATCACCGCGTCAGCGTCGCTGGAATCAAACTGGTCATCATTGTCGACCGGCTCTTCGGCATCGGCGTCAGCCTCTTCTCGGCTCTCGGCCCTCTCAGCCTTTTCCGCCTTTTCTACCTCCTCCTGCACGCCGTCTTCGGCATCTGTGCTGCTGCGCTCTCGACGTCGCCGGCCGTCTGGCCGTTCTGGCACGGCCGAGACCACATGACGCGCTGCTGCCTTCGCCTTGCCCTTTCCTCTGCCCCGATACCGTGGCGGGGGAACGCCGTCTGCCGCCTCCTGGGCGCGGACTTCTTCTGCATGTGCGCGATCCTTCTCCAACTTCAACCGCTTCTCCTCCAGGCTCCAAAGGCGAAACTTTTTCAAAATGGTGCGGCAGCCCTTGATAAAGTGCTCCCGCGCTGGCTCAAAGGACTTCTTCTTGCTCTCCGTTATACCGCTGACACCCATGGTGCGCAGCCAGTCATGGCCCTGCAGGCCCTCCAACAGGCGGATAATCTGGTCTTTCTCGTGCTGGGCACGGCCCTTTTCCGAGTTGCGAATGGAGCGCTCAAGACGTTCAGCACGCTTGTGGTGTGGCTCAAAGACCGAGTCTGGCAGTGGGTCATCTGTCTTCCTGCCCTTGTGCTGGTTGCTCAAAAAGCCAAAATCGAGGACGTGTGAGTCAAAGAGATCATAAAAGAGCGAATCAGAGTATCCATGGACAACAGGCACTGCATCGACATCGCTCCCACTTGGTAGCGAGTCGACAGGCGTGCTATACACCACGGCACCGGCAGTAGCAGTTGTTGTGGGGTAGTAAGATTCGACTAGTAATATGGGGGTGTCTATATTCAGAATGTCTGCGCGTCACATCAACAGGTAAGCCAGTGTCCTGATCGGGAGAGCATGGATGGTACGTACGCTCTTCCTTGGGTTCGTTGCCGATGACTTCATCGTACTCGGGGAAATAAGCAGAGAGGTCACTCTTGAAGCGTGTGGCCTGCTGCGAGCGCAGCTTGCGGCCACCTACTGGTGGGCCTGTAGCCGCTGCTACGGCGGCCTCGGTGGTGACCTGCAGGCCCTTGAGTTCCTGCTTGAAGCCATTGGCCGTCTTCTCCCTGGGTTTCGCAGCCAGCTGGGACGGGGTTTTGGATGATGGGCTGCCGATGTGGCGATGGGGTATGGCGAGCCGGACGTCTTGGCCAGGGGTTATGCTGCTGCCTGATCGTGACGACGTGGAGGAAGAATAGGCTGCTATGGCGGAGATGGGCCGAGCAGCCAGGGTGGCGGTAGTGCTGATGGTGGGAGCAGTAGCGCTGGTAGCGGTATTGGTAGTGGTGTTGGCTGCCGTTACAGAAGAAGGGGCAGTGCGCAGCGACTTTTTCGGCGGTAGGTTGGGGTGGGTTAGCGCAGTGGCTGGCGCTGGCAGTGCTGGAAGGATGGTTGGAACGGTCGGGGCGGGCTTGGACACGATCTCGACGGAGAGCCGAAGACGCTTGTGCTGCTGGGCCGAGTCGAAATCGGTTCTGCCGGTGGAGGACATGTCGGGGCCGTCGTGGGAAGGCTCTGCCTTCCGCTTGGGTCGCATCGAATTGGCATGGTTGAGGATGTCTTGGATGCTTCGGGTCGCCGACGCCGTGGAAAGGGACGGACGCGGCTGCTGGTGCTGCTGCGGTTGCTGTGGCGGCGGCTGTGGTGGGCGCGTTAGGCGCTGTGACTGCTGGCGCCCCAGGGGCGACTGTTTTTGTTTAGGCAGCAGGACAGGCGCAGGGCGGCGGGGGACGTCCGCTCGTCGCGAACGCGTGCCGGGAGCCATGGGCATGAGCGTCAATGTTTCCACCATGGCGGCGCGGGCATCGCTCAGCACGGCAGTCTATCCAGAAGCCCTTTCGGCGATGATTTTGTGCTGGTTTGGGCCTCGTTCCGCGGCCGAGTCGATGCGAGAGGTCGTTGTGCTGATGTCTGGAAGATTTTTCAGCCCCTGCGTTCACTCCCCTATTTTTTATTTTCCCCTTTATTTTCCCTTTATTTTTATTCCGCAGTCCGGTTTCCAGCTTTTCCTCTTCTGTTCTCCCGCCTGTTTTGTCAGACAGCCCTGAGGCTAGAGGGCGACAAAAAGCCCCGATACAATGGAACAGCGCGCCCGGCGTCGCAGAGAAAAGAAGCCGCTGCGCCAGTGGGAAGATAGAGCAGAGTAAGACAAGCTGCCGACAACGTACGAGTGCGAGGCTCTCGACACCTTTCCACGAAAACATGGTGCATGCAGCGTTGTGGATGTATCACACAGTGCATATATGTGCTTCTCGGAGCTGGAGCCATCAGAAAAGGCGGGTTCAGGGTTACTGGCACTGTGTAGAAATTGCTAAAGTGGGGACTTGAACACACAACGACGTCAGCGGCTGCTAGCAGCAGAAAAGTCTCCGCCAGCGGCTCAGCTCCCCCATTCCGACGATGACGAAGACGAGCTGCAGGTGCAGGCACACTTTTGCATGGCGCCACCAGGACATGTGCGTACGAGACATGCACAGCCCAGCTCGTCTTCAGCGTATTCTCGAAAGGACGGCATCGACGGTACAAGAATCTCACAACAGCATTTTTCTGGGGGTTTTTATGGGTCCGCGGACTTGGCGCCCGAGGCATTGCTAACACACTCGGAGACAAAGTACTCGCCGCCGAGGAGCCGGTTTGCCATTGGAAGCTGCTTCTGCACGATTCATAGGCAAGATGCAACAGGCGTTCATGCCCCATATATGGGGACGCAGCACGTCAGAACAGCATTTGCCCCTCTAAAGCGTCGAGATCCGTTGTCCGTCTTTGCACTATTTTGAGCTTCGCCTTTCTGTCCGAGGCTTGAACATGATCGACCAAACAGGTGCTTCGGCCATCTCGGGAGAGACGCATTCTCTCCCGACGGCATCCTCTGCCCCACCAGAAGCAGCCTATGCAGAGCGGCAGCCAGAACGGGGGACACACCACCACTCACGCAAGTCTTCGTCGCACCAGGACTATCTCGACAGCCTCGTGGTCCCGCCAGGAGACGAGCTGGCACGCATCGCCGAGGTGCAGAGAACGCGGGAAGAGCAGCTGAAGCAGCGTTTGCGGGATCTGCAGCGCCGACGACACAGCGTGGAAGTCAGCAGCCCGCCGACAGTGGAAGGGGTGCATGCAGCTCCCGGTCGCAAGGGAAGCCTGGCACGGCATATAGGTCTGACCAACGGTCTGGACGCGATGGCACAGTCGCGGGCGGCCATCACGATCCAGCGGCACTACCGCGGGTACCGTATGCGACGCGAGATGCAGGGCCTGTGCCTCGATGCGAACACGCGCTGGGTGCAGGCCCTTCGGGAGCTGCAATACCGGGAGCGGACGCGGCCCCGAGCGCGGACACAGGGGACAATCGCCGACGATGGCAGCAGGCAGTGGCCGCGAACGTCGGTGTCGTCGGCAGCGGCGACGGTAGTCGACACGGAGAGCACATGCTCGATAGGGCGCGAGCCGTCGGCAGCGCGGCGAAACTGGCGGAAGGTGACGACGATTGCGCTGCGAGCCGGCCACGACGAAGAGTCAGACTCGGTCTCGGCCTCAGCCTCAGACACAGACGCAGGCTCGGACGTGTCCGGCTCGACGGCAGAGAAGAGGCTCGCGCGGCAGCACCGCGAAGAAGCCAAGGCGGCGCGGCGACGAGAGGCCCGCACGATGGGCCTGCAGTACTTTCTCGAGATGGTCGATCCGAAGCACCGCTATGGCGCCAACCTGCGGGTGTACCATGAAGAGTGGAAGCGGGCCAGCACGCGCGACAACTTCTTCTACTGGCTGGACCGCGGCGATGGCCGCCTGGTCGACATGGTCGCCTGTCCGCGCAGCCGACTCGAGCGTGAGCAAGTGCGCTACCTTTCGCGCGAAGAGCGTCAGTACTATCTCGTCCGCATCGGCCCCGACGGCCGGCTCTGCTGGGCCAAGAACGGCGCCCGCATCGACACCAGCGAGCACTTCCGCGACAGCATCCACGGCATCGTGGCTGTCGACGACCCGACGCCGGCCGTTCAGCTCGCCGGTGGCCAAGCCTCGGACTCGGATTCGGAAGGCGAGGCCATTTCCGGCCGGTCTGAGCTTGTCGGCGCCGCCCAGGCCGGCACTGTGCGCAAGATCCGGCACGTGTCGGCGACCGCGCTGCTGGACGCGCTGCTGCGCAAGTCCGTGCAGGCAAACACGTGGATCTTTGTCGCCGACACTAGCTTCCGGCTCTATGTCGGCATCAAGGACTCGGGCACCTTCCAGCACTCGTCCTTCCTGCAGGGCTCACGCATCTCGGCCGCTGGCCTGATCCGCATCCACGACGGCCACCTCGAATCGCTCTCGCCGCTCAGCGGCCACTACCGCCCGCCGACGGCCAACTTCCGCGCGTTTGTGCACTCGCTCAAGGAGGCCTACGCCGTCCTGCTCGGACTCGAGGCGTACGCGACCACGCGCCAGCAGGGCAGAAAGCTGCTGCGCCGGCTAGGACGGCACCGCCAGAGCGACGAGGTCACCGTCGAGGACGTTGCTGCTGCCCAGACGCACGGGACGGACGGAAAGACAGGCAAACATCTGCTGCAGAGGCTGAGCCTCGGACTGCGGCCAGCGTCAAGGACCACAGACGACAATCCCTAGCAGAACCCTGTCCGCTAAGACCGTCCCTGTCGCTCTAGCTTCGTTTCTTCTCTCTTTCTTACTTACCTCCTTTTCACCTTCTTCCTTTCTTCTTTTCTTCTCGTTTCCTGTCGCTCTAGGAGGTGTGTGCGAGAGTTGCGCAAAATACCCCATCTGCGAACCAGTATCTCACTGTACGATACTCTGTATATTAGAATGAAACACATGTCCACTGCAGCATTGAGATCATCCTTGCAACAGCATCTTCTCTTACAAAATGCTCAACAAAACGTGCAGCTCGCCCAATTGGGCTAGCGGCGAGCACCACAAGACTCCACCCTCCACCCAATCACCATTACGTAGGCCGCTAACAAGACTGCGAGCTACTCTGTAATTAGCTATGTAACGAGTACAGATATGCGCCCCGAGATTCGATTAAAATGCCCCGATCGCGTCAACTTGCAATCTTGCTCACCCTGCTTTCTACACGATCTCACCAACCCATTACGAGACGTCGCTCCATGGCCTAAGAAATGGCAGCGTCCGCCCCGGCGACTGCAGAACTCTTTTACCCCGCGCCTCTTTTCGGGCAGCGGCAGCAGCAGCAGCAGGAAGCGGTCGCCGTGCCGCTGGCCAAGACGGAGCAAGAAGCCGCCCCAACGACCGAGGCGGTGGAGGTGGACGCCCCTGCCTCCGACACCGGCAGCACACCGCAGCATAGTGGCAGCAACCCGGGCAGCCTGGACGACCGGCTCACGCCGTTCCCACCATACCACGAGCCCGAAGAGAGCATCTACGAAGACAGCGTTGATGTCGTCCATGTCGTCATGACCGGTCCGAACGGCCTCCCTGACGACTCGGCCGAACGGCCACCCACTCCCCTCTCCGTCTCCGGTCGGCAGACACCACCGCCGCCAGGCCTAGCCGCACCAGCCGAACTGGTGGCCGCGACACAGCCGGCAGAACACACAGAACCTGCAGGGACTTTGGAGAAACTGCTTGCCACCGTCCGCCAACCCCTGTCACCGCCCTACTGGATGCACAGCCGCGGCAGCGACGGTGCCGACACCATAGGCGACGCCGTCACGGCGCCCAGTGTCCGGCCATCAGCCGGGGCCACGCCGCCTCCCTCCATCAACTCCGCTGCTTCGACGCCACGGCTGACGTCACAGCCTACATACCGCCTCGGTGCCCTGTCGCTTCCCGTCTTCCGGCCGCCCTGGTCACCGTCGTGGCCGGGTGGTGGCAGTCGCCCGAGCCAACCCGCCGGAAGACCAGACGACGCCGCCCTTCTCCACGACCACGACAGCTCTGCCTCCTCGGCCAACTTCATCACACTGCAGGACAACGACGCCCTGTCGGAGGAGGGCGGTGACGAGAACGAAGACGGCCTTCGCAGACGGATGTGCACGGGCGCCAATGATGGCAGCTGCAACAATAGCAACGGCCTCATCACAACGCCTGCCTCCCGCTGCTGGGCCCAGCGCGTCGACGTGACCGGCTTCGTCGTCGTGGGCGGCCGTGGCGGCGGCTTGGTCACCGGTGGCGGCAGCAGCATCGGTGGTGGCAATACCGGCAGCGGCATGGGCGCCCACAGCCTCGGCTCGTTTGTCGTCTGGACGATCCGCGTGCAGACGCTGCAGGGCGGCGCGCCGCTGTTGGTGCACAAGCGCTACTCCGAGTTCGACGCGCTGCGGCGCCGCCTGGTCACCAGCTTCCCGACCTCCTGTGCCGCCATGCCGCCGCTGCCTCCAAAGAGCGTGCTCAACAACTTCCGCCCGAGCTTCCTCGAGCAACGCCGGCTCGGCCTCCAGTACTTCCTCTAGTAAGCCCCCCTCTCGTCTGTCCTCTCTCTCACCTACCACCCCTGCTGACTCGCTGCTCTCACAGCTGCATCCTTCTCAACCCTGAATTCTCTGGGTCGCCCGTGCTCAAAGAGTTCCTCTTTTCCTGACACAGGCAGCGTCTGTGTCGCTTGTGGCTTGCATACATGCGCTCACATTTCCCCCTTTTGCCTTACGGACACATGTGCAGCGAGCCTTACTTCCTTTTTCTCATTCTATTAACTCCGTTCTAACTTCATGTAATGCATCAAAAGCCAACAAAACAAGAATATAAACTTAATTATTTATCCACAATGACCGCCAAGCGTAAGCCAGTTGACAGGTATCGTGGTCACATGAAATAGAAGCAGACTGCGTTGAACAATTACATGGGTTATATGCAAAAAAAAAAGTCTCTGCAAAAACGCCTCCATCATCCCAATACCTTGTGTTCACATCATGAATCTTCCTGGGGAAGAGCGGAAAATAAGGGGGTCAGAAAGAAAGAGCTAAAGCGGAGTAGAAAAGAAGAAACATGAAAATGAATCTATAAGTTATGCACGAGGCCTCTATGTCATTGCTGCCCCTCTCCTCTTTTTGGACTGTTTGGAGTGGTCTACCCAATGCTCTCCCGCATCAGAATCAATCCGTCTTACCGTTCAGGATAGGGCCACTGCCACTAGCGTAGGCCGTCTCCTTCATCATCCGTCGCTCGTTCTCCTGCTGTTTCTCCAGCGGAATCGTCAGGGCGTTGATGCCCAGGAAGTTGCAGATCGCATTGACCACCAGGTATGCCCACCGGAAGTACACCACCATCGAGAAGAAAAAGTACGCCCACAGGTAGTTGAGCTCGGTCTGGGCGCTGATTGGCGCCAACGGCTCCAGCCCAACCCAAGGCCCATACCGCGGCACGTTGATGAGCACGGCGCCAACCACGAGCGGTGTCAGCATCACCGTCCAGTACGGGAACGGCTGGCGCGTCAGGTGTGCCAAGATCATCTTGGTCGTCATGCGGCCAAAGACAAAGGACATGGTGACGCAGAAGAGCACCAGGTGGTTGTCCGACTGGATAAATGAGTAGGGCGAGTAGACCCACGCGCCGATCGAGCACGTAAACACCGCCATCGGCGTCCATTCCAGAAAGACCGGCGCCACCGGCTGGCCGCGTGACTTGCGCGCCCGCACCACGTTGACGATGCAAAACGGGATGTGGCCGACCAGGAGCGACACCACAATGATGGCAATCCAGCCGTCACGGATCGAGTAGTGTCCGATGGCCGAGAGCACGCTGCTGCTCACCGGGCCGCTGTAGTTGTCGTGGCCGCCCAGCAGCTCCACCACCGGCTGCGTCCAGATGCCTGGGCCGCTGTAACCCGAGATGATCATGACCAGACAGGCCACGAGCAGTCCCTCGGTCGGCCCGTTGACATAGCCGAGGTAGAGCGTGTGCGAGTGGTACGTCTCCCAGGTCGAGAAGAACATCGGCAGGCACGGGCACAGCGCCGTGAAGACGCCCGACGTCGACGTGCCCAGGCCCATCGCCGCCGTCTCCAGCAGGCTGGCCAGCGTGCAGTTCAGCGAGTCGATGCCGTGGTCGAAGAGCTCACCCAGTCCGCTCGAGGTGCCCGTCCGTCGGGCCTGCTTGCCGTCGAGGTTGTCCATCGTCTGGTACATGAACAGGCCAAAGGCAAAGCTGTAGTATAGCCATGATGGTGCCTGTATCGACAGTGTCAGCAACTTCGGCAGAAAGGAATAATAGCGGACACAGGTGCACTCCACGTACAGGTCCCACGAGGTCAGGCATGAAGATCAGCAGCAGTCCGATGTTGCCCAGGATAAAGCAGAATCCGATCAGCGTGACCATGTTCGGGGCCAGCCATAATGGCAGAAGATCGACGGCCGCAGTCCACTACAACGTCTTAGTATCCTCTCCTTTCTCGCCTATCAGACCGAGCGCATTCGCCACCCAGGTGCCAACATACGTAGGGGTTGAGGATGTAGTGGGACACCGGTGACTTGTCCACGCTCGAGTACTTGTAGCTCTTGAGATGAAAGAGCGCATCGTCCGAGATGCTGTCGGTAGCGTGTAGTTCTGTTGCGAAGAAAAAGGCGACACGGTTAGATGGGCTCTTTCATCCTTCATAGCTCGAGCAGTTTCAGAGAGTGAGACAAACTAATTCCGAACACCATGATGGGCGATTTGACTGCGGTACGCGACCGTGAACGAGCCCGAACAGTTCGAGAACGGTGCGGCGAGCGTGCTGCACGACGAGGCCTGACCAGAGAGGAGGCGGTGTCCTGCCTTCTGGGGGGCTTTCGAGATCCTATTCTTTCGGTGGCAGCCGACCGCTGCGATGCCGTTGGGGTTGTGGCGGGCACCTTGCTGAGCCAGGAACGGCAGGAACAAGGTTGAGGAGAGGGGAGTTGCAGCTCCGACGGAATGACGCGAAAAGGCGGGAAAATGAAAGGTGGTTCAGAGGAGAGGAGCAGCTCCGTTGACTTGGGGCATCGTAGTTGCCTCTCAGGACGCAACAGCACGGACAGCGGAAAGCGGAAACAGGGCTGCTAATAACTTGGACCCTCCCCAATTTCTTTTTTTCTGTATCCCGTTCAAGCTAGTCCACGCGGCCTGAAAGGACAACTACGAGTACGTGTGCCCCACTGCTCTCTCCTGAAAGCCTACTGGATCACTACGCCTCAACGCATAAGCAGGCCAATCATGTCCGAGACTACGAGCTCAGCATCTCTACTATGTAAAGTGACACGTGAAAGCTCCTAAACTGACAACTACACCGCCTTGCTCCTGAGCAGAATTCAGCGCAGTGGAACAAGTTCTCGTAACATCGTCTCCAAGCAACTCCCTGCCGCCATACCTAGGCCGGCGTTGCTGACGTCCCACAGATGCATGTAACGGTCGTAAAACGGAACACATGAAACGATGCAAACAATACTCGTTGTATTATGAGTCGGTACGGTGTAAATGTCATGGCTAACTAAAGCTTGCCGCCGATCAGCTGTAAATGCTTCGATTACCCCTCTCCAAGACAGTGTTGCTCACTAAAGAATATGCTTCATAGCAAACAAACACGCAAACGGGACTCCCCAGATTCGTGTACAAATATAAAAGATTAAAGACTCATGTCCGTAGTAACATTAATAGATCGTATGTTGAAAAGCACTGCAGCACACCGTTCCCCATTAGGTCGTATCGTTATAATTTCACAGAAACAGTGCAATGCCGGCCGTAAGACCGCCCAGCGTCGCAGCCAGGCCCAACACCCGGCCGCTGTCGAAGAGGGGTGCCGCGAAGCTTCCTTTGCTGGAGCTGGATGACTTCCCCGTTGACGTGGTGCCGAAAGCACCGTACACGATCGTCGCCGAGTTGACAGTGCTGGTGGCCGAAGTCGCGCCCGCGCTGGTGGTCGTGAGAGAAGCATTGCCCGGGCTGGGATTGAGGGCACCGCACGGGTGATCCTGACGACAGGAACTGGAGCAAGTGTTGTTACTGCCACAGGCCGTGACACACTGGTTGCCCCACTCCGAGCACACAAAGTACGGAAGACTGAGGGAGTACTCGCTGATGTTGGGCTGGAGCCCGTTACCGCAAACGCAGCCGTAAGTGAGTGTGGACTGCGAAAGACCGTCAGCGGCCACTATACCTCAAGGGGAAGCAGGGACATGTGCCGAGTAGCAGCTTACAGGGTCGCAGGTGTTGTCCTTGGTGGTGTAGGGTGCTGTCTGTTCGCAGATCAGAGGACATGTGCTAGTCTCGCTGGCGCACCAGGACTTGCGAGTCGCAAGAGGGACAGAGCTCGGCTCGACGTAGTAATCGGCACGGACTGCTGACAGCAGGGTGGCGGTAACGGCCAGGAGGCTGAGCTTGAGTGAAGGCATGGTGATGGTGTGGATAATGTAGGCAGGAGAGCGTAAATGACGGAAGACTGGGCTTTAAAGGAAACCAAGTCAGTAACATAAATTCAAGCATAAACTGAAAGAAATGCGTGTGGCTCTGCAGCAAGCGGGCCGCTCAGAGCTTCTTGTATTTTGCTGCACTCCTTGTGCAGGCATGCAACATACTTCCATCACCCAGCCAGCAGTAGGCGGTGCCCCGGGAGACACAAAAAGAGCTCCATTCCAAAGCCAATGGCCACAACTAAGAAAATGAAAAGGCACCAAAGCATCTGAGGCAAACTTACATTACAACGAGCCGAGGCGCTCACACCGGGAGTATTCAGATGAGATGAAGAGAAAGCTTGAGGCAAAAGTATTTTCAAGTCGTAAGAGCAAGGGGAGACGCAAGACGTAGGATGACGAGAAGCTGGGGAATGTGGTGCCAGCAGAGGATCTGTCACTGCAAGGAAAAAGAAAGAAGGGAAGAGGAAGAGCAGCCGAAGGGAAAAGTTGGAAGCTTGCCATACATATCTTACATGTAGTAAAAGGGTCAAGGTAAAGCTGAGCCTGGAGCTCACTACACTGGCATACACTAAGTAGTCTCCATGCCCCGGTTTAGCCCGTGGCCCGGACGCAATAGTGGCCGGTGCCCCCTCTTCTCCGACGTCGTAAGATACTACTCGGCTCTACTCCGTACAGAGAAGGAAGAGGCAAAAAGGAGAGGCGGGGCAGCCAATAATTCGACGATACTACTACGGGGTAGTACATGTAAGAGCAGGTCCGGATGGGGTTTCGACACATCGAGCAAAGAGGTTAGAGTAGAATTCGTACGGAGTATGTCTAGTGTGCTACTGCGGAACTTTTCTCGTAATGAATGCTACTACGCAAAAAAAAAAAAAAAAAAAACCAAAGACGATTGATTAGACTTCTCTCGATACTAAGAGCAATACGAAATCTCGATGCCGTCAGCAGTCCAAATCCGGGGCTGCATCTCGATAGTGCAGCCCGTATTATTGTCCAGCCCGTTCTGTTGTGCATGCATACGATGTGGTCGACCGATTGTGGCGCTAACGGCAACGGGAAATACATGGTCCAATCAAGCCTATTTTATTTGGAGGCTCTGGGCATCATGTCCACCAAGTCCACATAATAAACCCACAGAGCCCACAAAGCTGACAACCGAAATATACAGGCAATCCATCCGTAGAATGAATACCCACTTCAATCAGCTATGCATCAAAGTCCGGTCAAGCCGTACTCCGTGCAGGGTATGCAGTCAGCTCCTAGGCTAAGACTTTTGTGCTGGCCAATATGCGTTTTAGTGTCCGCAGACGCAAAAATCACTAATGCAACGCAAGATACGAGCATTGGGGCGAGACGAAGGCCCAAACACGAAGCACACTAGCAACGGCTTTGAGGTCGAAAGACGACGGCGAGCCAATGAGGGTTGTGCTTTTTCGTGCATCCAAAAATAGAGCCGTGGACAAAGGCAAAAAGCAGATGCTTTTCAACGATACCGGCCACCAAGCCGGATTCTGCATCTGTCGCCTGATCTGCTGCTGCGCGGAACGCTTGCGCACACTACAATAGCAACAACATAGCAACGGACATGCTTAAAGCGTACTCGTACAACGTATACAGCACGATGAACCGAAGTGGCCCACATGCCATTTCCATTCCCCAATCTCCACATACCTCGAAAAGAGCTGTTGTGCCAATAGCCGCATTCAGAACTTGCGTACCAACGCTCGCGAGCACGTGGCTCTCACCGCATTGAGACTATGTTTCTGGCCGAGAGAATGGGGAATGGCCCCTTGTTGTCCAAGGCATCCCCAACATTTTTGTCGGCTCATGCCTTCATCCATGGCTTGACTCCTTCAAGGCGGTGTGAAATGTTCACGTTCTCGGGCATTTCGTTTTCGTCTTCCTTTTCACATATTCAATACAGAAGGGCTGTCCTGTTGTCATCAAATTCATTGCTAGGGGGATAAGACTCCTCTAACGTAGTGTACTCCGTACGGCGTAAGGCTCCGCTCATGCTGTGCTCACATCATGACTCGGCTTGGCCGGCTCATAATTACACGATGGCCATCCCACTCATTATGTTGTACTCATGGTGCCCGCCAACACCACCCGCTTGTATTGCAACACACCTCCGCTAGTATCTTACCAAGAGCCATACGCTGTAGGTCGTTCGTATTGATGGAGCGGTGCTACATCATGAAAGGTTCACGTTGCCCAACCAATATCGTGCCAGACATCACTCAATACACGGTACAGAGCCGCGCGCAGGCAAGACCGTCACTGGCAAAACAGCCAATATGCTCTCTTCTTCCCGTCTTCGGCGCCAGCTGCTCGGTCCATCTGGCAATGGGCAGCGGGCCTGCTCGTCTGGATGTGACTCGTGACCGGTCCTAGCGTCTACTCGTAGATCATGCAAGTCACACGTCTTTTTTGAGCGCAGTTACGAGGATGGCGTGTGGTTCGTTGTCGTTTGTGTAGTTTTGGCTGTTCAGAGAGCTGCTCATCGAGCCGGATTTCGTAGCGCTTGCCGTCGCCCGACTGTTCTTAGGCTTGCGAGTCGCTTCGACAAAGGCTGATCGTGGAAGAGCCTGAGCCATTGACTTTTGCAGTTGTCTGCATAGTGCTGGAGACGTCATCGCGTTGGCTCACTCGTTGTAGAGGCGAGGTAAAGTGTTGAAAAGATACTGTGTATGTTTTGTCGACTTACTGCCTTCTCGTGTCAGATTCTGCAGTCCTACAGTTAATACATGGCCGTCCTCTCTTTCTTAAGAACCCCAAGTTAGGGTAACGTCTTGGCCCAGCTTTTAACCTAATGGGCGAATCACCGCACCTGGAATAAGAGGAGGCCGCAATAGTGGCCTGTTTAGGCCGGTCGTCGCTGCTCCTGGCGATAACTGTGCTGGCTGATTGACCGTTATGGCACCACCTGTGGGGCATATGTCAACTTTTCCAGCAAATCATGTGTTGTGTAAATCAAATCAACTGTGCTTGAAATGTCTGCCTAAGGTATTGTGGAAACACAAAAAGAAAGTTTCGAACCATGCTAAGTCACAATATATGCATTCTTATATAACGATAATTCGTTGCGTGGTGCAGATCTTCGGCTCCAGAAGCTATCGCGATCGTATCTCAACAGGAGTACTATGTACTCCGTATTACGAATACGAGCTCGTACTCCCTACTCCGTACGGGTACAAGGCCGTTGAAGTGGATATCAGTGTAGCTGCATCTGATTACCAAGATCTGCAATCTACTCGTATTTCTGCAAAAGGACTATGTGTCTGGACATTGCCATTGGTCAAGTCAGGCAAGTTGCCGATTTGGGTAATATGGCCGTTTATACGGATGAATTTGTGCGAATGCCTTTCCAGATAAACGCACTCCAGAAATGGTATGATGTCGTAGTCGTCGAAAGATTCAAAATACAGTAGCAGTCCCACTTGACCTGTTCTCAGTACCGGCTGTCTGATATGCTAGTTTCTGTTTAAAAAAGAGCCGAAACATTACTTAAGATACAGATGGGAGTCGGCTAGTTTCACGTTTAGGAAGCCAATACTCCACAGGTTGCACATCCGCCACTACCATATTGCGCTTGCTACATTGGACCCGTCTTATGCTAAGCTGTCAGCTTTGTCAGATGGTGACTTTGGGCATAAGAAAGCCCAATTTGGAACGGTGCTTCTACTTCGATCCATGAGGACGATGGGTTGAGGCTCGTACGCAGACCGGCCGCGGCAAGTGCTGCTTAAGCAGTTCCTTTTCTTTTCGATTGCAATATTTACGCTAGACTTAGTATGACCATCGATGCCTGTAGGCCAAGGAGACCAGCGGATGCTAATAAAGTGTTGCCTTCCCCGGTTACACTCCATGACACGTTTCCCCATAGATTACTACTGACTGACTCGACGGTAATATTCGCGGGAAGCGCAACCTGGATAGGCAGCTTGAGATCGGCGTAATTTAGGTTGATAACTGTTAGCAGTGCCTCTTTTGTCTCCTTATTTACCCAGACAGCCGCGTCGACAAGACTACCACCCTGAATGGCCAGGGACTCGGAGATGGGAGTCTGCAGAACAAAAGAAGAAAAAACGCTGCTAGTCATAACCTTGGCTAGTTGCGTTGTGGCCATTGACAGGCCAGCCGTAGTGGGAAAGTCCCAGGCAACAAGGCCCTTGGCACCGTGATTGACGGCCACCAGCGACATAACAATGACCTCGGCAGCGTTCGGATATCGGGTCCAGAAAGTTTCATTGCCAAAAGCCTGCGGCGCCGCCCAATGCGTCTTTTGCCAGCCAAGCAACTCATCCCGGTGGTGGAAGTCCTGGAGGCGTAGCGTAATATCCTCGAAACTGCCTCCACAGTTGTCGCAACCACAGCAGCCGTATGTGGCGTTGCAGGGTGTATCGTACACGGTAGACCAGCTGGTGTTGGTGCTAACGGGGTACACGTCCGATATGACTATTTCGCCGCCGGCAGCATAGTCGGAGTAGTAAAAGTCGGCGCAGTTCAGAGCCAACGAGGACGGGTGGTACGGGTCAATCGTCCACAAGGTGTTCCGTGCAAGACCGGTGCTGTTCAGTGGATTGCTCTTCCCGTCAGGCTCATCACTCTGGTACCACAACAGGATGGAAGGGTGCTTCCGCAATCGCGTAGCCTGCTCGACCATGCTGCTGTCGTTTGTCGGAGTCCAGCTAAAGTCGTATTGAAGAAATAGTCCCAACTCAGCGGCGCGGTCGAGGTACGGCTGAAACTGATCCCAGGGAAAAGGGGACTCGGCAAGAGTGCCTGTGGGAACAATGTGGATCATGTTGTACCCCATGGCGGCAAAGTCGTCCAGAGTAGTCACATTGCTATCCCAGTACAGCGACCACTGAACGTAGTACGTATACGGAAAGATGACCTCCCAGGTGGAGTTTTTTCCGCGCTGAACCCAGAGGCCGCCGTAAAGGTTGTCCAGGCGCGAGACAGAGCCGTAGTCATCGGGGTAGGGCAAGCGGTGCAGGGTGGTCGAGGCTGAGTAGACGATGCCATTGGCAAGCGTTGCCAATACTGTGATGTTGTGTGGATTGAAGCGGGCGGCCAAATAGCCGAGGTCGATTGCTATCTCATTGTTGGTCGAGTTGATGCCAAGGACTGCTGTTGTCATTGGCGTTCCATTCGCAAGTACCACGAGTTTGAGCACCTTCTCGAGCGAAGACAAAGATGGCGACAGATACTTTGCCGCAATGGGCTCGCCTAGCTGACGAGACACGCCTGTGTTGACGATGATACTGCCTTCAACGTCGGTGTCTAAGTAGATGCTCATCCGTGGCTTGACCTGGAGATGAAGCAGTGGCGTAGGCGACAGCGGCGGATCTACAAAGCCGCCTCCGGGACTAAATGAAGCGTCCCCGGCTCGGTAAGCCTTGCCACACCATATATCGACGCCCTCCGGATTGTTGAACTGCGCATATGTGCCAGCTGAAAGTGTGACCAATGCCACGAGGGGCATAATAGTACGCGTCCACATGGCGTTCGTTTTTTGAGCTTAGTCAGCTTACCGGGGCTAGCTTATTATTGTAGGCCAGCTTACGGGCGGTGACGCAGGTCGCGTTATGTAGACATGTCCAGACAATGGAGATATGGCATACACCAGCATTTTTACAGTCCTACACACGTGGCCAGGATGGAGACTGGACGGTATCGATAAAGACTACGAGGGTGCATCCCGAGACGGATCGGAAGCTTGACCACGGCTGCAACGTTACTACTGGGCGGATGAACAATTTCACAAAACCGTAACCAAGGCACAGTGGCGTATTCTCTCGGTGGAAGGCACAGACTCGACCGCTGCGCTGTATGACCGGGATGCGGTCTGGCTTTAGCAGCGGAGATCCCCGCTACAAAGAGGTGTAGCTCCGGGGATGCTAAATAGATAAGCAATCTCATCGAGTGCAGCCGTCGGAGATGCCGTCCCACTGCCAGCAACAACTCCACCAGGCATCACTTCCTACGTTACGCTTTTGGCGGGCCTGTCGGCATCGATAGGCATGGCCAGTCGGATGTAGCCTACCTAGAGATTGTGTGCGGCTGTTGAACAGCATCAAGTTACTTTTAGATGGACGGACACGGCCCCTTAAAGATGATCGATCCAGACATTTGGACAGCCTTGATGCATCGAGCCTCTTGATACTCTGCACTCTGAATCTGCGGAAGGCTAAGATGATGCCACCTCATCTCTTACGCTTCGGCCTTTGGGCCTTACATACGACCGCCTTAGTATCAGCTGCGCCGTCTTTTCCACTGCGCCGATCGCCGGCAGATTATGCAGTATCCGTGCCACTCGACCTGTCGGCCGTGCTTAACAACAAGGCCTTTGGCACGTATGCGGGAGAGGCTGCCTTCGACCCACTCAACCAATCATTCCCGGCGCCCAACTTCGACACCACGGACTTCGTCTCCCCCGACACCGGGATCGCCTACTCGTTTCCTGGCTACACTGGCCCAGGAGTGGCAGATAACCTCATATGTGCCAGGCAAACCATTTCTGTTGTGCCTAGCCGCTACTTTTCGGTCTCCTTCCTCGTTGCTGCCGACGTCGAGTCTACCACCGTCACCGACAACGTCACCTTTACGTTTTCTGACAACAGCACGACGCAATACCAGCTGCGCAGTCTGAACTACTACAATTTCCTCGCCATCAACCGCGGTGTCATCATCTTCCCAAGCCGTTTCACCAGCAACAGCACAAACTACAACACGAGCCATATCTTTGAGCGCACCGCAGCACTACCAAGCCACAAAGAGCTGACCTCCATCACTCTGCCATCCACAACCAACACCACTTCCGGCCGCCTGCACATCTTTGCCGTCTCTCTACTGAAGGCCAGCGGCGTGGTCGTGCAGGATGTGCGACCGACACAGAAGTGGCTCGCGTCTGGCAGCCAAATCGTAGAAGTCACAGTCGTCAATGGCGGCGATGCGTGTGTGGCCGGTGGCGGTCTGACCGCGGCCATCAAGGCCGCCGGCTTTACAACAGTCGAGAGCGGCCATGTCAAGCGGCTCTGTCCTGGTGATCAGAAGACGGTACAAGTTGGCGTGGGCCAACAGAAAGAACGCCTCAGCAGCGGTCCGGCCACCTGCAACATAGAGGTCAGTCTTATCAACAACGACAATGGTCGGTCAGAGACACAGACATTTCCTGGTGTCGAGTTCGGCCTTCTGCCAGCTTGGACAGAGGACCTGTCAACGCTGGCGAAGCACGAAAGTCCTGACTGGTTTAATGATGCCAAGTTTGGCATATTCATCCACTGGGGTCCGTACTCGGTGACTGGCTGGGGCAACAGTTCTCCCTACGAGAGCTACGCCGAGTGGTTCTGGTGGTACTCTACCCATCATCCACAGGCAGATCGGTCAGACTTCTACGACTACCGCCTGCGCACCTTTGGCTCCGAGTGGGTGTACGACGACACCTTCTCTAATTTCACCGCCGCCAAGTTCGACGCCAAGGCTTGGGTCGATCTCTTTGCCGGGGCAGGCGCCAAGTACTTTGTGCTGACGACGAAGCATCACGACGGCTTCGCACTCTTCGATACGGCCACGACCTCGAATCGCTCCTCCTTGCACTATGGCCCTAAGCGCGATCTTCTGCTCGAGCTGTTCGACGCGGCCGAGAAGTACCAGCCAGAGCTCAAGCGGGGGACGTATTTCTCGCTGCCGGAGTGGTTCAACCCCGACTTTGGTCCCTACGGCTTCGACCAGTTCTCGACCGCCTCCACAGTCTCCTGGCCTGGAATCGAGGCCAAGAATCCATACACCAACAAGACCGAGCCATACACGGGCCATGTGCCCATTGGTGACTTCATATCAGATCTCATGGTGCCACAGATGAGCCTTCTCGCGTACAACTACAACACAGACCTCATGTGGTGCGATTGTGGAGCGGCGAACGGAACAGCAGGTTTTGCTGCCGACTGGTGGAACCACGCGCGCACACAAAACCGACAGGTGGCCATCAACTCCCGTTGTGGGCTCGCAGAGACGTCTGATTTCGACACGCCCGAGTATCAGACCTTTTCGGTGGCACAGCGCACCAAATGGGAGAGCAACCAGGGAATAGACCCCTACAGCTACGGCTACAACCGTGCCACAGCACCGGCTGCATATATGACGGCGAGCAAAATCGTCTACACGCTCGTCGATATGGTATCGAAGAATGGCAACCTCCTGTTGGACATCGGCCCAAAGCCTGACGGAACCATTGACGACACTGAAGTGGCACATCTGCTAGACGCCGGAAACTGGATTCACGCACATGCTGAGGCCATTTACAACACTACCTACTGGTTTGTCCAGAGTGAACTCCTGTCGGGTCCAGATGTGCGGTTCACACAGACGAACGACGCATTCTTCATATTGTTCCTGGAAACCCCTGTTCCCGATTTTGATGGGTTTGTGTCTATAGAGGCACCTATTCCTATACTCGAGGGCGATGTCATCACCCTTCTAGGTGTGTCTGATACGGCTCTTCAATGGACGTATGCTTCGACGTCGGCTGCAGGGAGTACGTTGCGCATATCCGTCTCGAACGATGTGCTAGCCATGGAAACGTATTGCTGGGTTTTCAAGGTGTTATATTCATAGCAAAAAGCTCTTTGAAGGGCGGATTTACTTTCTGATAGCAAAAAAATAACCGTACAAATAGCAGCTCTTCAATGCAAATACTAATACAGTACAAACTGCAATGTACTTTGGGCTAATTGCGAAGGAGGAAGGCTGTGCTACCAGTTGCTGGTCCCGCTACCCGTCAGCCACGCACTGAAGTAGATGATACTTCGAACCACTTGTGCTTGCAGGTTTTCACTCGCTCTCATGTACGCTGCTCAAATCTTGCTTTCCTTCTTGCAGCACCCATACATCGGGTTTGCATTAATATTATACTCCCACTCTGTCTATGTTTTACAAAAATATATGCATGAGAAAGATTTCGCGAAGTACAAATCAGACAAGAGCTATCACAAACAGCCAGGATGACAGATCTCCCTGAAGCGAGCTCTAGAACGAGCCCCAGGGAAAAATCCAGGGCAGGCCCCTGTCAAATCTAGTTGCACCACCAGTTGACTTGTCTAGCCGTTCAGAAGCATTAATTATAGAATAAGAGACTCGCGTAAAGCTATACAGGGACTATGCTACTACACACGAGTACAAAGTATTGCATCAACTCTTTTCCAACCGTTAGTATTTATCACGCCTTGTCCCTGCATTCCAACCTACTTTCACACCCAACTTATAAAGGCGTATGAGGCTGTGACAGCTGTTGATTCTGCGTTATTGGTTAAGCAGCTTGTCTGTCGTGGCAAGTTAATCTACGGTGCAGCCACTTGAGGACACTGCTTGTGCTTCTTGTTAACACAAAGGAAAATACCCGCTTATCGTAACCCAAGCATCATCTCGACTCTAATCCGTTGACGAGAAAGTATCAATATTGTGGTTTCAGGAAGCATATAATATACACAAAAGATCCCGAATCTAGATTAGCAGGATATGTCTAGATAATTAAAATTCACAAACAGCAAAAAACCCCATACACCTGACATAAAGCCGTAAGAGACTGGCAGAGGCGAGCCTGAATTTGCATCAGCACGAAGGACCTTCCTGGCTTTCCAGTTTCAAAAGGTTCTGTGTGCTCAGGGGCTCCACGGCGGCGGGACGGCCGTGACCGCAAGGCTGTGACTTTCCCCACTGGCTTGGAGTTAACGCGTAGACGTCATCTTCAGAGCACCGTTTGACCATCCGCTTCAGTTCTGCATAAAGATTTGTAGCGGATATCCTCACTTTCTCTGACCCCTCGACAATAAGCATTTGCTCCGCTATCAGATCTAAAAATTCATGAAGAAATATTGTACACGACTTGTTGTGGTGGAGTTCTTCGATGAACTAGGTTGACCGTTAGTGAAATGTTATGGGCGAGAAGGCGGAAGAGAGGCATGGAGAAGAACAACTCACGCGGGTCACGACTGGCTTGATGATGTGCAATGTTTTGCTCGTCCCTTCTGCTGTCGGGTTGCGCTCGAAGAATGTGTCGGTTTCCCAGTAACGCCAACTTGGGTCGGGACACTTCCGCTTCATTGTGAAATCCTGTAGTAGGGGCCAACCGCCAAGCAACCAGGTGATCATTTGAAGGTAAAGGATACCCAAGGTCCAGATATCGTATGAACGACCCTGTAGATTGTTCAGATCGCTCTCCGGAGAACGGTAGGATGGTGTCGCACAGAGGCCTTTGGCCGCGTCGAGCGATCTGGTGTTATTTGATCTGAACCTGGCCAAGCCAAAGTCGGCCAGCTTCAGGATTCCTCTATTAGGATTACCCTGCGGCTCTTCGGTGCCAGGAAACCACAGAATGTTCTCCTCTTTGATATCGCCGTGGTGACCAAAGACGACTATTGGCGACTGATCGGCTTGACTGCGGTCGAAGGTTTCGTATTGATGCAGATCGACGATTCCACGTGCAATACCCTTGCACTGCTCGCCGACCCAGAGAACGGTCTTCCGGTCTGTGGCTGAGGGCTGTGGCTGCACGTGCTCCCAATAGCCCTTGAGGTTGCGCTCGGCCCAATCGAAGACCATGTGGAAGTGGTTATGTTGCTCGTAGGTCGCCAGAAGGGAAATGAGATGGGGATATGCGTCGTCATCGCTGAACTTTTTCAGCATGTCGACCTCGTTCTTGAAAGCAACAGGGGAAAACGGGCGAAGACTCTTCACTGCAAAACTACCAGCGAAGTCCTGGGATTGACAAAATCAGTATTAAAAACGCTACGTGCTAATATACATGCTGAAGCAACTTAGAGAAACAACGCATACCTTTCGTGCTCCGAACGTGTGGTGATCATCGTGGATGAAGACTCGAGAGACGTCTGCTGTCCCTCCGTGGTGATTCTGCAGCGCATTTCCATCGACTTGGACAAAAGGAAGGATATCGTTTTTCGATAGCTTATAATGATGAACCGACTTGTGCCTCTTTGATTTCGAAAAGCGGGGAGAGATCGTCGACCACTGATTAGCATAAAAGTACTCGATCTCATGAGGTTTCCAGCTATCCGAGATGAACTGTATCGGCGTGTTGGGCTTGGATCTAGAAAAAAGAGCACAGTCGTTTCTGTGATCCCTGCGAAACGGTAGGGAAGAGTCATTCAAGCCAGATGCTATGAAGTCCTTGATAGCTTCCGTCTTATCGAGTGTATTGAGGAGGACAAATATCCGCCTCAAGCAGCTGGTTTTTGTCACATTTTCCTCCTCCAAGCCGTTTTCTGAGCCTTGATCGCGAACCTCCGTCTTTCCGAGGATTTGACGTGCCACCATGGCGATTCTTTGCTCGTCGTCATTGGGACATGCTGTCTTAAGCTGCCCTGTTACGCTCTCGTCTGTGATGATCGAGTTGAAAACGCTACAAGGGTAAAACTTCCTGTCCACATGTGGATTTCTCTCTCTCAACGACATAAGTAGGACCGGGAATTCCAAGTTGCTTCCATGCTTGGAAGATGTGGCCGATCTTGCAAAGCTCCTGGTGCTCTGCGTGTCCTCAATTTGGCAACTGTTTGATGGGCCTCTTGCGCTGTGTAGGGCTGGCCCTGGACAATGAGTGATGATAGGTAGATCTTTGACCAGATGGGATCCGCTCATTACGGCTGCGTCTGGTGTCTTTTTTGAATAGTCAGCATGTCATATCCGGAATTTTTAAGTGCCGGCAAACGGCCAACGTACTGCAAGGAGATATGAGTCGTCAGGCGAGACGTGGTTGGACGACGGATCACTAAACACTGAGCCCACATGTTCCAAGCCACCTGGATTAGGTTCAATGTCGTCGTCTACGGATTTGTCGGGGCCATCATTGGATACCCGCGGTTGTTCAGACGTGGCAGAGGTCCATTGCTGGGAATTTTCGCTGTCGGAACTGTAATCATCGCTGCTGTTGCTGTTGCTGCTGTTATTGTTGCCAATGTGTACATTTTTTTTCAAATTGCCCGACCGTTCCATATCTGCAGCTGTTGGGAGATGGCCGTTCTCTCGTTGGCGACCTCCTTGCAGCAGACCAGGCTCAGAATCGGGCTGCAGAACATTTGAGCTAGATGTACGCACTTTGGGGGGGAGAACTGATGTAAAAAAATGATAGATTTTGTGGAAAGTTCTAATTAAAAAGCTGAAGCTCATATTCGGACCGTGCCTTTGTACGTTGAGCCCAAAGGAAAGACTGGTAAATGGGAGAGGAGTAGAGACGTGATAATCACCAATGTGAACTGATGGCTCATACAGTACGGAGTATTACAGGCATTGGTACGTCTCTAGCTTGGCAGAGCTGCAAGCAGGGCTCCTTCCCAGGGGTGGCGCAGCCAGATGGGAGCACTGCCTGCTCAAACATCTTGCTTCATGGGCGGCCGCTTTTCTTGAGGCATCCAATCAAGAGGCCTACAACAACAGATAATGTGATTGCTGCAGGCGGTATGCATGTGTGTCGCCTAGATTACCATGAGCCGACAAGGCGAAGAATGGTTTTAAAAAGGCGACGAGGGATTTTTAAAAAGGCGACGAAGGATTGCAAAAGGCGGCGCAGCCGCGAGCTGGCCCAGCTGCTATTTCAGGCGATGTTACATTCGTTCGCCTTTTCGTGTTTACAGTAAGTTCATGACCTTGAAATTGGTCCGACACCCCCCGATTTTCATGTACAATAATGTTGATGACGGCGGTGATCTCAGAACTGTGTACCGCAGATAAGTCGGAAGCCCTCTTTCTAAAAATCGCTCATCGCACCAAAAAGAAAAGACTTAAGAGCATAAATTTTTCAGGTTATGTCCATATATAACACCACCATGGCAAACGACAACAAGTGGGCATCAAGCATGAACGCTCCATGCAAGACATACCATCCACTCAAGCTTTTCAACTTTTTGTCAAAAACTTTTGGTCAGGGCCAGTACGACGTGTCAGTAAGTAAGTAGCTGCATTCTGTAGAGGCAGGCGGCCTCTGGTTTCATAGAAACTCAAGCTAATGTACTACAAGATTACGTGCAATGAATACTGCATTCGGACGACAAGAAATCTGAGGCCAGAGGACTTGTTGCAGTGTCAGCGCTGAGCGCACCCCATGTACAGCGTAACTGTACTGGACTGAAATTTATTTTGTATGAGATCATTGTGAATCCCATTTTTAGCTGATAGACAAGAAATGGGAGCGGAGGCTTGAGGAGGAAGCGAGGTATCATTGTTAACCCGAATCTGGAAGTCTCGTAATATAGTTTTCTGGTACGGCAGTATAGCTGATAAAAGCCCGGTACAAAACAGTATAACCGAAACAATAGCACTGTGGCTGATACGATTGTGCTTTTTAATGGGAAACCCATGGCAATATGTTTTTTATAAAGCAAACTATTATCTTGCTTTCTGATACCTATTGGGATTCTTACTAAGAAGACTAAGAACGATCAGATATGATTTTTAGGATGCTATGTATCAGTTGCAGGCTTGAGTTACATAGTAAGAAGCAAGTCGTATCCTGTTATTTAGATATCTGGCTGCTAAAATCGGCAGATATTCCTAATACACTAGCAGACGGCATTATTAAAGTCACAATTTGAAGAAGATGAGACGGTCACCTTTCAGTGCTCCAACCTTTCAGTGCTCTAATTGAGTTTGCATCATTTCCTCTTTGGTGGCGATCGGGTGATAGCGCCCCCGTGTAACTAACGGACAAATTTGTCTCTTGCAAAGAGGATATGGACGAGAATGATTGCTAGTGCCCTTGATCTAGAGGCTGGGACGTGTTCCCCGACTGTTCTTCTCAGCTGACTGCATCCGATTAGTCTCAAACCGGAAAGAGTGACATACGTTGTATGATGCACTGTTTCAAGTTGATTTGTGACAGAAGAGTTCGTCACCCAAACTCCTAGACAATACTATGTAAGATATGCATTTACAGGATGGGGCTCATTTCAGGCTTATCACCTCACTCGGCAGTACAGAAACTTTCAAGAAGCGAAGTTAAACATTCGTGGGGAATGCCACACTAAGACCAACCCTATCAAATTACGGAGTAGGTGCTCTTTCCTGCACTAGCCCAGACTGTTGTATTTTTATTCAACAATCCATTCGATGTTTTCGGCCAGAGGCAACCTACTGTTGGAATATCTACTTCGTAATGCGTGGTTCATTGAGCCCGTGCATCTGATTTACAATCTCGAGAATAAGGAACCCCTATTTTATGGCTTCCAGTCCCTCGCAGAATGCATCTTATATGTACTGCTTGCAATTTCACTCTGTCTTAAAAGATTCCAAGATGAAATTGAACAGACAAAAAAATGCATTCTCTCGGTACGTTTCAACGCAGAAAGGCTTGCAGCTCTAGCATTCCTTTACACGGCAAGTTCGCACCCTTTCGCCCGGAGGCTACCCTGCACGGCCGTCTCATCACAGTCACATTCAAGCTCGACTATTGAGGGCGATTGCACCTATTGAGCTGCAGGGGGGTGGGGAAATAAGAGGGGAACCGGTGCAGAGAGAGGAGGCTGATCGGGGATCCCAATAGACCTATAGACGAAGCCAGAAATCCAGCCTTGTCTAACACATGATGCTAAGAACTGTGTTGCTCTATCCCTGGCAATGAGCATAAGTAACCCGACGCCTCTCCGTACATGACTACTTAGCTGAGTAGAGTCTACCCAGGTAATAAAAAACCTCAGCACGAGCTGGCAACGAAGAGCATCGCGATTACTCTTACCAATGCGGATATCAATGGCGACTTTTCCTAGCCCCCAGTCTCATGAACAAGACCCACTCAGCACTCTTGTGACAGAAATCAAAAGAAACACAGTGGATAGTAACTTCGGCTCCAGCAAGTTCCTCCCAAATGTGTGTATTGAAGAGCTCGCCGCCGACATGGCGATTGTTGACATGTTGAAAAAATCGGGGGCCTTCTACCCCTCCTTGTGGCAGCTGTTGGATTCCTTCTGCTCATTAAATACTGCGCCCGATTTATGGACCTTTCATATATTGCCTGTCAGTCGGGAATATCACATCTATTTGATTTTCCAATCTAGAATCTCAATTTCTATCTGGACTCCTAGCAGTCAAGCCATAATGAGCGTTACCCACACCGTTCTCGTCCGGTTCAAGGACGAGCTAAAGGCAGAGGAAGTCAAAACAGTGAGCGAAACATTTGTGCAGTATGAAACACATGTAGTGCAGGACTAATGTACTTTCTGGGTCCCAGATCTGCAAGGACTTTCTGTTGTTGAAAGAGAAATGCTGTCACCCGACAACACAGGTCCCCTACATTCTCTCCCTGAAGGGTGGCAAAGACAACTCTCCCATCGGTCTCCAGGTAAATGGCTGTTTATAGCCATGCTGTTACCTCTCCATCTCTAACTTGAGGTAGGGCGGCATCACCCACGGCTTTGTTGTCGAGTTCGCCTCGGTTGAGGATCGGGACTACTACGCCAAGACAGATCCAGTGCATATGGCCTTTGCGACAATTCTGGACAGTTTTGTTACAAAGATCATTGTCGTTGATTTTGTCAGCGAGGAATACTGATACTTTAGTATAAGAGCCCACCATATGCTTATGGCCACTTTGTCGACGTCTCGGCTATAGACAGACATCATCTACTCTAGGTTCCCCCCGGGTCCGTGAAAGAAAAAGAGACAGATTTTTCGGACCTGTATGTATTTGTGCAGTTATCCGAAAACAGACATCCTAAAGTCCCGGAATAGAATAGCGGTCCAATAAGACGCTAGCTTTTAAGATTCGTAACAACAATAATTAAGGAAGTTATTTCAGCGATCAAGCCCATACTTAGCTATAACATGTTTATCCGTCTCAGCTTGTATTTTCCCTGGTCGATACGCTTATTCTGGATGATGTAGACGAACTCTTGAGTGATGGCAGTTAAATTGGCAGTAATCACAATAATCCCAATGATTATGGACCATTTTGGGAGTTGGTTAAGTGTTAGCTACAAAATACAATATACGAGGGAAGCTGTCAAAGTACACCGGGCCTGCAGCCTGAAATCACTCAATACCTAATACCATCAAGTCCACGATGGCGAGAAGCTTTCACCCGATTACGTAATCGCATATGGCTGGGACAGACGGCGGATAACTTGCAGCATGTCCAACAAGAACGGTTTACGCGCTGCAGGACAATATTAGATGGGATCTGGGTGAGGCCAAGGAGGAGGAGAGCCAGGACAGAGCATTCAACATTATGGGACGACATACGGGAGAGAACTGTTTGCACCAGCCACGACTTTGTCAACTCTTATGACTGCTTTAATCCATGCCGTCTTCGACCATCACGTGACTGTGCTTCTTGCACCTTACACCGAACACTCTTCAGCACGATTGGTGGTGGCTGTTCTGGATATGGGTGCAAGCGCGCGTATAGTGGTGTCGGGAGGGATGAGGTAATAGTGAGAAGAATTGCGCCATCGCCTATTTTCGAGCCAAGCCAGCTGTCAACTACGGTAGCATGCGACAGATAAAGCAAGCGTGCCCCGGGAAGTAGAGCAAAGCAGACCGGCCGTCTGTATAGGCACTGAGTTATAGTGTTGTTGCACCGTATCAGCCGAACTGCATCGGCCAAGACATCGGCCCAATAGCATCTCGACTGCCATGACCGTGCCAATCAAGCGCGTGGCCGTCATTGGAGCTGGGCCCGCCGGGGCCATTGCTGTGGACGCGCTGGCGCAGGAGAAGGTCTTTACTCTGATTCGGGGGTTTGAGCGGCGCGAAGGTCCTGGAGGATGTTGGTGCGTGGTTGCTGTCTTTTTTTCTTTTTTTTCTACTTTTCTTTTTTTCCCGCTAACGAACAGGATCGGCGACACGAGCCCACCACCGCCGCTGACGGGCTTTGAAGCCCTCGCCAACCGGACGGCCGACCAGCCGGTACCGGTGCCGTCGACGCTGCCGGCAGTGACGCCGAAGCTGGAGCAGCCACGGTTCGCCGAGTCGTCTGTGTATCCGTACCTGGAGACGAACGTGGACAGCCTGGCGATGGCGTTCAGCCAGGAGCCGATCCCAGCGGAGCGCAGCGCGTGGTCGGTTGCGATGCACGGCGAGGACACGCCGTTCCGGCCGTGGCGGGTGATGCGCGACTATGTCGAGGGCCTGTTGAGCCGACGTGGCTACGAGTCCGTCTTTGCGTACGGCACGACGGTCGAGCGGGCGGCCAAGATTGGCAACGAGTGGGAGCTGACGCTGCGGCGCAGCAGCGACGACGGCGAGGATGCGACGACCGACTACTGGTGGACTGAGCGGTTTGATGCTGTCGTCGTGGCCTCGGGTCATTATGCCGTGCCGTACGTCCCGGCGATCGACGGGCTCGAGGCGTTTGCCCAGCGATGGCCGGGCAGCGTGCTGCACAGCAAGCAGTACCGCGGCCGCGACGCGTTTGCCGGCAAGCGTGTCGTCGTCGTGGGCGCGTCAGTCTCGGCGGCCGACATTGCCGTCGATCTCGTCGGCACGGCGCAGTCGCCCGTCCACGCCGTCGTGCTTGGTCACGTGGTCAACGGTTTCTTTGGCGATGGCGCCTTTGGCCACCCGGACATCCGGAAGCAGCAGTCGATCGGCCGGGTTTGCGCCGACACGCGCACCGTCTTCTTTGTTGACGGCTCGTCCGTCGCTGACGTCGACCTTCTTCTCTTCGGCACCGGCTACTCCTGGACCCTGCCCTTCCTGCCACAGGTCGCCGTGCGCAACAACCGGGTCCCGGACCTGTACCAGCACGTCGTCTGGCAGCACGACCCGACCCTCCTCTTTGTCGGCGCTGTCGGCGCCGGCCTTACGTTCAAGATCTTCGAGTGGCAGGCCGTCTACGCTGCCCGGCTGCTCACTGGCCGCGCATCGCTGCCGCCGCTTGCTGACATGCGTCGCTGGGAGGCCGATCGGATTCGCGATCACGGCGACGGCCCCAAATTCACGGTCATCCACCCCGACTTCGAGGAGTACTTTGAGACGCTCCGACAACTCGCCGGCAACGCTTCGCCAGACGCCGGCCGGCCGCTGCCTCCTTTTCGCCAGGAGTGGTTCCGCGCTTTCATGGACGGCCATGAACGTCGCAAGGCCATGTGGCAGCGCAACAACGAGGCCGCCGTAGCTGCACGCGCTCCCGGTGTCGAAGAGGCTCCGATCAAGGGTCGGTTGTAGGAGCTGGGCGGGGAATGTGTAAGATTGACTCACTCGCTGTACATAATTCAACATGCTTGATCCTGCAATGACTGCTCCAGATCACGTGTTTGAGTTGACACCCGTTGAGAAAGGCGCAAAACCTGAAAACTGAGACCGGGGTACATCTGCCGATCCGGATCCAGTCCCTGGTTCCCCGGGCATTTTTCCGAGGCTGATACAGGGAGCGGTCAACTGATGGGGTGCGGGGAAAGCGATTAATAGGCCCGAACACGACTTACATCCACTCGCAATGCTCTTCAACTGCATCAACTTCCCCCACCGACTGATCGGCGTGCCGTGTCCGAGGCCGGTCCACGATGTGCTTGTTTACATGTGACCAGCTGCAGAGGAGCTATCTCGTGCGGAGTACGTCGTACATAGTAGTACAAGTACGAGTACCGATACTTGTATACCCAAATCCGCCAAGCAATCCCACTCTTCCTTCCCCATTCCCCTCTTCCCCGCCATCTTCACTGTGATAGGGAAAGGAAAGAGGACAAAGGATAGACACGGTCGATATGGAGTCCACGGTTGTCATTGATAGCTTTGCCCCCGAAGAGGGGGATGTTTCCAAGGAGGCACGCCTGACTGCATTTCCGTCAGAGCAGATTAGCTCGTCCAGCGACAGAGAGCGACAGAGAAGGCTGGTGCGAAAGCAGGACCTGCGCATTTTGCCGTTGTGTGCGGCCATCTACCTGCTCTGTTACCTGGACCGGTCCAACATTGGCAATGCCAAGGTGCTCAATGCCGCCACCCACGACGACCTGCTGTCTGACACAGGCATGTCCGCGTACCAGTACACCATCGCCCTGATGGTCTTTCTGATCGCCTACGCCCTCTTCGAGGTGCCGTCCAACTACCTGCTCAAGCGCTTGCACCCGAGCCGCTGGATCGCCTTCCTAATGGTCTCCTGGGGTGCCATCACCATGGGCCTGAGCGGTGCCCACAGCTATGCTGCCGTGACCGTGGTCCGTCTCTTGCTCGGCGTCTTTGAGGCCGGCCTCTTCCCCGGCCTCGTCTACTACCTCACCTTTTGGTACTCTGCCCAGGAGCGATCGCTGCGCGTCGCCATCATCCTGGCCTCGGCCACGCTCGCCGGCGCATTTGGTGGCGCCATCGCCTACGGCGTCGGTCACATGAACCAGGTTCGCGGCATGTCCGCCTGGCGCTGGCTGTTCCTACTCGAAGGCCTGCCATCCCTGCTATCCGGCATCTTTGTCTGGTTCTTCCTCCCGGACTGTCCCGAAACGGCCGCCTGGCTGTCGCCGGACGAAAAGGCCTTGGCCTCTCGCCGCGTCGCCCAGATGAGTCTGGCCGGCAAGTCGCTCACCTGGGTCGAGGCCAAGGCCACCCTGACCGAGTGGCGGCTGTGGATGCATTACTTTGTGAGTCGACGCCTCCGTGCCTCCAGACTGTCCCGCTGACCGGTTATAGATCTACTTTGGCATCTCCACACCCTTCTCTAGCCTGTCTCTCTTCACCCCGTCCATCACGGCTGGACTTGGCGTACGTCGTCGCCGTCTTTCTATTCTCTCTTTTCCAATCGGTACTGTCGCCACCTGCTGATACTACCAGTACACAAACCTAAGAGCCCAGCTCATGACTGTGCCCCCGTACGCTGCTGCCTACGTCGTCACTTTACTTGTTGCCTGGTCGGCAGACCGTTTTAATGCGTAGGATCTGATCTCTCCGTTGCAAGCCACCAGTTTGAACTGACCGTCGTAGACGTGCTCTCCACTCTGCCCTTCTCGCCACTGTTGGCGCTGTGGGATTTCTCGCCTCTGCCGTCCTCCCGGCAGAAAGCTACTCGGTATGTGGGCCACTCGATTGAGCGCGATGGTCCTTTCTCGCCCTGACAGAATTCTAGCATCGCTACGGCTGCCTTATCGTTGCGTCTTGTGGTGCCTTTTCGTGTATCCCCCCCTTATTGGGCTGGCTGTCCTCCAACGTTCACACCACGGCTGCCATTGGCCTTGCTATTGCCCTCAATATCTCCATGGGTGCGCCGGGTCAGATCGTAGGTGTGTGGATATACAAGGCCGACGAGGCCAAGATCGGATACCCAACAGGCCACTGGACCAACGCTGGCTTGCTGTTTTTCGTCGCCGCCGGCTGTCTGACTATGCACATGTACTATGTTTGGAGAAACAGAAACGGTGGCGTCGACGGTGTAAGGTTCAAGTATTGAGTTTTGAACGTACAGGGGAAAACCACGATGAAATCGACGGGTGCAATGCTTAGAGGTGCCACAGTGCATGTCTTGCTAGCAAAGTCCGATCAAGTAACCGGTAGACTCTCCGAATTATTCCACCATTCCGGCGTTCTTCGAGGCCATATATCGTTGAACAGCCCCCGATACTTCCGTTCTGGATGATTGCGTTCTCTCCCTTTTCTACCAAGCTCAAACACAGCGGCCCTGCCTGGGACGTCTCGTTTGCATACCCACGACCGAGCAAGCCACCCTAGAACGTGTCTAAAGTTTAACGAGAAGGTATTCCTTCCGTTGCTGTCGCCACTTAAGTAAAGATCTAGTCTTGAATACCTCAAGCTACCACCGGACGATATCAGGTTGAAGATAGAGAGCGCCTTATTAAAATCTTGGAACGGACATATTATTGACAAAATGAGTAAATTCCCACCGTGACAGCGCAAGACGATGTCGAATGTCTCGCTGCTTACGTAGCCTTTTATATACAGCCTTCGAAGAGGCTCCAAACTGACAAATAGCTATCGCAGCACGTCTTGCGACTGGTCAGTCGCGTCGACAATGTAGATGTAGCAAGTCCAAAGATCAAAGGTTTCCACGTACAGCCAGATCGGCCAAAGCTTCGCCATGCTCTAGTCCCCGTGGTATGGTCAAGTTGCGCTGACAGGTGAAATCTGTTTACTGACTCCATTTGCCAATTGGGGCGCCTTCATCTAAAACCAAATCCAGACTCCGAAGACGGCCGAGCATAGGCCGCTTATATACGAGGAGGAAAGTCGTCTGCTCCTGACCGAAACATCCAGACATGTGCAAGGTTAGGCGTAGTCCCAGACACCATACACACCACTGCCTCATTAGTGTAGTACAGCTTGTTGTCAGGCATATAATCGTAGTCGTTTACGACGATGCTATGCTGACACGAAGACGTTGCGGGTGCATAATCGTCCGGGCTAATAGTTTTAGGACTGCTAAGTTGATTTTGAACGAGGCTGTCTAGATAAAAGTAATGCATATAAAGACGGCAGCCGATTGTACAAACGGCAGAAAGGACAGATGGGGAAAAGTAACGGCCATAGGCCCACATTATATCCTGGAGCCCTGGGAGCTGGCTGACAAAATGAGCAAGGGGCAGCCAAACTTCGGGATGGTTTCTTGGCATGCCGTAGCACGCATTATACGGACGGCAGAAGCCATGTATGTCCAAAGCATGGCGTTTCTCCCAGTCATAATCGTACTCGTCTTTGTCGACCCCTGGCTCTTCATAGTCCACTCTGGGCAGCGATACGACGAAGCCATACCACGAGACTTTCAGCCGGCGTACGTGACGATGGCCAGTAGGGCTGAGCACTTCGGACCATCGCTTCAAGCTGCTCTCCAGCTGACTTGGATCGGGTATCCTGAGTTCAATCTGGCAGAGACACTGGTGTGTGGCTGCGGTATAGCAATGTCGACTCGCTAAGGAGAACGCCCAGAGACTGCGTCTCTTTTCCTTATAGTCGTCCAGATCCTCGCAAATTCCTTCTAGAATTGACAAAGGAACAGTGTCTAGAAGGGATAACGCAGAGGGCGCCATTTTTGTTGTATCCTTCCGGGGGTACACGGCTTGAAAGAGGCGGGCAGAGAAGACACCGTTTCTTCCGGTAGTCGTGCTTTTGGCCCACAGTATTAGCGAGATGATACGGCTGAACCAATGAACTACGACGTATTCCATAGGCCATTATGGGTGGGGTCTTGTACCATGTGATGGAAAAACCGTGCGATTGAGATTAACTCCGTACAAGTACTGTGATACAGTACGACTACGTACGATCTCTACGATGGTTAAAGTTGCTGTCGCTTGGTCTACGACCAAACCTCCCACGGTGAAGTAAAGTCATTGCGCCTCTCGTATTGTTAGCGTCAATGTCGGTGCAACAACAGCCGAGTCCTCTTTAAAGTATGACGAGGAGTAAATTTGGAAAATGAAGAACGGCTTTGTCTTGCATAGGCTGGCAAAGATGAATTCTTTTTCTAGGTAGAGCATGTATCTTCTGCGCTGTCGGACGACCGAAGTCGTGCACCGAGGAAGCCCCAAGATCATATATAGGTGAGCCCAGAGCTTTACATTACTCCGTAAGCAGTTGATTTTCCAAACCGTCCAGAGAATTAGGCTACATTTGCAATGATGTGCCTTTATCGTTCTGAAAAAACGAGACATGTTTTCAACATCGTTTTGGCCATCGGAGGCACATATAAAGATCACAGTTGGGGAGAAGGAAGGCAATAAGGAAGGCCAGAATGACGCGGAGGATCAGCTTTCGGAACAAAGCCGGTGGTACGATAAGGAATATTTCTATAATAGAAATAGAATAAAAAGATGCTGTACGGAGTAACTCAGGGGCGTCGTGGTTAACAGCTTCGTCGTATTGCTTAGCTTTAAGATACGTCGTACGGAGTACTCCGTAGAAACGCTGCGATCCACCTTCCTTAATAGTAAGCAAACTTTAGACTGGTCGCTTTAGTCCTTGCGATGTATCTTATTTTCTCTTCGCACGGGCAATAAATTGATCACTTACGCTGGGCCTGGCTCATCGCTTGACACAAAGTGGCTCGTCTGGTTGGTGCCTAGGAAAAGTCGGTGGAGGGCTATTAGAAGGTCAAGCCACGTGCACGGCCACGTGCACAGTACATAGTAGACTGATTGACAGAAGCGAGATGTTGGGGATCGACTAGGCCCACTTTAGGGTCCACTGTACCTGTTTCAAAACAAGTCCGAGACAGTCCAGATGAGCCGGTTTGTACTCCGTAATCCGTACTCCGTACGGAGTAGAGTACCGGAGGATCGGCAGATCTACGAAGCGTACTTGGCTTTCTAAGATGATCCATTTTAGAACCGCGTGTAAGAGTACTACGACGTTCTACCGCACTCGTATTGCAGGCTGCCGAACCCATGGCTACTACTCCGTACACCCTCCTTGCCCCTTTGGTCGTGGTGCTAATGGGCTTCTTACATAGTACGAGCATACGAGTACAGAGCCCCTAAAACACGCGATACAGGGGCCAAGGGTTGGATGGTGGGCCACGGCGTGTCATAGAACATTGTCGGACCGACGGTACGAGCAGGACAGAAGTAGCTCTGTCGTGATATAAAGGAGAGCCGAAGCCCCTTCACAGCTCTCTTTCCTTCAGCCCTTCTCCCCATCCCTTCCATCTTTATACATCTCTCGGCTGGTCCAACAGTCCTCACATTCGCTCTTCATTTCGCCTTGTGCTTGACCTGCATTACTTTCATTTTTCTTCTGCTCCTTCCACCACAATGCGTGCATCCATCCTCCCTATCGCAGCGATGCTGCCGGCCATTCTGGCTGCCCCCCAGCCAGAGCACAAGACGGCCACGACCAGCACCAGCACCGGCGCTGCCGCTGCCGCCATCACACCGGCCGTTGTAGAGCGTGCCGCGGCAGCTGGTGTCGGTGGCACCAAGATCACGACTCTGGCTGGCAACTCTGGCGTCGGTGGTGCCACCTGCACGGTGACGGCCTTTGCCGACGTCAAGGCGTCGGTGGCAGCCTGCTCCAACGTGCTGCTGTCCGGGCTCACGATCCCGGCGTCCAGCACGCTCTCGGTCACGGTGCCGACCAGCGGCGCGCTGCTCTTCGCCGGCACCATGACGGTCGAGTACACGCCCAACGCGGCCTACACGCCCATCGTGCTCACCGGCAAGCACGCCAAGGTGGCCGGTCTTGCCGGCGCCGTCATTGACGGCCTTGGCGCCAAGTACTGGGATGGCGGGGGCTCCAACAGCGGTACGGCCAAGCCGGACCATCTGATCAAGCTCAGCAACATGGTCAGCAGCTACTTTGGCGATCTGACGATCAAGAACTGGCCCACGCACCTGTTCGAGATCACCGGCGGCTCCGACAACACGATCGAGAACCTGATCCTCGACAACAGCGCCGGCAATGCGCTCACCGGCAAGAAGAAGCTCGGCCACAACACGGACGCCTTTGACGTGGCCAACGTCAACGGCCTCCACGTCAAGAGCGCCACGGTCTACAACCAGGACGACTGTGTGGCGGTCAACTCTGGCTCCAACATCGTGTTCGAGAACCTCTACTGCAGCGGTGGCCACGGCATGTCTATCGGCAGCATCAAGAGCGGTGTCACCGTCTCCAACGTCACCTTCAAGGACTCGTCCGTCATCGACAGCTTCAACGGCTGCCGCATCAAGACCATCTCTGGTGCCACCGGCTCGAGTGTTTCCGACATCACATACAGCAACATCTTCCTCAGCGGCATCAGCGAGTATGTCATCCCTGTTCTTTTCTGTCTTCTGTCTCTCATAAATCACCTTGCTAATCAAACCCAAGTTATGCTATCGATGTCCAGCAGGATTACCTGAACGGCGGCCCGACTGGCAAGCCCAGCTCCAGCATCACTGTTTCCGACGTGACCTTCAAAGACATTACCGGAACGGTCTCGGATTCCGATGCTTACGAATACTACCTCCTCTGCGGCTCGACCTCCAGCTGCACTGGCTTTACATGGAGCGGTATTAGCATTACCGGTGGTGGCAAGACCGAGTGCTCGCCTAGTGGAAGCAGCATCTGCCCCTCGTTTTAGAGTCTCTAATCGTGCGAAGCGAACCGTTTCGCCAATATTTTTGTTTCTATCTGTATCTTAATTCCTGCAACCTAGCGTTGCAGCTGCACATATTCAGGCATAATATATCAGCCGGTATAAGTGACGATAACCGTCATTGAGAATTCTTTCAAGTTTGTTTCGTGCACCCATGCTGTCCCATTCTGGTTAGTGGGCTTGCTTGAGATGTTTACGTTGTAGCCTCGGAGACGGCCGTCAAAGTATAGGTGCCTAATGCGTGTATTGTTTTGGGTGAAATCCCTAATAGGCAGCGGCCAGTACACAAATGCTTTTGTCTCTATATAACCCAATGTAGCCTCGTTATTCGACAACTTCTTCTTTGAGCATGTCGCTTACTAAGCCGGTTTGAGGTTATCGCTAACCAGCTTGCTCTTGGCACACGTCGACTGCGCCAGGCCAGTGATGGACCGGGCTTGCATGATGTCAAAGACGGAGATTTCGCTGTGCAGAGAAGCACTGATCCAGTTGCGCAGCTCTACGGCGACGAGCGAGTCGACGCCGTAATGGGACACGGACATGCGAACGTCAATGTCCGCCTCGGACAGCGTGAGCATGCGGGTGAGCTTCTCGACGATGGCAGCGCAGACAGCCTGGACGGCATCATTCCAGGACTTGGCCTGGGGGAGGGCGCTCGCCAAGCTGGACGCGGCGTCGCCTTTGCGGTTGGGACTGGCCGCTGTCGAGATACGTCGCAAACTGGCGAAGCGGACGTCAATGGCTAGCGGCGCGTCCTCCCTGCTGATGTCGCCACCGACGGACAGGCCGACAACAATCTGGCTGGCGGACGGGTACCCTGGCGGTCGGGGTGTGCGTATTGACGTGGTCGATCAGGCGAAGCACCTCTTCCTGCTCGACGGTGCGGAAGCCCTGGCGCTTCAGGCTGTTCGTGACGGCCTCGTTGTCGGCGACGTATCCCACAGACGCGACCGGGCCCAGATCGAGCGAGACGGCAGCCAGGCCACGCGCGTGGCGGTACCGCGCCAGGGCGTCCTGGAAGGTGCCGCCGGCAGCATAGTTGGCCTGGCCGGCGTTGCCCACGACACCGCAGGCGGACGAGAGCGTGATGAAGAAGTCGAGATCGTCCGGCTGGGCAAACTGACGATGCAGGTTCCACGTGCCCTGGACCTTGGGGCGGACGGCGGCAATCCAGTCTTGCCATGTCATGTTCTCGAATATAGAGTCCTGTCGAAGTGGATTAGTCATCAGGAAACACACAGGGGACAAGACTGCAGACATACCCGCAGGACCATGGCGCTCTGGATGACGCCCCGGATGGGTGGCATGATGGCCTTGGCTGTCTGGATGGTCTCGGCCAAGGACGGACCGTCTGCGATGTCGGTGTCGAAGGCGACGATGTCGATGCCGGAAGCGCGCATAGCCTCGAGGAAGGGGGCGTTCTGGCGCGACGCGGCCTGTCTCGAGAGCAGGATGATGTGCTGGGCTCCACGCTCGACTAGTCTCTGTGTGACGGAACGGCCGATGCCACCCATGCCGCCAACGACCAGGTAGGAGGCGGCAGGCGACAAGTGAAAGGTCCGGATCTTGACGGGCACGATATCGTTTTGGTGGGGGACGACGACGATCTTGCCGAGGTGGCGTCCGGCCTGCATGGTGCGGAAGGCCCTTTCCAGGTCGGCGAGGGGGTAGGTAGTGATGGGGGCGACAGGCTGGATGGCGCCCTGGCGGAAGAGCTGCATGACGGCCGAGAGAGCGGCATGGACGGTGTCTGGGCGCAGCTCGCCGAGCTTGATCAGATCGACGGCCGAGAAGGTGACGGCACGGGTGAAGGGATGCATCTGCAAGCTGCGGTTGAGTTCCATATCGCGGCGGCCAATCTCGACAAAGCGGCCGAACTGGCCGATGCAGGACCAGGTCTCGTGCAGGAGGTCACCAGCGAGCGAGTTGAGAACGATATCGACGCCCTGACCGGCAGTGGCCTGTTGAATGCCGGCGGCGAAGGACTTGTCGCGGCTGGAGAAGACGTTATCGGCCGGGATGCCATATCGGCCAACTAGAAAGTCGCGCTTTTCCGGCGTGCCGGCCGTGGCGTAGATGACAGCCCCGACGTGCTTGGCCAGCATCAGGGCAGCCTGACCGGTGCCTCCAGCCGCGGCGTGGATCAGGACGGTGTCCCCGGGTTGGATGCGTGCGAGGACGTGCAGGGCGTAGTATGCGGTGACAAAGGTGACGGGCACGGAGGCGGCGACGGCCAAGGACATGTCGTCGGGCACGCGCGCCACACTCGACCAGTGGACCGAAGTGCGCGTGGCCCAGTGTCCGCGCAGAAGGGCACAGACGCGGTCGCCCACGGACAAGCTGTCGGGCACATCGGGACCGAGCCGGGTGATGATGCCGCTGCACTCGAAGCCCATGAGACGACTGTCGAGCTGGCCCATGGCCACCATGACGTCGCGGAAGTTGAGGCCAAAGGCTTGCGGGTCGATCTCGACCAGACCACCGGCCAAGTCGTCTGTGTGGACATCGGGGTCGTCCTCGAACCGGAGGCTGTCCAGCATGCCGGGGGCACCGACGCCCAGCCGGAGCGGACGGCTGGGCTGTGCAAACGACAGCGGCTCGGTGGTGTCGGCGCTCTGGTGGCGGATGGCCTCGGTCTCGGTCACGCTCTCGTAGAGCCGCGGGATCAAGACGGAACGACCCCGGACGGCATATTCGCAATCGAGCGAGGCCCGGTCGCGCGACGGGTCCAAGGCAGTCGTCAGGATGGCGAGCAGCGCATCGGCAGCAGCGACAGACCATGCATCCGGACCGGCGTCGAGGTCCACGGACACATACCGGATGTGGGCGTGTTCGCTGCGCAGCGTGCGCAGGAAGCCCAGATGCAGGGCCGCAAAGGGATTCTCGCAGCCGGCTGCACCGCCCTGTGCGATCCATAGGACGCCGCTGGCTGTCGTGCACAGATGCTGCATGCGAGCAAAGGCCGGCTCGGTCGGCTGCATCAGGACTGGGTTCTCGGCGTCGTCCACGAAGATGCAGAGCCGGTTCGCCGGCTGCGCCGTCTCGAGTCCCTCAACCGTCACCTCACCCTGCTGCGCGTCTCGCAGGCCATCCTGCAGCCGGCGCAGCCATGTCCGAGGCCAGGCAGGCGGGATCGGTTGGCTGTGCGTCAGCAGAATCCCAGAGCCGGAAGCGTTTGTATTTGTATTTGTATTCGTATTCGTGACTGGAGACACCGCTGTGGCCATGCCTACGGTAAAGGCCTCGCTTCCCTCGTCTTGGCAGTCGCTGATCTGGATGCAAAGGTCGCTGAAGCCGGCATTGCGAAGAGCAGCATTCCGAATGTCCGTAGCCAGGACCGGGCTGTGTTGGTTGTACTCGTGGAGCAGTCCATGGACCAGGTGCAGGTCGATGGCATCGCGCGTCCTCTCGACCTGAATGAGCATACCGCCATCTCGGAGCAGGCTTCGCACAGGGGCCAAGACGTCTAGGGCCTGACGTGCGATGATGATGTCGTATGATGCCAGCTCGAAACCCTGCTCTCCCGGGTCGAATTCTGTGTTGAGGGTGCGGTAGGTCAAGAGACCGTCCCATGCCTCCAGGTTTTGCCTGGCCTCGTCAAAGCGGTCGGACGAGGTATCGGACACGTCATAGGACATGAACCGGGGCCCTGTGCTCTCGCTGCTGCTGCTCAGGACAGACAGGACGGCCTCGGCACATGCGCCCGTGCCGACACCTAGCTCCAGGATGCGGACGTGTGGGTTCTTGTGCGTCAGCAGCGTCACCAGGTGGGCGACGTGTTGGTGTGAGCGACGCATCCGAAGGCTGTCTCCGTCGTAGCGATGCATCAGCTGGTCTTGCTGCAGGAGCTCCTCGGCCGTGACTTCCTGGCGCAGAATTCGCAAGAGATTCCGTCCGATGCGACAAATCATCTCTCCCTCCACGCTCTCGGCAGACACGGCTTGGAAGAGACTCTCCTTGTCGTCATGCTCCTGTGTGGGCGAAGCTGTTCCTGTCGTCTGTTCCTTCATCCACGCATAGTATCGCCTGAGATGGACCGGCAGAGCGGGGATGTCGCGGCTGGACAGGAACGAGAGGGCGTCCTGCACAAAGTAGCGACACGCCCGCTGCACGCGGCTGCAGCTGTTGACCTCTGAGCGGCTGCGCGATGTCGTCAGCCTGCGCGCTAGATCCGACAGGCTCGTCAGGGCAAGGTCCTCCTCCCAGCGCACGGCGAAGCAGATGTTGTCGTCCTGGCTGTCTTGGGTCCGGTATTCTCCTAGCGATTGGCACGTGATCTCTTCCACCTGCACGACGATGGGACCATCGTGTCCCGTGCCGCTCCGCACCTCGATGGAAGCGCAGAAGCCCTGGTCGCTGTGCTCGTGCAGGACCGCGTGTGCGTGCAGCCTGTCGCCGGGCACGGCACTGACGGCCGTCGAGACGAACATGCTCTTGATCGTGCGAGGCAGCATGGCCGTCTGCATGCGCGCGCCGCAGCCCGGGAGCGAGGCGTAGGCGGTGACAAAGACGGAGTCGAGCGTGGTCGGATGCATCACATGGTCCTGCTGGTAGTGGCCAGGCATCACGTCGGTCTCGTCGGCCAGGACGATATCGGTCACGGCCTGGCCGGGCGCATGGCCGAGCGTGCAGAGGTTCCGGAACGTGGGACCATGGACGATGCTGACGGAGCGAAAGTACCGGAACAGATCGCCGGGGTTCGTGTCGACAAAAAAGCCGGTGGCACAGGCACACGGCGACGGACTGTCCGGGCTGGTCTCCACGACAGCCGCCACGAGGCCGCTGCAGTGGTATGTCCAGCCGCCGTCGCCGTCGGTGCTGTGCAGCGAGAAGCGGCGCCAGGTCTGAAGCCCGAGAATGGCTAGGCTGGCCGCCTGCAGGCAGAGCTGCGCCTCGATCCCGTCGAGCGTCTCGGGTACGATCAGGGCCGTCGGCATGTCGACATCGCGGAACCGGTAGCCGGTCGGCTGCTGGTCGCTCGCTGACGACATCTGCTGCATCGCCTGCACCACCATGCACATCATCCCAGCCCCGGGATACACGTTCTCGGCCTGCACCACGTGCTCGCGCGTCCATGGCTGGTCGGCCACGCGGAAAAAGTGTCGCCACGTCGTGTTGGACGGGTTGCCGCCCGACAACACCCGGGCGCCCAGGAGATCATGACACGGTTCCCGGCGCTGTCGGTGCGCCTTGTTGATGCGTGACTCCCACCAGTACCGCGTCGTGTGAGCCCACGGATACGCCGGCAGGTCAACCAACATCGCCATCGGGCCCGCATGGCCGCCCGGACAGTTGACCGCGTCCAGATCGACCGCATAGCCCTTCGCGACCAGCGATGACACCAGGACCTGCATCGTCCGCACCGCGTCTTCGCCACGGACCAGACAGGACCCGTATGCAATGTCTGTGCCGCCGAACTCGGGCAGCCGGAGACACTGGCGAATGGGCCCGGCCAGAGCGCGGTGAGGCCCGATCTCGACCAGCATGTCGATCGGCCCTCCCGAGACCTCGTCCACACACACTGCCCGGAGAGCGTCCACAAACAACACCGGCTGCACAATGCTGCGTACCCAGTACTCAGGTCCCATGACCGTCGCATCGGCCAGCCGGCTGCCTGTCACTGGTGATGCGTACACGAGGTCGCCAAAGCTGCCCGGTTGCCCGAGCGTCTGTCGCAGCGCCTTCAGGTATGCCGGTCCGACCGTGTCCATGTGGTGCGAGTGGAAGGCCACCGTCATGTTCAGCCGCCGCGCAAACACTCCCTCGGCCTCCAGCTGCTCTCGCAGCTCCTCCATCGCCTCTTGGTCGCCCGCCATCGTCACGCTCGATGGGCTGTTCAGACACGCCACCGCGACCGACCCTCTCTTCAGCCGGGATGCTCGCTGCTGCGCTTCTTCTGCTCCCAGACCTACCGCCATCATCCCGCCCTGTCGCGCTGACTGCTGGTTCAGCTCGTCCAGCAGCTGCCCCCGCGCGTACACCATCGCCATCACCTCTCGCAGGCTCAGCACGCCCGCTGCACAGGCCGCCGCGATCTCGCCGCTCGAATGACTCGTCATCGCCGTCGGCTTGATTCCCCATGCTCCCAGCTGCCGGAACAGTGCCACCTGTAGGGCTATGCACAGTGGTGGCCCGATCGCTCCCTCGCCCACCCGGCTCTTGGTCTCGTCTTTCTTCAGCTCATCTATTCGATTAGTCAGCATTAGTCAGCATCTAGTCGATCTTAGTCATCAGAAAGGCCGGGGGAGCTTTACCCATCAGCGACCAGGGCGATCCCATCTCGCAAAGATATCCGTCAGCCTCACGCAAGGTGTCCGTGAAGACCGGGTACACCCCGATCAGCTCCCGGCCCATCCCGTACCACTGGGCGCCCTGGCCGGTAAAGACAAAGCCAAGCCTAGGCGCCATGGCAGATCGCTGAGGCGGCGGTGCCGAAGAGGAGAGCTTGCTCACCAGCTCCTCCCGGCTGGCTGCCGAGGTCGCAACGGTCCAGGGGAAGCGCGATTGACGCTCGCTCAGCGTGTAGGCCAGGCGGCCCAGCAGCTCGTCGTCCTCGAGCGCACTCTCAGCAACATACGCGCCCAGCCGCGTCGCCATCGCTCGGCCTACGCTCTCGTCCTTTGCGCTCAGGACGAAGACGCGAGGCAGCAGCCCATGTCCATGCTTGACAACGGTGCCAGAATCAGTACGACCCACCGCATCTCCGTTGGTGGACGATTCTGGCCGCTTGCTCGCACCATTCACTCCCCCTGACCAGCCCTCCAGTATAACATGTGCATTCGAGCCCCCGTACCCGAAATTGTTGATGGATGCACGCCGTGGTGCTATCTGGGGCCAGGGCTCCAGCTGCTGCTGGACCTGTCGACATGGTCGTCAGTAAAGATAACGGAACACCGGCCGCCAAGCACGTCTCGCTCACCTTGATGTCCCACTTGTCAAAGGGAATATTCTTGCTCCCTGTCTCGAAGTTGATGCTCGGGGGCACAAATCCCTTCTCCATGGCCATGGCTGCCTTGATGATGGCTGCGATGCCACTTGTCGCCTCCAGATGGCCGATGTTAGTCTTCACCGAGCCGAACCGCAGAGGCTGGCCGCGAGGACGACCGCTTCCGAGCGTCGCCTGCAGGGCTGCCGCTTCCGTCGAGTCGCCCACCTGCGTGCCTGTCCCGTGGGCTTCAGCATAAGGCGTCTCCAGCGGGTCGAGAGCCGCCCGGGCATAGCAGTCGCGGATGAGCTCTTCTTGGGCCAGCTGGCTCGGCGACGTGATCGTCGGCGTCTTGCCGTCCTGGTTGAGGAACGTCTGCCGCACAATTGCCCGGATCGGATCGCCATCGCGCAACGCGTCCTTCAGGGGCTTCAGGATGAGCGTGCCGATACCCTCGCCACGGCCATAGCCCGACGCCCGATCGTCAAAGGCGTACGACTTTCCCTCGGCACTCAGGACCCTATGCCAGCTGTGAGTACGGATTACGGCAAACTGAACAGGTAGTCCCCGAACTTACCCCAGGCTGGTCATGAGGATGAAAATGTCGGGGTTGATGGCCAGGTTGGCAGCCGCCACGACAGCCATCTTGGCATCCCCGAGCATGAGGCTCTGGCAAGCTTGGTTCAGCGCGACCAGTGCACTGGAGCAGCCCGTATCGAGCGTCAGGCTGGGCCCGCGAAGATCATAAAAGTGTGAGATCCGGTTGGCCATCATCGTGGCACCGTTCCCCGCCAGCAGAAAGCGTGGGAACGTGTCGGGGTCCCGCATAAGACTATCCACGTAATCGTTGACAAATGTCGCAGCATAGACTCCCGTTGGCGAGCCAGCGATCTTCTCCAGCGTCACTCCGCCTATGCCAGCTGGTCAGTTCAGTGCTTGGAAAGGGAAGTGTTTGAACATTACTTACAGGACTCGAACGCCTCAAACACGGACTCGAGCTGGAGGCGGCACTGAGGGTCCATGGTCTGTTTCTCTGCCTTAGTAGTGACTCTCTCCCAATGCCTTGTCTTTGTCTAGTCTTACAGCAGCAACTTCGGGCGTCATGTTGAAAAAGGTGGCATCAAAGAGTCCGATGTCCTCACTGAGGAAGTGCCCACCGATCACTTTAGTCTTTTCAGGTCCAGAAGTCAGCATCTCAGCAATATTATCGTGTCCTGTCTCGGGGCACATACCGTAGTTCTCTGCTCGCCGGATGGATTATAGAACGCGTTCACGTCGAACCTGTCAGCGGGGATCTTGGACCATGCACTCCGGCCCTCTGCACAGAGCTTCCAAAACTTCTCCGGGTTGGTAGCGTCGCCAGGGAATCGGCAACTCATTCCAATAAGGGCAATAGGCATGCTTCCGCCAGCAGGCTCAGCCTCCACCCCGTTGCTCCCGTCTCCGTTACTCATTTTAGGTGTACGCTGCCTAGCCGCTGTCGAAAATGGCATATCTGAAGTCAAAGTTGATTCCAGGACCATTGTTTTTATCTGGGGAAGGGAAAGTGCGTATTGCTTCCTCTAGACTGTTTTGCCTGAGAAAAAGTGAGAATAGTGTTTGAATAGTGTTTGAGATTGTATGAATTGACCGAAGACCGGAATCAGAGAAGCTTATTTATCCATATTGCTAGAGACAGTACTCGCTTCTTCCTTCCATTTTTGCGATACAGTCGATATTCTACATACAGACATGATCCGCATCTGTATAACGAAGACACAGTCGTCTCGTAAGTTTTGCCCCGGTGTTTGACACTAATGAAGCCACAACTGATTCTAGACTGTCCGTACTCTAAATTTTAGATTAACACTGTAAATGGAACATGTGGGTGGTCATAGCTACAGACTATGGCAAGGATACTCATTGGATACACGAAAAAGTGCAAATATAGTGCTAATAAAGTAGTATCATGATATTTGCATTCGTGATGCTGCTGGATATACGCCGCTCCCTAATGCCCTCATCCAGACGACAAGGCACAATGTAAGCAGAGCCACCGTCGCAGATGGTTGCACATGTATACGGAGCAACTGGACTAAGAATACATTAGTAAACAACTTCTTAGCTGTTCGAAGGCTAGTAGTTACGCGTGTAATGGAAGATCCAGACTGACAGGCATGATAAGAAACAGAACGGCCATTCGCTCGATGTCGGTTATGTTACTAGTTTGACACACGCTTGAGGAGTTGCCTATTGGGGCATATGTCGTGCCACCAAAAAAATGATTAATTGCGTTGCCGCCCTTTTGTACGTCCTATCCCTTCGACGCCAAATTGGCGGACACTTCCTGTTGTGAATAGAACGCCGTATCCATACGGGCGCCTAAAAGCTTGAGCCAGTCAATGACAGCGCCATCACAAGCCTAGAAGATACATCATCCCACTCCCCACAAGCAATATAGTCTACCGCGAAGGTCATGGAAGTGAATACGTTGGATTATACCTAGTCTATAACTTGCTTAAACAAGCTTCACACTGTCAACGAAAGTCAAAAAGGACGTATGCTAAGGTGATTTCAATACTTGATATCTTGCGCGTACGTGATTCATAAGTGTTCAATTGTGTTTGATCAGAGAAACAGAATTACACCAACCCTAATAAGCGTACTTTATTGCGACTCCCGTAAATGCGGTGCCCTCGCAATCGTATACCTTCTTTCTGTTTTTCCCGTCCATGTCAAATCTGTAGACAGTACCACCGAGGTCAGTGACGTAGACAAGCCCGTTCACTTTATCGAGCGCGAGACCCATGGCCTCGTGAGGGTTTCGGGCGAGGACATCGTATCCTCGCGTACCAATGTTCGACAACCAAGCTCGATTCAGCGTATTCCCCATCGGCAATTCCCCCCGGTCTGTCCAGTACAGCGCCATATTTTCCTCGTCTATCTCCAGATGGATCGGTTCAGGCAGCCCCGAGACCAGACATTCGATATCGCTGCGCGTCGCAGCGGTTTCGCCGGTGGGCATATGCATGCTTGCGCGAAAGATCTGGCCCTGGAATCCCTTGGATGGCCCCTTCTGAGACCAGTAGAACTTCTGTTCCGCCGGTGCCAGTGCGATGCCAACACACCATCGCCGCTGTTCTGTCTCCTCTATGAAGCCGTCTGTTCGGCTGCCTGTCTGTACGAGCGTCTCAAGACAGGATCCGTCCAGATAGCATCGCATGATTCGCATGCCTTCTCTGTCACAGAAATACAGCTTTTGGCTGTCCTTGTCGATGGCCAGCTGCTTTGGTGTGTGTGTGACACCCGGTGGCACAATCGTCCTGGTGTTATTGCCCTGCAGGTCGCACGACATGACACTACCGTCGTTCTGCCCTAACGTACCCATGTTTGTCCACATGATACGTCCTGTGCCATAAAACGCTAGAGAATCAGGCAACTTTAGCCCTTGTATGATCGGCTGGAGCAGTCTCCTCCCGTCTGCACTACCAACCAAAATTCTCCCTCCCTGGGCTACCTCGGACGGTTCGTTGCCCAAGCCGACGTCCAAGAGGTATAGCCGAGGCGGTTCTGGACCGCTCGAAACGCCCTCTTTGTCAGTGTTTTTCCGAGTTGTGAGCCTTTGTGAATAGAGCCGGAGCCAGGAGAGGAACGCGATAACTCTGCCGCCAGATCGACGAAACCTCGTAGATACCTCCATATTGATGATGATTGAAATGGGGATGCGTTCAGAGGGCAGGCCGAATAAGGCGAGAGACAGTTTTCAAAGATCTAGGGTGATGTTGGCCAAGTCATAGCTCCGATAGCAAGTTTTAAAGACGTAAACGTATGTCAGTCTACATGATTACTTTCATGCAGTGCTCTGGGCTATATGGCTACCTTACAGATATGTGCAAATTACTCGAACGGCAATCACGGATCTGTAAGACAAAAGAATAAAGCGCGGCATACTACCAACTTTCAACCCTGCAGTTGCTGACGTCAACAAGCAGTCTATCGGGCCTAGAGCCTGGTCTAGAACTATCACCCGACATCTCATGATCATGGCCGGCTATGCAGCAAGAATAGCATAGGTAGAGGCCGAGACATAAATGGCATGATTCCAGCATAGCATAATATCTTACACCCTGTCTATCTGCCGGATCTTGACGATATTACTTTCCCGTGGTACCACTCGGTGATGACTCGATTGTGCCACGAAATAGTACGTGGTGAAACAGAAGTGCGTGTCTGTGCAACATTTAGCTACCTTCCCCTTTCTGGGACTGAATGACGGCCAAAAGACTGCATGCGGCAACGCTTTGGTATGACAGCGCCTGAATCATAGCCTCAGATACTTGAACCTTTGCAGGGCCTTCCACCTTCATCAGACGGTGCAACGATGCACGGGCCCTTGTAGGAGCTCTTCGGCCGTAGTATCCCACACAATACGGTGCTAATATATAGAGTACCACACTCTCAAATTTCACATTAGCTTATGCAGGGCGTAGCCCATGTGTCCTTTTTGGAGTCTATTCTTGTCATTTTTATTTTGACTTATTTTTAGTTTACTTCCTTCTTTTTACTCTATTGTGACGTAATATTTTCACTACAAGTGGACAAAACCTAAAGGAGCTTGTAGTTCGATTTCAACCTATCTAGACATAGGTTTCCTACGAAATGTAGATGTCCATGGTAAAATCGACGAAATGTATGTCGGCGTGCACCATTCCTTAGTCTCTTCTCTTAAAAACTAGTTCAAGCTTCCCTGACTCGATGACGACGTTGTTCCTACTCTCTCGATAGATTCTAGTGCCGTCCTCGCCCGGGGCAAATCCGAACTCGTAATGCCAAGTTGTGTAAGCAAGAACAAGACGAATCAGCTGCAAGGCAAATCTCTTGCCTACGCAATGCCAATGTCCTGCCAAGACGGAGAATAAGTCAGAATCAAGAGGATAAGTTCTCGCTCTAAGAAAGATCTTGGCCTACCGACGAGGAAAGGAATGAACGCCCGCTTTTCTAGAACTAGCTCAGGGCGTGTTGTCCAGCGTTCTGGTATGAAATCGCCGGCCTGCCGGAAGTATCTCTCATCTTGAGTATGTCAGAACCTTGGGAACTTTGGAAGGCTCGGGTTTCTTTCAGTACCTCGATGATATAGATATGTGCCCACTCGCACAACAACATTTCCGGGAATATGGACACCGTCCACGGAAATCCCTTCAGGAGGGGTTGATCTACCCCCGTTGATGCCAGTCGGCGAGTCCACTCGCATGGATTCGTTGATGACAGCTTCGAGGTAGGCGCATTTCACAAGGTCGGCTGAGGCAAACTCCGCTTGTTCGCTCGTATTGTGCCACGTAGCCAACTCGTCCCGCAGCTTGCTCTGGACTCTGTGGTCTTTGGCGAGATGGAACCACACGAATGACAAAGTCGAGGCAATCGTGTCCCTGTTCAGAAACCATTAGAACGGATGAGTATATCACTGTGCGGTTTCCTTACACAGCCCCAGCTAGTATGACTTGGGTATCGGTATAGACGATGTTTCTATTGAAGTAGGCCTTGGGCTCCTTGGAGTGAAAGTCTTGAAGCAGGCCTGACAAGACGTCCGCTTTCCCGACATCAAAAGTCTGTGAGTTCTTTCAGTAAGACAGGATATCTTCGTAGAGCAACGGACTGACTTGCCTCGTCTCTCTTGTCTGCAATTTCGATTGCCAGCTTCTCAAACCTGGTCAGGTCGCGGCTTAGTCCTAGGCCCTTGACTATGGAATAGGGCCATGTTATCTCGCCCATGTCCAAAATCGACTTAAAGACAGTGTGGAGCAATTCGAGGACCTCGTTGCCTTTGCCCGCCTTAACGCTGTAGTACTCCTCCGAAAAGCCGACCTTGCCCATGCTATCCAGCGGAATCAGTGCCGAGTATGGCCTAGTGTTGACTGCCTCCTTGGCGGTGCTCTGTCTTTCGAGCACAGCCAGCCAATCCTCGAGGACCTCGCGCATACCAACCTCGTACACCTTCAGCATTTTTGGTGACATGGCGTGGTCCCACACAGCTCGGCGCTTTCGATGTTGCTCGCGCTGGGGGATCGAGTCCAGATTGTGCTCGCCACGGAACTCAAAGGAGTCGTATAATCCAGTATTTTTCTTAGTGCAGCTCGTGCTTAGCCCATAGACCTGTGTGATGGCGTCAAGGGAGGTGAGCAGAAGCTCATTGGGTGCGATGCGCACAATGTCGCCGTATTGGTCCGCAATCGAGCGCATCTCGGTATGAATATGGCCGTTGCGCTGAAGGTAAAGCCAATATAGGCGACTGACCTTGGCGGCAAAGGGACCCGGAAAGGAGCGAAGCGGATGTAAGAGAAGGCGATAAATAAGGATACTGGTAAACAGACCGGTTGCGTAGGCGGTACTAATGGCACAAGCCATCGTGGACCCTCTTCCAAAGCCATGGCTGAGCCACAGCTTGGTGGCAAGTGCGACTTCCAGGACTAAATGATACACAAGGATACCCAGGGATTGCTTGTTGCGGAAGCCGTGGCGGTAGTATAGGATATGGGAGAGTGTGCCGAACAAAAGAGATAGCAAGCATTGCGCCAGAAGTCCGTCAAAGACGGAATTCCTTGGTGTTGCTGAGGAGAGGGTATCCATGATTTCGTTGCTAAAATAACTCGCGTAAGATTGGGATGAATTTGCTGTGATTTACAGAATTCTAAGGGGCAGTTTGCACCATTTCCCTCTATATAGTCGATGTTAGTACGAGTCAACCCCCTATCCTACAAGTATGGCGAGCCAAAAGTCCGTTCTCGCACCAGCCTCAGCTTTCTCTGCCTACAATTCGGGATATGCTACGTCAGATGGCTGTAACAGGTTTCAGGTCACACCTGGATACGTAGGCCCCGTCTTTTCCGTATGACTGCATTTCATTTGAAGTTCATGACTCTGATAATGGTGTTACAGCCATAGGCTACCCTTTCGGGTCGACTCCCGCCGGCAGTATAGAGGCGTCAGTCCAGGCCCCGATGGTTTTCGGCCTTCGTATGGCCAGCTTAATAACTGCTGCCTGTGCTTTTTCGTATTTTTAGCCCTTTGGCTAATTAATTGCATCGTTAGCAATCATGGGGGGTCGTCATCTTCAGAGGTTGTGGAACCGATGTGCAATTTGTGTTACCAGTTTTGCCCCCAAACCGCCTAAAAGCCATATTGCATAATATTGGTGACTGCTAGTTTCTTACTACATCCTATAACATTGTATAACCTGACATATGCCTCGCATACAGAGTAACACCACCACTTGGTCTAAACAATTGTGTCTTAGTTTGATTGTGTCTTACTCTGAAGCCAGAAGATAACAGGCATGACCCCCCACCCGGAGCTATCACATCTCCTCATTCCGGTTGGTGGAATCCTTAGACTCAATAGTTCTTCCATCAAGTCTCTAAACCTATGATCCAGCCCCCAGATTCAAGGCCGAAGGTCCAGAACACTATCATCAAGAAGTTTTACGACGTAAATTATGTATAAGCTTGGGTCTTATCGGACCCAATCCTCCTCTCCTTTTAGCTTTTACTTACCATCTTGCCTTTGTTTCCGATCCTCTATCGCTGCTTCCATTACAACAAGCATGATGCCTTTGTTCAATCGCGTGGCCACGGCCATGTCTCTCTCTTGGTGGCTAAGCAGTGTGGCCGTACTCTATTACTCGGCCCTTTGTGGCGTTGCATGCGCCGTCTTCTTTGCCCTCGGTCTTGGGCTCGGCGGTTGCATTCCCCCAACGAGGCCTTACTGGGATGCCGAAACCATCTCCCACTTCTACCAGGATCACACTACTCGATTCGCGCTGGGGCTGCCCTCTTGGTCATCTCGGGCTTCTTCTACATGCCCTTCTCGGCGGCAATTTCATACCAGATGCGACGGATTCCCAATCTCCCAGATTTCTTTCCCAAGTTACAGCTGGCAGCAGCTGCTGCTGGGTGCTGGGGTTTTATATTGCCCGGGGTGGTTCTGGCCGTTGCGTCCTACCGTCCAGATAGGCCAGTGGAGATCACTCAAGCACTGAATGCCTTTTTCTGGATTGTCACCTTGTGAGTAAAGCCCTTCCGCATTGTCCCGAATAAAAGCACAGCTACCGACTGACCTTATGGAAAAGGATGCCTTGGCCGACGTTCATGGTACAGGATCTCGCTCTTGCTTACTCCATCATCATGGATGCGCGCAAACGACCCCTATTCCCTAAAGAGCTCGTCATCGTTAATGTAGTAGTGCCCATCCTGTTTACTTTTGCTACAGGGATGCACACGGTGAAGAGCGGGGCCCTGGCCTGGGATGGGGTCGTAACGTTCTGGTTTGCCGGATTGACCTTTTGCGGGCAAATGATGTTGGATTCTCTATTTGTGTTCCTGTCTATGCGTAGGGAGGAGAGAGGCAAAGTTGATGTTGTAAGCGAGGATACCGAAATGAGAAACGGGACTAGTGCTGAACACCATGCCTAACCAGGGAAGGGTGTCGGTTTTTGTCTTTAATTTAGCGAATCTGATTAGGATAACAATCGACGATTCCCACTGTTGTAAGTGTATTTCTGCAGCAAAATGAGATCCTCATAGTCTGCGCCTGTGCGAGGGGGTTATTTGCTTTTCCAAGCCGCAAGGCAATTGGAAACAGTAAGGCCAATCTATATTCATCTATAAGAATATTTTCAGACCTTTCGCCTCTGTCCCAAGTTCTGTTGCCAAGGCCAGACGAAGCAGCTCGAAAGCCTCCCGCAGACGACCGTAGGAGATGCCGCCAGGCTGCACCACCGGACGCAAGAGACCAAAATCTACATTTTGCAGCGCGCCATCTATGGCGTCCTCCCGCGCCCAAAAATTCTTGGCCTCGATGATGGCCAGAGCGCCGGCGGGCTTCCCCTGCTCTGTGTTGCCGTAGTAGTCGCGGCTCTTCATCTCGAGCAGCTTGCCCTCGATCGAGAAGATGGCCTCCTACTAAGAGCGGAGGTCGGGTGAGGTCTTAGCTCAGACCAACAACACACACCTACCAACACTCGTACCTGCGCACGTAAAGAGGCACCTCTCTACGTCACAGAGAATGGCAGTGTATAGCTGGCCTGAAGGGTAGGGAGAAAAAGGCCTTGCGGGCTCGCCTTAGGATCCCGCGCGGCATAGCAAGGTAAGCCCGCCCGGCAAAGTCGTAGGCGTACTTTGCTTTCTGCATTGGGTGTTGCTTCTCTTTACAAGTCTACTGCTTATATGGGTAGGTAATTGCTTAATTCCTGCGTGCCTATCCTTCTCTTAAGGAAAGGGAAGAGGGGAGCGTTCTATATAGGGTGTGTAAGTGATGATAGAAGGCATAAATTGTTCTACATTTGATTGGCCAGAAAACGTGGGACTGGTCATGTGACACGTTAACATCCCGCGAGGGGCCTGTCATCCCGTGCAGCCAATATAGGCGGTCTTAGGGCGCACTTCCCTTATAACTCACTACACCCGCTTCGGGGCAATTGTAATCGTGTCTTTAGGCATTAGGATGCAAAGCTTTCACTCGGGCATACCGTATAAAGGTCGAGTGACGTCGCGTTGGCCGCCTCGACAAAGTGCGATAACAGGATGTTGATGACGCAATCACCGGTTAATGGCGAGTATGACAGCTAGGTGGGCAAAATTGGCTTGTGGCCTTGTGGCAATGATCAAACTGTGGAGGCAGACATGTCCTGGAGATGAGGTGCGAGGATACGGGCCAATGCTGACGGGGCTCATAATAAAGTGTGCCGAGAGTGGCTAGCCGACAGACGTTTGATAACGACGATGACGAAGACCCTAATGCCCGCTTCAACGTTGTGGCTATTAGCCAATATCGATTGAACCTGGCCATGCTCGCAGAGGCGCTCCTAGAGACTGTCGGCCTACATCGACCTGGCTAATAAAGCTGCCTTATGTGGAATGAATGAGAGTGGGAAGATAACACGAAGCAAAAGCTTGGCCTCGGCCAAAAAGAAATTCGTAATCAACTTACACCTCTAGTCCAAAAATATGGAACCAGTAACCCCGCCAACGGGATTTTGGGGCATTAATACAAAAGAATACCTTTGCATTAACAGCACGTACTGCGTTTACAAGCATTTCTAGGCCTAAAAAAATGTACTCATGTTAAAGAGCAGGTATTTTTCTCTAATACTTAGTATACCAGCCGCGCGCCTTTCGTACTGCGGCCAGCCGTCGGGGCAGCGAATCAATAAGCCTGTCAATAAAGGCCTGGTCAATTGCCCACCAACAGTCACGAATTGCCCGCTCGAAAACCTCTATATCCATTGCGTTTTTCTTTAATTCCTATATATCAGGGTATTTTTCAGCCAAAAGACGCTTTAATTTAGCCCAAACATGTTCAATTGGGTTTAAATTTTGGGCTGTGGGCAGGCCAGAAAGGCAGCATCTTAATCTGGTTATTCGCAAGCCACTGCATCGATGATGCAGATACATGTACCCTCGCATTATCTTGCTGGTAATACCGAAAACCATCGTAGAAAGGTAAAAGGCCCTTTGTTGATGCTTTCTGGTAGCTCTACGAAATATAGCCACCTTTTTTGCCTTTAGAGTAGTCTTTCTCTATTAAGATTAACTTTGTACGGCCTCCTTTCTAGATCCTACCCTAAAACATTAACGAAATCGTAGGTTTTCCGTGTAATCGAACGTTTACTAAGTTCTTTCGCTATTTCTGCGCAGATGTTCGAAAAATAAAACCAACGCCGCCATTAACCACGTTTTAGCAGCTGCTTTCGTTAGAGAAGAGAGTCTAGCAAATTAGCATAAATTCTACTATATTTAGCAAAGCACATACAAAAAGCAAATCGCCTTCATCTTGCAGCCAATCACGCGCAAATTCAAGCCTATCCTTTGCTGTATTCGCTGATAATGGTTTTCTGTCTATAGCCTTCCATTTTCGTATCCTATTCTTACGAAATACGCGCTGTACAGTAGTACGGGACGGCCGACAAACTATCTGCTTTGCTAGCTCCTTATAGGTAATTTTTGGGTGCCGCTTTGCTTGCTAAATAAGGTAACGTTTATCTTGACGGTTAAGCAACGCAGGCCTGCCGCGGCCAGGTCTGTCCTTAAAGCTGTGTGTTTCTATAAACCGATTAATCGTCTTGGTGACTGTACTGCGCGTGACGCCAAAAGCCTTAGCAACAGCGCCTTGTGACTGGCCGGCGTATACAGCACCACAGATAGCAGCGCGCGCAGCCAAACTTAGCTGGCCTGTAGCCTTCCTTTCGGCCGTCAGAATGGCACCAAATTCAGCTAATTTGGACATCTTTTCGTTGATTTGTGGTGATTCTAAGTAAGGGTAGGTGTTGGGAGTTAAATGAGAAACGCGAAAAATCGCGGAGGTGGTTCCATATTTTTGGAACCCCACTGTAGTCGATTTGGAAGAAATTTACTAAGGCAAAGCTGGTGTCGGTGATCGGACCTGCTGCAGACAGGGCCCACGTTTCGACAGATTCCTGCTTTACCTCGCAGCTGCTGTGGTCGAGGCGCAGAAACCGGAGCTCGAGAGGAGCCAAATCTCGGCCACTTTCGTAGCATCCATCAATACGGCTGCCCAATTCTGCAAAAACACTGCTCTCGAGAATCCCGAGGTCAGGTGTCGCAGAAAGGAGTGGCTTGGCGCCCTGAGACAATAGGCACATCGCAGGCTCAGCTCCCACCACCGTGTAAAGACCATCAGAGAGCACGAAGGTGTGCGGGAGATTGTGTGGATAAAAACTACACCTGTGTGCATAACAGGACCTTGACCACAAATTCAAAAGCAAAGGTAAGCATGCTGCATAGTCCTATTCCATAGCACTCCTGTGCCCTCCTGTGGTTGCTTTCCGAAAGCGGCTGGGAGAGCGTCCTTCTGAAACCAGAAAGCCTATTCCTCTTCAAGATCTGTTTGCATTTCAAGTTCTATCGGCCAGTCAGTCTGCCGCCATGTCATCCAAAAGGGAAAGGAACTCACGCCATATCCTGTTGGCTGACTCGGTGATGATGCGTGCTTTTTCCAGAAGCGTTTCCTGGAATTTGTCGTCATTACGATCCTCGAACAGCACCTTGCTCGCCTGCGCCTGCATCAATACAGGGACAAGCTCCCTGGGGTCTGTGTTTGCAACCGTCGCCACAGTCTTAAAGCCGTTCTCCCAAAAAACCCTCCTAAGACACACGCCATCATTAGTCAGTTGCGTGCAAGTATCAGACTCCTCCGCGGTCAACGTACGCAGTGCGGCTCTTGACAAACGCAATCTTGGCCAGGGCCAGTAGGTCGGCCTTGGCCCCGGCCTTGAGTCGGTCGACGAAATGCTCGAGAACGGATGCCATGGCCCTGTGAAGTTAAGTTTTAGAGAGCTGTACCTCCACCGTCACGGTCTCCTTTTTCAATAGCAGATGGCATACCCCCAATCCATATGCTCGCAGAATTTGATCATGCCAGCAGCAAACCCTTCACAGGTCTGTTCCAGGTTCTGAACTGCCCCTCGCGGCGAGTCGTACTTTTGGGCCACGCGATGGATGGGCATCTCGTTGCAGAGATCACGAAGTTGCAGGGCCAGGTAGAATCGCCGGTAGATCCGCGCGGTTTCCTTCTCTTCCGGTGTCGATTCTTTCAATGTGCCTCCGCGGAGCCTAAAAATGGAAATAAAGAGTCAGCGACAGTCAGGACAACACAGCAGCCTTGCGATAGAGGGCAACCCACATCTTGCTGATGATGCTAGGCTTCAGGCCTAAAAAGTGGAGAACACGAAGTCCGCTCTCGTCAAGCTGCTCCATTTCTTCCCAGAACCGGCGCCAGTTTATCGCTGTGCCGATGGTGTCGTGGACGGGAGTGAATGTGTACAGCACGTGCATCTCGCCGTCGAGGACAAACGCCTGTAGAGCACGTTCGAGTTCGCTGTGGATGAACACAGCGTCCTCTGGGTCCAGAGCCGACGCCACGACAGCCTTGCCAAAGCGTGTTGGCTCATAGTCGCCAAACTCGCCCTTGCTGACAAAGCCCATCCTCTGCAAAGTCTCCAGGCTCGTCTCCACGTCCGCCCAGAGGGGCTGGAGGTCTGCTTTAGCCGCAGTCTGGCCATCGTTGGCTGGGATGCCATCGTCGGCGCAGGAATTGACAACGGAGTGGTAGAGCAGTGTCTTCTCCACGTAGGCATGAACAGATTCGGGGCTTGTAGCCAGGCGCACGGTGATGACCTCCAGCAGAGCCCGCTGCAGTCGCCGCTTGTCCTCCTGGAGACAGCTGGAGATGTGGGGCAGCTCCGCGTGCATCAGATCGAGCATGTCATCCACGTCGGCGCCGCGGCAGCAAAGATATGTCTCTCCGACCTCATCCTTGCCTTTGCGCCCGGCACGGCCCCTCATCTGGCGCAGCATGGCCGGCCCTATCAGCTCGCGGCCCATGCGTGCGTTATGCAGAATCACACGACGTGCAGGCAGATTTATCCCAGCCGCGAGGCCACACGTTGCCACACATACTTTGAGAACACCGTTGTCATAAGCGTTGGCGATAAGGTCACGCTCCTCCGTCGTCATGCCGGCATGGTGAAAAGCGACGCCGACCGGCACAGTTTGGCTGAGGACGGAGTCGAGTCCGGTGTTGAGGCCACGCAATGTGCTTACCAAGTCAAGCCGTGCTTCTGACACGGCAGGGTCTACCTCTGCAGGTGTCGGCATGACGCGGCTAATGAGGAGGGCATCCGACTCGGACGCAGCCCTGCTGCTGGAAAACACGAGGGCACCGTAACCTGACCGGGCTGTCTCATTCGCCAAAGACACAACAGCATTGGTCACAGAGTCCTGCAGCTCCCGGTGTCCGGACGGCTGAATTATGCGCAAAGGTTGTGTTGGAGCTGCCGTCTCCTTTTTATCAGGTATCGTCAGGGCGTCGAGAAAACGGCGATTGGCTTCTTCTGCCACATAGATTTCGCCATCATAGACTAAGTGCTCTTCAATGGGAATAGGACGGTAGCGTGTCTCGTACGAATACGCTCTGAGCCAAGTGGCCAGAAGATCCATGTTCTGCATTATTCAAAGTCAGTCACGTGCGTGAGGCACATGCATTCGCTCTTTGGAAAGAACTTGCCGAAAGAGTAGCACTCATGCCGACGATTTGGACGCTGTGGTCCAGGCAGAGCAGCTTGGTTGCCATGAGCTCGAATATGTAGCCACGATGGCTGTCATCGACCATGTGCAGCTCATCGAGGACAATGACTTTGAGGTCTGATATGGTGCCGTCGTCGATGGCCGTGTTGATAAGCGCATTTGCCTAACAGTATGAGCACGAGGCAAGGCGAAAATCCCGAACAAGGCCACGCACCTTTTCGATGGTGGCGACGCCGATGTCGAAGTCCGCCCAGGTGGCCCTGATTTTGGCCCCACCAAAGAAGCCGACCACCCGGACAGTGTCTTCTGCTGGGTGTCTCTGCCAGGAGGTACTGGGCCCATTCGCAGTCTGGCTGCCGATGCTCTGAGCATCTGACCGTGGCACGCCGGCGACGACACGACGGAGCCATCGCACCTTTTCCTGCACAAGGGCAACAAAGGGCAGGACCAGCAGGGCCTTTGAACGGCGACGGAAGTCTCGAAAGCCGGCGCCGGTGTTGTTGCCGACAATACCGTCGTTACTCTGCAGTACCTGCCGCAACATCAGCACGTCAGCCACAAGCGACTTGCCGCCACCGGTGGGCGCAGCATAGACGAGATTGCGCTTGCCGGCGAGGATGCTGTGATGGCTGAGCAGACAGTGCATCTGCCACGGATAGATGGAGCAGATGCCGAGAGCGACGAAGTTCGCAATCAGCGCAGGCGGCAGGCCGTAGCAGGGGTGGGCCAAGGAGAGCTTCGGGTTGGCGGCGGCGGTGGGCGTGGCGCTGATCGTACGGCGCTGCGAGTACTCCGAAGACCCTGGAGCCAGCCAGCTGAGGCGATTTTGGGTTGATGATGCTGGCGCAGAGCCAACCGACACCACCTCGTCAATGGCACTCGCAGCCAGCCGCGCCGGCAGCGACGGCAGGGCAGCTCGCTTCTTGGTGGGCGGAGGCATCAGACCGGCCTCGCTACTGCTGTCATGGCTTCGTTTGATTCCGGCCGCAGATGTGGCCACCTCTGTTGTGGTCACTACCGTCGTCCTGGGTCCGGTGCTGATGGCGGTGACGGCCCCGTACGAAGACTGCTGCTGCCGCTGCCGCTGCCGCACGGCTTGCTCCGATGTTTGCTGCCATAGCCCAAAATGAAGAGTTCCCGCCATGAGATCCCTTTTGACATGACGTGACGAAGGTGTGGTTGCAACCCTTTTGCCCTTCAGACCGAGTTGATGCCGCACTTCCGGCGCGTTCCAGCAGTGGGGTGCCACGTAAACATAGAGCAGTCACCGTGATTCCACTAGAACAGAGAGACTCAACGGCAGATGCGGGTGCTGCAGGATGGATGTCGCATCCAAAAAAAAAAAAAAAAAAAAAAAAAAAGATGTCAATATCAAACTTTGCAGTGTCTTTGGTTGGATCTGGGGCAAGGCAGCCGCGGCAGCTGCTTCCCAATGGAGAAGTGATGGACGATTATTAACACGCGTAGTATTAGAAACACGAGAACGCCAGAGAAACGCCAGAGCACGTGATGGATACGTAGTGGGACCCGATTCGTAAATGAGACAGTAGTGGGGCGACGGCGAATGAGTACGACCATTTTTGAGGGCCAGTTTTTATACACTTTGGCGTTTTTTCTTTTTTTAATTTGATCGACCTCTGGGATGATACGACGGGAAGCGAAACTAAAAATTGACGAAGGCTCAGGGGAGAGAGCGAACTCGGCCATGCAGCAATACTGCAAGGAGCGCGAGCAGAGTGCGGTTTACCGCTTCTGCCGGTCCTGAAAGCCAAGTCCGTGGGGCACCAACTGCAGGTTAGTTAGTATTAGCCGCCTGCATCTGTACTACGTGTGTACGAAGTAGTCGTAGAGCCGGTAAGCTAGGGCATCTCACGACAACATGTCGCGCTCGCCGCTGTGCGGTAAGAATACACGATTATCGTATGTATGTACATACAGCAATCACGAAGCGGTCCAGCAGCGATGATTCACGAAAAGACTGGGCTTCACATCCACGCGATTGGCCGTCATCTCGGGCAGAAGCAGAACATAGCGAATGGGGTGCTGACATGCTGTTTCAGAAGCAGAGCGTCGTGCTCTCGGTAGAGCTGCGCACGGGCACGATAAAGGGGGTGAAACGGAAGGGCAATGTCACAGGTAGGATTCTATATAGCATGCAGGATACATAGTAGGCGCCAGCCGCGGGCGGCAGCTGGCATAGTTCTGCGGAATGCTTTGTCGAAGGCTTGCTTTGTTTGTTCCTGTGCGTTGCGTTGCGTTGCGTTGCGTTGCGTTGCCAGCCAGCCGGCCGGCCGGCCAGCCGGCTTACCAGTCAGCCAGCCCTGGTTTGGGTGGTATGAGCGGGGGCGGAAGGGAGGGGGCTAACAAGCTCGATATTTGTGGGTCTGGGAGAGCCAAGAATTTTTGGGGCTTGGCTCCAAACGAGAAGACGCCAAGGAGGCCGGGCCAAACAATAGCGAACAAAAGGATATATCGATGTGAGGAGTATGATTATACCCTACGACGTATGCATCTCAGCGCGCGCTTTTCTACGAAGTATCTTGCGTATACATAGTACTAGCAAACATACAAGTTCGGCACAATGTTGGGGATACAAATAGCCGAGAAATTGAGGGTGGATTGGAACTTCAATAAGAATAAGAGAGGTGCAGTGTGTACACCGCCGAGAACAGACATACGTGTACAGGAAAATGCCACGAAGCGACGAGGCCTTGTGCGCCATTCGCGGATGCGTGCCGGAAATGAGCTCAGCACGAAATCCGGCTTCAGCGAGTGCCTAGCGTAGTGCTTTCACAGTGCGCAGAGCGCAGCGGTCAGATCGCGGCGTGACGTGGTGTAGGCGATTTTGGGTAATTCTAGATTTGCAGACAGACCGAGCGAGTCAGGCGACGGCGATGCTTGTTTTTGGCCAAACGGGCGGCTGCGAAGGAGAGCGACGATACGGCGATACGACGATGCGACGATGCGAAGGAAACCGTATGCAGCGTCGCAGGCAGCGAGGCAGGGCTGGGCAAAAAGACGGCATGTCGTCGAAAGAACCCGGGGAGGCCGCGGCAGTGCCTGATGTCGACAAGCCCTACCACCAGTACGGGCAAGCCCATGTATCTTGCTCCGTACGTGCGGAGCATCTGTACAGACTACGTACATAATGTAATAGCACGCACATACACACGAATAGGCAGAGTACCTGGCCTGGCCGCATAATTCCCCCCATGGCTCGCGTACCGGCGAGCGCCACAGCCAGCCAACCAGCAGCGGCCTGGCGGGGCTGCTCAGCGCCGTCGCAGTGGTTTGCTAGTGCCATCCAGTCTCCAAGACCCTCTCCTCGCTAGCGCGTGCTGGGAGCCAGAGCGACAGTCGATCGCACACGAGCACACAACGGGCGTCGAGCGATGGAACGGACATGCAGGCGGATAGGCGGATAGCACGAGGACAGACGGGCGAGGCAGCAGTCTATGCTAAGCAAAGCTGGTGACTAGGAGTATCTTACATACCTCACCTAATGTTCCTGACAGCCGCTGGATCCTGTCTCGAACGCGGAGTATCTCGCGAGCACTCGTACCGCCCAGGGGCCCAGGGGCAGCACTGCTCTGACGGCGCCCGTGGACTGCCGGGACGAGCATGTGCAATCCGTCTGGGGAACGGATGGAGCACGGAAAACGGAAGACGGAAAACGGGCATTTCTGGGGCACGATCAGGCACACATTGTGGCGCGGCCTGCACAGACACGACAAGAGAAGGAGAAGGACACAAAGGGCGCACAAACACACGGCGACAAATAGCAGAACAGCCAGACTGAGCGACAGCGACAGACCCGGCGAGGACACGCGAGAAAGACGAGGTTCGTTGTGCAGGTCTCGCAAAGCACCAGGACGCGTATCTTCCGGGTATCGTAACGTCGCATCCTCTGAGCTCTTACCAGTAGCAGACCCTTGTCGAGTACTCGCTAGGTACCCTGGATCACTAGCGCTGCTACCTCACCCTGTGCGAGGAAGGAGAAATGATTTAGAGACGAAAAACTCACGCCTCCGACGCTCCCATCTCCCACATCTCTCTCCCGTCTCCCACTCATCATCCACATCTCCCTCCCACAACTGCCACCCCTCTCCCCAACTGACGCCGTCGCCTCTTTCCGCTACGCTCTCCCACGTTCCACCGCAAATCCCAAACGAAGGAAACTAGCCTTGGAACCGCCACCGCTACGTCTTCTGTGCGCGCAATCCTCTGCTACTTCTTCTCTTACTTATTACCACTGCTGCCGCTCCCATTGATTGACTGCTGTCCCGTCATCTCTGTCGCCTTTCTTCTCCCGCCGGCTTCGACCTCCTATCCCTCTGCTCCTCTGCTTGTACTCCGTACTCTGTAAACCCCCCCCCCATGCCAGAGAGGCCCTGTGCATGTCTCCATTCCTTCTGGACGTATAAGAAAGATACCATCAACACCCTCGGCCAGCCCACTTCTTTCCCGTCTGCCACCTTGTCGTAATAAGATGGTACTCTTTTATTTTTCCTCCCCTCTCCCCTTGCCTTGACGTTGCGGCACCGGTCAGGTACCTCCCACTCGAACAGCACCCCGGCCACTCATTTCCACCTCCCCCATATGTATCACCCCGTCATCCACTCCCCATTGATCGCTGCACCTCTTCTGTTCGTACTAGCATTTATCGTACCTCCCCCGTTCCTGCCTGTCGTGACATATTCTCCTTCCCACCTGACCAAAGGAGACCAAAGTCGAGCGAAGCCCAGGCAAAAAAGGCCGATAGCCGAAAGCGTCCAAAAGTCCAGCTGTCTGCCGTAAAGTCGAAAAAGGGCAAAGGCCAGCGCCCAGCTCGAAAATTGCTCTGCGAGGGAAAAAAATACAGCTCGCGGCACCGAAGCTTAAAGCTACCACCCTCTTGACGCTCCGTGCTCCGTATTTCTCTCTTCCGCCCGTCGCCACCCCGGCTCGCGTTTTCTCTCTCACACACAACAAAAGTCGATTACTCTTTTCGTCAACTCTAGCTCTCTTTTGGCTCTGCTGGCTGTCTCCCTCGCTATCCGATCCGCTACTCTAAAACCCACCCTCTCTATTTTATTTTAATAATACGTTCCTTCTTATTTCTCCTTCCTCTTTTTCCCTTTCCGCCTCGTGCACTCCTGCCACTTCACTGCCATAATACCCACCTCTTCTTTTACTTCCTCTTCCCTTCTCCTCACCTTCTCGTCTTCTCATCACGCATTGCTCACCACTTCGCCCACCATCTCGCCAACCGTCTCGCCATCCACCCCGTCATATCTACCGGCATGCATAATCCACCTGTCCGGTCTTGGTTTTCGTGAAGCATAATTGGTGTCTCTGCGCCCTTTCCCTCCTTCGTTTCCCATCGTTTCCTTCCTTTTACTCCACCCTCATTGCCTCCATCCTGCGATCGTTCGCCCTCTCGCCCTCCACCCCTTGGCAGCCTGCCCGGCGGCACAAGGGCTGCTAGCTCTCTGCTGCCTGGACCACAAATATTATCGGCCCGTCCTTCTCGCACGCCCACGTGAAGCCCTTCATCATCCCGCCGCCCAATCTTCGCCCCGTGGCTTCTCTTCCTCACCACCGTCGCCATTCATCGCCATCCACCACCCGCCATGGCACCCCCCAAGCTCCAGGCCAGCTCCACCTCCGTCAGCGGTAGTACTACCAGCGAACACGCAAACGTCGGTGCCGGCACCAGTGGCAGTGGCAGTGCAGACGGTGAGACGTCGAGTGCTGCCTCGTCTTCGAACACCAACGCCCAAGCTGCACCACCAACTGCAGCGGGTGCATTGCCACGCTCGCCCCCGTCTCCTTCTTCATTGCCCCCATCCTCGTCGTCTCAGTCCTCCCCTTCCACCAACACACAATCAACGCACAAGCAGTCCACAACTTCGGCGTCATCCTACTCTGTCTTGCCCAAGATGTCGGATCCCGCGCCCCCCCCTTCGGCTGTGACATCGTCTTCAAAGCGGATGCAGAAAGAAGCTGGCGCTGCCGCCGGTCCTGACGCGAACAGCGCGAACGCCACGTCTACTCCTGGCGGCACCCCTTCGCCCTACGGCACGCGATCGCGCAACCGAACAGGCGGCGCGCGTCCCAACTATGCCGAGGACAAGGACATCGACGGCGAGCTTTTTGAAATGTACCCCAGAGAGGACGACCCCAGGAAGCCAGCATCGCGAGCCTCCACGTCAGCTGCGGTTAATGGAGCGCTTGTTCCCGCGTCGTCCTCCCTAGAGCGAGAGCCCCTTCGCCCTTCGAGCGGCAGTGCCGGAAACAGCAGCGGTAATGGCTCAAGCGATAGAGTTCGCAAGCCGCTGCCTACCGGCACAGCAGCCTCTTCTTCTGACGCCAATTCGAGCACCCAAGGCAGCCAGGGCCATCACGGCAGCAACGGCAGCGGCAATGGTAGATCGGCATCGTCTCATGCACAGCAGAAAGAGCAGAAAGAGGCATCCGTTCCGACCGCCCCGTCCGCCTCATCCTCGTCGGCAAACGGCAGCCAGACGCATTCCAACCCACGAAAGCGCAAGGCCGCCGCTGCAGGCGAAAAGTCCAATGCCAGTGCGAGTGCCAGCACCAGCACCAGCACCAGCACCAACATCAGCACCAGCACCAGCACCAGCACCAGCACCAGCACCAGCGCAGCCCAAACCTCGTCGGGCACCTCGCACATCACCAGCACCTCGCTCCGTAAGAGCGGAGCCTCTGCCGCTGCGACCGCTGTTGCGTCCCAGAAACGCGACGCGAAAGGTTACGCCAACACCAACCTCTTGACCTTCGAAAAGCGAGGTGCCCGGCCCAACAAAGACGGCGATATGGTGGCCGACGATGGCACTGTGTTGAGCACCAATGGTATTTCTCCCCTGTCTTTTGCTCACTTTCGTATCCCCTTTTCACTCCCGACCCACTCTGGCCTCACTTTGGCCTCACTTCCCCGCCCTTGGCTAACTGACAATCAGATCATGTCTATCTCGTTTGTGAACCGCCCGGTGAGCCGTACTATCTGGCCCGGGTGATGGAGTTCTTGCATGCCAAAAACGACCCGTCGCTGCCGGTCGATGCTCTGCGGGTGAATTGGTACTATCGCCCTAGGGACATCGGCCGCAAGGCGCAGGACACCCGCTCCATTTTCGCCACCATGCACTCAGACACCACACCCCTGACTGCCTTGCGTGGCAAATGCACCATTAAGCACAAGGCCGAAATCGACAATTTTGAGCAGTTCCGCAAGACCCCAGATTGCTTCTGGTTCGAGAAGCTCTACGACCGCTACATCCAGAAAAACTACGAGATCATTCCCACCTTTCAGATCGTCAACGTGCCAGAGCGCGTCAAGAAGGTGCTGCACGAGCGCTGGCGCTATGTGCTGGTCGAGCAGGGTCGTGGAAAGGACCTGACCGCTGCGGCGAAGCAGTGCAAGCGCTGCAGTGGTTTTTGTGCCAGGTATGCTGTCCTCTTCCCGCTTTCATTGTTTAGTCTTCCTCTCACTCTGCCCTCCCTGCTTCTCTTTAAATGGTTTATCTTTTGTTTTACAAATGCCCCACGCATTACTTCCATTTCAGGCTAGTGTGGCATATCTCCGAACTAACGCTAATGTGCCCCACCTTTCAGCAACAACTCTGTTGATTGTGCGGTCTGTGCAAACACTTACCACATGAACTGTGTGCGGCCGCCCCTCTTAAAGAAGCCGTCACGTGGTTTTGCCTGGTCTTGCGCCGCCTGCAGCCGCGCTCAAGAACGTCTCCTAGAGGCTCGCCACACGCCCAATGTGATTGACGGGCGCACGCCCGACATGGGTGCATCGGCTACCACGGCCGCAGACGATGACGACTTCGATGACGACGACGATGGCGCCTGCTGTCCCGACACCAACCGGACAAGCCCAGAAAACGACGAGGCCCATCCGCCGGCAACGGCTGAGCAACAATACCAAGCAAGCCTGTGGCCGTACCGGTATCTCGGCATGCACTGCAAGGTCGAAGATGCCCTGGACTACGACGATCGCATTTATCCCCGCGCTGCCACCCGCGTGGGGCCTCGCCATCAGGCCAACATCGGACCTTGGCCCGGTCGGCCGGTGCAATACGTGATGCCGCCCGACATCAAGAAGGCCACTCGTCGCGAGGCTCGTCAGAACAAGGAAGCGCTTGCCGCGTACGAGCGTGAGCGTGAGAGTCGTCCCAAGTGGATCCAAGACACGCCGCCAGGATACGTCGAACGCGGTCTTGACTTGGACGAAGATGACCCCAAGTGTACCTCGTTCTTGGAGTACAAGCCGCCACCGGCTTCCCCCCATTCTTTCTCTCCCGAGCCAGATGAGTCGAAGATGGACGTGGACGACGAGAGCGACAACCTCGCGACCTCGGACGAGGACATTGACAAGTACATGGCCAAGGCGGTCTCCCGGGCCTCAAAGCTGGGCGTGCCGCCACGCTCGACAAACCTGTACCACATGGCCATGGTGCTGCTGTATCGGAACGGATTCGATTCCGGGGCAGCTCTCAAAGAGCTGGACCAGCAGAAACTGGCCGACTTCAAGGAGCCCTATTTGACGCCTGCCGAGCAGAAGCGGTTTGAAGAGGCCGTTCTCAAGTTTGGCTCCGAGTTGAACCTCGTTACGCGACATGTCAAGTCGGTGTTTTACGGCAATATTGTCCGCTTCTACTACACGTGGAAGAAGTCAGACCGTGGCAAGCAGATGTGGGGCAACAACGCCGGCCGCAAGGGCAAGAAAGAGGCCAAGGAGGCCAAGAAAGCCGAGGCCGAGGCAGCATCCAAGTTCCAGGACGACGTCGCAGACGACAATGACGACTCTGCATTTGACACCGATAAGGCGGAGGGAATGAAGCGTCAATTCCTGTGCAAATTCTGCAGTACGAAGTCGTCGAGGCAGTGGCGACGTGCCCCAACAGCGTCTCCGGCCGCGGTCCTGAGCGAGTCGCTGGGCGGCAGCAGCAGCAAGAACTCGCACCGTGACCGGTCGCACAACCAGCACAGCCAGCAGCATGTCGTGTCGCTGTGCCGACGCTGCGCCGAGCTCTGGCGCCGCTACGCGGTGCAGTGGGAGGACACGGAAGCGCTGATGCAGAAGGCGGCAACGCTTGGAGCGCGACTCTTGAAACGCAAGATCGACGAGGAGATCTTTAAAGAAATCACGGCTGCCGACGAGATGATGCACATCACTGACGCGCAGTACAACACGCTGCACCCCCACCAGAACGGATCGGCAGGCAGCGTGTCGGAGCCACCCCGGAAGCGACTCAAGGGCTCCAGCGCCAACAACAATGACAAGGATGGCGAGCAGAACGCGTCAGACTCGGCCGCAAGCACAGCTCCGCCAGCCACAATGTCGGGCAGAAGGAGAGACCGGTCAGACAAGAGCCACGCGGACAAAGCGGACAAGACGGCGGCAGCGGAAAAGCCGACGGTGACGGGCAAGGCGAGCACGGAAGGCTCGTCCGGAGCTGGCATTTCTACTGCACCATCGGTGCCTGAAGTCCCGCAGCCGAGAAAGCTGCCGTGCGCGATCTGCAACCAGATGGAGCTGCCGACAGAAGACCAACGGGTGACGTGCCGGGACTGCCGGATGACGGTGCACCGCAGCTGCTATGGGGTGATTGATAACCGCAATCCGGCCAAATGGCTCTGCGACATGTGCAGCAATGACAGGAATCCGCAGGTGTCGATCGACTACCGGTGCGTGCTCTGTCCGGTAGAGCACACGGAACACGACTTTGTGGAGCCGCCACGGACGGTGCATAAGAAGAAGTCGGACAAGGACCGGGAGCGAGAGCGGACAGAGCGCGAACAGGCGCAGAAGGCAGCCGAGTACTACCGCCGGCGCCAGGAGGAGCTCAACAAGCCGGTCAACCCGCGCGAGCCGCTGAAGCGGACGGCCGACAACAACTGGGTGCACGTGACGTGTGCAGTGTGGACACCCGAAGTCAAGTTTGGCGACGCCAACGCGCTGGAGCCGAGCGAGGGCATCCCGTCGGTTCCGCGTGTGCGCTATGGCGAAGTGTGCAAGGTGTGCCGGGGCACGGGAGGCGCATGCGTGTCGTGCCACCTCTGCCGGGTGCTCTTCCACGTAGAGTGTGCGCACCAGGCAGGTCACATCCTGGGCTTTGACCTGACGCCGTTTAAGGGCTCCCGCCGCGACCAGGCCAACATGGTGGCGATCAACGGAGTGACGGGGCTTCTGACGGCGGCGATCTGGTGCAAGGAGCACATACCGCTCAAGAGCTCGGTGCACCTGATGCACGAGACGATCGACAGCAGCAAGATGACGGCACTTCAGCTCTACGTGGACCGCTATAAGCAGGCCGACCTGGCGCTGACAGGTTGCGCTCGCAAGGCGAATCTCCTCACGCTAGCGGCCAAGATGTCTGGTGGTCCGGGATCGACAGCAGACCAGACAGCCAGTGCCGGCAGCAGTGACGGCAGCAGCAACAGCAGCACCAGTGGCAACGGTATCAACAGCAACGGGGCTAGCAGCAGTGGTCGACGGACATCGCTGCATCTAAATGGGACCGCTGGCAACGGAGCCAAGAACGGCACGGCCAGCCACGAGAGTCGGTCGGCAACCCCAGAGTCTCGACGTCCCGGAGGCAAGATCTGCTTCACGTGCGGCACCGACGTCAGCCTCAAGTGGTATCCGATCGACAAGGCACAGGAGCGCGAGATGACCAACGGTTTCTACGGCAAGCTGGGCTCGGACGCGCAGAAGTTTGTGGCGCAGCGCAACTTTCAATGCCACAAATGCAAAAAGGCCGGGAAGCAGCCCGTGCCCCACGAGCACTACGGCACGCCTGCCTACGCGTCGGAGGTCAAGACGGAAGAAGACACCTTTGTCGAGGCGCTGCAGCGTGTAGCACCACAGTATCATCAGCCGCCTCACCTGTCGCAGGCACAGACGCAGCATCAGGCACATCAGGCGCACCAGGCGCACCAGCCACAACCGCCTCAGCCACACCAGTCACACCAGCCACACCAGGTCCAGCGATCACCTCTGTTCCAGTACCTTGCCGGCGGTGAGCAGGCCTCGTCTGAGCAGGGCCGCATGTCGCTATCGCACACACACGTGCACCCGATGATGTCGTCGAGCCACTCACCTGACCGGAACCGTTACTGGCAGTCGACGCCGAACAGCGCATCTGCCGTTGCTGCGGCTGCGACCGCGTCCGGACCATCGATCATCTCACCACCACCAGCACCACCAGCCTCGTCACTGCCACTCACAGCCCCGGCGTTGTCGATGCGGCCTCCGCCAAGCAGCGGTAGCCCGCCGCCACTGGTAGCCCATCCGTCACATGCGCAGCCGATCCACCATTCTTCGCACTCACCTCCTCTGATGCATCCGGTTCCGCGATCGTCCATCATGGCTCCGCGTACAGTCCCGCCACCACAGCAGCCGCCACACTCTCCCTACGGTGTGTCAGCCTCGCCTGTGTCTTCTTCCGTGTCGGGCTACCCTGACTGGCGTCGCCCATCGTCCAATGCGCCGGCACCGCCACCTTCTGCCCCCTCGTCTTCATCCTCCCGTCGAGACCCGCTGTCGGCCTCGGCAGCAGCGAACAGCAGCATCCCACCTCTGGCGCACAACCACCTGCGGCCTCCGTCATTGCCGATCTCGCACTATGCCTTTCCTACCTCATCGAGCAGGCCGAACAGAGGCGCCAGCAGCGGATACCTGGGACAGGGCCTGTTGAATGGCCGCCCCCCCTCGCCACAGATGCGCATGGGTGGCGTGCCGCTTTCGCACAGCAACAGCAGCGGCGGAAGCACGAGCAATTCCTGCAGCCACACGCTTGGACTCGGCCACGCACACGGACTCGGACACGGGCACTCGCCGCACGGCTCCTCGACGTCACCGCCGCTGGCATCACGTCTGGTCAATGATGGAAGTGGACATATGCCCTTTTCACAAGTTCTCCATCCACACCGGTCAGCCTCAGCTTCGTCGTCCTTTGCCAACGTGGCTCTGGGCGCCAATGTGACGCGGGAAGACTTTACCACCTTGGGTCGAGACCGGGACCGGGACCGGGACCGGGAACGGGAACGGGAGCGCGAGAGAGAACGCGAACGTGGCCCCTTGGCCATAGCACGAGCGAGCGATCCACGGGCTGGCGAGACACGCAGCGGCAGTGCTGCCAGCTCCAACCCATCATTGCGAAACCTGTTGTCTTGAGAGGTCTGATGGTCGGTGGTCGAGACAGCTGCATGTACAATATTTTGCCACGCCTATTTTGTCACTATCTCTTTTTTCCATGTTTGAGAACTCTGTTTTCAGTTCATGTTAGTGTCGATACGGGTTTCTCTTTTTGTCATTGTGTCTTTTTGGTTTGTTTATGTTTTAGGTGCATCGAGTTTGCGTTCGGAGGAACGGCCGGCAATACACACAGGAAAGGCTACTGTCTCTGTGGTGGGAAACGGAGGGGAATGAAGGGGATATCCATACAAAAGGAACGGCACAACGGGATTAAGCGGCAGCTTGGAGTTTCTATATAGGTAACAAGCGCCATCATGCCCCAAGGGCTGGCAGTTGTATTTTGCAGTTCTTTTCTGTATATTTTCCAATGAACGAGATGACCGAGCACAACAGGTGTCGATCTATCGGTGCCTGTCTACATCTGGACGTTTATGAAGCCGGCTGGCTGCTCTCCTTGGAGTATACCCGCTTCTCGACGCCAATGTCCTCGTTCCTGAAGACGTCAGCAGGATGTTGGAGAGTAGAGGATGGAAGGTCACACGCACCACAGCTCGGGGCTCTTGGCGATGAATGCCTCCATGAGCTCGCGGCACTCGCTGTTGTCGAGCACGACGACGTCGATGCCGCGCTGCTTCAGGTAGGCCTCGCCGCCGAGGAACGTGCGGTTCTCGCCGATGACGACGCGCTTAATGCCGTAGAGGATACAAGCGCCGGTGCCTATGAGGTAAGCACGTGGGGGAAGGAGAGTGGAGGGAGGAAGTATGGAATAAAACTCACACATGTCGCAGGGTGATAGCGTCGTGTACATTGTGCTTCCTAAAGCCAAGTCCATTTTAGCACGTCAGTACGTCGAGATCGAGGAAGAGTGATGCGGCCGCCAACCCCTGCACCAATACGCACCCTTGTAGGCGCTCGCCGACAGCCGGCCGGTGTTGTAGAGCGTCGACGTCTCGCCCTGGCGCAGACAGTGAGCAGACAGACAAGAAGATGGGCTGGAGCAGGAAAACCGAAACCCGAATACCGAAAACCCACATGGTGGATGGGCGAGCCCAGCTGCACGCGCTGGTTGCGGCCCTTGCCCATCAGCGTGCCATCGGCGGAGACGAGGGCGGCGCCGATCTGTGCCATGGTCAGCCTGGGCTGCGAACCGATCACAAACAGGGCACAAAACAGACGAAACGAGGCAAAGACAGGAGAAGGGCAAACACACCGGGACGCCACCCTCGGCGAAGCCGGCCTTGGCCTCGTCGAGGGCGATCTGGAGAGCTTCCTGGTCGGAGAGCATGGCGACGGCGAGCTGGTGCGAAGGAAAAGGGAAAGGAGGAAACAAAAGAGAGGCCGAGAACGGACGAGGGAAAAAAGGCGTACACTTGAAGATCACCGAATGGGAAGAGTGGGGTCTCGGCAGACGTAGAGGCCCCGCCGATAAGACGAGGCTTGCCCGATAGTAGCGTGTTCCGGGCGTTTTCCCATAGCCCGTTCCTGCCTCAACGGGCAAGGCCTCGCCGGAAGGCACAGTGCAGCGCACGTGAACGCCTCCCGTCGGCCGAAGATGCGATCGTTGGTCTCTGGCTATGAAGCCGAGAGGAAGGAGGATCGGGGCCGTTCAAGGTGCTCGCACTTTGTTTGTATCCCGTTTGATGTCAACGTCGATGTATGAGTACGAGCACGTTGAAGAAGCGGCAAGGCAACTACGATTACGGCTACAAGTGCTGAAAGTGGATCGTCTAGGAAATCTTTATATACTGCCGATATAGCATGAAAACCATCCATGCCGTCTTTACATCGCTAGTAATCCTATGCGGATTTGTTTATAACGTTCTACAAAATGTCATGCACAGTGACAAGCTAGCAGCGAAATCGCCGTCGAACAATGCTCGCAATTCCCACAAGTAATATTGACCCAGTATTCAAGTGGTTATTGTCTGAATCATGTCTCTCCGCTCTCTTGTCAACACTCGTAACACATGATTCGCTCACTTCTGTGCCGGCCCTCACCACCGGGAAACCTCAGTCGATGCTATCGTCGCGCAGGCGAAACAATTGTGCCATGACCTCGTCAGGCCGCGACCGGATGGCATTGTGGTACAGGGTGTTGGTCTCAAACACTTTGATGTTTCCCACCTTTCTGGCTGTCTCCCGCGCCAGCTCATAGTCTACGTACAGGTCGTTGATATAGCTGGCTGCGTAAACGGGCACGCGGTTTTCGGCTAGTTGCTTCTCGTCGTACAGGGGCTCCCAGTCGTCGTACTCAGCAAGGATGTTGGCCGCCTCCTTTATCTGCATGAGCTCTGGATAGGTGTCGAACATGAAGGGATCTAGAGAGTTGGAAAATATAAGAAAAGAGAAGATTCTCAGGAAAGAATTCAAAGAAAGAGACATGAACTCACAGATCATCTCGCCGGAAAAGTAGTGGTGGGGCTGGCCCTCGGCGACGGGCGAGATGACGGACTGTTCCAGCCACTGGAACTGTTCGAACTCGGCAGCGACGCGCTGTGCAGCCCAGCGCGAAGCGATGCCCTTGTCGTAGCAGTAGATGGGCTCGTGCAGAATGCCGTAGATCGGCATGCTGTCAAGGGGGAAGAACTGCTCGACGGCGGTCAGCGTGGGCCGCGACAGTATGCCGAGACGGTCGATGTCGGTGCGCATGCGCAGCAGGATGGCATGGGTGTTATCGAGGCCGCCGTGGAAGCCAAAGGCATAGCCAAAGGTGAGCACACGGTGGAAGGTCAGCAGGCCGCCAGCCGGCAGGGGCAGACCGCCGTCGGGCTGCTTGTTGAGAAAGTTGCCAATGATGCGAAGCGCCTGCGAGTCCTCAGGAAACTTGCGGAAGTAGGCCTGGTTGCGCTCCAGCGCCTTGCGGTACGTCGCCCGGTACACCTCGTCGGCCGTGTGGCCCACGGGCGCCAGGCCGCCTGTCAAAAAGACTTCGCGCAGGCTGTCTGGGTGATTGGATAGGTACGTGAGGCTGACAAAGCCGCCAAACGACTGCCCCATGATGGACCAGCTGCGCCGTGTCGTCGGCTGGTCAGCTGTCAGACAGCGCCGCACTGCCTCGAGGTCACGCACGATGTTGTCGGCCCGGAACTGTCGCAGATACTCGGCCTGGGCGGTCGCGGATCCGCGTTGCTGCAGCGTCGCCGCACTCACCGGCGTGCTCATTCCCGTGCCGCGGTAGTCCAGGAAGAGCAGCTGATACCCGCGACCGAGCAGAAGCCGCGTGATCGGGTAGTCCTGCGGCTCCCGGTTGCCCGCTCCTGGCCCACCCTCCAGGTAGGCCAGCCACGGCTTGCCAAAGAGGAGGTCGCGTAGCCCATTGCCTGCGTGCATCTCCGTGCTCCACGGCGGCTGACTGGCCACGATCGGCTTCTCGTGCTTAAAGGCCGCCCGTCCAAACAACCGGATCTTCTCGCCGTCCGGGTCCCGGTAGTTGAGCGGCACATCGAAGAACAGCTCTGCCACGAGCAGTTGTGCTGTCCTTGTCAGCAAACATCCTGCCGTCCTGCATGCACCACCAGGCCGCTTCCACACAACTCACATGGTAGACAGTGCAGATTGCTGCTCACAAGCGTGGCCGCGGGAATGACCCGCCCTGCAGCTCGCAAAGGCAGAGCCATGTGATTGTTTCTTCCTCTGTGTCGAGATTGCCGGGAAGCCTTGTTTTGTCGTTCAATTGTCGCCTACGATGCCGTCTTTGTGTTGACTGTTGCCCAATGAGGAGAACGGTACAGGCCGAAAAGCAAGGATCGTTGCAGTTGAACAGCCAATGCAGCCGTGGTCAAACAGCAGCACAGGGTTAAGCGCACGGCACAAGCAAGACACGAGGCACGAGGCAATGGACTATTCAAAAGGGCCGCTGATAGAAGCTGCCTAACCCAAAGGAAGAAGGTGGTGGGACTGGTGTTCTGAAGACCACCCACTGGCGCACTCAATCCGGTCGGGTTGTTGGCTTTCGACTTCGTCAATGGTGCAGAATGCGTGCCACATCGAAAAGAAAGGTTGCTCGGTACATATGAACTATGTAGATGAATATGTAGAGTTTAATTAATCCATTTTTTACGTCTCCAATCAGATTTCATGTGTCCAGATGCAGGTTCAATCGGTGAGGAAGGGGCCACCAAGTCCTCAAGTCGCACTGCACCTTCTTTTTTGAACTGAATGATTCGTGGCGCTGGCCTGAAGGCGGGGAATACCGGTGAATGTCCGCCGATAAGATAACCCGACTTTCTGCCAGAAGTTCTCACTAGTCGAATTTGCGCCCATTATTAATCCTCGACTGATTTTTTTCTTCCTTTCTCTTCCTTTTCCCTCCTGTACTTTGTTGGCCATCGCGCCTTCTGTTCTTCCGTTCATCCCGCCTTCCCCTCCCATCTTCGTCAGGAGATTTTTCGCGTTCCATCGTTCCATCTTTTGATTAGCATCCCTGTTTCCACCTGTTTTTAATTGCCATCTAATTCATATCCGCGTTTTCTTTACGCTTTTCTCAGTCACTGTAACTTTTAACATTTTCGATTTCTAACATACATTCCCTACTACCCATGGTATGACTCGTCAGGACGACATTGAGACTCTTGCCGAGTCTTTCTACACTCTTGCCGATGAGGTACAGAGCTTGATCGATCGGAAGACGATCTTGGAGCATAAGCTGCGCTTTGCGACCGAACAGGTACGTTGTCTTGGAGACTGCATGTTTTACTATCACTCTTTTGCATCTTGCTTTCGCATTTTTTCGGTCTCCACCTCGGGATTCTGTCACTGCAAGCTGCAAAGCTCACTTTGTGCCTCTTTCGGACCCTGTTCGAACTCGCATGTTTTCTTTATGATGATTTACATTAGCTCTAGATCTGGAGCCGCTTGTAACGGCCAAGATAGACACTATTATTACCATTCTCTGATCAAAGAAACTGGCTCCTGCTTCCTTTTTTACCTTTTGGCAGTACCTGCGTCGTTTATAGCTCTGTTTGAACTTTGCTAACCGACAAACAGTACCAGTATCTTGCCGACAAGTATGCTCCAGCAGGCCCAGAGATCTCGGAGACACTGGCACAGCTCCAGTTACCACCTGACCTGCATCAACCCGTAACGATTCACGGTGCATATGTGCCGTTGCCAAAGCGTGGGCAGGCGGGCTGCAATCAGCATCAGCTGGCTCTATTAATCAGAGACGGCCGACGCGCTGCCCAGGAGTTGGCCGCTCGAAATGTAGTTCAGGACAATATATCGTCTAAAGCATCTACAAGCCCACCGTCAACCGTCATGGAGCAGGACTTTACAGTTGAAGGGAAGAAGGGAATGCTTCAGTGCCCGTTCTCAGCCGTGAAATCGGAACAACAGTCGCAGCAGCAAAAAGAAGAACCGCAGCATGAGGGAGAGGAACAAAAACCGCCGAACCTACAGCAGAACGTAAGCCCAACTGGTAGTGACAAGCCAGGTGGTGCTGATGCTGCCGAGGTCACTGTTACGGCAGAGAATAGGTCGGATCCTACACCCCACGATTCTGCAGATCCTATCTGTGCCACGATGCTTGAGGAGGCAAAGTCGCAGACTGCCCCTTCCAGCGCAGGCGCTGTCAAGTGTCCGATACGATTTATGGACCAGCACTCCCCAGAGGAGATTGCACACTACGTGGAAACGCACAAGCATGAGCTTCCGCGGAGCCATGCCATCTGCGTGCGGCGGTACAACAAAAACGAAGAGCAAATCCGCAAGCTTGATGCAAAATATGGGAGCTTAGTCAGCATGATCTCAGGACTGGGCCATCTGCACCAGCCAATGCTCCCTCTGCCTGAGGGTGGAGGACCGGAAGATCAGGCCGAACGGGCTGAGCTTCACCGGAGCTCTAACGAGCGAGTTGAAGACTGGGCCAAGGCTGTCAGTGTGGGCGCTGTTGATGGGCGGCCAGGCAACATGAACGGAGAAGACGACGAATCCTATGAACGGCGTAGTCGGAGCCGTACTCGTGCTGGCAGCCTGGGCGACTGCCACATCAACGCGGTCGCGGGTGTTGACGAGATCGACGGGGATCGCCAGAGCCACTTTAACCGCCCATTGAAGGAGGTCAGGCTGGGCGAATCTCCAAGCCGGCCTTGGGGCATTGCCGTTCCTTTGTCGTCGTTGCCAAATGCCAACACGGAGCCGCCGCTGTCACCACCAGCTGCGCCAGTTCGCATGCCAAGTCCCCGTTTAGGGGCTCGTCGCCCCGTGCCTCTTGATGCTTCCAGTCCCCCGAAGGCGCGCAAATGCCCTTTTGATCACACCAAGCTTGCTGCTGCTGGTGCGCCGGCTTTTCCATCGCCTCATGGACATGAAAACGGTCCTGAGGCGGGTCCTCGTCAAGAGGAGCCTGAAAAGGGCTTTGTCCTGCCTGTGGTTGCAGAAACAGAGTCACCGACTACGCCCGTGAAGCCGCGAATGCCCCAGGCGGCGTACATGCCTCAGACAATGCACACGGCGCAGATGCCGTCATCGACGTCTTATCAGCCGGCGCCGGCTTTCGTCAACTTCACTCCTCCTACAACTGCGACCAAGGGAGACAGCACTGCTCCACAGATGCTGTTTACTGGACCTGTTTTCATTGGCTACTCCATGGAGCAGGCAGTTCAGTTTATGCAGCACTTCCAGAACATGCAGAAGTGAGCCTGCTGTTCTTAATTTTCTTGTCTGACCTTCAGTGGTGCAGACCTACTTTTATACGTATAATATATGTGGTACGAGGATTGAATTTGAGGGTTGAATTCCAAGGGTTTCTCATTTCAGCGATGGCGTTTGGAAAGTTGCGCTACGACTGCTGCTTATATGCCCAACGGCGTTTGGGATGTGGTGCGCGAGCAGTAATTCATAGCATGAAATGAATATAGTTTTTCAGTCGCAAGATACGATTTAAATGTCCACTGATGATCATAACCATTGTGATTTTCTTCTATCTGGCTAAGAGCCAAAGCCATTGAGTCGACAGATTCGACGTAGGCAAGCAAACCAATCAAGCAGACATACACAAAATGATACCCAGAATGCAATGTAATGCAGATGCAAAAACAAAACACAACACCGGAAACCAATCGACCCCGACCCCAAACCCCCAATGCTCGTTCACATATATCTAAAAGTACGCGATGTTCCGTCTATTCCTCAGCCCTGGGACTGCGTTTATCTACTCGGAACAAGTGCTCACTGCTTGCGCGAGGCCGGCGCTTTTGCAGGCTCACTATCTCCGTCGCGATATGTCGCTGCACGACCGCTGTTGCCTTGACCTTCCGCGGCGGTGCTGCTGTCCGCTCCATCGCTGTCGGCGAACTGGTCGGTGGCCCACAGAGAGATGTCGTCTTCGTCCATCAGGGCAGCGACATCGACGTCATCAGGGTTGAGCAGCTCCCCATTGTCACTATCGGCATAGGGGCCATCCTCGCCGGTGGTTAAGCCAGCGCGACCCTCCTCAGCACCTTCGCCAGCGTCAAGCTCAGCAGCGCGAGCCATGGTGCGTCGGAAGACCAGCAGGCCGATGCCGACACCGAAGAGACCAAAGATCATCATACTGATATAGTTGACAGCCTTGTCGCCAACGGACATGGAGTCGCCCTCCTCGGCTAGTTTGGCGATGCGGCTGCCGATGAAGACATGGACGATGAGTTTCGGGCTGGAAGGAAAGAGTTAGCGGGGAGAGAAAAGAACGAAGAAAAGCAGTAGAAGATGAAAAAGATGAACAAACCTTGCCATGGCCGTGCTGAGGGCAAAGGACAGCGGGGTGATGCTGGGGATGGTAGCCAGGAAGCCGTTGCTGAGGCTGTAGGGCAGGGGACAGAAGCGGACGGCGGCGAGGACCCAAAGGCCATCCTGGCGGAGGACGTGGCCGAGGGCGACAAAGCGGCGATCGTCACCGACGAGGCGGTCAACATAGCGGCTAAGCACGCCGCGGCTAGCAAGGAACGAGACGAGGCTGCCGGCGACGCTGGCAGTAGCGGCCAGCGGCCAGCCCCAAGGGAAGCCGTAGACGATGCCGGCGGTCGTGCAGGCGGTACTGTATCCGATGATGGGCGGAAAGGCGGACGCGAAGATGAGCAGCCAGACGAGCACCCAGCCACCACGGAGGTCGTGCCAGCCCTTGGCCACGGGGCCGAGCCATGCAAAGATCCGATGGCTGTACGTGAGCAGCAGCACGCCGGCGCAAAAGCCGGCCGCCATGCCGAGAGCCACAAAGACGCGCTGTAATGGAGGCAGCCGCACAAAGTAGCCGGCCGCGTGGTCGGCCGCCGTGCGCACGCTTGCCGCCAACGACGCGAGCATCTCGCTGCCCTGGGCCAGCTGTCCACGGACGCCTGAGCGCGACGACGGGCTCCGGCCGAGACTGTAGCGCCGTCCGAGTCGGTTGGTATCCGAGACAGATCTGCTGCTGTTGCCGGCGGGGCCGGGCTGCGACCATGGCGGCGGTTCGTCCGGTGCGGTCGGCAGCCGGATCGGCGGTGTTGTCGAAGCCATGGTGAGGAGGGGCAGGAGGAGGAGACGGACGATCAAAAACCGGTCGCTGAGATTGGGATCGTCGAGATTGGACAGAAGAAGAGCAGACAGGAGAGCGTGCCTCTTTGCTCCGTAAATGGAAATGAGCTCCTCGTTGATCAATTGCGTCTAGCCGGATCCATGGAAAAGCTGCAGAGCTTGGCAGAAACAAAGGCGCAATCGAGATGCAGCAGAACCGGCGATGGAGAGTTGTCCTGTGCAGCTCGAGAGGAAAGACGGAGCTCGCTTTGGAAGCTTAGGTGCCTTGCGGCCAACGAGCGGTCCAGGCAGGAGCAATCGTCACCTGGATGTCGGCCAGGTTACGTAATCGCAGCCCCTAGTTTCGCGTTCCTGCCTATGGGGTGACTCGCAGCCAGTCGCAATGATTGCATCTGACCAATGGGATGTGTCTGCTGGTAATGACGGATAGCGCAGTCTCACTGCAAACTGCGCCCCAAAGGCACAGCCAACATAGCAGGCGTTACCGCATCGGGCTGCATCGTGCGAGCCTTTGCTTGTAAAAGCTCTGTGTGTCTGTCGTGATGCAAGCCGTAAGACGGGAATTGTGTATATATAAGAGAGACAACCGATGGTCTCTCGTGTTCGTAGCATCTTTTATAACACATTCAAAGAAAAAGGCCTATTACACATTTTTTAAAGCAAACCCAGCCATCCTTTCCTATCTCAATCACTCTGTTCTAATACAATCCTTACCCTGAATTTATACTTCTTCTTCATCCATCATGCCTATCATCCGAGACCTTCTTGGCATGGCCATGTCCTCGGGCGGATCCAACAATAACGGATATGGCGTCAGTGGTCCCAACAACGGCTCATACTACAACGACAATGACTACCGTGGCAGACCAATGGACAGCCGCGCGCTGCGGCGGGAGCTGCGCCACCAGCGGTCCATGGACAAGCTGTACGAGCGGCAGATGCGCCGCGAGAACGGTCTGATTCGGACCGGCGTGAGGGCCGTTGTCAACCACCTCGGCCAGTCGTCCGGCCAGTCGTCCGGACAGCCACTCCAGCCAGCACAGATGTATGAACCGGAACGGCCGATGGAGCCTGTATATCCTCGACAGCAGCAACAGCCAATGAGGCAAGCTCCAATACAGGAGCAGGGCGTGTTCTATGGCCGGCCAGCCAGCCCGCAATACACGCAGCAGGGCTACGGACAGCCGGTCCTCGGAAGTCGTGATCTCACGCAGCGGTCGATCGGCGAGGTGGAGTTGACAGAGCCGCCGCCACCATACCACAGCGCAATGTGGTCAGACAGCGAGAAGCAGCCGCTGTCGGACGAGTTTACAAGGTAGCGGATGGGACTCGTGAAGACATGAGTCGAGGGCTTGGGCTGTATCTGCACATTTTAATTTTCGGCATTAGACACCTCTATTGAATGCATCCCATCTTTATGTCCCTTTAGGTGTGATATGACCCGAATATCAGAACCGGTCCACTGCTTGCTTATTGCTGTTGTTAGCCACTAATGTACATTTGTCCTGCTCATCGCGTAATGTCCTGATTAAAAAACGAGGCCATTCATTTATTCAGCAGCCTTTGCCAGGGCGGAGAGAGAGCAAGAGAGAGAAGGAAGGCCAGGCCCAGGCCCGTGTTACAATCCTTTGTCCCCTCTTCCATCTGCCTGCTTGGCCTCTCTCTACCGCTCGCCCGCCAGACGCCGTGCCTGCACCTCACCGAGGGCCCGCGACCCGCTCAGAACGGCAACGGCGCCGACGACACCGACAACCGGCAGGGTCTGGAACAGGTTCCACGATGTGTAGTAGAGGAGGAAGATGCCTTCGAGAGCGACGACGGAGCCAAAGAAGGAGGCGTGCGACACGGGCGCAGCTGCTAGCGCCTTGCTGAGATGACTGACATTGGCACCAAGCACGAGCCACTAGAGAGAGAGAGGTGTCAGTATTTCCATTTTCCGCAGTGGTGGCCCCCATCTCGCGAACTGGTCGACTCACCCCCACGAATAGAGCCGGCAGGGCGGCGGCCACAAGCAGCACGAAGCACAGGCTGATCGGCTTGGGCGGCGACTGCGGGTCAGCGCGGAAGATGTGGTGAATCTCGGGCAGCTTGCCAAAGCGCTCGGGCGCCTCGTAGACCAGAGGAGCGGCGCTGGCGTCAACCTGCAGCTGGAGGTCGAAGACGGGCGCAGCGTAGCCCTGGGCCGAGCCGAACGAGCCGATCACGATGCTGGCGCGCAGCGGCTGCTTGGCCAGCACGAGCTGCACGGGAATGTCCTTTTGCGCCTAAGAAGCCGAGTTAGCCGGCGATCGGAGAACAAAAGGACAGAAAAAAAAGAAAAAGAAAAAGAAAACGCACAATCTGGACGGTGCCCTTGCCGCTCTCCTTAACGGTCAGCGGGAAGGGCGCCTCGAGGCCAGACTCGACGTCTTGCAGCAGCAGAAAGGCCTGGTGTGGACGCTTGGCCTTGCCGCTGTCCTTGGCCGTCAGGCTGATTTTGGCGACGCCATCGCTGCCGAGCCGGATGGCCGATGCCAGCGGGTTCCTCGCATTGAGCCTGGGACGTGTCAGAGGCCGGACGGATGCGCCAAAACAGTCACGCAGAGGCAGGGCCTACTTCTCCTGCACCGTGTCGCTGCTGCCCTTGGCCTTGACCGATATGCTGGCCTCGTCGAAAGACCAGGACGAGGCGGCCTGAGCAACTCCAGCTGCCACCAGCAGCAGGGATGAGGCGAATGCCGAATGCAGCCGCATTGTTGCTGGGCGAGAGAACGGGGGGCGAGGAAGACGAAAGGGATTGGTCGGAAAGGCAAACACAAGGGTGGAGGCAGATGTCCAGAGAGGTTGCGGCGAAGAGATGCTGTCGTCGGATGTCCCCCGCCAAGAAGAGAACACGGTTCTTGTTCCAGCTTTACAGAGCTTCTAGCAATGCCCTGCCAAAAGCAGTTACGTGTCTCTCTGTGGAGTCTGTACATTGGCACGTGTCCGGGCACGTGTTTTGCGGCATGCTAGTGGACCTGTTTCTACGGCCCCGCACAGGTGAAATGTACTTTGTATGTATTTACTCGTTTATACTCTGTACGTGGCGCACTTTTCTACTATGTATGGCGTTTGCCTTGTTTGACAATATTCCCAACCGGCTGAAGCAGACGCTTTTCTAACGTTCTCTCACAACTCTGTCTTGGCTTCTCGTGATGCTTGCCTTTTTACAGGAGGCAGGAAGCCATCGAGCTCCATCCACTCGGCGACGAAGGCCGCCACGATCTTGGCCCAGTCCTGCATCGTGGACGGGTCCAGGTGCTGGCCGTCGTCGTCCATGGTGTGCCACACGCGCGGGAACGGACTGGGGATGATGTGGAGGATGTCGACGCCGCGGGCCATGAAAGGGACGTGGTCATCCTCGACGAAACCGCGGGCGAATTGTGTAGAGCTCTTGGCAGCCTCGGGCAGAAAGTTGCGCTGGGGCCGCGACTCGAGCAGCTCGAGCTTCCGCATGCGCTCTTCCAGGGCGGCCATGTGCTGATAGGCCCAATGGGTGGTCTGGAAGTACGACGGCACCTTGGGGCTGGCAGAGCCGAGGAGGTCGAGCAGGACGAAGAGGCTGATGGAGCTCAAGGGCGTGGGAAAGGTCGAGAGGGCCTCGTAGGGAGTGGCTTCCCAGTCCTCGGCCAGAGCCCTGGGGTGTGTGTGTTAGCAGGTGCCACGAGCGCGACAGAGAGCGCGAGGGAGAGCTCACCTGGCGCCGTAGAGCGAGTCTGTGGCGGACCACTTGACCCAGGCCTCTTCGCCGTCGAGCAGCAGGATCTGCACGCCGCGCTCCTCCTCGAGCCCGCTGCCAGCCTCGCCCGCCGCTGTCATGGCATCCCACTTGGCCGTGAGGGCGGCATCGATGGCGCGGCCGACGTGCATCAGCATGGCGCAGGGCGCGGCGCTGTCGATGGCGCCGAGGAAGCCTTCGGGCTGGTAGAGGGTGTCGTAGTGGGCGACGAGCGTGAGGCGGGCCACGTCACCTGGTGCTGCCCACGGCGGGTCACGGCGGAAGATCAGGTTGGCAAACGGAACCTCGCGGTCGCCCGTGGCTGGCGTGCGTGCCGTCGTGTTGTGCCATTGGATCTGCCAGGCCGGCAGGCTCTGCTGGAAGAAGCGCACAAAATGCTGCTGCACCGCCCGCGAGCCTGGCGTTCCCGGTACACGCGGCACTAGGATCGGCGCCAGCAATGCCCCGTTCTGGATGTCAAAGTCGGCGCCGGCCGCCGGGATCCGCCGGAGTGCCTCGTCCGAGAGCGGGCTGTAGGCTGCCACCACGGCCATGGACGAGGCCATCACCAGGAGGAAGAGGAGCGCCAGCAGAAAGAGGCATGTCGGACGAGACAGTCGAAGACGGAGGCGGTGCCCGGACGAGGACGAGGACGAGAAATCGACCGAACCCGAAGCCGGAGAAGAAGCAAAAGTTCGCCGGGTCATGATCGCAGTGGTGGATATCGACGGCAGTGTCAATCCAGCGAGGTGTTTCTGCAGGCCGTCAGAGGCATTGCCCAGTGGTCCACCAGCAGAAGAGCAGGGGCAAGAGTGTGGTGGCACTGGAAAACGGCCGCTTCGAGCCCAAGGAGAAATTGAACAGGATGTGAATAGCACCAGATGCGGGACGTCAGGGCTGCCACAGGGGAAACGTGCGAGCCGCAAAGGTCCTAGCGCGTGGCCAACGTGCGCCGATCGGTGGCCCACCATAACATCTTACGGGGGGCCGCTTGCTGCAGCGAAAAGGGCAGGAGCTCACCCCCCGGCTGGCAGAGCAGGAATGGCTGTCCTTGGCTTCCTGTCGTCTCTCTCTAGGGCTCCTGGCCTTTCTGCCCTGGAGACTGTGACAGCTGTGGCCAGTGTCTGTCAAGACAAGAAAAGCTGGCCGGCCACTGGAAAAAAGGTGATAATACGTTCAGACCGAGTCAAGCGGCAGCCGCCATTGCTAAATCACGGCTAGGCTGCATCTAGTTTTTACGCTCTGGTCAGGCTTGCAGTTGTGGTCGTCCAATGGCACGCGTGTCCGCCCAGCCGGCTAGTTTCTAATGCCAATCCTGTCCTAGGCCTGCTAGCTTCTATAGGCACTGGACTGCTCTCGTTTCGGAACACAGCGTGACATACTTTTGGTAGATGCACGGCGTCCTGTCTGACGGCTACCGCAAGCTGCTGTCCAACGATAAGCTTCCCCACATCGATCGGATGCTGGAAGCAGCCAAACTGCGGAGAGCAGTCCTGTTGGCACGGGACCAAAGAGATGAGCAGCCACAGTACCACAGTACAGAGGGCCACGGGGATCATAACGCTAACGCATAGCGCCGTTCCTCTGTAACGTAAGGCCAGAGAGCCTGACAACACTGCCAAAGGTGCTGTTAAGCTGTTTCTCAGCACCCGTATTGGCGGCTGTTGCACCACACATCTTTCTATCCATCTTCCGGTTCTCCCAACCGGCACCAACCGGACCGACTGCAAGTAATGGTCAGGGCGCACTTACAGGCCTTATTCACCACAAAGCACTATCCAGTTCTACGCACGCCTACGAAGACGCGAGAGCCCTGACGCTCATAAACACCGATGTTGCGGGCGTTGAAACGGCCGCCGAGATGCTACACGAGTTGTGGGGCTAGTTTCTCGAGGCTGTCGTGGGCCTTGGCATGCTCGCTGTCGAGATTAGATGGTTGTGACTGCTGCCCCTTGTGATTATCTTCTGTTAGTCCTGAACTGATCCCCTGGATGGCAAGGATTTGTGAGAATCAGCTAACCATGCATCCGTCCAGTCTTCACACAGACAAGCCGCTATGCCGCCAGGCCCATGAAGAGCAGGCAGTCGGCCTGGAACGGCGCCACACAGCAGCGGGTATCCATGACCAGCACCGCGATAGGTGCCATGAAGAGTATCAAGATGCTAGGAATCCAGACAGCCGTTGAGATCGTGATAATACAGCTGCGTGAAGCAGAGCTTTCTTAGGCCGAAAGCGCAAGGTGGGTTCGATTCAAAACATGTCCGTTCTATTTACATTTCTCCCTACATTCTCTCTACAATATTACTATGTCTTCTGGGAATGTCTATCATGTCAACTGCACAATGCACTTTCCCCGTACATGGGTGGAAGTTTCTCGCCTAGATGAGAAAGGGCGTTGAACATGGTCGAAGTTTCTGTCAGAAGGATTCACCTAATCCTCTGCACCATTAGATAATGATGATTGTTGGCAACAACCAACATCTTGTAACAATTGACTTACTCATGTTATTGCAGTACAGAATCTCATATCCTTTCCGGTGCTAATGTTGTCTCCCACGCCATCCGCTTCTCGATTTATACATTTCATTTCACTGATCATCAAAAGATTGCATCTCAACAATGGAGCTCAAAACGCCAAAGGGCACGACCGACGTTGTTGGCCGCGTCGCCCATCGCAAGGCCGAGATCCTCGCGACCATCCGCCGCGTCTTCGAGGATGTCGGCGGCGTCGAGCTCGATACGCCCGTCTTTGAGCGTCGTGACGCACTGGCGGGCAAGTACGGCGAAGAGGGCGCCCGCCTGATCTACGATCTCGCAGACCAGGGCGGCGAGCTCTGCTCCCTGCGCTACGACCTGACCGTGCCATTTGCACGATGGCTGGCCATGAACCCGACCGTGCGCCAGATCCAGCGATTCCAGATCGGCAAGGTCTACCGCCGTGATCAGCCGGCTCTCGCACGTGGCCGCCTGCGCGAGTTCTGGCAGTGCGACTTTGACATTGCCGGCAGAGCGCACGACCGCATGATGTCCGACGCCAAGATCCTGGGCATTCTGGTGCGGGTGCTATCACGTCTTGGCCTGGCTGGCCTGGCTGACAACAGAAACAGCGTGATCGTCATCAAGCTCAACCATCGACGCATCCTGGACGGCATCTTTGCCGTGGCAGGCGTGCCAGAGCCGCTGCTGCGGCCGATCAGCGCAGCTGTCGACAAGCTGGACAAGCTGCCGTGGGCAGACGTGCGGCGTGAGATGCTAGGAAAGGGCTTGTCAGCCGATGTGGCCGATCGCTTGGGCCACTATGTACAACAAGCCGGCACACTGCAGGAGATGTTGCCGATTCTGCAGGGCAGCAGTAGCAGCAGCGGCGCCGACGACGATGACAGCGCTGTGTTGGCCAGCAACAACGACATCCAGGCCGGCGTCGAGGACATGCTGCTGCTTCAGGAATACCTCGAAGCGTGGGACATCGATGCCAGTGCCTTCACGCTAGACCTGTCGCTCGCCCGTGGACTCGACTACTACACGGGCCTCATTTGCGAGGCAGTTATGCGGGATGATGTCCGTGACAGCAAGAAAAGAAACCTGTTTGACAGCAAGATCAGCATCTCCCCACCGCTCCAGATCGGCAGCATCGCCGGTGGCGGGCGCTACGACGGGCTCGTCGGCATGTACGGCAAGGAGGCCATCCCTTGTGTGGGCCTGTCGATTGGAGTCGACCGCGTGTTTGCCCTGCTGCAGGCACGGCAGTCGCTGATGGTCAATGCCATTGCCAAACCGCTAGCGCCCGTTCTCGACGTCTACGTCATGTCGGCGGACAAGAGAGATGGCCTGCTCCGAGAACGTGCGCGTCTGACTGCACGGCTGTGGGATGCCGACATCCGGGCGCACTATACGCTCAAGGCCAAGCCGCGGCTGGACGGCGAAATGACTGCGTCCAAGGACGTGCCGATTGTGGTGGTCCTGCACGGCAGCGAGCTGTCCGAGGGTAAGGTGCAGGTGAAGCAGGCCATTACGGGCAGACACGGAGGTTCGTTTAGTGGCGTGTTCACGACCAAGATTGTCTCCTTGGACAAAGTGGTGGAGGAGATCAAGACAATGCTAGCGAACTCGCTATAGTGGAGGCGGGCAGAGTGGAAGCAAATATATATTGCGATAAAAATGGTTCCCAGAGAGTCGCGTGGAATATCATCAGGATCCCATGTGGGATAATAACATTGGCATCCCGACGTTGTGATATCGCCACTCACTCTGAAAAGCTTCTGAAGAAGGTGTATGTGTTGCACGTAGAGCGGGAGTTGGCCATACGAATGAGACGAAGTTGATATACAACATGCCAGCTTGTATGTTGCTTGGAGAAAAGAGCAAATTTGAAGAAAAGCCTACACGTGGAGACCTACGAATAGTGTAATGGAAAGATCCCTGTGCGGCAGGTATCTCTCTCACATGTCAACTCCCACAAAGTATGTACATAGCCTGTACATGGGCGACTCGAAAATGAATCATACTTCAGGGATCCCCCACGTTAGTCATAGCAACCATGAAAGGTCTCGTTCCCAGGTCTTAGTAGCTCCTCTTTTTTCACGCCGATCCAGTCATCATTTGTCAACGTGACGCGTTGATAGACTTCGTGACAGACATAAGTCACCACCTTTCTTCTTGATGTCCGTGTGCAGCCTGCCCAGCTCTAAGCAGCCGTTACAGACATGGATGCCAGTGCTATTGTCCACCGACAGTGTCAATTATCACCGGCAGGTCCTAGCTTGCATCACTACGCAATATTTGATTGCCTTAACCCTTATTTAAGAAGTCTTTTAGGCTTATTGTAAGCCAAGCTTATTGAAGTATTGTTTTGGCTGCGTTGAGTGGTAGAGGCTCCGTGGTTGGACGGTCTGAGATTCGGGATAACGTGCGGGAACAGCAAGGAATAACCGAATGGGTGGTGGGTTTTCTTGGCTATCACTTGTCGCAGCTAAGCTGCATCCTGCCGTACGATATTGTCTAATGCACGTCTGTGGTTAGGCTTTACAACGATTAGGTGGCTGCTGGCTGCTTCGTCAAACATTGGGTGACAAGGTAGCCCAAAGTATAGATTAAAAGAATTGAAAGGGATAGTAAAAATAGGCTGCTGCCGTTTGCAGCCACCTTTATTGCTGTGGCCTTATCCACCAGCTCAACAACTTGACGCAAGGCTGTTCTCTGCGAAGGATGCCTAGATTGCGTCTCCCCTCCCTTTCGGATATCCTGCTGGTCCGTTTGCACAATCTCTGCGTGCTATACGGACACTCTGTACTGTGGTTGCTCGACATCAATAATTACTTGTCTTTTTGTGACGTGTATGTCGTATACCCTATTATTGTCTCTTCTGTCTATTCACCCCGCCGTCCATTTGTCCAGGCAAAAAGGGAAAGCGCATCCCAGCACACAGGGGCTGTGTCGCTCCTGCCGTTATTGGTGTTTGACAGAAGGTGATTTTGAGGAAGTTGTATCTTACGAGAAAATTTCAAGCTGTTTGCTGCAAGCAACAACAAAGATTATTCTCATACCGCATCTTTTTTTTAAAGCCAACAACGACATATTTAAAGAACTACAGGATACCACAAGATGACACAGGTCGTTGGTGAAAGCAGCAGGGCCGCTGCGGGCAGGGTCCCTACAAACCAGGCCGCGACGAACTACGCTGGCAATCCCCCCCAGCATCTCGCAACAGCCACTGCCCATGCGAGTGCAGATCTTACCGCGCATTTGCTTGCCACCCGGACGTTGTTGGACACGATGCGTGCCCCAGCGACGCGCGCACCTCGACCGGTCGTCCTCGACGAGGGCATAGACGATGACCCCGACTCAAGTGCGGAGAGTCTGAATCCGCAAGAAGATCTGTGGCTGACGACGGCAAATGGGTGGGTTTTCTTCGTCGCTGTTGCTTTCCATCCATGCGTGATCTCACTGATACAAGTTCTTCTTCCTGTCGCAGACAATACAACTCGCCCATCGTTACGCTGGACGTGGGCAATCCACCCAAGACTTTCTACGTTTGTAGTTCTTTTGCATCAGCTCCCTCCTTTCTTCGCACAATCTGACTGTTTCGCGTCCTAGGTTCATCGCGATGTCCTGGTCAAGTACGACTTCTTTCGTGCCAGCCTGGAGGGCAACTTCTTGGAGAGCCAAACTCAGCACATTGACCTCCCCGAGGAGAACCCGGCCATCTTCCACTTCCTGGTCGCCTTCCTCTACGAAAAGCAGTACGCCCCCATCCAGCCCCTAGCAGGGGCCCTGCAACCCAAAATCGATGTCAAGGGCAAGGGGAGGAGCAACATTGAGGAATTCGAAAGATATTCGCCGACTGTCACCGCGGACGGATTGCCCATAGATGACCTTGAACACCAAGACCATCCCCATCAGCCACGCCTCAACAGCCGATTTTTTGATCCGACCCGACAAGGCCGTCCGAGCAAGCACTACCAAGCATGCCGGTGCCCTCTGTGCTCCCAGACGACAGGCTCTCTGAATGAAAGAACTCTGCGTAGCCGCTGCTGGCACTGCAATCGATTTCCGCCTGCGCTCTCGCCGTCAGGAAGACTTGTCGAAACTGCCGATCGTCATCGTCGCGTTAGGACCCAACGTCGCGGGGAAGGCCGTCGCCACATGGTGCAGGGGCGCCCAGTTCCACACGCCGCTGTAGTGCCTCCAGCCCACCCCGCCTTGCTCCCCGGCGATGCGTTCATACAGTACTTCGATGGTGACCAACCAATCAACGGTCTCGATCAGAGTCCGTACCAAAGCGAAGAGGACGTGCGATCGTGGCTCATGGCGTACGAGCTCAACCTGGACGTGTACCTCTGTGCAAACCGACACATGATGGAAGACTTCAAGCAGGAGGTTGCACGGGCCACTGTGGACATGCTGGAGTCGGTGGGGACAGGGGCAGCTCTGCCCGAGGTGCTACAACTGTGCTTGAAACTGCTCGGCGGGCTGAGCGAGCGGGACGCGCTGCTGCGCATGATCTTGGCGCGGATCGGGTACCTGCAGCCTGTGCTGTGGAGGCGGGTGCCGGAGGAGATGAGCACGTTCCTCACCGAGAATCCGCAGGTGGCCGTTTTGATCATGCGCGAGATGGCCGAGCAGCGCGAAGAGGCCGGACTGACGCACGTGATACCGAGAATGGAGCCATTGGTGGCGAGTCCAGTTACAGGCATACATCACTAGCTGATGCAGGAACGGCAGGCCCATTGTCATTTTGGCGTTTTGTATTGTATCGTGGCCTGGCAAGTTCGTTTCTGATACTCTGTCCTGTAGTGCTTTGTGATGAGATGGCGATTTAGCGGGTTGTTTGCGGCAGCCATACATAAGCATTCCGGCTTTAAAGCGTTGGCCAATACAGCGAACCGTTACATGAGCAGACAAGAATGACGGAAATATCGAACCCTCTCATCCGAGTCAGTGGCCAGGCGAGGCAAAGACAGAGTAGTCGAGGTGCTCGCCACGCATGCTATGCCACCAGCGACAGTTGCGCCACATCTCGTCGTCCCAGCCGCCGACGAGGAACCAATATTTTTTGAGGAACCAGACCTGGGGCTCCCAGCCACGAACATCCCAAGGGACACAGGCACGCATACCACCGGGGCGCTCGGTGCGGCGGGCTTGAGCCGAGAGGCCACCGGTCGAGCTGCCATTGGCCGAGCCCCAGCAGACGAGGCCATCGGCGACATCCATATCGTAGCAGAGTTCGTCCTCGTTGAAGAGGGCGGTGAGGGGAGCGAGGGAGGAAGCAGCGGCGGCGATGGAGGCCGCAGCAGCCGCAGCCGAGGGAGAGGATGAGAGGGAGGGATTGGGCGAGAGACCGAGACTGGAACCAGCAGAGCCGCCAAAGACGCCGGTGACGGCAGCGAGCGAAGCTGCGGCCTGACCCTCCATGGCAGCGAGCAAGGCGAGGGCGCGGGCGCGGAAGCCGCGGAAGGGAATGACGTCGAGGTAGGGATGGTGAGCCACGAGGATCTGGGCGTCGACCGGCATCAGATCACGCGGCGTTGTGCGGCCACTGCGGGCCTGTCGCCGGTGCAGCAGCCGGCGGGCGCTAGCGACACAGGCGGCAACATGCGCTGGGCCCTGGGCCACAGCTGTGCAGGCCGTCGCCGCGTCCAGCGCAAACGGGCTCTGCAGCTCATCGGCTTCGCTGAGGCCCGTCACCGGATCGACGACGTCATCGGCAAACAGCGTCGCCGGGTCCGGCAGTCCGCAGGCCAGACAGTTGTGCAGCACTGCCGCTCGGAAGGTCATCCGTCGTAGCAGCACCGTCACCGTCGACAACGGCGAGATCGGCCGGAGCGGCCGGCTGTCATCACGGCCTCGTCCCTGCGCCTCCCACGGATAGTCCATGCTGACTAAGCCGTTGCTGTCACCCTCTCCGGTGTCGGCTTCCTCGTCTTCCTCGTCCAGATCGCTCTCTCCGTCGGGCCCCAGCTCCTCCACGCGCCTGCCGTCGCCGCTGCTGCTGTCCGTCCGGCTTCCACCGCCCTCCTCGGCCAGGAGGGCCCGCAGCAAAGCCCGCTTTTGCGCTGGCTCCAGCTTGCGCACGCCCGACAGCAGACGGTGCACCGTGGCCTTGCTGTGTTGGCGGGCCGGCCGCGCAGAAGCCGAGGAGAATGCGGCACAGGGAACCGAGTAAGAGGGTAGGGAGTCAGTTGGAGCGGGAGCCGGCGCTGGAGCTGATGCTGGTGCGGGTGTGGGTGCGGATGCTATCGCCGCTGCATTGGTCCGTAACGGACTGGTAAAGATGTTTGGCGACGCCGGCCGCAGCAACATGTCTGAAAACAGCCCACTGCTGTCCATGGATGAGCCCATGCTGGCATTGTAGGCCAAAGGAACATCAGAGACCGACGACGTGGGCATTGTTGGTGGTGCTGGTGCCGGGGCTGATGATATTGAGGATGTTGATGTGGGAAGTGGAGCAGTGGGCCGGAAGGACAGCTGGGGCACTGACAGCGGCGTGATCCACGGCATCATTGTGGGCATGAGGAACGACGACGTGGCTGCCGGCTCTGTTCCTGCCATGCTGGCAGCCGCGACCGCAGCGTCCTGGTCGCCCAGCTGTTGTGGCCAGATGGGAAGCTGTTCCACCACAGGCATTGATGGGGCAGCAACCGGCGGTGACGTCCCGGATCCCCCGTCCAGGCCACCCGGAGGAGAACCTTCTGTCGACGAAGGCACATCGGTCGCACTGGGTGAGCTGTCTGCAAGGATATGTTCAAGAAGCGCCAATTTTTGTTTCCGTTTTGCTCCTGCAGATGGGGAAAAAAGGCGGGGAGGAGGGTGGCGTCAGCAGAGACGACCAGGAACGGGGGAAACGGGCGCTAAGGAGGATGGGGACGCACGGTAGTTGCGTGAGGCGATGCGGTTCTGCTCCTTGCGATGATCACTGTTGCTCTTAGACGCCTTGGCTGCCGGCTGAGCGGCCGACTGGCCCTTCCGGACACGCGCCGGTCGACTGGCCGGCGTCTCGGTGGTCGCCGTCGCTGCCGCGGCCTGGCTGGTCGCGCCGACATCGCCATGTAAGGCAAAGGCGACAGCGGCCGGCTGGCTGCTCGTTGACAGCGACGTCATGGTGTTTTTTTCTTGGGAGAGGGGATTGCAAGGACGACTGCTTCTGTAAGGTGCCTCCAACGGGGTCGTATTCACGTACGCGCCGATCCGAAACCAATGGCCGGATGCCAGCTGGAACAAGAGATGCAAGGATGTGTAAGAACAGCAAGCCGACTGTTCTCCGGCCGTGCTTCTGGTGTGGAAAAGGGTTGCTGACGCTTGCTGGCGGCCAACTCGAATCGAAGGCCTGCTCTTCTATCCCGCTTGCTGTGCATAACAATCAGGAAGGAAAGAGAGAGCGGAGTTTGGGAAGGTGCTGGTGTCAGCAGGCCAAGGTCCCGCCCCCACAACGACGTATGGCTCGGGGAGTGGGGCTTCCAGAAAGAGGCTCTTCCTCGCTGACACATCGCCAGAGCAAGGGCGCTGCCGATGGAATGATCATGACAGAACGACGCCGAAGAAGCCGGCATGTGCAGACCATGTATATAAGGTGAGAGCTGCCGCAAGGAAGCGCCAATGCGAGGCAGTTTCTTTTCGTTTCACGATCGAAAGGCGGGCGGAAACCGGCGTGGGAGTTGCAAGAGCCAATGCAAGGCAGTGAAATGGGCGAGACTGAAACATGGCTTTTTTGTGAACCGTCAGCCATCACTGTCTCGCCTTCAGTTGCAGATGGCTGAACACAGGCTGACGGCCCGAGACTGGCGAGTCAAACCCGAGCTTATGGCACTCTGCTGCCCCGCAGCTGGACAGACGACCAGCGCGAGAAAGATAGACGGGCCACAACGGTGACCAGCGATATGGCCGTCGGTACGGAGTATTACGGACACGAACAAACGCGCGCGAAACGGTTGCACAGCAGGTTGGCTAGGCGCCCATCGCTGTTGTGATTGGGACAGATGCCTGGTTTAGGCTGGGCAGCCTAACCAAGCCTTGTCCTGGCGATAAGTACAGCTACAGGGGAGGAGCGCTGCCGGCCGCTACAGTCGATTGTACCGCTACTTGGGGCACGTGCACGCCCGCTGTACCGATACACGCTGAGTTGGCCGTGGCCATGCCATTTCTGGTGCCTCAGCAGGGCGGCTGTAGGTACCACTACCGCTCCTTCCCCAGCCACTCCAGAGTCTTCCATCGCTTTCCATCGGCGGGGCTGAGGGCCACTTTAGGAAATTCTCTTTCTATCAAACCAGGACGCTTTTTCTTGCGCCTCCTAATCGCATTCGTCGTCGTCTCACGCCTTGTCGGTGCTGCAAGCCTGAACAACCCTACTTCCCTCTGGCTGAAGATTAATCAAGCAGCCCGCTGGCAACAACATCGCTTTGCCCATCTTTTCTTCTCCTGCTCGACCGCCGTCGTATCTCTCTGACGACCCTCTCACATTTTCGACTTCCATCAACAGTGAGTCTGCCTTTGCAGCATGTGAATTACAGCGTCTTCGTCCCCTGCCATCCTTCCCTCTTCCCCCCACCACCACTGGGCCGCCTGCCGCTTTTCGCTTTTGCTAGCAGTTTCTCTGTCCTTCTGTCCCTCACCTCCCCCTCTATCACTTTTTGGGCTGTCTCCCGTCTCCTCTTGCTTGGATAAGCCGCTGCCTCTTTAAGTTTTTGCCGCACTTGGTGCCTATTTTTACTTCTCTGCCTTGCTTGTCTTTCTCTCCTCTCTACCCTCTCCGCTCCTTATTACGTCGCAACTAACTCGCAAAAGAGTCACTCTCCAGTATATTTGTATACCGACCATCTTACAATACCCGAGCTCAAATCTTGACTCAACACTCTCATCCAGCCAGCCGAAGACGACTCCTCTTTTCTTTGCCTTTTCCCTTCGACTTCTCCCCGGCTCTCTACCACCACATTTTGGCCGATCTGCACACACATAAAGCACACACGCCGACAAGATGGTTCGCGAAACAAAGTACTATGATATCCTTGGCGTAAGTACTCGTTCGATACGTAGCAGCCTTTTGTCTGTGCAGCCTTGCTAACCTGTTCTTACAGGTCTCGCCAACTGCCACAGAGCAAGAGTTGAAGAAGGCATACAAGGTCGGTGCCCTCAAGTACCACCCTGGTAAGCTCCCGGTTCCCTTCTTTTCTCAGTTTGTCAATTTGGAACAAGTCGCTTACAGTCCATAGACAAGAACGCCCACAACCCTGCCGCTGAGGACAAGTTCAAGGAGATCTCCCACGCCTATGAAGTCCTTTCCGACTCAAACAAGCGCCAAATTTACGACCAGTATGGCGAGGCTGGGCTAGAAGGCGGCGCGGGCGGTGGTGGCATGGCTGCCGAGGACCTGTTTGCTCAGTTCTTCGGTGGCAACAGCTTTGGCGGCGGCCTCGGCGGCATGTTCGGCGGCGGTGGCATGGCGAGCCGCGGCCCACCAAAGGCCCGCACCATTCACCACACCCATAAGGTCTCGCTCGAGGACATCTACCGGGGCAAGGTCTCCAAGCTGGCGCTGCAGCGGTCCATCATCTGCCCCAAGTGCGAGGGTCGTGGCGGCAAAGAGGGCGCCGTGCGCGTCTGCACTGGCTGCGACGGCCACGGCATGAAGACCATGATGCGCCAGATGGGCCCGATGATCCAACGGTTCCAGACGGCCTGCCCTGACTGTAACGGCGAGGGTGAGATCATCAAGGAGAAGGACCGGTGCAAGAACTGCAGCGGCAAGAAGACTGTGGTCGACCGCAAGGTGCTGCACGTTCACGTCGACCGTGGCGTTAAGAGCGGCACGCGCGTCGAGTTCCGCGGCGAGGGCGACCAGGCTCCCGGCATCCAGGCCGGCGACGTTGTCTTTGAGATTGAGCAGAAGCCCCACGCCCGCTTTACCCGGCGGGAAGACGACCTGCTGTACAAGTGCGAGATCGAGCTGGTCACCGCTCTGGCCGGTGGCACCATCTTTATCGAGCACCTTGACGAGCGGTGGCTCAGCGTCGATATCTTGCCCGGCGAGGCGATCGCACCCAGTAAGTGACTGGAAGAGCCGGAAAGAACTCGAAGCAGACAGCTAATGCAATGCTTTCACAGATGCTGTCAAGATGATCCGTGGCCAGGGTATGCCGACGTACCGCCACCACGACTTTGGCAACATGTTCATCAAGTTCGACGTCAAGTTCCCCGAGAAGCAGTGGACCCAGGACGAGTCCGCTTTTGAGGCGCTCCGCAAACTGCTGCCGCCCCCGCTTCCGGTCAACAACCCGCCAAGTGAGGCGATGACGGAACCGGCCGATCTCGAGGACGTCGACGCCCAGTCCGGCTCCCGCGGTTTCGCTACCGGTAATGGCAGTGCCATGGAGGAGGACGGCGAGGACGGTGAGCCGCAGGCTGAGCGGGTGCAGTGCGCGTCGCAGTAATCGCAGCCGTTGCGTCTGTCGCCAACCTGAACGGTCCGTCCTCCGATGACGGCTCTCCCTTCCGTCCTTTTCTCCTTTTGGGGTTTTTTGAGTAGATCACATGAGAGGCGCGGCGGGCGAGTATGATTGATGGTGTTATGCATGGCTATGTCATTGGCTGGTGAGTCAGAGACAGAAGAGAAGAGGAAGAAAAGAGGGAGTGGGAGAAGAAAGGTGAAGAGTATAAGATCCACACGAAACGGAACGCGTTTCCCGGCCTTTCTATAGCACCGCCGAGGAGACACAGAGAGCAGGGAAAGAGGCTGGGGGTCAACATAAGCCTTACGACCAAGATGCTACACAATAAAGCGACGACGTGGACGAAGGGGGAGGACGGTGGACGGACCAAAAAGCAAAGCAGTGTTTCGGCACTTTTCGGTCTCTCCCGCCATCTTTTACATGGTTTTGGCATGTGCTGTTCTTTGGTTGTTCTCGGTCGGTTGATCTTATCTCGGCTTCAGAGACTCGGCGCCTGTCTTCATCCCTGTCTCTTTTTCGAGGATTGTATGGCGTTTGAAGGGTCCATAGAAGGCATTTGCGTTTTACCGCCGAGCAAAGCCGCTGTTTTGCATTTGTGTCATGAAAGATGTTAACCATGTGTTTTATTTCTCTCTAGGCGCAGTGCCGTAGCATTAGCATGACTATGACTAATCGCCTCCAGTCTCGTCGGCAGATTTGCGTAGACTGTCCGTGCCGAAGAGCAAGAGGTGACGCAATGCGACCGGGTCAACATCTATGTCGCTCTGGTCGCTCTGGTAGCTCTCTTCTGGCAAAGGACCCAGCCGAGCTTCTTGGACTTGCCAAGCTGCCTGGCCATGGCCCCGGGCTACGACGAGCAGCGAGGCCGAGGCATACGTGGCCTCGTCTGCATCGCTGCTGTCGTCCTTTGCGGCCAGCGCTACAGCCAAGCGGGTCTCGCCTCTCGGGGCAAGAACACCAATGTCGAGCGGCAGTCCTGGCAGCTGCAGAGTCTGTGCATGTGTCAGGGTGGTGCCGTCTGGCTCGAGGACGAAGAAGAAGACGGCCGGGACCCTAAGAGCTGTTAGCGAGGCACGAGGCAGACGAGAGGGAGAGGGAGAGCGAGAGCAGGCTGCCAATGCTTACCGTTCGCAGATAGCCACAATGGACGACGTTGCCACAGGCGAGCTGTCGGTGGGGAACGTGTAGAGGCCGGACACAGCCACCTGAGGGACAGTACTGCTGCCGACGGCCTGTTCGACCAGCGGCGCGAGCGAGGCCGAGCTGACGGTGCGGCCGTCGGGCCAAAAGTCCCAGACGCGCAGCTCGCCGTCACCACCGGCTGAGACCAGTCGATCCGGCCGCGTGGCCGCGATGCACATGCGGCTGACAAAGGACGTGTGGCCGAGGCAAAAGGTCTCGATCACGTGAGTCTGTGATGTCGCGGGCGACGAGCCGATGACGCCGCGCGTCACACGGATGTGCTCGTCGCGATCGGCCGACAGGATAAGCGGCCGGGGGGGTGTAGTGGTGATGGCGATGGTGTTGCTGCCCCGACAGGCCGCCGGCACGGCTTCGGCCACGGCCACGGCCGTCAGCATGGAGACGTGTCCGAGCAGCAGGCGGCAGTCGGCGGCGTCCTGGGGGTGCTGCTTGGCCTTCTGCTGGGTCTGGAGCTCCTTCTGTCGACGCTGGTTCTCGAGCGCCTGGAGGTTGCCCTTTGTGTGGACGGTGAAGCTGTTTGCCTGCAGCTGGAGAGGGGTGGTGATGGTTGTGGTCGTGGTGGCAGTACTGGTAGTGGGAGCAGCCGCCACAACCGGCAGGTCACTCTGTTCCGCCACCTTGGCTGCGGCCTTTGCCTTTTTGCTCTCCTCCGTCTCGATCAGCGGCAGGGCGTAGACATCGCCAAACTTGTCGCCGACCAGGATGGTCTGGCCGTCGGCCGTGATGGCAACGGCACTTGGGCGCTTGGGCACGGTCCTGGACAGTTGTCAGCCTTGTGGGGGAAAGCAAAAGGGCGCAAGAGGGCAGGTGGAAGCAAACCTCTGGCTAATCTGCTCGATGTGTCCCTGCAGGTCGTGCGCCAGCACGCGCACTGTCTTGTCGTGGCCCATGACCACGATCACGTGATGGCCGTCTGCGGTGGCCTCGAGGATGCTCACCACGGGCAGATCGCCCGACCGCAGCGCTGCTGTCACCGCAGCTGCGGCTGACCTCTTCTTTCGCTGCTCCTTGGACGGTGCATCCTCGCCGGTCTGCTGCTGCTGCTTCGCCCCGGCTGCGCTCTCGAGTCGGCGCCGTTTTGGCGGCGGCGTGGCACTGCTGGTCTCGACCGTGGGTGCCGCGCTTCCCTTGTCTGTGCCGTTCTTCTTGCTCTTTGCACCATCCTCCTTTCCGGCTGGCTTGGGCAGGCGCCATGTCGCGATATAGGCCCCGTCGACGGCGTGGAAGGTGTGAACACTGGCCCCCCGGGCCGTCACCAGAATGTCACCACACACCTTGACGCGGTGGAACGGAACGTCCATTGTGCAGACCAGACGACAGTGAGACCAGAAAAAGTCAATTTCCTTGGCGGTCAGCGAAAAACGGAAACCAAAAACGCTGTAATCGGATCGCGGCCGTATGAATGAAGCTTGGATGAGGAAAAAAAAGAGGTGTCACGTGCTCATGCATGTGATGCAAAGCCGAAGCAGAAATGGGCGCGCTAGTGCAGATCTGGCTAGCAGAGACAAGCCCTATATGGCAGCCCACAGGAAGAGGAAAATTCGGGGTTTTGTTCAAAAAGTTTTTGGCTCCCTGACGAAAATTGGAGTTGGCTTCAACATCAACACATTTCCAGCCTCTTCCCCATACAAGCAACAGCAACATTCGTTTGCCCTTAAACATCCTGCCTTCAGCTAAAAGAAGATATGGGGGGCAAAACATCAAACAAGGCGGGCTACTTCGACAAGCTCAAGGGCTTGTTGGAGGAGTACCAGTCCATCTTCATCGTCAGCGTGGACAATGTCAGCTCGCAGCAGATGCACGAGATCCGGCAGTCGCTGCGCGGCCAGGGTGTGGTGCTGATGGGCAAGAACACGATGGTGCGCCGCGCGCTGCGGACGTTTGTCATAGACTCGCCCGAGTACGAGCGCCTGCTGCCGTTTGTTAAGGGCAACGTCGGCTTTGTCTTTACGAACGCGGACCTGAAGGAGGTGCGCGACAAGATCCTGTCGAACAAGGTGGCAGCACCGGCACGTGCAGGTGCAGTGGCCCCGGTGGACGTGTGGGTGCCGGCCGGCAACACCGGCATGGAGCCCGGCAAGACATCCTTCTTCCAGGCGCTCGGCGTGCCGACCAAGATTGCCCGTGGTACTATTGAGATCACGACGGACCTGAAGCTCGTCGAGAGCGGCCTCAAGGTCGGTGCCTCGGAGGCGACGCTGCTGAACATGCTCAACATTTCGCCCTTTACGTACGGCATGGGCATCGCTCAGGTCTACGACCAGGGCAACGCCTTCCCGGCCTCGGTCCTGGACATTGGCGAGGAGCAGCTCCTGGCCTCGTTCCAGTCGGCCATTGCCACCATCACCAGCATCTCGCTGGCCCTCAACTACCCTACCCTGCCGTCTGTCATCCACTCGCTCCTCAACAGCTACAAGAACGTGCTCGCTGTCGCCATCGGCACCGAGTACAGCTGGGCTGCCATCGAGGAGCTCAAGGACCGCATCGCCAACCCGGAGGCCTATGCTGCTGCTGCGCCGGCTGCCGCGGCCGAGGAGACCAAGGCCGAGACCAAGGCCGAGGAGAAGGAGGAGGAGGCCGAGGAGTCTGACTCTGACGGCGGCTTCGGCGGTCTCTTGTACGTGACGCTTGAGCGCGAGGCTCCCATTTTTTCCTATGCCTGTACCTGTCGTGCTAACCGTGTCTTTGCAGCGACTAAACGGCTTGCCATCTGTCTGGCAGAAGACGGTTTGGAATGTGCCGGAAAGCGATCGTTTTTCCGCATCTTTGATATCCACACAGATACTATACCAGCCATTTTCGGGGGAAATAAAAAAAGCGGCCAAGGCCACCAAAAGTATGAAAGAACACAACAGGGCTCAGAATTCGTGCGGCGCAGTGTGACATGATGACTACAAGTCAATCGGTCCTGTCTTCTGTAATGGTACGTTTATCTTCTTTTATCACACACATATTCACCCGGGAGCCGTCGATGATTTGAAAAATATCATACACGAGCTTTTTAACCCTGAAGTTTTACTACTGAAGACACCCATCACTGTATTTATGAGACGCAATCCCATTTCTTTATTATCCTCCATCTCTACACATCACTTTCGATGTTCATGAGCTAACATAATCTGAATTGGCAGTTTTCAAAGATCCTCGAACGTGCATCATCGTAGTCGTAACAACGTGATCAGACGCCGCCTTCACGCAACAGCCTGCACCTGGCCGGCTGTCCGTTTCTGCGCCAGCACCTCCTCTGCAACCCGTATAGCCTGCTCCGGCATGCCGGCCATCCGGGCCACCTTGAGCGCATGGCTCTGCCGGTTGACGCCCCTGCGCAGACGATGGACGTAAGCGAATCCGCCTCGGCCGTCCTCTTCGACGTCGGTGCAGTACGTTTCCACCGGTCCGTTGCTGCTGCCGCCGGAAATCATGCCTTCGGCGGCCGCCAGGTTGGCTAAGCCGTGAAAGTGTGTCGCAAACAGCGTCCGGCACCGGTTGACGCGCACGAGGTGGTGCAGGGCGGCAAAGGCAACTGCTGTGCCGTCCTCAGGCGTGGTGCCGCGGCCAATCTCGTCCATGATGACAAAGCTGCGCGGTGTTGCCGCGCGCAGGATGTGTGCCGTCTCGAGCATTTCGACCATGAACGTACTCTGGTCGCGGAAGAGGTTGTCGGCCGAGCCAACACGGCTGAAGAGCGCATCCACGAGGCCCAGGTCAGCCTGTTCGGCCGGCACGAAGCAGCCAACCTGGGCGAGGATCGTGATGAGCGCGTTCTGCCGCAGAAACGTCGACTTTCCCGCCATGTTGGGGCCGGTTATGAGCCAGAGGCTACCGTGTGAGGATGTGGTGGCAGTGGTGGCAGCTGCGTCCTCAACCCCCCTCACGAAGCAGTCGTTGCGCGCAAACGATCGGCCCTGCTCGGCGAGCCCGCCCTCGACCGTCGGGTGACGGCCGCCAACAATGGCCGTGGTCGTGCCGCGATGCAGACGGGGCCGACAGAGGTTCTGCTCGAGGGCCAACCGCGCAAACGACGTGCCAATGTCGAGCTCGTCCAGCACGGCAGCGTTGCGTCGCAGCGGCACCAGACTGCGCACCACCGTCTCGCGGATCGCCTGGAACACGCGCTGCTCTTCGGCCCGGATGTGCAGTCGCACCTGGTCGAGCCTCTGGCCCAGTGCCGTCCACTCGGGCACGTGAAGCGACCGCGTTGTCCGGCTAGACGAGATCGTCGTGTGTGTCTGTGCTGGCGTGTCCTCGCCGTCATCGCTGCTGCTGCTGCTGCTGGCCCTCGAGGCCGCCCGTCCCTTTAAATGGCAGATGTGCCCCAGGCCCGGCGTCCACTTGAGCACCAGGCTCGGCGCCTGCAGACGGTGGCGCAGTTCTTCGGTCAGCGTGACCCGCTCGGCCGTCAGGTCGGCCAGTTGGGCGTGCAGCACGGCCAGAGCCGAGCTCGCCGACGGCTTCATCACCCAGGCCTCACTGTCCTCGCCATAGTAGTCGCGCAGCGAGGGCGTCTTTCTCCGGGACGCAGACGTGGCGGTGGCTGTGGCTGTGGCTGTTGTCGCAGCTGTGGCGGCCTTGACAGCCTTAGCCCCTGTCTTGGCTTTTTTGGCCTTCTTGCGTAGGATGGAGCGGTCGTCGGGCAGGGAGCGGTCGGCCTCCTCGGCTTCCTCAGCCAGGGTCATCAAAACGTCGGCCTCGCTCGCCTCTATCGCATGCTGGTGCATCAGGCCCTCCTCATCGACTGATTCCCGGATGCGCTGGGCAATGGCGAGTGGCCGCTCAAGACTGATTCGGTCCGCAATGGCATGGAGACAGTCAGCAGGCGCAGAGGCCGCATGACGTAGTAAGCCCACAATATCCTGGGTGGCCGAGACGGTCTTGGCCAGGTCGAGCAGGTCGTCGGGGTCGCCCCGACCGAGGGCAAACTTCTGCACGAGGCGGTGAGAGTCGTAGCTCTTCCGCAGCAGAAGGGTGGTGTCGTCTCGGAGAGGCTCGTCCTCGAGAAAGCGGGAAACCAGGTTCTGGCGAGCCTCGATGAGCTCGAGCGACGTCGAGGGCGCGCCTGACCCGACTGCATTAGCTGGGTCGCAGAAGGAGACAACGCACCGCCAGGGCTCCATCCATACTCAGCCATTCGTTCAGCAGCCTCGCCCCGCTCTTGGTCACCGTTCGTCGAATGGCATGCAGCAGGCTGCCGCGAAAAAGGCCGTCCCGCAGCGTCTGCTTGATCTCGAGCGACCGCATGGTGTTCTTGTCAATAGTCATCGCCTGCACGTCCTCGTATCGCACTGGCGGCTGCAGCTTCATCGTCAGGCCCTGGAGACGGTCCCGCACGTAGCGCAACAGCAGGCTGCCGGCCGCAATCTCTGGGGCCGTGAACGTGTTCGCGTCAGAAGCTGGGATTTCCGACTCGAGCACGTGAGCCCAGTCGGACAGCGAGTCCAGGCTGCTGCCGGACGCTTGGCCTTCTGCTCCTTCTGCAGGCGGGGCAAACGTCACGACTTGCTGCTGCTGGCGGTCGTCTTCCAGGATGGGAAAGAGCGGGTGGACATCCCGCCGCAGCTGCAGCTGCTCGTCTAACACAACTTCGCGAGGAGCCACACGTGACAGGACAGAGCCCACGGCCGATAGCGTCGTGGCCTGTGTGTAAAAGTGTCCGGTCGACAGATCCAGCCAGGCCAGGCCGACAGATACAGATTTGGGACTAGCAACAGTCATTGGAGATGAGGTGGCACTACTCGCGCTTGGCATCGTAGCACTTTGTCCTGGCGCATCTGCATCTGCATCTGCATGGATGCCCATAACGTAGTTGTTTGTGTAGGGATCCATGAAATTCTCGTCGATTAGCGTCCCAGGAGTGACAATGCGAGCCACCCGCCGGTCGTGCATCAGGCCGCCCGACCGGACCTTGTCGGCCGCCGAGTTGGGAAACTCTTCCGAGATGGCTACGTAGCGGTTGAGGTCATGCACGAGGATTTTGAGAAAGCGGTCCAGTTGGAAGAAGGGGAAGCCCGCCTACGCACTAGGATATCAGAGTCGGATTGGCGAGCAGCAGAGGAGGGGCGGAAAGATGGGGACGAAAACGGACGGAAGAGATGGTGTTGAGATGGGAAGGGAAATGGGCTCGAACGGGGAACGTGGCCCATGATGGACCGGGCTGAAGGCATGAACGGGAGAAGTGGTGAGAGAGCGGTGGAACGGACTGGAGATCGCACGAAGAGATGATACGATGTGGGTGGAGGTGTGGAGGTGCATGATAATAAAAAGAGGGGGGAAAGGAGAAAACAAGATATGAGAGGTGAGATATACCATAGGCACGGGACCAGCATTGGTTTTCTTGGATGCGACCTTGATGTTGAGCAGAGGACCGAACTCCTGGGCATGCTCAAAGTACATCTCGTAGAAGCCACCTACGCGCGTCAGCAGGATGCAGTTGGCGAACCGGTGCATGTTGCGGCGGGCCTGCAGGATGACCGTAGGGTAGACAGGCTCGTCCTCGACGCTGTCCTCGCTATGGGCAGATTGGGCAGCCCGGCCCGACAGCACAGCTGGCTGGACCGCCTGCGCCGACTGGCCAGACGCTGGAGACTGGGCAGACTGGGCAGACAGCCTGTCGAAAGTCCCGCCTTTCCTGGTCCTCCTGCCAGTCCGACCGCCGGACAGAGGCTTGACCGCTGTCTCGTCGGGCAGGAGGACGCCCTGCGGCAGGTCCTGGAGCCGGACCACCGTCGTCGTCTTCTTGCCACGAGACGAGGAGGGACAAGACGAGGAGGGAGTCGAGACGAGGACAGCAAGGCTGGGCCTGGGCCTGCAACGTCTGAGCGCCGTCGCCGCACGTCCGGATGCTGTCACTCCCGTCGAGCAGCCCCATATGGGTGAATAGATGGCCCGGACCAGGGTCCAGCCCGGATGCCAGCAGCCCATAATATGGGCTGAGTCGACCAGAAACGAAACAGAGTCGCGAGCAGAACCAGTCGGAACACGAAGGCCGGGGTACCAGATGATGACGGAATGCTTTTCAAGAAAAAACCGGGTCGATAATCGATCAGTAACGGTCGAGAGATGCTGCGATTCGATGCAAGGCAAGGCAAACGAGCTGATGAAGACATCCGTAGACGCAGACTGTGGCAAAAATGACAACAAGCACCGGGTTCGTTCCTCTTCCTCCTCTCGGACCCTCCTCTCGGAGGTCCCGTGCCGATAAGTCGGGCTGGCCTGGTCGTCGAGGACCTAAAAAAGCATAAACAAGCTTTTGACTGGCGGCGCGGTCGCATCGATCCATACACGGCTCGGCATGGTGTTGTTGATTCGCCTTGAACGCGCCCCTAATAATATAGCTTGATAGCTACTTCTTATGTGCTGTACCGTACAGAAGGACAGTGCGGAGGATGTGGGCACGGCCCTTGAAGAACTTTTCTTCGTCTTTTCGCGATTATTAATTGGGGGGGGCGCGGTGTAGTGGCGTGGCACAAGGACTGTTGACAAATGAAGGAGCACACCATCCAACGGTGGGCTGTTCGCGCCTTCCTAAGAGCGGCGCCTACGAAAACGAGCAGGCTAAAGAGGTCCGGCAACAGAGCGCCAAATGCAGTACCACAGTGGGGGGATAATGCCGTCTGTTTCTTTTCACTACCAGCCAGGGGTACGCACGCGGATACAGCAGCTGAGCCGCGCACATGGCAAATACAACATGTTATTTTTTCAGCTCGTACGCTGATTGCACATATCGCGTTGTTTTTGCAGATGTTGCGCAGTGCCTTGCGAGACAGAACGGGGAATCCGCGGTCATTATGCGAAAGAGAAAAAAAATGGGGGAAAACGGGGAGGGAAAACGACGAGAGGACACAAAGAACGGGAACAGCGAGGAGACCGAAGGAGGAAAAAAAGACCCAGGGCCCAACAAGGACAGCCGTTCGTTCTGCCACATGCCGGATCTGACAAAGCACAAGGACAAGCGCACTTAAGTGGTCCTGGGCTTCCTCCGACTGCCTGCCCGGGAGGGGGGGGGGTCCTTGCGCCTTGCTCTGGCCACTCTCTCCGTATCCTGGCATGACCCGAACCAAAAGTGGCACCATCGTGCTCCACCAACCGTCGTTCACCTGCAGATTGCAACACCCCCCGCCCCGCGACACTAGGACTGAACTGGGTCAGACACCAGAGTGTCGTACCCTCTTTCCAGGTGCTCTCACGGCATCGACCGACTTTTGGCCCGTTGTGCGGCGGCTGCTCAGGCCATTTGCCAAGCGTTGTCGTCCGCTATGCCCTCTCTGCATGCCTGGCCTCGCGCCAGCATCGACAGATGCCAGGGCCCCAGGCACGGCGGCGGCAGTCGCTGGAAGACGTCCGGCACAAGGCCTCTGCCAGGCAAACCGGGGAATGGCTGCGTTTCCTGGCCAGGCCAACCGCTGTTGCTCGCAGGTTCTCGCTTGTCAGACGGGAGGTCTCAGTCTCCAGTCACGCCGGCCGGCCCACTGCTTGCCCAGATGATGGAGCCATCTAATATACTGGCGACCTCGTGCTGATCCCACCTAATGCACTGCTGAGCAGCCGGAGGACACCATGAGGGCAGCATTATAAAACACTTTCCTCTTTCTCTCTTCCCACCCGGCCCTGTTTCCCCACCCTGTTGTTCTGTCTCTCCTATTTTTACCCGTTTGCCCTTCAACCTCTTTCCTTCCGCCTACCAGTTTCCTGCTTTCCCAACGAATGACCAGACAGACGACCAGAAATCAAACACTCGCGCCGGAAGCACCAGGAAGCGAGCAGAATCAGTCCGTCGCAGCGAGCGGTCTCATATGTCCGCAAACACACACACAGCATTCCCAACCAACAGCCGACTCTACGAGACCGAAGAAGACGGGGGGAAAAAGCCGCGCAACTGTTTGTCCTGCAAGAGAAACGGCACCTCTGCTGTGGACTAGATCTAAATAGACGAGTGGGATTTAAGCATGGCTGCGTCTGTGCCGTGGGTGCCGTTTCCTCTTGGTCACCAGGTCCCTGTCACGCCACCGCCAGATATACAGGCGTTTCCGCCCCAGCAGCCTCCGCCGCTCTCGCCGCATCTTTTGAAACATTTCGCCCAGGAACTGTACGGAAACAGTGCTCAGGGCAACCAAAAAACGGCTGCTTTTCAGGCGCACTTGATGATGAACCAATTGTCCTCGCAAGGCGGCATCCTGTCCGGGGCCCTGGGCTCTGTGCCCTCGCCGCCGCCGTGGATCAAGCTGGAGGCTGATGGCGGCATGACGAGAGCCCCGGCCTCGGCTCGGTCCAATTCGGAGCCCACGACGACGTCCGCATCAACTGCGGCGACACAGACAACTGCTGGTGGCGCCGACTCGACGTCGACAGCCGCGACGACGACTGTGCACTCGGACGCGGCCGTCCAGTCGGCCAAGGTGGCCGAACACCAGACTGCCGACGCTTCGGCAGCAGCCAGCGCCAACGATCCGCGCTACCTTGCCATGGCCTCACGCATCGCCGCGTATTACCACCAGCGCTGCCAGGCCGTGGCCAACTTCCAGCAGCAGCGCTGCCAGGCCTGGGCCAACATGCAGCGCCAGAAGAGCCAGGAGATGACGCAGGCGGCCATGCTGGTCATCGCCTGGTACATCCGGGACCGCATCCAGCGTCGTCGGCGTCGGCAGAAGCGCCAATTCCGCCGCGGCCTGGCTTCCAAGGCCCGGGCACCGACGCCGGTCAAGGGCGATGGTGCCGGTGCGGATGCGGGCGCAGGTGTGGGTGCTCGCAACCGGGCGGCTGGCGGCATCAGTGGGACCGGACGCATCACCAAGGGCGACGTGGTCCGCAAGTGGATATTGCAGGTGCCCGAGGGCAAGGAGGCAGCCGGATCCGTCAACAGCACGAATCGACGCGAACGGCTGGCCGACCCGGAAGAGGCGGCATTCGACATTGACCGCGAGGTGGCGTCGGACAAGGACGTGCGGTTGTACAATGTGGCCGACAACCTGATCAAGAGCCAGCTGGCGCGCATCGACGTGCCCATGATGGGCAAGCTGTCGTTTGACGCCAGCGAGAGCGAGAGCGAGGAAGACGACGACGACGACGAGTTTGAAGAGGATGAGGATGACAACGAGGACGACTATGCCATGGTGGACTACGAAGAGAGAGGGGCTGGGCCTGCTGCTATTGCCGTGGCCACCATGGGCGCAGCCGTTGCTGCTCGTGCTGGGCTTGGCGCTGGCGCTCGCGGCCAGGACGAAGGCATCCTCCAGGCCAAGGCCAAAAACGAAAATGACCACCACAATGACCATGACGACGAATACCTGCTGGAAGATGCCGAGAAGGATAGCGACGCAAACCTATCGGCGATGGTGCACCACGCCACCAGCCATCCGCGCGAAAAGGAGAGCTACTACTCATGATAGGACGAGAGAAGGAGAGCAAGAGCGAGAGAGAGAGAGAGCGAGCGAGAGAAAGAGAGACGAGCGGCGACGAGCAAGAAGAGAAAAGAGAAAAGAGGAGGGAAGCGAACGCTCACATATGCCTTTCCCTAGTACTGTGTTTTGTGCTTTCTGGAGTTCTGCGGGTCTAACGTCACGATCGCGAAAGGAATCTCGGCCCGCCTGGTCTTTTCTTTGTAACGGATGGCGGATTTTGTATGCGGCGGTGACGACTTTCTGACATTTGCTTTTCTTTTCCTCATTTTCCTTTGTTCTCATCTGTCCCGGCGTTGGTCTGCTGGCACTTTTGGGTTCTCATGGCAACTCGGGCATGTATGGGCGCTTCGCTTCTCTCTTCACACATAAAACACACGTTCACACAACCTTTCACACACTCTGACAAACCTTCACCTACCCCAACATTATTTCATCTGTCGTCGGCTTCGTTTCTAGTCGTAGTGTTTATTCAATGCACATAGTATATATTTCCTGACAGCTGTCAGTTGTTGGGCGATTGTAGGGGCTCTCACCGCCCCCGAAAGCAGGCCATCGGCCTATTTATTGATTCGGTCCGAACAGATGGCATCTAATACGATATCTTCCACATATGCAAGGCACAACTACATGCGTGGCCGTGGGACGCCGTAAGATACGTCGTATAGTCTTTTGGACGTGAACACACAAGATAATCGTGTCGTGAAGTGGACCCGAAAACGGTCCCGGTGGACCGGAAACCAGCTGGGTCGGAATCCTTCTGAAACGCATCGCCAGCCCTGACAATACGATTTCCGATCGTACTTGATTATCATGTTACTCCAGCCAACCTGGCCACCGTGTGATAATTCGCGTCCCCTCTCATACCAAATCAGGATGAGCTAAGCTACTGGACTGCGTGCGGCAGCCCGAAGGGGTTAAATGATCCGCACTAGGCCGAGTGCGGAGCTCAGACACAGATGTGGGTCATTACTAACGACTCGTCTCGTGCGGAGAAGGCACCAGCCACCCTTTCCAAGCTCCTCATCCCAATTGCTCCAACTCCTCGACTCCTGTGATCGCCTGGCGCTATCTCTGGCACTCGACTCCTTCCATCTCTGCTGTCATCCATCTGGTCGTACCTTCCTCTTGGGCAGAAGATATTCGGTTGACGACAGCACTCTCTCTGTCTCTTACTCGCTAATTCCGAGCTCCATCACCATCTCCATCTCCACCTCTACACCGTCAACAAAGCTGCCATTCACAAGCAGACATCATGGGCGGCGGTGACAGAATTCCGATTACTGCTGGCGGCAGCTACCCGATGCAGGCACCGAAGCCGGTCGGCCAGCGCATCTCCAATATCTACCGTGACCGCATCAACCAGTTCTACTCCAGCGGACAATGGGACAAGGTGAACCTCTTGTCGTAAGTCCTTCGGTGTCTCCTTGTGCAGGTGTCGTTGCAGAGCATCCAGCTAATTCGGTGACTAGGATGATGAACGAAGGCGTTGCTTCCGGGCATCCCCATGTGCGGCTCTGGACGTGGCCAGCTCCCGATCTCGAACGCCCGACCTTTTCAGAGGCCGTCAAGAACAAGTTTGAAAAGACGTCGGTGGGCGCGTCGTTTGGGCCGTCATGGTCGACGCACTGGTTCCGGGTCGAGCTCACCGTGCCGGAGGAGCTGCTCAAGAAGGAGCTGCTCGAGTTCCACTGGGATGGCAACAACGAGGGCATGATCTGGTCCGAACAAGGCGAGCCGCTGCAAGGGCTGACGGGTGGCGGCGAGCGGGTAGAGTGGCTGATACCCGACAGCTTCCGAGACGGCAAGACGCACACATTTTACGTGGAGATGGCGTGCAACGGCATGTTTGGCAACGCGACAAGCGACAGCATCCAGCCGCCCGACCCGAACCGCTACTTCCAGCTGGCCAAGGCGGACATTGTGGCGGTCAACTACGCGGCGCGCCAGCTGTACATTGACATCTGGATCATCGGTGACGCGGCCCGTGAGTTCCCGACGGACTCGTGGGAGCAGCACAAGGCACTCAACGTGGCCACCAAGATGATCGACTCGTTTGAGCGCGGCAACCCGGGGTCGATCCTGCGGGCCCGCAAGATTGCCGAGGAGTACCTGGGCGCGCGGGTGGACTCGTCGGCCGTGTTCCAGACCAAGCCGGGCAAGGAGCCCGTGGTGTTTGGCATCGGACACTGCCACATCGACACGTGCTGGCTGTGGCCGTGGGCCGAGACCAAGCGTAAGGTGGCGCGGTCGTGGACCAACCAGTGCAACCTGATGGACCGCTACCCCGAGCTCAACTTTGCCTGCTCGCAGGCGCAGCAGTTCAAGTGGCTCAAGCAGCTGTACCCGTCGGTGTTTGCGCGGGTGAGTGCCAAGATCAAGGCCGGGCAGTTCCACCCGATCGGCGGCAGCTGGGTCGAGCACGACACCAACATGCCCAGCGGCGAGTCACTTGTCCGGCAGTTTGTCTACGGACAGCGCTTCTTCGAGGGCCACTTTGGGTCGCGCTGCCAGACGTTCTGGCTGCCCGACACGTTTGGCTACTCGAGCCAGCTGCCGCAGCTGTGCCGGCAGTCGGGCATGACCCGGTTCCTGACGCAGAAGTTGAGCTGGAACAACATCAACAAGTTTCCGCACACGACGTTCAACTGGGTCGCCCTGGACGGCTCGCAGGTGCTCTGCCATATGCCGCCGTCCGAGACCTACACGGCCGAGGCGCACTTTGGCGACGTGCGCCGCAGCATCACGCAGCACAAGTCGATGGACCAGGACCACACCTCGCTGCTCGTCTTTGGCAAGGGTGACGGCGGCGGCGGCCCGACGTGGCAGCACGTGGAGAAGCTGCGCCGCTGTCGCGGCATAGCCGACACCGTCGGCCTGCTACCACGTGTGCATCTTGGCGAGAGCGTGGACACCTTCTTTGCGCGGCTCGAGGCTAAGGCAGACTCGCTGGTCACGTGGTACGGCGAGCTGTACTTTGAGCTGCACCGCGGCACATATACGACGCAGGCCAACAACAAGCGCAACAACCGGCGGGCCGAGTTTGTGCTGCGCGACATTGAGTACCTGGCCACGGTGGCGTCTCTGATGCCGGGCAAAGAGTACCAGTACCCCAAGGCGGACATTGACGACATGTGGGAGGCCACGCTGCTGTGCCAGTTCCACGACTGCTTGCCGGGCAGCTGCATCGAGATGTGCTACGACGACTCTGACGAGGTATGTTGGACAACTTTCCTTCAGGGCCACATTCCTTGCTGACATGATACCAGCTGTATGCCAAGGTGTTCAAGACAGCCGAGCGTGTTCTCAAGGACATCTACAAGGTGATTGGCGTATCGACAGCACAGCCGATGGCCATGGCAGAGGGCGCTGCGATCAACACGATCACGTGGCCGCACAAGGAGCTGGTTGAGCTGGCTAGCGGCAAATGTGCAGTCGCAGCAGGCAGCGGTCCGTTGCTGGCGCTGGAGCCGCTATCGGCACATGTGGCGACGGCAGGCAAGAAGCTGGGTGGGCCAGACGTCAGCGTCAAGGAGACGAAGGCGGGCGTGTTTGTTCTGGAGAACACGGACCTCCGGGTGACGATCGAAGGCGGTGTGATCACGTCGCTGTACGACATTGTTGGGCAGCGCGAGGTGATCGAGGCTGGAAAGAAGGCCAACCAGTTTGTGATCTTTGACGACAAGCCGCTGTACTGGCAGGCATGGGACGTGGAGGTGTTCCATCTGGACACGCGACAGGAGCTGTCGAGCACAGGCACGCACATTGGCGAGGTGACGGCACACCGGGTCAGCGTGGTGACGGAGACGCGGATTAGCGAGAAGAGCAAGATCCGGACGACGATCAGCCTGGCGGCAGCACTGGAGGGAGAGCCGTCGATTGTGGAGGTAACAAGCGACGTGGACTGGCACGAGACGATGCGGTTCCTCAAGGTGGAGTTCCCGGTTTCGGTTCGCAACACGGAGGCATCGTACGAGACGCAGTTTGGCCTAGTTCGACGGCCGACGCACTACAACACGAGCTGGGATATGGCCAAGTTCGAGGTGTGCAGCCACAAGTACGCGGACCTGTCGGAGCACGGCTACGGGGTGTCGATTCTGAACGACAGCAAGTACGGGTTTGCGACGGTGGGCAATCTGATGCGGCTGTCGCTGCTGCGGGCACCCAAGGCGCCAGACGCACATGCCGACATGGGCCAGCACACGATGCGGTGGGCGATCATGCCGCACGTGGGAGTGCTGGGAGCAGCGACAGTGCGCAAGGCATTCCAGTTCAACAACCCCAAGGTGCTGGTGCAGGCAGAGGCTGGGGTGATGCAGGCGGCCGGGATGGCGAAGCAGCAGCCAGTGACGCTGACGGGCGACAAGTCGCTGGTGCTGGACACGGTGAAACGAGCGGAGGACGACGCGGACGTGCGTGCAGCAACGGCCGAGGGAGCGGACGGCCCGCTGCTGCGTCGGCCTCGAAGCAGCCGCAGTGTGGTGCTGCGGATCTACGACAGTTTGGGAGGACGATCGCGTGGAAGGGTGGCAGTGAGCGAGGATTGGGCGGTGGCCAAGGTGTTTAAGGCGAACCTGCTGGAGGACGACGTGGAGGAGGTGGCGGTCAAGGAGAACGAGTTTGCGGTTGATCTGCGGCCGTTTGAGGTGGCGACATATCGGGTAGAGTTGAAGTGAGGGGATGAGGATAGTGGATGGTGGATGGTGGAGGCGGATGATGGATGATGGGACGGTTGAAAGAGGATGGTGGACCTGGATTTGGAGTGATGGGATAATAAGATTGCGGTCACTTTGTGGACATTGGACTTTTAGGCAGATCTATGGTGATCGAGAGGACAGAGGACAGAAGACAGAAGGCAAACATATAGTTAAGAACGGTCGACTCGCTCAGAAGATGCCGGCTCAGATAGTATAATACAAGTTGGGAACTCTCCGACATACAGACGCATACAGACGCAAAAGAGATTCAAGGCAAAAGGCATTATGCGCGGTCGCTGGGCAGATCACGGATGACAGCTTCGACGAGGCGGATAAGATCGTCGATGTCGGGCCGTTCGGCGGGTTCGACGGCGAGACAGCGGCGGACGACATCACGGACGGAATCGCTGACGACAGCGTCGATGTGAGCAGGTGGCGGCGCGGCGCTGGCGGTCTGGCTGGCGGCAGTATTCGAGCGCTGAGGAGGACGTTGTTTCTTCTTGCCGCCGGGTCCTTCGTCGGGAAAGCGCCAGTCGCCGGAGAGGACGCAGATGGCGAGCGAGCCACCGGTCTCGTCAGAGCGCAGCTCAAAGGGCGACTTGCCAACGAGACAGGCATACAGAGTGCAGCCGAGCGACCAAATGTCGACCTTGGTGTCGATGACGGCGCCAGTCTTGACGTCAAACAGCTCGGGCGCGCGATACGGCATAGTGCTGTGCTCAGCCGCAATGTCCTGGGTGGCGATTGCGAGGCTGCGGGACGTGATGGCGAGCGGGCTCTCGGCGATGGAGCCGAGGTCCATGAGGATGGGGGTAGTACCATCATCGGCGATCATGATGTTGCCTATGGGGTTAGAGGGGGGAGGAAAGGGATAAGAGTACAGAAAACTGACCCGGCTTGATATCCCGATGCGCATAGCTCTTCCCGCGGCCAACACGCGTCTCTTCGGCCATCAGCGGCTGCTGCTGGGCCGACTCGTCCTCGTCGTCGGCGCCCGACGAAGCAGCCGCGTGTGCAGCCGAGACGCGCTGGTTCTGCTCGGCCGTATTTCTGCTGTTGCTGCTGTCGTTGCCGTTACTGTTGCTGTTGCTTCCAGGCACTACCATGCGCTCGGCCGACGTGGAAGGCCCTCCTTGATAGACGTGCATCGCCCGCAGGGCATGACACACGCCGAGGAAGAGCTGCATCAGGTGCTTCTCTGGGAACTGCGTGTGGTTGACCAGGTTGGCGTTGATCAGGTCCTGCAGATTGCCACGGCGGTAGTATGGCAGCACAATGTAGACTGTCTTGGCCGGGCCGCCGCCGTTGTCGCCGATGCCGCCGCCACCACCGCCACCGCGCTCCGTGGCCACGGCGTAGTCGATGCTGTGGATGATGCCGTCGGCGCGGGCGAGCAGGCGGTAGGCCTCGACCTCGCGCATGGCCTGGGCCACCGACTCGGCGCCAAAGGGACAGCGGATCTTTTTGAGGGCGAACAGCTCGGCCGTGGTCGTGTCCTGGACGAGATAGACATAGGAGAAGCCGCCCTGGGATGTCAGAGGGGTAGATAAGAGGGGGGAGAGGGGGGGAGAGGAGGAGGAGGAGGAGGAGAGAGAGGGAGGGGGGAGGAGAGGAGGAGAGAGGAGGAGAGGAGGAGGAGGAGGAGAGAGAGGGAGGGGGGAGGAGGAGAGAGAGGGAGGGGGGAGGAGAGAGGAGGAGAGGAAGAGAGGAAGAGAGGAAGAGAGGAAGAGAGGAAGAGAGGAAGAGAGGAAGAGAGGAAGAGGGAGAGAAACAGAGGGAGAAGAGAGAAGAGAAGGAAGAGAAAAAAAAAGAGAAAAGTCGACGAGACAATTGACACACACCTCTCCCAATAACCGCAATATCTTGAAACTGCGACTGTTGATCTTGAGCGTCGGCGAGCTCGGAAAGCACGACAAACAGTGCCCAAACGAATAGACGACGTCCAGCAAGGCGTTGGCCATTGTGATGACGGCGTCGGACATGTGCCGACAAAGAGGACGGGCGCACACGTACAGAACTCAATCGACCGATCGGATCTGTCAGACACGTCTCGTCTGCGTCTGCCGGGCTGTTCCGTGTATGTGTAGAAGCTTCCTGCCGTCCGGTCTGGAGAACAACTGGCTTCCGTCGCCAGGATCACCAGCCTCACGGCCGATGCGCTAAAGACGCGTATGGAGCACAGCCCCAGTCTCGATGTGGCTGGAGGGTGGACCCAATGCACGGAAATTACGTAACCTTGCATCCATGTCGTAATCGGTGTGCTGAGACTGGATGTATGTACTCCGTACCAAGCACGCTGTCCGTCTGTCTGTCCGAGTGGACGGCAGATTCTGCGTGGCCGCGGCCTCGCTTAGTCGGCAGAAGGACCAAGGCAGCAGTCGGGCAAGACGCCAGACGGCCGTGGACGTGGGACGCGCAAGTGCTGCTGCTTCCTGTTATCTCGACCATCTCGACCATGTCGGCCGCAAGGCTGGCCCACAGCCAATGGGCTCGTTTTACAAATGTCTGCCTGTGCATGGTGCGATGCCGTATTGGGCGAGCTCGAATGCGCTCCCGCTTCTTGCTCTCACATGCTTTCTGGGTGCTTACTGGCGGAGGCACAGTACTTTGGGGGAATATTGGGTTTTGGTGCTTTTTAGAGCGTTTGCTGTACCTTTGCGGAGTACCGTTACACACGTCGATGATCTGCAGCCTGACGGCCGAGGCAGGATGAGCTTCGTCAAGAGGGCGCTCCCAGCTGTCATCTCGTTCTCGCTCGAGCACAGCCCATCGCAGGATGCAGACGCCTTCTCTGTACGAGCTGACCGTGCTTCACGGACTCATGCTTCACGGATGAAACTGTGCGAGCGCACCGTTTTGGCATCCTCGCTTCTGGCCTGCTCTCTGGCCTGCTCAATCAACCATCACACTGTGCTGACTCACCTGTGATGCCGTCTAGCCATCCCGTCACAGTATGACGCTCGGTGTCCATCTCTGTTCCTGTGCGCTGAAGCGAATCGATCTTGCTGTGTTACCGTCAACTGCCTGCGCTCTCGGTCTTTCCTTCGTCTTCTCTCTGCTCGGCTCTTTTATTTGCCCGCCAGCCGTGCCTGTATGCGTGACGAGAAGGGCCGAAGACGCTTCTGTTTTTGTTGACAGGAGGAGCCAACCTTTTCATCGGCTGCTTCGCCCTTCTTCGCTCTCCTCCATCCATCATCGAGCATCAAAATCGACATCGGCCATGATCATCCTCCCGACTCGGCGACACCGAGCCAAGGCATGGCTCCTCATCGCCATGTTTCTCGCCCTTGGGCTTGTGCTCACGGTCCATCGGAACGGCCCTGACCATCTGGGACAGCTGTCGGGGGCGTTGGGCGGCACGCTCAGCAGCATCGGTGCCCACGGCCGCTCGCCGCCCTCGGACGCCATGCTGTGCTTCTGGCGCGAGCTATGGGACGCCCTCGTCGACGCCCGGCCCAACACGGTCGAGACGGTCCACCTGATCGACAATCTGACCGACCACGACATGGAACCAGACCTGGACGTCGAGCCAGATCCAGACCGCCGACGGGTCGACATGACCCATCTGTCCGACAACCTGCGCCGGGAGCTCCACGTCGCCCATGCCCGCTTCTTCAAGGCAGCTCGCGAGCTGGGCACGCGGCTGCCTTTTGAGGGGGGACAGACAGAGAAAGAAGGAGCACAACCGATAGAAACACCATCATCACCACCCTCCCGCGGCATCGTGATGACGGCCGGCGGGGCCTACGTGGGCATCGCTGTGACATCGCTGCTGATGCTGCGGCGCAGCGGCTCGCAGCTTCCGGTGCAAATCTTCCTCGACACGGACGCCGACTACGACGAGGCCCTGTGCGAGGACGTGCTTCCGCGGCTGGGTGCCCGCTGCCGGGTGATGCAGCGTTTCTGGGAGGCCACGCCACACATGACGCCACTGTCCCGGTTTCAGTTCAAGGTCTTTGCCATCCTGCTGTCCTCCTTCCGCCAGGTGCTCTTTCTCGACGCCGACTGCTGGCCGGTCCGCAGCCCAGACGGGCTCTTTGACGCCGAGCCGTTTGTTGGTCGCGGCCTGGTCACGTGGCCCGACTTTTGGCTCTCGACCGCATCGCCCGCCCTCTACGGCGCCGACGGCATCCTCGCCATCGCCGAGCCGCCGCTGACGGCCCGCCGCAGCTCCGAGTCGGGCATCCTGCTGTACGACAAGGCCCGCCAGGCCACGAGTCTGCTGCTGGCGGCCTACTACAACGTGTACGGCCCCGACTACTACTACCCCCTGCTCTCGCAGGGAGCCGTCGGCCAGGGCGACAAGGAGACGTTTCTGCACGGCGCCCTCGTGGCCGGCGCCCCCTTTTACGACGTTCGCACGCCCATCGGCATCCTCGGCCGCTGGGTCAACGGCACGTACATGGCCGCGGCCATGCGCCAGGCCGATCCGGCCGAAGACTATGCGCTCGTGCGGCAGGCCGCCCACAACAACACGCCCGTCAAGGCCAGGCCGCTCTTTGTCCACCACAACCTCGTCAAGATCGACATCCGCCAGCTGGGCCGCTCCATGGAACGCGTCTACGCCGTCGACGCCACCCAAGGCCTCACCCGCCTCTGGCACGTCGACGCCGACTTCCTCGACGGCGCCGGCTACGACGTCGAAAAAGCCCTCTGGGCCGAGGTGCTGCAAGCCCTCTGCAACCGCCAACAGGAGCCGCCGGCCACGCCGTCCCGCGAGTGCACAGACCTGCAGCGGTACTACCTCCGCGTGTTTGGATAGCCCGCATGTTGGCCGGCGCCTTCGGCTTGCCTTCTACTTTGCTATACCACAGGTACGATTCGGCGTTCAGGAAAGGTGGAAAAACAAGAGATGCTCATCGTGGTATGCAGCAATATCAATGTAAATCGAACTTGCCGTTTTGTACACCTAAGGTGCCATATTCATCAAAATTCCAGTTTACATGCGCTCGGAAAAAAGTCGAGTGCATGCCACGCAGCGGGATTGTAGAAACGCAAGAATGTGCTGTCGGTGTCACATATCAGCCAGTTCGTTAGCCTATGCGCCATATCTTCGACGCCGTCTGCATACAGCCAGATACCTCTCACTTGACTACTTACCTTCGCTCGACGTGCATGAAGGGATCATCAGCGGACAAATCAATGAAGGCTGTGATGCCACGACTTGTAAAATCAAAGCTGCCGTGGATAGCTATAAATAGAGACATATATTAGCGTACAAACCCTGGGGCTTGCAGAACAAATTCCAACGACTGCCAAATCGAGTGACCAACGGCGAGGCGACTTGCGCTGCTGGAATGCTTCGTCATTTTTGTAAAGACGACAGCCTGTCTCGTAGCCTTGTGAGACGGCTACTGCATCGGGCAACCGACTTCCCCGACAATTCTTGCACTCACAGCTTTCTCCTAGTCTGGAAGCGGGTATGTGCACTCCATCACGTGACCTCGCGGCGTGTGGCCGGAGAAAGCCCCACCATCAGGGCTTGAGCTTAGCTCTGTTGCCGAACGCGAGTGCCAAGGCGCGTTGGCAATACAAATACTACGTCATTTGTTTACTTTTGTGCAGCTCGCCCCAAACGCAAAAAGACGCATTGAATTACCGCAAGCAGCGACACGACGGCCACAGCAATTCGATTCAGCCATGCAGCCTCTGCCAATGCCATGGCGTCAAGCAATCTTGGCGATGCTGGCTTGCCGAACGGCTGAACGGCCAGATAAGCGGTGAGAGAGAGAGGGTGGGTGGTGTCTAAGCTGTTCGAAAAGTAAACAAAAAAATATCGATTTAGTCTCCCCCCTCCTCTCCCCTTTACGACGTAGCTCGTACTATGTAGCGCCGCATCCGGACTCGCGCTGCCTGACCAACGGAACAGGGATGTCGCTGGGCGGCAGGCTGTTCCATGTGGTGAGATCGTGCTGTTTGAGGATGTGCCCTTTGTCCTCGCATACGAGGCAGGTCGGAGGTACGAGTAAGATACATAGGGCGGGAAAAAGCTACTATGTATCTGGCCAGCACTGATCGCGAGGGGCTCCCATTGCATCTCCACTTCCGGAGACAAGCAGAGAACGGGGAACCCCGGGAGAGGCAGGAAGGAGGACCAAGGGAACAAGGGAAGCAGCCGCGTGGCAGCGTGGGTCAGCTGGCTGCAGCAGCAAGAGCATCCTGAGACCGCTGCATTAGTATAGGGCGTTCTATAATTGTACCGTTACGTCGAGACCTTCATTCGGACGTCCATTTAGAGTCGGGGCGACTGGACATACGACGTACGAGCACTCAGGAGAAGGGCGAGCTTCGTCCCAAATTAAACCGAATGGGCATCCGAAACGAGGCCTGACCGATGGAGAACCGGGTGCTGGAAGGAGCAGTTTGTGGGCGTGCAGGTAATTGATCCAAGGCAGAGAGCGCTCGTAATTAGAGTCCTGGGAGCACGGGATTCGGGTCAGGTTCTGGAAACCGCCCTTTCTACGACACTTGTAGGGGGGCACCGTCCCTGTCTCCCCCACCCGAACCAGGAGGACAGCCCTGTTCTGCTGCTCGTTTGCCTCGCCCAGGAGCCAACCCCACCTGCAGCTGTCGGGGAGACGCCCAGGCGACAGTGGTTGGCCTGGCGGGTTGTCCTGTCAGCCTGCGGGCGCAGATGGCCCCTCTCCCAAGCCGAGATGAGCGGCCGCCCGATTGAGGAAAATCATGGGCCATCGTGTCCGTGGAATGCTGCGCGGCCGAGCTAGCCATCTGGCAAGATACGGAGCACGTCGCAATACTCGTAATGGCAAGGTAGGGCAAATTATCTACCGGGCTCTCCTTTCAGCGCCTGTCTTCTGGCCCTACATAGTATTGCCGTCGGGGTGGCCGTATGAACGGGGCCGCCACCAATAGTAGGCGCTACGGCCTACGTGCACATCTGGCTGTCCTGGTGGTGCATTTTCTACTTGTCCTGACGGCCTTGGACTTGCTGGGCGACCGGCGGAGGAAAGGAGCTGCGCACCCACCGTTCGTCGCATCGTCGCCCTTTCTCTCTACTCCGTACCACGAAGTATCCGCCTGTACGATATCCGTCCGGGACACGATATGCTGCATGTCGTGCACGGCTGTTGTGCTCCGTTCGCTGAGTGTGCAGGCCCTTTGTCTCTGTCGGCCCCATCAGGCTTGCTGGCCGGTTCTTCCTTTCCGCTGGGGACCGATCGGCTTCCTTTGTATCTTGTCTTTCTGTTCCGTACGGAGCAGATACTCGCACACCCCCGGATCCTGCCAATGCGCTCGTATCGAAACCCTCTGCGCTGGCAGGAGCTACGAAACTCACCGTCCAGAGAGCCGATGTAACGACTACAGACTGGTGTCATGAGAGAATATACACAATCTACATAGTACGGCGTAATGTGTATCGTGCATACGAGTGAGCTCGCCCCTTCCGAAACACAAAACATGGGTTGGCCACGACCCTCGTCCGGCTCATCGCCGAGGGCTCATTGGTCTTCTTCTCGCCGTGTTCCCCCCCCCCCCCCGGTCGGTTTCACGGTCTGGTACCGCCCGTCATCAGCAGCCCAGCTCAGAAACAGACCCCTGCACGTCAGCACCTGCTTCCTGTTGCGGCCAGGTGTGGTTGCGTGCGCCCTGCTGAACGCGGGCCAAGTGTGGTCGAGAGAAGGGGGCGCTGTGAGTGGTCGCCAAGCGAGAGTGGCTGTCGCACCTGTACGTACTATGTGCTATGGATGGATGTATCTTGCCTGTGGCATCAAAGACCTGATTCCTGCAAGGGAGCATTGAAACCAATATTCGTATACGGAAGTATCGTAACTCGAAAAGACCGGCCGCCTCGCTATGCAATCTATACCCACTGAGGAATTTCGCAAGAAGCGCCGGAATGGGCAACGGATGCCGTTTGCTGGCCTGGTCCCAGCTTCGTTTCCTTTTTCTCTCACTTCTTTAACCGCATTCGTGCAGAAGTTCCTTTTCTCCTGTCTCGGCCTGCAAAAGAGCGATCGCCACTACAGCTGGGCCTTTTGGCGGGTCGTACGGGGCACGCCATTATTACGAGCACTATTATGCGTGTGTGTGTTGCTGGATAGCCTGACCACCTAGCGGGTTTCGCTATCGCTGTGCTACATGCTATCTTATGTATCTTAGATACATACCTTGTGTACGGCATAATGTCACGTTTACCTGCTGCACTAGCGCACATTATAGTGGGCTGTTGCCAGGTCGCCGTGGTGCATGCACATGTGCTGCGTGCTGCTACTGCTGCTGCTACTGCTGCTGCTGTTGCTGCTGCTGCTGCTCGTGCAGCAAAGATAGCAGCCAACATGTGCGGAAGCTCCTAGTGCACATGCCCGTATCCCCATACACCCAGTCGGCGAAGATCCCACACACACCTACAGCCACGCCCCCCCAGCGCTTAACAGGTACGCAGGATGGGACCCCGCCAACCAGCATCCAGGTCGAACTGCAAAACCTAAAATTCCCCACTGAGCGAATACTATTATGTACACTGCTCGCTGTAACTGGCCGGGGTCTGTGTGGCTCTTCCGCTTCGCCAGTTTTTACTTTTTTTGCTTTCTGGCCGTCCATTTCCCTGACAACCCTCTGCTTCACGGTTTCCAGGGAGGAGAGGGCCCGTCCGAGAACAGAAGAGTCGAAACCGCCGAAAAAAGGAGTCTGGAAAGATACTTCACATCCAGCTGCCTCGCACACTCGCTCTCTCTTCATAAGCCTCTCTGTTTCCTCTCTTCTCATTCGCAATAGCTCTTCCCGTCTCTCTCTCCAACACTCCATTCCAGCCTCAGCCCTCTTAGATTCGGCAGTGTGCCCTCCCACAGCTTTTTCTTCCCCTCTCCACCCACACCGGTTGCTCTGCAACTGCTTGTCGAGAAGTCTGCATTGGCCCACCGACGTCTTCGATCTCGACTCCCCGTGAAGCTTTCCATGATACCATTCGCCAGCCAACCACAACTCGCCCAGCAACCACCAGTCCGATGCCTGCAGACGATTGCCGGCTCTAACACACTTCCTACCTTCCCCTCCTTTGCCGTCTTCTCCCCGCCTCGAGAACTCCTTCGGCCGCCTTTGTCGACCTCTCCGCTGTGTCCTGTCGCCGAACCGCCGAACCACCAATAGGGGCCCTTTTCTTTGCCGAACGTGCTCGCAGGAACGAACACTTAGAGATAGCCCTCCGGCTCCCTCACATTCGCTTACACATACCATTCTACTCGCAATACACTTTGCACATTGCACATTGCAAACTGCAAACTGCAATTTGCCCACCAGAACACCCTCCCTGACACCGTAATCTACACACCATGGAGACCTCTTCACCACTCGCTGCCATGCATCGGCCGGCTGCGCCGTTTGGCAAGCGGGATCTTTTTGCCAACCTCCACGTCCGTCTGTCGCCACAACGGCCTCGTGCCGGTGCCGGCTCCTTTAGCATTCATGACCAGATGAACCAGGAGAGCGACTACTTTGGCATGAAGCCTATCCACGGCTCGTCTCCTGCCGGCTCCCTGGCCGCTGACCTGTGCCAGAACTTCACTATCGGCGAGGATGCCAGGTACGGAAGCCTCTTTCTTGCTGACGAGATCCGACCAACTGCCTGCCCAATCCAGACTGCTAACATTGATCTCCTGGTTGCTAGCCCCCGTTTCCCGACTCCTCGCCGGGCTCTCTTCACATCTAACCATGTGGTGCCCGTAGAACGTAGGGGTAAGAAGACAGCCCCTCGGGCTGTAGACCTCTGCGCTGTTGCTGACGTCTCCAACAGGGTTCATGAAGCGGCCTCCTCCAATGCCCGTCTCGTCTTCGCCCAGCATGATGGACATGACTCCTGCGCCAAGAAGAACGCAGCGTACATCCAAGATTGATATGTCGTCTCCGTTAGCCGCTGCTTCTCTGGGTGCTTCGCCCCTGCAAGCATCTCCCCTGCGGGCGTCCTGCATGGATGCCTCGCCGGCATCGACATCGGACGATGAGATGATGTTGGAGTCTCCGTGTCCTGGGCCGCAGCCTGCTGCTGTGGACCTGCCGAGAGCGTTCGCTAGTGGCATTGAGTACGCTTCTCCGAACCTGGGCGGATGTGGATGTTGAGACGTCTAGCTAATCACAGTGCCTCGTTGATTAGGCGTCGGAAACCACTGCGGCGATCGTCTCTGACCCGTACAAAGGGCTACTCCTTTGCTGGCCCGACCCGTTTCAGTTCGGATACCCAACTTCCTGTCTTCCGATTTGGCGAGAGCCGTCTGCCAGCTGCCGCCCCGACTTCGTCGCTCACTGCGTCGGAATGCTTCCAGGACTCGTCACCAGCGCCAGCCGCCGCGCAATCTCGGCCACACTCCTCATACAGCCCGACTCCCAGTCCGTCCGTCGGGCCGATTCGGTCGCGGCCGTCACTCCTGTCCATGGGAAATGCAGCAGCAGCAGCACGCAGCGGTTCGCCCAGCCATGGCATGGGTGTCGGCCACGGCCACGGCCACATTCGCCGGACTTCCAGCTCGCTTGCCCGCCCTCGCCGACAGTACCGCCGGTCTATAAGCATGTTTGAGAGCCCTGTAGACGTTGTGCAGTCGAAGCGTGAAGATGGCGTCATGCTCCAGCCAGCACCGGTGCTGCAGCCATCGCTGCTGGCGTCTGCGATGGACACGGATGACTGCGCCTCGAGCGAACCGATGCTGCCACATTTCCTCCCGGCCGACCCGACTGACTGCATCCCGCGCATCGACCGGTCCACGCTGCTACGCGTCATGGACGGCGAATTCGATAACAGCTTCCAGAACAAGCTCATCATCGACTGCCGCTTCGAGTACGAGTATGATGGCGGCCACATCAGCGAGGCTGTCAACTTCAACGACAAGGACCTACTGGCCAGCCACCTGTTCCACAACAACCAGGCCGAGGGCCGCACTCTGATCGTGCTGCACTGCGAGTACTCGGCGCATCGCGCGCCGCTGATGGCGCGCCACATCCGTGCCGAGGACCGCGCTGCCAACATCGAAAGCTACCCCCGTCTGTCCTATCCGGAGCTGTACATTCTGGATGGCGGCTACAGCGGCTTCTTTGGCGAGCACCCGTCCCGGTGTCACCCTCAGGCCTACGTCGAGATGGATGCAGTCGAGCATGCCTTGGCCTGCGAGCGCGAGATGGGCCGGCTGCGACAGAACCGCAAGGGCCTCCACCGCGCCCAGACGTTTGCTTTTGGCCAGCAGCAGCAGCAGCAGCAGCCGGCGGCCAGCCAGCGCTCATATCAATTCAACGAGTTCTCGTCTCCCACTGCTCCCGGGCGCCCTATTCCACAGGAGTCTCCGTGCATGATGCTCGGAGCCTCGCCGATTCTCGGCTGCGATCGTGGCCACAACCGGCGGATGGCGTCCTACTAGAGACGTTTTGTCTCCGGACGAGAGGCCTGCTCGCTTTCATTCTCTTGCCATGCTCACGAGAACATGAGCTGTATCATAATACCCGATTTTACGTCTTTGCCATCACCTGGTAACGAACGACTTTGGTTTCCATCACATCAGCCATTCGTTTCTTTTTCTTTTTCATTCTTACATTCTTTTGCCATTCCTTTTTTCAGCGTGGCTTCGTTTTATACCACTGTCCACACCGACACCCACATCCACGAGCTTGGATCCCATTCTGTGCACATATTCACACTCCTTCGCGACTCGCCTGCAGCAACAAAGCTGTTTTGGTGGAGCCCCTCAGACGACCAGAAGAGCGAAAGAATCAGGCGACGAGTTTGTCGTCACCGCAACTCAACGAGAGACGAAAGCAAAGAACTGTATAGCATGAATTTTTGTCTACTACATCCACGCGCTCCATTGGCATCCGCATACTTTTCTGCTTTGGCTTTGATTAGACCTGGCGCAGAGAAAAACTCGCCATACTACTAGCATCGGCATCTTGCATTCGCAACCACAAAAAGCAAGCACCATACTAATCAGACTTGCTTGTTGTCGGCTGGAGAGGGAAAGAAGGCATCGCTTGTTCTATTCTTATCCTCAAAGTTTTGGAGCAATTCTGACACTGGCTCATTGGCGGTCTCTGGTCTCTTGGCTCTTTCTTTATTGCGCCTGCCGGGCACAATATCCTTTTTCTTTATGACTTGTTGCCTCTGGCATGCCCCTCCGTCGTTGACGCGGCCGTCCATGCAGTTTTTTCCTTACGAAGAGCGGGAAAGCTCGATTGATACCTTTTCCTTTATATTCGTACGCTTCCAACGCTTCACATGGAGCACGTGTATTTCTCACGACTTTTGTTCTTGGAGAGCGCAGCTAGCATGATAGCTGTGTACATTCGAAAAATATGATAAATCAAATCCGCAGATGTGCTCGTAGGCGTCGACTTTAGACTTGTATTATTGATATACTGCTGTGGCAATGCTTCGCTATTTGAAAAGGGAGACGTTGCCATGACGAGCTCAGCCTCACTATGTTTTATGGATACGTGCATATTGGCTTAGATACGATTCCGATAAGCCGATAGTTGTTTATGCGGTGTCGGCCAAATTTTCCCTACTTCAAACAACAACACGTCCTAAATGCAGGAGGCAAGACGACGCAAAGACGACGCTCACGGCATCCTCACTTCAGCGCACCGGGCGTTATGAAAGTTTTCTAACTTTTCAGTAACATAATTAGATTGAGGAGATCTGAACCTGACATCGTCAGGTGTTAATTAGCCGTTTAAATTCGCATCGAGTTGTTTTTTGGATGAATCACGAGTCTCAACGGCCATTGGCTTAGCTTCATATCATTCTTATTGTATAATCTTCGCTTTGAGACTGCGCTGTCAGCCTTCCACTGCCAAGTCACGAGCTCTTACGCCAACGATCTGAAGCTCATCATAACAGCTCACCGCATCCTTGCAAAATTATGTCTTTAAAACTGTAAGACGCCTTTTCTCAATCTCCAATATTTTCTCACCCGTTTCCCTCAAATTTCCCACGCTTCTGCACTCCCGGCGCTCGCTACCTAGTGTCATCTGCACCTCACCTTCAATGAACGCAATGCCCTCCTCGACTATCACAGACAATAGCCCCAAGGTGTAAGGTCCCATTTGGCAACTCACACTGCCAGCCTCTTGCTGTTGAATCTAACCGTTTTCTCAGATTTGTATTGGGCCATGTCAATGGCCAGCTGGAGACGGCCTTCAAGAAGCTCACCATCCTCCATGCCAAGAACAACTTCTCATGTGCCATCGCGACAGGAAACCTGTTTGGCCCAGACGAAGATGCCGAAAGCACGGATGAGCAGGTTACAAAGCTGCTGGCTGGCGAGATCACCATTCCTGTATCCACCTACTTCACAGTAGGCACGCGTCCGCTCCCGCCTCGCATCGTTGCCAAGATCGAGCAGGAGGAAGACGTTTGTGAAAACCTGCACTACCTTGGCAAGCGAAGCGTCACCAAGACATCAGACGGTATCCGAATCGTGGCACTCGGTGGTCTCCTCGACAATGGCAGTGACATTTCTGCCGTTGGTCCGTCCAAGGACCAGCACCTGCCATTTCACTCAGTCGAGGACGAAAAGGCCCTTCGCGGTGCCCACTCGGCCGACATCCTTCCCTGACAGCAGTCTGGCCCAAGGACATCTGGCGAGGCTCCGGCGTGGCGCTGCCGAATGGCTTGAGTACGGCTCAGATCCCAGCCAGCGATGGCCTGGCAGATCTGGTTGTTGCCCTGCGGCCACGCTATGTCCTGACTGCATCCCCGCTTCCGGCCAAGGATGGAGACGACAAGGATTTTGCCTCGTGCTTCTTCTACGAGCGTGAGGGCTTCTTCCACCCCGAGCGGCCGGACGAGACACACTCGCTGGCCATCGACGTCACGCGCTTCATCTCGCTCGCAGCTGTTGGCAACACAGCCAAGGCCAAGGCCATGTACGCCTTTGCCCTGTCGGCGGAAGCCCCGACGCTGGTGCCGGCCGGCTGTACGCCGTCGCCATACCTGCACCGGGGGGCGGCGTCGCTCAAGCGAGCACCGTTGGAGCCGGGGCCGTTTTCGCGCTTTGGCGACGGCAACAATGGGCGGCATTCGCGCAAACGAGCGCGGAACGGCGACCAGCCGCGGGCGCCACCACCAGGACCAGACAAGTGCTACTTCTGTCTGTCGAACCCGAACCTGCCGACGCACATGGTGTGCAGCATCGGCAACGATGCATACCTGGCGACGGCCAAAGGGCCGCTGCCGCTGTCGACGACCTTTTCGGAGCAGGGGCTCGACTTTCCCGGCCACATGATCGTGGTGCCGCTGAGCCACTCGCCCAAGCTAACGGCAGAGGCGATGCAGAGCAAGGACACGCCGGACGGACAGGCCGTAGCGACATCGACGTTCCGGGAGATGACGCGTTTCCGTGAGGGCCTGCAGGCGATGGTGGCGGCGCGCACGAAGCAGCGGCTGGGCACGGTGACGTGGGAGATCAGCCGGTTGCGCAACGTGCACCTGCACTGGCAGGTGATGCCAGTGGCGGCGGACCTGGTGCATCGTGGCCTCGTGGAGGCGGCGTTTCGCGTGGAGGCCGAGAACCTGAAGCTGCCTAGGCTGGAGGAGGTCACGACACCGGGCGAGATCGAGGGCGACTACTTCCGGGTGTGGATCTGGGCGGAGGAGCCAGACACGGCGGAGGACAAGGCCGTGGGCGACGACGATGGGGTGGCAGGTGGTCGCATCGTGGGCAAGACGCTGGTGATGCGCCTCCACGAGGGCGACTGGTTCGACCTGCAGTACGGACGCAAGGTGCTGGCCAAGCTGATGGGACTGGAGAAGCGGATGGTGTGGCAGGACACGGTGCAGACGGACGAGGAGGAAAAGACAGACGTGGCCGCTTTTCGGAAGGCGTTTACAAAATGGGATTTCACGCTGCAGGAGTGAGAGCGCTGGCTACAGGATGGCGGCCTGGAAGTTTAGACTGTCTTTGCCCAGGCGTTGTGCGTTATCTGCAGTTATATTAGAGGGATGGATGCAGTGATGCAGTGGCAGTCGGCACTGCTCCCGTAATACGAATACCCAAATGCATTTACAGCAGGGGTTATTTTGCGCCATTTGTTCTACCAGGTAGCATGGACGAAAACAGGGTGAGAGCAACTGATCAGTACCATCATATTTTGATGCAAATTGGCCAGCACATTTATTCTAAGCAGCTAATTACCAAATCGCCATACAAAGTGAAGTTTCACGGGAAAAAGCCGCTCCCTTTTTAATATAAGGCTGGGAGAGGTGATGAGTTGGCTATTTTACGGCCGGAGATAGTGCGAGTACCAAATTAAAGAAGCTACAGGGGTGTGAATCTAGCAAGGTTTGTCGGTTTGTTAAAGAATGTTTTCTAAAGTGATATTGATTACAAGATGGTGGTCAGATATTTAGTACTCGCTCTGCGTGTTCTGATGAAAGAAGTAAGTCGTATAATCGTATTACGATCAAGTATAGGGTGCGGGGTACGATACAAGATGCAACTATCAGACAATTTGAAAACTCTGCGTATAGGATGGGACGGACACTGATTGGTTAACTAGAGTCCGCCTCCGGCTAACGTGACAGCTTCACTCAAGAATCTTCCTATCCTCCGGCACAGGAACTTACATACTTCCAGCGTACTTTGGCTTAGTTCGTTTGACTAATATTGGCGGGGTATTTTACGGCGCGGTTATTACGCAGCTACAGAGTAATTTTTTTATCTTTTTACAATCTTGTCAAGAAATCATCCACCAGCTTTGCGACAATGGGAGCTTCTAAAGAACGTGCTGGGCCGTCGCCCTTTGACACCTACCAGACGTCATTGACGTCTAGATACTGCAGCGAGGCCATGGCACGGCTGTACGGCCAACGCTCTCGTCACTCGTTGTGGCGCAAGCTCTGGCTGCTCCTAGCAGAGTCCGAGAGCGAGCTTGGCATCGATACAATCACGCCAGAAGCTCTCCAGCAGATGGCGGTGCATCTTGAAGTAACTGACGAAGACTTCAAGACTGCCCAAATCGAGGAAAAAAAGCGCCGTCACGACGTAATGGCTCATGTGCACGCCTTTGGAACCGTGGCGCCGGCTGCGGCCGGTATTATCCACTATGGAGTTCGTTGTCACAAGATCCTCATATAAAGGCCGTCCTGCTAACCGGACATTGTATTTCAGGCAACCAGCTGCTATGTCACGGACAACGCAGAACTCATCCTGATGCGTGATGCCATGGATCTTCTCCTTCCGAAGTTGTCCAAGGTTATCTCGAACCTGGCCAAGTTTGCTATGGAGTGGAAGGATATGCCTACTCTGGCTTATACTCACCTGCAGCCAGGTAATGTGTTTCTCCGTATCAACACATACGCAGACAGTTGGAACTAACCATATTCCCATTTCAGCGCAGTTAATTACAGGTAAATAATCATGGGTTTGAATTTGTCTCTTCTTGCAGCACTAAGACAGCTTGCTAACTCGCAACAGTTGGCAAGCGAGCATCTCAGTGGGCCCAGGATCTTGTATTGGACCTTCAGAGCATCGAACATGTTCGAAACGGGCTGCTCCTTCGAGGTAAGCTTAATTTGATAATCTAGTTGCATGACGGATCGGTGACTAATATTTTCACAGGTGCCCAAGGAACTACAGGGACGCAGGCATCTTTCCTCGAAATCTTTAACGGAGATGGCGACAAGTGCGACCAGCTCAACGAATTGATTTGCAAGAAGACCGGTTTCTCTGGCTGCTATGATGTATCGACCCAGACGTATACCCGCAAAATCGACTCACTGGTCGCTAATGCGATCTGTGGTCTTGGTTCCACCGCGCAAAAGATCGCTGGAGATATCCGGCATCTGGCTTCGTGGAAGGAGGCTGAAGAGCCATTCGAGGCCAGTCAGATTGGGTCGTCGGCGATGGTGTGCATTCCTTCCCACACCTTTCTGCTTCAGGACAGGCAAGCTAACAGCGAGAAGGCGTACAAGAGAAACCCGATGCGCTCGGAGAGAGTGTCCAGTCTCGCCCGGGAGTTGCTCTCAAAGCAGGCGACGACTGCAAACACGCTGGCTGCGCAGTGGATGGAAAGATCATTAGACGACAGTGCAGTGCGCCGAATCGACATTCCGGAGATGTTCCTCCTGGCAGATGCAATCCTCGGCGGCCTCGACAACATCACGAACGGCATAGTCATCTACCCTAAGCGGATCGCATTGCGCGTCCAGGAAGAATTGCCCTTTATGATCACCGAAAGCATCATCGTGAAGCTCTGCGCCCTTGGCGCATCAAGGCAGGAGGCTCACGAACAGATCCGCGTTTTATCGCAAGAGGCCGGGTATGCCGTGAAGGGTGAAGGCAAGCCAAACGACTTGGTTCAGAGGATCAAGGCCAATGACTTTTTCAAGCCGATATGGGGAAGCATCGACGACATGTTGAGGCCGGAGCTGTATATTGGTCGCAGTGTCACCATTGTGGAGCGCTACTGTGGCCCTGGGGGTGTGGTGGAGAAGACGATCCAACCATACAAGGCGATCTTTGAGAAGGCTGCAACGACAGAACTTTCAGTGTAATATCTAAGGTAACACCAAAATCTTTCACAGCATTTTTTCCCTCACCGAGGGTCGAAGAGAACCCATAAATCTACATAGCTATACAAGAGCCAATCACACGGAAATATATGGGGCTCTGACTAGATATATTTTTAGACGATTTTGGTTACAACATGTTCCAAGCCTAGTACTCTGAGTCCATTTCTTATCGCTTATCGGACTTGAAATTTTTGGACGGCAGAAAAAAAAGAAAGCTCCAATTTCTGCAGATTTTGATCAAGAAGCCTGTTCTACATCGGGCAGCAAGATCACCACCAAAACACACAAGATGCCGGCAATATCATCTGGCCGGATTGTGAAGGCCCAAAGGGGAAAAAAGCCGCCCGGACAACAACACCAAAAGAACCACCGATGGGAGTCGTTCAGCAGCAAGATCGCCAAGCTCCATTCGTTGGATCCGCTGCGCAGAGTCCGGCGCCATGACCTCGACGAAGCGACGGCAGGTGACGTCTCGGTGACGACGTCGTACTTCCGCAACGGGCTGGAGAAGTGGTCGGACCTGAACCTGTCGCGGATATTTACGGGTTTCCGACGAGCGGTGCAGCCGCTCAGCGAGAGCCTGCCGCAGATTCTGCATTTCGAGGCGCGGATCATGGATGAGCTGACTAAGAGCATCCGCGAGGCGCAGACGCTAGACGACGAGCGGGACGCGCTGGAGCCGCTGCTGGACTTGCTGACGGCATTCGCGCACGACCTGGGGACGCGGTTTGTAGCGCGTGGCTACAATGCGCGGGCCTTTGTGCTGCTGGTTGGCGTGGCACGGCACAACAGCGGCGCGGGCATTGCACGGTCACATCACCAGCAGAACCACGTTCTGGACGCGGCAGTGATCGAGTGGACGTTTGCGGCGCTGGCGTTTCTGTTCAAGTACCTGGCGCGGCTACTGGTGCCGGACCTGCGGCCGACCTACGATATCCTGGCACCACTGCTGGGCGCTCAAGCGGAGGAAGAGGAGGAAAAGAAGGATGAGGAAGAAGAAAGCACGGAACAAGCAGAAAAGGCAGAAGAGGCAGAAGAGGCAAAAGAGACAGACGAGGCAGACGAGGCGGAAACGACAGAAAAGACGGAAAAGGCAGAGTCAAGCGAGAAAGCAGAGAAATTCCCTGCTCGCGTGCCCGGCCACATTGCCCGGTTTGCGGCCGAGGCGATGAGCTTTCTGGTTAAGAAGGCGTCGACACCGTCGCACCGCGAGACGGCGCTGCCGCTGATCATCGAGCACGCGCGGAACGGGCTGCTGCGGGCGGTGGAGGCAGCACAACGGCAGAACAAGCACAGGAACAGCAAGAGCGGACCGCAGCTGTACATGCAGGGTCTGATGACGCTGTTTGCCGAGTCGATCAAGGGCTCGGGGACGTCGCTGCACTCGTCGGGCCCAGAGCTGTTTGTGGCGCTGGTGCGGGCGATTCCGGCGGACGAGCTGAGCGCGGAGCCACAGGGGTCGACCTGGAGCGACGTGTGCTGCGGCGTGCTGACGAGCATTGTGCACCACAGCTCACCGGAAGCGCTGCAGCTGGTGGTGGACGCCATTCTGGCAGAGGGTTCGGCAGCAGCGGCAGCCGGCGGCTCGCCCTGGCGGCTCTCGATCTACGTCCGGCTGGTGGGCGTGATTGCGGGCGTGCGACGAGGCAGCAAGCTGGAGAGCTGGACAGAGCTGGTACAGTTTCTGGCCAAGACGCTGGAGACGATGGTGGCGACTAGCAGCAGCAGCAGCAGCGATGACGACGACGAGAAAGCGGTCTGGCCGACGGAGGCATCGCTGGTGTGGCGACACGTGGTGGTCAACGTGGCGATCGTGTGGAGCCAGGCTACGGTGGACGCGCTGATTCCGTGGGTGGCTTCGCTGACGCAGGTGATGAGTCGCGAGCGGCTGTCGCGCTGGTTCATCCCGCTGTGCGCATACGTGGTGGAGCTGAATGTAGGCCGGTTCCGGGAGCTGCTGCAGAAGCCATTTCAGCGGTTCATCATGGGCCGATGGGCCGACGGGGGCAACGAGGACGTGCTGTGCGCGGTGCTGCCGGTCATGGTTGGACGGGGGGGGTTCCAGATGCCGAGAGCAGCCAGCAGCAGCAGCAGCAACAGTGGCTGTCTGTCCCTGCCGCAGTCATGGCAGGATCAGATCGTCAGCCGATTCGAGCAGCTTGAGATCACGCCCTTTCCCGAGCGTGGAGCCTACGACAAGGACCCGGACACGTGGCGGGACCGCTGTCTGCCCAAGTACGCGGCGCTTCTGGACGTGCTAGACGTGACGGTGGCCCATCCTTCGACGCTGGCACGCATCGCCGAGCTACTGCTGCGCAAGCTGCGACTGGCGCTGCGGCCGACCGGCACGACGACGGCGGAGACGGCCTTTATCGTCAGCCAGGGCTTCCGGTCGTACCTGCGCATGACGGCGGCGCTGGCAGCGACGCCAGATCCGGGCTTGTGGCCGCTTCTGCGCGCGGCTGCACCCCGGTTTGTGCGACGACCGGGCTTTCTCGAGGCGCTGCTGCAGTATGAGGAGAGCTTGGGCAGCCAAGAGAGTGAGGCGAGTCAAGAGAGCGACGACAGCGGTGATACGGAGGACCCGTTTGTCCAGGCGCTGGTGGACAATCTCTCGTCGACATCACATCGGCTGCGGCTCGTCTCCCTGCTCATCCTACAGCGGCTGTTGCGTGCTGAAGGACAAGAGGGCGAAAACGCAAACCTCCAAAACGAATATCAACGTCACGTGACGACACTCGACAGTATGCTGCAGATCGAGCAGATCCCGTTTGGGCCGCATAACGCGCGCAACATGGCGGTGCACCTGCGCAAGCTGGCGCTGGCCTACGGACGCGTAGCAGACAAAACCTGGCTGCAGGCGGCGCTGCCGGCGTTTTTGTTCGGCATGCTGTCGGTGCCGCTGGCGCCGGTGTGGGACGACGCGGTCGAGGCGATGAAGCAGGTGGCGCAGGCGAATCGGGCAGGCGAAGAGGCTGTGGCGCAGCACGCGCTGGCATGGCTGGACGTGGGAAGTGGTCCGCGTGCGGGCAGTCCGTCCGGTTTGTACGGATCATCGAACCCATCGGAGCAGCGCCTGCCGGCGACCGACTTTGACTGCTTCCACGTGGCACGGCTGCTAGCAGTGGCGGCTGACACGGAGGAGGTGGTGACGGAGCCATCGACGCGGCTGCGACAGTCGTTTGAAGAGAGCCAGGCGGCCGTGGCGGCGTATGGCGGAATGGAGCGCGGCAAGGCACTCAAGGTGCTGGCAGCGATGCCGAGCTTGGCTGAGAAGCGGTCACGGCGACTGGTGCCGCATCTGTTGTCGTGGACGGAAGAAAGAGAGGATGTTGAAGAGGAAGAGGAGGTAGAGGAGGGAGAGGAAGAAGTAGAGGCTGGCAAAGATGTCGACGAGGACATCAACATGGAGGATGTGGACACCGAACACACCGACAGCGACAACAGCTGGTCCTTTTCCGACAAGAAGGCGCTCGTGGTGGTGTTCTCGCTTTTTGCCAACGGCCAGGCACTCTTCCAGAGCGAGCGGGCATATGCAGCACTGCTGAAGCTGATGGCCAACGGAGACGGCGACGTGCAGCGGCTGGCTCTCAAGGCGCTGCTGTCGTGGCGACAGGCCGGGCTGACACGCCACCGTGAGAGCTTGGAGGCACTTCTAGACGAGGCGCGGTTCAAGAACGAGCTGACGCTGCTGCTGCAGGGCGACGGGGAAGACGGACGGCGGATCCAGCCGGAAGACCGACCGGTGCTGATGCCGGTTCTGCTGCGGCTGCTCTACGGGCGGGCGATTGCGAAAAAGGGCGCAGCTAGCGGCCGTCAGGGTCTTCACGCAACGCGGCTGTTTGTCATCCGCAGCCTCGACGTCGCCAGTCTGGGCGGCTTCCTGCAGGTGGCTCTGGGCAGCCTGCAGCACGTGCGAGTGCTGGAGGCGAGCGGAGCCCTGCGCGCGAGCCTGTTTGACCGGGTGGGCGATGACAGCCTGGTGCCAGCACGCAAGCAAGTCGGCGTGCTCAACATGCTGGAGTCGATCATCCACGAGCTGGGCACCAATGCGACGCCACACATGGACGCGCTCGTCAACGCGACGCTGTACTGCCTCTTTTCGGCCTCGCGCGGACTGGGGACCGACCAGGCCGACACGACGTCCTCCCCCGACACCTCGCTCCGACGGGTAGCCAAGACGACGGCCCTTCGCTGTCTCTGTGCGCTCTTCCGCAATGGCGGGGCCTTTGACTGGACGCCGTACCGGACCGTGATCGTGGCCGAGGTCATCAGCCCCGTGATCGGACGGCTGCCACAGGAGACCACCCAGGGCGTCTCGTGGACCTGGCGGCTGCTGGGGACGTGGGCCGAGATGCCGCGCTGGACGCTCTTCTTGGCCGAGGACGCGCAGATCGTGCCGAAGATGCTGGAGAGCCTGTCGATGGACCGGGCCAAGGACGCGGTCAAGCTGTATGCGTTGGGAGTCGTCAGGAGTTTGGTGGGTGAAGAAGAAGAGCGAGTGGAGGGCGAGGAGAGAGAGGGAGAGCAGGAGGACGAAGACAAGGCCACGAGACGCTCCATCCTCTCAACGCTCGTCGAACCGAATCTCGATATGGCCCTAGACCAGTTGGATCACGTGATGCGGCGAACTAGCGCCACGACGGGTGCCGAGATCAGCCGGCCGCTGCTGGAGGCCTGCGTGGATACGGTGGTGCTGCTGTCGGCGCTGGTGCAGACGTCGACACGCGTGCGAAGCCTCGTGGATATTGCGACATGGCTGCTGAACCAGCCGTCGCGCCGGGTGAGTCCGCGAGTGAAGGGAGCGCTGCTGCGGCTGCTGGAGCGGTTTATCCGGCTGGACGGACTGGGCGAGCAGGCCGACCTGCGAGACCGCGTCTTCGGCACGATCGCCTCGCTCTTCTCCTTCTTCCGGGACCGGGAGAACCGGCTGGCGCTGTGTCGGGTGCTGTCGGTGTTTGCCGAGGGCCGTGGCAGTAGCAGCAGCGACGAGAAGGAGGAGGATCTCCGTCCGGTGGCCGCGCTCTGTTTTGGCTTCAACGCCTACGTCGAAGGCCGGGTGGACGAGCCGGACTACGACCGACGGCTGGCCGCGTTTGGGGCGGTCGTGCGGGCGGAACCGGCCCTGAGCCGAAACCAGTGGCGTCCGGTGCTGCACAACCTGCTCTTCTTCTTGCGGCGGGACGAGGAGTTTGGGATCCTGTCATCCAACGCGGCCGATGGGATCGGGCGGTTCGTGCGCGACGCGACGCAACCGCAGACACACCAGCCACGCGATGCCGCGTACGAGGACCTCCTGAAGAGCGTCCTGCTGCCGGCGATCTACGGAGGGGCACGCGATCCGTCCGAGACGGTGCGGCGGGAGGTGGCGCGGGTGTTTGGCGAGCTGATTGCGACATTACGGTCGTGGGGCCCGGTCTCCCAGCTGGCCGTGCTGGTGGAGGACGAGAAGGAGGACGAGGCGAGGACGAGGACGAGGCAGTTCAGAAGACGCAGACTGTCAAGACGCTCGACCTCGACGTCGACATGTCTGAAACGCCCGACAGCCGGGCGTTCTTCTCCAATATTCTCAGCCCGGTCGTGGCCAAGCAGATGCAGGCGATGCAGGTGCTCGAGGGCGCCAGCCGGCGCCATGGACTCGGCAGCCGTACACGTCAGCCAGTTCTTCATCCCGCTGCTGGAACAGTTCATCTTTGGGCGCGAGGACGGGGCGGACGACCACGGGCTGGGAGCTCAGGCGACCACGACGATCGGACAGCTGGTGCAGGGACTCGAATGGGGACAGTACCGGGCCGTGTTGCGGCGGTTTCTGTCGTTTGTGGAGTCGAAGCCGGAGCTGCAGAAGCAGGTGGTGCGACTGCTAGACCGAGTCGTGGACGCGTTGGTGGTTGGGGTGAGAGAGAGAGAGGAAGAGGCGAGCGGGCGAAGCGAGGAGAAGAGAGAGGAAGAGGCAAGCGAGCGAAGCGAGGAGAAGAGAGAGGAAGAGGCAAGCGAACGAAGCGAGGAGAAGAGCGAGGAGAAGAGTGAGGAAAAAAAGAAGACGAAAACTCCTCTGGCAGCCTCGCTCCCGTCAATCGAACGGTTCACAGACGAAGTTCTTAACAGCTTCACGCCCGGACTCATCGCCCACCTACACGCCAAGGACGAAGAGACAGTCAGCGGACGAGTACCAGTAGGCGTGGTGGTGGTCAAACTGCTAAGCCTGCTGCCACGAGCATCACGTGACCAGCGATTAGCTGGCGTGCTGACGGACATCTGCCACATTCTGCGCAGCAAGTCATGGGAGTCACGCGAGATGGCACGGACGACGCTGACACGGATTGCGGTGATCCTGGGGCCAGAGAGCTTTGGGTTCGTGATCCAAGAGCTGCGAGGAGCACTGACACGCGGTTACCAGCTGCACGTGCTCTCATACACGCTACACAGTCTGCTGCTGGCAATGCTGCCGACATGCAGTCCAGGCGCGCTGGACTACTGCGCCGAGACGGCCGTGGCGGTCGTGATGGACGACGTGTTCGGGGTGGCGGGCCAAGAAAAGGACGCAGAGGAGTACACGAGCAAGATGAAAGAAGTGCGCAGCAGCAAGAGCCAAGACTCGATGGAGCTGCTGGCACGGACAACGTCCATCGGACGGCTATCGGTGCTGGTGGCACCGCTGCGAGCGCTGCTGCTAGAGCGCGTGGACCTGACGATGGCGCGCAAGATCGACACGCTGCTGGGCCGGATCGCGTCAGGGCTTGTGCAGAACGAAGCAGCCGCTAGCCGCGAGACGCTGGTCTTCTGCTGGGAGGTAGTGCAGGAGGTCTACCGGGCCGACGACAAGACCGGAGAACGGGATGCACGCGACCGCAAGATGGATCCGCGCACGAAGCGGTTTCTCTTCCAGAAGAGCACGCGCAACAACGTGGGTGGGCGGCAGGCGAGCCGATTCACGCACAAGCTGGTGCGCTTTGCGCTGGACGTCTTGCGTTCGGTGCTGCGCAAGTTTGACAGTCTGCGGACGGCCGAGAACGTGGCCGGCCTGGTGCCACTGCTGGGTGACGCCGTGATGGATGGCGCGGCCGAGGAAGTCCAGACCGCTGCTCTCCGGCTGCTAGTCGTCCTAGTGCGTCTGCCTTTTCCGGCCGGCACGCCGGAGGCAGCCGCTTTTTCGGGGCTGTACCGCGTGGCCACGCGCGAGGCCATCCGCACCGTCAGCACAGCCACCTCGACCGGCGGTGAGCACGCCCAGGCCGCCCTCAAGCTGGTGGCTGCCGTGCTGCGCGATCGCCCTGACGTACCTGTCCGTGACGCTGCCGTGGACGGTCTGCTGACAAGACTGCGTGACGATTTGACCGAGCCTTTGTATCGTCACGTGACCTTTTCATTTTTGCGGGCCGTTCTAACCCGCCGAGTGGAGACGGCCACAGTGTACGACACGCTGGATCACGTGGGCACGGTGATGGTGACCAACGACGACCGGGACACGCGCGACCTCGCACGCGGCGCCTTCCTGCAGTTTGTGCGCGAGTACCCGCAGCGGCGGGCGCGCTGGCAGGCCCAGCTGGACTTTGTCGTGGCCAACCTGCAGTACGGCCGCGAGGGTGGGCGGCTGTCGGTGATGGACGCGGTGCTGCTGCTGCTGAACAAGACCGACGCAGACGAGCACGTCCAGCAGATCGTGGCAGCCTGTTTTGCGCCGCTGGTCGTGTTGCTGGCCAACGATGAGAGTCCGCGCTGCCGTGCGGCGGCGGCCGCCCTGCTGCGCGTGCTGCTGCGGCGGGCCAGCCGCGAGAACACGAACCGGTTCCGCGGCCTCTTTGGCGCCTGGCTGCAGGCCGATGCGGCAGTGAAGCCGGCCGTTCTGCGCCTCGGACTGCAGGCATACGGCATCTATTTTTCGTCGTGGGACGCGCTGGCCGACGGCGGCAGCGGCTTGGTGGACGCCCGTGCCGACGACGTCCACGCTGCTCTCAGCCGGATCACCGACGTGTTGGGGGAAGCAACCCAGGACGACGAGACCACCCTCGTCGCTGCGGCCCTTCAGACCGTCCAGACGCTGCTCGACATGGCGCCGGCCCGTACGCTCGACCCCCAGAACAAGACGCTCTGGCACCACGTCCAGCAGTGTCTGTGGTTCCGCCAAGGCACCGTGCGGCTGGCTGCCATGCGCTTGATTGCTCAGTACCTGGCCGACTTCCGGAGGCTGCAGCCGGCTGGCCTGGCCGACGGCGAGAAGAACGCGGCGACTGGCTCCTACGGCCTCGTCCTCGCTGACGACGACGTCACCCACATGGTGCTCGGCTGTCTGAGCGTGTTGTCGGGACGCAGCGGACTGGGCGTGGATGAGGCTGAGGCCGAAGAGGCTGCACGGATGTTGGTGTACCTTGGACGGCATCTGCGAGCGGAGCCAGAAGAGGAGGAGGAAGAGGAGGAGGAGGAAGACGACGAGAACGATGACGGGAAAGACGAAAATGCCGAAAATGCCGAAAATGCCGAGAATGATGACGAGTTTGAAGGCTTTGACGAATCCGACGAAAAGGCAAAGACCAAGGCCACCAAAACTCGCCTCCAAGGCCTCGACCGTCGCTACGTCTTCCTCCGGCTTGCTCGCATCGTCCGTCGCGAGACTGCTCCCGTGGCGGCTGCTCTGGTGCCCAAGGCCGCTGCCATGGCCGTGCTTGAGGCCTTTTGCAAGTCCGACAAGTCTGACAAAACCGACCAGATGCCCCTCTCCGAGACGGCCGCTCGTGCCGTCCTTCGCCCCCTGCGCAACCTGACCGACGCCTCCATCGCGGCGCCCGTCTCGGCCGACCCGCTCTTTGCCGCCCGTCTCGACGCTCTCCGCCAGCGCGCCGTCGGACTCATGGACGCCCTGCAGATCCGTCTCGGCAACGCCACGTACACGCGTCTGCTGCTGTCAGCAGGTGCGGCGGCACGTGACCGTAGACAACAGCGCGCAACCAAGCGCAAGATCGAGGCGGTCACGATGCCGGCAAAGCACGGCCGCGACAAGCGCAAGCGGCTGGACCAGAAGAAGGAGCGGCGCAAGGTACGGGGACAGGAGCACCGGAGCCACCGACGAGGGGAGTGAGAAGTGGGAGAGAAGAAGAGAAGAAGAGGGAAAAGGAGAGGGAAATAATAGAACAATCAAGACAACCAAGAAAAGGAAATCAAACACAAGGCTAAGGAATTGTAAATCAGTAGAGCGTCATTAAAACTTTGAAATTCAAACACAAGAAATCTCTTCAACGCCGTCATAATCTGTTGTACAATTCGTGTGAGTGGTTGACTCATATCAATCGTTCTTCTCTTCTTCTCTCCTCCCTCTCTCTTCCTCCCTTCCCTTCCCCACCCCCCCCCTACTTAAATGTCGACCCTGGCACCGCATCTGCCTTGTCTCCCTCCTCCACCCTCCTTTTCGGCTGCACCACTCCCTCCGTTGCCAGCCGCTCCTCCCGCCGGCTCTCCGTCCCGTCCTCCCAAAACTCAATGTCGCCGTCCTCGCCCAGCGTCCCGCGCTTGACCAGCTGCCCACGCTCCCGCACAATCTCCTCCAGCGACCGCGCCCCGCCAAAGAGCCCGAGGTGGTCGGTGATGACGTGCCGGTTGCGACATGACGGGCACGTGATCAGCACCGATCCCTGGTGGTAGCCCTGCTTGGACACCTTGTGTGAGGACCGCTCGCCGCAGGGAACGCACGTAAAGGTGAGTTCGTAGTGGGGAGCCAGGCCTTGGGTGGTGGTGGTAGTGTTCTTGGTCGCGCTGACGTCGCTCGCATGGTTCGCATCGCTCGCATTGCTGTGAAGAGGTCGAATGGCCAGAGACGCCTTCCAAAACGCAGGACGGCCGACCAGAGACGCTCGCGCCATCGGCTGCACGATAACAGGCGCGCACCGCGACAGCCTCGCCAGCCGTGACACCGTCCGAGAGGCCATTATGTAGTGAGTGTGGTGGGTGGCAAGTGAAAAAGTTGGATTTTTCCTTCTCTCACTCGGTGCTTGAGCTTGCTTCTGTCAGCGACTTCCAACTTTTCTGCTCCTTCCCCATCTGCCAGAATTCCATCCGCCTCCAACAGCTACTATTGTGGGGCTGCCAGCCCTGCCATTGGCCCCCCGCTAGCGGGGTGATCTTGCCTTGAAGGCCGCCAAAATCGGACGCTGAAGCAAGGCGACCAAAATCCCACAAGACGCCAACCATTCGTCTCACATCTGACCAAACGAACACGGCCGCGGCAGAACACCCGCACGACACTACCGGCAACAGAGAACCTTGCCAGCCTCCTCTCCGACGAGCACCCGCCTGCTGCTGCTATCTTTTCATTATCAATATCCTCCTGGCGAGGACGCTCCACTCTGGATGGATCGCTCGATCTGTCTGAACCTCTCTTCTCCAGCCTCTCTCTGCACCTGTCGAGCTGCTGTCCGGCTGCTTGAAACACCCGCCATACCGACCCTTCCCCCTTCCTCCACCTCCTCTCCTGAACCATGATGCACAAGGGGGGCAAGATTCGCCCTCCGCGAAAGGTCGGTTTCTTGCGCCTCTTCTTCGCCCGTCTCCCCGACAGCTAAGCTAACAGTCGCGAGCAGGCAACGGCCAAGATCTCGGGCGTCAATGACTTTGACCAGAACTGGAACCTCATCCAGGATGCCCTCGTCGACATCCACGACCAGAACGCCGGCCGGCTGTCGTTTGAGCAGCTCTATCGCGCATCCTACAAGATCGTGCTGATCAAGCGGGGCGAGGATCTGTACCAGCGCGTAAAGACTTTTGAGGAGCGCTACTTTGCCGACAAGGTCATCCCCCACATCTGGGCCCTCGTCACCCGCAAGCTCGTCTCCGCCACCCTGCACAATGTCCTGGGCAGCACTGGCAACGAGCGCCGCGCCCTGGCCGAGACCTTCCTCCGCGGCATCAAAGACTCGTGGGAACGCCACAACATGTCTATGAACATGGTGGCCGACGTCTTGATGTACCTCGACCGCGGCTATGCCCAGGATGCCACCCGTCCTTTTATCTACGCCACCACCATCGGCCTCTTCCGTGACCATATCCTGCGCGCCCCGCTGCCGCCTTCGGCCTGGTCTGAGACCGACCAGCTCGCCGTCATGGGCGGAGGTCGAGGCGTGGATATTGGTACTGCTGCTGCTGCTGCTATTGTTGTTGACGGCAGCTGTAGTGATGTAGCCAGCAGCAGCCCCAGCAACAGCCACCCGACCATCTTCACCATCCTCAACAGCGTCATCTTGGACCTCATCAACATGGACCGCGACGGCGACGTGATCGACCGCAACCTCGCACGAAACTGTGTGGCCATTCTGGAAGCGCTGTACGAAACGGACGACGAGCACGAAGACGATAAGCTGTATCTCACCACCTTTGAGCCCGAATTTCTGCACGCCACCTACCTCTTCTACCACAACGAGTGCGAGCGGCTCCTGCGCGACGGAGACGCCCGTGCCTGGCTCCGTCAGACTCGTCGCCGCCTGCGAGAGGAGCAGGAGCGCTGCGGACACACCATCTCGCAGCTCTCGCGCACAAAGGTTGCCCGCGTTGTCGAATGCGAGTTGGTCGCCACCCACCTCGAGGACTTTATGGCCCTCGAGGGCAGCGGCATCAAGGCCATGATCGACAATGACCGCCTCGAAGACCTCGCCATCCTGTACGATCTGGTCTGCCGCGTCGAGTCCAAGAAGACGGTGCTCAAGCAGGCGCTGCAGACGCGCATCGTCGAGCTCGGCCTGGAGATCGAAAAGACCCTAAAAGAGACAGACTTCTCCATAGCCTCCGCGACAGCAGCAGCAGACGCAACAAAGGCGGCCGCCCTGTCGGCCGCAGCTCAGCAGACAGCCGCGGCGATCAAGTGGGTGACGGACATCCTAGAGCTCAAGGACAAGTTCGACCGGTTGTGGCTGGAGTGCTTCAACAAGGACATTGTCCTCCAGTCAGCCATGACGAGCAGCTTCACCGAGCTCTTCCGGCTCTGCACGCGCAGCGCCGAGTACGTGTCGCTCTTCATCGACGACTGCTTCAAGCGCGGCCTGCGCGGGAAGAGCGACACCGAGATCGATGCCGCGCTCGACAAGGCCACTGTCATGATCCAGCACGTGACGGAAAAGGACATGCTGGAACGCTACTACCAGAAGCACCTGGCCCGCCGGCTGCTGCACAACAAGAGCGAGAACCCCGAGGCCGAGAAGATGCTGATCTCGCGCATGCAGTCAGAGTTAGGCAAGACGTTTACGGCCAAGTTTGAGGGCATGTTCAAGGACATGGCCACGTCCGAGGAGCTGACGCGCGACTACGGAAAGTATGCCAAGGAGAATTTGGACGACATGGGTGAGGACGAGGACGAGGATCCGGGACAGGGTCAGGGTCAGGGCAACCAAGCACGCATCGACCTCGGCGTCAGCGTCCTGACGAGCAACAACTGGCCGCCAGAGGTGATGGGCCGGGCATCGCAGCTGGAAGAGAGCCTAGGTGGCGGCAGCAGCAGTCAGGGCGGCTGCATCTATCCGGCCGAAGTGCAACGGCTGCAAGCGAGCTTCCTCAAGTTCTACCTACGCAACCGCAGCGGCCGGGTGCTCTCATGGGTGGGCACGGCTGGCAGCGCCGACATGCGGTGCGTGTTTCCGCCAGCGCCCGGCCACGACAAGGGCGTGCTGAGCCGTGAGCGGCGCTATGAGCTCAGCGTGCCGACGTACGGCATGGTGGTGCTGCTGCTGTTCAACGCCCTGCCGGTCGACGGTCGGCTCAGCTTTGACGAGATCCAGGCTAAGACTAACATTCCGGCGGCCGACCTGACGCGGGCGCTGGCGTCGCTGACCATCCCACCCAAGTGCCGCGTGCTCACCAAGGAGCCAGCGTCCAAGACGATTCGACCGGGCGACCGGTTCGGCTTCAACGTCCAGTTTGCCAGCAAGACGCTCAAGATCAAGGTGCCCATCATCAACGCGCTCTCCAAGATCGAGGGCGAGGACGAGCGCAAGGCCACGGAGGACAAGAACAACCAGACGCGCTCGCACACGATCGATGCAGCGGTGGTACGGATCATGAAGTGAGTAGGATTGTGCAGAGACGACAGAGACCTTGTGAGAATGGTTGCTGACTATTGCTGACTAATCAGACAACGAAAAGAACTCCTACACACCGCGCTTGTCACCGAGGTCGTCACGCAGCTCGCCAGCCTGTTCCGGCCCGAAGTGTCCATGATCAAGAAACGGATCGAGGATCTCATCTCGCGCGAGTACCTAGAGCGCATCGAAGAGTCCGATCCGCCGGCCTACCGCTATGTCGCCTGATCGTTTGGGGGGCCAGCAGATATGTGTTTTGTGATGTTAGCTTGTGTTGAATGGGAAGCATAGCCCTTTAGGCAGGCGGCGCTGAGATTGCGCCTGCCTGTTTCCGTTTCCGTTACCGAATTCTGTCTGCTCCCATCTCGTGACCAAAGTCATCCACCAACAGACAGCCAATCCGTTCCAACGTCTCCCTTCCACGATGACAGTCTCGCGCGCTCGTGATGCGCCGATCGGCATGGTCTTGACTGACGTGCACCCGTTTCTTTGTTTTGCCGGCTTCTGGTCGGCCATGTCGTCTCTTTCGTCTCCTCTTGATCATCTCTGCACGGAGTACATGTCGGCCAATTCGCCTCGATGGCGTGGATGCCCTCTTTGCAGGGCACAAGTCATCCCTCCCACCAGCGGCCAGACGGTATATATGATGAGTGTCTCATCCGTCGAAAGAGCCGACATCGAGCGACATTGAGCGTCATCAACCAACATCCACCGACAACATGATTGGCAACATCTACCTCATCACGGCGATTGCTGTCATTGGCGGCTCGCTCTTCGGCTTCGACATCGCGTCGCTGTCAGCCATCCTGTCGACCAACCAGTACCGCTGCTACTTCAACGACGGGCCGCGGGGACCGCCCTTTGACGACAGCGTGACGTGCAGCGGCCTGACGTCGCTGCGCCAGGGCGGCGTCACGGCGGCCATGTCAGCCGGCTCCTGGCTCGGAGCCCTCGCATCCGGTCTGGTGACGGAGCGGTTCGGCCGCAAGCGAGCCATCATGCTGGGCTGCATCATCTGGTGCGTCGGCTCGGCCATCATCTGCGCGTCGCAGGCCGTTGCCATGCTGATCGTCGGCCGCATCATCAACGGGCTGGCCGTCGGGATCGAGTCGTCTCAGGTGCCGGTCTACGTGTCGGAACTGTCGCAGCCGTCACTGCGCGGCCGCCTGGTGGCAGCCCAGCAGTGGGCCATCACCTGGGGGATCCTGATCATGTTTTAGTGAGTCCTGCGCTTCTCTCTGCTTTACGGACTTCCACCAAACTTCCGCTCACACTTTTAGCATCTCCTATGGCTGCTCCTTCATTGGAGGCGATCCCTCGACGGCTACCAATCCGGCTGCCTTCCGCATTCCCTGGGCCCTGCAGATGCTCCCGGCCATCGGGCTCTTCTTCGGCATGATGCCGCTGCCCGAGTCCCCCTCCGCTGGGCTGGCCAGCCACGGCCGCTGGGCGGAGTGCAGCGCCGTGCTGACGCTGGTGCACGGCAAGGGCGACCCGGACTCGGTGTTTGCGCGCGCTGAGCTGGCCGAGATCCGCGCCGTGGTCGAGTTCGAGGCCCGCAACCGGGACGCGACCTACTGGGAGCTCTTCCGGTCCAATATGCTGCACCGCACCCTCATCGGCCTCTTCTGCCAGATCTGGTCGCAGCTGACGGGCATGAACGTGATGATGTACTACATCAGCTACATCTTTGCCATGACGGGCTACAGCGGCAACGCCAACCTGCTGGCGTCGTCGATCCAGTACGTGATCAACGTGCTGATGACGGTGCCGGCGCTCCTGTGGATCGACCGGTACGGCCGCCGCAACGCCATGCTTGTCGGGGCCGGCCTGATGATGGTCTGGATGTATGCCAACGGTGCCATCATGCGGACATACGGCACCGTGGTGCCCGGCGGCATCGACGGCGTGGCCGCCGAGTCTATGGTGGTTGGTGGTCCGGCCGGCAAGGCCGTCATCGCCTGCACGTACCTCTTTGTCGCCTCGTATGCGCCGACCTGGGGTCCGGCCTCGTGGATCTACCCGCCTGAGCTGTTCCCGCTGCGGCTGCGTGGCCTCGGCGTGTCGCTGGCCACGTCGGGCAACTGGGCCTTCAACACGGCCCTCGGCCTCTTCACGCCCATCGCGTTCCAGAACATCATGTGGAAGACGTACATCCTCTTTGGCGTCTTCGGCACCTGCATGTTCCTGCACGTCTTCTTTCTCTTCCCCGAAACGGCCGGCAAGACGCTGGAGGGGACCCAGGCCATGTTTGAGGACCCGGCCGGGATCCGGCACATCGGCACGCCGGCCTGGAAGACCCGGGTGCAGTACAGCAAGGCGACCGGGCTCGAGACCGGCAACATCGACCCGGAGAAGCTGGCCGCGCTCGGGCTGCGGACCAAGGCAGAGGTGCCGGAGGTGGAGCACCACCAGGGGATGGAGGAGTGAGGAAGAGGGTCGAGAATGTCGGGCGTATGGCATCTACGAATGCTAGTTAGTCAAAGATGGAGGCATTTATCTGTATAAGATGTCCCTACAGGAAGCAAGTGCAACTCAGAATGGACAGGCATTTACGGAGTATGAGATTGCTCCACCCAGGCTGTCGTAAGGATTGTGGACCATCTGGGCGACAGCCTTGTGGATCACCTCTGGGACGAGAAAGCTTCATGTGGAGTATATAGTATAACAGTGTTATGTAGCGAGCAGCGAGCAGCGAGCAAAGTAGCAATAATGAGGTCTTTGCTCTTCACGTACGTGTGTAGTGACGGCCGTCGTCAACTTGTCACGCTTTGCTTCTTTAGCAGAGCTGGCGATCACATCTCGGCTCAGTGGGTTGTAGTCTATTTTATGGACCCAGCAGTCGTCTACGGAGTATGCATGTTTTGAGGATAAGCCCGGCTGCAGTACGTATACTGGGAGCGGGTCGTAGGCGGACAACCCTGGTCAGGATATATGGCTTGGATCACACCTTGAATCGGAATGTCGTGCTCTACGCATCGCTCACCAGAAGAGGCAGTTTTGCTGTGCGAGTGCTGGCCAGAAGCCGGATCAAGATGGAATGGCAGTGATAAGAAGAACGGACCTGCATTCTTCAATTGCACTGGCTAAGCCTTTTCGAGGTTCCTCTAGCGCAATGGTAGCGCGCAAGACTTCTAATCTTGAGGCTGCGGGTTCGAGTCCCGCGAGGAATGCTTGTTCTTTTTTGCTGTTTTTTACGCCTGAATTCCTCTTTTTTATGCTTCGTTGGCTTGCTTACTGAATGGGTTATCAGTCTGATTGTGTGCAGTATCAATCATAAAGTAATCACATTGTATAAACTTCGTGGTCTTTCGCCCCATATTCGATGGCGACATGGCTTTGGGATGACTCAACAAAAAGGTGTCTGCAGGAATTTGCAGCACCATATTTAAGGCTGTCCCCAATCTCCAGACCTCCGCCAACGAGCCAATTGCTGGCCGTGTCGGTCCCCGTCATTTTGCAGGATTTTTTTTGGATAGCCATGACCATAGAAACAGACCGACAGGGGAGGACCATCTAACTGCATCGTTGACTGTTGCTGGACCATGGCTGGCGTCGTGGACGACACGCTCAGCGAGCTGCTGCAGTATGCGGCCAAGGTGGGCGTCGAGCTGACGGGCATAGCGCCGCGCCGGCTGCCGGGCCGAGGCTACGGCATTGTGGCCATGCGCGACATTGAGGTATGGCTGGGAAGGTTGTGATGCTGCTTATTAAGCAATCTTGCTGACAGTACTCTTCACCCATCAGGAAGGAGAGACAGTCCTGGTGGTACCAACGCGGGCTCTACGGACGCTGGCAACGGTTCCCAAGGCGCTGTCACGACGTCTAGACGGCGAAGTGTCGGTGCACGGGATCCTGGCAGCGCACCTGGCTCTGGACGACCGAACGGCCGGCGGCGAGTTTGCGGCCTGGGATGCGGTGTTGCCGACGGCGGCTGATCTGGACGCGAGCATGCCGCTGTTGTGGCCAGCCGAGCTGCAGGCGATGTTGCCGTCAGCGGCTCGTGATGCGCTGTCGAAGCAGCGGGCGAAGCTATCAAGAGACTGGGAGGGCGTAGCGCGGGCGAAGCTGGAAGAGATGATGACAGACGACAGCCCCCAACTCGACCAGGCCAAAGTCGACACCCCCCAACCCAACCGCCCCAAACTTGACCGCACAGCCTATGTGCACGCCTGGCTGCTCGTCAACTCGCGCACGTTCTACTACGCGACGCCGCGGACGACCAGCACGCGGCCGCAGCGAGACGACCACATGGCGATGCAGCCGGTGGCGGACCTTTTCAACCACACGGCCGACGGCGGCTGCCGCGTCGCCTTTGGCCCGGCCGGCTTCACCTTTGTGGCGGACCGTCGCTATGATGCCGGCGTCGAGGTGCCCATCAGCTATGGCGCCCACGCCGACGACGCCCTCCTGGTCGAGTACGGCTTCGTGCTGGCGCCGGCCGCGGCCAACCGCTGGGACGAGGTGTGCGTGGACGACGCCGTGCTGCCGCGGCTGGCCGTCTCTGCTGCCGGCAGCGCCTCTCTGCGCGACGATCTCGCCGCCGCCGGCTTTTGGGGTCGTTACATGGTCGATGCCGACACGCCTGCCGGCTGCTATCGCACCCAGGTCGCCCTGCGACGCATCCTCTGCGGCACCGCCTGGCGGGCGGCCTGGCTGCGCTTCGTCGACGGCGGTGGCGAGGATGTCGAGGCCTCGGATGGCGCCAGAAAGAACAGTCCCCTCGCCCAGTCGCGCGTCGACGACCTCATGGCCACCTGCCTCGAAGACTTGGCCGTCCAGGCCCGCTCGACCCTCGCCCAGATCGACGAGCTCGCTCGCACCGCCATCGGCTCCGACAGCCAGCGCGCCCTGCTGGCCTGCCGCTGGCGCCAGATCGAGGCCGTCGTCGACCAGGCCGCCGCCCAGCTTGCCGGCACCGAGTAGAACGGCCATGCACCCTGCCGTCGTCTGCTCCTTGGCTGGAACCCCCTGCTGGTCTCGGGTTGACCTGTTGGCAGGTCGTGTGGCATTCTCCTTCCAACATCCCTTTTTCCTTATCTCGAGCCCTGTTGGATCGCTTGCAGGAAAAGGTTGTTTCGGTGTGCGAACACATGCGTGTTGGCGAGAGATAGGCACATCGCCACTATTTTGGATGAATTGCCGTTTTGGGGTGTCAATAGAACCTCGTTTGGGCAGGCGCGCCGCCACTCCCACCACTCGTCGCTTCCTTCCCCTCTCCTCCACCAATCCCCCCAATCATGAATAGACGGAAACGATCTAGAAAGAGGAACACTGTGAACAGGTCTCCATCCCTGCAGAATCAATATCCACAACTCTCACGACCCTTTGTGACGTCCATCCCATCTGACCATGCGTCCACCAGCTGCTCGACCCCTTTCTCTCGTCTTTCTTCCGTGCTGCCCCCTGACGACCATGTCTGCCTCCACTTCAGGGATTCGAGTTTCTTCTTCTGGGTCTGAATAAGACGCTCAGAACAATGGCTGCATCCGGTCTGACCCTGATGTCCAGTCACCCGCATCTCGTATCTTTCACCATCGGCTTTGATTCTTTCTCTCGCCGTCTCCTATCTCGCACATCCAGCCTATCTGAAAGAAGCAGGGCAAAGGCGAGACGAATTGCCCGGGTGAGAAAAGAGGAGCAAGGGAGATGGGAGAAACAGAGAAAGAAACCGTTCGTGTCTTCTGACGTTCTTGGGTCTCAATACGACCCAGTCGAGCTCAATAGGCAGTTTGGCATGGCCTCGCACAATCTATAAGATGCCCACGTCCTCGCTCCGACTCAGATGTGTTTAGCCAGGGCAAGGACATCGATCCTCTCACTATCAGTCTTTCTCTTTTCAGCCTCTTCTTCGCAATCGCATCTCCACATCTCCACATCTCCTCCCCCCAACACGTCCAACTGCTTCCTAGTCAACGCCATGAAGACCGCCGCTCTGCTCACCATCCTAGCCGCCGGTGCCACCAGCGTCAGCGCTGCCGCCGTTGCCGCTGCTGATGCTGATACCCAGTGGTGCCAGTGGTACGGCCAGGCCTGCTGGAAGGTGAAGCGCACTGCCGAAGCCTTTGCCGAAGCTGTTGCCGATGCTGGCGGCGTCTCTGGTGGACCCGAGACGTCCATCTCTCGTCGCTCCAACGCTCCTGGCGGCCTCGCCGACCAGGTCAAGCGCGGTCTCGACGACCTCGCCGGCATCATCGCCTCTACACAGCGCAGCCCCGTCTCCTACTACGGCGGCCTCAACCTGGCCGGAGCCTTCCCAGCACCCACCGAGGTCACCAAGCGCGAGGCCGACGCCGAGGCTGATGCTGATGCCGACGCCAGTCCCGAGGCTGAGGCCCAGTGGTGCCAGTGGTATGGACAGGCCTGCTGGAAGGTCAGACGTGCCGCCGAGGCCGTCGTCACCACCATCGAGGGCTTCGGCAACGCCGAGTCCAAGCGCAGCTTCGAGCCCCTCGTCGCCGGCAAGCGTGAGGCCGGCCCGTCCGCTGACGCTGGCGCTGACGCCGGCGCTGAGCCTCAGTGGTGCCAGTGGTACGGCCAGGGCTGCTGGAAGCGCGACACTGCCAGCATCGAGACCCGCTGCCACGCCCCCGACGGCGCCTGCTCCAGCGCTCGCCGCGACCTACACGGCATCTACAACACCGCCCGCCAGGTCTTGGACTTGCTTCCAGCCCAATAAGTGAGGTCTCCGTTGTTTTTTTTTTTTTGTTCCTGCTGCTTTTCTGCTGTTGCTTCCAGTTTTGGGTTGTTCTGACACTTCCAGATGCTTCAACAGCCTCTGTCCCCTGGCCACGGTCCGTGGTTTGCATTGTACATTTCTGCCAATAAAAGACGTTTATCGAAAATAACACCACCCAATGGGACGCAGGAAAGGACTCCTCGCGACACATGCTCGGGATATATTTGGATACAAAACAGCGAGGGCGCAGCCGTCGGTTGCTGGCGCTCAAGGTGTTCTTCTGTTCTTTCGACTTTCCCGGGTGGCGTCGTGTCTGTCGTTTCTCCTTCGTCTTGCGTTCGTTTCTTGAAGCGGCAACTTTATCTGGCATCCCTTTTGTCATACGGCTGCACCTTTCCTACTTTCTTACCACGGGCGTTGACTGTATAGCACGCCACTTTTCTATAGCCAAAATAAACGTTCTTTAATTGTCAAATTGCTTCCCAAACGGTGCTATTTTTCTATACCTGTTTCTACTTTTTCCATTTTGCAGCTTCTGGCCCAGCCGAAAGCGTCATATGCGATAGCAGCCTGCACCCTTCTGGTCCTCACATCAGCAGCCGCCAAGCACCCAGCATCAGAGCCGCAAATCCCGTGCATACGCCCATCAGCCACTGCAGCGTCTGGAACTTAACCTGTTCCAGCTGCTGCCGCAGCGCCGCGACCTCCTGCTCGATCTTGGTCTCCGTCTCCTTGACCTTGAGTTCCTGGCCCACGGCCTCCTCGCGGATCCGTCCTTTTTCCAGGTTGAGGTCTAGCCGTACGCTCGCCTGCGTCCGTCCGACATCGTCGCGCAGCCGGCTGTTGAACTTGGCAATTTCGTTGGCCAGCCGCTCGTGCGCCGTCTTGGTCGTGTTGCCCTCCGTGCTGTCCGCCGACAGCAGCTCGCTGCGCAGCTTGGCAAAGTCCACCTTTTGCGTGTACATGGCCTTGGCCGCGTCTTCCCGCAGCACCATGGTGCGCGTCAGGCTCTGGATGCTCTCCTCGATCGCGTCGTCGAGCACCTTCATCATCGCCACCGCCTGCTCCTCCGTGAAGCCCTCGCCCTGCAGCCGCTGCACAAACTTGAGCGTGTCAAAATGGTGATCGCGCCGCATCATGGCCGATGCATGGAAGCTGCGCCGGCTGAGTGCTGCTGGGGGCAGCGCGGCTGTTGGCATCGACAAAGCGTGTGCCATGGAAGCGATGCCTGGTTGTGGCTGTGGCTGTGGCTGTGGCCGGCCACGGCGGCGAGGTGTGCCTCCCGTCTGCGCGTGAATATTCGAGGACCATGGCACGGCTGAAGCTATCGCTGCCGTAGCGATACTGCGTTTGGCTGTGCCAGGAAATGCTGGCAGCTGTCGCAAAGACCAGGGCGCACAGAGCTCAACTCGGGCGTCCGTCCAGCTCAGACGCGGGAGGAGGAACCTCGGAAGGGACGGTCGAAGAGATTGCATGTTTGAAAAGGATAATGTGCGGATTCCGCCCTTACATATTCCCGGTTTCTGGCGCCGGGTTTTAGACTTTTGGCTGGCAACACTTTTCTGTTTGGTTGAGGTAGAACAAGCAAGATCTACGAGTACTGAAGCTCTGCACGTTGGCCATACACGACTGGACCAATAAAAATGGGCCTTGGCTTTAAAGCCCACCTTTCTGCCTAAGGCATCTCGCTACTACTCCCCGCCAATCAAGAACTATAAGTGCTTTTTTTTTCTGCCGTCCAAGAAAAAAAATCTCTTTCTTTCTTCATCATGAACAACGCAATTAAACACGTTCGCGAAAATTGACAGCCTCGGATCAGAGGACCTGCCCAGACGTCTTTTCGTCTTCGCAGAGATCCCATGACGTATTCAAACGCTTTTTTCGATTAGAACGGAGAACGAATCACTTGAACAATCTTGGGTGCGGTGCTTTTCTTGGTCCTCGGACTGTGATTAGGGTCGCAATGATTGAGCAAACATTTCAGCACTATATACACAGTGCAGATGTATCCGGGGGACATCACCCAGACATCAGAGATAGGGTGGACGAAAGCTTGGAGGCCACCCTCTTCAATTTGGGTGTCATACTCGCTGGCTGTCACGTTTCTCTTTTGGATGGCTATTGTGATCATGAGTACTCGTAAAGACTGGCAAAATCGACTTGGACGATTACATTAGAGATGGTAGTCAGCCTCGTTGCTGACGCTCACTCCACGCCTCGCCCATACACCGTTGACTCCCATGTCGCGACTCCCGCTGCAGAAAAAATGTTAACTTGTCGTCGTTTAATGACTGCATATGGCGGCAAATTCAACGTACTCGTCCTTGAGCGTGTAGGAAGGCTCAGTATTCCCAGCCTCGGGATCCGGGTTCCTGAATATGACATTCTTGGTCTGCATCAAACAAATTAGCTATGCCAAAACACACATCGTGATGATGAGAAACTGCCACGCACAAGGCCGAGAGTCAGGTGGATGGCAGCCGGCAATATAACGACATGCTCCTGCGGCTCCTTGCCCCCAATCAAGGAAGTGATGTTCTTGGCCACAACGATTGCCTGCCCAACGCCGGGCCGCGCAGCTTTGTGAGCGCCCGAGTCGGCAATGTCGCCGACAGCAAAGAGGTTAGGAAATTTGGGGTCCTGGAACTGGAGAGTTGGGCGCACACGGATAAAGCCGTTGACCGGGTTGATGAGAGACGAATCTGACGTCGGCTCGAGGGTCGAGAGGAACTGCGTGTTCGCAGTCTGGCCCGTAGCCTGGATCACCAGATCGGCAGAAACGCTGGTGCCGTCGAGAAGCTTCACTTCCGTCGGCTTGCCGTCCCGGGGAAAGCCACCTTCCGGGACGATGACCCGTGATCCGGCAACGAGTCTGGATGCAGTGTGTTAGTCAATTGTAACTGGTGATCCTTTCGGAGAGGGCTGGGGCCTGCATTACTTGACGCCAAGCTCTTTGAAGCGGTCTTTGATCAAATCACTCAGGGCCTCATGGTAGAGAGGCATCAGTTTGGTCCGAGAGTGAATAAGTATAACCTCCTTCTCAGGGTATATCTCCTTGAGGTCCGTGGCCATCTGTACGCCGACAGCACCACCGCCGACGATGGCCACCGAGTTTGCTTCTTTTATATCCTGCTGCCATCCTTGCAGGTACTTGACGTTCGATTTTTTGTCATCGTCCGGCAAGGTACCCGGAACTGCGAGCCGTGTCCCGGACGCCGCGACAAGGTAGTCGAATGTAAGCTTCCTTGAGCCCTCCCACTATCGTTTCCAGACCGCATTAGCCACAAATACAAGACTCTCGGCGAGAGCATTCTACTATCATCGGGTGTGGGGGCTTTTCCGTATATCCGATCCGAGTGGTGCAACTTGCCTCCCGATCCAGCAGAAGCTGAGAGGGCTCCAAGGCCACTGCTCGTGCCTGAATCACAACATGACTGGAGGCATTCAAAAGACCAGAAAAAACGCCCTTGTAAGGAATAAAAGCCTTGTGCTCGTGGGTAGGAACGATTGAGAAACGCGGCTACCATATGATTCAGGTTAGAGCCGACATCATGCAAGCGACAAGAGGCGGACTCTACATACAAACGCAAACAGGTGGTGGAAATGACTGTGTGGCTCTATCAAGAGAACCTTGCAGACCATATAGCCGTTAGTGAGAATATTTGCAGAGTATTCAGTCATGGTGGAACGTACTCGGTGAGTCGCTGGGACTACAGAAGCCAACTCTTTTGCAGTGGCCTGACATCATGTCTTAGCAAAAAGGCCAAGCATCTTCTAGAGCGCTGTATTCTCTGCCACTTACAACTCCAACGTAGGAACCTCCGACGACGACAACGTTTCTAAGGGCTGGCATTGTGTCAGGCGCAGCCGCATCAGTTATGTGGCAGGTCGGTATAAACAGATAGACAGCTAGGATGATAGCTAATATGCCGAAGACAGAGGTCATACGGGTTGCAAACTTCAACTGCTATTCTACAGAAACGTAAAAGAAAAAGGACGGACGTGCCATTCTTATACACCTCCCGAGTTCATCAATCTATTACCCGGATTGCGATCTCGGATCAGGAATAAAGCCGAGCAAATATGGCTGGTCTGGACTTTATTTCCAGGTGGGCAGCGAGCTATTGCCAATGCGGAGGTAAAAAAGAACCTTGACAAGCTTCTACGGAGGTGAGCTTCTGCCTTGCTATGAATTGCGTGCTGAAATACCGTTACCACAGCTAGAGTGTTTTTTTTTTCGGAGTTAGGCACGGAGTGAGCATTGCTACCAGCTATTGGATGTGGACACGAATGCCTTTTGCGTCGATGACCGGCACGTGATCTACGAGCTCCCGCTTAATCACCCCTGAGTTGGCCCGTGCAACTGCTGCAACTGAATAGGGAAACAACAAGTCCTGAAAAATAACGGTAAACCTTGGTCAAACCAATTTCATCCTCTCCCTTCCTCCCGTTAACTACCTACCATCAAATCTACCATCTGAGGACTCGCACATAAGGCTTCTTTTCTTCGACTCTGTCCTTAATTTGCTTCCATATTTGATTGTCTTCTTTTCTCAACCAACAACTGCTTATTCAATCTCGCGCATAATCCCGCTTTGTGCGGGCACCTCCTTTATTTCCCTAACCTACTGATCGCGAGCCGTTTATTCTACAACGCTCGCCTCATCTGACCACTCTCCTCTTCCGGTGCAAGGGCCCTCTCTGACAAACGTAGAGGCATCGACTACGCTTCTCCACCTGCCGAAACACTCCAACGCAAAGCTTCCCGCAAGCTCCACACAATCCGGCCACCATGGCGCCGTTGCCTATCAAGCTGGGCGAGATCGTCCAGCTCACTTCTCTCGGCATTGACAGCGCGTCCATCGGATTCAACTCTTGCGTTTGTCTTCCCATGAGCATTGAACATGAAGCTCAAGGCCTTCTTTGGCTGTCGCCTGAAATCCCAATACTGACTTGTCCCCACATGCAAACAGACATTAGAATCCGACCACTTCATCTGTGTACGCGAGAAGAAGAGCGAAACAGCTCATCCCGAGGTCGTTATCGTCGACTTGAAGAACATCAGCAATGTTATGCGCCGCGGTATCAAGGCAGATAGTGCTATTATGCACTGGACACGCCCAGTCATTGCTCTGCGAGCCCAATCAAGAACCCTTCAGATCTTCGACCTCGAGAAGAAGGCCAAGTTAAACTCGGCCACCACAAACGAGGACGTTGTTTACTGGAAATGGATTAGCGAGTCAGCCATTGGCCTCGTCACCGAGACTGGTGTCCATCACTGGGACGTCTTCGAGGCGAACCGGGCCCCGGTCGAGGTCTTCAAGCGGAATGCTGCCATGGGCGTGAGTTTCTTCTCAGCTTGTGCATATGCTTCAATTGCAAAAAATGTGCAAAGTAGCCGTCTGGGGCTGACAATTTTCTCTCACAGGCTTGCCAGATCATCAACTACCGTGTAGATGCTGACAGCAAGTGGATGGCTGTTGTCGGAATCTCGCAACAGCAAGGACGCGTCGTCGGCTCCGTCCAACTCTACTCTAAAGAGCGTGGCGTCAGCCAGGCCATCGAAGGCCATGCAGCGTCATTTGCCACGTATCAGATGGAGGGCGCACCGCAGCCGTCCAAGCTGTTTGTCTTCGCCGTTCGCACTGCTGTTCACGCCAAGCTCCACATTGTCGAGGTGGATAAGCCTGAAGCCAACCCAGCCTTCCCCAAGAAGGCTGTGGATGTCTATTTCCCCGCAGAGGCTGTCAACGACTTTCCCGTTGCCGTCCAGGTCTCACAGAAGTACGGAATCGTCTATCTCATCACCAAGTACGGCTTTATCCACCTCTACGATATTGAGACCGGTACTTGCATCTTCATGAACCGCATGTCCAGCGAGACCATCTTCGTGGCGTGCGGCGATACGGAGTCCACCGGTGTCATCGGCATCAACCGCAAGGGCCAGGCGCTCTCCGTCAAGGTGGATGAGACCACCATCATCCCGTACCTTCTGCAAAACCCCGCCAACACCGACTTGGCAATTAAGATTGCCTCGCGGGGCGATCTTCCGGGTGCCGAGCCGCTCTATGCCCGTCGGTTCGAGCAGCTATTCAACGCGGGCAGTTTTGTCGACGCTGCCCGTGTCACGGCCAACTCTCCCCAAGGCTTCCTGCGCACCTCGGAAACTATTGAGAAGTTCAAGCGCCTCCCGCAGCAGCCCGGCCAGATGTCCTACATCCTGCAGTACTTTGGCCTGCTGCTGGACAAGGGCACTCTCAACATGACGGAGACACTGGAGCTAGCCCAGCCCGTTGTCGCTCAAAAGCGCACAGAGCTTCTGGAGAAGTGGGCAAAAGAGGACAAGCTGTTTGCCTCTGAACAGCTCGGTGACTTGGTGCGGCCATTGGATCTGGCCCTAGCTCTGCGCATCTACCTCAAGGCCAATGTCCCTCACAAGGTCGTCGCATCTCTTGCTCAAGCGAACCGCTTCAACGAGATCATTCCGTACGCCACCCAGTCTGGATACCAGCCAGACTACATGCAGCTCTTGCAGCACGTTGCTCGTGCCAACCCTGACAAGGCAGTCGAGTTTGCCACCATGCTTGCCAATCATGGGGGCGGCCCACTTATCGACCTGGAGCGTGCAGTCGATGTTTTCCAGTCACAGAGCTTGCTCCCGCAGGTGACGGCCTTTTTGATCGATGCGCTGAAGGAGAACCGCCCCGAGCAGGCCCATTTGCAGACTCGTCTCTTGGAGATGAACCTGCTCAATGCGCCACAGGTCGCCGATGCCATTCTCAGCAACCAGATGTTCTCATACTTCGACAAGGCCCAGATTGCCAAGCTTTGCGAACAGGCTGGTCTGTTCAAGTGGGCATTGGATCTGTACGAGGACCCTGCGGCTGTGAAGCGCGTCGTTGTGAACATCCCGGGTACGGCCGACTTCGATCCCGAGTGGCTATCCACATTCTTTGGCAAGCTTTCGGTCGAGCAGTCCCTGGACTGCCTCGATTCCATGATGAAGCACAACATCCGCCAGAACCTGCAGTCCGTTGTGCAGATCGCTACCAAGTACTCTGACCTCTTGGGCCCGCAACACCTCGTGGACCTGTTCGAGAAGTACAAGACCTCCGAGGGCCTATACTACTACCTTGGCAGCATCGTGAACCTGTCCGAGGATTCGGAAGTGCACTTCAAGTACATTGAAGCTGCCACCAAGATCGGCCAGTTCAACGAGGTGGAGCGGATCTGCCGGGAAAGCAACCACTACAACCCCGAGAAGGTCAAGAACTTCCTCAAGGAGGCCAAGCTGCAGGACCAGCTGCCGCTCATCATTGTCTGCGACCGGTTCAACCTGGTGCATGACCTGATTCTGTACCTGTACCAGCACCAGCAGTTCAAGTCCATCGAGGCATACGTACAACGTATCAACCCGTCTCGGACCCCCGAAGTTGTGGGCGGCCTGCTCGATGTGGACTGCGACGAGAATATTATCAAGAACCTTCTCGCGTCGGTGACCCCGGGCCCGATTCCCATTGACCAGCTCGTTTCCGAAGTTGAGTCGCGCAACCGTCTGAAGCTGCTGCTTCCCTTCCTCGAGTCTGCTCTTGCTGCCGGAAATACCGACCAGGCAATTTTCAACGCGCTCGCCAAGATCTACATCGACTCGAACAACAACCCCGAAAAATTCCTGAGGGAGAACGACCAGTATGACACGCTTGTTGTCGGAAAGTACTGTGAAAAGCGTGACCCGAACTTGGCCTACATCGCCTACAGCAAGGGCCAGAACGACCTGGAGCTGGTCAACGTTACCAACGAGAACTCCATGTACCGTGCTCAGGCCCGCTACCTTTTGGAGCGCGCTGATCGTGAGCTGTGGCAGTTCGTGCTTAGCGAGAACAACATCCACCGTCGCTCCGTCATTGACCAGGTCATCTCGACTGCCGTGCCGGAGTGCACGGACCCGGCCAAGGTGTCGGAAGCCGTTGCATGCTTCCTCAAGGCCGATCTCCCCGCAGAGCTTATAGAACTCTTGGAGAAGATTGTTCTGGAACCGTCTCCGTTTAGCGACAACCAGAGCCTGCAGAACCTGCTGCTGTTCACGGCCACGACCGCCGACAAGGCCCGTGTCATGGACTACATCCACAAGCTGGATGCCTTCGACCCCCAAGAGATTTCGACCGCTTGTATCAATGTTGGCCTGTTCGAGGAGGCGTTTGAGATCTTTAAGAAGATTGGCGACAACGCCAGCGCTGTCAATGTTCTGATCGAGCATGTCGTCAGCATTGACCGTGCCCAGTCTTATGCCGAGGACATCGACACCCCGGAGGTCTGGAGCCGCGTTGCTAAGGCGCAGCTGGACGGTCTGCGCGTGAGCGATTCGATTGAATCGTACATCAAGGCTATGGACCCTAAGAACTACGAGGAGGTCATCGACATTGCCACGCACTCAGGCAAGAACGAGGAGCTTGTCAAGTTCCTTCTCATGGCGCGCAAGACGATGCGCGAGCCAACCATTGACACTGCGCTGGCCTTTTCTTACGCGCGTCTGGGCAACTTGTCAGAGTTGGAGGACTTTTTGCGCGCCACAAACGTGACCAACATCGAAGAGTCTGGTGACAAGGCGTACGGTGAAGGACTGTACGAGGCGGCCAAGATTTTCTTCTCCAGCATCTCCAACTGGGCGAAACTCGCAACCACGCTCGTGCACCTGGACGACTATCAGGCCGCTGTTGAGGCGGCTCGCAAGGCCAACAATATCAAGGTGTGGCGCGAAGTTCACGAGGCCTGCGTGGAGAAGAAGGAGTTCCGTCTGGCCCTCATCTGTGGTCTGAACCTCATTGTCGATGCAGACCAGCTGCAGGAGCTGGTGAAGCAGTATGAGCGTAACGGTTACTTCGACGAGCTCATCAACCTGCTGGAGCAAGGTCTTGGTCTCGAGCGTGCTCACATGGCGCTGTTTACCGAGCTGGGTATTGCTCTGTCTCGGTACCACCCTGAGCGGCTTTTGGAGCACCTGAAGCTCTTCTGGAGCCGGATGAACCTGCCCAAGATCATCCGCGCCTGTGAGGAAGCGAACTTGTGGCCGGAATTGATCTTCTGCTACTACCACTATGACGAGTTTGACAACGCGGCACTGGCTGTGATTGAGCGGTCGGAGAACTCGTGGGAGCACCAGCAGTTCAAGGAGATCGTGGTCAAGGTTGCCAACCTGGAGATCTACTACAAGGCCATCAACTTCTACCTGGAGCAGCACCCATCTCTCATCACGGACCTGCTGCAGGCGCTGACGCCGCGTATCGACGTTAACCGCGTTGTGCGGATGTTTCAGAAGTCTGACAACCTGCCGCTGATTAAGCCGTTCTTGCTGAACGTGCAGCCGCAGAACAAGCGTGCGGTCAACGATGCGATCAACGATCTGCTGATCGAGGAAGAGGACTACAAGACGCTCCGGGATTCCGTGGAGAACCACGACAACTACGACGCAGTCGAGCTCGCCGGCCGGCTGGAGAAGCATGACCTGGTCTTCTTCCGGCAAATTGCCGCTAACATCTACCGCAAGAACAAGCGCTGGGAGAAGTCGATTGCGCTCTCGAAGCAGGACAAGCTGTGGAAGGATGCTGTTGAGACGGCAGCGATCTCGGCCAAGACTGATGTTGTCGAGGAGCTTGTGCGCTACGTAAGTTCAAAGATGCATGCGAGGGCGATTGGTTCTGCTGTGGTACGATTCCTTGCTAATCTACCTCTTAGTTTGTGGACATTGGCAACCGCGAGTGCTACGTCGGTATGTTGTATGCCTGCTACGATCTGATCCGGCCGGATTTGGTGCTGGAGCTTTCGTGGCGCAACGGACTGAACGACTTCACGATGCCCTACCTGATCAACCTTCTGAGCCAGCAGACGAAAGAGCTCGCGCAGCTCAAGGCGGACAACGAAGAGCGCAAGTTGAAGGAGAAGGAGAAGGTCGAGGTCGAAGACAACACGCCAATTCTTGGCGCCAACCGACTTCTGATCACGGCCGGACCGACCGGTGGGCAGGCTTCGCCTTCGCCGTATATGGGCGTCAACGGGTTTGCCCCCCAGCCTACCGGGTTCGGGTTCTAGAAGCAGAGTCCGGTGGTGCCCATTGTAATGCCTATGTCTTTTTCAATTGGACCGGGCTGTGGACAGTTGTATTACTATGCTTCACAGCCTGTGGCATTTCCCCGTGGCTATGTCCCTGCAAAGCCAACAGCTTGACAGGCGGATGTGAAGGGATGCGGGAAGAGAAGTGGACGATTGTCTGGCGGCATCATTTCTTGGTTGGGTTTTAATGGTATCCATGATTACCGAACTGTGCGGCGCTAAGCTGAACGGCTCTATGTGTGGGCTGGGGATGGCGAGGAACAGATAAAAGCAGGGTGAGACACGAGATGGTGTTCTTCTTTTCTTTTATACATGGCGCAGAGGCAGGATCTTCTCTGTGACCTACACGGAGAACACTCAGAAGAACCCATCTTCTTTATCTGCCTTGAGCCGTATGTACCATAGCAGTTGTTGAGAGTTTAATTTTATGTCTTTTTGCAATGACCAGTGGCCAGACAATACTACCGTTGTTAGAGGCGCCGCAACAGGATTAGCTTGGAAGCACGTGCACACATGAAACTGACATCCAGTCCGGAAACGTAAAGCAATAGCAGTGCAGCTACCTCTATCATGCCTTCCTTGTAGTCCCAATCTGGTGCTGAATAGGCTTTTAGGCGACGATTGCTTTTCCACGTTTCCGCTCTTTTCCTTGCACTCTTGCACCACAATCTGCAGTGAAGCAGCCGAGATATGCAGACATGCTCCACACTACCTCGCACTGACGTTATTTCGTTCGAGCCTCATCTCTCCTCTCCCCTCCTCTCCCTTTCGACGGGAAACCGACGTTTTACGTTTTCTGTGAACAATGGCGGAACACGGGCATAATATGTGGGAGGAGGAGCCATCGAAGGGACGTGATTCCCTGGATTCGGATTCGTCAGCGTCGACGACAAGCCTCGTGTTCGATCAGATCAGCGAGCGTGTGGCAGCGGAGTCGGGGACAACGAAGGGGAAGCGAATGCGTTATGGGCACGACGAGGCCGATCTGGGGGCACGACTCTCCGAGCTAGATGACGAAGACCCGCTCAAAGACGAGGCCAGTGGCGACTACGATCTCGAAACGGGGCCGTTCTTGGGCGGCCACGGGCACAACAGCAATCACGATGGCTTGTCTGCGGCATCGGGGTCTGCTGGGAAGACTCAGGGAGGATACCGCATGATGGATCGAGGCCTGCGACGCGTTCTGATCATCGCATCGCTCGTGTTTGTGACAGCATGGGTGGGAGGACTATTTATCTACATCTCGCACAAGTCGTATCTGCACGGGTCGGAGTTCGAGCACGATCCGCAGGCGACGGTATCGCGTGGCAGTCTGCGAAAAATCACGCGCGAACAGGTGGACAACGGCTTCTGGCGGCCGGTGAAAGCCAGCATCGCATGGGTGGCGGGCCCGGCGGGCGAGGATGGGCTGCTGCTGGAAACGAATGCAAGCGGGGCGAGCGACAAGGCATACCTGACAGTGCAAGACGTGCGGTCTCTGCAGCAGGGCTTGGACGCTTCGACGGAAGCAGCAGTGGCAGCAGCGCGTCGCACGCTCGTGGAGAAGTCGACCTTTACATTTGCCGGCAAGACATACCGCATCGGGTCGTCGAAGGCGAGCAAGGACATGAGTAAGGTGCTTCTGGGGGTGGATGTGCAGTCGAACTGGCGGCACTCTAGCACGGCGGCCTACTTCATCCTAGAGGTGGCGACACAGACAGTGCAGCCGCTTATTCCAGGTGAGGTGAGTGCGCGTGTGCAGCTGGCACAGTGGAGCCCGCAGAGTGATGCAATTGCGTTCACGCGCGACAACAACCTCTACTTTCGGCAAGTAGTCGCAGGCAGCAGTAGCAGCGCCGAAGATGCAGACAGTGTGATCAAGCAGATCACCACGGACGGCGGACCAGAGCTGTTCTACGGTGTGCCGGACTGGGTGTACGAAGAGGAGGTGCTGGGCGGAGCAAGCGCAACATGGTGGTCGCCAGACGGACGGTACATTGCGTTTCTGCGGACAAACGAAACGGGGGTGCCCGAGTACCCAGTGCAGTACTTTCTGCACCGACCAAGCGGTGCAGCACCTGCCGAAGGCGAGGAAAACTACCCGGAAGTGCGGCAGATCAAGTACCCCAAGGCCGGAGCACACAACCCAGTAGTGGACCTGCAATTCTTTGACGTGGGCCGCGGCGACTCGTTCTCGGTGGCGGTATCGGGCGAGTTCGCCGACGAGAACAGGCTGATCACAACGGTGCTGTGGGCGGGTGCGCAAAAGGTGCTGGTCAAGGAGACGAACCGGGTCAGCACGGTGATGCGCGTGGTGGTGGTGGACGTGGCGGCGCGCAGCGGCCAGGCAGTTCGTACGGTCGACGTCGGTGCTATCGATGGTGGCTGGTTCGAGATCTCGCAGCGGACACGTTTCATTCCGGCCGATCCGGCACGCCAGCGACCGGATGACGGCTACATCGACACGATCGTGCACAATAACGGCGACCACCTGGCCTACTTCAGTCCGCCCGAGAACCCGGAGCCGATAATGCTAACGGCCGGTCCCGACTGGGAGGTTGATGATGCACCGGCAGCCGTCGATCTGGAGCGCAATCTGGTCTACTTCCTCGCCACCATCCAAGGCATCACCCAGCGTCATCTCTACAGCGTGCGGCTGCTTGACGGCGGTGGCCTGTCCCCGCTGACCAACACGTCCGAGCCCGGCTTCTACGGGGCATCCTTCTCGGCCGGAGTCGGTGCTGGCTACGTGCTGCTTGAATACGGCGGGCCCAACATCCCGTGGCAGAAGGTCATGAACACGCCGGCTGCTGCGGCTGCTGCTGCTGCTGGTTCTGCTGACGTAAGCAAGCAGATGCCTTTTGTGCACGTGCTCGAAGACAACCACGAGCTGGCGGAGCGGGCACGACAGTACGCTTTGCCGCTGCTGGTGCGCGGGACGTTTGATGTGAAGGGCCACGACGAGGGCGTGGGCGCAGGCAAGCTCAACTACCTAGAGCGCCGACCGCCGCACTTTGACCCTAGCAAGAAGTACCCGGTGCTGTTTCAGCAGTACAGCGGACCGGGGTCGCAAGAGGTAACGCACGAGTTCTCGGTAGACTTCCAGTCGTACGTGGCTGCGTCCCTAGGCTACGTGGTCGTTACGGTCGATCCTCGCGGCACCGGCTTTGCGGGACGGAGCAACCGGGTGGTTGTTCGCGGGCGTCTGGGCGTGGTAGAGTCGCACGACCACATCGCGGCAGCACAGCACTGGGCGTCGCTTCCTTACATTGACGGTGACCGGCTAGCTATCTGGGGCTGGTCGTATGGCGGCTTCACAACGCTCAAGACGCTAGAGCAAGATGCCGGCCGGACGTTCCGCTACGGCATCGCCGTGGCGCCGGTGACCGACTGGCGCTTCTACGATTCCGTCTACACGGAACGCTACATGGACACGCCGCAGGCCAATGCGGTTGGCTACGACACCGGTGCCGTCACCAACGCCTCAGCCCTGGCGCAGAACGTTCGCTTCCTCATCATGCACGGCATCGCCGACGACAACGTCCACCTACAGAATTCGCTGGCCCTGCTGGACCGCCTCGACATTGAGGGCGTCTCCAACTACGACGTCCACGTCTTTCCCGATAGCGACCACAGCATCTACTTTCACAACGGCCGGCAGATTGTCTATGACAGTGAGTAGCAGCTGTGTGGAGGGTTTCGTTGTGCTCATGTGCTGACATTCGATTTACAGAGCTGGAAAACTGGCTGATTAACGCCTTCAACGGCGAGTGGCTCAAGATAGACAACGCAAAGCCACAGGGCAAGCGATAGTCGCACGGGCTCGACTACGGCACGGTAAGGCGTTTGAGGGATCTGCCCTTGGATTTACGACTACTTTTCGATTCTCTTTGTACACTTTTAGGTTCTTTATACAACACAATATACGGAGTACAAGGGCATATAATATGAATGTCGTTTCTGGCCGCTGCCTCCTTGTCGCGCTGGTCGGCCGTCTTACTCGTGCATCTCCAGCAGGCAGCAGTCCAGCCAAGCATCCTTCACCAGCTGGGCGGCAACCCGAGTGCCAATATATGTCGGGGCGTGCTCGAAGGTCAGGCTTAGGCAGTATACGAAGATCGCCGTCTTAATTGCATCAGCTGCAGTTTACATGCTGGTAAAAATGATGGGTGTATAACAGAAATCTGATATGTGACTGACGTACTCCGTAACTAAAATTCAAAAATATCAAGAAACCGAAAACACACGACTAAATACTAACCGCAGATGATTGTGGGAACTATCTTAATGTCTGAGTGATGTCTAGGCTTAAGTTTATTAAACACATGGCTGTTTCTAATACATCAGACTGGCAACCTTATCGAGAGGCATGGTACCTTTCTTTCGTCCGCAGATTTGGGCGACAAAGCGACGGGAACATATGCTTACGCACTGCCGAGATGTGCATGTTATAGGCTCCTCCATATCTGAAAATTAACGCAACCTTCTTCCGACCAGAGCCAGCTCAACGATATGAGACTACAGGACAATCAAGCATTCCTACCGCGTGAGCCTGCACTTTTCAAAACCGAGGCCGACAACACCTCAGGTCCACGCATTTGTATGCTTTTAAGCTGGATTGACCGCTGTTTGTCTTTTGTCATCTCTCCACGCTAATCTGTGGTGAATAGCTTTAGTCATAGTACGCATGTTTAGCCATTATATAGCGCAAAGGCACTTAGTCCTTCCAATAATGAGATCGAACGCCCGGTTAGCTCAATCGGTAGAGCGTAAGACTCTTAATCTTAAGGTTGCGGGTTCGACCCCCGCATCGGGCTCAATTCCTGATGCGCCTCTTCAAGAGGCATTCGAATTCTCACCATATTTTTTGCCCTTGCCCCCGAGGCCTATTTTTTTGCTCCCACATCTGGTATTCCAAGCAGCGGTCTTTAGTTCTGAATGCGCTTCTTCTGTTTGCAATGCTCTACATTTTCATATCAGAGAAATAGTACATTTTCAATTCTCCCAAGGTAACCTCCTTTACTCTTTGCTGGGCAATTTACGATGCAGCTAGCAAGCTCGGGGTTTCGGCACCAGCCCGTAGCTCCCTTCGTCCCATTCAAGTCCGCCGTTGAGCAGGAATGGAAACAAGGACCGATATACGAAAGGGATATTGAACATAAATAATATTGAATTGCTTCCTGCGTTCCAGACAGTGCAACTGTTCCGCACCCCGCTTCTGTAATCGAAGATGCACCATGTACCCTGTGTTCAAGCTGTTATATTGTGCTCGCCGTCTCCTTGATGGCAAGCTGCACGAAGTGCTCTAATCTCGGCACTTGCCGGAGACACTGACACAGCCGCCAATGCCACATATTTATGCCAAATTATCGAGATCCGGTAATATGCACCTCACCAAACTGCAAAAGCGAAGAGTAATCGAGCATGCCCGTATTGTTTTCCCATGCTGCTTCTGCAAGGCTGCCGTTGCTCCTGCTCTTAGCCTATTTCTATCTGGAGTACTTCCCGAGATTCCGAGGCTTCACGACCCAGTAGTGGAAGAAGGACAATTCGGAATGCTCGGAGGCCGGCCGTCTGCTTGGGAGCCGTGAATGCCCAAAGGAACAATGGGGAGGGGCACTGAGCGGCATAGCGAGCAGCTGAGAAGCGTCGACCGCGAGTCTGAAACCATGAAGCAATGGATACAGTGGCTGCTGCCGTGCTGCCGGACCAACGGCCAAAGCTCTCTCTTCCTAATAATGTTGACCTCTTACCGGAATTTTCAGGGCGAAAAATCGAACCCCGCCTCGTAATTGGCCGAGATGTTAGGTCCAGACCCACCTCTTTCTCTCTGGATTGGTCCTGCCACGGCCGCCGGTTTTCCTTTTCTCTCCCTCTAGAAAAAAAAGTCTCGCATTCTCGTTTTCTCCTCTCTCTTCCGCATCGTCTCCATCCTAAAGGCCTCCTCCCCTTTTAACTCTCCCCTCCCGTGCACAATTGCAATTGGCTTGCAATTGTCCCTCCTTTTTTTCTTCCCTTTTTCAAATCCTTTTTCTTTCACAAACGGTCCGCACAATGTTCCGGAACGCCCTCAGACAGTCGACGCGCGCCGTGGGCGCCATTTCTGCGAGCAGAGTGGCTGGGGTAAGTTTTACCAGGGCGAAAACCCCCCCAAGAGGGGAAGCACAACCAGAAAGTCCATCCATCGCCGCCGCAACGACCAATAGGCCGCCAGATATTCCATCGCAGAGCTCAATTGAGAGATACCGATCCATTTGGCAATGGCAGGAAGCGTTATTTTCGAGCTTATTGAAGCTTCTCTTGAGCTTTCGGCGATGGATGGATTTTTCGATATATTCTTGCTCTTAAATTATTATTTTTTTCCGGGGCCACCCGCTAACCGACACCCGCTCTCTCTCCTCAAACAGGCCCGTGTTGTCGCACCTGCCTTCAACGCCGTCCTCCAGGCCCGGTCCTACGCCGACGCAAAGGCCAGCCCGACCGAGGTCTCGTCCATTCTCGAGCAGCGGATCCGCGGTGTCCAGGAGGAAGCCAACCTTGCCGAGACCGGCCGTGTCCTGTCTGTTGGGTATGTGCCAATATATTTCCAGGACAGCAGCGACATGCAGCAGCAACAGCGACAGCCGACCGAGTGGGATGAATAAAATTTGGCGCCCGTCGTCAAAACCCGAACCATCCATGCTGCTCTGTCGCTCGACGTCCTCGGAAGTTTGTTATGGGGGTCTATGTGCGCTAACCATAATTCGCGCAGTGATGGTATCGCTCGTGTGCACGGAATGGCCAACGTCCAGGCCGAGGAGCTTGTCGAGTACGTCTTGCCCGCCACCCATCGCCACCATGCATTGCTGCTCGTTGTCTGACTGACTGTCTTTAACAGGTTCGCCTCTGGCGTCAAGGGCATGTGCATGAACCTCGAGGCCGGCCAGGTCGGTGTCGTGCTTTTCGGCTCTGACCGTCTCGTCAAGGAGGGCGAGATCGTCAAGCGTACCGGCGAGATTGTGAGTTGGAGCAGCATGTCTGCATGCACATGAAGCTACAACTGCTTGCTAACATGCCGTCCAGGTCGATGTCCCCGTCGGCCCCGAGCTGCTCGGCCGTGTCGTCGACGCTCTCGGCAACCCCATCGATGGCAAGGGTCCCCTCAACACCAAGGAGAAGCGCCGTGCTCAGCTGAAGGCTCCCGGCATTCTGCCCCGCCACTCCGTCAACCAGCCGGTGCAGACTGGCCTGAAGTCCGTCGACGCCATGGTTCCCATCGGCCGTGGCCAACGTGAGCTGATCATTGGCGATCGTCAAACCGGCAAGACCGCCGTCGCCCTGGATGCCATCCTCAACCAGAAGCGCTGGAACAACGGCACGGACGAGACCAAGAAGCTGTACTGCGTGTACGTCGCCATCGGCCAGAAGCGGTCGACCGTCGCCCAGCTCGTCAAGACGCTGGAGGAGAACGATGCGATGAAGTACTCCATCATTGTCGCTGCCACCGCGTCCGAGGCTGCTCCCCTGCAGTACCTTGCCCCCTTCACCGGTAAGTCAACCCTTTACCTCCCATCCACAAACTCGCTCCTATTCTTTCTATCCTCGCTTGGTGCCATACAAGACGTTTCGAGTCACCCAAGTGGGTGCACAGGACGTACCTTCCTCGACATGTCGACATTTCTTCCCTTTTCGGTCTAAAATGCCCTTTCAGTGGGTCTTCGCTCTCACTCGGACCGACTATCCTGTTCTTGTCGAGCTTTTGTCATGTCCCCCTTCCTGGCAGAGGGACCTTTAACCTTCGCAACATAAAGGTTTCCGCAAATGTCCACAAACTCGTGGGGGGTACACATGGTGTATCATCAATAAGCCTCCATTGTGTGGTAGAGATGAAAGCCCCCGAGGAGGAGCAAAGATCGAAGCTGTCCAAACGAAGCGGAGAGGAAACCGTACTCGACTTCAAATTTCTCGCCAAAGTTCTTCCGCCGCTTACAAGTATCTCTGCACCTTCACCTTCAAATTATTCACTACTTCCAATCTCTTCACGGCATTCGAAATAAAACTCGACATCCTGTGGACCTGGGCTGTCCGGCGAAAATTTGTGTCGGGTCTGGAACCCACGGACAGAGCGGCGTCCGGGCCAGATTCCGGGAATACGAGCGTCTCGCTCGTCTCCCCCGGTTTGTGAACCGGGCGTTGGCTGAGGGTTACGATAGCAGCTCTCGGGGGATGCTGTGCTTGGCTCCACTGCCAGCAGACGACTAGGTCCCTCGGTGCCGTGTCCTCTTCCTAGCCCTCGAGACCGTGTTCTGCTTCGTCATTGTGGACGTCGATTATGCCCTAGGGAAGGGAGTCAGTTCGCTGACTCCCTCTCTCCTCACACAGCCCGCTGTGCGAGCAGCCCCAGGGCATGACCGACCTGGACGACGAGGCCTACCAGGCTTACAGGGAGGAGCGCCAGCGGATCGTCAGAAAGAATAGCCATCACCTGTCAGCTCCACAGAGAAGGACCTGAAGGGCTATCTCGCCAGAAAGTCGGCAGGAGAAACTTGCCTGGTCTCACGTCAACAAGGACAGGGTGCTGGAATTTGCTGCTGGAGTCCGAAGTCGAGCAGTCGAGTCTCGTCGTTTCGAATGCCAGACCTGCGACTTGGGACTCCTGTCGGCTCATGCCCTTCGGAAGCGCCTGGCAACTAAAGCGCACCTGGAACGGGAGAGAATCGCGGCCGGGGGGGTTCTCCCGCCCCGTCAGCCGAGGCCCTACATGCGAGGAATCTCGCTAGCCGGAATCGCGAGAACAGAACGCATTATTGCGGTATTTGCGACAAGGCTTTAACATCAAGGGCCGTCTCTCCAGACATCTAGCGCTGAAGTGGCACCTAAAGAATGCGGCTGCTGCAAGCGAGTAGCCGCTTTTTCACAGGACACGCCATCATATTCATCTCACCTTTTGTACACTGCTACTCATTTGCTATTCTTGCGTCTGCCTACAGCAACATTACCCCACACCATGTGACATTTCACATTTTCACACACTTTCATATCACGTGACATTTTACAACACTGTCACCATCTACACATCAACACCATCGCCATCACTTTTACTGCCTCGCATACTCATCAGCATTCATACTTACTTCTCATTAGGTGCTGCGATCTCTGAGTACTTCCGTGATAATGGAAAGCACGCGTTGATCGTTTTCGATGATCTGTCCAAGCAGGCCGTCGCGTACCGCCAGATGTCTCTGCTGCTGCGTCGTCCCCCTGGTCGTGAGGCTTACCCCGGTGACGTTTTCTACCTGCACTCGCGTCTGCTGGAGCGTGCCGCCAAGATGAGCGACAAGCACGGTGGCGGTTCCCTGACAGCCCTTCCCATCATCGAGACCCAGGGAGGTGATGTATCTGCCTATATTCCCACCAACGTTATTTCCATCACGGACGGCCAGATCTTCCTGGAGGCTGAACTGTTCAACAAGGGTATCCGCCCGGCTATCAACGTGGGTCTGTCCGTGTCTCGTGTCGGCTCCGCTGCTCAGCTCAAGGCCATGAAGCAGGTTGCTGGTTCGCTGAAGCTCTTCCTGGCCCAGTACCGTGAGGTCGCTGCCTTCGCCCAGTTCGGTTCTGATCTGGATGCTGCCACTAAGCAGACCCTGAACCGCGGTGAGCGTGTAAGTATTCGATCAACCGACTCTTCTCTTTGGCTGCCGCTTTGTGTGTTCCCAAGCTAATTTGACCCTCTACAGTTGACCGAGCTTCTGAAGCAGAAGCAGTACTCGCCCATGGCTGTCAACGAGATGGTTCCCCTGATCTACGCTGGTGTCAACGGTTTCCTGGACACGATCCCGGTCGACAAGATTCTGACTTGGGAGGCTGACTTCCTGGCCCACCTCAAGACCAACGAGACTGAGCTGCTTGCCACGATCGACAAGGAGGGTGCTCTGAGCAAGGATCTTGAGGCCAAGCTCCGGTCTACGATCGAAATTTTCACCAAGAGCTTCAGCGCTTAAATTAACTAATGGTTGAGAGTTAAAAAAAAAGTCGCCACTGTGGGGGGAGGGCCGGAGTGTCTGATTTTGGTTGTAGTCTGCTTCACTGAATTGGTATTTCTCGTGTTCTGTTCCGTCGGGGAGGGCCCGAACTTCCTCCTTGGGGCGATACATGTGAGAGACTGAGGATCTGGAGGAGAGAGGGCGATTCACATATTTCTCCAGCCAACCAACTGTAAAATAGAGTCGAAAACTCAATTGCACTCGATTCCCTTTTGTCCGAATTTACTTATTAAAATAATTTTCTCCACACTCTGCTTATATTCAATGATGGCTCGTGGTGGAAAGAGGCTCCAATGAAACATTGCTGGGAACCGGAGCGCCGGACATCAGTATTGCTGACATTGTAAGCATGTCGGCCACTTACCTTGAAGTGGCCCGGGAGACTCGCAGTCGATTGCATTGCCGTCAGGGAGAGGCCATGGAGAGATCGCAAGTCGAGCACGAAGCAGCTGGAACTCCCACCTCGAACTACAATAAAGGCTTCTCCCTCCATGAATGCGCAACGATGCTCTTCCCTGACTAGTGTTGTCCGCTGATCATTAACCCGACCACACGTTTGCTACGACAAATGATAATGCCGCCTACCATACATTATGTTCAACAGACCTACTACGACGGCGGCAAAGAGTGAAGGTCCCTAAAGAGAATATCGCGACACCCGAAACTAGGAGACATGAATGGCCACATAAAGAAGAACGATAGAGCAATCGTGCCCTGTTAGTTTTATGCTATTAGGAGTAATGCGATCCAATAAAAACGTTCTGGGTAGGAAATGTACCCCATAGTGCGCATAACAGAATAGACCCGTTAGTACCACACGATATCACTTACGCTGCTGTGTCCTCCCTCTTTTAGATCCGCCCAGACCTCCTCCTCTGCATCCTGTAGGGAGACCTTCGAAAGAATATTTGCGTTAAACTAACTAGTAATGTTCGCGATGCTCAGGCAATGCTCAGGCGTGCTTCTACTCGTACGTATCGCCAAACGGTGGTGATGGATGTCACGTGGATCCTTACTCCCGAAACTCCGCTTTTCTGACATCATCCGAACATCGGCCACTTCAGTAAATTCATCCGGAAAATCAGCAGGTTGCACCTTCCAGATGTGTCCGGGGTGTCTTTTTTCTCTATTATAACGTAGCCGGATATATTGTTTGCATCTACAGGTTCCCATAAAAGCCTTGTCGTCGTTTACAAAGTTGGTGTAGTTTTGACAATCTCGGCAGTCTCGACAGCCCGATAGCTGTGACAACGTCGTCCGTGTTCCCATGCGCAATTCACGGTATACATCCATAATAGACGCCAGCAGCGGGACCACTAAGCGAGAAGTCGACCGGCTACGACCTCTACTTTGCGCATTCCCTCTTACGAAGCAATGTCTTCTGCAGCCTCGCCACGACCGTCGCCCCCGTCCGAGATGTCCTTGATCACTCGCGAGATCCTTTCGCGGGCGCGCAAAATGGTGCCGCCAATGCTAGAACGATTTCACAAGGGTGGGAAGATTGCAGACAGAGAATATAGGGTGTTGCAAGAGGCTGACTCGGAAACCAACAGGCCAGCTGGGCCGTGTCGGTGTCATCGGCGGCAGCGAAGACTACACGGGCGCGCCGTACTTTTCGGCCATGGCGAGCGCACGTCTGGGCTGTGACATGGTGAGCTTGGCACAGGCCTGATACCATACGTCTCCTGCACGATATCTTTCTGTTTTGTCTGCTGACGTCTTGCTCTCGTGCAGTCCCACATCATCTGCACGCCGGCGGCGGCGGCCGTCATCAAAACGTATTCGCCGAACCTGATGGTGCATCCGCTCATGCAACAGTCGGCCGATGCCACCAGCACTGCGACAGCTCCCAGCGACGAGGAGACTGGCAGACAGGCGGACGTCATCAGCGCCCGCGTCATCGCGCAGATGTTGCCACGACTGCATGTGCTCGTTGTCGGCCCTGGGCTGGGCCGCGACCCGCTCATGCAGGCTACAGCAGCCCGTATCGTGGCTGCGGCGCGCAACTGCGGCCTGCCGCTCGTGCTGGACGCAGACGCCCTGCGGCTGGTGCAGAGCCGGCCGGCGCTGGTGCGGGGCTACTCGCTGGCAGTTCTAACGCCCAACATTGTCGAGTTTGGCCGGCTGGAGAAGAGCTTGGGGGAGGAGGACGGCGGCGAGAGCAAGGATGGATCCGCCCAGACGACGTCCACCGATAGGGCAGCTCGGCTCGCCCGCATCCTCGGGGGCGTCACTATTGTACAAAAGGGCAGCGTTGACGTCATCACGTCTGGTACACCCTCGTCGACCATGGTCTCAGACCTGTCTGGTGGCCGCAAACGCAGCGGCGGCCAGGGCGACACGTTGACGGGAGCTATCGCCACCTTCTTGGCATGGCGGAAAGCCTACCTCGACGGGCTCTGGGAGGAGGAGGGCGCGGGTAGTAAGACCCAGTTGGGAGAGCAGGAATCGGTTCTCCTGGCAACCTTTGGCGGCAGTGCCATTACACGAGTGAGCCTCATTCAGCAATGCGTTTTTGGGAGAGAGAAGTGGGCTTCGACATCTTCATGCTAATTTCCGCAACAGGAATGTTCACGGCTGGCATTTGCAAAGATGGGACGCAGCTTGCAGGCTAGCGACTTGACGGACGAGGTCCACACGGCGTTTCTCAATCTTTTCGGAGGCGAGGAAGACAAGCCGGTGGCAGAAGACGAAGCAAAACTTTGATCAAGGGAACGCCGGTTGCCGAGCCTACCGACATGCCAGCCAGCCATACGAATGCCACTGGCGTATGTCTGAACACGGCCTATAGCTCGAAACGTTACAGAGTTGGGGATAACCGAAACATGGACACTGCAAGATAAGATACATGCGGGCTGTGTTTGTGCAATGTCTCTGCCGTGCGCCACCTGAGCCTTTGACCGCATTTCAAACGGCGGCCTACTGCGACCGTTTTGCAGAGCATGCCTCATGCATTGCGCACATGGATGTGTCCAGGTGATCCATTAGTCCAGTTGCCAGGGAAAGACACAGGCGAGGTGATCTCGCCAACTTCTGCCTGATTGGGACCTGACTGCAAGCGAGGATACTTCGGCGTCTGACAGCAGCTTGAGGACGACTAAGGAGTGCGAACTACGGAGACGATACCCCGGATAACGACGGCTATTGGTTTTAACATTAACATTAATCAGCTAGCCGGATGCAAGGGGCAAGACGCCTGTTGTTGCTACTTTTCCAATGCAACCCAATTGACCCGTGCAACCTCTCATTGGTGCTCGCGGCCACTTGCACTCTGACAATGTCGCAACACGCGACCGTCAATCGTCGCTCCCTTGCGTTGTCCCCCTTCGCTGAGGCAGATAATGTGGCCGAGATCCAGCACGTCTGGGGATTGGCTCCTGGGGATTGATCTGGGCCCCACCTTTTGCCTAACAGGATGCAGTGTCCAGTTCTGTCTGGAGACCCACGACATCCTCTTAGCCGAAGACGCGGTGATCAAAAGCATCAGACCACCTCCTTAGGCAGAGGCAGGGCCGGGGAATAAGAAATCCTGCCAACAGCGTCGAGTGGATATCGAGTCTGAATTTTCTTTTCGTGTTTTTCCCGCAATCTACCGCATTGTGCAAGATTTTACCAACCTGTAGGAATCGTGGCTTGCAGCCGTTTTTTCTGCTCTAATGCACTGCCCTGGCTTCTTTTCTCTTTTGCTCAAGGTTTCCGTAAGAAGATACCATTACGAATATGTCGTATGATACATGGAACAACTTGCTTCCTGCTTCATTTTGGGGTGACTGAATTTTCGTATAGCTCTTCTTCTTTCTCCCCGGCACTTGCTGCTGCTTTTTTCCTATTCGTGGCTTGCGATTTGGTAAGTACCGTACTCGGATGCAAACTTGCAATTATTCAGCTTGACTCGAAACAGCAATTGTTTCGTTGTCCTTCATCTGGAGGGCTGGTGGACCGAACGGCTGCAGGTGCCGTTTGGGGCAGTATACGAGCATCCCATCTGAGTAATGCTCCGTCCTGCCCCCCCAAACAGACAATCGAGACCCAGACGTCGCAATGGCCCACTCTCATGTCAGGTACGATGCCTGTGGATGTGCCGTAGTAGCGATATGATGCTTTTCGGTACAGCAGACCGGTCAGGGCCAATGCAACCGCACAAAGACAGCCCGGCTCAATCATCTCGGTTTGCCTTTTGTCCTGCTCTTGTCTGTGGGACTGATTGAGCACCAGTGTCTCCACGTCCTAACGTCCCAACGTCTCCTTGGGAGGCCCCATGCACGCAATACATGCGCCAGCAGCTTGGCGCAAAGGTAGGCTCGCTGCTCGGCATCATAATGACTGCATCTCGGACGGACACCGAGGGAAAGAAGAAAGCAGGGAGTGCTCTGACACGAGGCAGTGAAAAAAAAAAGAAAAAAAAAGAAACGTTCACCAGAACCGAAGCAGAGAAAAGGAGAAATGTTCCTGACCACATGCAAGAGTCTCGTGTCTGCCCTTCACCTTCCGGCGGGATGCAAAGGCATGGCTGTCATCGGTGTAGGAGCGAGATGCGGTTCTCTCGGCGTGCCTCGTAAGATATATTGCATAAACGTTCCGGCTACAATCTGGTAACACAGCTATCGCCACGCCCCTCCGCGCGTGCAGTTCTTGCGGTCTCGACAGGCATCATCTCCCGGTTGATTCTTCCACCGGCTTACGCAAGTACCCAATAGGGAAGATAGCCGCCCCATAAACGCAGGGTCTAGATGTTTCGTAGGGCACTAGGCTGGCCAGCGCCCTGGCTTTTCGCCCGATTTTTCCCTCTCTCTCTACGGAGTAATATAGGGCTCCACCAACCCGGTTCTACTATATTTTCCCTGCGGGCCCGCCCTGCTTCCGTAGGCTAGCAGCGTATTTATCCCATTTAGCGGGCAATGTTAGTGGCGATACGAGCACCTTAACCGTCACGATGAGCGACAGCCGGCTGCGTACCGGTTACCACGTACCGGATCTCCCCATTTACAGACCAACTTCTCCACCCGGCTCTCGCTGGCGGCTATTTTGGATTTGTGTCCACCGCTGCTTTTGACGCGAACGAGGCAGGTCCTGGCGAGTGGGTGTTCGCAGTCTACGTCTACATAGTACTGTGTACTCGTATTAGGGAGCCGCTCTGACGGGCTTTTCGGACCTCCAACTGCTCTGCCAATTTGCATATAGGGCACCTGTAGTGCGGCTGACAGATGCAGACACACAGACGCTGACACGGCCCTCCGGCAGGCTCGCCAGTGCCCCTTCGGGTGCTTTGGCCGTGCTGCAGCCAAAGCCAGCCCAGTCGATCGTCTCGGCCCTCCTCTCCTGCCATTAGCCACTCTCCGTACGGAGTAGTCTCTTGAGGCCGTCGTTGAGATTCACAGCTAGCGTGCAGTGGCATAGATCGTTCCAAGACAGTGTCCACTTCCTTGCATGGTCCTCCTACTACGAGTGAGTTAAGAGTAATTCCGTCTTCTCTTCGCTCGTACATCGTACGCCGTACTGAATCGTCTTGTCTAGACGGAACATACTGTCCTGCTCAGTCTACACGCGCGTTCCATCTGCCACTTCTGCAGGCCACTTGCAAGTTTGCACGCTCCCTTCTCACACCCATCCTGCCAAGATAAAGAACGGCGCGGCCTGACCCCTACTTGTCCATACTTCCGGTCGCTTTCCCGTCTGTCGTTCGTCCCGCTTGACCGCTGCCACACATACAGGGGCTGTCTCCCTGGCCTGGCTCCGCATCCATTGTGTGCGGTCAGTTCTCACGCCCCGTCCCAAAGGCCTCACCTGCCACCTCCATCCTTCAGTGGAGCTGGCCCCGGCTTCCTTTAGAAAAGAACAACCGAGTATGCGTTTTTTTCTTCTCAACCTTCCGCTTTCCTTTTCGCGCCTGCCACTTTCTGCTCACCTGACCACGGAAGGCGCGGTCTGAGCATCGTACCTGCCTGTCGTGTAAGATGTCAATGCGTAGGCGAAAACACGGGTCCTTTCACAGATCACGTCCCCGAGGAGCTGCTTTTTTGTCGTAATGACCTCTCACATGGTCAAAGTGCATATGATCTGGCCCCATCCCATCCTATTGCATCCCTCTCTAGCCTGGTCAGGACACTCTTGAAATGTCAGTTTCTACACCCATCTGTCACATCCTCCTTAGCTGTTCCTCAGACAAGCCTCCGATATTCTAGAATCTGCTTAATTCCCCCTCGTTTTGGCCTCTTCTTCTTCATGAGACATCCTTGGACCGGTATGGAGACACGTTGCATGTAAAGAAACAACCGGAACTGCACAGCTCACAGCCACGACATAACGACTGCTTGGGACCAGCAAAAATAGAAAAACACAATCGACCCCCTCCTCGTCTTCCCTCCCTAAAACACCACCCCTGCTTGACGATATCCCGCCGGCCATTGCCCTACTCCGGCCCTTTTTACTCGTGCATCTGTCATGCTCGCTCTCTCACTTTCTCGCGAACCCTCTCGGCCCCCTCCTCCACATCCGTCTGCCCCATTAGGAAGTCGTTCCCTGTCAGCTTCACGTCAAGCCCACACCACTCCATTCCTCATGCAACTCCCTTTCGGTCTCTCATCGCCTAAGTATCCTTTCCCTTGACTAAATCTGGCTCTTGGGTCTCTGACCCAATTTTACTCGCCTCCGAAAAAAAATAAAGAAACAAAAGTCTCACGTCTCTCGTCCCTCGCTTCTAGTCTCTAATCACAGCTGTGAACCTGTCTCACCGCGATCCCTTGCTATTTTCTACCCCATCCCTCTCTCCTCCCTCGCCATCCCTTTCCGTTCGGATTCCTCTACTCGGCCGGTACCTACACGCGTGCAACCCAAAACCCCCCCGTCTTGTCTTGCGTTTGTATATCAACGCCTTTTGTCCGTCCATCAAGTGCACAATTTGTGCACCTTTTCTATCTTTGACTCCCAGATCACGGCTATCTATACGTGACAAAAAAGGAAAAGATAGACATCCACGCGAGATTCCCACGCAGACGACAGCCACATCTCGCTTGACTACGTGGTACTGCAGGATATCCCACCGCCGTCACCATTGGAGCAGTCATCTCAGACCCAGGCCCTACCCGACGTCCACAGCCATCTTCCTGTCGAATATATTTTTGAGTCTACTCAGGCCGCCTTGTCGCACGTTTTCTTGCTGCACTTTGCTTCTACTACCCGTCAATTTTGTTTCAAGCTACACCAGTCGGGTGCCCTCGTAATCCACAGAGCCAGGATCCATATCCCATATCTCGCAAACTCAGATCTCAGATCCCAGCATCTACGAGGCCTACTGACGCAACCTTCTTCCCCATGGGCACCCCTTTATCGGACTGGACTGGATACGCATTCTAGCATTCCACGCACAGCCAGCTCTCGTTTCTGCTTTCCCTTGTCCCTATCGCTCATTTGTATCCTTTGGGTGCATCATACTTCGTACCCGCCACGCCTTTAGCACGCTACCGAGTGCGATCTTTTCATTTGTCTTCCACGTTCGAGAACGAAGCCTATTGTTACCTGTGTGCATCCGTGTTTGCCTGCGGATACTTCGTGGCTTCTTCCGTCGTCCTGCTGTTTCATTCTCCGCCAATCACCGCTTGCTGAGACCGTAAGCATAACAGCTCGTTCTGCCCATTTCGATTAATTAGACACAAGCTAGAACCTTGTTGGGCTTATTGCCGTGAACCGTCTTTGCGTGCAACAGTTCTCGGCCGTGTGTCCGGTCTCTCTTTCTGGAATTTTTTGTAAGTGTACACATGCATTCTTTCTTGTTGCTCCCGGTGCTGAATCCTCTTTCCCCACTCCCACTGAAGGAAGTCCTGCAAAGTTGAGAGCACAGAGGAGATGACCATCAGGGGGCACAGAAGAAAGACTGTCTTATCACCATACTGCTCGTAAGAGACCAGATACTAGGAGACACGAGGCTCATCATCAACACAAGAACTCATGCAACTGACACAAAGCCTACCAGATTACCCATTATCCCATCCTTCGTTCGTCGAAATGCCGATAAGCGGTTTGGACAGGCTGGAACGCCTGTTCTCTAGGAAGAAGCATGCGGCAAGCCGACCTTCTGCGGGAGCCGATAGGACAAAAGGCAACGCCCATGTGTTGGTTAGCCCAGCTTATGCGGCACCGGCCGCGTGCATAGGAAGGGGTTTCCCGCGGCCTTCATTCATTTGTCCCAAGGCGATTAGGATGATTCCGAGGGATGATTCCGGTCCCAATTCTCGCCCGTCCACCGCTGGTCGCGGACAGGCCAGGCCCAATACAGCATTGTCGACCGTGAGCGAACAGGACGGTGACTTCAACCCATACGGGCGGTTCCGTTCTGTGGACGCGGCATTTGCTCCATCAGCATCAAGCATAACTATTGCGGTCTCCAGAGACGGTAGCATCTGCGCTTCCAACTCCTGCCCGCCCACCCCGCAGAGGTCAGCGTCTTTGAGAGAGCGGCGAAAGGTGTCCATTGCAACGCTGCGTGGCATGCAGCCAATGCTGTCGCGACTCTCTGCCGCCACGACAACGAGCTCTGACGAGATCAGCCCAACCACTACGCTCCGGTCGACGTCTCCCGTACTATATAGGGCACAATTGCCTCCACAGATGAAACTTCAGCTGGGCGAGTTCCAGGACTTGCAGTCTTACTCCTTTCAGTCAACCGCCGACACACCACCGCCTTCGGATCGTGACGAGATAGCGTACATGGACAGGCGGCCGGTGTCGCCGAGCACGGTCATCTACCACCTTCCAACAGTGCAGTCGTCGGTATCCACTATCGCTGGTCAACCAACGCCAGTATCATCTCCGAAGATGCCTGCAACGAGCATCTCGACACCAACAGCAACATGGCAGGAGGACGAAGACTACATGGAGAGGCCGCTCTTGCAGCGTGACTCTGTCTGTTCTGTCGTCCTGGAACAGGCTTCCTCAGGCGCTGATGTCGAGCCGTCTTTAACATGGCCGCCAGTAGCACGGCGGATAAGCCAGATGGCTCATCGTCCAGACTCTTTGCGCATCAACCGGCAGCTCCCGGTTGAGCGCGCGCCGCTGTCTGCTGGCTCGGTGCTCAAGGAGCCGAACCTGGGCGAATTTCTCTCGCTGAGCGATGAGGACATTGCCGAGTCGGAGTCGGCTATCCAGACAGTGGCATCTGCAGCAAAGGAAGCAAAGACGGCCAATAAAGAGCCGGCGACGCCCCTGCAGAGCAGACACAAACCCACGCAGTCAGCATTGGCAACATCAGAACCTCAAAGGCCACCCGCTTCGGTTTCGCCGCCCCTTATTTTGCGAAGCAGAAGGTTTTTCCGCGAGGCGCCGCCGTCGAAGCCACCGTCGTTCCAGGCTCCACCACTGCCTTTGCCTCTGCCCATCCCGACGATGGTCCTGGGCGAGAGGGCAGCAAGTCCCAAGTCTCCAAGCGGTGCCCAGACGCCGGCGTGTCAGCTACGCATGTCAACGGCTGTTGAGATTGCCCGCATTGCGTCGCACTACAAGTTTGACCTGGCCTACATTGCCACCATCTGGCCGAAGAACATGGCCATTCTGGATGGAGCAATGGCAAGCACGGCCGATGGCCAGACACCGTTCCCAATGTCACCGCCGTCGTCCGTTTCGTCTTCTGGCTTGGCAAAGCGAATGGCGCGTTCCAACAGCCGAGCCAGCCGGATGAGTAATCACAGCAGTTGCAGCAGCGTTCGGACAACGGGCAGCAACGACACGGTGCGATCATCAGCCACGGAGAGTGTGGGCCCGGGCAGTCCGGCGCCAATGGGACCGCAGTCTGGCCTGGAAGCACAGCTCCTGGCAGCGTATGGGTTAGCGACGGTGAAAGCACCGTACAGTCTGTCGGCTCCGACACACGCACGGATGCTTAATACGAAGCGATGGCTACGCTTCAACGAGTCCAATGCGCGGGTGAGCGAGTTCTCGATGGGGTATGGCTGTGCGTTCTACCAAGGTCATGTGCCTGTGGTGGCAAACAGCAAGCGACGACACGAGCAGCTTGAGCGGAGGGGCGCATACTATCGGCGGCCGTCGGCAGAGGACTGCGACGCTGATACGGAGCAGGACGACCGGGAAGACTCGGACGGCGACAGCGGTAGTGCCACTCCGCGGCCAACGCGGATGGCGCACAGCAGTAGCAGCAAACCTAACAACCGTGGCATCGTCTTCGTGGCATACCGGCGAAAGGGAACAGGAGAGGATATGGCAGCTGGAAGTGGAGGTCCCGAAAATGAGGACGACAATTTGGATGCGCTGTATGGTGACGTGGAGAAGCTTGTGGGCCGAATCCTTGACTTTCACACGATGCAGCAGCGGCAAAAACAGCTGGACATGCTACGGGCGGTGCCTGGACTGGCGGATGATTTTCTGGCAGCAGCTCTGGGCGTGGAGAAAAGGTGTGGCCCATCACCAACCGAAAGGTTGGCAGCGGATGTGGCCGTTCAAGCTTGACAGCTTCTCTTTTTTTTTTGTCTTGATGAGCAAGAGAGTTTGGAGTTTTTTCTAATGGGGACTGGGCTGAAGTTTAAGTAGTCGGAGGTGAATAATGAGACCATGATCATGGCTATACGGAGCACAGAGTAATGCTTATACGTGCATTGTTTTTCATACGAATAGTCACTTTCAGATGTGCAGTACGGGAGTACGGAGTCATGTTATATCCGCCACACTTGGTGGGTCAAGCCACAATATCCCCGCCAATCAGAGCGGTGGCGAGGCACCGTCAGTGTCGTAATAATGGTGAGCAGAAAAAAAAGAGGAGATTCGGTAAGCTTCGTCAGTGTACGATTGTCGAGAACGAGAACGTCTTCGAGGACGCTACCTGGTCATCCTTGCTATTCGACGCAATCTCGCAGAAGCACACAGACACTCAGACACTCAGACAGCACACATACACCCGACATCTTTGCAATGGCAGGCCGGGGACCGATGGACGACTACGTGCGACGGCTGCAGCAGATGGCGCTGAACAGCCGGCGGGGCGGCGGCGGGGGGATGCCGCCGGGGACGCCGCGAGGCCTGGGGAGTCTGGTGGCGTCGCTGGTGGTAGTGGGCGGCGGGATGTGGGTGGTGCAGAACGGGCTCTTCAACGTGGACGGCGGACACCGGGCGATCAAGTACCGACGGACGACGGGCGTTTCGCGGGAGATTTACGCGGAGGGCACGCACTTTCTGGTGCCCTGGTTCGAGTCGCCGGTGATCTACGACGTGCGAGCACGGCCGCGCAACGTGTCGTCGCTGACGGGGACCAAGGACCTGCAGATGGTCAACATCACGTGCCGCGTGCTCTCGCGACCAGACGTGCCGGCACTGCCGCAGATCTACCGCACGCTGGGGACGGACTATGACGAGCGCGTGCTGCCGTCGATTGTGAACGAGGTGCTGAAGAGCGTGGTGGCCCAGTTCAATGCCAGCCAGCTGATCACACAGCGCGAGATGGTGGCCCGGCTGGTGCGCGAGAACCTGGCACGGCGGGCGGCCCGGTTCAACATCTTGCTGGACGATGTCTCCTTGACGGTGAGTGGAAGGAAAAGATGTTTGACAAGGAAATAAAGAGAAGAGAAGAATGAAAGAAAGAAAAAAAGAAAAAAAAGAAAGAAAAAGAAAGAAAGAAAGAAAGAAAGAAAGAAAGAAAGAAAGAAGAAAAGACAAAAACTAACGTCACAGCACCTCGCCTTCTCGCCCGAGTTCACGGCCGCCGTCGAGGCCAAGCAGGTGGCCCAGCAGGACGCGCAGCGGGCCGCCTTTGTCGTCGACAAGGCACGCCAGGAGAAGCAGGCCATGGTGGTCAAGGCCCAGGGAGAGGCGCGATCGGCCGAGCTGATCGGCGAGGCCATCAAGAAGAGCAAGGCCTACGTCGAGCTCAAGAAGATCGAGAACGCCCGGGCCATTGCGCAGTCGCTGCAGGAGGCCGGCAAGAACCGGCTGCTGCTGGACGCCGAGGGTCTCGGGCTCAACGTCTTTGACGAGGCCGAGCAGAAGTAGGAGGCAGCACGTTTACGACTGGCGGAACGGCAAGGACAGATGGCCCGTCACCGCAGATCACGTGAACTCAACTCATAAAATGTATTAGTAGAAAATGCGCTGCGTGGGTATATGCAATATGTGAGCCCAACCGTCGAATGTCCTGAATCGCGTACAAAAAGCAGTGTCTCCAATCGTCAGTCTCGTCAGTCCTGTTTCTCTACCCCTCCAGGCCGTGTGCACCTCTATCCCATCCGGGCCGTCTGCGCCTGCTGGTGAGCCTGTTGCTGCTGTTGCTGTTGTTGCTGTTGTTGAGCCTGCTGGTGTGCATGTGCAGCCGCTTGAGCCCGTCGTTGCTGCAGCTGTGCCATAGACATGCCAGCCGGCAGAGCAGATGGCACCGGCAGCAGCGACCGCACGCGCTCATCGATCTCGGCCAGACAGGCTTCGATGCCGCAGAGGCCGTCCGTTCTGTCGGTCTTGTCGGCTTTCATGTCCACCTTGGCATCCATCTTGCTGTCGATCTTTTCCTCCTTTGCATCCGTCCTGCTGTCCTCCTCTTCCTCTCTCCCAAACGGACTCGCCACGGCCGCCGTCTGCAGCCCCTTCCACCCGCGACCCCGACGCTCAAACACGCTGCGCAACACCCGGCCCAGATCGTCCTCGTGTGCCGGATCGGCCGCAGCTCCTCCTCCTCCGGAAACAGCCTCTATCCGACGCACCTGCCACAGACTGACGCCACTGCGCATCCGCAGTCGAATCTCCAGCACCAGCTGTCGCAGTCGGCCCTGTGGCGGACTCGGAAATAGAAACCGCAGCACAAACCAGTCCAGCGCCCGCGGAAAGATGCCCAACATGCCGACGTTGCGCAGCTGCATCTGCTCCCACACGTCCTCCAGTCGGTCCAGCGCCCGATGCAGTCCCAGCGTCGTCGTCAGGAAAAATGGCACCGCCTCAGCCGTTGCTGCATCGCCTGCCACGCGGCCCAGAAAGTCCACCACGCGCAAGTGTGGACATCCTCGTTCCAGTCGCAGACGCACGCTGCTGCTCAGTGCTGTCGACCGTCTTTCTTCCCTTCTTTCTCCTCCTCCTCCTCCTCCCAGGTCCACCGTTACCGTCCATCGTCGCTGTCCGGCGTCGCCGTACGAAAAGACCAGCCGCCGCAACGTCACCGTCTCGCATCGCACCCCTCGGCTGGCTTCGCGCCGGATCGCATCCAGAAACCCGACCACCCGTTCGATCGCCTGCAGCCGGCTCACCAGCGTGTCCATCACCGACTGGCCCACCGTCGCCCGCAGATACAGGCAGAACTGTCCCGTCCGTCCGTTGAACGCTACGTCGTGATCTGTCCGTCCGCCCAGCAGCCGGAACTTGGCCCGGTCTGTCACCACCAGCCGTGCCTCGGCCAGCACTCCCATCCGCCGCTCTCGCTCCGTCGTCCATGTCGTCTGGTCCGGGTCCATGTCGATGCCCCGGAATACCAGATGCACAAAGTCTGTCGCCCACGCCGTCTTTCGCCGCTGTTGTCGGTCGTCCAGCGCCGCCGACATGATGTTGTTCGCCGCGTGTCGTCCCAAGCCAAACTGCAGCGTCTGTGATCCCTGCTGCTGCTGCTGTGGCGACGACTTGAGCAGCTCCGAGAGCCGGATGGTCAGCGCCGGCAGTCTGGCTCGCGGAGCCACGCTGGCACTCCACACATTGGCCGCCCTCACCGGCTTCTTGCGCCGGATGAGCTCCTGGATGTCCGTGTACTGGGCCGCTATGCCGGTGGCAAACACTGTCAGGTCCGAGAAGAACGAGTCGTCCAGGTCTGCCGGATTCGTGCCCAGCGGCAGCGACATGTGCGCCTTGATCCGAGTTCCCGACTCGGCCGTATCTCTGAACAGGTTAGGGTTGAACATGGCAAGAACAGAGAACGGCAAACAAAACAGAAAAACAACTCACAACTTCACCAGCCACCAGCGGTCGCCGCTGAGGCTCAGACACGCCAGCACGTGCCACTGTGCGTCCCAGTCCTGTCGCTTGAGCCAGAGCACCTGGTACGTGTCGCGTAGGTTGACCACCTGCCGCAGCTCCTCGCTCCGGACCACAAGCCCGCGCACCGTCGTCCAGCCAAAGCTCTTGGCCCGCCTCCCCAGATCCTCCTGTGCTGACGCGCACCGCACGCTGTCCAGCATCGCAAGGCCCTCTTCGATCGGGTCCCTCGTGCTGCTCGCACCCCCGCCAGCCCCTGCGTTGATCCGGCCCTCGTTGTGCATCACGACCCGCGACTGCGGCACCATGGCAAACAGCCCCGTCACCGGATCCATCCGTACTGAACCACCCGGTCGCGATGCGTCAGCTGCATCTCCAGAAACGATGCCCCCGGGTCTGTCTGCGAGATGTGCAGTCGCAGAGCCGCCCGCCGCGTCGCAAACAGCGGCTTCGCTGCCAGCCGCTCGTGCATCCCCGTCAGGATATGCTCCACGTGCAGCCCGATCACCGCCATCAGCACTCGTTCCGCCGACACCGTCGAGCCTTCCACCACCGCTACCGCCACCGTCTTCACCTCCTTGCCGTCCCGGAACCACCGCAGCCCCAGTCGGCTCGTCTGCTGCTCGTCTCCGCCTTCGTCTGCCGTCTCCTTCGCCGTGTCTGCCCGTCCGCTGTGCACCCCGATGATGATCCAGCTCTTCGGGCCCGTGCTGCCGTATCGCGACGTCCAGTACTGCACTGAGATCGCCCGGTTGAGCTGCTCCACCCGCACCGTCTCCACCCACCGTCCGCGTCCCAGCTCCAGCGCCTGCCGCCGCAGCTCGTTCACCTTGTGCGTCATCACATACTCGTGCAGGCTCCGGTAGCAGCCCGCCAGTCCCTCCGCTGCCAGCACCCCGTTCACCTGGTCCTCCAACGCCGTCCGCAGCCCCTCCGTCAGGTCCGCCGGCGCCGGCGTGAACAGAAACCGCAGGTCCAGAAACCAGAGCTGCTCCGTAAAGTCGTCGCTCGCAATCGTCACGTCCACCTCAAACTCGCCCTCCACCCGAAACGTCGCCCGTCCCGACCGGATCGTGTAGTCCCGGAACTGGTACGGGATCGTGTCGTAGTCGTCCAGGTTCAACCGCAGCGAAAGCAGCGTGCTGATGTCGTCCAGCCACCGCAGCTGCTCCTCTGCCGTCAGCGGCGCCGGCTCGATGAACCCCAGGTCCGGCATCCACGGTCCGTTGCCCTGTGACAGCACTTGCAGTGCCGTCTTCAGGTCTGGGCTCGGCACCCGCGCCGCGTTCAGGTTCCGCTTCAGGTTCAGCATCGTGAACACCGCCTGCTCGTACTTGACCAGCTCCTCCTCAAACATGTGATTCTCCAGATCGATCAGCTTGCTAATCTGCGTCGCCTTCTTGCTCCATTCCGTGATCACCAGTGCCTTGACCCAGTTTGCGTGCTCGCTCCGCGCAAACTCGAGCAGCCTCTTCTTCTTCTCCACGTTCTCCACCGATCCGTCCTCCGGTCCCGCCGCATCTACTCCGTTTGTCACCATGCCCGCCACCGGTTTCCGCGCCAGCTCCCGGATCATGTCCTGCAGGTTGTTGTGTGTCTTCTGCGCCAGCCGCCCGATCAGGAATCCCAGCGGCACAAAATTGTCCGTCACATGCTGGATTGCGCCCGGGAGGTCGTTCATTCGTGGAGGTCCCACCGACGCCAGTGGTCCGTTTGCCTCTGCCTGTCTGCCTGCAACGTCGCCACTGCCCTCCATCGCGTGCCTGCTGGCCCCGTTCATCTGCTGTGTCGGCTGGTCTCTGTCATGGTTGCTGTGCGCGCCGCCGTTCCGTCCTCCGTTCTCCATCGTCGTCGTCCCCGGCTATCCCAGCGGCCGTGATCGTCCGGTCGGGATTCGTCGATAAGGCCGCTGTCCAAACGAAAACACGGGCAGTGTCGTATGCAATCGGGAAAAAGGAAACAGCGGCTTTCCCTCACGTCGATGCGATTCGGCTTTGTCGGACCGCTGCACTATGGCGAAATATACCGAGAAAAGACAAAGTTCAGGCCTTTTGCCTTTTTCGGGCGGCGTCGTGATTGCGAAAGAGACGAAGAAGACGATGCAACGGCTCGCAATGTTCCAGGCCGTAGTGACGACTACTTTCAGGTGAGTATGCGCGACGCGCTCGTTGCAACTGAAGCGTCAGGGTGCCTCCTGCAGAGCGGCGATTGCATGCAATAAAGGGGCAGGGGAAGTAGTCCGACAGAAGGCTCCGAGAAAGGGAGAACAAGACTCCAAAATTAATACTCGTCGAGTGTCCGCAACAGGGCGATCGAGGGGATTGAGACTAGTGCAAGGAAACAGCAAATCTTTTGCCAGTGAGCTAAAACCAAGCAAGGCTTCTCAGCTTCTGCTGGCAACTGCAAAGTAAGTGACCATGCACGTGACCACGCTCACTTAGCCCGGCGCGTCGCCCACTCCAGCAGACCTGCATTTCCGCGCCAATGCTAGCTCAAGCCGATACTCCCAAACCAGCAAAGTCTACGTCTACGTGACAAATACTTTGCCGAGCGAAAAGTAGTGTACAATCCTATATGTGTGGACGCAAAAGAGAAAATATGATTCCACTTTTAAGAGACATTATAGAACGCAAAGGAACCTTGTCAAAGCCCAAACGGAAAGAAAGGAAAACATGAAATACGTCAGTCTCAATCTAAGCGGCTTATCAAGACGTCAACAATCTTCGTCTCGCCGTACACAGCACTGCTGGGGTCCTTTTCTCGTGGCGACTGCTTGCTTATTGATACATCATTTTAGCAACTTTCTATAAGCCATTATCCGAGGAGGTACAGACGTTTGGAATTGCTCATCTTATAGTACGCGAGCTAGACTCAGCACACTAGCTGAGCGTCGTTATGTATTTGGCGTTGTGTAATTCAACTGCGTCATTGATCTGTCATTTAATATATCCATCCATCAACCAAACCGGCCTGCTCTCTCCGGTGCGTTTCGTTCCAATGCCCTCCAATCTCCTGCTTCCAAATATACATTACAGGTTGAACACTTACAACTTTGTCGGCTGCGCAGCAGACGTCGTCGGCCACGTGTAGCCTGCGTTATCGGCAAACCGATATCCATAGGACGCCGTAAAGTCATCGAGAACAGCCGGGCCGCGGGAACCTGTCACATTAGTCAGCCAAATTGTCGCCCATATATGTCCCTGTTTCGCGTCTAGCTTACCGTATGGGTATTCCATAGGAACGATCTCCTTGTTGTCGTCGAGGTAGTGCAGGAGGGGGGTGAAGATTCTCCAGCTAGCATCCAGCTCGTCATCACGGACAAAGTTGGACTGGTCACCGCGGAGGCAGTCCAGGATGAGCGACTCGTACGCCTCAGGAATTTTTAGGTCCGAGAAGCGTCGGCGGTAGGTGAGGTCAAGCTCGGTCACCACAGTCTGCATGCTGAGACCCGGAAGCTTCGAATTCATCTTGACGTAGACACTTTCGTTCGGCTGGATCCGCATGACAAGCTCGTTGCGTGGGATGTCCTTAAAGATACCCGAAGTCACATCCTTGAACTGTATCCGAATCTCCGTCTTCTGTTCGTTAACCGCCTTGCCGGCCTTCATGATGAAAGGAACACCGTCCCAACGCTCGTTCTTGATGAAAGCAACAAGCGCACAAAATGTCGGGCACCGCGAGTCCTTCGGCACAGTGTCGTCCTCCTTGTACGACGGCTTGCTGCCGTCAAGGGATCTTCCGTACTGGCCAATGATGACATTCTTAGGCTCGATCGCAGGCATCGCACGAAGAACACGGACCTTTTCGTCGCGGATGTCCTCGGCAGAGAACGAGATGGGGCGCTCCATGGCCAGAAGGGTAAGAACTTGGAGAAGATGGTTCTGCATGACATCCCGAATGATGCCAAACTCGTCGAAGTAGCCGCCGCGGCCTTCGGTGCCGAATGGTTCCTTGAAAGAGATCTGGACGCTGTCGATGTGCTGCCGGCTCCATGTGGCACCCAAGAAAGTGTTGGCGAATCGAAGGATAAGAATGTTCTTCACCATCTCCTTGCCCAGATAATGGTCAATACGGAACAGCTCCTTCTCATTCCAGTCAGGCTCCAGAGATTTTTGTAGCTCCCGCGAGCTAGCAAGATCCTTGCCAAATGGCTTCTCGACCTAAAATGGGTGAGATCGGTCAGACTATGGCGCGCTGGACGCAGCAATGAGTGTCCACAAAGACTTACAATGACACGCGCAATGCCTTTGGTCGGATAGCAGCACCTCTTCAGGTGCTGGGAAACAATGGTGAAGACACTAGGGGGAAGAGCCATGTAGAACAGACGGTGCGCCTCGGTAAAGTCTTTCTCCAGTTCTTCAATGTGGCTGTTCAGCTGCAGAAACGACTCGTCACGGTCGTATTGGCCAGAAACGTAGGTGCACAGAGAGCAGAACTCGTCAAGTTGTTGCTCCAGCTCCTTCGTCGGGACTTTGATGTACGACCGAATTCTCCGAATGTATTCCTCGTGGTCCATTTTGGTTCTGGCATAACCGACAATTCGGATGTTTCTCGGGAGAAATTGGTTGCGGTACTGATTTTGTTAGGTTGCAAAGTCAGTTGTTGATACTTATTGGAAAGTACGACCCGATTAGGATGCCAATTGAGGCCGATTGGGGGTTGCTCATTGCCACTTACAAGACCAAACAGAGCCGGGTACTACAATACAATACGTTAGTCAACATACCAGAGACACCACCACCGGAGTACGGCATTGGGAATGGCTTACCGTCTTCTTCTTCGCCAGATCTCCAGAAGCTCCGAGAACCACAATAGTGGTATCGGCCTTCAGCTCCATCATGCTACAAGAAAGTTAGCGAACAAGCATCCTGTGACATGATTGACTGGTCTCTATATCAACAACACCCCCGAGCGCCTTGCACCTCTGTGTTCATAACATCGACAGGTATAGGAGGGCATACACCCGGTCAAGCTGTCGAAATAGTATGGCACGACAAAGAAGGTAGAGCGGGGTATAGTGTCAGCAACAGATGCAGAAGTACGTACCCGGTGTCCTCCATTGTGATGGAATTGTCGCTGTAACAGAAGTATGAAGATGGGAAATGTCGAATGAAATTGACTGGAGCTTTAAGAAGAAGGCGAAGGAGTACTGGATATCTATGCAGAGACCGGAAAAAACTTCCTTGGGGGGGGATAGCTATGAAGAGTGGGTAGGCGTGAACTGCTTTGGGTTTTGGAGACGCTGAAAATTCCACCTGGGAAGCTTGGCTAGGGAGAGAGTATGAGAAGAAGGGGAAGTGAGACCAGATCGGAAAGGAGGGGGGGATATGCCGTTGTCCAAAAGGTCGCTTTAAAACGATGATGAAGCTCAGCGGGTAGAAAAGGTCGGTGGAGGAAGGTGGGTAGGGGCGGGGGAGCTATTGCCTACGTTTGGGTGGGAGGGTTGCTCCTTAGTTTGTAAGACACCAATAGAACTAGATGAGCTTACTCAGGGTCGCTCTTTCCTGTGCAGCCGTTGCCTCTTGACGCTTGATACGAGCCTGTTGTTATAACGCACACGCACCGGCGCTTCCGAGGTTCGTGTGATCAGATAATCGATCCATGGCAGTACGGGGTACTGTTCTTGCTTTACGAGGGGGATTGTGCATATGGGTAGTATTACGCGCGGGTTCACTGGAACGAGGCAAACAAGCTCAAGGCCACCAAACGGAGGAAAAGCAAGGTAAGTCCGGCAATCCTCAGAGATAGAGTGCTAAATAATAGCGAGAGAAAAAGCTTTGGGGAAGACTACCGATCTCGCAGTGCTGGATCACCCCTCATGTCGCGAATTGGTAAGCGCTGGGACAGCTAGATGTCCCATGTGGATGAAAGCAGCCCACAGAGCTTGGGGCGGAAACGGAGGAGTTTCTGTTTCTGCCGGGCACTAGCAACCTTCCATTCGGAGGGGCATGGGGGTTTTCCCCCCCTTGTATTCCTCGCGCACAGCGCCGAGAATTGGTGGGAAATTAGCGAGGCGTGGGCAGATATGACAAATTTGAAGGTTTTGCAGGTATCGGCGTAAGCTAACCCCGAAGATCGAAAATAATGCTCCCTCTCCTTCTTTTTGTGCTTTCCCATATAATCCGTTCGGAGGAGCGCGGCGGGGTGGAACTTGGTATGTCCCTCCTTACTCCGTAGGCAAGTCTACCGCAAAGTCTGTTGCATTGGCGTCGGAGGAGGTAGCTCGCGTTATATCTTACTACCTAGCAAGATATGTAGAGCGGCTCGTTGTGGGGCAGCCTGGAAGCATTTGTTAAAACTTCATCTTCAGTGTGTGAATATGCACCATTGTCCAGCACAAGGTTCGGCTGCCTGTGCTCCGGTATACAATTGAAGAGCGGGCTATTTTAGCGTCTCATATCCATCGCAAGATGCATGTCGCTTCCGGAGTTCAGATAGTTTGCTCGATCACCCAACACAGAAGTACTCGCATCACAATTGTCCGGATGCAAATAGTGGGGCACCCCTCTCAGAATACAGACATCCAGTGGGGAAGCTCCAGAGCTTGCTCTTCCGGCCTGCCTCTCGACATATGCACGTTGTATCTTACGTGGCATCCCGCATGCGCAAAGTCCGCAGCGTCCGCAGCGTCCGATGTGGTGGGGCGCGGATTCAAAAACTTCTTAATTTACGGAGTATGCCTTGGACAACACCGTCACAATTTCTCACTTTCCTTGTTCTGTGAAGTGTCTGGAGTTGACAAAAACCGGGTAGCGTTGGAGCAGACAGGCATGAAATCCGAAGACTAAAACCGAACAGCGACTTCTTCTATGCTCTAGCTTTCCTAAGACTTATCTCGGCCTATGCACACATGTATGTACATATGACGGCTGGGCGGCCACACCATACTCGTTGCGTCAGTTCTAGACAATACAGACGTGGCCAAGATTTCTCGCTTGTACATGTGGAGTGTTGCTGACCTTATCTTCCCTAGTAAGCGTGCTGAGTCAGATATAAGTAATCGCGTAGATGTGGCGTAACGGTCCGCTAGCATCGCCACTAGATTTAATTGATCCCACACACGTGATAAAGAGCGCACAGACCACTTTAGGGTTTTGTTAGATTTTTTTGAGGAAAATATTCGTGGCCCGCTCAAAGCCTCAGTTTGACCTTTTCAACAGCCAACCTATCGACAAAACAAGCCGACGCGACGACGTAAGACTTCTTCTTACTTCTTCCACACTGATTCGAGATACATTCATTGACACTCTACATATCAGAACGGTAGAGATTAAATTTAGTCTCACTTCATCACACAAAATGCCTTCCGAAGCTGGCCACAGATGTGAGTGCTAACCGCCCTCGCGCACAAAGTATTCATGGATGATGGAATTGCACCGAGGTGTCGCATACGATGCCATTGATTGCTCCATACTGTCCTGGAAAACGCGCATACCTCTGCTCTATACCTTTTCATTGTCGATGCAAAGACTAACACAACCTTCTCATAGTATACGTGAAGTAAGTTTGAACAAACCTATTCCAAGGATGCATGCCACAGCACACGACACTCGCCGGATCGGTTGAGAAGGAGCGGCGGACTCGTATCGAACATCAGACGAAGGAGGAATCCCCTTGAGGATGCTTGGGTGACTACATATAGGTTCATGGGAAAGTCCGGTCTGAAATACGATCGTCGCCTGTTCCACACGACAAACCGTACTCGAACAGATTCTTAACGAGACGCCCTACCACGGGGAATACGTGTCTGTCTCCTGATGGTCGATTTGCAAAGAGGGATGGGAGGAAACAACCAGCAACACTCGGCGGTGCATACACCAAATGTTGTCGGACGACCTGACGTCGAGATGGGGAGAGCCTGCAAGACGACAGGAACGAAAGGCTAACATGTCTTCCCTAGGGGTCGCCACCTGAGCTACCAGCGTAGTCGGCGCACCGTTCACTCGAAGACCAGCCTGGTCAAGATCGAGGGCGTTGATGACCAGTCTGCTGCCAAGTATGTCTATCCTCACCACGTGCTTCGATTTGGTCTGAATCCAGAAGGCTGACACGACTCTTGCAGCTTCTACCTTGGCAAGAAGGTCGCCTATGTCTACAAGGCTCAGACTGAGAAGCGGGGGACCAAGTTCCGGGTCATCTGGGGCAAAGTGACCAGGCCACATGGTAAGTTCTCATACCGTCTAGCAGTCAGGCTGGCAATCTCTCGCAGCAATCTCAAATTAACACGGTGGTAGGCAACTCCGGTGTCGTTCGTGCCAAGTTTGTCACCCCCCTTCCGGCACGGTCTTTCGGTGCTTCGGTCCGCATCATGCTCTACCCCTCGTCGATATAATTAAAGGACGGGTGCTGGAGCTGTGCAGGTGGAACGTGGGACTTTGAGGAAAAAAACACAGGGATGGTGATCTGTGATGAGCTAGGACGGAGTTTGCGTATTCGGTTCATTCTTCCAGCTTGTTGAATGTGATGATTGCAAATGGGTCGGGAACGCTTACCAGGGGTGAGAGGAGGAACAAAGATTCACCCGCCTCCCCGAAAACGGAAAAAAATAAAATAAATTCAAGACACATCATCATACTGCGTCCTCCACCGGTTGCTTGTCATCCAGTCAATCGCAACATCTCTACAGAGCGGGCGCAAACGATCTTTGAAAAGCAAGGCTGGTCTGGAGAAGAGCAAACAAGATTTTTTTGAACCAAAAAAATGGCAAATCAATAAGCATTATCAGTCCATGTGCTGGCTCCCTACGTTCATGTCTCATTTGGGTGAAGGACTGGGAGTGGAGATATGCAGAGCTGGCTTTTGTGGTGTTCTTATCGAAGCAGATTCCAATCTACCGGGAGCGTATCGTATATGTAGCTGACGTTCTTTTCAAAACGTGCTTCCACCAAGTTACTCGAAGCATGGGGTTAGGCCCCGCACTCCGAAACCGGTCTTATTTTGCTGTCCTCGTACTCTGTGCTCCGTACGTCGTAGACAAATCTAGACGCTGCCAGGGCCAGCAACATTATGTACTCGTATACGAGTTTGTCTCGTGAGGACGGCCTGATTACTGCGACGTCGCTTAGTTTGCGTGGGAGATGACCAAGCCCATTGAGTCCAGGTCTGAACACCAAGCACTACGAGTACGGGTACAAAGAAGCAGCATCCACGTGTGTCTAGGATGTTGCTGGCACTGCCAGCACGAGCAACGGGGGGAACCAGGGCGGGGGCCAGCTCGACTGGTGACGGTCCTTATACTACTCCGTATGTAATATACGTCGTACTCCGTATTATGAGCATTTGCAAATTAGATAATAGCCTTACTCCGTATCCTTTCCAGAACCATTACGCCAACCGTTCGGCAATGCAAATTCCGGAGTTAAGGAGCCTCTCCCTATAGAAATGCATACGAGTAGTATTTGCTACAGGCAGCGCGTTGTTGCTAAATCCATCAGCGTCCCTTTTCAAACTTTGGCCGACGAATCAAGTTCCTGACAAGCTCGGTTATGACAGGAGGAAGCTGGTTGCGGAATTCCACAATAAAATTTAGAGGGGGTAAAGGGCAGATACCCTGTTACGGAGTATCCGTAGGCAGGATACCAATTTTTTCTGTTTCTACTCCATTGCCCTCGAAGATGCGTGAGTAAGATACGCATTGTGGATTTCGCTGAAGCACGACGTCATTATCTCAGCCTTGCAAGACGTCTGCAGCAGCTTCTTCGCCCACACAAGGCCTGTGCTCGCATGTGCATAATACCTTTACAGAGTACGGAGTACAATAGGTATATTGCCAATTTCCTCCTGGGCCCTGCGTCGCTCTATTTTGATGACTGCGTCCCCCTGCTGCTCTGCAGGCCGATCCTGATAACGGTTATCTTGCTACTATTTCGTACTAACAATTAAGATACCATGTATCTTAAGATACACCGGTCGTACTCCGTACTCGTACTCGTAGTGTCCTCCACTCACACCCATGCATGCATGGGTGGCATGAAGCCCAAAACGATTAATGGAATGGAAGACGATTGACGGCCGTCAGAATGACATTGTCCGTAAAGATTACCGGCCATCGCAAGATAGTGGTTCAAGAAAGGATCGGCACAATAGTGCGACTAAATTCCGAAGACTACGACGTAGGTCGAGAGCCGCATTCAACTACATGGCTACGGAGTAAGCTCATGCAGCGCTCCGTAGTCTGAGACCAGCTGTGCGAAAGCGCTGCAGCTGCGAGCAGTTCCATGAAAGACGAGGTATGCTGCCTGTTCCGTACTACGTATGACGTCTTCTGAACTGTCCACACTTTACTTGCACAACGCATGTCTATCAGTCGGTGAAGACGGAAACAGCTTGGCTGGCGGTTATCTTTGTAATTGATCGGCAGACGGTGCGGACCTATAAGCAGGCCGGAAGGGAAAAAATGGGAAAAGGAGGGCATGAAAGAAAGGGCGAGAACCCATTATAGAGAAAGAATATGATGTCTGCTCGCCCACATCTTACATAAAAGCGAGTGCAAAGAGCAGTAAGAAAAAAAATTCCCCGAAAAACGAAGATTTTGAAAGAAAGAAACACAATTCAGGCGCACAGAATCTGAAGGCTAGAGTAGACAAAGAAAAGAAGAGCCAGTCCAGCTGTTCTAGGCTTCGCGGTCGCCCCATTTTGCCCAATCCCGCAAGGGGCAGAGATACGACGTAGTGCGAGCTAGTGCATAGATCGGGGCGTGTACGAGAACACGTACGAGCAAGTACAAAAAAGGGAGACAACAAACCGATAAGCTAAGATACGTCGTGGGGTGCGATACGCTAGATGGCATGCGCTGGAAGATACGAGTACGAGTCTTACGCCGTAAGTATCCCGTACGTCGTACTCCGTATATGTATTAGGCTAGGCCCAGCTGCCAGCAACGACAGCATTGCTGCACTTTGTACTCCGTAGTATCACGAAAACTACAATGAAAGATGCGCGACCGATCGCTCCGGAAGGTCCGGAAGGCTTAGAGGCCACCAAGTCGTGGGAAACGATTGTGACGCGATTGTCGTGCCAGAGCAGTCGCATTCCCGTAGGCCTGATTCGTACATTTGTTCTCGTAAGACATGCGCGGGCTGTAAAACGACGCCACGACCGAAGCTACGCGACGCCTCGATTCTGACACTGGACTCGCAATTCAGCGAATGTCCACGCCATGAGACCCACCTGGCTGTGGCAGTTGGTAGAGAAAATGCGATGCTGCGACACATGTATATTACGAGCATGTGAGATACATAGCTGCGCTCGTGGCTATTATATTTTATTCTTTTCCCCCTCTTTTTTTCCTGTCATTTTCTTTTTTTCTGCGCTACCTTACTCGAACTGGCTGTAGTCCACTAAAGGCGAATGTAAAAAGTGTTCTGGCCCTGCAGGATTTTACGAGCGAACAGACACCAAAGGCTTTTTGTATCCCTACGAGTACTCGTATCTTACAATGCAGAGCTGAGCCTGCAGTCTTGCGTGTCCAGCTAATATACGCTAAAAGGTCGGGGGCAAATGATCCAAAGCTTGGCCGTCAGGTACCCATGCCCAGATTGACACTACTGCGTACATGACCAGCTGGTTTACCCCCCCAGGTTCTTGCGAATAAAAACAGCTCCCATATCTACGGAGTATCCTACTCGCACAAATGAGTCTGTGCTGTTGCCCACCCTGTCGGGTGAAAGAAACGCACAGGATATCTCTGCGCTACAGTATAAACCCGCCAGCCTGTTTTTCTTGTTTTATCACCTACGTAGTGCTTTTCTACATTAATGGATGGTTAGTCGCCCCCAAGAAATACCACCAAGGACGGCACAGCGGCATTTCCCCCCTGCGCCCTAACGATAGAAAACTTGCTTCTGGATTGCATCGTATGTCATCTGTCACCCTTGTCTTTGTTGGTTTTCAGGAACTGCGTACTCCGTACGTGCAGAGAGCACGAAGGGTGATAAAATAAGCGACGCCTTGCCCCTTTGCGCGTTTCTCCTCGTATTCAATGCGCCGGCGCCGTTGCCCCCTGGACAACGGCAAATGACAAAGGGTCTATGGGCGATCCTGCGGCTGTACCCAGAGAGGGCTGCAGAGAGCAGTCCTGCTGAGGAATGCGCAGCGCCACACTCCTCTACATAGTCGTAGTACGAAGTACTCCATACTACGTCGTATGTACACATCCATTCTATAGTTGTACAGGCCGCGCGCCTTTCTTGCACTCCGGCGAGTTTTCCCAGTTGACAACCCACGGGCCAAGTCTCCCACATTTTTCTCGTCCCCACTGCTGGCGGCGAGCAGAAACGAAACAACGTCGTGTGGGCAGTGCCACAGACCTGGTGGTCGACGCAGCAGAGGAAAAACCACAGCGGTCTTTTGAAACGAGCTGCACGTTGGCTGTGCCTGCACCATATATAGACCCGTGACACCATGACCAGGAAGATGGCTATCTGAACCTTGTGCATACATTTGCGGAGCCTTGTAAGTGGCCGACGCTACGAGCCAGAAGCGTGGAAGTACGCGTAACCTGTTCAGGGAAGAAAACTCTACTTTTCGCAGCGAGGGAAAAAAAAGGATACAAAACGGGGACTTGACGTCAGCTTGTAGCCAACCAGGCAGCACACACCCTGCAGGCTGCAGGCTGCAGGCTGCAGACTTTGGCCTAGCCACCGCCCAGCCGCACGTCCACCCATCCATCGGCCATCCACATCGCGAGCCGGATCGGTGGTTAGGAATCCCTACAACATGCTCGTACATAGTAGCGTGGAACAAGACCGACGGCCAACGAAGACCCAGCCACGCCCGTCGGCGCCCGTTGCGGACAAGGAGACAAGCCTGACCGCCTGGTCTTCAGCTCCTTGACACCCCGACACCTGTGTCTTGCTTCACCAAGTTCGGGGACATACCCGAGAAATTACATGATCGGGCGACCGGACAACGGAAACATCATTAACCATAACACAACCAGACGGGGATGAACAATGGACACAGCGACGCAGATTGAGAGGGCGTAGACCGATGTTCCTTTTCTCTCCTTTTCTCTTTCTCTCCTCGAAAAAAAGAAGGAAGGAAAAAAGAAGGAAAATAGACCCGAGCCGGTTCGGCCGCTTTCCTGATTTCCCAAGCCACTTTCCGCCCTCCCTGTGCCTGCCACAGCGCAACAACAGCGCAGAGATCGGTGCTACTACGTCCGGCGCAGGCTGCGGATCTTCTTCTCTCGGCGCCTGTGGGTGGGGCACCGCCCCAACACATTTTCAGCGCCAACCTGAAAAATACCCACTGTCATGTAGCGACGGCAGCGAGTCCGCATCAGTGATGACGACGGCTCGACTGGCCAGCCGTACTATGTGAGATATATTCACACCCCTCCCGACCATAGGCTACAGCCTCTTCTTCGCGCTGGCGGCATGCAAAAGCCCACTCACACCACTTCGCACAATACAGACACACCACCCTGCCCACTCCTGGTCCCATCACATACGTCGTATACTGCTATGCGACCGATAAGGTGGATGTTTCCTTTAACTCTTTTTCTTCTCCTCTCTCTTTCCTCATAGTGCTCCAACCCCCCAGTCACTCCGTCAAAAAAAGCAAGCTCCGTCGTTCTTCTCCCCCCCAAGTACCACTATTTGGCAAACAAAAGCTTTCCTCTCGTTTACACCACAGTCGGCCGCCGAAGCACTGCATACACATTCGCTGTGACCGACAGTTCACAAGTCGTACTCTTTCTTTTCCTCGCACGCGACGACGGCCCATACACCCACTCTCGCTCTCGACGACCGATTCCGCTCCTCCTGCGAGCTCTTGACGCTTATCCTGAAAGAAACCGCAGCTTGCCGTCTGCTCTTCTTGCTCGCCCATCCATCCCGGCGATCTTTCTCCGTCTTCAACCGCTTGACACCCTCACTCTCCTCTTCTCGGCCCTTCCTGGTCCCCGTCGCGTCCTTACGATGATGGCTACCTACGACAGCCCAGCGCCGCAACCCGGCGGCTCGCAGCACCAATTGCCTCCCCATCAGCAGTATCAGCAGGCTCAACGCGTCCAGCAACAGCAGCATCCAAAGCGGGATTCCCAGGTCCAGTATGCTCCCGCTCCCAGCCAACCGACGCCTCAGGTCTCAGCACAGAAGCCGCCACGAAAGTTCCATGCCTCGCAAGGTAGCAATCGACCAAGGTCGCGCTCCTTCAGCCTCAGGTCCGATAAGAGCGGCCAGAGCGGGAGCCAGAAATTTGAGCCCGAGACGCACGACGAGAAGGAGCGGAAGCGGCTCCACAGCAAGGCCGACCCTATGTTGGCCATGACTGAGGCAGAGCCTTGTACGTATTACGCCCACGCCCGATGAGATTACACCTGCTGTTTGTTTGTCTGCCCCTATTTTCCCAATGCTAACCGCCGGTATGCAGCTGCTGTCGCGGCAACTGCCAAAGTCTCGCTTGGCTCGATCCGTGGGGTGACCCCCCGAGACCGATTCGGAAACGTTATCGGTTCGTATTTTCTCCACCGCTCGTGCTACTTGCTGCTCAACGGTCCATGCTGACACATTCCATTTCGCTTAGTTGAACCGGACGTCTCCAACCCTACACGCTCTCGCTGGGAGCGGCCGCTCGACACCATTCGCAGCTTCGAGGCTGCCATTGATGGCGGATACAACCGCCGATCAAGCGTCTACCAGCCGAGTATGGGCCCTTGTCTCTTGCTCCATCTCGCACGAGCCACCAGTTTTTGCTAACCATGTGATGTGAATAGGCGAAGCCGCCGAGTCTGTGTCTGGTGGAAACACCCGTAGAAACAGCTATTTCAATAACAGTGAGCCGTCCTCCTTCGAGCACAATCCCCTGCACTTTGTTTGTCAGACTTTGGCTAACTTGACTTGTGAATCAAGACACCTCCCCTCGCTACCCCCAGGATGCCTACTACGCTCCTAACCCGCACTCTCTCATACCGGCGACCTATAGCCAGCAGGAACTGAGACATCAGCGCGACGCTTACAGCGAGCAGGGAAGCGGGTACAATGGAGCTGGTCACGCCCACAACGGCGGCGGCTCGCGCCCTCGGTACAACAGGACGGCAACAGAGCCGCAGGCTCAACAAAACGGATACCGTAACGGCGAACAGAACATCTACCCGGCTGTGGGTGGCCACCGCTCTTACGAGACGGTCGCCTCTGGCAGCGGTGCGTCCGGCGGCGAGCCTGCCGGCTACCTGACAGATCCGACGAGCAGCGACAACAGCTCCATCGACCGTCGCCAGTCGCCCCTGAAGCAGCAGCACAAGCCTGGAAATGACTATGGCATCGGCTTTAGCCAGAGCAGCGCCTACCAGCCGTCATCCTTTGCTGTCGGTGGGCCTCGCCCTGGCAATGGGATGGGAGCACCCACGAAGCTGTCGATGTCACAGAACTCGGACAATCTGGCACCGGCACCGCCGCCGATGCAGCAGGGCGTCAACGTTCTGCGCAAGCCGACCACTCCGGCCCCGGACAAGCGCAAGAGCTGGTTCTCCAGGAAGCTCAGCAGAAAGAGCTGAGCCAACAAAAGATTGTGTCCGTCGGGACCGCTTGCTGCTTTGATTTGCATAATTTACTGGGAACAACTTCCCCAACACATTCATTCAATACCCCATTGTTCGTCCCGAAATACCGTCTTTCTTGCACATTTACGAATACACACCAACAAATGACAATAATAGGTTGAAATACCTGAACATAACATGTCTTCTGGTGTTTTTCGATTTCTTTTTCGCCTTTCTTCTACCAGGTTCTATTGTAGAGTTCTTCATTTTCTTCAAGGGCAGCCGTTGGGAAAGGCGACTGGGGGATGGCCACGGGTTAGAGGATTACAGGGAAATTTGTATCTCTCGTCGTCTAACCATGCATTGTTGGACATTTTGTATGAGGACACGGGATGCAATTGGGCTGGCGTTTTATTCTGATGCCGTTTCAGCTGCTCTGCGTGTCTGATTGCTTATTCTTGTTTATTTCGGGTTTTGGAATCAAGGTCAGATATTTCACCGCACAATTTCTTTTTTTGAAATGGGAGAATAAGGAGATGGGAAAAGAGAGGCTTCTGTTTCGGCTTAACGGTCGAAAACCCTAATGATTGTTTCTTGCGCAAGTCTTCTCTGCCTTCACACTTCTTTGGTTTCTTTATTGCGCAAGTCTTTGCATGAATTTCAAGAGTGTTGATGCGATGGATTCGCCAAAACACGGGCGGGCAGATGCAACGCAACGGCCACGCAGCAGTAGAAAAAAGCATACTATAACGTATTTGTTACAACCCGGTTCTATCTCAAACAACACGCGATAGAACCTTGAAAGTAATCTACACACTTCATTACTTACCGGATGTATATTGCCGATCATAAGAGTACATGGTGGCCTAAATCATTCGATCACGTCTGTGACACTCTATGTGGTTTTCAGTGCTCATGTAATATTCAGACCTGCAAAGTTTTATGTAGCCGTGCGAAACACAAACGTGAGTCCCCAATTCCAGACGACGTTTTCTACGCCTGGAAGTTTTGTACACAACACAAACAGAGGCACAGACAAGATGCGGGGTCCCGTTTCCGAGCTCCATTTTGTTTGCGAAGCTTCATCTATTCTTCTTTGTAGTCTTCTTCTTCTCTTCCTGCTCGGACTGGTCTTCATTCATGGCCACAATCACGTACGCAATCAGCACCACGTTGGCCACAATTGCCGCCGTTGCGCCGGCGTATGTCGAGTTACCTACGGGAAGGATATTATACATCAGTATAGGAACAAAACACCACGTGGTTGTTAGAGAGGAAATACGAGGATGCGAAACGTACCGGCAAACAAATGCTGGACTGTCATAAAGTATGACCCGATCGGCGCCGCGATCATGGCCAGTGTGAAACCAAGGAGCTTGAAGATAACATCCCTGAGCCGCGATCAGCAGGCGGCCACTGTGTATGCATTTGCGCAAGAGAGGCTGCAGGACTGCTCACCTCGGGACTGCTGGGGAAATATCGGAACGCTCGCCAGCCGGCGGGCTATTACCAACAGTTTCATCCTTGTCGAAGATCGTCTTCTCCGAGGCAATGATGCGGCGAGTCGCCATTATGAAGCAATGTTGGGGTCGGAGAAGAAAGGTGAGTCGATCTGGCCAGAAACTTCGTCTTTCGTATTTCGGCTGGTGAAAGTGAGGGGGGTCCGCTGGCTAGAGGGGGGGGTAAAAGCCGTAAACTTGATACTGTGAAGTTATATGAAGGAAAATTTTACACGTGGCCAACTGCAGGTCGTCATCAAGGAAGCTTGAGAAGGAGAGCCTGTCGCAAGAGAGCAGATTGCGATGAGCTGCTCTTTAGCTTACGTAACGGCTCACTACGTATATGTTGCAAAGGAGCATCTACAAAGCTTAATAAGCTTTTGATGCACGTGACTGGCTTCATGTGTCTAGACAACGGGTGTCTAACGATGCACTGGCAACATTCTCTCTCTATATATTAGGCTTCCAAAGTAAATGTCATGTTCACAGTATAATATGCATAAGTACTTGTGTGTACATAGTACGTGTAGTATATATACCAATGGCTTACAAAAAAACTTTACCAGAAGTAAGAATGTGATATAGAGACAAATGGCGACTACCGTACAAGGAGCGAAATATATTATATTGAATCGTAAAATAGAAACTTCCGAGCAATACCGCTTATTTTCTATGATCAGAGCATACGGAGTACTCTTGGCAGAATTTAGGGACGTAGGTAGGGACGTGGGTCACACAAGTGATACACTACATTGAAAAGTTAGCGACACCATTATACAATCAATCTCGTCTTGTACCACCAGCCACAAGGTTTTAAAGTCCCCGGATATACCGTATATTTTGGCATCAAGAATGGTGACACTACCTGTTCTGTTACAAGCTCCCTGTCCGTCCTCGAGGATCTGTAAGTGGGGGGTTGTACAGACCAGCGAAAGCCGTATGCTGAAAGCCACTCAAAAGCCCCCAATTAGAACCAAGTCTTTCTCTCTTCACGTACTTCTACTTCTTCACCTATCATTGGAGAAAATTTACTAAGCTGGTGAAGTTGCGCAAAATAAGTTTTTTCGCCTTGGCTCCGACGTTGATTTAGCTATTCTGGTATATCAGAAGCATAAAACAAACTGATATCATAGACGAGATGGCACAAACTATTATTGAACATCAAGAACTGGAATGTCTATACAGCCTCTGGTATATATGTACCTGTCCGGAAATCGGTCCGCTTGATAGGCACCCAATTTTACGCCACCCTCTTGGTTACATGTATACGATTTACGACGCAAACGAGGTTTCAATCACAAAAGAGGTCGCGTGAGCAGAAAACTAAATGAGAGCCTTTCGAGGTCCGTATGGCTATGAAGGTAAAAGCATACCAGTAAACACGAGCGTAATGCGCCAATGTACTTTATACATGATCACAGCATTATCAGGTCGCCGCCTTAACACGCGCCGAGTAGCTATACGGTACGTTAACGATATGAAAAGTGCGGGTGCTATAAAAAGCAGGATCACAACAGTGTAATGTTTTTGACCGAAAACGGAAGCCATGCACACATATTGTCTTCTACAACATTACTAATACTGACATTTGTAATAAATTACAGCTCGGCTGGTCCCTGCTAGTGGCAGGGTTGATCAACAAGTAGGAGCAAATTTGCGAGTCGACCAAATACAACTTTTAGCAAGTCAATAATCATCCCAACAACCCCATGATAGAACCTATTCTACGTGAGCAGAAACTCAACTTCCGCCTAGAGAAGGTCCTGAACATCTCGTAGACGTCTATGGATTAGAGGGCTAAATAATAGCTGCATAGTAAACTATCTTCAAATGATGGTTTGTCCCATGTGCGCTCTTGCTGTAACTAGTGATACGATACGAGAGTTGAGCATTGCCTTTTTCTTATTAAAACAACACAGGTGCGAGAGATTAAGCAAATAGTGTACGAGGCCCTTCCATACAAAGGATTACAATGTATAGTAGAGGCGGAATCATATTATATATCCGGTTCGCACATACACTTCTAACATGAGTAAAGCAAAAATTTAGTCTAGCCTGGCATTCCCCACTTTTACAACAGCTTCGTCTGATCTATCAATATCAATGGCCAGGCTTCAGAACGCTTGTAAGAGCTGAATCCGCTAGTGTTCGTCTTCTTTCTCTAAGACGTATCACGGAATACTCCGAACACGGCACGTAACATACTATCTCTATCTATCTTACGATTGCCTATGTCTAGTACAGTAAAGGTGAGCAATAAATATGTAGCCTGAACTACCATATAAGGCTGCTTTAGACAAGCTATAGGCTTTTAATAGGGGGTCTTATAACCGACGTAAAGGTAAGACAGCTAAAGCGTAATACGTTTTCTATACCCCGTACTGCCTTAAGATCGGAAGACGGCGATGCTGCTGGGGTACTGACGCCAAGCCATAGACCATGTATACTGCGACAATAAGCCACAATATTTCGGCTCATCCAGTTTAGGCCCGAGGACTGTCAGTTAAAAGAAGTGGAGCCAAGATTCGTCGAGGGAGCGACGTAACATGACTTGAACATGACCAGCCGCTGCAATTTGTCCGGAAGAGTGTTGTGCCATGATGCGACGTAGGCTTCCGTGCGCTGGCTAATAAGTGAAAGTCAAATTACTCGTACATGTACTCCGTACCGAGTCAAATGGCTTCAAAACGTATTATCTCTGTGTTTCGAGCCTATCATGGCCTTGGGAGTTCGTAACCTTCGGATTACATATTATCCGAAGGGCCACGCGCATGAACGTGATAGCGTGTTTGATGCGGCGGCGGACTTTTTAGACTGTGGCCAGGCGCCTTTGAAAGCCCCGCCAACTGCTAACGCGCAAGGCCACCCCGTTTTGATAAGGGAATAGCAGATGGGAAGGCGCGCCTTAAAAAATTAAAGTGAACGCGAAAATTGCTGGTGACACCTTTTCTCCCACCCCTTCTCTCCATTGCCTCTACAACACTACAGGAGAAATCTAGATTTTCGGCCTCGTTTTGCCCAATCGCTCAACTTTCCGGCCTTCAGCTGTGATCTGTTTTTTTCTTGTTCTTGTTCTAATTCTTTTTTTGCCCCCCGTTTTTGTCCATTGCCCAAAATGCTATTCTAAAATTGTGTACGAGATACATCCGCCCTTTGCCGTCTTGGTCTCACCGTCTTGGTCTCGTCGGCCGTCATTTTACGAGACGAAGCTGCGCCCGAAGCATCCTCTCCTAATAGACGCCTCCACAATACCATGGACAAGTCGCCAATGCCGAGCAGGGCCCGTCCTGGCTCGCTGGTCACAGACGCATCTCTCTCGAACCGACGGAACCCCTTCTCCCTGGCCAAGGCTTCCTTTGCTAAGAGCAGCGTCGGCCGGCCTACACAGCCTGTGCATCTTCACAAAAAGGCAAGCAGTGCGAACGACGATGATATCGAGGATTCTGAAGAGGAGGCGGAAGATGAAGACGAGGACGAGGACGAAGACGAAGACGAGCTTTCCGGTGTGGGCGGACTTGCCAACTCACCATACTTTACCCAGCCGACACAAGCTGTAACTCAGCCTACACAGCTTATCAAGAACATCAAGACCCTCAAGCGCAGCGCCGCCGAAGCTGATGATCCCGTAGCTATCTTTTCGTCATCCCCAGTTCGTTCTATCGTCGAAGTACCGGCTTCTTCTCCCTTTCAGTCTCCCAACCGCTCTTCCTCTACCTCTGCCGTCCCAAGTAGGTTGGCATCGCTCATGGCACCTGCGGGTACTGCTTTTCGATCACCTGCTCAAGCCCCGAAGCCGCGCCCTGTGCCACGACAGCGTGGGGGTGAGCGTGCCTCGGCAAACGGTGGAAAGACAGACGACGACGACGACCTAGACAACATCGTTCGTGTTGATGACAGCTCCGACGATGGGGATACTAGCATACTTTCTCGGGGCGACATCCGGCCGTCGTCCTTCCGGCGGCAACCCCCTCCGTCTGCCGCGAAACCGCGTGCAGCGGCTGCACCGCTGACGACATCTAGCACGAGCAAGACGGCGACCGCAACCACCGCGAACAATGTGAAGACGCCCAACGAAAGAAAAATGTCCCACCTGATCATCAAACTGCAAGGTCAGCTCCGGCACAAGGGATATAACAGTGTTACCACCGACGCTTGTCGGGCTGCTCTTATCAAGCACGACTACAGTTTGGACGAAGCCTCCAAAGATCTGTTCTACAAACGCCTCGCCCAGTCTTCTTCGCCGGTCCAGCAGAGCAAAGTTACGGATACGATCCGGTCTTTTGCTTATCAGCCAAAAGGATCGAAGAATCCGGTTGGAGTTGCCAGCTCGCCAAACTCGTCTCCAGCATCTTCACAACAGTCGCCGAAGAAGCGAACGCTGAGTCCGAGTCCACGGCCGAAGAGACGGAGATTAGTCCAAGGCCGGAAAACGCAAAACTACTCATCCCAGCCAGACGGCGCTGCCCAGGAGAGGACCCGGCTGGTGGATTTGACTGGCGATGATGATATGGACGAGAGCGAGAGCGAGGGCGAAGAAGATGAAGAAGAAGACGAGAGCAGCAGCTCACCCCCTGCTATGACCAGCGATTATGGAGACGGCGACGACGATGTGATTGAGATTGACGACGAGGACAGCATGGACGACGACAACGCGACATTCAATATTGAAAAGCGGGTGTTGGAGTACTTTAATACGTGCACGGTGGACGATCTGGTGGCTATGCTTGGTGCCAAGGCAAAGGGCAAAGCCGAAACGATTTTGTCTCATCGGCCATTTCTTTCGCGGGCGTCAGTCACGCGCGTGCGAAACACGGCCAGCAGCGGCGGTCGTGGCAAGAAGGCAAGCGCCAACATCGGCGAGGACATCTTTGACGCGGTAGAGGAGTACGTGGTTGCCCTGCAGGCCATTGATGTGGTTGTGACGCAGTGTGAGCAGAAGGGGTTGCGGATCCGGTCGACGCTGCACCACTGGAATGTCGATTTCCGGGGCAGCAGCAAGACACGAGAGCCAGGCAGCGGCGAGCCCCTGACGCCGTCCAGTGAGCTCGGCATCGCGACAGACAAGGTCGGCTACGCGCCGCTTCCGATACCGCAGGAGCCAGCTCTCATGCGTGGACACTGCACGATGAAGGGATACCAGCTGTTTGGGCTCAACTGGCTATGGGAGCTGTACCAGCGCAAGTTTGGCTGCATTCTTGCTGACGACATGGGTCTGGGCAAGACCTGCCAGGTGATCTCGTTCCTCAGCCAAGTAATCGGATCCTATACCGCAGGTGGTGGCCGCGACGACGACGAGGCGCGGCCATGGCCCAACCTGGTGGTCGTGCCGCCCTCGACGTTGGCGAACTGGAAGGCCGAGTTCAAGAAGTTCGCCCCTCGCATCCGCGTGACCACATACAGCGGGAGTGTGGCAGAGCGGGAGCAGATCTTCTACAAGATCCAGGAGAACCGTGCTAAGCACCACGTTGTCCTGACGTCCTACTCGCAGCTCTCAGGGAAGCAGGACCTCGATGCGATGCGGAGAATAGCACCGAACGCGGCGATTTTCGACGAAGGCCACAAGATGAAGAACGCCAACACGGCTCTGTACAAGTCGCTGAAACGCATCGATGCGAACTGGCGGCTCATCCTGACGGGCACGCCGGTGCAGAACAACCTGATGGAGATGATCAATCTGCTCAACTTCATCCAGCCGACGCTGTTTGAGCGCCACCTGGAGAAGCTGGGCGCGCTCTTCAGCCAGCGATTTACGCTGCAGGACGTCAGCAACGGTGCCCTGCTCTTCAGCGACCGAGTGAGGCGTGCCCGCAGCATTCTGGAGCCGTTTATTCTGCAGCGGCGCAAGGAGCAGGTGCTCTCGAGCATGCCGTCCAAGACGACGCGGGTGGTGTACTGCGACCTGGACGCGACACAGAAGCCGATCTACGAGGCGTACGAGCGGCAGTTCAGGGAGGGGAAGAACAAGGGCTCGCAGAAGCAGGCGCCCCCGACCAAGACCCGGTCAGCCGTGACGGGCCTGACAAATGACCAGAACAATGTGTGGGTGCAGCTGCGGAAGTCGGCTATCCACGCCCAGCTCTTCCGGCGGTACTTTGACGACAAGACGGTCGAGAAGATGGCCCGGATTTTGATGGCCGAGGTGCCGCAATCGGAGCTGCGACAGCCAGACTTGAAACACCTCATCAGCGAGCTGCGGGACTGCTCGGACTTTGAGCTGCACACGTGGTGCCGCGACTACCGGTGCATCCGCAAGTTTGACTTTCCCGACGACCTGTTCCTGCAGAGCGGCAAGGTGCAGGAGCTGCTGCGGCTGGTGCAAAAGTTCCAGAAGAACGGCGACCGAGCGCTCGTGTTCACGCGGTTTGCGCGCGTGCTTAACATTCTGCGGGAGTGCATGACGACGTCGGGCCTGGACTACGTCTCGCTCGAGGGCGCCACGCGGGTGGAGGAACGACAGGCTATTATCGACGAGTTCAACGGCAATGCCGACATCCCGGTCTTCCTGCTGACGACGGGATCTGGAGGCACAGGCATCAATCTGACGGCGGCCAACAAGGTGATCATCTTCGACCAGAGCGACAACCCACAGGACGACGTGCAGGCGGAGAACCGGGCGCACCGGCTGGGGCAGACGCGCGACGTGGAGGTGATCAAGCTGGTGACACGCGGCACCATCGAGGAGCTGGTGTACAAGGCGTGTCAGACAAAGCTGGAGCTGGCCGAACGAGTGACGGCGAGCAGCACGAGCAGCCTGCCGCCGGCCGTCGACCTGATGGACGGCGACAAGATAGCCAAGGCAGTGGAGGAGGACGTGCGCAAGATGCTGCTGGCAAAGGACGGGGCGACGCCGCCCAAAAGCGATGACGGGGACGAGTAGGGGGCAAAAAAAAACGGGGATGTGCATAGACTTGGCATTTGCATTATTGCGACGACATATAGAGGCACTCTCAGGCTTCTGGTGGGGTTCTTGTACTTGTGTTTGTCTTTTCACTGTACAGGGTGGAAAGAGTACGGGATGAAGTATTGTAGCCGTTGTACTTGACAGAAAGGAAAGCTCATGTGAATGAAGAACAAAATACGGAGTACGGAGTACCTAGGATGCATTTAAGACGATTTTACGGAGTATACGGAGTACCCCGTAATAATAATATGTACGGAGTACAGGGCGGTTTCGCGTACTCACGTGCTAACGGATCCAGGGGCCAGGGGGCTGCCCCGCGAAATCGGGCAGCAGAGCTTCGGTTAGGTAATCCTGATCTGGTTTCAAGCCCCTCCTCTACGCAAGACAACCGACGACAGGACGACCGGGACGACGACGACGACCAGCCACAGTTCGACGACACGATGACTGCTGACCCCTTTGATTCCGCGCTGTAGGTGTTGTGCCTTTTCCGGTGCAGCGAGCAAGTCCTCACGTTCTCGCTTCCTCTGCCCTCTGTCCTCTTTTCTCTTTCCTCTGACCGCCTCCTGCTCTCGTCAGCCAGCTAACCGGCCGGATGGCGGCTGCAGAGACCTCCTGCGTCGGCTCAATCCGAAACAGACGGCCGAACACCTGAACAGCATCCTGCACCTGGCGCCCGACCTGACCGAGGACCTGCTCTCGTCGGTGGACCAGCCGCTGACCGTTCGGCGCTGCAAGCAGACGGGGCGCGACTACCTGCTGTGTGACTACAACCGTGACGGCGACTCGTACCGCTCGCCGTGGTCGAACAAGTTTGACCCGCCGCTGGACGGTCCAGACGCCGAGGGCCGGCCGGGCCTCGGCGGTGTCAGCACCGGCGGGGCCAGCGAAGGTGCCGGCGAGAGCGCCGTGCCGGGCGAGCGCGTCCGCAAGATGGAGATCCAGGCCAACGAGGCCTTTGACGTGTATCGGGATCTCTACTACGAGGGCGGCGTGTCGAGCGTGTACTTTTGGAACCTGGACGACGGGTTCGCCGGCGTTGTCCTGATGAAGAAGGGTGTGTTTTTTTTCTTCTTTTCTTCTTTCTGTTTTCTCCCTTTACCTTTTCTCTTTCTCTCTCTTTCTATTTCCTCTTTCCTCTTTTCTCTTCCTTTCCCTCCCTCCTCCCACTCTCCTCTAACTCCTCCTAGCCAGCACTCCTTCGGCCTCGTCCGGCGTCTGGGACTCGATCCACGTCTTCGAGGCAATCGACCGCGGCCGCACGACCAACTACCGGCTGACGTCGACGGTGATCCTCTCGCTCGAGACGGATGGCCTTGACCTCAGCGGCAACATGACGCGGCAGGTGGAGCAGGACCTGCCGGTGACGGGCGACACCAGCCACATTGCCAACATCGGCCGGCTGGTCGAGGACATGGAGAGCAAGATGCGCAACCAGCTGCAGGAGGTGTACTTTGGCAAGGCCAAGGACGTTGTCGGCGACCTGCGCAGCGTCGGCAGCCTATCCGAGGGCCAACGGGATCGGGAGACCCAGCGGGAGGTCATCAGCGGCGTGCGAGGGAGCAGGCAGTAGTAGGAGGCGAGGGGAATCAATGTGGATGGGTGGAAATCATGATGTTGCCCTCTGTCTCTCTCATACCATCCATCTCGCGCGTGCTTGTTCTGGTATTCCGTATCACGTTACAATAAGAGCCGGTGGTCGTGTCCGTGACACGCAGGACAAAATCCCAAGGACGGAAATTAGAGCTGTAAAGCAGAAGAAAATAAGAGGGCTGGATGCAGGGAGTCCTGCCTGGTCTTCTTCGGCAGTACAACACGAGATGGGGGGATGACTTGCATACGCAACGTCTTATCTCTGCTCGTGTTGTCTTTGCCTTCCCGTTATTCTTTTATTGGGCACCCGGCAGGCAGTCTTTCGGGACCTGTTCCTGCCAGACTCTGAGTGATGGCCCAACCTCCCACGGCCGGCCTCTAAGGTCGACTGGGCGTCTGGACGTCGATACTCGCGCATCGGGAATGAGAGACAGGCTCGGGGTCGCCGGGAAAGGCAATGTGTTAGTGAGACGTGTAGCTCAAGCACCGGCTGTTGGGCGGGTCGGCTTTCCCCTTCGGGAGGGCAAGTGCCGGCAGCCAAACCAGCTTTGTCCTCTTGCCGGCCGGTTCCAATATTTTTCAGCCCGACTGAAAGAGGCATAAGCGTATACGAGCTTCTTCGTGTAGTCGAACAGATGATGCGTCATAATTCTGCTTGTCAGATCAATACTCCATACACCTTACTCCGTACTCCGTACGCCTTACTACTATGTATGTACGGTACCCTCGGCATGCAGAGCTGAAATTGGAACAACACATGGGTTCCGTGGTACCAGGAAAGATCCATGCAGCAATGTGTGCAGCAATGCATGCGCAAACACACAGACTTTCTGAAGCTCTTCAAGACGACAGCGGCCCCCTGTTACGAAAAGCAATCAAACGGGTGGCAAAAGAATGGGGCCTTCCTTGGCTGGAAAACGATTTGACGTACCAATTTCAGACTTTTCACATCGAGATCGGCCAGCGGAAAAAGCAAAGCCAGAAGGCGACGCATACATACTTACGGAGTACGGAGTACATAGTATGTGGTAGCAAAGAGAGACGGCCAATTGGACGAGCAGCCGTTGGGTTTGCCAGGCCATCCATGCGGTGGAGACGGGCAGCGTGCAATATTGACGACTTGGTACTCCGTACGGAACATGCAGATGACGGGTCATGTACGGAAGCATTCTAGAAGGAGGATGTAATCAATAAGATTGAGACATGAGCCAAGACCGGCCGAAGATAAAAAGCAAAGGTGCAGAGGGAAGAAAAGGGGCGGTCCGTTGTGCGATGACGGCGGCAAAAGGCGGAGATATCACCTTTTGCCAGAATGTGTGTCTTTCAGCCCCCCATTTAGGCCTGGGATGCCTGGGATGCACTGCGACTTCGCTACAGAGAAATATGCACAAAGAAGGACGCAGTCTGCCCACTGTCCACCTGTTCATGTCACCGTCCGGCGGATGGGACAGGGGGCCACAGACAGCAACGAGGTTCCCGCCCCCAAGGCGGACAGCATCGACTGTGTATGACGAAGGATTAAATTCTCCTTTGCCGTGGTGGTAGTGGTGCCTGAGGCCCAGACGTCTCACAGCAGGAAATCGCCGATAGGGGGATAGGGGGATTAGGGATAGGGGGCGCTGAAAGACTGTCTGCTCGGCCGCCTTTGCCTAGCATCGGCCGCTAACGACACTAATACACGCTTCTCGCTACCGGAATGCCAAACTGTCCTGTCTCGTAGTGGGGAAGGGCAAAAAGGAGCAAGGCGCGCGCGCAAAGGGCAGGCAGGAGCGAAAGAGAGAGAGAGAGACAAGCCGGCTATGCACACCGCCGTCCAGACCACACCACCTGTCAGGATGCACGGAGAGAAGTCGGAAATCGGGAAGGAGCAGGCCAGTCGACAATTGCCGTGTAGCCCGACCTGACACAGCTGGGTGAAACCTTTGGGGGCTCCTTCCTCCTGGGAGATTTGCATGAACCGGTCCCACATGGCTTATGTGCACGGAGTATTTTATGATAACATCTTGCAACTATCTTACATAGTACAGACTGCCTTCCGGATACTAGTCTTAACCCTTATTATTCTGGCCTAATTTACGGGGTCTGTACCGCCCGTTTCTCCTGCTCGCAGGCGCACACCTGTCTTCTCGTTCCTGGGTCCTTGTCCGTGGCCTGCTAAACCTCCTCCCCCCCTCTTCAACGGTTGCACCCGGCCACCAAGCGTCAAAACGGCTGGGCGAACCGCCGCTGCCTCTCTCGCATGCAACCCCCCCCTTTCACTCTGATTTTTGTGCCAACCCTTATTTTTACCTCAAAACTAGCCCATTTCGCACTTGCTGTTCTTGGATGCCCCGGCGCTCTTGCCCTTTTTCCTGTCCTCTCTCCCACTCCGCCCTCCTTCATATTCTCTCCTTTCTCTGTTGCCTCTCTTCCTCCTTCTTCTCCTCCCTGCTGCCCCGAACGTGCCGAAAGCCAGCCAATTTCTGCCGCCAATTCTGCCGATCGACATCTCGGAGCAGGGAAAAACTCGTCTTTCCTTCAAATACGCTCCTCCATCCACCTTAGCCTAGCCGCCCCTGATATTAAAATCTTTCAGTGTGTTACCCCTCCACCACCAACGGCGTCAAGACACACGGATCGTCTGGAGGATCGATCGGCCACGGAGCGAACAGCACCCGACGACGCGTTCAATCCCCCGCCAACCCGGAGCTCATATCAACTGGAAACCCCTCCATTGACCTGGAAGTTTTGCTGAACCGTCGGCGCAGCGAACAGAATCCGCCCACAAATCCGGGGGCCGCGCACAGGATAGTCCCAGCAGTCAACTGGATTTATAGGGGTCACAGGGGGCACAGGCAGCTGTCGGCACCCCTTTTCCCGCAGTCTACAACCTTCCAGCCATGGCTGAGAAACCAACCGTCCTCCTGATTGGGGGCCTGGGCTACATTGGCCGCTTTCTCGCCCGATATATTCACGACAACAAGTTGGCCTCGGACATTCGCATTGTCGACAAGGTCCTCCCGCAATTGGCATGGCTGGCCCCCGAGTTCGAAGAGGCTTGCTCGCCGGCCAACTTTGTGCAAGCCGATGCCTGCAGAGAGCGTGGGTTTCTCTCCCCTCCGACGGCGACGGACACAGGGACTAACGGCGCCTTTAGAATCCATGGGCCGCATCTTTGACCGGGCCGACGGCAAGCAATGGGATTACGTTTTCAACTGCGGCGGCGAGACACGCTACTCACAGGACGACGAGGTGTATCGGCTACGATCGCTGGGCCTGTCGCTAGCAGTCGGCCGCGAGGCGGCCAAGCGCGGCGTCAAGGCCTTTGTCGAGATGAGCACTGGCATGGTGTACAAGCCCGACTCCAAGACCAGCGAGGAGACCGACAAGCTCAAGCCTTGGAGTCGCATCGCTGTTTTCAAGCTGGAGGCCGAAGAGGAGCTGGCCAAGATCGAAGGGTACGCTTCCCTCCATTGGGCCAGACGGGCGTTTGCTTACCTGTTTCCTCTTCCAGGCTCAATCTCATCATCATCCGCCTCGCCCACGTATACGGACCGTATGCGTCACAGTGGGTGGCGACGGCTCTGTGTATGGCTCGTGTCTACCAGGCCCTCGAAGAAGAGATGAAGTGGCTGTGGACCAAGGACCTGCGCACTAACACCGTGCACATCGACGACGTGACCCGCTCGCTCTGGGATGTCACCACTTGGTATGCCGAGAAGGGCGGTCGCGAGAGCTGGGACGCCAAGGCCACGGGCAGCACGGTGCCCCTGTTCAACGTTGTCGATAAGGGCGCGACGACACAGGGCACAATGGCGGTGCTCATCGGCAAGATCTTCGGGATCAAGACGGGCTTCCAGGGCCAGATAATCAGCACGTTTGCGCGGCTTAACATGGACAGCGTGGTCGAGGACGTCAACGACGAGCTTCTGGGGCCGTGGGCCGACCTTCTCACGGACGCAGGCATCACGCGGCCGGGCCCCCTTACGCCATTTATGGAAAAGGAGCTCCTCAAGGACACGGACCTGAGCATGGACGGAAGCCGCTTGGAGCGTATCGTCGGGTTCAAGTACTCGAAGCCGGAGATCACGGAGGAGCTGGTGGAGGAGGTGATTGAGAGCTACAAGAAGATGAACTGGTGGCCTTAGCCCGTTGGAAATTGCTCTGGGCTTGGACTTGAGGAGCGGGGAAGCTTTCTTGCCCTTCTCCTCATACACGCTTTTAATGTCTTCATCTGGGCCACGGTTGCATGTACCGGAGCGGTGTACTTTTAAGATATCCTGCATTTTCCTTTTTTTGCTGATCTTTTTTTGTTATACTGCTTTTCTGCATCTCAGAATCCTCGGTAATTGCTTAAATCTTGCGTAACCATACGATACAACGGTCCATTGCAATGCAGGTTGGAACGACTCGTACTATAAGCTGTCGATCCAAATCAGGCAAGAGAGGTTGGTTGGGAAAGAGTGAGGGGTATTGCTTAGTGCGCAGCTCGGAGCTTCTTAGCTTCTTTCCGTGCTTCAGGGAGCTTTGGTTGGTTTGGCACATGAAAGACAGACCACATGCAAGAGGAGTCCTCGGTAATTACCTCGTACTCTGACCAACAAGGCGTTGTCGAACGATTTTACTTAACAGTGCGTCACCTCCCTTCTCCTCCTTCTGGACATCTGCACGAGCTGTTTTCGCCCTTTTTCGACGTCTGAACAACCGTTGTAGCAGACCCGCCAAGCATCCCGATTCCACCGCCGAACCGTCACGATGGCCGCTCCTGACAGCAAGTCGATCCACAATCTGAATGGAAAGTGGCAGATGGTATGGCCTGCTCCTCTCTGCGTCCCTTTGGGTGGCTGATGGTGGAGGCAGTCGGCTGCCTCCGGTTGGAGACACGTGCTGACCTGATCGCGGCTGCAGAACAAGACGCTCTCGGATCCGTTTGAGCCGGTGCTGGCGCTGCAGGGCATCGGGTTCCTGACGCGCAAGGCGATCAACGCGGCGACGCTGACGCTGCACATCACGCAGATGGAAGCGCCGGCATCGGAGGCGCTGGACCCGATCGCGGACCCGACCGAGAAGGTGACGCACGTCAACATCGACCAGACGCTGACGGGCGGCATCAAGGGCACGTCCGAGATGCGCTGTCTGGACAACCGCCGACGCAGCCACAGCGACTGGTTTTTTGGCACTGTCGAGGGCCGCACGCTCTGGGTGCGCGGGCCCGACGCTGCCGCCGCCGTCGTCAAGGAGTTTGGCGACGAGTATCTCGGCCAGGGCTGGCCGGCTGGCGACGACCTGATCGTCAGCTACGTCAAGAACACCGACCCCAACGGCGGCTGGGTCGCCGTCCAGGTCTGGGGCATCAAGACGGCCAGCGACGGCAATCGGCGATACGTCCGCAACATCGTCGTCACCAAGGGCTCGAAGCGGATAGCCGTCCAGCTGGTCTACGACTTTGTCGGAGAGCGGGACAAGAAAGCCGACGAGGATGCCGACCTGAACTACTAGTCGTATGGACGACACAGGAATGAAAAGAAATGTCGCGTGTGTGTGTGTGTGGGGGGGAACGCGTAAAAGGGAACAGACCTGGACGCTCATAGGAGCTGTGCCAGAAAGACCTTGTTTTGTACTCCGTACCATTCTTGTGAATCTCTGTCCAGCTTGCTGTCGGTCTTCTCTGAGAAACCAAGGGCAGATGGATGTGAAGCTGTAATATAAACTGGAAGGAAGCAGCGACTTTTCCTATCTGATGCCATGCTGAACCGCGTCTCACTGTCTCGTATTTGCGCACCCAAACGCCGGTTGTGTTGAGCAGACCTGCTGTCCTGAGAATCCCCGCTTTCCGTATTTCTGTAATTCTACTTTGTCGATTTTTCCATTCGCCATCGCGCCTCAAGCTGGCCGCCGGTTGACAAACTCCTGCAAGTCTTCGGCCGTGGCCACGCCCAGGACGAAGCGGCGGCGCTCGTCAGTGACGACGGCAAACGACTGGGGCTCGCCGCGGGTCATGGCGCCGGCAAAAAAGGCCTCGAGCTGCTCGAGGGGGGTCTGCAGCGTGATGACGCGAAAGGCGCGGCCGCGCCGGCGGAAGCCGAACCGTGTCAGCGCGGCGCTGCTGCCGAGCGTGTCGGCGGGTGCGACCTGGCCGGTCGCAAGCAGGCGCTGCAGCTGGGGCTGCGACACGTAGCCCAGCAGCGCGCGGGTCGAGCCGTCGACGACGGTCATGTGCGTGAAGTCGCGCTCAAAGGCGGCCTCGAGCGCCTCAGCGACGGTGTCGGCAGGCGTCAGCGACAGCGCCGCAGGCGGCTCGAGATCCTCGACCGTGGCCTGTGTGCGGGAGGTCAGCTGGAGACGACAAGGAGGCAAGCAAAGACGAAACAGTCATACCCCTCGATACCGGTCAGCCCATTTGGACACAAACGGCGTGGTGTCTGTCGACGTCGCAATGTCCGTCATGGCCGTCGGTTCTGGTGTATGTGCAGGTCGTCGGGATCGTCGTCGGGATCGGGACGCGGGACTCGTCGTCTCTGTGTGGGAAGAAGCTTCGTGAAGATGGTCAGGATAATGTGGCGCAAGCGTACAATCCTTGTGTCGATTATGACGTTTGATTTTTTTTAAAGAATACGAGCAGGCAAGAACGGGCCAATCACATGCATTTCGTCAACTTGCCGCCTGGCTCGCCCATCGTTTCTGCTTACAGGCTTTCGTCTGGAAAGGCACGACTAACATCCTCTTATCCCCCGTACTTTCAGGATCCACCGCGTGACAGGTGTCAAGATGCAATATCTCTTGCCTGAGGTTAGGTTTCTAGGTTGGGATTTAGGCCTCTTGCAGTACAATTCTTCTTCATGCCGCCAACTTCTCTGTTGTATTTCACGGAGGAGCATGCAAGCTGTTTGCGATTATGGGAACAATAGGATGAAGAATGGCTTAGAACATGGAGCTTCCTCTCTGATATCCCAACCCCGCGACAACTGCAAAGCGAGCATAAGCAACAGACGAGTAACCAGCAGTATGATGCGAACAAGGCTGCAGTAAATCGTTCCGCAAATGAGACTTGGTCAAATGTCGTTATCGTTCGCGACAATGGCCTACACGAATGACTACAAACTCTGAGAATCTCGTTAACGTCCTATAAATCTGCTAGCAGTAATAACGAGTGCTCTTTCCCGTGTCAGTTGCTTACCTAAAATGACAATCTGAGCACGTATTACTCCGCACAACTAATCTCCGTACTTTACCTTCTCTTGTTTGCCGAGCCCCTCATCTCGTTATCTCTCCCTTTTCATCTACACAGCCTGTTCATACTGGAGCCTTCACCATCTACTATTGGCAGCTAGATAGGATCTGCATCTAACTCGGACAGTGAGCAGCGGCTTTAATCGTTTGCATGGTGCGCTGAAGAACAGAACATCTATAAACTGACCAGCTTCGCTCCTAGATCGTGCTTCACTTTCTCGACAGCACTTGACATTGGCATGCGCCATGTCCCCCTCGCTTTACCCCCGGGAGGATGCTCTCAACAAGAGCTTTGGGGCTCATCCACTCAAGGCCCGCGATGTCGACGGCCATCGGCTCGCAATCCGACCGGAGCTGTGCGTGGCCTACTCGATTGTCGACGACGGTAAGGACAAAGTGCAGAAGCTAAGCGCCGAGGCAACCAAGGAGTTTGAAAAGGCAACGGCGGCAGCCAAGGCCAAGTCGGGCGGCATCGAACTGTACTCGGGCTCGTACTATGCAGCCTGCACGTTTGGCGGCCTGCTGGCATGTGTGAGTATTCTGTTGTGCATAGTACAGGCCGGCCTCTCCCCACTGACAGCATCGACCGTGTCGGCATTCGCGGTCTAGGGCCTCACGCACACGGCTGTCACGCCGCTCGACCTGGTCAAGACGCGGCGGCAAGTGGACGCGAGCCTGTACCGGAGCAACGTGCAGGCATGGGGCCACATCTACCGGGCAGAGGGCGTGCGTGGCATCTTCACGGGCTGGAGCCCAACCCTGTTCGGCTACTCGGTACAGGGAGCCTTCAAGTACGGCTGGTACGAGTACTTCAAAAAGTCGTACTCGGACGTGGTCGGGCCCGAGCGAGCCCATCGCTACAAGACGAGCGTGTATCTGGCAGCATCGGCGTCGGCCGAGTTTCTGGCCGACATTGCGCTGTGCCCGTTTGAGGCCGTCAAGGTGCGCATGCAGGGCAGCCTGAAGTCGCCGTATCGCGGCACGCTCGACGGGCTGCGGCAGATCACGGCAGCCGAGGGCGTGGCCGGGCTGTACAAAGGCCTGTACCCGCTCTGGGGCCGTCAGATCCCGTACACGATGATGAAATTCGCCTCGTTCGAGACGATCGTCGAGATGATCTACGCACGGCTGCCCGGCCAGAAGAGCGACTACAGCAAGGCTGCCCAGACGGGCGTCTCGTTCGGCGGCGGCTACCTGGCCGGCATCCTTTGTGCCATCGTGTCGCATCCGGCCGATGTGATGGTCAGCAAGCTCAACGCGTCGCGCAAACCCGGTGAGGGCTTCGGCCTGGCCGTCTCGCGTATTCACGCCGACATTGGCTTCCGTGGTCTCTGGAACGGCCTGCCGGTGCGCATCGTCATGATCGGCACCCTGACCGGTCTGCAATGGATGATTTATGTAAGCCTGGCATCCTCTCTTACGGAGCACTCTCCCGATTTCCTCCCCTAACTCTTCCAGGACTACTTCAAGATCTTCATGGGCTTCCCGACCACCGGCGGGGCTCCTCCACCGAAAAAGGAGTAGAACGGATTTCTTCCCCAGACTCTGTTCCGTGTATTGGTCAGATATCCGGAGACTTACTGAGTAGAGTAAGACGTATTGTCCCGCTCTGTCCCGCTCTGTCCCGCTTGGTGCGTCGTATGGGTCGTACGAATGCTGTACGTCGCATCTTACATGACGCTTGCCTTTCCAATTTGAGAACCCATTCATCCTATCCGCTTATTCTCATCCGTGCGTATCCGGCCGGCTGCTCTCGAGGCCGTCAGTCTGACAGGCCAGCGGCTGTTCGTCCAAAATCTTACGTTTTGCCCTGTTCTGGCTTCGAAAGGTCAGACAGATTGCGTCACTCTGCCGTGGATCAGAAGCTGCCCGTCCTGATTTTGTCTCCCTGCTCCTCTCCACCCGCCTTTACGTTCCTTCCCGTCTTTTTCCACCTCGCTTTTCGCGCGCCGTCCATGGCTTGCCCACTTTGTTCCCTGTCTGCCAGCCCATTGGTTTGGCTTCCGCGCTAGGACCAGACGGACAGCCGGCGAAGCAGGGTCGTAAGATACAAGAGGAGTGGGTGAGAGAGGATGGGTGGGGTCTGCGAGTGGGAGGAGATCGAGAACACAGGCTGCAGAGCGTTTGCGTGCTTTCAGCGGCCTTTTCTCGGGGCCGGTAGCCTGGAAGACGGCTCGTCGAGAGAGAAGAGACAGGCCACAGGACCCAAATGCGAAGGATGGGGCGGACCGGTCGCATCGAACACGAGACGTGCGAGCACGAAGGAGGGGTAACGACCAGACATGCTTTCCGTGCTCTCACGCACGATGAAGCAAGTTTGTCCGCAGTCGACGCCGTACTCCACTGTACGGAGTACGAGCATTACGACTATGGACGTAGTGGGTTTTATTGGCGAGCAACCGCCTGAGCTTCGCTAAAGGGCCCGCTTTCCTCCAACCACGTTACTATGTATAGTGCGAACGGCAACGGCACGGTGTTGCTGGACGCCGGAAGCAGAGGGAAGAAGGACTGCGTGACTCTGAAGCTGTCTCCACTTTGGGCCTCTGTGGCATCGGGTGCGCTGCTGCTGGAAAGATGGGACGACCTCTGCGAAGGGGGGGAAGGAACGAGCGCACGACCGCCCTCTGTGCGACGTCCTGAGCCTCTGCTGACCAGGCTTTCCGGCCCAGGCTACAGTTGGCACGCACCAACCGCCAGGCTAAGGCGGATAGGGTGCATCGCCCATCTCCGTGCGCCGTTGCTTAGCTCCACAGCGCGCGCCTGAAGAGTCGCATCGCCAACTCTCTGTGCCTGCGTTCCGGCCTGCGATGCTACAGAGTCCTGTTCTGGGCATCATCTTGGGGGGGCTGGCGACTTCTTACACACCTCAACCCTGCCATACCTGCCTAAAGGGTCAGCGTTGCATCTGCATGCTTGCAGCCTATTGCACGTATCGACGGAGTCCATAGTATTTGTGCTGGCTTTCCGCCTGTACTCCCGTATCTCCTGCGTCCTTGATCTTTCTCGCATCAGCCGTTGTAGCTGACCGTCAGAAGACAATCTCCAGCCGCCGCACACACAACGCGGTAAGGCCATGTGACATCCGGAGCAACTCGCTCCGTAGGACCGTTACTCAAGCTTATCTAATCTCTCCTATGTCCTTCGTATGTATTTCCCGCGCTGCACTATTGTTGCTTCCCATGCAGCCTCCATCGGTCTGGCTGACGAGGGTAAGACAGGTACGAGTACTTTTCAAACGAAGCACGGCTGTCGTTCAGCAAGCTTCTTTGCGCTCCGCCCAGTCTGCTCAACACGCCGCAAATCGCCCATTCTCCCAGACTGCCGCCGCTCCGTCGCCTGCGTATCTTGCTCTGTACTCCGTAGCCCCTGGCATTGTGCCCGCAGAAAACGCGAACACCCCTCGTCAGCGGTGGCGGCTCGCCCAATCATGTGCCTCCCAGCAGCTGCACGTTACGCCTAGTGCATGCAACGGGGAGCTACCTTGGCCCCAGCACGGCTGCCTATTGGCTATGGAAGGCGTCGAAATCCTCGAGAAGGGGCAACAGGCGCTTCTGCCCGGGCAATCTGGAGAGGGAGGCAAGAGCGACATGGCTCTTGCCAAGCAAAGCCAACAGGCCTTGTCCGCTTCAGAATGCCACTTTCTCTGCTTCCTTTGCCCGCTCATCTCCTATCTTTGGCCTCTTTTTGCCGGCCGCTCGGCCCTCATTCTACATCTCTCCATGCTCCCGTCTCCTGATCTTCCTCCCCTCTCTTACCCCCCCCCGTCTCTCTCCGACCGTGGCTTTCTGCCTTGCTCTTGAAAACCTGCAATACTACGGAGTCATATGCTACTACTATGCATGTGGGAAGAGTCGATCCTGCTTCGGCCATTTTCTCGGTTTGACCGCAAGGCCGTCCGTCGCCTACGGCGTATGATGTCTTCTTAATAAGTGCTATTGCTCCGACCAATGCACGCACCTCTCCCCACAGATTTGGTTGCTCGCTTGGCTCCCCTTAGAAAAGCCCCCCTCCCCCCAGGTTCGGCTTAGTGAGGATTCCACAGTATGACTACAAGTGCATGCCATTAACCTATCTCTCATCAGCACCTTGTCTTCAAGCGACCATTTTGTTGTGCCATCGCTTCCTCGCGCGTTTCCCCTTCGGTCCGCACACGAGCAAGGCCATCAGGTTCCGCGACCCCAAAAAGGCGACGAGCCAAGACTTTTAAGATACAAGAACAACCCTAGTCTGCCAGTACTCATTGCACGCCCTTTTTCGCCTCTTTAGCCCGGCAGAACCAAATGTGAACTGGGCTAGTCTCCCAAGCAGACCGACTGAAACGCAACTCTCAACGTGCGCAATAGATATCCCCTACCGAAAATAGAGCAGAGCCAAGAACGCCGCCAGATCTGCCACGAGAAAATCGAGCAACCGGACACCTCCATGAAACGTCTGCCGCGACAACTGCCACACTGCCGCTGCTGCTGCCGAGAGGAGTGAATGATTTCCGCCTGTCTGCCCACGAGGCTGATAGCATAGAGCTTACGCCAACTCCCTCCACCTTCCCCGGCTCCGCCTGCGCTGCGCCTGCGCTGCGCCTTCTCCCCTCTCCTTCCCGATCTCGCCGCCGCCTGCGCATCCTCTGTCTCTGTTACCACTCTTTATTCGCGGCCATTCTGTCAGCCCGCCAAAACGCCTCGCTTTGCGCGCAAAACGATGTCCAGTTTTTTTAACAAGCTGAAACCCGGCGTGGTGAGTCTCGGAGCAGCTGTCCATCCCGGGATGTCGGGCCCTTATTGACCTTTGCTTGTCATCTGTGAACTAGGCCGCCGCCAATAACGCCAACAATGTGTCGCCAAGCAAGCGGAAGGACGAGGTCGTCCCAGAGGCGACCCCCTTGGAGAAGATGCTCCATAATGCTGGTGCCATACGAGACGACGGAACCGACAAGTTCTTCGGCCTCGAAAATGTACGTTGCCCTGGTGGGATCTGCCGGCTTCCCCTCCTCGACAGAGAAACTGATCGCATACGTGGAAACTGACATGTGGTGCCTTGCAGTTTGGAAACACATGGTAACCGCCACTGCCGCCCCCGAGGCCTTTCGAAGTCCGCCTGAAAATATACTGATGTCCTCTCACAGCTATTGCAATTCCATAGTTCAAGCTCTCTTCTACTCCGAAGTCTTCCGAGAGAACGTCATCCGATTCCCACCATATTCGCCATCCAGTACCCCAAACGGACAACCGCGAAAGGTGAATGTACAGATCCGGCCACCGTTGAACGGCACAGCCGGAGGAACGGCGCCAGGGTCTGTTCCGGCAGCAGCCGCAGGAGGAGGTATCACCAAAAAAATACTCTTCCCCCTCAACCTTTCAAGCCACGACCTCTGGTCGGACCGGGCCAGCCACCCAGTGGCCAACAGGCTATGCGCCCCGAAGACAAGCCCGACTCACCAGAATACAAAAAGAAACAGGCCATGATAAAGGGGCCGGTTTTGGAGCTAGCACAGGAGAATGCAGGCGCGTACGGGATGGATGAGTGCACCTTTACCGGCCTAAAAGACATATTTATGGCCTTTATCGAGAGCAATTCCCGCACAGGCGTTCTCAGCCCATTGCGCTTTCTGGAGCTATTCCGGCAGGCCAACGAGTCATTCAAGACTGCGATGCACCAGGATGCACACGAGTTCTATGGCCTGGTTCTGAACGACGTCATCAAGAACATCGAGGCCGCCTCGAGGCAATTCCGCGAACGCGAGGATCTACGCAGCCAGAGCGACCTGAAGGCTTCGGTGGAGGCGGTCCTCGGCAGTGTTGACGGCATACCACCCTCTGCGCTCTCCCCCTACGACGGCACGACAACGCCCGGCTCGGGCTGGGTGCATGATATATTCGAAGGCGTGCTCACGTCGGAGACGAGATGCCTGACGTGCGAGACATCGTCTCAGCGAGACGAGACATTCTTAGACCTGTCGATCGACCTCGAGGAGCACTCGTCCGTTACATCCTGCCTGAGGAAATTCTCTGCCGAAGAGATGCTTTGCGAGCGTGACAAGTTCCACTGCGACACCTGCGGCGGATTGCAGGAAGCAGAGAAGCGCATGAAGATCAAGCGTCTGCCAAAGATCCTGGCGTTGCACCTGAAGCGCTTCAAGTATGCCGAGAATTACACAAAGTTGGAGAAGCTTTTCCACCGGGTGGTCTACCCGTACCAGCTGCGCATGTTCAACACCACGGACGACGCACAAGACCCAGACCGGTTGTACGAGCTGTATGCGGTGGTGATACACATTGGGGGCAATGCGTACCACGGGCACTACGTGGCAGTCATCAAGACGAAGGAGCGTGGATGGCTGCTGTTTGACGACGAGATGGTGGAACCTGTGGACAAGCACTATGTGCGGAATTTCTTTGGTGACAAGCCGGGAACTGCCTGTGCCTACGTTCTCTTCTACCAGGAGACGACGTTTGAGAAGGTGCAGGCAGAACAGGAGGCCGAAGGGCTTGAAGAGATCAAGCTGGCCAGCCAGAGTGCCGGTCTGGCGCTGTCTCCCGAAGGAAGCCACGCCCACCTGAACGGCAACGGCGAAAACCTTGTTCGACAGGCGACCCAGCCGGCCCTGCACACGGTGGACGATCACGACGAGCTTTTGAATCTGGAGCATGCACGGACAGCACCAGGGGCTGTGTTCGGTGCGGCTCCTGCGATACCGCCGGTGCCACATTTACCGACAAGCCCGACATCAGCTGTAGCACATGCGGTGGCGACGGAGAAGGCACTGGGGGCGAAATTGGAAGCGGCACGATGCAAGGAAGAGAAGGAGAAACAAAAGAAGGAGGCCAAGGCAGCGGAGAAGGCGCGCAAGATGCAGGAGAAGGAGCACAGCAAGGGGATGGAGCGGTCACGAAAGGAGCGGGAAGCGCAGCGCAAAGCGGAGCAAGAAGAAATGCGGCGGGTACTTGCAGCCAGCAAGCATACGGCGGCCGAGGAAAAAGAGGCGCGTAAGAACAGTCTGGACGCGGCAGCAGCAGCAGCAGCGGCAGCGCCTATCTCATCGTCAGCTCCAACGAGCGCGGGAAGCCCCCGAGGGTCGAGCTTTCTGGGCCGCAACGGACGAGGCAGCAAGTCGATGTCGCGCAGGAGCTTTGCCTTTCTCGGCAAGGACAGAGAGAAGTTTGAGCCGTCATTTGGCGTCGAGCATGGCGTCAATGGGAGCGCAAACGGATTTGCAACAGGATCAACACAGAAGCCGGCACCGGCGTCACTGTTACCGCAGGCCCCACCATCACACGGCGAGAGGCAGCTGAAGGACAGGTTCAGCTTCAGCCTGGGCCGCAAGAAGAGCAACACGTTTCTCCCGTAGAATGGGGAAGCGTGTGTTTGGCATGTGGGAAGACAGCAATGCACGAATGTAGTCGTGCACAGACAGGCGTTAATACTTGGCCGATCGGTTATGAATATCTGTACAAAACGGAAACATTACTTGGGCGCACATTGCATCTTAAAAAAGGGCATCTCTCTCGGGTCGACTGTTTTGAGTATGGGAAGTAAGAGGGATTATCTAGAAGACGGAGGAACTGCACTGGCTGAACATTGCAAAATAGTTATGTTTGTCATTAGAGAAACACTGGGGAATCGGATTATGTCTCTAATACTATCCCGGTGATCTTTTGAAGGATGCAGCATAGCAGTACGGAGCAGTCAGTTTCCATACTCCTTGGGAGACGGTCGACTTGGTCTTAGTAGGCATGCCGGATGGACAATGCAAGAGACATGTTTGTGTAACACTCTCTTGTCGACCTCGATGGGTGTATGATGATATTCATGTGTGATAGTACAAAGGTTCTCTTCCCAACACGGAGTAGTGGTAGTGTCGAGGGATGCGCAGCCAATCTCTCTGGTGCTGCACCGGGGGCTTTCTTGTTCGCTCCTTCATGCCATGTCTTAGCCCAGAACCAGCTCATATGCTATCAGGAGGGTGTTGATGACGATCAGGGGTACTGCAGGCAGGGTGTCAGTAGCGAAGCGAAGAGGGGCTTGAAGGTTTCGCCGACGTACTGCGCATGAGCGTGCGCACGCTCGCAATCAGGTTGATGATCTTGGCCTTGACGCTAGAGTCGGTGCTCTGGCCAAAGGCCGGGTCATAGGTGGACGACGAGAGGCCGATCCGGGCGAGGAAGCGGTCCTCAGACAGGATGGCGATGGCATTGATGAGCAAGACAGAGACTGGAGCGGGTCAGCGAAGGGGGTCGGACGAGCGCGAGAGGAGCGAACAGGACGCACCGTAGAGAAAGCCGCCGAGGATCTTCATGGCGACGAGTCGGAGGCCGGCGGGCCTCTATGCGTCTTTCCGTCTTTGCGTGTTGTTGCAGATGGAAGGGTGGCTGGCGTCTAGTCTAGGCTCTGGTGAGGCGTGAGGACACGAAAGCAAGCTCAGCCCGGGGTGGAACAATAGCCGGGCCGAGCTGGGGCCGCGCTACGACGACAGGGGCACGTGATTGGCTGAGAGGGGGGTTATGGGCCTTAGGGAGCACTACGCTGTCTATCCGGAACGGATCACCACGTCCTTGATGTGTGGACAGGCACGATGAAGTCGATAGGTATGTGAGCTGTTCCAGGGTCTCATCTTTCCGGGTCCAGTCTCTTCCGACACGGAAAGGACTCTCCTGCAGTCTCGGTTCTCTGTTCCCAGCTGTCCTCTGCTGCCAAGCTGACCAGACTCTTCCAGACGCTGTTCTCTGTCTCCTCGTGCCGGCTCTGGTGCTGCTGCACCTGGCTGTCGCGCCCTACACCAAGGTCGAGGAGTCGTTCAACGTGCAGGCCGCGCACGATGTGCTGGTGTACGGCATGCCGACGGGTCCAGGCGCTGCCGCCCGGCTGGCCGCCCGTTTCGACCACGTCGTCTTTCCGGGTGCCGTGCCACGCACCTTTGTCGGCGCCGTTGTGCTGGCCGGCCTGAGCCAGCCGGCTGTTCTGGCCGTCGACGCCGTCGTGGCCGGTGCCAGCTTGGCCAGGGCAGCGGACCGGCCGCCCAGCTGGTCGTGCGATCCCTTCTCGGCCTGGCCAACGCAGCCGCTCTCCTACTGCTCACCCGGTCGCTCGGCCAAGCCTGCGGATGGGCTGCTGCGCGCTGGTATCTCTTGCTGCAGCTCGGCCAGTTCCACGTCTTCTTTTACGCCTCCCGCACGCTGCCCAACATGTTTGCCTTTTTCCTCACCACCCTGGCCTTTGCCTTTCTGCTCAACCGACCGGGCCTTTCGACCGGGACCAGGACCACAAAGACAAGGACAACCCCCTCGGGCCGTCTTCGCGTCGCCGTCTGCCTCTTCGTCCTCGCTGCCGTCGTCTTTCGCGCCGAGGTCGCCCTCTTGCTCGCCGCTGTCGCCGTCTATCTCGTCGCCGTGCCGATGGCATCCATCCAGCAGCTTGTTCGCACCGGCACCGTCGCCGTCGCCGCTGCTCTCCTCGTCTCCGTTCCCCTCGACACCTTCCTCTGGCAGCGGCCCCTGCCCTTCTGGCCTGAGCTGCACGGCTTCGTCTTCAACGTCTTGCACGGCCAGGCCAGCGCCTGGGGCACGTCGCCTTGGCACTATTACTTCTCCAACGCCCTACCGCGCCTCCTGCTCAACCCGCTCGCCCCCCTACTGCTCGTTCCGCTTGCCCTCGTCCGTCCGGCTACCCGTGGACCCGCCCGCCTGCTCGTCTTCCCCTCCCTCGCCTTTGTCGCCGTATACTCGCTGCAGCCACACAAGGAGGCTCGTTTCATTCTCTACGTCGTCCCACCACTGACCGCTGCTGCTGCCTTGGGGGCCGACCAGCTGGTCAAGATTGCCTGCAAGGACAAAGGAGATGCGTTGAAGACAGAACAGACAATGGAAACAAAGGACACAAAAGACACAAAGAAAACAAAAGAAAACAAAAACACAAAAAGCACCCCTTTTCCCCTCCCCTCTCTTCTCCTCGCCGCTGTCGTCCTCTCTGTTCCCCTCTGCTTCGTCGCCAGCACCGCCATGCTGCTCGTCTCTGCTCTCAATTACCCTGGCGGCGAGGCTCTGGCCGCCCTGCGCGACATCGTGCACGTCCGCCCCCAAGCCGCTGTTGCTGCCGCTCCTGTCGTGGCCGCCCACGTCGACGTGCTCGCCTGCATGACCGGCGTCACCCTGTTCGGCTCCTCGCTGGGGCCGGCCCTGTCACTCAATCCGGCCGCTGGCCAACTCGTCGTCGACAAGACTGAGGATGTCGCCCGCCTGAGAGACCCGACTTTTTGGATGCAGTTCGATTACGTAATCGCCGAACCACAAGACGACCTACAAGAGACTGACCATCAACGCGACTCGGCTCCGGCTTACCGCTTGGACGCCGACCACTGGCAGCCCGTCGCCGTCGTGCACGGCTTTGCCGGCATCGAGCTGCTGCGGCCTGGACAGAATGGCCCAGACGACGACGACGAAGAGACCACATCGCCACCGGTCGTTGGCCACGGCGCCACTGTCGCGCTGCTGCGTCGCTACGTTCGCAGCCTCACAGGCGGCTGGTGGATCGGCCCACGCATGCTGCCACGGCTCCAGATACTGAAGCATATCAAGGCTGACGACATCTACGAGACCGACTGAGGCTCGCCCTACGACTATCTCCTCACCCGCAAGAGACTGCCTCAGACTCAATGGACTGCTCCTCCTTATATTTGCTAGGCCTTCCTCTTTCCTCCCCCTCATGGACCTCATGGACAGGCACTGCTGCATATACCGCTGCACGTTTTCGGAAGACAAAGGCAGAAAAGCAACCAGAAGACAGGCAAAAAAGAATTATGTATATAAGGGAAGAAAACGACGGAAAATGACAAGTACGTGACGGTCAAGGGTGCTGCTGAACGAGGTAATGACGCAAAAATACATATGAAAAGGAATAGACCAAAGACTAAAGAGCAGCCACAAGTCCGACTGCTGTTTATTTCACTTCTTTCCCGGCGGAGCGGAAGAGGACCGTGAGACTGAGCGAAACAGGGACCAGATAAGGAAACACCATAAAAGCCCTAACAACACGGCAGAAACTTTCGTAATAATAGAATAGCCAGTCCTCTCGCCCGTTCAGTCCGCTCGGAATCCGTGACGCGCAAACCTGCCGATCGACTGTCTGCTACACATACCCGGAGTATAGTGCACCGTACACACACAGTATAAACACCGTATACACACATTGCAACAACATCCTCATCACCAACTCAACCGATGTGAGAGCTGCAGATCGGACATTCGGCCGGCTCCAGCCACGTCTCATCACCACCTGTCACACCTGTCCGCAGGTCTCGGATCTCAATCATCGTCGGGGCCGACTCTACAGGGCCCAGCAGCAGCTTGGCCTCAAACAGCTGGTCGTACGGCTTCTTCTTGCCTTCAAACGACTGCAACGTCGGATACTGTCGCTTCCGCGCCCGCCCCGAAATCCGTTTTGGCGTTGCCCCTGCCGCACCTGAGCTCGCTCCCGCTGCCGCCGCCGCCGCCGCTGCTGCTGCTGCCGTCGTCCGCCTAGTGCCTGTCATCGGGCTGTCCGTCACTGCCGGCGTCACCTCCCGCTTCAGCGAGTCGCGTGATGTCGTCTTGTCGCGCAACGCTAGCTCTGCCTCTCCGTTTGCAGTCACCTTGCTGCCGTCTGCTCCTGCAGCTGCTGGCGACGGCGATGGTGCCGCTGCCAAACCGTTGATAGTCGTTGTCCGCCTCCTGCCCGTGACTTCCTCTTCCTCATCTTCGTCCTTGCCTCCCACCTCGACCGTGTCTGCCTTGACGTCAATCGAGTGCTGCGCCGAGACTGCTCCGCCCGTCTCCTTGGGGCTAAGCGGCTCCTTCACCTCGTCCTTGCCCGTCTCCGGCTTGACTGCCGTGTCTGGCCGGCTCGATATGTGCGGCTGGTCCTTGCCTAGCTGCTCGTACACTCGCATCAAGGCATAGTGCTTTAGGCACTCTTCATGGATCCACTTGCCGCAAGACTTGTCGCCGCAGCCCACGAGCATCCTGTCCGGATTCGCCGGCTGGTTGCAGTCGCACACCACTTCAATTGTCTGGTTCTGTCAGCCTTTTGCCTTCTGGTTCTAAACCGGCCTCATGAGACTTACGGATAGCTCGAAATTGCGCACGTCTAGCGCCTGTCTCCAGTATAGCGCGCTCTGCAGCTCGTCGTCGCGGTCCTCGATCAGGTGGTTGACCGTCGCTGCAGAGGTCACGCTGACAACATTGATGATGTCCATGTGGTTTGACGCGATCAGCTCGGCCGCGCCGTGGTATGGCTGGCGCCCTTGCACCGTCTTCTTACCGTAGTGCGTGCCGGCTGGCAGTTCGTCTGGCCAGTACATCCAGAACACGCGCGCGTACACGTGGTGCTCGTCGCTGGCCCGAATCTCAAGGATCCGCGCAACCCAATCATCTTCCGACCGCTTCCGCGGATCCCGGGGACCAGCGCTTTTTTGTCGCTCGATAGACGAGTCATTGGCAACGAAGATAAAACCTTCGCAGTAGTACTTGACGCCGTTCACTACCGCGGGCGCATTAGCACTAGAGCACGGAGGTGAGAAAAGGATGCAAGGATGCAAACATACACACGAAGCTATTATAGCGCGTCATCTCGGCCCACTGCCTCGCCGGCTCGACGACGTAGTGCACGTCCATGGTCGGAAATGTTTCGAACGAGCCCTTGGGCGCGAAAGGCGCGCATTGCTGGAGCACCTTCTTGGACGAGTCGTCATCTTCGTGGTTGCCCGAGGCGCTGCTGTTGTGGCCGCGCTTCCTCCGCTTCTTGCTCTTGACCTTCAGCTCCTTCTCCTTTGGATCCACGAGCCGGATCGTAAAGGGGCATTCGGCCCGGTTGTCCTCCGTGTCCTGCCGCGGACGCTTCGTCGAAGTTGACTGTGTCATTTTGGTCCTTGATTGCGGCCGTGTGGGGAAAATGATGGAGTGAATATGTGTATGTGGTATATGTCGTGTATCTGTGCGTGTGCGTGTGTGTATTTGTAAGCTTTAGGCCACTGCCACAATGCGCGGTGGCTCGCGTGTTTCGCGTCGGTGTGGGCGTGACTGGCTGTCAGGCTGGGCGCCAACAGCTTGCGATGTCGTCTTCTGAACAGAACACGGTCAAGGTGCTCCGGGATCCGTCTGCGCCTTGAGGCTTCGGGTTCGCATGGATGAAACAGCTGTTCTGCCGGGACAAATAACGGCTGCAGGCAATCGAAAAGCGGTGGCAATATGTGGAGAGCCGGCCGGATCGAACGTCAGTGGCGACTCGCAGAAGGGAGGCGGAAAAAAAAAACGCAAGGAAGCTGGGTAACGGTCGGACCGAGATGACAGCGTTTTTGCGGGGAGAGGTTTGAAAAAAGCTTCACGATATCCGGCAGGATGGATCGCGCGCGACAGGGGTTGGCCCAAATCGCCTCTGCTGCCCACAGGGGGGAAAGGGGGGGCTATGCGAGCCCGGATCGCGTCGCGGACCGGTCGGGGCGTTGAGACGGGATAAGGGCAAAGGGCCTAGGAGGTAGGTTGAGAGGACAGCTTTCTCGCCCAGCGATGGAACACGGACGATGGGATGGATGCAGGACAGAATGGACCACGGTGGTTTCTGCGGGTTTTTAATCGATGATTGAATGTTTTGGGGATGCCGAGAATGGCGCCTGCAGCCCGAGGTGCACAGGTGGACAAAGACGTAGTGAAGGGACTTTGGGCGGCAGAAAAAGACAAGACGCAAAAGAAAGACGGACGCGACAAATAAGCTGCTCAGGCAGGATGGATGGATGTGGTAATAAAACGTAATGAATTAGCAGGGGGCCGATAAAGACACGCGCGACGCAGCCAAGAAAGGAAAGAGGTTGACAGGGCCTCTTTTCTGCTTTTCTCTGGCTGGAAGGAAAGCCGCCGTCGTCAGATTCTCGCGGTATGCGTTGATTGCGAGGTGCGAGTTTTAGCAGGTGGCTGGGAATTGGGCCTTCGGCCTTTCCATGCAAGCATTTTTTTGTGAGAGAGGGGTAGGTGCTAATTAATATTGGCAACAAACAACACCCTTGTACTCCGTAGCAACTTGCCTATCCGCGAGGTTGGGTTGTATTGTCCACGTCACGTGACCAGAATCAGACAACTTTGCCGGTTTGTCAACTGGGCTTGGCTTCCATCTATATAGGCAGCGCCTTATCTCTACTATTTTCGGGAAGATCGGACATCCTCTACAAACCGGAAAGATACATAATGCCGGCTGAACCCGAAGCAGTTGTCGCACAGAACCATCACCATACACCAAGACTACGAGATGCCGACAAAGCGAGAGTTCATCATCAATTCCACCCGCCTACTAGAACAGACTATACAGTGCGGTGTAAATGTATCTCGCCATGCAATAGTATCGGGGGTAAGATAAGCCCGTCTTACCCCAACTGGACGAAGGTATGGAACCGATCAAGCAGTTGGCGAGCCCTAGACGCTGCGGCAGATTCGGTCACAGGCAACTCCTTCTATACATAGCGGCAGAACACATCTCGGCTTGAACATGATCGAAGATCGGAAACTAAAGAGCTCACGCTCAGAACTTTCATGCTATGGGGGAGAACAAGGCAACACAGGGCTCTGCTGCGCCCGGTCGGCTACTTGAGTGACAAAGGCCCAGAGTCCTTTGAGAACTTCGATAGCCTCTTCATTGCCAGCCCATAAAGACGCGAAACCCTGGCCTTTATTAGTGACCTATCACGTGGTTCAGTACTAGCCTGCGTTTGGATTGGATGCTATATTTCCGGCAAGAATTTCTTAGCACCATGACAGCATTGCCAAACCGTTGTCGACGTTACCACCAATAGAGCCTCCAAGATTACATCATTATCGGATTGACGCTAGAAGAACAGCGCTCCTCTTGCCAAAATCGGACGCCTCGTAAAAGTAAAGCCTGGTGCTTTCAACGAGTGAGTCAATCGAAGCACAAGGCTCTCATTCTAGGTCATGTGAGTCATCACGTGTGGTACGGTTAGAGTTTCTATAAACCGCGACGCAAAAGCAAGTTTGTAATTTTATCGTTATCACGGGTTACGTCCAAGGAAGGCAACCGAGTTCGAACTGCATTTGCGACACAGCCACAGCAGGTAGCCGAGGATGATCGGTGTCTGGCTCTTGCATTGCGAGCAGGCAAACAATTGTCTTATCATCCCGTGCCACGTCGCTTGACTGCTATGTTCCATGTATAAAAATGATATTGTCGAGAGTTGGTTCGACCGCTCAAACAGCATACTTTAGAGAATCGCAGCCAGCATACCGTGGACTTTGACCGCAGCTACGACGGCGGCTTCGATGGGCTCCAGTCTACTCCGGCATGTGCTACCACAAGCTGAGCACAAGCGCCCTCCAATTGCCTCCAGTTGCATGGTGGCTCTAGTTTATGATCCGCCATGCGACTGGAGGCAATCCATGCCCACAAAAGGCATTGAATACGCTCACGCTGTGCTAACCCAGTGGGTTTTAAGCACCACCGCCCTGTGAAGTCGTTGAGCTGTGGCTGCATCACCTGTGCTGCTATGGGCAGCATTTTCGCTGAGCGGCATCTGTCACTGTTCGGTGAACAGAGGTGTTGTATTTGGCGTTGGAAAAAATGAAAGTGGTATGCCCTTGTGAGCTACTCAATCATTACTCGTGCCTTTTTTTCATTTTCGGAGAACATTGAAAACTGCAGTGTCAAACGCACCTAATAGCTAATATATACGGTAGCTTTTCTACTGTATAACCAAATTACGGCCATTAGTTTGAAAGTCTGCATAAAGACAAAATGTTTCGGTAGGCTGAATTGGTAATTAACAGAAGCCTGCTATCTTAAGAGCCCTGGAAATATCCTGTACTCGCAGGCCCGATATATTACATCTCGATTAGCAAACCGCCTTTGGCAAGGCGAGAGTGTGGCTAAACAAACGGGCGACGAGTCACGCGAAATGTCATGACCGCAAAAAGTTCTACGTACCGATAACAGGCCAGGGTTGCAACTAGTATTTGGGTAGATCCATAAGGACCGCACACGTATGCATATTTAAGCTACTGGGGCTCCTTGTTGCAGCCGACAGCGCTGCTGACCAACGAGGAGCAGTTTCGCAGGGGCGTCAAGAAGAAGATTTGCCTCAGCTGTTCCCAGACGCGTGCAACCCTGTACGGCGTCTAGATCTACGCTGCCTATGGATCGACAGTCTGTGCATTTCACGGGACGACAAGAACGACTGGTACAATAAAGCCGCACACATAGGTTGCTGCCGATCAGCTGGTAGCCCCACTCAATTGGTCCTATGTACCGGAGCCTTCGAGGATCTTTAGCATCTTACACTACGAATCTAACGCGTTAAATAGCTTATTAATATGGTCGCCTTTGTTGAACACGCCTCTATCATCAACCAGCCTACTTTCAAGGCTAAAAACCCACTGCTAACACTGACCTTGTCCTGGGCATCTGTGTATACACCCGTCATGCTCCCTTATACTCGGGGTTTCGGCTGCCACTTATGGCACAGAAGGTAAACATGACCTAAGCCGTCTGAGTGACTTTGGATTGGTATACGGATGCACAACGATCGCGACATGCACCATTTTCACTACCTCCTACTGCGGCAGTGATCTGTAGGCTTGAAGATACACATTCGTACACCGTGTATCCACAGTGGCGTGGAAGGCTTAGATTTTCCAATGGCTAGAGAGTTGTGTCGAAGGCGATGATGATGACGACGATGGCAGCAACAAAGTAGACGTTGATCCGAGCACGGTTTCTCCGTCATCGCTGTCACGTCGGCCGAGACGCTGACCTCGCCCAATCCGACTGTGCTCTGCTCGTGGACTATTGCCAACAACAAGAGCAACAGCAAAGGAATTTGTATCCAGATATGACGTGGCCGGGCCACATAATGCTCGTATTAAAATCATGTCGCCTACGAAGAAGGTGGGACCAAGAGTCGGAAGCGAGGCCATTTATTTCGGAGACACGCCCGACGCCAAAAAAATGCCACTCTTCAATTTCTGACCGAAAAACAGACCTGATTATCCACTCCGTAGAAAAAGCAATCGAACAAACCAATATGCAATAACGCCCTGGACACTTCAAACCTCCATTTCGTAACGACTGGGAACTGTTCAGTCCGTATTGGCCATAACATGTCTTTTCAGGCCAGTCTATCTTCGCTAAAAGAGGTGCTGTATTAATAACCTCTATGGTTCTCCTTTACGGCCCCTTCTCGTTGGGTTCTTATACTCCGTACTCCGTACAGGAGTAAAATCCGCCTTAGTGGCTGCGTATAGCTAGTCGATTAGCGGACTGGACTGAAAAACCAGTCCCTATGATTGTAAAACGGCTTTGAGAGACGTTTACTTAAAGGCTTCTGATATGTCGGAACGTTATACGTTCCAAGACCAGGTTGAGCAGCGGTCCTAGAAAATGGCGATGCGGGAGATTCTACGAGTGCAGTAGTAGACGATCACGAAGCGGGACCTATGAAATGACAAAGTCCTCGAAAAAGAGTCCTTATAGTTGAAAATAGTATCGACAGAGGAAATTTACGTGCCAGGTGAATGTTTGAGCGCCGTGCATAGGACGCTTTTGAATTGCCAGCACGACCTCTGCATGCTTCGTCTGGCACCTACAAAACAATACGAGTACGGAGCACTAACATGATGACAGCCGAAGTTTCGGTCAGCAAGCTTGGCATTGCTGGCGATCGAGATGTCCATGCCAAGACCGGCTGTGGAGGTACGAGTTGTCAACATGGTCTCACCGGCAATTCTGGGTGTGGATATTGCAGTGGACCTGCTCGAGCGTATGTGGCGTCAGTGCAAACGTAGCTGCCTTAGTTGAGGCCGACGAGTATGTCGATGTGAGGTGGACACATTAGTTCTGCTTCTTGGATACAGAAAGAGCGGCCACGACATGGTAGTGCAGATGCGATCCTCGTACGAGTTACGGAGAAGAAAAAACGCACAGTGTTACTACAGAAATACGAGTAGAGCTTGTTTGTACTGACTGTAAGCATATATGCCTCTTTGGCGTTCGCTTTACTAAATGTAATGTTTGCCTCGACCCGTAGCACGGGTTTATGGTAGGAAGTTGGTCTACGACGTAGTGAGGTGATTTCTGGAAGGATCCTTCGTACTTGTTTGTGCTAATAATATACTGTGGATCCGCAGAACCCCGTATTATTACGTATCATTGGTACACGAAGCTCCGCACTTTCTGGTGATCGACGTCTCGGCTATACCGGGTTTGTTCTAAGAGGCCGTGGTCTCGTAAGAATACGATGCACCCACAAAGCCGCATATACGAGTGGAAGTCTTGTGATCTAGAATCTCGTGAACGTCTCGTAAGGTCCTAAACCGTGCTGTCAGCTTCGTGAAGCCCGATTTACCATTGCAGAATATGCGGTCAGAAGGTGTCAAAGAAATCTATAAAGAGAAGCTAAGTTCCTAACTTCAGGATTCGAGTTTCTGTCACAGACCATCACATAATCAGCATTCTCTCCGAGCCTCTTCCAATCTTGATATACCGATTCATCCTCAAGCTCGCGCATACAATCACATCTACCACAATGCGTTTCTCAGCCCTCGCCCTCTTTGCTTCAGCAGCCAGCGCTGTTTCTGTCTCTTACGACACTGGCTACGATGACTCCTCGCGCTCGCTCACCGTCGTCAGCTGCTCAGACGGCACCAACGGCCTGATCACGCGCTACGGATGGCAGACGCAAGGCAGCGTGTCCAAGTTCCCGTACATTGGCGGTGCAGATGCGATTGCCGGTTGGAACTCGGCAAACGTAAGTGCTTCCGAAAAGAGCATGCAAGATGCATGGACACATCCCGGCTAACATCAGACAGTGCGGCACCTGCTGGCAACTTACATACAACGGTCGCAGCATCAACGTGCTGGCTATTGACCACGCCGGTAGTGGCTTCAACATTGCCCAGGCAGCTATGAACGATTTGACCAATGGCCAGGCGGCCAGCTTGGGCCGTATCGATGCGACTGCCACGCAGGTAGCTGTCAGCAACTGCGGACTGTAAGGATCTAAATGCATGATTGACGGAATGATATTGGCATGATGTTAAGGAGTCAACTGTTTTCTTTCAGTACCGTTTATCCGTAAGACTAGAGAAATAAACTATTTCTTGCGGAGTACAGGCATCCAAGATTTGCACGTAGAGCTCTCTGGAATGGATCTAGTCTGCGTAAAGACTTAACTGATGTTGTATGTACGGAGTACTCTGTATCTGATCTTACTCCGTGATCTATAAATATTTTTATGGGTTCTGTGGCGCAGATCTTTATTACTGTGTAGGGTGTAGCCCCGCTCGCTAAATCGTTGACAAATCAGAGAATGTTTTTTGTGCCTACTCGTAGTCAAAAAAGCCCACAGTGCGATACGGAGGACACCAAGGTCTGACTATGTACTCCATAATTCTCTTGCATTTCGCTCACGAAACGTTCCCCACGAAATGTAGCCAAGCGCAATTTGTCCTAGCTGGATGCATGCATTTTAGTCTTCTCATACCCTTCTTAGCCTTCATACCCTAGACCTGTTTTGTATGCTGCGTGCCCTGCAGTCTTCCGGAAATGGGTAAGTTTGAAGAACAGTCCTAATCCTTAGGAAACCATATAATACTGACGATGGCCCATACAGGACCGAAACGATCTAGGGGGTTCCAAAATACAAATAAGCCGGCCAAGAAGGCACACGTCGAAAGCGAGCATGATGCTACCGACACGGAGGATTGGAGGACGCTGGTGCTGTCCTCCGAAAAGTTGAAGAACATTTTAAAGTATGATCCGACCATATCTGACGACAATGCAGAAGACAACTTTCTATACAAAGCCTTGTCTTCCCTTCACACTTATTCGAACTGGGTTCGGACAAAGATGCCGGACTCCGAAGACTTTGTGTGGCCGACCGGTGCAATAGAAGCATTGGACGACGGAGAGAAAATGCCACTTGTCAAGCTGGGTCTTGCTCTTCTTGAAATCGGCTTTGATCTTAGTATTGTTTCAATGGAAGAGATGGCCCAGCCGGCGCAGGAACTTGTCAGGGATCTGTATCCGAAGAAGGAGCGCTCCCAGTCCCATGAGGGACACCCGGATGATGACAGCATCACCCGAACAGCCTTTGAATGTGACGAGATCGCCGATAGCACCGGGATCGCTCCCAGTCGGCGGCTGCGCCGGGCACTGATGCAGTACATGGACATCTACTACGGCACCGAGGACGAAGCTGATAAGACGAAGGGCGTCGGTTACCATTCACCCTACACATCCATCGTGGGGCCGTCAGGTTCTGGAAAAACATCCTCTGTCAAGCATCTGGCTGAGGATGAGGGAGTGTGGGTGGCGTACACCAGCCTCTCGCGATCAGATCTTTCCATCCCTCGCGCAGGACCAATCGGCGACTTTCTGCAGCACTGGCACGATGAGAAGACGGCACGCTCATTTTGGGACCGGTATATTCGTGCTTGCATCCTGCTGGTAGAAGTGGCTAAAGAGCAGGACATTTCTCCTGGGATGCTGTTTCGTCTTCAGTACCACGAAGATTTTGCTGCCTTTCGCAACGAATTCGCCAATCTAGTCGGCCGTTGGATGAATAAGCCGTGCAACAAGGCGGCTATATCCCAGCTTGTTAACAAGATTCCATATATCAACGATCTGCGGAAGTGGGAGGCTTTTAGAATGGCCTCAAGGAGGCAGCCAGATCCCAGTTGGAGCGAAGCTGGGAAACATCTTGAAAATAACAGGCTCATCCTGTGCGTGGACGAGGCACGAGGCCTGTTGAAGGTGCCTGCCGACGATAGAAGGACGACCGTCGCTGACACCGGCCGGCCTGTCGCCTTCCGTCAACTCCGGCACGCCCTATCACGAGCTGCTAAAGGCGTCAAAGGCCTTCCAATCTATCATTTGTTTGGTGTCTTTCTAGATACATCTTCACGTGTCCAAAAATTTTCGCCAGCGCTCGAACACGACCCGAGCATCAAGGTTGGCGTAGGCTTCGAGCTATTCCCGCCACTGTATGGGATAAACAACACTTGGGATGGTATGGCAGTGCAGTCTAGGGCTATCCAGGCCTGGTTGAAGACAATCATCGTGAGTGATGGCGCCGGCGGCGTCCCGCCCTCCTCGACGACGAGTATCGTGGCTGGCCCTGAAAACACCCCAGAATGGTATCGTTTCTTTTACTCCTTAGGCCGACCGCAATGGGGTGCTGTGATAAACGCCAGTGTTGGCGTCGACGGTAACGACGGTAACGACATTGATGACGCCATCGATTTAGGAGCTGGCATCGAAGCTGTTCGCGCCCTTGTGCGAACCAAACTATACGCGAAAAAGGAGATGTCTGTTACGGAAAGGGATCAGTATCACCTTGCCCTCCTAATTTTCCGCATGCAGTTCTATCTGTCCGACCACAAACTGAGCGAGGCTTGCGTCGCGGACTGGCTACACTACGTAAGAAGCATCTCGGCAGACCGGACGACAATCCAGACGGTACAGCCGGGAGAGCCTGTGTTGGCGCAGTACGTTGCCACCCGTATGAAGTCACCAGAGCTGCGTGAGGAGATGATCATCAGCCTAACAAAATCACTTCACTACGGAGCGTTGCATGTGGGCGATTCCGGCGAAATAGTTGCGGGCCTTCTCCTTCTCCTGGCCTCCGATGCTACTCCGGCCGACGAAGACAATCCCAGATTCCTGCACAGGAGCCTTGCGTCTTTCATGCATGCATTTGTGGGCTGGCTGCCTGAAGACATGCCGCCGTCTGTGGCAACCTCGCGTGTCTACGTGACACATCTCGGCCGGTTGTGCACAAAGGCCTCCCGGATCACGCAGCGACACCTTCAGGTGGCCTTCCTTACTGGCGAGGCCTGGTTCCTATCGGTCGGCTTTGCTGGCGTGAATCTACTTGTGCCTGTGTGGCAAGGGCCGGGAAAGCCCATGACCGCCGTACTGGTGCAGGTGAAGAACAGAAAAGAGCCAGCCAACATGACAGGGGGCATACGGGCGGAAGCCCGCACATCGGTGTGTGATGGGCGTAGGAGGATCGATGCCCTCAATGACGCAAGCCTTCCTGTGTACGGCCTGTTCGTAAATCTGCGACCGCTGGAGCTCTCTGGCAAAGATGCAAACCCTTCTTCGTCCGATAAACAGGAGTCTGCTCTTGATCACCAGCCTGCCGACGGCAACACGTCCGTGTTTATCAAGTTGGGTTTTGCCAATAACTCCTACCCATACCTAACGCTTCGCGAGTACAACGCGCTCCACGGGATTGTTCGGTCCCACTTCACCGGAATCTCGGAAGACGACCCACACAATATCAAGTCTATGCTGTTCACACGAGATGGATCGACGTTTTTGAGCGACAAGCAAGGGGAAGAATGATCATGTACAAGGCTGTCTAAGGGCGCCATAGATAGATGTTTGCTTGATGACATGAACCGAGGTGCAGATCAAGCCACAAATCATGTCAGGACATCGTACAGCTTCTGTGGCTGTGTCTCTTCACAATTCGTGTTGCAAGGCAGCGCACATGACTGAAATTAGCTAGGAGATCTGTGTCGTAAATGAGTGCACGATGCACAGAAGATATGTTCAGGAGGAAAAGCAACAGTATTCGAATCCCGAATAAACGAATGCTTTCTTCGGGGTCCGTTATTTCGGTTCACACGTATTCTTTTGGCACATGTTGTAGAGGACAAACTGCAATGCGTATTTATAGGACTTATCTTTTGATGCTATATCTGCACGATGTTTGAACTTGCCTCTGGCTTTACAACGAACGGGAGCGGGAACCTGGTCCAGATATAGGGGTCCACCTTGATCGATCTCCTAAAGCCCATTGATACTCACCTTAAAGATAGCGATATCAGATGCGCGACGTGTAAACGTGCTGCTTCGTCTATTCCTTTCGTATAGAAAAGAAGCCAGTCAGAAAGCGTTGCGACTATCTCTATAAGATGGTCACGTCTTTGTCAGAATTCCAAGTCGACACTTCTCCCCCAGAGCCAACTGTATTGTCTGAACAGGATGCTGTATATAGTGATAACGCTACCAAACTCGACAGTATATACAAACAAGGAGGAGAACACAGTTGTTGATGCTAACAACGCCACCGCTATGCAGAGAGCAATTTACCAACAAAATGATGGAAAAAACAACAACAAGGTCATAAGAAAGAGACACAAAACAGAGAACAACCAAAACCAAAGACGCATCTCACTTGTACTAGTAAAAGAACCCAAAGGGCCAAAGGGGTCTCACATAAAATATCACTATCCTTGACATGAACCAGCTCTCACCGCGCCGGCTCTGCAAGGTCCCCGTCATCCTCGTCATCATAGTCGGCTAGAATGGCGCGAGGAGTGTGGGCACTGCCAGACCCGTCATCATCCAGGTTGGTCCCGTAACCGCCAGCCGGGCGGAACCCCTCAATAAGGGCAGCGAGAGCCTCGCCGTCGCGGCGGCCGCGCTCAACATTCACAAAGTAGAGCAACGGCGCAGGCAGGCCGATCAGAGCAGTAAGGAACCAAAAGGCCGGGCGGATCTCACCAGTGGCGTCGATGATGGCGCCAACAATAGCGGGGCCAAAGACGCTGGAGCCCTTGTCCGTGATGGCGTACAGGGCATAAAAGGCGGCCTCGGAGCCGGGGGGGATCAGCTCGCCGTACAGCGAGCGACAGTAGCTGCTGAAGCCACCGATGACGAGGCCGAACACGGCAGCAAGCAGGTACATCTCCCACGGCTGCTGCAGGCCGCCGACACCCCAATCACGCACCATGGGTAGGTAGCCGAGCAGGCCGTACAGCGGGATCAGCTCAAAGAGGGCCAGACAGGCGAGAATGGTGTTCAGCGGGTTCGAGCGCAACAGGGCCACCCGCCGCGACAGGGCGGCCCAACCCAGGGCGCCGGCAATGCCCATCATCGTGCTGATGACATTGATCAAGCCTAGGGCCCACACCTCCATGTGTAACTGGGTCTTGGCGAAGAGCACGGCTGTCGACGACGTGGTGGCGATGGCGTCCGACAGCAGGAACCAGCCGGCAAGGAAGAGCACGATATCGCGCAGCTGACGAGCGAGGGCGATGGTGCGGAACAGCGACGCCCAAGCATACACCAGGTAGGCGGCCCCGGAGCGGATGTAGGACAGCGGGCTGTTGCTGCCTTGGCTCCCAGACGCAGCAGCAGCAGCGGCAGCTGGCAGGGGTGGTCCCGGACGCGGACGCAGCCATAAGGCGGTGGGAATGGTAAAGACAGCCCACCAGACGCCGACGAAAAAGAGCACCACACGCTGCGACCAGGTGGTGTTGTGCATGCGGAAGACGGTGACGATGGCGATGCACTGGACGAAGAGGGCGGCACAATAGCCGATACCGACGCCACGGGCCGAGAGCTGAGTCGAGAGGGTCAGCTCGGCCGACGTTCGTTCCTCGCCGGCGTGGACGGGGGGAGACGGCGACACCGAGCCGGCCGAGGCAAAGGTGGGAGACAGGGACCGCGAGCGGCTGGAGGGAAGCAGGGCGGTGGCAGAGTCGTAGAGTTCGGCGCCCGAGTCGTCCAAGGTGACGGCCGAGTCATCGTCGGCGGAAACATCGGTGGTGGAGTGACCCGTTGCAGGCTCCACATCGCCGTCGATGCCGCTGCCAAGAACAGTTGGATGGTAGCGCACCAGCAGAGGCAGGAACGAGTTGAGCAGGACGAAAGAGGCCCCAAAGGACGTGTTGGAGACAATGGCCAGGAGGGCACCCAGAAGGTAGGTACGGGCGGTCACGGCGAGGAACAGCATGACGGTGACGCTTCCGATGGCGGCCAGAACGAGCAGCAGTGTCTTGCGGTAGTTTCCGTGGTCGGCGGCGCAGCTGATGCTGACGACCAGCAGGGCCTGCAGCAGCACGCTGATGCTAAAGGTGTACATGGCAAAGCTGGCCGTGTTGACCTCGATGCCGAGGACGTAGACGACACAGGCGGAAGAGGCCGCGGCGAGATTCGAGGGCGTTGAGGGCGATGAGGCGGACTGCCGATGGGTAGCTGCATTGCAAGGAGTCGTCCGGTCGGACAGCAACACGCCATTCTCTCGTGCGAGGCTCTCGAGCAGGATCGGAATGAAAGAGGCGATAGCTAGAGAAGTGTGTCAGCGGCCCTGTCTTGGCAATCCATTCATTCGGTTTTGTGGCTGGTCTCTCCGACTCTGATCTTACCACAAACGACGTAGGTCTCCGAGGCGAACGAGTACATGTACCAGCCGAGGATCTCCTTGGAGGACGTCGGCCGCGTGTCCTCGCCCGCATAGGCAGAAACATATGAGTGGCGCTGACGGCGACGTGCCCGACGGCCAGTCGCCCGATGGCCAGCCATGTGGAAGGAATGGATGCTGCTGCTGCTGCTGCTGCCGTGGCGGCCTGCGTGCTGAAATGGAAATGGAGAGGAATGAGGGCCGGTGGCAGAACGCTCGTCGTCAGCCTCAAACGAGGACGAGTGTGATTGCAGAGCCGGGGACACGTCTTGGGCCGGCGTGCTCGCGCTGGTCGGGGCAGGCGATTCTGGGGAAAGTGTGGTGATTGCGGTGATTGCGGTGATTGTGGGTGGGTGGGCAGACGCGGAACCTGCGACAGCTCGGCCGGCAGTGTTGGTGGCACCGTAAAGCTCGCAACCACCTATATCTGCAGGGAACAGGGGTTGCGGGTGATGGGACGGGAGCTGCGGCGACGGCTGTTCCGCTTGGTCGTGGTTGAGGTGGTCCATAATCTTAGTGGACGACGCAGACGGTTTAGTGCAGCTTTAGGCGCTAACGTATGGTTGTGGACTCCGCCCGCACGCCATAGGACCACACGCGCAGACCCCCAACTCCGTACAGGGAGCGAGCAGTTGCTGAGATCGGGAACGTCGATCTGCCTGGTCGAGAGGGGATTGGGAAAAAGTGGCGATGTTGGGAGGATGCGGATGTCGAGGGGAGATCTGGCAAGATTGGGAAAGAGGGGGAGCGACAGAGTGTGGGGCAGTATGGGGGAGGAAAGTGGTGCCAAGAAGGAAAAACAGAAGGGGCGATGAGGAGACAGGAGAAGGAGAAAACAGGAAGGAGCGAGAGAGATGAGGATGTTGAAATAGGACAGAAGCCAGACGGGCGAAGAGGGGAAGAGAGGGGATCAGAGAAGAATGCGCCACCTAGGGTCCCTCTGGTCTACGGGCAATACGACGAAGCAGGCGTGAACGAACAGTCGAGAGACAGCGACGAGGTCGATCGCTATGCAGGCCTGGCCGCCGTGTAGCCTGCATTCCCATTGTGCATACTCCGTACATGTTTCAAAGTTATTCTCCCGTCCGTCTTCCCGATTTGGCTTCCTGCGCAGCGTCGCTCCTGCCTCGAGCTCTTCTCGCGACCCTCAGGCTGCCATCACGCTACGATTCTCCGCCATCCCGCCATCAGGCTGTCAATGGAGCGCGCCTGCATCTAGCTGCCTCTATCTGGCAAGACAGCCTGCCAATCGGTCTGTCTGCCCATCCGCCATATGCACGACCGTCAGCAGGGACCCGTCCGTGTCCGGATCCGGCCATCTTACTGGACCACTGGCACTGGCCCGACCTCTGATCTGGTCGATCTGTCTGATCTCACTGGCCTCGCAGGCCTAAGCTGCTCTCAATCCCACCCTCGAACTGTCAGGCGACGTCGATAGTGCTACTCTGGTCTTCTGCTCGTCCAGCCCAAAGAGACGACCACTCGATTATGCACCCTGTGCTCTCCCACAAATCTGACGAGTAGCGGCCACGAAGCAAGCATACCAATACGAGCTGAGAAATAAAACGGATTGCACTACATGTCATAGAGGACCCCACAAAGGTATCACTGGTATCTAGGGAGAGTGGGAAAAGAAGAAAACACGAGCAGAAATCAGGAGAGCACGGCAGGAGGAGCCAGTCGATCCTGGTCCTTGGGCCAAAGCCAACAGAAAGCCAGCCGACAGGAGCCTATTTCTTGAACGCCCCAAAGATCTTGTTCTTCAGCTTGTCGGCCAGCCCGATATTGTGCGTCTCAGGGCCGGTGGTGCCAGTGGTGCCGGCCGCAGCAGGCGTCTCGTTCATCGGGGCGAGATGCTCGTTGCCAGCGCCGCCGCGACCGGTGTGGTAGTCCGACAGGTCGGCCGACGGACGCACCGCAGCCTCGGGCACGACTGTGCGGTCGGCGCGCTCGAGTGATGGACGCGCGTCGGCGTCGCCAATGTTGCCGGTGCCTGCGCGATCGTCCGGTCAGCTGGGATCCTCGTTCTTGCTCTCACGCTCGCTCACCCACCTCCTCTGCCCGTGCTGTACGGCCCGTCCTCGTGGCTGCCCTCAGCGCCCGACCGGACGATCTCGCCGTCGACGTAACGGGTCTCGTCCGCGTTGATGTTGCCGGCGCCACCGCGGCCGTGAGACACCTCGGCAGTCATGCTGTTCGGTTGCGTCGTCTGCTGGCGATTGTGGGGATTTTGGATGCAGGGTATGCGGGATGCGATGCGGGATGCGGGACCGGTGGCGACTGCTTGCGCTGTGGCGTTAGTACGGAGCAACGCAAAGTGTGTGCGCTGTTTAGAGGTTGGACAACAGGCAACAAGCAAAGAATGATAGGATGGCGAGGGCTTAGTAAGGGGAGACAGAGAAACAGAGAGACAGATGACGAAGGCGCATTGACAAAATCCGCGGGAAGCAAGAGGCCTATAATACTCGCAGACGACCACCAAAGACGTAAGTCGAGCCGGTCACTCACCTAGCAAGGATCTGTATTTTCCTATGTCACTCGTGACTGAAAAAAAAATAGGCAATGGGGCGGGAACTTGAAAATATATGGATTGCACAGGACTCGTCGGAGTCACAGCTCTGCTCGGCCACACCGATAATATTGGATTGAGAGAAAAAGGAAAGGACGGGGATTATTGGGGGAAACGGAGGAGGGGAGGGGCCGTGGGAGACATAAACGGACCAGTTATGTTATGAACAGCCGGAAGGATGCCTCTCCCCAAGTGCGTCTTATCGCTTTCACCAACGGGCTATCATGAGATTGCGGCATGCTTCGCGTAATGTGCAGTCAGTGCTCTGCCCCGCTAGCCGGAAAACGGAAGTCAGCCAAGACGGTATGGGTCTTGGCAGACGAGAGAACGGACGTCCCCGGCTGACCCACCCGTTTGCTTGGCTGTTGCCAGACGTTTGCATAGCACCGCATTCCGTTTCAACCATCGCCCTGCATTTCCACACGCACCAGCTTGCGCTTTCAACGCGTAGCAGTGCCTCCTTATGTATATCCAGAAATAGCAAGTTACAGAAACAAAGGCAACAGGCCAACACGATAACCCCTTTTGACGTATGCAAACAACAAATAAAGAGACAGAACTCCAAAAAGACATCCAGAAACAGGATTCCAAGAGATCTTTTCTCTCACACCCCAGCTTGCAATACTCCAGTCGGTTCCCAACCGAAACGTTCCTTATCCAAATAGAATAGCATGTCCCACTGGACCTGAACATGGTCCATCCAATGAAAACAATAAATTATACAAGTCCATACAGCTATAAGCCACACCATGTCACCCTAAAACAAACAAAAGAACGCCGACGGCGTGATCCGGAACGCAAACGGAGATGCTCCCTATTCTTGCTCCGTATCACTGCCTTCGTCATCGTCGTGAGCATCGTGGGCATCGTCCGCATCGCCAGCGTTGTCAACCAGTTCGATGCTTCCGTACCGCGTGCGGTATTGCTGGAGCTCGGCGAGCTGGTGCTGGAAAGAAGCGAAGACGTCTGCCATGGGCCCCCGGAGGTCGTCTAGCCGGCCGATCGGACCACCGCCTATGGCCATGTGTCGCAGCGTCAGAGTTGTGACGCACGTCTGCACTAGTTAGCTTACTTTCTTGCCCGTTTTTGCATTTTGCATCTTTCTCCGATTCGCCTGCTTTCAAACACTTACCTCAATCCGGCTCACTTGATGAGAGAAGAAACTGATCATGAACTCCTCCGTCACGTTCGCGCCACGCTGTTTCATCTGCTCCAACAGCTCTGTTCCTGGCGGCTGCAGCCCACAGCCGCCGGCCTCCTCCAGCGAGCTGCATAGCATCTCCAACCGCAGGCTCACCCGCCACAGACCCCAGACTGCCTCGGGAATCGACCTCAGCACCTCTTCGTCTGGATCGCCCAGGTTGATCGTCTTGGGGACCGCTGTTGCCGACGTGACTGCTGTCTTGCCACCGGTGCTATCGCCAGCAGCGCCAGCAGCGCCAGCAGCAGCCGCAGTTGCTGCCGCAACTGCTGAAGCCGTGGCTGTGTCGCTACCCATGACGGGCCCTGCGGCCGCCTGGCCTTCGGCCTCCTGCGATGCAGCCGCCACTGCAGCCGCCAGCCTTTCGTGGTGTTGGTGCGCATCCATGCGACCGGCCAAAGCGTGTGGGTACAGCGAGTACACCACCTCCGGATTCTCGAGGCCCTTGAGCTTGATCTCGCCCATCTCCTTGACTTCAAATCCCTGTGATGAGAGCGCCCGCAGCTCCTTGCGAATTGCCTGGGCAAACACGTCGTCGTCAAAGCCCATCATCGCCGACGACGCCCCTGCTGTGCTGCCAGTGCCGCTGCCACCGATCCCGGCGCCGGTTGCGCTGCCTACGGCCGGATCCTCGCTGCTGCCGATGCTGCCGGTCGGCGACTCCTGGTACGTCTCCAGACAGCGCTGGATCTCCGAGACAAAATCGGATGACACCGTGATCTGGCCACCGTCGGCCACACTAGAGATACGCGATGCCTTGTTCACCATCGGCCCGTAGTAGTCCATTCGCCGCGTGATCGGGTCCGGTTCGCAGAGCGGCTCGCCCCAGTGAATGCCCATGCGCACCGACAGCCCCCGGAAGACGACGTTGTTGTCTTTGTCCATGATTTCCTGGCAGGAAGTGGAGTTGAGCATCTCTGTCGGCCACTGCACCTCGAGCAGCTGCAGCTGCACAACAAAAGCCCACAGCAGTGCCGACGTCGCCGTCGGGAACGACACCATGAACGCGTCGCCTTCCGTCTTGACCTCGAAACCACCAATGAGCCGCAGCTGCCGACGCATCACCTCGTTGTGCAGCTTGATGGCCGACCGCATCGCCGCCGGGTACGTCTCCCACAGGTTCGTCGAGCTTTTGATATCCGTGAACACGATCGAGATCAGACCCGTAGGCGCTGGCACTTCTGCCTCCAGCCGCTGCAGCGTCGAGTCCAACACCTCGCCTTTTGTCCGCTTGCCACGCCGCGTTGGCAGGAACTGAGACGTCTCCTCCTGCAAGCTCAGCGGATACAGTGACATGCTCTGGCCCCGGTGCAGCCGCGACCGCTCGGCCTTGCGCTTCAGATCTGCAATGCTCAACATCATCACCATGATCTTGCCGCTGGCTCCGTAAGCCATCGCCAGGTCCCGTAGCTTCTGCGCCGCCCGCATCAGGTCGCCACGCTCCTGTCGTGCAATGTCTACCACCAGGCCCGGCGTCAGGTACTCCCACAGCTCCCTTGTCGCGATCACCACCGTCTCGTCCTGCTCGCGTACCGTCCAGTGTGTCACGTGGGGCGCCGCCATGACCGCCGGCATCAGGTCTGCATACCCAAACGCTCGCGACACTTCCAGCATGTCGTTCAGCCGTCCGTTGTGGGACACCCAGCCGCCTGCGTCACGAATCCGCGACCGCTCGCTCGGCTCTGCTGGGTCGTGCTTACGCGTCAGGATCTTGTGCGAGCTGTCGCTCTGGATGAGCATCGCCTGCGCGTCGCCGACGTTGGCCACGTATAGCTCCTGGCCCTGCAGGTACACTACCGTTGCTACGCCGCCCGAGTTGAGGTCCTCTTTGGTCATGACCATTGACGCGACCGAGCCCCGGTGCACCTTGGTTGATGCCAGCGGCATCCTGTCGTCTGCCTGGATCGAGCTCGTCACCAGGTCCTTGTTAAGTGTCAGGAACGCCCGCCGCAACGCATCCTCCACCGTCTCGTGCTGCGCCGGCTTCAGCACCTTCAGTTCCGACAAGAAGACCCGGCCGAAGTTCTCGTGCAGGTACTTGGCGATCTTGGACCCTCCCGAAGACAGCGCCTGTCCGTCGAACAGGCAGAGTAGCGTGTCCTGCTTAGTACCGTCGTTTGAGCTGAACTGTGGCGTGATGAGGTCAATCGTGGATAGATGCTCGTTTTTGCCGAGCGTGTCGGCCATGCCGTAGGGCAAGAAGCCGGCCATGGAGCCCGATGTGCGCACACGGCGGTCTTCGCTCTGGTCGGGGACGCTCGGCTGCGTCAGCGTCACGTCCATCAGGCCCAGCACACGCAGCGTCAGCAGCCGGTTGAAGTCGGTGTAGCTCTCTGTCGGTCGTGCCGTCGACCCGAACGTCGTCTGCTTGATGTCCAGGCGCCGGTTGCCGGACAGATTTAGGTATCGAAGGTTCGGGTTGAGGTTCCAGTTCCAGTCGTACGGCACGTTGGAGATGTTGTACTTGAGCGAGTTGTTGCCGCAGTCAAGCACCGCCAGCTTCTTCGCCCGCGAGATATCTGCAGGTAGGTTGGTGAACTTGTTGTTGTTGATATGCAACACCTGCAGCATGCTGTACTCGCCCAGGTCGTCCGCGGGTAGCGTGGTGAGCTCGTTTCCAGAGAGGTACAACTCCACCAGCTGGGGCCACTTGGTCATAGACCGCTGCGGCATGTCGGTGATTTCGTTGTATGAGGCGTTCAGCACCCGAAGCTCGCCCAGTAGCGCCAGCTGCTCAAACACATCGTCATCCAGCTGGTTGTCGGCCAAGTAAAGGTTTCGCAGCGAGCCGGCAAACGTGTTGGTGATGCGCGACGACAAGCCCGAGTCCTTTCGCGAGATTGCCGTTGGTGTTGAGCTACCGCCCGTCTGCGCAGTGCTCCGCGAGACGACCGATGTCTTCCGGCCTCCTTTGCCGTAAACCGAGACGACCGAACTCTTGCGATCGGGGCCGGACGGCACCGGCGAGGGGCCGACGCTCAGCAGCGTGCTTGACGCTTGGCTGGGCCGCCGAGAGTCGTCGACGCTGAGCTCCTCCGAGCTTGGCTTCGAGGAGAGCGTGCCGACGGTGCTGTTCAGTCTGCTTGCACCGCTCGACATCGAGTCCTTCGTAACCGGCTCGCCCGGTACCTGGGGTGGCCGTGATGCTGGTTTGGGGAAGTTGTCGAGCACGTTGGATGACGCGTTCAGTGTTTCCAGCTTGTTTGCCCACCACAGCTCCATGGGCAGCTTGCGGATGTTGTTTCCGCGCACGTCCAACACGCGCAGCTCCATAAGGCATCCAATCTCCGGCGGCAGCTCGCCGACTGAATTGTTGGCAATGCTAAACGTTTCCAACCGACCCAGGTTGCCGATCTGGTTGGGCAGCGACACGAAGTAGTTCTTGTCCAAATGCAGCCGCTCCAGGTTGCGAATGTTGTTGAAAGAATCAGCGATACTGGCAAGCTGCGCATTAGACAGATTGAGCAACTTGAGGGTAGGCAACGGGCTTTTGATCTCGAATCTGGTGATGGGATTGGCATTGAGCTTGAGCGTCCGGAGCCGCTCGAAGCTGCCGACGAATTGTGAAATGTTGTTGTGGTCGGCTGTGAGAATTTCGAGCTTAGGCAGGTCGGAGATCACGTCAATGCTGGTGATGGCATTGTACTTGACATCAAGCTCGCGCAGGCTTTCCAATTGTCGGAAGCCCACAGGCAGGCTGCCACTCAGACGATTGTTGGTGATGACAAACTTTTCCAGATTTCTCAGCTTGCCAATCTCGTCGGGAAGGGAGTCGATGAGGTTGAAACTCAGATCCAGGTCAATCAAGCTCTCCATGTCACAGAGGAAGCCGGGAAACTTGTCGAGGAAGTTGGACGAGATGTTGAGCTGGCGCAGGGAGCGATAGGCACCAAAGTAGGACGGTAGCTGCTTCAGCCGGTTGTTGGCCATATTCAGCTTCAAGATTCCTACAATCTCCTCGAGCCCGGCGTTATTAAGGTTCTCGACCCGGTTGTTGGAGACGTCGAGGAAGGTCAGGCGGCTAGCGCGGCCAAGACTGGGAGGCAGCTTCCGCACCTCGTTGTTGCTGTACTTGATGTCGCGAAGATTGACGCAGGACTGTATGAAGTCCCGGGGCACGTCGAGCGAGAGATTTCGTGACAGATTCAGGGACATGATGTCACTTGCCTTCTTGTAGAGACTGATGGGGATCGTGATCAGGTTACGGCCGGAGAGGTCCACGTGGTTGAGCTTGGGCATGCGCCCCAGTCCGATGTCCACCTTGGTCTGAAAATCGCTGTCGTGGGCGGTCAGGAAGAGGAAGCGGCACAGGTAGCTGTTGTCCTCGCGGCCGAGGTCGCCCAGATGGTCGCTCTCTTCGTAGCCGACCTGCTGGAGTAGCCGCTTCTGGATGATCAGAGGACGGTCGCCAGAGCCGAGGATGCGAATAAGGTCATGACGTTTCAGCACGATCTGGTAGTTTTGGCTTTCCGTAAAGACACGCTTGGCCATGACGCTGATCATGTCTTGGACGGACGCGTTCAAGGACATCGGCAGGGTGGCGAAGGTTCCGTCGCTCTTGAAAACGCGGATGCAGTAAATGACCGCATCTTCTTCCGGACGGGGCGGGCTGCCATAGTCGTCGGTTTCCGGTCCTTGGTGCAATTCGTCAGTCCGACGAACGGCCCAGCTGTCCGGCGCATTCCACGCGCCGTTTGGACCGGTCGCCTCTCCTGCAGGGTTGCCCGGTCCGTTGGAGCTCTTCTCTGAGCTGCTCCGGGTGCCGTTCACCGTGCTGTTTACGGGGGCAGCTCGTGCGCTCGCCGCATTCTTGTTGTAGTAATGATTGACCCGTGCCGTGTTCTTGTTGGCCTTGTCGGCTTCCACTCCGCGCAGGAAGTCGACATCCATGGGCGTGAGGGGCAGGGGACGGCCCAAATTGCCGTCCATGTTGTTTAGATCGGTGTCCAAGTAAAAACGCGTGCCGCCGTCAGCTCGGTCTGTGGGTCCGATCATTTCCTCCTGGTCATCTGTATGGCGCGGTGTCCGCGGCTTCTTAGAAAAGGGAAATTTGTTGTTGAAGGTCGCCTGCTTCGAGCTGATGCCCGAACGGATAGAGGCAGCCGATTCAGCGTTGCCGTAGTAGCGCTGCGGAAGGTCCGAGCCAAAAAGGAGCGGTCCGCCGTCCAGTCGAGGAAGCTCCTGTCGCAACGGACGGGACAATAGGCTCTGAGTCGAATACGAGACGAGCTTCGCCGGTGTGGACAGGCCGGCCATGCCAAGCCCTTCATCCTTGTCTTTGTGTCTTCGTAGTCGGCCGAGAATGCCTCTCTTGGGCTGGTGGCCGCTAGGGGAAATCTGCCCTTCAGCGATACTGCTGCTCTTTGAAGGCCCAAAGATCGTGCTGCCGCTATGACCGCTCGGAGTGGGGCTCTGGGCGCGAGGCCTAGCGGAAGAGAAGGAGGGATTTGCCCGTTCTCGCATGTTGGCTAAAGAATCTTCTCTGCTGATCGTTGGCCGCAGCGACCGAGGATCGTCATTGCTCTTGTTGTGGCGGTGGTGGGGCATGTGGGCGATGGAGTGGGCGGACCGGGAGGAAGATGAAGTCTTCGGAGGTATCTGGGATAACGCATCGGTCACATAGCGGTCTCGGTCGGGGCCGCTGAGGATGTTTCGCACTGGCGCCTCGCCGTATTTGACAATGTCCTAGACCAAAGAAAGTGGTGATCAGCAAAGGGTACTGGGACAGGACGAGAAAGAAGGCGTCCTAAGAGACAGCTACGTACATTGGCTTCTTGGTAGAGAAAGGGAACGACTTCTGGCGCCGGGACAGGGGTGCGTGGGCGAGAAGAAGCAGGCGAGGCGTCCCTGGTATGATCCGTCGCGTTGGAGTAGTTGCGATCTCGATGCGGGCGGCCGTGGCTGTGGCTGTGAGAGCGCTGCTCCTTGGTGTTCAGGCTCGTCTCTGACGAGTCGCGGCCAGGGTACTCCTCGCCGAAGAAGCCCTGCAGCTTGCGAAAACCGCCGCCACGACGATCGCTAGCCCTAGAGCCCTGGCTGCTAGCGGTGGCGACGCTGGCGATAGAAGGTCTGCGCTCGTCGCCATAGTAGAGCGCCTCGGGCGATTCGCTGCCGGTCGGGTTCTGCACCTGCCGGGAGCTGCCCGAGCGCAGAGGTGGTGATAGCGGCGACGCGACGGAGACATTCTCGCTCGAGTCGTCGTAATAGGTCGAGTGTGGTGTGTTGGTGATGGAGGGTGCCGAGACGCTGCCACCAGCACTGCTGATTCCTGCCATCCAGGGCGCCACCTGGTGCAGGCCGGTGTTGCTGATGGACGGAATGTGTGGGATCTGAGGGGCTCCTCCCCGGCTGCTGCTCCCGGCTGTGCTAGCTGTGCCGTCGGAGATGCCACCACCACTGCTGAAGTCGATCGCGGCAAGATCGTGGCGGTAATTGCCAAAGTCGACCCGGTTTTCGCGATGGGCCGCTTTCACGGAGATGGGCGTCGGTGACATGATGGAGCCGCGCTGGGCGGCAATCGTGGGCGACACCTGCAAATCTTCCTTGCCAGAAGACATTCTGTTTCTGTGGGGAGGGTTAGCTGGTGAGGGTCGCTTCCCTGCCACCGAGACGCATCTTACCGTCGTAAATTCCCGTTCTCGTCCATCTGCAAACGCGACGGCGGGCCACGGCGGGAGCTGATCGAGGGCGAGTGCATGATAGCGCGGAAATCCGGGGACACGGGCCCGGTCGAATATGAGGGCTTGGAGGGCAACGGCTTCACCGTTGTGGCAGACCTGCCGCTGTCGGTGGAAGAGCTCGTGAGTGAGCTGACGTGCGAGACCGGTTCATGTCTGGGCATTGTCACCACCGGGCAGGAGCCGAGGCAGGCATAGCCATGTCACGGCGAGCCGAAAAGAGAGCAGTCAGAGATGTCCCCGGGAGGGATGAGGGAGAGGTGGGTTGGAGATAGGAGCGGTGGGCGAGAGGATGGACCCTAGTGGAGCTCCGTCTTCTGCATGCGTGTTCGCGTGCTTTCGTTCCTTTTCGCTGGCTTCCGTCTCCCGTCTTTGGGGGGCTGTTGGGCTGTCGAGGAGAGGGGGAGAATGGACCGGCTGGCGTCACTTCAGGTCATTGCTTCGAGGCGTGAGGGATGCGTATCGTATGACCGAAGAGGTGGGTGGCCGTGGATGAGGCCGGAAGGATGGCAAGGCGACGTGTGGATTGCGGAAAGTAGGGCACGAAAGAAACGGAACGACAGATTGGTGATGAGACGGCCAGCAGAGGTGAGACAGAACGGCTGCGTCGAGAGGGGGAAGGGTTGGAAAGAAGCGCAGGGCGCGCTGTTTCGTGCGCTTACTCGACTGGACGATAGTGGGACAGCGATGTTGTGTGAGGTGGCGGCGGGAGGTGCGTTCGGCGGCAGAGAAAAAGTGGGAAAGAGGCTCGCCGACCTGGGAGATAGCTGCACAGTACAAGATTGCACGGCTGCAGCTGCTGCAATCGCTGCTCGTAACTGTATTGTTAGCAGGTCTAGCGCATGAGCACCAGAGGTTGGTGTGCCATTGTCCGCTAGATGAAGGAGGAGGGGAGGGGGAAAAAGAGGAGGACCAGCTCCTGCCCAGTGCCCGAGAGTCCTTTCTCCGCGTTCTGCGGGAATCAAGGATTTGGCTCGGTGGGTGTCGGAAGTAGAGGAAGGCGCGGTGGAGACGCTGGTTGGGGTGGATTGGGCTGTCTGCAGCAGACAGTGCGCTGGCAGCCATTGGCCGAGGCATGTCTGTAGGACCCCAGAGCAAAACGGAAGGATAAAACGGACGACAAAACGGTCGGCGGGCCTTGGACTATCTTACGTGAGACACGGGATTCACATGCTTACGATCGATCAGAAAGGAGCAGGAGGCCCTTTACGGAGAGGATTTCCGCTCGGCGCCGGCCAGCATGGCCCCAAGATAAAACCACGCACTGCATGCAAATGTGATGTGTCCCTATCTTGCAAGACCGCGACAGCACAGCAGCGCGCGGGAGTACGAGTAGAGACCAGAGCCGCTGAGGGAGGGTAGACGAAGTTTGGGGTCTGGCGCAGGGTTGCATTTGCCCTGTGGGCCTCTGCGGTGAGGTGAGATGCTCGTTGACAGTACAGAGTACGGAGTACGAGTGCTCGTAAATGGATGGGAAGATGTTTGATCATTTTTCCCGATATCCCGATTTGCCAATTTGCCAATTTAGCTGCAGGGTGTGAAGAGGGGAATGACCCGGACAGAGAGCGAGAGCAGGGAAGAGCAAGCAAGGCGTAAAGTAACGGAACAGCAAGAGACGCAGGGCCAAATGAAATGTGGAGCCACAGCAAAGACTTACTCCAATGCGACGCCAGGCCGTGGGACTCTGCACATCGGCTGCTGCAGAGGGGGAGCCAAGGCGGCAGGATCTTGGAAGCACGACTTATCTCGTTACAGTGGGAACGGCGTGGCCTTGATGACGCGGGTTTTTTTTAGGTTTGCTCAATCGCGGCGGTCGGTGCGTCGACTTGGCAGCGATTTGGCACACATGTCTCTGTACCTTTTTACATACATAGTCAGATACCGGCCAGGCTCTGGGCCTTCTAAGGTCTCTTAGCTTCAGCCGCTCTGGCTTGATGGCGCCGTGGCGTCTGTGAACAGAAATGAGAAATGCAAATTAGGAAATGGAAATAAGAAGCAACAGGCGACAAAAACAGGGACAATTCCACGCCAACTGATCGGCCCGTCTGTACGGAGTTCGTAGTGCTGCCTACTGTTCATTTCCAAACGGTGACAGGGGGTGGGAAGAAGAAAAAATACGGAGTACGAAGTAAGAGAAAGCGTGAGGAAAAATAAAAAATAAAATTGGAGAATAATTGAGAAAAACAAGAAACAAAAACAGCAGCCCTATTCGTATCGGCACGGACGGAGCAATGGACAGGGCTGGAAAGGATTGGCGGCAGTGGACGATACCCCTGCTCGGTTCTGCTCAGGCACCGACGACCTGCACAAGCTGCCCTTTGAAGAACGAGCGTCGGTCGAACCTCTCGAATCCACTCTGTCGAATTCTGCAGACAGAATCGACGTGGACGGCAACGCGTTCAGGCCCGTGTGAAACGGTCCATCTGTCACTGATATGATTGCTTTTAGCGGCCTTTGCTAGGATTGGCTTTGCGCCTGCTCTGGCCGCCAGCTCATTGTCTCATGGTCTCTCTAACTCTTTGCTCGTTACTCCATAAGTTACGACATAGACTCGTATACGATGCTGCCAAGCCAGCTGTACAAATTGGCTCAATCTGCAGCGCAGCATCTTAATCTCTTGCTTTCGTCCTTTTCTTGCCACCTCGTATACTCCCTTCCTCTTTCTATCCTCCGTCGCTCCCACTTTCCAGTGCCTCGTCCTCGTCCTCGCCATCTGTCACCACGTCTACGTCCTCGTGCATCAGCTCGCCCATCGCTACGCTCTCGCCTAGGATCTGCCGTGCTCCCTCAGCCCCCACCCCCATGTCCTCCATGATCAGCCGCACCGCCAGCTCCGGCACCAACACGTCTTGCACAAACTGCAGGTAGCCGCGGGCCGCGATTAGCGGGTCCTGCACTGCCTGCCGTCTCAGCACGACCGAGAACCGCTGCACAATCGCCTCTGACATGATTCGCAGACCTCGCTGTCCGTAGTAGCCTGGCACGCTGGTGGTGCTACCTCGGCTGGGATCCCTAGCGTCGCCTCCGATGCTGCCACCACCCAAGCGCTGTTCCTGCAGCAGCCTCCGGAAGTGTGACGGCACCCTATCCTCCAGCACGCCCTGCACGTGTCCGCCGTGCTTCCGAATCCGCCCTTCCAGCCGGTCCCAGTCAATGTCTGGGTAGCCGCGCAAGGTCCACGTCTTCTTGGCTGTCCGCTGCCGATGCGCCGCACAGAAGCTCATCTTCTCGTCAAACTTCATCAGCTGCAGCCGCACACTGCCGGCTGACGTCGTCACCTTGCCGGGTCCCTTGTCCGGTGGAAGCAGCGCCAGCAGCGTCTCCTCGTCCATGGGTGCGCTGCAGAGCGGACACACTGCCGATTCAAACGCCATCGTCTCTTCGCTGTCGTCGCCGCTGTCGCTGGCATGCTCGTCTGAGGAGATCGGCTCGCCACCGTTGTAGCTTGCATGCTCGTCTGTGCTGCATACCGCCGGCATCCGGAAGACGGCCGGCCGTGCGGAGTTCTCGTCGTCGTCAGCGCTGTCACTGGACGCAGCGGGATCCTTCTTTCGTAGGGCTTTCTTGGCTTCCTCTAGCCGTGATGGCCGCGGCCTCTCCTTTGTCTGCGTTGGTCGCTGTCGCTGCCTCCACTTCTGTCTGCTCTTGAGCGATTCTAGTGTTGATCCGAGCGGAATGTCCGCGTGTTTCTTTCCTGTTACCTTCTTCGTCGGAGGTGGCGATCTCGCTAGGGATTTGACTGGCCACTTGAACTGCGCTTTTGACACTGTCGCGGCATCGTCCTCGTCCTCGGAAGCTGCAGGCTTCTTAAGCTGGAACCTCTTGGGAAGCGATGCTGTCTCGGGCGAGAGCTTGCACGGTCGGATAAAGGTGGATCGGCTTTCCGGCTCGCTGATCTCGTCAACGTCAGAGCTTCCGTGGACATGTACTGTACGGAAAAAAAAACGGCGCCCGTAATCAGTAACTGCTGACCGACATGTGACAAAACAGACGACATGGGCCAATAGATCAAGAAGACTGTACCTTTCTTGAAAGAGCTGGTGGCACCGCGACCTGCAGATGTGAAAGAGGGCTGCCGGCTGTACCCAACCTGCGGCGGGTGTTGGCGAGTGCGGCTAAACAAAGGATCAGCACCGCTGGCTTGGGAGCCTTGGCTGCTGGCCTGGGAGGACGGCGGCTGGAAGGCCCTCGTCACCGTCGCCGCCCCAGCCGGCCTTGGCCGCTTTGATCCCCGTGAGCTGATGCTGCTGTCGTCGTCGTCTTGTGTGCTGGTTCCTCGTTTCCCCATCGACCGCTGCCGGAGATCCATGGCCCTGTGGCCCGTCCCCGTTTGGCTCGACTGTCGTGCGTTTCGCACCGGCGCCGCCGACGGACGAAACTCTGTCTGTCCCATGTCACCCCGTCTGGAGTAGCCGGCGCTTGCCGATGAGTCTGATGCGTGGCCAATCTTTGGCGCCTGCCCCTTCCGTTGCCCACCATCGCCCTCCGCCTGCTCATCACTGCTGCTGCTGCTGCTCAGAGGAAGAGCATCGACCGCCACGGGCTCTCGTGTCCTCCTCTTCTTCGCCGCGGTAGTAGACGATACAAAGAGACTGGCCGATGCCGAGAGAGACATCAGGCGTGGCTTCCTTTGAGGCCCGGCCATGATCTCTGGCTCACAAGCTCAGCGAGCTGGGGGAGTTTGCGTGAACAAGGCAGCTTGGAACAATAGAGACGAAACACAATTGGTAGTTCACGTCTTCAAATAATCCCATGTCTTTCCTATGGCAGCACCGTCGTCATGGCCTTGGCCACGGAGCTGGCGTCGGTAGCGAGAGCACAATGATTCGTGCTGGCATGAGACGCGACTTTGGAGTTCAAAAAAAGCGGCACAGTCAAGGTCTAACGAGTTTTTGTTACAAAAAAGTCGTCCGCGCTGTACCAGACGTGCACCGTTCTGACGAGTAGCAGGTATGTCGTGATTCACGACCTGAGAGATGCGGAGGATTGATGGCGGTGGCATAAGTACGGACGCGAGGGAGGTAAGCTCTATTAAACTGGGGTTCCGGATTCGTATCCTGCCTCCTTCATTGAAGCACGCTTAGTCAGCAACCTCAATAACCAACATCGCGGACTTGAAACGGGGTGGCAACGGATCGAGTGAACGAAATCGGAGAAAACCATGATGACGAATACAATCCTATTCTGATTCAATCTACAACGTCCGCTCGAAATGTCAGCTACAAAGGGGGGTATTTGCTGTTCTTCCCCTGTTCTACATGCAAGGCTATGAGACGTGAAATACAAATGACGGTGCCCGCTACAGGACCTTATCGAGTCGTTCCTCCAGGCCCTTGACCCAGCCGTCCATGACCTGCATGTTCTTGTTCATGGTGGTGTCGCCCTCGCGCATGGCGACCTCGATCTTCTCGAGGCCCTCGCGCCAGAGCCGGACCTCGGCCGCGGTGTCGGCCTGGCGCTGCTCCAAGTCGTCGAGCAGCTCGCCTGCGGCGGCCGCGTCGGCATGGATCGCCCGCAGCGACCGCAGACGATCCAGCAGCGGTGGCAGCAGCGGCGTGAGGCTCTCGATCGTCGGCAGCGTGCCGTAGAGCGCGTTGATCTTGGCCGACTGCTCGTCTGCCATGTCGGCAGTGGCAGGAGTACCAGCACCACCAGCACCAGCACCAGCACCAGCACCAGCAGTACTAGAAACATCAGCACTGGCGCCCGCCTGCACCAGCGCCTCATGCGCCGCCTTGGCCGCCTTGCGCGCCTTGGTCAGCTCGTCGGCCTCCTGGGTGAGCGCGCGGACGCGCCGGCTGATGCCGTCCAGCGAGGCCGTCGAGGCGTCGGCCAGCGTGCCAATCTGCCGCTGCAGCGCGTCCAGCGTCGGCAGGATGGCACGCGGCAGCGCACCACCGATGCCGCCGCCGGGACCGCCGCCAATGCCGATGCCGTCCAGCTCTGGCAGCACCGACGAGCCGATGCCGATAGAGCGCTCGAGCAGCACCAGCCGGCTGTCGAAATCGGCTACCTGGGCCAGGCTGCTCGGGTACGGCACGGCTGTCGTCAGCCTCGCAATCGGGGCCGAGCTGCTCGCTTGTGCTGCAGCGTCTTCGCTCGCAACAGCATCAGCATTAGCAGCAGGATCCGTCGTCGATGACGGCGGCACAGGCGGGGCGATGCGGGCGGCGGTGACGTCCCTGTCCGACAGCCGGGCAAGCTCGTCCAGCGTCTGGCTGAGCGAGTCCAGATCAGGAGCAGCAGCCAGCTCTGCCGTCGCTGCTGCCTTCTCGGCCTTGGCTTCCTCTGCCTTCTGTCTGGCATAGGCCTCTTTGGTCTCCTCCACCTCCCGCTTCAGGCGGGCAATCTTGCGCTCAAGACTGTCGCCGTCCTCTTCGTCGCTCAGGTCGCCCAGCTCTTGCGCACCACGGTGCCGCCGATTCGCCGTTCGGTATGCCTTTCGCTTGCCATCCACGCGATCCGAGAAATCCACGCCACGTGCGTCGACGTCCGCCCCTAGAAACCGAGACCGAGCTTGGCCGACCTGAACATGCGACCGCGAAATTCCCGCATCGGCGTCATCCACGTCCGACTCATCGTCCGACTGTGACCGTCCTGCTGTGGTGAGAACGGTGGAGTTGTCGTCTGTCAGTTCTGGGGTTTCGTAAACGTCTGGGGCGGTGTCCTGGAAGTATGTCAGCAGGATGTCCACTTCCCTTCCCGGTGCATCACACAAAGACACGTACCAGATCAGGCAGAGCAGAGTATTTCCTGTTCAGCGCCATGGTTGCTGGCTGCGCCCATACAGGTGGTGTACAGGAACGTATGGGGCCGAAAGTTCGCCCAGGGGGAAGCAGCAGATATTCAAACGATAAAAGACGCGAGCTCCAGGTCTCTAGAGCTGGACTTAGCCATAAAGTGGGCCAGAAGCACGATGTGGATCCACCTCGACGGCTGTGGGTGCTGGCCAATCAGGGCGAGCTTAGTCAGTATGGGCCCTTCCGCCCACAAAACTTTTTTTGTGCGAAATTGGTAGACTGGTCAAAAATCGAGGAAAAATAAGAGCCCGCCTTTCTTTTCAGAACTTCTCTCCTACCAGCAATCCATCAGCACGAACGCCATCCCCAACCACCCACGCAGTCTCCCCTCCTCGGACATTTTCGAATCGTAAGCGAAGACACCGCTGCAGAAATTTTGCCTCTGCATATTCTTCCAAAGTTCTCAGCTGACCCCTCGACCCAAAGCTCAAGATGGAATCCTCCAAGCAGCCCGTGAAGTTGGTCAAGGTGACCCGTGTCCTCGGCCGTACCGGTTCGCGCGGTGGTGTTACCCAGGTCCGCGTTGAGTTCATGGACGACCAGAGCCGCAGCATCATCCGGAACGTCAAGGGTCCCGGTAAGCAAAGCATTCTAGACGGAGTCAAGCAGTGGGGGAGGGGCTAATAGCGTTTTTTGCAGTCCGTGAGGATGACATCCTGTGCCTGCTCGAGTCTGAGCGTGAGGCTCGCCGCCTGAGATAAGAAGGCGGTCGTACGAACGTCAAGGAAGGCAGAAAACAACAAATCCATATAAATCGAAAAAAATACAACATTTCTGTGACGATGGTCGACGTGTCGGAACCATTTGCATAGGCGCCGTGTGGGTGGAAAATCGGAGGCAGGGCCGCAGGCTCACGAAAGGAGGCCGCACCATGCGACTTAATGTGTGCGAGGGCGCACACGTCCCGGAGAAGGAGAGAACCCCGGGGAGTCTGCCATCGGGCTCTTGCTCCCTTTTCTCTAGGTCCTCTCTTCTGCTGCTGGTTTTTTTGCGATACTACTATGTCCTTTTTTCGTTCAATGGTTCAAGTTAAGGAGAAAAGCCGAAACGAAAAATACTTGATTAACCAAACGCCGTCTTTCTGTCCCATTGCCGTGAAATCGATGCGACTGTGGAGGACTGACAGGCCCCGGCCAGCGAAGCTAACAAAAAGCTCGCGCCGCACGTGACGCAGCCTACGTATAAAATTCTCTGCACAGAATCGCAAATCCAAAAAAAAAAATCTTCTCTTCTTTCTACCTGCTCAGACATCTAAACAAAAGGTACAGTACATTTGCCACCCTATCCTCCTCCCCTTTTCTCTTCCGGTTGAATGATGCATAACTGCTTAGCACTTTTCTTTCATGATTTCCCATGATTGTTCTCATACACCAAGATCTCTGACAACCAACTCCTCTTTCACTTGTCTCTTGTTAGCTTCTGCTTTATGTTGGAATTTTTTGCTAACAGACATTTTCGAAAAAGGTTCTCTACCACTGCAGGTGGTCACGATCCTTGCATACGTAAACATGCTGGCGGCGCCTAAACCGCCCCAGGGCCATTTCAACATGCTGTACTTCGCGGCAGCCACGTCGTATACGCACAAGGACTATGAGGCGCTGCCGGCACCTCTGCCGCTTTCACATCTGTTCGCAGCGCTAGAGGCGCGGTACAGTGGCATTAGGGCAGACGTGCTGGACGCAAGTCTGGTGACGATCAACCTGGAATATGTTGATGTGCCCGGCGAGGACAATGGCAGTGGTGAATCCGTCATAATTCAGGAAGGCGACGAAGTTGCCATTATCCCACCAGTGAGCTCGGGCTGAGAGAGAGCGAACGGCGCCTATTGGTTCTATATTCTCTCTTTGCACCTTTCCTTGTTGGCATTGGCTGGCATCTTGCAGGGAAGCTTGCGTTGTGCTCGTATTATGCTTCCAGTAGTGGTGTCTGCTCTCTGGGACGACTTGCAGATGCCGGCAGCCACGATGACCAGCGACGCTGCTATCGTGGCCACCAGTGCATTGACGAGCCAGCTTCCAGCTGCTGTTGGCGTCTCGTCTGGCGCCAACGGCGGACTCCCAGGACGAACAGCCAAAGAAAAGCGGCATTGAATAAGGTACTGCTGCCGGCGACGATGGTAATTAGGCTGGTGATGGTAGAGACCTGGCAGCCGAGGGGACGGGTGCGCAGTTCCCAGCGCTCGGCCCAGTACGGACAGACCATCTCGTCAAAGGTTTGAACGAGGGCAGGGATGCCGCAATCGTTGGGCACACAGGCAGAAGTCTGATGGGTGTCAGCCGGTGGGTAGAGTAGACAAGCAATGGCATGAAGTAAGCACCGAAATGCAACCAAGCTGCTCTCACAAATGGACACCAGCTGCAGTTGGGTTAGCGTAGACAGGAGCGACAGTCCTGGCGGGCCCAACAGCGACGAAAGTGGGCATCACCATTGTCGTCGTGGTTGTGCCTGTATTTCGACGACAGCCAGGACTCGGACCAGTTTGTGCGGAGTGATACCCCACGAGAAACAGGCTGGGGAATCTGTGCCATTGGCCAGGGCTTCCAGCCGTGTTGGCGTGATGAAACAAAAAGGCAACGGAGGGCGTGGAAGGCAGGTCTGGTTGTAGGCGGCTGGAAGAAGAGCGATTGGCGCCGATTGGTTATGAGACAACTAGTGCTGTTTCAGTGACGTCTCAGTGACGGCTTACGCTAAACATATTAAGAATCGTGCAGTTAACATCTTTTAATGTAAATCTCTACACGGCAATCTATATTATTCCCAGCTCCTAGTAGATGAGCTGATCATCGTAGGCGCGGACGCTCTCCAGATACGCCTTGACCTGGCTGTAGTCCTTGCAGACTTGTTTTGTTAGAATTGGTGTAACAGATAAAAATAATAATAAGGAAACAAAGAACTTAACGACATTAAGAAATAAAATAAAAAGACTTACCATGCTTGGAATCCCAACCGTCGGAGCCACCATTGTCGTCGGGGAAGGTAGTTTCATGGCCCTCGAGGGCAATGTCGGCGTTGCACATGACGGCCTCGCGCATGTAGTCCATGCAATGGACCATGTGCCAATGGTGATCGTCTGGAATGGGGTGGCCGGACTTGAGGCCAGAGTACGTCTGGGCGATGGTGAACTGGCGGGGTGTCAGCGGTGACCGAGACAGAGGGAGAGAGAGGACCTACCATGCAGTGAAGCTGGTGGGTGACAGACGTGGTGAAGACGGTCTTCTCCGGCCAGTCGATGGGAGTGGGCAGGTCGTGGTAGCGGTGGGTGTCGTTGACCCAGACGAAGCCCATGCCAACTACGCGTGTCAGTACCGAGCGGAGGAGGAGGACGGGGCAGAGGAAGAAGACATTAGACATACTTGGCATCAGCTTATTCCACTTCTGCAGGACGGTATCGGTGAAGAACTCGGACGAGTTCATCGGGGCGTAGGACTGGTCCGACTGGAAGCGGAGGATCTGCTGGTCGACTGGAACTGGTCAGAGCGGCACGGGAAGGAAAGCAAAATGAACGTACTGCGAGGGCCGACGCCGGTGAAGTCACCACCAAAGTCCCACCGGCCAGGGGCCGTGGACGACTGCTGCTGGCGCTGCTGGCACACGACGAGGCCGAGGATGGCCAGTAGCAGAACGGTGTCGAGGCCCCAGCGGAGCCATGAGAAGAGCGCAGACTGGGACCGGCGGCACAGACGGGCGTTTTGTGCGAGTGCCTCGACGTCATCCTCGTCCTCGTCGCTGGAGCCGTGATCCCGGCTCTTCTGCCACTTCTCGCCCAGCAGCGACTCGGCGACCTCGGTGTGGCTGCTCCGGCTGCTGCCGCTATTGCTGTGGCGATCGTCCAGGTCCTCGACGTCACGTGCAGACGGCCGGCGGACATTGTTGGAGGAGGCGGCGCCGTCGTGCAGACTGACGGTCTGGTACTTGGCGTCCATGCCGGAGATGTTGTAGAGCGGACTGAACTTGGACTGGTGCATGGGTGCAATTTTGTGTGTGGGGAAAGAGAAAAGACAGAAAGACGAAAGTCAAGGGCCAGCCTGGGGAGAAGAAGAGAAACGAGACAGAAAACGGGGCGGACGAGAGATGCAGAAGACAGCCTCAGACCAGGAGGATGCAGAAAGAAGATGGGAAAGAAAAGAAAAGAGCGAGAGGACCGGCAGCTCTATACATATTTGGCATCGATAAGAATTGCCATACGGAGTGACTACGGGGTAAGTAGTCTTACAGACGGGGTGGAACCTACTTCTCCTTTTGTCGCGAACAGTATGGAGTATCCACGCTGCAAGGTGCCCCAGGAACGGTTGTGATTAACTATAATTATCGCTTTCAGTCTTTAGTCTGCGAGATGAAACCGGGCACAAGGATCCCAGACCCTTGCGCACGGGCGAAACCCCTGCTGGGGACAGTGAGATTGGCCTTTTGGTCCCTCTTGGCCCCGAATGCCTCAGTTGCTGTTTCAGCGCGAGCGGGGAGTTGACAGCTCAGTACGGAGTATATCAGACGGATGTCGGTGGGCGAGGGAAAGGGAGAGCGCGAGGGCTCCATAGAGCCGGCTTTCTTTCTTTCTTTCTTTTTTTTTTTTTTTCTTTCTCTCTTTTTCTTCCTCTGTGCTTCCTTTCTCGTCTGTCTTGCTTTTTCCCTCTCCGCAGCAATGGCGCGCCTCATGCCGTCCATCCTGCTGCTGCTGGCTTCGCCCAGCCTGGCTTACAAGCCGCTGTCGGACAGTTTCCTGCAGCAGACGCCCTCCTTCTCGGACGCCGACCTGGACACCGACCTGGTCGCGCCGCTGCTGCGACTGCCCTCGCGAGCGGCCGGCACGCCCGGTCATGCGGCCGCCCAGGCACATCTAGCCGGCTTCTTCGCGACCGAGCTGCCGGCATGGACGATGGAGTGGCAGAACATCACCGAGGCGGTCAACTCCACCGGCCACACCGCCCAGCATCTCGTCTTCCGCCGCGAGCCGCCCTGGACGCGGCCAGGCCAGGCCAACCTGCTGACCCTGGCCGCCCGCTACGACGCGTCCGGCCCGGCTGCTGCTGTCGCCTGCGCACTGCTGATGCACGCCGCCCGCAGCGTCGACCGCTTTACCGCCCAGATGTACCGTGAAATGGAGGAGCTGGGCGAGGGCGGCACCGTGGCCATGGACATGGGCATGCAGCTCGTCTTTCTCGACGGCGGCCGCTCTGCATCCTCTGCATCCGCAGGGCCCGCCTCTCTGGCTGCCGCCTGGGAAAACGCCACCAATCCGGCCCTGCCTGCGTCCTCCTACGGCTACCCCAACCGGCTCAACCAGATCAGCCTGCTCGTCTTGCTCGACGGCCTCGGCATTCAGAGCGTCCGTGGCCCTGGCTTCAGTCCCGATCCCGTGCCCTCCCGCTATCCCACGACCCATTGGACCTACCGCGCCGCCGCCACGATCGAGCGCCGTCTGCGCAGCCTCGACCTGCTCGAGGGCGACTCGTCTGCCGACCAGCCCCTTCTTCCCGACGACCAGACGCCCGTCCTGCAGTCAATTCTCGCCGCCAGCCGTCGTGCTGGCAGCCTGGCCACCAGCTCGGACTACCTGCCCTTTATGCGGCGCGGCGTCTCTGTGCTGCCGCTGATGCCAGACCGAATCGACCAAGGGTATGGCAACAACAGCAGAAGCAGCAGCAATGGCACAACACCTGTGGTGGACTACCCGACCGCCATTGACTGGTCGCGCATCGTGACGGCCTTTGTGCTCGAGTGGCTCGACATGATGGAGGTCGAACCGGTCCCGTAGTGGGCCTTTTTTGCCTCTCATCTCTCTCTACTCTCTCCCGATGTGCTCAATAGACGGAAAGTGTCCACCTCGAGCCGTGTGGCTGAAGCCCTGGACCGCATCGACATGTCCTTGCAGCGGGCCAAGTCGCCGAGGATGTATCGAATTGCTAGTCACCCGCGGAGCTGTCTTTCGAAACCGCAAAAATGGGCTGTGCTCATCCAGCTAGGGTTATCCAAAGCCCATAGGATGTCGCCATGCTTTAGACGTGTTTGTGGCCCTCAACGGGCCTGGAGGTTTTTCGAGCATCGGTAACTCATCAGTGCTGTGACTTGTACGATAGCAAAGGTGTGCTTTCCATCTTAGTATTTGCCGCGTTCCTCACATATAGAAGTTAGAGACAATACGTATATGCTTTGGTACGAGTACACCCTCTTTATTCACTCTGTGTATTTAGCCCATGAAGTCCAGTCCAACCACGCGGAGCTTCCGCATACTTCCTGACTTGATATTTGTACCCCTCAAGTTGTATATGCAGTCGTAACACATTGCCGTGTGGCAGTCTGAGTACTGGAAATCTAAACGGCCAACCTAATACCGCAATGTGTCTGCAGTGTAGCCTTTGTCGCTTCGTGCGGTCCAACCCTCTCATACGGACTTCCAGGTGTCAGTCAGCCCCAGCTGTCCCATGGCCAGATTGTCAGACGAGCTGGTCCCTATGTGACGCTATCAGGTCATCCATCTTCTTGACCGGCACTCGCAAGGAGTCACATGTTCCATTTGGAGCGACCGGCATTGAATATACCAAGAAGCTGTTCTATCATCACGGATGCTCATCTTGACCGACTACGGGATGCGTTCACCGCAACTTTAGGCGTCCTGAAACCTTGGGGCTATGCCAACAAATGATGTTACCACTATCTGGGACTACCTTTACCATTCACCAGGAAGCCAGCGCTGTGTCAGCTTTGATCTTTTAGCACTTGTGGCAAAATATGCTATGAGCCGGAGTTTTCAACACGCTTACGCAAACTTTCCAACCGTTGTCTGATTTTCACACGCACTCTTTATTCTAGCACACTTTTCTCAGGCGCCAAGAGGATGGCGAGCCTACTGCCATCCCAAGAGACATTGCGTGATAGCCCTTATACCAATAACCTATAATCCAACAGCAATCCAAGTGATCCCGACCTCATATATCTGCGTATTGTTCCATGTGTCAGCATGCACACGAAACCCGCTTACATCAACGTCCGTTGAATACACTGCAATCCGTAGGTTATATCCGTGGTCTGCGTCAACAAGGTTCAAGGTCACTGTGACTTTCGGTGCCATCATAAAGTTTTTGGCAAACTTGATGTATGCTTCCTGGCGCGCTGAATTCCAAGCTCTGCCCGGGTGTGCCACTTTCCAGGTACCACAATCCACAGTCTGTGCCAGCCATGGTTGCGATTTGATTCGTGTCTCCAGGGCGGTGATTTTGTTTTGCTGATCCACTACTAGTTTACCTAAAGCCGTGATATCGTTTTGCTGGTCGTTGACTTTCGCTGTTAGCTCCTTCACCGCCACCAACAGCTCAGTGACCGTTGGATCGACGGTATTCCGTGCGGGTAACGCAACAGGCGTCTGACTTCCACCGCTGCCAGATCCACCATATATGTTTAGCGTGAATTCGGGGCGCAGGACGATCTGCCGCTTCAGAGTATCAGGCATGTCTTGGGGCGTTAGGATAGCGGTGCCGATATCGCTGTCGGTCGTGGAAAAGCATGACTCTGCCATTCTTATAGGGAACATAATCTCTAGTATATTTGGTTTGGAGACCGATTCAAGAGCCGTCTGACCCTGCTTTTGTGTATATTTGTAGAGGTGGGAGATACTTGCGAATAGTATCAGATAACAGCCGTGCGGAAATCCGGAAATAAAAAGTAATACTATTCTGTTTGCGGGCAGAAAAAATGTTGTATTTCTTAAGTTTCGTCAGGCCTCAAAACATTGCCCAACGAGTGCGGAGTATCTTACGACATCCAGTACGGAGTATATGTCCCCCCCCTTTGGCACGTGCACTAGCATGTAAAGTGGAAACTTTTTAAGGACTTATCCGCCCCTTACGCTTGTCCAGATGTTTACGCGCGATAAGGCGGCTTTCGCTATGCAAGTTGCAGAAATAAAGAAGACCCTCTCCTTTCGTATATATCCAAGCACAACCAACTATTGACGTTATGTACAGGGGCTTATTTAAGAAGTGGTAAGAAAGAAGTGTGAAGAATAAAAAGCGGCGATTGCTGTCGAGATAACTCGGAACCTCCTGCCATATATACAAACAAAATGCACAGGCCAACCCAGCCTTGTAATGCCAATGCCTTTAATAAACATTTCCGCCATAAAGTGAAGTCCGGGCGCCAATTGTGATCATGCATACCGATAGTCACTGATATCTCTTTACAAGTACTTGATAATGACCGCGTCCTTCGTGTAAGTGGTCGAAGTAAGCTGGCGGTTGTTGGAATCCTTGATGTCCATGAGATTGGTATCCGAGGTCGGCGGCAGAGTGCCCGTCTTTGTATAGGCGGTAGCGTTTGCGAAAGTGATGGTGCCAAAGTCGGCCTGGCCCTCAGCAGTACTATCGGCGACAAGATCTTCCTGGATCCATTCGGCATCGGCGAGACAGAGCTCGTCAGTCGACGTAACGTCCTTGGAAAAGCTCTTTCCTGCCGCCAGGTTCTCCATGTACACGCTACCATGCGTGGTGCTGCTGGCGGTCACGTTCACAAAGATTTTCTATGCTTGTTAGTATTGATCAACCCCAAGCAGAAAAAAGAGGTAGGGCGTAAACTCACGTCACCGACGCCAAGGTCACCAAGGTCGACCACGATGGTTCCGGCCGGGTACCACTCATACCAGGCATACCACGATACGGCACCCGACTCGTCAACGTTGCCGTCCACACCGGCTTGCCAGAGACCGGTACCGCAGCTGTAGCCGTCAATTCCAACCCAAGCAGAGGCCGTGTGAGTCGTCGCTTTGACCTGGGCCCCGTCGGTAGGAAGCTTGACGTTCGGCAGGGCGAAGGTCGCAGAGACACCCACAATATCACCCGCACCAGGCTGAACAACAACACCGGACCAGCTCCCGTTCAGCCAGTCTTCCACAGAGTCGTCGGTGGTCTCAGAAACTTCGGTGGCAGCAGAGTGGTCTGTAGTGATGGCACTAGTTGCAGCCTTGTGGTTCAGGCCAGTGCGATGGCCGGCAGCGTGGCCAAACGTGGGGCTAGAAGTCCTCTTCTGTTGCAATTGGTTGGCCCTGCTCAGACGGGACTTGCGAGCAAGTCCTTGGTTTTTGGCAACGCTGCGAGCCGGGGCTGGGGCCGGGGCCGGAGCGGCCAGAGCACTGGCGCATAGAGTAGCGGCGACGGCAGCTGAGAACTTCATTTTCAAAACGAGTGAAAAGTGTAAAATAAAATATTCGAACCAGGCGATACAAAAACGAATGGGTAGACAAGGAGATGAGTGCGAGCCCGTACACTGGAGAATGGATAGTAGGAGTTCCAGTATCTTGATGATTTCAACGCATGGCTACGGCGTATATGTGACCCTTTATAGAAGTAGAATAGACATTGGACACGCTGCAAAAAGGGGGAAGCTGGTAAACAGTAGTTCACCAATGGATGATAGAGGTTTAAGATTAAGGGAAATCTACGGAGTACTCCGCGATACAAATACGACTACGTTCAGAAAGGGAAGGTAAAAACGCGCAGTAGCGCATGTACTCCGTATCCTACAGCGATTGGTTTAATATCCGTCTTTTCGTATTGAGAGAGAACATGCGACGACTGCGTCTTCTGTTTCACCAAAGCTCCCGTTTATTACTACAGTATCCACATTTGGGTTTTCCGTCGTAATAGTAGGCCCCTTTTGCGATTTCCGAATTTAGGAATAAACGGAATAAGTGGAACCCGGTTTCGTCTTACGGAGTATACGAGTACGGAATCTCCACAGAGAGGCGGCGCATCATGGATCATTGGCAAGCCGGACACACAGGCCATGCACTACCCCATTCTGCGCCTCTTCTGTTCCCATCCCTAGCTTGTCTGTCCCCGTCATAGCTTCTGCACAAATTCGAAAGGCATCTCTGCGCAAGTGTGAAGGCAAAGGAGAACGGGTGAGTACAGTCCATGTAGATCAACAGCTGAACATACCGCTGAGATGCTGTCGAGTTTCTTGGCAGATCGCGATGATCAGCTACGGGGTGGTGTCTTAGATGAAATCAGCATGCGTAGCTCAGTGATAAAGAGCTTCCTTGTTAAGACAGGTAGACTGCACTTGTTACGGCCCGTGATTTTCTTTCAATTTCCAATCGCATCCGGAAGACCGAAGTTGATTCCAAACGTAGCCACTTCGTGCTGCATAATAATACAATATCACCATATTTTCGCGAATGTAGTCAAACCAGATGCCAGTTAAACAGGGCAAGTCAGACTCGAGCTCCAATAAGAAGATCAATTGCACTACCGTTGCTGCAGCCGTATCTTCGGCCTGCCAATCGTGTTGAACGACAACAGAACAACGGAAAGTCCTGGTTAGTTGTCGAGCTAATTGGCGGGAAGCCAATGATGGCTACGAAAGGCTCGTGCTCTGTACGGAGTACATATCGCATACTCGTTTGGCTTAATGTCAATACCACCCGCACATATGTACCTCACCTTATACAAGAAGACAGTCTTTCACAGCTACCTGATTATGCTTTTGTGCAGTCGGAAAAAGGGGAAGAGGATACAGTTGAGCTAAGTGACCGCATGACTTACATGGATAACCTCACGACCCTCTTTGACAGACTGCTAGTCCACCAATCTGTCATTATGGCTTTATACGACTTTTGAACACAGTATACTTCGTACCAGCGCGCTCTAAGTATGGTACGCTGTAACGTAATCCTGCTAGTGGCACAACTGTGTGTCGCGCCACGCTTCTCCGGTAGGGGTGCCGTCCTTCGCGTAAATCGTAAGGGCTGTGGGCAGTAGTCTGGAATAGGCGTATGAGTCCGTCTACTGGTTATGACGTATGGTACCATATATCGCCGCCCTGCAATCATCAAAAAGGCACCCCTTCAGACAGGGGACCTGTACCTACTAGCATCCTACCTCAAGTACTTTTACGTGCAGAGTAAAGATTGTTGTATCAAAGCGTTAGAAACTACGGTCAAGCCTTGGTATAGGGCGTTCAATATGTCCCGACTTCGGAGATGTTGCAATCTACAGAAAGCTGCGATTGTACTCCGTACAAATTTTGAATCGGATTCACGCGTGCATAACGAACCCAAGATGCTTACGTATATCCATAATTTGACCATGACATTGCATTACGGCACAACTTGCTTATACGCCGCAGTTGCGTTTGAGGGCTACTAAACAGCAACCATCCGATGTTAACAACTACTGATTTAGCATCTAGGACACCAAAGTGAACAACCCCCCCCAAATCCCTACATAGTACACATCACTGACTTGAAAAGGCGGGTATTCTAATGCCTATTTAGTTGATACCCAGACTATACTAGTAAGCCGTTAACTGTAGAAGATGTAGACGTTCTTTAGCAACCCCAACGATCGAGCCTTTGTGGACTCTTAATCGTAAGCGGTTATCCGCTTTCCCGAAGTAGCCGAAAGATTTATCAGCTGTCTGGCGAAGTAGTCAAGTGCTGCCCTAGCCGGCCGTCCTATTGAAACTGTGGCAGATGCCGTATTTGGACCTTGCTGACATCTCGCCGGCCGGATGTCAGCAAGATATGCTCCCAACACAACCATAGTATGATGATGGCATCGAAGACGGCATGTATAGCGCCGGTGTGGCTTCTACTCCGTGCACCACTAGTCTGTCACGCACGTTCTGCGTGATCACCAGTGTAAGACCCGTACGGTAATCCTTGTGGGATATTCGTCCGGACTAGTTGCACGTATCGTAGTAAGCTCTAAGGCCTTCAGAAGATCTAGTGATGATATTTCGTTCGGTGGTTGACTGATTGAAGACCAGACTGTGCGCAGTATGCGCGCAGATCAGGGCTTCGTCTTATCTAGTAATTTCGGCGGCCGAGGTCAAGTCAGGTGACCTCGGGGAAATCCACACCGGTGCTCAGAGTATCTCCACGTGGTACTCAGATGGACCCGTTGGATTGCAATTCCAATGCAGTGTTCTATCTCCAGAAGTAAAATGCTACCCTGCAGCCCCCTGCGCCCGGTCCATTGTCCAGGTGGGATTATTGGATCCACAACGGTGTCGTGAGTATGGCATCAGTGCAAAGTTCCACAGGCAGCCGCACTCTGGTATGTGTGACATTTCGCATGGCTTCTGTCAAGTTGACATTAATGTGGACATAATGAGCGATGAGATGATGGGATGATCATGGGCGAGACACGTGCAGTCGAGTTGTATCAAATTAAGACGGCCTGATTTCAGTCGTATATAGTTGCACGTACTCCGTACAAGGTTGGCAGATAGTCAAATAGTCAAAACTATGGTCAGACTTTGATGCTTACGTTTGTATCTCATATTGATAAAGCTGGGTCTCACGAGCTAATCAATTCAATTAAGCCCTTCTGAAACAGTCTAGCAGAGCTGCAACGAAACCGTTAAGCTGTTATCATTCCTCGAGTTTAAGTGTTACTAAGAAATGTAAGATTTTGAGCCTGGATCTTAAGTTTTGATTCTGTAAATATATCACTAGAGCTGTTCGCAATGTCTGTATCTCTACGAATTTTGGCCATGACGGTAGCCTAAAGTCCTTCAGCAGCGGCGAAATCTTATTCTGTTGACTTGAAGTAATTGTATTTCTACTCCACCAGTCTGATCACATAGGCTTTATTTTCTCACGTCATTTCAAAGACCGCCACGGGATCTGTTGCGTGTGGATCCGGCTATGTGTGATAGGACTCAGACTTGGCTAATATTTACAGCAACACTCTATATGGCGCATCTATGGCAGCATCAATTGGAATAAAAAAGGTGCCTTCCAGCTTGTATGGATATCGCCCCATATTTTAGCTATTAGATGCTATCTATCCGTCCAGCTAATGTTAGGGCTGGTGTCTGGCCAAATAGATATACGACAGGCCCCTTGGCCTAATGGTAAGGCGTTGCTTTCCGGTTCTTGAACACAGCTGGCAAAGATTCTGGGTTCGAGTCCCAGGGGGGTCGGGTTAATTTTTTTCGGCATTTATTCTATCACGGCCCACTTAGCAAAAATAAAACTTTTCCGTAGTTGCCGGGTATAGACGCTGCTGTGTCTTTTGGAACTGGGAAATGAGCTGTATCTTATGTTATCTAAGAGAGAGCATAAGGAGTACATGCGCATCTTAGTTTCGTTCCGTTCCGTAAATATGACTCAGAATTTCGTGCACGTCGGCATAGCTCTGAATCAACATTCCTACAAAATAGACACAGCTCACTAAGCACACTAGCTTACAAACTATCTGCGCATGGATTAAGCGTTGTGAACTTGTCATATGCAGCAGCGAAAACTTACGAGACTGTATTCCGTATGGCAGGTGGCATCTTGCTACGCAAAACAAGGAGCACATGGCTGATAGGGCAAATGTTTCGGCGTATCTTTTCTTGTTAGTAATATCTGTTGGTGGGGTTTTAGTCAGATCTTATCTGTATTTTTGGTTGCTCTTACGAGACGACTCTTACAATGTACATGCATCCGATATCTGGAGAAGGTACCTGGCTGAGAAGATAGGAGCGGGGGAGGACATGGGAGAAGATTGTCTTGCCAAGACAACTAAGAGCGATTTCTTTACTGCAGATAATTTTGCCAATCGCTGGCACTACGTACACCGGAATCCTTCTTTATCTATCGAGCTGGAGATTTTCTACTTTGACCCGGCAATTCCGCGGAAGAGATATAGAAACCCCAGCTTTCGGTACCTGTGGTCAGTTACAACACCGGCCATAGTGCCATTGTGTTTTGTCGTCCGACAACGGCCGGTCTTCAGAAGGGCGTGCCAAGATCGCCAGACATGCCCGAAGATTGAGACCTTATCAGCAGTCTCGGCCCATCACCTTCCCGATGTAGAAATTATGTTCGGGATACTGCGTTGAAACATGCATGGAAGGCGTAGCTTACGGTCCAAACCAGCCTTTTGCAGACAACCGATCTTTCGGGCCGCTTCTTAGTCCTTGGACCGACCGTTCCGGTCTGCTAGCTCTGCGTGCAAACGCGTAAGCTATGAGTCCGAGCGGAGGGAAATGTTTACCTGCTTATAAGAAGCTCCTATGTAGCGACTTGAGAATCATACGTCTGGCTCCGTAGGGCTCCCGAACATCTCTAGCAGTCATGGCTCGTCTTCTCGAAACTCTGATTGTCGGCTCCCTAGCCGTGACATCGCTGGTTGCGGCTTCGCCAGCGGTGGTGGCTTCGCCGGAACTCCCCGTTCGACTGGAGACACGCAGTCAGCTGTCGTCCCACCTGGCCAACATCCACCTCGTGTTTGACGGTGCCGTTGACAGCCTCATCAGTGTGACCTACGGGTCCTGCACTGCAGCCAGCGAGAGCGACGCCCACCACCTTGTCAGCCGAGGCCATCACGCTGGTGCAGAACGCCTCGTCTGGATCATTCCCGAGGACGTGGAGTCCGGTGGCTGTCTGTCCGCATGGAGCGGCCTTTCGGGCGTGCTGCTCGGCCGCAGTGGACCGCAGCATACGGGCAACGTGCAGAGCGTCAAACGCACGGTGCAGAAGAGCACAATGCAGAAGCGCAGCACCTCGCCGCATTCGATTCCCATGACCAACGCGAGCGGAATCGATGCCTGGGGCCCATGGTTTGACGGCGTGGAGCTGCTGAAGAGCACCAACGTCAGCGCCGTGTATGCCAAGGAGGCTAAGAGCAAGCACGTCGGCATTGTAGGCGCCGGCATGTCTGGGCTGATGACATACCTGTGTCTGACACAGGCCGGTATGACCAACGTGGAGATTATCGAAGCCGGCGAGCGGCTGGGCGGCCGTGTACACACAGTCTACCTGTCAGGCGGGCCGTTTAACTACTCGTACCAGGGTGAGATATCCTGAGCGCTCGGAGGAGGGCTGGGGGGGCAACATGCTGACAGCCGATGTTCACAATCATCAGAGATGGGACCTATGCGATTTCCCACGACCACCACGCTGGGAAACGAGACGTATAACATCTCGGACCACCAGATGGTCTTCCAGCTGGCGGCTGAGATGAACAAGCTCAACAACTACGACAAGAACCTGAGCGTGGACTTCATTCCCTGGTACCAGTCCAGCAAGAACGGCCTCTACTACCACAACGGCATCAGACTGGCCGACGGCATGCCGCCTACCGTTGCGCAGAAAAATGCCAACGCGTCTCTTGCGATCACAAAACCCGAGGATGCATCTACGACTGCGTTGCAGGACAAGGTCGATGCCGCTCTGCCAGGCGATGCCTTTTATGTTGCCATGGCCCAGAACATGTTCAAGGCGCATCGCGAGTGGATCGGTGCGTTTCTGATCTGAGGCGAGAAATCGAAGATAAGAAGACGAGAGCTGACAGTTCTGCAGGAAACGGTCTGGATGGCCTGCCGGGCAACCAATGGAGCGAGTTTGCCTACATGGTGAACTACCTCAAGGGCAACCTGAACGACACGGACATTGTTAGCGGAGGCGACTTTGCATCGGACTTCTGGGACACGGTGAGTTTGCGTAGCGCCTAGGCTACGAGTGTGGTGATGGAGATGCTGACGCTTGCCAGCTGTACGAGGGCATGTACTTTGATGCTACGACATGGCGCACGATTGACGGAGGTATGTTGAAATTCATAGAAAAAGAAATGACAGAACGACACGCTGATAACAGTCAGGTCTTAACCGGCTGCCCCTCTCTTTCCACCCTCTCGTGGACAATGCGACAACTCTGGTAAGCTGCGCCGGCTTTACACTTCTTTCACGCTCGTGTGCTAATAGACCCAGAACCGCGAGATCTCGCGGGTCAAGTACAACGCCGAGGACGAGACGGTGACGCTGCAATGGCGCGACAGCTATCTGAACAAGACCTTCCAGAACTCCACATACGACTACGCCGTCATTGCCGTGCCCTTTTCTGTCATCAAGCGGTGGCGCTTCTCCGATTTGCCCGTGACCATGAGCAACGCCATTACGCACGTGCCCTACACGGCCGCCTGCAAGGTAGCTCTCGAGTTTGAGACCCGCTTCTGGGAGCATCTTGACAACCCCATCTACGGCTCTTGCTCAACGTCCACCGACATCCCCGGCATTGGCTCCATCTGCTACCCGTCCTACAACATCAACGGCACCGGCCCGGCCACGATCCTGGGCTCCTATGTTTCGGGTGACCAGTGGGGTGAGCACTGGGTATCCGTGTCCGAGGCTGAGCACGTGCAATACGTGCTTGATACCATCATTGAGATCCACGGCAGCGTCGCCCGCGAGCAGTACACCGGAAAGTTCAACCGCCGTTGCTGGGCGCTTGACCCGCTCGAGTCTGCCAGCTGGGCCTCGCCCATCGTTGGCCAGCACGAGCTCTACCTGCCGGAGTACTTCAAGACGCACAACAACGTGAGTCCTCTTCGAAGCTGAATATCTTGTCGCTCCGAGTCTAATACATGTGTAGATGATTTTTGTCGGAGAGCACACGTCATACACGCATGCATGGATTGCCTCGGCACTAGAGTCAGGTATTCGCGGAAGTGTGCAGCTACTGCTCGAGCTCGGTCTCGTCGATGAAGCTAAGGCGACAGCCGAAAAGTGGATGGCCCGATGGATCGAAGTGGTGAGTAAACTGCTTCTGCAATATCTGTGGGCTTTGCTAACAGTTGGCAGTGATTCAACAGGAACAAAGTAAAAGTTCCGCTCAGTTTTACGCGAGCCAGCTTCGGTTAGATCTTAATAGGATAATATAATAAAAAATAATGTTGAAATGCCAATTGTCTAAACCGCTTTAGCATCCACTTCACGAGCACAGCTACATGGCCGCGCACTAACTGCCTGAAAGGTCCGGCGCTTGTAGTACAGCTGGCCGCAAATGTGGACAAAGACTGCGAGTGCGATTAATAATGGCTTCTTCGGTAGCCACGCCTTGATATTCAAAGCATTGCTGAACGGGTTTGCCTACACGTTTGTTGCCAAGGCAGTGCAGGCAGTGCATCGCGAAGTGTTGCAGCAACGGCCCATTTCGCTGCATTCCTGCGTGCCGGTGCCGCATATGACGTTGCTTTCGTTCGCGGGACCGAATTCTGCGTCAAGAAGAAGCTGCCGTCCGGTGTCAAATTTTAACTGGAGTCTTACTGCGGCTGGCCTGTGGATTGAGGACGTTCGTGAAGCCTACCTGGTCTAGAATAAGGAGGTAGGCCGCGTCATGGAGATAGACACTTACTAGGCACGTATGCTGCTTATGAAGAAGTCATCGACAGAACCAATTCCTCCACCGCGCCCCTCGCTGTCGGTGAAGAGGGACTTGGACTAGTACCACGATGGTAGCGGGCGCGTTGGAAGTGGCCCAACGATGAAATGCGTCCACTAGATCAAGCCATCGTGCCTTGCAAGCTTCTATGGCATTCACTTTCATTCAATTACCTTAAGTATTAAAGAGCAAATCCTAAGCGACAAGGACTTCTACGCCGTTGTCAACTGGCTGTAAAGGGACCAATTAGAGTGCAGGATGCTAGGGCACTTTAGTGATAATCAGGAAAGCTCGTTGAATAAAGTATGCGCGCTCCGCGCAACTGCTAGGAGCTGTTGGAAGATAGAGTATTGAAACGGCTGGTTGTTACTATAAATCACCGTATGGCTGCGGTGATTGCAGCGGACGGTTGGTATACTAAGTACTTACGTATACATTCGAAAGCCCTAGTTTTTAGGTATCTTTTAGCATGGTCTCTATAGAATCTACTGCGTTTTGCTAAACTTATGGTACTTTAAAAGTTGGGCTGTATTATTAATTAAGTACTAAGAAAAGCGTAGTCGGGACTTTTCCGGACTGACTGTAGGCTGCCGGATTTCCTCAAATCCTAGGCCAGGGTTTATCTACATTACACTCGTGTTTCATGTACTAACTCTGCCGTCCCACCACCCCCCCAGCCGAAGCGTTACCATTTCGGCCAAGTTGGATGAGCCATCGGATCTGATGTAGTCTTGTTCCATCTCACGGAACAGCTTGTCGATATATTCTCCCGCGCCAGATAGATGCAAGATGAACGCAATGGCACGGTGCGTGGCAAGAAGCCGCGGGGATGGCATGTCAATGTTCTCGGTGTTAAAGAGTGTACGTGTGACTGGTAGTCCCGCATTCCGCTTCCAAACGGGTGGATCAAAGGAGTCAATTCTATACGTCGGTCCGTCCGGGGAAGTTGCCGGCATTTCGGTGAAATGGACCTGAAAGCGGCCAAACCGTTTATGTATTGTGTGAGTAAGTGTTAACGCATTACGCGCCCGGTCAATTTCGATGGCCTTAATCATGCTGACAACACCTGTGTCAAACATGTTAAGGATATTAAGTGTCGTCTTTCTCGACTTATTCTGGGTGCATGATGTTAGTATGGCCAATTAATACATATAAGACTGTAGGCAAGACTTGCGAGTTCTGGGTCTTCCTTCGAGTCGGCTTTGGTTAAGGAATGCGCGAAGATGTGTGCCACCTCCAATTCTTGCGCGAGAATCGGGTCGTTTAGCAGCAATATGCCGTCGTCATCGCGGGCTTGGTCACCGTTCTGTAATCCCCTCCGACTAAGCTCCTCAGAGCTAAAGGCATGACTGGCAATGCACCTAAAATGGTCACGCTTCAAACACAGGCCGCGGAGCGCGCTCATCCGGTCATTTGTTCCAACCTCCAAGTGATCCAAATTGAGTCTCTGTACGGCGGAGTCGTACTTAGGAGTTGGCTGGGCTGTTTTGCTGCCTAAAGCCTTTACTAAGTCGAGAAAAGATGCCTGTTAGTAGCGGGAACAGGGCCAGACACCAGCCGGTTTCAGAGACGTCGACGTACATGGCAAGAAAAACGATTCCATCAGGTAGGTGGCAAAGCCCTTGAAATCGACCGCCAAGGAAGCGCAGTCGATGCTTTCTTGGCTGTCGAGAGGGATCCCCATAGAGTCGAAAAATACTCGAAGAAATTTGTCTTTAGATAGTTCAGACCGTGCATATTCGTAGGTGTGCTGAATCAACAGTGGCTGGCTATAAGGCTTGTCACTTCCCGGCAGGGCCCGAAAATGCTGCACGATCTGGTAGAGCCGGGTTTTGCCTCGCACACGTTGACTCTCGTTTAGACCAGGTACATTGGAGAAGTCAAGTACACCCTCGAAAGACGACTGGTGGCGAAGCCGGGGCGGCATTGTGGTATGCGTAGGTAGAAATATAACACACGGTCCTTTACATCGGCGCGGAGAATAAACAGCTCCACTATATCAGTCGTCAGATGCCTGGCGGGTGATTGTGTTCTGCCATTTCTGACCGCCTAGCTTGTCAGACCAGGTACGGATATGAGTTGTTGAATAATGTGCTTACTTAGCACACTGTTGGGTCAAGTACGAGTATGGAAATCCTCCACACTGTACGGAGTAGAGCTTCCGCTCTACTTAGCCGTACGGGTCTATGATTGGTCAGAAGGCACAAAAGCCGGGCCTGGCACTACACTAGTATTAATACGAATCCCTAGAAGGGCCACGATGTAATATATATTATCTATTTCTTCCTTATTTCAAGATTTGCTCCCCCAATTTGGCCTCCTGCTTCTTACAATGCAATGTTATCTTATGAACCTTGCATATAAGCTCTAAGCCTGCAGGATGAAAATAGAAGTGTTACAAATGGGAGAGCCGCAAAGTCGCTGGTCGGCATTTAGGCTGTAATTGTAGACCGTGGACAATGTTCTAGAATTATTATCATTATCGGGAAGTAGTTATATTGTTGATTATGGAGGACAGAAGTGTAATTATGGGGTGTTAGAGGAAAATTTCAAAACCTATTACAACTATGCAGTGCCCTTAAAGAAGCCGATAATGCGTGGCATAACACCGCCAGTACGAGCAATTCTTATTGCTAGTTCCAGTCTTTCTTGTTCCTCTCTACTTTCAGCAACGGAATGTTGCCAAATACGACAACACCATAAGGCAACAAGCGCATCCAGAGTTTCTCGTTGTAATGAGGTAGTTATAATCAGCCTGTGCTGGCTGTCGGCCTTATATTCCATCGCGATATCGTTTCCATCACTATCTCTCCATTTGTAATCCCCATTCTGATATTGGATCTCGAATAGAGGATGTGCATTCTTGGGATATGCGACAGGATCTCCGTGGCCATTACCCGGAACTTCAAGAGAATTGGCGTCCATACGCGATGATTTGAGCAAAGGCAGTCTTAGTCCTATGTAGCCAAGAGTATGGGAACAGACAGGCGTGATGTAAAACCCCAGACTGCACCCGCGCTTGAGATTGTAAATGTGCCTCAATCGCTGCCTGACGCGGGGGGCTCCAGCATTTGTGTTCCGGACAGAGCGCTCGATCCGCTCAAACATGACCACAGTCGACGCGTGGCCGATGCGAGCGAGGCCACGGTTGGCCTGGTAGAGAGGGATCGATGGTTCGGACTCGGTGTGAATCGACTGCCCCGCAATAACGAGAATGGTCGGCTGCACGACCGCGTTGAGAGCGCTGTCCACAACATCGGTGTACGACGGCAAAAGCTCAAACTCCGTTTCTGAATTCATGGCTGCAACCTAGGCACACATATGGCTGGTATTCTCATGTATCTTGCGTAGAAATGTTTCTGCCTTACGGCACACTGGATCTCATGCTGTTTACGTTGCTTGGCACGGGATCACGGGAAAATAAATTATCCCTGCCTTCTCCACGTTACTTCCACAGGATCCTGTGCCGCCAGTAAGATGGCAAGATACGGAGTACTATTCTCCGAATAGTATTATCGCAACGGCTTAGTCAGAAGAGCGGCGTGTTTCTGCATCAGGTTAGCTAGCGGTTATACGGCGTGCTCCTTTTGTGGAGTGAGGAGTTCCTAGTTCTATGGGGGCAAGAGTGGCAAACGTTGTGCACAGCCTTGTGTGAAGGTTAAAGGAGGCTATACTCCGTACAAGGTGGATGGGGTATTATTCGCGCCCCTTGTCAGGTATTTTCAGGCGTGTCTTCAGATCTTTGCCACTGTAAACAATCGAGCAGTACTTCTAACGGTGGAAACGGTCGTTTTCGCACGCCTGAAATCCCCTGTCAAGTAAGGCTGCCAAAGTCGAGCGAGATTTTGCCACCGTTCAGATCTGGTGAGTGCACCTGTGGCGAGCCCGAATGATATCCCATCCACCTTGTACTTACGGCACAAGCTTTTCGATAATCGATGGCCGGGTTCAAGTAAGGCTTATAAATGGGGCTAACCCTTTCCGGATTATTCAGGACCCAACATCAGCGAAAGAGAATGCACCATTTCTTGCACGTGCCACACTCAACCCAAACATTGGACGGGTACAGAGTAGAGAAACAAATAAAGGACCCTGCATCCATTTCATCGAGCTGCCTATTCCAACCTGCCTAAATGGGATTAAGTACGAAGTAGTAACGCAGAAATAAAGGCAGGTATAAAGTCTCGCGCCTTGCCGAACAACATAAGCAGCAAACCATTGTCAGGTAGGATAACGCAAGGCCAGACAGGGAAAATAACAAATGACAAGATGACTACCAACATCTCTCCTCACATTGTCGACGTCGATAATTTCGAACATGACAAAGAAAAAATGACCGTCCTGGAGACTGCTGAATCCAGATCGCCTAATATGGAAGTTTCCGAGAAAAGGCAGTCGTTGTCTGATATATTCACAATCGTACGCCCGATAGACTCTGCTTTTCCCTGCGTTCATGACTTCTGACATTGTTTTTAGATCTGTGCTGGGGCGGCGCTTATTTCGGACGGCTACCAGAACAACCTGATGACTATGACGAACGTCTTGTTCAGAAAGGAGTACCCAAAGGTGTATGTGTCCTCGGTCAGCACGCAGGTGTCCAATGCCCTTCTTGTTGGAGAAATTCTAGGTCAGATCATCGTCGGGCTCACTTGCGACTACATGGGTCGCAAGACAGCCATCATTGTCACGACTTTGATGATCGTCTTTGGGGGGATCTTGGCAACTGCGTCTCATGGAGTGACGACGTTGGGAATGTTCTGGATGCTCACCATTTCGCGTGGTATTGTCGGCTTTGGGACGGGAGGGGAGTACCCAGCTTCAAGCACGTCAGCTTCGGAGGCGGCCAACGAGCATACGCTGAAACGGCGTGGTCCCATCTTTATCATGGTGACCAACCTGCCCTTGTCGTTCGGGGGCCCGTTTGCGATTATCGTGTTCCTGATCGTGCTCTCAGCTGCCGGCACCGACCACTTGTCGACGGTGTGGCGGGTCTGTATGGGAATCGGTGTCATTTTTCCGCTGTCGGTGTTCTACTTTCGCCTGAAAATGCTAAACTCGAAGCTGTATCGCCATGGAGCCATCAAAAAGAGGGTTCCGTATCTTCTCGTCCTGCGATACTACTGGAAGTCGCTGATCGGCACATGTGGCGTAAGTCGGGCGGCACCCAACGTATTGGACTGTTGTACTAACCATCTTAGGCCTGGTTTCTATACGACTTTGTCACCTTCCCCAACGGCGTCTTCTCTGGTGTGATCATCTCCTCCGTGGTCCCCAAAACTGGAAACACAATTCTCCACACGGCAGAATGGAACCTACTTCTGGGCATAATAGCTCTGCCAGGCGTCTTTGTTGGTGCCTACCTATGTGACCGCCTCGGACGCAAGAACGTCATGATGCTGGGGTTCAGCGGCTACCTTATCTTTGGACTCATCATCGGGTGTGCCTATGAGAAAATCACAAAAATCGTCCCGCTTTTTATCATCTTTTACGGTATGATGCAATCGTTTGGAAACTTGGGTCCCGGAAACATGCTCGGTCTTCTGTCCTCGGAATGTTATGCAACGGCCGTGAGAGGTACATGTTATGGCATCAGTGCAGCTCTTGGGAAGACGGGTGCTGCCGTGGGAACCGAGGCTTTCACGCCCATACAAACTCATATTGGCAAGCGGTGGACTTTTATTATCGCAGCTATTTGTGGTGTTGCGGGCATTTTGGTGACGTATATCTTTGTACCTGACATCAAGGGGGATGATTTGGCCGTCAGAGACGAGCAGTTTCGAGAGTATCTCGCCTCTCGTGGGTGGGACGGTGAGATGGGTGAGGGCGACCTCAAGGCTCAATCTACGGTAGAAAGATAGAAAGAGCGGGTCCTAGATATCGGCAGCCTAGTATGAATTGACAAGGCTGGAAGACAACGCTGTTCGTAGTAAAGTGCGGGAGGGCAATAGACTGGTCGCTAGTAATGGAGGTAGTGTCTGAGAATGCATTCTCCGGAGCATGCATTCGTCTGCCCTGTTGTAGTATAGGCTGTCTTTATTTCTTACGATAATGATACAAGAATGGGAGGGCGAGTTGCACCAGCAAGAAACTGTGACTGTTTACAGTGTGAAGACGATACAATGGTCTGATCTCAAGTCGTTCTGTGCGGCTTAGGTCTTAAGCCTCTTTAAATCGGGAAATACTATTATCTGAGGAGTACTGTTGGAAAACAAAGTCCACTGTTTTACAACTTCTGCCCACTCTTTGTATCACGTTGCTATTTCTTCCTCCACAACTGTACTTCACCATTTCCTTGACAGTAAAATGCCACCGTTACGTAGGTAACGACGGCCCACTTGTCCAGTGTTAAGCGTTGCCTCAAGTTTGCTGCTATTGCCAAACAATGGGTGCCCCTCATTAAGTGCGCCCTGCGCTTTATAGCACATGAATTTTTCATCATACAGCACACGTCCTCACACCCACCCGTTTCAGCCTAGTTTTTTCGACAGCTATACGACGTAAGCAGAATGTTTAGCAAAAACCGCAGGCGGCGGCTTACAGCATAAAATAGCGGCCGAGTTTCGGTGATTCCAGCCTCGCCGTCGGCTGCCATCTCCTGTTTGCAATACAGTCTTCGCCGCCGCTATGCGGCTCATCAACGTCCACGATCTGAAGCTCTGCGAGTTTTCTGGAGGCGCCAGTGGCACTCCCCAGTATGCCATTTTGTCGCACACCTGGGGCTCTGATGACGAAGAGGTTTCATTTCACGATCTAAACAGGGAGAGGAGCGAGCTCACGACCGGCAAGAAGGGGTATGCCAAGATCACGGGATGCTGCCGGCTGGCCGAGGCGGACGGGATTGACTGGGTCTGGATTGACACGTGCTGCACCAACAAATTGAGCAGCACGGAACTGAGCGAGGCGATCAACTCCATGTTCCAGTGGTATGCGCAGAGCGAGGTGTGCTACGCCTTCCTCAGCGACGTCGACGGGGCTGCGGTGAGGGCAGAGCAGCAGATCGAGAGTGCAGTTCCGGACGTGGCCAAGGTGCTGGGCCGCAGCCGATGGTTCAAGCGCGGCTGGACGCTGCAGGAGCTGCTGGCGCCAGACGAGGTCGTGTTTGTGGACCGGTGCTGGCGGGAGATGGGGACGAAGCGGACGCTGTCGGTGGCCCTAGAGTGCCCCCCCTGCTTCTCGATCAACCCGGCGATAGACCAGGCAAGAGAGTGAGGGCGGCAGATGCATTTGGCGGATCGACTTCTTGGTCTCCCGTCTTGCCACGCCCAAAACTTGTACTCACATCTCCGGAAGACGACGAGGTTTGGCAGGAAGACGACAAACGAGAGCCTGCACGTGCTGCTGCGTATTCATGCGCCCTCACTGATGTGTCTGGACCCGGCACTGATACGCCACCTGCAGCCTCAGAGCGCACTGCACATCTTCTGCCACCGTCCGGAAGAGGACGTGGCGGTCAGGAGGAGTGTACAAAAAGGCGACCATGCTCCGCATCTGCGCTTTCGCCACGTCCTCCAGGCCGGCTACATTCCTGTGGCCATATATGACCACGTCCGCACGATCAGCCCGATTCTCATACCGGACCTGGGCCACGGAAGCAGCGACAACGTGGACAGTATCGGCAAAGGCAACAGTGACGACATTTTCAGCAACAGCGACGGCATCGGCCTCTTCCCTCGACAGTGGGAGAAGCACTGGGGCATTGATTCCAAGGCATTACCGCATCGCCAGCTGGACGAAACAATACGTCTTCTTCGCACACTACAGCGCTCTTCTGCGGTACATGAACGCGTCTGGCCACAACCAGCTGCCCGCAACTGTAGCTGACCTGGCGAAGCAGCCCAGGGTGCAGCGACCTTCTATCTCGGCCTTTTACATCCGTCTCGACATGTACAAGCCCAGTACTGGCGTCTTCGACAAGCCCGACCCTGAAACGCCAAACTTCTCCAAAATCGATCGGCTGGAGGGCTTCAGCCCCGCCTGGACTATGGATATGTCGGCAAATAGCCGATCTGAGATTGGCAGCACATCTGGACAGTCAGTCGTCGTCTGCAGCCAAAAGACGGGGTCATCACGGTTCCTGACGGTGTCTATGGAAGAGAAGAGGGGAGTGGATGGATGAAAGTACCATTTACTCGTTATCTTATATACGAAAAAATTGAAATGAGGCCAGGAACAGAACGGACAGCGTCATTGCCTCAGCGGCCTTCTGGGTCATCCCGATGACCACCTGGTCGCCCGAACGACCCCCAGTAGCTCTCCTCGTTCCACATGTCCGACCCGTTGGAACACCGGGGCGAGTTGTACATTCCCACTGTTCCCATTGGCCACATCGGGATGGTGCACACCTGGCCGAGGGCACATGTCGGACAGCGCTTGAACCGAGCCCAGTTGAGGTGTGTCATCAGCGAGCGTAGCTCAGCCACGGCGTCGGCCAAGGCCACGTTCGCGTCCAGCTCCGTACGTTCGACTGCCGTTTTGCTTTCCAGCCTTTCTCGCACGCCAAACAGCATTGTACAGATCTCGTGCGTGACGGCGACGAGGGCCGCCTGGATCAGCTCGTCGGTGGCTGTCGTCGGGACCACGGCACGGAAGTAATAGTCGGTGCAGCGGTCAACGGCCCGGCCAAAGTCGGTGTCTGCCTCATCGTCCTCGTAGTCGATGAACACGTCCAGCAGGAAGCCGAGCTCGCGCACCAGCAGCGCCGTCGACGTCACCTCTGTCGCCATATACTGCAGGCGGTCGGCATAGCGCGCCACGATCATGTCGGTGACGTCCTGCCAGTCGATCGGGCGAACGGCCGCCGTGTCGCTGCGGTTGGCCACGACAGCCGCCAGCTGCGTCCGGACAGCAGCCAATCCGTCTGTGCTGGCCGACACCAGACGCGCCAGATCCGGCCTTTGGACATCTGGGTTCGTCAGGTTGAGCGGGAAGAAGTAGGCCGACACCATGGAGGCGTAGTCGATGCGTGTGCGATGCGAGCCGATACCCTGGTATCGCTCCGACAGGCCACGCAGAAACTCGAGGCTGCCCATACCGCCGGGGCCTCCATGACCGGGTCCGCCTCCGGGACCACCGACACTTCTCGGCCGGCGCAACGCCTGCACCTGGTCCAGACCGTCGGCAAAGTCACACTGAATGATCTCGAAGCCGGCCTCCATCCGGATGACCCCCTGCAGTCCCCAGGGCGTGACCAGACGGCAGAGGTCAGCGGCGCGCTGCATCTCATCTGCAGGACCACCGCCAGGGGGGCCTTCGCGTCCGTGTTCTGCCCCCACCGATTCGGGCGACAGCCCCCTCAGGACAAAGTCCTGTGAGTCTAGCGTGCCCATGGTGGTCTTGCCAGCGCCCATCCCGTCGATGTAGAGGTAGTGTAGCGGTCGGATGGTTCGGTACACGTGCAACCAGCCGGCCTCCGTTTCCGGCTGTGTGTTCGCCTCTGGACGAAGGACTTGTTGAGGGTCCTCTCGCGTCTTCGGCCGTTCCGGAGCATCGCCATGCCTGCCTCTCTCCGGTCGGTGTGGCCAGCCAGGTGGCCGGGCAAAGTTCTCGGCATGTTCGATCTCGTAGGCCAGCCACTCCGGATGTGTCGGTGAGGCCTTTTGGCTGCTGCCGTGGTGCAGCAGCACACCCTCTGGCACCGTGGCTAGGAAGAAGGACATGCCGTTGTGGTGCAGCGATGAGCCCCATTGGCGCATAGCGTCGTGCACCGCGTTGAAGATGGCCGGGCCGCGCTGGCGGGCAATGTCAATACTGGGGCCGCTATTCGTGCTTCTTTCCAGGTCCATGTTTCTGTCCCGGACGTCGACAGCTGCTGCCAGCGACACCGCCAGGACGAGAGAGGAAAGCGTTCGGAGGGCCATGACGGCAACGCGGCGATTGTAGGTCGTCGATTCGGACAGTCGATTGATCATGGCATACTTGGCTGGCGGTGTTGACGTTCCCTGCGTTTGGTGCTGATAAGATGATGAGTGCCGCGCGGCTTTGGTTGGTTCGTGCGGTGGGTCCAAAGGTGGCCAAAATCTACGAACGATGTATGTATGTATACTGCAACAAGACATCAATTGTAAAAGAATAATGTTTTAACGGCTAAACTCCCCTCTGCCAACAAGGCACGATTCTATATCTGCAAAGCCCGAAGTGACAAATCAAGATCAGCGGCGCTGCTGGTCAGCAACTTCTTATCTACATTGGTCTGTCCGAGGCGAATCCCATTGACCTCAACGTCAAAATCCACACTCCTGCCGCTCGGAGTCATTCGCAAGTCAAAGTCTATCCTCTTCATCCGCTTTCCTTGTGGAGTCGTGTGGTTTGCGAGACTTGACACTGATATGCTGTTCTCAAGGCTGCACTGGAAACTGCACAACGGAGAAACTCTTGTTGACCAACGAATTGGAGGCACAAGGTCGTCGCATTGATACATATCCATTTTAAACCGTCCATCCCAACTTGTTTCGAATATGTTGTAGTAGCTGTTTTTAATTTGGTCGTTTTTCGATACGCATTCCCCCTGGCTGGTGTTAAAGAAAGTTTTTTTTTTTTTTTTTTTTTTTTTTTTTTTTTTTTTTCGGGGGGGGGGGGGGGGGGGGGGGTGTAATTAGAGCACAGACCTTCTTCAAGTACCACCTCATCTGATTTTTCGCCTTCCAGACACCCTCCGTATCGTTCCAGATCCTGTCCTCTTCGCGGTGTTTTGTGGTGTTGAAAAACTCTTCAATCACAATCCCGACGTTGATTCTGCAAATTGTCGACGTGATATCAATTGGTTTTTGTGACTGACTTTGCCAGATCCCGTCCTCGTCATCCAAAAAGCCCTTGCACACTGCACCCATACAGATTGCGGTTCGTCTAGTATAAGGCTCGTTAGCAACATCTCTCTGTCATCGTCATTGGATCAGGCCATAATAAAGCACCCACGCCTTCATTCCACTGGGCTGGAGAACTTCAATGCCCCTCCAGGAGAGATTTTCCTTCATATAATCATAAAGGTAAGGGTTCCCACCTAAACCCCCAACAAGAATTAGACCCTAGAAGCCGTAATATTAGTAAGGGTTCTCCTGCTAGGGGGTGGCGCCGACTGTGAAGATATACCGTGACAGGGCGACCTTGCTCGGCCGCCTTTTGGATTTGGGCATTGACCAACTTTGATATGGCTAAAAACACTTTCGTGAAAGTTTCTTTTATATTGTTTCTATAAATTCAGTTAGTGCGTAGTTCGGCTTAGAGGTCCATGTATTTACTCTTTGAAATGAATGCGGCCAAGTTTGATGACTGGCTCCTTGGTAGTGTCATCAAAACTGCGTGTTCCTCTCTCGTGAAATAACTCAGTCGGCAAGCTCACGATGTATTCCTTTTGTGTGTTTCCCGGGCTGAAATGACGTTTTATAGAAAACTCCCAGTCCCCTTTCAGCATTTCGTTTTTACCTGCTCGTGTAACACTTTGCCATACATGACCCAATCGAGTCCTGCAAAGCTGTTCGAAGGATTCGTCGATAAATACACCACCGCAGAGACCACCTTGTGGGAATTTCGATGTCAGTGTGTTTATCGCGTGTGAGATCAATGCAAGCAGATACACACCTGCTCCTTCCACAGCCTCATGCATGCGAACCGGATCAGACGATTCGATCGCATACGTGATTAAGTCCTAGTGAAGTGGAAATTAAAATGCGGCTTAGATCTTCGTTAGGGTACAGCGCTTACCACTGTACCACCTCCGGCATCGCAAACAACAAATACTTTACCCGCCGCAACCGTGTCATGGCGATCGAGAAGCGTTGACAGCGACGCAGCCTCGGGTTCAGGCACAAGGCTCAAGCGCGTTGGTCCGGCAAGGCGACGACTCAGTATCCCTGCTTGTTGGGCAGCAGTTTCCATCTTCCGTCGGGCGTAGTCTTTCCAGATAGCCGGCACGGTTAGGACAACATGGAACGATAGAGCCTTGACCGAGCTCCCAAGTGCCTTCTCGAGGACGCTGAGCACGTGGCGCCATAATAAACCTAAGTAGTCGGCCGTTGCATCTACGGCCGTTTTCCCGGTATTCCGCAACCTGTCTCGAGCGCTTTGGATGAATGGGGTTTTTTGCATTTCCAAGCTGAGATCTTCATTTTCTAGAAGGAGGAGCTTGAACCATTGGATTCGTGAAGCGTGAGTTGGAATGTCGTAGCCCCACAGAACTTGACCGCCATCGTAAGAGATTTCAGTTGGAGCCTTGCCCTCTTCGCGGCCGGTTCCTGGCCAACTGGAAATTACGTTGATGCTCCCTTTCTCGAAATCAGCTGCTGTGGCCCAGGCAACGCCGCTGTACCTAATTCAGAACTTGTGTTAATGCCGGCCAATGGTACAGGGGCTTGTGTATTGGTCCCTACGTCGTCCCAAAGTCGATGCCAATGACCAAAACATCCTTCCTGTTTTCTTTCAGAAGGTGTCGCCGGTGTCCTCCTATACTGCTCATTATGAATGCTTGTAGATAGGAATATTGGTAGAGCCTCGGTATTGAAGGTTAGAGTGTTTCAGTGTAAAGGATCAAGCTTGTGAGAAATGGGTAAAATATGACTGCTACAGCGTACTCTGGTTGCGCCCCTCATCACGCGATGAGGGGTTGAAGCTTCATATCATCATGTCTCCCCAGTCATAGCCGGGCGTAAACCCCCCCCCCCCCCCATGTAATTTTTTTGCAGTACGAGTTTTTTTGACCAAGTGCACAATAAAGAGGCCAATCAGAAAAGACATCTTATCGCGCCAAGGCCGAGCAGCTTACGGAAACAAACTCATCATGCACGCTATATCGCTCTAGGCTAGGCCTCTGCAAGACGTGTTTCCAATGAACCGTAGTTGTCAATGATATCAAGTGTAAGCCGTTCTATGGCACCACGTCACTAAATTACATTTGACTTATCAGAATGCACGTGTGTCTGTTGTATGCATGCCGAGTAGCACATTATCCTCAAGTTTGTCTAAACGTTTCCGATATATTGTTAAGACGCCAATACCGGTACGTCACATCCTTATCAGAAATAGCCCACGAAGTATCATGTTGCTTCGATTCATTTGCGAATGGGTTTGAACATCCTAAAAAACCGTACGCTTTCAACGACTTTCAGCCTTCAGGAATTTGGAAAATAAGCCTGACCTTTTACTTTTCTTGTCCAGGACTATAATGTTATCCCCCCCATCCACCAAATCCCCGACGACTGTTCCAGAGCAAGAGACAGACTATTCTGTAAAAGTCCTTAACTTTGAAGATGGTACTACCAAGAGCGTTTTTAAGAGTAATACTCTTGAAGACGACAATTCTCGCACACAACAATATCAGCACATGGAAGAACTTAAGCAGGACCTGGAGGTAACTAAGTTGGAACTGAAGAAAACTCAAGTCCTACTCAAGCAAGCTGAAGAGAAGAACAATATAATTCAACTAGAACTCGAAGACTACCGAGCGGAACTAGAGGAGACCCGGAAGGAACTGGCAAATGTCACAGTCGAATGGAAGGCGTCAGCTGGAGAGCTCCGCGAGCTTAAGGCTAAAGACCAAACGGGATTCTTGCTGACAGATGGTGATTTGGTTGAGCGAGTGAGACATTTGAGACACGCGATCAAAGGTTTCTCCTCGCAGTATTTTCAAGATCGATTACCGACGGGCACACAAACACAATTGAGAGAAGATACAGCATACTTCTTCTGTCTTCAGTCTATCACACCGGGAAGCTCCGCCTATGTCAGGTATCTCAATTCTTTGACCTGGCGCCCGAAAATCATCGAGGCCTATCTATGGAGGGTTCTAACCAACGACGTATTTCATGGATGCATTTGGGCCGGAGAATGGCCATCTCAGCAGTTTCGTGATTTAAGGTTCTTTCTAGACCCAGGTATGATGGAAATTAATTTCATTAACGGCCGAGAGCCAGGTTCTAAGATATAATCACAGCCAATTATCAAGAGTTTTCGCTTCCGAAGGATCGGGAATTCCAAATTTGGAGTGCTAAAACTGCCCAGTTATGCCTAAACAATCTTCGAGCTCGAGATATGCAGACCCGAGAAGCACATCACTTTCTGGGACGATACAGAGGCTTTTTCGTAAAAACAGTTTTGGAGACTATTGGGCTCGGATCAAGCTCTATTGACCAAAACATCGCGAAGCAACTGGAAGAGATTTTCCACACAGCTGTTAGGCTCGATGAAGACATTAAACAACAGGTTGCTAGGGTGCTATGGGTGTACGAATACGACGGCCTCACAGATGCGGATGTTGACTTTGAGACCATAGAGGTGAAAGGAGATTCGTCTCTGGCGAAGGAGAAGAAGAGGAGCCGAGAGAGACCCGTGGTAATTGCGCCAGCTCTGGTGAAGCGAGGGAAGTCGACTGGCCAGGACTTTCACATCGAAAACACATTGTTAAAGATAGTTGTGCTACGCGATTAGTGTTCGGTATCATGGATGTAGGGAGAAGAGAGCAAGGTTTATACGGCATTGTGCTGCAACACATCGAAAAAATGTGCCACACTGTCTGATCAGCAGTGTCGGTCCTTCCATAAAGAATGATACGGAATAAATTGAGTCAATACTTGCCTCGATCGCGAGACCACTGCTACTCGCTGCAGGATCCTTGGACAGCATACGGTTGACTCACCTACGACGCGAGACGTCAAATCCCCGGCCGGCTTTACCTTTCCCGGCCGAGACAAAACACTTTCCTCTGAGTACCCTGCTTTGGCACTTGCAATTATCAATGAACACCAACCCCGTATGGTTCGCCGAGCCCATTTTATCAAGTGATAGCGTTTGTTGGTACTTCTCTTGTACGAAAACATATATAAACCTCCCAGCCACGATATATCTCACTTTTGTGATCTCTTGACCAAGTCCCTTGCCTGCCATATGTGAGAATCTCTCCACGGTTGACTGATGAGGCAAGGCATCCTTCTGTTACGATAGAGGCTTACGGGTTTCTATAACGCTGTATCATGCTGTTGTTGTTTATCTTTGCTAGCATAAGAATCGGGCCAAACGATATAACTAACCCTGCGTGCCCTGGTGACGTGTACTGATAACGAACTAGTCTAATAACTTGTTTTCAAGAAAAATAAGAGATAGGCTTCTTACAAGAAGAGGGCGAGCAGTTCTGCCGGGTGCAAACGATACAGGAGCCAGGGCAATTGGTGAGAATGGCAGTAGTGTGGATCTCAGGTACCCAAGCTAGGGCCAAAGCTTTGATGGCGCGTTAACCGTCGCTCACCAATGGTTCAGCCTCAACTTCGACAGCGCAACCGGATTCATACGATATTTGCCACAGTTGAACGCTGCTTCACCGGTGTCGGCCACGTAAGAGATCACTATCCACATTCCCGTTCTAACAAAATCATACACTGGGACATATTCCTTTCGTCCGTAGCGTGTGGGAGGCTATCATATTGGGCTCCAACGCATCACCCGCGTCATTAGGCATCAATGCCATCTGATTGAAAACGGCAACAGGATCGACGTGGCTTGGCGTGCACGGATATAGCCGATGGTCTGTGCTGGTCGGAGGTTGTTCATGGGTTGCTCTTTAAGACGGGAAACTGGGAATTCAGATGCAACCACGCTAGTTTACTCAAGAAGCGCCATGACGAACGAGTGGATACATCGTGAGTTTGTGCCACTTTTTTCTACCCACACGCAACCTCCCACCATTAGTTCAGATCCCTTCGTAATTAAGGATCATTCAGGTCTCAAGCCAACCTACCTACGAAAAGTCATCTAGATCTTCTGAAGGCCTTAGAGCTTACTACGATACGTGCACCTGCTCCGGACGTAAATCCCACTGGTATTACGCGAAGGCAGCACCTTCGTGTTACAGACCAGTGGTGCAAGGAGTAGAAGCCACACTACAACTAAAGTCCCGCTAAGATTAAAGCACGAGATGCATTTCTTGCGCTTTCGCTGGTCCCTAATACTGCAAAGTGTACGATTATTATTTCCTGCCGTGCCAGATCAATTGCAAAATTATATCACAATATTATGCACACTGTGGTGCTATGCCCCTGGGAACTATTCTCGCCGAGTCCAGACTGTGCGCAGTGTGCACGCAGATCAGGGCTCCGTTTTATCTAGTGATTTCGGGCGGAGGTCAGGTGACCTCCGGAAATCCACAGGCTACCGCATGAGTGGCGTCGCGAGAATATTGAAAAGCTGTTGATGCGTGTTAGTCAGGGAATGATGTTCTTGGTAGCTAAGTTAGACTCACGCGGATTTCTAGATCATCATTATTCCTATTCAGTGAAGAGAATTTGTCGTCCAGTTGTTCTGAATCCTTTGCTAGCAGGATATTGTTTAATATATTGGAGAAGAGAACGTGCCTTTGCAGACATAAACAGAGTCACCAAACTCATTTTTCTTCTCCATCAGAGTCCGCAAGAAGGCTGTCGCTCCAGGATCGTCGCCAATCTGGCAGACAACGAACGAGACCACTGCAAAGAAGTCAGCGATTAGAGGAAAATTCAGAATTTGCTTGGCATACATCGGTCTCCAAGCCCATGTTTTTCCAGGCGGTCAATACAGGTTTGCATGGACTCCGCAAACAGGGTTCCATCAGTTGGACATCCATCGGTGATGATACAGATCAGGTATGGCCTGTTCAGATAGATACCGCTGCCCGCCTTCTCCCCCGCGTCTATTTGCTCATACACAAAGGGCTTCAGCACTTTGCTCAGAAGGTTTGTTCCTATTCTAGTCCCTCCTCTAGGCACAACATCTCGCATCTTTTCGCGGACCTGGTCGGCATTCATAGGACCCCATGTGACTTTCTGATTGATGAACCGGATCACTGTACCGTTGTCGTCGGGAGTGAGAAGATTGCATATGCGTGTGATTCGCTCGACTACATCGCGCAGCGCCTCGATGCGGCTCACTGTTGACGCTGCGCTGGTGGGTCCCTTCATCGATGTGCTGTCATCTGCGGGTAGGAAAGTCAGAAGATGAGGAGCACGTCCTCGTGATGAGATGGTGCGTGGGAAAAAAAAAAAAAAAAAAAAAACTGTCATTAAACGTACCACAGAAGAGAATGGGCTGGAAGAGAGCCAGTTTGACGAGACCATCGATTCGCTCAGGCGTATTGAGTGGGCTGGGGCTGTCCTTGAATGCGGCGATACCGTCTACTAGCCGATGCAAAAACTGATCGTCTCTCGGAAAGAAGCGCTCTAGGCCACTTTCATTAGCGTAGTTTTTGAATTCCTCCACAGTCTTACAGTCTCCAGGACCCTAAAATTGTCAGTCTGGAATGGCTAGTGGTACTTGAGACCGGGAAACTCTCACCGATGGAGCTGGTGTATCAGCCTCTTTGGTGCTGTTCTGGCACCCAGTAAGACCAAAAATGGCATTGAGCACGCCAGCAACAAGTCCAGACACGTTCACCCAGAAGATAATCCATCTAAGAAACTTTGCGATGCGGTCAATCATTGGCAGATGATGGTTATGGCGCTCCGCGGCCGGCAGCAAAGCGATGAGCAATTTCTTGTCCTTTCTCTCCTCGGCAAGGTCCTTGGCCCGCTTTCCCTCGCGGTTCGCCACCGTCAAGTCGGCCCCTGCATCCACCAGCATCCTGACAATGACCTCATCCCCACGCTGGACGGCCTCCATGACGGGCGTGTTTCCATCCCCGCTGTTGGTGGGGATCTTGTTCAGGTCCTCAGTCCGAAACTGTGGGGCATCCAGAAGCAGCTGAACAATTTCCTTGCGGTGCTTGTTTGTCTTGGAAGCTGCCAGCCATAGCGCAGTCTGCCCTGCAGCCGAGGCCGTGTGCGTCTCGGCCTCGTTGTCGACTAGCAGCTTCACTACTTTATGACGGCTGTGCACCACGGCAGCCATCAGGGGCGTGAGTGCAATGCCAGTGTTCTTACCGTTGATATCTTCCCCCAACGCCAAATAATGTTTCAGCTTTTCATTGTTCAACTTTCCGCATAAAGCGTCTTTGTAGATATTTGAGATGTCCATGGTGTTGACTGAATTCTGTTCTTAAAACTTGTGGATGATTGTTTCGTCTCTGGCTTTTGGTTTTCATGGCCGAGAACGTTACCTTAGGCGGCTTCAAATAGTCGCACAGCAGAATTTGATGAAAGTGAGGCGGTATTTTTTGGTCCAACTTGGCACCGTTGTTTTAGGTCGTGTCGGTCTACGACTTTCTTGGTGGTGTGTCACGATGGTTGTTTGTACATCCTGACCAACCTCTCCACCCTTCCTCCACCATACAGGTGCAACATTAATGCCTCTAGCCATTTTGATATATTTCAGCCGGCCAGTAACTTTCAGGTGGCGTAGAACGTGAGTGAGTCGGGCATGGCCACATGGTAAACAAGCCATGCAGACAGATGTTGGGCATAGAAGGAAAACAATCATAGAAATAGGGCGAGCACATAACCGTAGGAAAATGGCGCATTGTATGCCGACAAGGCGACATAGCACCCCCACGGAAAAAATCGGCATCATCATCAGGCATCAAGGCGAAGTACAAGGCCCGAGTTGAGGCTCGAAAGAAGCACCCTATTTTAGGCCCAACAACACCAAACAGCCATCAGATTAGCCGAAAGGTCAGTTCCCACAACGAGGGTTATAAATAAATCAGGTTGATACCACATCATAGCCAAGCATTTGTTTCCCGCGACATCAATGCCTGTTACTCTTTTAGACGGAGTCAATATGGACGAGCTCAGAACCATTGCGTATATTCTGACGGCTGGTGGTAGCTGCAGGGGCCCTCATGGGATCCAAGTGCTCTACGAGAAGGACAATGAGATTATTGAGGAACTCTTGAACGGTTCGAAGGTTCAGAGTGAGACCAGCGTTGGCTATGGCATCAAGACAAATGCCCCCATGGCTTTTGGTATATCGTGCAGTGGAGATACTGAGCAGGTTTGCCTTCCTCACCAATTCTTGTCCATGCTGCACTCTTATCGACCATTGTACTAACATGGATCCTATGATCTGACAAAAGTCATTCGTCTTTTCCGTCGACAAGAACAACAAGATGAAGGCTTTTGTCTTCGACACGGACGAAGAAGAGTGGGAAGACTATGACTTGGGTGATGGAGCGGGCAAGGCAGAGCTGCACGCTCAAAGTTCACTTGCCACCGACAGCAGCCATGACGGTCTCATCTCAGTCTTCTTTCTCAACACCAACTGCAAGCTGCAGGTTCTTCAGCAGAAGCTCGACGGAAGCTGGCATTGCGGCCCTGAGCTGGCAGGAGCGTCTCCGCGACCCGGAACGCCATTGTCCGTGGTTCCGACGGATGACGACACCATTCTTGTCTTCTATCTCGGCCTTGACAATACAATGCACTACCTTGCACACAGCTTGGACTCTGACAGGTGGCAAGGTACGTGCTTCTATCTTCGTATTAGAATAACTCCGGTGCTGTTCTTTGTGCGCCTCCAGAGTACCATACACTGACAGACAGACCATCGGTGGGAGACTGTAAAAGTGGATGAACCCGTTCAGCGGTTCAAGGTCTCCCTCGACACAGAGTCGGGCCATTATGAGGCGTTCGTACTGGCCAAAGGCCGTCTTCTTCGATTCGACGGTGATGGTCCGCGGCAGGAAGTTGGGCACATGCAGGGAAAAGAGTTCATCCCAAGCACCACTGCCCAATCTGTCAAACGTACATTTCTTACCGGAGGACCCGTTCTTCGTAATGGGCGCTTCATCGGCTGGCAGGTCACGCGCAGTAGAACGTCTTATTATAAGAACGGCAGTACCCGAACCTGTATAACAAGAACGTTCTACCCTCTGTAGTTTGATTATATTAGATGAGTCATTGAACAGTCTTCTTTCTATTATGCGTTACATTAGCCTACGAACTGCCAATATTGTCCCCATAGGTCACACCATGCATCCTGCCTTTTACTCGCTACCCAAAAGCTACCTAAAGGAGAATAGACAAAACTAACTATTAGTACATTTTTGTAGAAGAAAGTGGTTTCTAAGCTCTGCTTACAGGAAATTCCGAGGGTTTACTTTTCTCTGGAATGAAAGAGATTTTGGAGCCCTGGTATAAATCCTCGTGGCCCGGCATGATACCACTTGCCGGTATCGGGTCAATGTCATCATCTTGAAGCCGCAGCTTAAATCTGTTCTGGATGATCTCACAGCCTTGTTTTTTTTGCCAAAGTCGGACCAGACAGGCGTCACCAAAGTCTTTCATTGGTATCGCCTCCATGGGCTCCGTATTCCAGTGAATCCAACAGGGCCCTTGCTGCGCAACAGGATCACCGCCGTTTTCATCATCAGTGTCCTCATCACTGTAATCGGATCCCTGTGTCTCTGGCTCGTTGAGCATGAAGGCATATCTCGTGTCGAGTGTATGTCTGCCTATTTCATTCTGGCCCGAAAAAGGTTTGCAGGGAAGGATATCAAACGTAGATGTTGATCTTCCCGGTCCTCGGCTGACACGGCCGCACATGTTGGACATCCTGGCACTGCGAGGAAACTGAAGATAGAGTCCAGGTGCCGAGACACCTTTTTGCGCAACTTTCAATGGTGCAGAGAACCATCCGACTCCTGCCCAGTGACAGATTGTTCGGAGGACATCCAAGTTCAGACGCGTGCCTTGTCCGACTATGTCATTTTGGGACCCGACTCTATGATTGCTTCGATTATTAGCTTGGGATCTCATTCGTCATATGAGAATCACTTGAATTGCGCTTACTGGATAGCTACGGCAAACGCAGTCGGTCCGTCGACCATAAAGACAGGACTGCCACTGTTACCAGGGACTGTCGCAGCATCGTATCGGATGTGATCAGGCCTAATACGTTTGATTGCTCCAGCTGATGTCCGAGGGCTGTGTGCGGGAGTTTGTGCGTCATGGGCATGAACAAAGACGTCAGAATTGATGTGTACTGAAAGGCCGAGCTCAAGGGCGATACCGAAGCCTCCTTGGTTCTCGTCAAAGGGGATCAGAAGTGCGCCGTAGTCATTAGTCTTGTTATTGTTGCCTGGATTCTGTCTGTAGGCCTCACATATTCGGATCTGGCTGTTGGAAATGGCCACATCTGGCCTGCTGAGGATTGTCAGATCTTGCACAATCTGTTTGTCGTCGCCGATGAGATTATGTCCAGCCGTCAAAATGACGCTAAAACTCTTGCTATCGAGGTTTACAAAGAAGCCAGTCCCAAATGTCTCCTTTCCTAACAAGAAAAGAAAATGTGTCAGTTGTGCTGTTTTGCAGTCTCCTTTCGATATCATATTGTCACAACTTAGCTAATGACAGGGGAAGGGGAAGGCACTGTATGGGTCTGCCTGCATGAAGGTGGTGATCTGCGTGTTGTACTAGGGAAGAAAAAGCTACATTACACTGATTCTGTGGCGCAGAGATTTCACTGGGGCTATTCCCCACTTTTCTCTATTCTGGCCAATCAGAACGCGCAGGGCCAACCCTAGCCGGAAAACGCACAGTGTGCTCCATTCCCGCACTCAACAGTAATTAATCCGGTGACTAGCGCTTCTAAACTTATTAAGGGCTAGATAGAAGTGTCGCTTCCTAGCCTATAGCCAGGTAGCGCGCTCTTAGAAGCTGCTAGGTATCTTAAAGGGCAGTTTAATGCCGCTTTTTAAGATGATATCTTGACTGCGAGAGCTGTCTTTATCGGAGTCCTTGCTGCGGGTGCGCTTACCTTTTGCTCGGGTTGCTCCTATATCTAGGAGCTGTTGCTGTAGGTCTACTATTCGCTGCTTTAAGCGGTCCGCTTCACGCAGTCGATCATTTTCAGCAATGAGGTCCGCTACCATCTAGTCTGTGGTGGGCCTAATGGTCTGCCCTAAGGGGCCTTCGCCTGCATCGTCGTCATCCAGTTGCTTGTAATCCTTCTCTGAGAGATCAGAGTCTTCGTTCTCTACTTCTTCGACGATAGGGTTGAGGGGGTTCTTGACTGTTGCCCTAGAGCTGCTCTCTTCCTGCGCACTACGTGCGTGCGACGTTTGCTTCGTGGTCTTTCGAGATGCCATTGCTCCTTCTGCCTCTTAACTCGGGTAGCCTAATGGTAGAAGAATTAGGAATTGTTAAAGGTGTACTTGGGTAGGCCAGGTAAGTTAGGCAGGCAAGGAGGTATCTTCTTAACAAGAGGAAGCAGCCGTATATTCAATAGCTAATTCTTGCCTTCTGCACTCTAAGGGAGTGCGGGAGGCACTCTTTATCGTAGGCGCACCTCTAGCGCACCAAGTGCGCAGGACAGGCGCGACCCCGTTTCTAC